TTCTTTTAAGAAAAAAGTGTTTTTGTTTTTTTTGACAATACTAAAAAAAAAGTTATTAAATTAATAAAAGAAAACAATCATCTAGGTTCCCAACAACTCATAAGTAAGACTCTACATGTGATATCAGTGCTTGTTTGAAATTTTAATAACATAATAGATTAGAAAGGAAGAGAGAGAGAGAGAACACATCATCTCTCTTTTTAAACAAAAAAAAAACATATAAAAAATAAATATGTCACAGCCACCAAACCCAACCAATGGTGGTGTCAACAAAGTGAACTCTGATAACAATAGAAAACAACATCATCATAATAATAACAATAAACATCACAACAACAACAACAATAATAATAATAATAATAATAACAACAACAATAAGAATAACAATAAACAAAATAATAATCACAGTAATACGAATAACAACAATAATAATAATAAGAAACAACAATATCAAGCAAAGAAGAAATCAGCTGATAACCATTCAAACAACAACAACAACAACAACAGCATTAATAATATTAATAATGATAATAATGGTAAGGTTGTAGTATCCGATCAAACTTCTTCGACTGGAATTGAAAATGGTATACATGAAAATAATAAAATAGAACAATTACAACAGCAACAGCAGCAGCAGCAGCAGCAACAACAACAACAGCTAAATGATAACAGTAGTAGTATTGGTAATGGAAATGTATATCAAGGAATGTTAAGTCCACAGCAGCAGTTGGAGTTCGAATTGATAGGCTTACAGCAACAGCAATTGAGTAGACAGCTTCAACAACCTACATCATCGCTATTCCAATTCCCTATGTTCTTGCCACCACCTCTGATGTCACCTACCTCCCAACCACAACAGCCACATATACCAACATCACCACCTATCATGAATAATAATAATAATATTAACAATATGAACATGATTAATAATAATAATAACCATAACAATAGTGGTACCACACCTAATATAATGGATTTCTTCCAGAAACCATCTAATATAAATACCACTGGTACTGGTGGTGTTGGTGGTGTTGGATTCCTTCAACAACAACAACAACAACAACAACCAATTAATAATAATAATAATAATATATGGCAACAACAGCAACAACATCAACCATATCCTCCACATATGAATATGTCTGGTATGCCACCGCGTATGATGCCAAACATGTCGAATTTCGGAATGCCATCGTTCCCACCTATGATGGCGCATCATCCTGGACAATTCCCACCACTGTTCAACCATCCAGGACAATTCCCACCATTCGGTATGCAACCAATGCCCTTTAATCATATGGCATCTTCACCACACAATATAGGCGGTGGTAGTGGTGGTATGCAACATTTACAACAGCAACAACTACCACACTCAAACTCACCTCTCAATATACCAGCTCCGACAATGACAACAGCAGATTACTTCCTAACACCATCGAATCAATCACCGATTAGCAGTCTACTAGCAGTGGATAACAATAGAAATCATATGCTATTGGATCATATGAACAATGCTAGTGCTGCGGTTGGCGTTACCACCGGTGGTAGACTACCGATCAATGAATTGAATGAGTTGCAAATCAGTGAGATGGCCAGTCAGTTTGGTTCGCCCATGAAGGTAATGATAGATCCACTTGCAAAGCTTGAATCGGAAGCACAAGCCGAAGAGGTTGCCGCTGCCGAAGCAGAGGGTGAAGAGGACGAGGTCAACGAGAAACAAAAGAAGAAACTAGAGAAATACACAAAGACTAGACCACTTATGCCTCCACCTTCTGCTGATCACCTAAAAGAACTAACCGAACATGCCTATGACATCTATGAGAAATCGAAATGTGAAGAGAATAGAGGTCGTACTTTATTAACTAAATTACAAAACATGGTATCAAAGACATTTACAAGTAAGTCAAACACTCTTTAATATTTTTCATACTTTCATAATGCTTACTCCTTATATTGATTCATTATTTATTCAATTTTAGAGTCACAAGTTAAATTACATTTATTTGGTTCATCAGCAAATGGAATGTCACTGAAAGGTGGTGATATTGATATATGTATGCTTGTAGATAGCTCTGAGGGTGACTCCGATACAATCATTAGCAAGCTTGCTACAATGTTGAAACAAAGTAAGTAATCAACAAAAACAACAACAATTGTTGAATACTTATTTATTTTTATTGTTTTCAATAGATAACTTAACAAAGGTGTTGGCAATTCCAAGTGCAAGAGTACCGATCGTAAAGTTTAGAGATCCAATTCAAAATCTAGCATGCGATATATGTATCAACAATAAACTGGCGATATACAATACCAAATTGGTTTCAGACTACTCTGCTATCGATGAGAGAATGCGTCCGCTCGTCTATGTGGTAAAGCGTTGGGCCAAACGAAGAAAGATCAATGAACCATTCACCGGCACACTCAGTAGCTATGCCTATATCAATCTGGTGATTAGTTTCCTCCAGAGTAGGAATCCACCTGTGTTACCGTGTATGCAGCAACTGGCGAACGGCGCCGTCGAGATCAACGGCAAGCTCTACGGTGAGCTGATGGAAGACGTCATCGTCGACGGCTACAACTGTAAATACTACAACGATCTCGCCAAGCTCAAGGGATTCGGTGCGAGCAACAAAGAGACACTCGGCGAGCTGGTGTTTGCATTCTTCCAGACGTACTCGCGGGTCTTCAACTACGCCACCGAAGTCATTAGCATCCGCACGGGAACACATCTCGAGAAGAGCAGCAAACAATGGGAGTCGATCCAAAAGAAGAGTCACTACTGCTTCTCCATCGAGGATCCATTCGAAATCACTCACAATCTTGCCAGAGTCGTCAAACGAAGTCAACTTTCAACCATCATACAAGAGTTTAATAGAGCATATAAAATTCTTTCGAGAACAGGAAATCTTCATATAGTTTGTAGAGAATATATACCTGAAGAGTCTTCATCAACATCAAACAACAACAACAACAACAACAACAACAACACACCTCAAAAAACGAAATCATAGAATTGACCAACATCCAAAACAACACTAACCAAAACACCATGTCATTGCAATATTATATAATAAAAACTTTATACATTATGTAGAGTTAACTCAAAACATAACATAAAATAACCTAATTGCTATTATAAATTGATTTCACAAGATAAATACCATTATATTTTACTTGTCATTGTCAAGATCTCTGATATATTGACAAGATGTTGATTTGATTAATTTACAATAGATTTATTTTAATCTATTGAACTATTATTGGTTTATTCGAATGCTACACTGTGATTTGATTTGTTTTATTATTAATGATTATATTAAATAAAAGTACTAGTCTAATATTATTCCTGTTATTGTTATTGATTGATTGATTATTATTATTATTATTATTTAATGATGGTGAGTTGTTTCCTTTTGAGCACCATATTCTCTTGGGATAAATCTGTATAATCCATTGTTGTTGACAATGGGTGGCATCCAACGAGTGAGATATACATTCTTGTGTGCTGCACCTAAAAACCTGTATATATTTATAGTTGCAAATATTGGATCGATCGAATTATTAATATTTCATATTTGTTATACAATAAAGTCTTAAGAAATTCATCAACCTACATAATATCGTTTTCAGCTTGTACAATTGGTAAAATCTTTGATAAACGTACTCTCTCTACATCATCATCTTGTCTGTAATAAGTAAAGTAATAAAATACATGTTTGTTGTCAATATTGATATTTCTTTAATTGCTTATATATATTCAAAGTTTTGAGAGTTTGATAATAATAATAATAACATACAAATCTTGAATTCTTCCACGAAGATAAATGTAAGTACCAACACCCATGATCAAAAAGGTGGCACCAAACAATTTATAACCAGAGATCATCTTTGGTGTTTGTCTACCATACTCTAATGCTGGAAAACCTCCTGGTGGTGGTAAATCTTGTACCCATTTTTGCTTATAATTGATTGTCATTGTTTAAATAAATATAAATAGTGATAATAACAAATAATGTTGTTGCTGATCGACTTTCAATCAAAAAAAAAAAAAAAAAATTGAAAAAAAATCAATTTCATTTTTTTTTTTGCAAGACAACGAGAAGTTGTTGCTGTTTAGTAAAGTGATTATATTCTCATTGTTTAATCAATTGATAGATCTGTCTAATAAAGATATGAAGATTGTTGTTTGTTTAAATTGAATTTATTTTATTATATTATATTATATTTAAAGTTTTGGTTTTGGTTTTATTTTTGGTTTTGAATGATCAATTTATTTTCTATCATCATAACTATAGTACTCTGGGTTGTGTCTTGGAAGTTGCCATGGTTCGACAATGATTGACTTGTTCTTTTCGAAACGTGGGTCCTTTGTGATTGTAGAGTCTTCCAGTTGTTGACGACGTGATTTAAGGTGTGGTTTGTAGCTTGCCAAGATCTGACGGAGTTGGGTCATTGATTGTTTGGTTGTTTGATGAGTGTAGTAACCGTTGGCCGACAAAGTACGATTGGACTCGGCAAAGATCTTACCGTAGAGTTGCTTGTGCTCGGCACCCTCGTCTTCGGTCAACTCCTTGATACGGATAAATGTGTTTGGTGCCATCGGGGTGGTGTATACGTTGTCACCCTCAGGCAGCGCCTGACGTTGGTATGGCTTTGGTGGTGCGGGATTCTCACGGTTCTTGGCGAGTGTTGCCTCACGGTACTTGGCGGCTCTCTCTCTACGCTTGGCAAGAACCTTCATCTTCTTTTGGTTGCGTCTCAAATACATATCAGCTTCCAATCCCAAGACTTGGAGGTCGTCCTTCCACGAGTTACCGTTGACTTCGTCTGCCATGACGATTTCCTCGGCGAGGTCGTTGAGTTCGACCAAACCACGAGAGTTGAATATATTGGTTTCTCTCTCTTTCTCATCGATCTCAAAGTTGGCGGTGGTGTCGAGTGTCTCCTCGTCTTCGTCCTCTACCAACAACACTTCATCGTCGTCCTCATCGATCTCATCAGCACGGCTCTTTGGTGACGACTGTTTCGGTTGCGAGAGATTCTTCTTTTCGTACTCTACCTTCAAATCGTTATATACTTCATCCATGACCTTGTTGAGGACACGATCGGACTCTTCAGCCGAGAGATTAACAAATTGCTCGAAATTGATTTGTCTCAAGAGCGATGCGAATTGCTCTTTGTTCATCTTGCCCATCGACTCCAAGGTGACACCCTTTGGCAACTCACTGATGCCAAGCTTCTTGGCAACCAAATCGTAGACATGATTCTCGAATTCCAATTCACTCTTGAACTCGGTTTGCATATCGTCGAGCAAACCTTGATCCATCAGTTGTTCCTGTGCATTGTCGATTTCATACTCAAAGATTGGCTCTTTGTTCAAGGCCTCTGAAATCTCGGCGACGTCCTTCTCGTCGTAGGGAGTATCTTCACCCAAGAAGAAGTTCTCTCCAACGTTCTCCTCGTCGTACAAAGTGTTTGCTTCGCCCGGTTGAGTTTGGTTGGTGGCATCGGCTCGCTCGTTCTCACCGTCGGCAATCGCCTTGGCTTCGGCGGCGTCCAACGGAGTGTCGGCACCAATCTCATAGTAGTCACGTGCGTATTTAATATAGGCTTCACTAATCTTTCCTTCGATTTCCTCTCCATCTTCATCCAACTCGTACTTTGGAATCTGGTCGAGTGTGACGTTGTCGTCGAGGTCAAGCTGCTCGACGTCATAACGCGCCAAGTCGTCCTCCACCAACTCCACCAGATCCTCCTCGTCCAACTCCATGATCTCGAGCATGTCACGCACGGTGTAGTCCGAGTAGTTGTGACCGACCTGCTTCATATACTCTCTGAGATCGGCCAACTCTGCGAGACGCTCCTCTCCCATGCGCTGTTGTAGCTCCTTGGTGTGCTCCTTGTTTCTCTCGTCAAACTTGACGCTGTCCATCCAATCAAAGAGATCGGTATTATCGGTTGGTTCGTCCTGTTCGCCTTCTTCACCGTCGTCGTCCGCCTCCAAATAGTTATCTTGGTTGTCCATCATATCGTCTTCATCGGCCATCTGCTGCAGCTGTTGCTTTCTGGCTTCGGCCAACGCCTCTGGCGAATCGTAGTCCAGCGAATTGTCTTCGACATCCTCGTACGATGCTCCCACCATTTTCTCCTCTGCTTCCTCACGAAGTTGTTGCAAGATTTCCTTGTCGATTGGCTCGTTCTCGGCGAGCATCTCAATGAGCTCAATGTCTTCTTGGCGGTCGATATAGTCGGCGGGAACAGCCTTCTCCTGATAGCGATTGTACTCCTTGATCATCTTTGCGTCGAAAAGGTATGGTGTAACTTCATACTCCTCCTCCACGACACGATCCAAGAGCAAACGACCCTCTGTAATATCTGGATCTTCCTCTTCTTCTGCGGCATCATCATCTACCTCATCCAAATTAAAGTTTGTCTGATGTTGTTGTTGTTGATGATGTTGTTGTTGCTGTTGTAATTGTTGATTGTCACCGGTGTTACTATCAGATGAAACAGCATTGTCTGATGATGCTGCTGCTGTCGATTTATTTGTATTCAATCCCATTTGGAATTTCTGATCGAATTGTGCCAACAATTTCTTGATATCTACAGTTGAACCACCTGCTTGTTGTGGTTGTTGTGGTTTCTTTGTATCTTTTGATTGATCATTATTGTTGTTGTCTCCACTTTGATCACCATCTTTATTATCATTAGTATTACTAGTATAACTTCTAATGGAACCAGTAGCAAAAAGACTGCTACATTGTTGTTGTACCAACTGCTTTGAAGCAGCACCAGAACGTACTAAATTTCTGGCACACCAAAACATTATTTATATAATATCACTATAAAAAGAAAAACAAACTAAAATCTATTCTTTTTTTACTACTGTCTTCTGATCTGTTTTGTTTTTTAATCTGAATATAATATATCTTTTATTCTTTTGTTATTTAAAATCTATATGTTTTTATTTGATATGATATGATATTAATATTGATTCCTTTAACTAAACTAACAAAAATTGTTTTGTTTTGTTTTGTTTTTTTTTTTTTTGATAGTGATCGATCTTTACCTGAATGTATGAACTAAGATTAAAAAAAAGAAAAGAATCAAATCTGAATTTGAGATATAAATATATATAGTGAAATTAGATTAAAAGTTAAAATATAATAATGTATGATTGTGTTATAATCAATGATCTGCTTCGTTTTCACGAAAATTTTTGATCACCAAACATTTTTTTCGTACTTCATAAAAAAAAAAACTCAAGACAAAAAAAATAAAATTCTATTCAATCATTCCCAATTGTACTTTAGATATGAGATAGAAAGTTGTTGAGTATTTTTTCACTCTCAAAATTATTAATCAATATCTATAAATATATTTATATTTATAAATATTGTGTTTTTTTTAATTTAAGTGATTTTATGTTTTTTGTGGTTCTAACTTGATTTTAGATATTTGACTTTTCGTAAATGTTTTGAATCCTATTTATCCTATAGGAATATTATATACAGATCTTTTCTTAAAAGTTCATTTCATACAATATTATTTAAATTGAATTCAAAAAAATGTGGAAAAAAAAAAAATCGATCTGTCAAAATTTTGATGTCTAGAACCTGCAAAAAAATTTCAAGATATTTATTTTCGTTTATAATAGTTATTACTATTCTTAATATTAATATAATAATAGTTAGCAATTAACAGTTGTTGGTAATGAATTCAAATAATTTATTAAAAGTTTTAATTGGTGGGGCTGCAGGTGCCATTGTGTATTGGGTGATGAAAAAGACCGATGAGGAAGATGCACAGTACCGTGAGACACTACAACAAGAGAGAAACAACGCTGGTCCTCAAGCCAATCGGAGATTGCGAACACTCTCCAACTCATCGTTGCTCGAGAATCAAAATGTTGCTGGCAACCTAATCGATCTCCTACAGAACACGCTGATCGAGTATATACTTGGACAGGACACACATCATGTCATCACGATCGACAGCACTGCAACACTCGACTACGCACTGATGCGTATGAATGAATCGAACGTATCATCACTACCGATTGTAGATCTACAGAACAAGCGATACATCGGTATGCTTTCGATCATTGATGTATGTTCGTACCTCGGTGCACACAACCCAACCGAAGTTGCACCAAACACCTCTGTTGCTGAAGTATTAAGTTTGTATTCAATGAACATCATTATAGTACTATATTATTGAAGTAAATACTAACCATATATATACACTTTAGAATATAATAGAGAACCATTCCTTCCATTATATGTTAATTCACCTATTCAATTACTCATTCATATTATGACACAAAAAGTACCACAAGTTGCAATTATGTCGAATGATACTATTGTAGTAGATATAGTATCAAGATTGAATGTTATCAAGTATGTTTTGGGTTGGATGTTGGAATGCAATATAAACAATAATAATTAACTCACGTGATTTCTATCTCCTCTATTTTAGATTTATTTATGAAAATATAGAGGCATTAGGATCGAAATCAAACTATTCAATTGCATCATTGAATTTGATGTCTAAATCAGTTTGTACAATTAAATCCTCTGAAAAGGTTATCGATGCCATCAACAAGTTGAATAGCGATCAAGTTACAGAGTTGGCCGTTGTTCATCCAGAAACTGGTTTATTAGTAGGAAGTTTCAGTGCAAGTGATTTAAGAGTAAGTAATTACTAAAGAAAATCTCAGTATAAAACTCTATATTAATAATAATACATATATATTTTTAGAAATTATCAATTTATACATTCAATAGATGTTATGAACCTATTTCATCATTCATAAAATTAAGAGAGGATATCGATGAGAATCAATTGATCAATCCATCTTCAACACTAAGATCGACCATTAGAAAGATGGTTGAACACGAAGCACCAATTCTCTGGGTGGTCGACTCTCAAATGAAACCAATCTCATGTGTATCACAATTAAGTCTAATGAAATACTTTTTGAATCTTTCAACATCTATCATTTCCGACTGATCTATTATTGTCATAAATGTTCATAAATAAAAATTAAAAATTAAAAAATATTATAATAAAAATAAACAAAAAAATATATATTTAATTTAAATTAATTTGTTTCAATTTTTTTTAATTTTTTTTTTTGATTTTCCAAAAAATCAACTAAACTAATAGATTGTTAATTGTGCAATTTTGGAAAACATATTTTTAGATAAAATAATTTTATTTTTTATTTGTTTTTTTAAGGTTCACATTAGAATTATATGTAAAATAATGTCTATATATATTGGTATTGATTCAATATTACTAACAAAAATGAAGATATTATCTTTTTTTTTAAAATTAATTAATTAATTTTTTTTTTATTTTTAAATTTTGAAATTAAGAACTTCCAACAACTTAAAAATTTTTTTTTTATTTCAAGACAAATTTAGTTGTTGGAAGTTCTTAATTTCAAATTTGAAAATAAAAAAAAATTAAAAATAAATTAAATTAAATGTGTTAAATTTAAACCGCCACTAAATTTTTAACAACAATATTTTTTTGCAACGTCCATTTTTAAAAAAAAAATTTTCAACGCCATTTTTTTTTTTTTTTTTATTTTCAAAAAAATTTTAAAAAACAATCCACCCATTTTGGAAACAGATAAAAAAGAAATAATAGGTAGTGATACAACAATAATAACAACAGTAACACAATAACTATCAAAATAGGAGTAAAAATAAATCAAATATAGTAAATTAATCCTAGGAATAGTAATATTAATTATATCCAGCCAGCAAGCAACAGAGTGTGATAATTTAATATTACACTATCATAAAAAAAAAAACCAACACATACTATTTTTTTTTTATTTATTTTTACATCACAATTTTTTTATTGGGTAAATTTTAATTATATTTATTTATTTATTTATTTTTTGTACATATATACCTATATATATATATTCACATTATAAAAATAAAATAAAATAAAAATAAATTATATATAATCAATAATATACATATATATCAAGCAAATAATAATAAAAAATCAACAACAACAATAACAATAACAACAAGAGCAGCAAAAAGTAGAGTTGAATTTAAATTATTTATAGTACATTTTATATTTACAACAGTCAACAACAGTACAGTAACAACAGTGCTATTAGATTATTATTTTAATTATAAGAGCAAAAAGATAGATTTTTGTCATTGGCATTGGATTTAATTGAATTGGAATTATTGGATTTTTTTTGTTTTTCAATTTACACATTTAAATCATATGCAACAACAACAACCAGTTTGTTGAAATTATAAATAAACAATAATATAAAAAAGGTAATTTTGAGATTCAAGAAAAAAGGGTGAATAGAATAATTTTGAGATTAGTGGAAATATAATATAATAATAAATAAAAATAATTAAATGTAGTCATGACTATTATAAAATTAAAATAATATTTATTAATATTTAATTTAATTATTTATTTCTATAGATTACCAAGAAGGAAGTTGTTGTTTATCTAAATATTTATATAGTAATTCAAACAATATAACAATATATGAATAGAATAGTAATATGATTCCTCCATTTTATGATCATTCGTTCACTCGAAACCATCATCATCAGCAACAACAAATACATCTGCTACACCAACAACAGCAACAGCAACAGCTACAACAACATCTACAACAACAACTCCTGCGTACTACGCCGTCTCCAACTCTGATATCCATGAAAGACGCAACAGAGTTGGGATTCTCCATGCAGAAGATGAGTCTGTCATCGTCTTCATCTCAGCAGCAGCAATCACAACAACAACAACAACAACAACAGCAGCAACAACCGCAACAACAACAGCAGCAACAACCACCACAAAACAATCACATCTATGGACATGCTGTCAATCTCAACAATAGTAATAACACTACATCTAGTGGTGGTAGTTCAGGCTTGAAGATATCAAGTCCGACATCTTCGCACCATCATCATCATCACCATCATCAACAACACTATCGTGATCTCTCCGATGACAACTACGATGAGGATCGCCTGCTCGAAGAGCAAACACAACAGCTGCAAAAATCACTGGAGATTCTGAGTGACAGCGATGACAGTATGCCATTCTCTATGAGTCTCTATTATCTACTCCAACAACAGCAGCAACAACAACAACCCAGAAACAATTCGAATTCATTCAGTAGTAAACTCGATCATTTTGTACCACATCATCCAATTCAAACACCAACACAACAACCGCAACAACAACAACAACAACAGCAGCAGCAGTTTAAGAATGCATTTTCCTATTCACAACAGCAACAGCATCAAACTCCACCATTTGATGGATATCAACAACATCCAATGCTGAACCATTTTAATGCACAACAACAACAACAACAACAACCTATATCTTCATTGATGAAGTCCTCAAGTCAGTGGGAACCACAGTTTAATAATAATCAACAATCGAATATATTCAAGTCTTATGACACCAACGATTATTTCCAATCACAGTTCTCTTCACTGTCTTCAAACGTTGCACAGGTCCCATCCTCACCAGAGTTTACGGGCCAATATTTATATCAACAACAACAGCAACCAAAGAAAGATAATACATTCAAATCGATGGGAGATCAGTGGAATAATAGTAGCTATGGTTTTCAACAAAAGCCACAACAACAACAGCAACAACAACAACAACAATTCTACCAATCTCCACTGCTACAAAACTTTGGAGGAAATCCAATTACCCAAGATCTGCTACAACAGATATCGGTGTCTACCAAACCATCGAGTCAAAACTCAGTAGTACAACAGTCATCCGATTTGAAAAACCATAGACCCTTCAATCCTTTGGTTGCTCCATTCCAACCAACAACAAAATCCTCAAATTTTGTTAGTAGCAACAGTAATAGTAAATCGTCCAATCCCATGCCTATTTACCAACAACACCAACAGCAACAATCACACTCAAATCAATACCATCAATCACACCAATATCAACAACAACCGATATATTCACAACAACAACAACAACAACAACAACAACATCATCATCAACAACAAAATCAAAATCAAAATCAACACCAACAACAAAACCAAAACCAACTACTACAAATGCAAAAATATCTACAACAACAGCAACAACAACAACATCATCAACAAAATCATCAACAAAATCACCACCATCAACATCAACATACTCAACAACATCATCAACAACAACAATATCATCAAAATGAATCATATGATGGTGGTGCATATTCACCGACAAACGATCATTCCGATGCCGAGGTTGAAATGGTAAACAGTCATCACACTAACAAACCAACCGATAATAAGCGAGGTGAAATGGTTGAGAGTCCAGTTTCTCGTCAACAATATAAACATTTCATTAAGCAATTTAAATTGAAAGAAAAAGAGGGTCTTGAGGTAGCAATGGCATTTGCTTCGCACTCACTTGCCACTCTTTCCGAAAAAGTTCACTGGCGTGTCTATCTGGAGCTTGCTGATTTGGCCAATCGTCAAAGTAATCTAAAGTTGGCCAGAAAGTTCTATCGTATTGTCACCAAGACACAGCCCTATATAAGTCAAGGTTGGCTTGAATACGCCAAGATGGAGGAGGACTACGGTCGCCTGGAAAAGTGCCAGCAGATCCTCCAGCTCGGCCTCAAATACTGCCCGTTCAACGAGAATCTCTTGATCAAAGGCATCCGTCACGAAGAGAAGATGGATAATCTCGAAGGTGCCCGTGCCCTTCTCTCTCAACTACGTGATCAATCGATATTCAAGACATGGCGTGCCGTTATGGAAGGTGGTTTGCTCGAGGCGCGTGCAGGCAACATTGAAATTGCCCGAAAGATCTTCAAGTACCTCATGAAGCATGTACCATGGTACGGTCCAATCTATCAGGAGGCCTACAAGCTAGAGGAGCGTTGCGAAGAGTATGAACGCGCCATTGCTATCGTAGAGAAGGGACTCATGGAGGATCCAAAGTATGGTCCACTCTGGTTCAGTGCTCTACGCCTCTACGAGAAGACATCTCACGGATTCCTTCAGTCCACAAGAAATACTGTGGAGCGTGCTCGTCAGGCCGTTTCCAGAGAAGTCACCTGGAAGATCTACTTTGAGGCCGCTCAAATCGAGGAGCGCTCAAGAAATCTCAGTTTGAGTCGTGCCGCCTACGTTAAGAGTGTCGAGCTGTGTCCAGAGAATCTGTTGTGGAAAGTATGGCTAGGTGGTAGCCGAACCGAACTAAATGCCGACAACATCAACATTGCCAGAAAGTTGGTGTTTAGAGCACTTCAAGAGGTTCCCGCCAAGCTAAAGTCTTTGGTACTGCTCGAGTATTCGCGTCTCGAAGAGTATGCCGGTAACATTAACAAGTCCCGTCGTATCCTAAAGATGGCCCACGAGGAAGCCAGACTAGACTGGAAGGTCTTCTTGGAGAGTGTACTGTTAGAGATGCGTGCCAACAACTACGAAGCAGCCATTCAGGAGGCCAAAGAATCTCTCAAGATCCACAGTGGTGCCGGTCGTCTTTGGGCTGCGCTAATTCAATTGAATCAACTCAAGGGAATTAGTTCACAGCTCAAAGTATTCCGTAAAGCACTCCAGTTTGTACCAAAGTCCGGTGAGGTCTGGTGCGAAGGTGCCAGAATTGCACTGAACAACAACAATTTGGCTGAGGCCAGAAAGTTCTTAGAGTTTGCTATTCAATTCACTCCCCAATTTGGTGACTCTTTTATCGAATTACTTAGACTAGAGATCATGGAAAAGGGATTCAACTGTGATATCTCAAAGCTTGAACAGGTAACTAACAAACATCTGATGCTAATATAAATTTATATTTAATATACTAATTTTTATTTTATTTTAATTTTTCAACAACTTAGTTGTGTATAAATGCCGATCCAAATTATGGATTTATGTGGCTGCATTGCACAGTTTCTGTTTTGGATAGCCCAAGACAGGTATTGAGAAATGCCAAGAAACTATTAATCGAAATGTCACCAAAGAATCGTGATGAGTACGAACAAACCAAAGACCCCAAATATGGTAGCTGTTGGGTTGGAGCCAATGGCGTACTATCGTTGAACCGAGTCTTTAGAAACGATTTCAACAAGATGACAAACGAAGAAAGAAGAAAATGTATGTTTGGTTCTGATCAAGTTAAGCCTTAGATTGGCAAAAGACAACAATATTTCAAATATTATTATGTATATATTTTTTTTTCAAAAGAGTATATTTTAAAATTCTTCAACACCATCAATAATTACACTATATACATTTAAATAGCCCGATCAACTACAACAACAATAACAACAACAACAACAACAATATCAAATCACTCCAACAACTTATATTCTATTTCGTCATAACATTCAATTGATATGATTATAGAACAATAACTTTAAGTTGTCTCACCTCCTGTATAAAGACATACAACAATAATAATTAATCCAACAATATCAAATAATCAAAAGGGGAGTACCTTTTTGATGATAACCTAATAAAATTCATAAATCTCGAAAATCAAATCTCTTGAGTTGAATATGTTACTTTTAAGGTTTTTTTTTTTTTTTCCTTTTCTTTTAATGTTTTTGAATTTGTTCAATTTACTTCTTTCCCATCAAACCACCAAACATATTTGCCATTTGATCTGGATTATTTAAAACATTTCTCGCACTAAAATAATTATTTTGATAAGTTAACGGAGTTGCTTCAATGAAATAAAATAAAAAAAAACAACTTACATATCTTGGAAATTTTGGTTCTCCATCATTTGTCTCATTTGTGGATCTTGCATAAAGTTTTGTGCCATATTTCTTAACATTGGGTTGTTCAAAAGTGATCCTAAATCCAATCCACCCAGATCTGGCATACCTGGAATATTTGGCATTCCACCACCAGAAGTTGGCTATACAAATACATAAAATTAGTATCCATTTTATTCTTTAGATTCATCTTAAAAGCACAAAACAATACATACACTATTTACTTTAGATTCGGCATTAGCCAAAGATGATTTGTAAACTTCATTATTTGGTTCCAATTCAATTGCTTTCTTGTAGGCATCGACTGCTTCTTGAATTTTACCAAGTGACATATTTGCAGATCTGAAAAATAATATAAAAAAGAGTTGTCAAGTTATTATTCAAAACTTTTGAATATCAAAAAAGATAAAGATATCTTACCCAAGTCTGAAATAGGCTTTACCGTAGGATGGATTTCTTTCGATAGCAGTGTTGGCATCCTCAACGGCTTTTTCATATTGTTTGAGATTGCTAAATGCCGATGAACGATTGGCAAAGTAGATGGCATTGGTTGGATCGTATTGAATAGCCTTAGTATAGCATTCGACAGCACCATTGTAATCGTGACCACTGAGTTTAGAATTTCCCTCAACCTTTAATTTCTCAGCAGCAGCCTTGATCTCTACTGACTTTATTTCGAAAAACTTGAGTTTAGCACTCATGACAACAGTTTCAGCCTCTACATGAAAGTTGAGTTGATTATTAAAATTAAGAGATTATGATGTTAGATTGGTTGGCTGGTTGGACTACTTAAAATAAATAGTTATTATTATTATTATTATTACTATAAACTTACTCGATGGATCAACGAAAGCACCTTTGGTCTTTAAAATATTGAAATAACTAGCAAACATTTCTCTTAGTTCCTCTGGGACTTCACCGATTGTTTTGTTTATGAGAGCATCTACTGAAGCCGGCGATGTTGGTGTGGCTGTAGTTGTAGAGGTTGTCGATGTGTTGGATTGTGGTGTTTGTTGTTGGAGATGATTATTGAAGATCTCTTCGAGTGTAGCGGTGGTTTGTAATGAGGCATCCGACTCATTTACAGAGAAGGCACCACGGATACAATCGATCGAGACTTGCAATGACTCTGCATCGTCCTGTGACATCGATGGTAATGAACTCTGTAAGAAATTCAAAATACTAGCAACCAATTTCTTTTGCTCCATTTTATTTGTTTGTTTTTTGTTTGTTTTTGAGAACTTAAAGAAAATGAAATGAACGAACTGCTTTGACAAACTATTTTAAAAGAATGATACAATACACTACTATTAAAAAAATAAAATCAAAGAAGATAATAATAAATAAATTAACAACAAATGTTTGTTTGTTGGAACAGTCACAGTGTTGTTAAAAACAAAAATTATTATTTTTAATTTTTTAAAAAAAACACACATTTTTTGTTCTTTTAACACAAATTTCGATGAGATTTCTGCTATTTAAATTGGCCAACCTTTTAGGTTTGACAATGCAAAGCTATTACATTGGATTTTTGATCAATCCCAATATCATAATGAATTGATATTAGATATTAATTAAATTAATTATATTATCATTATTCAAACAAACAAATATAAAATTAACTATAATTGTTTAATTTTAAACCCCCTTTAATTCAATTGGTCCGCCAAACTAATTAATTTAGTTTCAATTTTTGATGACATTTCATTTAGTTTTAGTAATAGTTATATTTTTTTTAAACAAAGATAGATAAATTAATTATTGATGTTGAGATTTTTATTACATTTCTTTTAATAAACATAAACAAACAAACAAACTTAACATAAAAGAAACAAACTTATATAATATATAGATATAAATCAAATGACAATGTCTTCTGCTTACAAGAGATTGATGCAAGAATATAAAGGTAGATATTAATAAAACTGCTATAGGTCGACAGAGAGTTAATTTGATGAATCATATCTAATAGGATGATCGATTGATTGATTATCATTATTATTATTATTATAACTGTTAATAGAACTCACCCAGGATCCACCAGAGGGCATAACAGCGGGTCCTCAAGATGAAGAGAATCTATTTATATGGGATGCATATATCATGGGTCCTAGTGGTACAGATTACGAACATGGTGTATTTACAGCAACACTCACTTTTCCACAAACCTACCCTATTAGCCCACCTAAAATGAAGTTCACCACCGAAATGTTTCATCCCAATGGTAATAACAACAACGTTTTCTATTCATCTATAGAATTCACTGCTGCTGCTGCTGCTGATAACACTGTTTACTTACAATCATTAAACAAACTTTACAATTATATAGTATATCCAAATGGTGAAGTATGTATAAGTATATTACATGCACCTGGTGAAGATCCGAATCACTATGAAACTAGTGCAGAGAGATGGTCACCCGTTCAATCAGTAGAAAAGATTTTATTGTCTGTAGTTTCAATGTTTTCAGAACCAAATGTAGATAGTCCCGCTAATATAGAAGCTGCAGTATGTATTTCACTATTTATTCTAAAAGAGTAGGACTATACTAACTTTTATTAAAACTATAATAATTTCATTTGACTTTTAATCTATAGAAACTTTGGAGACAAGATAGAGATGCATATAGAGATAAAATAAAACAGATCGTACGGAAGTCTTTAGAATTAGAAATGTAAAAAATAATAATAATCAATTTTAAATATATAAAAGTTATTAATCAATTAATAACTAATAATCGACTAAATAAATAATCGTTTGATTTTCTTTTTTAAAAAAACTTATAAATATATGTGATATTAATTTTTATTGGTATCATCGGTTGTTGTTGTTGTTGTATTTGATTCTAATGCTTGTTGCTTCTCTTGTTCCAACTTTAACTTTTCTTCCTCTTGTTTGGCTTTCTCTTCGTAATAACTCTCTGGAATTGGCATTTCCTTCATCTTCTTTTCAAGCTTACCACCAAAAACTACATGCATCAAGTGTGCTTTTTGTACATCTGTATTCTTCTTTGATTTTAATTTACGAATAACCGATTGTGCTTCTTCAACTATATGTATAAAACAAACAATAACAATCATGTTAACATGATTCTCTTTTTAGAAAGATCAATGATGGATGAGTTGTACTTACTCTGTTCTTTAGTGGCATCTCTTCTTTGTGTACCTAGATCCAATTGAGCGATAGCCCATTCCAATTGTCTTTGATATTTAGTTTCCTCATCGAGTTGATCGTCTGCAGCTACTTCAGTCTTTGCCTGTTGTTTCTTTTCCTTCTCTTTTAATCTCTTCTTTTGATTCTTTGTCAACTTTGGTTTATCTGTAGCTCCTGCCACATCGACTTGAGTGGCTGTTGCTGCATCAACTGCAGTTGGTGTGGTGGTTGTGTTATCAGTATTCATTATATTAGTAGTCTTCTTTAATTAATTAAGTTTAATATATAAAAAAAAAAAAAATGATTCGTTCGTTTTTTTTGAAATAATTTATTTTTTGTTAATTTTGGCATGGCTTATATATTTATTTCGGTTTGGTGTAAATGAATTACCAAGATATGATCATGTAAATCATTCATTTATTTAATGGTTTGTTCTTTAAAGACCGAAATTTAGAATCAATCATAATGAATTTTTTAAACAAGAAATTTATTTAAACTTTTTAAATTCAAATCATGTGAAGATAATTTAAGACATTATCTTGGTGATACTTAAAAAAAAAATTACTATTTTACACTTTAATTATTTATATTTTGTTTAAAAACCGATGTTAATGGGTTATAAATTTCTTGAAATAAAAGGTTATAAATTTTTTTTGGTGTTGTTTAAACTCAACAATTTTGTCTTTAAAAACTAAGAGTCCTCAAAAATGATATTTCTGAAAAGTCACATTTCTATTATTTGTAAAGAATATAAATAGGTTTTATTTCATATGAAACAATTGAACATTGAGTTTTAATATAAATTGTATATTTATATTTTAATTTTATAGATATATATTATATAAATTTTAAATGACAGATAATAATTTTTTTAATGAAAATAATATTAAATTTTCAAGCGATGGAATAAATATTAATCAAGATAATATAAATCTTGATGAAAGTAATATTAACCAATACCAAAATACAAATTTAAATATTAGAGAAAGTAATAATAGTATTAATAATAATAATGGAAATATTATAATTCATTCAATAAAAGAAAATATGGATGACGACCAAATCAGTTTACATTTGAATGATGAAATTGATAAATATCAAATAGTTTCCAACCAAGGTTTCTTTGAAAAATGGATTGGTATCTCGAGAGATGACCCACTTTTCAAAGAGAAAGCTGGAATATTAGTTGCCGTTATATTTATGATCATTCCAGGTCTACTGCTGTCATCGTTCGAGCCACTGATTTACCAGCATTACGTCGAACATCACTACCCATATTATACCAAAGATGAAATGGCCAGCAAAGCAAGTCGTTTGAAATCGATTGGGGATGCTCTTCCCTTTGTAAGCTCATTTATATCCGGTCCTCTAATCGGTCTTATCAGTGATCGCATTGGAAGAAAGAAAGTGCTATTTTTCTGTTTGGGCTGTGCATTCCTCGATATTATTTTCCAAATTCTCTGCTTTCAGAATTACTGGATGTGGCCAATGTTTGTAACACATTTCATCACTGGATTTTCCTCCGCAAGTGACCCTGTTCTTTTCGCGTTCATTGCCGATATCACTTGTAAAGATGAGAGATCCCGAATCAGTGCGCTCATTGGTATGACCATCGGAGTATCAACGCTACTTACGCCACTTATGACCATTGGACTTTTAAATTGGAAAGCAATTTCAATTCCATATTTTTCATTGATGTTCTATACGATTTGTGGACTCATTCTCTTCTGCTTGAAAGAATCATTCAATTTCTGTGAAGGCAAGCCCATTTCCAAGGAAAGGAGAATCGCCCAATACAAGTCTAAGAAGCATTCATCCAATCCTTTCAAATCTATTTATAATCTTTTCAAAACTAGTTGGTATATCGGAGCATATGCCATTCTCTATTTCATGTTTAGCTTTTCCCTGCAGGACTCTAGCACCACTCTCTACATGTACAGCAAAGTCCGCTACGATTGGAGTGCAACTCAAGTGAGTTATCTAACTTGTGCAGTCGGTGCTTGTGTTATAATTTGGAGTGTTGTTTGCAGTGGACTACTCCGATTCATAACGGACAGAGGCATCGTTTGTGTTGCATTGCTAGTATCATCGGTGATGCATGTATTGTATGCATTTTCATTCGACCAATACATGTTCTCGGTATGCATATGTCTTGGTTCATTCAGTCTAATGTTGGTCAGTATTCTGCAATCGATTATCTCTAAGGCGACTCCAAGCGATATGCAAGCATCGATCCTGACAGGAGTGACCGTTCTCTCTAGTTTATCATCATTCATTGGAGCACTTTCCTCAGAGAATTTGTTTGCCTACTTTATCTCGAGTTCGGCGCCATTCTACTTCCCAGGAATGCATTTCCTTATTGACTCTGTTATTATTTTCCTTACCTTTGCGTTCTCTTTCTACGCGCTAAAGAAAATCCAAGAGCCACCCTCACAAGAGGAATCTCATACATCGATGGGAATTATCGATCAAAGATACAAACCATTAAATGATGAATTATAACTTTGTTAAACCTTTTAAAAATAAATAAATAAAACATTGTATTTCTATTATACTTTTAATTACTACCACTACTACTTCGACTCTGATAATGTTTTCTATTATTATATTATATTAGATTTATTATTCAATTAAATTATCGATGTTGATTATTACTATATTTAGATTTATTTTTGGTGTTATTGGATACTATTATTATAAAAGATTGTTTTGATGAGTTTTTTCTACTTTAATTTTTGTTTTGTTCGGAACCCTCTTCGAGTCTCATCTTGTATTCTCTGTCATTTACTAAAGCATTCATAAACTTCTCTTCAACAAAATCCCAATTTACGAAATTCCAAAAGTTGGCAATGTATTTCTGATATGTTGTCTATTATTATTATTATTATTATTATTATTATTATTATTATTATTATTATTATTATTATTATTATGATTTTATTATTTTAATTGTTATTGAAAAAAGGTTAGTTTTAATGTTTTTATTTTGCTGTTAGTTATTTTCTTTTTAATGATACAAACATATTTATTATTTTGGTAATCCAAAAAGTAAGCGTGTTCGTGGACATCGAGACATAACAATGGGTAGGCATTCTCCAATTCCAATGGTGATCCGTTTTCAAAAGTATTGATAATTTCGAGTGATTTATCACGGAAAACCAACCATGTAAATCCTGTGTTCAATGATGATGCGTTTTGTGAGAACTAATTGGAAAAAAAAAAAAAAAATGTTAGGCTTGGTCGATTGATTGGTTGGTTAATCATTGATTTACCTTAATCTTAAAATCTTCAATTGAACCGAAATCCATTCTGATAGCCTTGAGCATCAATGCTGATGGCTTGGTGACATCATCGGTAATGCTACGCCAAAAGAATGAGTGATTGTAATGTGATGATGTTGATTTGAAGAATGCTGCATCTTCACTGTCGGTGGCTGTTGATTTCAATGCTTGTGAAATTGGGAGATCGTTATATGGAGTACCTATTTACATTATTGTTATTATTATTATTAATATAAATCTATTCTTAAACCTAAAAAAACAGTCAACCAATCAGCCAATTCTTATTGTGATCCAATTTAACTTAGCTATTTCTATCCGTTGTTATTTCTATATCATCCTATCGATTGTTATTCTCTAAATGTTTTTTCTATATCCAATGTTATTTCTATTTCATCTATTGTCTATTGCTACTCCTATTGCTATATATTACTGAATATGTTGTCATTTGATGATTTTGATCAATTCTGAATTGGCTAAGCTGATTGACTGATTTTGATTTTGATCGAATCTCTCGTATAGTGTTTCAACATACTGTCAATTAAATTGTTTGCTTTATCGATATCCTCTTGATGTAATTGGATGTGTGCGTTCAAAGCTTTATCAGAGATGAATGGAGCGAGACCTTTCTTTCTGTATTGGATCTCTGGTAACTTGTAGTAGTTACGTACAAACATGGATGCACTGAGACCGCTGCTCAAGCACAATTGAGTTACTCCTCTCACAGTTGTGAATCTACTTAACATGTTTGTTGTTGTTGTTGTTCTGATGCTAATTTAATTTAAAATCTAATATAAAAAAATAAGAAAGCAGAATCAAAATGATATTGTTCAATGATCAAAAACAAAACACACGAATCGAATCATTAATATTTATTTTATTTTTTTACAAAATTTTTTGAATTCACCAATTTTTTTTTTTTTCCAAAGCAACAATGAAAATCTCGTTACTTCTTTAAAATGGCTGTTCAAGTACAAAAACCTTTAAAACTTCTTATACTAAAATATTATCAACACAATGAATGAGTGATAGTGATATGAATAGAGCTAGCTAGGCTATGATTCCAAAGATAAATAAAAATAAAAATAAAAAAATAATAAAATTAATCTTTGATATCAAACAAAGATTAAGAAGATCATTAAGATTCTTTCTTTTTGATTATTACTTCTTTGGTTTGACTCATTTAATTAAACATAAATAATAAAACAAACACGTGGTTAAAACAAACAACAAAAATTCAAAAGCAAAAAAAATGAGTTGACTTGCTGGTGGTTGGTACTTTCAATAATTGAAAATTAATAATTGTTATTTTTAATTATTTTTTTTATTTTTTTTTAAAAATACTATTAATCATTGAAGAGAAAAGAATCGATAGCAAGCATTAATACAATATTTATAAATAGTTATATATATTTAAAGGTTATATAACTAAATATTTATTATCAATTTTATTTTATTTTTAACTTTTTTTAAAAAAAATAATCAAGATAAGATAAGATAAGATTAGATAGATAAGAGAATGAAGATGTATAGAATAGATAGTACCACAATGGTATTGTCGATTGTAGTATTATTTTTCGGATCTATATTGGTATGCAGTGCAGGCGATCATCATAAATACTCACATGGTGACAAGATTCCATTCTATGTCAATAATATCGGTCCATTCTCAAATCCATCTGAGACCTATGAGTATTTCTCATTGCCTTTTTGCCGACCTGAGCATTTGACTCACAAAAAGTCAAAGTTGGGTGAGATCTTACAAGGTGATTCTGCTGTTCTTTCAGATTATGATTTACCATTTAGAGGTAAGAATATTTAAATTTAATGAATCAACAACATCATACAAAATCAATCTAACCTTACATTCATATAATCATCTATTGAATTAATTCAATTAACAACTATACTTAATAATAATAATAATAATAAAACAGTCCAAAAAGATGATGAAAGACTATGTACAATGAAATTAACAAAAAAAGACATTCAAAAGTTTAAGGATGCAATCTCTGAGATGTATTATGCAGAGATGATCTACGATGATTTGCCAATATTCACATATATCGGTGCTTCTCAAGAAGATAAGGTTACACAGACCACCCGTTATGTATTGTTCACTCATCTACCATTCAAGATCGAATTCAACAATGACCAAGTAAGTAGTAGTATTATTAAACATCTTCTATGTACGTACGTGTATACCCATGATGTGCTAACCGACTATTATAATCTATAGATTATTAGAATCGAAATAGATACAGAGGAATTGAGTGGAGTAGAGTTGGCAGATGAAGAGGAAATGACAGTGACTCTTACCTACAGCGCAAAGTGGAAGCAAATCGACTATCCATTCTCCAAGAGAATGGAACTTTACGAGGACTTCTTCCCAAAGGAATTGGAAATTCATTGGCTTTCAATTATGAACTCTTTCTTCTTGGTTGTACTTCTCACTGGTTTCCTTTCTATCATCATTATGAGAATCTTAAAGAACGATTACTCGAGATACTCAAAGGCTGACGATGAAGAAGATGGTGATTGTAAGTATTTTATATTTATAAACTATTTAAATTAACACACTCTAGAGTTGTCTCTAACCACTTTGAATGATATCATCATCGATGCAATATTTATAGATCAAGAGGATTATGGATGGAAATTGATTCATGGTGATGTATTTAGATTCCCACCATACAAGAATTTGTTCTCTGCTCTCTATGGTATTGGTTGGCAATTCATTACAATTGTATCTGGTATTCTAATTCTTGCTTTGTTTGGCACATTCTATCCAAATAATGGTGGAAATATGTACACTGCCGGTGTTGTCTTGTACGCACTAACCTCAAGTATGTATAACGAATTGATGATTATTGTGACAGTGATATTAATATTATTTTCTCTACACATAAAGTTATCTCTGGATATCAATCAGCTAAAATGTACAGAAATATGGGTGGCAATAAGTGGGCTTGGAATATTGTTTTAGCAGCCACTATCTTTACAGTTCCACTTCTGATTGTTGCTTTCCTCTCAAATACTGTTGCCGTTACCTGGCACTCTACTGTTGCTATTCCAATTCTCACAATCATTGAAGTTCTCACTATTTGGGCATTGGTTGGTTTCCCACTGACTGTTATCGGTGGAATTGCTGGTAGACGTTGGTCAGGTCCATTGGAGGTACCATGCCGTACCAAGAACTTCCCACGTGAAATCCCACCTATCCCATGGTTCCGTCGTCTGCCATTCCAAATGTTGATGGCCGGTTTCCTCCCATTCAGTGCTATCTATATCGAACTGTTTTACATTTTTAACTCTGTTTGGGGACACAACAGCTACACACTCTACGGTATCCTATGTCTAGTCTTTATAATCCTTGTGATTGTGACATCTTGTATCACCGTTGCTTTTACCTACTTCCAACTGTCGATGGAAGATCATCGTTGGTGGTGGACATCATTCATAAATGGAGGGTAAATATTAAACATTTGACGATCACCGAAATGGCTAACTTACTAACTCTCTATCAATTCAACATTTAAATAGTGCAACAGGTATTTTCATTTATATTTACAGTATATTCTATTATATTTACAGATCTCACATGTATGGATTCCTTCAAAGTACATTCTATTTCACATACATGTTGATCGTTTGCTATTTCTTCTTTATTATGCTTGGAACAGTAGGATTCTTCAGTTCTTTAATTTTTGTCAAGAAAATCTATCAGACTTTGAAATCAGATTAATATTGTCACAAAGAATAATCATTTTTTTTAATAAACATTCAAACAAAAATAATCGATATTATAAAGTTAAAATTGATCAACCATGTCCTTTTTTCGAAATCATCTTTTCCACAAAATTTAATATAACAAAACTATAAAATCTATCTTTTATCTATTATTTAAAGATATTATTTCTCATACTTTGACTGTTGCCAAAAAAAAACTCAATACTAATCACAATAAATAAAAAAACATATGTTTTTTTATATATCTAGATATTTATTATTATATTTATTAATTTTTTTATTTTTATTTTTTTGTAATTTATTTGTTGTATGTTGCTTTGTTTGATAGAAAGAGTGATGAAGTAAAGACAAGTTTGAGTTGTCAGTTGGTTGTTGGTTGTTGTTGTTGTGGTAGGTGTGATGGGTCTGGGGAAAAAGAGGGAGGATGTTTAGAGAGTGTTAATAGGTCCTATTATATTAATATACAAAGTGTGGTCAGAAACAGTCCTTCCACAACAATGGGGGCGACGTTGGTTTGAAATTTATGATTCTGTTTTTGAGAATGAGCTATTGTTATAGTTGTCTGATTATTGTTTGACTATTGTATTATTGGTTGTTTTGATTATTATTTTTTTTTTTGATTGTTTTATTTCTGTCTTTTTTTAAGCCCAGATCTATTATTATATAAATAAAGAATATGATGAGATGGTGATGATGAAATATTAAAGAATGATTGTATTAATAAAATGTTCTACTTGGAATTATATTATATGATAATATGAATATACATACCTTGAGAAGACTGTCCCAACTACCAGTGCAAAGAGCCATACCGTCGACAGAAACACCCAAGCAAGATACACGATTACCGTGACCGGTGAGAGATACGATACGCTCACCCTTGAGGGTATCCCAAACATTGCATGAAAAGTCGTCGTAACCGGCAAACAAGAAACGACCAGAAATTGAAAAACCGACAGAGGTAATACCACATAAAATATTGTCGTGGGTGTATTGCATCAATTCACGGTCGGCACGAATATCGAACAATCTGCAGGAGGCATCATCAGAACCAGTACCAAATGAAAGTCCATTAGGGAAGTATCTGTTAATAGAGAAGAGAAAAAAAATAAAAAGAAATAAGAAAAGAAGAAAAAATAAATAGAAAAAGGATATTAGTTTAAATTTAAATAAATAATATTAATATTAATTAATTAATTGTTACTTACTGGACGGCGTTAATATCAGCATCGTGACCAGTGAAGGTTTGGACACATTTACCACCACGGATATCCCACAATTTAGCGGTAGCATCACAGGCACCGGAAATGAAGTAGTTCTTGTCTGGTGACACGGAAACGCTCATGACGTCACCGTTGTGATCAGAAAACTCGGTAATCTTTGTACCATTCTCAATATCCCACAAAATACATGACATATCACCACTACTTGTTACAATTTGTCTATCGTTAAGGAATCTACAGCACGACAAATAACCAGTGTGTGAGTTAAGCTCACGGCACACTCTGATTGGGACTTCTCTACTACGGAGATTATAAATCGAACAAATATTATCTAAACCACCACATGCTACAAAATTGGCAGTCGGTGAATAGGCACAAGTCATAACCCATGATGATCTAAAAATATTAAAAAAAAAAAAAAAAAAAGTTAAATTATATATTTTTTTCTGTTATACAACCAACTTTTCAATTATAAAAAAGTTAAAGTTATTAATAACTGTATATACATACCTCAATGGAATAGCGTGTACTTTGTTGGTAGTAAGACCATCCCAAACCAACAATTTACCATCTTGAGAGGCAGATACTAAATGAGTTGAATCTTCAGCCCAGTGCATAGCGTAAATCTTGGCAAGATGACCCTTGAGTGTTCTTCTAATCTTGATCTTATTGTCCAACTTTGGTAGATTTGGAAGATCACGAGTGAATACCTTGACTATAATTTATTATTTGTATTTTATTAATATAAATATTTATTTATTTAAAAAATTATTATACTTACGAGATGTATCATTCATAACTTCTCTGTTGGTTCTAATTTGTTCCTTCATAACCTCTGCATCTCTACGTGCTTGTTGAATTCTTTCTGAAATATCTGACATTTTGTTGCTGTTTTATTTGAAGATCTATTGATTTCTTTAGAGTAGTATATGGTTTGATTGTTAATTAAAATTACAATGTAAAATATAAATAATTGTTTGTTTGTTTGTTTGATTTATTGATTGATTGGAAAAGTGTGTGTGAACTTGGTTTATATATTTTATATTTATATATATTTTATTTATATTTATGTACAAAGAGTAATTATAATGTGACAATGATTTAAAACTATATGATTTATTTAAATGAGTGAAATTGCTGTAGATTTGATTGTTATATTATTTTTATTATAATATTCTTTTCTTTTTAAAAAAAAATAATATATGTATATTTATAAATAATAATAAAAAAACAACAGCAAAAAAAAAAAAATTTTAAAATACAAAAAAAAATTGATGAATGTCCAAAAAAAAAAAAAAATAGGAAAAAATAAAAAATAAAAAAATAAAAAATAAAAAAAACAATTTGGATTAGATTTGCAAAGTATTTATGTCTTTTTTTTTGATTGATTCGTTGTGATTTTATTTTTTTTTGTTTAAAAAAATAAAATAAAATATGTTATTTTTAAAATATTGGATAATTAATTATTTCGTATTTGATTTTTTTTTTTTGAACATATAATTTGATAAATGTAATTTTAATCACATAACAAGTAACACCAGCAGTAATAATTGATTGTGAAAAAAGATCTAAAAAAGGTTTTTACCACACAAAATAGCTTGAAAATTTTTATGTTATTTTTTTTCAAGTGGGTGGATCAAAAAATAATAATGGTCAAATAAATAAGATTTGGATCGAAAAAAAAAAAAAAAAAAAAAAAAAAAAAAAAACTAAACTAAATATTTGAAGGGATAGATCTAAGTATGATGTGATCCTCGATTGATTTGATTGAGTCATATATATAGTTCACGAGCATATATGATAATATTCGCATGATACTGCAGTTGTGTTAATTGCCATGTTTAATAACTTTATCTATTGAGTTGATTGTTATTCTATTTATGCCAAATGTTTGTTTTGTCATTGATTTAAATGTTCATTCTTTTGAAAATATAAATAAAAATAGTATAGCTAAATTCAATATTCAATAGACTATTTCAACTATTATAATTGTTGAGTGTCGACTATTTTGATCCTTGCATAATCCAATTTGTTTGTTTTGCTTTGCTTTGATTTGATTTGTTTTTGTTAACTGTCATGATTAAATTACTATGAATCTATCAACTACCTTTTCTTTGATAATATTACAAGTGGACTACTTTTGAATGATTCTATATATTTTCTAGAAATATATATTAACTATATGAATTTATAAATAAAATTATAGTGAAGCAACAATATAAATATATATATAAATATATTGAGTTTTTGTATGTTTGATTGTGTTTAATGTGTGATGAGTCGTTGAGTTGATTTGATTTTTATTATTTATTAATGTGTTGTTATTTTATTTTTATTATTATGTTATATGTGTTGTGTGAATATTTTAGTTTTTATTTTGCTGTTGATGTTTCAGTATGAGAAGCCTGTGGTTTAGTGTGAGGTCTTTATTTTGTTGAATTTTTTTATTTTGAACCAAATTGTTTTCAAAAAAAATGATCAATCAAAAAAACTGATCAAAAAAAAAAAAAAAAAAAAATACACAAAAAAAAACTACAAAAGTCCTCCATACACAAGGAAATGGTCACCTTGTAAATAGTAAGCTTGGAAACCTGTCACTTGGTATGAGAATCTTAAATGTCGTCAACTGTTGAGATAATAAACAACAAATACGATTGTTGATCAGTTATGTTTTGTTTCTTACATTATTTATTCTTTGTTTTTGTTTTGTTTGTTTTTTATTATTAAAAAAAAAAAAAGTTTGTTCGATTGTTTGATTGTTTATTTGATACAAGTTTATTATTACTACTACTTTACAGAAAAACAACAATTAAATAATATTATATTCTATTTTATCTATTTATATAAATACTATTATTATTATTATTGGTTGAAATTTAAAGTGATTGGAAAAAAAAAAAAGAGAAGAAGATGGTAGCGGCGATGGGGTGTAATAAAAGCTCGAGTTTTGCCCACCTACTATCAAAAAAAATGTGTAAATCCAAGGAATTAATAGCAATCTTCCAACTTTTTAAACAACGAAAAAAAAAAAGAAAAAAAAACTTAAGACTCGATCACTCTTTGTGTAACCAAAGGTTGGTTTTTGAAAAAAACTGATAGTCAAAAAATTTTTTTTTAATATAAAACAATCAATCTTGGAGGTAGCCCCCCAACTTTTCAAACAGCAAAAAAAAAAAAAAAGAGATGGTTTTTTTCTTTACACCAAAAACGAAAGGAGTGATTTTAATGAACCTTACACACTGGTTTTGACTCTATTTTTTTTTGTTTGGTGTTGAGAGGGTTTCTTCCAGATCCTTAAACAAATAAATACAGTAAATCTGGATTGTAAATAAATTATTTGTTGAAAAAGATTAAACCCCATTTGTTATTAACTTCTAAAATTAAACTTTGAGAAAACATCAAATTGGTTGAAATATTTGAGAACTACTGCTTTTTTTTTTTTTTTTTTTTTTTTGATAAACATTTTAAGTGGTTCTTTTTGAGGTTAAATTTTTGATTGGTGGAATGAACTTCAATTTGGTTTGAATACACACACAGAACTATAATTAATATCATTGATTTCGAAAGTGAAAAGATGCTTAAAACGAAATCTTTGATATTTAGTGAGTCAAACTTTGCAGCACGATATTTTCAATATTTGCAATGCATTGACCAAAACCAAAAACAACAACATTGGCATCATCAAAAATATCGAGTGGTAATAGAACAAGTGTGTTTGCGGTGTAATATTTTAAGTATTTCTAATCCACAACACCCCATCAGTACCAATTTCCAAGTATTCGTTAATAGTAAAATCTATCCCCAACAACAGCGACAACAACAATATCAGCGATCAACTATTGCATCACATCTATTCAATTCAAATTCCAACCTATCATTCACCACAAAATCATTTCCACAAAACTACAAAGATCATCTCAACAACAGCAATAATATCAAGATGTCCAAGAAAAGATCTGTTGTCAAAATAGAGTACGAGAAAGATGCAAATGACAATGATGATGACAATAACACTCCAACACTCTCTGGTTTTCCTGATCATAATCTAAAGGACAAACAAATAGAAAATAGTGGTATGCATAATATTAAATTAATAATAATAAAATAAATAATATTAATATAATGTTATAGTTAAAAAAGAAAAGTTAGAAGAAGAAGAAGATGTAGAAGATGATAAAACAACAACTACAACGACGACAACTACAACATCAACATCATCATCATCATCAGCTGACACCAAGAGACCACTGATCAGTAGAAAGAAACTAAGAGTGTCTACAGAGAATGTTGTTGAAGGTAGAGTAAAGAAAGCAGTAGATAAGTTAGAAGCTAATAGAAAACATTGGAAAGAAGAATGGGATTTGATAGCAGAGATGAGAGGTTCGCAATTGGCACCAGTTGATTGGGCAGGATGTGAGACATTCAATGATAATACACTAGAAGATAAAGTATCGAGGTTCCACGTGTTGGTAGCATGCTTACTTTCATCACAGACCAAAGATGCTGTAACCTACGCTGCAATGAACAAGTTGAAAGCTCATGGATTGACTGTCGACAACATTATAGCTACATCACACGAAACAATAGAAACATTATTATATCCTGTGTCATTCTATAAAAGAAAAGCAATGTATGTAAAGTGTACACTTAACATATCTAATTATCATTGTATATCTAATGCTATCTTGTTTATTTATTATTATGATTGGTTTCTTTCTTTTATATTTTTTAGATATCTAAAAAAGATTGTAAATATAATGAAAGAGAAGTATAAAGGTGATATTCCAGAGGCATATAATGATATCATGAGTCTGCCAGGTATAGGATTAAAGATGACCAATCTTATTGTTCAGGCTTGGGGAAGAGTCGAAGGAATTGCAGTAGATGTTCATATGCATCGTATTTGCAATCGTTTGGGATGGGTCAATACCAACACACCCGAGGAGACAACGAAAGCACTTCAAGATTGGGTGCCAAGAGATCGATGGGCCGAAATCAACAAGTTATTGGTTGGATTCGGACAAACTGTATGCGCACCAACAAGACCAAAGTGTGAATCATGTAAGATCAATCACCTTTGTCCTACAGGTATTCAGAATATGAAATCAACACCAACAACAACAAAGAAAGAGAAATCTATAAAAAAAGAGAAAACTATAAAGAAAGAGAAATAATCTCTAAAGCTTAACTCAATATTCATATTTGTATATACACAATAAAAGGTATTAAAGAGCACATACCATCTATTTCAAGTAGAAATAGATAGTTTATTTCATTAATGATAGTTTATAAACTATAAGAGTAACATATTTATTGTATATATTTGTTTGTTTGATTTGTTTTTTTTTTTTAACAAAGTTGAACACTTACTTATAAACACGATTGCTATTCGATTGTAAATCATTACTCCAATCCAATATCTTTCATCGATATCATAATCATATTCAACATCAAATTACTCTCCACTTCTCACACTCTTCCTCTTTCTCTATTTTGATCATATCATTTTAATAATCCACCAACATCGTAATTAATTCTTTAATATCAATAAAATAAAATAAAATAAAATAACAAAACTACATCGATCCAACATCCACGATATATCCACATAAATCAACAAACAACTATCATCGACATTTGTCGCTATTATATATTTATCAATCGAATAATATTATTTTATGTGTATGTAATAGTTGTTAGTGGTGTTTTTGAGTCAAATAAATTAAAGTCGCCTTTATATCCACATAATAGTTAACATTATGGTGATCCTAAAAGTGTTTTTTCAATATTTCCAAAACAAAAAAAAGTAATGATTATCTTGTTATTATTATTGTTATTGTTATTTTAATAGTCATTCGTTGTCTTTGTCAAGTGGTTGTCTCCTCTTCTTGTCAGCATCGTCACCTCCTCGAATTCGGCTGTCCTTTTTCCTCGTCGTCGTCGTCTCCGCGATAAATAAAGAAGTCATCTTATTTATGTCCCGTCAAAGTCCTTCCGTCAGTCAGTCAGTCAGTCAATCCATCAGTAAGTCTCCTTGATCTATTGTCTACACTCTTTCGTTTTTTACTCGCCTCGACTCGCAACTATTAATAATACTTTTTTGTTTCTATTATGTTTTTTTTGTTTTTGTTTTAAAAGTTGGCCAACTTTAAATTATTGGTCGTTGGGGATTGAATCAATATCGATTGGTGGAGGAGGTGGTGGTAAAGATTGAGAATCACCAGTTGCACTGCCGTGGCCTGACTTGGTGATACCTTTCTTTGCCATACCGACATCCCAATCCAATCTAAGTCTTCTACCTTCAACGTCAGTTGTATTGTAGCTATCGTTCACATGTACATAGAGTTTGATTAGGTCAATTGTCCGATCGCATTGTATCTCAATCTTTTATTATTGTTTTCTAATTTCGAATACTTACTGTTTGAATGCTTCTTCGGCATCAGTTTTCGATTCAAACTCAACAAAGGCATATCCCTTGTTGTGTCCAGTCTTTCTATCGAATCCGACATTTACATTTGCCAAAGTACCAAACTTACCAAACAAAGAAGTAAGATGTGTTTCATTGAAGTGGTATGGTAGATTACCAACAAACAAACATTTACTCTTATCTCTTTCTTCTTGATCCATAATATGACTAAGACACAAAAACAAAAATAAGAATAAAGTTAGATTATCAATATTTTTTTGTAAAAAAAGTAATAATAATAATAATAGAAATAACATACTTTTCTCTTCTTGGTGGTCTTCTGTATGGGTGTCCTCTATCTCTGTATCCACCACCGTATCCACCACCACCACCACCACCACCTCCATATCCACCACCGTAACCACCGCCACCGCCACCACCACCGTATCCTCTACGTTCGTATCCACCACCATATCCGTGATCACGGTAACTATCTCTGTAGTAGTGATCTCTTGGATCTCTTCCGTAGTCTCTATCACGGTATCCACCGCCATATCCACGGGGTGGAGGATAACGGTCTCTGTATCCACCACCATAGCCACCACCGTAACCACCTCCGTAGCCACTACCGTAGTCACCATAGGTCTGACCACCGCCACCGCTGTATCCACCACTGGAACCGCTGCTCGAACCATATCCACCGGAACCGTATCCACTTCCGCTACCGTATCCACTGCTGCTACCTCCGTTTGCTGATGGTGGTGGTGGATAATCGTTGTAACCCGATCTACTCGATCTCGATGGCGAGTATCGCTCATAGGCATCTATATTCTGTGATTCATCTCTCTTTACAGATTCATCCTATAATTGTTATTTATTTCAAAAGTTTAATTTTATATTAACATCATCATCATAATCAACAACAAATCTACGATCTAGATTTAAGTATATTTATATTACCATTTTTTTATAACTAAATTTTTTCTAAAATGATATGAATAAAAAAAATCACCAGTTTCATTAAAAAAAAAAAAAAAGCATAAAATAAAATTTGATAAATTTGCTTTTTTTTTTTTTTTAATGAATTTTATTTTATTTTAATTTTAGAAAAAAAAAACAATTTTGTTAATTATGTTTATTTTTTATTAACTAAATATTTATAAAACTTATAAATATTCAAAAATATTTTGACAAATAATTAAACTACTAATACTTGATAATTTACCAATGTATATATATATAATTAATTTAAAATTTCGTTCCGATATATATTTAATATTATGAGTCTTTTTTGATAAAATTCCCATTTTAAATAATTTCTGATTTTTTTTAGCAACCAATTTCCAAAGCACTTCAATCAAACTATTTATAAAAGTAATTGAAAGTTTTTAAAAAATAAAATAAATCTTATTTTTTATTAATATCTTATATAATTTTTTTTTTTAAAATACAAATTTAAAAAATGACTACAAGTGCAGCTGATAGAAAAGAGTTTAAATCAGCAATTTGTATTGCCCCGCCTATAGAGTTGTGCAATCAAGTCCAACAGTGGCGACAAAATCATGATGCCGCTTTCAATAGGTGGATGCCACATATTAATTTGTAAATATCACAAAAATGATGATAAACATTTTCATTCATTCATTCCATCTAATTTTGTTTTTCCATTATGTAATATTAGGATTTTCCCATTTGTACCATTAGATATGTTTGAATCAAAGTTGCCTCAACTTCAAGAGGCAGTAGGTAGAGTACCTGCTTTCAAAATCAAATTCAATGAGTTCTCTTACTTTGAACATGGTAAGAAGTGTGTACTCTGGTTGGCGCCGGAAACCGACCGTCCCTTTGCTATTCATGAATTGCAATCCGCTCTCACCGGAGCATTACCAGGTTTCAATGAGTTGTCCGATCGTGGATTCACTCCGCACATGACCATCGGTCAATTCGGTACATTGAAGGAAACTCAATCAAAGATCTCACAATTCAAAGCGGTTTTGACTCCAATCGAATTCATGGTCACCGAAATACCAATGATAAATCGTGTTGGTGATACACCATTCGTAGTTATCAATACTTTGAAACTTGGTCCACCAAATTAATTTACTTTAAATTGGCAATAAAATACTTTATATATTTGTAATATTATTATAGTTTGAAAAAAAAAAAAAAAATCATAGATTATTTTTATAAATAAATAACATGCCAATCCAGATATTATATTAAATTAAAATATATTTTATAATTAATTGCTTAATGAGCCTAGAAAAAGTACTCATAGTTTAAAAAAAAAGAATTTATTTTGATTGTGGATTTGAAAGTTTCGATGGTTTAGTGGGACAAGAATCTTTCAGCCTCCAAAGCACTCATACAACCAGTACCGGCAGCAGTGATGGCTTGTCTGTAGATTTTATCTTGTACGTCACCACAGGCAAACACACCTTTTACGTTGGTCTCGGTGGAGTGTCCCTTGGTGATAATGTAACCGGTTTCGTCGGTTTCGATTTGACCGTTCAAGAAAGCAGTGTTTGGAACGTGTCCGATGGCGTAGAACAAACCACCGACTTCCAACTTTTTCTCCTCCTTGGTGAGGACGTTCTGGATGGTCAAATCGGTGAGCTTGTCACCACCTTGGGCAGAGAGCAAAGTGTGATTCCAAATGATCTCGATCTTTGGGTTGGTCAAGACACGTTGTTGCATGGCTTTCGATGCACGCATCTCGTCTCTTCTAACCAACATTGTGACCTTGCTAGCGAAATGAGTGAGGAAGGTAGCTTCTTCACAGGCGGTATCACCTCCACCAACGACAGCCAAGTGCTTGTTACGATAGATTGGCAGGGCACCGTCACAAACGGCACATGCAGAGATACCCTTGCTCCAGTAGGTCTCTTCACCTGGTACACCCATCTTCTTGGCGGTGGCACCGGTGGCCAAGATGATTGATTTCGATTGGATTGGTTCTGGTTCGTCTTCAATGTAAATCTTGAATGGACGTTCGCTCAAATCGAGCTTTACAATATTCTTTGTTTCGATTCTGGCACCGCACTTGATCGATTGCTCACGCATTCTATCCATCAACTCTGGACCTGAGATTTCACCTGGGAAACCTGGGAAATTCTCAATCTCTGTAGTAGTAGTTAATTGACCACCGGCGGCAACTCCACCAGCCATGAAACCTTCAAACATCAATGGATCCAAACGAGCTCTATAATAATGACGACGACGACGACGACGACGACGACGACGATAAGAGAGGATGGTGATTAAGTCAATATTTATTCTTCGCTAATTTCTCAATTTTATCAATTGATACTATACCTTCCAGTGTAGACGGCGGCAGTGTGACCGGCAGGACCGGAACCAATGATTACGACATTTTCAATCTTTGATGGTGAGTATGAAGACATTTTTCTTTGTTGTTGTGATTGCTCTGTTAATGATAATGTATCTTTATTTTGATTGCTGACTTGTAAGAGTAAGGTAGTTGATGAAATAAGTCCAAATAGCTTTTTGCTTGTTGATGAACTCTGAGTAATACTACTGAATAACTTTGAAGAGAATGCTCTTGATGTGTTGTTGATAGTTGTATTGTAGGTAATGTTATTAAGTGTTGTTACTGATTTGACTGTTTTTGAGAATAAAGTTTTATTACTTGTTAACTTTGTACTCAATCGAAACATGTGATGATATTTGATGAAAGAAATTTAGTTTTTTTATTTTTTGTTCAAAAAATTTATGAAAATTTATGAACAAAATTTTTTTAAAGTCTTGTAATTTCCTTTTTTAAAAATAAAAAAAATTAAAATTAAAAAGGTAAAATATGTTGTGTGTGTTTGTGTGGAAGCTTATTTGTTCCAAAAGAATCCAAACTTAGAGTTGTTAATTTAATGAAATATCAGATTTTTGAAATTTCAATATCTTAATTAAGATAAACTAATTCCGAGAAGTTATTAATCAATTTATTTAGTGGATTATTCCAATAAACAAACATATACATATTTTTTGTGCAATTCATATGTATATTATTATTATTATAATTATAAAATGATAGAGTGTATAGATAATGATGATTTGTCTTTTTTGTGGTATTTATATTTTATTTTAAACAATATCTTTGTTATGATTAATCATATTTATTTCTTGTTCTTTTTTGATTGAATAAAATCTTCTGCAGTTGCTTCAGTTTGTTTTCTTTTATTCTATATATAGATTGTTTATTTTATAAAGATGAGGGGAGTTTTGTTAATAAAATGATTACATAGTATAATAATAGATTAATGATATTTACAATTTTCAAGTTCTCTTGAATCTTCTTTAGAGATTCCTCTTTGGATGGTAAGTTATTTTGTTGATTATTGCTGTAGTGTGGTCTCTCTTTCTCGGCTGGTGCAACCAGTGAAGATGCACGCTCCTGTTGTTTCTTGGCGACAGCCTCTGCTTGTTTCTCTTCACGTTCTTTCTTTTTCTTTTCAGCTTTCTTTGCCTCTGACAAAAAGTACTCTCCGCTTGCCATTTCGAGATCTTCTTTTCTTGGTAGTTGAGCGGGTGCGAATGGACCGGTGTCCTTCTTCTTTTGTTTGATCTGCTTCTTCTTTTGTTTGATTTTGGCAATGTCTCTGCTGCTCTGAACGTTGTTCTTCTTGAACTTTGGAATGAAACGATCCCACGACTCTGTCTTTAGCGATTCATCCTTCATCAACTCACGTCTGATCATCATCTCCTTGATATTGTATATCGGATGTATATTCTTCATGCAGTCCTCTACGATCTTGTTGACCTGGAGCAATCCATCCCACGGACCGATCGAAGCAACCGTTGTACCCTGCACCAAAACATAGCATCTAGTAAGCAACTCGATCGACTTTAATGTTGCACCATCCGGTCCAATCAATCTTTGTCTTCTCTTTACAAATCTCTCTTTATTTCTAACGGATCCACCAATCTTTATAATATCACAATTATTTTCATCCAACATAATTCTCTTTGCCTAAATGATCAATAACACAACACAACACAACATAATAATAATAATAAAGTTAAAATAGATGGTGTTAAAAATCAATAGTTATAACTAAAGTTAGTTTACATTTTTTTTAACTTACATGATGGAATGGAACAGAACGAGATAATAAACGAATGAGATCACGTGCTTTAAGGATTGCAACTGGATCCCAACACTTCTTGGTGGTGGTGACAGACATGCTACCATCAATGAGATCTAGTTTGCAAACGATACCGTGTTCATTCAATTCCTTCTCGACCAATGGCCAAATCTCTTTGATGTATTTCTCTCTGTACTTTGGAAACAGAGTAGAGAACGACGACTCATCATATAAAACACGACGTGGTACATCGTCTTTGGAGAGTGGTAAAGGTTTCCATGGGTCTATACCCTCTGGAATATCTAAATCAGATCTCTCTTTTTTGTTCTTTCCATATTTCTTCTTCTCTTGTTGTTCTTGAACTTCAACTTGATCCTCTGTATCTGACATTCTTTAATTGTAACAAAACAACTAATCTTTATTAAAGATATATATAATATATAAATAAAATATTAATAAAAAAATAAAATAAAAAAGTAAAGAAGTAAAAAAAAACAAAATTAATCAAGTGTCGTTTCGTTTTTTTTAGTTTTTTTTTTTTAATTTTGATAAATTTAAAGTTTTTTTTTTTTTTTTTTGAGCAATTGCTAAAGACAATGATATTTAAATAAGAGTGTAATTAAATGTTACTTAATTATTAAAAAGGCGCTTTATTTATATTTTTTCTTCTTTTTTTTTTTTTAAATATTACATATATAAATTATTTTATTGTCCAAAACATCTTAAAAGTGATTCAGCTAATTCTCTGATGGTTGTGTTTGGAACAGTTTGAATTGCTTTCAAAATTTCAACTGGAATTTGATTCTCTATTAATTTTCTTGCATGATCTATTTATTTGTTAATAAAAGTTAGTAAAGTTGGAGTAATAATAATAATAATTGTTTGACAAGATTGATAAAACTTACCGTATGGTGACATATCATTCAAAGTTTTTAGTACATAGAGAATGAGGTTCTCACTCGAGGCAGTACTTAAAATAGTTAAGAGTCCACTGATGACACCTTGGTTAGCAAGGATCTCAGAGTACTTCTCGGTGTTCAAGTGACGATTGATGATCATTATAGCCCACAGTTGAATACCTTCATTTGGATAGTTGATACATTGAGACAGAATCTTAAAACAATCTCTCTTGATAAACAAATTGAAATTATCAGCTGATTAATTAAAAAAAAAAAAAAAAAAAAAAAAGTTAGAAATAACCAACCAAGATATTAATTAGTTCCAATATTATTTATACATACATAAAAACATTAAATTATACAATGTACAAAGTGAATTTAATACAATATTTGGATTGCTTGTCTTTGTAAAGATATCCAATATCTTATCCATTCCACCATTTGAATTGATTTCAACTCTATTTATATCTGTTTATGATGAGGTGTTAGTTAGTGTTATTATTTAGTGTTTGGTTGTTAATTAATTGGTTTAAAGACTTACTTGAAATTGAAAGATTATACATAGTTCTAAGAGCAATACAAACTTGATCCTCCATCTTTGAATCCAAGAATCTTTGTACGATTGGAAGTAGTTTGGAGTTTCTAACCTGTGTCTTACCGCTCTCTGAGAAAGAGAATGTGTATACGAGATTAAGACATTGCTTGTTGACTTCTTCTTTCTCTTCGATTGAGTCTAAATTAACACGTTGTTGTGGCTCTGGTTCTTTAGTTGGCATATCAAGGAGTGAGATGGAGCTCGAGAGTGAGTCGAGTGATACCAATTGCTCTGGTGGTGGCGAGAGCAACATCGATACTGACTTGAGACAATTGTGTTCGACTAGTTGGTTTCTAATCTTTGGATTGTTAGAGACTGTAATCACAATCGAGAGTGTCTTGAATACGATCATCAATTGATTGGTATCTGGAGCCAATTCCTTCTTTGGCGATGCTTCAGTGGTTGGCAACGAGGTGTTGGCAGTCGGGAGCTGTGAGAGTGAAGCGGAGAGAAGCGACAACAGGTTTGGAATGGCATTTGGAAGTGTCTCGAGCACAGTGGCAAAAGAAGCATCATCCGAGCAAAGAGTGAGGAGATCGAGAAGTTGTAGCTTGATCTTTTGACTTGATTTAACGCCTTCCTTGATGGAGAGAATCGAAATGATGATGTCCAATCCAGTTACACCTTGGTCGTTGATCGAGGTGATGATATGATTCTTTGCCATATTGTTGAATCTACCGAGATTGGTGAGTGCAATTGCGGCAGACATAATTGTGTTTTCATCACTGGATGGACTGGAGAGCAGTGGAACGAGACCCATTATTCCACCTTGTTCGCATACCATCTTGGCGGTGTTTGGATCGGCAGCAAGTACAGCCAGTGTCTTGCAAGCAACTACCTTGTATTGCTCATTGCCAATGAATAGGAGATCCAAGAGTTGTGAGATTAACTTGGTATCGCAAATCAATGCACGACACTGTTGATTGGATGCCAAGTTAAAGATGGTTTCACACGAGTAGAGCTTGGCGTCGATGTTGATGTTGTTCGACATGAACTCTGGATTCGAAAGGATGTTGAGCAGTGGATTCAATGCACCTAGATTGACAATGAGTTCACACAACTCATCCTCAAGTGAGAGACCAAGAATGGTGACCAAAACGGCACATGCAACATTGACATTGGATGAGGAGAGAGCGTTGACCAAAGCTGGTAGACCGCCAGACTCGACAACACGTGCTCGACCTGGTCCGTCGACGACAATCGCCGATAAAGCATTGGCACTAGTGACTTGTGCAACGATATTGGTAGAGGAGAGCAGAGCAACAAGACCTGGAATTCCAGCTTTATTTGTAAAGATCTCCCAGATATTGGCGTTGTTAGAGTTACTAGAGAAGAGTGAAGAGATCAAGTGGATTGCCAAGCTCTTCACTGGCTGAGGAGTGCTGGGACTGATGATCAACTCTGAGATTTGACTGATAGCATTGGTAGACAAAAGATATCCACCGCATTCCGGACTCTTTGACAACTCCAGAAGAATGGAGAGTGAGTTCAAGAGAATCGATTCGTTCTTTGAGGTGAGGAGCTCCGATAGACTGGCAAGGATAGGTCCACTTGACATCAAAGATTCTCTCAAATCTGAAGAACTGGAACGAGAAATGGTATTCAAAACTGTGAGAGTGTATTCCTGGAGATAGGAGTTCTTCACTGCCAACAATGGAACCAATGACAAGATGATACCGGAATCGATAATCTTTCTAATTTGGTCTCCCATGTTCTCTCTGATCATCTGTGAGAGAATCAACACTGAAAACACTTGAGATTGAATGACAAAGTTGTCGTCTTGTGCACTCATACTCTGGAAGAGGTATTCGATGATGCATTGCACGATGTTGGTACCGAGGAGAACACTACGGTATTGGTCAGACTGACCTGCGAAACCAGAAACAATCTCCAATAGACAAACCAGTGTCTTGGGATCGTTGACATAGCTATTGAATGCCTGGACAAGAACACCAAGACATCCAAACTTGAATGCTTGTTCACGATTCGATTCGTTATCCTTACACAACTCGGCCAACGAGAAGATTGCACATTTCTTAACGTCTGGCGACTGGTTAGAGAGCATCTCTACAATCTGACGAATGGAAGCACCCTCGGAAATGACAAACTTGATCTCTGGCGAGTGAGAAGCGAGTCGTTGAAGAAGACGAAGTGCATTGGTCTTGATCAAGGTGTTTGACGAGGAGAGCAATGCCATCGAGTAGGTAAGTCCACCCTCACTCAACACCAAGATGGAGCAAGCTTCGTTCTCACAGAGATTGCTCAGTGCCTCCGAAGCAACTTGCTTGACAGACTCGTCAACCGATGGATTGAGAAGAGCGACCAACGCTTTCACACCGGCACCATCTTCAAAGTGAACAAACTCCTGTACGATGTTCTTTGAGTGCGATAGGTTACCGACCAACTTTACAGTGTTGTACTGTACCTTCTTAAAGAGTTCATGACGTTTGAGATCAGCATTATAGGTTGATTCTGCCATTTCCTCCAAATCACTGTATGGTATTTGACTTAGTGGCGAAAGAGCACCATTAACAACTGGTACCTCTTTCTTTGGAACTTGTGGTGGTGGAGTTGTCATGATATCAATCAAAACAGAGATACCTCCAACTTCAAATATATTATAACATGCTTTTTCTATTGATTATTTAATAATAATATTAATAAATCTTTAATTGTTGTGGAGAATACTAATAAAAAACATACCATTATTTAAAGCAATTCTTGATAAAATTTCAAGTGGAAGTACAATATTTTTACTTTTATCGCACATCATTGATAGAATTGGTTCAATTAAACCGTGTGTTCTTAATGATTCTTTACTTTGATCTAAAATGTTTTAAAGATTAAAATAGTAAGTTAATAAAAGTTATTTTAAAAATAATTAGTTAGTTAGTTAGTTGAATGATAACTTACCTGTTAAACAAAGTTGGTTAAAGATTGAAAGTGCCAATGGTTCAAGAGTTGGATTTCTAAATGATTGAAGCAAAGTCTTGATGAAGGCATCATTCGATGAAATTAGAACATGCAATTGTTTCACTGGATTATACTCCAAGATTTGATCTAAAAGCAATAGAATTGGTTCTTGTAATGCTGCATTTCCAGTGGAGTTGGAGTACAAGAATAGAATTGCTCCAACACCTGCCTCTGATGATGCAATTGCATTTGCACATAATTCTATTGATAAGAAGAAAAAGAAAAAAAATGATTGTTTTGTTAATAATTTGTTGTTAAACTTTAAATAATGATCATTGTTTCGTTTTCTATTACTTACTTGTTTTACTTAATGAGTATAACAATCTTATCAAGATATTATTTAATTGAACGATTTGTTTGGTAACAATCTCCAAGAGGAAGATGACACCACCCACTGAATAGAGTTTCTCAGCGTTCTTCTTATCGAGAATCGATAGTCTGGTGAGAATCTTGAGGACACTCTTGAGTATGTCGGGTCTGGTTGATGAAAGCAATGGTGTGACCGCTTCGATTGCATTGGATTGCGAGATGTTTGTGAGTGATTCTTCGTCGTGTGCCAAGATACGCAAAATCTTGAGAAGCTCCAATTGGAATTCCTCCTTGGAGATGGGTGTCTCGAGCAATGAAACAATCTGTACGATATGTGATTTCGTTACAATGTTTGAGAGCTTCAGAGTCTCGAGAGCGGGTGTGGTGGCTGGCGATGCCGCTGTCGATGCTGGTGTAGCCGGTGTCGCCGGTGAAGGTGGAACCGAGGAGGCAGCCGACGAACCACCCTGATTGGCAGCACTATTGGCATTCTTGTCGACATTGGACACAATGTTCTTCAATAGTCTGGCACAATCCAATTTAATCGATGGAATATCTGTACATGACATCAAATCAAATAGAGTAGCAATATATTCTGGTTCCTGAATAGTTTTCAATAACTTTTCATCTATAGTTATTATTATTATTATTATTATTATAACGATAACACGCATGTTAGTATTGAATTGAACTGTTTCTATCTTTACTTGTTTAATAATACATACATTTTGATAATAATGATAATATTTGACAAGCAATGGTTAGAGTATCACTCTTGTGATTCTCTTTTGTCATTCTAGAGATATATTCCAAGAATGGTTTCAATCCACCTACCAATGCACAATCAATCTTTTCAGCATTGTTCTGGTTGCTCAATAAGAAATCATAGATTTCAACTAGTGCTTGATATTGGTGGTTCAGATCTCTGTGGAAATCCAAGAAATATGGAACCAAACGTGAAATACATGTCTTATCATGATCTAAACGTAAAATATCAAAGAATCTATTAGTTAAATCAAATCGATAGGATTATATTATTGTTATTGTTATGATAAACATACCAGTTGTGTGAATGAAACAATATATACAAACTCTGACAGGATCCAAATGATTGAATTGTGGTATTGCAATTCTCTTTTGACTGCATGCATCACAAAACTCTCTTTGACAACATCTACAATGATGCTATTTGTACATATCAATTAGTTAATCATAGTTTTAAAAAAAAAAAAGAAAGGATAATAATAAAAAAAACATACTCTTCTTCTAATAACAGTGAATGGTAAATAACAATTTGCACAAGCAGGTATTGTCTTCTCTAGATCCCAGAGTGGTGCTGTTTGTGAGAGAATCGTAGTTGACTTTGGAATTGGTTGTCTAACTATCGTTGGAAGTGGAACTTGTGGAGCAGAAGAAGTTCTCTGTCTCTGTGGCTCTGGTGCTCTAACTGGTTGTTTTGGTTGTTGTTGTTGTGCCAATGTTCCTGGTAATGAGGAAGATGGAATATCTATGTATCAAATCAATCAATTGTTAGTAATTGAATAACTAATTAACATATCTATATATATAGTATATTACTTACTATAACCATATTCAGCCATTGAAGGATAGAAAGTATCATTCTGTTTCTTTGGTTGTATGGATGGGTAGTCGGAAGAAGCAGGTGGTGAAGAAGCTATTGGTTGTTGGTGATGATGTTGTTGCTGTGGAATTGAGATTGGTTGTTGTTGTTGCTGTTGTTGATGTAGCTGTTGTGAGAAGTTTGGATGAATCCAACTTGTCTTTTTGTTGATGTGGTCTATATAGTAAACACGACCTTGATTGTCGGTGGCTTCCTCCCAGCCCTCGGGTAAACTCGATGAGGATAGTGACGACTTTGAACTGGCAAGGCTCGATACGTTGAATGGTTTCGGTGATTGTGACATACCACCGCCAGAACCTGTAGTCGAAGTAGTTGCACCCATGCCACCAATTGGCATCGATCCTGCCGGACCTGAACCTGGTGGAGGTACCCACGACTGCTGCTGTGTCATCGGATTGAAATAGAACAAACGACCCATATTATCCATTGATATCTGCCAGCCAGGTGGAGGTGTTGGCATTCCACCCATTCCACCCATTCCTCCCATTCCACTATTTATATTCATATTATTATTATTATTATTATTCTATTACTTAAAATGTGTGATATAAAAAATGAAAATCAAAACTAATCTAAAAAAATAAAAAAAATAAAAAACCTTTATCTGTAATTTTATTATGTCTATCTATCTATATATATATATATATCTATGTAATGTTATTCTAAATAATTAATATTCTCTTTATATGTATTTATTTACATTAAATTATGTACAATTATTATTATTATTATTCTTTCTTTCTCGTATGTATCTAAATAATAAGGTTAAATTAGTTAACTTATTAATTTAGCTTTTCTATCTTATTTTGAAAAACATAAAAAAATTGAAGTAAATTGTTGATTAATGTTTTTTAAATTAAATTTTTTTTTTCGAAATTAAATTTATTTTTTTGAATTTTATAAAAATTTCTTACGTTTTAGGGAGTCGTTTTGTAAACAATGAAAATATATTATCTTTATAAGATGTGAATATTTTTGCGATTGAAGACTTTGTTGATTTATTTATTTATTTATTTTTTTAAAAAAAAAGGTTTCTTCAAATAAGATAATTGGATATTAAAAATTATTTTTTCATTGTTGTTTGTTGGTTTTGTTGGAAAATTACAAACTAAAACTATCCAACTTGCGTATCTTGAGTATTAAGGATCATAATTCAAATTATCAAATAAATCTTATACTCAAGACAAGAAATTCTTCTGTTGTCAGGTGAGACACCACCTCAGGTAGCTAAAATGTCTCACCTGCAATTAACTGGTTCGTTTTATTTAAATTTGAAATGCCACGTTGTTTTTTTGAAATTGGTTTTGTCTTTTTCTTTCTGTTGTTGCTGCTGTTATTGTTGTTGTTTGTACAAAAATTGTATTTCGTGAATCAAAATAGATCTATGATTATTGTGATTTTGGTTTATATAGTTTTGGTTTTTTTTTCAGAAGAAAGTTATTGTTGTGGCTATGTAGTAGTGCTGGATAGAAGGAGTTGAAGTAGGTAGGTAGTAGTTAAGTTTAACTATTTTACAATTTCTTAAATATCATAATTATTAAATATGATATATTTACTATTATTAAATTATTGAATTATTATTATGATTGTTGTTGTTGTTGTTGTTTTAACTTTTGTTCAGCTTTATATTTAATGAATTCTTGGATGAAATCTAAAATCTCTTTATCTTGAGTGACTTGAGCGGGTGTGTCGTTGTCTTTGTTCTTGAGATCCAGTGGTGCACCGGCCTCGAGTAGGATTGGAATGAGTTCACCATCTTCACACATGATGGCCAAATGCAGTGGTGTGTTGTCGTCGATGTCACCGATGGTAAGATCAGCGTTCTGAGTCAGTAGGAACTTGACCATCTCTACTTCACCTCTTCTGACGGCTTCGTGTATAGGTGTCGATCCATAGTGATTCTCTGCATTGATATTGGCACCGTTCGAAACCAACAGTTGTGCCATCTTGACATTGCCTGTTCTCGCACAAAAGTGTAGTGGTTGCAGCCCACCGAAATCACCTTCATCCAACTTGTGATTGCCACTCTCAATCAATGCTTTCGCCTTATTATAATCGTTATTCAGAATTGCATCTGACAATTGTGGTAGTGAATCTCCCATTTTTCTTTTACTACTAAATAATAACTTGTACTACTACTACTACTACTTTATGAAAAAAATGATAAATAAATTAAACAAATCTAATTTGTTTCTCAAAAAAAAAATAAAATAAAAATAAATTTAAAAAATTGATTCGTCGTTTTTAAAAAAAAAGTGAATAAAATGAATTTATTTGTTTTTTAAAATTATTTTTATTTTATTTTATTTTTAAAAATGGATGTATATTATTTAGATATATGGTAGATAATTATTTAATTATTGTGAATATTATTTTGTTTGTTTGTTGAATTTACATTCTTGGTACACCATATTTATTTGGTGCGTATTCAGAATATGGACGATCTACAAGTGCGACCTTTTCTCTGAGGATGAATCTCCAGACCAGTCCGGTTACTATACCACCGGCAATTGGCGCGGCCCAGTATAGCCAATGATCATGCCATACACCACTGAGTGTTGCAGATCCGAATGAACGAGCTGGATTCAAAGATCCACCAGTCCATGGTCCTAACAAAGCAACACCGGCATACACTGCGCAACCAATAGCCAATGGAGCGTAACGACCGAGACGTTGATCCCACTCGTTGAACACAGACATAGAAAGTACAACCATACACAACAAAGAAGTTGCCATAAACTCTAAAAAGAATGCATTGGCAATACTGATATCTGGATTGATTGTTGTTGCTCCTAGGTCTCCTTCATCTAAAAAGAATGAAAAAAATAATTAGTTAGTAATTATTTTAATTGAAAAAGAATTAACATTATGTTTGTCGTTTTTTCATCAATGATATAACAAACTTACATGGACCTGGAGTAGCAGCTTTAGCCAAGGAAGCACCGGCCAATGCACCACATGCTTGCATGATTACGAAAGCAAGTCCATTGAAGAAACCCATACGAGAGGTGGTAATCAATGAACAGGTGACAGCTGGATTCAACTGACAACCAGAGACACCACTAGTGAACCAAACAATAGTGGCAAGTGAAAATGCTTGAATGAAAGCAATCAAAACAATACGGATGACTCCATCGGCTTGAAAGAAAGTTGCAGATACTACAGATCCAACCACCATGAAAACAAAGAAAGCAGTTCCAATAAACTCGGCAATCATCTGACGAATGAACTGTCTTAGCTTTGACTCTGGTACCTTCACAATAACCTTGTTTTTATCGGAATTACTATACCTAGTGATCAATGGAAACAATGCCATTGTTTTATATTATTTTTATTTATATAGAATATAAAATTATAAATAGAGAAAAATATTTATTTAATTTAATTTAATTTATTATATTATACTATTTTATTATTATTATTTATTATGTTTACAAAATATTTTAGATTCTATAGATCTAAAATAGTTATTTTTCTTAAAGTTATCTAAAAAATATATAAAATTATACAATAGGATTAATAATGAGTTATAAGTTCAATGAAATGATAATCTCCAATGTTGTCATACGAAATTGGAAGTATTATTCGGATTGGAATTGAATTGCTTTCTTTGGAATTGAATTTGGAGTGTGTTAAACGGCAGAATTGAAATATTCTTTTGAATGATATACACTTAAATGATACATCAATCATATAAATGACACAAAGATAGAAAATAAACACACACCATGATATATCTTCAAAAATATTTATCTCTATCTATCATATTTTTTGAAGATATATATCACACACTCAACACAGAAATATACGCACAACAGAAAATGAAAATTATTTAAATATCTGTATGTGTTAACCACATTATTTTTATCTTTTTGTGTTGTTTTTATCTTGAAATCCACAATTGTGTATTTATTTTAAATGTGTGTATAACACTCAAATATTAATTACAGATATAGTATTCGATTAGTGTACTTCACTACATTCTACCTTTTTTAGATAAATATTATTCATTTTTATTATTTCATCTTTAGATAAACTTTTAAAAAAAAGCTTGTCCCTCTCTCTTTTTACGAGTGACAAAAAATCGAATTGCTTGTTGAGTTGAACGATCGTTTCAATTCAAAATATATTATAATTATTTATTCATTATTTTCATTGTTATTTGTTATTATTATTTTATGGTCAAAAAAGATGTAATCTTTCAATATTTAAATTACTTAAAAGTCTTTTTTGAAAAAAAAACAACATTTGATTTGACTTTTTTTTTTTTTTTTTTGTGAACCTCTTTGATTGAGTGAGTCAGGCAATAGTTGATTAATATAAAAATATTATTATTATCATTATTATTTATATTCTATTAATATAACAAAAATAAAAGATGATCACCGATACCCAACTCTCATTATTGGCCAACTCTATGGGTGCAATTGCAATGATTCTTATTGTTGCCTATCATTTCTTGACCGCCACTCCAGTTGCTCACCAAAAGCGTGATTAAATCTAAAAGAACACCTAGTAATAAAATTAAAACGTTTGTATTGTTTGTTTGTTTGTTTGTTATTAACATTGAATATAATATAAACAAATACTTACATTACTAACCTATTACTTACTTAAATTAAAATATATATAGAATTTTGTATATTGGAATCACATTGGTCAATAATAAATAGAATACGATTGGCTCAACAAAACAACATCAACAAATAAATTATATAATAACAATCATAATGTTAGTCACATCTATGAAACAAAATTTAGATTAGATTTTTTTTTTAATTAGTTAATTAATTGATTTAGAACATAGTAATTTGAACAAACAAATATAGATTAAAGAAGAGTTTTGGTTTAAATATGTATATTATATATATATAGTTTGTTTTTTTGTTTATTAAATTTATTTATTTCTTTGCTGCAGCGGCTTGTTGTTGTTTAATTAATTGTATCTTTTGTTGAGCAACTTGAATGATTTGATCTAAATGATTTCTTTTTACATTGACTGCTTGTTGTACCTTGTTGACTTGATCTTGAATTAATTGTACTTTTCTATTTGTAAAACCTTGACCTTGCTCTAAATCCTATTGACCATCATCAATAATAAAAAGAAATAATTATTAATAACTTAGTGTTACAAAAATAAACCATCATATTGATGATGATGACGACGATGATGATGATCATCCTTTATATAACATACCATTTCAATAAAGTATTGAGTACCAATATCAACCATAACTTTATCTTTACAATTTATTTTACCTGGTAAATATAACTATATATATATAGATATATTGAATATATCGAATGTATTGTAAGTATTGAATTGTATATTGCATTGCAATCTGTCAAGATAGTTGGTAGATCTAGAGATATGATAGTTTGATATTTACCGATGAAGTAAGTGGTACTAAAATCTCTTTTCCTTCAGCACCAGCTAAACCTTGAATAGCTTCCTTTGCCTCTAGATATTTGGTGGCAGCATGCTTCAATTGTAACATCGAGTCTGAAAGTGTTTGAATTTCCTAAACGATTGTTGTTTAATGTGATATATGATATTAGAAAACAATATGATACATCATTACGATTGTATGTGTCATGGCATCTTTGAGCTATATACTAGCTCAAAAGATAAGTGTTTCGTCATTCTGTTAGATGTGCAATTGCTATACACAATCTATAAGCAATCGCTTCTTCTTAGACCTACATTCTCAACTTGTTCTTTAACCATTTCGAGTTGCTCCAATGATAATGCAGCAAGATTTACTTGTTGTGGTTGTGAGGATTCAGACATCTTTATCTACTTTTGATATCACTACTTGTCTATAAATAATAATAATAATGGTATAAAAGCTAATTAACGAACTTAAGAAAAAAAAAAAAATATAGGAAATGAAAAATAATAAAAAAACAAAAAAAAGTTTTTTTATTTTTAGTTTTATTTTTAAATGGTTGACTCTACAATTCTCTTTCTTGTGGAACTTTGCTTTGGTTTTGTAGATCTAGCTGATTTAGCCTCCAATTGACTCTTGAGAAGTTCATTCTCGGCACTTAGATCCATGACTTTTTTCAACATTGCAAGCTCTTTGAAGTTCTTGGCTTTGGCACTGGCGAGCTTAGTTTGGAGGTTGGACGAATCGGAACCGTCACTGAAGATCTTTCTGCTCCACTTGGCAACCAATGTTTTTCTATCGTAGCTGATGCTATGCAAACCAGCGAATGCCTGTAGAGCATCGAGATGACTACTAAAGTTGATATAGCAGCTGCCAGAGTGTGCCGAATTATCTTCGACGTGTGCATTCTTCAAATTCTTTATGAAAAGAATCTTGTATGGATTGTTTGCGAGTGTCGATACTCTATCCTCCAAATGACTTCTCAATAGCTCTTCATTGACCGACACTGGAATACGACTGACTTTCAAAGTCATCATCGATTTCGGTGAAACTGTCTTGTATCTTACACCCTAAAGTTTATTTATCATATTAGTTGTTAGTTAGAATGATGATTCAACTTTGAATATTCTCTGGTTATTTCTCGAGCAACAAACACTAACTTACCTTACAAATAATACCGTAAAGTTTGAATTTCTCATAAATAGTCTCTGGTGATGAATCTGCATCGATCAATCTTTGTTTCTCATCCATTTCCTCGACGGATGCAGGTTTCTCGACGGACTCGTTGATTTTCTCTAAGATTTGATCCATGTCTTGACCGACACGGTTAGTGTGGTAGCGAAGAACCACCAGCATCGAGAGGATATCGCCTTTGAGTGAGTGATCGTGAATGAACTCGCAGTAGAGATCGTCGATCGGATAGGCAAAGTTCTTTTGAAGCACTTCGTTCATGTCCATCTCCTCCATATCCAGTGGAACGTTTTCAATCATAAAATTAAGTTGTTTGAATTGTGGTGCTGCACCTGAAACTTTGCATTGCTCCAACATCGTATGATACTCTTGTACCAAATTGGTGTAGTCTGACATTGGAAGTTCATCTAATTCCACAGTCATATCTGATTCGAAACGACTATTATTTTCTCTAAATGATGATGATGATGATTGTACTGTTGATTTTCTATCTATTTCTTGATCTAAATCTGTTTCCTCTTTGAATGATATCTTTCTCTTATTATTACTGTAGTTGGTGTTGCCAGTGTTGTTATTTTCATTTATGCTGAGATCTACAAGTGGGAATATTGGTTTGGTTGGTTCTTGTTTGGATCGATGTTGTTTGAAAACAGATGAGTCTACGTCGAATGGAGTCGGATGTGATTCTTTTAGATCGTTGATAAATTGGTCGTCGATTTCATTGTCGACATCGATACCAAAGAGTGATTTCTTCTCTCTCTTTGGTTGTACTTTTGCTTCTGTTGCTTCTGCTGCTGCTATTGTTTGTTCTTCATCTTGTTTGTTCTTTGCATCCTCAGAGAATACCGAATAGAATTGAGCTTGAACTTGTTTACGTTGTGGGTTCTGTTGTTTCTTTGTTTGTAATTCCTCTTGATCGATTGACTTTGGATCGACTGTTGGGTTTATCTTTGGATCTTCATTGGTTTTACCAAATAATCTAGTAAAAATTGAAGCTAAACATAATTATTTTTATTTTAATTTCATTTGCATTATTATTATTAGTAAAATAAGTCATTTCTCATCTTATTAAGATAAATAGATCACTCTTATATATATATATATATATTACATACCTATATTATCATTTTTATCAGATTTTGGATTGGAAGATAGATCGTTTAATGTATGTGTATTGTTGTCTTGAATGTTGTTGTTGTTATTGTCGTTGGTTGTAGATGATGATGATGACGAAGAACTATATTGATAGTAGTTATGTAATTGACAAAAACTCTTTCTTGATTGGTAATAGATAGAGTTACCACTATTTTTTATTCTATTCAACATCATCTTTAAACAATATATAATTATTTTATTTTTTGTAAATAAAATAATAATGATTTCAGGTGAAAAGTTATCTGATTGTGTTTGAATTACGATTAAAGTTGCTCTGAATAATTTTTGTGTCTTTAAATTTTTTTTTTTTAAAATTAAAAAAAAAAAAAAAACGAAACGACTGTTTCATAAAAATGGTCATATATTGGGTATGTAGGTTAACTTTAAATCACAGATATTATCTGTACAATCTATCAAACACTATATCTAAAAATATTTTATTTTATTTCAACATCTGTAAAATCAATATAGATTAAAAGTCAAACTTTTTATTTTCTTGCTTAAAAAGATGATATAATGATGTGAATTAACACTCATTTTATTAATAGTCTTCAACTTCATTCTGATACACCAAAATAACTTTATAATAATATTTCGAACTAAAATAGATAGTTTTATTTATTTTATCTTTATTATAAAATTAAAAAGGTCAAGTTTCGTCAAAGGGAATAATAATGGTCAGTTAACATTTTCATAAGAATAATTTATTATACCAATGAAAAGTAAATTAATTCTAGTTTTAACACTGCCGATATGATAAGATTTATTAATATAGTATGTGAATTAAATTTTTTATTAGAAATTTTTTTTTTCATTTATTTTTTTTTTGACTAACAACAATAGATTTTTTTCAAAATTGCTTTTATCTTTATTTTCTATTTTTTGTTGTTTTTTATTTTACAATTATTTCATTATTATATAAATGAGCAGTGCTTTACCAATCAACAGTACTAAACAACCAGCTACATTTCAAACTATTTTAAAGGTTTTAGTGCTCAGAAAGGATATATTTAAACATGTGGCGCTAATCAACAAAAGAATTGGTAAAGGCAGCTATAAATGGGAGGATATACTAAAGAAACCGAGACACATGGCCTATCATGGTTATCTAGATCTGCTAATGAAGGTTCCACTACTGGATTTACAGGTTCCGAGCGAGTGCTTTGTTGAGGTGGCTGCGATGCGCGGCTATCTCAACGTCGTTGAGTACTTCTATGAGTTGGAGAAACAAAACAACAAGAATCTAAATGAAAAGGGTGCCTTTACCAAATATATTTATTTCAACGGCAAGGAGTTGTCGTCGGCGTGCTATGGCGGTCATCTCCCTGTCGTTCGCTACCTGGTGGACAACGCACAGCTCTATGAGAGTCAGTTGAAATCGATGGTGATGTACAGTAGTGTCATCAGTGGCAATCTAGAGTTGGTCCAATATCTCAGTGGTATCATGTCCGATCACAGCTCGCAGTTGATAGACTACGCGTCGGAGCGCGGTTACCTTGAGATTGTGGAGTTCCTTCACAGCTGGGGATCAGCTGCAACCCAGAAAGCGATAAACTCTGCGGCAGCCAACGGACATCTCAGTGTCGTAAAATTCCTAATTAGTAACCGAACCGAAGGATTTTCATCACAGGCGATTGATAGCGCCGCATCCAACGGTTATTTGGAGATCGTCAAGTATCTCAATGGTCTTCCCGATAGCAGTTGTACAAAGAGCGCAGTCGACCAGGCTATAATGAACAAACACACCGACATTGCGAAATATCTCTTGGAGAACAGAACTGAGGGTTGTTCAAACGTTGCAATTCTCAATGCTATTTTCAACAATGATATCGAAGCCCTAGATGTATTATACTCATCACCACTCTCTCGAAAAGAGATAGCCATTCAAGACTCTATTGCCTTGTCGTCAGTCTATGGACATGATCTACTACGTGATTACTTAGTTACAAAATCAGTTACACCATCCCAATAACAAATAACATCAACATCAACAACAACAACAATAAAGCAACAAAACAAATAACCATTAGCCAAAAAAAAAAAAAAGAAACTATTTAAATTATTATTATATACATTTATTTATTTATTATTTTATCTTTTGACCAACTATTTAAAGTTATTTGTTGTTAGTTTGTTATTTATATGTACCACTCCAATCTCCCCAACTTGGAAGTGATTTCTTGATTATTGAGCCAAACGAAGAGATAGATGAAGATGCAATCTCAGCCATCGATTGTGTTATGACAGGTGTCATCTTGGTGAGTTCTCTAGTGACATCGGTGATCTTCTGAGACATCGAATCCTTATGGGAATCCAAGAGATTCTCAAAGTATTGGATGGCATCATGGCTTGGTAGACCAGGGAAGAATCTATTGGCAACCTCGTTTTGGATGTACTCAACAGTGAATCTACTGGAATTATCATGAATAGAATCCATTCTCGTTAAAAACATTAAATGGTATAAAAAGAATGGTGCTTCTCTTCTTAGAATTCCGAAAATCAATGAACAAACTGCATTGAAATTTATATTATTTGTCAAATTACTTGTTGAAAGATATTCTTGACTATATCTTAAATAATTTGCAATTGGTTTTGGTTCCTATTTATTTAAAAAATACATATATTAATATAATTAGTTGTTTAAAGAATCATCATAATAATAAAACATATTTACCTTTCCAAGAATGAAACCATAATCAATATGAAAGAATTTACCATCTTTTGTAATCATAATATTATCTAAATGACGATCACCTACACCCTGTTGTTATTTTGATAAATAATAAGTATCTGTTGATTTGTAATAATAAACTTATAATTATAACTATACTTACAATTAAATGTGTTAAAACAAGCCAAAAACAAAGACTGTATGTAAAGTTTTTGTGTGCTTCTGTAATTTTACAATCTTTTTGATTCTTTAGATAGTTGTGAATCGGTAGATGAAGGAAATTATTGGTGTTATTACCACTGTACTCCTTGTTGATGGCAGCAAGTGTAGTAGAGTCTGCGACTGCATCGATAAATCCATGCTCTGATCCCGATGGCAAAACGGAATAGGTAACGATCGATTCCAAAATGGATTGAATCTCACTCTTGAGTGTATCCAACAGGTTCTGTTTTGTTTCCGCACCACCATAGAGATCCTTGAATGGATTCTCTCGGTTATGGTTATTGATCTTCAACTCGAACGTATCGATAATCGACTTGTAGGCTTCTGGCTTGGTGATGGCAATCATCAATCTAACGTCTTGGTTATTCTTTAGAATCTCGTAGGCCTCATTATACTTTTCTCTTCCGACCAAGCCGAGGAACTGGTTGAATGCCTCCTGCGAATGTGAAGACGATCGATCGTTGATAATCGGCATGTTCTCCATGAGGATATAGGTCATCATCGAGATGATATTCAAGACGATTCGGTCCTTTCTGATATCGTCTTTCTTGAAGAAAAGTGTCTTCTCACTCTGGGTGCCATCCTCTTGGTTCTCGACGATCGCCGACATTCTAATAGGCTTGGTAGCGCTATTGCTTACAGCGGACTTTTTGATATGCTTGATGACCAGTCTCGGATCGGTTGGATATAGAATCTTTTGTTTCTTCAACAGCTCATTGATTGCTTCTCTTCTTGGTTGAAACTCTGGATCGTCTTCTTGTCTCGGTATTTTCTGGAGGTGATCCAAAAACTCGAAACTATTGATGTAGGTAAGAGCAACCTCTGGACCGAGTTGAACCAGCAGCTTTGACTTTAGAATCTCATACTTTGAGTCGTACTCTGATGAAGTTTGACAATTCTTAAACTCGAGCATAACAAAGTGGGCAATAGTACTAGAGCTCAAAGCTCTCTTGAATATGAATTCCTGTAACTTTGAACCTTCTGTTGGATCAAATCTATTTATCAAGATTGATTAGTTAGTGGATAGTACACTCACTAATGTATATTAATATTCTTACCTAAGATAAAAAACTAATTGTGGAATAAAGTAAACCAATTGATGATCAGAGATATCTGAAATGATGTCTACAGCGTAGTTTCTGATGTGTTGATTGGTGATATCTTTGTCCAAGAGTGGGAATACATCTTTGAGTGGAATACGTGTTTGGCAGGAGGATGAACACATCATGTGATAACAGCTCATCTCTTTTTTGGTTTGATCGTTGATGATGCTGAGAATCTTTTGAACTTTGAGATCCGATATGTTTCGCCAATTGATGGATTCCAATAGTTTCAACACCCATTTCGAGTGTCCACGGAAGTACTCTTTGTTGCGCCAGAGTGCATTGGTTTCGAAATCTTGAAACTTGTGTGTTGGGAAGAGATATTGAACTTCACGGATATCCGAGAGGTAGCAGACTGCCGCCTTTCTCCAGGCCATACAAATCGATGAGAATCTACGAAGCATCGGCATCTTTAGCGCGAGAATACGCAGCATTTGCTCGACGTAGCCAAACTCTTTCTTTTGGATCAACGAGGTGTGACAATCGTTGCAAACACGCAACTGACGACCCGAATAGTAGTCGAGAGAATCAAGGTATTTCGGTGCTTGAATAGAGGAGGAATCAATACGATTGGCCGTGCAGTTATCACAGAATATATAGCCACACTCGCGACAGTGATGTCGACGTGTTCTCAGACCAAACGCAGAGTTACAACCGTGACACAAGTTGACAGAGGCATCTTTGACGGCGATCATCAATCGACGCTTCTTCACATCCTGTACGATATCCTGGCCGGATTTGATGTTGAACGACTCTATTCTCGGTCCGTCTACCATCGACTCGAACAGGTCTAGATGTTGATTGGAATGGAACTTTTGAACCTCGCCAAAGTTGTTCTCCAACTGTAGCTTCTCAGCTGTCTCTGCATCAAAGTCCTTTGTGATAGTCAAGAAGCGACGTACATCGTCGGCATTCGGGTTGAGCTTCAAAGCACTCTCCAACTGGTAACGAATAGCACGAACCAACAGATTCTCCTTGATCTCCAGGTAGTGTGCGGAAATCACCAACGCCTCCAAAAGTGAGTAGTTATCTTTCTCTTGTCTACTACCCATATGTTTGATTTCTATAAGATCATAGATTGAATATAATACAGATGATTTCTTATCATTATTATTGTTGTTATTATTGTTTTTATATTTAATATTATTATTATTATAGCTTTTTGGTTGTTGATATTGAACATTATTATTATTATTATTATTATATACTACACTATTACTATCTTCTTGATCACTCATTTCATTATCACCACTAAAATTGTTGCTGTTATTATTATTGTTGTTGTTGTTTTTATTTGTTGGTACAAAGTTTTCAGGATCTGAAAGTTCAATGTCTGGATAGTGTATATCGTTGTCGTCTAAGCTGACGGACTGTAACATGTCGCTATTGCTGCTAGTTGTGAGGAATCCGTTGTTGTTATAGGTTGGTGGTGTTGTGCTATCTATGAAACCACCAAAGTTGTCAGGCATCGCATGGAACTCTGTATCGTCAATAATAACACTATTGCTATTGCTATTGCTACCATTACTTATGCTGCTACTACTACTGTTATGAGAGGATGGTGAATTGGTGAAATAACTATTGTTTAACTGTACATTTTTAGAGTTTTTATTGACCGATGTTGATGAGTGTGAGTATGGTGACAAATGTTGTTGGTTAGGTGTGTACTTTGAAGTGTGAACAACTCGTTGATTTACATTGTTATTAGTTAGACTATTAAAATTGTTGTTGTTGAATGTTGGTGTTTCACGACGATCACTCTCTCTATGTGAAACATAAGTGTCCTTAAGTGTCAGTATTTCTCTCAGGTCACGAGGATGATACTTTGATACGATGATATCAAGTCGCTCCAAGAAACTCTGAATTATTTCGGCAACCTTCTTTGTCAACAATATATTCTCTGGTATGATCAATACATGCTTAGCATCTGTATTCGATTTATGTTGCTCTCTACCCAGAGTATCCGAATATTTTATTATATTCGCTAGAAATGTTATTTCTGATTTATCTTGTAGAATAGCTTTCATTATATTTTTTTTTTGTTTTTTTTTTTTTTCTCTATATAAACTTTACTATTAATTATTATTATCTCTTTTTTTAAAAAAATCTACTTATTTATTTTCTGTTTTAATATATTAAAAAAATAAATATAAAAATCTATCTAATATATATATATTTAATAATAAAAATATTTTAAATAAACTAATAGACTAATTCTTTGGTTGTGTATAACAAAAAATTAAAAAACAAGTTTCACCCCCTTTTCACAAAAAAATGAGAAATTTTTGTAAATTTGTTGAACTCATATTTTCAATTTTTTTGTTGACACAAAATTAAAAAAACAATATTTTTTATTTATTTATTTACAAGTTTGTCTAATCTCAATAATCTAAACAATCAGATATATTACTTGATTCAAGTGTTGGATAAAGTGAAATGTCTTGTTGATCGTTTAAATAATCATTGAAATTATGAAATGTTGTTGCTGCCGTTGTTGAAGTAGTTGTAGTTGTAGTTGTTGTGAATGGAATGGGATTTACAGTTGGAATAAGTTCAATATTATCGGCATTAGCTTCATATTCACTGAATGATTGACTTAGATTTTGATAGTGATAATTAAATTCTTCATGTTCAACCTGTTGTTCCATAATATTATTATAATTGTTGTTGTTGTTGTTGTTTGTTGTTGTTTTCAATATATTTCCTTTCTTCTTCTTCCACTACTTCTTTTTGATCCTCATTTGTTTCTCTATCTCTATCTCTTTCATCAACTACTTCTGCTTCTGCTTCTTCTTCTTCTTCTTTTTCTCCTGTTTGACCTTCAACAATCGTCATGGCAGCTGGACTTTGTTGAGGAATCAGTTGAATGAGTTTCTGTTTGCAGATCGATGCATAGCTACTGATTACACCGTAGGAACTCCAGAGAATCTGTGTGGTGGCGTCAGTAAAGTACGGTGCGTAAGTCTTCTTTGTCTTGTGGACAGAGTCGATAAACTTTTGTTTGTAGGTATCGCGTTGGCTGTTTAACAGGTTCTTAAAGCAGTCTTCTGCCTCTGACGATCTCAACCCGGGAATGAAACGATTCGATACTTCATTGTGAATGTAGTCCAGTGTGAAGTGTGCGTCGGACATTGGATTCAACTTGGTCAGGAACATCAGGTGGTACAGGAAGAACGACGCTTCCTTTCTGAGTATCGAGAAGATGATCAAGCAGATTCTGATCAGTTCATCTTTGTTCTCGTAGATGTCGATCTGCTCGTCAAACTCTGATCCATAACGAAGATAATTTCCAATGAGCGGTTTCGGTTCTTTACCCAATATGAACCCGTAATCGATGTGGAAGAACTGACCGCTTTTCGTTAGCATGATGTTCTCGAGATGACGATCACCCAATCCAATCAGGTGACTGATCACCAGATACACTGCCATACTATTTCTAAAGGTGGTATTGACTTCATGCAGCCGGTGGCTTGGATTGTGTTTCTTTAGATACTCATTGATCTTTAATGATGTAATCTTTGGATCTCCGTAGATATCGTAGAGTGTCTCTGCATCTTGGACGACCTCAATGAAGCCAAACTCACTTCCATATGGGAGCACAGTGTAGGTGATAATAGAACTTAGAATGTGGTGTATCTCTGCTTTCTGCATATTCACCATTTCATTGTATGCATTCGCATAGATACTGTGAAGATGATCCAACATTTTCTTTTTACTGCTAGCCAGTATGTTTGACTCTGTATCCAACAGGTTTTCATCAATGTACTTCTGTTGCTCCAATCGAATTCTGTTCTCTATCGACAAGTGATCCTTCTCGACCAGGAGAAACTGAACAAGATCGCTGTGTGGACGCATCAACTTCAGTACTGATTCCAACTCTGGTGAGTCGACTAGTGTTACAAGTTTCTTGGAATCTTTGTAGCCAACCGCCTCGAGAAAATCTTCAAAGTCATTTTCAACCTTGCGATTCTTTATCTGAAGGAAAGGATCGATGTTCTCCTTCAGAATCTTTGTCATGATACTGATAATATTGAGAATGACACGGTCTTTTCTGACGTCGTCTTTCTTAAAGATGAGATCCATCTGTCGCTCTTCGTTGGTTTCGACATTCACACAATTAAAAGTGAGTTTAACTGGTTTGGTAGCGCTATCTTTGATTTTGGCGCGGCTCTTGTCGATTGACTTGATTCTGTAGAGAGGATTGACGGGATATCTGATATCCTGACAGATCGCTAGAAGCTGTTCGATCTTGAGTAGCTGTGCCTGCAGTTCTGGACCATCCTTCTGAGGAATGTGTTGCAGGATATTAATCAGTTCAAAGCCAAGAATGAAACCACGCGCGTCATCCAACTGCAGAATCAACTCTCCCTTCAACAATTCATACTTTGAGTCATATTCAGTTGCTTGTTGACAGTTCTTAAACTCCCAAAATACATAGTGAGCAATTATCTTTGATTCTCTTGATCTTCTAAATAAGAATTCCTTTAGTTTCGAATTATATGTTTCGAATCTATAAATTAATAACAATCAAATTAGTTAGTATCTAGAAATAGTTACTCTTGTTTGGCAAAGAAAAATCTTACCTAAGGAAATAAACTAATTGTGGAATATAGAGAATAAGATCATCGTCGGTGATTGACGAAAGTTGATTGACAGCAAACTCTCGAATACTGCTATGTGTCATTCGTTCATCAAGTAGTGGAAAAACATCTTTGGTATCGATAGTGGCTTTACAGGATGACGAGCACATTAGATGCGAGCAACTCATCGATCGTTTATGGTTTGAATGTACAAGTTTGAGGATGCTCTCTACTTTTTCGTCGGATAGATGTTTCCAATCGATCGACTCTAACAGCTTGAGAATCCACTGAGAGTGTCCCTCGAAATACATCTTGTTTCGCCAGAGTGCAAGTATCTCAAAGCGCTGGAGTATATCGGTGGAGAATGAATATTGAATCGAGCGAATCAAAGAGAGGTAAGAGATGGTAGACTTTCGCCATTGTACGCAAATCGAGCTGAATCGTCGCAAGATCGGTATCTTTAGAGCCAGCAGCTTCAGCGCAGGAACCAGTGTTTCGCGGTCTTTGTCATTGGTAAGATAGTGATGGCAGTTCTCACAGACTCTGAGATTCGAATAGAACAACCGATCTTTGAGACAGCTATACACCGGACTGGGAATATGTGATCGTTTGATACTGTAGTTTGTACAACTGGCGCAAAACACCTTGCCACAATATCTACAATGACTACGTCGATTCGACAAGGAGAACTGTTGATTACACGCATGACAAGCTACGACAAAATGGTCACTGATTGGCTTGATCAAACGTCTTGGCTTTATCATTTGTGTAATATCAGTGTCATAGTTATTGTCTTCATCATCATTATGAATATGACTACAATTCCTACTGTCCTGTTGTTGTTGTTGCTGATTGGATGATGATGATGATGTTGTTGATGATGTTATGTGATGGTCATTCTCTCCTATATAAGAACGATAGTTATTTTCATTTTGACACTCTTCTTGTGATGCGTAGCTAGTCTGTATGAAATTGTGTTCCTTTTGGATTCGTTCCTCCTCTAGTGGATCGAAATCGTGAGTGATACCAAAGTAAGAACGTGCATTCTCAACACTTGTCGATTGAAACAGTACCAATTCGATTTGGTGACGAATCGCTCTTATTAAGAGGTTTTCAATAACACCAAAGTACTCTGCTGTTGCCACTAGTGACTCCACGCTTTTACCATGTTTAAATAGATTGACATGATTGTAGAGTAATGATTTGAATGTATTCTGTTTCTTTGGTTTGACATGTTCAGAAACAGCCGGTAACTTGACATATCCACTACCACTACCACTACCACCATTAAAACCATTACCATTACCATTACCACTTCCATTACCACTTTCAGAAAAACTATCAAAAGAAATAAAATTACCATTTTCATCTCGTTGCAATGAATTCGACAACGGCACCTGTTCAAAACTATCTTTTATACTATTATTTAAATTTATTAATTTATAATTATTGTTATTATTATTACTATTATTCTTATTATTGTTGTTGTTGCTGTTTATATATATTTTACTAAAACTACTAATATTATTATTATTATTATTATTATTATTATTGTTGCTATTGTTATTATTATTTTTATGTTTGTTATTGTTGTTATTATCTAAATATAAAGTATGATCCAAGATATCTTTTATGTTGATTGATTCAATGCCATCTTTTAAATGGTATTGTTTTTTGTACTTAATCAAATATTCATGTATTTTGTTGAGAAAATCGATTATGAATCTCACAGATTCTTCGCTGACCAGTGGATCATCTGGATAGAATTCTAGCTTGGTATTGGTTGTATCTCTTTCATGTTCATCTTTTAAAAGCTTTGAATAGGGAACTGCACAATTGGGTATGGCAATTGTGGTTCTTGAATATGTGTGAACTCCACCACTACTATTATTATTACTATTACTATTACTACTGCTATTATTATTATTTACAAGATTTATACTACTTTTACTATTGATACTATTATGGCCATTAAGTACCTTTATAAATATATTCATTTATAAAAATAATAAAAGTTTTAAAAAAAACACTATATATAAATTTATTTATTTAACAAAACTATTTACAAAATATATCACAAATAAAACCTCCAATTCTTTATTACTTTAATTGTTTTTTTGCTTCCATTCTTAGATTTTGAAAAAAAAAAAAGTCACAATTTAAAAATTAAAATTTCAATTTATTTGATTCTTGTTAAATATTGAAGTATTTTGTTGAGAAAATCGATAATAACACAGCGAATATTGAATAAATATTATCAAAAGATAGGAATAAAAAACAAAAAAAACAATGATAATAGAGATATTCTCGCCAGTGGTTCGTCATTCTCCAACTTGATTGTTTATACAAAAAATAATAAAAAATATTTTAAATAATTGTAATGGCAATTATGATGGTTTTGGATCGAAAAAACAAAGTAGCTCTCTGGAAATGTCTGAAATAATTTCAATATAAAATTTATTATTGTGAAAAGGGTAAATTAAAATAAATTATTTATTTATTTATATTTGTTAAATACTTTGGTTGATTTTATTTTGTGTTTAACCGCAAATACTTCTGCATCCATAATAATCTTCAGTGTATGGGCTATTAAATATTTTATAGAAGCGAATAGGAATTATTAGTAAAAACCAAAGACATTGATTTATTTTAAGATAAACTTACGTGATAACATGGCAATTCTCACCAGTTGTTGGGCATTCTGCAACTTGATTGTTACCAACTAGAAAAAAAAATTAATTGTTAACGATTTGAAAAGATATGATGATAAAACAAAAAACTTACTATACATAACAACATGACCTGGACATGTCTCACCGGAGAAACAATAGAAGAAGAGATCTCCAACAGTGCAACCAGCAGTGTTTGATGGTGAGCAGTTGTTATCAGCAACTTGTGCCAATCCTGAACCTGAGGCAGTAGTTGTACCAGAACCTGATCCACTTCCCGATCCAGAGGAGGAGGATGATCCACTTCCTGAACCAGATGATGCTGAAGTTGATCCTGATCCTGAACCAGAGGATGAGCCTGAGGAAGCTGATGATCCAGATGATGAACCTGAGGAAGCTGATGATCCAGATGAACCTGATCCCGATGATGAACCAGAGGAAGCTGATGATCCAGATGATGAACCTGAGGAAGCTGATGATCCAGAAGAACCTGAAGTTGATCCTGATCCAGATGATGAGCCAGATGTAGATCCAGATCCCGATCCTGAACCAGATGATGCTGAAGTTGTTCCAGATCCTGAGCCTGAACCTGAACTTGTAGTTCCAGAACTTCCTCCTGAGCTACCACCAGAAGATCCAGATGATGAAGAGCCTGAGCTTGATCCACCACATGATTGACCTTGTTGATATTGAGTAGTGGTTACTCTGGTAATTCCACTCCATCCAGCCTGTTGGTAACTGGTGTAGACTAAACCACTGCAATCCATACCACCTGATCCACCACAACCACATTGAGTTCCTCTTTTTAAATTAATAAAAAATAATATGGTTAGAAACTTATATATATTTATATTTCAAGCTTAATTGTTTACAATACCCCCAAACATATGGACTGAAAATTAATTTATAAATAATAAATAATCGTAAGTGAATGTAAATATAATATTTAAATGAGTTGTTTCACAAAAAACAGTGAAAAGTACCAAAATTTCAACTTGCAAAATGGGAAACAACTCCTCTATTTTACTTACCATCCACAGGTAGCATAGTTTTCAGCAATGGAAGCAGCTTGTGTACAAATAGACATTGGTTGTGGTCCATCAGTAACATTAGCAGTTTTCATGTTAAATAATGCACGTACCTCAGCTGGAGATAGAGCATTAATTGAATAAGTACAGCAAAGTACTAATAATGTAATAAATAACTTCATTGTATATATTATATGATTAAGAAAAAAGAAAGTAAAATAATCTAGTTTAGATTTCCAAATGCTTTTTATAAAGTTATTGGATTTACTATGAATGCATGGCATCCAAAAAAAAAATATCTTTTGAGAAAGTTAGGTAAAAAAATGATTTTTTTGCAGTTCGGTGCCAACGGATAAGATTTTGATGAGGTTTTTGATTTTTCGATATCCTGATCCACCTTATACTACAAGTTTTTACATTTTTATAAAATTTTAAAAAAAATCTTTTTTTGTAAAAAAAATTATTTTAATTTCTGACCAAATTTCTCCTATCTTTGAAAACAAATATCTTTTTACCAGGCCAACAATGATTAAAATATTTATATTTAAAGAGATTGTCATCTTCTGTATTTTTAGATGGTTTGAAATTTCAATTTTTATCAAGAAAGTTCTTTCAAAAACTAAATTATTTTATATTACAGATATTTTTAAAGATATTTAAAATTTCATGTTTCTTTTACCAAGTTCATCAGGATAACCACTAATTCAATCGATTTAATATACATACTGATGTAAATTTAGTTATACTCATCAATTGTTTATTGTATAATCTTAAATAGTAAATCAAAAACTCAACTGTAGTGGTCAAAAAACAAAGTATATCATGCATATATGATTTATCAGATTAACAGAGAATAAAAATCAACTCAATAGAATTGCAACATATATAAATATTTAATAACTATCATAAAAGAAATAAAATAATCAATAATATCTTGTGATTTTTATAAAAAGTAATAAAAAGTAAAAATATAAAAAATAAAAATAACAAGGGAAGCAGAAATTAAAAACACCAACGATTAAAAAAACCTCATATTTTCATCAAATTTATTAAAAAAAAGTCCATGGGAACTTTGAAAATAAAAAGTTAGCACCATACACATCATCACTCATATTTTTTTAATGTGATCTTGCAGTTAATGGGAATTTGGGATTTGAAAAAAAAAAACAAACAAAATTTAATGATTCATTTTTGATTTTGATGTCATAGTCTTCAAATTTCAGTGGACAATAATAGTGATAGTGAGTTGAGTGCACTTTAAAGCAAGCAGAAATGAATCAAGAACAAAACGATTGTCAACACAAAAACACCAATAACCAAAGGAAATGTGATTTTTCAAAATCTTCTTTGTGAGGTGGAGGGGCTTGTTGTTGTTGGCATCACCTACAAAAAAACAAACACCAATCTATCTAATTTTAATAAATATTATTTCAGTGCATTAAATTACAAAAAGACACTATACCCGATTTCAAACAACAAAAACTAATAAATAATTAGCAATAAGTCGAAAAGGAAGCACCTTTTTCTTTTTTTTCTTTTTTTTGTTCATAATTTTATTTATTTAAATCAATCAAAGTCAAACAAATTATTTCCCTATTCCAACAAAACTATAGTTGTTGTTGTTTTTTTGCTTGTACTTTAAAGTAATAATTTATAAATTTAAAGTAATAATTATTATTATTTTTAAAACTTTTACTTATCAGGTATGTAATAAAATCAATAACTTTACATTTTTTATATATATCTATCATATATGTTTATTTTTTATTTAGTGATAAAAATTGTTGTTTTTAATTAAAAAAAAACAAAAACAAAAGTTAATTAATTTTTAATCAAGTTCATCTTCAAAAAAAAAACAAACACTTCACCTTTTATGCACACCACCTATAATAGTTTTTTCATTTTTTTTTATTTAAATTAAACCCTCCAAAAATATTGCATAATTTTATTGGATAGTTTAATTAAATTAGATTTGGAATTATTAAAGTGTTGGACATGTTAGTATGACTTTTGAGGGTTATTGATAATTATTGTTTTGTTACTGTTTGTTTATTATTGTAGTTAATTAATGAGTAGTATTTTTAATATTTACCAATAGTAAATAAATTGGAATCAAAATCAAACCGACGGCGACTGTCAACTTGTCATATGCCAATGAGTTCAATCATATTGCTATTATTAAATAACTTCAAAAAAAGTGCAAACCTAATTACTTTTTTTATCTTAGTGGTTGTTACTACATTTTATTATTATTATATCCAAAATAAACATAAAAGGACACCACCAACACCACCTTCTGTACAAATGATATTACATCACTTTAACGCTTACACCCCTTAATTAGATTAAAATAAACACACCAACACACACACACACACCCTCTCTTTATAAATAATAAAAAATATTTATATTTACAAGTCATTTTATTTATTTTAAAGAAGAATAATAGTAATTTTATATATTTTTATTTCTAAACAGAAATATAATTAGTTCTTTTTTTTATTTGTTGTTAATATATTATATTTGCAACACCACCCAGTTTTGTTTTATATTGTTATTGTTGTTGTATTGTTTTGCTTTGCTTTGTTATCTTTTATAGAAATTCAATATTACAAGATATTTTATTATAACAAAAAAGAGTTACATAAAAATAAATATTTATTAATAGTTAAATTTGCTATTTAAGAAAAATATAAAAATGAATCCATCAGTGACATCACCGGAAATGACCACACCAAGAGTAGAAGGTCATTTGCCAGCACGTCTTTTCACAAAGCAATCACAAGCATTGATTTACAATTACAAAGAAGCTGCCGTACAGCGTATGCTCGATTTCGATAACGTTTCACAAAGAGATACTCCATCTGTAGCTGGTTTAATTCATCCCGGTGCTGAAGGTATTAATCGTTCAACTAACCAACATAATTGATAAACTTTGCTAACAATATAAATGTTTAAAATAGGTGGATTCTATAAAGCATTCTTTGGATTTAAGGAATTGGTTATTCCAGTCTATAATAGTATTGCAGATGCATGTGAATCATGTCCAAATGCAGATGTATTCTTGAATTTCGCATCACACAGAAGTGCATATCAATCTTCGGTGAAGGCATTGAATCAACCATCGATTCGTACCGTTGTCATCATTGCCGAGGGTGTCCCCGAGAATGAAGCCAGAGCATTGATTGCCTTGGCCAAAAAGAATAATAAGGTCATCATTGGACCAGCCACAGTCGGTGGAATTCAAGCCGGTGCATTCAAGATTGGTAACACCGCCGGTACCATTGACAATATCATGGCGTGCAAACTGTATCGTTCCGGTTCAGTCGGTTTCGTCTCCAAGTCTGGTGGTCTCTCCAATGAGATGTACAATGTGCTCTCCAAGAATACCGATGGTATCTACGAGGGTATCGCAATTGGAGGTGACGCATTCCCAGGTTCGACACTGACCGACCACGCCCTTAGATTCGAGAAACTACTCGAAGTCAAGATGATTGTCATCCTTGGTGAGCTGGGTGGTTGGGATGAGTACGGAATCGTAGAGGCATTGAAAAGTGGACAAATCACCAAGCCTGTATGCGCATGGGTATCCGGTACCGTTGCCAGAATCTTCCCAACCGAAGTGCAATTCGGACATGCCGGTGCCAAGTCTGGTGGTGAGACAGAGTCTGCCGAAGCCAAGAATGCAGCATTGAAGGGTGCTGGTGCCATAGTTCCATCTTCATTCGAAGATTTCGCCAATGTCATTGCCGATACCTATGGAAAGTTGGTTGCCGCCGGTAGCGTCAAGCCAGTCGAAGAGCCAAATCCACCCGAATTACCATTGGACTTTAAGACTGCCGTCAAAGCAGGAAAGGTCAGAAAGCCAACCAGTATCATCTCTACTATCTGTGACGATCGTGGAGAGGAACTCACCTACAATGGTGTTCCAATTTCAAATATATGCCAAGAGCAATACAACGTTGGTGATGTAATTGGTTTGTTGTGGTTCAAGAGACAACTTCCTGCATACGCATCGAAATTCATTGAGATGTGCTTAAAGCTGACTGCTGATCATGGTCCATGTGTCTCGGGTGCACACAACACCATCGTAGCAGCCAGAGCTGGTAAGGATTTGGTATCTAGTTTGGTCTCAGGTCTACTCACTATTGGACCACGTTTCGGAGGTGCCATCGATGATTCCGCTCGTGTATTCAAAGAGGCATACGATCGTAAACTCTCACCAGAGGAGTTTGTAGAGGGTATGAAGGCAAAGGGTAAAAGAATTCCAGGTATTGGTCATCTCATTAAATCTGCAGATGATATCGATAAAAGAGTAGTAATACTTAAAAAGTAAGTTGATTATAATTGATAAAATCAAATCATTTTTCGATCGAACTAATAATAATATTGATTTGTTTTTTTATAGTTATTCAAAAGAACATTTCTCATCATCTCAATATTTAGATTATGCATTGGAAGTTGAGAAATATACTTTACAGAAAGCAAATAATTTGATTCTCAATGTCGATGGTTGTATTGGTGTATTATTTTTAGATCTCCTCCACAGTTGTGGATTATTCAAGAAAGAGGAAATAGAAGAGATCGTTAATGTTGGTTATCTCAATGGTTTCTTTATCGTCGGTAGAAGCATTGGTTTGATTGGACATGCACTCGATCAAAAGAGAATGAGACAACCACTCTATCGTCATCCATGGGAAGACGTACTTTATGATGTCTAAACACGTCATAATAGTGAGTTTACAAAATTAAAAGAAAAAAATTTTAAAACAAACAAATAAATTTATTAGAAAAAAAACAAAAACAAACAATATATTATTTATAAATCATATAATCTCTTTAAATGGTAAATCTTTATAAGAAGAAAATAAATTAATTTAGAATCTAATCTTCTATTCTAAATAGGAATACCAATCAATTAGTAAAAGAAATGGTGATCTCATATCTCATTAATCAACTAAAATTTGTTAACAATAAAATTTATTTTTTTGTACAATCTAGTTATTTCTAATATTATTCAAATTTATTATTCACACAATAATTTTGTTATATTAATATTATTCTTATTAATGGAGTAAGTACTGTCTCTCAAACAAATAAAAGATAGATTATATTTTATATTTTTTGTAAAATACATTAGTATTTTAACATTAAAATATTTTAGTTGACCAAAAAATGAACTGTTTAAAAGTGAAACAATATTGATTTGATTTATGTGTATATTGATCTGTGTGTAAGTGCGATAGATTAGATAATAAAATATTAACCACTCACTTGAGCAACCGATAACTTTAGATTGGATTGTGTTTTTGTTTGTTTTATTTTTATAAATTAAAATTTGCTAGATAAATAGATTTTGATCCATTGATCATAGGATTACCTAAATTAATTATTGAGAAATGATTTAATATTCATATTTATAATGGCACACTGCAGCTCTGTTGAAGAACTACAGAATGATAAGTTCTGGGAATTTGAATCATATTTTAATATTCTTGATTTTGTTTTTCAAACTTCAATCTTAAAAAAAAATAGATAAGATAGATGTTGTTTGTCATACATCATCATCTTCATTAGAAATTATTTTTCGTTCATTATTGTAACTGATAAATTATTTTATTTTTTAAATATATACTAAAACAATATTCGTTCACCCCAGACTGATTTTTTATTTCAACACTCACACACATTAATCATTTATAGATATAAGTTGATAGATATCTGCTGTGTGGTGGTGTAGAATGAAGAATATTGAATTATTATTTTACATTCTATTTATAACCACTACATTGTTTATTATTATTATTTTATTCTTCTTATTGTTTAGATACTGACTGTCAATTATAAAATAATAAATTTGACTACTATGATTTTTGTGTAGTGTACATTTAAAACACAGAGTGTGTGTTGGAAAGATAGATTTGTTTGTGAGGAATATTAAAATAATTTATTCTATTGACAATACTATTATAAAGTGTACAAGGTGTAATTAATTACATCAATCTGAATCTATAGAGTGTAATAATGTCTTTTATTCTTATTGGATATCAAAATCCATGTATTACACATAATTCTCTGGTTGATGGTTAGAGATTATTGTTGTTTTTTGTTGTGGTTTGGATTACTATCAAATAGTGATTCACCGGTTCGTAGGTATAATTGTTATCAAATTCATCTATTTATTTTAGAGGGTTGCTTGTAGATCCTTGGTTGGGAAAATGGACAACATACATGGGATATTTACTCTTTATTCATGTGCTCAGTTTGAAAGTGATCACTATAAAAGCAGACAAAAACCATCACTTTTAATCATTCAATTCAATCTTCAAGACTATTTACTAAAACTAGTTAATTACATTATTACTTCCTGTAAAACAAATATCTATCAATCTAAAAATGAGAACTTCATCTATTATCGCAGTTGTATTGGTTGCTCTAATCGTTGTAGCATCGGCCCAAGAAGATGATCAATGTGTAGCATGCCAAAACGCTTTGAGAACCGTCCACAAGAATCTTCCAGCCAAGGACCAAAGAGTATTTGCTGAGAAGACCCTCTCTGGTTTATGTCAACAAGTAACTGGTCAAGTTACTGGTGCTGCCCCAGTTGTTGGAAAGATTTCTCAAGTTGTTCCACTCCCATTGGGTCCAGTAGGTTATTAATAACAATCATAATTATTACTATTCTAATGAACTTTTATTAATTTTGTAAAATCAAACTTTTTTAGTGTAACATTTTCGAAGCTCACAAAAATGAATTTATTAACTCTGTCCTCAATAACCACCCAGCTGCCGCATTATACACTGACACCTGTAAAAAGGCTGGACTCTGTTAAATTATTCAAAGTTCTATAGAGAAATTTGGATTTTCAAAACATCTTGTAAAACCAAAATATTTATCTATTTTTAAAAATAGTAAATTGTACCACTATAATATTATATTATAATAAAATATTAATTAGTATCATGATGACTATTAGGTTAATATACAAATCATTTATTTTTATCTTACTTCTTTTGTGGTCTTTGAATCAATAATTTTTAAAAAGTGAAAAACCAAGAGGAAATCGATTATGTCTATGAAGATATCTTCAATGAGCACAGTGAAAAGAGAAAAGAATTTATAAAGATGTTCCCAAACGGAAAAGTACCAGCCATAATTGACTACTCTGTCAATCCACAATTGAAGATCTTTGAATCCGGTGCAATCCTCATCTATTTGGCACAGAAACTTGGAAAAGGAAAGTTCCTGCCAGACTTCAACACAGATCCACACTCCTATGCTGATGTACTCCAGTGGTTGGCTTTGCAAATCTCTGGATTGGGACCAATGAATGGTTAATATACATATTTCTCATGTTTTGCACGGAAGCTGATCCTTTTGCTGAAGAGAGATACCTCAAAGAGACCGATCCTCTCTACACTGTTCTCGAGAAACAATTGGAAGGAAAAGAATGGATTTCAGCCAATCAATACTCAATCGTCGATATGGCAGTCTACTCACGAATTCGTGAAGGATTTCTTCCAAACTATCAGAAATACAAGAATGAAATGGCATGGCTAGACAGAATGAATAAAAGACCTGCCGTTGCCAAAAATCTTCCAACTATTCTCGCCCCACTGAAAGAAGAAATTGAACATCTCACTCATGCCGGAACTTATAGAATTAAATTTGATTAAAAAATATAAATAATTAACTAATTTTTTTTAAAAACCTATTGTTTTAAATTTTCATCGATGTAAAAATTGTTTTTGTAAAAAAAATGTTTTTTTTGTCGGTTAGAGATTTAAAATTTTAATATTAATTATATTCCGTTATATAACCAATGAGTTAAAGGGATGGTCTATTATTTGAATCTATACTACAAGACAAAAAAAATATTAATTTTGATTATTAGTCTGATTTACACTTTTTTTTACTAGTAAAAAACTATAGTTTCGATCAAGTGAATTATAATCAATATTTATATAAAAAAACTATACTAAACTAAATACTTATTATAATATTATCTCTTTAAATAATTAAATATATTTATACAAATAATAAAATATTGTTTATAAGATTATTTATAAGATTTTTTTATTTTTTAATTTAATTTAAAAAAAAAACTACACGCTGATGTCCAAAAATGAAATTAGTATAATTCCACCACTAGATTTAGGTGGAATTAAATTGAAAGATGGTGATGAAGAAATAATAACAACAGCACCATTGGAATTTAGTTTATCACCAAGATCGTCTTTTCCTGCGAAACCATCGATAAATGAATCACCAAGAAGTATACTCTTGGCAACACAGAGAATCCGAGCATATTCGACTCCATCGAAATTCGTGTCACTGAATAGATCTAGAAATAGCTCATTGACACCTCCTCTCTCACCACCAACAGCCATCACCTATACAAAATCACCAGAGAACAGACATAGAGCACGCACTGAAGGTTCCACTCTACCGACACCCATCGATGGAGATTTCTTTTGCCCTGACAGTCCATTAGGTTCACCACTAATAAGAAAAAGAACAGAGAAAAAAGATAAAGAGTTTGTATAGATTCGATAAAAAATAACTTTCTAGATATTAGTTATCTAACATTTTGTTTTTATTTTAGTGATTTTATATTAAATGAAAAGTTAGATGATACTGATGATGCAATTAGTATTCCTTACAACTTTAAACATTTGAAGCATGTAGATAAGGAAAACAAGAGAATAGTAGATGAACAATTCATTCTGGAAAAGATACCCAATGGAAAAGAAGGATGGTTGGGAAAGAAAAGTGGAAAATCAAATAAGACTTTCTGGGCTGTTGTATATATGGGTGAATTGAAACTATATAAAACTAATGTAATTATTATAAATGATCTTTAATCTATTATAACTATTCATTTATTTTTATATTAATATTTCTATTTTTAATAATTTTTTAGACAAAAGATAAATTGAAATATTCATTGATTCTATATCAATGTAAATTAATATGTAAACAACAGACACCTTTGGAGCTAAGTTTAGAATCTACCAATGGAAAAGATGTTATTACACTAATTGGGTCAGAAGTAAAGGAGATGGATGAGTGGAAATCTGTTCTTTTGGATGATGGTGCCATTTCCAATGAGATATCGGAACTACAGAGAATTAGAATGGAACGTTCAATAATGAAAGAGAAGCATACAAAGAAGCAACAAGAGGATGACTATGTGAGATCAGAGAAGTTAAGACGTTCAGAAGGAAAGAGATCAAGTATAAATGTAAATCATCCTTTTCAAGATAATGAGCTACTGGTAATGTCTTGGAGTATTACGTCGGAACTATTTTATATCAATGATAACAGCAATAACAAAAAGAAGCAATCATTTAGAATTAAAGTATCTATCGGTCAATTCGAATGGAATATAATTAGAGAAACAAGTAATATTATTAAATATTATAAAAAAGTATGTAACGTTATTATTATTAATCAAAAAGTTATTATACAAATAATATTAATTTATTTTTAAAAACATAACTAGTTAATAGAATTATTACCAAATTTAAAAGGATCAATATATGATAATAGTAACAATAGTAGTAATAGTAGTTTAAAAAATAATGAATTATTGGTAGAGAATATAGATATATTCCTAAGATTATTAGTCAACAACAGAGAAATCGTCATGCGTGATAAAATTCATAGAAAATCATTTCTCAAATTCATTCTTCCACTCTATTGGCAAGATGAGAAACCAAATGATTTTGTATTACCTTTTATTATTTAAAGTGTTGTAGATAGATAGATAGATCAATCATTAGTTAACTAGTTAGATATAAATATGGGTCAATTAAAAGATTATTGTAATTAAAATTAAATAAATCATCATTTTTTAATAAAACAGTTATAAATAACATTCTTTCTATCTTTCTTTCTTCTCTTTTTCAAATTTAAATTATCTATATAATTAAATAGGTTATTATTGTGATAAGAAGTTTAATGATACTTTTCATACAAGAAAGAAACATAATGATAGTATTAAACATAAACAAAACGTTAAGAATCACTTTGAATATTTTAGGAGTATCTATTATCTATGTCTGCTTATATATAAGATATAAAGAAACTAATATATGTATTTAATCTACTTCACTCTATTTAGAGAACAATCGTAGGTTGATACAAGAAGAGGTACAAAGTATAGAGTTAGCATTGTTCAAATCAAAACAACCTTGTAAATTTTTATTAAAGTTTGGTAGATGTAAATTCATGTCATCATGTAGATACCTTCACTCATTATCATCATCAGCAGCAACAACGACAACAAAAACATCATCACCATCATCATCAACCTTATCTAAACTAAACGGTAATTATTTATTTGCTTATTATTATGTTATATTCAATGAATGAGTTAAATTGATTCATTGATTTTTTTTATATATTAACACAACAACCTTCAATTTTTATAACTTTTAAACTCTTTATGTCCAATTACTAGTAATCGAACATTTGCCACCTTATTCAAGGTCATCATTAATAGCATCAGGCATATTTAACAACAATAATAATAATAATAATAACAATGATAAAGAATGTATAAATAATGATAATGACAGTGGTGATGATAACAGATCAGAACATTTAACACTTGAAGCACGAATCATTGAAATACTGATGTCAAAACAGAACAAACAGTTGCAACAACTCGAACAAGTATCAAGTATTGTTAAACTACCAGCTTCACTACTTCAACCCTCTACTTAGTACTGCAAGCATATTCAATTCTATATGTTATAAACAGGGGTGACACAACTATCTATCTTTCACACATACACACACACACACACCATTCATACATACTTAAAAATATTATAACAACCACAATTATCATTATATATTCTTTAAATGTGGTTTTTTAGAATGTTCAATTAATTAAACTGATTGAATATCAACATGCCAAGTTTGGTTAATTATACACTTTCCCACCATCTTTAAAATATATGTCAATTGATATATTAAAAAAAAAAAAAAAAAAAGAGTATTTATACATGTGTATTTCTCCATTCACAATTAAATATATATAATTATACCTTCCTTTTTCTTTTATATAAATATAAAATATAAATTCTTTAAAAATAGAATTATGAAACAAATAATTTTCTTTGTTTTCTTTTGTTTGTTTGGAATGACACTTGGTGGTGTGATTCCATGTTCGACTCAACTTAAGCCAGTGTTCAATGCTGCTCTTGGCTATCAGTGTATCACTGTCTCTGGTAATGGATTGGCGAGCGATGGTACTTTAATCGGATACAGAGGTAGTTTGATGTACAATCGATATTACAATGCTATCAGACAACAATCGGCCATTCCATTCGTCAAGAGCTCAGACTATGTTTGCAATCCACACAACAACCGAGTTCAGCCATATCTTGTTGACCAAGCAAAGCAATACTCTGAATTCAATATATACGCAAATGGATCAGTGCAACTCGGTACCGATGTCGTTCCACTCGTTTGTCTTCAAGAGCATGCTGGTGCCTACAGTTTCAATTATAATGGTGCTGCCTATTATTTTGTTGTAAGTAGTAGTAACAACATTTAAATTATCAATCGATGTGTGTGGTGTTTATTAAATATTTTTATTAACCTATTAATTTGCTATGATTAATATAGTTGATTATTAACTCATTGCCAGCGGGTTGTCCAGCAGTTCACTTTGGTGAAAGTTGCAATGGAACAACCACTCCAACTCCTACTTCCACTCCTACTTCCACTCCGGCTCCAAGCAATACGACATTCAAGGTGACCGCTACTAATAACTGGGTGAATGGAAACGACAATTTTACTCAATACTCTGTAGATATTAAGAATGGAGGAACCACCGATATCACCTCGTTGGTCATCTCAGCAACCAATTTCAATGCATCCTCCAAATGGAACATCGAATCCCTAACAAATGGTGATCTTACACTACCTTCCTATGCTACAATTCCAGCAGGTGGTACCTTTACCTTTGGATTCATCACTACCTCAAGTGTTATTCCATCATTTGCAGTTAAAAATTAAAGTTTAATCATTAGATATAATAATAAATCTGATATTCACACATATTTTAATGGAATATGGATTCAACAATTCCAAAGCCAAGAATTATTTATTAATTAAAAAATTAATATATAAATAGTTGGCGGTTTTATTTTTTTTGCCACCTTTTTTATCCCCAAAAAAAACCCATACAACACTTGGTTGTTTTGGGTAGCAAAACCCATTACCATTCTTCAAAAAAATACAAAATAAGGAAAAACTGGTGAATTGATAGAATGTTTTTGTGTTAGAACCGAGATCAAAAGGTGTGAAGGAGAGTGGTATTGAAAGGCTGTTGCCGATGTGTCAATTGAAACAGGTTTTTTGTTTTGGGGGGAATTTGTGTTAGTGAATCATAATTAAATCAATAAATATTTCTTAAAGTATATTTATCAATTATTGCCAAAGTCATCAATTCATCACAATCCAATTAATTTATCAATCAACCAAACAAATAACCAATAAATTTCCATTTATATATCTTTTTGTTTAATAAAGTGTGTTTGTTAACAAGTACTTTTATTTAAAAATAAAATCTGTATCACCCTACTGTTATTTTTTTTTTTTTGATTAACAACAGATATAAAATTATATTTATAGACAAACCTTATATATAATCATCAATTATTATCAAATTGTTTATTTATATATTTATATAAATCAGTTAAAAGCAGTAAAAGAAAGTCAAACGGTTGTTATATTTGATTGTTGTGTTAAATTATTTGATAAAACACGTAATAATAATATAACATACTTGAAAGAAGTTTCAAGAAAAACACAACAACAACTGCATATATCTATACATATATCTTATAAATCTTATCTCATCTAATTACAACCAAAAAAAACCAGGTCAAAAAAAAAATTTTTTTTGAAATTTATTTTAAATAATTTTCTTTCTAGATTGTTTTTGAATAGAAAAAAAAAAAAAGTTTTGCAATACTTGTAATAAAAAAATATATATTTTTTTTTTTTCAAACCACCATATTATAATTCTGATCAGAATAAAAATACATAAACACACAAAACACACACAAACAACCACCACACTTGATTAAACACTCTAGATTACACTTTTTTAAATTTAAATAACATTATTTATATATAATAACTAATAATAATGATAAATTTCTCACAATCTTTAAATTTTTACAATAAAAATAATAATAGTAGTACAAGTTTGAGAGGTAGTCATTAACAATTTTTAAATTATTTATATATATATATTATATTTATTATAATAAGTTATTTTACATTCAAACAACAAACAAACAAACAAACAAATAAATTAGACAAACAACACATAACATCAACCACCAATTAGAAATATATCGATTGTGCGCCGAAATAACAATTACAATAACAATAATAACAACAACAGTCTATTTTTATTGGTATATTATTTGCAATAAGTGCATTATTAGATTATATTAGATAAGAAAAAAAAAAACAATAATAATAGGAATAAGAGAGAGAGAGAAAAGTAAAAGAAGGAACCACTTGTTTAATTAACAATTAACAATACCAACAACTAAAAAAAAAACAATAATATTTATTTTCAAATATCAAATATTCAAGATATTTATTTATTCATATATATATATATATATATTAAATAATAAAAATAATCATATAATTAAATAATAATATAATAGTTTAGTAATTAGTAAACAGCAGTAGTAGCATTAAATTATATCAAAGTACAATAATATTTAAAGTAAACTGAAAGGTTGCAAACATTAATCAAACCAACCAGTTTTTATTCAAGTTATTGGTGTTCTCAAGAAAAAAGACAGTTTTCAAAAAATCAAAAACGAAAATAACAAAAATTCAAAGAACAATCCGTAACCACAAAATAATATATTGATAATCGTCAAATTTGCAACCTTTTTTCGATTGATTGGCAAAAAAAAAGCAAACTATTTTGACAATCAAACCAATACCAACAATATTATTATATAATTATATAAGTTTTATTTTCTTTAGTTAGTTAGTACCAATCATTTAAAAATAGCTATAGTATTACAATTATAATAGAAACAACAATCACTCTAGTTTAACGGAAATTTGTTTTCCAATCACACCCTTCAGGTGGTTGGAGTTTTGAACTCCGGGCAAAGACCAGTGGTCATTCCCTTTTTTGGCCTTCAATTGAATTGAATTGGCATTTCCTTCTTTCTAATCACCTACTTTGTTATTCATTTAACTATTTCTTGTATATATTTTTATTTATTATTTTGTATATATTGTAATTATTTATTCACTCCATTTCATTTTATATTTTATTTATATATAGTAATCTTCTTTATTTTTATCATCAAATCAATCATTAATAGTTGTTGTTGTTTTACTTTTCTTTCCTTTTCTTTTATAAAAAAAATTATTAAAAATGGATATTTTCGATGAAAAAAAGACATCGTTACATTTCGTGGTGATCGACGACAGCGATAGAGAGCTAGAGTCAGACTATGAAAGAGAAAGAGATGTCGATGACCGATGTCTATCTCTAGATGAGTGTTCGAGCACTCATTGCACCGAGGAAATATTTGATTACAGTGACGAGTCTGACGAGGACTACAGAGATTTCATCGATTTGGACGATGGAAACAACGAGGATAACACCTCTGCATCGGGACACCATTATTCTTCGTCTTTCACCTCTGCCACTTCCAATCTTATCAATGTATACCAAACGCTATTCAGTAAGACTCTATCCGGTACCTTTACCGACAAGAAAAAGAATAGCAGCGGCGGCATCAACAACAGCAACAACAACATCCTCATCAATAGTAATATTAAAAAGAAAAGATATACCAAAAAGAGTAATACATTCAACGGCAGCAGTAGCAGCTACACAAGTAATAATCACTCTAGAAATAATAGTAGTGGGAACAATAATCCACTAAATCAATCGACTTTTTTAAATAATATTAATAATAATAATAATAATAACAATGTAAATAATAATAATAATAATAATAATAATAATCATGTTAATAGTAACGATACAACGACCGAAAGCGGACATCCAGATGTATATATTTCACAAATTTTCGAAACCTCCAAGGAATTGTTCAACAGATTTGTTATGATTCCAACACAACAACAACAACCACCACCACCAGCCAACATCATTGATGATTCTGACATTGAAAATTCACCTACAAGCAATCCAAACCCTTTTGTAAACAATAATATTAATAATAGTATAAAGTCACCATCAAAGATAAATAGCAACGCAAACAGCACAACAAACAGTAATATTTCAAAAAAGAGTGCCCTTAACTACACCCAAGTAGTTGCAATACCCGTACTACAACCTTCATTATATTAACAAGAACCGAGTCGGTTCAACTCCACACCTCAGATCTCAGACTCGACCCTTTTTTTTTTATATCCAGAGTTATTAATAAATTTTAACCAATTGGTTTATTTTTTTTGTTTTAAAACTACCAACCTTTTTTTAAAATAATTACATATATATATATATTGTCGTTTATCACATTTATAAATAGTAGTAGATATTTTTATATATTTTATTAATTTTTAGTCTTTTGGAGGAATTCATAGGCAGCAGAGAAATCCTTTTGACCCAAACCCTTTTGAACCATCATGGTGTAGAATTGGTGAGCGGTAGTACCAAGTGGGAGTGGTTCTCCGATTGACTTGGCACTGTCGACAGCCAAACCAAGATCTTTGTTCATCAAAGCCGATCCGAAACCACCGGTGTATCCACGTGAGGCTGGTGAGTTCTCGAGAACGCCTGGACATGGATTATATACTTCACTGCTCCAACATCTAGCGGAGCTGGTATTGAAGATACCTGCCAGCTTCTTTGGATCGATTCCAAGTTTGACACCCAAGTTCATAGCCTCGGAGACACCGACCATCGAGATACCGAGAACGAGATTATTGCAGACTTTAGCAGCTTGACCAGTACCGATGTCACCGCAATGTACGATATTCTTACCCATGGCTTCCAAGTATGGTTTGGCACGTGCAAAGTCAGCGTCCTTTCCACCGACCATAAAAGTCAAGGTTCCTGCTTCAGCTCCACCAGTACCACCGGAAACTGGACAATCCAACATAGTTGCATTGTGTTTGGCAGCAATATCAGCTACATCACGTGCTGTTTGTGGATCAATTGTTGATGAATCCAATAATAATGTACCTGGTTTAATTGATCTATTTTTATTATATCAAAATTAATTAATATACAAAGTATGAAATCAAAGTGGATAGATAGGTTATTGTTGTGTTGCTGGGTGATTCCAATTTGAATAAGTACATACTTGAAAATACCATTGTCACCACAATAGACACTCTTTACATGTGCAGAAGCAGGCAACATAGTAACGATGACATCGGCTCTCTTGGCAATATCGGATGGTGAAGCTGCTACATCGGCACCCTTTTCTCTGAGTTTGTTGACATTGTCTTGGGAAATGTCGTAGACGACAACTTTGTGTCCCTTTTTGATCAAGTTGGTGGCTTGGTGAGCACCCATATTACCCAAACCAATGAAACCAACAACTTTTTCGTTGGCAGAGGAGTATCCTCTAACACCACTATAAATAACTCTTAAACTTGAAGATCTACCAACAAACATCTTTAATATAAAATAATGTAAAACAATATGATCAACCGATTAAATGATCAGTTTTGCAAAAAATAAAGGAAAGAAATTTCAAAATATCTTAATTTTTTTTTTTTAATTTTTTTTATTTTTTTAATTTTTTTTTCACAAATGACTTTTAAGTTTAGTACATTTTTTAATTTACACAAATACTTTAATATTTATTTAAAAGATTCATAGATGATAATTTATTAACATTACTATTTCAATTGATTCTTTTTATATTCGCCTTAAACTCTTCGAATTTCTTCTAGAATTATGTACCCTGATAAAAGAAATCTGAAGAGTTTAAGGCTACTATAAAAGAATCCATAGAGTAATGGAACAATTATTATCATATAAATAATAATCAAGTACGTAATATTACATTTATTATAAACTAGCTCTACCATCTTATCTTTAATTATCAACCAACTGTCTTGTGAATCAATATTTAAAAATAAATCGTTCAACAAAAAGAATTCAATTGTTTATGTGTGGTATGGCAGTCTAGATATAAGTTTAAATAATTAAAATGAAGTTCATTGTTTTATAAAAAGTCTAAATTCAAAAATTATAGATTTACACTGTATGATATTTTATAACCAAAATTAATATGACAGTTTTTTTTTTTATCCTTTTTAGTAAATTAATTGTTCACAGAATTAATATAACACCACACAAAATTTTTTAAAAAACAAATTATATGAAAATGTAGTCTTCGAATACAATGGCGGTATTAGGGTACTGACACAATTTATGTAAGGTAAAAAAAAAAGACACTGTCGATAACCAAAAATAAGATTCTACTTCATTTCATTTTTTTTTTATTCTAATAAACAACATTACAACTTACAAAAAAAAAAAAATTAATTCACAATTTTTCTTTATAAAATAAAATAGATATTTTTTTATTATTATACCTCAATATTACTTTTATTTTAATTAATTTATAGATTCTAAAAAATTTGTTACTTTTCCTTACCTATATCAATTATAAGTTTCTTTAATTCAAATAAATAGATATCTATTTTCTGTAAAATTATATATTTTAAAACAAAAAAACTATAAAATAATCTTTTATTTAATTCTAAAAAAGTAATATTACTTTATAAATATTGTTTATATAATTAACCTATAAAATAATAAATTAAATTACAATGTCAAAATTATTTAAGAGGTTCGGATCAAGTTCTGAATCAAATATTCAGACAGTTCCTGAAAAAGTAACTTCGACTGAAGATGAAGAAACATTGACCGAATCAAAGAAAGATATTTTAATGCATCTCATTAAGCAAATTAAAGTTGGATCAGAGATTAAACACATAGCACTACCATGTTTTCTATTACAACCAAGATCTCTATTAGAGTCATTGACAGATAATTTCAATTGTTTAGAAGAGTTATTCAAGTATGTATAGAAATGATATTAACTCCTGAAAATATTTTATTAATATTCTAATTTTATTTTTAATATTTTTTAGAATACAAACAATTGAAAATGAACAAGAGAGATTCATACAGTTCATTAAATTCTCATTGTCTGCTTGGAATACAAGACCAAAGGGAATTAAGAAACCATTCAATCCAATCATTGGTGAAACCTATGACTGTTTTTGGGATAGTGGTGATTCAAATGGGGACAGCCACTTTATTTCCGAACAAATCTCTCACCACCCTCCTCACTCTGCTTTCTGCTTCTACAACAAGAAGGAGGGTATCATTGTGAATGCCAACTTGTCAACCAACTATGTCAAATTCTATGGTAACTTTGCAGAGTCATCCCTAAAGGGAACCATTGTATACCACTTCCTCAGAACCAATGATACCTACGAGATGACCATGCCAACAATTGGAGTGAGAGGAATCCTGTTGGGAAAACTTGGTAGCTATGTCAATGGAAAGACGGTTATAAGAAAAATGGGTACAAGTTATACTGCCAACATTGAGTTTCTCAGCAAGAGTATAGTGGGATCATCAAAGCACCACAATGGAGTTAAAGGTACAATCGATTTTGAAAATAAGCACCTCTACAAGATTAAGGGTAACTGGGATAATCAAGTCATTATATCGCCTATTAGCCACGGTTCCGATATTGTACTATTGAATGTACACAATGTAAAGCTATATCCTCACAAGTCTATCCCATTTGATCAACGTCCAGAGACAGATTCATCTCACATCTGGAAAATAGTGGAAGAAGGTATTCTCTCCAACAATGACCAAGTAACATCAAAAGAGAAACAAAGAATCGAAGAGAATCAAAGAAAAGACGAACAATATAGAAAAGATAATGGAATCAAATGGGTACCAAAGAATTTTGTTTTGAAAGGTAATCCATTGGATTTTCCTCCAAACTATGTCTATAAAGAATTAGAGTAAGTAAACTAAAACAATTAATTTATTTAATCATTAATATACTAATTACTTTATTTTATTATTTATAGGAATATATTCCCTGAAGTATACGCATCAAAACCAACAAGTTAAAATAAAGAATAAAAAAAAATGTTAATTTTAATAAAATATCTATATATATATGTATTAACTCTTCAGTATTTATTTAAAGACAATAAAAAATAAAAGAAATATTAATAAATATGAAAAACTATTAGAATGTTTAGCAGATGGTGTACAGTTAGGTAAAGTCAGATTCGCTACAATATTGGATAATGCAATTGTTTCTAACTCTGCAGTTAAATCACAAGAATTTTTTTTGATACACATCTGAGTGGATAATAATGGCTCTGTACAAAATAGTTTGAAACAATTAGCTTCCCTTGGACAATGCTTATATGCACACGATAATGGATGTAAATTAAAAAGTGATGTACAATTAGTTTTTGTTAAACAAAAAATTAAATAACTTAAAAAAATTAAAAAAAACATAAAAAATATTAGAAAAATGTTACAAACTTTGATAGCTGTTATATTCAAAAATATTTACATTTAATGAATCCTGACAGTTTGACCCAACAACCTGTCCCCTGGTTGTACAATAACCAATCGAAGCTTTTGTGTCGCATCTACAAAATTCATAGGGTTCACAATCACCTACATTGTAACAAACTCTAAAAGAAGGTTTTGGTAAGATTTGACATGTACCATAAACTGATCCTGGAAAGTTCTGACACTATAATAGAGAATTAATATTAAATTGAATTTGAAATTCAAAAGATAATAATTTACATAATGATTCGCAAGTGTATTACAAGTGATTCTACTGGTTATACATAGATCACCTAATTTGGGGTTGGTTGTACATATTCCAATATTCGAACCGTTTGCAATCGGTGTACAATATGCATTTGCGCAATCTCCAATTGTTGAAAAGAGTGTACATTGGTCAGAGGTGAGATTTAGTTTTACACACTCACCAACCGGTCCCTCGTCATCAACACGAGTAAAATTACAAACAGAACTTTGATCGCATTGACCATCATTTATGCATCCAGTTACAGGTGTAGAACAAACCTTGGTGCCATTAGGACCTGGAAAGCAATCGAGACCCATCATACACTCATAATCCACCGAGCAAGATTCTCCAAACTGTGCATAGTTGGCAATCCTACAGATTTTCAATCCATCGCCAAAATAGTAAACACAAAACTGACCTTTGGCTTGATCACAATCCGAATTAATATTGCAAGGATCTCCCAATGTCAATGGATTTGCACATGTTTTATTTACACATCGATAAGGTTGATAACACATTGGACCACTTATATAAATGGATATAATATATTTATTAATTAATTTGGTTAGTTTGTTTTTTGTTTAATTTAAAAAGTTACAAACACATACGAAAATGGAAATTGATCATCGCATCTTTCACCAAAGTCAACACAACGCCTATTACTACAATACAGTAAATCAACTATCTCCATATCTGTGGCGTTCCCGGTATTACTTATATTAAAATCGACACAATGAACATATTTATATTCAAATAGGCATACTACTATCACTATTAAAATTAGTGGCGCAACTCGAACAATAAATAGTTTAGTCATACTATTATAATACTAGTAGTCATTAACTTTTTATAGATATATCTATAAAACACTACAAAAATATGCAAAAACAACAAAATAATTTAAAAAACATATCTATAATTAAAATATCAACAAATATTGATACGAATATATTTCAATTTGTATTTGATTTTTTTTTTTGATCATAATGTGTGAATGACAAGTTGTAGTGTGAATTATTTGTTTTTTTTTTTTTGTTTTTTAATTCAAACAATAATAATAATTTATTTAATTATTATTATTATTATTATTCCTATTAATTTAATTATAGGTGTGTATTTTATATATATATATTTATGATTAATTGATTTTTTTTTAATTTAATTTAAATGATAATACATCTCGATGATTCGAGTTATTTTCATTTTCTGTACTATCGATTGCTTCTTGTGAGGGTGGAGTTGAAGATTCATTGCAGCAATGACTAAAGAATTGATGTGATTTAAATAATTGTTGTTCGGCTGTATCCAGTTGCTCACTTGCATAGGAAATATCATCGTTGATCGCTTTGATTAAACCTTCTAAGCTCTTGAAATCGCACATCGGTCTAATGAAACCAGTGGCAATAGCATTGACTTGCTCACCGTAGAAATCACGATCGTATCGGTTCAATATATGTATTTCGAGTGTCTTCTTTTCGTTCTTGTAGAATGGATTCCAACCGACGGACATTACCATCTTGTGAATGACCGACTCTGAATCGATGCCTTTTACGTTGGCCCAGCCAAAGAATACACCGATCGGAATATCTTTAATAGTTGCCTCATATGACTCTGTAGGTAGATTGGCAGTAGGACAGCCTAGATCTTTACTACCTCTACCGAATCCCTTTATTACCTTACCACGTAAGAACAATGGCAACATTGATAAATCTTCTTTTGAAACTCCTCTTTGTATTTCTTCCATCTCTCTATATATCTGTTTATATATATATATGCTAAAATAAAAATAAAAAAATAATAATAAAATTAAAAAAAGAATAATATAATACAAAATAAGATAATATAATAATTATAATGTACAATTAATTTAAAGAAAAAATGAAATTAAAAACGATCAATTCATTTGTCTTTTGTCAAACGATCTAATATTTAATGTTTTTTTTTTTTTCATGTTCCGGTGTTTTTTGTTTTTCCAGACCCAAAATTAAGAAGCAGAATCAATGTCGACATTACCTATTTATGATGTGGTTTATTAATTGGGTTGGTTCGATATAATAATAAATCGATGAGAGAACGAACAAACTTTGATTCTATTTTATTTTTTTTGATGGTTTAACAATTTTCTACATTTAAGAAAAATTAAAATAGAAAAACAAAAAAAAAAACCTTAAAAGTAGATAGTGCATTTATAATTTTTCTTTCCCTCTCTCTTTTTTTTTTAACCAAATAGTTGTGATTATAATATATTAATAAACTGCATTGGTGGCACAATGATTTTGTGCAGTTTCTAAAAAAAAAAAAAAAAAAATTTTTGTTTTTTTTTATGAATTTCACTTTTGTTTATGTGTTTATTGATTGCTGGTACTTTTAAAAAACAAGTTATAAATTAGATTTGTGTGTTAAATTTGTTTATAGATACATAAACAAAAACAAACAAGTCAAATATGTCTGACGATCAAAATAATAACAATAATAATAATAATGTCAAAGAAATTATAAAGAAACAACCAGTTGTTGACAAGAATATATTGAATCTATTGAGTTCTATGAATGTAGATAAGAATGCTGCCCATGCCTTCTGGGATACTCAACCAGTACCAAAGATCGATGCTCAAGTCGAAAAATCTGGTCCAATCGAAGTGAAAACATTGGATGATGTAAGAAAGGAACCACTTACTCTTCCTGCTCTCTTTGAATGGGTTGTCTTGGATGTCAATGATCAAGTTCAAGTATGTATATTAATTTAATATTCAATCATTTATCATCTAACTTATTGATTATTATTATTCTCTCTCTCTCTCTCTCTCTCTCTCTCTTTCTATCTTTAGTTGAATGATGTATATACATTGTTAAATGAAAACTATGTTGAAGATGACGATAATATGTTTAGATTCGACTATTCTATTCCATTTTTGAAGTGGGCATTGCAACCACCACACTATCTCAAGGATTGGCACATTGGTGTACGTGTAAAGGAATCAAAGAAGTTGGTAGCTTTCATCTCTGCCATTCCAGCCACCATCAATGTCGACAAGACCGACAGCGTAAAGATGGTAGAAATCAACTTCCTCTGCGTGCACAAGAAGTTGCGTGAGAAGCGTTTGGCACCGGTACTCATCAAGGAGATCACACGTCGTGTCAACCTACAGAATATCTGGCAGGCTGCCTACACCGCCGGTATCGTCTTGCCAAAGCCAGTGGCATCGTGTCGTTACTACCATCGTTCGCTCAACCCAAAGAAGTTGGTCGAGTGCAAGTTCTCGTCGCTTCCACCACGTGTCTCCATGTCGTTGCTCATCAAGTTGAATCGTGTCGAGGAGAACACCAAGTGTCCAGGTATCCGACCACTCACCAAAGCCGACGTGCCAAGCGCAACCCGTTTGCTCGCCAAATACCTCTCACAGTACTCTCTGGCACCATCGATGTCCGAAGAGGAGGTATGGCACTGGCTGGCGCCACAAAAGAACGTCATGGACTGCTACGTTGTCGTCGATCCAAAAACAGGAGAAGTCACTGACATGTGCAGTTTCTACACATTGCCATCGTCGGTCATTGGAAATCCAAAGCACAAGACACTCAAGGCTGCATTTTCATTCTACAACATTGCAACTAGCGTTCCACTGGTCGACCTGATGGCAGACGCTCTCCACCTCGCCAAGAAAGGTGACTTTGACGTCTTCAACTGTCTCGACATCTTTGAAAACTCTAAATTCATCAAAGAACACAAATTCCAACCAGGTGATGGAAATCTTCAATACTATCTTTACAACTATGCCACTCAAACAAAAGATCCGTCTGCCATGGGACTTGTATTGCTTTAAAAATAAATTTAATAAATATAAAAGTTAAACACATATTAATAAATAAAAGTTAAAGTTTTTTTTTATTTTTATTTGTTTATGATCTTGGACCTTTATTATAAACCGGTTTCGGTTCTCTTGGAAATCTGGATCCAGTGTTGGTGATGTTGGCGCCATCTCGGAGCATTCTTATCAGGATGGAAGCGATGTTGTTGGTGTCGTCCAGACCACTGTGATGACGACCAACCAGATCAATCCTCAGGTAGGACAACAACGATGTCATACCACGTGCTGGCACTTTGTAGTGTTGTTCGAACGATTTCTTAATGTTGATCCACTCGCAAAAGTAGGATGGCCACTTTCCATCGCTGCCAGCCAAGAATTTATATTGAACTGGCAGCATTTGATTGAGATCCCAATCACCACAGGTCAGGAATGTGAAAGTATTTACGGGTGATCGCTCACCACTCGGCAGCAACAGTTGATTCTTTATCAGCCACTGACGATGATTCTCCATGACAACACTGAATGTTTGTGCTTCGTCTACCCAAGCTTGTTGAATACCGGTAAGTTCTGTACAAAATGCAGAGAGTCGTGGGTTGTGCACCGGCTTCACATACTCTCTAAAGGTGTCTACTATCTTACATGTCTCTACCTCAACTATTACTGATGGAAACTCAATGATCTCTTGTTTTGCAATCTTTGTTCCATTTTCACAAGTAGCTTCAAAATCTAAAACTACAATGTATTTAAAAGGTGACGGCATTTTTTATTGTTTTATAAAATATATATATATATGTAAATAAATAAGTTATTAAATATTTGTTTAATTTTAGTTTATTATTAGACTATTGTTGTCTGTTAATTCTCTCTTTATCAATCTATGAATAAATGTTTATCATTTTGTTGTTGTTGTTGTTGTTGTTATTAATAAACAATCACACACAAGTATTATTATCTCATCAATTTCTCAAAATTCCATTCATCTGTTTTTCACCAAATTTGTTATTCTTCATAGAAAAAAATTAAATGTCTTTTGACTATAGTTGGTGAATAGATAAGATATATGAATAACAACTTTGAAAGTTACAAATAATCATTTCTCTGTTTTAATCTAAAAAGAATAGATCTTTTTTAATTTTTGTAATTAAATAAATAAAAAAATAAAAATATTTTAAAATAAAAAAAGTTTGAATTGACTTTTTGGTCAAAGGAAGTTCATCATTCAAAAAAAAAATTAAAAAGGCTCTCAAAAAAAAAACTCACAGCAAAAAAAAAAAAAAATAGTGCTTTTTTGATGGTGGTGAAGTGACATGACTAGAATCCTCAATTAAAATTAATCATCATCTATCATCAATAATTTTTTTTTTTTTTTTTTTTGCATTAAACTTTTAAATAGATAGAGAAATATACAGAAAATGAGATATAACACTCTATTTTTATCAGTCATTGTTTTGGTAACCTTGATTGCTGCATCAACCAATGCCGATATTGGTGGAAAGAGAACTTTGGTTGTATTAGATGATCTCTCAATTCAACAATCACACTCTATCTTTTTCAAATCTTTATCAGGTAATTAGAAATTAAAATAAATCTCAAACAAACTGATTCGCGTGGTCATTCAATCAATCGAATTGTCCAATTGAACAATCTTAATATTTCAAAGTATAGTCCAAATACATAAATATATAGATATCACCAACTCAATTACACACATATTGAATGGAGAAATACACAAAGATTGATAGATTGACAGAATGAATAGAATTTAGTTTGAAGCTTTAACAATCAATTAGTTAGTAGTTTTTATTAATAGATTTTATTTCCATAAAATTAGATAGAGGATATAAATTACAATTCGTTAGACCAGAAGAAAAGGTAGCTTTGGAGAAATATGGTGATTTCAACTATGACCATTTAATTTTGTTTGCTCCAACTAGTGATGGTAATATTAATATTGTTTTAAAAAAAGAGAGAGAATCACGCTCATCATTAATACATTTTATTTATATAACATAACATTATAGATTTATATTTATCAGCAAATCAGATTATCAGTTTTGTTGATGCTGGAAATAATGTTTTGATTGCAGGATCATCGGTTGTCTCCGATACAATTCGTGATGTTGCCAGTGAAGTTGGAATGGACATTGAAGATGACAAGACCAACGTATTCGATCACACCAACTTTGACAAATCGATTGACAACCAACACAATTTGATTGTTGCCGATCAATTCATCAAGGACTCACCAATCATCTTGCAAGGTGCCGACAAGACACCAGTACTCTTCAAGGGTATCGGTCACGCCATTCGTCAGAACGAGTTGAACTATGCCGTGCTCACTGGTGCCTCCACCGCCTACTCTGGTAAGGCCACCACCGGTGCCTCCACCAAGCTTCTTGGTAAGCGTGTTGGTTTGGTCTCTTCGTTGCAAGCACGTAACAGCGCACGTGTAACCTTCTCTGGTTCACTCGAACTCTTCAGTGACAACTTCTTCAACGCCAAGGTCAACGGTAACCAACCATCTGGAAACCAAAAGTTTGTCGAAAACTTGGTATCATGGACTTTCCAAGAGCGTGGTATTCTCCGTACTTCCAACCTTCAAATTTCAAAGGGTAACGACACCAACCCAACTTTATTCACCGTAAAGGATGATATTGTATGTATTTACCTGTAAAAAAAGAAACAAACAAAAACAAATACTAATTTTTACATAATCTAAAAACAAAGACATACTCAATTAAGGTCGAAGAGTTCACTGGTGGTAAATGGGTTCCATACGTAGACCAATTGGAATTGGAAATCATCATGTTGGATCCATACATTAGAACTTTCATCAAGGGAGACAAAAATGGAGTTTACTCTGCCGATTTGAAGCTCCCAGACGTCTATGGTGTCTACACTTTTGAATCAACCGTCAGAAGACCAGGTTATTCCAAGTTGGAGAGCATCATCCGTCATCCAATCCGTCCATTCCGTCACGACTCTTATGAACGTTTCATCCCATCTGCATACCCATATTATGCTGCCTCATTCTCAATGCTCGTAGGTGTCTTTATTTTCAGTATTGTATTCTTATTACATCAAGATCCAAAGAGAGTTCTTTAAAACAAAAAAGAAAGTTATATAAAAAAATAATAATCAAAACCCATTTGAAAACAAATAGTCCATCCAAAAAAAAAAATTATATAAAAATAAATAAATATGAATTATAAATAATCATTTTTTTCATTTAATTTTAATTATATCAAATTTATGTAAAATCACCAACATATCATCACCATTGATCAACATCAAAATTTGTTACTTTTTAACACATTCTTTTATTTTTCGCATTTCTCAAAACGGTGTTTGGTAACACTTAAACCAGTGTACAAAATTTTTGCAGCAGTGATTTGAAACCCACCAAAATCCAAAAATTAGTTTTATCGCAAATTAAACATCACAAATTAATTAATAATTTTGGAACAAAAACAATTAAAATCAAAAAAATTAATATATTGATCATTTCAGTAAAACTTGTTTATACAAGAGATATATTTATATAGATTTAGGAAATCAAGTCATCATGTTACACAACACCAAGTACTACGATAACCACATTCGTACATCACCCCTGGGATACCTGTGTGAACATCAACAGAATCATGTCAACCAACAAATCACTCAAATTGGTTACAAAGTGCCCAACAACTCTGCTGAAGGTATAGTTGAGAACCGTTCTGTACCTAGATTGGTTAACGAGACAAGCACTCAACTTGAATTGCTGCGTAACGTTGAGATAAGACAGGACATTGGTCCTCTCGACAAGTCCTCTCTTTCTCCCTCTTTTCCTACTTCTCCACCTTCGCAATTCATACAGTCGCGCTACCAACAAAGACTGACTCTTCCAGTGGCACCAGATCCCACCATCTTGTCGAATCTACAAGAACCTATCTTTGGTGCTGTCGATGTTCTTTCTGGATTCAATGTTGGCTCCGATTTTAATGCCGATCCTCAGTTTAACTCAACTCCAGGACAACAACCAGAACCACCACTAGAAGCACCAGCCAACACCATCAACACACCGGGCAACACCACTACCACACCAAGAGTCCCACCAACAAAGAAAGTAGATCGTAGAGTTAATAGAAAACCTGTGCCAATGCAACGTGTCCAAGGTGCCAAGGACCAAGCCAAGAGTAAATCAAAGAAGAGCAAAGCCATCAGCGCCGCTTTGAGGAAGGTTTTTCCAGGCTCTGGTCTACCAATGACGTTGAGTATTGTGCAAGCACCGACCTCCATTATTAATCGGTCAGTAGCTACTTTTAAACTCCATATCACTGGTGATGTACACCCAAATTATTTGGTGGTAGTGGCACGTCCTACCAATCCTTCAATGCTCCGATTAGAAGACCAGTCTGTCGGTGTTGACGAAAGTGGAATAGTCGAAATGCGTATCAAACTCTACAGTCTGGACAAGCTCAATTTCAAAACAGGCGTACTGATCAACTTTAGATTGGTGAATGACACCAACCAGGTTCTAACAGACACCATTCGTACCGATATAACCGTTCCAATTCCGTTCATTGCCAACACCAAAGACCTCTCGTATCCGAAAATAAAATCGATCACACACAATGTTTTTTGCGAACACTTGGTGCCAAACGAAGATATGATCAATTCAATGATCACAGCAGATCGTCTCAAGTGGGGATCAACCAACGAGCTCACTCTCTATGTTGTGGAAGTAGAGAGTTTGATGATCAAACACATTATAAACCAAGGAAGCATTCCACCAGGAGAGAGATCCAAGACAGTTGCATTCTGCCAAATTCCAAAGTATCTATTTGATGGCAATCATTCACTTCATGCTCAATACGTCAAAGTTGAAACCAATAACATCGACGATAACAACAATAATAACAACAACAACAACAACAACAGCGACAACAACAACACTAATGAAACTAAAAAGAAAACCAACTCAATTCCACCACAAGCTCGTTGGTCAACATGGAGTTATGGTTTTGAAGGTTCTGTCATGTTGGTATTTTAATAATCAAGTAATTGGTTAATTTTAAAATTAACATGTGCCTTGCATGTTATTACATTGTAAGAAAAATCAAGAAAATAAAAATAAACAATAACAAAGACAATAGTTTTAATGATATTATAAACATAATTTAAAATAAAAATATTTTATTATTTATTAATATTGAGAAAAAATTTTAGAATTCTTTTGTTTTTTTTGTTTCAATGTGTGGTTGATCAGTTGTGGCTCTAACACGCAACCAAACTAGCTTTTTTTAGCATATCTTTTTATTTTATTGTTCACAATGATTTATTGTTGAAAAACAAGATACAGATAGATAGAAATGGTTTTAACAGTTAAATCAACAAAAGAAATCACAGAAGAGTGGATCGAATTTACTTTGGCAGTTTCCAAGATCAGTGATGAAAATGCAAGACAATGGTTAGAAAAAAGAGTTCGTTATTTGAGAAATGCATTCTCAGACAATGAGTTTAGAAAGGACAAAGAACACATTGTATACAGAGAGAAATACCATTTATCTAAAGATATAGTTGCCAATCTAAGTGATCAGGAAGCAATAAATGTACTGAGACCATGGTTAACACCTGTTATCCCAATCAGAATTGATAAGTTGTAAATATATGTATATTCAATTAAATTAAAAATAAAGATTAAAAAATTGTATTTTATATAATCAAAAAAGATATTTATAAATAGACTCTATTTATTATTTTCAAGCTCGGTAGGCAAAGTGTTGCTATTTTATATAGTTTAGTTATTAACTTCAACTGATACCATTTCGATGTTATCAACTTTGTGTTGATTGGATTGGTCGATGTCGATGTTGAGTGTTGATGATCTCTTCTTGTAGATAAAGAAAGCAGTGGCAACCAAAATCGAAAGGAAAGCAGCACCTGATACCGTTAGGATGATGGCCAAGTTGTTGTTATTGGATGACTTTGATTGTGTGGTCTCTCTTTCGTTTATCTTTAATGACAATGAGTTGTCAGCGTTGCTAATCAAACTATATGAGAGTGGCTCGGTTGTACTGGAGGGTGAGTTGGTAAAGACAACGGTTACATTGTTAAAGGAATACGATGATTGACCTGGGTAGTTGATAATCTTGTAGACTTGATTTGGAATCAAAGCATCTTGATTGATTCTAACATTTACAGTTCCAAGGAAATTGAAGCTACCAGTAATATTAACTTTTATTTTTTAAAAAAAGAAAGATTTATAATTTAATATCTATTATTTATGATTATTATTATTATTAATAGATCTATAATTATATAACTTACTTTGAGAATAACTAGTTGGAGAATTAATTAAAATGCCAATGGTACTTGCGGAAGAGGAAGAGAATGCACCTTGAATAACGATTTGATTAACATCGAAAGCCGAACCAATGTTACCAGTATTTGTAAGACCACCATTGATAGTACCGCTTCCAAATAGGTTGCCACTGTTAATAACATTACCATTGATAGTAGTCTTATTTAATTCCAATGAGCCTGAAGCAATAGCTGATCCTTCGATTGTAACATTTGAAAGAGTAACATTGTTATTCTATTTTTAAAAAAATTAATAATTAGTATTTTTACTATTTAATAAATAAAAAAATTAAGTATACTTACAAATAAAATGGTACCTTCACCATTATTAATAATATTTATATTATTTAAAATATTGTTTGTTACTTCAAGAACAGAGTTATCCTATTGAAATAAAGTTTTGATTAGAATATTTAATGAACATTCAATAGTTTGTTTTTTTTTAAATATTACTTACATTTAATTCAAAACTTAAAGTTGAAATGGTGGTTGGTACGGTAATATTACTTTGAGTGTTTGGTTGAGTAGATTGTGTTGAGGTTGGAGTTGGTGTTGGTGTTGGAGTTGAAGTGGTTGTTGTTGTTTCTGGTGTAACATCTAAATTTGATGCTTGCTTCATGAATGATAGACCACCACCAAACCATGTTGATTGATACTTGATCTTGGCATTACCAAAGAGCTTGATGGTCAATGGTCTGATGGGAAGAATCAAATCGGCAAAAATAAGTTGAGCATTGTCTCTTAGAATGAACTGACCCTTCATATCGAAAATGGTGTTCTCAAAGTAGAGAATCGAGTTGTATGAGGCAACCATTTGCGAGGTGGCAGCAGTGCTTTGGAGGATACAAAAGTTCTTTAATTTAACTGGAGCGGTACTGATAGTAGTGAAATACTGATCAAAGGAAATCAGTGAGTTTTCAGCAGAGAAACTTGCATCTTGGACTAAATTAAGCTTGGTGATATAGAAATTCGATTGTTTTACAACCATCTTTACTGTTTCGAGAAGGAAATAGTTATTAGCTGTAAAAGTAGATCCTATAAATGTAAGGTTGGAAGAGTGCATTGTTGAAATAACCCCAGCATTCTAAAATAATAAAAAAAGGTAAGTAAGTATATGCTAAAACAAAATAATATAAAATAAATATTTTACATTTGAATTGAAAATAGCATTATTTGATGTTAAAGATGATAATGTAAATCTTGCAGCTGCAGCAAAGTTAGTACTGGCACCAGAGTTTTGAGTCATTGCTGTATTATAGAGGGAGGCAAAATTAGTTGCCAATTTTTGAACACCATTACCTTTTAATTTAAAGTTTCTAATTAGTAATGAGTCAATTATAATAAGTTAAATTAATATTATTAATATTTACCAAATTGAACGGTTGCATTTACAAATCCAAGATTTGAAGCATTTACAAATCCAGATTTAAAATAGAGGTTGGAGAGCAAATTGGTTTGGACGGAAACTTGGAGGGCAGGGGTAGTTTGTGAGCTGGTTTCAACAAACAGGGTGGATCCACCTTGGACTTGAGCGTATTGCGCCTTGAGGGAGGCTTGTTGGACAAAGACCATAGTGGCATTCTTTGGACTGTTCATAATGAAGTTGGTAACAGTGGAGCTATTATTAATTATTACATAGGAGTCGTTTTTGGAAATGGAAATGTCATCGGCTGACGATGGACTACCAATGGGATTCCAATTGGTAGTATCGAAATAATTAAAGTTGTTATTTAACCAAGTGAATTGTTGACCAGAGTAAACAACACTAGTAAAAATACATAGTAATATTAAAGTTGATCGAATATTCATATTGTTTTTTGTTTATATGTTTTTGGATTATTATTATAAAGAAATAGTATCTTCTGTCGGACAGTGAAGAATAGTCAGAATAAGTAGTAATAGTAATAGTAATAGTGTTTGTAATAATACAAATAGAAATAATACAACAAATAATGTTATGTAGTAGTAGTAATAGTACAACAAAAACAAAGATATTATACTATCACAATAGTTGGAGAGTTTTATACCTTTGGAGATGTATTATATAGAAATGATTTGAAAACAAACCTGTTGTGATCCTTAATATTTATAATTTCTGATGAAGATGGTGATTCTCTCTTGGCTGATCACTGAATCAGTAAATGCAGCACAATCATTCAACTTACCACCATTCTATTCTGATCTGTGTGTGTTGCCAGTTGTTGTTGCATTCATTTCATCTTGTTTTGTAATTGTATTGTTCATTTTTTTGCATCAAAGCAATAACTGAAAAATCAAACACACACACATTCTATATCCCCAATCACCACTAACTACCCCTCTGATTGATCGTATGTGGTTGTTGTTGTTGAATTCTCTATGATGGTAACAACAATTTTTTTTTAAAAACAAAATAAATTGACTTAAGAAAGGTGATTAAAATCTGTTTGATATATTGGGTGACAGCTTGACTCTTTGTGGGTCAGCACATCAAGAATTCGATAACATTCTGATCTAAAATGAATTACACACCTACTATGTAATTAATAATATTTGCATGTACAACAATTATAGGTAACGATTTGTTAAATCATTGATCATGACTATACATACCCCTCCAATCATCTATTGATATAATGAAATACAATGGTTTTTTTTTTTTTGGTAGCTGCAACTCACATGCCTACACCCCAACATCAGTCAGTTGTCTAATGTGTTTTATTAGTTTTTCACCAATTTTATGAATTTCTTTTAAATAACTAAAATTTCTTTTCTTTTTTTTTAATTTTCAAAGTGTGCGAAAATAAAGTTTCTATAAAACCACAGTACATCTATTAAAAATTTTAATAGATCACTCAACACAAAGTGGAAATTGATTGATTGTGTGCTCTAAAATTGGAATTGTCGACCGCTATGATTGAATCTCCACAATCCAAAGTGAACAATTCTCATTGGTTTTACTTTTTTCATAGTTTCTAGATTTCGTGCTCTGATATATTTTGTTGTTTGATAACCTTTTTCATCGATGGATACAATAGATATTGACTTTGTAACCAATCATGACTTTTACACCAACACACACACTAACAGATTACCAAATTAAAAGTTCACTAAATAAAATAAAATAATGAGCGCTGATCAAAGAATCACCTGCCCCCCTTTAAGTTATTTCTTGATAGATAGAGATTTTTCAAATCTTTCTTAATTCTTCTTTCAATCTCTTTAATATTATTACTTGATAGATAGTTATTAGTAATTAAAATCATGAACATTGGTAATGATTCGATGATTGATTCTCGAGATACAAGGCTTTGAGCAATGGTTGCACATGATCTACCTATTAAATATATTCACAAAATAATCCTTAGGAAGGTATGAAAAATAAAAGAATTTGGTAAACATTAATGTTTATCTCTGTGATTGGTGAAACAGGTTTCCTTAGTTTTTATTGGTAAGGACTACACCACCTCTCTCTTTGACATGATTCAAATACCAAATGAAGCAAAAAATCCTTTTTGTTCGAACATACGACCACAAACAGTTCATCATTTAAAGATCTTTTTTTTTAACCGTTTTAGATTTTACAATAAAAAAAAAAACAGTTTAAATGAAGGGTCTCTCACCTGATTTGGATTTTTCATGTTCACTCGCATATGCCCTTTGCACTGCGAGCATAAATAATTTCGAATTGATGAAAAAGAAAATACCTCCTTGGATCACATATGATAATTTCTAAAAAAAGATTAATGATTCCTGATAGAAAACAAGTATCGTCTGAACGACTATTGTTTGCTAAAAATAATATCATAGTGATTGAATGATTTTAATTTCTACTATTTCTTTAGAATATTTTATTACTGGAATGTAAAATATTCTTCGTTCGTTGATCATACATTACCTTTTTGTAAAAAAAGTAATCTCAATGATGAACATCAAAAAACAACATCAATTATTTTACATTATTATAAAGAATGTTCTAAAAATAAAAATTTTACATCTTTTTATTTATTTATTTTTTTATGATAATTAAGCGTTATTATCATAATTATAAAGTAAAGTACAAGTTTCTATTTATTTAAATTATTATCTAATTATTATGATGGTGGTAAAGTTATATATTATATTAGTTATTGATTGGTTTTTTTTTCTTTTCTTTTTTAAAGATTTGCGTTAGCAGTATAATCTCTATGTAACATTAATACACCATAATCTCTTGGATCATTGTATACCGGTTTGATATCTTTTACTTTCATTAAGTTATCCCAATCCTCTTCATCCTTTGTCAGGATAAGGAATGAGAATATCAATGATTGTATAGAGTTGAACAGTGGGAAATGTTTCTTGATGGGATCCAACTCTGAGAGTCCAATGAAGAGGAAGCGCACACCTTGTTTGAACTGCTCGTTGTGTACAAAGTGCAATAGGTATTTAAAGAGATAGTCACCGTCCTCGCCTGTAGAGTAACACGAGAATATCTGACGATGACTCTCTATGCCTTTCGAGGTCATCAGAGTGAATATTAAATCTTGATTCCAGATGCTGATCGATGCTGTCGATACTTGGTTCGTTCCCTTTCTTCGTAGCTGCGCATTGTAAGTGGTCATATAGTATTTTCTATTGAAACGAAGTATCTCGTTGAAATCGATCGGCGTGAATGACCACGGTCCATAGTAGGCGTCCCACTGCGCCTTGATAACATCGACGTCTTTCTCCTCCCAAATCTTGATCTCCACATCCTTTGGAATATGGTCGAGTTTCACAGGGAAATCACAATGCCACGCGTGTTGGTAGAGGTCGCAGTAGTGTCGCGCACCCAAGTTTCCAGACTTTCTAATGACCACGTTGGCCCGTGTCTTTAGGGACGACGCATACACGATTGCACCTTCTTTCTTCATGGGCTGGGAGAGCATGTAGTCAATGATCAACAATGACAGTCCGTTGTTTCGCTGGTCGGGCATAACATTGCAATCGAATGCGTAGTGTGCCATTCTCGTGCCATTTAGAACACGCATCTCTCTAATAGTGTAGGCATAGACACCTACAAGTCGGTCCTCTTCACCATCGGTGATAATAATATGATGATTGGGTGTCAGAGATGGACGCACCGTAAAAGTAATCGGATGACTAACTGCGATTAGTCCGTGAGTAATAACTGTTGGTGGAATACGAGGAATAGACAATAACATTTGATCATCAACTAGCTCATCATATTCTCTAAATTTTAATTTACTCATAGCTTCTTTATGTGATACACTTCTATTTGGATTCATTTTTGTTTTTTTTTCTTGAATGCAAAAATAATAATAATAATTATTTATCTGTTGTTACAAAACTTATAGGAAAAGATATGTATATTCAAATATATATAAATTAAATAAATTTGTTTAGATTAGATTAATAAGTTAAGTAAGTAGGTAAAGGTGTTTGATTGGAAAGATGATCAATTTAAAAAAACAAAAACAACAAAAAAGAGTTTAAAATTAAATCAAAATGATAGACAGGATTGATTGTTAGATCATCAGAATTAGATTAACAACTAGCTACATTTGTTTATTTCTTAAAAGGTTGGTTGGTGATTAATTAAAGCCAAATTTAGTGGAGGGGGTAATGTGGTGATTGATTTTTGATCAAAAAAATAAAGGGTTTAAAAGTAAAAAAAAAAAAAAGTTTAGTTTTATCATAAAGTTATTTCAATATATCTTTAAATAAATCTAATATTTAAATAAAAATTGAAATATATATATTAACCAACAAATTAGTACCACTTTATTATTTTGGGTCGGTAATATTACTATTCTTTTATGTATTCTGAAATTTCAATTAAATTTTGGTCGGGATCTCTAATGTAGATTGAAAGTATTTTACCGTTGGCACCGGTTCTTGGGATTGGTCCTTCTTCGATATCGATTTGTTTTTCAAACATACGTTTCAATACTTCACGGAGTGGAACTGTTGATATGAAGCAAAGGTCGAGTGAACCTGGTGTCGGTATATCTGCGTGTGGTTTGAATACATTCTGATAGTGATGTAAGTTGATCTTTTGTTTGCCGTATTTCAGACAAACTCTTCCTTCACCAAACACCTCCTTTTTCAATCCAAGCACATCACAATAAAACTCTGTGCATCTATCAATATCTCTTGTAGTCAATACCAAATGATCCAAATGATTCAATATACATCCATCATTATTACCATGATACATTGTAATATCGATATTACTAAAATTATTTTTTGATGGTGATGTTGTTGTTATTGTCGTTGAGGTTGAAGTTGTTTTTATAGATGGTGAAGAATTAACTATTTTAAGTGGACTATCATTAATACTATTATTACTATTACTATTATTATTGTTATTGCTATTGTTTTCTGATTGATTTTTAGAAGGTGTAGCAGCTATATTTGCTGAAGTTGTATTTATATTTGAATTTGTATTATTTGTATTTGTTGTTGAATTTAAACCTTGAAGTTTATCTAATCTGTTGAATATCTTCAAATCAGCATAGTTTGATGGTAAACTAAGTAAATGTTTATATACAATTGCCAATATTTCACTGTCTACCAATGCACCATGTGTTCTTCTCAATAAAAGTTTATTGATTTTCAACTGTTGACTGTTTTTAATAAAATGTTAAAGTTGAGTTGTCAAGTTAACATTTTGATAATATAAATAAAAACATACCTAATTGAATCTAAACTATAATTTGAATCTTTATACATCTTTCTAAAGTAACGCATTGTACAGAAACATTTGTGATTGATATCGAATGGTGTTTTGCTCCTAACGAGTTCCTGTATGAGCATACGACGGTCGAAAGCAAGATTGTGAGCCACCAGAATGGAATCACCTACAAAGTCCATGAAACTGGAGAGTACAAACTCGATTGGCGGTGCATCCTGAAGTAGAAAGTTGGAGAGTTGGTGAATTTGTTCGGCTGCCGGGTGTATCTGAGTTTTCGGCTTGGCATAGCTCTGGAATGTGAGGCCAGTGCGACATCCATTGATCAACTCGACCGCACCAATCTCAATGATCGAGTCATCCGGACCGAAACCAGAGGTTTCCAAATCAAAGCAGACAACTCTGCCATTTAAAACCGGTTGTTCCAACTCATCGAATCCGCGCATCGATTGTAACCACCCAGCTGCTGCACCACTATTACCGTCAGCTGTCGTCGTAGAGGAAGCCAGAGCATTCAATCTATCTAGATGTTCATTCTTACTCTTTGATTTTGCAGAGTGTTTCGTCATAATATCATTGGTATTATCGATATTTCCAATGTTACTGTTTGATTTCATTTTCATCCATGTCGGTAAATTCTTTCTCTTTGGTTCAGATACTGTGTTTTGATTTGTTGTCGCAGTTGTTGTTGCATTATACTCGAAAGGATTTAAACTATCTTGTTGTGTATTGTTTTCATCTTCTTGTGTATTGACAGATGATAGTATTGATTTCATTGGTGTCGTAGCATTATCGATTGAAGATGTACTCTTTCTTAATCTCTTTAAAGATGAATCATTTAAAGGTGATGTTGCTGTTGAATTACTACGTTTATTATTTATATTCAGATCTAAAATATTATTATTGCTACTATTATTATTATTATTATTATTACTTTGATCATCCATTTCCACATCATAATCGTCATCATCACCATAGTCAAGTACATAACTATCTAATAATATTTGACTAATTTCATTTTCATTTTCATCGATATCATCTACATTTATACTACTACTAATATCTCTATCATTATCTTGTTGCTGTTGTTGTGGTTGTTGTTGCTGTTGAGATAAACTAATACCACTACTGACACCCACACTTGCACTTTTGACACTAATCGATTGTGATACTATCTGTTGTGCTAACATAGGTGAAACATAACTTGGTGATGATGATGCTGCTGTTACTGATGATGATGTGTTTGGTGGTGGTAAAACTTGATTTTTATCAGTGACATTTAAGTTGGTTGCATTTGCTACATTTGAAGATGTTGGGTGTTCAAATATCTGTGATGCAAAATCTAATAGATCATCATCCATTCTTTTATTTTGTAATTAACAATTCAAATTAGAATGCTGGTTTCACATTTGTATCTTTAAGTTTAGGTAAAACCTTTGTCAAACAAAATTTGGACAAACAAATTATTTTTTTCAATTTTATAAAAATTTACTTGGAAATGCTCATTTATAAGTTTATTATTATATTTGCACATATAAATTGAATTAATTCAAGTCATATACATTGGATTGGTATGAAAAATAAAAATAAAACTAAATGAAAACACAAAAGTTATAATAATTTTATTTTATTGGGTTTCGTTCGAAATTTAATCTAAAGTTTAAGGATTGAAATAAGACTAATAATAATTCAAATGATACATATGCAATTATTTGTTTAAAAATACAAAGTGAACATACAAACAAAAAAATTTTTAATTTTTTATAATATTTTTTCAAAATTTCATTTTAAATTTTTTTTATTTAATTTTTTATTTTTGGTTTCATCAAAATAGTTTTGTTACAAATTAATCAATCATCTATCGTAAAAGAAAAGAGAGAGAGAAAGAAAGATGTCAGCAGATCAGATTTCACGTCAGTTCCTTGAACACTACTACAATACCTTTGATGCTGATCGTAAAGCTTTGGCTCCATTATATGTGAGTAAAGAGAGGAAAAAGAAAAAAAAAGAAAAACAAATGACATCGAGCAAGAAGAAGTGTCGCAACACAAAAATAAAAAGAGAGAGGAGAGACAGACAGACATAATGAAGAGCAAAAGAGATAGAGAAAAACCTTTAAAAATAACGTACTCATACTAAACCATCTTATTTTACGAATATATAGACTCCACAATCAGTATTGACATGGGAAGGAAAAGCCATTCAAGGAAAAGATAATATTATCAATCATGTTAGTGTATGTTATAGTTATATTAAATGGAATTGAATCAATCTTTATATATATAAGTGTTTAGTGTGAATGAAAAGTTATTAATAACATGTTGTTTAACTTTATTATTTAGTCATTACCATTCCAAAATGTAAAACGTAGATTAAATACTCTCGATTATCAACCAACTTCAAACGGTCTTATGATTATGGCTACTGGTGATCTTTCAGTGAGTATTATTATAATATTGACAGAGAATATCATATCCAGGTGATCACAAACAACTAACAAGAGTGTTTTACAATTGAAATTACTTAATAACATCCATATAGATTGATGGTGGTAACCCAATGAAGTTCACACATATTTTCCACTTGGTCAACAATGCAGGAGCTTTCAACTTGATGAATGAGTTCCTTCGTTTGAATCTCGAATAAATTATACATAGAAAATATTCTTTAAATACTTTGTAAAAAAAAAAAAAAAACAAAACAGAAAATACAATCTACATCAACAACAACAACAACAACATAATCATATGTGGTTCATTATTTGATTTGTCATAAGATGGTTGGACCATCTATCGATCGCGTCTTCATCATCATTTTACATATTATCATTTTTTTTAGTTCTATTTTTTAAAATTTTTTTATTTTTTTTTTATTTTTGAATTTTTCATAATATGAATATTGTTGGTTAATGTTATTATTAATTTGTTTGGTTGTACAATCATGAACTGACATTTCAATAGTAATAATAATAATGAGTAATAAACTAAAAGAACAATTAGAGAAAAAGAGAAAAGAAGCACAATCTTTGGCATTGTCATCTGGTGAGAATGGTTCTCAAACAAAAAAATATAAAACAAGAGGTGAAATCGAAAAAGAGAATTTAAAGAAAAAAGAAGAAGAAAAAGTATGTTTTATTTATTTATAACATTAAATATCTTATCATCTAATTTATACTAATCATGATTCTTGAATTTATTTAAATGATTAAATAGTTAAAATTAGAAAAAGAAAAAGAAGAGAAATTAAAAGTTAATAATACAGATAAAAACGAAGAAAACAATAATAATGTAAATCAAAATAATAATAATAATAATAGTGATGATAATAATAATAATGTAAATAATGAACCTGTAAGTTTTGATATCAATTGTATACAAAAGAATACTACTCTGAATATTATATTGATTCTAACAAACAAACCTTTTGACTTTAGATACCCTTTTTACCAAAAGAACAAGTTGTTAGAAAACTAAGAGAAAGAGGACAACCTATAACTTATTTCGGTGAAACCGATTATATGAGAGCGGAAAGATTAAGATTGTTGGAGGAGAATGAACCTATTGAATATACTCAGGGTGATAATGAATTCCAGAATCTATTGAAGCAGATTAATAGTGAGCAAAAGTCTGGTGGTGTCAGTGGCGATGCCGACTCACAGCGAAAGAAGAGTAAAGAACCAGAGGAGTCGGAAGAGGAACTAAAAGAGGAATCAAAGAAATCAAAGTATGGCAATATCTATTACTTCCTTTGGAAGCTACTGAAGGAGTGGAAAGAGCATTTGGATGCACGACCAGAGGAAGAGGTGCGAACACCACAAGGTAACAAGGCAAAGGCGATCTACGCACAATGCAACATACATATTAAACCACTGTTTGCTCAATTGAAATCGAAATCACTGCCGGACGATCTGCTGCAGCATATCTACAAGATTGTCGAGTTTTGCAAGGAGCGTGAATACTCTAAAGCCAACAGTCAGTATATGGAGATGTCAATTGGTAACGCACCGTGGCCGATGGGTGTAACGATGGTTGGTATTCACGATCGTTCCTCGAGAGAAAAGATCTCTTCCAGTCAAGTGGCACATGTGTTGAACGATGAAACACAAAGAAAATTCATTCAGGGAATCAAGAGATTAATGACATTCTGTCAAACGAAATATCCAAACAATCCATCTAAATGTGTTGGTTAAAAAAAAACAGAAAACAGAGATATATAAATAATATTTTATTATTGGAAATAAATAGAAACAAAATAGATCATTTGGTTATTTGTTAATTGTTATTTTTTTTTGTTAGTTATTTTCAGGTTTACCGGATTTCCATTGATAGTTTTTCATTGGTTTGAAAATATCTAATACTTCGGAGAGTAGCTGTTTATCGATTGGTTCTCTCATTGTTTTGAGATTGTCATCGATGTTCTCGATGCATGGCATTCCGACGAGGTTAGTGGCAATGTCTGGATGTGAAAATGTATATTGGAGAGCTAGCTTGGAGATGTCTGATCCTCGACTTTTGCATAGTTGCGATGCTTTCGCTGCTAGTTCACGTAGTTGTGTTGGTGCCGGATGCCATTCGGGTGGACCGCGCTCCGTTAGCATACCCATATTCAAGAACGAAGCATTGATAATGCCGATGTTTTGAGATTTAAGCGTTGGAATGATATCGTCGAGCGATGAGTCGTTGAGACAAAAGTGGCAGTAGGACAAAACAACATCCAACGAAGGATGAGACTCGGCCACTGTTTTCAATGCTTTCAGCGGATATCCAGTAACTCCGATATGTCGAACTAGACCATCGGATTTCAACTTTAGTAGTGCTGGAATAGATTCATTGATGACTTGGTGAAGGTCACCAAATTCAATGTCGTGACACTGAACGATATCTAGATACTCTAGATTCAAACGATCGAGACTCTCTTTTACAGATTCAATGATTCTATCATAGGAAAAGTTGAAATCGTTCGTATCGTAACGACCCACTTTTGTTCCCATAATAAACTTATCTCTTGGAATACCTGCCAAAGCCCTACCCAGAACAGATTCCGATAATGTTTTGCCATAATATGGTGATGTATCAATGAAATTGATACCATTTTTAATAGCATCTATAAAAATAATATTAATTAAAATGTTTCTTTTAATTTTAGAACATTTCATAATATTTACAATGCACAGATTCTATTGCCTTTTTCTCATCATTATGACCATAGATTCCTCCAAGAGGTGATCCACCATAACTTAAAAGAGATACTTTTAAACCTGTTTTTCCTAAAGTTCTATATTCCATTTATATAAATAAACAAATAATTGAAGTAATAAATTATATAGTTATCTATAAAAGATTGTTATTGAGTCATGTTTTAACCATTTCATAATAGGATATCAAATCAAATTAAATGTGGGGTGTAATTTAATGGGAATGGGTGAAAACAATAAACTATTTAAAAATTAAACCAATCAATTAAAATTTTAGATTAATTTTTAAAATAAATAAATATTAAATCTATCTTTATTTTTATAGGTTTAAAATTTATAAAATTATAGGTAATCAACAATAAATTAAAATTATTAAAAAAAAATTTGTAAATTAATAAAAAAGTGTAAAATTAAATAAAAAAAATAAATCCAAATATATTGGAATTCAAGATTTTTTTTTTTGATTGAAGACATTTTAAAAATAATAATCGAATGATTACAAATAAATCATTGTTTGAATAGATGAAAAGTATAGAATAAAGATATCCATAATCAGTTGTAATAGAATTTCGATTTAAATAAAAGTGCAGATAGAGAGTTTAAAATCACTTCTTCAAATTGCATTAAATTGCTTTGATCAAGTGTAGTATCTGTTCTAGAAAGCTTAATCTCTTTCTGCCAACCCAAGTGGAAATGGCATTCTTTGATTAATCTAATTTATCTAGAGGCTATGAGATCAGAATTATATTTGGTAAATCCTATATATTTCTCATAGATGTATTTGCTCTGTATTGCAGTTTATTCAGAGTATCAAAGGTACACCTCAACACCAAACATCAAAATAAAAGATAAAAATATATAATTTTATTATTTACACTATTTGTAGGATTAATTTTAATTTCGCATATTCATTTACCATTTTTTTAATTTGTTCATTAGTTTAATCGATCAATTAACATACAAATATTTATTTATATTCAAAGTTTATTTTTCTGTGCACTCTGATTAACTCGATATATCATACATATTTGTTTTAGTTATAGTTATTGCTATTACTTCTATAGTGCTATCATGAGAGGTAACTATATCTACCGGTATGTCAATTTAATTCAACAAACAAAAAATATAAATAACCTTTTTTTTTACGATATTTGATAACGATTTATTTATTTTAAATGATTTTTTTAATGATAACTTGTATACTTGTGACGATTGTGATGTCTCTTGTAAAGAATGTAAATAATCAGTATAACAAAAGCAACACCTAAAATAACACCAATGACGATTCCAGCTATTTGACCATTGGTTAATCCATCTTTCTTTTTTGGTTCATTCTCACTGCTAGCCTCTGATGAGGGTGAATCTTTACCTGAACATTTAATATCCTCGTTACCACTGATGATACAAAGCTCTTCATTGGCACACGACAGCAAGGATTTCGAGTTGGTAGTGATATTATTAAAAGTCATTCTCGAACGATGGCAATAGAATGGTGTGCTAACTGTTGATTTGGTTATGAAAGTAACGTTGGTGTATATATCGTCAGTGTAATAGCTATAAACTGTACTACCGAATTCACCAATACCAATGTTACTGTTATTGAATATTGTGTTGGTAACACGAGCAAAGTTTGCAAGTTTTTCATAGATCGAACCACCAGATCCATTGGCAAAGTTATTTGTAAAGACAGAGTTGGTCATATTTAAATTGGCATTGTTATCCAAGTAGAGTACACCAATAGTTGGACTGGAATTTTGAGTGAAACTACAATTGTTGATAGTCAAGGTATCATCGTTAATGTCTGAAAGCTTTAGCTGAATGACGGAACCACCGTTGTTATCACTAAACACCGAGTTGGTAATAACGATATCAGTATCGAGTACTTTGATATGGGAACCTCCATTTGAAGAAAGTTTGTTATTGGTATAGGTCAGTGAATTGATATTGGCTGTATCCAATGCGTTGGCAAGAGCAAACAGAGTTGAGTTGGCCTTGTTTCCAGACATTGTTAGATTGTTGATGGAAATGTCAGAGAAAATCAAGTAGAGGATACCAGTAGAAAGAGCGATATTATTATTCATAACACTGTTGGTGACTGTCAGAGAACCATAGGATTGGGTGTAGTAGACGGCACCGGAATTGGTAGCAGTGTTATTGTTTAGCACGGAATTGGAAATAGCAACACTAACAGAGAAACGAGCGTCTCCACCAGTTAACACATTGAAAACACCACCGTTATAGTTGTGATTATTGGTGGCAGCAACGTTATCCAGGACTACATTAACATTTACATTGGTTACATTGATGTTAACAACACCTCCCAGACCGTTGGCAAGGGACAGATAACTGACGGTCAAATTGACATTGGTTGCATTTACTGTATCGCCAATAATAATGAATCCAGCCTCTCCTTTCATATCGATAGTAGCGATACTATTGGTGTTGGCACTTGTGATTGTCAATGTTATATTCACCAAAGATATATCTGTATTATTGACACCGCTATAAGTACCACTAGCCAAAAGTAAAGTCAGAGCATCAGTTGAATTGGCATTTGTATATACAGAGAGGGCAGTAACGATATCTAAACATGCATTTTGAGGTGTATCACCACAAGGCATTGTATTAGCTTTAATACCAGAGTCAACATATAGTTGTGATGATTTACAAATTCCAAAAACAACAAATAATATATAAATTAAATATATAAATTTCATTTTATATCTATGTGTATAAAAAAATAATTATAAATAAACAAACTAAACTAAATTATATTTAATCATGATATATCTTAAACATTTTAAAGAATCCTTCTATCTGCAAAAGATTTTCTTCCATTAACGAACCCTCGGTTTTATTAAAGAAAAATATTAAAATATCTTTTTTTTCCCCAAAATCATATTATTTCGTCATCATTTTTACAACCTTTAATAAATTCCAAAAAACAAGAACCAAAAATTTGTTCTACAAATTTTATCAAAACACAAATATTTATCTAAATCACCAATTTTTTTTTAATTAATTAAAAAAATAATTATATTCTTATTTTATGATTTTAATTTTTGTAATTTCTTTTCCATTGTTTTAGTTTGTTTTAAAAACTTTCTTTTTCTATGTATGAAATAAACAGTTGCTGCTATTATTGAAATAAAAGCGAATCCACCAACCACCACACCTACAATGATTTTCCATTTATTGTCACTAGAACACTCGGCAGGTCCATCTACTGAAATTAATGATTCAAAATCTGGATCAAAGTAAAGAGTTTCTGAAAAGTATGGAATTATAGAAACTATGGTGATTGTGTCTTTACTACCAACCTCGCTCTGCCAGGCTCTATGTGTTATTAAACGAGGAATATCATCTAATATTACTTTGTTTGACAATCTACCAAATACTGAATTACCATTGTTATCGCTTATGATTATCATTTGATTATCAGATGATTGTGTAGTTGATAGTTTTGTCTCGCCGTCATCACATGATCCACCTTTAGGTGATGTAACTGTACTCTCTAGTTGAATTGTATTCAATTGCGAAGCAAACTGCCATTCGGTTACATTAAAAGTATATTTGAAAGCTCCCAACTTGATTGCATAAGATTGTCCTGAATATTCATATTGATAATAATCGTTCTGTGTTACCGATGGAATCGATAGATATTGATAGAATATAATGTTGATTGATTTAAAATAGGTGTTGTTTTCAGTTGTGTATTGCCATGATTTCTCTAAAACCATTCCATTGATTGAATTACTAATATTTCTATCAGAGTTTGTTTGGAGAGTCCATTTCAGTGCTGATGTATTTAGAGTTTTAACTATATTATTCATATCATCTGATTCCAAGATTTGAGTGATTGCAAAACTATATTCAATTCCCTTATCAACTACAATGATACCTGGATTTCCTGGATTCGGTGTAATATCAGGATTATTGTTTGTGGGATTATTGGTTTCACAAAATTGACCTGTCCATCCAGTTTTACATTGACATTGACCATTTATACAATTTCCATTTCCATTACAATCCTCTAATTTTGAATCAATTTTACAATAATTAATAGTATCTAAAAAATAATAAAAAATTGAATTAATAAAATATACGTTTAAAATAATTGTTTTTTTTTTTACTTTACCAATTAAAGTTGATGCTTGAATAGTTGTATTGATTGGATCGAAAAATGAATTATAAACTGATACTCTTATTGAATAATTTGTATTTGGTGTGAGCATTGTAAAGTTACACTTTAATAAAGTAGTAACATTATCACAGAAAACAAAATAAAAATCACCATTACTATTGGCAAGAGAAGCAGAATAGGTTGTTGAATTTGGGAATCCTTCTTGGCTTTCATTCCAAACAATTGAAATTGAAGATAATAAAGAAGTACTATTTATATTAACTGGGGTTGGTACTATATAAGAGTTTAGAAAAAATGATTAATAATAATAATAAATAAATTAGATTATTTTAACTTACTATTAAATATTTTAAATAATAATGTAGATGATTTTTCAGTACCATCATTGGTTACTTTAACTATAATATCATAAATGGTTTGATCAAAACTATAAGGATATTGACATTGATCAGATTCCGAAATACATTGAGAGAGTACTGTTCCATTTACAGTGACTTGATAAATTGATGGTCCATATCCAAATTGTGAAGAATATTGTATATCCAATTTTTGGTTTGATAATTGTTTAACTTGAATAGTTGGTGAAGAGACTGATTCCAATGTTGTATAGTTTTTAATAACTTGTACAAAACTATCCACTATATTTGAAATGACTTGAACCTCGTAGGTTGTTTGAGAATTCAAATTTTGAATTAAACAACTACCAGCTAGGATATTTGTACAAGAAGTTACATTAGCTCCGTCTAAAACCACTGTGAATAATGAATTGCTTGGACCATTGCTAGTTGAAAAGGATACATTCAGTGATTTAGTTGTTCTATTGGAAAGCGACATATCGATATAATAGATTGATAAAGTGGTGAAGGATTTCTCTTGGAAAAGTGAATCCCCATCATTCTCTGCAATAACTTTAACTAGATAAGTATGACTCATTGTTAAATTTGGGATATCACATCTATTGTTTTTTGTTGCTACACATCCTACCACATTATCACCATTTACTTGAACTGTATACACTGTTTGATCTGGAACTCCATAGAGTGTTTCATATTCAACAGAGAGACTCTCTAAAGATTTATTTAATAAATCCAAAGTTGGTGTGATAATTGCTGGATATGTTGTATAGTCGTATTGTTTCTGAAATGTTTCAGTACCTTTGACTGCTTTAATATTATAAGAGTAGGTGGTGTTTGGTAAAAGTCCAGTAATTGTACATTGTTGATTAACTGTATTATCACAACCTGGTACAGGATTTAATGTCAAATCTGAAACAGTGTAATAAGTAGAGTCACCAACGATACCACCTATCAACTCTGAGAAAATAGTTTGTGATTTGGTTGTTCTTGCTGATAGCTGTGAATTGATATTATCGGTTGACGAGGCAGCATAGGTTTCAACGATCCAGGAAGTTGGAACAGTATCATCATCATTGTACATAATGAGATTAATTTTATAGACTGTAGATGGTAGTAAATTGGTGATTGTGTAGGTGGTTGGTGATTGTTTAACTGACAAATTGGTTGTATTAGCTTGTATTGTAAAAGTTGGTGCAGGTGCAGGAATACCATATAAATAGGTCCATGATAATGTCATGCCGGTTGAAGTAATATCAAAGAGATTCTTGGTATTATATATAATATTCTGATAAAGAGTTATTGGAGGAGTTGATTTTTGAATGGTACAAGAACTTTGGTATGTAGGTTCAGCACATGCACCCAAGATATAGGTTTCACCAGGTGTGAGTCCACCTATTAGACAATTATTTACAGAGTCACATGAACCAGAAAGACCGCTAGTGACTTTGGTTCCATTTACAAAGTATGTTTAAAAACCAGTGTTTACTGGAGACACATTGATAATAACCATGATAGAATTTGTCAAAGCAGTCCAACTACTAAAACCTGTAACTGTAACAGCTATAATAATAATTTATTAATATATTAATTTAATAATTTAAACAATTTTCATACCATTATTTACTTTAAAAAAATTAAAAAATAATAAAAATATTAAATATTTATATTTCTCCATTTTTGTATTTATTTGTTTGATGAAAACGATTGATATGAAAAAAAAAAAAAAGAAAATTAAAAATTGTTTGGTTACCAAAAAACTGTTATCAATTTCTTTTTTGACACTTACGTTTTATTGAAAGATCTTATTATACATGGATATTTTTTTTTCCAAGCTTGATGTGATTTTTTTTCCATCATTTAAATCATGGTACCCAAAAACACCCACGCGACACGCTATTAAAAAAATTCGAATAATCTATTCATTTTTTTTTTTTAAATTGTCTGGTCGAATTTAACAACCCAGTTAATCTTTTTGTAAAAAGAAAGTTGATTACCTAAAATTAATAAAAAGATAAAAAATAACAAATAATAACAAAAATTCTAGAATGTAATAGAAATTAAATTTTCATTTTGAAATTGTTGAAAATTCATGATTTCGTTATTATTTACAGAAGATCTTTGATCGTTGACATATTTGGCATATGCTCCAATTTGAAAATTGGATTCTTGACTTTATTGATCAGGACAAGATTATGACATTCTTAGTTTGTGAAATAGTCGACACCGATGGGATACGGTAAAAATTGAATTCAACATCAAAAATAACAAGTGGAGACGTAACTCAGTCGGTAGAGTGTAGTACTTATATAACAGTATACATAGCAATGCTAAGGTCGAGAGTTCGATCCTCTCCTTCTCCATATCATTTTAAAAAGAATTTAGTCCGCATGCGATTTTCAGATTTTTTTTTTTTTTTTTAGCTTTTGAGCGCGCCACGTACTAATATAGTATTCTGCCAATTACCACAAGCTTAACTTCACGATCGCTAATTCAATCTCCCAAGGAGTCACTGTCGATTGCTCTGCATTAACGCGTAAATTTAAATCTGATTGGAATCTTAATCCTTCCAACTAAGTGCCACCACTTTATACTGTTGTTCATCAACACGCAACTACTGTTAGATCTATTCTATCCTAATACTACTCAACTTATTAATTAATAATTTATAACAATAATAATAATAATAATAATAATTAAAATAATAATAATAATAATAATAATAACATTTTATTGGCTATATTTCTCACGGCCTATGTGAGAATGTAAATATAACATAAAACACGAACTAGCAGGTTAATATCAATACCTGCAATTTGTTGACTGATCATGAGTCAACAAATCTTTTTTGCAAAAAAAAAAAAAAAAAAAAAAAAAATAATCTAGTATTCAATACTATCTTGGACCCCATGAAGTTGACACCGACAGTAACTAGCAGGCTTATCATAGGTGAACACCGAGTGGTTTACACACGTACCCGCTTAGAATTCTAAGTGGCTTAAATACTCAGTCTGCCAAACCAAATCAATGGGAACATCATCCCTTTCTCAAAATGATGGCCATCTCAGCCGGCCTGTGGCTGAACTGCTCCAACAATAAATAAATAAAAAACACGAACTGTAGGGTAATATCAAGCTCTACACCTTGACTATCAGTAATGGTAGTACAAGGATAATGTAACGATATTACCACTTTCATTTTTAAAAACTCAACGACTGTTCAATTCGATCAATTGTACCATTCAAGTTCTTACACTAACTCTGAATAGGTATGATCAATTTATATTTAATAAACATAAAAAGAAGTTCTTACACTAACTCTGAATAGACGTTAAATTATTTGAGTTGATAATTAATAAATAAATAGACTGATCATCTACCTATTTATTAAAATAATTTTAAAAAAAAAAAAAAATTTGCTCATCGTTCCAATTCTTAATATATGTTTTTTTATCAATTACCGATTTATCAATACGTTTTAATTATGATACTCTAGGCAGGCATACAATAGATATAGGTATGTACATTCACTGAGGTATTTAATACTGTTTATTATGTTATTCTTTGTTAAATATTACGCAATCAAAAGACAATTTTATTAAATTAATACCAAATTAAATACGTAAGTTTGCTAATTAATTAAGGGAAAGTCATTCTTTATATATGAGCTACATATCAATACTTAAAAAAGTTATTCAAATTTTACTTTAATTCAACTTTAAATAAAGATAAATATTATAACTTATTATATACTCATTTTTAAACTAAAATTTTGTAAAGTACAAAAGATATTAAATATTATAATTCATTCTTTATTCTTTATTTAACTTTAATACATTATCACAGTGAGACAACATATGACATATCCATTGATATTAATTTACATATTAAAACCTAATTAAGTATAAGATTAATAAATCGAAAAATCTATATTTTTTCAAGTTGTATGAGATACAATATTTAAACTCCTTATAGTAATAGAGTATTCAGCGTGTTGAAAATTAATATAGATCAATTTTACTTGTTTTGTGATTTTCAGAATTTGATTTCTTATTTTTTCTATTCTATTGCAGTTCTCAATTTATCTATATCTGGATGAATATCTAGATAATGGTGTATATTTCATTGTGCCACAGCATCTATCCAAAATAGGAATAAAATTGGAAAATACATTAATCTAATATATTGTCCAAAAAAAGAAATAAAATGTTTGTTTTGAATATGTTAACATATCCATTTATATTTTAGAATGGACGAATAATATACAAATAATATGTATACACGGTGTATTTAAATACATTAAAAACAAAGTTAATAAATATTGTAAAGATTTAAGTTTTAACTTTATTTGATCTTTAATGTATACAGATAATAACTTTTATCTTTATATGATTTTAAATGTAGAATATTGTGAAAAACAGCCACAACCACTATAATTGAAAAAAATTTAGCACATTTTTTATTAAAAATTTCCAAACTGTAATGATCAGCATTTGGTTTTTTAAAAAAAAATGGAAAATGGTGTGAAAAAAAATGAACCCCACTGAGTCACAAATATTCACTAGAGTGATTTGATGAATCAAGCACATCAACAAACAAAAGATCCAAACATTTTCGATGAATTAATTTAAAATAAGATAAATCTGAGAATATAAATAGAGAATCATGATGATAAAGTCAATCAACATACTTTTATTATTTAAATCATATCTTTTATTACAGTTTCATTGTAAATAAATATTTATCAATTACTTTATTTTTATTTTTTTTAATATACTATTATTATATAACAATGGCAATAACAATTAATATCATCTTTCAAAATAAAAAAATTGCACTTCCATTCAAGAAAACACAGAAAGTTCATGAGTTGCTCGAGGAAATCATAAAGAGAGCAGCCATCACCTCTATTCCTGCCGATCAATTACAATTGTTAAATGATAGCTCTGAATTATTTAAAGAAGATACATTGGAGGATTTGGGTATTAATGATAATGTAGAATTAATTCTTAAACAAATTACATCGGCAGCAGCAGCAACTACAACCACCACACCAACAGATAACAACACATCTTCGATTACCAACATTGTCAATTCAACAAGAAGATTATCTATTGGTGATATTACCGATAGCAACAACAACAACAACAACACAGAACCATTCATTCCAATTAAACCAACAGTATCGGTATTCTCAGAAAAGATCAAACAGATCGATATCATTGTTTTGGATGTGAGTGGTTCGATGAAAGCTGCTGCTTATGCTGGTTCAAAGGTGCCGGGTGAATTGGAAATGACAAGAATCGAAGTGGCACAAGCACTCTTCCAGACATTCATTGATAAATACGTGCAACAAGAGATTCCTGCATGTGTTGGTCTCGTTTGTTTTGGTGAGCGCATCGATCTCACCTTCCAACCTACAAGAAACTTTGATTCCTTCTCAACCGAGTTGGGAGATGTCGATGCCAATCAAGCCAAGACACGTCTCTACGAAGCGATCAAGTTGGCAGCGGAAACCATTGTCAGCTACAAAAACAAACATCCAGCCGATATCTTGTTGTCCGACGATCTAAATTGCAGAGTTTTTGCACTGACCGACGGTCAAGACAACAGTGGTTCCGATCCATACAAGGTTTTCACCTATTTGAAAGAACACAATATCGTTTTGGATGCCATTCCATGTGGAAATGGTGCCGATAAAGAAGCACTGGGAACCTTTACCAAAGCAACAGGAGGATCGTGTTTCATCATTGATTCTTCACAGGCCGGTGTTGAACTCTTTGAGCGAGAGGCACTCATCAATCTAAGTTCAAGAAGTGACTTTAAACCATTCTCCATTGACATTGCCACACGTGAAGCATTCCTTGGAATCACTCCGACCACTGTAACTACTGTTGAGCGTAAAGTAGAGAGTGCTGTTGCCTCCAGTGGCAAGTGTGTAGGTGGAGCGTTGAAAGAGGAGACCGCTGCCAAGGCCAAATCATCGAGTGCCAACAAGCGTATCATTGCAGAGTACACCAATTTCCAAAAGGAAATCGAAAACTCAACACAACCATCGTTCTATATTTTCATGTCGGAGTCGAATATCAAGATTTGGAAGATCATCATGAAGGGTCCGGCTGGAACAGCCTACGATGGTCTCTACATGTTGAGTGTCGTCTTCCCAGAGGACTATCCATTCAAACCACCCAAAGTCAGATTCGAAACCAAGGTATTCCATTGCAATATCTCTTCCGACGGTATGATCTGTTTGGACATCTTAAAGGATAGTTTCTCGCCAGCACTCACCATTCATAGAATCATGTTATCGATTTGTGCGTTGTTGACCGATCCAAATCCAATGGATCCATTGGATGCTGTCAAAGCCGGTCTCTATCGTGATAATCCAACCGAATATTGGAATAGTGCAAGACAGTGGAATAAAACACATGCTGGATTTACACTTGCAGAGTTAAAGACTCTTCATTCATTAGAATAAAAATTTAACAATGTTGGATCGACCAAGAAAAATAATTACTCTGTAAATAAATAAAATAGAAAAGAATGAATATTTATGATTTCATATATTTTTTGATTCTATTGATAATACATTAAAATAATTAAACATGATAAAAGATAATCTATAAGAATTAATTTATATTATAAGAATAAAATCATAGATATTTTTTGAATAGAAAAAGAAGATGTTTCTAAATCTATATATATTGGAGATAAAAGATTCTTGGATCGAAATTTCAAGTCAAAGGTAGAGCGATTGTAGGTAGCCAAAAAATATTATTTAATTTAGGTTTTTTCTGGTAGATTTCTTCTAACAATAATAAACTTTTTTTTTGATTGACGACATTTTAAAAATAATAATCGAATGATTACAAATAAATCATTGTTTGAATAGATGAAAAGTATAGAATAAAGATATCCATAATCAATTGTAATAGAATTTCGATTTAAATAAAAGTGCAGATAGAGAGTTTAAAATCACTTCTTCAAATTGCATTAAATTGCTTTGATCAAGTGTAGTATCTGTTCTAGAAAGCTTAATCTCTTTCTGCCAACCCAAGTGGAAATGGCATTCTTTGATTAATCTAATTTATCTCGAGGCTATGAGATCAGAATTATATTTGGTAAATCCTATATATTTCTCATAGATGTATTTGCTCTGTATTGCAGTTTATTCAGAGTATCAAAGGTACACCTCAACACCAAACATCATTATAATAAAAAGATAAAAATATATAGATTTACACTATTTTGTTCATTCTGCTTTGTTTAGTTTATAATAATTATAAAAGACTTTTGCCTGTAAAACAAACATGCTAACTAATACAGATCATATTTTTTTTTTTTTTGATCAAAATTCCCAAAGATAGATTGCGATCGTGTGTATCATTGATCATGGGTTTTTAAATTCAAAAACAAAAAAATTTAAATTGTTTTTTTTCAAAATTAAAAATAAAAAACAAAAAAAAAACAATTAATTAAAAATGATTAAAAATAACTCAAGTGATGGTGAATGTTTTTTATTAAAAATTTTTACATTAATTTGATTTCATCATTTACATCCTATGATATAAGATCCTATGCTATAGTTTGATCAAATATGGAGTCATCTTTTCGTCATATGAGATCTTATTCGGCTGACGATGAAGATCCCGACTTGTACAATATTAAATCAACAGATAATAATAATAATAGTCAAACAAATATTAACAATCAATCATCACAAGATCAACAAGATATAACATCTGATGATTCAATTTCAAAGTAACTATTAATATATATTTTAAATTAAATTATTTTTTAATATTAATTTATTTATTTATTTTTAATTAAATCAATAAAGATTACATAAATCAATTGAAAATGCAACCAAAGTTTATCAAAGATTATTAAAAGAAAAGAATATCAATGTTTCACCTAATATATCGCTGGGTTTGAAATTGTTGGATCACACACTGAATCTTATTAGTTTGTCAAGTGAACATAGTCCAGTACATCCAGGTTACAATCAGGTACTCAATATTCTAAATAATCCAAATGATATCAGTAGTAGTAGCAGTAATAATAGTGGTAGTAATGGTATTGATAATGAACAACAAGTCGACGAAGCATTGGTAGTCTCGGAGAAAATTGAAATAGGCTTGGTGGATCTCTTGAAAATTGTAAACCAACAATCAAATCATATTAAATTGTTAATGAAACAAGTAAATCCTTCTGTAGTTTTAACCAATACATCAACAGCTGAAAACTATCTAACAAACAATGCTTCTGTTGCTGCTGCTTCTTTAACTACTGCCACTACAACAACCAATTCATCTTTATTAACAACTTCAACAGCAACTTCAACACAAACATCATCATCATTAGCACCAACATCATCATCAACAACAACAACCTCTGTAATTTCACCAAACATTCAATCAGTACCCTATCCAAATGGTTTTGGATTAGATGAGCCTATTTCATTGCAACGTGGAACCAGTTCCGTCAGTCTGCTAAAGGGAATCGACTTGGCACCTGTGGTCATTGGAAGTGTAGATAATAAATTCCCAAAGTTCCTCATTGCCGAGCCAAAGAACGATTCCTTTATCTTCACCATCAACGGTCCGTCGTCCGACCAGCTCGAGTCATCGGTTCACGCTTGCTTCAACAACAATTTCTTTGCCAAGACCGTCTCTACCTACCCTCATCTACCGGGACATCCAAAGCGTGACGGTGATCCTATTTGTGACCACTTTTGCATCCAGATGCAGAGTAACCGTGTGATCGCTGCGATTGCCGACGGTTGCAACTGGGGAACTCGTCCCGCCGAAGCTGCACTCAAAGCATCGACCTCGTTCGTTGACTTTATTAGCAAAGCGTTGTCCTCTGAGATTCAGACCGTTCAGGATGCTGGAAATCACATACTCTCGGCATTCAACTATGCTCACAACAAAATCATTGAAGAGAAAACCGATATTTGGGATGCCGGAACAACTACTCTCTTGGGTGGAGTAATGGTTGAGCTCATTGGAAACAACGACTTTAACAACAACACCAACAACAACAACAATTCAAATCCAACAAACAATCAGATACCATCAACTTCAACACCACCTACACCATCGGCAACATCTAATCCACCATCACCAACACTCTCAAAGTTACCATCATCACTACCATCTTCACCATTGTCATCAACACCACCATCTCCACTTATACCATCTGAAAATCTATCAAATACATTACCAACAATCAGCAACAACAACAACAACAATAATAATAATAATAATTTATTATCAAGATCAGCTCCAACAAGATCAAATAATAGAGACACACTTTCAACGAAATGGGGATTCATTTGTGCAAGTGTTGGTGACTGTAAAGTATTCCATTATAACCATGCCAACAAGAAATTCACAGATATCACCAAGAACAATCGTGGTAATGTAGATGACCCAAAGGATCCGGGTGGTCGTCTCGGTCCATACGTCGCAAATGGACATCCCGATCTGCGTAACCTCTGTCTGCATTTCCTACCGTGTCAAGAGAATGATATTATCATCTTGGTGTCGGACGGTGTCCATGATAACCTCGATCCTCAAACGATTGGTGTTACACCGCGTGAGTGTCAACTGCCTTACGACCACTGGTCCGACATGGAAACAGAGAAGATTCAAGAATGTAAATCTAAATATATGCAAGAGTTCCTCAAGAAGAGATTACTCAACGCTGCAGCTATTCAACATCATCAACAACAACAACTATTACAACAACAGCAACCACATCATCACGTTCAACAAGAAGAATGGACACTTACACCAAAGACTATCGTAGAGAAACTCATTGAACATTGTGTAGAGACAACACGATCCAGTAGAGAGTTTATGGTCAACTCACCAAATAAACCACTACCCGATGATTTGAAGTTATATCCAGGTAAGATGGATCATTCAACTTGTGTAGCATTTAGAGTTGGTAAACAATCAATATAATTGGTATAAATAATACATAATAATTTATAATAAACACATTCTTTTTTTAATTGTACAACCTGTATAATGCTTTTACTATTATAATAATCAAAAAGTGAAAATTTAAAATTTAAAGTTTTTTTTTTAAATCAGATAATTAAGTTGAAATTTTAACTTTTCTCACAATAAATTTTTGGTATTTATTCGGATTTGGAATACATTAATCTTTATTATTAAGAAAGTGAATACCATGAGCAGTAAGTATCTTTAAAAATAACTTTATTATTTAAAATAAAAAGTTAAACATATGTCAGACTTTGAAAAAATTTTTAGATTCGTTCAACAAATTAGCAACATAGATATAGATTCAATATTCAAAATATAAAGAAATCAAACTTGGACAAAATAATAAACTTTATTAAAAACTTACGCTCCAAAAGTAACTCTTAAAGATGGTATGACAATTGCAGAGATTTTAGAAGCCTACCGCGAAACCAAACAAAATATTATGATTTCTATTTCAGCTTTGGTGGCTGTGACCAATATTGTTGTTCTATATAAATTGTGGCAGGATCAAAAAAATGAAGGACAATGAATTTAATGGTTTTCAAGAAGAAGTGAAACAATTACAAAGTAAAGCAGAAGAGTATTTTGAAAAGTATCTTGAGACTCCAAGTACATATAAGAGGGATAGTTTAATCTTAAAATCAATTCACAATAACCAATAATAGATTGCATACCATACATCTAAAATTGTTACAAATGAAACTAACCTCTATCATCTCAATTATACCTTTGGTTGTTTTGGGAGTTGCAAGTGCGGCATTCACTATATTTTTGGGTGGTGTGAGTGTACCAGTGGTAGCTACATCAATCGCATTAACGATATCCAATCATGGTGTGCTCATAGCTCATAAAATCATATTTATTGGTGATATCGAGAACCTTGTCAAGGTTGTTGTGGAGTTGAATAATAAAATCGAGTCATTTATTCAAAATCACAACCAGTTATCTTAAAGAAAGAAACAAATTGATAGAATAAAGCCAATAATAGATAGAATAGATAATCATTTAAAGAAATATAGATAACCATTTCAAGTAAAAGACTTTGGAAAGTCATTTTTCTTGAAAGATAAAAATAAACTTTAGAATTGTTTTCCCAATGTTAGAAACTTCGTTAATTTGTGGTAATAAAGACCTAGTAGTATTATTAATGATGTTATAAGTATTAAATTATGTGTTGAGTGAGGAGTATAAAATATAATGAATTGTTTATTTAGTTTTGTTGAGCTAAAAATAATTTGTGTTAATTAGTCGGTTGATTGATACCTTGGAATTACAATTCCAACATCCAACCTGATAAAACTTGAAATTGTTTTTGTTTGGAAATTGGACAAATATATCAAGGTGTTATTTAATTTAGTGCATTTAGAAGTTAGAAATTCCAATTTCATCAATTAAATAGATTATTTTTATTTGTATTTATCTTTAATCATTAATATTATAACTATAAACTTCTACTCACTTAACTAACTAACTTTAAAAACAAATTTTAAACAATGATTCGATTTGTAAAATTTAGAGGGTGTCCTGTAACCAAAACAAAACTGGCTTCCCATATGGATTACAAAAAACCAAACGTGTTAAGGAATACGTTGATTTCTTTCCAGAATCAGTTCGTTCTTGTTCTTCCTTTGATTTTGGTGTCTGTATTTCTTGCTTGGATCCATCAACTACCAAATGAACTTGGGTGTTTTGTCCTTTAAATTGCATGGTCACACTTCCTTCTTCCAACTCATTATGATCCACAATGTCTTGAAAATAACCCGTGCAATAGTCCGATAATTGATCCAATACTTTGTTAAAGTATTGTCTGAGTGTAAATGTACTTTTAATATAAAATTATCGTGAGATTACTTCATAACTCAAGGAGGTTGTGGCGACACCTTAATAAAAAAGCTGTCATTTCTACATAACTCCGTTGTGCAGTTAGTTATGTAGAAAGTTGTGCAGCTTCCACAGTTCAAGAATGTTTTCTTATGAAAGCTTCATAGTAATTACTATCTGATTTTATTAAAATATATTAAATTAGACACATATATATGTATATAAAACATTTGAATCATTGTTTTTTACCTTTTTTTATTGTATACTCTCTTTCCTTTAGCGGCTTCATTTTCTTCTTCCTCTACTTCATCTACAGCTTTTCTTGTTTGTTTTTTACCTCCTCCTTTAGGAACATCTATCGTTGGTGAAGATAAATCGATATCTGGTTGTCTCTGTTCTACCATAGAATGAGTATCACCCCAAACCATCCATTGATCTCTCTTCGATTTGAAGTAACCTGACATGCAACTTAGCATACAAAAGTATGCAAATTCATTTGGTTTTGAATCATTTCAGGTAATTGGATGTTTGCTTCCTATTGCAACCTTGGCATATTCTATTCGTCTCACCGAGAGCAATCGGGACATTCTGTTCCAAGACGGGATATGATTTCTTTAATCAATTTCATAAGATCTTCAATTCTTTCAGAAGTATGTTTACTAGGTTCAACTTGTAAGCTCATTTGTATAATATTATCAATATATTTATGTGATAAGGTAAATATAACATATGTTATGTTTATGTTAAAAAAAAAGAAAACGTATGGAGCTTTTCGCGAAAAAAAGTTTATTTTTTTTTACCCACACAAAAATGAAAAACAAACAAAATAATGATTATAATCAAAAATAAGCAAACACAACCAAAATATTACAATGAATAGTAAGTATATTAGAAATAACTTTTGATAATATTTTAAAATTAATAAAATTTATATATATATATAAAGGCTTTGAAAATATCTTTAGTTTCCTTGAACAAATTAGCAAAATAGATGTAAATTCATTTTACAAAAAAGAAAAAGACTCTACTAAAATTAATATAGATAAATTACTTGATGTAATTCAAGAACATCAATTTATTTTCGATGATGATCCCCATTTACAAAAGACTTTAGAAGATGATGCAGAGAATCCAGAAAAGTCAACATTGGACAAGATTGTAGACATTATTAGAAAGTTCGCCCCAAAGGAAATAACTCTTCAAGATGGCATGACAGTTGCAGAGATTTTAGGAACCTACCTCCAAACCAAAAAGACTATTATGATGTCTATTTCAACTCTGGTAGTTGTAGCCAATATTTTAGTTGTATATAAATTGTCGCAGGACCAAAAAACGGAGGATAAAGAGTTGAATGGTTATCAAGAAGAAGTGAAAGAGTTACAAAATAGAACAGAAGAGTACATTAAAGAGTATCTTCAAATTCCAAGTACAGATATCGAGCGTGATAGATTAATCTTGAGGCTCTCAAACACCATTAATAGATTGCATACCATACGTCTAAGATTGTTACAAATGAAGCAAAGGTCTATCATTACCATTAAATCTTTGGTTGTTTTGGGAGTTGCAAGTGTTGCACTCTCAGCATATAGTATTTGGGGTACACCATTGGTATTTATAATGGGGACAACCCAAAATGGAGTGCTTATAGCTCACAAAATCAAATTTATTGGTGATATTGACAAATTAATCAAAGTTATTGATGAACTAATAAAATCCAGTTATTAAGAATTTGTTTATTATTTGTTATTATATTTATGATTTCTTTTATATCAATCTAATAAAAATAATACCGTTGGCCGCTATATCAATTGGTTTGATGGCAATTCCTTTTCTAAACATTTCACTTTTACCACTTGTATTGCCATCGATATTCATAAATCATAGTATCTACAAAAAGATCGTAGTCATCGGTGAAATAGACAAACAAATAGATACAATAAGACCAATAATAGAAAGAATAGATAATCATTTAAAAAAAAATAGATAACTAATTAATTAATCAATGAAAAGCTTTCGAAATAAAAATTAACCATCATTGCTATTTTCAAACTTGATAAGACTTCTTTTGCAAAACAAACAAATTTTGTCGACACTTAAGCTTGATTCATTATTTATTTAATGCATTTAGAAGTTAGAAAGTTACAATTTCATCAATTAAATAGATTATTTTTAATTGTATTTATCTTTTATCATTATTAATATTATAACTCTTTTTTTTTAAATAATTTACTAATTTGTAGTGTTGTTGAATGGTTTTCAATATAGAAATATGTAGGATCATTATATGTTTGGGGACCTTCTCATAGTGGTAAACTAAGTACTTTACTTCAAGTACTAACCGATCATAATGCAGTGTACAGTCAAATCGATGCAAAGACAAACTATGACAAAACAACTCTATTTCAAAATCTATTATCAAATCTAACAATACCTATTAATAATGTTAACAACAATAATGATAATAGTAGTAATCATCTATTAGAAGCAGATTTAATTAGTTTACATTATAGATATAAACAAAATTCATTAAGATTCAATATCACTCAGAGTAATTGTCCTACTTTAGTTGAACTATGCGATCATCTAGTAGAGAAACTTAGATATACTTTAAAACAACAACAACAACAACAACAACAACAGAGTCAGAATAATAACATACAAGAAGATAACAATGATAAACAAAAGCAACTACCTATTATATATATAATCATTGATTGTGCAGACTGTCTAGAACGTTCGATACTTCAAATGCTCCTAAAGATACAAGAGTATTCACAGCATAGAATATCGGTCATTCTCATCAGTGAACTTCCAATTGAAAAGGTTATACCCATACAATTGATACCTGGTTCAAGATCACCTTTAACCATTCATTTTCCACAATATACACAAGGTAAATATTATATATAAATAGATACATGTTTAATAGCATTCATTCAAATATTATTAAACTAAACAAATTTGTTTGTTATCTTTAGATGAACTTTCAACTATTATTAAATATCTTAGTAAGAATGAAAGGAATATAGATTTAGTATTATATAATAGGTTGACAGAGATTGCTCTGGAGACTCTTTATCAACAGATAAGAGATCTAGCACATCTCTTACATATCTTAAAGATTCTCTATCCAAAGTATATCGAACCTCTGGAGTATGGTGTAGAGAGAGACGATAATATACAGCTGTATAATAGTATACAACCGACAATCACCTCAATCATCAATAATATCTATAAACAAACACAAAACGACATTGTAGATGCTACACAACTAGCGATACAACATGATATCTCAATGAAAGAACTAGGTTTTTCATTCAATACAAAATGTCTACTTATCACTGGTTTCCTTGCAAGTACTTTCTCAAAGACCAAAGATAAACTACTCTATACAAAGGAAAACGTTAAAAGAGATCCAAATTAAAAGAAAAGGTAAATTTAAATAATAATAATAATAATAATAATTTAAAAAGATACATTTTAAACTAATATCTTATTATGTATGTGTTATATAGAAAACCGGACCAAAACTATTTGAAATACAAAGATTAATTGCTATTATGTTCTCTATATTTCCACAACTGAATACAACTAGATATAATTCGATTTTGTTCTCGCAGATTGCATCATTGGTATCATTAAGACTCTTTGATGAGAGTGGAACATTGGAATCTATTAGACTTCGTTGTAACGTGCCTTATCAGAATATCAAACTAGTTTGTCTATCGATTAATTTCGATATCGATTTATATTTGAATTCTGCTGAATTTACAAATGCTTGATCAATCATCTTGTTGAATCAAAATAAATAAAATGTTTATATTATTAATTATATTTAGATACATATTATCAATTAATTATAAAAAAATAGATTTATTTAATAATAAAATTAGATAAAATAAGTATATACTTATTAACCAATAATTAATACGTATAAAAAAAACCCCAACACACACATAAATTACACAAATAATTAAAAATTCCATTCAAAAATAGAAAATTGAATGAAAAAAAAATGTAAAATACAGATATCTTTAGTAAAAGAAACAAATACTGAACTTACATGAAATAAATAGATACTTTTTTTTTTACAATCTTTGATATTTATTTTTTTTATTATTATTTTCCTTTTTAAAAAGAGTTTTTATTTATTTTTTTAATAATAAAATTTTATCTTTAATGGTAAATATAATATTACATATATAAAATATTTATATAAAAACTCACAATATTTTAAATTATATACATTTCTTTATTTAGTTATTATCAATCTTAGAATGAAATTTAAAAATAAAAATCAACTCAGAATAAATAAATGAAATAGATATAATATTAAAATGTATCAAGATAGAAAAACAACAATACTCCAATCAGAATTTGGAAGAAATGTTGATAAATTTAGAATATTATTTTTAATTGTTTTTATGTGGTTGGTTGTAGGATTTGTAGGTGGAATACCACATAAAATAACTTATGATAAACGATCGTTAATTATCGATGGACAACGTGTATTGCTGATAAGTGGATCGGTTCATTATCCAAGAAGTACACCCTCGATGTGGAGACCGATATTGCAGCAAACAAAGGCTGCTGGTATCAACTTGATTGATACCTATGTTTTTTGGGATGTTCACGAACCGCAGAAAGGTGTCTTCAATTTCGAAGGAAATGCAGATATATCGCATTTCTTGGATATCTGCAAAGACTTGGGATTGTACGTTAATCTACGTATTGGACCTTATGTAAGAGATAACAATGCAATTGCAAATTGAAAAAAAAACAATAATTATTTACAAAACAATATTTATTACCTTTTACCAGGTGTGTGCAGAGTGGAACTATGGAGGATTCCCGTTTTGGCTCAAGGAAATCCCAGGTATCCGAATGAGAGACTACAACGAACCGTTCATGAAAGAAATGGAGAGTTGGATGCGATTCATTACCAAGTATCTCGAGAGACATTTCGCTGCAAACGGCGGTCCAATCATTATGTCACAGGTAGAGAATGAATATGGTTGGGTACAGGAGCGTTATGGTGAGAGTGGAACCAAGTATGCTCAGTGGTCGGCCAGATTGGCACAGTCACTGAATGTCGGTGTTCCATGGATTATGTGTCAACAAGATGATATAGACTCTGTTATCAATACATGTAATGGATTCTATTGTCATGATTGGATCGAAGGACATTGGGCGAGATATCCAAACCAACCGGCGTTCTTCACTGAGAATTGGCCAGGTTGGTTCCAACAATGGAAACAATCGACTCCTCATCGTCCAGTGGAGGATGTTTTGTATGCCGTTGGAAATTGGTTTGCGAGAGGAGGATCGTTGATGAACTACTACATGTGGCATGGTGGAACCAACTTTGGACGTACATCGTCACCTATGGTTGTCAACAGCTACGACTATGACGCTGCACTCGACGAATATGGAAATCCAAGTGAACCGAAATACAGTCACGCCGCAAAATTCAACAATCTACTCCAGAAATATTCACATATCTTTTTGAACGCTCCAGAGATACCGCGGTCCGAGTATCTAGGTGGATCATCGAGTATCTATCACTACACCTTTGGTGGTGAATCACTCTCGTTCTTGATCAATAATCATGAGAGTGCTCTGAATGACATAGTTTGGAATGGACAAAATCATATAATTAAACCATGGTCGGTTCACCTTCTCTACAACAACCATACTGTATTTGATAGTGCTGCCACTCCTGAAGTATCTAAACTAGCGATGACCAGCAAGAGATTCTCACCGGTCAATTCATTCAACAATGCCTATATCTCGCAGTGGGTAGAGGAGATCGATATGACCGATTCCACATGGAGTAGTAAACCATTGGAACAACTTTCATTGACACACGATAAAACCGATTATCTATGGTATGTCACTGAGATCAATTTGCAAGTGCGAGGTGCAGAGGTTTTCACCACTAATGTTTCCGATGTCTTACATGCCTACATCGATGGAAAGTATCAATCCACCATTTGGTCTGCCAATCCTTTCAATATCAAATCGGATATTCCACTTGGTTGGCATAAACTACAGATTCTAAACAGTAAACTCGGAGTACAACACTACACTGTCGATATGGAGAAGGTGACAGGTGGTCTACTTGGAAATATTTGGGTCGGTGGAACAGACATTACCAACAATGGATGGTCAATGAAACCCTACGTAAACGGAGAACGCCTGGCAATTTACAATCCAAACAACATATTCAAAGTGGATTGGTCGTCATTCAGCGGTGTACAACAACCTCTGACTTGGTACAAAATCAATTTCCTCCATGAACTATCGCCAAACAAACACTACTCTTTGAATATGAGCGGGATGAACAAAGGTATGATCTGGCTTAACGGTAAGCATGTCGCGCGATACTGGATCACCAAAGGCTGGGGATGCAACGGTTGCTCCTACCAGGGTGGATATACCGACCAGCTGTGTAGCACCAATTGCGGTGAACCCAGTCAGATCAACTATCATCTTCCACAAGACTGGCTGATAGAGGGTGCCAATCTGCTGGTGATCTTTGAAGAGGTTGGAGGCAATCCGAAATCGATCAAGTTGGAAGAGAAAGAATCGGCCTATCAGTACAAAAACAGAAAGGGTGATCCAAACTTTCAAAATGGTATGCCAATCGACGGAGAATCATCAATGAACGATGCACGCTCTATGTACACTCACATTACACTTATCTATGTTTATTGTGCAATCATTGCAATTTCATATTATATATTTAATTAATATTAATATTTAACATTTTATTTATAATTTTACAAAAAAATAAAAAAATCATATCAAAAAATTTAGATATCTAGAGTGGGTGTTTGATGGATAGAACCCCAACAATTTTAAATTTGAAGATCGTTATTTTCATCAAAAAAAAACAAACATTTTTGCAAATTTTATTATAAAAATGAATTTTTTTGCAAAGCTACTAAAATTTTTTAAAAAATATCCAAATCAAATTATGATGGGAAAGATTTTTTTTTTTTTCAGACCAGACCAAACTTGTAATCAATAAAAAGAAATCAAAAAACAACAAATAACTAGTTTATAAATTAAAAAGATAAAATCAAAAGATCGAGTTAATAATCTATTCTTGTTTTAGATAGTAATTTAAATAATCATACTTTATCTTACACATTGGTTTTAGATTGAGTTTTATCTCAGTTTTTGAGATTTTATCAACAAAGATATAGATACAGTTACAGATTTCACAAATGTCTAGACTTTTTATAAATTCAGTTAGTACATGGAAACCTGTACATGATACAGTTGCTACTGGTATGTTTATAATTAGATAACAATCATTCCGACCTTTAAAAAAACAAAACATATATACACACACCCACACATATAAATACATATAAACTTATACTAAAATTTTTATATTTTTTTTTTTAAATAACTTGTTTTATTATTTAGCAATCTATTCATATTCACCATCAGGAGAGAACCAAGTTGCTTTAAGAGTTGGAGATTCAATAAAGATAGAGGAGAAATCAAGTGAATGGTATAGAGGTGTTGTGGTTAGTGTTATCGATGGCACTCAGCAACGTGGTATATTCCCTGCGAGCTATGTAGTGGTGAGAAACACTCAGCACGATTTCGATGTGGTCACCAACGAACTCACCCAAGTCATTCGTGAATGGGGAATGTTACTGCTCACCTACTTTAAAGAACGAAGAATATCAGAGTACAAGATCATGAAAGATCGTCTATCACTGCTACTCGATTGGCACTCAAAGATTCTCTCTACATCAATCACACTAGAGGTGCGTGAGATGCTCAAGGGTAAAGTCATTTCAAAGATTGAAGAGGGTCGTAGATTGATGGGATTGGACATGATCGTTAGAACACCAAGTGGTGAACCTGCACACGAAAATAATACTGGAATAATTCAACTTTATAGAATGGTAATATCAATTTAAAATAATATATGGCAATTTTCTAAACTATTTTGTTTATTTCTAAATTCAATGAATTTTTAGCATCAAGAATTGGATACATCAAAGACATCAAATTATATACAGAGAAGTATTAATCAGACATTTTCATCGGGTAACAATTCGAAATCGGATACCACTTCAGGTGGAAAGATGGATGCCAAGTTGGGTCAGTCTGGAGAGATGTCACCGCAGTTGGCAGCGCAATTTGGAAGTGGTAGTGGTGCAAATAATTTGATGTTGATGAAGAAAGCTGCTAACATTCGTGCGAATCCAATGAGACGTTCAATGATGGTGTTGAGACGTGAGACATCAGAATCCGGCTCCAATGTTACTTCATCGATTGCCGCTGCCGCTGCAGCAGCCACCACCGCTAGCACTCACATGCCAAACCACATCTTCTTGGATTTGAAGATATTCATGTGTTCCGTTGGTGAACAAACCGAACTGTTCTTCTCAATCTACAATAAAACCGAAGGAAAGTTCATCACTGAGGAGTATCAAGTAGGTCTGACAGCACAGGGAATGCCACACGACATCGATAAGATCGGTAAGCTCTCTACGCTCTTTATCGATATCTCCAAGAAGGAACTACAGATGGATTTGTACCTGGTGTGTAGATTGATTCGTAAGGGAAAGATGTTGACTGAATCCAGTAAGAAAGCCGGTCCGTTGTTATATCGTCGTCCGTTTGGTTGCTCGGTTCTGCGTATTGAGGATGCCATCACCGTCGGCAAGGAGATGGAACACACCATTCCCATTTACACATCGAATCAAGAGTCAACGTTTGCACTACTGCACGAAATGATTATAAAGAATCCAGGCAATCTTCAACAGGTTCCCAAAGCCAAGGGTATATGCGTTGGAATGACACTGTTGCCAGGTGAGCTTAAACAAGTCATCAAAGAGAATCCCGTACTCGAAGAGGTATCGGTGACGAACAAGCTTGGTTTCCCAGAGGTAATCTACCCGGGCGATCAACGTAACGATTTGTTCTTCACCATCGAGTCTGGTGAGTATTCACAAGATCGTAAGACCAGTGCAAAGAACGTTGAGATCATTGTTCAAGCGCGTCTCGAGAATGGTGATCTCGTTAAAGATTGTCTATTCAACGGTGATAAGCATCGCTCTGAATATAAATCAGTTGTATTCTATCATTCAAATCAACCACACTGGTCGGAAACAGTTCGTGTAAATGTACCACTATCGATATTGGAACAAGTCTATCTTGTATTCGCCATTAGACATTGCACTACCTCTGAAACCAAAGAGAAAGTACCATTTGCAATGTCATACCTCAAACTTACGAATCCCGACGGAACTGTCATCGGTAACAAAACACATTCACTCTGTACCTATAAAACAACCAAGACAATCGAAGAGTTCTTACCTTCACTCAAAGATCCAAGTAACAAAGCTGCAATTCGTAAAGGTGAATTCACAAAGATAAAGATATTACTATGCTCAACCATGTGTACTCAAAATTGTAAGTAAATTACAAAACATAACAAAACTAAACAAATACATACTAACTTATTATATTTTTTTTTAGTATCATTATTGACACTTTTGAAATGGGATCAATATACAGGAGATTTAGGTGATGTTTTAAATAGATTTACTTTTGTAGATCAAATTGAAATTATAAAGTTTATGCAAGAGACATTCAATGCGCTGTTTGCTATTCTCGAGGCAAAGAAGGTGAATGATCCGGATTTGGTGTTCAATGTTATCACTTGGATCATCGGTTTGTTGGTAGATGAAAAGACATCGAGATATACAAACTTCCGTCCTGTCTTGGACAGATACATAGAGAAGCATTTCAGCTCGAGCGTCGCACACAGTCTGTTGATCGGTAGTTTGAAGCGAACTCTTTTGAACACCAATTTCAAAACACTGATGTCTTCACTCAAATCAATGGAATACATTCTCAAATTCATTGTCACCTCGAAACTCAATCACGATCGTACACACTCGAGTGCACTGAACACCGCTTTCAAAGAGGATTTGACCAGTGTCTTCTCGGCACTGAGTACACTCATGCGACGAACCGAGCGAGAATACATCGGTGCACAAACGATTGCTCTTCGTATCTTCTCATCGATGTTCTCTGATCTCGGACAGCTGTTTTCCATTGAGGAGCGTTCAGAGATTGCACGTCGATTCATCGACTCGGTGCGATTCGACGAGACACTGAAGCTGTTGAACATGGAGAAGATGAACGTCATCCACAAGCTGGCGGAAGGTGACCTCTTCTTGCAATCGTCGTCGCGAACACTCCTCATGGAGACGGTGAAGCAGCATCTCAAACAACACATGGTTTGCCAATCGAACTCGTTGGACGACGTCAAGAAGCAAGCAGAGATCATAGCGGTACTCATCGATACCATTCAAATCAAATTGAAAGATCCGGCACTGGTTTGGGAGTTGATAGATTTGCTACCGGTCATTCTACAATCGATTAAATCGTGTACACAAAACGATATCTCAAAGTTGGACATGGTTCACAATCTCTACAGTATTCTCTACCTCGTTGAACCAATACAATTCGATCGCTACATATCGTCTACACCCGACACCTGTTGGACAATGTTATACGATCTACTCTACGTACTAAACTCACTTCTCTCAACATCCAACACCTATCCCGATAACTGGTTAACCCTTACCATGTTCCAATATTCAACTGTTAAAAAAGTTATCATCCAAGTCAGTAAATATCTATTGAAAAAGTTAAATAGTGCACAAACATGGTAAATAATAATAATAATAATATTTAATAATATTATAATCAATTCTCATCTAATATATTATTTGTTAATTTTTAGGGGACAATTGGATTTAGATTTATGGTCAATATTCTTTACATTATCAAATACTTATTTCAAGTTGAAAGGATTAGCACTTGAACACTTTAGTGAAGCCAAACAAAAGACTATCAAATCAAGATATGGTGATATGAGAAATGATTTAATTGTTACCATTCAAAGAATGTGGGAATCACTTGAGAAACATCAAATCAAATTATTACCAACTGTTATTGGTCCATTCTTAGAGTTAATGTTGGTAAGTATAGCAAACATCAAAGAATGTTTTGATAATCATGAGTTTTAAATTAATCATTAATTTTTTATTTTTTTAAATTAATAATTTTTAGATTAATCAACCAAATCTTAAACAACTTGGTATCAATCTATACTATCAATTGTTAAGATGTGAATACAAAGAATATAAATCATTTAAAAAAGTTGAAACTGAAACTATTAATACTTTGGATCAAATTACCAACACTGAAGCTGCGGATATCTTGGATGAGAAATTCAGAATTTATTTCTCAACAAAGTAATTATTAAAATTTATTGTAATGATGTATAAAATATAACTAACTAACTAACTAAATAACATTTTAAATTAAAAGTTTGGAAGAAAAGATGAATTTAGATAGTTTAATTAAAGAACCTGGTAAGATATTCATTAAGGATATGACAATGTTTTTGGAGTTGTTGTTTGCTCTTAGAACTCTACCGGATCGTCCAGAGTTTGAAGACGATAGAACTATTGCTGCTATGCAGTTGATGGCATATCTCAAACAAACCGATAGACAAGATACATACATTAAATATGTACATCTACTGTGTAATCAACATCTTTCCAATAACAACTACACTGAAGCCGGTAACACATTGATGTTACACGCCGATCTTTTACACTGGTCAGACTCACCAATGGAAGAGTTGAGCTTTGTCGATGGATTCCGTGCACAAACTCAACGTGAACGTAAGGAGCGTCTCTTCAAGTTGGCAATCGAATATCTCGATAAGGGTAAGGCATGGGAGCGTGCCATCACTCTGATGAAACAACTGATTGTTCAGTACGAAGAGGTGTTGTTTGACTATCAGAAGCTGGCCGATATCCTACAGCAACAATCGACATTCTATCGAAAGGTGATCGGTGTCGAACGTTTCTTCTCAGAGTACTTCAAGGTTGGCTATTTCGGTCGTGGATTCGACCAAGCCATCCAAGGAAAAGAGTTTATCTACAAGGGATTCGAGCTCGAGCGTATGAGTGACTTTGTGCAGAGAATCAACGCCAAATTCCCCAATGCAACACTTCTCACCTACACAGAGACACCGCCACCAGAGATAACCGGTAGCTCAGGACAGTATCTTCAGATCTACGCCGTCAAACCGGCACCGTCCGAACCGAAACAACCCAACACCATTGCAACCAACACCGCCGCCACCACTGGCACTGGCAAATCAATGCCAATTCAAGTACAGAAATACAGACAACACAATAATATCAACACATTTATCTATTCCAAGCCATTCAAGAAATCGAAACAACAAGCTGCAGATGGATCGACAAGCAGCAGCAGCGGTAATAATGAATTTGGTGATCTTTGGATTACCAACTATCATTTCGTCATTCAAGATACTTTCCCAACGATTCATAGACGTTCGGAGATTGTTCGTCGTTACGAGATCAATTTGAGTCCGATTGATAATGCCGTCAATACCGTGAGTGGAAAGAACAGCGAGTTGATGGAGATGTGCAACAAACACGAACATGGCAATGAATCAAATATCAGTCCATTCACTATGGTTTTGAAAGGTGTTATCGATGCAGCGGTCAACGGTGGTGTCAACATGTACAAACAGGTATTCTTCTCGAAACAGTATCTCGAGGAGAACAAAGACAAACTGGATTCCGTTGAGAAATTGAAAACTTCGCTCACCTCACAAGTTCAAATCTTAAAGCGTTGTCTATCGATTCACTCCAAAGTTTGCTCACAAGAGATGGGTGGATTACAAGAACAACTTGAAAGTAAGTTTCTGAAAAAAAAAAGAAATTAATATATTTTGAGAAAAACAAACAAAAACAATAATACTAACTATTTACTTTTTTTTTTTTTTTTTTAGTTCAATTTGAAAAGATGAAATCTGAACTTGATATATAGAAATCGATTGATTTATCAATACTTTTTTAAAACAAATAAAACAAGATATACCGAATCTCTCATAAAATAATATTAATTCTTTATATTTTAATTTAAGTTATTAAATGTCTTAAAGAGCTATTAAAAAAAAGAAAAAAGTAAATTGTCCAACAAAAATACTTGGAAAATTTCAACTTTAAGTTGGATGACAATGATATTTTTGTGAAAAGATACAATTATTTTTAGATAATAATTAAATATTATCTTATTTTTTATATTCTCTTAATATATTAAATAATAATAATTTTAAACAATTCCCAAAAAAAAAAAAAATCATTTTTCAAGTTTAAATTAGTTTGATTTGAAAACGAATGAACTTTCATTTTGCGATATAAATGAATGAATACAAATATAAATAAAAATTCAAATATAAATATAATACCTTCAACAATATCAAATCAATCAACAACACCCACTGTAAATACATCTAATAATAACAATCATGCTACCACTGTAACATCTTCATCAACATCAAATAATACAAATGGACATACAACAAACACAATAGTATCAAACACAACTACACCAGCATTGAGTAATGCTTCCCCAACATCTACATCTACATCTTCAACAACAGCGACGACAAAAACCAAGATATTTTTACCATATAGTAAATTAACAAAGAATGAAGCTGCTGTTGCTTCGACAACAACTACGACTATGACTACAACTACAAACCCAACCCCGACTCCGATACAACCACCAGTTCCGATATCAAAAACTACATTTACAGCTATACCTACATCGACATCATCAACATCATCAGTACCGATTTCATCATTGTCAAGAACAATGACAACAACAACAACAACACCAACAGTACCTTCTGCTTCAATATCAAAAGTATCGACAACAACAACAACACCATCGAAAACAAACATACCATCATCCACAATACCAACAACAACAACTAATATAAGGCAACCATCTAATATAAATACAACCTCTATTTCAAAACCAACGGTACCTACAACTTCTACAACGACTACAACATATGCACCGACAGCAGATTCATTAAAAAGACCACCTCCACCATCACAAGAAATAGAAGAAGTATGTAACTAACTAACAAACGTTATCAATAGTTGGAATCAAATTATAGTAACAAACTCTTCTTTAAATATATTTAAAACAGAAAAAAGTAATAAAGAAGAAAAGATTAGTTGGTCCTCTAACCATTGCAGAAGAAGATTTCATTGCAAATGCATTCAAGAATGTACCTGATACTAAACTTTCAACAGATGTAAAAAGAATTAAAAGAAAATTTCTACTTCGTGAGGTATGTTTATATTTTAATAACTTTACTATTATTATTATTATTCTTAACTAATCAACATATGTTATGATCATCTCATCTGTAACTACTATAGTATAAGAGAAGTCTTAATCTTGAAACATTCGATTTGGATATAAAAGTACAGCAATATGCATCACACATGAAAAAGAAGGATCAAAAAGTATCGATTTACTTTACCAAGGAAGAGATTCCCGCTGTCTTTTCAAAGAAACCGTTGCACTCTCTGGAGAATCTGAATGGCGTCATCGATGAGAAGGTCAATGAGTTGGCACATCCACTGCAGGTGTTCTCCACACAGCAACAGCAGCACCAACAACAGCTACTCGAGAAACAGCAACAAGAACTAGAAAGAAAACAACAATTGGAACGACAACAAGAGTTGGAACGCCAACAACAACTCGAAAAGTGGCGACGTGAACTCAAAGACACCACCGTCTATAACGATGACGGTATTCACTCCATGATTGTACATGCCGAATATTTATTAAACGATAAGAAACCAATGATACCAATACCTCCACCACCACCACCACAACCTAAATCAACTGACTCATCTGCAACATCAATAACAACAACAATAACAACAATAACTAGTAATAATAATAGTCAAGACTCTTCTGAAAAAGATAATGATTTAAAGAAACATTATCATTGGACTAATGTAAATAATAATAATAATAATACACAATTGTTAAAACAAAAACAACAACAACTACAACTGCAACAACAAAATATAATCAAACCATTTCAATTACTTAAGGAAAAGATACTTTGTCCTAAACGTGATTTAGAGCAGCTTATTAAACCTTATATCAGTCCGCATACAACTAGAGAGTTGAAATCATTCATAAGACGTGACTATGAGACTGTACCGCGATGTGTGTCCCTGCTGCGTGAACTCTATCAATTCTTTATTGCCAACGGTATGGTCGAGTACTCACCGCTGGCAACCGAATTCTACCCGATAGACTACCGTTACCTGACACCAGACTTGGTGGATAAAACTCAATGGTTCCTATGTGAAGAGTTTTGGCCTGGAATAGATTGTTTGTATTTCCAATTGGAAATACCAACCTAATTCATTTCTAATTCATTTTTACTAATATTATTTCTTTTTTTTTTTCAGTAAATGAAATATTAGAATATCCTGACTTTACAGTGGTTGCAATGTATAGAAATATGGTTATTGGATGTGGCATGATGAATCCCGATGGATATATTATGTATTTGGCAGTGAGACCTGGCTGGAATGGCAATGGAATTGCATCGTTTATGTTGTATCACTTGACACAAACAATGGTTGGTCGTGACATTACACTACACGTATCTACCAACAACACTGCAATGATACTCTACCAAAAGTTTGGTTTCAAAATAGAGGAACACATCGCTGGATTCTACGATAAATTCTATTCAAATGAATCTGGTAGATCTAAAAATGCATATCTACTAAGATTAAGAAGATAAGATAAGATAAGATCAGATATGTCACGATAACAAAAAGTAAATATTTATTTCATTACAAAAAAGTTTTTTTGTCCTTGATTTCTTTTCTTTCCTTTTCGATCATTAAATTTCGTGTCGGCAAAGTTAATTAACACTTTAGTTCATTCAATGACAATTTCAAAAAAATACCAGGTTTGAAATTAATTAAGAATAAAAATTACAATAAAAAAATTAATCGTTCTTTGTTGTTTTTGTTTTCAAAAATCATAAAGTAATTTTTAAAGGTCATTGATCGGCTTGATTAACAAAAAAACACATAAATTTTTGTTGTGCTTGGGATTTGGGTAGATTTTTTTTTTGTTTTTTGATGACAGATATAAAAAAAAGAAATTTTTTGAAATTAAAATTTATTTTTTAATATTATTTTTGTTTTTTTTTTTTTTTTTTAATTTTTTTTTGGTGAACAGAGAGCCTGTCTCACTAGCCAACACCCGCGTTTTACTTTGAAACTCAACCCCTTTATTTGTACTTCAAGGTTATTTAACTATCTGTAAGGAATCTTTTTATATTATATTTATATATAAAATAATATACACTACACATCATCATCAATCACCATCATTGTAAATATTATTTTTTTTAAGATTTGATTTTTTTTCATTTTTATATATTCTTTCACACAGTTGTAATAATATCACACTTGCTTTCTATTTTTTTTTTATATCTTTATTTGTTTGTAGGCCTACACTTTCACTATCTTTTGATTCTATTCTATTTCGATCCTCAACAAACTTTTAATATTTCTATCTTTAAATAATTTAATAATTTAAATTTTTTTAATTAATCAATTTAAAACAAAATAAACTAATATTTAAATCTTATTCTTTTATATTATTATTATATTTCAGACTTATATATACATATTTAATACACAATGTCAAACCCAGGAATCTACGCTGATTTAGTCAAAGTCCCATCTGGTAAGTTATCAAATGATAATATTGCTCTTCATATTCTGTTGTCATGGACAAGTCAATCAAACAGATAAAAAAAAAAACACAATCAAACAGATAAAATAACAATATCAAATGGAGGTAACATAGTATGTTACTTGATCACATGGCTTTAATCACACAAAGAGTGAAGAGAAATTTCCAAAAAAAAAAAAACAATGACAAAAAAAAAAATTGGTAATATTTTTTTTGGACAGATTAAAAAAATAATAGCAATCAACCAATATGACGACAGAATATGAAGTTAACTTAATCAAAAAAAAAAAAAAAAAAAAGAAATCTAACGTTTTTTTTTCTTTTTGATATTAATATTTCGTTATTTTAAAATATTATTAGATTTGATCAAGAAGGACTACCCAGAGACCCAACAAATCGAAATCACCGAAAACTTGTCTGGTTACCCAATCGTATGTGTTTTCAATTCTCTGCGTTTATAAACAAAACTTTTTTTTTTGTTTATTAATTGGTATTTCTTGTTATTTATATACTATTTAGTCAATTGTTGGTACTGTCAGCCGTAAGACCGATGGTTCAATCACCACCTCTGTCAACCCAAAGTTGAACTTGGACAGCCGTTTCAAGAATGCTAAGATCAGTGTAACTGGAGACAACTCCAAGTTCGGTAAGGGTGAAGTTACCTTTGAAAACCTCGCTCCAGGTTTGAAGGCTGTCTTGACTGTAAGTGTTGAAAAACAACAGATTACATTTTCACATAAATCAGGTGCCCTAAGCAGTAAACTTACATTTTCTAATTCTAAAATTAAACCAAAAACAAAAAAATATAACAACAACAACAACAATAACTATAACAATACTCAATCAAATATATTATCACAGGCTGATACCTCAAAGTTGGTTCAATCCGAATTCCAATACAAGAAGGACAACTTGGCTTTGACTGCCATCCTCCGTTCCAACAAGAAGATCCTCACCTCTGCCGTCTTTGGTTTCTCCAACTTTGCTTTGGGTCTCCAAGCCAACGTCAACGGAGAGAAGCAAGAGCTCGAGGGATTGGAAGCCACTTTCTTATACAAGCGTGAAGGTCTCCTCTTGGCCGTCTCACCAAAGAACAAGGGTCAATCCTTGGTCTTCTCTGCCTACGACCGTGTCAACGCCAAGTTGGCCATCGCCGCCGATCTCGCCGTCGATTTGCAATCACCAGAGAAGAACCCACAATTCACCATTGGTTCCCAATACTATGTTGACTCCAAGTCATTCATCAAGGCAAAGGTCAACGGTCAAGGTAGAATCGGTCTCGGTTACACCGTCCCAGTCAACAACAACACCAAGCTTTCTGTTGCCTTCAACATCAACGGTAAGGATCTCTCAGCCGAAGGAAAGCACAACTTTGGTTTCAACCTCGTCCTCAACTTCTAAACAGCTAATAGAAAAAATAACATATCGCCGCAATACGCTTTTTTTTTTTATTAAAAAGAAAGAAAGAAAGAAAAAAAAAAAGAATAAAACCAAAATAGTATATAATAAAATCAAAAAATAAATTATTCCTTGTTAACATATAAATAATAATAATTTTGGTGGTCATAATCAACAGTGTAAATAATCAATACACAAACACTTTGAATTTTTCAATTTATTTGGTTGTACAAAAAGATGAACCAGATTAAATCGTTCTGGTTTACTCTTTTTAAGATGTATCATAAAAAGAGTTTTAAAATATAATTATATTTGTGAGGGTAATTTATTTCTATTGACAATCAATTAACAGTTTGTAATTTGTTTTTGTAGAAAAAAACCAATAAATTGCATAATATTGCAATAAAATAATTCAAATAATTTAATCTTTTAATTAATTTTGAAATCGATCAATCAATTAGTTCACTGTTTTCATTATATATTCACAACACAAACATCATACATATATATTTTTTCAATTTCATATCAAAGCCAGTTAAATAGATAGATTATATGATGAATGAAGTACTAGTAGTAGCGCGGTAGTAGTTGAAAGTAGATGTGGTAGATATAAAAATCAAACAACCTCATCTTGTTTTTGATTTGGTAATTTGATTTATCATTATAGATTATAACTAGAGATGTTAAGATACATTAGAGGAGAATGTCAACGCTGTTGGCTTTGTTTGGTAAATATGATCACACACACAATCAACAGAGTAATAAGAATAAGCCAAGTGATTGAAATCACTAATAATAATAATTAATTATCTAATTATTGTTATTAATGACTGACCCATTGTTTGCGGATACACAGAGGTGGGTTGACCTAACCATAATAATCTAATGGTTAAAGTTGGATAATTGTATACTATGTGCACCAATTACATTTCTCTAGGTTGACAAATTACACATTTGTAAGTTAACACCTTGGTTAATTAATGTTATTGTTATTGGCAGTGTACAACTTACAAACAAGTTGTATGAGTTTGTTATTAAGAGATTGTAGCGTGTGCTCTGTAAGTATTTCATCATCAACAACATCACTCTAATGTACATATATTTAACATCACCTGCCAACTTTAATCAAATCCATTATAATTATGATGTGACCAAATTCAACAACAACAACATTAATAATTACCACTTTTAATTTACACTGTTATTATTATAATGACATTATTAAGTATCAATCATTTTTTAGGTTAATCTTATAATGCAGTTGTTGTTGTTGTTGTTGTTGAATTAATGATGATTGTTGTCAAATTGATGGATAAAAGTTAAAATTTAACATAAAAGCAATAAAATTCAACAACATTAATACAGAAAAGACAAATAAGAAGATGTAAAATTAGTAGTAGTGAGGTGTGATATTGAAATCATCGTCACTATTTCCATATTCTTTGTCAAATTTTCCATTCAAGGTAATAATCTTTTATAGTTGAACTGATATGTTAAGCACAAAACAATCAATCATTATAAAGTGGTAATTCACTAATCAACAATCACACACCACAAACTTACTCCTAAATTATTAAATAATTTTATACTTATATGTATAATGTATTATATAATTGTTATTTTCAATCTCAAAAATAATTATAATTCTCTAACCAAATTTAAACAATTTAAATGGATTAATAACACTTTTATATAATTAAAAGTTGACCATATTATAATATCATTCATAAAGTCTGACATACATATAAAAATTTCATTATAACTATTACACTTCAACAACACACAAACACATACCCCTTCCGCTACATCATCTTTCTAGTGTGGTTTGTGGTTTGTGGTTGTGTTATTGAATCTTGGTGATGGGGTTTGTGTTTATTAACAAAGACAGGTCTGATTTATAACTCATAAACACAAATCCCAATAAATTGATCTCAGTGCTGAAGCAAGTAAGTTGATGGTCGTCTCTAAACGTCAGAATTAAAAAAAAAAACCAATATAATTACTCTCAGTATAACTAAATAAATAAGATATCTCCTGGACGTTTGGGGGCTGAGGAAACATCCACATAATCCATTAACACCATGAAACATGTCAAGTCCGGATAGACATTGTTATTAATCATTAAACAACAATAACAACAACACCACCATTGAAAGACATGGAAATATGGATAGAAATGATCATCATCAACATCACACACACACACAAAACCATATTGTTTAAACAACATGAAAGAAATAATTAAAAAAAAACATTACCCAATCTGCAAAAGTTGAATGATTTCAAAATTGATGACTAATTATCAACAACATAATTAATAAATAACATCAAGTAATGCACTGAAAGGGTAATAAATATCATACATCATATAGTAGTTTTTTGATGATGCGTTTCCCCTTTCGACGGCGAGAGTGGAATGTTGAAATTCTTTTAAATCGACTGACGTTCAATAATCAAATAGCCACCCGGGTTATTGACTACCCACACACACCACAAACCAAAACAAAATTTATCATCTAAATTTATATTATGTACCTCATTTGAACACATGTTGATTACTGTGAGTGAGTTCTGATATCAATCGAAATGCTATATTCTCTTCAACATATATACATATATGTATATATATAAATGTCAACCATCAACAACAAACAATTCAATTCACCCTTTTGATTTAGAGTAGGAAATGAATAGATTTGGTTAATATTGATTTCACATCAGTAATGGCACCTCCTCATTCTATCTAAATATAATCAAATTAATAATATCATTTGTTTTATAATCTCAATTGTTGTTGATAATCCATTCTACCAAATTCTGCAACAAAGGCAAACAGACGAAAATACATATCGATGTATCAAGAAATTATATCTTACTTTGCTACAATTGTTTAAATAGAAATGATTTTATTATTCCTCCAATTATTATTGTTATTATTACCACATCTATACCACAAACCACTCACCACGCTCGCACATACTTAATACCCATCAAACAAAACGCTTTTACATAATTTTTTTTTATTAATGTTTGATCAATTATAATACCAAATAAACACACCCCACTCTCACACTACTACAATTATTTCATCATGAGACAACCAAAAGATATTATTATTAAAGTTTTTAAATCAATTAAAACATTTATATAAATAAACCCAGAATGGTAATTTAAATAAGAATTTGTAATCACATCAACTCAATTTGATCAGTCATTTCCAGTATATTACTATTGTTTGACAAACATCAATCATTTCCAATTCTATTAATTTAGAAAATATCTATTTTATTTTCTCTTTTCTTCTTCCTTCCAACTTCCCAAACTTGTACTACTATTGTCAAATACAAAATTTGCTCCGTCCAAAAGAATAGTAATTGTTAATTCCAACATCAAACATTCATGTATCATTTATAAAAAATAATAATATTATTATTCTAAACCTTAAAACCTAATCTTTTTAACAACTATAATAAGTTTTTAATAAGATTTAGTTGTATTATAAAATTATTTAATTCATCCACAATCAACAATCAAAACCAACATTATATTTAATCAACCAACTTTAGACTATTTAATAACTTGGTATGTATATCAAAAAAAATTATAAAAACCTATCACCTCTTTAAAAATTATTTCAATACAAATAATATGTTTGTTAAATTACCTCCAAAATTTAAATTCATTTTGTGTATTTTGCGAAACCCAGATTTGTGTACCTGGGTGGTTACAAAAAAAAAACTTAAAAAAATGTCTCAAAAAATCATTATTACCCTTTTTCTCATGATTTTGTGACATCGGAGAGACGTTGTTTTTTTTTATATTTTTATTTTTTTTAAATTTTGTGTGAACAATCGTTGGTGTGTTCACCCAGATATTCAAAAAAAAAAAATTAAAATTAAAAAAAACAAATTTTAGTTTTATGCGAAATCTCAATCAACTTTGGAAATCCATCACCTCTCTTCACTCGTCTTTTTTTTTTTTTTTAGTGTAAATCACCATAATCAATCAATCAATAGATAGAATTAGATAGATAAATAATAATATAATTATAATAACAAAAGATCTTTTTTAATAACCATTAAATTTTCGATAACCTCTCTGGATCAATAACTTTCAAATATTTGAACAACATAATACATCTCTATAATACAATAAATTGCATTTACATTCAATCATTGATTATCACATAATTTTTTTAATTTTTAGATATGAATATTGTATGTAATTCATCTCTACAAAAGTAGTAGTAGAATCAATCACTTCAATTCTTTTAATATTTATTTTTGTTTGTTTCCATTTTTGATAAGACTTATTTTACAATTATTTATTGTTTTCATTTTGATTAGTAGTCTTCATATCATCAGTCATTGTGATATTTCAATCATTCAATTTCATTTATACATATATGTAGAATAAACTTTTTGCTGTGGATGGATAAATCAAAAAAACAAACAATTTATTTCATTTTTTTTTACAAATATCTGATTATTATTTTTTTAAACTATCAACCCAAACCATCCTTTTATTGATTACATCATCGCATCCTCATAAATAAAAAGAAAAATGTATCTACCCACAATGTTTTTTTTTTAGTGTGTTAAAAAAACTTTAAAAAATAATCAGACGACTCTTGTTATTTTGTGATGTTAAAGATCTAACAAAACCATTTTTGAAATTGTGTGAAACTACAAAAAGTATCAAGTTCAAATGTTTTGTTTTATTTCCTTGTTTAACTTACACATTCGAGTGCTATTGGAATACAGAATATAATTGATCTTCTCTTCAAACAGCCATTTCAATATATAATGTACAAATAAGACTACTTAGAACATCGTCATAATCAATATGGAGATTTATTTTATTTTAATCAACATACAAAGTCAGTGATTATATAATTTGAGAAACTGTTCATCCAAAAAACAACAACAAACTTGTATCTTCATACACCCACATCTCTTATTACCAAAAATATCTTTTTGTCTGATTGGTTGTGGGTATAATCTTTTCTCTGTTTTTTTATTTTCAGGATTGTTGTTGTTGTGGTTCAATTTCTCATTTATATGTGTAGTAGATGATGAAAATAAATGGAGTTTGTCGGTTCAGGATGTCAATAGAAATATTATTATCTTTACCACACATAAACTTAACACAACACACACACACAAGAAAAATAATTTCATTTACCACAAGTGTTAAATAATTCTTATATCATTAGTAATAAGAATAATAATATGACTGGTTAGTCAAGATATATTTTATTTCCAATTTTCCAAAAAATATTTATTATTTTCAATTCCAAGTGTGTTTGGTTGTTTGTTTGTTTGTTTGTTTTTATAAAAGGAGTGATGTTAATGTTATTGCAATTGCTATAACATATTATAATATTTGAATTCAATTGTTTGATGTTGGATGTGTGGTAGTGGTGATAACTCTAGTGGTTTAGTAGTTGTTGTGATGTGTTGTATAAATTTGTTAATTATTGATTGGTAATTCTTGTTTTAATATCATATTTGATGATCCAACATTTTTGATTTTTTTGAAGATGTACACTTTAAAGTTAATTATAAATCCCCCCAGTTTTTCCAACAGAAATGCAACTTGAACAAACATACCGAGATTTGATGACAAAACACCAGATGATAACTGACTTTATTTTAGTTAACAATCAATTCTGTTTTGTTTTTCTAATCTATCTCACAATTGTGAAATATAGTAATTGGAATGATATTATGTTATCAGTGTATTAATAACAACACCACCACCACAAATATCACATAAAATCAATTCAATTAAAGTATTGTTATATTTTTATTTGTTTTGTTAATTTGGTTGGATGATTGGTTTTTGTTTTATTAATACACTAAAAATAATTGGAACGTTTGTGTTCAAAGGTGTTAAGCTTCACTTTCAACTTCACAATTTCATTATTCCTTCAAACATCTATCCACACAGTATTAAAGAAATAAAATACAATATTGAAGGAATAGAAAATTAGAAAATATTATAATGAATAACAGCTCAATTGAATTAATTAAACCTCAATCTCAAGCTTTTATCCACACACATCTGATAATTACAATTCTAATTCATTAGGCATTGCCTCCACAACCATATCCATCTACATTTGGTCCAGAATATTTTCATTCTAGTAGTTTGTGTTAATTATTGTATATATAATGTTTTTTAGTGTGCCAACGACCGAATGAATAAACTATCTTTTCATATTTTCAATATCAAAAACAAACCAACAACATATTATTCTACCTTTTATTTAACTTCACAAACTATAGAAAATTCTAACTTTAAAATTCCCTAAAAAAAAAATCTAAACTTGTAACATATATTTATATTTATAGTCAAATAACAGAATACAAAATCAACTACACAATCCAATAAATAGCATAAGTGAGTCTCGACCATAGAAATTCCAGATCCACTTCACTTGTTAGCAGCAGCAGTAAAAAACCTTTATCTTGAAATTATAAAGTTGAATAAGAACTAGTTCGCTTAGTTTAAAGTAAGTAAAAATAGAAAAAACAAACAAACATCATCGCCATTCATTTGTTCAAATTTCATTGAAGTCGTTTGTTTGATTATGATTTATAAAATTATAAACGAATGAACTGAACTGTTCTTTTTTATTCCAACCATTATTTTTTTTTTTTTCTTTTCAATTACAACATCAATTACAAATATATATAATCATATCATCACCAAACATGATTATTTTGGTATCGAATCAATACCAGACTGGTCAGTCACATTCTAAAGACGAAATCGATTTAATATTCAACCATATGGTCCAAAATTAGTATTCGTCAGATCTATGGTCGTTGAACCCTCATCATCAAGTATTTGGCATTTTTCTGACAACTTCTCATTTTTTTGAAAAATGAGATTTTCACTTGCAAACAACACCCACAAACACCCAAACATCGAAGTTTTTCAAGTTTTTTTTGGAGTTTTTGCAAAATTCCTGTGTGTGGGTGATTCTTCCCCTTTTTGTTTGTGTTAACTGACAATTGACGTTGTTTTTGTTTTTGTTTTTTATTTTATTTTATATATGGATAATTTATCACCCCCTCTGCAACCAGGCACCACAACTCAAACAATGGTGATCTAGTCTGCCTTTTCTTCATGTCATCTGATTCCACCACCACCACTAAAAACAAGCACCACCGACCTTCCAATTTCAATTAAAAGTTCATATGTGCACACCATAAAATACTAAAGTGAATCAAAATTCAACTGGCACAAACACAAATGATGCTGTTAAGTACTTGCAAGAGTTCACACATCAAAAAAAACACCACCTTACCTTCATCAATGCTAATGTGTTCAACTTTGAGTGAACTGTTGTTTTTGTTGTTGTTGTTTTTTTTTTGCTCATTGCTGTTGCACTGACAATTTTCAATTGTTCGTTGGATTGTTGTTGCAATTCAATTGATTTTCTGTTTATTTTATCATTTAAAAGAAAAAACTATTTTCCAAAAGATATTTTATTTTTAATTTTGTTAACATGGTAAGAGCCTTACCATCGATATCAAATTTAACAAAAATTGTTGCTCAAACCAAAAAAATCAAAAAAAATTAAAAAAAATCAAAATAATATATATTTCAACTCCAACTTCCAAAACGATTGGACAACTCGCGCTGCACTAACATACAATTTTAAATTGTTCTCGTCGATTTCAGCCTAAAATTAAAAAAAAAAAAACTATTTAATTTATCCACATCTGTCAATGACATTTTGTTGATTCTTTTTCATTTCCCATTTTTTAAAGAACTTTTTTCAAGTCAGGTGTTCATCAAAAAACATACAAATAATTGAATGTAATATTACATCATCACTCAACAACATCTTCAAACAACAACATCACTTTCTATTTTCACTCACCGCTCTATTTATAAATATTTTTGTATTTTGGATTTTATTTTATAGATCCATCCAATAAATATAAATTAGTCATACCACCAACAATAACAAACATTTTTTGTTTGTAACAATTACTAATATTTTTTCGAAAAAATAAATACTAACATTACCATTTTAATTTAATTCCAATTAATTTAGGATTGTATTTCCAAAATACTAAATTCTTATACAACTTGAAAAATCTACATTTGTATCAATAAGTTCAGTAACATTATTTTATAACGTATGTCGGTTAGCTTTTCAAAAAATATATAATAATATCCAAACCTTACAAATAATATTTACTAACATTGAACAAATAATATTAGATAAATAATAATTCTTTAAAAAAATTATTGTTTTACTTGTAAAAAAAAAAAAAGATATATATCACATTTTTGAAAATTATTTATTAAATTATATAAATGTGTGATTCCCCAATGTCAAAGCAACACCAACCACAACAACAACAACATCATCAACAACAACACCAAATGATGGATTCCAATATTAATGTATCATCTTGGACAAGACTACAACCACTCTTGGAGAAATTTATTTTGAAAAGTCATATATCCGGAATGGACAAAGGTTTAGATATTTTGTTGCAATGGTTCGAAATTATTTCAAAGAGTTCTGATAAAATTAATACTTTTAAAAGTATTGTTGGTTTAAGGTAAATAATAATACATTTAAAAACAATTAATTATTAATTAACTTTATTATTTTTTTATGTTTAGCCCGGATATGGCAGAAGAAAGAAAAACAAGATTATCATATTCTACTTCATCAATCTCCGATTTAATTGAAAAGAATAATGAAGATAAAAAGAGATTGGTAAATGAAGATGATATCTATGATTATAGAAATAACAAGAGAATGAAAGTTTCACGTCTTTTGTGTAATGAAGATATGAACGGTGCAGACTCAAAGTCGGATGACGAGCAATCAGAGGGCGTTGAATACGATGAAGAAAATAGTTGCCCAGATAGTTTCGATAGCCAATCACCAGAGGACGGTGCCGACGAATTCGGTGGAAGTGGAGACGAGAATAACTTACAGATCGACGAAGAAAGCCATCACTCGCGTATGTTGCACGGTCGTCGTGCCTCAGCAAATGATGCACTACCCTCAATGAAGATGGCTGGACATCCACAAGCACAAGCACAACAACAACAATTATTAAATCAAAAATCTGCAGTTGCTGCTGCCGTCGGTGGTATCGCTCCATCACCCAAACAATTGATGATCATCCGCGAAAAGATGTTGGAATACGTCCAAAAGAACCCAAGTGCATCGCGTCCAAGTTGTATCCAAGTTTGCCAACAGCCATCGTCCAAAGTCGTATGGAAGAATCGTCGTCTCGACACTCCATTCAAAGTCAAGTTGGATCTCAAGGTTGCCAGCCAGATGGCCGGTCAAAATCTCCAGATCTCAAACATCGTTGCACTTGGAATCGTTACCGATCACAAAGGAAAACTCCAAATCGACTCGGTTGAGAACTTCTCAGAGGCATTCAACGGTCAGGGTATGGCTGTTTTCCAAGGTTTGAAAATGACCAAGGGTACATGGGGTAAGGAGTGGTCACTCACTTTTATTGCCGTTGCTCGTCCCTCGAACTCCTACAACAATTCCGTCGTTCTCTCTGTTTCACAGCCATTTGCCATCGTCGTCAAGACTCGTAAGAATCCACAGATCCGTCACAACTATTCGAGCGCATCGGCAGTCGCTCAACACGGTGTCATGAACTCTGCCAGTGAGAACTCGTCGTCTTCGCCAGAGGCATCGCCAACAATGGCACCAAGAAGAGGACGTCTTCCAGCTTCAGCACCAATGATGTCACTGCAATCGCGTGGCGCATCATTCCCATTCTCCAGGGAGATGACCAGCAATGAGATTCGTTTCCCTCAGGACGACATGGCCAGTCTGCTGTGGGCTGCCGAGATCAAACAACGTGAACACGTCCCAGTCGACGGAGAGCCAGAGATCATCCAACACCCACTGTCCCCAAAAAACAAATACTCATCAATGATACTAAGTCCCCCAAAACAAACTGCAGTATCCACAAGATAATTAATTTAGATTAATTTAATTTCCAACACATAATTTTATTATTTATATATTTATTTATATGGATATCTGTAATTTTGTTTATAATATATATAATTTTTTCATAATACAAACAACAACAACAACAATACGCTAACTAGTAGTCAATATATAATATATAAGGGACACATATATATACTTTTTCTATATATTATATTATCATTTCACATAGAACTTTTACACAATTAATTAATTAATTATTTGTTTATTAGTTCAAAATAATAATAACATAAAAAATAACCAAATAATAATAATAACAACACTGTAGTATATTGATATAGTATTTAATTATCACTTCACTTCGCCACATCATTCAACTTTTTTTCAAAATTTTTCTATTTGGTAAAAATTAGTCGGAACCAATGCCAATACAAACTAATGTCAAAACCAATCGAACTCCTTAAAATCATCACCCCAAAATCCATTCTGGAATTTACAACCATTATAAAAATCAATACGTCTCAATGATTTTGGTGTATCATTTCGCATATCTTTTTTTGTACTATTACAATTAAAACAATTAAAATATGAATTTTATATAAAAACAATGATAACTATCGTTTTAATATATAACTTCAATATATTAATTATATTTAATGAAAACCTTTTTTCTACACAAACACTTATTTCCTACCACCAAATCAGAATCAACAAAACAATTTATAAAAAAAATAAATAAATAAAAAAAAACATTTAAAAAATATATTTTATTATATTATCTTTCTTTATTAATTATGATTTGAAATTATTACATCTATCCTTTTAAGAGTTATGATTGAAGTGTACATGCGAAAAGACCTTGACCAGCTGGTACACATGATGCTCCAAATAGTAAGGTGATGACGTCGAATGGCAAGTTCACGCCCAATGTGATGATCTCTTCACCATTGAAGTAGAATGCATTGACATTTTGACTTTTTTCAGTCTCATAACTGTAGCTACTTTGGTACTCTGTGCACCAAATAAATAATAAACCAAAATAAAAACGCAACAGTCATTACCAATCTTTCATACAACATTCTACTCTACAATCTTTGATTTCATTCTTTTCAATCAATACCAACAAATATCCAAATTCTCCGAGTTCTGATTGAAAAGTGTAAAAATTCTTTTTTTCAAACGACAAAAAGAGATAAATAAATTGCAGGGATCAACAGTCCTCTGATTTTTAAGAAAAATAATTGTATGACCAAAAAAAATTTTGATCACAAATAAATATCTATAAATGAATTTTTGGTAATACAATTATTTGCAAAAAAGAAAAACCAAAGATAGATTATCAATAAAAAAATATATTTATAAATAATATTCAAAAATTAGATTTATATTGATATATAACTATCATTCAAATATTTATTACAATTAATTTGAATGATGAATTTCATTATGATAATTTTTTTGAATAGTTTTGGTTTTTTTTTTTTTTTCAATATTTTTTTTTTTTGGCGCCACGATCATGTAAAAAAAAATGACAAAAAAAAAAAATAGCAAAAAGATTATTTTTGATGAATAATTTTTTTTAATTTTCTTTTTTCATAAAAAAAATAGATTCACACTTCACCTTTTTGCAAAATAAAAATTTGATAGTTTTTTTTTTATTGTTATTATTATTATTTTATATTTATTTAGTCAATTCAGTATCTTTCATTGGAAAAAGAATAGATATATCTATAAATCAAAAGCAATCAACACAACATTTTTTACAAAAACTTTTTTTTTTTTTTCACATATAATTAAAATAATCATATAAAAAATGAGAGAAATCGTTCATATTCAAGTTGGTCAATGTGGTAACCAAGTTGGTAATAAATTCTGGGAAGTCATCTCTCAAGAGCACGGTATTCAGCCAGACGGTACCCACAAGGCAACCAATGATGCCCACCTCTCAAAGTTGCAATTAGAGAGAATCAATGTATACTATAACGAAGCCAGAGACAAGAAGTACGTTCCACGTGCTGTCTTGGTCGATTTGGAGCCAGGTACCATGGATTCAATTCGTGCCTCAACCAACGGTTCATTGTTCCGTCCAGACAATTTCATCAACGGTCAATCCGGTGCTGGTAAATTATCATCATAATAATCTATAAATAACTATATTTATTATTAAATATAACTTTACTAACAAAAATAATAACTTCTTCTTCTTCTTTATATTCTTTATCTTTTTATTTCTATTCTTCTTAACTACAAATAGGTAACAATTGGGCTAAGGGTCATTATACTGAGGGTGTCGAGTTGGTCGATTCCGTTCTTGATGTTGTCCGTCGTGAAGCCGAGTCATGTGACTGCTTGCAAGGTTTCCAAGTTACTCACTCCATTGGTGGTGGTACTGGTTCTGGTATGGGTACCCTCTTGATCTCCCGTATCCGTGAAGACTACCCAGATCGTATGATGTGTACCTTCTCTGTTGTTCCATCACCAAAGGTATCACTCTCTGTCACTGAACCATATAACGCTACTCTCTCTGTCCATCAATTGGTCGAGAATGCCGACGAGGTCATGTGTATCGACAATGAAGCTTTACATGAAATTTGCTTCCGTACATTGAAGCTTACCAACCCAACCTACGGTGATTTGAATCATCTTATTTCTTCAGTAATGAGTGGTATCACTTGTTGTCTCCGTTTCCCAGGTCAAGTAAGTAGTAGTATATAAAAATATATGTTTATTTTTTTATATATATATACTTAACTTTTTTTTTTTTTTTTTCACATATTAATTAGCTTAACAGTGATTTGAGAAAGCTTGCTGTAAATTTAATTCCATTCCCACGTCTTCATTTCTTCTTGGTTGGTTTCGCTCCACTTCTTAACAGCGTTAACTCTGGATACCAACGTATCTCTGTCACCGATTTGACTGCACAAATGTTCGAGGCCAAGAATATGATGGCTGCTTCTGACCCACGTAACGGTAAATACTTGACTGCCTCCGCTGTATTCAGAGGAAAGTGTCACACCAAAGAAGTCGATGAGCAAATGTAAGTTGAAATTGAATTTATCAATAATTTTAAAATTAACTATATTTAAATAGTATACTAATTCAATCTTATTACTTTATTATTATTATTATTACTTTAAAGGCTTGCCATCCAATCTAAAAACTCATCATTCTTTGTTGAATGGATTCCAAACAATATTAAATCATCTATTTGTGATATCCCACCAAGTGGTTTGCCAATGTCAGTCACCTTTATCGGTAACTCAACTGCCATCCAAGATCTCTTCAAGCGTATTTCCACCCATTTCACTGCTATGTTCAAGCGTAGAGCTTTCCTTCACTGGTACACCCTCGAAGGTATGGAAGAGTTGGAGTTCACTGAAGCCGAGAGCAACATGAACGATCTCGTATACGAATACCAACAATACAACGACGTCTCCAACGATGACGAAATGGAGAACGGAAATGAAGAGTTGGTTGAGGAAGCTGAAGAGAACTAAACAGCTTAAACCTTTAAAAAGAAACAATTATACCAAAAGATCACCATCCAATTTCAAAATAAACAAACACACAAACAAACAACAAGACACAAAAACAAAAACAATCTAATATAATTTAATTTTAGATTCAAAACACACACAAATATAATATCTGCAATTTCTTTGAAGTTATACAAGCAATCTCTTTTGTTATCTTTGCGATAACTTTTTTTTTTTTTTTTTTTTATATTTTCGTTTTTCAAAAATAACCATCAAGAGAAATGCCGCAAATGAAGAGGGGTGACACGTGTTGGAATAACCCTCACATTTAATTATTTTTAATATTCTCAAATAAATTAATTAAGAAATGTGATAGTTTGTTTATTTGTTTATTTTTTTTGTAACTATAAAAGTCATTATTAATTATATATTAATTATATTCTTGTACAAAATCAATGACAGAACTAACTTATAGAGAGAAAGGATTCTTGGCATTCTTTCTAACACCTTTGTTTGTTAGTTTACTGTTATTTTTCATTAGATTACTATTTTATAATAAGAGCAAATTGTTACCTACCAGTAAAGTACATCATTTCTTTACTCTACTAAAGGCAGGTACGATACTATCGTTTGCTTTTGTTATTTCAGCACTTTCATCATGGCAGTATATAGTTATTGCACCAGTTCTCATTATTATTTTTATATATTTATTGTTTGCCTCGTTAATACATCTTAGAGGTATACCTCAGTCACATACTCATATTGCTCTGAGTGATATTGAGTTGATGCCAGGTGTATCTGAAGCTCATCATAACAATAGCAACAACTCTGTCGCTTGGAATGAGTTTGAAGTCGATGAAGATGACTACAACGACTCGAATGCTCATGGTGAGCTAAACGATATCAACAGTAAGCCGACTTTTAGAGATCCACGAGCTTTGTCCAGAGGCAATAACAGGCTGGCAAATGCAGTGGACAATGTCAAGCGAACCGCCAAGAATTTGGTCTCCATCGGTTGGTATAGGAAACAATTGGCATTGTCAAGAGATGACATAGTTAGATCTCCAAAGACATCGATTTTCCTAATGATTTTGGTGCTGGTGTTTGCAATTGTTGTGCCGCTAGCTCTAGACAGAGTATGTGTTTGCTCTCATCCAATGACCATATCCGTTCGATTGACACGTAGTACCTATTGTTCAAATGACGAGATTTGTCATCTTTATCTGACGCTACCAGAGGATCCGTCTCACTCGATGATACTTCAGTATCATACTCGTGACTTTCCTTCGGATTTCTGTGTCACCGTTCAATCGCCATCCGGAGAGAATACAACCGTTGGACGATCTTTTATACAACCGATGGATTCAATCATCAAAGAAGAGTCGCGATACGTCTCTACTCATTATTTAGATAATTTACAACCAAACACTATCTACTCACTCAGTGTTTGTTACAACAAAGGAAAGGTGTGTTCTCCCATACACAAATTTAGAACACTGCCTATCGACAACGATACACCCGTTAGATTTGTAGTGGGTGGTGATATTCAGTTGAATAAAGATGCAAGGGATCTGGCTGCCGAAGCTATTAAAAAACGATTTAGTCCATTGCATTTTGTGGTTATTGGAGGTGATGTTGCCTACGCCGAGGGTGTTCCTGCGTGTTACCAGCGATGGGACGAGAAGCTCGCATTTCTGATAAGTAATTTTGGAAATACATCGGAAGGACTAATGCTGCCTTTCCTATTTGCAATTGGTAATCATGAAGCTGGTGCATTCTTCCAGCCGAGATCGAGTGTTCCTTTCTTTTTCAGATATACATCATTCACGGCAAAAGATGCACATAGCAGCCCTCAAACTCGATCTTCATATCACATGCATCAACTGAGCTCATTTGGCAGTCTGGCGATATTGGATAGTTGTGTAATCAGTTGTTGGGGTCCCCAATCCACATGGCTTGACGATCAATGGAGTTCGACCAAAGACAACATAACCAATAGAGTAGTAATATATCACTCTCCAATATATCCTGCAGGTTCACAGCCATTAACAGCAAAAATTCCGTCAATGGGACAATCCACCATTACAAAGATATTCGATAAATATAATGTATCATTGGTATTGGAAAATCACGAACATATTTTCAAGCGAACAAAACCACTGAGGAATGGCAAAGTGGATGAAGAAAATGGAACAGTTTACGTAGGTGGCGGAGCATTTGGTATAGGTTCTCGTACTAAACCTGGTAATACAACTAATTTACCATGGTTCCTTGAAAAAAGATCTTTAACAAAGTAAGTTAAAAAAAAGTGTAAATAATTATAAATGTATAGTTTTATTAATGTTATTATTTTAGTCATTTATGGATTGTAAATGTATCTGCCAATTCAACTATTGCAGAGGCAATAGATCCAGATGGTGATGTAATTGATTCCACAGGTCAAATTCCTCCTATCAAATAAAAATATTATTACTCCATATATTTTAAAGATTTTCCAATGGAATGTTTAAAACATCGAATGATATTTTATAATCGAAATGCCACCATTCTGATTTATTTGGAATGAAATCATGATTCATCATCGCCGTTGTTAATAGCTTTTTGAACCATCTCTGTCTTGATGTTCCACCGAAATATGATCTGTGTGATCTGACTGAGAATTCATCGTATTCACCTTGCATTGGAATGATTTCACCAGTTTTCAAATCATAGAGAGTCAAATCAACAGCACCACCTCGATTGTGAACAGATCCTTTATTTGGATCGGCAACATACAATCCTCTGAATTCAGGTTTGACTGATTCTGCCATTGCCCAAGTCACATTCCATGGTCTGTAAGAATCGTAGATGATCAAACCAACACCCCATTGTGCCAACCATTGATGACAACGAAGCAATGATTCAGCAGCTTGTCGATGGAGATATGCCTTTGCAACTTTATAAAATGCAATTCCAGAAAAGTTGTCGGTTGTCGCATACTTTACATCAGTGAGAAGTGTTGGCGAGAGTGTTGAAAGATCAACAAGACTGTGTGATGTAGGTGCTTTGTGTGGACAAGTTACAGAGTATGATTTATCTAATATGATCTTACTTTCCTCTGGACTACAAACACCTTCTTGTCTTTCACCTGGAATTGGACCAACATGCTTGTAATAAAATGGAATTCTCTCCAACTCGAATCTATCAGGTATTCCCGATGAATTGAGATAGAATACAACTCTTTCATCATTATACATTGAATCTGGTGAGAATTTAAACTCCAAACGACCATCTCTTTGAGATACCAAGGTGAGAGTGCAATGAAAAAGTGTCTCAATACATATCATCATGGTTCCTTCATCTTCATAGATAACTGCAAGTTGGTTTGCTTCATAGTGTCCAATTAGATTCTTGAGGAATGGTTGAATATCATTTGGTGGTTTTGAAACTGGTGGTAATGGGATGTATGGTTGGTAAAAGAGATTGTTTTCAGATATATCATTTTGTCTAACATAGGTATAAATGGCAACATTCTTTCCATCATTGGATATCTTTAATTTCATTGGCAATCCGAAAGATATTCTATCATTGGTGACTAGGGCTCCTTCTGGTAGAATTGGTGATCCATTCTCAGGTGATATCCACGAAAGATTGATAGACAAAAATGTTCTCCTGTAAATCTTTTGGTTGTACTCTTGGTAGATCTTGTAGTGGTGAGTATCTTTTTCCTGAATTCCGTCAATCATCTTATAGTATCCTAGAACTCTATTCTGAATCTCTTTTGGAATAGGTTGGCACTTAAGAATTGATTTCATTTGTAGTTGGGCATTTTCAAGAGCCAATACATCATAGGGTACTCGAGGTGATGGTTGGAAGTAATGTGATATTATTCTTTGGAGAATAACATCTGTCAACTGATTGACCAAAGAGTTGGTGCAGTCCAGAGTGGTCACAGCGTAGATACCGACACCAATCTCTGGGAGAACACGGAACTCACTGGCGAATCCATAGAGAGCACCACCATGTTTGGCCATAAGTAGACCATATAGTTGGTTGATTTCAACACCCAATCCATGTGTCATTCCAGATGGATGATAGTGGTAGTCAGAGTGTAGTTCGGAGACAGGTCCAGACAATGGTTGAGGAGTCATCATGAGTTGGAAAGATTTCTCACCTATTAAACCACCGCCACCATTTAGGAATACTCGGAGGAAATGATTGATCTCAGAGAGTGTACATTTCAAACCACCAGCCGGATTCATGCCCAACTTGATTATAGGTGCTTCTGTGAAGACTTTGACGTCGGTGGTTGTCTCATCCCAATAGTTCCACATATGACCAACTGCAAGACGCATCTCATCTTCATTTGAATAGCGAGTGTTGTTCCATAAGTCTTTTTTAAAAGTACAATGTGTCATTCCAATTGGATCGAGAACATACTTTTGAACATAATCTTCGAATAAAATTCCAGATACTTTTTGGATGATATATCCGACCATGGCAACAGCAGTGTTGGAGTACTTAAATGTTGTATTTGGTCTATAGATTAAAGTAGAGTCACATATCGATTGAACCAACTCTTCAATTTCGCATTGAACAACATTAAATCCATTTCCTTCAGGTGGCTCTCTTACAATTCCAGAGGTATGACGAATCAAATTGAAGACGGTGATCTGCTTGTAGAGTGGTGGTTCACTTGGATCACAATCGATTGGATTCTTTGGTGCAAAGTTAGATGGCATATACTTGGTGATCGGGTCGTTTAGTGATACTTTTCCTTGTTCTACCAACTGAAGAAGTGAAATATAAGTAAATAGCTTTCCAACTGATCCAATATTAAAGAGTGTTCGGTCAATCGATGGAATCGGTGTTTTAATATCAGGATGATGATGAACTTTGGTATAAAGAGTCTTTTCTCTATTGGTAATAGTTAAACCAAATACAGGAACTGCTTTATCATTGATTTGATATCTAATCCATTCTTCAAATGGTTTAATTATACTTTCTTCATCTAAAGAATTAACTATTTCTTCTTTTTGCATGATTATCTATAAATAATTTTGGTTATTAACCTTTAGCGAATAAAATGATTAAAATTCAAGAAATTAATTAGTGTATAAAATTAATTCAACAACGATTTTAAACTATAGTGGGGATAAAGGTACAATCAAAATTTAATAAAAAATGAATTATTGGATAGTGGGTAATAAAAATATGATTATAAATTTATTTGAGGATCACTCAAAAAAATGGAAAAGAACAAAAATATTTTTAAAAAGGAAGTATGTTGATTATTTAAAAAAATTGGTTTCATTGCATACTTGTTTGAAATAAATAATTTTCACCCTTTTGAAATTCCCCACCTTTATTATATATAAAAGTTAACTAAATTTCAGTAAAATTAGAAATAATCAAATGAAGACACAATGAACTTCTTAATCTCTTTTTATTTATTATTTAATTTTAAAGATTTTCCAATGGAATGTTTAAAACATCGAATGATATTTTATAATCGAAATGCCACCATTCTTGTTCATATGGAATGAAATCATGATTCATCATTGCAGTGGTCAATAACTTTTTGAACCATCTCTGTCTTGATGTTCCACCGAAATATGATCTGTGTGATCTGATTGAGAGTTCATCGTATTCACCTTGCATTGGAATGATTTCACCAGTTTTCAAATCATAGAGAGTCAAATCAACAGCACCACCTCGATTGTGAACAGATCCTTTATTTGGATCGGCAACATACAATCCTCTGAATTCAGGTTTGACTGATTCCGACATTGCCCAAGTCACATTCCATGGTCTGTAAGAATCGTAGATAATTAAACCAACACCCCATTGTTCCAACCATTGATGACAACGAAGTAATGATTCAGCAGCTTGTTGATGGAGATATGCTTTGGCAACTTTATACAATGCAATTCCAGAAAAGTTGTCGGTTGTCGCATACTTTACATCGGTGAGAAGTGTTGGTGAGAGTGTTGAAAGATCAACAAGACTGTGTGATGTAGGTGCTTTGTGTGGACAAGTTACAGAGTATGATTTATCTAATATGATTTGAGCTTCCCCAGATGAACATACACCCTCTTGTCTCTGACCTGGAATTGGACCGACATGTTTGTGGAAGAATGGTATACCAGAGAGTTCAAGTCTCTCAGGACGACTGTCAGAGTTTAGATAGAATGTAACTCTTTCATCTTTATACAATGAATCCGTTGCGAATTTGAATACAACACAACCTGGTTGTTCAGATACGAATGTCAATGTGTAGATAAACAACCATTCAATGCAAATCATCAATGTACCATCGTCCTCAAAGATCAGAGCAAGTTGGTCTTTGGCTTCGTAGTGTCCAACTAGTTTCTTGAGGAATTGAGGTATTTCCTGTGGGGCCGACGAGACTGGTGGCAATGGGATGTATGGTTGATAGAACAGATTGTTGTCAGATATATCTTTTATACGGCGGAATGATTCGATTGCTGTATCCTTACCATCGGTCGAGGTATATAGCTTCAACTGACCTCCAAATGACAAACGATCGTTTGTAACAAGCATTCCTTCTGGATGATACGGTGAGTTAGCCCATGAAAGTTTCGAGATGAACGAAGTTCTAATAAAGAGCTTCTGATTGTACTCTTGGTAGACTTTGAAACGATGAAGGTCATAGGTCTTGGGATCACCTTTATCAAGCACATAATATCCCATTGCTTGATCAAGAATCTCATTTGGAATCGACTGACTTTCAATCACTGATTTCATATGTGATTTTGCTGTAACCAAAGTAAGTGGATCATATGGTATTTCTGGTGATGGTTTGAAGTAGTGAGAGATGATATGATGGTAAGCATATTCTACTAGTTGAGTGGAGAGAGTATTGTTACAGTCGAGTGTTGCCACAGCATAGATACCGACACCAATTTCTGGGAGAACACGGAACTCACTGGCGAATCCATTGATTGCGCCGCCATGTCGTGCCAACAGTAGTCCACAAAGTTGGTTGATTTCAACACCCAATCCATGTGTCATTTCAGATGGATGGTAGTGGTAGTCAGTATTTGGTTCCGCTGCAGGTCCAGACAATGGTTGTGGTGTTATCATGAATTGGAAGGTTTTCTCCTTCAAGAGCGGTGCACCACCATTCAAGAATACTCGGAGGAAATGATTGATCTCAGAGAGTGTACATTTCAATCCACCGGCTGGATTCATTCCGAAATGAGTTAATGGTGCTTCTTTGAAGACACTGACGTCGGTGGTTGTCTCATCCCAGTAGCGCCACATATGACCAACTGAAAGACGCATCTCATCGTCGTTGGAATAGCGAGTGTTGTTCCAGATGTCCTTGAAAGTGCAGTGTGTCATCCCAATGGGATCGAGAACAAACTGTTGGACATAGTCTTCGAATATCATGCCTGATGCCACTTGGATGACATATCCGACCATGGCAACAGCGGCATTCGAATACTTGTGACAGGTATTCGGTTTGATTACCAAGGTGGATCGACCCATTGAATCAACCAACTCTTGAAGATTACATTGATGTTCATTAAAGTAATTGCCTTCCAGAGGTTCACGAATCAATCCAGAGGTATGACGAATCAAATTGAAGACGGTGATCTGCTTGTAGAGTGGTGGTTCACTTGGATCACAATCGACTGGATTCTTTGGTGCAAAGTTAGATGGCATATACTTGGTGATCAGGTCGTTGAGTGATACTTTTCCTTGTTCTACCAACTGAAGAAGTGCAACATAGGTAAACAGCTTACTGACCGAAGCGACATTGAAAAGTGACCGGTCAATAGATGGAATTGGTGTTTTAATATCAGGATGATGATGAACTTTGGTATAAAGAGTCTTCTCTCTATTGGTAATGGTCAAGCCGAATACAGGAACTGCTTTATCATTGATTTGATATCTAATCCATTCTTCAATTGGTCGAATTATAGTAGCTTCATCCAAAGATGTAACAACCTCTTTTTGCATCATTTTTTTTTTAATCTTACGAAAATCTAGATCTTTTTTTGTAAAGATAGAGATATTGAAAATTAAAAATAAATTGAAAATAAAATGAATAATGTTAAATAAAATTTTGGTTAAAGTATATCTATATCTATATATATCTCTTGATTAAAAATATATATTTAATTCAAATTAAATTAAAAATATGATATTTAAAATTTAAAACACTCACTTGATAAATTTAATAATCACACAATCACACACACATTGGGTGCTTTAAAAGATAAAAATAACCAATCAGATATATGCAAAAACAAACAGCTGATCAAAATCCCAATTAAATTTAAATTAAATTAATTGTAATGTTTAATAATACTTTAAATTATTAAATATTTTAACTTTTTTTTTTTTTTTTTATTATAAATAATAATGGTTTTGTTGTTATACACTGTCTTTGAATGAGTTGGAATGGTGGAGATTATGATGATGTTGTTGTACTATTGCTAGTGGCAATGTTTGATATTGATGTAGCTGAGTGGATTGTTTGATACGTATGATACAGCTGGTTCCTTTGTAGGACGATGCAACGTAGATGTTTCCATTGTCAATGTGCGCCATGTCGTTGAAGGTTGTAAAGCCAACTTTACTTGCTACATTTCCTTCGTTGACCACCGACGATGTCGTCTCGGCACAGTTGTTAATATTGTTATGACTGTTGGTTGATGACTGCAGAGTCGGCAGCGACTGTATGATATTGCCATTGAGTAGAGTGCGCACCTCTATCAGCTGTCCCGAAATGCCAAGTACATAATGTGGGAGTAGTACGATCGACGACGGTATACTGCCCCATTTGATATCAAAGTTTCGTGTTCTTGTGCCTTTCTCGTCGACAAAGAACCCGATGTTGTTGAAACACAGCAGAATCTCAGTGTCGAGTGACAACGCCTTGACAGGCTCGCTGTCCGCTTGCTTGTAGAGCTCCTTTATCGTGCCTGTGTACATGTCGATCAACAGGAACTCCTTGGCAACACCTATACACACCATTCCCGGACCGACATGGCATATCGACTTGACGTTATCATACACCTGGATATCTTTTGACTTGATAAACTCGCCGTTGTGCCATTCATACATGATAAAGTTCTTCTTGTGTGCAATGTAGAGCAGTGTTATGTTGATGGTGAGACCACCGCTCTCACACAGCTCATCTAGCGAACCAGAAGAAGACGATGAAGATGAAGACGACGAAGAGTTTGACGATGAACCACCGTAAGAAGAAGAAGATCTGCTGCTGCTATTGTTATTCTTTGACACTGCGAATACAGTACAACCTTTGGTTCCATCGATTCGCTTCGGCTTTGGTTCCTCCAGCTTTGATGCGGCATCCGGTGAGATCTTGGTCATTGTTTTCTGTGCAAAGTACTTCTTCAGATGCTCCAGATCAAAGACATGCAGACCTTTGCTATTGAGTGCTAGAATACAACTGGCCGACTTGACGACCACCAGTCTCGTGACACCTTTGAGTGTTGCCACCTTTTGAAACGAAGACTCTGACGAACCACCATTCTTAAATAAATAGATTGAATCTAGTGTTGCGAATATTAAAATACAATTGTTTTCCTCTGATTCTATGACATCCAAACAAATGATATTATCAAATGATTTAGAAAATAATATCTCTGTTTCAAATAACTAAATAACAAATAGAATATTATAAAGTATTAACAAACATTGCAATATTTAATAGGTATTAATATTTAAAAACCAAAAACAACTTACATTTCTACTAAAATCCTTTACTCTTAAATTACTATTATTTACAAATTCTTTTGCTTTCAATTCCATTCCTTTTGATATATATGTTAATGATAATGATCTTCTCTTTGATATTAACTGTTGTTATGTTTGATGAATAGAATATTAATAAACATATTATTATTAATAATGTTTTTGATTTGATATTTACAGATGATGCGGTAGGTATATTTGAAGTATACTTTTGATAGATTGAATTTAATTGTGCTCTAAATGTTCTTTGTAGCTTCGAGGAAAATGATGGAGCTGATTGTAATGCTGCTCTTTGTCCATTTACCACTATTATTATAATAAAAGTTAAATTAATAAACTAAATATCAAACTGTAGATATAATAATAACAATCTTACATTTAGCTAAAAGAAATTGTTTAAATGATTCACCTTTCAGGAATACAGATGGAAAAGGTAATTTAGGACCAAAGTTTGCTATTGAATTCTTTACTATAAATTCTAATCTATAACTATCGTCATTCTCTGGTTTAACTACTGCAAATATATCTGTAATTATAATCAAAAAATGATTAATATTGATTATGTTTTGTTTGTTTTGTTTTGTTCTTACGGTTAAAATTTGAATTAACATGTGATGGATCCCATTTAATGAATTCTGTACTCATTGGTACCGATGGATCGATATCATAGAATATCAATATTACGATATCGTTGCCAATGTGTCGCTTACGTTCGATCTGTTGACTGTCGCCAGGTGTATGAGGCAGCATCGTAGAGACATGAAACATAATCTGATAGTCCATCCACCGTGTGAACAGTGAATGAGAGCCAGTTGTATTGTTTGTTACATCCAAACCACCTCTGTATCCCTTGAAAGATTTCAACTCCACAGTATCTCCCATTATCTTTAGAAATTCTTTATATCTATCACTTCCTTCATCTGTAAAAAAGATATATGATATTAATTAGTTAAATTAACTTTATAGGATATTAATATAATAAGAAGAAAAGAATGATAATTTACTATTGTTATAAAATTGATCTTCACTACTTTGACCTTCTTTTGCCAACCATATTCCAAATTTATATGCCAATTCGGTTTGAGTCGATTCCAACTCTTTGAAATCCTGTAGGATATCGGTGGACTCTACTTCCTTGAGTTTCTTAAACTGCAATTTAGGTGCGGCTCTCTTTACAATCTCTGTAGAGGTAAGTGTTTGTTTTGGTTTGCATTGGAACATCTGTCGTTCTACACCACTTCCAGACCAAACTATAATTTTGTACACCATTTCTCCACGTGGAGTTTCCTCCTTTAGAATCGATGCTCCAAAAGCATCGTTTGTAATCTCGTCTAAACCTAAATAATTATGATGTTCTATATTAAACAGTAAAAAAAGGTTAATTTATAAAAAAATAAAATAGAATAATAATAGAAATAATAGTTTACTTTTTCCAAGAAAATAATTGAAATACCAAAGAATACATTCTTCTGGATTTTCAATGACAGGTGTCTCAACAGAGAATTCAAAAGGATTACTGGAATCGTCGAATGTGTCTTGACCGTTTTCAGATCGCCAATTAAATGAGGGTCTAGTTAAGCCTGACTCTGCGCCCTCTGCCAATATATACTCCATCGTTTGATATTGTTCGAACTAGAACACCGAATAAAAAAACACCAAACACACACAATCTGATCCAAAAGTGTGTGTCTCTTTTCCTTACTACTAACAAATGAATATAGTTGTTTTAGTTATTGAAATAACTGAGGTTTGTCTATCCAACAACAACAACCAACTATAAATATTCTATATCTATTTTTAGATTAATTTAATTTCGAAAAAAAAATATCTTAAATTAATATCCAAATAATTTAATTGTTTAATATTGGTAGGAAATCAATCTTGAATTGAAATAACAACAATAACAAGATAATAACAACAACAATAACAATAAAAACAATATATTATATATCTTGGATAATTAAATATAATAAAAATTTAAAAGATGTAAATGTTTGTTGATTTAACTGGTTGGTGTTAATTATTATTGTAAAGATTAAACAAGATTAGATTAGATAAATATAAATGACAAAAAACAAATAAAAATACGAACAAAAGTAATATATAGTAGTTATTTAATAAAATTATTATTATTATTAATAATAATGTTTGTTGTTGTTTTTGTTGTTTGATTTTACAAGTCTTTGAAAACTATAACGAAAATGCTAAAGTGTAATGATGATTGATGCCCAAAATCTCCCTATTATCCTCCTATCATATTAAATTGAATCAATTTCAAAATAATAAATTAATAATATTTATCAGCATCAATTAACTCACTCTGCAAAGTCACTTCTATAATATATAAATCGAATTCAAATCAAACCAAACCAACCACATATAGCACTCACAAATGCGCCAATATCAAAAAAAACAAGCAAACAAATAAAATTAAATAAATAAATTTGATATAAAAATTAATAAATTATATTTTATTTTAAAAATAATTAATTAAAAACAAAAACAAATGATAGGATTGGGTTTGACAGATCCATAATATTGATATTGATATTGATATTGATTGTATGTAACTTTTGTTAAGTGGTCTGTCTTGGTACTGTATTTGTAAATATCTGTCTCTTTGTTGTGAGAAACATTCTCCTTGAACACACACACGCTCTCTCTTCTCTTCTTTATTTGTCTTTGAATATTTATAATTTCTATGTTGTGGATCATATGTGTAACTCATATGATAATGATACTCTTATTTTGCGCGCCAACACATTTCACACACATATAATGTCAGACATGTCTTGTGTGTTTTGAAATGGTTTGTTTGATTGGATTATAATATGTTGTTTTTCCTCTGTGTGTGTGTTTGATTGTTATTTATGCGATTTTATGGATTGATCAAAATTTGATTGGATTGATTGATTGGATGACTATTCATTGATAGATAGATAGATAGATGATATTGTGAGATAATTTTTAAAACAACATTAAATTGTTTTACTCTTTTTTTTTTTTTTTTTTTGCTTTTGATTTTAGTGTCATCAGAAGTGGAAGTGAAAAAGTAAAATATGTATGTGTGATGAGAAATATATATTTATTTTGTTTTAGTGGAGTGGTAAGTAAGTAATATATACTTATGTAAGTAAAATGTGTTTATAATTAATATCTCTGTATTAAATTTATATTATTCTAATTATCGTAATGAGTGATTGAATTATTGATTGATTGAATGATTGATTACCGAATACCTGTTGTCTATGTATGTTTATGTATATCTATGTATGTCTGATCAATATCTTTTTTTATTTATTTCGATATAAAGATGGTCAATGTTTGTTGATTTCAAGTGAAATTAGTTTGTTTGAGAGTAAAAATTAAATTAATTATTATAAAGAACAAACCCACCCCCTAACAATTTGCTTTTTTTTTTTTTTTTTTTTTGGGATTGTTTAAACAAAAAAAATCGAATTTAAAACTTTTGGCGATATTATCGTTTTTTTGCAAAAATAACCTGTTTATAATTTTTTTGATTTTCATTCCCTCAAAATGTGTGTTTGTTTACCTTTTTTCGTTTTTATGAGAAACAAATATATTTAAAGTTGTACGAAGTTTACAAATAAGAAAATTTAAACATTGATTGAGTGGACCTGGAATGAAATGGAATGGTTGGATGTTGTTTTTGGTTTTTTGCAAAAAAAAAAAAAAAGGTGTGAGCAAAACCAACAAGAGTTATTGGGACATTCGGGTGTTCAGTTTCATTTTGTTTTGGTTTTATCTGAACACTTGGTGTATGTGCACATTTTTACTACTTACTTTATCAAATTATGGTTGGTTTTTTCACCAAAATTTACTATTTATTGGATTACTGACTAAAAAGATATAATAATATAATAATAAAGAGTCGGGATGGATGGATAATATTAAAAATTAAAATTATTGGTAAAAAACTAAGTTTTATTGTTATTTCGATCTATTTAGTTTATTTTTTTCTTTTCTTTTCTTTTGTTTGGAGAGGAGTGAATTTCAAATCTACTATTAATTGTTATTGTTGTTGGTGATGATATTGATGAGTTGGCGTTATATTTAAATGAAAATTATTGTGTGTATCTTGAATATCAATTTCTGGTGAGAGTGAAGCGGAGTTGTTGTTCTTATTTACTTTAGAAAAAGAAGAGGTGAGAGGAAAAAAAAAAAAAAAAAACACCTAATTAAAAATATTTAAATAATTTTTTAAATAAAATCACACTACCAATCTGTTATTTTATTATTAATATTATTGTTGTTTTTGTGTTGTTAAAAATAGAGATTATTGATTAAATGATTAAAGGAAAAATAATAATTAATTAATATTAGTTAGTTCAGTTGGCTCACTTTTTGTCTATATAATAAAATTGATTGAGTTTGAAAGATAATTATAACAAGTGATCATCAACAACATCAGAATTAATAGTGATATGATGGTTAATGATTATTTTTGGTTCGTTTAACGAACAGTTAGGCGCGAATGGATGTAATTTGAATAACAAACAAACAAACAAGATGGTTTTAGTAATAAACATAGCGGTGAGCTCTTTGCTTGATGTTGTTACTGTTGATTCATTTTTGTTTCTATTTTAAAATAATAAATAATAATAATAATAATGATAATAGTCAATCACATCAATACCCCCACTAATTAGGAAGGGAAGGGAAGTGAGGTGAGTGGTCGTTTGTTGTATGAATGTTTTTTAGTTTAGAGTGTTGAGGTGTTGCAGATCTATCTATGTTATTATTAAAAGAGAAATTGATGATCATCTGTTCTGTGTTGTATGTGTATGTGTGCGTGTGTGTTTGGTGGGTTGGGGGAGGGGTATAGTTGTTGGTTGTATTAACAGTTCACAGGAATTTTGTTGTGGAAATGGGGGAATTTGGTATTTTTTTTTCATTTTTATTAGATCGATTGGACCCAAGCCGGTTCAAGATCGTGAAGTAGAGCAGCAAGCAGTTGCCACAATGCATTGCTAATTCAATTAATTATGACAATAAACAAAAACAAACAAACAACCAAACAAACAACATCGATCGATCGAACACCAAACAAACACTTTTTCTTTAATGTCTAACAGTTTTAAACCATCCTATATAATATATGTTTGTTGTATATTTGTAATCTGCAGCTGATATTTGTTGATTGACCTACACCCACTCATTGCTAATATTTAAAATCTATCCATTTGCTTGTCTATATTTATATAAAATATAATCCAACTCTGTCAACTAGTTCTTTTATTACTTGTGGTCGTTTAAATCAATCTCGATCTATGTGTATGTCCAAAAATATCGACCCAATTCCCAAATAATGTTATTCCATTTACACACATATATATACACTTTAACAAATTAACACGCGTAATGATGATGATTGATGATAATACCATAACTTAAGTTGATGAATTGATCATTGTAAATTTTTACAAAAAAATAAAGTAAAAAAAAAAAAAAAAAATTCTTAAAAGATATCTTTCAAACTCTGAATCTATAGAAGTATTCTACTGTAGTTACCTGTATGTAATATATCTACCAGCAGTCTCTGATGGTCTAATAATCTTTACTACGTGTCCTCTTCGAAGTCCGAAATATCTTGCAACTGGATCGTTGATTTGAATACGTGGTAATTGAGTCTCTTTCATTTTGCTATTATAAGAGGTGGTGTCAAGTTAGTAAAAAAAAAAAACGAACAATAATGAAACATCCGACAAGATCTTCTTGAAATAGCTTACTATTTTGCTAAAAGTTCTGATTTCTCTTCCTTTGAGAGAAGAATGTGTTTTGGTACCAATTGGTGATGTGTAATATTTACTAGGAGTTCGGCTTCGTTAAAGTTCTCCAAAACGATCTCACGATTCTGTGAGAATTCGGCCAGTGCTTGTTTGGCAAATGGTGTCATAACCTGTTGTACTACGATAATTGCTCTTGTTCCTCCTATCTCCTTCATTCTTTTTACATATCTATAGGTGTTTGTTTGATTATGAGTAGATAGATAGATAGATAGATGATTAGTTGGTTTGATCAATGTACTAATCACTCTTAGTAGTATATTCAATTTCAATAAACTTACTCTTTAATTGGTTTTACACCGACCTTAGGATCATTTGGGAAGAAAATAAAGATCTTATCGGCGGCATCTTCTCTCTTGGTGTGAATTGAATTCATATCTTCACGTGACTTGAAGTTTCTTCTGAACTCATCTTTACTCTGATCCAACTGTACTGGTGTGATCATATAACCACGATCGTGTAGCATCTGAAGGATTGTCTTTTGAATTTGATATAATCTTGTAACTTCATCCATCTTTTTTTTTATCTTATTCTGTTGTTATATTATAAATATATATATAATAAATTTTTGTGATTTGATTTTTTTTTTTTTAATTAAATTTTATTTTATATGAAAATTCTCAAACAAACAAAAACAGATAAATTATAAATAAATGTTATCGTTGGATGGATTTGAAATCAAATAAAATAAAAAATTCGTATCAATCGTTTAAAAAAAAAAAAAAATTCAACTTTTTCATTTCAGAAAAAAAAAAAAAAAAAATTCACTTTTTTTTTTTTTAATGAATTATGATAATTTCCAAAACATTAAAACACCAACTTCAACAACAATTTAATACAAAAAATTTGATTTGATTTTTTTTTTGATATCAAAAAAAAAAAAAAAACAAACTTACCAAACATTTAAATTGACACTCCTATAACACCAATTTATTTAAATTTTATTTCATTTACATTGCTGTTAAATATCATATCCACACACACATTTTATATATTTATATATTTCTATTTCTATTTTTTAATAACTATATTTTTGTTTTTATTTTTTATTGTTATTATTTCAATCAATCAATCACTATTCAATTCATATAATTGTAATTTATTTTAATTAAAGCAGTTTTATTTTATTTTTATTTTATTTTTAGAAAGTTAATTTTTAAAAAAGATAATAATAATAATAGTAAAACAATAAGTCATTAAATCATGAATATGGAATCATTGAAGACATATGTCAAGAAAGGGTATGTTAATTACAGAATGTATAAATAGTTATATCAGTATATCAATATTTATAGTTGATAATTATATTATATATATTATATAAATTATAGCAAAGATGCAGTCTTGAATACACCAGAGATCGAAAGAAAGGTCAAGGACGCGACTTCCAATGATAAATGGGGACCAACAGGTACTCAAATGCAAGAGATCTCCAGAGAATCATATAGATATGAATGTTTCCCAATTATCATGGGTGTCATTTGGAAACGTATCAATGATCCAGGAAAATACTGGAGACACGTTTATAAGGTAATAACACATTATCAAAATAGTTAATTACCTATCCATGTAAATACTCATTATTATATTTTTTTTCTGTTTTTTTTTTAATTATTATTATTTAGTCATTACTCTTGATTGATTATTTAGTAAAGAATGGATCAGCTCAAGTAATTAGAGATTGTAGACATCATACAATGGAAATCAAGACATTGGTTGAGTTCCAATATATCGAGGATGAAAAGGATGTAGGTTTAAGTGGTATGTATCATTAATGTTTATCTGAAAAACAAAAAAAAAAAAAAAACAAAAAAAAAAAAAAAATAGTAAACGTAGCTAACACACCCATTCACTAACACACCACTCCACCACAATTTTTTTTTATGTATTTTTATTTTTTGGTTGATCAATACATAATATCCAGTTCGTGAGAGAGCAAAACAAGTTATTGAATTATTACACGACGACAAGAGAATCAAGGAGGAAAGAGATAAAGCCAAAGCCAACCAGAATAAATATGTAGGTATCGGAAATGACGGTGGTTACGACAGCTACAGTGGTGACAACAGAGGTTACGGCGGTGGTGGAGCGCGTGGTGGTTACGGAGGTGACTCGCCATACGGAGGTGGAGGTAACCGTGATTCGCCATACGGTGGAAGCGGTGCTCGTGATTCACCATACGGTGGAAGCGGTCGTGATAACAACTACGGAGGTAGTCGTGACTCGCCATACGGAGGTGGAGGCAACCGTGATTCGCCATACGGTGGTAGTGGTGCTCGTGATTCGCCATATGGATCGTCACGTAACGAAGACGACCACAATCCATACATCTATGGTTACGACAATCCAGAGGAGAACCAGAATGGCGGTGCATTTGGTAACGGTGGAAACACAAGAGACAACAACAATAACGACAGATATAATAATGATAGATTTGGTGATCGTGACAACGATCGTTTCGGAAGTGGTAATGGTAGTAGATCCAACAATGGTAATAATAGCAGTAGACAGCAACAACAACAACAGATGGACTTTGACGACCAACCACCAGTCACTAAATCGAGACCTAGAGCTGCAAGCGGTGGAAACCTATCGACCCCACCAATCAGAGGTGGTAATGAGCCACAATTGATTGATTTTTCAGAGCCAGCACCAGTTGTTAAGGCACCAATCGTTTTCGACCCAATCATGGATGGCAACAGCAGCAGCGGTGGTGGAAACCAATTCGGTGGTGGACAACAAAACCAATTCGGTGGTGGTGGACAACAAAATCAATTCGGTCAATTCCAAAATGGTGGATCAAACTCTTCATTCGATGCATTCGGATCAAATACACAACAACAACAATTACAATTCGGTGGTGGTGGTGGACAACAAAATCAATTTGGTGGAAACCAATTTGGTGGTGGACAACAAAATCAATTCGGTGGTGGTGGACAACAAAATCAATTTGGTCAATTCCAAAACACAAAAGATCCATTCGCCAAAGGTATGATTCATTTATATTTATACTTATTCAATAATTAATAGCATGATTTATATTAATATTATTTGTTTTTTTTTTTGTATACAGATGAATTTGGAGATTTCAATACTAGTAACGATTTCAATCCATTCGATCAACCATCAGGTGACTTCCAATCATCAAAAACAAGCTCACAGCCATCAGCAAACTCTAACGATCCATGGGCAAAGAAAGATCTTTTCGATCTAACTAACCTTGGAAAAGGAAATCAACCAACCAATCCAATCAATAGTCAAGGTGCCAAGGTTAGATCCACACCGGCTAGAGTTGCCACTGGTCCAATTACATCTGCAGGTTCGACAATTAATCAACAACCAATGATGGGTGGAATGAATCAAAGACCAATGATGGGTGGTATGGGTAATCCACAAATGGGTGGAATGGGTAATCCACAAATGGGTGGAATGGGTAACCCACAAATGGGTGGAATGCAAGGAGGTATGATTCAAGGAGGTATGATGCAAAGTGGAGGTATGCAAGGAGGTATGATGCAAGGTGGAATGCAAGGAGGAATGATGCAAGGTGGTGGAATGCAAGGAGGTATGATGCAAGGAGGAATGAATAGACCAATGGGTAATCCACAAATGGGTGGAATGGGTAATCCACAGATGGGTAATCCTCAAATGGCAGGTGGTTACAGATATTAAATAATAATAATAATAATAATAAAATAGCAAAATTAAAATTTCCTTAAAACTATAATAATAATAACAATAATTTAATTACAAACACATCACAACAATCTAATAATAATTTAATAGTTTACTAAAGAATTATTTATTCTTTGTAAAAATAAAACGATTTAATCAATACAGAAATTCTATTTCAGTTTGTTTACTCTTTCCATATTCGTCTTCTGAGGAGGTTGCATCGTCCATTCCAAACACCGATGATTTCGGACTTGCATTTGTATATGATTCGTAATCGGTATGAGTATTCAGATTGTGTTCTCTTGTGACCAAGTGATTGTCATTGGTTGGTGTAGATCCCAAATTATTAATAATATTATTATTATTGTTATTATTATTATTAGTATTATTATTATGATTAATATTATTAATATTGTTGTTATTATTATTACTATTATTATTACTATTATTATTATTATTGTTACTGTTAGTTTGATCTTTTCTTGATTCACTACCTCTACTTCTATTTAACAACTTCTTCTTTTTCTTGATTAATAACAAAACTGGGCTACCAAGAACATTGTTTGAAATTGAATCGATCCATTTAATTGCTTCTTCTTGTGTTGAGGCTTTTAAAATATATTTCTCGTGTTGACCTTCAATCGGTCCTTTGGGTGTCAGTTTGACTGACTTTATCATTTGAACAGTGGAATCTTCGATTTGGAAAGATGTATCCGATATCTTTGTAACCTTTAGACCTTCCAAAGGTATAATTACTTTTGGATTTTCCTCCTATAATTATATAGAATATTTTAATTAGTTTAATTGTTTCAGATTTATATTACTATTGATAATCGGTTTTCAAACTTACATTCTTCTCTGTTGGGAAATAATAAAGACAGTTGTTTTTGAGTACAAACCATCTCTTTTGCCAATTTTTCTTTTGGGAAGACATCTTATAGAGCCATCCCTTGAGTTGAGCATTTGAGAAGAGTGTATCCTCATCCAATTTCAATTCGTTGTTGATAATACGGTCATAGAGCTTCTCTAGATACTCTGGTGTAAGATCCTGCTTCTTTCCCTTTCTGAGGTTGATATTATTCTGTACAAATACTCTCTTGGACATCTTGTTCTTAATGGCAGGATTGTGTGCGTCTGTGTTGAGTAGAATCAATGAGAAGGCAAGTAGGTAGGCGGTGTCAGAGTCGGTGAATTTTCCAGGATTATCATTGTGATACTTCATTGCAAAGCTCTCCATAACACGATCGATCTGTTGAGCTTCCCTAGGTAGTTTGAACTTTGACAAAAAGTTACGAAGAGCTTCATCAAACTCTTTTGATTCAAAATTATAATAATTTACAAAGCTTTGAAGCATCTCCTTATTATGTGGTTGACTAGTTCATTTGTTTAAAATTAGTAAAGTGCAATAAAATGAAATTATCAATTTTTTTTGATACATACTTTCCACCTAGATATTCTCCTAATTTAATCTTATTTAATTCATCGACTGAATGTAAAAATGTTATTATATTATCATATTGAGTATTTAATAGTACATTGTTTTCTCTTATATATTGGATACCCTATAAATTATTAATTTTTTATAAATATTAATAATTGAATATATATTTTTTTTTTTATATATATATATTTACAGTTTCTGGATCTTTATTAAACTTCCTAATTGCTATTCTAAATGGTTCTTCAGGTATCAATTGTCCATATTGTGGTCTTATGATAAAAAAAAAAAAAGAATGAGTAATTAAGACATTTTTATAATAAATCTTTCAAAATAAAACTTACTTTGGAGCCATTTGTTTTAACATTTCATATTCATTCTCTTCTTTGATAATCTCTTTCATTATTGTGTTTTCTTCATCTTCAACCTCTTTCAGTTTTGAACTCTTCTTTGACATAATATCAGACAGTACAGGTTTCACCCATAGAATACAAGTGACATCCCAAACAATAGTAAAAATACCTATTCCCACCAAAATAATGATACTAGCCCACCAGTTCTTAACCAATGGAATCTTGTCGAATTTAGCTAATATACCTATTGCTATACTAATAAATATCATTCCCAATATTGAGATTATCTTCCAAAAATAATACTATTATTTAATTGTTGGAAAATTAATTAGTTTTGTTGTTTTCTTTTGTTTGAAAGCTATTAAATGATAAATAACTTACAATATATATTGGTTTTGATTTTAATTTAAATAAACCATAGAGTCCACCGAGAGTAAAAGGTATTGTTAAAATTCCATAAACACCATAGAGTAGATATGCAATGTTGTCATATATGATTCCTACTACCAGTGGAAATATGGTGGCAAGAGCAAGTGCTAATTCGATGAATAAAATGATGATCGGTGATGTTGTTGAGTATTTTGATTGAATTTGTTTGAGTTTCGAGTTTTGTTGTTGTTGTTGTTGTTGTTGAATATCAAGTGTTGATTTACCTGTTGGTTTGCTATCGGCTGTGATGATACCAATATCTATCTTTTGAGTGTTGTTGGTGATGTCGGGATGTTGTGAGTGTTCCAGTGATCTGTTTATACTGGTTGAATCGATAGCCTGAAGTGGAAGACTCGAGCTGCTCTCTTCCATCTCTCTTCTGACCGGAGTCGGAGAGAGAATGTTTAACTCATTCTTTGATTCACTATTCATTATTGACTTTCCAAAAAAAGTCTATAACTACTTCTACTTCTACTGTAATATTATATTATTTTCTAATAATAAAAATTGCTCCAAATTTGGAAAGCAAACAAATTATATAGGAAATAAAATTATTGATAGTATTAATTTAGAAATAGAAAAAAAGAATGTAAAGCAGAGATCGAGTTTAGACAGGAAAAAGAAAGAAAAGAAAGAAAAAAGGTTGGTTTTGTTTTGTTACCAATCAAATGATTATGATGATACTGTTTAACAGCACTATTCTGTTGTTGAAAGTGTAGTTTGATAGGATTATTGATTTGACTGATTGGTTGATTGATGGACTATGTGTGAGATGTGTGAGGTAGTGAATGAGTGATTGAGAGTGTATGTTTGTTTTGTTATTAATTAAAACTTGTGTAATTGAATTGAACTGTGGTAAATTGATAGAGTGGTGTTATTATTATTGTTATTATTATTACTGACTGATGTTATTGTTAATTTCAACACATTAATGATTATTGAGATTTGATTGGTGTGGTAAAGATATATTATTATTTCTAGTTAATTTTTAAAAAGGTGAGATTTTAGTTTAACTGTGTGGGTGTGTATTGTTCTATATTTATCTTGGATTTTATTATTATTGATTGAGGAGATGATATCAAGGTGTTGCTGGAAAATAATTTATTTCAAATATCAATATCCTAAAAAATTAATAAAAAAAGAGAAGAAGTGAGAAAAACAAGTATTCGTCTGGTTAGTAATTTAAAATTAAAATGATATTTTTAATCACACACACACACACAAAAGTGTAGCATTGTAATTGTTGTGGTATTAAGTAAACAGGAATTGCAAAAAGACAAGAAAACCAATTTTGATTATAATACAAACAATAAAATTTAAATAAAAATTTAAATAAATTAATATAAAAATAATATTTATAAAGATTGACAGACAGGCTGATAGTAATAATGTTGTTATTTATTCTGTTTGTCGGAGTAATTGAAAAGATAATAATAAAAAAAATGATAATCGAAGTAATAACATTAGATTTTTTTTTTAACTTCTCATCATGTAAAAGACAGTTAAAAATTAATGAGAAAATGATTTAATGGTTATAATAGAAGTATTATTGTATTGTTGTTGTTATTTGTTGTTTTTTTTACTTGGACCGCCTTTTTTTTGTTTGTTCCCCTCTTATTGATTTTTTATTCCATTACTTTTTCAATAATAATTTAACAAGCGGATATTCAAATATTACTACTATTTAATTGTGCATCACTATCTATATCCATCTATCTGAATGGCCAATTGTTAAATCCAAAGTTATTTAAATGAAGAATAAGATGATGAAGAAGGAAGAAAAAACAAGATGATGATAATGGTAAAATTAAAGGGTGGAGAGTTGTTGGATTCCCTCCTTAAATTATATTTAATATATATGTTATGAGCTTTTCAAATTTAATTACCTAGCTGAGTAAATACTGTGCTAGGAAAAACATGGATTTGAACTAGAAAGCACCAAAAACAAAAAATCAAATTTGAAAGTAGTATTTGATAGTAAAAATGCTCTCCAAATATATAATTTAAAAATTAATTAAAATTAATTAATGTTGGTGTATATTGGTTTTGTTCAAGTTGTTGGTGTTGTTGTTGTTGTTGTTGCAATGTTTGTTTCTCAATTTCTATTGTTAATTTGGTATTATTCGCTTTTCATAAAAATATTATGTTGTCCTTGTCATTTTTCTTTGTTTCATGAAACTATTATTGTCTAGTTGTTTGTTTGTTTATTTGTCAATATATGTCTTTTGGTCACTGTTTATGGATGTTGTTCTTTTCTCATTTTTTATTGTTATAGTTATTGCTGTTGCTGTTGTTGTTGTTATTGTTTATATTTATAATGGTGGTGATAGAAAGTGAAGTGTGGTCATAATTTTTTTTATTACATTATAATGTTGTATGTATGCTTAAATTTATAAATTATAAATTCGAATGCTGGAAATGAACATGTGTTTCTATTGCGTAGTGTGTATAAATGTTCTGTTCTTTGTGTGTTTTGGGTGATTTATTAAAATATATATAATTGTAATGGAAATTAATTAATATATAAATAAATAAATAAATAATGGAGTGAATGGAAAAATATAAAATAGGAGTACTATTCTATTGTTGGTAATAAATTTTTCATTCACATTGCTTGCTTTTTGTTTTTTTTAATCAACAGATTTTGTTTTCATTTGCAAAAATATTATTATTGGTCTGTGATTTTAAATTTCTATTTACATTGGTGAGAGATTTGCTTTGAATGAAAATTTTACTGTTTTAAAATCGAAATTGTTTGAAGAGCAGTGAGTAGTGATTGTTTTCTATATACCACATGGTAGGTATATATTTTTACTTTACTTGTTTTTATAAACCAATATATTATATTATGATATATCTAATAGACTCCAAAGCTATTATTGATGTATCTATTTATAAATTGACAAATAGATAACTCTTTTAAAAATAAAATATGTTTGCAGTGTTAATAACTTCTAACTACCTTTTTTGCTATAGTTTTATCTAAACTTTTGTTTATGATATACTGTTTTTATCTTTTATTATTACTTTACTACTATTATTATACAAAAGGAGGGGATTGATGGTGCGTTTTATTTTAAATAAAATTTGATTGTGATATCACACAATAACACAATGTTAATGTTATTACAATGAGGTAAAGTATTAAAAAGAATTTAAAATAATTTAATAAATGGGGGGGTGGTTTGTCGGTCACCCATCTTTGTCCTTCAATAAAATAAATTAAATTAAATTCACAAAAAAAAACAAAAAATTAATAAATTTAATTTTAACAGACAAAATTTCAGTATTAACAATTAGCTTAAATTGTTTACCATTTATCAAAATCGAGAGATCAATCATGACCTTTCTTCTTTCAATTAAAGATCTCTAAATACAAATTAATATAAAATGATATCTATAAAATCAGACAAACAAACAATTAATTAAATTTCTCGAATTTCAAAGACAAAATAGTTAACTGAAATTAATTCAATGAATTGGATTTTTTATAATATTTTATTATTTCGATATTAAAAAAAAAAAACTACAAAAAAAATAAAGTTACATCATATTTGTTTTTTAGTTTAAGTTTTAGTTTTTAGTCTTTTAGTTTTAGTCATTTAATTTACTTACATTCGTTCATTGTATTTGTGGTTGTTGGTTGGTTTGAGTTTAACAAAAAAATAAAAAGGAGAGAGTTGTATATTGTTGATATTAATTAATTTATCATGGTATCATTACAAGAAGCATTGGAATTGGTAAAGAAAGCAGTTGCTTTGGACAATGCACAGAGAACACAAGAGGCTGTCTCTATGTATAGTCTGGCGATCGAGCATTTGAGACAGGTGATCGACACGGCCAAGGATCAGCAGACGAGAGACCTCATCGTATCAAAGATACAAGAGTATACAAAGCGTGTAGACTATCTACGTGCCACAATCAATCTTAACAATAATGCACCTGCCACATCGATATCCACAGCAACACCACCACCAATACTTTCCACACCACCACCCTTTGCATTCCCAACACCACCTCCCTTCAATAATAATACATCTCCACAACAACATCATACACCTCCACAATCCAAAGAGTAAGTTAAAAAAGATATATAGTTGTTCAACAACTAAAAGTATAAATAAGTTAAGTTCACTTTACTAACAATATATCTATGTATTTATTTTTTTTTTGAACAATACTTCTTCACAGTCAATTGATTCAAAGTGCATTATCACTAGCTAATATGGCTGTAAAAGCAGAGGCTGAGAATAGAATATCTGATTCCATAACATGTTATAATGGATGTGCAGAGTTATTAGATCAAGCGTCAACCTGTAAGTTTAAATCTAATAATATGTTTATGATTGATCAATGTTATTAATTATAAAAAAAAACAGTGGAGTCAGATATTGAAACAAGATTGATGTTGAACCAAAAGAAACAAGAATATTCAAATAGAGCAGAAGAGTTATCTTTAAAGGTTAGATCGAATTCACCTGTTAATTTCAATAGTAGTAGTAGTAGTTCAATGGATTTACCTTTTCCTCAGGTTGCTGGTGGTGGTAACGATATGATGTCAAGCTACAATAATATAGAGTTGTCAGCATCGTCTTCAGAGTATATCGATATGGCTATCAACTATACACAGGAGGCAGTCAAGGAGGATGACGTACACAACTATAGCAAAGCGATTCCACTCTACGAGCAATCGGTATTCTACTTTAACGCTGCACTGCAAGTCGAGTCCAACGAGAAGGTGAGAGTGTTGATCGGTGAGAAGATGACCAACTCTCGTATTCGTTGCGAATTCCTCAAGAACAAGATCAACTATCAATCGTCACAGGATTCCACCATCAACAACATCCCATTCGCAATGAAACCCGGTGGTAAATACAAAGATCCAGTGCGTAAGAAGACCGTCATGGAGCGACTAGTCAAAACAATACGTGGTCCAAAGAATATAAGTGATCACTGGCTGTAATAAAAATATCATAAATCTACTATATCATATCATTACAATAACAATGACAAACATTACAAAAATAACAAATAAACAAACAAATTGTATAAAATAAATTAAAACTCATTTTGCAATAAAAAAAAGTTTGCATTTTGTGCAACCCGACAAAAACTAATTACATCACATCTCAGCTTCAAATTCATTTTCATTTCTTAGTTTATAAGATATACATATATATATTACACAATTATATAATAAAAATGGTTATAGATATTCTATTTATTATTACAATTTCAATTACAAGTGCATTGTTATCAGAAGGTAAATTAGTTAGATATATACATTGGTTGATGGTGTCATGACTCATCAACCAAAGTCTGTTATTATCATTGTGTTATGCTTATTTTTTCAAACTATACTATTTAAAGTTATATATGGTTTTATTAATATTATTAATTATGTTTATATATATATATTTAAATGAAAAATAGGTTTATCATGGCTTTTAGTATATAGAACAGAATCATATCAAAGAATGAAAGCAAGTGCTGATAAATTACAAGCACAAGTCGATAAGATTAAAGAAACAGAGTCAACTACTTCAACTATTCAGCTAAAGAACAAAGCAAAGGATAAAAAATTAGAAAGAATCGAAGAATCATTAAAATTAACCAACAAAGATCTATCATTCTCAAAGATGAAATCAATGTTTGCCGTTGCAGTCTCAATGATTGCTTTATTCACATATTTAAATACTGTGTATGTATTTAAAGTTAATAATCTTTTTTTCAATAATCAATTAAACTTATTTTATATCTACCTGCTCCTCTTAATTATAGATTTGATGGTAAAATCGTATGTAAATTACCATTCGAACCGATTGGATTCATTCAAAATCTTAGTCACAGAAACATTCCAGGTAAAGATTATACCGATTGCTCAATGACATTCCTCTATGTACTCTGCTCAATGTTTATTAGAACCAACATTCAAACAATAATGGGAACCAAACAAGCTGCTTCAAAGCAATCTAACCCATTCGCAATGCAACAATAAACATTTAAATATAGATAAGAAAATATACAAATAATAAAATAGAAATTCAAAAAAAAAAAAAAACAATAAGATAACAAACTTTGTTTCTAAGTAACAAATGAGAACATATCTTTTAAATCTTTGGAGAGAGAATCATTTTCTCATGTAAAATTTTTATCTTCTCATTCATTTCTATTTTTTTTTTTTACAAAAACAACTATCTTATGATAATATTAAGCTTTATAATCAATTATAATATAATATAATATATTTAACAAATGAATGAGAAGATAAAAATTTCTACATTATTAATTAGTTTAAATAATATTTATATATTATATTATATTATAATTTAAGATATATAATATAAAAATGGAAAGATCTATATGTAAGATAATTGTAATGGGTGAGGAAAAGGTTGGAAAGACATCATTGTTAAATCTCTATGTTAAAAATCAAACGTTGAGTAAAATGTATAAGCAAACGGTTGGTGCAGAGTTCTTATCGAGCGTGAAGAGTGTAAGTGGTTTGAAGTTGACTGCACAACTCTGGGATATCGCTGGTAGACAGACGTTCCGACAGATTACGTTCACCAACCTCTATAAGGGCGCCGATGCTCTGGTGCTGGTGTTCGATCTGACCGATCTGAAATCGTTTGAAAACCTTGATGGCTGGCTAGAGGAATTCAAGCTGTCGGTGTGCACACAATACATCAAAAACGACCTTGGTGACTCGAGATTCGTCAGGCTACCGATGATGTTAATCGGAAACAAATGTGACTTGGTTGACAAACGTGTTGTCACCAGAGAAGCTGTAGAGCAATGGTGCCAATCCAAGAGTAAGCTTTCCATCGAGTATTTCGAAATGAGCGCAATGTTTAGAGAGACCGTAACTGGTCCATTCGATTCCTATCTACTGCCAGCGATAGTCGAATATCAAAATAGACACCATCAACTAGAGGAATTACCACAATCACCAAGACTACGTTCGATTCCATCTGCAAAAGATAATAAAAAAGGTCGTTGTTGTTGTTGTTTTTTTTGAAAAGAAATAATATTTATTTTACTTGTTGTAATTATAATTGAATCTAAAAACATTTTCTTGCCATATTTTTTAAAAGGTAATAAATTATCCAAATGATCTAAAGAGGAATCTTTGAATAGATAGATCAATGGATGTTGACTTCCAACTCTATTCTAAATTCCGACTGAAATCTAAAGCAATTCTCATCAAAAATTTGAAGATATAAATAGAATTGATTTCCTAATGTAATATCTTTGCGATCAGCAAAGGGTCATACATTCCTTAAAACAATTGAGAGGTTATGAATGATCATATTAAATTTTTCAGGATTTTCTTCATCTTTTAGTCCTAATTTTTCAATTTTTTGGAAAACCATTGTTTGTGTTCTAAGTATTTTATTAATTAAATTTTGAGTTGATAAGATTTAGAATTATTGAATTTAAAAAAACATAATTTAAACTAATTTTTTAATTTTATACTTAATTTAACTTAAAATCAAAAAGGTAAGTTTGAAAATTAATATAGAATTCTCTGTTTTCATTCTTTAAAGACTTTTTATATGATCCATATAGGAAAATAAATAAAAACTTTATATTTTTTTTTTATGATTTGATTTTTAATCTGGATTGTAGACAAATTTCAAAATTAGTGATTTAATATCTTAAATAACTATTATTTTCTATAGAGATTTATTAAATAGTCAATTTAAATCCCCCTCAGTGCTCTGTGACATTTTAGTTTTATTTTTTCTTTTATTTAAAGTTTCAAAGTATATTTTTAATTTTGATCCTCTTTTCAGGCATTAAACAATCGCTTATATAGTAATTTCTTTGAAAACAAAATATAAATATTAAGGATTTCAAACCTAATTACTTTCAATTTAGAAACAAACCCAATAATGAACAGATCACCATCTTTTCTTTTCCTATTGAATAAAAAATTTTCACTTGTTTTAATTGGTAAATTCATTTGTTGTATCAGAAATTCAAAATTTTTAATGAGAACATTAATTCTAAATCTACTAATAATATATATATATATTCTTGGAATAAATGAAATTAATATAATTCAGAAAAAAATAAAAAAATAGGTGAATACACATTTTTTTTCCACCAAAGTTGTAGATATTAATAGATATATAATAGTTTTGTTAGTAATATTTCCTAAATAAATATATAATACAATAAATCCATTAAAATAATGATTAGTTTACAAATTGGATAGATTCTATTTATTAATAATCTAATATTAGATTGAGTGTCATAGTATCATTTTTTTATTAAAAAAAATACAATTAATAAATTGAACCTTCTAAGTACACGAATGAAGAGTTCTTTAGAAGATTACAATTTCATATATATTAATCATCAAAGTAAATTCACTAAAAGAATCGATGGAAGGAAGTTTAAAATAAACACTATAAATAGTTGATAAATTGTGAATATCAAAGAAAAACAAAAGTATACACTTTAGAAAAGAAAATAATAAAAATAATGCCTCATTTGAATATCCATTTGAACCCATACCCAAGTACTGGCTATCAAAACTATGCTATCAGTGGAAATGCAACAGTACACAATTTGAAGACATTCCCAGGAATTGATGTCTATACCTTTGATGTCGGTGCCGTTTTCAATGGTAACAAGAATGTTATCAATGTCAGAATCCCATTGCAAAGCTTGGAAGTAGAAGGAAAGTTCCAATACCACATTGATGCAAACCTCCAACACAATGCCCAAAACAATCAATATGTTCTTATCATCTATCACAAGATTATCTACAACTAAAAAAATGTTACACTTTTTTCGGAAAAAACAAAAAAAAAGGTTGATCATGATCACTAGTCAAAATTAATTAATTCCCATACAAATAAAATAACTACTTTTAATTTTTAATGACTCACTTGAAAATATTTGTGCACATTTTTCAAAGAGATAAATATATTAAAGAACTCTCTAGTAACTATTTGTATATATATATATTTTATTAAAATACGTTTGTTGTTTTCTGAAAAGTTTTTTATTTTAAAAAAATCCAAATAAATCAACTTTTGTTAAAAGAACTTTCTGATTCTTTTTATTTTTGATTTCTTTGTTTTGTCGAGTTAGGATTTAAAAAAATTAAAAAAAAAAAAAAATGTTGCAAATATTATTATTGGGTGTTCAGACAGTTTTCATAATGATGATGAACATCATAAATTTAATTTAATTTAATTTAATTTTCATTTTCATTTTTAATATAAGAAAAGATAATTATATGTTAATTTAGATAAATATATATTCATTCACATCCTAAGTTATAATATATATATAGATCTATCATCTTTTTTTTTATTTTATTTTTTTAAATAAAGCAAACAAGAAAGATAGAGAGACAGAGATGTTTGAAGGATTCGTAGCAGATCTACTTACTCGTTATCTTGGGAAGTATATAAAGACATTGAATACCGAGAATTTAAAGATTGGTATTTGGAGTGGTATGTAATGTTTATTTTTGAATACATATCTATATATATATATTAATATTTAAATATTACAAAAAAAACAAACAAAAAAGGTGATGTCACATTAGAGAATTTAGAGTTGAAAAAGAGAGCGTTGGAGAATTTCAATAATCTACCGTTCACCGTTAAAGAAGGATTTCTTGGTAAACTATCGATAAAGATACCGTGGAACAATCTAAAGACAGAGCCTGTCATCATCATCATCGATAAACTCTACATTGTAGCCACACCAAAGTCACAGGACGAATGGGATGAAGAAGACGAACAGGTCAAACAGACTAAAAAGTTGGATAAACTAATAGTCTATGAATCGTTAAAAGATGAAAAGAAACAGTTATTAAATAATTTAAATAGTTCAACAAGCGGCAATAACAATAATAAATCTACTTCTACTTCGAATAGTAATAATAATAATAATAATGATAGTGATGTTATTGAACAACCACAAAGATCATCATTTACGGAATCATTGAGAAATAAGATTGTAGATAACATTCAGATTTCCATTTATAATGTACATATCAGATTCGAAGATACGATAACCAATCCTTCGAAACCACCCTATTGTTTCGGTTTGACACTGGAACATCTCAAAGCGCAATCGACCAACGAAGATTGGCAACCTACTTTTCTACATACTCCACATACACTTGTACATAAAGTATGTGTTTTAATTAGAATCAAACTCGAGTTATTATCAATATTAATACTTTTCAATTTATCGTTAAACTAGTTAATAACACTTTCCAATCTATCAGTCTATTGGGATACCAATATGGAGTCGCCACTCTTACAATGCGGACACATCAATGAATTAGTATCAAAGATGTCAAGTCTTATTCATTCGAAATCCGATTCGAAACCACTACACAACTATCTTTTACATCCTGTTTGTGGTTCTTTAAAAGTATGTTATTAGTTATTATTAGATTGATGTTTATTTTATAACAACTTGTTGTTTAACTAACTAACTAACACTTATATATATATAAACATTCTATAGTTATTGATAAATAATTCAGTTTTACCAAATAAACTGATTCCAGCTTTCACTTTTAATTTCGAATTCAATGAGATCAATTTGGAGTTGGAGTCACATCAGTACGTTGGAATCATGGCGTTGGTAGAGTGGTTCTCCATATTGAAGAAGGGTGAGAAGTACAGAAAGTACAAGCCAAAGCATGGCCTGCGCAACAATAAGGATCGTTGGAAGTTTGCTATCTACTGTGTGCTGAGCGATATCAAAGATCGATTATCAAAGTGGACACCCGGTTTCATAGAGAAACGAAGAAAAGATCGTTTAGAATACATTTTACTTTATAAACAAAAGAAGAGAAAGAAGATTGTATGTATCAATAACAACAACAACAACAACAACAAACTATTAGAGTATACATACTTATGGTATTAATCTAATCTAATCTATTTAGTTGTCAGAAGTAAATAAATTAAGATTGGAACAACTGGAGAAAGAATATAGATTTGAGGATTTGGTGTATTTTAGATCGTTGGCAGATGCAGAGATGAAAGGAGAGGATTCTTTTAGTAAGGAGAAATCAGCTTTGGTTACATCTTCTACGTTGGGTGGAAGTAGTGGTATTGCAAACAACAACAATACTAATAGTACTATTAGTAGTAGTAATAATAATACAACTGGAACATCATCATCATCATCATCATCACCGGCTGGAACAATTACACCAAACTCACCATCTACATCACCAAACTCTTCATCGTCTTCATCTTCTTCTGTAACATCTACAACATCATCATCAACCACAACATCAAATGTAAATTCATCTATATCATCTACTCCTTCTAACAATACTACCACTACATCATCTTCTACTATTAAAAGTCCTAGTAGTACCGCAAGCGGTGGTGGCGGTTGGTTCGGTTGGCTTGGTTGGGGAAACAATTCGAAATCCAATGTCGATGACCAAGACAAGATACTTGAGAATCTAGAGTTTACAGATGAACAGAAGCGTGAACTATATTCAACTATTGATTATGATGAACATCAAGTAACAAAGAATATTGTTTATCCAAAAGATGTAAGTTCATTGATAAATATTGATATTCATTATCAATAACTAATATATAAATTGAATCTCTTCTTTAGTATGTTAAAACAAGAATGAATTTTACAATGACAAAAGGATCTATTGCACTTAGATTAGCACGAAACAATAACAGTAATAAGAGTGGAAAGAGAGATGATGTTGTCATTGTTTTATCCAATGTGACAATCAAACTGGATAAATTTGTTGAATCATTATACTTTCAAACTATTTTAGAGACCATTCATGTTGAAGATAGATTCACTGAGAATACAGTTTATCCTATTTTAATGGGTCCATTAAAATCATCATTAGTAAACTATAATCATAATCAGAATAATAACAATAATAGTAATAATAATAATAATATAAACTTTACAAATTCAACAAGTAGTAATAGTATATTTAATAACAATAGTACTAGTAGCTATAACAATGATGATTCCTCTATAATAGAGGCAACCGATGATACCGGTTCGGAGCTGAGTGACTATCACGACACCAACGAAACACAACCACTCTTTGAAATGTGGATACAAGAGAATCCACTCAACTCCGACGCCAACTATTTCATATTCATCGAAACACTTCCATTGGAAGTTGTATATAGTAAATCTATTTTGGATTCTGTTCGTAAGTAGTTTATAACTATTATTATTAATAGCTATTATTTGTTGTTATTAATTAATTGTTCAAATTATAAATAGTGGAATTCTTTGGAAATGCACCATCAAATACTTTGAAGGACATTGAGGAGGCAGCGAGGAATCAGATAAAGATATTCAAGGATAGGACTACACTTAGGATTCAGTATGAATTACAGAATCACAAGACTGTCGATCTGGATATCAATATCAATGCTCCACATATTCTGGTACCCGAGAGCTTCTCAGATCCAGACGCACCGATACTAGTGTTGGACTTGGGTTCTTTCTCACTGAACAGTTCAAACAAATCTTCGAACATCGAAGACTACTACATTGACGATGACGATCTAGATTATAATAATCATGTCGATCAACATGAAGTAGAAGATATTCAAGAGATATTAAATAGAAAGAAACAACAACAACAAGAAGAGGGAGAAGAAAACAGTGATAAAGAGAGCAATAACAATAATGACAATGATAATAATATCAAAGAGAGTGATAATAGCAACAAAGAAACCAATAATGGTGTTGGTAGTGAGAATAGTAGTAATGGAATTGCTGATAATGAAAATAACAACATTAGTATTAATATTGGCAACACTAACACTAACGCTGATAATAATAGTAAAAGTGGTAAGAGTAGCAATAATAGCAGTGCCAACTCCAGTCCAAAACTAGAAAGTAACAACAGTCATAATAATGGACACAAGAATGGTATTTTAGATGAAGTGAAGGATCCTTCAAATCTTTTAAGGGAAATTAGTGGCAGTGCTGGTGGTAGTGCTGAAATAGATGATAGTGTACCAAAGTATCTCTATGACCTCTACGAACTTCAATTAAAGAATATCCAATTCTTTATCATATCAAATGTATGTACTTTTCGTTTATAAATATCTATATTTAAACAATCTTTACTAAATGTTTGTTATTTGTTAAAATATTATAGAAACAATCACTACCACTTGTAAATAGATTCGATATCAATTTTTCAATATATAAATGTATAATTCAATCACAAACTTTATTAACTAAATTAAAGTAAGTAAACTTGGAATATTCAAATCGAATAATAATCAAACTAACTAACCAACAAACATATCTAATTACTAGATTATTTGGTGACTTGCCATCACTGGATATTCAGCTGTCACAAGAGACAATTGAAATGTTAATTCGTATATTCGATTCAATTGCTCCCAATGATATGCCACCACTTCCAACTCCTCTCCAACCAACTACATCCACGCCAACAGTTGGTATGAATGATCAAACAACTGAAACTGATAACAATGATAATGCTAATAATGATATTAACAATAATAATAACAATGATAATAATGGGGAAAAACAACAATCAACAACAACAAAACCCGAAACAGCATTCAGGAGTGAAGAGGAAACTCAATTTGATTTAATCAATACGATTGAACAGTTGGAGTTGAATCCTCAAGACCAACTACCTATTCTGATGGTCTACAATACAATCTTTGAAGTATCATTCTCCATTCCAACGGTGACTCTCAATATTGTGGAGAATGACAAACCGTTTGTCAAATTGTTTCTCTCTGATATCGGTGCTTTGATACATCAGAGAACCTATGATTTATCGATAGTGCTATCACTCAAACATCTGTATATTGAAGATCTCTATCAGGAATTCACAGATCCATCCTTCAAGTACATAGCCAACTCATCGCCACTTCCACATCCGAGCTCCGAAGAGAATCTGATTTCCATGTCAATCTCTGCCATCCAAAAGAACTCACCTCAGTACAACGGAATCTCACAGCAGATTGACATCAACTTTAACACACTTCTCTTTAATTTCAACAAAAAGATTGCCATCAAAATATTGAATTTACTTCAATCCAAGAGTAGGAATATGAACAACAATAGTATTTCAAAATCAAAGTAAGTTAAAGTTAACCAAGTACTTGAACAAACTAATAACTAAACCTGTTTATAAAGTCAATCGAATACAGGAGGTGGAAAAGAAACATTCAAAGCCGATAAGAATAATCCAAAGATTGTCATTTCCATCAAAATGAAATCACTAAACTTACATTTGAATGACGATAACGAAGCATTCTTTGCGTTTGAAATCAAATCGATGCAATTGAATTTCGATATCGATTTGGAATCAAGTTTGATGCGATTTAAACTGGGCAATCTGTTGGTGACAGACATCAGTAGAGATGCTTCCAGTGACTTGGGACCGTTGTTTGGAACCGACGGTGAGCATATCGTTGAGATCTACGTGCACAGCTACTCTGACAGCAGCCTGGACACAACGATCAGTGTGCGAATGAGCTCTGTCAAACTGGTGGTAATACGCTCGCTCGTCGATAAGCTCGTCGATTACTTTGATGACTTTGAACAGGTGATGAACAACAAGATGTCGATATCCGAAAGTGCGAAAGGCGCTGTTGGGAGAATACACGATAGTCACCAGAGATCGCGTGTCATGTTTGAGATCGACGTCAACACACCGCGAATCATCTTCCCAAAGAACTTGGTGTCGCCCTACGTCATCATTGCCGACCTCGGACATATCTCACTGTTCAACAGCTACTCCAATTGCCTGGAGGATCCATCGATACAATCCGAGGAAATCTACATCTATGCATCGTCCATAAATTTCCAATCGTGCAAGTATCACGCTGGCAAAGTGGTGGATCAGTCGATTGAGAAACTGTCGAACCAGGTCAACCTCTACATTTGTATTGAAACATTTGTAGAGACACCTGGCATCCATTCACCGAAACAAAAGGTACTCGGTGAGATCTCGCCAATCGCTATCAAGATAACCGACCAACAATACAGCCTGTTGATCTCCATCATAAAGTCGCTGGTCGAGCCGAATCTAAAGAAGAAAAAGAAAAAGATTCGCACCTACCAACGACTTGAGAAGTACAACCTGGACACTCAGCCCGCCAGCTCCGACATCAAAGACCAAATCTCATTCCGGCTGCCACACATCTCACTGGAAATCTTTAGAAAGAATCGTGAATCCGTTGTCTGTTTTGAGATAGACCAGTTGGATTTCTCAATGATTGACTACCTTCATTACAACGAGTATACGACGTTGTCGATGAGCTCCATCGAGTTGATCGACACCCGTAAAACATCGGACAATCATTTTAAGAAGCTGCTGTATCACTCTAAGGAACATAAACAGAAGGAGCTGACTATCTATCTCTGTGAGCAACGCAATGGCTGCCAAGAGATGAAAATCACACTCGACCATCTACGCGCCAACATCGTACCGGAATCAATCATTGCCATTATCGACTTTATTATGCCAGGTATCATTGCACTCTCTTCGCTGTCTGAGGTTGAATCGCCAGTGCTCTCGCCTCTGTTGCTCCCAGTGGACAAGCACCTAATCGAGCAATTCGACCAGGAACACTCTTCGCCTGTGAAAACCATGCTTGAAGAATCGAATAACGACGATATCAAAGAACCTCAACTCATTGTCCACATTGAAGCTACCAAGGTTGAAGTATGTCTCATCGAGAATCCTACGAGATCCGATAGTCGCGCGCTGATTGTCAAGGGATCGGTACTTGGAAAAGTTTCAATAATGAAATCGAAACTCACCTATACTGATATGAACTTCTGCTTTGATAAATTCGAGCTGTTTAAATGCAGGTTGGATCAAGTAGATAGTACGACGATATCGATTATCGATCCGCTCTCTGTCACCGCCACCATTGGACAGATCGAAGGAAACGACAATCCTTCACTGCCATTCGATATCATTGTATCGGGCAATCCCATACACGTTACATTCTCATTCCAGGATCTTCATCTCTGTATGGCATGCTACGATAATATCTTGACACTTGCACAATCGTTAATATCCATTCTGCCAAACAAACTATCATCGAGAGATCAACATCATCAACAACAGCCTAATCTGAGAAAGAGTGGAAGTGGTAGTAAATCATCTTCTGTCGGCAAAGCAAAACCACATATCAATCTTCAGCTACCGAGTGCATCGATCACAGTAATCGATGACGGAAAAGGTTATAATGGTGTGATCGATGTCAAGCTCACAAACATTTCGCTAGAGTTGATCGATAACAAGATGTTTATTGCAATGTTTGTGGCGGCCAACTACTTTAACAATCAATACTCTCAGTGGGAACCGCTGATTGAGAATTGGGGATTCAAACTGAGTCTACTGAATTCTCAGGAGAACAACGTTACCATGAACAAAGTAATTCTCACCACCAGTCGTCAACTTAACCTTAATCTCTCAACTGCACTCTTTGATGTATTATATACATCTTGGACAACATTCAAAGGATTGGCAAGCGGATCTTCACTCTCGAGAATTCCCACCAACAAACCATTCAAAACCACCGGTAACTTGTTTGTTCTTCGAAATGACACTGGATTGCCACTGAATTGGTCGATTCGATCGAAGGAGTTGAAACAACTACTTCCTCAGTCAACAAAGTGTGTTGAGACTGGCGATGAAGTGGCATTTACTCTTGAGGAACCACCAAAGAAATTCAGAGATGCAACATCGATCTCCACCTACAGTCTCAACTTGAAACTACCTGGCTGGCGACAAATCAGTCATCTTCCAGTGGATAGAAGTGGAATTCACTTTTTCGATTTGGTATCCTCCAATGATACTACTGCATTATCATCATCTTCTGACACTAACAACAACGATAATAACGACAACAACAACAACCAACAAGAATATGAAACACATTTGGAACAACATCAACAGATTGCTTATGAAATCATTCTCGGTCCAAGATTCAGAACTTTGATTATCAGATCGAATTACTTGTTGGTGAATGATACCTACAAGCCAATGAAGTATATGTGGCCGACTCGCGAAAACATAAGGACAATTGGCGCGAGACAATCGAGCTCATTGGCGATAGTCAACGGACAGCTACCTCTACTGCCAAAGTTTGAATTCTGTGACACGGAACTTCGTCAAACCAGTGAAGAAATCGAATTCAACAAAGGTCCGAGTATAAAGATTATACAGTTCCCACCTAGACACTACTTCTTGGTGCAAATAGACACACATCTCTTTGCAAATCAACAAGCTGCTGCGGCTGCTGCTGAAGATGATACCGGTGCAGAACGTGACGATCTCGATGATATTCTCCAGGATAACAATCATATCATTAAGATTACAACACCACTTGTCATTGAAAATGCATTGGCAACACCGATATCGTGTCGTCTACAGTATCAGCGCTCCTCCAACATTGTCGACGAAATCAATATTGCCAGTGGCGCATCTACCAACGTCCACTCTATCAACACAGAGGCAATCATAATGATGCGTGTCAAGATCGAACATCACGAATGGTCGAATCTCTTCCAGATCAATCTCTCCACAAAGAAAGATATTGACGGACAATCCATTACGCTGTTGGATGCCGAAAAGAATCGATTGTCAATGAAGTTGGAATATCATCAGATTTTGGGAACTATTTCTCTTTGTTTGTATGCAGACTTTTGGATGATAAACAGGACTGGATTACCGCTGCTTTGTAACACCAATTCATCGTCTACCGACACCTCTACGATCCAGCAAAATCAGTTGATTCCAGGATCATCGAGTGCAGCACATGTCGACATCAAGCGAGATCCACGAACCTGGTACGATTCCACCTCACCGATTCCACCGCCACTGATGTTCTCCTCTGTTAAATATGTTCACAATCAATCGTTCTCCTTGAAGATCGATCAGTCCGACCTGTCCAGACCGATCCCTCTCAACTCTACGAAACCAAGCGATATCAACGTCACTAAATTCCAGAATAACAGGCGAATCAGTTTGCAACTCTGTTCGAACGTCACCACCAGCAAAGAATTCTTTAGAACCAAACAGATCACAATCACACCCAAGTATCTACTTATCAACAAACTTCCTTTCCCTCTTTACTATAGTCAAAGAGACTCTGACATCTATCGTGACTACATCTTGGAGCCTGGCGCTACCATTCCATTCCACTTCCTCGACTTGGACCAGCCACAGCAACTCTATGTCAGGGTGTCGCCAACCAACAGCTGGAGTGGATCGTTCCACATCACCAAATCATCGATGTTCCATCTCAGACTATCAACCTACAAAGTGAATAATCCTGGATCACCAAGTTCAAGTTCACTCTCTCCGGAATCCGATGATAACCTCTACCTCCCGCTAGTCCAAATTATATCAGAGAAAGGTTACTTCTTTATCATATTCAATCCAGAGTCCAAAGAGTGTCCACCATTCAAGATTGAGAATCTAACGACCATGCCAATCACCATCTCACAATCAGATACTGGCATTCTTCACCAAGTGGAGAGTGGACAAACCATTCGTTACACCTGGGACGATCCAAGACTAGAAGAAAAACTTGAAATCAAGATACCAAACACCAAATTCTATAAGAGTTTAAGATTGGATAAATTATATACTTCGAGTAATGCTGTACCTGTTAGAGTAAGTAAAATACTATAGTATTTTTAAATTTAACAATGAAAATGGTTATTAATAATTAACGTAATATGTTTCAGCTACACTCTGGATATGTTGCAAAGATTAAAACTACAATCTATGCAAATGGGCCGACCAATGTATTGAGAATCATCGATATGAATCAAGCAATCAACGAGGATTTAGAATCGAAACAGATCAAATCAATGACCGATCAACAACCGACGTCACTTTTATCGTTCAGTGCAGAGCTCGATGGTATTTCATTGTCGATCATCGATTCAGAACCAAAGGAATTGATGTTTGTCACTCTCAAAGATATCATTTTGGAATTTAATAATACGATGGAATTCGAACAGAATATCAAGTTCTCGATTGGTTCCATCAAGGTTGACAATCAGCTTTACTATACAATGTATCCAGAGATGATATCTAGATATACAGACTCCAAGAGTGATAATGATAATAGCAGTCAACTACCGAATATGCTCACTGCAACATTCTCAAGATCCACCAAATATGAATATAAATCCGAGGAGAAAACAACCATTGACTATATTAAGATTCTGAAATTCGAAGTTCAACCAGTCAAAGTTCAGATCGACGAAGTATTACTTTTCCACTTGTATACTTTTTACAATTCAATAGAATTCTTTAAAGCACCACCTAAATCATCTCCAAGGTAAGTTACAAGTTTAAAAACAATTAAAAAAGAGTTAGTTTCTAACATTTTTAATTTATATTTACAGAGGGTTTATACCTGTACCAGAAACAGTTGACTCTAAAAGAATGTATTTTGAATTGCTATCTTTACCACCAATACAAATTAGATTTAGCTATTGTTCATCAGAATATTCGAGTGCCATGATTGGCTCGGTTGGAAGTGCACTGGCTAATATTGATAACGCTTCGCTCTACTTGGAATCGTGGAAACTGGAACATCAGTTTACTACTTTTGATGGTTTGGTGAAATCGCTAGCCAATCATTTCATATGGTATTTCGGAAAGGTTATACTTTATTCTGATATATTTGGTGCACCGATGTCGCTGACCAATAGCTTGGGACGTGGTGTCAATATGATCAAAGAGTCATCGTCGATGCTCGATATTGTTCACGGCACTGGAAACCTCTTGAAGAGTTCGATCTTTGGTATATTTAACACTGCCAGTAAGATTACCGGTTCCATCGGTAATGTTATTTCACCGCTTGCAATGGATAAGAACTACCAAGAGATGCGAAAGAAAAAGATGAGGCAGAATCCACCTACTTTCTCGCAGGGATTGTTGTCTTTGGGTTGGGGACTCGGCAATGGTTTGACCGGTATCATCTCACAGCCATTCAAGGAGATCAAAGAAAATGGATTATTGGACGGCTTCATACCGGGACTGGTGAAAGGTGCGGTTGGCGCCGTTGTCAAGACGGGCGTTGGTGTGATCGACCTGGTCAATCAGTCCTCTCAGGGCCTGAGAAATAGCTATCGTAACCCTGAGGAATCGCTTATGGCTCAGAGATTCCGACCGCCTCGATTCATTGGGTACGATCATATACTGCGGCCCTACAACTTGGAGCAATCGTTCTGGCAAGAGATACTATACGCCCTCAAGAATGTCAATTGCAACGAATACTATCAGGCGCATCTCGATTACTTTGACCGATCTAAAAAGTTGCATCATCTACTCATATCAAACAAATATCTCTATGTACTGGATCATTCATTTACCTCGGACTGGGCAGTCAGGATCGAGAATCTAGTCGTCAGGATCACCACCGACGAACAACAACACCAACTCATATTAGAAGATCACAAGAATCAGACATTCCAGACCATCGAAGATCTCTTGGATAACAATAACAACGATATATCGATGGCTCTATTCACTGAACTAAATGAAATGTTAAAATTCATTGAGAACAGATAGATAATTTAGATATATAAATAAAGTAATCAATTGATGATTTATCACCTCTTTTTTTTCTAGATTTAAATATATATATATTTGTATTATTATTATATTTTATTTACAAAGAAAATGATTATATTATTATTATATTATTCACTTTTCTTTTTCTCTATATGATATTACTATGCAAGATGATAATTGTTTCTCTGGTTTGTTTTGCTTTGTTTTGTTTTGTTAACTTTAAAAAGATATTTATACAACAGTACTTCCTGTGCCATCCATTTTACCATCAGGATAAACAAACTTCTTTAATAAAATGAGAATAACTGAGAATATAACACCAAAAAACAATGCTACACCGATCGAAGCAATAATGAAATGCTTTGTGAATCTCTCATCTTGCTTTGGATCTAATTCACCATATCTAAATTTAATAGTGTTTGTTGAATTAATATATTGAATGAACTCCTGTAATCTTGTATGTTGTAATCTTATATTTTTTTGTTGTTGTTGCAACAACTTTTTTTTTTTTTTGTTTTTTTTAAAGACATTACCTTCTATCATATTTATCTAATAAACTTGTTACTTTATTTCCCATTTTTTTATAAACTTTACTTTATTTAAAGGATTTATATTATATTTACTAATTAAAAATAGAAAATATTGATTATAATATAAAACTTTGATTAATCTATTACAAATAACAATATAAATTAGTGTTTTTTTTTCTATTATCACACTGTTTCACACCACTGGTTAAAAAAAAATATTTTTTTTAAATTAATTATTTTATTTTTTTAAAAGGCTCATTTTATTTGAAAACTTTTTAGTTGAATGGAACAACCTTTTTTTTTTTTTTTTTTAACAAAAGCTGGGTAATTGACATCAAAGTAGGTACCTTATAACATTACCAAAATTCTTCTTTGATCACTTTTCCATCTCTCCATTCTATATTTTTAAATTATTTATTAAAAAATTGTTTATTAGTTTGATAAAAAGCGCATGAATTTAATATTAATACATACCTTGAATGGCCCATTGTGTTTTCTTTACATTGTGACCTCCGTATGTGAAATCCATGTACATCTCATAGGCTGTATTATTACCATCCGCCATGATCTTGTTTACTATTTTTTATATTTCAAAAAAAAAAAATTAATATATAAATATATATGAAAAAATAAAAGTATATTTTCACTCTACATTTAACTGAATGAATCTGAGCATTTTGAACAAAACTTTCCTCAGCTTTTCTATTGGCATCCTAAAAAAAGTATAAAAAAAACATAATTAGATACTTTACTAAGCACTCTGATGAAAGGTGATATTATTTCTCCTCAAAAAAAATAGTTACCTTTCCAACTCTATTGGTGGAATCACCTTTCTCGAACATTACACAATCATCATGGTAATACTTTTCAAAGACATCAAGGATTCTATTCTCTTCAATACCTTTGATGATTTCTTCCAAGTTTTGTTTATTGGTATTTGTCATTTTGTCTATTAATAATTACTATTATTTAAAATATTGAAATTTAATTTGATTTGGATATTAATAAATCAGCCACATTCATAAATTAAATTATTTTTAAAATTAAATTAAATCAATATTGTGTTGTAAATTTAAAATGATTGTTGGGGTGAACTTCAGTCATCTTACATTCCATTCCAACTCTAACATTGATTAATAAGTTAGTGTTAACATATTATCTAAAACAATAAATTCATATATTATCTTTAACCGATACATAATTATAATAATTATTATTGACTGCCAAAATACGAAATACTAAGATCTAAATCAAACTTTAAATTAACATATTATTATTTTTGTATAGTGTAACTATACATTATATATTTATTGCTAAGGTTGATCGAATATGAGTGTCAAGTGATTGAATTGCATTGTTACAAGTGTGATATTAGCGCTAAATTAGGTAGAACTTCGATTTATGATCACATGGAAAAAAATTTTTCAAAAAAATAAAAAAATAAAAAAATAAAAAAAAAATATTTTGTTTTTCTATTAGTTTTTTTTGTTGTTTTTATTATTTGTTAACTATCTATATTATCAACTTCTTTTTCATTAATATATATTAATTAAGAAAGTGTGAAATAAGCAAATAAAATGGCACAAGCAGGTCAACATCTTTCAAAACTTTTAGCATCGTCATTCAAAGCAGCACCACCATCATCGGTGCCAGAGATTGTCATCAGTAAGTTGGATGGTTTGGTCAATTGGGCACGTACCGGTTCATTGTGGCCAATGACATTCGGTCTTGCCTGTTGTGCAGTAGAGATGATGCATGGTTATGCTGCTCGTTACGATCTTGATCGTTTCGGTATCATTCCTCGTGCCTCTCCACGTCAATCCGATTGTATCATCGTTGCCGGTACCCTCACCAACAAGATGGCTCCTGCCTTACGTAAAGTCTACGATCAAATGCCATTACCAAGGTATTACAATTGATATCATTGAATGATATATATCTATATAGATTGATTGATCAATTAAATAGTTTAAACTAATATTTCTATTATTATTATTTGATTATTATTATTATTATTATTTTAGATATGTTATTTCTATGGGTAGTTGTGCAAATGGTGGTGGTTATTATCATTACAGTTATTCAGTAGTTAGAGGTTGCGATCGTATTATTCCAGTCGACGTTTATATTCCAGGTTGTCCACCAACTGCTGAAGCATTCGTCTATGGTGTATTACAATTACAAAAGAAGATTAACAGAGAACAAGCTTTATTGACATGGTGGAGAAAGTAAACATTAAGATGATCTCTACTTTTTTTTTATAATATATTTTAATAATCAAACAACAACAACTTAATAATAATAATAATAACAAAGATAAATGATGTAAAATCATTTATTAATATGATCGATCAACATAAAAAATAACAAATGATAATAATAACAGTTAATTAATATGATAATGGTTCATTTACTATTATCTTTTGCTACATTCATTCAAAACCAAACCTCTTCACATGACACCAAACATTAAACAAAACAAAACAAAACAAAACACCAAAACTATAATAATAAAATGTCATTTGTATATATACAAATAAATTGACAATAATAATCATAAAAAAAAAAAAGTAAAAAATTATTATGATCAAGATACAGGTTTTATTTGTTTGAGACGGGTCTTTTCTCTGCAGATTGGACATTCAAGTTTGAGAGACAACCATTGATTCCAACAATCCCAACAACATACATGCCCACACAACGAAACGTGTCCATTCACCGGTATACACTGACATATCGGGCAATATAATTGACCACTGTTATTCCTTGTCGTTGTTGTTGAACTATTATTATTGTTATCAAATATTTTTGTTGATGATCTTGTTGTTGTTGTTGTTGTATTGTTTAAGATATCATTAAGATTGATATTTGTAGATGTCGTTTCGTCGGAATCTGATTTATTTACATTGCTGAATGGACTTGTTGGACTGGTAGATAGGCTTGCACTTAACGAAGGCAGTGTGTTGTTACGTTTCAATGTGGATGTCGAAGAAGGTGTCATAAAGTTCTTTGATACTTTTCTCGGTTTGATCGCAGAGCCAGTCACCAAATCATAGTTGATTCTCTTCTTGGAACTCTTAATCGGTGTAATACCATCCAATCATATTGTTTTACTACTAATATTATTATTAATATTATTATTATTATTATTATTATTATTATTATTATTATTATTATTATTATTACTACCAGTACTCCTATTATTTATATTATCATTACTATAATCATTATTAGATGATGTATTCGATGTATTATTAAAATCCGTAAAATCAAATTCAAAAGATGAACTATCTAATAGACTTGCATTACTCGTACTATTGTTATTTGTAAAACTGTTATTATTATTACTATCGTTGCTAATATTGTGAAATGAGGAAGTAGTCGTTGTTGTTGTTGTTGTTGTGGTTGTTGTCGTTGGTAAAGTTGATTGGATAATCGATTGAAGTAAAGGATCTGGTTCATCACTAAAGATATCTAAAGAATCAAACTTTGTACTTTGTTGTTTAACTACATTTGTAAAAGTAGTCGTATTCTTCTTCTTCTCACTTTCTTCGAAATTTACACTATTTACAAGATCTTGGCTATTACTAAAAATATCTAAAGAGTCAAACTTAATCTTTTCTTTAGAATTTTCATTTATATTATTTTGACTATTATTATTATTTTCATTACTACTCTTGCTATTATTACTATTTTCAGGAATATCAGTAACACTAAATATATCTATACTATCAAATTTGTGTTTGATCTTGTTTGTGGCATTCTCTGATTTTTCTTTCTCCTCTTTGCCTAAAGATGAGATTTGACTTGATTTATGTTCAACTATAGTTGAATTATTACTATCATTATTAACACTATTTATATTGCTATTAATTATATCATTATTGCTACTATTATTATTACTATTATTACTATTAATATTACTGTAACTTTCAATATCTAAATCAAAGGAACTTAGACTTGGTTCATCTGTATTTTGACTATCATTATTATCATTTTCATTATTAATTTTACTATTTACATTATCATTACGATCTTCACTATTATTATTACTTGTACTATTATTATTATTACTATTATTAATCAAGTTGTAACTAGATAATATTTCATTTTTCTTTTCAACCTCTACTTTATTTGCAATATAACTATATTTATTTTTGAATTTACTGAAATCAAAAGACTTTCCAGGTGTAGCTACTGTGGATGTTGTTGTTGTTGTATTATTTATATCCATTTTTACATCTTAATAGATAGTTACAAGGGCAATCATATTATTATACTCAAAAGATTGAACAAAAGTAATAGGTGTCAGCTCATTAATCTTTGACTTGGTTAAAATTTTGAAAAACTAATCTCTTCTCAGAAAAAAACACTCATAAAAAAATAGTGTGGTGGAAAACACTGTAAAAACTCATTGAGGATTGAGGAAGTTCGTTTGAATTTTTGAATTTGTGTTTTTTTTAATTTTTTTCGACTACTCGTTGGGATGCATCAGCGACAGTGGGTGGATCTCACAGTTTTTTGAATACACACCACTGTTCCTCATCTGTACCCAGTGTCGCGATTGGTATGTAGTTACTATGACCCTTTATCTATCTATCCACCTTCTATGTAGTCATCTAGGTTGATTTGTCGTTCATCAAACTAACTCATTGCTCTCCCACCTACTCTCTATATATTTATCTATCTATATCGAATCTATAGCCAAAAATGACCAAGCCAGTCTACGCTACCAAACCAACCAACCCAGAAAAGTGTAAATATCAACTATCGTAGATTTAGAGTTTGAGTTTAGACATTAACATTTATCTTTGTTACTTTATTATTATGATATACAGCCAGTTTAGCACGTGGAACCAACTTGCGTGTTCACTTCAAGGTAAAGATTAGATAGATTAGTTAGAGTTACGATTGATTATACAGGTTTAGGATTAAAGATATTCACACTACTTTTTCATAATAATCATAATAGAACACCCGTGAAACTGCTGCTGCTATCAAGGGTATGTACATCAAGAGAGCTCAAACCTACTTGTGGAACGTCCTCAAGCACAAGGAAGCCATCCCATTCCGTAGATACAAATATGGTTGTGGTCGTACCGCTCAAGCCAAGAATCTTGGTGGAGTAAGTTGAAATTTATAGATAACTCTCGCGAGAATCCATCATTTTTCATATTCAGGTCTATGTAGAAATAAGGTTTTAGTTGATTTAAGATTTCAATATGTTGATTTGAAAAAAGAAAAAATGGTGGATTTTATGTAATTCGAATAGAGTAGTCATTAACATATCATTATTTTAATATCAATAGGTTACTCAAGCCAGATGGCCAAAGAAGTCCGTTGAACACGTTTTGTCCTTGTTGAAGAACGCCGTTGCCAACGCTGAAGCCAAGCAATTGGACGTCGACAAGATGGTCGTTTCACACATTCAAGTCCAACGTGCTCAAAAGCAACGTAGAAGAACCTACAGAGCTCATGGTCGTATCAATCCATACATGTGCTCACCATCCTCAGTCGAATTGATCCTCACTGAAGTTGAATCCAAGGTTCCATTGCCCTCCTCAAAGAGTGTCGTTAAAGCCTAAAGGGTTTGATATATAGTTTGAATAAATCATTTTTGGCATCAATTACTATTGATTTTAATAATTAAATTATCATTTCTCTATCTATCTTGAACAAATATTATCTTTTTTTTTTTTATAGAGCAAAATAATTTATTGCACAACCTCTAAAAATATATAATATAATTATTATATTATAATTATTTATTGTTTGTTTGGTTTCATTCTTCTTTACAATTTAGATATAAATAATATTCAATTATTTAATATTAATTTAGTAATATTTTTAAAATAAATTTTATTTCACAATAAATTTAAAATTTGTAAAATGTACGCCTTGAGACTAAACGAATAAGCCTGCTGAATCAATAATAACTATTTCTGGCATTGCATTGATAACCAACAACATCACCTAATACAAAGAAAGCAGGTTATCGATTCAAATTCGCACAAAATGTTGATAGTATTAGATATTGTTAAAATGGATTGATATATATAATTAAATAAACAAATGAAAGGTTCGTTCTGTATGGTTTATTTGTAGATTTGACCTTGTATGAATTTTCTTCCTCCAAGATCGCCATCCCAAGCTAGATAGTCTTCTATTAAAGTCCTGTTGAGTGGATCTCTGATATCAAGATGATGCCAATTAAAGTTGATATAATCATCATAGTCCTTTAGATCTTGTGGGAGTTCTTGACCACGGAAGATCCAGATGCCAGTGAGTTCTTGATTCTCTACATCACCATCGATTTTGTCACCGGTGATCAGCACTGATGCGAAAGCCCATTTTCTTAAGCTCTCCAATCTCTGAAACATGCCGTTTATCAAGCCTTGTGTCTTGTATACAACAGTACCTAATTCATCACAATACAAATAGCTAGCAAAATATACACAGTAGCCTTCGGCATCAAAGTTTTGCCAGAACCATGGGAGTGCAACCGTACGAACATCTTCGTTCATATACTTTATCTTCCACTCTGCCAAATTAAAATTTGAAGGTGGAAGTAAAGAGAGTGGATGAGGAGCTCGATTTTGATTTGACATTCTATTATATTGATCAAACAAAAATTTAATCAATCAAAAAATGGTCAAACCTTTTTTGGAAATTCCTTTTTTTTTATGAATAAAATTTAAAAATAAAATATTTTGCAAATGCATTCAGTGCTTTATTTATTTTTATAACTAAAACAAAGAAGAATAATAATAGTTAGATTAAAATAACTATATTTTTTGTTGAATTTCATGTTTAATCTTTAATTTATTATTATATTTTAAACCAAAGAAAAATAATAATTTTATTTATTTTTGTTATATAATCATTTAATATCTATGATTTATTATTAAAAACTAAGATTTCTCAAATAATGTTTGTCTAGACAACATTGATTTTTTATGTTTTGTTCTTTGGTGACAATGAAATTAAAAAAAAGGAAGATCTAACTTCAATTCCAAGAAATTCGAATTTTGATTAAATTAAATTCGTTTTTTTTAAACAGATATTAAGAATTTTCATAGACATACTTGATCAATTTTAAAATGTTATGTACTTATATAATTGATAGATTAATATGAAATAGTTGTATATGATACGATATGATATGACAGATAGTAATAGTTTTAAAGATATTGACTTTCTTAGTGGTGATCAAGATCTTGATAATTGGGAGAGTTCTCAACTTACTCAATTATCACCTCGTTCAATAGAGAGACAGAATGCAAAGGAAAATGTTAAGATTGCTAGTGTTCATATCGTAGTAGACAATGAAAATAATAATAATAATAACAATCATAATGATGATACCAATCTTGATAAAGATATAGATATGGATAAAAATAATAATAATAATGATAACATGAATCATCAGCAGCAACAACAACAACAACAACAACTAGTTAGAGATAAAAGATTAGTAATATTCGATCAATTAGATAAAGCTCAAAATATGTCAACCAATAAACATTTAAATAATATTAATAATGTTAATAACAATAACAATAACAATAATAATAATAATAATAATAACAATGAGAATGCTAGCAACAATAATAACAACAACAACAATGGTACAAGTTTGTCATTGCCATCGTCACAACAACAACAACAACAACAAAACAATGTTGGTAAACAGTCCAATAAATTATCACAGACATTCAATAAATCGGTTGGATTCTCTACCAAGTGTTCTATTTGTAATATATCGTTTGGTTCTCTGACCTACGAGGAAAGAGATCGTCACGTTGCCAAGTGTATGGATAAGTTGAGAGGGTCGCAACCAATCGTTTGTTACATCTGCTCGAAAGATATAACGAAATACAGTGCTGCCAGAGTCGAGGATCACATCGACCGGTGTACACGTAACAAGAACAACGAGAACTCGTCTCATCTCGCCAAGAACAGACGTCGTGACAATCAACCGTCGGAGGAGCAACAGAAGCAGATGGACAGCGGTGACATTTGTTTCATATGCTATCAGAACATATCAAAGACTGTGAGTGGACGTATCTCACATATTAAATCTTGTGCTAAAGAACGTAACATTTCATCTCGTGAACTTAATGAACTCTATGAACTCAACTCTCGTCGAACATCGTCATCATCCTCATCCACCACAACTACAACAACAATGACAACAACTACTACCATGACAACAACAGACAACAAGAATGATAAGGATAAAGACAATAACAAAGCGATTGTATCTTATAATCTTACACCACCGAATTCACCACCAAAACAACAGCAACAACAACAAGCAAATACAAATAGTAAAGCAAGAAATAGACATGTATCAACGGTTACATCTACACCAACGGGTGGAGTTAAATCTACATTCTTTCTTGATGGTAATAATGATGGTAATGGTAAAAAGAGTAACGGTAATATAAATAGTAAGAGTAAGAAGAGTGCACAACAAAAACAACAGGCTACAACAGGTCAACAAAAACAACAAACGACAACAACAAATAAACAACAACAAAAACAACAACAACAAACAAAGAAAAAGTCAAATAAAAAGACAGTGGAAACACCTCCAACTTCAGATGATGACGATTATTATGAGGATAACAATAATAATAATAATGGTGATGTTGGCAACGATGAAGATGAAGACATGCAGTTGGCATTGGTATTGTCAGAGTCACTCGAACAATCAAAGAAAGATAGTTATGGTTCAAATTCAACATCACAATCTACACCCTATGATTTAGCTGGTTTCAAATGTAAACAATCTCCTCTCAAAGTATGTAAATATATATTAACTATTATCTAATTAAAAAAAATAAGTTAATTATTAACATTATTGATATGATATTATCTTTTTTCTTAAAATTAAAGAGTGCTAATATTGTTAAGATGTTATTCCCTACAACTACAACTACAACATCTGCAGCCGCATCAACAACTACTACAACAACTACGACATCAACTAATTCACCACCACCACCACCACCAACATCGTTCATTAGCTTTGATGATGAGAATAACAATAAGAATGATTATGTTAATAATGGAAATGATACGATGGATTTGAGTGTAATCGATCAATCAAAGTTGTTTAAAAGTAGATTGGCAAAGAGACATACACCGTCGAAAGGATCGATTTGGGATATCAATAAGTTTAGAGATCAAACAACGAAGGAGTTGTACGATAGTCAGAGCGAGGATCGAAAGTTAAAGGAGATGGAGGAGCAAAAGGCAATCGAAAAGAAAATAGAAGCTGATCATCAGAGAACCTTGGAGATCAACAAGCAACTGGAGTTGGCAAGACAGAGTGAATTGGAACGTGAACAGCTTGAGCGAGACAAGTTATTACATAAACAACAGCAAATACAATTGCAACAGGAGAAAGAGCAATTGGAACAACAGAGAGTCGCTTTAGAGTTACAAAAACAAGAACAATTACAACAAAGAATACAACAAGAATTACAGAAACAACAACAGCAACAACAACAACAACAATTGCAACAACAAGCACAACAACAACAACAACAATTACAAGCACAAACAACAACAACAACAACTCATAATTTAATTAATGATAATAGTAATTTATCGACAATATCATCATTATCATCATCAACAACATCAACATCTTCATTAGATTCCAATGTATATTCAAGTATCAATAGACCACAACCTATATTAAATTCACCAGTGATTGCAACTAATCATGATTTAAATTCTATTGATTCACAAAAACAACAACAACAACAACAGCAACAAGTTTATCAAATACCATCACACAATCAACAACAACAACAACAGCAACAAAGTAATAGTAATCCATTGTTAGTCAATACAATCAAGTCTATCAATGATATATTTCACAATGTATGTTCAGCGGCAAAAGAAGAGTTTGACAAAGGTCTCAAAGAGTTGGAAGATAAGTATTATGTGAAAGTAGGACGTGCATCAATTACCAGAGAGTTGGAGATTGACAAAGCCAAGCAATTGTATAGAGGCACTTCACCTTCTCCTTCAACCTCACATGTTAACATTACAGCTACCTCTGATTCTCATGTCAATAACAGTATCAGTAGTAGTAATAATAGTATTAACACAACTATCAGTGCTGACAGTAACAACAACATCATCATCAACAACAACAACAACAACAGTAGTAATAATAATAATAGTAATAATAGTAAAAATAGTACAAGCAGCAATATTTCCAATTTACTTCCTAGTTCATCAAAGGTAGATGCATTGCCCAGACCCTTATCACCTATTCTGACACCATTAACAGCACCTCTTAATATAAATTTCGATATTGAAGATAATATAAATCGAACACCATCATCAACTTCAGCATTTACATCGCCAAATAATAGATACCAACAAACACCTTTAAATAGTAATAGCAACAATAACAATAATAATAGTTTTGGTAGAGGAGGATATCCTCATACTCCTATGAATGGTGGTGGTAGTAGTTATTTTCTAAGTGGCTTGCATCAAAGTAAAAGTAGCAATAAACACAATGACGATGATGATTATGAGCTTGGTGGAGGTGATATACCTGAACCAGAACCAGAGCAAATCAAAGAGATTAAGAATAAGAATAGTAATAGTAGTAATAGTAATAATAAGACGTCTACAATAACCACAACAATATCAACAGTGGCCAATAATTTAACTACACACACACCCAAAACCTATAGTCAAGATAAAATGATTACATCACCAACTTCAACAGCATTGGTTCCACATAGATTGGGTATTAAATCTCATTCCCAGAGTATTCAGCAGCAATCAAAACTAATATCAAAGTTATCAACTACAAATTCATCACAATCTTCACAATCATCATTATCTCAATCAGCACCAAAACCTACAACAACATCATCATCGTCATCAGGATCATCTTCACAAAAAGTAAATAGCAAATTTAAAAAGCCAGATTATGAAAGTATGACATTAGCAGAACTCAAACAATTGGTGTCAGAGATTGGAGTTAAAACATCTGGCAAAGATGCAAATAGATCATTCTATGTACAGAAGCTCAATGAAGTCTGGGAGTTCAATAAATTAAAGCAACAACAACAACAAAAATAGTATATTAGTAGCAACTCAACCAAGCAATTAAAACAAATAATGCGTTAAAATCAAATTCAAGTTGATTCCTTAACAATTTTAATAAAGAAAACAAGGTAGAAGTGACGATGCATATAACTTTCTCTCTACATGTGATCACTCACTCTTTGCTATCAATTGATCAGATCTATTTCATACCCTACCTTTATAACTGTATTGGTGTAGTGTATACTAAGAGTGTTCAGATTGTGTGAGTTTTTATGAATGAGTTCAACAGGCGGGAGAATCACATGCATTTTTCATTGTCATTTATCATGTATATATATTTTCTTACTACTAATTGAAATCATTTTTCTTAATTGAATTGGTTTAAAGTCAAAGTTAAATTTGGTTTATTTCATTTGGTGTGATAATGAATTGAATTACATTGATTATATATTTATAAAAAAATAAAAGTTGCAACATTTGTGGTGTGTTTAAGTTATAAATTAAATTTGTGTGGTTTTTATGTAAATTGAAAATCATGGCACCACCACTTACACTACACTAATATCACCCAATATAAGAACATATATATGTAATATATTTATATTATAAATTTATCAAAAGGGTTTGTTTGTTATATAAAAATGAAAAGAGAATTAATTAGTGTTAAAAGAATGAAAGTCAAACATCAATAGAGAATGTGAATAAAGAAAAAAAAATGTAATTCTATTGCTTGTTGATATTACAATAGCACCCATGTTAGTAACACACACATTCTCTCAAGAAAGCTAATTCATGTAATAATCACAAAAAAAAAATAATATACCATACTATATATACATTGTTCCTTATTAAAATCATAGTACAATGTAATGTAAAGAGCATCATCAGTTCTGTATTCAATACGACAGACTGCCACTATTGCCACTCTTATTACTTTTTTTCTTTTACTTACTTGGTCAAACATTAATAGTAATGAAATAAAGTGATTAATTTCATTTTAAATTTAATAATAAATATATCTTTCTTTGGTTTGTTTTTGCTATTGTTGCTTTCTTTTTGTTTTTTTGTTCATATAGCAATCAATCAATTATTATATATATATATTGTTTATTTATATAAATCTATCTTTTATAACAAAAACATAATAATATATTGTTAAAAATAAATTATATCTATTTATTTTGTTGTAAAGATTAGTTCATTCTTAATCGAATAACTATTTAAAAAACTATCATCAAGAATGGTTCTCTCTCAAAAGAAGCCAATGATGCCAGTCCACAGCAAGTTGGAAACAATTCTGGGTGTGGACAAAAGAGCATTGTCAATTTTTAGATTTTTTATAGGAATAATTGGAATAATCGATTTGCTTGAAAGATGGCCCGACATCAAAGCTCATTATTCTGGTATAGTATCCAATAATATTAACAACTAATCTTCTTAATGTTTTTTCTAACTATAAATGTAATTAATCTTTTTTTTATTTTTATTTCATAGATGAGGGTTTATTACCAAGATCTATTGTTGTGGATAACTTCTGGAATACCAATTGGTTCTCGATTCATTTGATCAGTGGTACCGTAGGTTTTATCCAGCTCACCTTTATAGTTAATATTATTATTTGTTTCTTAGTTTCGATTGGGTAAGTTATCTTTTCAATTATCTATTAATTTTATTATTTTTCAAAAAAGAAAATAATTCATTCATATTAACAAACAATATATAAACTAGTTATCGAACAAGATTAAATATGATTCTTCATTGGGCATTTATTATCTCCTTACAATCTCGTAATAATATTGTAGGTCATGGTGGTGATGTCTATATGAGAGTCATGAGTTTCTTTGCTATCTTTTTGCCATGTGGTGCAGTATGGTCAGTTGATAGTGCCCTGAAAAAACCAGTTTTACGTAGAGAACATAAAAAATTCAATGTAGTTAATTTTGGTAAGCAAAAAATCGATAAATCGATTCTTTATTTCTTAAATTTAATTATTAATTATAATTTTTAAATTAGCATCAATCGCAATTTTATTACAAATTTCATTCTTGTATATTTTCTCATATATCCACAAGACTGGTGATGAATGGCGAAAGGATTTGACTGCTACATACTTTGCCCTGCAACTAGATTACTTTAGAACTAGTTTTGCAGAGATGGCTCTAAATTTCCCGGGTTGTTTGAAGATCCTTACATATGCTGTATTAAAGTATGAGGGTTTCGGTATGTTGCTTTGTATTTCTCCATTCTGGACCGGTCCCGTAAAAACCTTTGGTGCACTAGGATTCTTTATGATGCACATTGGTTTTGGAATGTTTATGAGACTTGGTATTTTCAGTCCGGTCTGTGCTACTGGTTCTCTCCTCTTGTTCCCATCGTGGATTTGGGACAAGGTATTCGATCGTCTCAGAACCAAAGAGAGATGTGACTTCCAATTGTTCTACAATGGAAAGTACGGATATTATATTGCTGGTTTGGTATCGTCGTTCCTGTTGCTGCCGGATATCGAGGTGGCTCCTGCTCCACTGACCTTTGACGAGGAGTCACACCAAGATGGAATCATGAAAGAGGATCCAATCAATCAGAATACCAATTGGATCATCACCCGTGATCACAAGGGAATCCGTCACACTGGATACCGTGCATTCGTATCGATACTTCGTGCATCGCCATTGATGAATCCATTGGTCAGAGTAGCAGAGATGCGTGTCGTCCAAAACTATGGAAAGAAGACAATGGATTTCTTTGAGAGAATGACAATCAAGATCAACGATGACATCCTCGTAAACAAACCAACCTCACCATTCTTGACATACTACAATCACAGCTCTGAGAACTCATACACTGTCTCTGGAACTGATATCTCTAGTCCAGCACCACCCGATGAAGCTACCACCCACTACTTTAGACGTCTCAACAGAAAAGTACGTTTCCTAAAGATGACAAAGCGTGCTCTCTTGAATGTCACCGCACTATCCTGTATTCTCCTGGCACTCACTTGGAATTGCTCTACTGCAGACATCGGAATCCCCATTGCCCTTCCACAGAATCTAAATTGGTTGGTATTCTTTGTGAGAGTTGACCAGATGTGGTCGATGTTTTCACCACGTCCACCTTCAATTCATTGGTGGTACACCTTCGAAGCAGAGCTAGATGACGGGCAACAGACGGAACTCTGGGCAAACGACGGTCTTTTCACACTCGAAGGTAATCCCGCTCCATACTCTCGAGATAAACCTTATCCCTATGCTTCGTGTATCGGTAACCACAGATGGTTCAAAGTCTACGAAAACTTGAACACCGGTTCCGGCTATGAATTGATTCGTCTCGGTATGGGTAGATGGATCTGTCGTGAGTGGAATCTAAAGCATACTGGACCAAAGAGACTGCACAAGTTCAACATTGTATATAGAAATGAAAAACAGAATCTCGATAACACCAGAACTCTGCTAAACGATGTAATCCTCTGGAGTCATGTTTGCTATGAGAAACCTGCTCCTGTGCCTGATCCAGCTCAACAACAAGCAGAGCTACTACAAAAACAACAGCTTGAACAACAACAATTATTATTACAACAACAACAGCAACAACAATTAGAACAACAACAATTGTTGGAACAACAACGACAACTTGATCTACAACATCAACAACAGCAACTACTTCAACAACAACAACAACAACAATTCGCTCAACAACAATTACAACAACAGCAACAACAACTTGCTCAACAACAACAATAATAATAATAATTCGCTTAATAATCAAAACTGTTAAATCTATAGATATTTTTTTTATCCTATCCTCCAAACTAATAAGTAAATTTCTTTCCTCTTCTGCTCTATTCTATCTTTAAATAAAATATAATATAAATTAAATAATATACTTTGGTTGATCATATATAAGAGTCTAAACTGATCAGTTTAGTTTAACTCTTTATATTCCCATTCTTTATTCGAAAGACCTTTAATTTCAGTATCTGGTTTACCAAGTACTGTTGTATATGAAGTCTTTTGTGGATTTAAATATTTAGCAGAAACCTCTTCAAGTTGATTCTTGTTTATACTTAAAAGTCTATCTCTACGTCTATAATATTGATAATAATAAATAAATTAGAATTTTTGAATGTTTGATTTGTTTTTTTGATTTTTTTTTTTTTTTTCAACTTACTGTTGTTTCATTTCATCTGTAATACCTCTCATCCATTCAGCAACACCTTTATTCGATGGTGATTCTGGTGCATCGAAATCAGCGAAAATCGAGAGTTGAGCATTTTCAACGTTTTCAAGTGTGATCTTGTCTTGTGACCATTCAATCGATTCATTGAATGCATTGATGGTCTTGGCAAGATTTGGATCACGATACGAGTAGAATCCAATGGATCCACTGGCATACGATACACCTCCACCATAGGCTCCACCTTTTTCTCTGATCTCTTTGTGTAGGTACTCTGAGAGAACCTTTGAGAGAACTTCGAGACGTGCTGAATCCTCGTGTGAATAGTTGACACCCTGATAGCTTTTTGAGATATAATTAACAGTTGCTGGAATTGCGAAATAGTGTGGCAATGAAGAGCCAGTGTTGTCGGATTTTTGGAATTCGTTGTTCACCATCGATGTGTGATTCTCGTTGAATTGTTGGAGGAACATTGAGAGTTGTTGTTTTGCCAGCTCCGTTGTATCTTTTTCGGTGGTGATTGAACATCTCATTAATGAACGATCGAGGATAAACTTGTTGATGGCAATCAACTTGGCAATGATGTCGTTGAGATCATTCTTGGCAATGATGTCGTTTGTAAACTTAACGTGTGTAAGACCATGCCATTTCTCACTGAGTTGACCGGCTCTTGAGAACTGTGATGATGAATAGGTACGAGCATATGACAGTCCAGACGATGTGATTCCTTCGATCATCGACGATTGCATTTGTCCAAGTAGATTCTTAAGAAGATCGGGATTGTTCCAACGATTTTCCAACATCATTTTTTTCAAAAGTGAAAACATCTTTTCGATATTTCTATTGATGGCAGCCGATTTAATATAGATACGTTCGGCAACCAAATCCAAATTGAAAGGTGAGGTGGAAATCATTGGTGATACATTCATTCTTCCAGTGTACAAATTGATTTCAGTGTCGAGTTGTTTGTGGTCGAGTTCCGCTGCACCCATTGACTCGAACAAACTACAAAACAATGGTACATACATCTTGAGATCCTCTGGGAGTGTGGAGATGTCAATCATCGAACGGAAATAGGTGATACCATTCGTTGGGAAGTCAAAGAGTCTGAGGTCAGTCGATCCTATCTTCTCATCGATGAACGGTGTCTTTTGTTGTTTCTTTTCAATCTCGGAAATCGATAGTTTCGGAAGACTACTTACATCTTGTTGCTGACTCTGACGTTGTTGTAAATCTTTAGCTTGTTCCACAATGGTTTCCACTTGTTTGCTATCCAAGCTGCTCTTGATTCCCAAGAGAACATTCTCCTCCTCGGCGGCTTCTCTAGCTTGTTGGGTGTCATCCGGTGACATTGTAATGGTCAAACGATGTGGATTATCCAAGAGTTGTCTAAGTTTATTTTGGAAGAATGGACCTGCTGCAATTTCCTTTCTCAATCTAGCAATGTTTTCATTGAGGAACAATCGATTAATTGGATTACCACCATGAATCCAATTGGATTGCAAACCACCGACCAACTTCAAACCAAGTGATGCCGAAACATCCTTCTGTCCAAATTCGTATTGATGTAAGATCGATTCAATTACATTGGAATCGAATCCGTCACGCGATGCTTTCTCCATGGTTGAAATGATAGTCTGTTCGACTTTTTCGAGATCTTCCTTTCTGATACCGGTTCCACCGACACCGAAACTACTCTCATGAAGGTTATCGTCGAATCCAGTGTTGGGAGTGTAGTCCAGCGCCAATCCACTCTCGAGCAATGCTTGATACATCGGTGTATTAGATCCACGAATCAAGAGATTCGACAAGACATTCATAGACAAACCCTCAAAGATATCTGTATTATCCTTGTGCAGTATCGAGATCGACAGTTTGTGTTTACGTTCTGGGTTGACATCCATTGCCGACGGTGGACATGTAACGGTAATACGACGTGGTTTGTCCCAACGCTGTACATGATTCACTTTGCTATCGACTTGTTTCGGTGACTTGAAATGTTGGAGTGCGTTCTCCTCGATGTAGCGCAGATGTTGCTCCACAGGCAGATCACCATAGGTGAAAAAGAATGCGTTGGAGGGGTGGTAGTAAGTGGCGTGGAAATCTTTTAGTTGTTGGTAACTCAGCGCCGGAATATCCTTGGGATCGCCACCAGAGTTGTGAGCATAGGTCGTTCCCGGGTAGAGACTCTGTTGAGCGATCTCTGAGAAGTATCCCGATGGATCGGACAGCGCTCCCTTCATCTCGTTGAATACGATTCCCTTGAATTTCAACTTTGACTCTGGATTGTCGAGTTGTTCGAATTCCAGCCGGTGACCCTCCTGACGAAAGTCCGACTCTGTCAGCAGCGGGAAGAAGGTGGCATCGAGGTAGACCGAGAGCAAGTTGTAGTAGTCCTTCTCGTGTTGTGTGCCGAACGGGTAGGAAGTGTGGTCGGGTGCAGTCCAGGCATTCATATAGGTGTTGAGTGAACGCTTCAGCATATTGAAGAAAGGGTCACGCATCGGATACTTCTTGGAGCCGCACAGCGTAGTGTGTTCCAAGATATGAGCGACACCGGTCGAATCGAACGGTGTAGTCTTGAAAGTCACAGCAAATACATTGTTCTTATCTTCACAATCGATATGTAGATAGTCTGCACCGGTTACATCGTGTTTCAATCTAAACGTATTGAACTGTCTCTCCGGTACATCTTGAACATTGACCACACTGAAACCATGCAGCTTATCACCAACCTTTAAATTTGTTTTTAATCTTTCTTTTCCTCTTAAACTTTGACCAACAACTTGTTGTTGTTGTTTTTGTTCTGAAGTTGTTGTTGCATAAGATCTAATGATAGAGGTTGTTGGTCGACCACCAATGTTGACACCAGTAGTATTACTAGCAACACGACCACGAACTAGTCCTTTAGAGAATAAAGACAACATTTGTAGTCGTTGTTGTAATTGTTATAAATATGTAATTAATAAATACAATGAATCTAATTAATCTGATAAAAAATAAAAATGATGTTTTTTTTTCGTTTTTTCAAAAAAATTTGAAGATCTCATTCAAGGATGTAATAATTTGTTGGTTGTTTATTACATAATTTTGGTGTTTGATGTTTAGATCGAATCTAAGATTATTTAATAATATAAAAACAACGATAATGACAGAGTTGACCATTTGTACACATTCAGGTACTTTCCACGCTGATGAAGCATTGGCATGTTATCTTTTAAAACAAACAAATAAATTTAAAGACGCAAGTTTGTATTATCAATCATTATTATTATTATTATTATTATTTGTAATTATAATTTACCTATTTATTTACTTACTAACAACAATTATTTATTTATTTAATAGAAATCATTAGATCTAGAGATACCGCTGTTATTAATGCAGCTGATGTTGCAGTTGATGTCGGTGCAACCTATGATTTTTCTAAATTGAGATTCGATCATCACCAAGCTGGTTTCACAGAGACTTTTGATGATCATCATGAAATTAAATTGAGTAGTGCTGGTTTAATTTATAAGTATATATTATTTATAGAATTAGCAATAATTCATTAATATTAATCATCATCATTATTATTCATTAGACACTACGGTAAAGAAATCATAAAGAATAGATTAAAAGTAAATGATGAAATCACTGATATTATCTATAAGAAAGATGTATAATGGTAATATATATACATATAATAATAATAATATTAAAAAGTAGTAAAGTATTTACATTATATATTAACAATAATATTTTGTAGAGTTTATTGAAGAGTTGGATGGTGTTGATAATGGAATCGAAAGATATCCAGCTGAAATCAAAGCTAAATACAAGATGAATACAACAATCAGTCAGCGAGTTGCGTCGATGAATCCCTATTGGAATGAAGATCAATCGGAACAGGTGCTCTATGAGCGTTTCGAAAAGGCAATGGCGTTGATGGGTGAAACCTTCAATGACAAGGTCGATTACTATGGAAAGAGCTGGATGCCTGCACGTGCCATCGTCGAAGAGGCACTTCGTACTCGTAAGGAAGTTCATTCATCGGGTCAACTCATTGTGCTCAGACAGTTCTGCCCGTGGAAAGAGCACCTCTATCACCTCGAGAAGCTCAACAACATCAACAAGTCCATTCTTTTCTGTTTGTTTGAAGATAATCTTGGATCGTGGCGCATCCAGGCTGTCAACCTCGACAACAGTTCGTTCACACTGAGAAAAGCACTCCCAGAGGCATGGAGAGGTAAACGTGATCAAGAACTGAGTGATATCATTGGAATCGATGGTTGTATATTCACACGTAAAGTATTTCCCTACAAAGATAAGATAACAACATATACCATATATTTTATCAAGCAATTAGTTATTAATTCAATTTCATTTAATTATTATTATTATAGACGCAAATGGTTTCATTGGAGGTCATAAACATAAAGATGGTGCTATGCACATGGCAATCAAAGCTCTTGAGAACTAAATAAAACAAACAAAACAAAATTAAATATAATAATAAATCAATTATATTTAATTAATCACAAACAAATCACAAGTAAACATAATAATACTGAGATTTGATATAATCTGAAGATATAAGATCAATCAATTTTGATTGAAATAACAACAAGTTCCCAAAACTATTGAATAGAATAAGAACTTTAGAATACTTGGAATTCTATAATAATTATATATAATATGACCACAATAGTTTGTTATAATAATGTTTAAATTAGTTCCGAGATATTTAAAAGTGTGAACTACCATCAGTGGTTCGGGTAAGTCAAACAAGAAAGAATATCAACAAACCTAACAAACAAACAAACAAACAAACACACCTTTTCATATATTAATGGTTAAAACACATGAGGTTACAACACAACAAACTTTGTTTGTTTACTTTAGGTTGTTATTTTTTTTTTTGTTTCATTTGTGTTGTGATGTTATTTGCATTTGTTGTTTTTTTCTATCTTTGCATATTTATGTAGATTATATTAAAGGTGGGTGTTTTTGTTGTTGTTTTGAGAAATATATACCTATCCTATTTAACTATAGTATGTTAATGAAAGTTATGAAATTTCTTAAATAGAAAACTAATGGGTAAAGTAAAAACTGTAGGAGGTGGTTCCTATGATTCCTTTTCTTTGATTTTAGTCTTTTTGAAAATAAACAAGTAAGTAGTGTTGTTGTTTTTGTTTGTTCGTCTGATTAATCAAATCAAAAACAACCGACAACTTCCATCTTCATTTTGATTGAAAGTGAGTTAATGTGTTTATTTTATTGGTTGCCCATAAAACTTGTTAATCAACAATAAAACCCCTCAACTTAACACACCACAAAACGCGCACAGCTTATGACAAAGCAAATGTTAAGAAAACAAAAAAAAAAACAGAAAAAAAATCATTTTTTTTTAAATTTCCTAGGACAAGAAATTATATAAAAAGAAACTTGGATAGTTAATCAATTTCAAACAAACCAAAAATTATTTAAAATATCTAATAATTTTATTTATCAACAATATTTTATGTTTAAACAATTATCTTTATTACTTGTTTGTTTGGCTGTTGCTTCGGCCACAAGCATTGAAGCAAACTACTATACCATCAGATATTCCAGAATCAATTGTATTAGATGGCCATGTCCATATTATATTGCTTCCACTCTCAATGGATTCTCTGGTGATATCGGTCTCGACGATATCAGATTCGATGCTTCCATCGATAGAGACAAGGTTTTCGAAAAGTTGGAGGATGTCGTCATCTATGGAACTCTCACCACCGTTTACTACGGATTCGACAAGGTTAGCCGTATCAATGCCCAAGCTGCCTACCGTCTCCTTCCATTGTCACCAGTCAATTCCACCCACTCTGGATCTTTCTACAGCTTCTCCAACTCTGGAATCGTGTGCAAGACCACTCCATGTCCATCAATCAAAGCCGACTTAATCAATGGCTACACCAACCAATTGGTAAGTGAACTCGTTACCCCATACCAAACCTACACCAAATTCGACTACAGTTGGTTACTCAACAAGTTGGTCTACACCGCCGAGCCACAAAAAGCAATCATCCAAGGTTCGTTTGTCAACGAGAAATTCTACGCCACCGCAGTATACGCCAACATCCGTGACCACTACTCTGCATGCCCACCAATCCCCAAAATTGGATGTGGATCAGGTTACACCCTCACCTACTTCAGAGATGAAAACCGTTGTCTCTCCATCGATAAATGTGTCCCAACTGGTTTCTGCATTAAGTCCATCCCACTCTGTAATGAGGGTTACAACCTCGTTGGTGTTCCATCATCTCCAAATGGATGTCCAACCTATTACTGTGATGCAGCATTCCTTCAATAAATTTTAATTTTATCTTTTAAACTTTATTTTAAATAAAACAATTTAATTATGATTATAATTATTTATAAACTGGAAAAACGAATTGCCAATCATTTTGCCTGAAAACACATAAAAAAAATTTCAAATTTTTTGATCAAAACGGTTAATTTTTTTGCCACTACACAACAACAACCTTTTTTTTTTTTGTGATCAAGACAAAGTAAAAGTAAAAGATGGATGAGAAATCTTCTGATATAGATACCGCAGATGATATTGATGATAGTGGAGATGAATCTTCTTCCTCTACTTCTACAACTACAACTACTACAACTACAAATACAAACAATAATAATTTAACGTCATCTAGTGTAAACAACAACAATGACAATACTTCACAACAATTACAAACACCAATAGTTAAGCTTAGAGAGAAATCAGAGGTACTTGCAGAGATCGATTCACTGGTGGAAGAGAAACAGAATATCGAAAGCAAGATTGCATCGCTTGAACGACAGATCTATGCGTTGGAAGGTCGCTATCTGGAGGAAACTCATCATATTGGTAATGTAATTCGTGGTTGGGATGGTTATGTCTCTGGTAGTGGTGCACTAAAGAAACTAAGATGGCGTGAAGTCGATCGATTATTCTCAACGTCCTCTGTTACATACCAAAATTCTGTAAGTCATCATTTTCATTTTCATTTTTTTTTTTGCCAAAACAAGCAGCAACTCTATTATTATGAACAAACAACAAACAAATCTTTACCAAGATTTCTTTGATAATAATGATAACCAACATTTTGCAAATAACTAATTTTATTTTTTGTTATTTGATATCTATCTTTCTAGGTTAATGATAAAAATGCAACCGATAGTAATTTGAAAGAAGAAGAAGAAGTTATAAAAAGAAAGAAAACAACAGATAAACTTAAAAAAAGGAATGGTTAAAATATATTGTAATAATAATATTAAAATATAAATTAAAATAAAATGTATATATATTTGCAAAAAAAAAAAACAAACCATACACAATTATTATTAGTTTGATTCTGCAACAACACTTTTTTTTTTTTCTTGATTCCACCTTTGTCCACATCATTTTTTGTTTCTCTAAATTTTCTTTTGTTTTTCATCGATTTATTATTAAAAAAAAAAACAAAAGAGGAGAATAGTTTTGTTTTGTTTCATTTAAGATTGAAATTAGTTAAGATTTGTTTAATTTGTTCAATAGTAGTGCGGAGATAACAACATACAATACAATACAATATGGGTGGAAAGAAATTCGGTACAAACTCAAAGTCGGAGGAAGCAAGAGCAAAGAAAGCAGAGGTAAAGAGAAATGAAAATGAAAAAAAGGTAAAGGCAAAGGAAGATGCAGAGTGGGCAGAGACCGATTCAAAGGTGATTGCAAAGGAAAAAAAGAGACAAGAGGAAGCAGAGAGAAAAGCACAGGAAGCAAAGAGAAAGTTGGAGAACAAGAAAGCATTGGAGGCGGAAGAACAAGATCTCAAGCAAAAGTACGGTAAAGGCAAAGACACTGCTAAGCTAACACGTTTCGAAATCGAGCAACAAAAGGAACGTGACCAGAAGGAACGTGAAAGACAAAGAGCTGCACTTAATACATCGGCTGGTGGATCAACTACAACTACAACTACTACAACATCAACAACAAGTAGTGGCAGAGGTGGTGACGATGACGATGAAGATACATTCGATCTTCAAGAGAATATCAATCATGTGTTGAGAGAGCAGAGAATGAAGGAAGGAGGTGACTATCACGAGGCAAGAGAGGTGCATGACGCCATCAAGATGTTGTCCACTACCACCAATTCCGAGGAGCATCCAGAGCGTAGAATGAAGGCAGCCTACCAGGCATACGAAGAGCAGAACCTACCACAACTGAGAAAAGAGAATCCATCGTTGAGATTCACACAAGTCAAACAGCTGTTGTGGAATCAATGGTTGAAGGCACCCGAGAATCCATTCAACCAAGTTCAACAGAAATAATCAATCATTCATCGATGATTATGTAAATAACCAACCAAACTACCAACCAACCAACTATTTGTATGCCATTGATTGATTGATAATCACTCATATACACACGAGTTTAAAAAACAGCTACAGCATTAACTTTCAATTGAAATCAATCAAATCATATCAAAATGAAAAAACAAACAAACAAACAAATATAAATGTGAACTGTTAACAGTTTCATTTATATTTTCTTTGTTTATTTATAAATAAAAAACACATATCATTTAGTTCTTTATCTAACTATTCTATTTATTTATTGTTTATAGAATTATAATTAATAGTAAACCAATAAGTATATTACGAATGGTTGTTGGGTTAAGGATGGATGAAGTAGAGTATGAAGTGGTAGTAGGTGGGAGGTTGTCTGTTGTTGTGGGAGTTGATGGATGAGCTGTCGATGTCGGTGGATATGTTCCGGGAAGTGTGGTCGATGGCATTCCCGGTGGTGGAGTTGTTGCCGCTGGGATGTATACGGGTGACGCCGGTGTCGATAGATATTGATGTGCCTCGTTGTTCAACCAGGTATCAGTTTCCCAGAGCTTGGGATGGAGATCTTTGGCCGGTGTCGGTCTACGAATGGTAAGTGCGTCGCCCACCTTTGGGTTGACAAGATATGCCAACGCTCCAACAAAGCCAGCGTTGTAATCGAGAGCGACTTCATTCTCAAAGAAATCCAGTCGGTTGTCACTGTACGATCCATTCAGATAGGGTCCACCGACTAGTGCACCCTTCAAGAGAAATAGGTTGTTTTTTGGGAACTCTCTACTCCGCTGCTCAGAGTGGTGCGATGCACGGTGATGTGGATTCACCGGGAAGTTTGGCCCGATACCGACTACGTATGACTGATGCTGCGGATTGTCACCGAGCAGATAGTTAATCTGTTGTTTTGTAAAGCCAGTGTAGCGGCTGTCACCGTAGACACTCGCCAGGAATGCAGTGTTGGCGACATACCGACAGGAACCCCAGTCGTCGTAGTGTGCCAACCCACCATAGGTTTTCGAAATAACCCCACCTGGTAACCAATTATCAAAATAACCCTCAATATCCCCGTGATACTCGGGTTCATTCGTTAGCTTTGCCATTAGAAGCGAAGAGCCAGGCGACTTTTGATCCCAACTCATCGAGACGTTCGTACGCGAAGTTGGACCGATGCCATAGAGCTTATAATACGACTTGGCGTCGTCGAAATACTTCTTATCGCCAGTGGCGCGATACAACCATATAGTTGCCCAAACAATCTCGTCATTATAGCCGGATGTGGAGAGATAGTAGCCACGCTCTGTCAAGGGAAGTGCTTCACTGTAGTTTCCCTGATACTTGTAAGCAAATTCATGAAGCTGCTTTGAATGCTGAAGTAGTTTCTCTGAATAGCCAGCATCTCTTGTTCTATATACAATCGATGCAGCCGCCAGTGCTGCCGATGCTTCCATAGCCACCTCAGTGCCTGGCGTCTCAGGATTGAGCCAATAGACAGGACGTTCCAAGTTGTTTAGTTCAGGTGGAACCCTTAAAAGTTTGATGAAAAGTTAAACAACAATATTAGTAAGTAAAGATTGATGAATTGCCCATTAATACTGATAGATATCTATTTACCATATTTCATGATCACTCTTTGCATTACCGATTTGTGCGACCATCTCGTTTGGCGAGCGGTGTGCCACCATTAGCCAGTCGGTTCCATGTCGGATGTCATCGAGGAACAACTCTGTAAGGCCGCAAGCCTCTACATTCCTCTCGAATTCCAAGAATGAAAAACTCAACATGGTCATGGCCGATGCCATTGGCAGTACGAATTTAACGGTGTCACCGGCATCAAAGTATCCATTACAAAAGTCACCGTCTTGTGGTACAGAGTTTCCTCTCCATGGTATTTCGAAATTGTTTGGCAATTCACCTGCTCTATTATACTTATAAAACAACAATGCATATTGTAATGTTTCACAATAGTCACTTGATGTCAATGGCTCGAAAGTAGTTGGACGTTGACCTGCAACAAAATATATTTATTTTCGTTAGTACTATAAAGTAAACTTTTCGAATATATTCTATTGTTCTATTTCTTTGTAAAAAGTAAACAAACACCAACCATACCATTTATAAATTGAACATTGGTAGAAGTATGATACAATAGCATAAAAATGAATATTGATGATGATCTTGATATCTTTAACATTTTTACTTGTAATCTTTTAATAATAGTTTATTATTACTTTTACATTTGTAGTTTTAACTTCTGTAAATCTTCTTATCTGTATATATCAACGAGTATTAATCTTTAAAATAGAAATCTAATAATAATAATAGATTTCAAAAGATATATAACTACTAAATCTCTCAAAGCTAAGTTATTCATTCTTTTATAAATTCATATTATTTAGTAATAATATTACTAAATAATACATTGTAACTTTTACAAATATAGCTAGATATGATATTCGTATTGTAATAATTTAACGATTACATATTATTTTTTAGATATACACAAATTTAATAAAATAGTGAAGTTCACTCATTGATGTAATAATATGCAACAGAGGTTAATTCTATTTTTTTTGCAAATTGAATTCAAATTTAATTAATATCTTTTTGATTATTAAATAAGAGATAATGGTGGTTGATGTTGTCATGTCAAGCAAATCTATTAACAATTAACATGAGTACTTGAAGTTTAGTGGTGGTGGTGTGTTGTTTTGTTTGTTTGTTGTTGAGACAACAAAATATGTATTATTATTTTTTTAATTAATTTTTATTTATTATTTTATCATTTATTTATTTAATTATTTATTGTTGTTGTTGTTGTTGTTGTTTCTTCCAAAAAAGTGTGTGTTAAATAACAAACATTTATTACTTTTTATATCATTTATTCTATCTAAAAAATAAAAAATAATAAAATTAAGAGGAGAGAGAAAGAGATAGAGAGATAGAGATTGCGAGAAGAAAGAGAGAGAAAAGAAGAAAGATATTAATATTTGTTAAATAATAGTAAATAATAAAAAAATAAATAACCTATAATAAATCAACAATGTTGGCATTTACAAAATGGATGTGGAGAGGTGCATTTAATTATACAAGATCTGCATATGAAAAAAAGAGTAGTAGATTCGTACCTGAACATCTAACATCAATAAACTATCCAGATACCAACTTTGTTGTGACAGGTGCCAACTCTGGTATTGGATATGCAACTGCTTTAGATTTAGCGAGTATGTTATTATTATTAAACTTGTTGATTACTTGGTTGATTAATCGCAATCTCAAATTGAAATTAATATGATTATTATTACTCTATCATTTGTAAAACAGGAAGAGGAGGACGTGTACATATGATTTGTAGGAATAAGGAACGTGGAGAACAAGCATTATTTAATATCATACAGGAAACAGGTTCTGAAAATGTATTTCTTCATATACATGATCTGTCGAGGAAGCGCGACGTCTCGCTGTTTGTAAAAAAGATGATCGATGAAGGCGAACGAATCGATGTGTTGATATTGAATGCCGGCGTCATGATGTCACACCGCACCACCACAGACGAAGGCCACGAGATGACATTCGCAACCAATCTGCTCGGTCCCTACTTGGCAACTTCGCTGCTGCTGCCCTACCTGAAAGCGATGCACAGCGGCGACGCCAATCAGCAACATAAAGCGCGTGTCATATTCGTGTCGTCGGGTGGCGCTCTCACTCAACGAATGCACTCTGACTTTGAATTCACCGGATCGAGCCACTCCAAGTCTTGGAACCCGTCGGTGACCTACGCACAGACCAAACGCGCATTGATATACTTGACGGAACTGTTTGCCGAGCGATATGCAGATTACAATACAAACTTTTACTCTATGCATCCGGGATGGGTGGCAACGCCGCAGCTTGCAACCGCCATGCCCACCTTCAATGTGTTGACACGCGGTATACAGCGTACACCAGAACAAGGCGCCGATACCATAGTGTGGCTAGCGGTGTCGCCCACCGTCGAGAATGAATCCGGAGGATTCTACGAAGATCGTGAACTTACAGCCAAACACCTCACCAAAGACACAGAGTCGACACGTGAGGAGATAGACAATCTTTGGACCTACCTGGAGAAGTGTGTACAAGATGAAGAACAACAACCAAAAGAACAACAGCCAAACAGCAGAGACAACAGTGACAATGAACATCCCGATGGTTTGGTAGAGGGTGAAACTCATCCAATGAGATGAGATGATCATCCAAGCATAAGATAATAGAGAATTACATAATTAATATCGTCATCATTCACCACGCTCAAATAACAACAATAATCAAGATTATTCATGTTCATAACATCCATCCTCCCCAACCAAAAACAAAAAAAAAAAAAAAAAACAAAAAATATTCCTTTATTAATCACAGAGAAATAATAAAGTTAAATTTGTAAATTAAATATTTCATAAATCCAATCCAATCCACATCTATCTCTATAGATTATATTTGATAATTATTAACATATGTTAATATTTATTTATTCATTAACTGTATCATTCTCTTCCATTTGCTCTTGTTCTTGCTCTTGCTCTTGTTCTTCTTCTTCTTCTTCCTCTTCTTCTTCTTCTTGTTCTTCGTCATCTGCTAAATCAAAGACAAGAGTTCTTCTGGTACCTAAAGTAACTGCTATAACGTTTCTATCGATTGATACATTGATTCTCTTGGTTGTCAGTGATTTAGTGAGCTCGGGTGCAACTTGTCTTGACTTGATTGGTGTATTTGGTGCAGCTTGACATAGGAATCCATCCAATAGATCCACCATAACTGTCGAAGGCGGTATATTTACCCCCAATAACATATATTCTAAATCTTGTCTATAATTAAATTGTTTTATAAAAGTTGATTCTCTTATACTATTATTATTATTATTATTGTTACTCTCATTATTAATATTCTTTGATATTAAACATAATAAATCGTCTTTATAAATAAACATATCATCTAAACGTTCGGCTGCTGAATCTTCATCTAGTAGTATACAACCAAACTTCCATATTTTCGTTTCTTTAATACCAATGAATATCTTACTACAACCAGGTGTCATAAAAGTAACTACAATCTGATCTCCACCATCTAAATGTGATTCAAATGATGATAAAAATCTTTGTTTTTGTTGTTGTTGTTGTTGTTGTTGTTGTTGTTGTTGTTGTTGTTGTTGTTGCTCTACTTTCTCGAACATACATAAAGGTGTTATATTTACAATCTTAAATCTATCTACAATCGTTTTGTTTACTGAGAGATTCAATGTATTTCTTAACTTTGTTGATACTTCATTAAATTCATCTAATAATGATTTACTATTACTACTACTATTATTATTACTATCGTCGTTATTATTAATGTTATATTTTAATTTAAAAGTTGGCATATAATCATTATTTAGTAGTCGGTTGATATGTGTTGGACCTAGTGGATCTAGTTGTAAACCTTGCTCTAAAAGCTCGACTATATGTAGTTCATCGTAGAATGCACTACGTCTTTCCTGTGGGGTGTCTTCACTGAGTTGTAACTGTACCTTTTGCAACCATGTAAACAACGATGAATACTTTCGTTCGGCGTTGGTGATCAGTGTATCCATCAACTCTAACCTCATGCCGAAACAACCAAACTCTGCAATTACACTCTGTAGCTGCTCGCCGTTCAACAGTGATCCGAATCGATTGGTCCAACTCGACAAACTACACAACGTAGTCAATTGGCTCAACAGGTTGGTATACAACGACAACATCTTACCGACTAGCACCTCTCTGAGCGAATCCAATGATCTCGTTGTCGAGGAACGCATCTGCTTAACATTGACGTTGTTCGTGAGAAACTGTGTGAGTGCCGACGATGCAACGCCTGTCATCATCATCTCTATGAGCTCTGACTCCAGAGTGTACTCTCCGGTCAGTGGATAACCGTAGTCCGCTAGGAGTTTGTTGAACGTTTGAAACTTGGAGAGTAGTTGATTGTTGAATGTGTCATTCCAACGGTCGTTGATATCGACTCGGATGTAATACTCCAGAGTCTCTAATAACCACAATGAAGTAGTTACTTTCAGTGAGACATCGAATAGCTCTGCTATCTTTGTTGATAACTCTGTAGTATCGATGTCAATTAGTATAGCTAAACCATTGTCAGTCTCAACTGAAACCATCAAGCAATTGAAATCCTTTGACAACATAACCTGTGAAACCTCAACCCTCTTCATTGATTTTATCAAAAAGTGTTGTGAACTATATTTCTCTGATATTAACTTGTATAAATCTATAGATCCTATCAATGTTACTCCAAATGCACTTAACAATAATAACAACAACATGTTAATAAGTTAGTTTTGTTTGCTAACAATCCTATTTCTTCTATGTTACTTACTAAAATGATATAATAGAACTATCGGTAACTGTAATTAAAATATCAAATGTATCTATATCATGTCTTAATGGAAATGATCTCATCTCACTAAAAACATCTTGTTAGTTAATTAGTAGTTCTATAACTGATTGTTGCTGCTGTTGTAGTTGTTGTTGTTGTTATTGTTGTTGTTGTTAATAATAAAGAATAACTTACTCTTCTCTATCCAATGTGTAATGTGAGAATGAAGGAAAACACTGTTCATTATTGGAATAGGTTGGTTTGAATGTGTTTAGTTGTCGTTGTTGGTATTGTATCCAAAATAGTTTGACTATAGCTGATGATGACGATGATTGTGAAGTGTCACGTGTACAATATATCTCTTTACCATTCTCAATGGAGATGAGTGAGAGCAATCCACTTGAATAGCCAACGGCTAGTACTTTTCCATTGGGACTCCACTCGATTGACGTTGCAATATCCGATGTATTTTCGACGGACTGTGATGCCGCCACTGAAAACAATCGTTGCCAATTGATAAATCTATGTATGACAATATGACCACTGTGGCTGAGCAGAGCGATCAAATCCATCGATGGACAACATCTAGCTAACTTTATATCATTTCCAGATGCTTTATCATTTAATAATACATATGAATTATTAACCATCTTCTTTTATTTTTGATTGATTAATTAATTAAAACAAAACATCTGACGAATATTAATCGATCAAACAGTTCAATTACCAAATTAGTGCAAGCAAATAAAGTAAAATCAACCCAACACACACAATTTTTTGTTAAAATGAACATCATAGAATTTCAAATTTTTGAAAATTAACAAGCTGAATGAGAGCGCCAAATTCAAAACTGTTTTTTTTAAAATTCATTTTTCTTTGTTACAGTTGACCGTTAAAAATCAGTAATTAATTGAATGGTTAATATCTTGATATACCGCCTCCTACACAAACTTTTTTCTTTCAAATAAAATTATTCAGAAACAATCACAATTTGATTTTATATCCGTTACAAACCTGTCAAACGATAGTATTCATTTGCATTATAATCAAAAATTTGAATTATTTAATTTAAAAAGCTTAGAACGCGCCTATAATAACTTATTCAACTTTTTTATTTTGTTTTGACTTCAATCAATCATTAATTCAATCAACCATTGTTTAATAGCTTTTCAATTTATTTATTTATTTATTTTAAGATAATAATAAAGTTTTAACCTTTTAATTTATTTTTAAAAACAAACACCTAATCGCTTTACCTTTTTTGTAAATATATATATATATTAATATCAAAATCAATTTCAAATAAAATGTCATCTAAAATTCAAATGGAATCAATTTCATATCTTGACTGTCAACAAGAAAATGATGTAAGTATACTTACTAATCACTTATAATATAATAATATTATAAAAGGACCAATAACATATAATAATAATAAAAGACTTCCTTAATATTCATCTATAATTACCTATCTTGTAATTTTCTTCTTTTTTTTTAAAAAAAAAACGCATACACAAATTTGTATTATTACTATCATCCAATTAAGTTTTTTTTGATTATACTTTTTTTAAAAAAATAAAATAATATTTATTTTTAATTAATAAATCACTATTATAATAAGAAATATCACTATATTTAGTGTGTGTTTTGTTTTGTCGATCTGATTATTGAAAACTTCCATATAAATATATAAAAAAAAATTGTTTGTGGTGTGGTTTTATCTATAAATATAACAATATATATATCCCCCATTTCCTACTAAATATTCGTATCTACTATTTTTCAATATTACTATATTAATAAATATAATGGTAGTCACTCATCTTAAATATATAATGTGATTGTAATTTAAGTTAATTATCGACTGGTGGTGGCTATTAAAAATGAAATATTAAAAATTATTCACCGTTTAAATATTATCATATTGCTTACTTTGTCATTGACATCATAATTCAATAACAATCAACAACAATCATATAACAATCAATCATTGGAATAAATTAGTATTACTTTTTCTTTAAAATTCAATCAAAAAAATAAAATGTGGATAGTATGTATATGATTGCTTTTTATACAATATAAATTTTAATTATTTCTATATGACTAGTGACAAATCTCATACAATCAAAAAATAATATTAAAACAAACATATAATCAATCAATCATCGTCAGCAACAACATTATCTTTTCCTTGACATCAGATCATCGTGATTGATTGATTACCAATTTTTAAATTAATTTTATCCTTTTATATTTCATTGCACTATTAATTTATAATTATAATTCAAGAATAATACGTCATTTCGATTGAAAACCATCGATAACATCATCACTATCATTGTCATCATCATTAATATTAAAACAAACATATAAAATAAAATTGGATATTTAAAATTATGTACTAACAATAACCCCTCTCTTCCACTCTCTGCAATACACTTTAGAAATACAATAAATCGAAAAATACACCAAGCAACCCATTCAAATCACATCGTAAGACAACCTCTGCATTGGTGAGAAACGCAGATTTGGCACTCAATGACATAACCAATTCACCACCACAGTCATCCAGCAACAAAGACAGCAGCAATAAAAGCAGCCAAAACTCAAACATTCAATCCATTACTCCAATTAAGTCAACAACAACAACAACATCTATTTCATCTACACCTGTTAAGAATTCTCTAGTTATAGATAGCAATCCAGCAAAAACCTATACTTTGGTAAATATATTATTGCTATTAACTATATTTCTACACTATCTTTCTACTTTAAATATTACTACTTTTCCTCTTTCTACTTTTTTCCATTTCCATATCAATCGAATTATTATTATCATATCATTCACCAATCCATACCCATTCCATCAACCAAACACAACAACAACACACAACACAACACATCCTTTTGTCTGTCCGTCTGTCCATCCATACATTACTGTGATTAGTCATTGGTTATTTCAATCCAATCAATCCATTTTCAATTCCAATTCCAAAATATTCCAACATATATAAATTTGTATTTTCCATTTTTGTTTTTGATATTAAATTATCTCTTTCTTCTTTAAAGTAAAAGTAAAAAAATCAAATCAATCAATTAATCAACCAATAAGTTAATCATTTATATTATTTAGTTAGAATTTAATATTATCTATCTATTTAGTTTATTTATTATTATTTTGTTTTTTCAGTTTGTTTGTGTCTACCACCTTCTTCTTCTTCTTTCTCTTCCTTCCTCTTTCCTTTCTAACTCTTAATCTATCTAAATTTTCATAATTCTCTAGTTAATTTCCGCTTTTTATTATCAATTCAATTCAATTCAATTCAATCCAATCAAACTAATTTATAAATGATCTCTCAAAATCCAATTTACAATCTTCTCGTTCTCGGTCTCTCCCAACAAAATCCACCACAGTCACCAAAATCCTCTAGATACACCATTGCTGCCACCCCAACCAAGCCAAGCTCGAACGGTGCCTCTCCAAGTATGATGACCATCACCCAATTCCCATCGTCGACCACAAGTCCAATGATGCAATCACAATCCGCCAAAGCCGTAGAGTCGTCGTCGTTGGCCAAGTCGTTCTTCACTCCAACCAAGGGTGGTGAGAAGAAGATGAAGAAGAAGCAGCTCGAGAAGGAATACCAGATGCTCCAGGACAAAGTCAAGATCATGGAGAAACTCCGTAACGAGACCGACAGCGACGCCGAGCGTATGAAGATCAGCTTGATCGACGCACTCACTGAGAACGACCGTCTCTCCAAGCGTATCAACGAGCTCGAAGACTTGGTCGACTCGATGAAGTCCGAACTCAACAAGGGTTCCTACGAAGCCTGGAAAGGTTACTGTTCATTACAAGACTCACCACCAGGTGTCTCCACACGTTACTCCAAGAAGCGTGCTTTAAACTCTAATCTCAACACCAACAATCTATAATAATCCAATCTATATTTGTTATTTTCTTTTATTTATATATACACACATTCATTTTATCTATATATATTCAAACAAACAACTTCAATTCACTTTTCACCCTTCTAACTATCTATCCCATCAAAAAAAAAAATAACAACTCCCTCTTTTATATATATATTTTCATTCCCAAACAACCATACCTATAATATTTAAACAATTTCAGATATTAAAAGCAATTTATAGGCTTATTAATACATTGGATCACTATAGAGTAATTACTTTATAGATCTAACAACAAAATTATAACATAACATCAAAATAAAACATTTTTTTTAAAACAAAACAATAACTAACTTTCATTTCAATAATTATCACAATGTAATATGTATATATAACAAACAACAATTAACAATTAACAATTAACAAATAACAACAAAGGAGTAGTACTTATTTTTTTCAATTTAGATATTAATATTAACATTACAAATATATTTTTTTTGATTAATTTGATCAAATTAATCAAAAAAAAAAAAAAAAAAAAGATATAAAAAAAAACAAAGATAATATTTAACTTTTAAAAAATAAAAATTAATTTATAATTTAATTATATTTGTGTACACAATGAATGAATTTGTTTTAATAGTTTATTATTTATTAAACAAAAGTTTAGTTTTGAATCAAATGTGCGATTGTCTATTATTTCCTCATATGTTGCAATGAAATTTACTAAAAGGCATCACACAAATTGTCGACATGATTTCTTTCGAGCATCCTGGTTAGAAAGACAATGACCAAGAGGTTTTTTCACTTTTTATTATAAAGGTTATATATTATCAGAAAATTGTAACCAAAATTTAATGATTTTCAAAAAAAAATTAATTAAATTGGTTTTCTGATATTCCCCCTCACCACACACCATCACCAAATTGTTTTCTACTTTAACAGAGTGTATTACATTGTTGTTGTTATTATCAAACAAAACAAAGTTCAAATTAATAAAAATCATTAGTTATTAGTTTTTGTACAAATAAATAAATAATTATTTTTTTAATATAAAAGAAAAAAGATGAAGAGTTTTACAAAGAAATTAGCTACCGTCAAACAGATGGGTATGGAGAAGATGGGAAAGACAGAGTCACACGCCGATAACGATGCCACCAAAGAGACAAAAGAGAAACTACGTGTCATCAAGACAGAATATCACGAAATCTATACAACTGGAAAATTATATTGTCAAGAGACTGAAAGTAAGTTTATTTAGTTATTACTCTTGTTTGTTATCAATCAACCTTGTATAACTAACTTATAAATTGTTTGTTTAACATCTATCAATCTATTTAGAATCTGTACAAACAGGTGTACAATTTGCTGATGCACTTACACATTTCGGTGGTGGTTTCATCGGTGATGCTGCCGTGGCAGAGGTACTCTCGAGAATTGGAGTGCAGTTGAAATCGGTGGAACAAGCCAGACAGAATTGCAATAACAATTCGATGACATCGTTGGTTACACCGGTCGGAAAGTTCCAGGACACCGAGATCAAGAAAGCCAGAGACGCCAAGCATAAGCAAGACGCGATTCGTCTGCGTTACGACACTCATCTCGAGAAGCTCGCTGATCTCAAGAAGAAGAACGATCCGAATTCACTCAAGGTGAAGACCACCGAGCAAGAGTGCAACGACATCAAGGAGGAGTACGATGTTGTCAACAGAGAGTTTGCCGAGATCATGGAGCATCTTAACGCCGAGATGAACAAACAACTGGTTGCAGAGCTACGTGAATACGCTCTCCAACAACTTTCATTCTATAAACAGGCCAGTGCACTTTGGGCAGAGGCTGATGAACTACTTTCAAACATCAACTAAATTAATCTCTAATATTTATATATATACATATAATCTAATTGATCATTAACTAAATCAAATCAAATCAAATCACAACCAAATCACAATCACAATCAAATCAATCATCAATGTAAAATCGATGAGATTCGTAAAAAATAAGAACACCAAAAATAAATCAAATTATTCTAATCTTTTGTAATATCAATATATAATCGATTGTAATTTTAAATCTAACTTTTTATCTAAAGTGACATCACAAATAAATTAAAAAGATTTGTTTTTTTTTGGTTTTTCAAATAAAAATATCTAAATTGAGAAATTTTAGAGCCTAAAATCAATGGAGTGATTGGTTGACTGATCGGATGAATCATTAATTTTATTTTGTTTTTAACTCTTTTTTATTTTTATTTGTATTTTAAAATGTATAATAATATTAGCAACAACAATAATAATGAGAACAACAATAATAGTAATAACAACAATAGTAGCAGTATGAGTAGTTCAAAAAGTAATTATTCAATATGGTCTCAATCACAAAACTATTCAACAATGACAACAAGTATGACATCTTCTTATGATAATGTAGATGGATCTTTACCTGTATCGACCAATCCACAAAATACAAATAAAAGTAGAGATTCAATGGTTAAAAGTGATCAAAGTGTAGATAGTACTGGTAGTAATAATAATGGTTATGGATCATCCTATGGAAGTTGCTATAATATCACTGATAATTCTTATAGTGATAGTTATCGATCTTTATATAGTAACAGTTACAACAACAACAGCAACAACACCAATGGTAATAGTAATAACAATAATATTGAAGGATCTGTTGGTTATAGTAGTTATGGAGATATGAGTGATTATGGTGGATCAGGTGAAAACAACAATTCCAATGGATATGGTTATGGCGATGACGAAGATGATTCCAAAAAAGAAAAACAACAACGTCAGCATAAATTACACAACACACCAAAAGTCAATGTTTTCGATATTTATAACTCTGCCATGAAAAAGAAGCATGGTGGTAGTGGATTTACAACAAGTGAATCTACTGATAGTTCTTCACCAAACTCTGGTGATTGGAATAAGAGATTTCAATCGATTATGGACCGACCAGAGTCAGGTTTGAAATACCAATTGCTCTCGGTGATTGTCAATGATTTCGTGCATTGTGCCAGTACCTTTGGAAAGATCATCATTGCCGAGCGCTATTTGAGTAACGACGAGAAAACAATCAAACCGTTGGCGCTGGGTGGTGTTGCCGGTGGTGAGAAATACCGATGCAATGACATTGTCTTTAAGTTTGTGGTCGATGTGGAGATTGCCGATGGCGTCTGGATGTACGGTGGTGACAAGCGCTCCGATGAGAAAGCACAGAAATCGGCTGGACACGAATTAAAGGGTTGGAATCATGTTTTCGATGCTGGAAGCAGCTTGATTCGGTTGCCTCTGATGACAATCATCGATTTCGCTGGCTATAGACTATTGGCGATCTGCAGTCTGCCTATAGGAAAGAAAACAATTGTCTATGGATCGAACGACGGTGGTATCACAGTGAATAACCGTGATAGTTTGGTGGAGAAAGAAATGGTGAAATTGGCTCGAAAGTTGAATTTGAAAGGACATCAAGTTGGATTGATGGAGGATACGAAAACGTTAATCTTTGGTCCTGGAGACATTGAAGTTCACCGTGGAACCGATGGTCGTTACTATATGATTGACTTTGCGAGGATATTTCCACCAGAATACTCTGGAATCTACAAGGAATCGATTGGTCGTGAGATTTTCTATTACATGTTGAGACCAGAGTTGGTGGAGTCCAATTCAGTACCGTTGAGTTCCGATGCTTTCACCGCTTGGCAACATAGTAGCGAGAGTGAAGAATCCAACCAAGAGGTAGTCGATACCACTCAACGATTACACGATCTTCTCATTCCAGAGTGTGTCGAGCATATCAATGATGAAGTGGCCGGACAGAACCAAATGGAAAATCAATACTTTGAGACCGAGAATCTGGTTAGAGACTTGAAGTATTATCAACAACAGCTCTCGTCAATCGAAAAACTCTTGCATATCATTCATTTGAAAGGAATTAACTTTAGATATATTGGAACTGTTTGCCAGTCGATTACACATATCAATACTAAACGATTGTTATTCACAGAGGTGGTTGCAAGAGTATGGAAAAAGATCATTAAAGATAGACTGAGAGATTTAGTAGAGATATCAAACAGACCATCCGACAAAGCAATCATAATATTCACCGAGCTTTTCGATCTCCTACTAAACAAGTCAAAAGAGGCCAAAGAAAAGTATCGTGATTTCTGGTCACTTGTCAGATATGGATCATTCAAGTACACAGCAATGTCAGCATTTCCAAATTGTCTATCATCAAATCAAATGAATATAAAGTAAATATTAATTAATTTTTAAAGATAGATAGATAGACAAACAAACTAACATTATTATTATTTTTTTAGGTATGACCTTAGAAATTCTGTTGATACAAAAATCTTGGTTTTGAGATTGATAAAGATTTTCGGAATTAGAGTTCGATCGGATTCTTTCAATCATTTCATTAATAGTGCTTCGTATGTGATATCCTCTCATGATATAGAATCCGTCGGTGCAGTTGTAAAGTATCCGATGATCGTTGACTTTGCTTATGGATCATGCTTGTTGTACAGAGCTCAAAGGGGTATCGAAGAGAACAGCTTAGCACCTATCGATCTTCAGAGACTGATGACCATGTCCCAACAAAAGTTACAATCAGCGCTCTCATCAATGCCAAACTCTTCGAAAGTAATCTTGAAACAAGTATCTACCTTTGTATTACGTTCCGATTTGACTACCAATTGCAACGAAGCCATCCATCTACTTGACAAAGCCAATAATCTATTAAAACAACAACAACAAAATAGTGAGGAAACAACTTTTGATGAAACGAATCCAATTACAACAACACCAACACCAACCTTTGGAGTTGATTCAAATACTTTGGCATTGGGTGGATTGATATTGTTGAAATTGGCAACCTATAAACTGTTTCTCCAGTATGACTTTCCAAGTTTCACTGAGAATTTAACTTTGGCAATTGAGAAATTCGAAAGTTCGTTGGAACAAGATAGCGATTATGTAGAGATGTATCTAAGACAATTGCTACCGTTTGACTCGGATCACAATGGTGAGTTGGGAGTAGTACCAAATACACCATCAATTATTGCAGATTATCGAAGAAATGAATTCTTGACACTCATTTACATGTTGTCGATGTGCATTGAGGAGTCATCAAAGTTACGTCCATTCACAGCCAACTTGATATCAGAGATTCGATTCATCAGTGCCTTTGAAATTCCATTGTCTGTCGAGCAGTTGTTTGATAACAGTGTAACCGTTCATCTATTCACTAACATTGCCAATGTCACACATCTCTCTGTCACCAACTATACTTTGCAACACGATTGCTCTCACTCCATTGCTCGCCTACAGCATCTTACCAGCTTGAAGTTTACGAACATCTCTTTCAGTCAATCCGGTGACATAGATGATCCAGCCATCCAAACTTACAACCACTTCCTCAGAGAGTTACTTACCAATGCACCAATGTTGACGGAACTCACTCTGAGCAGTGGCGATTTAGATGATACATCATTCGAAGGAATACCGCAGCTTATGGGTAATATCGATTCACTTTCACTCATTCAATGTGCTTTGACCGATAAGACATTCATTGAGATTGGTGAGCAAATCGGTAGCCAATTAAAGAGGTTCGAAATATTCAGTAGATATGATTCCAGCGGTGAGAAAGGATTGGCCAGTTTATTGGGTAAACTTAATTCAGTAAGAGAGTTGGACATACATTATAAACTGAGTAAAGAGACATCCAAAGAGATTTTGCCATTTGCCTCTAATCTTGAGAGATTCAGTTGTAGTAGTGCAATTAGCGCAGAGCATCTTGCAGAGATAGCCAAGCTGGCAGAGGATATTGTCGAATTGGACTTGTCATTCACATCGGCCGATGATAGTGTCATTCATGCATTGGCTAGTCATGGTGCCAAACGTCTTAAACTACTTAAATTTGGACAGACCAACATTGGAAGAGAACAAGATTCAACCATCATTCCTACTCTTACAACAATGAACTTGGATCTAACTGTACTACATCTAAATAGATACAATGGTGAAGCTTCTGCGTTGTGGGCATTGCTATCTAGTCTGCCAAACTTGGTAGAATTGAGAATGCCTGAATATCTGCTACTACCAAAGCTGTTGGCTGAATACAATTCCAATGACTACGAACCTCTGGGATCGGAGTTGTCAGAGCTAAGAGTACTCGATTTAATGTTGGTCAATGTATCTAGTGCATCGCTGGTTGAACTCCTATCGTTGTCGCCAATGATCGAATCCATTTCATTCTCTGCTGCTTCTGTCATCAATGATTGTGGCTATGTTTTGGAGATGGACGATAATTTCTTTGAAGCGATCCTGCCATACCTTGGAAATGTTAAATATATAAATTTGGCAAATACTTCAGTTCAAAAGAATCATATCGACACTATCTTGGCTCAATGTAAATCGATTTCAAGCATCGATATCTACAATTGTAAAACTATATCTGCTCAGATAATCTATAATCTCGGTGTAGAATATCCATATGTAAAGTTTAAATAAAAATAATTATTTTTGTCAAAAAGTTATTGTTCGAAATACCGGATATACTATTACTTATACTATTAGAAAAAAGAGAGAGGAGTTCATAGATTAAATAATAATTAAGTGTTATTTTTTAATTTATTTAACTTTTGTTCCAATTTGCTATCTTCATTTTTAACTTTTGCTCGTTTTTTCAGGTAGATAACTGTAGCGATAGCAGCTCCTATGAAAGCTACTCCAACAACAGATACAATGGTAGCGATCATCCATGCTTTACTTTTCTCTTTGCCACAGGTTCCCTCATCATAATCGTTATCTAGCAATAATGAAAAATCAGGATCGATTGTACACAGTTGGCTACAAGCTGGAAGTGTCATTCCAATATATGATTCGGTTGTGTTGTTGATGGTTGTCATGTTGATAAGTCGATTGTCAACAGCAACAAATCTGCGATCGGACATTGCAAACGGTAAGAATCTGCCATAGTAAGAGGTGCCACCAAAAGAAAGCTTAATGAATTTCAAATTGTTTGTGATAGAATCCGTTCCAATTTCTTGAGACAATTCTTTGCAGTCATCTTCACCCACTTGGAAGTCACTTTCCATCACAACTCTGATGCTGTTTAGCGGACTGTCAAATTGCCAGTATTTGATATTTATCAACAACTTTAAAGAATGAGCTTGATAAACTGTTGTCAATCCTGCAAATTGGATGGTTCTTTCCATAGATGAATAGTCGATAACCGCTTGAATGATAGTTTGAAAAGAGGCATATGGTTTTATAGTATAGTTGTGTGTGGTATAAGTTTCATTGGATGTTGTTGAATAATTCCACTTATTGGTGAGAACTTCTTTCAGAACGGTACCTGTTTCATCCAATTCTTGAACTGCCACGATGTTGAATTTGAATTGAAGTCCATCTTGGGTGACAACCGTGGGTGACGGAGTTTGGTCATTTGGAAGAATGATAACACCATCATCAATCTTTGATTCGCAATAGAATCCATTGTAACCTTTGAAGCATTGACATCTAGCTTGAACGCATATTCCATTATTGTTACATGCTGAGTTTGGACCACAATCATCTGGAGGTGCAACTGTACAGTAAAAATATTAATAAAATAATACTAATTTTTATAGACAAACAATAAAAGCTGTAAATAATTACGTATATAGAATTCGGTTGCTATAAAATAACCATTTGATGTTATACTGATATTTTGTTTAGAAATTGGATAACCAGCTCTAATCTTGACAAGTAAAGTAGTTTCGTTTGAAAAGTAAATATACCCTAAATATGAATCCAATGCGACTCGAACCGATGGCAAATATGGATTAACTCCAAAATTACCTTGAATTGTTATATTTCCTCCATTATTAGTTATATTTGAAACTGATGTAATAACAAGAGCTAATAGAAATTTGTAATTAGTATAGATTATTATGAAAAGAAAAACTTTACGTACGAACAGCAGAGATTGTTGAGGTATTAGATATCGCACTCATTATTTCAACAGTTATAGGAGTTTGACTTTGATATCCTTTGATTGTACAGTCAACTTGGTAAGTAAAATTACCATTTATTATACATGGTTTTCCATCTCCATATATATTCCATGGAAAGTAATATGGATTCAAATTTCCTACTATTACCAATCGTGTATCATTTGATTTTGCAATCGGAAAAGATTGTGTATACAATATTTCAGCTTAAATATTTGAATTTTAAAGAACTATTAGATAAATGTAAGTGAAAATTAATATTTTTTATACTTACAAGGGAGTCCCCATTGAATATGATAGTCGTAATTGTAAGCATTCGAAAAAGAAATATTTGTATTACCATTATTCTTAGCAGGATAATAACTATATTGCTATTATATTAATATTTTTATAATATTCTATTTTGTTTGTAAAATACATACGCAAATTTCTTATTTGGAACTATTAATATTAATGGCAATGTAGTATCTATTCCAAATCCCAAATTCTCACCTGTAAATATTAAAGCTGTAATAAAAAAATATTAATAATCTTAAACAGTCAATATCAAAGAAAAATAATTCTTTTTTCTACCTACGTTTACCAGTTTGGAATTCAAAATTAACTTTATCAAGCTTGATTGCTATTTTTAAAATAAAATTATAATTTAATAAAAAAATGAAAACCAAATATATTTGATATTATTGTATTTGATACTTACGACATTTGAAATTGGGTGGTGGCTGAGGAGTGTTTACTGGTAATCTTGGAATCATTTCTGTATAGTAACAATAAAAACAATCTGGAACGTCTGGAGATACCAACACTGTATTATAGGCTGTGTAATCTGTGTAACAATTTGATTGATATAAATTTGTAGAGATATTTAAGGAGGCGGCAATATGAATTTTGCTTGGATTCAAAATTCCAAAATCTCCAAAAAATCCACTCATTGTACTATTGATAATGGTCCTAAAGATAATAGATAATTTTAATATCTTTAATCATTCATTTTAATATTTAATATTAATATATACAAGTCAAATCCATTTTGGAACCATGTTTTTTCAGGAATATTTGCATTCATAGATGCAATTCGCCTAGAATAATAAATTAATATTGTTTCTTTTTTATAATAATAATGAATTACATACAAGCTTTTCAAATTATTTACTTTTTCCAAAGTACAGTTACAATATGATATATCCCTAAAATAAAAGTAAAAATAAGTTAAAAAAATAGATCAATTGAGGACAATCTATTGATCTTTAAAACTTACAAAGTATATAGATTTGGGAAAACTGTAAAATCAGATAACTGTATATCAGAAAATTGTAGATACCTAAAATTTTAATCAAGTTAAAATTAATTAAAAAAATCTAGATCTAAAGAATATTTACATTTCTACCAATGATGTTGGATATTGTTTAAATTCTACTGTATATTGATATACAGTACTTTAAGAAAAAAAAAGTTAGAAAAAACATAGATTTACTTGATCACATTCATATGAATATATACATTGAACTTATTGTTTGGCTGTCAAAAACTACTTTTGCTTTAGTTTCAAATAAATTATAAATTGAACTATAGAATTTAATTCAAATTAGAAAGTGCTTTAGAATCAATATAATATTGTTGTACATACAATTGTGTTAGCTTTGGGTAGTGAGTGCTATCAATCATAAAATCAAATGATGATAGATTGGCATTTCTTATTGAACTATTTAAATTAAAGTATAAAATCATTATTAATAAATTTTGTTGAATGTTGTGAGAGTAGGAATATTATACATACATATTTTTAAGATTTGGATAAGAATTTTGTGAATTGAAACCAATAGTTAATGATTTATTATAGTTGGCAACTTCGAACATAAAAACTTCTATTGAGGGTGTGAATAAACTTGTTGGTATATTGGATGATAGTGAAGCACCTTTAAATATACTTTAAATTAAGAATGTTAATAAATATAATGCCAGATTATTATATATATATTATGGTGCACTTACAATGATTTTACTGTAAGATAATTTGGAAATGCAACTGGAAATTGAAAATCAGTTTCAACGATAAAAGATGATAGCGCAACATTGTCTGGATTATCTAAAAGCTCAAGAACATTATATGAATTGTTCTTTTGGTTTACTGAACTATAGATATCGAAACTCGACATATTGTGAAATGTTAGCTTTTCAACATAACCTGGTTCGCCATAGTCAACTATTTTACCATCATATAACTTTCTAAAAAATTAAATTTTAATTTATTTTTTTTAATAAGTAATGATGTAACATTAAATGAAAGTTCATAAACTTACATTGATTCAATATAATCAACACCTTTATCATTTGTCAAACATATAAAATCTATATTAGAACTTATCATCAAGCTACATGAATTTCCTCTGATATTCCAATCTTTTTGATACTTTTAGAATAAATAAAAACAAATTTGATTAGCTAAATATTCATTGTTCTATCTAACTAAAACTAACATACTTGCTTCATTATCCATATTAATGACTGATCTGTTGTTATTAATAATAATAAAGTAGATTTGATTAGATAAGATTAACAGTTTGATATTGATCAATTTTCTCTTTATTTTTTATAAAAACATACATTCATCATTGGGCAATTCAGAGTTATTAAATTTAACAAATATACAAAGAAATATCAATAATAATATTTTCATTCTTTAAATAAAAAAGTAAAAAGATAAAGATTTAATAATAATAAGATGATACAATATGTTATTTTTATTTTTTTAAAAGAAAAAGTTCACCAAGAGAGTTATTGATCAAAAAAATAGTTTGCAAATATCATCATCGGAATTAAGAAATCATTTAAAAATTAATATTTAATTTCAAAAAAAAAATATGGAATAGATATTTCTTAAAAGATCTTGTAATCATCTTCTTTGTTTTTTGTGAAAAAAAACTCTTCACCCATATGAAAAGGGATGGTTTTTTAAAAAAGAATCTTAAAAATCACAAAGATCATGATAGATCAAATAAAATAACAATAAAAAAGGTCAAAAGAATCAGATTTTTTAATCTTTATTTTGATTCTTCTAAAAGTTGTGCATGTTCCCCCTTTCAATGCCTAGTTTTATAATTATTATTATTATTTTAATGATATTTGCGGGTTATGTTTTTAATGATTGGGATTGCGCACAATACAATGTTAATAATATGATGTCAATGGTGGAATTAAATATAGCTTTTTTTTTTTGTTGTCGATTGACACTTCAACACTCCGGATTAAAGATTGTAGAATTGATCAATACAATTCAATTCATTTGCACAAAGCACAATAATTAAATATCCATTCGCATAACCCGCAAACAGTCATTCGTTTGTAATTACAAAACTTGATGTTGTTATTATTATTATATGATTTACAAATGATTTATTTTTAAAAAAAGACTATTATTTGATTGTTGGTTGCTTGTGTCTATGAGTATATTCTTGTATACATTTTAGCTAAAGAATCATGTCCTTTCTGATCACCATTTCTCATTAGATTACCTGCATCGCAATTGAGTGGACTGTCTGCTTCTGGATGTGAAAGTAATGCAATGATAGATCGACAAACTGATTGAAGTGTATAAATAGCTGACCATGATGTCTTTAATAAATCTAAACAAATTTCACCTGTCTGTTTGATATATATGAACAGCAACAATTACAATTAGAAAAATGTAATTTTATCATTTGTTGTGTTGTTAACAACAAAGATAGATGATAGATTCATTATTTATATTTACCTTAAAATGTATATTAGGATGAAATACTTTGGTAATGAATTTAACGGTTGGTGGTTGTAATGGATAGTTTGAAGGTACCTGTATATCTAATTCAAAGTTACCACCTTCATACGGTGTTTCTGGTGGTCCTTTAATGATTGCTGTCCATTGATAGAGATCTGTTTCATCCTTTGGGTATAAAATTATATCTTCAAACGCTTCATTCTGAAGTACTTTATATTCTTTCATTAATCTTGCTGCCTAATTATGTTTTCAATCAATAGTATATTTAGTTGATTTCAATTAATAAATATTAATATTTATATTATTATCGATATCATATATATTATTTATCATACCATTGTTCTTTTTAATTATATATAATCGTGTAGGTGTAATGATGTAAAACAACTTATAAAAGAAATAAATGAAAAATGAAATTAAAAAAAAAAAAAAAATATATTTTTTTTTATTAATTTTGTTTTTATTTTATTTATTTATTTATTTATTTTATTTAGTAAAATTAATGAATACATTGATCTTGTTAATATTCAATGAGAATGTTTAAAACATAATTTTGATATTGATATTGAAATCGATTGTAAGGTCTGGCACATGCTGAATTGTTGCATACATGCAATAGCTCTAATCAACGAGGTACAGGTAGCTAATGAGGTGTCACCTGTACCTAACCAAGTTTAATTAAACTCGAGTCGGTCTTGGTGCAGTAGAAAGCTGATCGAAAGTAGCTTGGAGTGCATTTTGAATTATGTATGGTTTCTTTCTTTGATTCATTGAGTTGGGCTTTGGGTAATTGTATTGCGGTATTGTCACTTTGATAAAAGAATGTATGTAATATCAATTTGCTGGCTCGTTTAAATGCTTATACATCTTGTTGAGACTGTATTTCACTTAAAAATCAAATTATTTACCTACCTTACTTACTTAACTTTCAACAGTCCTAAATTATTAAAAGTAGGCATGAAGTTTTTCTGTAAATATTGTATATCTTCATATTCATTAATTAAATCAATTTTAAAAACAAATCATTTTATAAATATAAATATGTATTAATAATAAGAACTTCACAATCACAAAATCATCTGATAAGTGAAAATCAAATTTAAAATAAAAAAAAAACTTTTTTTTGATTGATTTTATATTAATTTGTATTATTTATATCTTATCTATCTATCTATCTATTCAATTTTATATTAGATTAGTAAAAGTTAGATCGATTTATTAAAATAATAATATTCCAAAAATGATTAATGTTTATGAAGGTATAAAAGGAGTGAAGAAAGTAAAAAGTCTTCAAGCTGAAGATCTTCAATCGAGTGCTAGTAATCTTGGTGCATTACCATCGGGTGTCACTGTATTACTCTCAAAGAATCATGTTGAATTCTCTGTTACATTGGAAGGAAAAAGACATCAGTAATCTATCTCAAATTCTAATTCAAATTAGTACTACCTTTATTAACAAACAAAACAATATTACTTTACACTTACATATATAAAAACAGAACTGATGATGTTGTATGGTTAGGATTTCACTTTTCTGCTACTTTTCAAAAGTTTCAAAAGTATGTAGTTAGTTACTTATTATTATAAACATATTATAAACATATATGGTTTTTAAATATATATATATATAAATTAACTTATTTGTTACTAAATTTTAGAGTATTTTCAAAGTCATTACAAAATCCTACATTTGAACAAATATCGAATCTATTACATGTATGTATTATTGTGTTATTGTTATTGTTATTGTTATAATTGTTACATTTTTTGATCAAGTGTTACTAACTTTAACAATTAATTGGATTGGTTGATGATGAGTAGAAAAGTTTGATTGCGAAATTCGATGATCCATATTCATCACCATTGTATATTACAGGTGCCAATGACTCAAAGGCATATTGGACAGTTTCACTTGCCGACAACCCACAGGTTATATTCGGACACATTCCACTGCATCGTTCCGATTCGTTTCACACACTGCAATCCTATCCCATTCTCTACTTGGAGAGCGACATGCAAGTCATCATTGGAACAGACATCGACAGAAATCAACTATATCCATCGTACCCGAAAATAGATTCACTCTACACACAGACACTCTACAACATCGATCCAATCCTACAGAATCACAAATGGAGTGCAAATGTAATACCACTTGCCAAGTCATCAACATCTTCATCACCAGAATTACAACAACAACAAACAACTAATAACAACAACAACAACAATAATAATGAGCAACAACAACAACAACAATTATTAACAAAGAATCAATTCGATTTGGAAAAACTTGCGCGTTGGTTCATAAAGAAATTCAATCCGGTGAATCCACTCACCTTTGTCTATGGATTGTCGTTCTTTAAGAAAGGTAGCTCCAAGACGATCGACATGATCACGTTGAAGTCGTCGCCGAGCGGTAAGAGCTTCGTTGTCAACTTGGTGCAGACCTTCCGATTGCAACCGCAACTCGATTACTTCAAGGATCAGGAGGATCAGCGTCGTTTCGAGAGCGAGAACCTGCCCGCCTACACCAAGTTATTCACCGATCTTGAACATGACTGTCAGACCATCAAGAATCTGGTGCCATCTACATCGGTCTCCATCTACAATCCTTTCTTTGACAAGCATACAAGACGTACCGCCAAGATACCATCACCACTCACCGTTGAATCATCTTTTCTACTTAACAACAATAATAATAATAATAATAATTTACAGACACCACCAACAACAACATCATCATCATCATCATCATCGAATACCACCAACACATCTCAACAACAGTCATTGGAATCAGAATCACCAAGAACTAAAAAACAACAATCAAATGTAAAACATCAACAACAACAACAACCTCATAACAACAATAATAGTAATAATGGTCAATCATCGTCAACTAACAATAATATCGCTAATATAGATCAAGTTTTGTTGGCAAATATAATTGGAAAAATATTTAAACAAAATTATGATTAAATTAATTATAAATTTAAAATTAATTAAAAAAAAAACTGATGAAATTCAAATAAACAAACATGAAGTGATTATTTTTTAAAATAATCAAATTTGTTCATAAAAAATTAAAGAAAATTAACTCTGTTTCTTTTAAAGGAACAACAACAAACTAGCATCAAATAAAATATAGTTAGGCAAAACCTATACAGATTTTAGTAGTAATTTAATTTTTCAGTGTCACTAAGTTCAGAACTTGCAGTTGAACGATGATTTGTGTTAACTGCTACTACAACAACACCACTACTACAGTACTGCTTTTTTACATATATTAATTTGATGATGATCAATTAAATAAAACAACAAATCAAAATTCACAAACCAAACAGTTCAGTTCAAACTTGTTGTGTGTTATCATTATTATTATTATTATGTTATTTTTTTTAATCAAATAAGTACATTCAATTTCACACTTTTTTTTTATTTTATTTTATTTTTGTGATAGTACTGAACTGCACTAAATTGTTGTAGATACTCATAGGTCTATCTTTAGTAAAGTCTTACAAAAGATGTATGGATAATCGAATAAAAAATAAGGTAAGAATAAAATTAAAAAAATTAATATGATAATTGTTGTATTATTGTGCAATCGTTCATCTATTTCTTCTTCTCACTTTTATCATTTACCAAAAGTATTAAAAATAACTAAAAATAATAATAATAATAATAATAATAATTAATTTTTTGATTTTAATTAAAAATTCACTTTATATATTTAATTTATTTAGTTTAATACATTTATTTTTTTATAGACTATTTAATTCAATCAAATATTTAAAAAATAACCAATATATATAAACAATCAAGTATTATAAAAAAGTGTAGATTTAAGTTATTGGTTACTATATTTAAATATACTTATCATCTATCTTTATTTATTGGATTTTTTTTTAAAACTTGATTTAACAAATCTTTCAGTCATTTATTAATTTTGACTCAAGGTTAATTAGAATAAATATACAAGGAGATGTTTAGCTTTTTATTTATTCCTTTAGTTTCATTGTATGTATAAAAATAAAAATGGATTATTTGTTATAATTTATAATTTTATAATTTTATTTATTGGTGTTAATTATAAACAAAAAATTGAAACATTATCATCTTTACAAATCATTTACTTCATTCCAAAATTAAAGTCAAGAATCACCTATCCTATCATTATAACAATATAAATTTTAAATTAAAAATGATGATTTATCATTATTATTATCATTATTTTATTTTTTAATGAAACCAATAAAAATTGTTATGTCATCAAATATATTTTTTTAAAATTAAAAGTTTAAATCAATCAATTACCAAATTTAGTTAATATCAATAACTTTAAATTTTAATTGTTCAATCACAAAACACTATGGTCATATAGATTTGATTAGATTAGATATGGGTTGTGTATGTCTTTGTTGATTTATACTTACTTTTTAAACAAAAGAAAAAGAGTTGTTCAGTCGATAATTTGATAGGAATAAATTTCAACTTGGAATCAAATTGAAAAAGAATAAAATAGAACAAATGATTTAGAAGAGAAATAATAATAATAAAGTGAAGAGTATTGAAAATGTAGGAGAATGATCAACAGGTGTGGTGTGAGTGATCAATGATAAGTGTTTTCCTATTGATCAATTTTTAAATATTAATTTATAATCATGACAACTCATCAATCCAAATCTTTGTGTTTTTGACTGATGCTGTTTGATTAAAAAGATTCATCTTTTTTAGATATTTTCATCAACAGGTATATCAATTAACTCATATATAATTTAAAACCCACCCACCCACCACATAATTAAACAGATAAAATAAAATGTTTAAAATTTTCTTTGTTTTATTTTATTTTAAATTTTAAAACAATATTTATAATAACATTGATCATATGAAGTATCAAAATGTTACAATGAGGTAATACATTAAATATTACCTTATTTAGGTAAAATGGATATATTTTTTTAATAATCTAAATATTTGATTTTATTTATTGTACAATTAACCCACAAGCACACGCACACCACCAAAGACATTGGCAAATATTTTAATATAGATTATTTAGATTGGGTTTATCATCCAATGAATAATTAAATATCACCGAAATAGTTTTGTGCTTAATGGGATATTTATGTTGTTGTCACTGTAAGTGAATATAAAGACAGACACGATAACATTGTCATTATATAAAAGTGTTATAGTTAACTCCCAATCTATCGATAATTCCCACACCACATGTTATATCTTTCTTTTGGCTTTTTGCTATTTTATAATTTTATTATTTTCTTTTTCAAAATGTGTGTCTTTATATGATTTTTATGTTTGTTTAGTAATAAAATTAAAAAAATATTAAAGTTGTGGAGTTACTGGTAGTGTGTGACTGTGTGAATGCCAGTGTGTGTGACTGTGTGAGTGTTGATGTGAACGATTGTGTGTGTGTGTTTTTATGTCTGTATATGAGTGTTAATGTGTGTTACTATCAAAAATAACAGTTTCAAACACACTATCGTATAATATAATATCATCACAACTATGTTTATATTATTTTTTATAATATCATTAATAAGAAGAAGAAGCAAAAAAATATATATATAAAAATTTTTTAATTATTACATTATATTTAAATATATAATTAATTTTAATTATATATATAAATAAAGAAATAGTGGTTATTTTTTAGATAATAAGTAAATGTTTAAAATTTTTATACAATATCATATTAAAAAAACAAGCAAAACAAACAATAATAATTTACTTTTGTAGTAGTGTGGGGTTGATTAATAATAATATTAATAATAATTATTGATTTGTAGGAATTATTGTCGAGGAATCCTGTCTCAAAATTATCTGCAACCTCTCATTAAATTTCCAAAGTGGATTTCCATCTCAGCTTTATGCACAATGTTTCTTTTAAACTATTTTTCCCGTAGTAGTAGTAGAAGTTGTTTAGAAAATCAGCAACAACACCACCAACACCACCAACAACAATTATTAAAAGAAGAAGAAACACAGCAAACTCTCCAACAACAACAAATCCTACAAATACTCCAAGAAATTAAAGAACTAGAAAAAGATAAACATTCATTTATAAATTGCTTTCAACTACTAATCCTAAAGCATCAACTACGAGAATTGCAACAACTACAAGGAGGAGAAGATTTAATAAATATAGTTAATAATAATACTAATAATTATACCTTTGAACAAATAAATAATAATATTAATAATAATTGTAATCAACAAGAAGAACAAGAAGAAGAAGAAGTAGAAGTAGAATTAAAAGATAATAATTTAATTTTAGAATTAAATAACAACACCAACAACACTAATCAAAACAACATCAACAACAACAACAATAATAATCAAATTAATTCAGAGATAGATACAATTTGTAAAGAAATGCTTTCCAATTCACTTTCAACATCATCGGGTTCCATCCAAAAGCAATTAAAGACTCAGTGTTTGTCTTCGATATTCTCATCGATTTCCACCAAAAAGTCACTGTCACAGTCTCAGAGCGAGCAACAAACCAGTCATAATATGGTCGAGGACAACTTGATACTTGACCGCTACGTCGATCTCTTTTCTATACCTACCGAGATTCTAGTACATCTTCTTTCATTTTTAGGAGCCAGAGACCTCTGGAACATCAGTCTTACATGTCGTCGCATATGGAGCACCGTCGAGAGTTTCAAATTCTGGGGTAGTCTATTCGAGCGTAGTTGTCCAAGAATCTTCTATGCCATGCAATTCAACTCACGTTGGTCATCCAACCCACCTCAAGTTAAAATGTTATTATGTTTAATGGAAGATTTAGATTCAGTAAGTTTATTAATTATTAATTTGTTAAAATGCGTTTAAATATTAATAAACAATTTTTATCAATTAAAATTAGGATTTTATGAAGACATTCGATGCCAACGACGAAAATGGACAAATAAAGAAAATAATTGGTGTCATGATGAAGCACTCTCAGAATTCATTGGTTCAAAGAGAGACTTGCTATATTTTAAAGAGATTGAGTTATAGACAAAGAAAAGAAGATGAACATGAAGCACTCATTGCTCGTTACGATGGTATTAAATTAATACTACAAGCAATGAAGAATCATCCTTTGAATGCAGGTGTTCAAGAAGATGCATGTGGTGCACTTGGTAACTTAACTTGTGATTCTCCAAATAGTTTTGGTGTTTGTAAGTTTATTAAATTAAATACTAAAATAATTATATATTCTAATTCTTTATTTTTTATTAATATATTTATTTAGATTCAAATAATAATTATTTAGAAGTAGTAGAATTGGATGGTATTAAATTAATTTTGGCAGCCATGCGTAACCATCTACATAATCCAGGTGTTCAGTATAACACTAGTTTCGTTTTAAGAAATCTCGCTAGAAATGATCTGAGTGAGAGTCGAGTTGCACAGGAGGGTGGTATTCATGCAATCGCCACCGCAATGAGAAACCATCCGAATCACATCGGAATACAAACTCAAGGTTGTGGTGCCCTCAGAAATCTGGGATGTAACGACAAGAACAAAGTACTCAGTGCCAAAGAAGGTGGAATCAACCTCATTCTAAACAGTATGAAATGTTTTGCTTCCCATCCAGATTTACAATTGAATGGTTGTGGTGCATTGAGAAATCTTGCAAGAAATGGTATGTTAAATATTATCATTCAAATTTTTTATTATAAAAATTAAATACTAATATTCAATTTAAAACATCAGAGAGAAATAAAGATTTAATTACAAAATTAGGCGGAATTCAATTGGTTCTACAGGCAATGACCAATCACTATCAAGATCCAGATGTTCAAGACGAAGGTTGTGCCGCTTTGATAAATCTTGCCTACCAAGATGAAGTGAACGAAGAAACCATTGCCAGAGAAGGTGGAATCAAATTGATTCTACAGGCAATGAGAAATCATCCATATCACTCTGGTGTACAAATGCAAGGTAGAGGTGCATTAAAGAATTTATCTTGTAATCGTAGGTTTCATATTATATCTAAATATTTCTTCTAATAATTGATACTAATATTGTTTTTTTTTCATTCCAATTTATAGCAAAGAATAAATTAACAATTGCAAGAGCAGGAGGTATTTCATTAATGGAGATTGCTTGTATCAATCATCCAACTTATTCAAACCGATTTTTAGAGTTAATGAGAATACTACAAAGTGCATTGGAAGAAGCTGGTCAATAAATTAATTTTAAATAGTATATATATATATATAATTGGTTTTTAATATTATTTTATATCAAGTTTAATCTAATGAAGTAATCATCATTATAAATATTAAAAAAATAATAAACTATCTTGAATTACAAGGTTAAATAATAAATACTAGTCGAATCAATAGTCTACAATGATTAGTCCTCTAAAAATTTATAAAGAAATTTTAATTCATATTATGTGTTAATATCATTGATTTAATGGATTAGAGCTAAGCTCTGAACAATACCTTTTTAAAAAGCACGATGGATTTGTGTGATTAATCATACTTTTGGCGCTTTTTTTTTTAAAAAATAAAAATAAATACAATTTGTGATCAATATTTGTTTTTTAGATGATTGGTATTAATTAAGTTCAAATATGATAAAATTTTTTACAAATATTTATATGAATCACACAAAACTACAACACTTTTATTATTATCATTAAATTGTAGAATGGTGTGATGATTCATACTAATATTTGTAAAAAAAAGATACAGAGTGTAGAATGATTTATGTAGGTAAAAGCAGTAACAAGTCACCTTTGTTAGTAAAAACACTCACAACCAATAGAAATGAGATATTCGAATTTCATCGCATTTCCCATCTACTTTTACAATCAGTGATCACCGCTTTTGATATAATTTCGAAATCCATTACATTTTTTCGATCATCCCCTAATTTTTGAATCATCACTCTCTCTTTCAATTTATTTCCATAATAATAATAAATAATAATAAAATAATAATAATAATCAACAACAACAATATTAAAATTGCTCGTAACATCAAACAAAAATTATATTTATTTTATACCAATTTATATACAGACAGTCATATAAATGCTACTCAAACACGATCGAATTAATGCAAAATATATTTTTTATTTAAAAAAACTTACTTCTTCAAGCAATAACATATGTTTTATACATTAGTAATATTCAGTATTATTTGATGTGATGTCTTGTGTTGTGGTGTTTGATGTTACTTGTCAGAAACAAAATCGTTTACAATAACTGTTCTTTCTTATCAATCATCCAAAAATATCATATGTTTGTTTTTTGCACCATACTCAAGGGTTGATGGTGTGTGGTTTGATAGGTTGTTCGTTGGTATCTCAAACGTTAAGATGTGTGTGGTGAAATGATATAGATGAGATATAATATATGTGTATTTAAAAAATAACAAACAAACACAACCACACAAATACACATTAAATAAATATTTATATAAAAATATTATTATTTATATAAAATTTAAAAGTTCAAAAATATTCTCAAATCCCCCATAAACCAAATTAATTTCCATTTCTGTAAGGAATTTACTTAATAAGGGAAATAACGATAACAACCAAGCAAAGGAGGGCAATATTAAAATTTTGATCATAACTTATTAACCACCACTTAAACAACCACCCCCTTTCAAATATTATTATTTTTTGATAGTCATATATCGCTTAACTAAAAAAGTAAACTTTTCATTTACCACTCATCTTTGCTTTGTTTCTGTGGTGGTTGATTGATAATCATTATTATTCCACTGATGAAAACATATGTTTATTTTTGTTTTAAAATACCAAAAAGAAAAATGACAAACTAAGAAATAAAAGGAGAATCATTATGATTTTTGCCATAGCACTATGATCGAGGTGACCGTCCATTCAATTTAAAAAACAACTTAAATATTATATATAACAACATCACGTCCTACACCCCACCACCACCAAATGATGTTGTTATATATAATATTTAAGTTGTTTAATCCACCCACAAAATTTTTGATCAATATTATTATTATATATTTACATAAACAAAGGGTGTGACAGCAGTGTCTATCCATCAGTATTAAAATACACTTTTAATAGTCTATTTTCCAAATGTGTTTATTTTTGAAAGAGTATGCTCACACCTACAAAGTGATTGATATCATCAACTTTAGCTTACCAACAAAAATACTTTATCTAGCAACACTTGTCAGGTTGTTTTCTTTGTTTGTTGGTTGGTGTGGAACAACCGTTCATCTGAGCAGTACCCCTCAGTCTGACGTTCCATCCACTAATAGCACATCTCCCAAACGAATGGGTAAGACAATATAATACACAAGTTAATATATATATTTTTATAAAAAACATGAGTTACCATATGGGTTACAATATACTATAGTACAACCAGAAAATTAACAAACAAACAAACAAACTATTTATTGATTTAGTATCTTGTGTTTAACACTTTTAGTAATCGGTTCCATCCACTAATAGCTTAATTACATCAATCAATGTAGTTGCTAGTTACAGTACTCTCAATGATAATAGCTAGAGAGGGAGAGACGATCGATACCCACTTCTCCATACACACCATTTCAATTACCATCATCGTCATTATCTGCCAATCATAACATTTATGATTCTTTATCTCTCAACCACCTCAACACATAAGAAGTTGTTTTTTTAAAAACTAAACATGTTTGTTTTCCAATTCCCAATGTTGTTGGTTGTCATCAAAAATAATAATATGATATATATTTTAGATACTTGTGGTGTGTAATCATCTCTATAAATAATAATTTCTGTTGTTATTATTTTTATGGTATCCCTGCACACTGACAACAACAATAACCACTACTATCATCAACGATCACCACAACACATAGATAAAAAACAAATAATATATATATATTTATGTTTATTTTTAATTAATCAAATTAAACTAATAATATTATCCCTTTTACTACCACACTAGCCAATCAATCAAATCATTATAAATAATTGAGTACATTTATAAAACAAACCCACACACACAAACAAAGCGAAACTAAGAAAACAATCAACAACTAAATTCGAATATTAATTTGTATTTTCAGATTTATCAGTAGTACTCTGGAAATTGCAATTTCGAAACCACATTATTGATTGATAATACCAATCACTCAAGATTGGAAGTCAATTTCTTTTCACAGTAATTTGCAGTGACTGAGTATTGTCATTCTACAATTAAAAATATCAAACAACCACAACACTACTCTCTACTATCACATAAATATACATATTTAATATTTATTGTTGCACCACCAACCAACCAACAACTAAACAAACACACCCACCACTCATCACCACTCACTACCACCACGCCAAAGCGTGTGATTTCAACATATGCTCAACACTCTACTTCTAGTAGTGAATTTTTTGATGGCATATGCCACTCATAAGTTGGAGTGTAAAACTGTTGCTCACTTTGGTTGCCCAGTCAGACTACTACTACCAAAATTGCATTATTCAAATTTGTTTTAATATAATCCCAATAGAGTAAATAACTAAAAAATGATTAAAAAAGTGATATATAAAGTATGGTGAGTGGTAGAACAATGTGGGGGGAATCTGAGGGGTTACTATCATGTGAGTAGTGATGTTGATGATAAATTTACATAAATGATAGTATTATTAAAATGTGGTATCTCATTTTGGAATTAGATTTAATATTTGTTAGACTAGCAAAGTAAACTAAGTAAGTAATATTAGTATTGTAGCAAATATCATCACATTTTACTTTATATCTGATGTATGTAATTAAAGTAGCAACATAGCAGGTATCTCTGAAAAAAACTTTATTTTTTTAAAAAAATAATATCTCAACAACAATAACAATAACAACAAAATTAATCCATCAATTATTATACATTCAAATCAATCATCATTTTTAAATATCATCTATCCACTCGAATATCTGTGAATAAAAAGAAATAAAAAAAATATTTGTAATTAAAAAAAAATAATTTAATATCCATTATTAAATTTTAAATCAGAATCAAAAAGAATCACAGAATAACAATAATAAGATTTCCAACCACTCTATCTGTAAAGGAAATTGGTCTATTTATTATATTTAAATAAATATTTATTATATATATTTTTTATAAAGAAAAGTTAGTATTTAAAACCCCAACCAATATTGTAACTATTTTTGTTTTTTTATTGCAATAAAGACTTTGCAAAAAAAAATATAAATAATAATTTGGTGTAATATTAAATTATGAAAATGTTTTTATACTTTTATGCCAATATTTTTAGCCCATCACTTCAATCTTTGGAAAATAATAATTATATCTATTAATTGATCATTTCTACATTTTAAAAAATATTTAAACTCTATTTAAATATTAATCTATTAGAAATTAAATATATCACTCTTCAACATCAATATCTATTCAAACTATAAGTTTTCCATATCAAAAATATTTATTAATCTCAAACTGGTTATTCTCCAAAGGATATAGATGAAAAATTAAAAGTAAAACACAACTCTCAAAAAAAAAAAATTTGTATGAATATACATAAATTTTCACCAAATCATCTTATAACTTTAAAACACATCCAACTACAATCACAAAAAATTTTTATTTTATAACGATAACAACAAAAAAATCAAACACACAAATCAAAAATTTCTATTCTTGTTGTTTCCATTATAATTTTTATAGATTTACAAACTGAAATGGTTTGATATCTTTTATTTATTAATTATTTTTTAAACAAAAATAATATCCAATTCAACTTATTGATGCTCATGAAAACACATTGAAATTGTCTTTTTATTTTTAAATTTTAAAAATATATTCGTTTTGTTTGATATAATTACATTTAATATTATTTATAGATGCCCCCAATCTTTTTTTTATTTTCTCACTGTAGATCACAATCAATAAGAGATACTTATTTTTTTTAAAAAAAATTTTAATACATTCTTTAATAATACTTATTTACGATATCCAACAGTCATATTAAAAGTGAATACGAACATTTAAAGATTCTTTAAATTATCCAAACCAATATATATTATCAAATCAATTTATTACCATATATATGATTTTTTTTTAGAATTTAAGATTTATAGTTATTTATTTTTATTTTCATAAATTTAATTTATTTATTTATTTATTTATTTATTTATTATTTAATATTTATTACTATTATTTATTTTCAAATAAAAATCATTCTCATTATTATCCAAAGTAATCAATCAATTCACAAATTTTTAAGTAAATATTTCGTATATCTCTTTATTAATATTTTAATCATCAATTTAAAACAATAACAATCATGATCAAATTCGAGATTTGTTATCATAAATATTATTCTTTAGATTATTTTTAATAATAATCATCTTTTACCATAATTGTTATTGTTTGAAATTATTAATAATTTCAAATTCATGAATAGTACCAATCAAATATTTTTCACCACCAAAATCTAAAACGAATTGTGTTTGTTTGTACTCTTATTTCTCATTTATACTAAAACACATACAATATTTGGAATTATGTATAAATTTCATATTTTCATTAAAACAAAATAAAATAAAATTAAAATTGATGATAGATATTTATTTTATTTGTACGACAATTCGTATTTAAAATATTTGCTGGTTTGTTTTTGTTTTTGCTGAATCCATTATCATCAAACCAACCATGTTATCTATCAAAACAAAACACACGCACAACAACACCACCACACCACACCCCTCTCGAATATTATTTCAAACATTGTTACTCTAGTTGTCATATAATGTACTGTGGGGTGTGCTTCCATCAAACTATTATTAATAATAATAAAATTAGTAGTAATAATAATTACCACTAATTTATCATACCTAATTACAATTATGTATATCTATACCAAACGGAATTACAATCTATCTATCCAATCATTTGGATTTAATATTCGTATTCATTTATGTCCTCCCAACTCTAAAAATTTCCAACTAGGGTCGGTCGGTGTTTGTAACCTTTTTAGTCGAGTTGTAATCAATAAATAAATATAAATTTGTTGTTTTAAAAATATATAATATGTCTAATAATATTTTTTTATAATCCAACTGACATTACACTCTTTAATATTAATCTATTTATTTATCTATACATTTTCAAATTTATAATAATTTTCAAATTTAAAAAAACAATAATAATAATAATTAAACAAACAAATAATATCTAATAAAAAAGAACAATAGAATAAAAATATTCTTTCTTTTTGATAAATCTAATTGATATTGGACATATTTGAACAACCAAAACAAATCATCCAAAAATTATATTTATCTATTGTAATTTAATTTTCAACATCCTCAATTATTAGATATCAATTTATTAACAAAGCACACTGTGAAATAGATAATTTCCAATTTTTAAATATCTCTCTATCAATAGTTAATACTTCAGTTCCAAAAACAAAACAAAAAAATTATATTTTCCAACTTCTCTTATTACCTTGTATTTGTTATATGTATGTTTGGAACATAATTTAAAAATTTAAATTTCATTACCCAACCCAACATCTACTTATACTTTCTTAATACTTACTTACTTATTTAATTTATTTTGTATTTTATAGATTTATTTATTAAATTTTAAACTCTATCTGAACTACACATTGTCACAGTAATAAAGTAGGCTAAACCACTCACACCACCACCTCCACCACCTCCAAAAATCCAACGAATAAATTATTTGATTGGGTACAAATTTTATAGTTGGTTGTCAAAACTTCCACCTTTTTCAATATTAACAACAACATCAATATTAATAACTATAAAATAATTATTATAGTTACTAAAGTTTATCTATATTTATTTCGTACTTAGCACAGTTGTTCCCACGCCACCAGCGCAACACCTCTACTTTAATTAAAGTATATCTTCATAACCTTCTGAATTCTCTTAATATTCGTATCACATGTGGTACAATATCTCGTAAACCCATACCAACAAATCAACGCGAAACAAACATTCATTCTTGGAACCCTTATAATTAATAATTATAACATTCTTATTTATCAAATAATTTCTATAGGTAAGTTAAAAAACAGACTCATATTTATAAGCCTGTATTATGATAATATATATTTTACCTAATTAGTAAATATATAAAATTATAAATACCAAATTTATACAAAAATTTTATACTGTCCATTTCAAAAAAGTCAAACTCTATAAAATATTTCATCATAAACAAACATTTATGACTCTGAGACCTTTTTGTAGTTTAACAAATATATTAAAAATATTTTAATAGAGTAATCAATCATAAAATAATAATAACAAAATATATCAAAAATCATCATCATTATTAGTGAACTTAACAAAACTCTAAATATTTTTATAGAGTTTTGAATTATTCATACATCATTACAATAATCACCATCAATATCTTTATTACCACAACAATTGTTTCAGAAATAATCTCATAAACTTCACATTCATTCAACCTTATACAGTTTGTCTCTTTACAATTTTTTGTTGTTTTTTTTTCTTATTTAAAATTATCTATAAAATCTCATTATATATATATATATGTAATTTTTAAAACTATCATTCATCAAAATCATACCAACATCTGTTTTAAATTGGTAATACTTACAATTGGTATAAATAGAAACACTCGAGTGATAGTAATATTAATAAAACTTGTCAAATATATCAATATCTACAAACAACTTTAAAAATATAACAATCACCCTTTGTTTGTTTTGTTTTTAAGTTAAAATTAATTTAAATTTCAAAAACTTTCACTCTAATAGCATAAAGAGTGGATTGTTAATTTAAAATTAATTCATCTAATAACTGGTTATAGTTCAACTATTACTAAAATAGATCAGTTGATCAGTTTTAAACATTTGTAAAGCTGATAAACTAGCTGTGTTATCGCTATAAATCAACACAGGTGAACACTCCCACACGCTCACGGGATCAGGCAGACCATCATTCATGAACTAGAATATCTCTATATTCTCAAATTTCTCATTTCATTTCATCATCATCATCATCACATTTATAAAGTGACTTCTCAATTTTATTTTAATTTGTTTTATTGCATTTTTATTTATAAGTTTTATCTCCCTTCAATCACTTATAAATATATCCTATTTTGTATTGGTTTTTGGTTAAGATTATAGTGTGTGTATATCTTTATTTTTAAAATAACAATAATAATATATTAGAATATTAAAACATCCAGCAAACATTTAAATAACATTGGTATTTTATAACCTATATCTTTAAAATTACCACTAACATTAACATCAACAACAATAACAATATATATCATTAAAACCACACCACTGATCAACATCATCATCATTCATTATAAAAACTTTTTTTAATCATAGAAAAAACAAAACCCACACCACTCTCTTCTAATTTATAAATTAATTTTATAATATATAAGTTCATCATCACACTCCCACAACCACACTTTATATAATATATATAATACCAAGAGAATACCAACCCACTATTACTACTACTACCACTTTACCCCCGAAAAACAAAAAACATCCAAACCAACAAACCAAATTAGTATTACTTATTACTTTTTAAAAGAACCAATTTTAATATTAGTACTATCCATCCCACCAAAAGCATCTTACTTATTGTCATCTTCATATTATTCTCTCTCTTGAACAACTCAACTTGAAAATACATACAATCATTTGAAATTTTGAATATTAATTTTAATTTTAATTTATTTTTTTTTCTACTTCTACTACTACTTTTTCATTTAAATAATAATTTATCTTGTTGATCAACCAAATGCATGTTATTTATTCATCATCATCATCATCGAAAACTGTTAATGCCTGTGCTCATCATCGCCAAAAACCTACAACAACAACTTCTTCCTACTCCTCCGCTTTGACCCGAACCTACTCGCCATCATTTTCCAGAATGTTAACCAGAGACCAACAACAACAGTTTAGAAATCATAGTATCATCTCAAAGAAATTGTCGATGCAACAGCAACAACAAATGATGGAGGACAATCTCTCGGACGACGACCTCGATGAACTTGAGGACGACAACTACAACGGTGACATCGATGCCGACGATGAAGACGAGGACAACGCTCATCAAGTTCTCAATATGCTATCACATACTCTCAAGGATCAACATCCTCATCTTCAAAATCATCAACAACATCAACTGCAACAATTCCATAAACAACAACAACAACAACAACAACAATTTCATCCAAGAGAAATGAAAATGACATCACCATCGGCCACCTCACAAATGATTAATTTCAAAATGAAATCATCTTCCACCTCTCATATTCCACAAATTTCGGCACATCCATTGCTATTGAATCCACAAAACCAACAGCAACAACATCAACATCATCAACAACAACAACATCAGAATCATAACGCCTATAACCATCACAGCAATAACAGTCAACGTGACAACGATCACAATTCACATCCAACACTCAGTGATATCTCACACTTGATATCATCTCCTCATCCCGATGATGCAGCAGAAGCACCATCGATTTCATCACCATCTTCAGACGATATGTCTGGAGACGATATGTCCTCGCCACCACAACACCAAAACTTTTCTTCACTTTCCCTCCACTCACCAGGAAAACCCGGCTCCAAATTCAATCAGTTCATTCCAGGAATTCCAAGTGGAGGAATGATGAAATCCTCTTCCTGTAGTAATATAGTTCCAAAAACCTGTAACTATAATAAATGCTGTATATGTGCATACGGTCCACCTCCTTCATTCTTTACTTCAGCACCAACATGGTAAATTATCAAACATAAGAATAATAATATTAATAATAATTTTCTGGAAATGCAATACTTAATTTTTTTTTTTTTTTTTTTTTTTAGGGCTGACATTTGTTATATTGCACTTTATTGTTTAACTCTATCAAAGCCAGATATTAAATACTTCCACATTAAGAAAGATATTTGTACTTTTATTGATTCTCATTATGAAACTATGTGTATGAGGAAAAGTATGTTTTGGAAAAAATAATAATAATAATTTTATTTAACTTTAATATTAATTAATTCTTCTTAACCAAAAAAAAAGGAACATCAATTTGGAGACAAACAGTAAATATGACTTTATCACATCCTCAATACTTTGAAATGTTCCAACAAGAGAGTGCACTTGAAAATGGAAGAAAAGGATACTATGGATTGAAGCAAATCCATGATCCATACGAACATACTGCTCTCAACAAACGAAGCAGAAGAAAGAGAAGACACGAACAAAAGATGTTACAGGAAGAACTGAAAAAATCATCTTCATTCTCCACCACCATATCCGCATCGAAAAATCAATCACCAGTCAACCAAATCATTGGATCTATTTATTCATCTAACAACTCCAACTCATCATCACAACAACAACAATCATCTTCACAATCACATTCACAATCATCTTCACCAAATTCATTTGTCTCACCAAACGACAGTGAATTCATTCCATCCTATGAACTGGCATCGATCTCTCAACAATATAAAAGAGTTAAATGCAACAGTAGTAGTAGCAGCAGCAACAACAACAATAGCAGTAGCTGCTCTGCACCAACACCATCCTCTCAACAACAAACTCCAACCACACAATCTCAAAACTCAATGTCGACAAATCCAATTATTTTACCACTTCCAAGTATTTCTGGAAAACCACCCATCCAATCACCACAACTCCAACACCATCATCAACAACAACAACAACAACTCCAACAGCACAAAAAGAATTTTGAGAGTATTTTGAACTCTGATGACGACATGCCAAGTATAACCAGTAGCAGTAACAGCAACAATAAACGTCCATTGTCCTCTCCGATCGAGAAACCACAGTGGTACAAACAGATACCCTCCTCCGCCAATCAACAACTACAAGACTCTGATAGTCCAATGTCAAACGCGAGCAACAGTGCTCAGAACACACCGAGTCCAATCGTCAAGAAATTCACTCAAAAAACGATCTTGCCGAAACTCGACGACGAGGAGGACGAGCTGATGGAGAACGAGCGTGAAGTTCCAAGACTCTACAACAAGTCGCCAATGACCAAGTTGATACTGGAGAAGAGTTTGCCACCACTCTCACCTACCTCGCTCACCCAAAACACCGCTACCAATCCACTCTCCAACTCGCCATCGCCCATCAACAGTCGCTCGAACTCGCCGTGCCAGCAGACACCATCCACTCTGCTGTGGCAACAGAACAACAACGGCAATCACCCGCTGAATCCAATGCAAATCTCGGCGCTGGACGACGACGACGACGACTTTGATGACGACGACGAAGATTCACCAAAGAAACGCATGCGAAAGACAACTCGTCCCGAAGAGAAAATCATGCTCGAGAAGTACTACCAGCTGCACTACGGTTCGAACGCCAAGCACTGCAAGGAGGAACTTCAGAACCTGTCGGAATCACTCAACTGGAAGATCAACCGAATCCAGCGTTGGCTTGACAACCGTCGCACCAAAGACAAGCTAAAGACTTTACGCGCCTCTCAAGAGCGTAGTTTCATCTACGCCGGTCAGCAATACAACTTCCAGAACCACTACATCAACGGACAACACACACCCATCCCAGTGGTGCCAAACACCAACAAAGATCGATCGTCGCCAATCCACTTTCAACAGTCACAACAACCACCATTGCAAAACTCATCGCACCAACAAACATCTCCCTATCACAACAAACTAATATTACAACATTCTTCTTCTAGTAATAGCATTAATAGTCTATTAAATTAAATTGCAAAAAAAAAAAAAAACAAACAAACAAACAAACAAATCAAAACAAATCAAAAGATATTATTTAAATTAAAATAAATTATTAGAAATAAAAAAAATATAATTATTATTTATTATTAAAATTAAAATTCTTTGAATAAAAAAGCAAAAAGTATAAGTTTTGTGGATAATGCTCAGAGTGTGTTTTTTGTGATCAAAATGTAAATCTTAAAATATGATTTTCATATAAAATCGAGTGGTTTGAAAGAGAGTTTTTCAAATAAAATGGTTTTTTGGATGTGAGTGACACATGAATTTTTTTTCAAAAAAAAAAAACTTTTGAGTGTGCTGATCAAAAAAATTAGCAAATTTAAAAACAACAACTAGTTGTTTCAAATCCTTTGCACTTAAAACTATTGTTTTATTTTTTTTTTTTTCTTTTTTTTTTATCTTTTCAAACACATAGTTAAGATAAGACAGATAAAAAGATTGAAAAATAGTCGAATAGCAAAGACAAGACAATTGTAACAATATTTTTTTTTAGAATCATTACAATCGTTGTTTTATTTATTTAATTTCAAGATTTCTATTTTTGAAATCAATCAAAAACTAATTAGTGTAAGGTCATTTATTATATTCGAGTTTAGGTAAGGTCATTGTAAAAGTAGTAAAAGATTTATAAATAAAACTTCATCCATATATATTGTTTGTTCATTGTCGTATTTTATGAACGTTACACAAAATTAATACTAAAAATAATAACTGTTATTGTATTATTATCTCGATTGCAATTGATAATTCGAATCGATTTGTATTGTTTCAAACACTGTTTGTTGTGTCATATCTCATTCATTTGTTTTGTCTATTTTTTTTTTATTTTTACAAACATTTCATTCACATTTACATTTACATATATATATATTTACTGATATCATATCTGTATTTTTGGTAGAGTTGTGTTGTGTGTTGTTTTTTTTTTTTGTTTTTTTTGTTATTGTAGTGTTGGAATTGTTTCAAAATTAGTTTTCAGTTGATAAGACAACAATAAACACACAACAACAACATCATCAATAATAACAATAAAAACTACAATGTAAAGTATTACGTAATGAAAAATGAATGAATGTTTCAATGTAACATCAACTCATCTTGGCTACTCCACTTCACTTCCCTTCACTTCAAAATAACCAAACCAAACCAACCAACTAACGAACTACTCAATTCAATTCAATTCTATTCAATTCTATTCAAAACCTATATTGTATACATTTTTGTTGTTGTTGTTGTTTGTATTTAATTATACTTATTCCACTCCTATTTTTACTTAACCAATTCGATCTATCTGTTTGTCCATCTAAAAAAAAGGAAAAAAAAAAAAAAAACAACAACAAAACAACATTTTCAAAAATAGTAGTACTTTATATAATGAATTGAATTAGCAATATTTAGAAACATACAAATAATTAGAATAAACTTTTTTGTATTGCAAATAAATATCTATTTTAATAAATTCCATTTATTTCTTTTTTTTATTTATTGTTTACCTGGTCAAAATCATAATAATATTTATAATTGTCCGCTTTCCATTCGAACAAAATCCACACGATTTTAGAAACAAAAACAAAACTTTTTTTCTTTCAATTTTTCAAATTTTTTTTCTTTTCCTTTTATTTTTGTTTTTTTTTCATAGTCATCAATAACATTTGGTCAAATTATTATCAAAAACAATTCAAAAGTTGTTCTTTGAATAGACAAAAAAAAAAAAACCAAAACCAAAAACAAAACACTTTATTTTTAAAAATCTTATAGTATAGTGTAGACTACAGACAGCATATCAATAGTCATATCTAATCAACAATAATAATAATAATAATAATAATAATAAGAATATAATTAGTTTAGTTAAATTTGTACTTTTAGATATATAATAATAATAATATTAATAATAATAATAGTTAGTTAGTTAGTTAGTTAGTAGTTAAATTTTAATTGTATTAGTAATAATAATAATATATACCATACCAATCAAAAATATATTTATATATTAGTTTTTTTAATTTATTTTACAGAAACAAGTTTTTTTTTAGGTTGGTTTTTATTTTAACTAATAATCAATCCAATAGATAAGATAGATAGATAGGACAGACAGACAGACATCATAGTTAAATAGTTATATATAAAGGGGTTGGTTGAAATAGACGAACCCTTTTTCATTTGGAAAACAACTCAAGAATATATATATAAACAAATAGTAGTAGTTAGAGTAATAACAATAAATATAAAATAAAATGAGTGAAACTAAACCATCAACAACTTCAGTGTCGTCGTCGTCGTCATCTAACAACAACAATAAAGATGATCAACAACAGCAACAACAACAACAACCACAGGTTAAGGATGTAACTACCACTTCATCGAATTCACCATCAAATAGCACATACTCTACGGCCTCATCCGTAGTTTTAAACCCACCGACAGTAACCATCACATCAGCTGCAGCCAACCAAAATCAACCATCACCAACTCAATCCAGAAACGCAACAACCTCATCAGCCTCATCAACATCAACATCATCAAATACAGGAGTATCAGCAACAACAACAACAACAACATCAATATCATCATCAACAGAGAAACCACCAGTTTTAATAGCAACAGCAGCAACAACAACAACAGTAGCAAATACATCGACTTCATCGCTATCTTCATCATCGGCATCATCATCACCTAATACCAGTCATCAAAATTTGCAACCACTATCGAATGCCGCTACAAGCACTAGCACCACTAGCAATCTAAATCCATCGACTCTTTCCACCACTATTTCATTGGCAGCTTCACAAAACAGTGCAAACTCTTACCACGCAGAAGAAGTACAGTTTGCATTTGAAAACAAAAAAACATTGAAGAGACTTTTGAAGATTTCAAAACACTGGACTGATTCAATGAAAGGTATATATATAAAAATAATTATATAATTAACTTTATTCTTTTACATTTACATCAATAATAATAATACTAACACATTAAATTATTTATTTATTTATGTAAAGTTTATTGTCAAAATAGTCATTTATTCTCAGAGGAAATGCTTAAGCAATCAGAGCAGATGATTGCATTTGCACAACCAAAGGAAAAGACACTCGGTGGAAATCTTGCATACTTTGGAAATACATTGAAAGCGGTCAATAGTGTTCATGATCAAATGGTAAGATATTATTAAGTTAGGGGGAGTGAGTGTATTATTGTGTTTATATTTATTAATAATGAATTGGTGATGTTGGATTATTATTATTATATTTTAGTTGAATGAAATTCAAGATGTATTTTGTACTCCGGTTGCCAATTTTGTAGATTATGACTTTGCAGAGGTTGCAGAGTCACACAAGAGAGTGACCAAGTCAAAGGAGGAGTACGAACAGTCGTTGGGTAAGATCTCGACATCGATCAAGAAGAAGGGTATCGACGAAACCAGACTGTTTAACTATGAGCAAGAGTTGGAAAAGTTGAAGGAGGTTCTCGAGAATCAAAACAAGGACTTGGAGATCAAGCTAGGTGAGCTCTCACACAAGAACGAAACGAAATACCTGCGATCGGTGTTGCACTTTATCAATTCGCAGTATCTCTTTTTCAATCGTGGCGCCAAACTCCTCGGAAATCTGAAGCCGCGAATCGAGGAGCTCGAGCGATACCTCGAGGAGATCCAGCCACCCAAGGTGGTGGAGGGTCACCTCATGAAGAAGAGCAAGCAGGTCATGGGAGGTTGGAACAAGTGTTGGTATGTTCTCAAGGATGGAATGCTCTATTGCTACAAGGGTAAGAAGGAGTTCCACCCAGAGAATGCACTCAATATCTTGTTGTGTTCGGTGCGTGTGCCACAACAGCCGTTGATTTCCTCGCCGTCCTCGACCAATCCACCGGCTTCCGGCTCGTCCAAGGAGCAGTCAAAGGAGCAGGTCGACTACCGTTTCGAAATTCTGCATCCTCGTAAGAAACAGCCGATCGTTTTGCAGGCCGAGAATGAAGAGGAGCGTGACCGTTGGGTTGCAGCCATTCAAGAAGCCATCTCCAACTCGCTCAACAGCCAATCGATTGAAAAGTCGTCTTTGAGCAACAGCACCGTCGGAAAGCCATTGTCCAGCTCGACTGTTGGCGGCTCCGGTGCGAGTGGCGATGAGGTGAATCAACAGGTGATGCGCATCATCCAGAAGGCAGCCGGTAACAATATCTGTGCCGATTGCTCCAGTCAGGATCCCGATTGGGCATCGATCAACCTCGGTGTCATCATTTGTAAGGTGTGCAGTGGTGTGCACCGTAGTCTGGGAACTCACATTTCCAAGGTGCGTTCGCTCACGCTGGACAAGTGGATTCCAGAGAATATCTATCTGATGAAAGAGATTGGCAATGCCAAATTCAATTTACTCTATGAACACCAGCTATCCGACCAGGTCAAACCCACAGAAAAGTCGGATCGTCCAACCAAGGAAACCTATATCCGTGCCAAATACAAGACCAAAGACTTTATTATCAAGTCGACTCTACCAACCGAAGAGTTGTCCAAAATGTTGTATGAAATGGCTAGTGCTACCGGGCCAAGAGATATCGCTCGCTATCTCAAACTCATTGGTCAAGGCGCCGAGGTGAACCACGTCGACGCATCAGGAAGAACTACACTCCACCAGGTCATCTGGAAGTCGGACGACGTCATCATTCCCGAGCTGTTGCTCCAGAACGGTGCTGACCTGTCAATGGTCGATTCTCGTGGTTGGACACCAATGCACTACGCCGCCTATTTCAATCGTCCAAGATGCGCTTCACTCCTTATGAAGCGTGGATTCGAAGCGATTCGTTTAAAGTGTATGGATCATCTCGGTCGTCTGCCCATCGACTTGGCCGTATCCAACCGATCGAAAGAAACTGAACAAGTGTTGCGCGGTGAGGATATCAATCTCGGGCTGACAATGGATACAATTGAAGCCGGAAGCGTGCAGCCATTCGAGGCATCGGTTCCACTGAGCACCGACTTCCCAAACGCCACATCGCTGGCGACGACACGTGAAGAGATTCTCAGCGAGGATGACGACGACAAGTACGCAGTTGCAGAGAACGAAATGGAATCGAGCTGGAGTGAATCGGAGCGTGAGAGTATTGGACGTGCTAGTTTCAGTGGCGCCGACGGAAGTGATGCATTGGCCGCATCACACCATCCAAACATCCAACTAAACGCCTCACTCAACAGTAACATCAGCACCAACAGCGGTGGAAACAGCAGTAACCAATTGATCGGAGCTGAAAAGCAATTGTCGACAAACAACAACAGCAGCAGCAACATCAGCAAAGATAATCTCAACGGAAGTAACACCTCTGCAACCAGCGGCAAATCAGAGACAGAATCCACTAAGCCACCAATCAACAGCAGCATCAATAACACTAGTACTGGCAACTTGGCAGCTTCCGTCAATAGCAGCAACACCAACGAAACCGTTCCAATCAATCATAAGCTCAATAGACCAAAGTCAAAGAGAAGACCATCGCTACTAGGTAGAGGTAAAAACACACTCAGATTGATGAAGAGCAAGTTGAGCATCTCTGGCAAGGGTATTCCAAACGACGCCGGTGGAAACGCTCAAGGATATCCAGGCGATGAAAATGGATTCGATGACGATTCCGATGAAGACGACGCAACCGTTCCAACTGTCGCCATCACCAGTACTAGCAATGGTAATGGTAACAACCCAGAGATATCGGTAACAGCGACCACCACCACTACAACTACAGGCACACTAGACCCAACACTACCGAATTTAGTTCACAGAGAGTCTATGGACAATGTACATAACAACAAAAACAACAACTCACTTCAACCACAACAAGTAACACACACCAATAGCTATAATGATTTGATATCGGCAGAGGATGAAAAAGACAAGTCGTCACCGTCACGACAAAATCACTCACCGACACCATTCAAGCTGCTACTCAACAAATTCAAAGGAATGACAAAGAAGAAAGACTCTGGAAAGGAAGGAACTCACTCTGACTCGAACGACGACGATGTATCCGATGTTCCAGACAATGTATCAGTAACCACCAACGACGACACCAAATCCGATCTATCAGACTTTGTAAGAAAGAAGAAAAAGAAAGAGAAACAACAATCGAAAGCATCAACCACCGTCAATCCAACAACCACCACACCAACATCACCAAACAACAACAATAACAACAACAACAATGAATTAACATCTTCACCATCAACTCATAATAATTTATCAACACTCCCAGAAACAACAACAGCAACATCATCAACAAATAATACTTAAAATAAAAAATATATAAAATAAAATATAAATAAATTCAAATCCAAATTTGAACCTATTTTTGCTTTGTGTGGTTTGTTGGTTGATTGTATGAACTGAAAAACACCACACACTACACACTTTTTTAAACAAGTTGAATCATTTGTTACCACAACATTTTTAACTTTGTAAAAGGCACTCCAGATGATCATTAATCTCGTAAGTGAGTTGTGTATCTATTCCAACTCCTTAACTTTTTGTTGTTTTTGTTTTCTATTGATTCTTTAAGCATTATTTTCAATCAAAATAATAGTAAATTCTATTTATCTGTCATTATTTTATTAGATAATCTTTTATTTTTTATTTTTTATTTTTTATTTTTTATTTTTTTATTAACTTAAATCCCATCAAAAATTTTGCAAAAGCAAAAAAAAATCTTCTTCTTTAAAAAAAAAACCTGAAAAAAGCCAAAAATCAAAAAAAAAAGGCAGCGGCGATCAAACGGAACGGACAAAAATAATAATAAAAACATTGACATTATTATTATTATTTTATTTATATTATTATTAAATAATAATTATTTATTTAACAAAGAAAGAAATAAAAGAATAGTTTTTAAAAATATTTATATATAAAATAGAAATTGATAATAATAATAATATTGTAGAAGAATGCCACAACAATGCACTAGGGTCAAAATTTACGATCCAGATGGCACAGAGTTCTTCTATGAGTGCAAAAGTAATGTTGCATTCCAAGGACATATTAGGCATTTGTTTGAAAATCTTATCGAGTTCTCACAGAGTTTCCAGAGTTCGACACTCAGATTGATATCAGATACCAATGGATTGATCTCCTCTCACTACGGACTACAGGAAGCGAGTAGCGGACATTGGATTGAGGATGTCAACGATAGCAAATTCCAGAAGGAAGATAATATTCTTTTCTTTAAGTTACGTCCACTTAGCAGATATATCTCTGACGTTGAAAGTCTATTGCCACCACCTACCAACACAACAACAACTACTACTATTTCACCACCAACAAACATTAACAACAACAATAATAGTAATATTTCAACACCTAATAGCTCAACACCAAACTCACAACCATCGTCACTTCGTTCGCACATTGAGAGTCAAATTCAAACACAATTTAAAATGCGCACAACCACACTTGTAAATTCGAATTTGACATCGACAAATGCTACAAACAACAACACTACCACACAAAATAACAATAACAACAATTCCAAATCCAATAAGAAAGCACTTAGAAAGGCAATTGAAAGTTTACATATTCATTTGACGTTGTTGATGTTGAAGGAGAGAACTAGGAATGACCATGTCTATATTAGCTCTGACAATCTCGTCAAGATTATCCGTATCATTTTCAGATCACCTACACTCTGGGCTATCAATTTGCTTGTTGGTTATCTACAGAGGAACAACTCTTTCAGTACATCGGCATCCAATATCAATGACAATGGTAATACAATACTAAAGAGTATTACCAATACAATGTTGACAACAACAATAACCACCACCACCACCGATATCTCACCATCAGCAACAATCAATAGAACTTTCAGTAAGAGTACCGGTAGAACCAACACACTCACTTCATCATCTGTACAAACATCCAATTCATCATCATCATCATCAAACAATAACAATAGTATTAATAATAGTAGTAATAGCAATGGCAATAGTAATGGTAATACATCGAATCAATTTTCAAATAGAGATAGTTTAGGTCATCAAGATTCGAGTGGAAATCAAATTTCACTGTTCACTTTGATCGATCAATCTATAAAGACATGCTCATCAGAGTTTAAGAAGAACTTTTATTTGTATTTGATGGAGCAGTACGATCAACGTAGAGACAGTATATTGGATACCGTCGATGCTGCTGTAGACACCGATGCTAACGACGACGATGACCTGTACTTTAATAAAGCGATTAGAGCATCTGCATCCGTTCAATCGTTATCATCGTCACTCCTCTCCATACCCAATCTACATAGCGAGATCATCATACAAACCATCTCAATGATCAACAACATCTATTTATTATCACCAAATCCTGTAAATTATATCATCAGACTACACAAAGACAATATCTTTAGATCACTCTACGAGTTAAAGATAAAAGATAATTTAATATCCGATAGTATTCAATATAAAACATTGAGAGTAAGTTATAGTTGTTGTTTATTAACTGTTTAACAAAGTAATATATATTAATATTATTATTATTTATCTTTTAGAAATATTTAGTTAATGAATTAAAAGATCAATGTTTGGAATCTATTGATACAGAGAGAATTCAACATCAGATATTGTTCTCTGATTTGTGGTCATCGACATTGACACTCTATCCCTATGGTGGTTGTAGTTCCTACAAGTGGCTGTTGTTAGGTTTCCGTGGTGCCAATCCATCGGATGATTTGAACTGCACCGGTGTCATTGCACTTCGCAATCTCAACTACTTTGCTAAGCAACATACATCGTTATTCAAGTACCTCTTGACAATACAGACCGATCGCGAGTTGTGCCAAGACAAAGATGACTGCGACAATAGCGACAATAGTGACAATACTCTCGTTGATTGTCAGATGCTATCGAAATCATACCCAGTTGCATTGGTCGGCATATCTTTATCATATCTATTATCGAAAGCATATGGTTTTAGATTAAACAAAGACAATAATAATAATAATAATGATAGTATCAATAACAATAGTGGTAGTAGTAACAGTGTAAATGAAGATAACAACAATAATAATAATAACAACAACAATGACGATGGAAAATCAGAGATTGTTGAAGAAGATCCATCTGAAAAGTGGGATATTGTATTCAGTGATTACAATTGGCTTGATGAATGTTATGTATCTACATTTATACTATTCGAATCACTCTGGTCATTCCAATCGATTAGTTACTCTGATTTCTCAACTATATTATCAACCACTGAGTAAGTATAGCAACAAAACAATTGTCTAACATTTGTATAATCATCATTCATTCATTTATTAATATTTATTATAAATTATCAAATAGATCTATAATAACAAAAACAATTGAAAAGAAACCTGTTAATAGTCAAGAGTTTACAGAGTATATAGTTGGTTGTCTATTAGAGTCAACAGAGGTTACCAACGCTATCGATGTAGTACATAGATTCAATCAATTGCTATCGAATGACACCTCTATTACAGATATTGCATATTCATGTCATAGTTTAATAAGATTCTTTGGTGAAAGTCTAGATTCTTTAACTTATCAATTCTTACCACCAAATGTAAGTAACAAGCTTTTATAATCTATTTTAGTGTAAAATAAGTTAATTAACATTATTATAGTTGGTAAAGAGTAAATCAGATTCATTACAAGAGAGAAACAATAGAATTGAAACATTCATTGGTGAATGGTTAGACTCTGAACAGGTAGACTATGGTGAGAAGATTAGATTCTCTGTGCAGATTCAAGAGTCATTGTTGACTGCTTCACTCAAGAACAACAGCAACAACAACAACAACAACTATGCCAATGGTGGTGGTATTGTCAATAGTCCACTCAAGAATGTTCAGAACTCACTCAATGGTAGCGGTGGTGTATCTCTACGAAGTAGCAACAGTAGCAACAACCAGAATGGTAGTAATACCAACACCGATCCAGTAGTAGAGTCGAGAATAAACAAACTTAACAAGTTCTTTGGTGAAATGATACATCCTTCTCAACTAGGTTCATCTACTGATAGTTCACCTTCAGTTGTCTCTACTTCACCCAACCCACCAACATCTACAACATCAACAACTTTAGCAACTCTACCTCCAGCAACAACAACAACAACAAATAATAAGAACAATAACAATAATACACATGATACTTCTACTACTACTACTGCTAAAAATAACCACCAAACAAGTAAAAATGAATCATTGGAAGAAGATCAAATCAAACCGAAATCACCAGAGGAAAAGAGTATTGATAAGGTTCAAAGATTGTTGGGTGTCGATCTCCAAAAAGCGAATATCAGTTTCTCGAAATTGCATAAGATGCAACAACCACCTTCGCCACCAAATGAGCTATTACCTGCTCAACCTATTCAGTTGAATCAATCTCAACAACAACAACAACAAAAACAATCACCTGTACCAATATCATCAGTCGTCGTATCAACATCACCCAAATTCAGCTTCATCAACCTCGCCAACCTCTAATTCACCATCACCCACCATCACAAGGTTGCCATTGACAAAGCATTGAGAAAGGGTACAATGACACCCAGTAAATCAAACTATCATGCATCCGTTATGATACCACTGTCATCGCCATCCACTTCACCAAATGGTGGAAATGATGTACATCATTCTACAAGTACTTCACCCAATAATAATGATGATAGTGATCATGTCAATAGTAACAATAATCAGACAGCTCTAACACTACCGGATGTAACCAAGAGTAGTCTATTGAATGAAAGTGTCGATAACAATCCACCGTCGTGCAGAGCATCCATAAACAGTTCATTGGAGACATTGGATGTAATATCCGATCAAAGTTCTGTTGTCGATGAAGATGATAAACTACATGTATTCTATCAAGAAAGATTCGATATGGAAACACCACCAAGCTCGTTACATCAACAAATTCAACAACAATTACAACAACAACAACATCAACATCAACAAGTACCTGATTTACAATTGGAAACAACAACATCAACAACAAATGATAAAGAGATAATGGTAGAGAATGTGACCGATGCATTGTTATTACAACAGTTGGACGATTCTCTGGAGAGTCCAATCATTATTCCAGAGACTAAACCGGTTGAGAGAGCTTCAGTTTCAATTCCAAGTCTCGAATTGAACAACAGCAATAATAATATTAATAATAGTAAACTAAAACCATCGCTACCTCCAAGAAATCCAGATTTAACTGTTGTTTCTGAAGCAACCATATCCGACTCACCAAGAGTGTCTCCTATTAAACCAGTTGTTAACAAACCTTCTCCATTTGTTGCAACAGCAATCAACAACAATAATAATAATAATACTACACCAACAAGACCAACAGCCAAACCAATTGCAAAATCAATGCCAACATCACCAATCAATCAATCACCAACGCTCACCTCTGCAAACTCCACTCCGACCAACACTACGCCTAGATCAACATCACCATCGACCGTTGTTGCCTCAAAAACAGTTCAAATTGGTGGACCCGATTCTCCAATTAAAGTATCACTTCGAAAAACATCAGCTCCACTTCCTTCCAACAACAACAACAACTCTGCACCAAACAGTTTACAATCGCCATCGTCTGGAGCGTCTAATGATTCACCCAGAAAAGAACAAGGTGCACCCTCTCAAGTTAGACCAAGAGCTCAAACGAGCAAGGCTCCACCAGAACTCAAAAAGAGTCATACCGTCAATAGTCTTTCAGATCCAAAGCTGATCGCAACCAACGATCATTCTCCATCAGTGTCATCATTAATCTCTGTTTTTGGTGAAAAGATACAAAGAAGAGGTTAACCTCTTTAAGTCTCTACCACTCTATTCAACTAAAAGTTGTCAAAAAACAAAACAAAACAACTAAAACAACAACTACAACTACAACAATCACAATTGATTGTTATTTATAAACTTAGATTAAACCTCAACAACACCAAATCAAAAAAATTATTTATTTATTATGTACCAATAATTTAAAATAAACCAAATTGTTCTTTTAACATCTTATCAAATTAGTTGTATTTTTTTATTTACTTATAGTTGAATAAGATTAAATTTGAAAGATAAAGTTTAAAGTTTAAAGATGAAATTCTTTGTGTCTTGTTGCCTAGTTGTTAAAGTAGCGATAAAACTAGTTTGGAAAATAAGTTACTATTACTATTTAATTTGTTATATTATTTTTAATAGATTTGTTTGATTATAAAATAATATATTTTTTTTTTTTTAAACCAAAAAAAAAAGGATTTGTTGACTCTTGATTAGTCAACAAATTGCAGGTATTAATATTATCCTGTAAAATAATATAAAATGGGCCCTGGTACAACATTAAAGATCTTGGAGGATAAAAATCTATGAAACCTATAGAGTGAACCTATTCAGCATTGAAGGTTGTAACCAATGGGTTTTCCCACTATGCCAAAATGGAAGTTAACTAATTATGATCTGTTCCACAAGCAACACACAGATAAACCTTCATACAATGGTTGACTCTCACCGCAAGCGGTCAAATGTTTTTATAATGTACTCTGTGGGATTTGAACCCACGCTTCCGAAGAAATCAGTGCCTTAAACTGACGCCTTAGACCAACTCGGCCAAGAGTACTTTTATGATTGCCAAAATAACTATTTCAATTTTTGAATATCTCAACTTCAACCTTGTATTGTCACTTAAAAACATTGAAAAAAGAGCTTTATTGTTTTTAAAGCAGTTAAGTGTTGTTCAAACCAATATAACTTAGGTGTCGAGGTCAAGAGATTTTCTATTGTTTTATCTCCTCTGTCTCATCCAATATCCACTCTACAGTATTTGATTTAGTAAACAGCTGTCCTTCAATTTAAATGGTTTTTTGATTCTTGCAAAATCAATAAATATATTCCCTCAATAGATCTATATTTTATAAATATATAGATCTTAATACATTATTTTATTCTAAAAATCAACAAAAAATTTCAATTTTTAACACAAGTTTCTCCCTATATGTTTTCACATTTTTAAAATTTAATACAGTCTACAAATAACTCAAATAAGTTATTATTAAATAAAAATTTAATAATAAAAATATTATTATTGATTAAATATATATGTAGATGATGATTATCTCAAAATATCGATTTGACTATGCAATAGAGCTCATAAATGAGCAAAGCCATCGAACTAAACACTTTGGTTTTTTATTCCATTTGAATCGTATGTTTATATGTATAAATATCAATAATCTCATAATTAAAGTAACTAACATTATTTGAATAATTATGTTTGTTTATATTTAAAAAAGAATAAAACAGATGAAATTAGATGTTGGTATGTTAATAAATATAAGCAGCTATTAATATCGTTCTAACTTTCATTCATACTAAAGTTGTTTGTTTTTTATTTATTTTTATCACTAAAAGGTTCAAAACAACATAACATTCCAATGGTATCACTATTTCTTTCTAACTAATTCATCATCCTTTTTCATTCCAATGTTTGAAAAAGAATGGAGACAACTCTTGGATTTGGTCGAATATTTGAGTAGTGTCAATGTTTGTGCTGATCTATTCCCATTGTATCAAGCTCATCCGAAGCAATTGAATAACAACAATAATAATCATCTTCATAGCCATACAACATCGACATCACAATCGAATCTAAACAACCTTTTAAAAAAAGATATTAAACCCAAATTGCTTAGTGGATCTTGTCAACCAAGGATACAATGTCATCCAATATCTCTGGAACATCTCATATTTCTCTGTATCAATTCAAAATTAAATCAAAAAACAACATTAGTAATAACAATAATGGTAGTATTAAAAAAGGTATCACCTATAGTATAAATAGGAAAGCTGCAGCAACATCAACTACAACATCTACTACAACAAACGGTATTATTAAACAAACAGCTTCAATGTCGATTATCGATCCAGGACAAAATCAAAAAACAGATATAATCATTATAACGATTCCATTTCTCAGGAATCACCATCAATTCCTCCACCTATGAAAATGAGACTAACAGGATCAATGTCTAATTTGTCCAACCAGATTCACTCTGTTCGTCCCAACATTAAAACAGTTGATAGATCTTCCTCAGTAGCACCAAAAACTCAACTAAAACGACCATGATCGTTTTAAATGAATCAAATTATTTCACGTATCTCCGTGCAATAGGAAACAATTCATATAAAATAATCAATCTCACCAAGCAAAATCAACAACAATAATAATAATAATTTAAAGAATTATAACAAATGTACATCTATGAGGAAATCGAATATTCACCTCCTTTCTATCAAAGAACAAAAGACAATATTGTTCTAAACTTATAATAGTTTATCGTCAACAAACTAGAAATAATGATAGCAATCATGATAATAGAGCATTAAAGAAAGAAATGGTATAATAATAATAATAATAAGATGAAACATACACTACCAAATCAACAAACAACTTCATTGCCATATTCATGACCTATTCAATAGGTCTTACCACAGAATTTTACAAACAATTAATAAAGATATTCATTCATATAGTTTCTAACTTATAACTTAAAGATTCTTAATTGTTCTTTCTTTTAAAATCTGTCTATATTTTTGACAATTTTCATCATTTAATATTCCAAACTTCTCCATTTTTTTCAATCACCATTTCCATGGTATCATTTGAGTTTCATAGGTAAAGTCCAACTCTTTGGAGTTTTATTAATTATTTTTTGTAAAGATAACATTTAGAATTCCTTTTTTTTGTATGTAGTATGTTTAAATGAAAATTCTGTTTTTGATAAAAAATATTAACTTCTATTTTAATAATCATTATATTGGTACAACAAAGTTCAAGTAATAAAAATTTCCACATTTTTTATAGATAATTTCAATCTGAACAATAGATACAAGTGTTTTAAAAACAACTTTTAAAAACATAATACAACAAATATATTCATCATGTAACTGAGTTTAAATTTTTATAAAATTTAATCTCATTTTTTATTATTTCTATTTCTAAAACAAGTATAGTGTTAACTATTTTTGGATAAAAAGAGATTGAACCAATCTTAAATACTATTATTTGTGTAATTTCATTTAACAATGATATGAATAATTTATTAAATATACTAAACAATCAAACAGGAAGTTATACCAATTCAACAAAATATTATTTAAAAATCTAGATATCGTTTGTGTTTCATTTTATAAAATGACTGAATTAAAAGCTATTATTTTAAAAACGTGATGTTTAGGGAATTGTTTGAATAAAAGATGATCAATCTCTTTATTATCAATTCATATTGTTTAGTTTTTAAGTTCAATAAAGATTGAATCTGAAGATTTATAATTTGGTTTTAGTCTGTACATCATTACTAAAGAAGACAAAATTGTATGACAGAATTCTATAATTTGATGGAATTCTTCTTGATCTTCTTTGTTTTGAAGTCTTGGAAAGAATTTTTTAATAATAAGGTTTTCATGAATAAAATATTGTTCAAAACAATTATCCATTTCTTTTTCAAAGAATTCAAGACATTCTTGACCTGACCAATTGTTTTGAGTTTTCATAAAATGGAAACTATTCATTCTTTCTTCTTTTCCTCTAACTTCCTTTTCATACGAGAATACGTCATTGTAGAGAGCACCAATTTTCCCTCCACTTTCAATTAAACTTCTCCAAAGTGGGTCAAGAACTATATCATAGTTTAATCTTTTCATTATGAAAATTAAACTTATATAAAAAGGTGGTGCAGTTGCATAATTATGTATTCTCAAATTGTGATATAAATTCATACTAATATCACCATTTAATTTCTATATTAAAAATAACCAAATTAATTGATTGATTAATAATATTATTAATTAAAAATTTAAATTCAATAAACTTACATTCATATTTTGCCATGGAACTAAATTGTAACAATAATCCAAGTAAGCATTTTTGAATAGATTGATTAATGGATTTTGTTCTCCAACTCTAGATTCTAAATTATGAACCAAATCAAAAATATTGAGTTCGACTGGTGTAGGATCATCTTCTAGTTTCCCCAATTTGAAAATATTGATTACTCTATCAATATATTTAATTCCAAACTCTGGTTGACCGCAATCGATAAAGTCATCGAAAATCCTATTAAAAATAAATAATTGTGTACCCAATACCATTAACTCTTGATCTCCGGATGGCCAAATATTTCTTACAAACATTGAAATTCCTTTTATAGTTGGTCTTATTTTTTCACTATTTTCATCATTTAATATTCCAAATTTTTCCATTTTTTCAATCACTATTTGCATAGGATCATACGGATTCATAGGTAAAGTCCAGCTCTTGGGAGTTTTATCAATTAGTTTTTGTAAAGATAACATTTAGAATTCTTTTTTTTTATTTTTAAAAATTTTATTTTTAAATATTAATTTTTATTTTGAATACTATAAGAAAATAATTAATATATAGAAGTCAAAATCTCCAAATATTATTTCTATCTTAAAAAATTCATTTGTAATATTTAATATTCAACATGAAAATAGAGATTTTTGGGGTTTTACTAGAGATATAGTTGTGAGAAATAGCCAATAAAATATTATTTTTATTATTATTATTATTTTTTATAGTTATTATTAATTTCGATTTTTCATTTGTCAACTCACTTTCAACCTCGATATTTTAGGAATGTAAATGTATATGATATTTTAGAGGGAATAAGGTTAGTAGCATTAGGATAGAATAGATCTAACAGTAGTTGAGTGTTGATTAACAACAGTATAAAGTGGTGGTATGTAGTTGGAAGGATTTAGATTCCTGTTATCACATAATAATTTTTTTTTTATTTTGCTTTAATATCACCGAAAAAAAAATAAATAAAAAAAAATAAAAAAAAAAATTATTGATTTATTAAGTAATATATTGGGATGGTGTAAACCATCGAATTTTTCTTTTTTTTTTTTTTTTTTTTTACAGTTTTTATATAATTATTTTAGTTATTGATATTAATAGATTGTTAAGTTGATGAGAATACTGATGATTGAATTGGTTAATTTGAAAATGAAGAAATGAAGAAGAGGAAATAATAGTTGGCTGACATTTGATAGGTTACTGGTTATTTAAGTTTGGATTGTAAGTTACTGATACTGTTATATATAATTAATTTCATTACAGATAAGTGCTGTATATATTCATTAATGATAGATTCATTAGATAGTAGGTTGTTATCGTGGAGAGGAGTACCGCCAAAATAGGATTTACAATAGAATTTCCAGATTTGATGAAAGACAAGTGAAGCGAGAGTAGTGATGTTGTCCTTTCTTCTAACCAACTGATACGCGTCTTCCATAGTCCAATCGAATCGTTGACCACCTGAAAGCTGTAAGGAGTCAAGAATGGTGTTAAGGTTGAATCTGTGCATAACTGCTCGACAATTAAAGAATGTATGGAAATATGGGTCAGAGCAGTATGTGAAGCACAGTTCACATTCTTTGTTTTTGTTGTAAGCTAATCCAGGAAGTGAACGAGAGAAGAACCGGAAGACAGTGTTTCGTCCACGCTGGTGTTTGATGAGCGAAATATAGGTGAAGATACAGTCGTAAGATGTGTAGTCGAATTTGGTTGGTAGCGATAGTTGGAACTGACCATCAGTTAGTGGTGGAATGCCATGTTTGAAGAACAATAGGTGGTCGTAGATTTGCTTTAGAGTGGGTGGTAGACCATCAATCAGAATTGGTTTAGCAGATTTGATCTTGTTGTCCAGATGTTTGAGATGAACTGCCAATTGGTGCCACAGAGTGTAGCATAGATTGAGATATGGCGAGGTGATAGATCTGCAATAGATTTGAGATAGCCAACTGGTATAATAACAAACTTTGGAAGGATCAGAGGTTGAAAGTAGGAATCTGTTGAATATCCACACGTGTTGCGCATCATTACGAAGTTGGATGTCCCATAGCGAGATGCCACCACGTAACCATGGTTGTACAGCTCTGGTCTTTTTCATTGTGTTTTTATATTTCTTGGAGTCGATGAACGGATTGGAGTTGGACGACCACAGGTACCAAGACAGTATGTTATCGAGTTTCTTGACTTCCTCATCGGTAAATCTATCGACGTACATGTTGTAGGTGAGCTTAGAGAGTGTGTAGCTTTTGACTATGGCCATCTTGGTGCGTAAAGTGACTCCAGTTGTTTTCCAACGGACCAGGTGTCCTTTAATAGAGTTGATCAGAGAATCAAGCGAATGATGCAATCCGTCGGACGTGAAGTACAGACCCAGGTATCTTTCAGCGGATGTAGATACCTATAACTGTTATCACATAATAATTTTTTTGTTTTTTATTTTGCTTTAATATCACCGAAAAAATGATATCACCGCAAGCGGTTATTAGTTTTTTAAATGTACTCTGTGGGATTTGAACCCACGCTTCCGAAGAAATCAGTGCCTTAAACTGACGCCTTAGACCAACTCGGCCAAGAGTACTTTGATGAATTCTATAGGGAATTAAAAATATTTGTAGTATTTAATTACAGTTTCCTTTTAAATTCTTTTTTTAATAGATTCAAAACAAAGTTAAATTACTTATTAAAAAGCTTTTTTTTTAATTTCTTTCAAACAACTTAACTTATTTTTTTGATTTAAATTTTAGAATTTTTTACGAATTTTAGATTTCTTGTAAAAACATGTAAACAAATTATTTGATGAAATAGTCGACTTGTTAATTTCCTAGAAATGGATGAACCGTTTGTAGTAATAATAAAAACCTGAAAATTTCAATTTCTTATTATTCTATTTTCAATTTAATATCAATCATATACATATTTAAAAATGTTTAAAAGAAAAACTTCTGAATCAGAATTAAATTTAACTTTGGATAATAATCCTAAAACTGTGATTAATAAAAACTATAATAATTATTATAAAACAATCGAAAAGAAATCAAAAATAGAAACAAAAACAATAAATAATAAAATAACTAACGTTCTTAATACCAAACAAATAAACAAATCATTAAAAAAGAAAAAAGAAGATAGTGAGAGTGAAAGTGATAGCGATAGTGATTATGAAGATAGTGAAGATGATGATGATGATGATGATGTTAAAGTATCTAAAAGTAAATCAACAACAACAACATTTAATGTTGGTGGTAAATCTAAAATAAGCTATTCAACTTTGGAAAAGAGTTGTAATACGCTAAAGGATGACTGGCCTCAATGGCGCAAAGATTTATATCATAAAGGTTGGGCAGTCGTTCCCAATGTCGTTCCAACAGATCGTTGTGCCACCTATAGTAGTGCCTTTTGGGACTGGATGGAGAACTTCAATACCGGCGTAAAGAGAGATGACTCTTCGACATGGGTCAATTCTAATTGGCCTGGTAATATTCACGGTATCTTTCAGCATTACGCATTCGGACAAAACCAATTCGTTTGGGATATCAGAGTAGAACAACCAATTATCGATGTATTTACAAAGATCTATAATACCGATAAGCTGTTAGTGAGTTTCGATGGTGGTAATCTTTCAAAGCCATCCACAAGGGAGACAAAAGGATGGCATCATTTTGATCAGTTGAGTATCATAATTAATTTAATTAATAGAAAATAATAATAGTTAACAAAGTGTTGTAAAACTAACAAACTATTTTTATTATTTATTAATTAATTTTCTTATTTTAGGGGAAGTAATAAGTTTGGTTTTAGATGTGTTCAGGGATTCTTGAATTTAAATCATTGCCAAGACAATGATGGTGGATTGATTGTTTACGAAGGATCTCATTTGGTTCATGACAAATATTTCCGAGAGACTGGAATCGATTCCAAGGGTGATTGGTGGAAATTCGATGACGATCCAATCAAACTAAGTTACTTTAAGGATTGCAAGAAGGTCAAGGTGAACTGCAATATTGGTGATATCGTGCTGTGGGACTCACGTACCATTCATTATGCATGTGCACCGACTACTCCTGAACGTTGTCGTATGGTTGTATATGTCTCTTATCAACCTGCATCGCTCATCTCTGACTCTGATTTGAAAAAGAAAGTGAAATGCTTCAAAGAGAAGAGAATGACATCTCATTGGGCAAGCGAGAATATTAAGATGTTTCCAAAGAATCCTAGAACCTATGGCAATAATGCTATCATCGATAGATTTAAATACGATGAAAAGAAACTTCCTGTTTTAACAAATCGTGCAAAACAACTTGCTGGTTTGATTCCATATAACAATAGTTTTAAATAAATAAACATTTTCTTTTGTTTCTTTTTTTTTTTGAAAATATAGTTTTTTTAAAGTAGATTTAAATGAATCATTCCATAAGACCAGAATGTCATTTCGATTATAAAATATCATTTGATGTTTTAAACATTCCATTGGAAAACCTTTTAAAAATAATTTAAAAAATAAAATCTAATATTCTTTGGTTTTTTTTTTTTATCTTTTTTTTTTGATTATTTAAATAATAGATATGAGGGTTGTTATTAACAACAAAAATTCAATAATCCAAAATAAACACTTTCATGGCAACTATCTCTATGAGAGTGATTCTCGTTCCTTTGCCAAAGATGCACGAATTCTATTAAAACACACGGAAGGAAAATTCGAGCCCCTAAAGGTTCATACAAATCTATTTTTTAGATTTTTATAAGTTGGTGAGTTGAAGTTATAAAGTATTATGGAGTTTGTATCTTTGATTAAAATAACAGATTTATTTTTTGCAAAGAAATTAATAATTAGTTGATATAATACCCTCAACTAACCACTCATCTAACATGACATATGGGTTGGGTGTTGAAATCAAACAACTTTGTGGACTACTTATGGCACGACATAGTGGTGCAATCAATGGATTCGCTAGTGAGTTCCATGTTATCCCAGAAATTGGTGTCCGAATCTTTGCTGTGGCAACTCTGAATCTCATCTATTCTGTAATTAACCAATTGTTAAATGTTATCTCTCAAAGTATCATATCACAATACTTCCAACTATCTCCACGAGTAGCTTACAATGTATTGGCACCTAAGAATGCTAGGTTACAAATGAAATCAGTTCTCAAGTGTCAACCAATTCCAAAAGAGATTAAAAATAGAGTTCTTGGTTATTATAAGTTGATGGATGGTAATCAAAAAAAAGATTTCTTACCACTTCAAAATCTACCAATAGTACAACCAAAGATTATACAAGAAAACATTTGTCACTGCCAATCTTTCTTGGATATCACCTGAGAATGGATCACCAATTCTACCAGATGGTGCTCTTGTCACCAACGATAGATTACTTGCCAATGAAACTAAAGATAACGAATGATGAAATGAATGTTACTATTGATTCTTTCGTTAGACAAAACAATATATAGGATAACAATCTGTTCTACCAACTATACATCCCTTTACCACCTATTTTCAAACCACCAATTAACCATTCCTCAAGAATCTAGTTGGACTCTATGAAGCAAATCAACTTGTAGTATCTATGAATACGATGAATTCTCAATTAGATCAAACAAATCATTTTTCGGTGGAACATCAAGACAGAGATTGTTCAAAAAGTTATTGACAACCGCCTTGATGAATTCTACATGAACCAGAATGGTGTCATTTCGATTATAAAATATCATTTGAATGTTTTAGACATTCCATTGGAAAATCTATAATAATCTTTTTAAAACTAAAATGTAATAATATTTATAATATAATTTTTTTTATCTTTTATTAAATTTTAAATGTTGTAATGTATGAACCTTTAGGTGCTCGAATATCATGAATTTTCCTTCCGAGTGTTTTAATAGAATTCGTGCATCTTTGGCAAAGGAACGAGAATCACTCTCATAGAGGAAAGGTTCAAGATAGTTGCCATGAAAGTGTTTATTTTGGATTATTGAATTTTTGTTGTTAATAACACCCCTCATATCTATTTTTTAGATTTTAATAATTTTATGGGTCGAATTTGGAGTATGTTATTTTTTTGTCGTTTTTTACTTAAAAATATTTGGGACCTAAGATTTTGTTTTTTATTTTGCCGAAACCCAAAATTAATTTTATTTCTATATAATTTCACTTTTTACTTTATAAAGTACGAGAGCGAAAATGACAACTTAATTAGAATATTTATAGTAATTTGGTAATAGTTGGAGTTCTAATCTTTGGAAATATGCTACGAATTTCAATAGATCGACCAAGGACTAAACCGTAGCATATTTAGTTCGATTCATTCAATTTCTTTCACGCTTCTTTTCAACATCACTCTTTTCTGCTTTCTAATTAGCTTTATTTCTTTATAAATCTCGCCCAACCATTTATTTTTCTTTTTTCTTGAACTGTTAAATTTCTTCTCACTTTTTTATTGGATAGTCCCAGAATTATCAGATTCTTTTGTACTTTTTTGTTTCTCGCCTGACCAAAGATAATGAGAGCATCAGGCATAGGAAATGCAAATACTCAACATTTTGTTGTTATCATATTTTTTTAATAAATAATAAAATTAGTTTATATTTTTTTTTTATTTAATTTTTTTAAAGGGAGTTTTAAAGTTTATAATATTTGCTATTCTTTTTTTTTTGGTTGTTTTTTATGTTATTCTTTTGAAAAAAGGTTTCTTTTTTTTTTTGTTTGTTTGGTTTGTTTGGTTTTTTGATTGATATTGATGATGATCAATTGATTTAACTAACCAACTTTGATGCACAATCATAACAATATGGATTGCTATGAACTTCGTAGAAATTGAGGGCAGGGAATGCCGTACGACATCCGGTGCATGAGAAACATTTGTTGTTGTTGTGGAACTTTCGGCCGAGTACCTTAATGACACCCTCACCTCTTGATACGATCTGCTCACTGCAACCATCGCAGACTTCGTATTTTGGTGCAGTTGCCTTGGTGACACATGCCAAACAGTATGGTTTGCCTTCGAGTTGGTAGAACTCCTTGTCTGGGAAGTGAGTACCACACGAGTTACACTTGAAGCACTCCTCGTGGAACGAGTTGCTCAACGCCGATACAACGGTGCCAAAGATTGGTTTCGAGCACATGAAGCACTGTTTGTGCTCGACGAAACTACGATCGTAGCAATCCTCGCAGTATGGTTGATCCAAGTGTACGACGAAGCTCTGAATCTTCTTGTGACAATCGTTGCATGTAAAGTGGTCGATGTGCCAAGCTCTATCCATGGCTTTATAGTGGCTGCCTTCGATCGATTGTTTACAACGGTGACAGAACAGCTGTTCATCGCCATCGACGGTAGTAGATACACCACGTGGTGAGCTGGAGTTCAGGTTACCAGAGGATGTATTGGTGGCTGCTGGTGGAGGGAAGGGAACGGGTAGTTGTATGAGCTGCTGGTGGTTGAGTAGCTGGTTTACTGAGGTGTTCGGTTTCAATATTTTGATGAGAGTGAGAGTGAGAATGTGTTGTTTCTTGATGATGGGATGGTGTTGGTACTGGTGCTGGAACTGCTGGTGTTGGTGCTGGTGCTGGTGTGTGTACTGGAGCAGTTGGTGTATGTACTGGTTTGGGTGGTTCAACTGGTTGGTGGTGATGAGTAGTTGTTGTTGCTGCTGGTGGTGGGGTTGGTTTGACAACTGGTGAGATGGATGGAGCTGGCTTGACAACAGGCGATACTGATGGAGCTGACTTCATAGAGGTCTGCGATGGTGTTTTGTTGAGGACAGGAGCCGGTTTGGCTCCAACGGAAGCTGATGATGTTACATTGGATTTTGGTGCTGACGAGTGGACACTGGCAGTTTGTACTACACGTCCAACCGGTGATACATTCTGACCTGGTTGCACCCAGTTTACTGGTGTCTTTCCAAAACCTGCAGCTGGTTTAATGGCTGGAGATGCTTGTGATTTGAATGTTGGTGTTGTTTGTTTTGGTGGTTGTTCTTGAACTGGTGCTGGTGCTGGTGGATTTCCACTTGGAGTAATGTTACTCTCAACTACAACATTGCTCTTGAATGATGTTGTAACATGTACAACTGGATCCTCTTGCTTTGGAGCAACTGGTGCTGGTGGAGCGGCAACTGGTGTTGGAGCTGGTGTTGGTGTTGCTTCAACTGGTGTTGGTGTTGGTGTTGGTGTTGGAGCTGGTGTGTGTACTGGTTTGGGTGGTTCGACTGGCTTGAATGGAGCGGCAGCTGGTTTGTTTGTTGGGGCGGCAGCAGTGGCAGCTGGTTTTGGTCCAGCCGAATTTTTGGCAATGGCCGGTGCTTTACGCAAGACACCGGTTGATGGCTTGAGTTGTGGGGCAGCACCTGGCTTGGCAACACTAACAAATGTTGGTTTTGGAGTTGGTGTGGAGTTGACTGGAGCTGGACTGCTATTGGTTGGAGCTGGACTACTATGTCCAGATGCACCAGTATCAATTCCACCTCCTCTACTCTTTAACTTTGGCATTCCACCAGCAAAAATGTCACCAAATCCAGATGGACCGCCACCTGGAGCTGGTCTACCAGAACCTCCTCCTCCACCTGGAGCAGATGGAGCTTTCAAAGGACGATCTATAAAGAAAATAATAATTAAATAATCACAATTGTGATATTAATATCCAAGTTTGTTTGTTTTTTGTTTTTTTTCCGGACAATTTTTTTTTTTTTGTTTTCATTCAACAACCTTTTTTCCTTTTACATCACTCATCCATCCATCTCTCATTCACTCACTCTCTCACTCTCTCAAATGATCTCTTCATTCTCTTTAGATGTCAATCTATATTTACCATCTGGTTTCTTATCATTGGTCTTAACTTTCTTTAATTTGGCTGAACTAAAATTTTGAATGGATCCAAGCAATGCATTACGACCTGGATCTGCGGCTGGAACTCCAGCGGGTGGTGGGGGTGGTGGAGCTGGTGCTGGAGGTGGTGGTGGGGGTGGTGGACCGTCCATATTTAACTATTTGAAAATACAACTACAAAGTAAAAAGATAATTTAAAGTACAAATTTAACAATGAAAAAACAACGACAACAGTCAACTATAACTCTTGATAAACTGTAGACAATTTCGAAATTGTATCAACCTTCTTGTTATTATTCTGTTTGTTTGATTCTGTTTCTACAAAAAAATTGTTATTTCTATACACAATATATTTTATATATATAAATATATGTTTAATAAAAAAAAACAATTAGAAATAAATAAAATATAAAATATGATTAATTTAAATCAATAAATAGTAAGTGAAATGACTGATGTGGGGGAATTTGCTTGATTGCTAACAATTTTAAATTTAAATCAGAGGAATGGAGTGTTTGTGAGAGAGCAACAACATAAACAACCAAAGCAAAACACAACCAACACACTTTAAAAAAAAAACAAAAAAATGTTACTATTTTTTATTAATATTACAACAATAAAAATATATAATTTTGATTTGAAATTTGTGTGGCTTTTGATAATTTTTAAATTTAAATTAAATTTGGCCAAATTGATCATAAAAAAAATTCAAATAAAATTTGGGTTTGTTCAGCAACAACACAATTTTCAAAAAAAAATTTAAAAAAATACAATAAAAAAAAAAAAAAGTCAACTATTCATTGGGTTATTATTGGTTGAATGAATCTCAAAGGTTAGCAATTATCAAATGAAAATAAATAACTATTTATCTGAAAATTTATATATATGATTTATAGAATTGAGTTTTATATTTCATATTCTTCATAATCTTCATGGTTAAAATCTTCATCGTCATCGTCGTCGTCAAATTCTTCTCCTCTCCTATATCCTGATGTATCGTCATTATAGATAACAGTTACTACATCTTCTTCGTCTTCTGAAGTAACTTGTTGTTGAGTTGGTTTTTGTGGTGTAGTCGGTTGTTTTTGATTGGTTGTTGTTGATGTTGTTTTCTGTTGACCTATACTAATTGTTCCTCTAGTGACATTTTGACCTGGTTTGACAGTTGGTGATGTCGGTTGCTTTGTTGGTTGTTGTTGTTGGAATTGTGCGGGTTGTTTCAATTTCGATGGCGAAGTTGTGTTGGTAGCGGGTGTTGGTGTTGCTGGTGCTGCAGGTGGCCAAGCAGCCGCTTTCTTGGCAACCTCTGAATTTTTGTTGACTTGAGGCTTTGTAGCGGGCTTTGATTGTGGTCGTTGTTGTTGTTGTTGTTGCTGTGGATCGTATCTTGCTGAGACTGGACGTTGAACTCCACCTGTTTTTCTCATGATGGAAGCTGTCTTGGTGTTGGAATTCAATACGACTACCGAACCCTTCAATGACTCTGCCTTGCGCTGAGCCTCGGCAGCTTGATCGGATTCCTCCATCTGTCGCATCTTCTCATCACGACGCTCCTTCAACAGAGGAATACATTCAGTAACGAGCTTCTGGAGAATCTGCTGTGATGAACCCTTGAGAATGAATGGATGACTCAAAAGTTGTTGGGCAGATGGACGTGCCGCTGGATTCAGTGCCAGACAGACACGCACGAAATCGTGAAAGTCGTCGGACCAGTCCGACTGGATTTTGAGGGTGGGTGGTGGTTGATGGGGAATGGTGAAGATGACACGCGAGGGTGGAATATCGAATCTGGGTGGAACACTCTCAGCGATTTCGATTGCAGTGATTCCCAGTGACCAGATGTCAGCTTTCTGATCGTATCCCTGTCCCATGATAATCTCTGGTGCCATCCAGTAGGGCGAACCAATAACGGTCTTCATTTTCTGTCCTTGCTCAGCGATTGTCGAGACACCGAAATCCGCCAGCTTTGGCAGACCCTCCTCGTCCAACAACACATTTCCAGCTTTGATGTCACGATGTGTGGTTCGCTTCGAGTGCAAATAGACCAGTCCCTTGACGACACCGGCACACACCGCTGCAATCTCGTCTTCGGTCAGTCGCTTCTGACACAACTCTATAATATCGAGAAGAGATCCACCCTTGCAGTACTCCATAACTATGAGAAGCATCGATGATTTCAAATAGCAACCTTTGTACTCTACAATGTATGGACAATCGATGGATTCTCTGAGAATATCGATTTCCTTTGCCAAATTTGTGTTTGTTTCGATATCGTCTGCACTGACCTCTACGAATTTACATGCAATCAATCGATTTCCATTGGATTCACGATCTTTCTTTTTCATCCAACGACATGCACACACTGTACCAAAAGATCCTGATCCAACAACCTCTACAATTTGAAAAATTAATTCCGGATCATCTTTGGAAATTCTATTACTAAAAAATTGTTCTATATCTGCCATTTTCTATATCTTTGAAAAAAAAATTGTTTTATAAAATAAATACTATATAATTTATATATGGAATATGGATGCAAATAGGGGAAAAAAAAAAAAAAAAACTGAAATTAACTTTTTTATTTAAAAGATTAAAGAGAGAAATTATAAAATACAAATAAGAAAAAGGAATAAAAATACAAGTTTAAAAGTTAAATAAATAAAATATAGATACAAAATAAGAAGAAGAAGATTTTTGTTTAAAAAAATGATTTGAAAATGTAAATCATTAATGTTATTTGGCTTGTGAAAAAAAAAAAAAAAAGTTTAAAAAAAAATCCAACCATCAATTTTTGATCCATAAAAGTTTTTTTTTATTTTTATTTTTCATATTAGATCGCGTTTTGTGTCTTCCGATCTAAACAAATTTATTATTTGAAAAAAAAAGCATTGACAATGCAAACCTGAACAAAAAATCATTCAAAAACAAATAAAACAAATGCAAATAGATAAATTCAATTTAAATCCTCAATAAAGAACCGAGTTACTTGTAACTGGTAAAGTCAATTCAGATACTAAATCACTAAATTTATACTATACAACTGAAAAGTAGTTATTTATTCTCAAAAAAGAAAAATAAGAAAAATGAAAATAGAAATAAAAAAAAAGATAAAAAAAGAGATCAAAGAACAAAAAAATATATAATATCACTTTTTAAATATGATTTACAATGTTACTGTGATCACAAATTTTAAAACAAGTTTTGTTGTTTGAGTGCTTTTCTTCCTCTGAAAAAACCTTGTGATCAAAATTATAATAAAAAAAAATTGAGTGAGTTAAAAAAAATTCAGAAAAAAAAAAAAAAAAAAAAAACTTTGGTGTGGTCGCTGCCCCCTTAAACTCAACTCATCTTTCTAAAGTTATTAGCAAATAAACAGAGATATAAAATAACCATCAAGTATATTTATAGTTTAATTAATTGTATTGTAATAATAAATCTATTGAATTGTTTTGTTTTGTTCTTATTTTTCATAATTCAAACACAATCATCACTTTTACAATCAATCAAATCAACTTAAAACCAAACCAAATCAAATCAAATCAAAGCAAAACAAAACAAAACAAAAATTATTTTTATTTTATTTTTTTTAGCTTAGTTTAGTTTAGTTTTTACTTTTTTTTATTTATAAAAAAGATTAAAATAAATAGATTTAAAGTAATTTAATCTATTGTAATATATATAAAATAAACATAATATAAATATCTAAATATATATAATTAGAATATATAAAAAACACACATAGAAAGATGTCAGAAGAACAATTCACAGCAGCATCGTCCGATTCGAAAAAGAATAATGTTGTAGTTAAAGTTGGTATGGTTGGAGACTCACAGATCGGTAAGACATCGCTCATGGTCAAATACGTAGAGGGTACATTCGATGAAGATTATATTCAGACACTGGGTGTCAATTTCATGGAGAAGACAATCTCGATTAGAGGCACCGAGATCACATTCAGTATTTGGGATCTCGGAGGTCAGCGTGAGTTCGTCAATATGTTGCCACTGGTGTGTAACGACGCCGTTGCCATCCTCTTTATGTTTGATCTCTCGAGAAAGTCAACACTGAACAGCGTCAAAGAGTGGTACAGACAGGCTCGTGGTTTCAACAAGACCGCCATTCCATTCTTGATCGGTACTAAATACGATGTTTTCGCAACACTGCCCGCTGAAGATCAAGAAGAAATAACTAAACAAGTATGTATCGTATATGTATATAAATATTTATAATTAATTCTAATCTTGTATCTTTATTTATTTATTTAGGCACGTAAATTTGCAAGTGCAATGAAATCACCATTGATTTTCTGTTCAACATCACACTCGATCAACGTTCAAAAGATTTTCAAGATTGTTATTAGTAAAGCATTCGATTTGAATTGTACTATTCCAAAGATTACCAATGTTGGTGAGCCATTACTAGAATATTAAAAACAACAACATAACAACAAACAAACAAATCAACCAGTCAAATCAAAATCAAATCAAATCAATAATGTATTTAATATATCTCAACTCACTCACTCCACACTCCACTCTCACAAACCACCAAGTAAAGTAAAGTAAAACCAAAAAAGTAAAACAACAATAATAATAATAGCATTTGATGAAAAGCTTTTAGTAAGTTGATAAACCTGCTTACTATCATCAATAAATGTAACAATCCAAAAAAAAAAAAAAAACAATAATACTACAATAAGAGTTCTTTCTTATTCATTTAATAATTAATAATAATATATAGAATCAAGATAACCATTGCACAACCATTTAACCATTTTATTTTTTTTTTTAAAAAAACAAACAAATTTGTAATAAAACAAATAATAATATAACTAAATTGTTTGTTTGTTAATCAATCTATTTATTTTTAATGAGTCAATGGTATAAATAAATGAATTATGATCTGTGATGTTTTAAAACTTATTGTTCTTGTCGACGATACCTCTTAAGTATTATTATAAGTGTTTGTTTTGTTTTGTTTTGTTTTGTTTTTTTTTTTAAGAGAATTTTAGTTATCGTCATCCTCTAATGTGTCCTCTGGATAATAATATTCTTGAAGTAAACGGTAGATGTAGGATGGGTTATGTGCACCACTAAAAAAAAAATAACAAATGATAAGTGATTAGTGTTTGTTTTGTTTTGTTTTTGTTATGTTATATGTGTGTATATAAATGATAAACTTACATGTTGGTAACGAATAAACTAACTAATTCAGGTGGTATATAATCAAAGGTTGGATTGTAACTGTGAACTTGTTCGAGATGCTCGGCCTCTTTGAATTTGAGATAGGCACTGGGTGATCCGTAGTCGTTGAATGTATCTTGGTCGTAGGCGTAGAGCGGACACAGCTTGTAGAGACCGGTGCAAACCATCACTGGCACCGAGTGGTACTTGGCTGCCACTGTCAGCATATGAGTACCGGAGGTTGCAATCAAACCACCGTTTGCCATCACTGCGTGTGTACCAATGATAACCTTATTCACTCTCGACATCATTGCAAACACTGCACTATCTGTAATCAATGTTGTATCAATATTTTCCTTTGCCAAATTCAATGCTGCTGTTTGACCTTCAAGACTATATTATTATTATTATTAACATAATCTCATATTAGTTTCAATTGATACATAACAAACTATATATAGATATATAATAGATATACATACGATGGTGCAGTTTCAACGACTATTACACCAAATTTACGTTTACGACCAGCTTCTCTTAGAAAATCTTCTACTGTACGTGAATAACCTAATGTCATAATAACTTCACTAAAATGATGATGATGATGATGATTGTTTTTAAATGATGTTCAATATGTGTACGGCACTATCATCTATCTGTATATGTTTATGCTTATGTTATATTTACTTTGAATGAATATGTTCTTTATATTGTTGTGAGATACTCTTACGAAAACCTTTGAGTTCATCGATTAAATAACCGATTTGTTCGAGAATTGATGACTTTAAACCATTGAATGACTGTTGGAAATCTTGATCATCTGGATCTTCAATAGTCAACAAATTGTTTCTAGATGAATCTAACTTTATCCTACCTGTTGTTGTTGTTGTTTATCATTATCATCGATGTTCAAAAGTGTTAAAATCGGTTCAATCATTTCAATCACAACATAATTCTGAATATACATACTATGATCATCTTTCTTCAATGCTAAATACTCTTCACGAATAATATATAAAACACGTCTAACTATATTACCAATACACAATTCTAATGTATTTGATTTGATTTATTTTTGAATGGTTTTAGCTTAGATTAGTTTTGAAACTTCTTAACTTTTCTTTGCATAACTTACCTAATGGTTGTGTTTCAATTAAACGTTTACCTATGGCTTTTACTTGATCTATCAATACTCTTGCGTTTGGCCATCTGGTTGTAGATATATAATGTCTTAATACTTCTGCAGTGGCCTTCGAGACTGCAAACGATCCTGTAATTCTCTTTCTCTTCAATAGCAGAATAACGCTATCAAGTTGTGCTTCCATCTTCTTTCAAATAATAAATAAAAAAAGTCTAATTAAGAACTAACTAAACTTTAATGATATAAAAAAAAAAACAAAGACAAAGAAGGGGAAAAACAATAGAAAAATAATAATAATTCTTTCAAATTTGATCAAAAAATTGTTTTTTTTTTTTTTTGTTTTGATTGATCATCCAAGTTTATTTTTTTATCATTAAAATTGTTCTTGATGATAAAGATAATGATAATCATTCTCCATATTCAACAATAGCAATTAGGGAAATAATTAGTTTTGACAATTATAAAATAATATAAAGCTTTATTGTTAGTCAAAACTAATAAAATATAGAAATTTCAAGTATTAAGAAAGGAAATTCTGACATTAATAGTTAACTATACTATTTCCGAGATATTAGTTCCAAAAACAAAAAAAGGGGTATCCAATTCCGATACCATTTATTAATTTAAATCCTGATTACTTTTTATTTTTTTTTTTTTAATTTTTATTTTTTTTACTTTTTAAATAGTCTATTCAGATTCTTTTTTTTTTCATTATTTCTTAAGTTATAAAGAAAATGAGAGCAGTTATACAAAGAGTAAAACAAGGTTCGGTCACTGTCAACAATGAAGTTATATCATCAATTGGTCAAGGTTTAGTTTGTCTCATTGGAATCACTCATGATGATACAAAAGTAGATTCTGATTGGTTGTAAGTATCATGATACATGTTCATTCATTTCATTAGGTAAAGACTTACTTACTGACTAACTGATACATAATCAATCAATCATCACATCATCAAATCATCAAATTTGAAGATGGAAGAAAATATTGAATTTGAGACTCTGGGATAATAAGGAGGCCAACAAGAGCTGGGATAAAAGCGTAAAGGATATGAACTATGAAGTGTTATTTGTCAGTCAGTTTACATTGTATGCAGTCACCAAGAAAGGCACCAAACCCGATTTTCATTGCGCAATGCCCTCGGAATTATCGAAACAATTCTACACTCAATTCCTAAATGATGCCAAACAAAACTATAAACCTGAATTGATTAAAGGTAACCATTATATACTTGTTATTTGTTTTAAAATACTAGTAAGTTCTAATGTTTCTCTTTTTTTTTTTTATTTCTTTAAAACCAATTATATTTATAGATGGATGTTTTGGTGCAATGATGGATGTTGGAATTGTAAATGATGGACCAGTCACAATCGTACTTGATTCAAAAGATAAATAATCAATGATTGTAAAAAAAGAAAGCACTAAAACAACAAACACATTCATTACCTCATACATTTCTAGAATAGATTCATATTTACCAGGGTTATCAAAACTTGACTCCAATATGTGTTGAAATTTTCATTGACCAACTCCACAATTCACAATTGAAATAATTATTATCACCTTATTATGTATTAAATAAAAGAAAAACAAAAGAAGATTTTATTTATATTTATAAATATCAAAAAAAAACAAAAGCAAATTAGATACACTGATTGATGTAAGGTTCACAAATATTAGTGTTTAACACAAGAGCTCCTACTGCCACTTACAATTTCCGGATAAATTTTGTAAATTTGATAAATTAAAGCCGATTCATCCACGGTATACCACAATTGTTGACACTTTAATCTCTAAGTTTTTTTTATTATTGTCTATTTTAAATCATTGATATCAACAAACAAGTATAAATAAACTTTAGCATTGGCCGCACTAATAAAAAAAAAATAACTTAATAACTGATCAGCATAGGAGGTTGTGATTTGCTTTGTGTTGTACAAATTCGATAATTGGTTGTTCATGTTTGTGTTTATGTTTTGATTTTAAATAATAATAAATCAAATCAAAAAAATTTATTTATTTGGTTTGCTTTTTTCCCTGGTTTGAAAAAAAAAATTATAGATTGTGTTTTGTTTTTTTAGCAAATCAAAAAGTGAGTGACACTTAGTCCTCAGTCCTCTATCCTTTTGGAAAAGTTGGTCTTCAACTAAAAATAAATAAATAAATTTGAAAAAGCAAAAGTAAATTCAACAAAAAGTTTTTCTTTTTTTTTTTTTTGTTTTTTAAATAAATATCAGGTCATTGGGATTAGAATGAGGTTTGATTGAAGTGTCACCAAAATACCAATCTTTTTTAACAAACAAACAAAATGAATATATGAACAAAAATAAAAAGAAAGAAATTTGAGAAGAGAAAAAGATAATAGTTTATAAACTACTGTAGATAAATATAAATTTAGGATTTTTTGATTGTATAGTTATTTAAAAAAAAAGTAAATATAAAAAAAATAAAATTTTAAAAAAACAAACCAAATACCACCAACGAAAACCAAAGACTTTCCAACCAACAAAAAAAATCAGATATTTTTCATTTTTCAAACAGTACTGTTTTTAAGATCTAAATAAATAAACAAGCAACAAGAAGAGCTTTGAAAATTCAATTTCAAAATTATCTTTTTCCCAGGAATCTCGACTTTAATGTATTTTTTTTAATTATTTTTCATTTCATTTTTTGTTTTTTTATCTCATCTTGTACAAAACAACAATCTTTATTTATCAACCATATACCCAAGAGAAAGATACAAACACCTTTCTTACATTAAACTTATACTCACAATCAAACACCATTCGCAATTAAACAAAAAAACACACTTCCAAACACCCCTTTTTCTTTTTTTTTTGAACTTTAGGGTCACAGCGATAAACCAAATAAACAAATAAACAAAATCAACACATATATATACAAGTTTTATGATAAATCATTAGAATTAATTATTATAATAAACAACCACTCACTATCACTCACTACATAATCAACTTCAATATCTTTCCTTTTGGTTTTGTTTTGTTTTGTATTTTTTATTAAAACCTGTAATATTAATCATTATTATTTTCTAAAGATAAATAGATAGATAAGTTAGATACGGTCATAGTCAGCCAGCGGTATATATATATAAATAAATAAATTAGTTTAAGATAAATAGTTAGATAGATAGATAGATAGCATAACTTATAGTTTTAAGTCGAAATAGTATATTGATATTGATATTGATAGATAAGAATAAATATAGACAATGAGTTCTTTTGAACCATTTAATCAGAGTAATATCCAATCCGAATCAATGTCATTGCTTTCAGCCAATATAAACTCTGATAATGAGGAGTTTGGTGTATACCAAGAGCCAAATGAATCATATTGGAGCCGGTTCGTCAGTCTACTGAAAAGAATATTTCTACCAAAGGGTGAAATGCCTCATGACGGTAAGTTCAATGTTTAGATATATTTACAATACATTTTTTTTTTGAAGAAGCTAATTAATATCATATCATATCATATCATATCATATCATATAAATATTATTTATATATAATACAGATCGTATTAATATGGATTGGTTACAAAAATGGAGAAAATATAATAGATTCCCATTTAAATTATTAGTTCATTTAGTAATTACAGTTTGTTTAACTTCAATTGTATGTATTCTCAAATTAAAATTATCTTTATCTCAGTATAAAATATCCAAAAAAAATATGCAAAGTTTAATTTAACTCAAAACTTTAATTTTGTAGATATTTATCCAAACAGGTGATTTGACAGAATATTCAGTTGGTATTGAAGGTACATGGTATAAGATATTCTTTCCAACAGATTTCCAATATGAAGGTGATTTCGGTGCCAATATAGTATATCTTTATACTGTACAGGATACAGTCGACATGATACAAAATGATTTAAATAATGTATGTTTTGTTTTTAATAATTGATTCAATCTGGATTTCATTGGATCGGTTTTATTATTGATACTAAAATATTTTTAATTATTATTATTTTGATCAACTTGTTAGTATAATAATTTCACTAGTACGTCTGTCAATAAGTTTGTGATGCTTGGAAATGTAAATTCGGTACCACCTTTCGATGCAACATTGTATATATCGATGTATAAAGACTGTAGTCAGGTATTCGATACCAATATCATCTCGGCCAATACCGACACAGTTACCACATCGTATGTTGTGAATTCCGATGATTTGGGTCCATTGAATCTCGATAATCACACACTTGAGGATCTACAGCAGATGTTCTTCTGTATGGAGAGTATGAGGTTACGTTTCACATTTTCAAACATTCATCTTCAATACGATCATCCAGTGGAGTATACATGGAATGTAGATGTAGTATTCGATAACTCTGTTCAAAGTGGAAGAATTGCAACCACCGTTGAAGCTACTAAAACAAGAGTTACAGATCGTATGTATTTAAGATTTTATTTCATCATAGTTTAAAAATAAGTTTATCTAATTGCAATCATTAATTTTAGTTCCATATTCGAAATTAATTCAATCGTCAAAGATGATTTTGGAAATCATATTGATTATTTTCTCATTGTTATCTCAGGTTATGGCGTGGAGATCGTTTATGTTCTCATTCAAGACCTTCCAGAGAACCAAGAGATTGGTCCGTAGAATTTCAACCAAGCAGAAGCTCACTGCGACCATCAATTGGGGATCACTCCCAGTGAGAACCAAATTGAGATTCTTCAATCTCTGGTTCATCGTTTGTTTCATCTGTAACCTTTGTACTATTGTCGGTGCAACACTCGACTTTTTCGAAGCAAGTTCACACGCTACCAAGTTGTTGATTGGTTTCGCCACACTCTTATCGTGGATCAATCTCATTCGTTATCTAGAATTCGATCCAAAATCAATTGTAAGTATATTTAATGTTTTTCTTTATTCAACCAAATATGAATATTCTGAATTAATTAATTGATTTCTTTTTTTATTAAAGGCTTTAATTAGAGCATTGGGATCAGGTTTACCAACTATTTTAAGATTTTCAGCTGGTAGTCTTCCAATTTTCATTGGATTTGCTTTGTTTGGTTTAATGTACTTCTCAGAGACCTCTTCTAGATTCAGTTCTATCGGTGAGGCAATGGTAACTCTCTTTGGTTTGCAGAATGGTGACGATATACAATCAACCTTTAGAGCAACAGAGAAGAGTCCAATCGTTTCAAGAATTTATTTCTTTGTATTTGTATTCATTTCAATGTATGCCGTTGCAAACATCTACATTGCTATTATGGAGGGTGCCTATTCTCAATGCGTTGGTGTAAGTGTAAATTCAATTCAAATCCAATCAAAAAAAAAAAAACAAAACAAAACAAAACAATGTTGAAAGTTATAACTAACTAATTCGCATATAATTTAAATAATAGATTAAATCTAAACTCCAAAGAAAAGCTGATGAGGAAGAAGAAAGAAGAAACGGTGGTGGTGATGATGAGTTGAATCTCGACGATGAGATTTGGGACAAGTTGTTGGGATTAAGTTCCGACTCAGAGTCGGACCAGGAAGAAAAGAAGAGAAGAAGAAAGAAGAATACAATTAGAAAGCTAAAGAACAAGTTCCAGACCAACAAGAAGTTGACCGAATCACAAATTCTAACTACCGACCGTGCAGTCGATGCATTGGATATGGATTCCATCGTCGAAGACATCTCCAAGTCGATTTTGGAGAGACAAGTCGAATTCAACAAGGACATTCAGAAATTGGTGAAGGCATCGATTCACTCGAGAATCGAATCGTTGATTCAATCTCAAAAGCTATCGGTATCGAACAAGCAAGACGACGACAACAACAACAACACTGCAGGAAACAACAATGGAACCGGTGTCAGTAACGACAACAACAACAACAATAACAACAATGATAATGCGGATGTAATTAATTTCTACACCGATCCAGAATCAGATTAATAAACAAATATATAAAAAGAACAAATTATTTATTTTTAAAAACGAAAAAAGTGTTTAAACAAAAGAAAACATTATTAATCAGAGAACCAGCAAAAGTTCTCCTTTTTTTTAGTTTGTATTGTTTTTTTTTCTTTATGCACTACTTTGAGATTCTCGGTACTTTTGTGAAAGTCTTGCTCTCCATGAAAATGTTGCTATTATTATTTTGAAAAAAAGAGAATGATTAAATAATGAATTAATAAGAGTTTGCAAAAACGTTGAAAGTTATTGTTTGATTTATAACTTACGGGTTGCAGGTGTTGCTGCCAATGATGTCCTTGCTGGTGAGAAATATTTGGAAACGATTTCGTCAGAGGTGCTTCCATATTTCTTGGTATCATTGGGTACCTCTTGATTGATTTCAAACTTTGGAGGCGGACTCAGATTAATTGAATGATTTAATTCGGGAGAAATAGGTTTGTTGATAGTCGTCATACGGTTTGTTGGTGGTGTGATGTGTGGTGATTGTGGTGGTGATTCCTTGACAAATTTAATTGGAGAATCAGAGAAATTCGATTGATTGAAGAGCTCTTCATCGCTACTGTCATCTTCAAATATTGAATCGGTGTTAAACGATGGTAAACTACTGGATTTCTTTGGTTGTATAAATTTAAAGCTGTTGTCTTCTTGTGTGTTTGTTGATTGGTGGTTTTCTGTTGGTGATGATGGTGTAGATGATGATGTTGGTGCGCTTACCGTTGTTATTTTACTAAAAAAGAAAATAATTAATAAATAAATAAAATCAAGATTCATTAAAATATGATTGACTTACTTCTTTTTGAAAAAAGGTTGATGAGGTTGACGTTGTTGTTGTTGTTGTTGATTTTGCTGTTGATATGGTGATTGTTGTTGCTGTTGATCGAAATCATAGATATCTTTTCTTTTTGCAGGTTGATAAGGTGATGCTTGATTTTGTGAAAATAAAAGTGTTTTTCTTCTTATGCCTTCGGATGAACTGTTAAGATTATTGCTGCTGTTATTTAAATTACAATTGTTATCTATACTACCAGAGCTGCCACTGCTGCTGCTACTACTGAAACTACTATTAAAATTGTTGTTGGAATAAGATGGTGTTGAAGATGTTGTTGTGGTTGTTGTTGTTGTAGTTGAAGTGTTTGTCATTAAAACACTTTCTTTCTTCTTATACATAAATTGATCGAATATATTTAAACTGACTCTCTGATCTGTAACTAAACTATTCTTTTTAAATGTTTTACCAGCATTATTATTGTTGTTATCTGATTGTGAACCTTGTGAAGATGATTGTTGTTGTTGTTGTTGTTGTTGTTGTTGTTGTTGTTGTTGTTGTGAAAAATAAGAAGATGTTAATCTTGGTGGTGGTAGTTGTAGTTGTTGTTGCTGTGATTGTTGCTGTTGATAATAAGTAATTTGTTGTTGTTCTTCTTCATTTTGTTCTTCATATTTAATCTCATAATCTTCGATTTCAAAACTGTCATCTACCGATATCTTTGAAGTTGAGAAATAACTACTGGTAACTATCTTATTTTGATTATTATCACTATTAGTAGTATATGTATTACCATCTCCATCTGTTGTTTTTAATATTGGTGTTTTAGCTATGGTTTTGTTTTCAAAATAAAAGTTAATATAAAAAATCTTCTTCTTTTAAGCATATATTTTCGCAAACATACAATAATAGGAAGTTTGATCATTATCTTCATCATCATCATTCTCTTCTTTGTATTTCAAATTCTCTTCTTCTATATCACTTTCCAAATCGAATTCGTCATATCTGGTATCGTCATTTTGCTGTACTACTTTTGTTGTTAAAGTGGATCCACTTGTTTTATCTGTATGCGAATGATTGATTAATTGATTGGTTAATTAACAATTCAACTATAAAATCATCAATATCTCTTTCCCTCTTCTTTCTTTCTCTCTCTCTCTCTCTCTACATACCGAAATAATTTGTAATCTTATTGGTTTCATGAGAACTTAAAAATGATTTCTTTGGTTGTGTATTGAATGTAATGTTTGGTGTAGGAACATTCTCATCGAACGATTGTTTGGAGTTGGGATCGATAATACCTTTTGCAATCTTTTCTGCTATTTCATTTTCAATAAATCTATAGTTATAGATAGATAAATAGTTTTAGTTAGTATAAATTATAGTTTGATTGATTATTGTATTTTGGTGATTACTTACTCTCCAAGGAAATCGATTGATTCGAAATTATAAGTTTTCTCTTTATCTATTGGTGAGAAATGTACTAACTCTCGTAAACAAGGATCGAATACACGCTGATGTCTAAAGGTGAGATCAGCTTTATAGAACTGTTCGATATAGTTGGTATGCATGCCTTTCTCCATTCTCAGTACCTTGAAGATCTTCTCGATATCACGATGTTTCTTCAGATACTTGTAGGCTGTCTTCAAACCCATACCAGTGAGTGACGGTAAGTAATCACAACCCGACAATATACACATATGCCTCAACATCGTCAAATTGAAATCTGCCAAATCATAATCCTTTCCTTTGCAAGTAGCTAAATCCTCTGTTTTAATCTCTTCACAATATCCTTCTTTATCCATTTTAAATAGCATCTAAAAAGTTAGTCGTAATAGTAATAGTAGTAGTAGTAGTAGTCGTTATTGTTTAGTTAGTTAATGAAACAAGTTTAGTAGTTATTATGTAAATTGATATATATTTACATTTGGTGTACCATATGCAACTAAATCAGAATCTTCGGTGAGCACTGCATCTACTTGACCGGTGACAGCGAGGTATGCAAGTTGAGCATCGGCTTCGTAGGGTGCAACGAGGTATTCTATGTTCATTTGACGGAGTACTTTGATGAGAAGGAATGCCATGGTCGGCGTGACATCTACCGCTTTCTGAAAGCATCGATTCGCCTCTGCAGCGTTGCCTTCCATAAGATATGCGTGTGCCATCGCTTTCATATGCTCACGTTTACCTCTACGTTCATCTTCTGTCACTTTCTTATTGGGCAGAGCTCCACCATCAAATACAATCACCGGTATCACTTTATTCTGTTTCAACATATTTATTAATGATATACAATAATTTATAAATCTATAATTATATAATTAAAGATAAGATTAATATTTGTTTTGTTTTTGTTGTTTTTGTTGTTGTTGTTTAAGCTAGTTAATATATATATATAATACATACTTTGTAGTTGGTATATTCATACATAGCTCTTGACTACATGAATAGACTGCTTTGTGCAACCAACAATATCCATCGATGGCTATTCTTTTGTTTGCGTATTCACTGATATGAATACGTTTGGTAACCGGGGATAGCAACTTTAATAAACCAGCTATCCCCATTGTTGTTTTTGTTTGTTTGTTGGTTTGTTTGTTTGTTTGTGTACTAAACGGTCTAATCTATCTAACCTTCGTATCTATCTAAACTATTACTATATGTTCCTAACAATCAATCTAATCGAATCAAATCTACTCTACTCTAATCTACTCTACTCTAATCTAATCTATCAAAATCTAAAATAAATCTATCATCAAAACAGTAAAATACTATTCATTATTGCACTACAACAAACACTTGATAATAATAAAATAATAATATAAACAAAAAATAAATAAAAAAATGTAAATAAATTTATAAATTTGTCATTTGCAAAAAAGTTAAAAAACAAAAATCCTTTTACTTTCTTAGAATTATTTACTAAAATAAAACAAAATTGATTGAACGAATTTTTATTTTATTTTTTTTATTGTTTTGAATGATTATTACATAACTAGTTATTTTTAAATCGGAATTTTATTATAATTAATTTCTTGTTTAAAATTATACTTTCAATTTTAAAAAAGATAATTAAATTGAATTGGAATTAGAATAGTTTTAGAGGTTTATTGAAAATCAGACAATATCTCTCCGTAAAATATACGTCTAACAGCGTTGGTATCAGTGAAAACATTCGATACCCATTGGTATACATTGATTCTTTCGAGTATTTCACTTTTACTCTTTGAATGGATCTCTTTAATTCTATTTTCAATAGATAGATTATCATTCTCTTGTTTCTTATTTTCTTCTTTTTCATCTTCATCTTCATCATCTTTTGAATGATAGGTTTCAATGAAATGTTTAATATCTACATTGTCAACCAATTGATTATTATCATTATTATTATCTTTTTCTGTTGATGTTGATGTTGTTGATGTTGATATTATATCTTTAACCTTGTTATAATCGATTTCGAGTTTGGCAAGTTCCTCTCGCTTGGCATCGAGAAACTCTTTTGCATTGTCAGCTTCGATCTGAATGTAATTGGTGTACATATTCAAACCTTGTGTAAACTGTTCAAACGATTGTTGCTTCTGTGAGAGATCGTCGTTTCTGACAGCAACGAATATCAATGCTTTTCGAATCTTTGGAAATATCGTCTCAAAGTCGGACTTGTAAAACAGCGATCCCATAGAGAGTTGAAGAAGCACCTGTCTCATTACATCTTGCATTTGCTGTGTTTGCTGTGTTATGTTAAGAATGCAACGTTCACTGATCTCCAACACCGATGCACAAAGCATCATGGTGATAGCAGATTGTTGATCAACGTCTCCATCGTCTTGCAACTGAGCGAGATACTCACAGAACGCTTCCAACTCCTCTTCATGCTCGATTTTGTAAGAAATTCTATGAATTTTAACAGCTGAATGGAACCAACTCTCCAATGGTGGTGACGATGATGATTCGTCACTTGATGAAGATGATGTTGTTGATGATGATTTCAACTTGAAATAAGCAGCGTTCTTTGCCATTTGATAGAAGAAATGAGCACCATAGAGATACTCCTTCACGTTATTTTTGACATGTTCATCGATCGCTTCAATCGTTTCATTGAGAAGTTGATTGTATTTCGAGAGTTGACCATGGTCACCGTTGTCCACCACAACTTCGGCATCACTCGATTGACAGGAAAGTAACAAAACCAAGTAATAACATCTTGCAAACGACAATTGTAATGATGAATCAATGAGTGCAATACCATTCTTTGGTAGAACCAATAGCAATTGTTTGAATGCATTTAGATGAACTTCATTGATACCACTACCATTGGATTGTTCATTTTCATCTTCATGATTGTAATTACTATTCGCTTTTAATAGTTGGAAATACAGTTTCGTTAGACAAGTATAAAGATAGGAAATGTCCGATTTCGCACTGGTAACAAAAATATACTCCATTAGAGTTATGTAATCGACAATAGTATACTCATCGTCTTCTTTTGCGAAAATCAATGCAATGTTCTGTGGTAGTTTTGCAAGTATTTCACTTGATGTTGATGGTGATTCTGCTGTTGATGTTGTAGATGATGATGACATTTAAACAAACAAACAAATTAACAAAAGATAAAGTCTTCTTTTATTTATTATATATTATAATAATATTTTTTATATGATTTACTTTATGATATGAATGATGAGAACCATTGACATTGTTTTTTCTATTTTTAAACTAACTGGTTTAGTCAACTCATACCACACCAAATTATTAGTTGTTTTTCACGATAATTATTTTAAAATATTATTATTAAAACCAGGATTTTTTTTTAGAAAAAATGACAAAAAGATTTGTTTTTTTATTTTTTTTAATATTAACTTTAAATACACTATCTATCTAACCAAATACCAAGGATATCTTAAAAAGTCTAACACAACATACATGAGAATAAGAAATCTAGATATTAATTATTTGATCTCAGTGTTGAATAAATTAGATCTATTTCTTTTTATTGTAGAGCGTAATTATTATGAGTTTTGTTTAAAAACTTTTTAGATTTTCTTTCTTATTGTATTTTGATATAAAGATTACCAAATAAATGTGTTGGACAAATCCAAATTCTACAAAAAAAAGTGGTAGAATTGAATTAATTAAATTTTAATAAAAAAACAAAAAAAAACGAACGAAATATTTTATTTTATTATAATTTTAAAATAGAATCAAATCAAAGTTCTGTTTTTGACTAATAGATAGAGTCATTCAATATATAATAACATTAAAATATGTGTGATTTCTATATACAAGCATCGAGTGTAATCGATAAACTTCTTCAAAAGAAGGGTAGTATCAAAGGTTTATCATTCCAATCGTCAACCACCGAATCAAAGAGTAAAACATGTTATGCATTGGTTTGTGAAACTTTGAAATGTAAATTTAAAAAAACAACAACAACAACAACAACAATATAATTATATACTTATATATTTCTTTTGTTTGTTTGCTATTATCTTTATTCACATAGATAAAGAGATTATAGATGAATTACTGCTTATGGTTCCACAGTTGAAAGATGAAAAGATTACAAAGTTAAAGTATAGCATGTTGTTGGTGATGATCTACGATTTGCTATTCAGTCAACAGCAATCAATAAAAGGAGGTGGTCACGCAAAGAAATCGGTGATGGCATTCAAAGTGCAGTTGTCATCTTCACTGGCGCGACTAAAGATCAAGAGTAAGGTGAGTAACAACATCGACTTACTACCGGATTCCATTAGAAATCCAGTGGTTCTACCTCGTTACGTTAGAGTGAATACCAACGTTGCTCAACCAACCGAAGTCATTGCTGGATTCGTAAAGGAAGGTTATCAGTTAAAGTCGTACACCGGTAGTGAACTTCCAACTGTTACTAAAGATTCCTCTAGTAATAAAGTGGATTTCGGTGATGATAACAAGATATTCTATCAGGACAACGACTTCAAGGAGATACTTATATTCTCGGGTGTCGTTGATCTTCACGATCACCAGTATCTTCACAGCGGAAAGATCATCCTACAGGACAAAGCAAGTTGTTTGCCAGCATACATTCTCGATCCACCAAAGAACGTTGTTTGTATCGACTCTTGTTCGGCACCGGGCAACAAAACATCGTTGGTCAGTGCACAAATGTCAAACACAGGAAAGATCTATGCCATCGAAAAGGATATAAAGAGAATGAACACACTTATTAAACTTACAAATAGATCACATTGTAAAAGTAATATAATGTTAATAATAACAAAGTAAAAAAGTTTATTGTGAACTAACTTTCAATTTTTATAATAATGTACATTATTATCTTTAGATATCGAAGCAGTTAATGGTAGTTTCTTAGATTTAGATCATGATGATCCAAGATTCAGTGATGTACAATATATTTTGTGTGATCCATCTTGTTCTGGTTCTGGTATTGTTAATCGTTTGGATTACTTGTTGGCCAGTACAACTGGTGGTGCTGGTGGTGGTGGTGCAGCAACCGAAGAGAATGACGATATTGTAGATGAATTGATTGAAAAGTCTGGTGGTGTTGGTGTTATTGGTTCAACTAGCAGCAGCAACAGCAACAACAGTGTAAAGTTGTCGAAAGAAGCTACAATGATGGAGACAGCAGCACAGTTGTCAAAGACAGCATTCAAAAAGACATTGGATAAACATGGAAAGAGACAATACAAAAAGGAGTTGAAAGAGGATCGTAAGAGAAAACACGATGAGTTGGTTGCAATGAAAAGAGGAAAGAAACCTGTTGCCACTAACACCACCAACGAGCAATCCGAAGATAAAGAAGAACCCGTTATTACAGAAGCAAAACGTTTAGAATTGTTAGCAGATTTCCAATTATCAATTATTAGACATGCTTTTGCTTGTAAGTTGTTATAACTATTATTATTACTATTTATGTTTATGTTTTTTAATGATACTAATATTATTATTATTATTATTATTATTATTATTATTATTATTATTATTATTATTATTTTATCACACTAGTTCCATGTGTTAAAAGAGTAGTTTATTCAACATGTTCAATACATCAGGTTGAGAATGAAGATGTTGTTCAGAGAGCATTGAGTGAATTGAATAAGGATAAGGAAACATGGAGATTAGTTAATATTTTACCACATTGGAAGAAGAGTAGAGGTTTATCTCTTTTCAAAAACAGTATGTTAGATTATTTTATAACATATCAAGTTAGTACACTTTGAAGTAATATATATATTAATTGTCTTTTTTATTTAATTTAGGTGAATATTGTTTAAGATTATCACCAGCCAATGATAATACAATTGGTTTCTTTGTTGCCTGTTTCGAAAAGATCAATCCCAAGCCAGCACAAATTAGAAAGTCATTCGTTTCAGCTCCAACCTCTGGTTCAAAATTAATTGTTAGCAAACAACAACCATCACAACCTACAGATAATATCAATTCAAACAAGAGTAAAAAAGAAGAACAAGAAGAAGAAGAGGTTGATGAAGATAATGATAATGAGGATGTTGAAGATGAAGATGAAGATGAAGTAGAAGATCAATTAGAGTTTGAGGATAATGATAATATCGAAGATGAGGAAGAAGAAGATGAAAAAGAGAGTGATGAAGTTGATGAAGAAGATGATGAACCAGTTAAAAAGAAGACAAGAAATCAAGCACCACAACAACCAATTAAATTATGGGCTGATGATGCATTCTCTGGAAGTTCATTTGCAAGGATCATGGATAATGCACAAAACTCGAATGCCAGCAAGAACTCCTCAACCTCAAAGAATATTAAAAACAATAACAACAATAATAACAAGTCATCAAAGAATAATAATAATAATAATAATAATAATAATAATAATAATAATAATAATAATAAGAACAACATTAACAAAAATAACAAAAACATTCATAATACTATTAAAAAGAAAAATATTAAGAAATAAATCATCTTTTAATTGTCAAGTCTGTATTTTATAGTTGTTTGATTCTTTTTAAGATTTATCTCTCCGTTTGAACCCTAATGATTTAATTAATTAAACTCAATATAAGAAAAAGGTTTTAATGATATTAATACAATAGATTGTTTTTATTAATTCAAATACTCTATATGTTTACAATGTTTTTCTTCCAAAATTATATAAAAGTCTCCTTTCAATTGTGTGTGAATAACTATTGGATTAAAAAGGTGTGTGTGTGTGAATAAATAAGATTAATTTGATGATGTAGACTTTCTGTCTTCGTCATCGCTTATTCCAGTGTTGATAGCGTCGAGTACAGGTGCATAGTTTTTATCACCCTTGTCCGTTGATCTGGCCAAGAGACATCCGATACCAAATGATATTAAACCTAATGCAATGACTCCACCGATGATGATGAATACCAATGCGAGTTTGGAGATTGGTAATCCACCTTTCGATGGTATGTCTACTTCACCACAGACATCGACGTAGTCGTCGGCACCAAAGAACTTACAATAGGTATAGGTCGGTACCAAGCTACAAAAGATATTGTATTGATTCAATTGATTCTCTGCACTATCGGTGCTGGTTGTGTTATCGTTGTCGTGATTGTCATCGATGATAATCGCGGATGGAATGGTAATCTCAGAGTCTGAACAATAGATACTTCCACCCTGATCGGCAGTGTTGTCTTCGATCACCGTATCGTTCATAGTGAAATGAGATGCTGTTGTATAGAGAGCACCGCCAGATGTCGCGACATTCGATTGCATTATAACACCATTGACGTAACCATTCGATTGACTAAACATGATTGCACCACCTCTGTTAGCTGTATTCCTTGTGAAATTCGATTGAGTCAACAAAAAGATTGAATTGTTATCTTGGTAGATACTACCACCTTGACCTTCTGCTTCATTACTATCGAAAGAACAATAAGATACATTCAACTGACTTGCTGGTGCCACCAAATTAATTACTCCACCGGTCTAAAGTAAATAAAGATTACACTTTAGTTGTTAACTAAATAAATATCTATAGGAATTAAACTTACAACTGCTTTATTTTGAATAAAGTTTGATTTATGTAAATGTATTTGTGTTTGATGACCTGAAATTGAACCACCAGTCTATAAATAGATTTAATTAGAAATCAGTAAGATTAATGATTAAGAGGAGAAAATAATTGGTATATGTTTGAGTTATACTTACAACTGCATTGTTTGCGGTGAATAGGCAATGACTGAAAAGTGAATATGCAATATGTTGATAGTTTAAGGTGAGTGCACCACCTTCGTCAGTGACTTGGTTACCTGTAAAGTTAGAGTGGAATGCAACTACCGGACCAGTGGAGCTGATAGCACCTCCATCACTGGCATTGTTCGATTGAAATGAACATCTGTCCAATCTAAGTTGTCCAAGAGTAACACTGATTGCACCACCACTATTTGCTGCACCATTAGAAATGAATTGAGAATCGGCAATATTTACATTGATTCTAGATAGATTGGCATTGTCGTGTGACAAGGAGTTCAAATTCAATAGCAAAACACCACCATCGCCAGTGGAACTCAGATTTTGGAAGCTACATTGTTGGATATTCAATAACAATGTCGTATTTGTAATATCTGCATTGACAACACTGTAAATAGTAAACAGTAAATTAGTTATGATTAGATTGTGTTTGTTTTGAAAATTGGTGAAAGAATTTGACTTACGATCCACCTGTTGTTGTGAAATTAACGAAATTAAGTTGTTGTAAATTCAAGTTGGTTATGATTGGTGGGTTAACACCAGTTCCGACTGGCTCTGGAATGGTGAAAACTCTGTTACTAGATCCGATAAAAGTTGTTGATCCGTTGGTGCTTCCAATGAGATTTAAGGTCTGTCCGAAAATGTAGAGATCTGTATTTCCACTGCTGTTATAGAGACCCTCTGAAATCTGGATGGTAAGATTCAGAGTGGTCAAATCAATGCTCTGTGCTTTCAATGAGTTGAAAATTGCGCTAATCGATGTACAAGGTGCATCTGCATCACAACACAAATCAACAATCTCACTGACATTTGATGACATATAACATATCTTGTCTGTTAGCTGCTGAGCGTGTCCACATACACTAAAATATCCAACCACCACAAAGATATATACAAACAACAAGCTATAAAACTTTGACATCATTGTTTGTTCGTTTGTATGTATCTTGTATCTGTATTTGTATAAAAAAATAAATAAAAAATAGTAAAATAAGATATTATTTTAAATAAAAAAAGAATCTTTTCTTTTCCTAAATTAAGAAATAAGCTTTATTTATTTAAACAAACCCCCATTCACTTAAAAAAAACCTTTTTTTTTGTTCAGCATTGGATCAAAATAGTGGGTTGATGTCAACAATGTGATTGTTTTTTTTGCACCCCAAAAAAGATTGAGTCATCTAAAGTGGTTTTTGACATTCATGATTATGTTGTCAATTTCCTTAAAAAAATGTATTTAATTTAATTCAAAAGATTTTATTTTAAATTATAAGATTATATAAAACTAGAAATAAATTAGAAATACTAGTTGTAATTATTCGATTTTATCTGATTTAGATTTATCTGTTGATGTTGACTCATTTGAAATGATTGATTTGAGTTTAGCAAGACCGAATTTCTTTGAGAATAGGAAATCGGGAATCCAACACGGTAGGTAATGTAGGATTTTCAAGAGAGTTGACAGCGGTCCATACGCGAATCTGGCTGGTGGATTCGGTTTGAGTATCTGGTTGACCGCATAGTCCGAGAAATCTTCGGCTGGTATCGCATTATCTTGTGATGAATTGGAACGCTTGATGATTTCATCTTTGATCTGGTGGTAGATTGTACGGTTGAGGAGATCGGTCAGTGGATCCTGTGCATTCTTTACCAGATCCGATTTGATTGCACCGGGCATCACGATCGATACCTGCACGTTAAACGGTGCCATCTCCATACGCAGAGAATCGGACCACGCGTGAAGAGCAGCCTTACTTGCACAGTACATACCGGCGAAAGGTGTGGAGACAAGCGCGACAATACTACCAATGTTTGCAATCAGACCGGAACGACGCTTAATCATATGCATGCCGACCTCTTTAGTTACCTCTATCGCTCCGAAAAAATTGGTATCCATCAAACGTCTTCCCTCTTCCTCAGTCATCTCAATAACAGGCGAATAAATATTCATTCCAGCATTATTAACTAAAATATCGATTCTACCTTCTTTTTTAATAATAAAATCTACAGCATTCTAAAATAATATGTTTATATTATTAAAATGATGAATAAGTTATATAGCTATTTGTTTTTAAAACATACTTTAATTGATGATTTATCACAGACATCCAGTTGAACAATACTAACATTGTTTGATTCTAGTTTTTTGATAGATGCAAGATTTCTTGCAGATGCATATACTTTGATATTTGGGTGTTTGGTAAATGACTTTACGATGGCTTCACCAATACCACTGCTAGTACCAGTTACTAAAACAATTCTTGTTGATCCTGACATAGTTGTAAATATAAAATAGAGAAAAATAACAATAGAAAGGTCAAATAAATATGTTATTTAAATAAATAAGATATTAATAAAAAAAATTTTGTCAAAATTGGTTGTCAATCGAATTTCATTGCACCACAATGATCATACATCTACCCCGAATAAAAATTGTGTTAAATTATCAACCATTGAAAATACATCATACTATTATCATAATAATAATGTTGTAACGTAATTTAAGAGTATAAGAATTGTGTGTAGATTTGAGAAGTTCTGCTACTGTAATGATAACAGAGAAATACCAATTAATGTAACAAAAAGCTTAATATACATATTTTATTGTTTAGTTGTATTTTGAGTTGATTTCTCTATGAGAGACTTTAGTTTTAATAATCCAAATTTCTTTGAAAATACATAATCCAAGATGAATGTTGGAACGAAATTTAAGAGTTTAAAAAGTGTAGAGAGTGGTCCGTAAGCAAATCTCGATGGTGGATTGGATTTGAGAAGTTCTGCTGCAACTCTTTCAGAGAATTGAGTCGATGGAATACTATTGTCTTGTGAGGTGGTCGATCGCAACACAATCGAATCTTTAATATCATGATAGACAGTGTTGTCCAAGAGTTGTTCAAGTGTACTCTTTGCATTGTTGGCGAGTTCCGTTTTGATGGAACCTGGCATCACTATGCAAACTCGAATGTTGAACGGTGCCAGTTCCATTCGTAGCGAGTCGGACCAAGCGTTTAGAGCTGCTTTGCTTGCACAGTAGAGACCGTCGAACGGAGTTGTAATCAAACCAGAGATACTCGAGATGTTTGCAATCAAACCGGATCGTCGCTCGATCATGTGTCTACCTACTTCTTGGGTGACAGCTATCGTACCGAAAAAGTTTGCATCAAACAACCTACGATTGTCAACCTCTGGTATATCGATGACAGGTCCATAAATATTGATACCGGCATTGTTTATCAGGATATCGATTCTTCCTTCCTCGTTGATGATAGTATCAACTGCACTCTTAATAATAAATATTTTGGTGGAATTATGATCATAAATTATCTTGTATTCTCCTTTTTTTGATATTATTTTATTAACATACTTTAATGGATGAATTATCACAGACATCCAATTGAATAGTAGATATATTCTTGTCTTTGAGATGTTTGATCGACGATAGATTTCTTGCAGAGGCATACACTTTGATATTTGGATATTTAGCAATTGAATGGACCAGTGAAGCTCCTATTCCACTACTTGTTCCTGTAATCAATACAATAGTATTCCTTTGTTGTGAATTTGACATATCTTATACAATCAATATATATAAATACAATAAAATTAATTTAAACAATGTTAAAATAAAAAAATAAAATAAAAGAAACAAACTTTTTTGAAAACTAAACTTTTTTTTTTTGTTTAATCAAAGACAGAAACATGTATGTCAACAATGATTTTTTTATTTTTTATTTTTTATAACACCATTCGCAATATGAATTTATTTATTCATTTACTAACCTCGCAATAATGGTGTTTGGTCGATCCAACTTGAATTGGTAAAACGATGTAAAAAAATTAAAAAAAACATTATTTCGCGTCAAAAAAAATTGTATTTATTAAATGTGTTTTAAATCATTAACAAACAGTCGTTGTTATTACTGTTTAAATAACGTCAACACGAACTATAAAGAAAAAAGAACCAAACAAAAAAGTTTTTGCCACAACATCGCTCTTCACAAAAATTGCAATATGTATTTCCAATCCATTATTCAAATTTACGTTGAATACGACTCTGGAATATGTGCGTGCACGATGGATATTTCTTAACGGATTGATGATCATCTTTGTTGAATCTACATAATTGTGGACACCCAGACGACTCTTGGTGTTGTTAACTGTTTTGTTGTGTAGGTTGCTACTGTTTTTTTTAGTCCTAGAAACAATTTTTGTTATATGTTCAAAAAAAAAGATATTCTTCAACTATTTTAGCTTAGGTTTATGCTAATAAAATTTAGAAATGATTGTAATCTATCTGACTTGAATGAACCAAAGAATTCTAATTGAATTTAGATTTAAAATTGTAACTATTTAAAGTCAAATTATCTATAATATCATGTTTATTACAAACAAGGAGCTTGAAACTGATGATCATTTTATCTCTATTTTGTTAATTTTTCAAATTAATTATAGGTTTGCTAGAAACTATGAATGAGTATAAATTGAATGAACTTTAACATTATCAATCAATATCAAATAATATTCAATTAAAAGATATTACAAATATAACAATTAATATGAATATTACTAATATTAAAACTATTTTGTTGTTTTCGTTGTTGGTTGGCACTGTTCTCTGTGAAGTGGAGGACCGTATCAGAGTCTGTGTAGAAGTCGACTGTCCTGACGTTGGAAACTGTCCGATGAGAGATACTTGTAATGACAATGATATGTGTACAAACGATGGTTGTAATGGTGGTCGTTGTGTTCACTCTCCAATTGCTTGTGACGATGGAAATGCCTGTACTCAAGATAGCTGTAGTCCAAACCAAGGATGTGTACATTCGCCAATCTCATGTGATGATTCCGACCCATGCACAACTGATAGCTGTGGTTCCAATGGTTGTGTAAACACTCCAATCTCGTGCGATGACAGTGATCAGTGTACATCTGATTCTTGTGGACAAAATGGTTGTGTAAACACTCCAATCTCATGCGATGACAATGATCAATGTACATCTGATTCTTGTGGACAAAATGGATGTGTGAATACACCAATCTCTTGTGATGACAATGATCAATGTACAAATGATGCCTGTAGCTCTGCAAGTGGTTGTTCTCACACTCCAGTATCTTGTGATGACAATGACCCTTGCACAAGTGATTCCTGTGGTTCCAATGGTTGTGTAAACACTCCAATCTCATGCGATGACAATGACCAATGTACCTCTGATTCCTGTGGACAAAATGGATGTGTGAATACACCAATCTCTTGTGATGACAATGATCAATGTACAAACGATGCTTGTAACCCCCTAAGTGGTTGTTCTCACACTCCAGTATCTTGTGATGATTCCGACCCATGCACAAGTGATTCCTGTGGTTCCAATGGTTGTGTAAACACTCCAATCTCTTGCGATGACAATAATGAGTGTACCTCTGATTCCTGTGGTTCTTACGGTTGTGTTAATTCACCAGTTAATTGTAACGATGGAAATCAATGTACCTATGACAGTTGTAATAATGCTACTGGCTGCGCGAATTCAGCGATCTCCTGTGATGACAACGATTTATGCACCAATGACGGATGTGATAAGAATACTGGTTGCACACACACAACAGTTTCATGTCAATCTACAACCAACCAATGTATCTCGAATGAATGTGATCCAAACAAAGGATGTGTTGGTACCAACATCAATTGTGATGATGGTAATGCCTGTACCTCAGACAGCTGCAATCCAAACAGTGGTTGTGTTTTCACACCCATCGTTTGCAATGATGGAAATTCTTGTACCACCGATGGCTGCGATCGTATCAGAGGCTGTTTTTACACCAATATTCCAAACTGTGGAATCGTATCAGTTCCAAGACCAGCCACCTGTCGTCCTCGTCCAGTCTGTCCATGTACCGAATTGTGTTGTGGACCACATTGTTGTCAAAACATCAATCTTGATCTAGACCTAGACTTTTCTGATCTTTGTGATTTCTAATGTTTCAACCTATTATTTAAATAAATTTGATATTATATTTCAATTTTTAACCTCCTTTAAAAAAAAAATGTTTATTCTCTTGTTATTAAAATTTATTTTATTTTTTCCAAAAGAATAAATAAGAAAACACTTTAGAGTATAAATTATACAAAGATAAAATGGTGAACCATTTTGTTTTTATTGTAATTTGTGGTATTTTCTTGATTTTTTGTTTTTATTTAAATTGGAAATTATCCTATTCAAGAAAAAAATGAAATTGTATTTTTTTATAGAGCCTTTCATTAAACCAAAATTAATAAAGAACCGGTAGAGTCTATTGAAAGAATTCCAAAATAATAAGTATTCTATTAAATTTAATCTATTTTTCTAACTTTTTTTATAAAAAGAAAAATAATAATAATTTTGTTTTGAAATTGAATTATAATAGAATTTCAAAATGTTATGAATAAAATCTATCTACGAATATCTGTTTTTCTCAGAATTTAATTTGACAATAATATAGATATGAAAATCAACTAGTGGACAAACTTGAATAAATAAATTAAAATCAACAAAAAAGAAAAGATTTTTTTTTTCTGAATAAATAATAATTTATTATGATTTAAAGTTCGAGCCAATTATATAAAGAATTAATAAATAATAATCTATATACATATTAATTCACCCTGTTGGGGGATGACTACGTTGATTCCAGTTGGATTATTCTCTGTTAGTTCCTTATAGATAAGTTGTCGAATCGTCAATCTATTGGAGGTGTTTTGGTTCACCATTGGCTTGATGTGTTGAATTATCAATTTTACATGATTGAGGTTGTTGGTTTTTGGGATGGTTTGTACAGACATATCGATGAGTGAATGGAGCATTGGTTGAATATCCTTTGGACGTAAATGACCAAACAAACTGGCATCAGTAGCATTGTTTGGGAAGGAACACTCCAAGTATATTGCTTTCAATTTATCAATTTTTACTTTTCTCCATACATTCTGTTTAATTTAAAAAAATTAAATAAAAATAGAATATTAGTAAAATAATTATAAGAATGTCAATATAATTATTTTTACATACATAAATTCTTTGTTGCCAATCACAATTATAATTTCCACTTGGTACACCAGTATCAGAGAAAAATATAATTTGTTCACCAGTTGTCTTGTCGGTGAAGAGGAATGAAGTTGAAAGAATATCGTTGTGACATGTCTCGAATGGCATCATTTCCATGGTTGTTGGGAAAAATCCATTAAGAGCCTGTTTCTGTGTTTCATTAAGGAAAACCAACTGAGACAAATCGTAGTTTTGTGCAATATCCAATGTATAGTAATCATATCTACCATACTAATTAATATCAATTAGTATATCCATCATTATTATTTGATCTTTCCATTATAATTATAATTAATTTATAAATTACATACACCTGGTAAATTTGGCCAAATAATATTATTAAAAAGATGCGTTTTTATAGCATTCACCGTAAAAGGTAATCCTACGATTGCTTTCTTTTTGAGTACATTTGGGCTACCTCCAATTGAGATGGTTGGATCTAGAATTGCTTTTACCATACCTAACAGACCACCTTCAATGGGTGGCTGCATATCAAGTGCCGATGGTGGCAAGTAATCTTCTGGACTAGCTTCGATTAATCCGTTGATATGATCGAGATGTGAATGGCCGATAAAGTATCCGAGGATGTGGTTTCTAATGAACCATGCTACTTGCTGGTCGATCTGGGTGGCCCACACAGGGAATGTAATATTAATGAGATTGTTGTAGTTTCTGTTGCTGATGAATCTTGCAATGCCAGTCCAGAGAGTGCCAGCGTCGAGTGCGATGAAGACGTTGGAACCCTTCTTGGTCAATAAAAATGAGGATAAATTACTTTCGTCGAGTCCACCGGCAGTACCTAGTGGGATAGTTATAAAAGATGCTTTCTTGCACGCTTCGGTTTGCATCCAGTTAGTTTGTGGTTGTTGTTTTATCATTTTCAAAAAGTTGTTATGTTTAGATTTAAATCTAAGCAGTCGCTGGTGATATTTACCCAAGTCATTGGAATACATATTATATGGATTATCTAAAGACTGTTGTTTGTCAAAAGAGGAAAATTCAGTGTTAGGATTATATTTGTAATTGGTATTTTGGAAAGGAGGAGCAGGATAGGGGGTAGAAGGAGGGGAAGGATAGGCAGTAGGAATATTGGAAGGAGGAGCATTGTTTTTGACTTTATCAATTGGAGTGGGTGTTGATGGATTATTGCTTTTGGTTTGAGGAGCAGGAATTGGTGTCGAATTTGGATTGTATGTATTCTGATGTTTCACTATTTTTTGTGGTTGTGATGGGTATTGAATATCAGATGAATGTAAAATATCAGATTCTTGTATTTCTTTGTGATTGCTTGATTGTGATGATTGACTTGGGTTTTGTGATGGTGTTTGTGGGCGTGGTGTATTTTGTATTTGAGTTTGCGATGGTTGAGATGTTGTTTGATATTGTTTTTGTGAGGGCTGTGGAGTGTTTTGTGTTTGGATTTGTGATGGTTGTGGAGTACGTTGGTTTTCAGTTGGTTGTGGAGTGTTTTGTGTTTGGGTTTGTGATGGTTGTGGAGTATATTGTGATGGTGTTACACTTGGTTGTGGTGTACGTTGTTGATTTTGAGTTGGTTGTGGATTGTTTTGTGTTTGGATTTGCGATGGTTGTGGAGTGTTTTGTGTTTGAATTTGTGATGGTTGTGGAGTATATTGTACTGGTGTTTGTGTTTGTGTTTGTGTTTGTGATGATGGTTGAGGGATATAGTGTGCAGGTGATTGTGAATTATCACTATTCTCAGAAGAAAGAGAGTTAATGGAATCATGTGAATCAGATGGTGTATTTTTATTTGAATTATGATCAAATGAAGATGAGGACTCAGGATTAGTATTAGTAGAAGCATCAGAAGTAGAACGAGAGAAAGAGGTAGTAGAAGAGGTAGAAGTAGAAGTAGTAGAAATTGTAGAAGAAGTGGAGGTAGTAGGATTAAAAGAGGTAGTAGAGGATTTAGAGGTAGTAGAAGAAGTAGTCAAATCTTTAATAGGATATGGGGGATATGTAGACTTATAGTTTGGTGAGTATGGCGAAGCAGGATAAGGGTAAGTATTATATTTAGATGGAGGAGAGTTTAAGGAAGGATAGGTAGAGGGATTATTTTTAGGATAGGGGTTAGAAGTAGAACTGGTACTTGCTCGTGATGGTATTTCACATTTTACTAAACTAGTAATATTTAATATTATAAATAAAATAAAAGCTATATACAGAGGTCTTAAGTAATTCATTGATAAAAAAAATTAATTGGTTTAGAAAAAAAAAAAAAAAAAAACAAAATTAGTAAACTTGACTTTTTTTACTTGGTCCACTCTCTCAGTTTATAAATACCTTAATACATTGGTTAGTTGATACATGGTTTTGGATTGCGCAACCCAATTTAATGAGTGAATCAGATGGCTTAAGGGTAGAATAAATAATTCTCTATTATTGGTCGACCGGACAAGTAACAAGGTTGTTAATAATTATCCAATAAAGTTGATAAAATTGATTGATTTTCAGTTGGGATGGATGTTGAATGTTATAGTGGGAAAGGAATTAGATTAATATGTTTTGAATTTTAAGATTTTCAAATAAAAATTTTGGTTGATAGTGATGGTGGCTATATTATTGAATGGCAATTATTTTACAAATTAAAGAATGCGCAATGCAATGGTTTGAAGTTGATAGTGAAAATCTATTATTAAATAATTATTATTTTAGAGATGATCCAAATATTGGAAAATTCATTTTTAACAGATGATATTTGATGATGAATTATTTATATTGAAATATTTCCAATGTATTTTTTTTTTTTTGTTATTTTTGTTATTTTTGTTTTTTTTAATTGATTGGTTTTATTAAATTATTGTTGTTTGGCTGATTTTGTTTTCTTTGGTGCACCTATTGCCTTATTAATATAGAGTGATTTGGTTGATTATCATGACTTGTTATTGTTGTGAATTTTTAATTGATATAAAAAATGTATATATCTAAAGGGTATAGAGGTTGAAACAAATTTGGAAATTAATGTTCAGATTTGTTGGATGAGGTGTTATTATTATTATTATTGGTGGGTTAAATGGAAGGTGTGGTGGTTGATTAACAACATCTTTTTTGGTGATGTGAGTAAAGAGTGTGCCCTGATGAGTGAACATTCACCACTAATATTACCATTTATGAATTCTCTTACTCCCACCACCAAATAACACAAGTTTCATTTGTGGGAGTGTGAAGGAAATTGTGTGTGTGTGTGGCAATTTATGGTTTGATCAAAATTTTGTTTGTACATTAAAATAAAAATAAAAAAAGGAAAGAAATTAAAAGATGAATTTCAAACTGCAAACAGAACATTGAGAATGTAAATACAATATTGTATAAATTAAAAAATAAAGTTTAAACCATCACTTCTGATGAGCAGAGAGTACCATTGTTATTAAAGTTTACAGTGAAAAACACAATGTAAGCTTCGATGTGTTGAACAATAAGGCAAAAATAACAACAGTAACAATTTTAGGAACAACTACTACAAATCAACGTTAACAATACTTTGAGATCATTGTGTTTTTGAATATGAGTGTAACGAACGACTGAGTAGTGAGTGTGGAGTAATTTTAAAATTACTATAAGTGAGAAGTGAGTGGTGAGATAAGAGTGTTACAACTACACTTTGAACAATTAAAAAAAAAAAAACAGTTTTGTTAAAATAATAAAACAAAGAATGTGTTGAGTGTAATTATTAAAATTTGGGATGAGGTCCACCATTCACCATTGTTTTTAAAAGATGTGAATTGAATTTTTAAACTATTTACCTAATGTGAAAGGGAATGAAATATTTTCTGAACGATCGGATTAAGCTGTAGAGAATTGGAATGGTTTCTCTTCTTTCCAATTTTACTGCTATTATATTTTTTGGTTGTAAAAAATATGTAGTTGTATTGGTTGTTGATGCTGGGTTATGTTTTGATTTAACAAACTAACTTCCTACTTTTAATATTATCAGATAAACGATAATAGTGATGCAACTATAGTTATATAATATTTAATTAATAGGTTGGAAAAGAAGAATGAAGCATTTAATTGTTAAAAACAATTAAAGATAGAAAAAATGTAATATAAACTTGAATATATAAGTATCAAAAAAAAAAAAAAACAAATACTATAATTATATTGTGTGGTATGATTATGATGATGCGTACGAAACTAAAGATGCTATTTTTAAAATTACTGCTTGCTCTCTATTATTGGCTTAAGGTATTATTTTAATATCTTTATTACTAATTAATAGTTAATTGAATCAACTCTCATGATAGTATATCACTCAAAATTATTATTATTATTGGCTATTTTTGTTTTGTCAGGTATACTAATTGATGGTAAGCTGGACTATTATTATTTTAATATTTTTTCCAAATGGAATTTCGAATGCGTAATAATAATATTATTAAAAAATATATATATATTTTTTTTTGAATTTGAATTAATAATAATAAATAGTAATACTAAATTATTACCAATATTAGTATTATTATTAAATTATTTTAATAAATTGAATAAATATTAATAATAATAATAGTGATTGGATTGAAAAAATTAAATTAAATTATGATTATTTGTTGTTATTAATGTGACGACTTTTTGTTTTAATTTAATAGTTTGTGTTTTGTGATGGTAAGAATAGATGTCGGAATTAGTAATTTCAGTTATACATTAGGATTAATGATGATAGAATTAATATATCGATTGATTTTTATAGAGTGATTTCGATTGATTGGAGTTGAAAACAAACAAGGAGCAGTCCAACCAACAACAACAACAACAACAACAACAACTGTGTTAATATTAATAGCTATATTGTTGTTGTGATATATTAGCATAAATATCAGTATATTCATTAGGTGGAGAGGTATGTTATCAAGTGTCGATGCAGCATCATGATTATTGTTGTCACACACAAGTGTTTTCCTTTCATTATTTATATATTTATTTTATATTAAATGTGGGAGCTTTACATCATCAACTCGATTGAGTAGCTGTTGGTATTAGCATTGACACAGGAGCTACCTCCCAATGCCCCATCACAACCAACTCAACAACAACAATAACAAAAACAATTATAAAATCTATTTCATTATTTGGTGTTTTATATATAAATGCGGGCTGTGTGTAAATGAGTTGAGTGGCTGTTGACTTTTGTTGGTCAAAAGGTAAGCTAATTTCTGACGATAAGTGTTACATCCAAGAGGATTCAGGTCACAATTTTAAACAAAACCAAGTTATTCATCAATTAATTAGTGATAGTCACTGACTTTATTGTGTGACTCCTTCAATTCAATATTATTGGCGTTGTTTAATAAAACAATTCAGTGGTAAACAAACACACTGGTTGCGTTATAACATGATGCATATGTTATGTTTAGTGATTTGTGTGATGATGATGTGTGTGTTGTTCCATCATGTAGTGGTGTGGTGTGAGTGTGTGAGTGTGTATGTTGTGAGTAGTTAGGTGGAACAACACACACCAATTTGAGAGGGTTATAACAACTAAAATCTCACTTTCATTATAAAAGAAGATGAAAAATGAAGAATAATAATAGAATAACAACTATTTTTATATTGATTTATAAATGATTTAGTTATTTACTGACTCTATGTACATAGTAATTTTCATAAATAAATAATTATTTGATGATTGTTTTGTGAAGAATGTTTTTTTGGGTGAGTTTTTGCTTTTGCTCAACTTGAGTTTTATGAAAGATAAAATAAATGTCTGGGGGAATTTCTGATTAATCAGATATAGGGGGGTTATTAATGAACAGATTTCCATTACTGAAATCTAAAAGTAAAAAGTGTAGCGAGAGTGTTGGGTGTTTCATAAATCACTATTTTTTATAAGGAACAAAACAACGCAACATCTCATTCATTAAAGATAAAAAAAAAAAAAGATACACAAAGTCAGGCTGACACATTTAGTAAACCAAAAGCATAAGTTATTCAAATTTATAAAATAAAAGTAGTAATGGTTAATGTAGTAAGTACGATTCATTAAAATTGATTGATTGTTTACACTTGTGGTTATTATCGTTATCTATCTGTAAATTAATTATACTACTAAAAAAAAATAAGGATACATAATAATGATAATAACCAAAAATAAACATTATTGATGTATATTTAAAATATTATGATTTAGATGAAACATTATTACTAATAATAATAATAAATTTAGTTCACATCTCTTTGTGTCAAAGTGTACTATAAAAATAATCGTTGGATGGAATGATTGAAATTGATACGATTGATTAAAAGTATATCTATAAATTCTGATATTGGGACGGTTTCTACACAGTGTAGTAGAAGTGTAGTTGACATTGATTGTCAATTTGTTGTTAATAACAGATCTTAATCTGAAAATGTTTTGGAAAATGGGACATAATACAATATTTAAATATGTTTATCTCTAAAATATATTCTCCCATACGTATGATATCAAAATAACAAAGAAACAAACAAACAAACTCGCTTCTTAAATGTTATTGGGAATCTAACTTACTCTGAACAACTTTAGTTAAAACTATTGGACTGTGGACAAGTGGATTTGTGGACAAAACAAAATAACCAACAAGCAATAACAATAATAATTCTATATTTTCCAATAAATAGTTATTTTTAATTACCAAGATATGTATGGTATGATGAAAACATAAATTTATTGGAGGAAATTAAAAAATTATATTTAAAAATTTTTAATAAAAGGAATTTACAATTTTATATTTTACTGCTGTTGGATATCTAATCTAAATGAATGACGTTCTTATAAGATTGATAGAATAGATAGATAAAGATAAAGATAAAGATAGGATAGATAGGATAGATAAATAGATATCTATTTTGTCTTATAAGAATAATAATAATAATAACAATAATAAATTATTAAATAGATGAATGTTACTGATTTTGAAGGTTTATTGTTGATATTGTTGTTGATGTTGTTGATTAAACAGATTAATAATTTTAAAATCGAACCTACACTACACATTTAACTTATTCAAGCTCTATTTTATTCTATTTTAAACATGTTGCTTCAAAAAAAAAAAAAAAAAAACCAATAAAGAATTAATATATTTAAAAAAGAACAAGGTATAAATGTTAATTTCAATTTTAAATTGAAATGGGATATCCCATTTCAGCTTATTAACATTTAACCACCACTTACAACAAAGCACAGATAGATTGTCGATTGGATTTCAATTTTATTAATAATTCACAAAAACCATTTTATCTATCTATATATTATATATTAGCGTAGAATTACGAAGTGTTCTACATTGAGAATCAAATTTATTTAATTTCAAGTGGGATACCGATTATCAATCACATACTTGATTATCATTATTAATGAATTGTCAATGTTGTCAAAAACTAATAAATTAATGATACTGATTTAAATGGAAACACTCTATTTATTTTTAACATGATATTAATAACTACTATTGATTATGATGATGATGTTGATATGATTAGTAGAATAGATTAAACATACACAATCCATGGTATTATTGGGTTGGATTGAAAAAGGATGATAACAGAATATTGAATTGGAAATCAATTGTATTGGGAGTCCTCTCGACGATTCACATTTTAGTTAGTAGCCTGAACACATGTGTGAATTAAATTAAAATTTTGAATTGAATTGATTGATAATAAAGCATGCTGCTGCTTTAACCAATTTGAATATCAAAGTCTCTTATTGGGAGGGGTGGGAGTAGTTGTAGCAACGATAGTACATTAATATACAATTGTTAAAATATATATTCGATTATATAGCTGGCAACAATATCAATTGATGATGATCAAACTAATATGATATTAAAAAATATCACTCTAACAAACAAACTAACACTTAACAACAATAATAACACTTTCTCAACCTCAATCTTCCATTCGTTCTTTTTCTACCAACAAACACAAAAATCAACAACGACAATAACAATGCAAAACTAACCAATCCAATAGAACCTGGTCAGTGGTTTTCATGTTTTAATAATACATCATCAATCTTGTTTTGGGAATTAATTGATTTCAAAAATTATTAAAACTGCATCTCTCCACAATAGGATTGCCTTAAATCAAAGATAATCGATGTGTGTAATGTTGAAACTTGGTGTAATATGTTAATTATGTGTGGAATCACTTGATCAAGTGATATTTTCTTTGGTGTTGAAAGTTTGTGGGTGTTATGGAGACGAATGAATTAGCTTAACACATGTGTTGCTTTGAGTTTAGTTTATTTAAATGATTGATGATGATGTTAATGATGATGATGATGAAAAGAGTGAACTATATATATAAATTGATTGATTATGGTTTTGATATGTGGTAGTGATTGTGGTTGTGGTTGTGGTTAATAGATTAAGAGGGTGAGTGAACACAACCAAATGTGTAGTTAGAGATGATAATAGTTTATTCTGTTGTTCATAATTACATACATAATAATAATATATCATAATAGATAGATATATCCGATATAAATATAGATTTATAAATTAGATACCTCTTAAAACTTGATGAACTTTAAATCACACCATGTACATAGATAAATAACATTACCTGTAAGATCATCAACAACAAAACAACTACAACATACAACAAACAACACACTATAATATTATATTTGTTATTTTAATTTTTGTGTTGTTTTATCTTTTATATAATATATATTAATGTATTTATATATGTATAATTGATGTTCTGGGTGGTGTGAGTTGATTGTAAATGTGTTTTGTGTTATGTGTATATGTGTGTGTGTTATGTGGATGTTTAATAATGAATCTACATTTTGAATTCAAAAGAGTGGGTGAGTGAGTGTTGTGATATGCTAAACCTGACTATGACAAAATGGGAGTGGATATATATGGTAAATATACAATAACATGTATAATTAATATAATAAGATTCTGCAAACCAAAAACGTATGTAATCTTGTAGTACAACTACCTACTTGATTGGGTTCATCAGAAATTAATGTACCAATATCTATGTATATCGATTTTAAAAATATATTTTATAGTAGTAGTTAGTACTCATTCATTATCTTAAATGAGTGATGTTTAATAAATTAAAAAAAAAAAGAAGAATGGTAATTGAAGTTATAGAGAGTGATAAAGGAAGTGAACAATAAATGAATAAAAATTAAATATAACTGTTTGAATGCTGTCAATCAAAATATATAGATAATTTTATAAAAAACAATCGAATATTCTTTGATTTATTTAATCTACTATTGTGGAAGATGTTGAAGGTAATTACCTTCAACACATATGGTTTATCTTTTTTTTTTAAAACTATCAATAGTTGTTTGTTTGAGTACATGTTATACAACTATCATAATAAGCTTGAACAATTTGTATCAATTTAAAAAAATTCAATAAAAAAAATAAAAATAAAAATAATTAAAGGTTTATAACACTGAACATATTCTTAATTATAACAATTCAATAGATTTTATGATTATGACACTTATTAATAATTTATTACTTCAAGTTGCATTAAATGATAAAAAAATAAAAAAAACAATATTAGTTACTTAAGTTTAATATATATTAATTGCTTTTGTGTAATGATCAGTTAAGAAAAAAATGGGTTGTTCAATAAATAAAAGTATCCTTGTTGTTTGTTTTTGTTAGTGAATAAGTATTCATCTATCAATGAATTTGATATTCTGTTTTGAGCTTGTATTTTGTAAAACATTTTGCTAGCTATTATATACATATAGTAGATTGATCATCGTTTTATAGTTGTTGGTACTGTGTATTGCGTGGAACATCCAACTATTTTAAAAAGGTAGATTGATTTGATTTTGATTTGATTTGATTTAAAGTTGGGTTGAATTATTTAGTTGTTTACAAATATTAACTTCCTAGAGTTTGTTGTTTTTGCTGTTTTTGATTGTTGTTGTTACTGTATACTGTATTTTTACTTAATATACTTTTTAATATCTTCTGTTATTGTTGTTACTATCTCTATTCCTTCTGTTATCACTGTTACCACCTCTATAGTTTCTACTACTTCTATTGTTGTTGTTGTTGTTATTAAAGTTGTTGCTATCTCTATCTCTGTCTCTATCTCTATCTCTGTCACCACCAGTTGATCTTCTTCCACCGGTTCTTGTCGATCTCAATTGGATGGTATGTGTCGGGGTGGTATCGACCGATTGCACGAATGCAAAGTCGACCGTCAGTGGCTTACCGGCCAGTTCGATCTTCTCGCTCTCCTTGATGGCGGCGCTCGCTTCGCTCTCTTGCTCGTACTCTATGAGTGCATAGCCCTTGGTGAATCCAGTGCGACGATCGTAGTTCAAATGCATGTTTCTAATGGCACCGTACTCACAGAAGAGATCACGAAGATCCGACTCTTGTGCTTCGTCGTGGATGTTTGTAACGACGACGATCCAACCTTCGATCGACTTGATCGGTTCGCCCGGCTTGATTAGCGATTCGTCTTGGTTCAACGATTCGAACAAACCAGAGTCGCCAGCATATCGTTGGTCACGTTCAATCGAATCGATGACACCTCTACCTTTCATCACCTTCTTTGGTAGCACACCCTTTCGCAAATCGGAAGTGAAAATTTGTTCACCTTCTTCCAACTCCTCAGTAACACCACCACCATTATTATTATTATTTTGTTTATCTATATCCATGTCATGCAAACTAACTAACCTAACCTAACCTTAACTATCTCGTTTGTTTTTAATTTTATGTTTTGTTTTTGTTTTGTGTTGTTGTTGTTGTGTGTTTGTTAAGTCGTAGTTGTTGTGTTGTTATTGTTATTTTTTTTATTATTTGTTTTTGAATATTGAATATTTTTATGATTATTTTTTTTTTAAAAAAAATAAAAAATCTGTTTTTTTTTTTTGATCGGTTTACATTATCATATTAATATACATGATTATTTTTAAAGTAGGTGGTTAATGAAATAAATATATATAGAAGACGAATTAATTTATAATTGTAAACAAATTTTGATTGGTTGTATTAAATGTGATTAGTTTAAATATTTAATCGATTATTTGAAACAAATTTTGTATGCACATGGATATTATTGGTAATTTATTCAAGGGATCGCTTACTGCTTTTGATGTATGAAAATATTAAAGAGTAATAATAATATATTTATTTATATTTATATCTATTTTTATTTATATCTGAACAAAATGAATTCGTTTGGTCAGTAACATACAAAAAATATATTGTATTGGTTTTTTTTTATTTTATTTTTTCCTATAGATAAAAATACTAATATGTGTATATAATATATATATGTTTAACTCCATGAAAAAACAGAAGCAAATTAAAAAAATTTGAGTGGTTGACCCAAATTTTAAAATTTTTCCATGTCATTGAATGGAATTAAACAATATATATATATATTATATAAACATAACATATTGAAATCTGTTATAATTCATTTTGTTTTTTGTTTTTGACTTGGCAACCATATTTAATAAAAAATGATTCCAACTATTAATAGAAATTATGAAAAAGTTGCATTGGTAACTGGATGTTCATCAGGCATTGGACATGCTTTGGTCGAGTCGCTGTCAAAGTATCCTAATATCAAAGTTTATGCTTCCGCAAGAAATGTTTCATCCATTAGTAAATTGAAATCAGAAAATGTTGATATTGTTCAGTTAGATGTTTGTGATAATAATTCTATAAAGGTAAAAGAGAAATGAAAGATTCTTACTACTTTTAGAAATATCTTATTTACATACATATTCATTTAAATATCTACAATTTAAAAAGGAAGCAATCGATACAATTTTACAAAAAGAAGAGAAAATTGATATCCTTATAAATAATGCTGGTATCAATATTTATGGACCGGTTATTGATCTCACTGATGAAGACAATCGAAGAATGATGGATACCAATTTCTTTGGTGTAGTTAACGTTGTAAGAGAGGTAGCCAAACATATGATTCCAAGGAAATCGGGTTTGATTGCCAATATCGGTAGCCCAGGCGGTTGGATTTCAAATCCTTACGTCGGAATGTATTGTGCAAGCAAGGCTGCCATTCACTTTTGGACCGATGCTCTTCGAATGGAGTTGGCGCCATTCGACATCAAGGTATCGCTTGTGGTACCAGGTGCAATCCAATCGGATATTGCAATGAAAGCACAACCCTCGTTACAAGAACTGCTGAAGAGAACACTCTATCAACCAATCAAAGACTATATCATCATGAGAGCAGGTACCTCTCAGCAACACGATATGACGGCACTCCAATTCTCAGACTATGCCATCGCTCAACTCCTAAAACCAAGTGTTCCAATCACTTTTTCCTACGGTCCACTAACCACACTCTTTAAAATCTATTCAATACTACCTAAATTCATAACAGACTATATGTTTTCAAAGAGATTAGGATTATTAAAACTTAGAGAATTACTAAGTAGTGGAAATACTAATGCTCATTTATTTAAAAAAGAACAATAATCCATTGCTCAAATAATCCATTAGAAATTAAATAAAAATATTCAACTTTAAGTTAAGATCTTGTTGAGGAACTTCAAAGAAAATATATATTAATGATTTCATTTTTATTTTGATTTGATTTTATTTGTTTAAAGGTCGATGTAATATAATAATTTTGTTTTTTTTGTTAATTAATAAATAATATAATTATAGTGCTATTGTTGTTTTGTATGTTGTTATTTTTGTTGTTGCTGTTGTTGTTATTATTATTATTGTTTTAAATATTTCATATGACTTCAGCTTCATTTTGGAAATTGTTTTTTGATTTCTTTTTTCTCTTTTTATCGTCAGATGATTCGTGTTCGGAATTTGTAATTTCCTCTTCGCTGCTTTCGTAGTTGACGTAGGAGCTGCTACCTGTTTCAACTTGCTCAATTTCGAATTCACTGTTTTCGTCGGGTTGCCAGTCAGAGCTCTGTGTTGGCAACAGTGCTGGTGGTGCTGCCGATGTTGTTGTATTGTTATTATTATTAATTCCATTTGCTAAAGAATCGTTGTTGGAATGAGTTTGTTTGTTAAGGTCAACGCCAACCGACGATGGTGGTAAAATATTGTTATTGTTGCTGTTGTTGCTGTTTCCATTCACTGATCCAGTACTTGCAGTACTGCTTACCAAGCCCTGGTTTCCAGTTGCTAACTTCTTGTCGGCACCGTCATGAAGATGGGTGGATTGAAGTGATTTGTTTAATACGGAATTCTCGGGCATTGGTGAAGGTGGAAGTGGAAGTGCTGAGAGATGATCGGGCACCGGGACGAGAGGAACGACGTCAGCCGAGGTTGGCACGACGTATCCAACACGAGTGGCATACTCTGACACGTAGCTATTGAGATCCAACGATGCCTCGAAACGATTCTCTGCCAGCTTGTCTTGCATCTTTAGGAACAACTGTATCAATTGGCTACGCTTCTCTTTCGAGAGAGTATTGAACGCTTGGTGAAGTGAGAAGTTTTGGATCTCGGTTGAGGTGTAGGCTTTCGAGAGAGTCTTGGAGAAAATCATGTGATTCAATGTACGATTGATGTCAAAGAGCAGTGGTTGTGCAATCGATGTCCAGCCGGACAATCCGAATTGATTGCTATCGAGGTTGAGATAGTGCAGTGTATTGTTGTATCTCAGCATTTCACCGACGATCGAAGCGGATGCGTCTGTCAGTCCATTGTCAGAGATATCGATTTCGCGCAACGATTGATTCTTTACCAGTGTTTCCAGTAGTGGGAATAGCGATTTTCCAAGTGGATAACGTCCACCTTGGAGATTGAGAGTGCGAACGGTTGGGAAGTTTGTAATGAACTGAGCGATCAAGCCACAGAGTTGATCACCCTCAGGTCCAACAGTGAAATAGTTATTGCCAATGTTCAACTCGTGAAGGTTGAATCGATCGATGTTCTTGATGGCGTTGATCAGCTCCATCAGCGATCGACAATTCAGCTTGTTGTGAGAGATGTCGAGCGCTTCTAGATAGCGACATCCCGAGATCGATTTCGAGAGTATCGAAGCTTCGCCTGCACCCAAGCTGTTTCGTGAGAGATTGATTGTGAAGTGCGCAATCTTTCGGTTGCGATTGAACGCCACAAAGATGTCCTCGAGCGACTGGGCATTGAGGTAGCATTCACTGAGATTCAAATCGGTGAGCGTTGTCACCGAGTCGAAAACCTGTGATCCCAGTGTCTTTGATGCTTCACGATCGATTCGATTACCCGAGAGATTCAAACGTGGAACATCGAGCACACGAAGTGGTGGTCCCATAATCTGGAAATTCAAAGCGCAGTTGGACAACACCAGATTCTGAAGCGAGTGGAATCCCTTGATCTTTGACATCCAACCGGCCAACGCCTGTGATCCGATATCACCCATCTTATTATATGATAAATTTAAATACTTTAGCGCCAAAGACATACCAAAATTACGTTCAAACGATTCAAATAATATTGAAATTGCTCTATTATTATAATATTATTAATAAACTGGAAATACACATTTTCTTTAATTTCAAACAAGTTGTCGTTAGTACTTACTTTGGTTGTAAATTACATTTGGATAGATCTAAACTAACGAGACCATGTTGTAACTTTGAGAAACAATCGCAAAGAGTTACCATAACTGGATAGGTGATTGTATTCTTTGAGAAATCGATCATCTGAACTCTGTTTGATGGATTCTTTACCAAGCCATTTGCAATCGGTTGAAACGATTGTTCTATTCTTAAATTGGAAAGATTGATTTTAGTAATTGTTTTGTTTGTTTCCAAACACATTCCCAGTGCAGATACAACTAAATAAAATTGAAAAGTATTTTATAGTTAGAAACGCTCGCACCTTCTTTTTTTTTTTGTAAGTATCTCAATTATTGTATGATATTTACTGTTGGCATGTGGCAAACCGGCTAGATTCAATGATTTAAAGAAAGTATTATGACGTAGAGATGTAATGGCTGTGAAGAGATTGAATGAGATTTCAGAGGTTGGATCATTTCCTGGTGAATGTGTATAGTCTAGTTCCGATGTTTCATTGCTATCCAATGCTTGAATGTATCTAATATAATCGAGAGTACTGATTGTCTTATAAAAGTATGAATGTGCTATATATGTATCTATATATCCTGATGCTGCTGACATAACTATAATACATATATATATTTATAAATAATGTTGTTTGTCAATCAACTCATATTCAAAAATACAATTATCTATATAGACAATAAACAATAAAAATCATACCTAATGGTGTTGAAAATGGAAGTAACTTTTCAGGTGGATAATTCAATTTGAACATATTCTCTTCACTGAATCCACAGGTGATTTGACGGTAACTGGTTCTGATGGCCAATATCAGTTGTTGAATCTTCTCGAGCGATGCCTTCACTGTTATTCCAAGATGCTGTTGCTGCTCACCTACTTCCACTTGATATTTAATTACAACGGTTTCATCGTCCTGATAATTTATCTCTGTAATACTATAAAGATGGAATTCAAGTTCAACCTGTATTGATAAATGATTGATAGATAAGACAATGTTAACACTCAATTCAATTTGAGATCGCGTTCTTTTCTTTTTCTTTTCATTTCATTTCTTTTCTTTTACATACAGATTTACCGAATGTACCTTTCTTCAAGGATAGCATCTTATATTTACCGACTACCATGAGACGCTTGTTGAATGCTGATGCTGCTGGTACTGCTGTCTTGTTTGCTTCAACCCAAACATTATGTAGATTAGCTTCACCGAATACACCTCCAATAGCACCAAGACTATCTTCGATAAACTCTGTATATTTTCAATATTCAATTTGATGTTGTTAATACCAAAAAAAAAAAAAAAAGATCACTCAATAAACATTTTCTTCAAAAATTATAACATTATCTTTCCACTTTTTTTCAATCAATATTTTCTTTTTTTAATTATTTAGATTATTATATTATTATATTATTATACATACTAGGATCCATTTCCTCGGCCATTTTTATAAATTTTTTTTTTTTTAAGTAGTTAAACACTGAAATCTGTTCTACCTATATACAATATAAATAACTATTAACTTTTTATAAAACGTTTATATATCTGTATTTAATTTGTTGATATTTATTAATTGTTTACAAATTTATTTAATAATTATTTAACATTAGTTTAATAAAAGTGATCTAAACAGAACAAGACAAAAATTTAATAATAAAAAAAAAACAAAAAAATAGATCTCAAAGAAACAATTTTTTTTTTTTGAAAATTAATTTGATTGGATTTTTTGATTTTATCATATTTTTTTGTCTAAAAAACCACACATAACAATGAAAATCTGAATTCACTATTTTTCGTTTGAATTAATTAAATCGATTTCATTTATTTGATTATCATTTGATTTTTTTTAGTGATGATTTATTCCCGCGTACTATTTTCAAAAGAGATGAATCATTTTTTATTGTGTTTGATAATATAAATATTAAATATTTTCAATACAATCAAAGATAGTAGTATTTCTAGAAATACTATTAATGTAAAATGATCATTTATATTCAGTGTACTTAGTAACAATGTAATATATGGACATGTGGATTGATTTCAAATATATTTCTTTCCATACATGTAACCAAACAAGATCGTTATTTGATAAAATAGGTTGGTTGTTATAGCATTTTTTTTTATTTCCATGTGTTCTTTGTATTTTTTGTAGTTTATGGATAAATCAGTATGATATTGCAACAACAACAACAATAATAATAATTGAGATCTCAATAACAAGAAATGTTCACCTTAATATTGTTCTAGATTGATAAGAAACGTCTTGAAGTTGTGCCAGTAATGACTATAGTCAACAAACTATGATCCCCTCCAATACAAACATTTCTTAAAAAAAAACTAGCGCTATCTTTATAATTATTTTCTAAATTACACCCCTCCTTTATGAGAATTTGTTGGCTTTGAACAATTGTTGTTTTTCAATAAATTAAATAATAAATGAATCTAAAGATTAATGAAACAAGTTATTTATATGATTTCAGAGTGAGAAAAACAGTCTAATCAAAAGTTTCGTTTTTCCGACTAAATTTTTTGAATATCTTTTTAAAATTTAATTTTTTTCAATTTTTTTTTTCAAATTATTTTAATTATAAAATGTTCGATTTTTTGTTTTTTTGATTGATTGTAATCTCATAGTAATAAATTGTATTATTCTACTATTATATTAAAAAGTTTTCAAAATCAAAGAACAACTAAAAAAAAATCAATAGGATAGTTATTCAAATATAAAAGTTTTAGTATATTATTCTAAATTTCTCAAGTAGTGAGTATCATAACCATATTCATTAATTATCATAAAATGATGAGCAATTAATGAACATCAACTATGTTATTACTAGTAATATTCAACTAACACTTTTTATTACTAAAACTAAAGGTTGTTTTGTTTTTTTTATTATTTTGATTTTTTAAAAAACATTTTTATTATACTTTTTTTTTTTTTTTTTTTGTTTATTATTAAATAGATTTATAAAAGAAAGATAATTTAAAACAAATAAATATTGGATAATAATAATAATAATAATATAATAATAATAATAATAATAATAAGAATAAAGTTATGGCTGTTTCAACACAAATTAAAGAAGTTGTAAAATCAACATTGGGATCAAAGGCATCGGAATTGGATGACACCATTGTCGACTACATTTGTGGTGTGTTTGAAGATGAAGCAGTCACCAACGATATGGACGAGTTGATTGAGATTCTGTCGCCATTCTTGGAGGATGTCGCCGTCGATCAAGAGGTCAACTCGTTGTGCAAGTCGCTCGTCGAGAAGATGGTGGTGGCCGGTGTCGTCAAGGTCGGCAAGAAGTCGACACTCCAGCAACTCACTCAGCCCGTATCGCTACAGAAGCTGGACGACCGTGTCGACGCCGCCGTCGCCTGGATGAAGCCAGAGGAGAATATATCGATTGTCAATCGTGAGCAGCTCGAAGCGAACGAGCGTCGTTATAACGCGCGTAAAGAGGCGCGTCTCGCGCGTGAGGAGCGAAAGGTGCTCCGTCAGAACGCTGCACTCGCCGCCATCCAGCAGATGAAAGCACAGCAAACAATGCTCATGTCGACGGTGCGTGGCACCAACTTGTCGCGTGACATTCACGTCGAGAACTTCTCGCTCAACTACGGTAAGATGGATTTGCTGATAAACTCTGATCTCCACTTGAATTTCGGCAGAAAGTACGGTCTGATAGGAAGAAACGGTACCGGTAAAACAACGTTGTTGCGTCATATTGCATCGCGTGAGATTGAGATCACCAACAGCTTGTCGATTTTGCACGTCGAGCAGGAAGTACACGGAAGCGACACCACCGTTCTCGACTGTGTGCTCGAGGCGGACGTCGAGCGTGACCGTCTTCTCAAGGAGGAAGCGCGTCTCAATGCTATGCCAGAGAACGAGCGTAACAATCTCTCGTCGAAACTCACCGATATCTACGAGAAGCTCAACCAGATCGACGCGCACACCGCCGAGTCGCGTGCCGCCTCCATCTTGGCCGGTCTCGGATTCACCGACGAAATGCAGGCGCAGCCAACCAAGCAGTTCTCTGGTGGTTGGCGTATGAGAATCTCGCTGGCACGTGCACTCTTCATACAGCCCGACGTGCTGATGCTCGACGAGCCCACCAATCATTTGGACTTGTTTGCCTGTCTCTGGCTGGAGAGTTACCTCATCAATTGGACACGTACTCTGGTGATTGTTTCTCATCAGCGTGAGTTCTTGAACGCCGTTTGCACCGATATCATTCATCTCAACAATCGTAAGCTCGACTACTACAAGGGTAACTACGCCACCTTTGAATCGACGCGTCACGATCGTCTCAAGTCACAGCAACGTGCATTTGACGCGCAACAACAACAGCGTAAACACATCCAGACATTCATCGATCGTTTCCGTTATAATGCCAAGCGTGCCAAGATGGCGCAATCGCGTATCAAACAGCTCGAGCGTATGGACTTGATCTCAGAGGTGATGGACGACCCAACGATCACCCTGCAATTCCTCGAGCCTGAACCAATCACCCCGCCCATTCTCCAGTTCCAAGACGTCTCTTTCGGTTACAGTCCCGACAAGCTGCTATTTAAGAATCTCAACTTGGGTATCGATATGGACAGTCGTGTAGCGTTGGTCGGTGCCAACGGTGTCGGTAAGACCACCCTGCTGCGTCTGCTGTGTGGCGAGCTGAACGAAACCTCAGGTCTCGTTGTCCGCCACGGAAAGCTGAGATTCGCGCGTTTCTCACAGCATTTCGTCGACCAGCTCGACTTGTCCAAGTCGCCACTCGACAATTTCCTCACAACCTATCCCGGTACCAATCCACAAACCGCTCGTTCCCATCTCGGTAAGTTTGGTCTGAGCGGAGATCTCGCACTGCGTACCGTCAACACACTTTCCGGAGGTCAAAAGTCGCGTGTTGTCCTCTCGCAGATCGCATACACCAAGCCACACGTCCTCTTACTGGACGAGCCATCGAATCATTTGGATATCGACACTGTCGACGCCCTCTGTCAGGCACTCAACGAATTCCAAGGTGGAATTCTCATGGTCAGTCACGACGAACGTTTAATCTCTTTGGTTTGTGATGAAATCTGGTACTTTGACGGTGAAGACAATGAAGCAAAGGAAGTAAAGGTTTTCGATGGTGATTGGAGTGATTACAAGAAACAAAGTAAGAATCAACTACACATAATATTAAATTTAATATTATCAAGTATTATATGGTTTACTAACATTATTTTTTCAATTAATAAATTATAGTTTGGAATCTATAAGATAGAGAGTTAGATTTGAACAATGTAATCCAAAATAAAATAATTTAGATTTAAAAAGTAATAGTAATAATATAGATAGAAAAAAAAATATAAAAACAATAGAAATAGAGAAATAGAAATAGAAATAGAAATAGAATAGAAATAGAAATAGAAAGAAGAAGAAAAAGAGGATGAATCAATTATTATCCTGTATTCCTTTAGCAATTTACTTTTTTGGAAACAGCTAAATTCCAAAAAGAAAAAAAAAAAAGATTATTTTTTAAAGTGAAAATCAGTGTACAGAAAAATAGTTACCAGTAAAAAGATAGGAAAACAAGATAAAAGATTAATTGATGGATTTGGAGGTTGAATTTGATCGGATTCCAATTCAACCATCATCATCATCATCAAACAACAACAATATTATTACTATTTTGTAGATAAATTAATTTATTATTAAAAATCTAAAAGAATATCTTATTCCAAAACAACAAATTCCTTTTTTTATTATTTTATTTTATTATATCCGTTTACTAATCAATTTATTTGAAATACTACCTACCTTATGAACATATTTTTCTTAGACTTTTTTCTTAGACATTATTAAGTTAAAACAGCAGTTTTGTGAAACATTTTTGTGGGTATTAAATTATCATTACATTCAATTTCAAAAAAATCAGTCAATCATAAAACTACACAATCATAAAACCAAATTAAACATCGAGAAAATAGATAGAGTTATCTATGGTAGATAATAATATACTGTAATAATACACCATATTTTATTTGATATATAAATATATATTAAACACAGTACAGTGTGATCACACCAACAAGTAATGACAATCTCAATTGAATGTGTTCTAGAATCAGCTGTATTCTTTCCTGGTGATACTTTATTCTGTAGAATACATATTTATAATAAATCATTGATATCTCCAATTATAATATCCAATAATAATAGTAGTAATAATAGTAATGGTAATAACAATAGTAACAATAGTAATAATAAGATAAATGAATCGATATCATGGATTACAACACAAGTCTATGGAAATATGATAGTTGAACCAAAGTACTTTAGGATGTCTAGTTCATCGCCAAAATTGAATTCTACATCATCATCATCATCAAAGAAACAACAACAACAATATCAAGTACAGCAGCAACAACAACAACAACTGCAAGCACAACAAAAGAAGAGTAGTGCACCAGGTCTATTCGGTGGAATATCTACTGCCACTTCACTACCAAACATAACCGACACCGGTGAGAATGGTCGTTCGATATTTGCATCTCCGACAACCATCTTGGCATCCGACATTCAAATTCCAGTCGGACAAACTAAATCTTGTAAGTCGTCAACTAAGATACAATACATACATTCATTTTTGTTATCAACTAATCCGATCTAATCTAACAACAAACAAACAAACACTACCTACCTATATTATAAAAGTTATTTATTATATAACATTACCATCATCGTTACCACCATCGTTTAAAGGAACTAGCTTACGATATAGTTACTTCCTCTCGATAGCAGCACAACTCTTTACACAGCCAGCACAGATTCTCACCATTCCAATTCGTATTCTAACACCTGCCTCAGCACTCCGTCAACTAAAGTTCAAACTAAACATATCGAATCACGAATTCGAAGAGGGTTGCACTGAGACACCACAAGAAACAAATAAAAGTATCTATAAACTAAACAAAAAAAACATACTTACTAATAGTTATAAATTAATTATTTCAATCAATCAATCAAATCTAACTAAACTTTTGACTAATCATCGATTCTAGATTTAGAGATAGTATCGAAATGGCCAATATCAGCATTCAAGAAATCACAATATTTTCCTGTACCATATCCGCAGAATCTCTCTCAATATGACTCTAACAATACAAGAAAATCAGTTATAGATTTGCTTAATAAATATTCTGTACCAGGTAATTATTATTATCATTATTAGTAGTAGTTTGGTTCGTTGGTTAGTTGGTTGGTTTACTAATTAGTTTAATCTATATATATATCTCTCACTTGTTACAGTATCAATTAATATATCGAAAGGAACAGAAAAGTTAGCAACATTCTCAATATTAAAGACAGCATTTACACTGGGTGACACTGTATGTGGAACCTTTGATTTCTCTATTGCAACCATACCTTGCTATAAGATATTGGTTAAGCTAGAGTGTGAAGAGACTATCGAACCGAAATACCAACAGTCATCTCGAAGCAAATCAAACAGAAGACTCTACGGTGAACTTCATGAATATACGACCAACGTCAGACAGACTCACTTTATGTTTCATATACCTGTAGAAGCATCACAAGAATTCTCAACTAAACATGGTATGATATGATATGAATGGAAATGAATGAATAGTTTATTACTAATTAATAGTTAAACTAACTAACTAACTAATCTAACTATCTATCTAACTAATTAATTGAAATATCAATGCAGTGTCTGTAAAATGGGTATTAAAGTTTGAATTTGTTACACCTGTTAAGAATCCTTATGGTCAGCAACAACAAACACTGCATCATATCAATAGCAATAGTAATAGTTATCACCAACAAACAACACCTTCTAGTATGTCGAGATCGAATTCATTGGAGATTGAACATGAACATCATCAACAACATCATCATTTACAATCAACCAAATCAATTGGAAAGAGTAGTTCTTATAATGAAGATTTAGGAAGAACAACTACTACATCTACAACTACAACTACAACACCTCAACAATTACAACAACAACAATCAAACTTAGCTGTAAACAACAACAATAATAATAATAATAATAATTTGAGTCAATCACAATCGATGCCATCTACACCACCACAACATCTACAACAACTCTCAAAGTCTGTGAGTAATCGAGTGATCTCAGAGATACCGAGTGACAGTGAGAGTAATATCAGCTCGGATAGCGGTGCTATGATCTCGGAGGACGTGTTACACAGCAGTTCGAACAGTTTGCCTGGTGTACGTGCATCGACCTCCAACAACTCTAGTGTAAGCGGACTCATCGGCAGTGGTGGTGGAAGCACAGGTGGAGCATCTACAGGAACAACAAGACACAAACGCTATGAAAACAATCCTATAGTCGGTGTACTCATTAACAACGATGAACACAACATCCCATTTGTCGACACACTTCATTGGAGTCTACCAATTAGAGTATTAGTATGTTCTCCACCTCATGAATTACTTCATACAAAATAAAAATGAATTAATTTTATAACTTTTAAAAAAAAACAAATTTATTTTTATTTTATTTTTATTTTATATCAAAGATTTTATATTAATATTACAACCCAACCCGATAAGCATGAATTCATCATCGTCATCATCATCATCTTCCTATTGTTGTCGATCGTGTATATATATTTTAATTTAGTTGATAAAACAACAATCTTTATAATTGTAAGGTTAATTAAGCTTACCAGGGAGGAGGGAAGGAAGGATGGATGAAATAGTAGATCTGACCTGACTACCTCTTCTTTTTCCAACCCAAGTTAGTAAAAAATAAAAATAAAAAAATGTGTATTCAAAATAAAATTCCAAGGATATTTCTCATATATGAGTATTAGTGAGAATATCTTGCGAAACAAGACATAACCACTAAAAATATAATTTAATTTATTGCATTGTTGTTTGTTTTTGGAAATGAAAATTTTTTTTTGGCATTGATGAATGAACACGACAACCTTATAAAATGTATCGAATCATAATAAACATGGTGTAGATTGACGTCAATCAAGATCCTAAAATCGCGTATGATTCATTGATTTATCAGTTACATTTAAATTTTTTTTTAAAATAATGAAATCGTTGTAAAAGAAAATGGGAGGGAAAATATTTATTTTTATTTTTGTTTTTTGACTTTTTTTTTAATTTTTTTTTTTCCTTAATTGTAACCCGCCTAATTGTTTTCTTATCAAATCGAAAGGTGGGTTACATTTGACATTTGTGACACGTTTTGGCATTGTTCGTTTTTTTTTTTTTTTTTGATAATTTTAGTTTCTCTAATCTATTGAGAAATTTCCTCTAAAATAATGGGGTAAGTAGCTGACTACTCAACTCACGACTTTATATTTTTGGTTTAAGTTTGGTGAGTTTCAACAGTTGAAAATTAAAAAGATCGCCAAGAAAAAGCAGAGGAATACTGTTAAATATCATTTTGTATCAAAAATCAAATATCACTTTTTATTTATTTATTTATTTTCAGTTCGGTGGTATCTATCTTGGTGGTAAACACTAAATCTGCACCCACTGACACTCTTCACTTGACATCAAATCACCCAATCAATTCGTTGGTTACATCTGGTGGTTATAAGCCCAAACACAACACACACACATAGGTGAGTTCTAAATTAATTTTAAGTAATTACATTGTTATAACTAAAAACTAATTTTAAATTAAATCACACTCTTCCTTCTCTACTCATCTCATCAATCAATTCATAAATCATTTGTTCATTGTTTCCTATTTAACCTAATTTTATTTCTCAGTTTATATATATATTTATTATAATAGTATTAAAATTATTATAGTTTTCATATATATTTTTTTAGTTAATAATATTTTTATAAATAGTTTTGTTTTCCTTTTTTTATAGATCTAAAGTTTAAATTTAATCAATCAAATTACTATTATTATTTATTTTATTAGTAGGTATATAGTATAGTTGGGAATTTATAATTCTGCAAATTTATATATCTATAGAAAAATCGAAACAAATACTATTTCTAAAATAATATTATTATTTTCTTAAACACGAGTAAAATTAGATTGGATTGGAAAAATCAAGCCAATTATAAATTTAGAAGAAAGTAGTAGTATTAATCTTAGTTGTAGTGATATCGTTGTAGTGAATCCATTGTTTTTCAATCGTCAACAACAATGGACGAAAACAACAACAACAATAATTTTAATGAAGTTCCAATGGAGCCATTAAATAGTAACAATATAAATTTGCCACCCGCTATTCATAGTGACGCCAGCACGCCTGGTCGCGACGAAGATGTCGTAATTGCCTTGGGATCCTCTTCGCCAAAGAAGACCGACGAGGTAGACAAACCTCCCGTCGAAGACAACAGCAATGTTGGATTCTTCCAATTGTTCCGTTTTGCCGACGGACTCGACTGTGCCTTGATGATTGTCGGTTCGATCGGTGCCATTGCCGCCGGTGTTGCACTGCCAGCACTCTCCATCGTCTTGGGTAAGGTTATGAATGTATTCACCTACCAAGAACTCAGAAGACCAGATTTCGATGTCTACAAAGAAATCTCGGCTGTCGCCCTCTACTTTGTCTATATCGCAATCGGTATGTTTTTCGCATCATATCTCGAAGTTGCTTGTTGGTCGATTGCCGGTGAGCGTCAATCCGTTCGTTGTCGTAAACAATATCTCAAAGCGATTCTCCGTCAGGAAATCGGATGGTACGACGTAACCAAATCATCAGAGTTGGCCACACGTATCGCTTCCAATACTCAGCTGTTCCAAGAGGCAATCGGTGAGAAAGTTGGTAATTTCCTTCATTTCACCTCAACTTTTATCTCTGGTTTCATCATTGGTTTGGTCAATGGTTGGCAACTTGCATTGGTTATTATCGCCGTCACTCCATTGCTCGCAGCATGTGGTGCTTTCATGACCAAGATGATGACCGATCTCACCAAGAAAGGTCAAGATGCATACGCCAAAGCCGGTGCTGTCGCCGAAGAAAAGATTGGATCAATCAGAACCGTAGCAACTTTCTCGGGTGAGGAACGTGAGAATGCTAGATACGCTGCCAATCTCAATGAAGCACTCAAGATTGGTCGTAAGAAAGGTGTTTACAACGGTTTGGGTATTGGATCTGTATTCTTTGTTATGTTTGCTTCCTACAGTTTGGCTTTCTGGTACGGTGCCAAATTGATTACCGATAAAACCTACAATCCAGTTGCTGGTCGTGACTGGCAAGGTTCTGATGTATTAACTGTATTCTTTTCTGTTATTATGGTAAGAAATAGTTCTTAAACTATAAATATTTGAATTATATTTTTTCTAACAACATTTTTCTTTAATCACCATGCTAGGGTGCTATGGCTTTAGGACAAGCAGCTCCAAATCTTGCAAATTTCGCAAATGGTAGAGGTGCCGCTTTCAAGATTTTCCAAACAATTGATCGTGAATCAAAGATCAATCCATTCTCAAAGGAAGGTATTGAACATGTTGCCGAAGGTGATATTGAATATAGAAATGTATCGTTTGCCTATCCATCACGTCCAGAAGTACAAATTTTCAATAACTTTAGTTTGGCAATCAAGAAAGGTCAAACCGTTGCATTGGTTGGTGATTCCGGTGGTGGTAAATCATCTGTTATTGGATTGTTGGAACGTTTCTATGATCCATTGGATGGTGAAATCTTGATGGATGGTGTCAATATCAAAGATATCAATGTCAAATGTCTTCGTCAAAATATTGGTTTAGTCTCACAAGAACCAACACTATTTGGTGTTTCAATTGCTGATAATATCAGATATGGAAATGAAAATGCATCGATGGAACAAATCATTGAAGCAGCCAAGACAGCGAATGCTCATGACTTTATCTCTGCACTTCCAGAAGGATATGACACTCAAGTCGGTGAGAAAGGTGTTCAAATGTCTGGTGGACAGAAACAACGTATTGCCATTGCAAGAGCTATGATCAAAAATCCAAAGATTCTCTTGCTCGACGAAGCAACCAGTGCTCTTGATACTCAAAATGAACATCTCGTACAACAAGCCATCGATAAACTCATGGTTGGTCGTACTACTATTGTTATTGCTCATCGTTTGACAACTATTCAAGATGCCGATGTCATTGCTGTTGTTCGTGGAGGTGCAATCGTTGAACAAGGAACTCACTCAGAGTTGTTGGCAATGAATGGAGTCTACACTGCTCTCGTCCAACGTCAACAATCCGGTGACGACGAAACCAAATTGAAACTCAAATCCAAAGGCGTTGCAACAGGAAATAATAATGAGAAGACATTAACCAACACTTCTGACTCTGCTTCCTCTTCTTCAGTTGAAGAGAGCAACGATTCTTCAATCGATGGATCACAATCCGGTGATACTGACAAGAAGAAGAAGAACAAGAAGAACAAGAAGAAGGGAGAGGAGTCCAGTGTTCCAATTTCACGTATTATCAAGATGAATCAAGCCGAATGGCCATTCTTTTTGCTCGGTACCATTGGTGCTTTGGCAAACGGTGCAATCTTCCCAGTTTTCTCAATTCTTTTCTCTGAGATTATGAAGGTTTTCAACTCTAAAGATGTCTACGATGAAGCTGTCAAGATGTGTCTCTGGTTCTTGTTACTCGCTGTCATTTCTGGTCTTGCCAATATCTTCCAAGCCGGTGCATTCGATTACATCGGTGAAGTTCTCACCTATCATCTCCGTTACTTCTCGTTCCGTTCGATTATCCGTCAAGACATTGGATGGTTTGACTTGCCAGAGAACTCAACTGGTGTTCTCACAAACAATTTGGCAACCGATGCCACCTTGGTACAAGGTATGACAAGTCAACGTCTTGGTTTGATTATCCAAAACATCGTTACCATTATCGCTGGTCTTATCATTGCATTCATCGCCGGTTGGAAGTTGACACTTGTCATTTTGGCCACCGTTCCTATTATTGCTTTCGCCGGTAAAATGGAAATGGATTTCATGGCTGGTTTCTCCAAGGACAGCAAGAAATCATATGCTCGTTCCGCCCAAATTGCAACCGAAGCGATCGGTGGTATTCGTACTGTCAGTTCATTCACTGCCGAGAAGAAGGTCTATGACAAATTCAAGTTTGCTTTGACCGGTCCAATTGCTATCGCCAAGAAGAAAGCCAATACTGCTGGTCTTGTCTATGGTTTCACTCAGGCAACCACCTACTTAATTTGGGCACTTGGTTACTGGTACGGAGGTAAATTGGTCTCAGAAGGTGAATGGAAAGCACCACAATCCGATCTCAACAAATGTGTTGGTCCAGACTACATCTATGGTGTTAGCTACGACCGTTGTATCTACATTCAAACTTGCATTCACGGATATGGTATGATGCAACGTGTATTCTTTGCCATTGTTATGTCAGCTATGGGTGTTGGAAATGCCGCAGCTTTCGCACCAGACATGGCCAAAGCAACAGTTGCCACCAACGCTATCTTCAAGCTCATCGATAAGATCTCAAAGATTGATCCATTCAACAAAGGTGGTGATACTCTTCCAGATATCAGAGGTGACATCGAGTTTAGAAATATCAACTTTGCCTATCCATCACGTCCAAACAAACAGATCTTCAACGACTTCTCACTCACCATTCCAGCTGGAAAGAAAGTTGCATTGGTCGGTGATTCCGGTGGTGGTAAATCAACTGTCATTGGTTTGTTGGAACGTTTCTACGACCCAGCCCAGGGTGAAGTTCTTTTGGATGGCGTTCCAATTACCAATTTGAATTTGACATGGATGAGAAGCAATTTCGGTTTGGTCGGTCAAGAACCATTCTTGTTCTCCGGATCAATCATTGAGAACATCAGATACGGTAAACCCGATGCCACCATGGAAGAAGTTGTCGCTGCAGCCAAAGCAGCCAATGCTCATTCATTTATTGAACAGCTTCCGGATGGATACGACACTCAACTCGGTGATAAGTATACACAACTCTCAGGTGGACAGAAACAACGTGTTGCCATTGCAAGAGCAATCATTCGTAATCCAAAGATTCTCTTGTTGGACGAAGCAACCAGTGCTCTCGATTCCAAATCCGAGACAGTTGTACAAGAAGCACTTGATAATGTCATGAAAGGAAGAACCTCAATTGTCATTGCTCATCGTCTCAGCACCATCATCGATGCCGATATCATTGCAGTTGTCAAAGGTGGTAAAGTCGTCGAAATTGGAAATCATCAACAACTCTTGGAAATGAATGGATTCTATGCCAATTTAGTACAAAGACAACTTTAAATCTGTTTGACTACAACAATAAACAAATAAAAATCAATGACCTCACAAACCGAATGTGTTGTCAGATTGTTATTCACCCTATCATTAAATTATTTAAAACTTATTAAGTAATAAAAAGTAAACTACTAATTTTTATTTATAAAGTATTTTTATTTTAAATATTAAACTAACAAGATAATAAATTTTATTTGTTTAAAATAAATATAATAAAATAAGTGTTGAGTTTTAAAAACCAAAACCTCCACAACTTCCAAATCCACAACAACCTCCACCACCATTGAAGACATTAACATCACCAAAGATAACAGTGGTAGTTCTTCTTCTTCTACCCCAACCAAAACATTGTTCTTGATTCTCAGAATCGATAGTTGATTTTCCAGAGGTTCCTGCAATATTGTAGGTAGAGTTGTTCTCGAAACCAGAGAATGAGTTACCTAACAATGAAATAGATTCTAAATAAAAAATTTTGATTAGAAATAAATAAATGAATTTTTTTTTTCTTTTTTAAATATATAAATATATTAATTTAATAATACTGATAAGAGTCATTTTATTATTTGTTTGATTAATAATTGATGTTATAATACAACTACTCCATTGCCAGTATTTATACTTTCCAAACAATTAAAATTGTTCATGTAAAAAACAATAGAAATTCAAATTAATAGAAGAATGACATTGATTAAAAGAGTGACATTGACTCAATCAAATATTCAAAAATGAAATTATATCAAAAGGAAAGAATGCAAATCAAAATGAGTTACGATTTTATCATTCATAACCAAATTGCATTAAATTTAACAAATAAGCCCTGGTGATTATTATTATTTAATAATAGTAATTTTACTTTGACTTTGAGTATTATCTTCAATTGGGATACTTGGGTTTCCAAAAATTATGACAACTATCGATTTAATTATTTAAAAATATTTTTTGATTAAAAAAAAATAAATAAACCTTTTTAAAAATATAAATGCCAAACAAATTGTAATGGGGGTGTAAAAAAACCAATTTATTTTTGGTTTTACAAAAAAAAAATCAAGAGGTTCTATGACAATTTAGGCGGGTTTATTTTTAAATTGATAGTGGTTACAGATTCATTTCAATCAGTATTAAAAATTAGTAGAATTTAAGGGTGTACACTGCTGAAGAACCTCTTTCATTTTTTATCACATGTCATTTCCTGGAAAAATAGCTGATCTTTAGCAAAACTTTAGTTTAAAAAGATATCCCTCTATCTAAAATAACCATTCGTTGCCTATCCCAAAGAGAGTCAACAAATACTAGTAAAAAGTAATTATACTAAAACTTTAATAAAAAATAACTATAAATATTTATAGTTTCATTTTGTTTTTTCATTTCATTTACTTGAATCTTTATTTCTTTAAATCTTATATAATATTTAAAGCATTAATTCAAATTTGTAAAAAGCATAAAAAATAACAATAACAATTTGTTGACAACAATAAAAAGGTAAAAAGGTAAAAATATAAAAATAAATAAATGTATAACCATTACAAATGTGTAATTGAAAATTCAAGTTTACTATTGTGTTTGTCTTGTGGACTTTTAAACTAATCGAATTTCACACTCTGTGTGGGGTGGTAAATTTGACTTTTTATTATACCCCTTTAATTTTGAATTCGGATTCAAACGCTTTGTTATTCAAGATTGTTTATATTATGTTTTAAAATATCTTTTTAAATAATAATTAAAGGTAAACAATTGTTTTTTTGTAATTTATAAATAATTTCGAAATTGCAACACAACAACAATTATAAACATTCACATTTTTTGAACAAACAACCACTGCTTGTTTATATTCATCAGATTTGCGTAATTTGTATGTATTAATTTGTAATATATTTGTTATTTGGTTTTGACATCACCTTCCATGACCTAACTAAAGTTCAAAGGTTGTGGGGTATCAAAAATAAATAATGACTCATTGATTTGCTTGTTTGTGGTTAGATCGGCTTGTCCAATAACCCAAAAGATATCAATCCAATTTCAAAAACAACAAAAAAAAAAAAACTCTCATCGGTTTTAAACAAAAAAAAAACTATAATAAATATGTGTATGTCATTGCAACGAAAAAATGATGTATTGTTTGCGCAAACATATCACTCACATACCACCTACATTATTCATCATTCTTACTTTTTAGCAAAACAAATTAGAAAATTCAAATTAATTTAGAGTTAACCACACACAATTCATTAAATTGTTTTTGTTTTTGGCTTAAATCATGATGTGGTGGTCTATTTTTTAGTGCAAAAAATTTTGGATCAACCCACCTATGTAGATCTACAAAACGATCAATCACAAAAAAAAACAGCTTTATCTATAAATATAAACCCAAAAGTTAATTAATGTTTTACCAAAAAGACTAAAATAAATAATTATTTATAACTTTATCAATTATATTTATAATATGCTGTAAAAACAAAAATACAGTTTTGTTTTGAATTAATTATACAAAAAAGGTAATTACTTAACTCACATGATACGAAATCATGAAGGTTTTCAAACCATCAAATTTTGTTCTTTTACTAAAAAATTGCCAAAAAAAACTTTGGATATTTTTATATCCTGACTTTTTTCACAGAATACCAAAACCCTGGTATACACATCTTTATTTTTTTATTGTTTATTATTCTAACAGTGACTAATAAACAATATGATTCGCACACATAAACATCAACATAACTACAAAAAATAAATCCCAAAAACAAACACGAAAAAAAAAAAAATAACAATAAAACAAAAAAATATCGGATTGGAAATCTTTTTTATTTACAATCGGTTCTGTTTTTTTTTTTTGCAAATCATCAATTCACCAGGCAAACAGACTTGTGTGTGGTTCCAATACATTTTTTAAATTTAAAAATAAATCGCTTCGCTAACACCCAACAACCAAGTCTTTTTTTTTTTTAGATTTTCATTTAATAAACACAATCAGTGTTCAACAAATAGTTAAATCCAATAAGTAATAGTAATTCTTTTTTTATACCTATACAAAAAGTTAAAAAAATGGATGAAAATAACGTTGGTGGACAAGCTGATAGTGATAATCACAACGATTACACAAACGACGAAGGTAAAAAACATGATACTGACTTCCATCAAGATGGCCTAGTTATGAAACCAATAGTCGATACGTTGGCCAACGATGATTCATCGCCTTTAGCATCGCCATCTTCCAACGGTGAGCTGGAATCGACTCCCGATTCTTCTGCTACACCCTCCATCGTCGAGTCAAAAAAGAAAGACGAGAAGAAACCAGGCGAACCCGAAGTAGGACCAACCGTTGGATTCTTTGAGTTGTTCCGTTTCGCTACATGGATTGAAATCTTGTTGATGGTCATCGGTTCGATCGGTGCTATTGCAGCTGGTGTTGCAATGCCAGCCATCTCCATTGTTTTCGGTCAAGTCATGAATGTTTTCACCTATCAGGAGTTGAGAAAAGATAACTTCTCACTCATCGATGAAATCTCAAAGGTTTCATTGAACTTCGTGTATATTGGTATCGGTATGTTCGTTGCGTGTTACCTCGAGGTAACTTGCTGGTCAGTAGCTGGTGAGCGTCAATCTGTCCGTTGTCGTAAACAATATCTCAAAGCGATTCTCCGTCAGGAAATCGGATGGTACGACGTAACCAAATCATCAGAGTTGGCCACACGTATCGCCTCGGATACTCAGCTTTTCCAAGAGGCAATCGGTGAGAAAGTTGGTAATTTCCTTCATTTCACCTCGACTTTTATCTCTGGTTTCATTGTTGGTTTGGTCAATGGTTGGCAACTTGCATTGGTTATTCTCGCCATTACTCCTCTGCTCGCAGCATGTGGTGCTTTCATGACCAAGATGATGACAGAACTCACCAAGAAAGGTCAAGATGCATACGCCAAAGCAGGTGCTGTCGCCGAAGAAAAGATCGGTTCAATCAGAACCGTAGCAACTTTCTCTGGTGAGGAACGTGAGAATCAACTGTATGCCAATAATCTAAAGGATGCTTTGGTTATCGGTCGTAAAAAGGGTGTAATGAATGGTATCGGTATTGGATCTGTATTCTTTGTTATGTTTGGATCCTACAGTCTTGCATTCTGGTACGGTGCCAAATTGATTACCGATAAAACCTACAATCCAGTTGCTGGTCGTGACTGGCAAGGTTCTGATGTATTAACTGTATTCTTTGCTGTTATTATGGTATGTAGATATTTATTGAATTATAGCATATTTAAACATTTAATTTTCTAACAACATTTTTCTTTTTCCAATTTTCCTCAATAATTTTTTTCCTTATTCTTCTTTATTCTTCATACTAGGGTGCTATGGCTTTAGGACAAGCAGCTCCAAATCTTGCAAATTTCGCAAATGGTAGAGGTGCTGCTTACAAGATCTATCAGGTCATTGATCGTAAATCAAAGATCGGATCCATTCTCAAAGGAAGGTATTGAACATGTTGCCGAAGGTGATATTGAATATAGAAATGTATCGTTTGCCTATCCATCACGTCCAGAAGTACAAATTTTCAATAACTTTAGTTTGGCAATCAAGAAAGGTCAAACCGTTGCATTGGTTGGTGATTCCGGTGGTGGTAAATCATCTGTTATCGCTTTATTAGAACGTTTCTATGATCCATTGGATGGTGAAGTCTTGATGGATGGTGTCAATATCAAAGATATCAATGTCAAATGTCTTCGTCAAAATATTGGTTTAGTCTCACAAGAACCAACATTGTTTGGTGTTTCAATTGCTGATAATATCAGATATGGAAATGAAAATGCATCGATGGAACAAATCATTGAAGCAGCCAAGACAGCGAATGCTCATGACTTTATCTCTGCACTTCCAGAAGGATATGACACTCAAGTCGGTGAGAAAGGTGTTCAAATGTCTGGTGGACAGAAACAACGTATTGCCATTGCAAGAGCTATGATCAAAAATCCAAAGATTCTCTTGCTCGACGAAGCAACCAGTGCTCTTGATACTCAAAATGAACATCTCGTACAACAAGCCATCGATAAACTCATGGTTGGTCGTACTACTATTGTTATTGCTCATCGTTTGACAACTATTCAAGGTGCTGATGTCATTGCTGTTGTTCGTGGAGGTGCTATCGTTGAGAAAGGAACTCACTCAGAGTTGTTGGCAATGAATGGAGTCTACACTGCTCTCGTCCAACGTCAACAATCCGGTGACGAAGACGCCAAGAAGAAGCTTAAAGGTAAAGGTAAAGGTACTCATGGTGGTGTTAAATCCACTGATGATTCCGATAAACAAGGTAATTCCTCAGATACTACTTCCGACACTGAAGAAGTCAGCAATGATGAAGGTAGCAATCTCGACTCCTCAAGCAACAACGACAAGAAGAAGAAGAAGAAGAAGAAAGAAAAGAAGGAAGAAGTCAAGTCTGAAGTTCCAATTCTCCGTATTGCCAAGATGAATCAAGCCGAATGGCCATTCTTCTTGCTCGGTATGATTGGTGCTTTGGCAAACGGTGCGATCATGCCAGTTTTCTCAATTATTTTCTCTGAGATTCTCAAGGTTTTCAACTCTGTCAATATGTATGACAATGCCATTACATTGTGTCTTTGGTTCTTATTGTTGGCTGCAGTCGCAGGTCTTGCCAATTTTGTCCAAATCTGTTCTTTCACCTACATCGGTGAAGTTCTCACCTATCATCTCCGTTACTTCTCGTTCCGTTCGATTATCCGTCAGGAGATTGGATGGTTCGATATGCCACAAAACTCCACCGGTATTCTCACTGCTAATTTGGCAACCGATGCCACCTTGGTACAAGGTATGACAAGTCAACGTCTTGGTTTGATCATCCAAAACATCGTTACAATGGTAGCCGGTCTCGTCATTGCATTCATCGCCGGTTGGAAGTTGACTCTTGTCATTCTGGCAACCGTTCCAATCATTGGTTTCGCCGGTAAAGTTGAAATGGATTTCATGGCTGGTTTCTCCAAGGAAGGAAAAGAAGCGTACGCGCGTTCCGGTCAGATCGCAACCGAAGCGATCGGTGGTATTCGTACTGTCAGTTCATTCACCGCCGAGAAGAAGGTCTATGACAAATTCAAGTTTGCATTGGAAGATCCAATTAAGATCGCCAAGAAGAAGGCATTGACTGCTGGTTTGGTGTTTGGTTTCACTCAAGCAACAATGTTCTGGATTTGGGCACTTGGTTACTGGTACGGAGGTAAATTGGTCTCAGAAGGTGAATGGAAAGCACCACAATCCGACATTAACAAGTGTGTTCCACCCGACTACATCTATGGAGTCAGCAAAGACCACTGTATTTACATTCAAAACACCATCCATGGATTCGGTATGATGCAACGTGTATTCTTTGCCATTGTTATGTCAGCTATGGGTGTTGGAAATGCCGCTGCTTTCGCACCAGACATGGCCAAAGCAACAGTTGCCACCAACGCTATCTTCAAGCTCATCGATAAGATCTCAAAGATTGATCCATTCAACAAAGGTGGTGATACTCTTCCAGATATCAGAGGTGACATCGAGTTTAGAAATATCAACTTTGCCTATCCATCACGTCCAAACAAACAGATCTTCAACGACTTCTCACTCACCATTCCAGCTGGAAAGAAAGTTGCATTGGTCGGTGATTCCGGTGGTGGTAAATCAACTGTCATTGGTTTGTTGGAGCGTTTCTACGATCCTTCACAAGGACAAATTCTTTTGGATGGTGTTCCAATTACCAATATGAATTTGACATGGATGAGAAGCAATTTCGGTTTGGTCGGTCAAGAACCATTCTTGTTCTCCGGATCGATCATTGAGAACATCAGATACGGTAAACCCGATGCCACCATGGAAGAAGTTGTTGCAGCAGCCAAAGCAGCCAATGCTCATTCATTCATCGATCAACTCCCGGATGGATACGACACTCAACTCGGTGATAAGTATACACAACTCTCAGGTGGACAGAAACAACGTGTTGCCATTGCAAGAGCAATCATTCGTAATCCAAAGATTCTCTTGTTGGACGAAGCAACCAGTGCTCTCGATTCCAAATCCGAGACAGTTGTACAAGAAGCACTTGATAATGTCATGAAAGGAAGAACCTCAATTGTCATTGCTCATCGTCTCAGTACCATCATCGACTCTGACATTATCGCAGTTGTCAAAGGTGGTAAAGTCGTCGAAATTGGAAATCATCAACAACTCTTGGAAATGAATGGATTCTATGCCAATTTAGTACAAAGACAACTTTAAATCAAATCTGTATTTGGACAACAACAAAATTTATAATAATATCAAAAAAACAAAAAACAAAAAAAAACAATCTTCCAACTCAGCAACAACAAAATATATTTATTAATATTTATATATCATATTATTATCTTATCAAACTTATTATATCAATTTATAATAATCAAATCACTCAACAAACATTTTACGCAATTTAAAATTACACAACGATAGATTTCATTCTTAGTAATCAAATTTAAATAAATTTTGAAAATATATAATTTTTAAAACCAAAAAAAAAAAACAAAATGCTAATCGATCATTTATTATTATTTTTACCAGGTTTCAGTTAATTATCGTATTATATCATATCATTCTCTGTTTGTTTAATCTAATAGCTTGGTGACAAAGCAAAAAAAAAAAAAAACAGGTGCCTTGTCATTCCCAGATTATTTAATTTTTTTTAGTGCTTCGTCACGACTTGTGTTTTTTTTTTTTTTTTTTAATATTTCGTGTGTTCAAAATTAATTTGATATCATTTTCATTTTTTTTGTTTTTTTTTTTTTATATATTTATAGTAATTTTAATCGTTTTAATTATTTTTATTTCAGATAAATAGATATTTATATATATATATCAAAGTATATAGTAGTATTGATATATATTTATATTTCATTCTATCAAAAGGATAAAATAAAAAGATTAAAAAAAACAAACAATCATGAATCTATATAAATTAAATAGTACCAGATTGATATCTGCAGTACTATTCATTTTTGTAATATTTATAGTCAGTACATCGAATGCCAGTGTCATTGGTATCGATCTGGGCACACAGTCCTTCAAGATCGGTTTGATCTCACCAGGAAAATACGAGATGGTCTTAAATGAACAATCACAACGTAAGACACCACATCAAGTTGGTTGGTTCCGTGAAGAGAGAGTATTTGGTTCAGATGCATTCAGTTTGGTATGTATATATATATATATAATTATAGATTTTTGAAAAATTACATATTAATAAAATATTTTCCAAAAACAAAAATAAAATTATTAGTGGGTTAGAAATCCAAAACAAGTATATTCATTATATGAACCATTGGTTGGTACTATCTATCGTGATGGTATCTTGGAGGAGATTGGAATGGGATCACTCGGTTACAGCGTTTCGAATGACACCGAGAGAAATACTTTCAAGGTTAAATACAGTGACGACGTCTACTATACACCGGAGGAGTTGCTCGCTATGACGCTGCGTCGTATCAAAGAGCTTGCCTCTAACTACATACATGGCAACGTGAAGGAATGCGTTATTGCCATTCCTCCATGGCTGACAAGCACTCAGCGTCAGGCAGTATTGGATGCTGCCTCGATGTCCGGTCTGAATGTGTTGTCACTGGTCCACTCGATCAACGCGGCATCGTTGAATTTCGCGACCGATCGTGAGTTTGAGCGTAATCAAACCGCCATCTTCTACGACATGGGTGCCAAGTCGACCAAGTTGTCGCTGGTCCACTTCAGCTCACACACCGAAGTGAAGAACAAGAAGAACCGTACCGTCACCAACAACGTCGTGAAATCGATGGATTGGGACGAGAATCTCGGTGGATTGAACTTTGATATGGTCATTGTTGAGTACCTCAAGGCCAAACTGAAAAAGCAAGACAGCAGCGTCGACACCGACGACTTGAAACTCACCATCAAGCTGCTCAAAGAGGCATCGAAAATGAAGGAGACACTCAGTGTCAACCAACAGGCACACATCTTCATCGGTGGAATCCAAGGAGATACCGATTTCTCATCGGCCATTACACGTACCGAATTCGAGGAACTCGCAGCTCCACTCTTTGAACGTGCAGTTGCACCATTGAAAAGAATTATCGAAGCAAATGGATTGAATCCAGTAAGTAACAACTAACTATATCTCAAAAAAAAGAAAACAAAAACAACAACTAACTTTTTAACTTCTTCAACCAGAGCGATATTGATTTCGTTGAATTAATTGGTGGATGTAGTAGAATTCCAGGTGTTCAAGCAGCTCTCAAAGCTTATTTGAAACGTGAGGTTTTGGATAAACATTTGAATGGAGATGAAGCAGTTGCCAGTGGTGCAACTTTCTATGCTGCCAGTCTTTCACATTACTTCCGTGTCAAGGATATTAGATTGAAAGATATCACACCATTCGGTATCGATGTTAAATTGGTTCAACAACCACAAACTGTATTGTCTCAACAACAACAACAAGATGAACAACAAGTTGAACAATCAAATGATGACGACGAATCATCACCATCATCAAACAGCAATAGCAACAATAATTCACCAGTATTCTTCCGTAAGAATAATAGAATCAATATTAAGAAATCATTGACATTCTACAGTAACCAATCGTTCTCTGTTAACATTAGCTATAGCGATGTACAACCATCGAGCATCGCTTACTACACTGTCAGCAATATCCCAGTGGCATCAGACAATCTCAACTTCACCGGAAAACCAAAGATTACCTGTTCGATCCGTCTCAACTCCAATGGTATGGCCATTCTCGAGAAGGCAGAGGCAGAGATCACTGTTTTCACTCAACGTGTCAAATCAACACCATCTTCCAGCAATTCAACTTCCAACTCATCATCAGCATCGACTGCTTCCGCCGACGGAACCACCACAACTGAAGAATCAACAGAAACAAAACCGACTGGTGAATCCACACCACCCGTAACCGAGTTGGTATCACGTGTTCATAGAATTCCATTGAATATCAGCGTTGTCTACAGTGTCGTCCAACCATTGACTCGTGAACAACTCGCAACCATGAATGTCCGATTGAATCAATTGGATGCCAAGGACAAGTCGCTGCGTGATCTCAGACACGAGAAGAATAACATCGAAGCATTCATCTATGAGACACGTGATAAGCTCGACTCCGAAGAGTATCAAGCTTGCTCCACTCCAGAGGAGCGTGAGACATTCCTCGCCGACATTGACGTCACCTCGCAATGGTTGTCGGACGCCAACGACAACTCGCTCGAAGACATCGTCGAATTCCAAAATCAATATCGTGATATCAAGAAGAAGGGAGACAAGATCTTCAGACGTGTCTCTGAGAAGGCAAACATTCCAGGTGCACTCGAAGAACTCCAGACTCTGCTCACCAAGCTGAAGCCACTGGTAGCCAACCTCACCAAGGACATGGAGAAGCCAGAGGACGCCAAGCGTATCACCGACAAGGTGGAGCAACTCGAAAAGTGGATCAAGGAGAAAAAGTCAGAGTTTGACAGTGCCGACTTCACCAAGGATCTCAGCTTCTCCAGTGCCGATATCAAGTTCAAGTTCTACGATATCGAAAAGACCGTCAAGGATCAATTGAAGCTGAAGAAGCGTCCACCACCCAAGAAACCATCGACCACCACCAAGCCAAAGGATGGTAAATCGTCGTCATCATCAAACACTGCCAACAAAGAAGATGTACCACCAACCACTGATAACAATACTGAAGATGTACCAACAAACAACAACAATGAACAAACCATTGATATCGAACAACAAGATCAACAAGATCAACAACAACAAAAAGAAGATACAAAGAATTCTATGTTTGATGAAGATGGTGGATCAGAAGATGATAATGAAAATCAACCAAAGAAATCAACCCAAAATGGTCATGACGAACTATAAATTATAAATTATATAAAATAAAAAAAGTAAAATTACACAAAGTTCAAAAACAAAAATAGTTTTTTTAAGATTATTTGTAAGATTAGACTTGTAAAGATAGATCAATTAAGTTTTGTTTCTATTAAGTATATATTTTTATATGATTTTTTTATATTTTACTTTTTTTTTTATTATTATTTATTTATTTATTTTATTGACGTCTCTTTTCGGCAGCTTTTGCTTCCAAAGCTTTCTTTTCTTCTTCTCTCTTCTTTGCTGCTTCTTCTCTTTGTTGTCTGATAACCATAAGTCTCTCCATATCTGCTTTTTGTTGTTTTTGTGCTGCTCTTGCTGCTGCTTGTTGTTTAGCAACCTCTTCCCTAAAATTTTGATAATTATCAATTGATAAATGAACGGTTATTAGTTAAAGTTGAATTCATTTTCAAAAATGAGCAACACAAGAATATTGATAAATAATATGCTTATTATTGTTGTTATTATTATCGATAATTACTTTTCTCTTCTTGTTAGTTCAGTCTTTTGACCTAGGTTAATATCACCTAGTTTCTTGGTGACGGTTTTAACTCTGTTTGGATTTGAGGTGGTAGTCTTTGGTTTCTCTTCTTCCGATGATTCCTCTTCCGATGATTCAACTTCGTCTTCAGACTCATCGGATGAGTTCTTCTCGACTTCCTCTTCGTCTGACGATTCGTTTCTACGTCTGATGTCATCCATCTCCTCTTCGTCACCATAACGAACTACACGCTCTTGTCCTCTGGAGTTTGATTTCGACTTTTCGTATTGACGACCGAATTGCTTGGTATTGGCACCACCACCACCACCTCTACCACCTCTACCACCACCACCACTCTTTCCGTAACCCATTAATTAATTATTCTCTCTAAAATAAATGAATAAATAATAAATATATCTTGATTTTGATTTTGTTTTATTTTTTTTTTTTCCTTTCCTTTTTTTTCTTTTTTTTTAAAAAAAAACTAGATTGACAAAAATAAAATAAAAATAAAATAAAAAAAAATTATTTATTGAAATTACTACTTTTTTCCTAATTATAATAATAGACAATTCTATTCTATTCTATTTTGTCTGTTTGATAAAAACTAAAACAATCTAAATAAGTTTTTAAACTTAATTATTTATTCTTGGGTTTGAAAACAGTTCAACAAAAAATTGAGAAGAGAGAAAAATAAAAAAAAATAAAAAATAAATATTTTGAAAAACAAAAAAATTTCTTTCGTCTTATTAATCATTAAGATTACACACATATATAGTTTGTAGAGTGGTATCAAATCAGATGTGTTTTGTTTTGATTATTTTTGCGATATCATTATTATAATCAATCAACTTCATCATCATCATCAAAAAAGTGTTTGAATGTGTTAAAATTCAAGTAGTAATCAAAACAACTTACATATAACACACACATATATATATAATAAATCTATTTATATATATAAAAACAAAAAATAATGAGTAGTAAAAGTGGAATTAGAATTGACGAACCTCAGTTTCAGAGTTGGGATGACTATTATTTACAGAATATTAATTTGATGCCAGAGGAATTCGATGAATTAACAAAGAAGAAGAATGCAATCTTGACCAGTACTAGACAAGAGGCTGTAATGGATTCATGTATGGAACACTACAGTGATCTATTAAATTGTAAAAGAGATAACAATGTAGCATTCATAAATTGTATCGATTTTCAAAGACAATTTCATTTTTGTATATCAGAGAACACCGTATGTTTATTATTATGATATATCATAATATCATTTCTTAAAAACAAAAGTAGTATATTAATAAATATCATTTAATTTCATTCCATTATTAATTTTTAGCGAAAATGGGATCGTCATTTAAAGTATTATTTATGGAAGAACAAAGAAAGTTATTTGAAATATTGGGAAGATTTGGCAGTCAAAGAAAATATTAAATAGAAATTCTAAAACACTAAAATTAAAAAATATTTATTTTGATATTCGAAAATAATTGGAATCAATCAAAACTTTTTTGTTGATGTAAGACAAAAATATGATTAATTATCGATTAGGGATGAGATCAATGAATGATTTTAGTGGAATCATGTTTGACCAAGAAAAAAATCGTGTGCCTCATCATAAATCAAATAATCTCAATCAAATTTTGAAAGAACTACGGTTGATGTTTCAAGATTTTTAATTTTTGTTTTTGTTTTTTAATTAATCTAATTTTTTCTTGTTCAACCAAAAAACAAATCAAATAGATCTTGATATATTTATTTATTTATTTATTTATTTATTTTATTTAGAAAATATAAATTAGTTTGAACATAATTAATTCATTAACAAAGGTAGGTTTCATGAATTATTTTATCAAAGAAATTCTTAACTTTAAGTTGCTCTCTCATTCATTGTATTATCAAATCAAATAAAATATCATATCACTCAATGACTTTCTTTGATTTTGATTTGGTTATTTGTTTCAATTAGCTAATCAATGAATTTTTTAGTCTGTCTTATTCATTCATTCATTCGTTCGTTCATTTCGTTTAGTTTGTCTTTTTATTGGAATTATCAATCTTTCAAAACTAAACAATCAATCATAATTTACCAACCAACCAACCAATATTAATATAACATTTAAAATAGATAATAAATAATTAATCAATCGATCAATCAATCAGTCATTCAATAGCTAACACTAATCCACTCTTTTTGTTGTTTTTTGTTTTTGTTTGTTTGTTGATGATGCTTATATCAATATGAAGGGGTTATAAGGAAAATAAAATAAAAAAATGAAGAGGTATTAAAATGTTATTCATTTTAATTGGTTGGTTGTGTTGTTGGAGAGATAAGAATATGAAACCAGGTAAAAAAAGTATTTTTAAAACAATCAGCATTATTAATATTAATTATTATTAAGAGTAATACTTTTAATTAGAATAAGATTTCAATTAATTATTATTTAAAAGTAAGGGAATATATAAAATAGGATAAACAACAACAACTGTTAAAACTTTTGAAATCAAATCAAATCAAACATTAAAAAGACTGTGTCGGCAGCATTAATATTATTATCATCAATACTGTGCAACCCTTATAGATTGTTAAAATTAAAAAACAGATATAACAAAAACAGATAAATAGATAGATATTGATAGATTGTTAGAAATTGATATATTTATAAATCAATCATTTTTATTATTCCAAATCACAACAGCAACAAAAATAATTAAGGATTTAGATTAAAAAAAAAAAAAAAGTAGATATATTTTTTTGGTATTGCAATTTTAATTTTTATTTTTTTTTTAATTAAAAAAAATAAAATTTTCTTTTTTTTGTTTATTTTTTATTTTTTTTGTAATTTTTTTTACTATCATCAATATCTTTCTTTATTTTTAAAAATATATAATAAATATTAATATAATTATAAATTTTAATAATATCTCATTAAATTAATAGGTTGTTTTTCAATTATAATAATTTTAGAGAGAAGTTTTTATATTTATCAAAAATTAATAAATAATTATATATAATATATATATATTCATTGTGTGTTTGTTTGTAACCTTCCTTTTAAAGTAATATTTTAGTTACCAGAGAGTTAGAACTAATTAATATAAATAGTTTAGTTTTTTGTTATTTTTGGTCAAAAAAACAAAAAATATTAAAAAAAAAAACAACAACAACAAAAATAATAATATTTATTATTATATTTTATAAAAATTATCAAAAATATTAAGATTATTTAGATTTATAAGTAGAAGGATCAATTTTTATTATCCAACTAAACTTATTGAACAACCACCACAGCAACAATATATGATTGGCAATACAATATCAAGACAACAACAACTACAACAGCAATTGCAGCAGCAAACTCAGCAACTTCAACAGCAGCAACAGCTTCAACAACAACAACACCAACAAATAACATTCCCGACACCTACACCGTCAACCACCTCTACTTCTTCTACTTCATCATCTACATTCATCAATGGTCAAATGGACCTGAGTTGTACAATAGATAATAATAATAATAACAATAATAATAAAGACAGTCGAAATAACAATAATAATAATAATACAACAACAACAACATCTACAACTTCGACAACAGGTAATAATAATAATAACAATAATAATAGTACAGCAAGAATACCATTGTCAGCAAGATCCAATTCAAGTGTTAATCTAAGTTCATTGCAACCAGCATTCACTAGGATGTCATCTCTTGGTTCGTTCCCAACATCGAAATCATCAAATTCCATCCCACCACCATCACATGCGCTTCTACTCCAACAGGCACACGAAGAGTTTATGAGGCCAATATACGATCTGACAAAACACATTCAAGCGGAAAACTTGTTACGCGAGGAATTCCTTGCACTGGAAAACATCTATCAGAGCAACAACAATCATCAGACCATCGAAGGAAATTTAAAACATAATACTTCAAAGAATCGTTATACAAATATTTTACCATGTAACTATCCTATCTATTAACGTCCAAACATTGATAAATGTATGCATGTATATATACTAATTGGTTGATATATTTTAGGTGATACAACAAGAGTTAAACTTGAAAAGATAAATGGCCAGGAGGGGTCTGATTATATTAATGCAAACTTTATTGATGTAAGTTTTATTGGCTATTTATTTAGTTTTTAATGTCTCTAATAACTACTAATTAATTTGCTAACTTATAGGGTGAGGTTGATAGACAATATATTTGTACACAAGGACCACTTCAGAATACTATCATTGATTTTTGGAGAATGGTGTGGGAGAACTCTAGTACAATCATTGTAATGCTGTCGAAGGAATTGGAAAACTGTAGAATAAAGTGTGATCGTTACTGGTCCGACAGTGATCCAATCGATTATGAACAATTTACAGTTTCTTTGGAAAACATTGAAAGAGATATCGAGCGCGAGATTATTATTAGAACTTTTAAATTAACAAATCAAACTGTAAGATAATCTTAATTAATTAATTTAATTATATATATATATATATATTTTTATATATTTGCGAATCATTATGATTATTTTTTCAATCATAAATTTAATTATTGAAATTATGATTGATTGGATCATGATTAAACATATATCTATTTATATATATTTATATTGTTAATGATCATGAGAGGACAATCAACAGTATTTATATATTAACAACAACAACAACAACAATCAAATTGAATTATATATAGGTGAATGAAACTAGAGTTATTACACATTATCAATATGAAGGTTGGCCTGACCACAATGCACCCAATGACACAGAGCCACTCCGCTATCTGCTGCACTTGATCAACACCACACAGAACTCGCTGGTGGAGCAATACAGAGAGGCACCGATCGTCGTACATTGCAGTGCCGGTGTCGGAAGAACAGGAACATTCTGTACAGTACACACCCTCATCAGTAGAATTGACAATGCTAAACCAAACTCAAAGATCGACTTTAATATCTATTCAATCGTTAATAATTTAAGAAAACAAAGACCTGGAATGGTTCAACAATTAGTATGTTACAATCAACATACCAACTATAGTTGGTGGTGATCATCAATAATATATACTAACCAATCATCTCTCTCTTATAACAATTTATTATAGGAACAATATTTGTTTTGTTACGCAACGATTGCAGATGAACTAAAAGAGAGAGGATTTCAACAAACGAGTTGAATTCAAAACACACACACACAAAGAGAGAAGAGAAGAGATACTAAGAGAGACACAAAGAGAGAAGAGAGAGAAAGAGTAGAGAGAAGTGAGTCAACTTAAAATCTTAAAACCAATTATAAATCAACAACAAAAGATAATAATAATAATAAGAATAGTAAAAGTGGATAATTCGAATATTATATACCCACTATTATATATATATATTATAAACAACAATAGCATAAATAATAATAATAACAATAATAATAATAATAATAATTAATTCCATCCATCCCCTCCATAATCAAATACTCACAATCAAAACCAAAACCAACACCATTAGTTACAATAGAGTTGGCATCATTACCAAATTCAATGCCAATTCTTAACTAACAATAATCAATCTATTTGTATAATTTAATTTGATCCACAAGTATAGACAAAAATATAGTAATTAAAAACAGTATATCTAAAAAAAAACAAACAAACAAACAAAATAGACAAACAATTACTATTTTATTTATTAAATCAATATAGTTTAGTTTGCACTTTATCATTTCTCTTTTTTTTGATCAAGCTGTACATTTGATAAATATAATAATAGGATGAAATTTTATTTAATTCTTTGCTTTATTTTTATTCTTCCAAGTGGACATTACAACACCATCGTTTTGTTTCATAGCAATGATACCAACCAACTTGCAAATTGGTGCCATTATAATATCGAAAAATGGGAAATAGAATGGTGTTAGACCGGATGACAAAATAACACATAACTAGTTTATGTAAAAGAGAAAAGAATCAATTGATCAGTTAATATATATATTATGACAGTTTGTTGTTTAAACTGTGTTTTCTTTATAAACTCTTCTTTACCTTTGTTGGAATATCTACAGCGATGTGATAATCTCCGTTTTCAACACCCTTAACGATGGCATCGGAAACAACTCTTGGTGAAACAGCTTTTCCACCACCTGAAATAATTCTGGTTTCCTCTGGTTTTGTTAAGTTTTCTTGAGCATAACTAAGTTTAATGCAAAAGAATGTTAGTTAGTTAGTTGGTTGTTTGTTTGTTTAAAACAAACGTGGAGCAAAAGTTTAATAATAATAAATCATAGATTAATTACCCTGGAGTATCGGTATCTGGTGGATAGACCATTGAGAATCCAATGTTGTATGGAAGTAACTCACTACGAAGTGTTTGGCAAAGACCGACAATCGCATACTTGGCTGGACAGTAGGTGGTATAGCCTGGCACACCGACAACACCACAGGTCGAAGATACGAAAACAATGTGACCTCCACCATTCTCAATCATATGTGGAACCACTGCCTTGGTTGTGTATAACGAACCAAAGTAATCGAGTTGCATTGTCGATTCGAAGATATCTTCATCCTGTTCAATGAAATATCCTGGTACTGCCAAACCTATTATTATTATCGAAGAGTTATTAGTGTATACTTTAACAATTGAAACAAAATTAAACATTAAAATTATTCAGTATTACCAGCACAATTAACTAAGCAATCGATTCTTCCACTTTGTTTGATGATTTCTGAAACTGTTGATTTTACCAATTCTTTCTTTGTGATATCACATGCATGCATAAATAATTTATCTTTATATTTCTATTGATTGTTTGATTGTTAGATTGATTAAGTATATTTAATTAAAGATCTATATATATATATATATAACTTACTTCTTGAGCTTCATCTATTACTTCTTGCATCTTTTGAGTACTTCTAGATACGATTGTAACCTTTAAGACGTTGGCTTCAAGTAATGAGTAAACCAATTGTTTACCAATACCACTGGAACCTCCAAATACAACTACATGCTTATTCTTTAAGCTATAGGAAGTCTTACGAGTAGTTATAAAAAGTGCAAGTGATGCGACCAATGCTAGAATAATATATAACATTTTTATCTGTTTATATTAATTTAAAAAATCGTGTGAGTTCAAACCTTTTTGCAGAGAAATAGATTGATTGAAAAAAAAAAAAGAATGAATTAATTTTCAAATAAAATTTTATTGATTTGGTATTCAATCAGATGAATAATGAAAGAAATATTGCATTCATTAAGTACTTAGCGATCAACATATTGCTATTTTCACTAAATTAATTAATAACATATAAAAATTTACAGATACTTTAAAGAAACAGTCAGATCAAGGTCTGAAATAGTTCACAATTTTTAAAGAAAGAAACCAAAGTGCACTGTAGCTAACAAAGTAATATATAATGTTTTGTTTATTGTTCGGTTGTTTATATTAATACTACTATTATTATTTATGTTTACATCAGTAATTCTTGGTTATTATATTTTGTTTAATAGTTAAATAGGTTTGGTCACCCATGATTGATTCAGTCTTTATTTTATTCAATTGCTTTAATCACTGGTAATAATGTATTGTTTTAGGTTGCATTGTCAAAGATGGAAATTTTTCGAAAAATTTGCCAACATCAAACGCAGGTCTTGTAAACTGAAGATTAAGATTAATTTTTTTATAAAAAAATTTTGTTTTTGAGTTATTTTTAAAGGGTATTTTATATAAAAAAGTGTTCTATTTAACATTTATAAATGAGGTCCGGAGAATTAAAATTTTTCCAACATCAAACGGCTTTATAGCTCAGCTGGCAGAGCGCAGGTCTTGTAAACCTGAGGCCCCGAGTTCAATTCTCGGTGGAGCCATTATTATGAGGCTCTGCCCTGAAAGCGCGCATATACTCCTTTAACATTGATACTCAACACGCAACTACTGTTAGATCTATTCTATCCTAATACTACTCAACTTATTAATTAATATTAACTATAACAATAATAATAATAACAATAATAACAATAATAATAATAATAATAATAATAATAATAATAATAATAATAATAATAATAATAATAACATTTTATTGGCTATATTTCTCACGGCCTGTGTGAGAATGTAAATATTATATAAAACACGAACTAGCAGGTTAATATCAATACCTGCAATTTGTTGACTGATCATGAGTCAACAAATCTTTTTTTTGCAAAAAAAAAAAAAAAAAAAAAAAAACATTGATACAAATCTGCGACACCTTCACTGAACTCTGCAACCCACATGAGCATTTCTTCTTCAAATGCAGGAATGTGGTTTCACAGCAGTTCCTTTCCTCTATCAAACGTATATACCACAAGTACTGTAACTATAGACTTCGCAATTGGAAGCACTCGTGCATCAAGTTCGACGGTCCTATTCGTACTACTGTCCACTTCACCCACCTTACTGCTGCTATCGTACATTCGTTATGGCAGGCACTGTCCTGTGAAATGTTTGGTGATGGTACCCATTACAAGCTGGAAAATACCGTCAAAAGAGCAGTCACCCATTAGACCAAATTAATCGATGCCAATTACCACAAGCTTAACTTCACAATCGCTAATTCTATCTCCCAAGGAATCACTGTCGATTGCTCTGCAATAACACATAAATTTAAATCTGATTGGAATCTAAATCCTTCCAACTACGTGCCACCACTTTATACTGTTGTTAATCAACACTCAACAACTGTTAGATCTATTCTATCCTAATACTACTAAACTTATTAATTAATAATAACTATAAACAATAATAATAATAATAATAATATTTTATTGGCTATTTCTCATTTCCTGTGTGAGAATGTATATATAATATAAAACACGAACTAGCAGGTTAATATCAAAACCTGCAATTTGTTGACTGATCATGAATCTTTTTTTGCAAAAAAAAAAAAAAAAAAAACCATTGATGGTAAATCCATCCTTTTAATATAACTTTTAATAAATCATGTATACTACTTTAGTTATATAAATAAAAAAATAAAAAAAAGCAATTATTCCTCACTTCAGAAACCTCAAAATTGATTAAAATTGTGAACTAATTTTTTCATTCTTCAATTCTTTTAAAATAGGGGAAGAATCGTACGATGCGGATGAAATACATCTGTTTAGACCAAGCATGAAAGTAGATCGGTTGAATTTCTTTTCGAATAATACCATTTTATAAAGATGTATTTTTTTAAAAGATTAAAAAGAAAATTAAATTACTTTATCTCAAAATATGAAAACTGGTTGTTGAAAACATAATGATCAACATGTCTTACCACCTGTAACCACTACCATCTTTTATTATAAATAGATGCTAACTGACCCTATCTTTTTAACATCTTATTCTAGATCTATGATGAATATTCTTTAACTCATCTATTCTCAACTGTTTTTTATTTCATTACCAAAATATTAAACTATTAAAAGAATAGATCATAATAATATAAAACTTTTTAAAATATTAAAAAACAAATTCAATTAATCATGCATCAACACAAAAATACATTACATTTCTATACTGTTTTTATTATTAAAATTTTAACGAAATCACTCAATTTTTATATCTATATATATATATTTAAACCCACATTTTTATTATTTGTCCATTTGTATTCATTGTTATTAACTTTTTAGTTTATTTTAACAAGAAACAATCAAATTTTGCCCTGATTTACATTATTTTACAAAATTAACGAAGTTTTGAGATTTAAGTGGTTTGATAATTCGTTTGACTAAGTTACAAAAAAGTATCAAAAAAATAAACTAATTTAACAAAACTCCAAAAAACACTATTTTCATGGCGTCTATAGAAATATTAATTAATATATTTCATAAATATACCCTTTCAATATTTAATAATTTAATTTTTGTGTTACAGGTATTACTCTTTGAACTTTTGAATAGACCATGAAATTAAGGATAAATGTTCGAAAAAGTTACAAAAAACAACATTAATTTAGAAAAATTCACTTTTAACACTCAATAAAATTAATATTTTATTGTTTCTATTGAAGATGTATTATTGGAAAGTGCGAACAATTATAATTTAACTGAATAATTTTCTAATCAGAAAACAGGTAAATACCCTATAAGAGGAAATTATTAAATGAGTGTGAGGAGAATAATAGAGTGACTTTTAAAGAAGGAGATTACTATGTAACATACAAACTATTTTTATTAAAATTTAAATTTATTATTTGTTTTTTTTTGTGTATAAATATTAAATGTTTTTGGTTATTTTTTCTAAACATATCTTTTTATTTCAAAATACTTTTCAAAAGTATCAATAAAATGAATAAAACATTTCTAATTGTTTTAGTAGTTTTATTTATCAGTATGATTTGTATGGTTGCCAATGCCAGTCTATGTATGTTTAATTTCTTTAATAAATATATTAAAAAAATTAACATCGATATTTTTTAGGTGACGGTTATTGTTCGCAATTTGAAAATAGAAACGATTGCTTTGATGAAACCGGATGTTTGTGGCGCAGTGAGGAATGTATCTGTGATGATTAAAGTTTCAACCGGTATCTTAATCCTTAACGTAGTTCAGTTAAATCATGACACAAATCCAAATAATCAACTCAATTTTTCAGTTTTGTTTTGTTCAAAAACAATTAATAAATTTTCTTTGTAAAAAGCACAGTGATAGTACTTTAGTAACAAGAAGAAATATTTGATGATACAAAATAAATAAAAGTATTTAAAATTACTGAGGGTTAGTACTGATCAGCAAAGCAGTTCATGTTCTGGTACTTTTGCTTTTTTCCCAACCTTTATTGGGTTTCATATAATGTTTTAAGTTAGGAGAAGGCAACAGATGAATGCTTTTAATAAGTCTGGTGATTTGATTTTTATAATTCTATATGCTTAATCTTACTGAAAAGTACCATAATTAATGAGATTATCTTTATATATACACAAGGTTAGGCAACCAATTTAAATAGATTAGAGATCTTTAATTTTAATTACAACTATTTTTACTGAGCATATTTTTCTATCTCTGTATATGTCAAATAAGTTATTTGATCTGATCCTATTGTTTTTTGCACCCATCACATAATTATGTTTAGAATTCTTCTAATTTCAATTTATTGTTCATTCCTCAACAACGTCGGGCATTCTGGTTTTGAGATTATTTGCATGGTCTGACGGAGTAACTTTTACATTACAGTCCGTATGACACCACTGCTTCAAATTTATATCGGCATTCTTTTGAAGTGTATTCTCCCAATCTAACTTAATTTAATTTCATTGAGTTGTTTTTCTCAGTTGAGACTGTTTAGTTTTCTCAATTCAGTATAAGAAGATGAACAAATATCACACTTTAATTTAACACTATTAACGTAGTTTGTATTCATTTAGAAACTAAACTATTACTATTTAAACTACTAATAGTATCACTACCGCACCAACTTCTAGCTTATATTCATGAAGTTTATCAGTTATTATAAAAACTTTTCTATTAATATAATAAGTAATGATTTGAATTTCTTTTCGAATAATACCATTTTATAAAGATGTATTTTTTTAAAAAAAAGATTAAAAAGAAAATTAAATTACTTTATCTCAAAATATATGAAAATTGGCTGAAAACATAATGATCAAAATGTCTTACCACCGGTAACCACTACAATCTTTTATTCTAAATTGATGCTAACAGACCCTATCTTTTTAATATCTTATTCTAGATCAATGATGAATATTCTCGAACTCATCTATTCTCAACTGCTGCACTGAGTCGTCTTATATAGTGGAGCAGTTGTCTTCTTCCCCTCCACCAATATTATTTGTGTTACCACTTTCTTCACAGTGTTATTTGTGTTGTTGTTTTAAATTCTTTACAGACTTTTTGTATTCTCGCATTATTTTTGCAAAATGCACACAAAAACTATGTCTATACTTTGTGATTATAGGTAAATATATTGAAGAATAATTATTTCTCCAATAAATTAATTTATTTCAGTTTATTAGTTTCCCCCACAAAACAAATTAATAGTTTTAATTGTTGTTATGAAAATCAACAACTCAAACCAAATACCAATTAAAAGTAAACCTTTTAATAAAATTTTAAAAAACAAAAACAAAAGTTTTAGGAGTTTGATTAATTCATTTTACTAAGTTACAAATTTTAGATTTAAAAATTAGTATTGGGGGAATAAACATTAATATTTTGTTTTTGACCTGACACTTCAGGTTTTAACCTCATTATATCATTTATTTAATTATTCTGATTTAAGAAGTTGTTAATTATTATATATATTGTCTCGCTTGAACAAACTCTTTGAACTTTTGAATAGAAATAATGAAATTTAGGACAAATGTGCGAAAAAGTTACAAAAACAACATTAATTTAGAAAAATTCACTTTTAACACTCAATAAAATCACTATTTTCATTGTTTCTATTGAAGATGTATTATTGGAATGTGAGAACAATTATAATTTAACCAAATAATTTTCTAATCAGCAAACAGTTAAATACCCTATAAGAGGAAATTATTAAATGAGTGTGAGGAGAATAATAGAGTGACTTTTAAAGAAGGAGATTACTATGTAACACAAACTATTGTTATTAATATTTAAATTGATTATTTTTTGTTTTTTTTTTTTGTATAAATATTAAATGTTTTTGGTTATTTTTTCTAAACATATCTTTATTTCAAAATATTTTTCAAAAGTATCAATAAAATGAACAAAACATTTCTAATTGCTTTAGTAGTTTTAATTATCAGTATGATTTGTATGGTTGCCAATGCCAATCCAGGTAAGTTTAATTTCTATAATAAATATATTAAAAATTAACATCGATATGTTTTAGGTGACCGTTATTGTTGGCATAAGGGCAATAGTATCGATTTTTTTAATGAACCAGGATGTATGTGGTTTAGTGGTAAATGTCAACCGGTATCTTAATCCTTAACGTAGTTCAGTTAAATCATGACACAAATCCAAATAATCAACACACAATTTTTTTCAGTTTTTTTTTGTTCAAAAACAATTAATAAATTTTCTTGTAAAAAGCACAGTGATAGTACTAAAGTAACAAGAAGAAATATTTGATGATACAAAATAAATAAAAGTATTTAAAATTACTGAGGGTTAGTACTGATCCGCAAAGCAGTCCAAGTTCTGGTACTTTTGCTTTTTTCCCAACCTTTATTGGGTTTCATATAATGTTTTAAGTTTAGGAGCAGGCAACAAATGAATGTTTTTAATAAGTCTGGTGATTTCCTCTGTATAGGCTGCTGATTGGATTTACTATAGGTTTATTTAATTATACATTATATCTATCAAATTTCATTACAATTCATTGATTAACTAATTAGATTTTCAAAAAGTGCTATATTTCTTTTGATTTTTCAAGAATTTTTTTATTTTTTTTTAATTAAATAAAAAAGTGCCATACTTCTTTTTTTTTATTTTTATTTTATTTGATCATTCGCTTTTGATCAACTCGATATCAATAAGTTTAAAAGCAAAAGGTAGTAAATAATTAGCAAATGAAACATACAATTATTAAACAAGATCATGTAAGAGGTGGATTTAAAACGACGGTACCAAAAGAGTTGCGATCGATATTCGGTCAGCTCGAGTTTGAGAGTGTCATTCAAAAGATCAATGCAGAGTCGAGCTTGACCAAAGATATCGGGATGCTCATCACCACTTCACTCACGCTCATCGTTGAGTTGGTCATGTTTGCCATGTCGATCTACTACTCGAACGACTTGTTCATGGCGATGAACACGATTAGCGCGGTGGTCTGTGCATTCTCGATATTCATAGCGTTCCGCAGCTATCGTAAGCTCAAGGTGAAGCGATTCAACAACGCACTGATCGAAGCGAACAACTACTTTAAGAGTAGGAACATCGGGTTCTACCCAAACTATCAGTATACAAAGAGCGGTACAAAGGTATCGATCAAAATCGAGTATGACGACGTCAAGAAGAAACCGACCACCTCTTATGCCAGTGGATACAACGAGCCCTCCTCATATAACTATAACAACTTTTCAACCAATGATATACCAGATTATGGTCAACCACAAAAACAACAACAACAGCAACAACAACATCAATCAATTCAACTACAACCACAGCCATCACAACAAGTACATTTACAAGTACAACAACCAGTCTATTCACAGACTGCAAGCACAACAAATTCACAAATACCAAGCTTTTCACCATATATAGATAAGCTGGTAAACACCATCAGTGGTAAAAACAATCAAACTGATAACAAACAAGCCTACATAAATAATAATCAAGTTAATAATAATAATCAAGTCAATAATAATCATACTAACAACAATAGAATGATAATGAATAATAACAACAGTAGCTACAACAATAACAATTACAACAACCACAACAACAACAATTATATAAATCCAAATGTAAATAATAATATCAATCAACAAAATACTTTTAACAATAACTATAATAATAACCATAGTAATAATATTGGCCTCATTAATAATAATAATAATAATAATAATAATAATAATAATAATAATAATAATAATAACAATTATAACCATAATAGCAACATCAACAATAATAACAACCAAAATAATGATACCCAAAGAAATAATAGTAGTAATAGTAATAATAAATCAGTATCTGATATTCCAATTAAATTCACAAAGATAGACTATACAGATGATTTTTAAAACTTTTTGTAATAATAATAAAGAAAAACTGTAGAATTATAAAATATTTTATTTTTTGTTTTTATTATATATTAATTGGTACAATAAACATTTAAATAGTTTTTCATCATTGAATTACCATGAGAACATCCAAGTGGTGTTAACGATGTATCGTATTGACCTTGACAGTTGCTAGCGGCAGCGTATGACTGGACAGTGACACCATAGGAATTACAGGTGTAAATAGTGTCACCACCGACACAGACACCGAGTGGCGCCGATTGGAATTGAAGGATATCATCCTGGTCGTTGGAGCAACCCTCTACACGGCCAGCGTAGATCTCTGTCACAAAGGAATTCGATGGGATCGCAATGCCATCGATTGTAGTGCAATTGAAGGTTTGTGAATTCGAACAGTTTTCATTCGCGAATTTATAGGCGTTGTGCTTCAGCAAACAATCATTGAGATAGTAGAACTCCTCGATCGTGTATTGAGAATCGCACATAAAACGGACATTTCCGATACAGCCACCAGAGGGGCTACTTATCAATGATGGAACATCACCAGAACATTCGGCATTATCAAAGCTATACATATTAACCCATTGTTGTCCATTTACATTATATACAAACACCGACAACAATGATAACACTACTAATGAAAATGATAATAATTTATTTTTAAACATTCTTTATTTTATTTTTTTATTTATTTATATATATTTTCTACAACTATTAATTAACTCTAGTTATTTTCAAGATGAAGATGGTTCTTTGATAAAAAAATTGGTTAATTACATCATCCATTAATCAATCTTGAATAAAAAAAGTTTTTTTTTTTTTTTGTAAAAATATCTTTTTTTGTTTTTTGATCAAAGATGATTTTTCGGTGTTTGACACTCGAATCATCTCTTCCTAAAGATAATTATAATATCTATATATTCATTGTTAAATTCTATTGTTTTTTTCTTTTCTTTTTAGGAATTATTATAATTATTTACAAATATCAAGATTAAATTAAAATTTTAATCTAAATATTGGTTCATTCTTTCTTATTAATTGAGAAACCTAATGAATTAGTTCATTTCGCTGCTTATCCCTATAACTCTTACATTTTAATTCATTTTCTTTTTATCTGTCTATCAAAATTGCCTAAGTAAAATTTTGAAGATAAATATTTATACATTTTTGTGGGCAATTATCATAGTATATTAAAAGCTATAAAAATTTAATTTAATTTAATTTTTTTATTTTCAATTTTAAAATTTGCAAATTTAAAAAAACCCCCAGTAGTCAATTAAAAATTTCAAATTCATAAACAATTTAACTAGTTTAGTGGGGTGATGCAAATAAATATGAAAAGTCAATATTAATAATGATTGAAAACACAATAACTACTAATTTTTTTTAATTAAATTTAACCAAAAATATCTTTTTTTTTGTTTTTTTTGTAATAGGTTGTGTTTGAAATAAACTAGTGTTTTGTTTGTTACTTTCATCATTCATTCTTTTTCTTTATTTTTGTTACCGTCTAATTTAGACAAAAAAAGAAAAAAAACAAACCAAACAAAACAACAACTAGTATCATCACAAATATATAACCATTTTTATTTATTCTAAAATAGTTGATTTATAAAATCAATTTTAAAGTAAAAAGTTTTTTTAAAATATAAAATATATATAAGATGGTAATACCAAAAGGAGGACTATCAGTTGTTATTGGTGACCAAACATGTGAATTATCTCAAAAGACAGTCTATGAGCTGCTTCTAGACACTAAAGATAGATTTCCAGAGAGAATTGCCGTGGTTTTCAGTCAACAGAATATAAGATTGACCTATACAGAGTTTCTAAGAGAGGTAGAGGCTATGGCCGCCGGACTCTTGGCAATCGGTGTAAAAAAGGGTGATCGTCTCGGTATTTGGTCACCAAATAGAGTGGAGTGGCTCATTACTCAGTTCAGTAGTGCACTGATCGGAGCCATCCTTGTAAATATCAATCCGGCATACCGTCTGTCAGAGTTGGAGTATGCTCTCAACAAAGTTGGTTGTTCAACACTGGTGGTTGCTCGCAGCTTCAAAACATCGAAATATATCGAGATGCTCTGTGAACTGGCACCAGAGATACGTGTATCCACCAACAAACTGCCGTTGACCTGTAAGAGATTGCCAAGTCTGCGACGTCTCATTGAAATAGACACTGGATGCAAGAAAACAGAACATGTCTCGGGTATTACAGAGTTTTCGGATCTAATGAAACTAGGTAAACAGCATCTCACCAACAAATTGGGAGGCCACCTTGGAATCAGAGCGATTGCAAGACAGAACCGTTGTGAAGAACCTATCAATATTCAATTTACATCTGGAACGACAGGTAAATAGATTAACTATTAACAATATACAAATGGAATCAAACTTATAAATTAATTAATTTCCTAGGAAATCCAAAGAGTGCAACTCTAACACATAAAAATATTGTAAACAATGCACTGTTTATGACTAGAACTCTAAAGATGAGTGAAGTCGATGCAATGTGTATACCGGTTCCTCTTTACCATTGTTTTGGTATGGTTATGTCTGTGCTTGTTTGTGTGATGGTAGGTGCCAAATTGGTGTTCCCTGGTGAAGCATTCGATCCAAAGCAAACATTGGCTGCAGTGGAGAAGGAGCGATGTACAGCTCTACAGGGTGTACCAACTATGTTTATCGCAGAGTTGGAGCACTGCGAAAAGTATGACCTTCGCAGTTTGAGAACCGGAATTATGGCGGGTTCACCTTGCCCAGTGGAAACAATGAAGAGTGTAATGGAGAAGATGCACATGAAAGAGATCACCATTGGTTATGGTATGACAGAGACATCGCCAATCTCATTCCAAACGGAAATCGACCGACTCCCTTGAAAAGAGAACAACGACAGTTGGTCGTTGCCAACCGCATCTCGAAGTGAAACTCGTTGGCGAAGACGGAAAGATTGTTAAAGTTGGTGAAATTGGTGAGATTTGGGTTAGAGGTTACTCAGTGATGTTGGGTTACTGGGGAGAGCCAGCCGGAAGAAATGGACTGCACGACGGTTGGATGGCGACCGGTGATCTTGGTACTTTCGACGAGGAGGGATACTGCTCGGTGATCGGTCGTCTCAAGGACATGGTGATTCGTGGTGGAGAGAACGTCTATCCCAGAGAGATAGAGGAATTCCTTTTCAAACATCCAAAGATTCAAACGGTTCAAGTCTTTGGTGTGCCCGACGAGAAGTATGGTGAGGAACTATGTGCATGGATCATCTTGAAACACGACGAACAATCGACCGAAGATGAGATCAAACAATTTTGTAAAGGTCAGATCTCTCACTTTAAGATTCCGAAGTACATCAAATTCGTAAAAGATATGCCGTTAACTGTTACTGGCAAAGTCCAAAAATTCGTTATGAGAGAAATGATGAACAATGAACTGTTGGCTATGAAACCTGTTGTCATTCCAAAAGCAAAATTATAAAGAATAGGAATGTAAAAAAAAATATAATAAAAATAAAAAGTCTATTATATTTAAATATTAAACTAACAAGAAAATATAATTTATTTGTTTAAAACAAAAATATAATAAATGCTTGGGTTTTAAAAACCAAAACCTCCACAACAACCTCCACCACAACGATTACCACCAAAGACATTAACATCACCAAAGATAACAGTGGTAGTTCTTCTTCTACCCCAACCAAAACATTGCTCTTGGTTTTCGGAATCAATCGATGAATTTCCAGTTGAGACAGCAGTATCAGAGATGGTTTTGTCCATACCAGAGAATGAATTACTTAACAATGAAATAGATTCTTTTAAAAAAACCCATTAAAATAGTTAATAAATATTTTTGGATTTATTTATATTTATAAATATGAATTTTTATTTACTTACTGATAAGAGTCATTTTATTATTTGATTAGAAAATATTTAATTGAATGAATTGAAAATACTCAGATCATAAGTATTTATATTTTAATAAAATCCAAATTAATTAAGAAATTAAAATTCATAGAAGAATGACATTGAATAAACGAGTGACATTTGCAATGTTCCAATAAAAAAGTTGAAGCCTTTACCAAAAAACAACAAATATTTTAATTGTTTTTTTAAAAAAAATTGTTTGTTATGGTTTAAAATTGTGATTTGAATACTCTTGAAGATTTTTGGGTAGGTTTATTTAGTTTTTAATAAAAGTATTTGAGCAAAGTGTTATTTTTTTTTCTTTAAAGTTTTTGGAGGATCACTGTACTCACTCTCGCCAGATTCAAACTTATAATCGAACTAAATTTGACCAAAAAGACGGTATCAAAACATCAAATTGATTTAAGTAGAGCTCTATCTGCATGTAGTTGCAATATCTACATTCTTTTATGTAAGACGTACTAAAATTGATTAAATTCAATATAATGACCAAACAAACTACCAAGATCAAATCCAACTTTCAGTTACGTTCTAGAATGCAATGTCTTATCTATTCCCAAAACAAATTTCTTTGATTTATCATCGGGAATCATCATCAGAGAGTTTTATCTATTCGTTCGGTGATCAATTTAATGGAATGGAGTGCTGTATCATATAATTTCTAAAAGATTTCAAAATAAAAAAAACTATTAAAAATAATTAAATTCTCTTTGTAGCTGCAAAGAGTATTGTCTCTGCCCACATTTTATTTGCTCTTTAAATTATAATAACAAATAAAAATATGTAATTAATGCTTCTATTATTTCTTTTCTTATATACATTGAGGTTTTAACTATTTTATTCAAATTCAATACTCTGCGAAAGCTAATTTAAAGTAATTCGATGATTTGTAATTAAAATTTCTGTCCTGCTTTGACTCTGCCCCAGTTGGCAGTTGAACTGATATTAATGGTTTTTGAATAAAATAGGATTGTTGTTATTGTTATAATTACTATGATAGAAATCATTCAATCCATTATTTCTGATTAAATAATATAGTATTAGTAATAATCGAATGGATAAAACAATAAATAATAAATAAATAATTGAAAATGAACTGTTTTTGTTATTAATGTTGTTGCTGCGAAAAAATGCTTTGTAATATTATGTGTAAGTGATATATTACTCATATTTATTTCTTCTTCCGTCTTTAAATAATTTTGCAACTATAAATCCCTGTTATTTTTTTTAATTTTAATAAACATGTATGTAAGTATTAGAATCAAATGTAACACCTTTTGATTGTTTTGTATAATGAATATTTACTACTCCAACTATATGTACAAAAACTATTAGAGCGATCAGCTCCTCAACTGTCATAAAATTCAGAAATAGATACTTCATGTTTTATCAATATCTAATATTTAAATATACAAACTAAACTATAGTATAAAATATAAATACATATACAACAAGCAGTAGTATATTTTATAAATAACCTATAACTAACTAACTAATTAACTAACTATTCAACATTTGAAAAAGAATAATAAAATTTAAAATAATAACAAATCAAATTTGTGATTCTATTTATTATCTTTTTTTCTTCTCTTTTCACTCTTTGATTAATACAATAACGATTATTATCTTTACCAATTCTCGAAACTAATAATGTTAATAAAATTCATTCCCACCACAAAAAAAAGTCAAAAATGAATGACACAAATAATCAAGTTCAATTTTGTTATTTTAATTTAATTAAATTTTTTGATTTTTGTTTTTTTTTTTTGAAAATTTTTTTTTTTTCACAGGTGAAAATGTACCGCCAACTCTGGTGAAAAAAAAGAAAAAAAATAAAATTAAAAATAAAAAAACATAAACTTTTCACGTTAAATTTTTTAAAATTTCACTAAGTGTTTCAATACAGTTTTAGTATGGTGTGACTTGTGAATTTTTTTTGTTTTTTTTTAATGACTGAATCAACAACACTTATGTTTTTTTTTTTCTCTTTCTCTCCTTTTTAACTAACTCAGGCAAATCACAATAAATATTTATCATTTATTTAACCAAACATTAAATAAATAATACAAATAAATAGCTAAAACCTATTATATATTTCTATTTATTTATCTTTATATTACTATTTCTATTAATATATATATTTATTCAGAATAATAACTATATTTAAATTAATATAAAAATTTCACAAAAAAAAAAAAAAAAAGAAAAACAAAAAACGATAAAATACCTTTTTTATTATTTAATACATCTATCTATTTAATCTTTAGATTAGGATTAAATTTAGAATCAAACATTATTTAAACTTATTTATTTATTATTCAATATCATACTTTATACACTATCTACATTATATTCTTTATTATTATTTTTATTGTAATATCTAGTATCTATAATATCAAAACAACAAATATATAATACACTATTAATAACAAACATTATTAAAATTGTAAGTTCAAAAATTCAATCTATTATTATGAAATCATCGTGATAATTCTTGTTTGGATGAATCGTTTAAATTTTTCACCCACCCGCTCATCAAAAAATTCAATTTTTCAATTTCAAAGAATTCATCAATCAATCCATCAATTTAAAAATGTAATTTTTAACAGCTGTTATTTAGTAGTAGGAACTAATATAGTTTAATTATTATTGTAAATTAGAGAAATGGAAACAAATAATGCTGGCGTTATGACTGAGGAATCGGATGAAGAACTACCACCAGTCAAGAAACAGAGAAATACAGTGGAGACTGTCACACCCGTAAAGAAGGAGAAGACACCACCATTGGCGTCACAAGCCCAGCCTGCAGAAGCTGCCGTTCCACAAGTGAAACCCGAGAGAATGCAGTTGGACGACAATCAGCAGGCAGGTGCCAATGGAAAACCAAATGGTACTAGTACAACCACGACAACAACGACTACTACCACCTCCACAACAGCAACTACACCAAAGAAACCCGCAACATCAGCATCAACTACACCAAAGAAAGTAAAGAAAGAAGAGTCATCCGATGATTCCTCTGACTATAGCGATTCCTATGATTCCTCCGAAGACGATAGTTCCTCCTCCGACGACGATGCGCCAAAGAAAAAGAAGGTTGTCACTACACCAAAGAAAAAGCCAGCTGCCGCTCCAAAGAAACCAGCTAGCTCTACAACCAAGAAATCTGCGGCCAAAAAGAAAGCAACTCCAATCAAGAAGAAACAGGAAAGTAGCAGCAGTGACTCTGATTCCTCGGATTCCTCGGACTCTGACTCATCGGATTCTTCGGACTCTGACTCATCATCGAGTGAAGACGACAAGAAGAAGAAGAAGAAGGCAACACCAGCAAAGAAGAAAGCAGCGACAACACCAAAAAAGAAAACAGCTACAGCAAAGAAAGAAAAGAAGGAAACAACGAAATCAAAGAAGAGAAAACATGACGATGACGACGAAGACGAGGAGGGTGGAGACGATCAATACAAGTGGTGGCTCGACAAACCACATGCCGACGGTGTCAAGTGGAAAACACTCTCACATGCCGGTCCAGTGTTTCCACCACCCTACGTTCCACACGGTATCAAGCTCTACTATGATGGTGAGCCGCTGAAGCTGACACCGGAACAAGAGGAAGTCGCCACCTTCTACGCCAACTATATTGAGACTGACCACGTCAAGAAAGAGATCTTCCGTAAGAATTTCTTTAACGATTTCCGTGCGTTGCTCTCCTCCGAGCAAAAGAAAACAGTGAAGACATTCGACAAGCTGGATTTCTCGAGGATCCACAAGTTTATCACCGAGCGAAAAGATCTGCGTAAGAACAGAACCGAAGAGGAGAAGAAACAGGAGAAGGAGGACAAGGAAAAGATCAAGGCAATCCATGGTATTGCAACTATCGACGGTCACAAACAAAAGATTGGTAACTACACTATTGAGCCGCCCGGTCTGTTCTTGGGTCGTGGTGAGCATCCCAAGACCGGAATGCTAAAGACCAGAATCTATCCATCGGACGTCACCATCAACATCGGTAAGAACGAGAAGGTTCCACCATCGCCAATCGAAGGACACAACTGGAAGCAAGTAGTCCACGACAACACCGTAACGTGGCTGGCATTCTGGCGTGAGAACATCAACAACGGATTCAAATACGTTTGGTTGGGATCGAGCTCAAAGATCAAGGGACTCGCCGACATGAAGAAGTTTGAGACTGCGCGTGGCCTGAAGGAGTGCATCGATGACATCCGTAAGGGATATCGCTCCAAGCTCAAATCCGAGGATCTCGAAGAGCGTCAACTGGCCGTCGCTCTCTACCTCATCGATAAGCTCGCACTCAGAGTCGGTAACGAGAAGGGAGAGGACCAAGCGGACACTGTCGGTTGCTGCTCCCTGCGTGTCGAGCACATCGATTTCCCCAAGGAGAAACCAAATACAATCACCCTCGATTTCCTCGGTAAGGATTCGATGCGTTATCACAACACCGTGGAGATTGACGCGACCGTCTACAAGCATCTCTTTAGCTTCACCAAGACCGAGGATAAGAAGAAGAAGAGCAAGTCTGACAATCTCTTTGACCAGATCTCTGTTGGTAAGCTCAACAATCATTTGAAGTCGCAGATGGACGGATTGTCTGCAAAGGTATTCCGTACTTTCAACGCCTCGATTACACTTCAACAGGAACTGGCAAAGATGCCGCCATCTCTAAAGACCGTCGATGAGAAGTATCTATTCTACACTCGTTGCAATCGTGAGGTTGCCATTCTATGTAACCATCAGCGTGCCGCACCAAAGACACACGCTGCCTCCATGGAAAAGATTGGCGACAAAATCCAGGAACTCGAAGATCTCCATGATCTCTGCGCGTTCGAGTTGAACAAGGTCAACAAGGAGAAGGGTAAGAAGATGAGTAAGGAAAAACAAGAGGAAATCAAAGAGCGTGAAAAGAAGAGATTGAAAGAGGCCAAGGAGAAAGCAATCAAATCCAACAAGGACAAAGACAAGACCGACGAAGACATCAAAGAGGAAGTGGAAACCAAGTTTGAGAGATCCAGAAAATTCCCAGAATCTGAAGACCGACTAGAGGACAAGAGAAAGAAATTCAAAGAGCAAATCAAGAAGCAAGAGTTGCTCAGAACCGGAAAAGACGAGACATCGACAGTTGCACTCGGTACCTCAAAGATCAACTATCTCGACCCAAGAATCACCTCTGCCTGGTGTAAGAAAGTCGGTGTACCAATCGAAAAGATCTTCTCCAAGACTCTCAGAGATAAATTCCCGTGGGCAATTGACGTAGAAGATGATTGGGAATTCTAAATAAACATAAATAAACAACAAAAACAAATTAACCTCAATTTTTAAATATTACTAAAATAAACAATTTCTTCACATTGAGTTTAATTTTAAGAAAATAAATTTATTTATATTCATATTAAATATATCTAATGTTCATTAATTGACTTGTCACTATTACTAAAGAAGAACTTTAAATTAATAAAACTATTATTTTCTTTATTTTTTTATTTATTTATTTTTTTTGGAATAAGATATGCGATGTTGATTGTTTTCAATTTCCAGTAAATTTAGAAGAAGTAGTGATCACTTCACCAGTGAAATGGGATGGGATAACCTCACCAAAAATGGGTTTAAAGAACTTCAAACAACTATGTCAAAAACAAATATCTTGATTTTTAGGTTAAATTTTTTAGATATTTATTTAAAAATAAATAAAATTAAGATGAGAAATATGACCTTCATTTCTTTCAAATGAAAAAACAAAAATCAATCGAGCTATGATCATTCAAATAATATAGAGTAAGATTGATAATTCGAATCTTTTAGATATCAAAAAGATCAACTTTGCATCTTATGAAACCAAATTACCCATTTAAAAAGTCAATGGGTTTTTTTGATTTGCAAAGCCTTTTTAATGTTTTTAAGTAAAAATGAAAAATAATTGGGTGATATGATCTCAGATTCGATAATTTTTTTTAGATGTTTATCATAAGATTTTGGGAACTTGAAGATTGATTATTTCATTTGCAAAAACACTGCATACCCGATCATTTTCTAAATTTTGTTAGAACCTGGGTCATTTAATGACTTGACCAGCTGGTTTCTTTTTTAAAGATATTGGTTTGTTGATGTAATGTTTAAAACCTAATTTGCTTAAATTTCAACTATAATATTATTGGTTTGAAATGGAATAAAATGAACGAGTGTGATATGAGAATTTAAATAAATTAAATAATATAATTTGGATCATATGATTTCGTAAATTAGTGAGAAATACCCTTAAAAAGTATGATGTAATGATTCAATTTGGAATGATAAAATTTATACTCCAGTCTAAATATCCTATTGTAAATCAACATCAAATATTGGTATTGTTTTGATGTTGACATCTAATTTGGGTATTTTATTCAAATTTATCTCTGGTTCGATGTCCTTGCCTCTTGATGTTTATGTTTTGAATCGTGTGGTATTCGAAATCCACATTGATGATGACAATTGATTTTAGGGGCATTTTTCGATACAGTTTTTTTGACTCAATAAAGATATCAAGGTATTTATTCAGTATTTCAAAACAATCAAATCAAGTGAAATCATAGGGTTTAACTAGAACTATGAACCCGCAGAACATGTCAAACTATTAAAATGCTTAAATTTTCATTTTTTGAACCCAAATTCATGTTGACAACAACATCGGATGACTCTTGATTTGAAAATTTTGCAAATTTTTTCAATTATTTTCCTGATTCACATAATAATGGGTATTTTCGCATCACCCACCACTTTTTCTCTCATGCAAATCGCAAATCTTTGTTTAGTTACTTCCTAAGTATTTAAGTAAATGCATTTATAATTTATTTTCATTATTGTATTACTAAAAAAAATTATCTATTTGTTTAAATTTTATAACAAAAAAAAAAAAGGAAGATATTTAAATTCATTTGTATTTCTAAATTAAATTAAATTTAAGATCAAAAAAAGTTGTATGTATAATTCCAAAAAAAAAACCAATCTATTAATTCTATTCTATTTATGTTTTGTTATATCATTTTTAAATAAACCGAATTGTTTTTATTTGAAACACATTTGAAACACCATATTAAACAAAAACAAACCCAAAAAATTTCAACTTTTTTAAATTGTAAATTGATGACAGATCTAACTTAAAAGTCATATTTTAAGTTATAATAATATAATACATTAACAATAATCAATAAATGCCACGCATCTTCTTCCACTTTATTTGTCAAAATTAAATAAAAATCTATTTAATTTCAGATAATGGTTTAAATTTGACACAAAAAGTCGAGAAATCCAATGTGTGTAGTTTGAATTGCAGAGCATTTTCGGTTAGGTTTGAAATAACCTTGGATTTCAAATTTTCTGGCACCACACTTTTTTTAGATTTTTACAATTTTTTTTTTTTTTTGCTCTCTGATGAGAATACCCATCTTGTATATCGTCAACACATCATGCAGAGCCCAAAACATCAAAAATATCAAAAACTTTTATTTTTGTTTGGATGCGCTGTAAAATTAGATGCGTCAGCTCTGATCAAATTAAAAACAAAGACCTCCACCCCAAAAACAATCCTGTCGTCAACAAAACAATTCATATTTTTTTGCAAATTTTATCGAAAAACAAAAACTTAATTTTATTTGTGGTTTTTATTTTATCCAAAACAAAACAAAAAAAAAGCAACACAACACAAAACACAACGGTTATGCAATGCAAGAGGGGAAGTTTAATGAGACCTTTTTTTTAATCATTTTTTTGGCTGGATTCCTTTATTTTGCACTTATTCTTTTGGCGACGCTATTCAAAGTATCTATTTTACACAATCAAAAACAAAATCATTTAATTGCACCATCCACACCACACACACATATATATATACACATATATATATATAAATAATAAATAAATATTTATTTGTATTTATAATAAACCTTATTTATATTTTTTGTACACAAAAAAAAACAACAACAGCAATAAGAATCCATACCTGTATTATATATTTCAAAAAGTGGAACAGTAATAAAATCACACTCATATAATCAATCAAAAACAGATAATGTAAATATTCAATTCCAAAATAAAATAAAATAAAAATAAATAAAAATCCAAATTCTAAATCGAACACACACAATCAATCAATTTAACAGCACACACACACTCAACATCCACATACTATTTACAGATAATCATACCATACCAATTCATGTCAAATAATATCAGATTAGACACGATGTAATTGCAATAATTGAATAGAATTGAATTACAAAAAATGATATAGTTTACAATTACATTGTATTTTGTACATCCATCTATTAAAATATACTAGTATTTCAATTTTATTATTTATTTATTTAAATTCAATTCGTGATTTTGATTTGCTTTTCTTTGCTTCGTTTCGTTTGGATTTTTTTTATTTTTTCGATTTAAGAATTCCTCATCAATCTAAAATCAACAATACTGTTATATCGATATAAATAATAATAAATAAATAAATAAATAATAATAATATCAAAAGTTTATATGTATTTTTTCTAATAATTTTTTTAAAAATTTTCAATCACACAGATAAGATTAAGTAAATTAGAATAAATATAACAATGAGAATTCACGTTACATTGTTATGTTTGTCATTGCTACTCGTCGTAGCAATGGCCGACGTTTATATGCATGCTCCACCAGGTAGCAACGATCGTAATCAAGAGGAAGGAACCAATCGTGACAACGCTCAACGTCTTTTCAACTCACAAAACAACGATAGAGGTGGATACTGTCGTGGTGGTATCGTCAGATGGTACGAAAAGTCCTATCTCCCAGTAGAGTGGACCTCCCAACACGGTTGTGGAAACAACCAAAACGACTGTAACGTCATTCTTCAATACATGTGCGGATCGACCAACGACCCAGCCTTGACCAACATTCGTGACGGTACCGTCACCACCACCATTCCAAACGATCCAGCTCAAGTTGCAACCATGTCTGGTTCGGAATACCAATTCGGTATGCACGAATCCTACGAATACTACAACAACTGTACCACCCGTTCGCGTAACAAGGGATTGTTCACCGCCAACCAAAACGTCCAAAACACCGCACGTTTCACTCGTCAACAAACCGGTGGAACTCAATACGGTTTCGAATGTCCAGAGGAGCGTGACTACTACCCATACTGGGCTCCATCACCATGGAAGGATATCGCCATCTTCACCGGTGACACCGACAACTGCAAGATGTACAAAGCTCAATCACAGAACGTCAAGTCCAAGTACTACTGTATGTTCCCAGGTCGTGCCACCAACAATCCAGCATCGATCGATCCAGCCGAATGTACCTCCAAGGGTGGACAATGGGTTGAACAACCATCATGGGGTATCGGAGCACCAGAGTGTTTGAAGGCCGAATGGAATCACGTCAATCACCTCGGTCTCTCCATGGACAACGGTCGTTACACCTCCTACAACTGGTCACTCCCACACCAAGGTATGGAAGACTGTATCCAATCGGACACTTGCGCATGTGTCTTGCGTATCCGTTACAATATCTCCTCCTCTGAGGTCAAGGGATTCGGAAGCAGTGCATACGACAGCCGTAACAACGGTAACAACTCACCAATCAAAAACAATCCAAACGTCCTCGTCGAAGGTCAAAACCTCACCCTCAACATCAACGAAAACCAATACGGTCGTACCTTCCAAGATCGTTCACACACTTTTGCCATCCGTCCACGTCCATCCAGCTTGAAGGATGCCAAGATCTGGAATATCATGGTCAAGGGTAAGAGAGGTAACATTCAACAAGCCTACCCAGCCATGGAATATCAATTCACTCCAAGTCAAATCACCATGAAGAAGAACGAATACGTCCACTTCCAATGGACCGGTTGCGACCACAACCCAGCTGGAAACGCTGGTAACGGTAGAAACAAATTGGATCGTTCCAACTTGGTTCAAATCCACTCACTCGGTTACGGTACTCCATTCAAGGATGACGACTACACCTCGAAGAACGCTCTCCTCACTGACCCAGCAGATCGTCTCCGTTTCGCTCAACAAGACCAAGTCGGATGCAAGTCATACGCTCAACTCATGGCCGACAACAACAACAACCAAAACGATATCGAACAAGACCCACAAAACTGTGCTTACTTGAATGCCGCTCCAAACACTTTCGATGGTGGTGTTCACAAGATGGACAGAACCGGTTCATTCTACTACATGTCCACTCGTAACCACGATTTCTCCAACCGTGATCAAAAGGGTGCTATCCACGTCACCCCATTGTTACAAACATGGCAAATCGCATTGATTGCTGTCGGTTGTACCCTCTTTGTCGGTTTGGCCACTGCTGGTGGTTCAATTGCCTACGCCAAGACTCACCCACATTCATCTGCCAACCGTTTCTTCTCCAAGGTTCCAGGTGTCAAGCGTGTCGTAGCTTAAACAGAACATCAACAATTAGAAAAATATTTAGTATAAACTGCCGATAATCAATCAACTCCACCTTCCTATATATATATCCTTATATGTATCACTCTTATTTTTCAAAAAAACCAACTTTTTTTTCCCATTCAACCATCATTCTCCGCTCCAAATAAATTTATTTCAAACAAAATGAATTTTCAAAACAGGAAATAACAAACCAAACCAGTACATTAAATAAACTTTTTTGTATATGTAATTATAATTTATTTAAATATAAAAAAATTGTGTTTATCTTTTTTTTTCTTTTTTTAAAATGTTTTTTCTCTTTTGTCTTGAGTTCTCTGTCCATAGATTTCTTCTTTATTTTTTTTTTTCAATTCTCTCATCTTGCAAAAGGTGCAGCAAACAAAATATCTATTTTTTTATTTTGATTATTTTTTTTTTTGAAATTTTGATCAAACCTTGAGACGACTTAAAGATTGCAAAACATTGCAATTGTTCCAACTTCATTAAAATACATATATTTATAAATAATGTTGTCCAAACAACTCAAATCTTTGACTTCATTGCAAAGATATTTAAATACTGCTACTTCAATCAGAGTTGCTAATTTTTCATCAAAATCAAATTATAATGGTTAGTTTTAACTTGTCTTATCTCATTTTAAGATCTTAAATATTAACTTTTTTTATTGATTCTTCTATTAATTAAATAGGATTATATGAAAAACATCAAAAGATTGCAGAGAAAAAGATGTCTCAACAAGAGATTCTTGATGTAATTAAATCAGATACTTTATTCTCTTGGAATGCTACTGGACCAGCTTCATCGAGTGCTTTGGTTATGGCAAAGGGAGAAGGTGTATATTTCTACGATCAAAATGGAAAGAAATTCATTGATTTCAACTCACAGGCTATGTGTTCCAATCTAGGTCACACCGTACCACAAGAGGTCATCACAGCAGTCAACGACCAATTAAAGTCAGCTGCCTACGCTTACCCATGCGCAATTGTCACAGAGATCAAAGCTAAGCTCTCATTGTTGTTGGCTGATTTGCTACCAGGTGATCTTGGACATCTTTTCTACACAAGTGGTGGAGCTGAATCCAATGAAACCGCCATGAGAATGGCTAGATTATATACCGGTCGTCACAAGATTCTCGCTCGTTATCGTTCGTACCACGGTGCTACACTTGGTTCGATCTCGTTGACTGGTGATCCACGTCGTTGGGCTGCAGAGCCAGCTGCATCTGGAGTCGTTCATTTCATGGATCCATTCCCATTGTCATTCAAATGGGGTGAAAACGAAGAGGAAGTCACCAAGAAGAGTCTCCAATATCTCCGTGAGGTGATTGCCTACGAGGGTGGAAAGAACATTGCCGCCATTTTCATTGAGCCCGTCACCGGTACCAACGGTATTCTCAAAGCACCACGTGGTTACCTCGAGGGAATGAGACAGATCTGCGATGAGCATGGAATTCTTATGGTTTGCGACGAAGTTATGAATGGATTCGGTAGAACCGGTGAGATGTTTGGTTTCATGAATAGCGATGGTGTCGTCCCCGATATCGTTACCATGGCCAAGGGTATCAACGGTGCCTACTTGCCATTGGGTGCTGTCGCCTGTCGTGACCATGTTGCCAACTTCTTCCAGAAGAATCCAATCGGTATTGGTTCAACCTACAACTCACATCCAGTCACTTTGGCATCTGCCTATGGAGCACTCCAATATTTCCTCAAGAATCGTGTCTTGGACAACGTCAACAAGATGGAGTCGGTCCTGATCGATTGTCTCGAACAACTCAAGGCCAAACATCCAACCGTCAAGGGATACCGTGCCCTCGGTCTCTTTGGTATCGTCGAACTCCAAAAGAACGCCAAAGGAGAGCCATTCGTTGAGTACAACGGTCCAGCTCACCCAGCCATGGGTGCACTCAAGGCGGACTTCAACGCCAACGGACTTTACACTTTGCTCAGATGGAGCAGTTTCTTCACTAACCCACCACTCATCATCAACGAAAAAGAATTAAGAGAAGGTTTCGCCATCATCGATAAAGCTTTAACAAATCTCGATAAGCATTTCGAGAAATAAATAAAAATTTGGTTTGGTGTTTTTAATATATAAACAAAATAATGGAAATAGTAGTTATTATTTTATCTATTAAAATATTATTTTATGATTCAGCAACTTTTGTGGCTTCGAGTTGTACGTTCTTGGTCGTAGAATATAAATTGACAACACTATCATCACCACCACTCACTATAAAGTCAGAGTTTACAGAGACATCGACATAGTTTACTGAACCAGTGTGAGATCTTAAAGACTTGATCAAAGGATCACCTCTCGAAATATCCCAAATTCTCACAGTACAGTCATCACCACAAGTCACCAAGAAATTGCCTTGTTTCGTCCATTTTCCAACGTTTACCATTCCATTCGTTGTGTGATCACCATAATGCTTGAGAACATGAAGAGGACGTGATGAAAATCTAATATCATAAACAAAAACGGAATTGGAATCACCTGAAGAAGATAAATGTACTCCACACGGACTTGATTTTTTATAAATAAAAGCAAGAAAATTAATAAATTAAATTGATTTAAATTATAATTATTAATTAAAAATTACCTCCATGCAAGATGATTTGGATCTACTTGTTTTGTTTTCAAAAATTCTATTGGTGCATTCTTTCTGATATCATATATACAAAGTGATTTCTTTAGATCTGTTGATCCACAGACAAAGTTTGTGAATTGTTTAGGATTCCAACTGACTGTATTGATTTCACCATCTTGATCTGTAAGTTTTCTAAAAGTTTCTGGTTTATTACAATCAACTAATACAGACTGTATTGATTTATTCGTTAGTTATAATTTTCTAACACCTTTTCTAAAGTAAAATAACATAAAGCTTGTACATACAAATCCTTTAATTGGAGCATAAGAATAAAGTGCATTTGAACAGATACCAGCCAATAAATAGTGTCTATATGAATCATATCCAAATGCCATATCAGCAATAGTTGCAGGCCATTCCGAAGTCTTCAATGCTCCATGTAAATTAACAACATTAAAATTCTTGTAGTTAATAACAAAAAAAGATCTGATTTAGAAATAATAAAGGTTGTTAATTATTTTGGTTTGTTTTTCTTATTATTTGATAAAATATATTTACTTTCTATTGGTAGCAGCTGCTAAAAATGGTTCTTGTGGATGAACTGCCATTCTTACAATTTGGTCATTCGGTACTTTGTGATGATGTAGCAATTCGGCGGTCGATGCATTCCAAATAGCAACGGAACCGTCTTCTCCCGATGTCAAAAGCTCCTCACCGTCATTCGAGAAATGACCTTCATTGCAAGTGGCATGATGAAATACCAACTTTTTAATCTCTCCTTTATCGATATCGAATAGTGTTGAATCCTGTTCAGTCATTGCCAATATTTTATTCCTATATAGTTATTTATTTAGTTTGTTGATTAATTAATAAGTAAACTATTGTTTGAATCAATTTGTAATGAAAGAAAGTAATCATACGTTTTACCAGTTGGATCTATTTTAACATCGTATACAATACTACCTCTTGAGTTGTAGCTGCTATGAAGTCCGAAATCTTCAAACTGTTTCGCCATCAAATCTTTGTTGGTGTATATTGGCTGTCTTATTTTGCCAAACTCTCTTTCCATCAGAATCGATTGCACCGATTTCTCCTTGACCGGCTTACTATATATAATCGCTGTACTAATATGTTTTCCACAATCGAAATCCTCTAGAAATCTCATACAATCAATAGGTACTCTACCAGGTAATGATCTATAACAATAAAAATATCAATATTAAATAATTATTATTACTGTTGCTATAAAACATTTTCAGTTGATCGACGATAGTTACCTGCAAATACGCTCCAATCTATGTAACGGCAGATTTCTTTCTCTGCCAATGTTTTTAAATAGTGTTTCCATTTCAAGTCTTGAGAAAGGTATGTGAAGAGGATCGCCTGTTTTCAAGAATATATTGTTTTCATAGAAATAGTGTATTCCCTTTTGATTTAGATACGCTCTGGTTTTGTGTGACATATAGGGTTTCAACGCAAGAAGTGCATCGTTTGAAAAATAAAGTGTATTGTAACATGGACTAAAATATTGACATTTGAAAGAATATCAATGAATTGAATTTCTTACAGTTAGTAATTGTTTTGTTTTGTTTCATTTGAAAAACAAAAAAAGTACAGTATCACATAACATAACATAACAAAATATAATAGATTAATCTATTGATTTAACATACTTTGCCATACTATCAGAGATTGCTTTGGGCATTTGAGAATTAATATAGCTTTTTATAAAATCATAGTTTTGTTTCTTTTATAAACAAACAAACAAACAAACAAACAAATCAAATGTTAGTTTTGATTGCATTCATATTTGAAACAGTGTAAGTGCATATTATACTTACAATATAGTTTGATGTACTGATTGTAATATCTCTAGGTATACCAAGTTGTTGTTTTAAAACAGCAAGTGTTTCTTCTAGATAACTCAATTGAAATACAGTGAGTTCCTATAGATTGATGGTTGTTAGTTAGATATATATATATATATATGTAAATAACTCTCTATATTCTCTATATTATACAAACATTGATATTTGGTAAAGGACTTGAAAATAGTTCATTTATAGGGTTTTTAAGTAGAGTTCCATTCAGACTCTTTGTTTTCTTATATACATTGATGACACGTGCACTCTTTCTTCCTAGTCTTGTCCATCCTTTGAATTTAAGTGGTTTCGGTTTTGCTATTTTGGCTGGTTTCTTATTAATTGTTGATGGCGATGAAGATGATGTTGTGGTTATTGTAGTCGTAGATGATGATGACGATGATGGTGGTGATGATGTATCAACGATGTTTATTAAATCATCATTATCTTCGTTTGATTTAGATGTTGCTGCACTTGTTCTTGTTCCTGATCTTCTTCCATTAATATTCGTATTTGTATTTGTATTTGCATTTGAATTTGTTATATTTATATTTGAATTTGAATTTGAGTTTGTAGAAGCAGAGGCTGTACTACTACTACTACTACTACTACTACTGGTTGTTGTGGTTGTAGTTGTAGTTGTAGTTGTCTCTTTTGGAGTTGAATCAATTGCCAATAACTCTGTTGATTTGAAATCATATCCCCATACCTCTCTGCTAAAGAATAGTCTTGTCAATCTGTTTTCATATATAGTTATTGTTCATAAAACAAAGAACGACAGTTAATCTATTGGTCCACCACAGTTTATAAATGAATTCGTATTAATTAAACATACGCATTTGATATCTCTTCATATTGTTTTACAGTTTGTACATAGGTTCCTACTATTTCATTTGATTCTTTTCTTTTCATATTACTATGTTGTTTCTTTACGCACAACTAAAACTACAATAATAATAGAATTCAACACAACAATGTCATTAGATTTTGAAACAACAACAAAAATAAATAAATAAACAATTAAACAAATGAAGATTAAATTATTTATGATTGTGAAAAAAAACTTCCCTCTTTTTTTGTTTTTTTTAGAAATGGGGGTTTATCAGATCTTGTCGGTCGTTTTTATCAGTCAGATAAAATGCATTTGATTATTTGATGATACTTATAAGACATATGTTATATTATTGTTGTTGTTTGAATTATTATTATTTTGTTTTGTTTTTTATTTTTTATTTTTTATTATTGTTTAGTTTCAGTGGTGTTGGCAATTGAATCTAAATATTTTTGATGATTCTTGGCTTGAGTATCAAATGCGGTTTGGAGTTTCTTGAGTTGTGATTTGGTGATTGGGTTACCTTCTTTGTCGTGGGTTGGAACTCCACGCTCGTCGAATTGTGAGTACTTGTCGGTTTCCTTCTTGAAGAGCTCTGAGGCGGGTATCTTGGAGAGTTCAAACTTCTCCTTCTCCTTTCTCTCCTTTTCCAGTTTGTCAGCGAGTTTCTTTGCTTCGATTTCCTTCTTGAGTTCCATCTCCTTCTTTAGGACCTCCTTGTCTTCGAACTTCCAGACAGAGTTGCCGGACTTGTCGTCGATCTTGACACCCAACAGCGGGAGTACTTCATCTCTGAGGTGATCACACGACTGGAGAATCTTGGAGAAGTCCTTGTTGATGGCGCTCGAACGAATTTGATTACGGAATTCGACGAGTGCATCAAGCACTGGCTTCAAGGTGTCTTCGACGTTGGCGGAACCTCCGGAACCGAATCCAATCGCTGAACCCTCGACCAAACCGAATACTCTCAGGATATGAGTGATGTAGGTGGCGATGTTGTTCAAGATGGCGAGTCTTGGGTTACGATTCTTGTCGGCCAAGTAGACGTTGGTACGCTTCACCAGGTCGTTGAGCGCGTGAATGGCGTCGGTAGTGTTGAAGTTGTCCAAGAGGAACTCGTGAACCTTCTTCTTGGTCTCGAGCAACTGGTTGTTGAGATCCTTGTCTACTTGCTCCCAGTTTTGTGCGAGTGATTGTGGTGCGTCTCTTACAATCGATTTGACGGCGTGGAAGAACTCTGTGAAGATCTTCTCGATCTCAATGACGTTGGTCATCGACTCGGTGCTGTAGTTCATTGGTTTGTCATAACGATGAATCAAAAACAACATTCTGATTTGACGCGCGGTGTATTTCTTGAGGGCGTCCTGGATGGTGATGAAATTCTTGAGTGATTTCGACATCTTGAGACCGTCGATCAACAAGTGACCGGAATGGATAAAGTAGTTGATCCACTGCTTGCATCCGTAGTGTGCTTCGGATTGGGCAATCTCATTGTCGTGATGCGGGAACTTGAGATCTTCACCACCAGAGTGAATATCGATGTTGGCACCCAAGATATCGGATGCCATAGCGGAACACTCAATGTGCCAACCTGGACGACCTTCACCCCATGGTGAGTTCCACTTTGGTTCTCCCTCCTTCGACTTCTTCCACAATGCGAAATCGTTGTTGTTTCGCTTGTCAGAGCCAGCCGAGAGAGCACCCTCACCTTCGCTATTCAACTTTTCATTGCCAACCGAAGATGGCTCCAACTTTCCATATTCATGCACCTTCATGTAGGCCTCGGTATCAAAGTAGACCGATCCATTCGATTCATAGGCAAATCCATTGGCAATAATCTTCTCAACAAAAGTGACAATCTCTGGAACGTATTCGGTTACTCTTGTCAAAGCATCTGGTGGTAATACCTACATTCAAACAACAACAACAACAAAATAAGTATTATAATTATTCCGGAGTGACGTCCGACTGACACTTTGGTGGTGGTGGTGGTTGGTCAACTTACATTCAATGCTTTCAAATCATCAAAGAAAGAGTTCTCCCATTTACGAGAGAGTTCGGTATGAGTGATACCTTGCTCTCTGGAACGAATGATAATCTTATCATCAATGTCAGTGATGTTCATGATATATTGAACATCATATCCAAGATAGTCCTTCATGATACGACGAATAATATCGAAACTGATATATGATCTAGCATGACCCATATGTGAAGCATCATAAACAGTAGGTCCACAAATATACCATGATACTGATTTTCCACCACTGATTGGTGTGAATGGTACCTTTTTTTTTTTGATAATAAAAAAAATATAGCGATTACAAGAACAAAGTTAATTATCTAAAAATTATTAACAACAACACTATCAATTATTATATTTATTTACCTTTGAGGATGTCAAACTGTTATAGATTTGAAGTTCCGATGGTTGACCAGCTGGTTTGAACCATTCTGGTTGTTCTCTCTTTTTCTTTCCTTGAAGTGTTGGTGATGTATTTCCAGACATTTCACTATCTATCTATATATTTTATTTAATAATAATATAATAATTGTTATTTTTAAAATGATGTTACAAAAAAAACAATTAATTAAACCACAACTTGTTTGTTTAAAACAAAAATAAATATTGATAAAATGATTAAATTTGAAGGTGGTGTTTAGTCAACAGTCGGTTCTTCATAAAAAAACAAAAAAAAACAAAAAAAAAAAAAAAAGGAAATAAAATTTGAATGTTGTAATTTGGTTTTAGTTATTTGTTAAATTTCAAAGAATTATTTGCATCAAGCTCGATTCACAAAACCACATTACATCTTTATCCATTTATACAACACTTGTTTTGTTTTGTTTTGTTTAAACAGCAGTATTAGTCACATCCCAGGGTAAAAGAAAAGAAAAGAAAAGAATAATTATGAAAATGTAAATAAAATACAATATACGATATTTTTCTTATATAATTTTATTATTAATCAAATCATCAAATTATAATAATAATAACTACTATAGTATATCAAATAAATATGATGAATTGATTACAAATTATGAAGTTTTAAACTTGTTAAAACATAAGAGAAAAATAAAAGGACAAGCGTTACTCAATGAATTCGTGTCGAGTGTGGTTGGCTATCTTGAGACTACACCGGCTGCCAAACAAACAGATGAAATCGTAAAGGAGACAAAAGAACTATGCAAACAAAACAAGCTTACAAAGGCAGAGACTCTTCAAATCATTAATTTAGCACCGACAACCGAGGTCGAAATACATCTTGTATGTTAAAAAACATGAAACTTACGCATCACAAAGCAGATTTAGTATTAAATACAATATACTAATCAACCATTAACATGAAAACAAAAACATAGATTGTAGAGGAAGCAGTAGAAAGATTAGATCCAGTAGCATTCACCGATGATGTTAGATTTACAATGGAGAAAGATTTAAATTTACAAACGACAACAACAACTACAACACCACCAACAGAAAATGGAAATGTTTAAAAACAACAACAACAACGACAATCAATTGATTTATATCACATTCACAAATGTATATCAAATTTATACATAAAAATTAAAATAATAATAATAATAATTATTATAATATCTATCTATATATATATTTTATTTAAATTGATAATATTGCTAGCGTTGAAATGATAGCAATTGAGAATATCTGTATGGTATATGCAGAATTACCGGAGTTACATTTTAGAGTAGTACCGGATGCACAAGTATCACAATCTTGAGTAATGGAAATACCCATTGCTTCATCTTTACAAGTAGCAACAGATGGATATTCCAAACCATCGACTTCACCTCTTGCAATCGATTTAATATAGTATGCTTTTCCATATGGTTCACCTGTACATATATCATCGAAAGTACTTTTTATTTTTTATTTTTATTAGTTAGTAAATATAATTATTAAGATTAATTGTTATTACTACACTTACAAGCATTTTTGAAGAGGTATTGTTACACATTTTGTTGAGCCAGCATTAGAGGAACATGATTGAAGTTTTTTATTTTCGCATACACCACAGAGCTCGATAGATTCTGCTGTTGATGTCATAACGATCACAGTCAAAACAAAAATAACTGTTAATAATTGTTTAAACATTTTTTTTTTTTTTTGAATGTAAACTAAACTATTTTTTATTTATTTATTTAATAATTCAGTTATATATCTGATTTACTTGTAGATTTACTACTAACTGAGTACTTTAACAACTAGTTTGGTTCTAAGGAATGATGGATGGACTAGTTGTTAAAGTAACCATCATAATCATTAGATTTAAATTCCAATCACGCCATAAACCCAGATTGAGATTTTGTTTTAGATTTGTGAGGAGGTCTTAAACCCTCTATTTTATTGTCCATAAAAACGAAAAACTAAAAAAGGTAATTTTGTTAGTGTCCCAACAAAATTCTGATTCCCTCATTTTAAAAAAAAAAAGCCTAACTTTTTAAAATATCTATATTTTTTTTCAAAAAACAATAGGATCAAATATCTTGATGAGTGCTGATTTATATACTTGATGATTAAAATTATAGCTCTGTTAAAAGGATTGCCAGTTTATTAAAAATTGGATAGTAATTCACTTTGTTCTAAGACTTTCTTTGATTTACTTGATTGACTTGATTAATTAATATGTCAAGTTTAAACGAACAAATAAATATTTGGATATTTTTAGAGAGAGAAGTGTTACAAATTTAAGTTATATTTTATTCGGAATGTTTTTGTTTTTTTTTTTGTATTTTTTTAATTGTAGAAACACATGTGATAATCTATCTTCTGTTGGTATTTCTCAATTCAATATACTCTTCGACGGTCATACTATTTTTGTTGGCATCGTTGTTTGTGTCGCCATTTAAAGATTTGATTGGTCGTTTCTTTCTCATTGGCAATGCGTTGGCGACTTTACTGACGTTGTCGGGAATCTGAATGTCCAACTCAATGCTGAGATGTATTTCTCTGAGAGTTTTCTCGACTTCTTTCTCCTTCTTGTGTTTATTCTCTGATTCACCGTTGTTGTTTTGTGAGGGCGAAAGCATCGCTGACGATGGCGATGCCGTCTGCACCTTGTTGTGCTCACCGACGACCACAGCAGAGGCACGTGTTTTTCTACGTGCGAACGGGTCGTTTTCGTTGGTCGGAGCGGTCTGGATCTGAGAGTGTTGCTGTTTGAAGTTGAAGTTCTTGTTCTTCTGATTGATTTTCAGTGCACGATCTTCGTCGGTCTTTCGCTGCTTGATGTCCATTGTCATCCTGCTGTACTCCTCGATTTGCGCGCACACCTCCTGGTACTCTTTGGAGGTCGGCTCAAAGGTGTCACGCTTGGCGATGAGCTTCGCCTTCTCAAAGGCGATATTCAGTGGTTGCTTGTTGTATTTCTGGCGTTCGGAGGCACGCTTCTCAATGTCGAGATCGGTGTAGATGTAGTCGGAGGCCTTCTTGATGTCGTTGATCTTCGACTGGATCAGCTCGGCCGAAGGCAACTCCTGGTCGGCGCGACACATGTCGGTGATCCACTTTTCGTGCTCGGACGGTGTGATCGGATTGTTCGAGACGTTCTCAATGCCAAACTCCTTCTTGGCGCCTGCATAGCTCAGTATCAGAATCTTATCGGTCTCTTTGTTCTCCACTTTGTAGAGTTTCGGTCCGACCTTCACTTCGAGAATCTCACCGATTCTGTAGATCGGATTGTTGTTGTGCTGTCCAATGACCACACGCACCAAGAACTTTGGCGCGTACTTTTCAAAGTAGGGTTGATCGACCCACTTCACCAGCATGTTACGTGAGAGACGCACTTGATTAAGCGTCTGGATATCGAGTTGCTGCAGGTACTTCTCGATCTTTCGCTTGATGCGCGATTCACGCTCCATCTCTGCTTCCTTCTCGCGAATATAGTCGTGTTCCATTTCGAACTTCTTTTGGTCTTTCTTCTCACGCTTCTGTATCATATCTTTGAGAGCTTTACTCGATTTACTGTCTTTCGATATCTCTTTTTCCGATTGTCTTCTGCTGCTGCCTCCCACTCTGTCATCGCCCCTATCTTTCTCGCGTGTAGACGACGATTCTTTCTCTCTTGACTCTTTCTCTCTTGATTCTTTCTCTCTTTCTCTTTCTCTCTCTTTTTCCTTCTCCTTTTCTCTTTCTTTTTCTTTTTCTTGTTCTACTTTATTTTTACTACTGCTACTTCCACCTTTACTCTCTAAAAGAAAACAAACAAACAAACAAAACAAAACAACAGTGTAAATTAATAAAAGAAGAAGAAGAAGAAGAATCAATGAATAGTACTAATTAACTCTCTACATACTTTCAATTTGTTTTAACTTTTGTTGTTGATCCCATCTTTCTTTTAGTTCTCTTCTCTTTTCATATCTTTCAGCAATGATATCTTCTCTCTCGAATTGCGATAACTTTGATAGTTTTATTCTGTCTTCTTCATTTTCGTACATATCCTCATCGTAACCATCGTCAAATACCTCTTCATCTGATTGTTGTTCAAAGCTATTACAATGAGTTATTAATATCGTTAATAATAAGTAATCAGATTTAATCGATATCAATTGAATATATTGTATTTAATAGCATTATAACATACTCTTTCTTTCCTCTCGTTGATTTTCCTCTTGATGAGGTTGATTTACCTCGAGTCGGTGTGTCAGACTTTGTTTTCTTGTTTGGTCTCTTCTCGGTGACCGACAATAACTGTTCATCTAAATCTTCATCATCGCTATTTCTCTTTCCTTTTGTCATGATTTTATCTATATATATATATATATATATCTATCTGTCTGTTATATTAATATAAAATATCTATAATCTTCACAGTTATATAAGTAATCAAAAATAAAATTAAATTAAATTTTTAAAAAAAAATTTTGAATTTTTTTGTTTTTTCCAACTGACACAAACATACAAACTTAAGTGAACTTACTTGCAACTACTGTATAACAACCAAACAGATAATTATTGATTCAAACTAATTATAGGAATATAAGATAAGATGAAATTAATGATTTGATTTGATTTGTTTATTAAACATTTACATTTGGTAATTATAAAAAAAAAAAAAAAAAATTGTTTAAAATTTTGTTTTTTTTTTTTTTTGTTGGTTTTTGTTTTTTTTTTAAAAAATATATGTATATAATATGATTCTATTATTCTATTCACAAGCTTCAGATGCTTGAGCAATCCATGGCGTATTATCAGTTCTCGTAGAGTTGAAATCATATTCCATCGTTGGAATTTGAATGTTCTTGATATCGGTCAACATCTTTTCAAACATGTCATTCTCTTCCTTGGTCGGTGGGCATTCCTCGTTGACATCGACAATCTTCTCATCGATATATATTCTCTCGATGATCGAATCTATCGATGACGTTCTGCTCTTGACACCACTGCTGATTCCACAATCCGACGACGACGACGTGAGCATTGGCGAACGGTAAACAGCATAGAGCACACCAGACTCATCGTCAATCTCCAAATCCAGATCTTTAAGACTCTCTTCGTCATCAATGTCAATATCAAGATCATAGTCACCAATATCATATGTATTAATATACGAAGTAGTAGTAGTTGATGTCGTTGATGTTTTAGTCATTGAGGAGGAAATGACAGTTGTTGATGATGATGTTGTAGTTGTTGTCTCATGTTCCGATTCACTAAAACATAATCTATCCAAATTGTTTTGAAGTTGATTTAAATACATTGGATCGTGAGGCAGACTATTCCATTCATTATCATCAATATTTACAAGTTGTTGTTGTTGTACTCCCTCTTCTTCTTCATCTTCTTCATTGATTTTCTCAATTTTTCTATTTGTTGTCGTTCCAAATTGACGGAATAGTTGATCTTGTATCAGTCTGATTCTATTCTTACGGTAACGTCTAAAGTGTTTCTCCATTTCGATTCTCCATTTCCATTTGTAGAGGTACTTTAGATTGATCTCCCAGTCCTCGGGTTGACGGAACCAATCGTCGATCGATTCCACACGAGGTCTAGTTTCAAACTGACTTAGCGATATAAATTGCTGTTGTATATATAGGTTTTGTTGTTGTTCGAGTTGTTCTTCGGCGCTGTTGTTCAGGTGGTGTATAGGTGGTTCATCGTCGTCGCCGTCTTTCTCTTGGAGACCGTCCATTTCCTCGTGGAGCATCTTTTGTTGCTGCAGATCAAAGTGCGACGTTCCGACATTGACAGTACCATTGAGCAGTTCATAGTAGGAGCTGGACTTCTTTATAGGTTTTCTGAATGGACTCGAGTGGTTTGGATGACTATTGAATTTACTGACAGACTTTGTCTCCATTAATGACAGGTTACTATTATTACTATTACTATCACTATTATTATTATTATTATCGTTGTCTATTTTAATATTTTTATTATTTCCTAATTTCTTTTTTAATTTATTTTCTAGTTGTAGTTGTTTTTTCTTTAGTTGACTTTGTTTATTTCTTCTATTTGGATGTGTTTTTAATGGTGATAATAAAGATGATAAGGAAGAAGTGGAACTATTATTACTACTATTATTATTATTATTGTTTCCACTATTTACTTTATTTAAAATTGATTTAAGTTTAGATATTATTATTTTCTCTTCTTGATACTTCATATTATAATTTAGTTTTTAGAAATCTAAATTCTGAAATTAATAGAATTTAATTAATAAATTAATAAAAATATTAAATTAAAGGATAAAAAAAACCAAAATGAATTGGAATTTAAATAAATAAATAAAATAAAATAAATAAATAATTAAATGATATAAATGCCAATGAAATAAATAAAAAATTATTTTTATTGGTTTTTACAAAGTTTTAGATTTCCAATATTAAATAAAAAAAAATTGTCAAAATAACAACAACAATAATAAATAATTAATTAACCAAAACAATAGAATAAAACAAATAATTAATATTATGAATTTAAAAGATAGATAAAAATAAAATTGAAAATTGATATTTATTAGTTATTTTAAAATTTGTTAGTGTTTGTTATAAATGGTGTAGTTTAAAAAAAATTATCCTGGTTTTTTTTATAACTTATAACTTTTAAAACAAATAATATTGAATTGCAAACATTGATATTTATATTGAATTTAAAATGGTGCTATGATGATGATGTGTTCAATTTAATTATTGTGGATATGATTGTTATTAATTAAATTTAATTAAAAGATATAAGTTTAAAGTAAGCAGAGGGTAAACAATTTAATATTTTAAAGTTGGATGGTGTGTTAACAACTAAACTATTAATTCGCTCTCTCTCTCCCTCAAAATTTATTAGAATCGATTATAATAATATCAAAGTTAATGTTAGAGTTGTTGTTTGAACCATAGGTATAAATTCTACCAAAATCCCTTCAGATTTAAAAGATGGTTTGATATTATTTTATAGTATGGTTTTGTTGTCTTTTTTTGAAAAAGTGGCACATACATACAGAATTGGAAAAGCCATTGTTGAACGTTTTTTGAAAAAGAAGAGCCAACACTGTTGTAAATCTTTAAAATACAAAAACATCCATGATTTTATTTCTATCCATTATTATAATGAGAATGACCGAGTGTTTTATTACCAGGTATATTTAAACAAATCAATATGTTATTGATCCATTTATATTATTTAAAAACACCAAAGTAATTATATTGATGTAGTTTTTATAAAATGAGCAATAATATCTTCTTATGATAGAAACAAAGAAAGAATTATTTATAATAAAAGAACAATAGAAATAACAAACAAATAATATTGAAAGTGGAGAACAAAAATTATATCTTTCATTATAAATATACAGATGATCTAGATAATATTTCTATTTTTGATCGACTTTTGAATACAATCATTTCTTTCAATCATTCCAAAAGTCTCATTATCTTTATTGATGAAAATATAATTCAAAAATTACAACAACTCTTAAGAATGATTTATCAAACCATCAGATTTCAAACACACATTTTCCAAAGTGGTAGAAAAAAATGATAAATATTGGATTTTTTTAAAAGGTGTTTTTGTGGTGGTATTGGTTATAAAAGTGTGTTTAAGTGTTAGTGTGTTTGTCAAAATAGACATGAAAAATGGATATAAACAATTGATTAAGATTGGCGTATGATACATAGAAATAAAGAGAAATATGAATAAAGTAATAAGAATATCAATAAAAATAAAACAAAAAACAAAATAAAATAAGATATTGATTATTGATTTATTGATATTGATTGATTGATTGTTTTAATTATTTTTAGTAAAACTATACTTACATAATATGATTAATGTTATAATCTTTTTTAATTTTAATTTTAATATTAATAAAAAATGATTCTTATCTTTTTATCTACTAGATAAATTAAAATTTGCAAAAAGTTAAAAAGTTTTGAAGTTGCAAAAAATAAAATTGAAAGTTTGTTATTTATTTTACTGTATGGTAATAGATACTATTCTAGTATTATATAAAATTGTATTGTTATAATAGGAATGAATATGCAGGTCAAAATTTTGATCCAAAAGAAAAAGGTTCGTTCAGCTGACTATTGATTATATATGTTTATTCCTTTTTGTCAAAACAACAATAAAAACAATTCATTAATTTTAATAATGATTCGTTATTGGAGCAATAAAATTAATTAAAATTTTAAATGAGCTTGTAATTGTTTTCATTGAATTGGAAAAAATAAAAGCAATAAAAAAAATTCAACTTTCAATCTTGTTTGAGATGATGCAAAAATTCGATACCTTAATATATGGTAAACAATTTTTTTTTTAGTTTTTTCATTAAATAAAAAACCTACTTTAATTTATAAAATTTGCAAATTTTACTAAAATGGTAAGTTTGTTTTTTTTTTTTGATAGCCTGGGTCAATTAAAATTTTTTTTTATATTTTATTATTATTTATTTTATTGAAGATACATTTTTTTGATAACCACACATCACACAAATTGTTTTCTCATGATTACTTTATTAAGAAATTTTATAACCTAGTTTGTTGACCTCTTCCAATGCCTAACAAAGTTTTGAAATAAGATTCATAATCTTTAAAATAATAAATTTCATTTTTGTTTATTTTTATTTATTAAATTTAATCAACATTTTCAACTTGATGTTGTTCGTTTTTGTTTTTTTTGTATGATAAATTTATCTTTGATGGTTCGGTAGATTTCAATATTTGTTTGATTTTCAATGTTTAACAGATTTAGCCTTTCCATGAAAGATTTGTTTTTTGCAACTAAAAAGGAAAATTGTTTTGGATAGTAGGATGAAAAAAAGTTTAAATGTTTCTGGGATATTATGAGTATTCGAAAATGATTTAAAAAAAGATAGAATATTTAGATTTCTGATATGATTGTTTGTGTGTCAATATGTTGGTTGTCCATTGAAGATGTTGATCATCGAGATTGAAGAGTGTAAGTTTGTTTATAGTTGTGTTGGCTGAATGCATCGTATAAAATGATTCATCGAGTATATCATTTCATATTTCAGTCTTGAAAGGGTTGTGTTCAATGCTTATGATTGAACAAAACAATCTGTTACCAAATCGAAAAACGATTGTTCTCTTATCTTGTGGTACAATAGTTTGACAATGAAAATTTTTTGTTGTTTGATAATCTCTGACAAAACTCTATCCAACCATCGGTTTGATTATTGTTAGATATCATTGGTTTAATGTCCTCTATTATAGGTACAACTGCAACGACAAAGGTCTTCGTTTTCATCGTATCCAAACAAACTGAGTATCGCCGCAGCTTTGAAAGATTGAACTTGATCGTTCACAATCAACTATAACTCTTTGATATAGACGAAATCTTCACGACTGATTTCAATTGATTTGAGAGATTTGATCGCAAAGAGTTATGAATTTTGGTTGACTACCAATGAGAAATAATTAAATAGAGTTAAAATCAACACTATTTTTTTTTTAAAAACGAAAAAAAAATCAATGAGGCCTGTTATGGTTAACTGTTATGACTCTTCACCATTTTTTTTTGTGCAAAAAAACAATTGTGAAATTGTGCAGAACCTCGGTTTCCTAACTATTATTTAATTTGTTTTTGTTCATATTCCTAAAAAAAAACCTATTTAATGACTAAATTATATCTCTTATTGAATTCTTTTACAATTATCTTTATAATACTATCGTTTACTTAATTAATCCATCAAAAGAAAAAAGATAAAGAAAATGAAAAACAATTGAAGAATCAAAAAATTTTTTATTTAGATTCTAAGCTCAACAAAGATGGAATCTGTAGATTTATATTTTGGTTTTTGTTTATACATATTTAATACTGAAGACACTATCTTATGAAAGATATCAACGATTTGATAGAATTCTTCTTGATCTTCTTTGATTTGAAGAGTTGGAATGAATTTTTGAATGATGAGGTTTTCATGAATAAAGTATTGTTCAAAGCAATCATCCAGTTCTTTTTCAACGAATTCAAGACATTCTTGATCAGTCCAATTGTTTTGAGTTTTCATAAAATGGAAACTATTCATTCTTACATCATTTTCTTTAAGTTCCTTTTCATAGGAGAAAACATCATTGTATAGAGCACAGATTCTTCCAGCTTGTTCCTTTAAACATTTCCAAAGTGGGTCAAGAAGAATATTAGAGTTTAATCTTTTCATTGTGAATAAAACACCAATACCAAAATTTGGTGTTACTCCAATGTTTAGATTTCTCATATTATAATATAAGTTCATACTCATGTCACCATTTAATTTCTATAATAAAAATAAAAATTATTAATAAATAACTTGTCCTTTTTATTAATTTAAAAATAAAATAAATAGATACCTTTATATTTTGCCATGGCATTAAACCGTTAAAATAATCAATGAATACATTTCTGAATTGATTTAATACTGGATTTTGATTTCCAAATCTTACTTCTAGATTCTCAAAAAAATAAATCAAATCTCTTTCAAGTGGTGTTGGTTCATCTTCGAGTTTTCCAAATCTAACTATATTGATAGCTCTATTGATTTGTTTCATTCCAATTTCCGGTTCATTGGTATCAATAAGGTCATCGAAAACATTCGCGAAAATAAAGAAATGTGTTCCCAATTCTATAGCCTCTTGATCTGCTAATGGCCACATATTTCTTACAAACTTTGAAATTCCTGTAAACCACGGTCTATATTTTTCACTATTTTCATCATTTAATAAACCAAATTGTTCCATTTTTTCAAATACTATTTCTGTGGGATCAAATGAGTTCATATATATACTCCAACTCTTTGGAGTTTTATCAATAATTTTTTGTAATGACAACATTTAATTATATTTTGTTTGAATTAAAAAAATATTGAAAATTGGAATTATAAAAAAATAAACTATTTTTTTGAATTTATAGTTGGGTTTTCTCTTACAAATATTAAACTAAAATTATTATTACTTAATATATTATACTCATATAATACTTATGAGTATCTTATTGAAGAATTCTATTTTTTTATATATCTACAAACTTGTTGTAAACCCACTTTTTTTTTTACATTAATTTGTCATAATTACTTATTAAAGATTTTTCAATGACAAGTGTATAATAAATCTAACCTTAGATAGAAAGGATAAATAGTTTTATTAAAGAAATATTTTGAACAATTTATATGTGTAACATATTTTTATTTTGTTCCTTGTCCAAACTATTAAAATTTGTTAAGCAAGTTTTGCAACCTCTTATTATTGCAATAATAAGAGGTTGCAAAAACAAAGATATGAATTAAATTGATTTATTCTTTAGAGTTGAACAAAGATGGAGATTCATTAATAAAATATTGTTAAAAAAAAATTGGTCAGGTCAATGGTTATGAGTTTTCATAAAATCAAAACTATTGATTCTTATATCATTTTCTCTTAGTATCTTTTCATATGGGAACACATCATTATAAAGAGATATTTTTGATTTATTTAGAACAAAGAGCAGATGATTCGACAAGATTCTTCTATGAAATTGTAGAACTTAACGCTATTGATTGAAACTGAAAAGTTAATTAATAAAATATATTTATTGTGTAAATATAAGTTTTATATTTGTGTTATTTAATTTTATAGGTTGGGTTTTTTTTTGCAAACAATAACAATTATAATTATAATTTCACATTTTTTAATTTTTATTTACTTTTTTTATTAAAGAAGTTCTAAGCAATGATATTAGTTTGTATAGATAGAGAAGATACAAACTAATTCAGAGTTATGATAACTGTAGTATGTATAGAGCTATTTTGGTTAATCAATGGATAGATCTATTTAGTTACTAAAAAAGAACAATAAATAGGTGTAGATTATTATTAATAACGATTGAATTCATTTCGAAACTAGGGAATACATAGGGAGAGAATCACAACGCAAGCAGCAGCATTCGTGTTTATTGGCTTGCTCTTTTACCTCCACTAAAAGCAGTCATTCTCGACATACCAAAAGGGAAGCTCTATTTCATTGTAGACATCACAAAGGAGATAAATATCAGTGTAGATACAGCTAACAGATAAGATATTACTACTCAAAGAATTCAATTCCAAAAGAGATGGGAGAGTGTGTTTATATGTGTAATGCCAATACCAACACCAAGCAATAGTTGGTCTATGCTGCACTGTTCAACGATACAATAGGTAGTGGCTCGTACGCCAGCTTCCCTTTTGTCGATGCAGACTCTTCTCAATGAATATCTTGGATTAGTTGCTCCAAGTAAACACCGCAGTATTCTATTCAAAGTTTCTGTTAACTATTTGGTGGTGGAACCCGTATAATTATGCGGTAACGTATCAGGTTGGTTTGTTTGATGATTTATGACAACAACAGTATATATACAATCAATAATAGTTATAGAGATGATAGAAACGAGTTTATGTTTAGATATACTAGAATGTGTAAATTCGACTGCAATCTACCACGATTAATTGTTGTATAGATCAGTAAATACTGCAGTAAAACAATGTCAAGATATAAACAATCACCAGACAACATTCAACTCCAAACAAACTTATTTCCATTTTAATCATTTAAATAACTTAGAAATAGGAATTAATGTGAATAGACAATTTAATTTTAAAGAATAAAAGATTTATTAAACATTTGCCGATTAATTAACAATCTAGATTGTTAAACTCTATAATGAATTTATTTCGACACATGAACTTCTCATGGTAAAAATAGATTGTGTAATTAATATCCCAAAGTCTTTTGAATATACATTTGAAAGAATATTCACAATCAGGAGGATCAACGTAAAATATTAAAATTAATTATTTCTTTTTATTAATCTTATCTTATTAAAATATATATTCTTCGGGTTTTTCTTGATTGAACAATCAATATTTGATGTACCATAAAGTAAATCTTCGATTAATATATTTTCTACAGTCTCGATTAATCGATTAAAATTAAATTTGACTAGTATGATTTTACGACATGCTATTTGACCATCGAAAGTTGTAATCAATTCTTTGATCAATTCTTTTCGAACTTGGATATTACCATCCAGATCTTCAGAATTATACCAATGTGGAATTATATATGATTCAATGTCAAGACTGTTGATATGATTGTTGAATTTCAATATGTTGGTTGTCCATTGGAGATGTTGGCTATTGAGATTGAAGAGTGTAAGTTTGTATATCGTTGTATTTCTATTGTTTGAAAACATCGTGTAAAATGATTCATCAAGAATATCACATGATATTTCAAGTCTTGAAAGAGTTGTGTTCAATGCTAAAGATTGAACAAAGCTATCTGATACTAACTTCAATATAGATTGATCATCTATCTTGTGTTCCGAGCAAAAGTTTGACAATTTAAGATGTTTCAATGTTTTGTTTTTTGATAGCCTCTGACAAAACTCTATCCAATCATCGGTTTGATTGTTGTCAGATATCATTTGTTCATAGTCATTGTCAACACTATTCTCAATACATCTACAAGTCCAACCTAGATCTTCGTCTTCATCGTATCCAAACATACTGAGTATCGATGAACATCTGAACGATTCAAGATGATCGTTCATAGCCAACTTTAACTCTTTGATATCAACGTAATCAAAGTCACTGATATCGATGGATTTCAGTGATTCGATTGCAAAGAGCTCGTCATGTGCAATATGATTGTTGTCACCATCTTCATCATAGGCTCCTTCGTAGTCAAAGTATATCTTGTTGACACGCCACTGTTCTGTCGGTTCGAAATCATATCCATCACCACAATATCCCAAGTCTCGGGTAACCAATGTCACACGCTCTAAAACCGAATAGTCGAGATCAAAAAGCGATACCTCCTTGGCGTATTGATTGAAATACAATCGAATTTTGAATGATGGTTTGCGTTTAATGATATTTCTTATTAGATTAATGTCACCAGTGAATATATACAATCGTTCGAGATTGCTAAACTTTGAAAGAAGCTCGAACATCTCTGACGCTTCATCACGTGTGTATTTGCGGACTTCATAACAATATAAAGTTTTGATGCTATTGAGCTGATATAGAGAACGACTGTTTGAAAGATAACCAACCGAAGTTTGCAAATCTAGATATGTACTTTCATTGGAAGGGTATCTTAATATAAATTCAGTAAGGAACGTATTTGATATGATATTACACCATTCTTTACAAACGAAAGCATAATTGAATAATTCTTTGTTTATAGTGAATGGTTTGTTTGTTGAATTGTATCGACCACCATTGACAAAAACCCAGTATTTAAAATTAGTTTTGATATTCTCTCGGCCAACTAATGCAAGTCTAATTATTTTCTGAAGAATGACTTTCGATTGTATCGTTGGATTACTACTACTTTTACTAAGACTAAAACTATTATTAATATTGTTATTTTTATCTTGATTTAACATTTTCAATGAAGTTTTAGCTATTTAAAATAAATAATGAATAATATTGAATAATATTTAATATTTAATTAAAAATAATGATTGTTTTTTTTTTTGTTTTTTTGATTGAAGACCATACGATTTTTTAACAAAAAAATTCAGATATTTTTAATTAAGAGCTTGAAATGAATAGTTTTTTAGTTTTTATATAATTGTTTTTTTTAATCTATTCTATCAAATAAAATCAGCTCTTCTTTTTATAACACCAGCAAGAATAACAAAATAGAAACAGTTCTTAAATGTAAATTCTATACAATTACTTTGTCACATGTAAAAATCAAATGCTGATATACTAAAAAATCACTATTAAGTTTTTTGTCATTGTAATCATCCTTTTTTATTTTTTAAAAATTATTATTTAATATTTAATAAATAACAATTAGAGGATAAAGTAGATAGAGAAGAAGCATACCAATATAAAATGTCAGTGAATTTAATAGTAGTTTGTAGTACTAATTTGACTAGCTAGTCAATGATTAAATAACACAAGGCTTTGTATCTAAATATTAAATACTCTTTTTTTATTTATCAGGTAGATTAAGAAATAACGATTGAATAAATACATTCTAATACTGTTTGTTATGAAAACTGTAAGATCTTATAATTACAGTTAGTTTTATAACTGGTAGTGGGTTAACAACCAACAACAGCAGTATTGGTGTAGATTATTATGCTTATACTAAAAGCAGTCATACTCTACAGACTAATAAAAAAGAAGAATCTTTGCTCATTCATCATACGCATTACAGAAAATAGATATATGTCACTGTACTTACAGTCCACCCGATAAGAATGTAACTCAAGAATTCATTTCCAAAGAGAGTGAGAGAGTATGTGTAATGACAATTCCAACACCACTACAACGATCTATGCTGTACTTATTGGTTACACGATGTTTTTATGAATAAAAGATAAAAGATTTATTTAACTTTTTTATTTAATACAAGCAGTGCTATATAGAACTATTTTTCTTTGAAAGATATCTATTTAATTAATTATAATCTTTTTCGAAAAATCTAATTAAGAATAAGATGATTATCAATATTTTATTTAGTTTCTAAGTTCAACAAAGATGGAATCTGGTGATTTATAGTTTGGTTTTTTTAAATACATCATTAACAAGGAAGATATCAATTTATGAAAGAATCCAATGATTTGATAGAATTCTTCTTGATCTTCTTTGTTTTGAAGAGTTGGAATAAATTTTTGAATGATGAGGTTTTCATGAATAAAATATTGTTCAAAACACTTATCCATTTCTTTTTCAAAGAATTCAAGACATTCTTGATCAGACCAATTGTTTTGAGTTTTCATAAAATGGAAACTATTCATTCTTACATCATTCTCTCTAACTTCCTTTTCATAGGACAATACATCATTGTATAGAGCACTGATTCTTCCTCCTTGGTCCCATAAACATTTCAAAAGAGGATCAAGAAATATTTCATAGTTTAATCTTTTCACTATGAACATTAAACCTAAAAAAACTGTTGGAGCCGTACCAATATTATGTCTTCTTAAGATATAATATAAATTCATACTCATGTCACCATTTAATTTCTAAAAAAAATAAAAAAAATATCTATTATTTAATATATTTATAATTTTTAATTTTACATAACTTACCTTCATATTTTGCCAAGGTATTAAATTGTCAAAACAATCCAAGAAAGCAATTCTAAAGAGATTCATCAAAGGATGTTGATCTCCAACTCTAAGTTGTAAATTCTGAACCAAATCGAAAATATTTTTTTCATATGGTTTAGGATCATCTTCTAGTTTTCCTAATGTAAAAATATTAATTGCTCTATTGATTAATTTTATTCCAAATTCTGGTTCATTGGAATCAATAAGGTCATCAAAAATTCTGGAGAAAATAAAGAATTGTGTACCCAATACTATTGATTCTTGATCTGCAGATGGCCATATACTTCTGACAAACATTGAAATTCCTTTAAACATTGGTCTATTTTTTTCACGATTTTCATCATTTAATATTCCAAACCTCTCAATTTTTTGAGTCACAATTTCCATAGGATCATATGGATTCATTTGTAAACTCCAACTCTTAGGAGTTTTGTCAATTAATTTTTGTAGTGATATCATTAAGAACTCTATTATTTCTAAGGATATTTTATATCAAAATATTTCTATTTATACTTTTATCTTATTATATTTATAAATGATTCTTAATAAATATTTTTAAAAGAAAAATTGCTATCAACCAATATTATTCTTATTTATCATAGATTATATTTAACTCCTGAACTGTAGGTACAATTGTTATAAATGGAATAAAAGAGAAAGAAAAATCTATTGAATGATGATTAAACAAATTCATACTACTGAAAATAAATTGAATTATTTCCCTCTAAAATATCATTTGCATTTACATTCCTAATATATCGAGGTTGAAAGTTAGTTGACCAATGAAAAATCGAAATAAATAAAATTTAATAAAATTTTTCATTTTTTTGTATGTTTCTTTTTTTCAACTAAATAAATATATATATATATATTTCTAATTTAATTCAATTGTAATATATTGTATAAATTACTATTTAAAAAAAAAGCAAAATATTTGTTTTGTTCCAATGAAAAAAATAAAATTAAAAAAATTTGGATGATCTCTAATTTTTATTTGTTTTTCTCTGTAGCTTGGAACGTTCAATATTGCAAACCAAATATTATATCACCTCATAATTTGAAAAAATCAAATCATTAACCCACTCCTTCATAGAGATAGAGAAAAATCTGACAAAAAAATGTGCATATGTCATTTTTGTTTTTGTTTTTCTATAGATTTTTAACAAATTTTTGTACCCACCAACCAAATTTTTTTTCTTTATTGATTCTTTATTATTAATAAAATTTTATTTCTTTAATTCTGTTATATGATTTAATCCCTCCCAAAAAATGAAATTTTTTACTAAACAATTCTATTAAACTAACTTTATTTATTATGAACGATTTAATTACTAGAATCTCCCATTTCTGTGACTATTGTGATATCTTTATGTGATAAATTGTATCTATGGACTTATTGTAGTCTTAAACCTGGGATGTTATAGTGAGTCAGTATATTGTTATTAATGACTTCCGACTATAACTCTGTCATATTATGATATTTACAATATAATATTGTAACAGGGACAATAATGACAAATATCAATTTAAACCTATAATTTAAGATCAATATTTTTATTTTTAAAAAAAAAATTTCTATACCTACAACTTCATTTATAATACCAAAAAAAGTTTAATCTATCTTATGTTTCTCAAATCTACAGTTTTATTATGAATAATCTGGATTGAAATGACAGTATATTAATAAATTAGTAGATTGTTTAATTAATTGTATACTTTGGTGGTGTAGATAGTACCATTTTTTATTGACTCACACTAAATTCTCTCAAAAATCTCTATATTTATGTTGTCTATAAATTATTACATTTTTTAAGATAGAAATAAAATTTGGAGACTTTGACTTCTATATAATATTTTTTATTTTTCTTATAGTATTCAAAATAAAAATTAATAATTAACAATTAACTTTTTAAAAAAAAAGAATTCTAAATGTTATCTTTACAAAAACTAATTGATAAAACTCCCGAGAGCTGGACTTTACCTATGAATCCGTATGACCCTATGGAAAGGGTGATTGAAAAAATGGAAAAATTTGGAATATTAAATGATGAAAATAGTGAAAAAATAAGACCAACTATAAAAGGAATTTCAATGTTTGTTAGAAATATTTGGCCATCCTTAGATCAAGAGTCATTGGTATTGGGTGCACAATTATTTATTTTTAATAGGATTTTCGATGACTTTATCGATTCATGTGAACCAGAGTTTGGAATTAAATATATTGATAGAGCAATCAATATTTTCAAATTGGGTAAACTAGAAGATGATCCTACACCAGTCGAACTCAATATTTTTGATTTGATTCATAATTTAGAATCTAGAGTTGGAGAACAAAATCCATTAATCAATCTATTCAAAAATGCTTACTTGGATTATTGTTATAATTTAGTTCCATGGCAAAATATGAATGTAAGTTTATTGAATTTAAATTTTAAATTAATAATATTATTAATCAACCGATTGATTTGGTTATTTTTATTATAGAAATTAAATGGTGATATGAGTATGAATTTATATTACAATTTAAGAATACATAATTTTGCAACTGCACCCCCTTTTTATATAAGTTTAATTTTCAAAATGAAAAGATTAAACCCTGATATAATTCTTGACCCACTTTGGAGAAGTTTAATTGAAAGTGGAGGAAAAATTGGTGCTCTCTACAATGACGTATTATCTTATGAAAAGGAAGTTAGAGAAAAAGAAGAAAGAATGAATAGTTTCCATTTTATGAAAACTCAAAACAATTGGACTGATCAAGAATGTCTTGAATTCTTTGAAAAAGAACTGGATAATTGTTTTGAACAATATTTTATTCATGAAAACCTTATTATTAAAAAATTCATTCCAACTCTTCCAAACAAAGAAGATCAAGAAGAATTCAATCAAATCCTAGAATTCGGTCATACAATGTTGTCTTCTTTACTAATGATGTACAGACTAAAACCAAACTATAAATCATCAGATTCAATCTTTATTGAACTTAGAAACTAAATATTGAATATTTTATTTAGTTTTTAAGTTCAACATAAAAACTAAACAATATGAATTGCTAATAAAGAGATTGATCATCATTTATTTAAACAATTCCCCAATCCTCACCTTTTTATAATAATAGCTTTTAATTCAGTCTTTTTATAAAATGAAATACAATACATTTAGATTTTTAAATAATATTTTTGATTGGTATAACTTCCTGTTTGATTGTTTAGTATAATTAATTAATAATTCATATCATTGTTAAAATAAAATGTGTTATTTCATCCAGCTTTTTTTTATTCTCGCATTATAACACCCAGTCACGATTGCAAGAAATTTGACTTCTCATTTCTTGAAAAAAAAAATTCATTTTTGACAATATTTTATATGAAATTTTAAATTGGTTGTAGTTGAACTCTCTGGATGAAACCTTGAATATCGGCCTCTTTCTCCGCTTTTAATCTGGCTTCACTTGAAACTTAACCTTTCTTAACTTTAAGATCGATATTTTTGTTTCAGCTTTGTCCACCAGTCACGACCAGTGACGACTATTGTATAGCCATATTTGTCATATACCTTTCCGACCACCCAATTTAGAAAATTCTCTTTCGTTATCGGAATATTCTTGGTATTTGATTCTTCTATCATCTTTTTCATCTCTAATTCTTCTGCTTCGGTGAGATATCTACCTCTTGGCTTAAAGGAGAGCTTATTTTTTTTCTTGGATAGCTCACTTTCAGAAACACCATACTTTTGAGAGAGCTCCTTTTGACTAAAACTTGTATCGTTTTGAATTTCATTTATTGCTTCCATCAACCTCTCTTCTCTGCTCATTTGACTAATCCTCTGAGGTGTTACACCTATGATATTGCTTAATTCTTTTGTATCCTCCTATTAAAAGTGCTATATTAACACCATCTTTTCTAAATAATAATATAATTTTTAAATAATGTTAAACCCGACATACCATTGCATTGATACATTCTATTTTAATATAACTTTGTTTATTTATATCTTAAAATCTACAGATATTAATAACTTAGCTTCAAAAAAAACCAATATTAATTTTTTTAAACATTTTCACAAATTTAGTTAGGAAATGAGAAAGCAAATTTCTTGCAATCATGACTGGGTGTAATATATATTTTTACAAAATTTTTTCATTTTTTGGAGGAAGAGGGATATAATGAAATTATACAGTTAATTCTTATTAGAGGTATTGCAAGTTGTACACAAATAATTGTATTTACTATTGGTTCATTAAATCTCTTTTTATCCAAAAATAGTTAACACTAACCGTTTTAGAAATAGAAATAATAATAATAAAAAAAAGAGATTAAATTTTTGCTTAAAAATGTATGTGGTGGTTATAAAAATTTAAACTCAGCTACATGATGAATATATTTGTTGTATTATGTTTTTAACTGTTGTTTTAAAACCACTTGTATCTATTGTTCAGATAGAAATTATCTATAAAAAAAGTGGAAATTTTTATTACTGTACTTTGTTGTACCAACAAAATGATTATTCAAAAAGTATTTGAAATAGAAGTTAATATTTTTTATCAAAAACAGAATTTTCATTTTAAACTTACTATATACAAAAAGGAATTCTAAATGTTATCTTTACAAAAAATTATTGATAAAACTCCAAAGAGTTGGACTTTACCTATGAACTCAAATGATCCCATGGAAATGGTGATTGAAAAAATGGAGAAATTTGGAATATTAAATGATGAAAATCGTCAAAAATATAGACAGATTTTCAAAGGACTTTCAATGTTTGTAAGAAATATTTGGCCATCTGGAGATCAAGAGTCAATGGTATTGGGTACACAATTCTTTATTTTTTCAGTAATATTCGATGACCTTATTGATACGAATGAACCGGAATTTGGAATGAAACAAATCAATAGAGCAATCAATATTTTCAAATTGGGTAAACTAGAAGAGGATGCTACACCACTTGAAAGAATTGCTTTTGATTTAAATGAGAGCTTAGAATGCAGAGTTGGAGATCAACATCCTTTGATGAATCTATTCAGAAAAGCATTCATGGATTATTTTGATAATTTAATGCCATGGCAAAATATCAAGGTAAGTTTAAGTTCAATATTATTTTATTTTAAATAAACAAATTATTAATAATTAAATTGGTTTTTTTTTTTAATTTTTAGAAATTAGATGGTGACATGAGTATGAATTTATATTACAATATGAGAAGACACAATATTGGAATGGTACCAACATTTTCTTTAAGTGCAATATTCATTATGAAAAGATTAAACTCTGATATAATTCTTGATCCACTTTGGAAAAGTTTAATGGATCATTCAGGAAACATCTGTGCTCTTTATAATGATGTCTTCTCATATGAAAAAGAACTCAGAGAAAAAGATGAAAGAATGAATAGTTTCCATTTTATGAAAACTCAAAACAATTGGTCAGATCAAGAGTGTCTCGATTTCATGGACAAAGAATTTGATAATTGTTTTGAACAATATTTTATTTATGAAAATCTTATTAAACAAAAATTCATTCCAATTCTCAAAAACAAAGAAGATCAAGAAGAGTTCATTGAAATTGTTGACCACTTTCATACCATGGTATCTGCGGTAGTAGCTCTGTACTTAGTAAAGCCAAATTATAAATCACCAAATTCCATATTTGTTGAACTTAGAACTAAAATTCAATGAAAATCTGAGATAAATAAATTCCCGAATTTCAAAAAAGAAACAATGATTTTATTTATTAGATTTTTTGTTTTTAATTATTAGATTCACATCTTTTATTTTTTTTCCCTTTCCACAAGATCGTGACTAACTTGAATATTGATTGCTTGCAAAATGAAGTAAAAACACATCCTATGTTTTTACATTTAAAAACCACAATAAATTTTTTTAAACCATGAAAATATTCAATACTATTTATATTCTTTCTTACCAATTGTTAGTGTAAACCACATAAGTAAATAGAAAACAATATTAATAAGAAAAAAGAGATGTGAAATATGAGAAACCTCGAAAATTTTTGTGTTTTTTATCTAAAAACAATTAAAAAAATTCTACTACTACTACTTCCAGATATAACGAGCTGTTGCAACTGTAACAACTGTACTGTCTTAACTAACAAACATCATCAATAGTTAATATTTTTAACTCTTGTTATCTTTAATTGAAAACTAATAGATTAAATAAATATTTACACCTCTACTACTTTAAATTTTGAACCAGACCTCCTAAGCTCAACTGTAACATATTCAAGTTTAGTAATGATCATCATCCGTTCATAGATAGCAAGACCGCACAATATTGAAATGAAAATCTAATTAGATTTTTTTATGGTTTAATGTTTAAAAATTGAAAACAAAAAAAGGAATTTTTTTATTATTTTATTTTACAGCCGCAGCAGCATAGATGTTGATCAGAATGCTCCACCACCACCACTAGTGTAATTCCGCGGCCAACACTACGTAATAGTTGATCTATGCTGTGCACTCATGCTCGCCTAATCAATCATCAGCATCAAATCCAATGACAACGACACGCACCAATTCAGTCACTCATTCATCGTAGATCACACTAAACCCACCTTAATCAACTTAACAACAATGATAACTTATAGTTCTTCGTTTGATTTTAACCATATTTGTAGATTAATTATTTCTTTCTATTATTCTTATTATTTTATAATCTTTATGTTTTTGGTTAATTTTGATTGAACAGTTAATGTTTGATGTACCATTAGGCACATATTTAATAAAGTCATAATGAACACACTGGATTGTAAGATCATATTTATTAAAATTATATTTTGATAGTATGATCTTGCGACACTTTACTTGACCATCGAATATCTTTATGAAATCTTTGATCATTTCTATTTGAACTTGATTACCCTCAAAGTTCTCCCAAATGAATTCATATATTGTATACAATATATGAATCAATGTCAAAAGTGTTGTGTTCAAAGATTATGATTGAGAAAAGCTAGCTGATACTAAATCGAAAGATTTTCTGACGATTAACTTTCGATTGTATCATAGTATCACTGAGTTTCATACTATTATCTATTATTTAACATTTTCTAAAATAAGGATAGAATGATGAATTGATCTTAATTGATAGAATGAATAGATATAAATTTTTTAAAATCTATACATATATTAAAGGAAATAAAAAAATCCCAAATTAATTAAAAAAGGTATCATACACATAAATATTTCCAATCCTTATTAAAAATTTATAAAATTTTATTTTATTTTATTAATACCATTAATATTTCTATTTAATTATCTGTTAATTGATTATATTATATGTTCTTTGTGATCATGGTTTATAGATTCATCTTTTACTTGAAATTCAATGTTTTGATATCAAAAAGACCCTTATAGAATTGTTGTTCCATCGATCACATATATTGATATTCAGCAATCTAATAAAAAGAAATTCAATAAATTAAAGTTTTTGGGTATGTATTAAAAAGTTATAACTTAGATATCAATAGTTTTCATTCTGATAAAACTAAAACAAACTATTTTTGGTAAACCTGGGTAAAATTTTTTTCCTAGAGATAAATCAAGTGTATGAGAAAGTCATCATCAATTTGCAAATTGTAATATGATTTAATTGTTGACTAAATTTGGAATTCACAGTTATTCGATGAATGTTGTTTTGTCCAAGGAATCCATCGAAGTGGTTTGTGGTGGTTGTTTTGTGGTATGATGTCGAGACAAACGATTGGTTTTTTTCAAAAAAAAAAAATGGTGGTGATTGAAAATGAGGTGGAGATTCTGAAATTTATAAAAAAAACAAAAATAAATAAATAAAAAAGACATCATTTAATTTAATTTTTATTTTGTTTAATTTTTTTTTTGATTTTTATTTTTTATTTTTTATTTTTTAATTAAAGAAAAATGTTGCAATGAGAAATTCGCAATGATATATATCTGGTATCAATAACATCAAAACACAACAACAATAAACCACACACCCACAACTAATACTAATTTTAGATAGTTAATTAGTTGTAAACAATATTGTTTTAGATTTACCACCTTTTTATCATCAAGAAAAGATATAAAATAAAATGTCATCATCATTATTTAAATCATTTCATTTTGCTTTCTTCCCAACTATGAGTGTTGCTCCTCAAGAGAACACTGGAGGTGCTGCTGCTCCTTCTGCACCAAAGGGAAGCAAAACAACCACCAAGATTGTCATTGTTGGTGGAGGTGCTGGTGGTTTGTCAACTGCTTCAATGCTTCAAAGAAAGTTCCAATCCAATGGTGATATTGTCATTGTTGTAAGTGTTAATCGATCAATCAATGATAAAGTTGACAAAGACAAATCGCTCAAATTTGAAAATGTTAATATGTATATATATATATATAAATTTGATAACTTTAGGAACCATCAGATAAACATTATTATCAACCATTGTGGACTTTGGTCGGTGGTGGTATCTTCACAAAGGATGCCAGTCAGAGAAATGAGAAGGATTTGATTCCACAGGGAACTACATGGGAGAAGGACGGTGTCGCAACTTTCAAGCCCGATGAGAATCTCGTTGTCACAAAGCAAGGAAAAACACTGAACTACGATTACTTGATTGTCGCCACCGGTATCACCATGTACTGGGACCGTATTCGCGGTCTGAAGGAGACGCTCGGAAAGAACGGTGTCACCTCGAACTACTCGTTCGACTCGGTCGATAAGACCTTTGAATTCATCAAGGGACTCAAGTCGGGAACGGCCATCTTCACCTTCCCCAACACTCCAATCAAGTGCGGTGGTGCTCCACAGAAAATCTTGTGGTTGGCCGACTCCTACTTCCGCGACCACAACGTTCGCGACAAGATCAACATCAATTTCAACACTGCCGGTGTCTCGATGTTTGCCGTCAAGAAGTATTCCGACGCTCTCGACCAGATGGCAGTGGAGCGCGACGTCACCAGAAACTACAAGTACAATCTGATAGAAGTCAACGGTGAGAAGAAAGAAGCGGTCTTTGAGACACCCGAGGGCAACAAGACCGTGCAATTCGACATGCTCCACGTCGTTCCACCGATGGGACCGATCCCAGAGGTAAAGAGCTCGCCACTCGCCGATCCAACCACCGGTTACGTCACCGTCAACAAAGAGACACTGCAACACACCAAATATCCAAATGTTTTCGCACTTGGCGACTGCAGCAATCTACCGACCTCCAAGACGGCGGCAGCCATCACCAAGCAGGCACCATGTCTCGTCGCCAATCTCATCAGTCACAAGAATGGACAGCCACTCGAGGCCAAGTACGACGGTTACACCTCATGTCCAATTACAACCAGTTACAAAGAGATCATGTTGGCCGAATTCAAATATGACAACGTCGTCGCAGAGTCATTCCCATTCGACCAATCAAAGCCATCGAGATTCGCAATGCTCCTCAAGAAACACGTTTTCCCAACTGCCTATTGGCATGGTGTACTCAATGGACGTTGGTTCGGTCCACGTGCTGTCTTTAACCCATACACTTGTGCAGATGTAAAACAACAATAAATCTTTCATATTTATAAACTAAAAAAACTGTAAAAGTATATTAATATTAATAATTTATATTATTTGGTAAAATATAAAGATTGATAGATGTTTACTTTTTTTCTAATTTTTTCAATTGGTGTTGAACAAATCATCATAAATATCAGAACTATTTTATATAGGGAATTTAATATTTTTTTTATTTAAACATTTGACATTTGGTAAATAATTGACAAAATGATATGTGTACCTAAGTTCAAATTTGTAATCTGTCAAATCATCTTTAAAACCTTTTTTCTAAATTAATCAAAGGTAGATTAGTATAAATATTGAAATACTAGTAGTTTATTTTTCAAATCAAATTTAATAGAAATATTAATTAATTAAATAAATAAAATGACTCTTATCAGTAAGAATATTATCTAAGAAATTTTAATTGTTGTAAATACTAATAATTCTCTTTCTTTTCTTTTCTATTAGAATCAATTTCAATGTTGGGTAACTCTTTCTCTGGTTTGGAAAACAACTCTAGCTCTGAGTTTGTTGAAACCTCTGGTCAATCATCGATTGACTCCGATAATCAAGAACAATGTTTTGGTTGGGGTAGAAGAAGAACTAACACAGTTATCTTTGGTGATGTTAATGTCTTCAGTGGTGGCTGTGGATGTGGTGGTCTTAGTTGTTTCTAAACACAAACAACAAAATATTTTTTTATTTATATCTATATTTTAAATATTATTATTTTTATTCTACTTTTCAATAAATTTACAACTTAAATTACATTAACCAGGGTTTAATTTTATTTATTTCTTTTTTTGGATTTTTTTTCGTTTGACCTGGTTGACTTGATTTTGCTTTGAAAAATTCAAACAAAAAACAAAAAAAGAAATCATGATAAATCTGAATGAACTCCAAATACTTGTTTTGTTTCGTTTTAGATATTAATTAATTAGTATTATTACTTACCAATAAGTTATTGTTTATATTCATTCAGTAAAGAAAATGTCAAATAGAATGTTTGGAGATGAAGTCGATGAGGAAGATGAACTTACTATGTTGGTTTGTCAGTGGTTAGACGAACGTGGTTACAAAGAGACTCTTGCATCGCTGGAACACAACAGTGGTAAAATCTATAACCCAGATCAAATCAAGATGGGTAGTCAATTGAACTACATCTATAATGAACATAAGGAATTACAAACATCCGCCGCATTCGCCGAAATGGCAATCGATGATGAAGATCAAGATTTGGTACGCGCTAAACAAACCATTCGACTAACAATTCATTTCAATTTAACTAATATAATATATTATTATATTTAATTATAAACAATAGAATGATATTGGTAATGGTAATTATCCAAAGGAATTGGAAGAACAATATTTTGAGATTCATAAGAGTAATATCTTGGCATGTAGATTCTTGAATTCACCAAGTAAATATCGACAGTAGCAAACAAGCAAACAAGCAACTCAAAACAACAATTACTCATCTTCTTATTTAAATATATATATATATATATATATAGATTGTAATATAATTGTTACAGGTTCAACCGATAAAACCATTAAGGTTACCGATTTCATTACACAAAAAGTGTTATATACATTCTCAGAGATATCACATGCACCATTCATTTCATTAGATTTCAGTCCAATTGACCCGTATGTTTAAGAATATATATGTGATCTATTCAAAAGAACCACAAATTATTAATGTATTTATTACTATTATTTATAATAGAGAATTACTTTTAGCTTCATCAGTTGATGGATCTACCTCTTTGCTGAGAATCAATAGTACTACTGGAGAGGGTGAAGTCGTACAACAGTTCAAAGATCACGTCAAGTATGTAGTAAGAGTAAGATGGAGTCCAAACGGAGATCGTTTCGCAACTTGTTCATACGATAAGACTTTGAAGTACTATCAAAGAGATCAACAAGATACCTCTAAATTCGTATTGGTCAATTCAATTGAATTCCCATTCTCCTTGGAATCGCTAATCTTTACACCAGTAAGTACAACAAACATCACATCAATGCTGTTAACATTGTTTATTGATATTGTTATTGTTGTTGCATCATCGTATTATTATAGGATTCAGAAAGAATTATTACAGCATGTAGAGAATCGAATTATATTCAATATGTTAGTTTTGCAGATGGTTCAATCGAGAAGTTCAATATGAATGCAAACGGTGACGATCATGTTAGTTTCTCAGCTATGGAGTTTGGTATCTCGCCAAACAAGAAGTATCTTTTGGTCTCTACCGATCGTAATCGTTTGATTCTCTTTAAGCTAGGTACCGATAAGCAACTTCGTAACTTCTATGGTGCATTCAACGATAATTTCTGTACTACAAGAAATACATTTGATGTTACTGGTCAATATATTTATTCAGTATGTTAACAATTTATGATCATAATAATAATAATATTAAAAGAAACATATTAACAATTATCGTTATTTTTATTAATCATCGATACTACTATAGACTTCACAAGATAATCAAATATATGTATGGGATGTATCAACTCAAAAAGTTGTATCTAAATTGAAACAACATACTTCATCAATTAGAGATCTATCAATTCACCCAACTTTGAATCTTTTAGCATCATGTTCTTTCGATAAATCTGTTTGTATTTGGAAAGCTTAATAATAATATTAGAGTAGAAATAACAATATTATAATAGATATAATACAATAAACATGTTGTTTACTAAAGAATATAAATGTTGTTGTAATTTATTGACCACTTGCGAATTTCTGTAATTTTTGTTGCATATTTCTATGCTCTCTCTTTTGTTTTGCAATCTTCTTGCTAAGCATATAAGCTGTGATTGCTGCGGCTATCAAGACAACCGACACAACAACAACAACGGTTGCGATCAACCACGCTTTACTCTTCTCTTTGGATTTGCATGTTACCTCTGAAGCACCGGTATCGATTAGCAATGAGAAGTCGGGATCTATAATACATTGTTGATCGCAATACGGTAGTGTCATTGAGATATATGCTTTGGTTGTATTGCTGACCGTAGTGATATTCAGCACTCTATTCTCGACAGCTACCGATCTCTTGTCTGCCATTGCAAAAGGAAGGAATCTACCATAGAATGCTTTGTCTCCGTAGGTTACTTTGACGAATTTCATATTGTCGGTGATCGAGTCTATACCAATGTCAGACACTGCTTCGTCTTCATCACCGCATTCACTCTTTTCTTTCTTTTCAGCTTCGAATTCACTCTCCATAATGACTCTGATAATGTTCAACTTGTCTTGGAAATTCCATTGTTTCAGTGCAATCATAAGCTTTAACGATTGAGCTTGATAGATGGTTGTGATACCTGCAAATTTAATAGATCTTTCCAGAGATGAATAATCGATGGTAGCTTCTATGGTCGTAGATTGTCCAGGACGTGATATCATATAGCTGTGAGTGGTCAGTGTACTATTGGAGGTGACCGAGTAATTCCATTGGTTTGTTATCACTTCATCGACTATTTCACCAAGTGGATCCAACTCTTGAACGGCAATAACATTGAATTTAAAGAGGAATCCAGTTGTTGTGACAACAGTAGGTGAAGGATAGTGGTCGTCTGGAAGCACAACAACACCACTGTCAATCTTTGATTCACAATAGAAACCGTTGTATCCATTGAAGCATTGACATCTGGCATGATAGCATCTACCGTTACTATTACACAAAGAATTAGCTCCACAATCATCAACTGGCGGGACTACGATTATATTATTAATATTAATATTTTTGAAACAAAATAGAGTGATTTATTATAATTTTTCAACTTACCAACATTTAAATTTCCAAAACCCTCTTGACCACTTCTAGTCACTGAAATATTATGAGTTGTAATCTCATAACCAGCACGTATACTACATATTAAAGCTGTAGCATTGAATGTAACTAAGCCACAAAAGTCACCATCAGTCAACACTCTAGCTTGTGGGAAATATGCATTCGTTCCAAAATTACCTACAATTGTAATATGACCACCATTATTTGTAATATTTGAAATTGATGTTATAATTAAATCTAAAAATAATATTATATTTAATTAAAATTGACTGTCATTTCCATATTTCCAAAACAAAAATAATAACATACCTAGTGAAGTCAAACTTGATATATTTTGAAGTTTAGATTGGATATCGAGTGAAATTTCTTTATCCAATGTGTAATTACTGATAATACAATTCATTTCCATTGAGCTATTAGATTGTAGTAAACACGGCTGTCGATCACCAAAAACAGTGAATGGATAATATGTATTTATGCTTCCCACCATCGTGATATAGGTGTCATTTGTATTCGGAATTAATTTAGAATGAGAATAAAAAATTAAGGACTAAAAAAAAAAATTTAAAGTTAAAACTATCTTTTTCAAGAATGTGATAATATACACTTACTTTCTGGTCCCCAAGTAATATTAAATGCATATTTGTCATTATATCCAACTGAAAAGTGAATGGTTGTTTCTCCATTTCTAGTTGGATTTCTAAATCTATTTAAATGAGATGGATTAATATTTAATCATGAACTAGCGTAATAATTACAACTTACTGAAATTCTTTATTTGGTATCATTACAGAAAGAGTCGGGTCTATATTATAACCCCATCCCAAGTTTTCTAATTGAAATGTTAGTTTTATTAATTGAAGATATTTTTAAATAAATACTTACCTCCCGTTATTTTTATTGGTTTATTCAAATCGACTAGTAATAGAATGAAATTGTTAACCATTAATTATTTTTATGATTTTATCAAATTGAGATTACTTACATAAACCAATTGGGTATATTAATTTATCTAATTTAATTGCTTTAAGAACCAATATTTTTGTAAATAGGATTATTTTTATTTAAAGATATAGAATACTTACGACATGTGTAATTTACCCAAGCGAAAAATACATCACGAGTAACCAAAAACTGGATTTCGTTTCCATAACATCTGAAACAATCTGGAAAATATTTTGTTTGCAACTTTCCGATTGGGAATATGTATTGGGTATAACAATTGGATTGAAATAAATTAGTTGTAACGTTTGTATAGATTGTATTACGTTCACCATCAGATATATAAATTGATGAAGGTTCTAAATCCCCAAAATCTCCAAAGAATCCAGTGAGATTATTTTGAAATAGATATCTTTACGCAAATATATAGAATGAATAAGTAAACAACTATTATCGATCTACTTTTAAGCTAAAAATATACTAACAAATCAAAACCTTTTTGAAACCATGAATGTTGAGGGATTGCACATTCCGCGCCAACAACTTTTCTAAACAATTCAAATTAGTTTATATTTTCTAACAATAAATAATAGTTTGCATACAGATATTTTATATTGGATACTTTTGAAACTGAAGAGTTTCCACTTTCCACTCCCCTAATATATATTATTGGTTAGAGACATTTAATTTAAATTAAAAAATAGTATTACATACAAAGATGTTAGATTAGGGAATATTGTATAGTCCGATATACTATGATATACTTGATAGAATTCACTATATAAAATAGTAGTAATTAATATTTTAAAATAAATAATAATAATAATTGATTTATATTACATCATTTCCAAATTAGGGTATTGAAGAAACTGAATATTTGAGTGTGATATTTTTCTGAAAAAATTTACTTTAGTATAATATTATATTATATTTAGGGAATAAAAAAGAAAGTTACATACAATGTTTTTAATGTCATGGTATCAAAAATAATGTTTTTTCTTCCATCTTTAAATTTTAAAGACCTATGATAATTGGTAAATATTTTTTGATAAAAAACAGTTTTCTAAATACTTACAAATATGAAATTTTTGGAAAGTTGCTACCTTCAATTCTAAAATCTGTCGCTGAAATATTCAAATTAACATTTTGAAAAGATCTTGGGGAGAAAGTTAGTCTTGAATAAATAGATATTTGGGGGTACAAGAAAACGTACAAAGTTTCAAGGACAGGATAGGACTTTGTAATATCAAAATTTATGACTGAATAACTACTTAAACCTTCGTTCAACTCGATACTCTTCAAAGTTGGAACAAAAAAACTAGAAGATATATTTTGGTTAAAATATGATGGATAAATTCGACTAAATGATAACTTTGAGTTAGTATTATAGGTCTATATTGGAAAATTGATAAACAAAGATACACTACAGACTCTCAAGTGGTAGATATTTTGGAAAGTCATTAGGAATCATTGGACAAATCTGGTTATTTATATCTACTGTTGTTAGATTAACATTCTTTTCATTATCAAGTAAGTTGAATATATTGTAGGAGGAATTCTTTTCGATATTGGTTTGAAAAGAAAATGATCGTAAATATGGGAAAATTAGTTTATCGATAACTGGTGGTTCTCCCTTGTCCACCGGGTTAAGTGGGTTTGAAATAGTACTATAAAGAGAAATAGAAGGTTGATTTATATAATACTTAATTGATATTCATTAAATTAACCTACATTTCAACTATAGTGTCTCTATTATCTTGCGATCGACACAGAATATCTTTAGAGATAATGAGGATACATCTTTTTCCATTAATAGACCAATCATTTATTTGATACTGTTGTTTTAGCCATAATAGAGAATTATCTAGATATTAATACTATATTAGTTGTTTATTTTTGTTTGTTTGTTTCTACTTTATAAATCATACATTCATCATCTGACATTGGATAAACTCTAGGAGGGGCTGAATTTGAACATGATAAAACACACAAAAATAAAAATACAAATATATTTTTTTTAGATCCCATTCCTTCATATAAGTTTGGAACTATTTGTAAATAATGTTCTGTGATGAATTGAGAGATCAATCATAAATCAAAAAATTGTCAAAGAAAAGTTCTACTGATTAAAAAATCTAGATTTCAAAAGAAAAATCTGATGCTATTTTTACAAAAAATTTAAACAATAATATCGATCGCAAAAATAAAAAACAAACTTTGAATATTTTAATTATATGTAAACTGATAATTTTTATTTGTTGTTTTATAAAATGTTGCAATTAGATGTAGAGGTATTTGTTGTAGGTTGTTTTTCTGGTGGGTTAGAAGTGTTTGTAGCTGAAGTGTTGTTAGCTGCTTTGATTATTTTCGGTCTCTCTTCTATTTCTTTCTTTTGTATGGTGGCCATAAACCAATTGAGTTGTGGTACCAATGTCTGATTGTTATCATAGATTTTAGCAGTGTAGTGACCACCAATCAATTTAGCATTGTGTTCTATTAGATTATTAACAATAATTACTTCAACCTCAACGAATCCAGTTGCAACATCGTTAGTCTCCACCAATGCCCACTCGGTATGGAAATCTTGTCCCGACCAACACGATTGGTGCTTATCATCACCGTACCATTTGCCATCGATCGAAAAAACGGTGAACACCGTAATCCAGCCCGATAGCCAGGTCGAGCCGGAACCACCACTTACATGATCGGCAATTCTATTCCACCAATTTAAATCCGGTTTCTTCTGAACAGACTCTATGAATTTATCCAAAACAGGAAGCAACATTGCACTCCACTTACTCATCAGCTTCTCTTTGCCAACATCAAACTCTACCAATCTTTTTGCCTTTTCTTTGAGTGATATCCAGTCCTCCTCAGAACCAAGAAGAGTTACCGATGGCAGTCCACAGTCAGTTTCATAGACGTAAGTAAAAAAGTTTTTGGCCGATGCCATCAAGCAGATTGCACCGACGATTCTATCGTCGTAGGTGGTAGTGGAGAACGATGGCATTGACCAATCTCTAATCGATGGATCCTTAATGTTCTTAGCAATTAGATTGGTCATTTCCAATGTCATTACATCGTAGGGTGCACTGAGTAATGTCGACTCAAACACAACTGTCAATTCTCGCTTGCCTTCAAAGTCAACGAGACGCGATCGAAGTCGTTCCGAATTGGCATTCAAATAGAATGAAAACTGTGTCATAATAGCAATCCATACATCGTCCGGTCGTAACACTAATCGTTGGTGTTGAGAATACGCAAGATAACAAGAACTTACAAATGAATTGCTACCGAGATAATATTGTTTTTCACTGTCGTCCGCATTGATACTGGATTGCAATGGTTGTAGATATGATCTATACATCGGTTGATCTAGATCATTGTTTCTATCTACTTGCTTTTCTTGTTTCAATGGTATATGTTTAGCTACATCGAATTCTCTCAATTGATTCTTATGAAGTGATGCATATTTTCCGGTAATGTCAAAAGATGTTTCTTGACAATCTATTTTACAATACTTTGACATTCTTTTATCTGTCCGTATTTTTTCTCTAACTTTAGATTAGTTGTTTTGAACAAAACTTTGATTTATAAATTTTTTAAATCTTTATTTTTTCCAAATCGAAAGAAATTGTTTGATTTTTTTCAAAATTAATCGATTCGTTTTTTTTTTTTTTTTAATTGTTTTCGATTTTATTTCTTTATTTATTTATATATATCTTTTTTGTTATCGTTGCTAAAATGGATAGCAATAATAATAACAATGATAATAGTGGTGGTGGAGTAAATAGAAAATGGACAGATGTAAATTACAAGTTTTGTGAGCAAAAAGAGAAAGAGGAGATCGCTGAAGATGCAATTCAAAAGGAGACCTCGTGGGAAGATGTTGATTTCGATCATATCAGAGCGCAGATGGCTGAACAGATGATTGCAGCTGAAACAGAAATACTTACAGATACAGATCGTCAGAAATATGAAGAGGGTGCAATGGATTTTTGGTAAGATTTATTATTATATATTAGGAAAATAACATACACTACAATCATTCAACCACTAACATTATTTGTTTGTTATATTTTATAATAGGGATAAATTCTATCATAGAAATCAAGAGAAATTCTTTAAAGATAGAACCTATCTACATTTGGAATATCCAGAGTTGAATCCATTGAACATCAACAGAGATCAAACAACTCATTTCTTTAATTTCATAAACTCACAAAACAGTACAACTACAACAACTACAACTACTACAACAACAACAACATCGGTTTCAACTGATAATAACAATACTACAGAAGTAGAAGAATCTACTTCAACTACTGCAACAAACTCTGAAAGTAACACTGCTGCCACTAACGAAGTGATAGATAAATGGTGGGAGAATATCCAAGAATTAAATAAAGAGACAGCACAGAAAGTTGTTATGGAAGTGGGTTGTGGTGCTGGAAACTCTGTTTGGCCACTCTTAAAGTTGAATCCAGAAAAGTATTTCTATGCATTCGATTTCTCACCACATGCTGTCAATCTTGTTAAAGTAAGTAATGCTGATAATAAATATAGATATATTTATGATTTCTCTAACCAACTTTATTATTTTACAGGCACATCCAAGTTATAATGAAAATAGAGTTACAGCATTCGTTTGTGATATTGCAAATGAACCGCTGCCAGAGAACGTTGCAGAGAATTCAGTGGATATTATTTTGTGTATTTTTGTTTTGTCGGCGATCTCCTTTGAGAAGATGAATCAGGTGTTATCGACACTCTACAAATCACTGAAGCCCGGTGGAATCATCTATGTTCGTGACTATGGACTTTACGATATGACTCAACTGAGATTCCTCTCAAAGAAGGGAAGAAAGATCGATCAAAACTTCTATTTGCGTTCCGATGGTACTCGTACCTATTTCTTCACCACCGAGGTGCTTTCACAACTCTTTACGGATGCAGGTTTCAACACTCTCGTTGCCAAGTACGACACCCGTGAACTTAGAAACAGAAAGAAGATGATTTCAATGTATCGTGTTTGGATTAGAGGAAAATATCAAAAACCACTTTTAGAATCAACTCAACAACAACAACAACAATAATAATAATTACACAAATAAATTATCTTATTGTTTGATTGATTAAGAAAAAAAAGGATGTTTTATTATTTGGTTGAGTGTATATAAAATGAAAGGATGTTCGTTGTTTTCATTTTTTTTCATATGTAGAAAATTGATGAAATTAATTTATTATTATTACTATTATTACTTTTTTAATATTACTAATTATTATATATATATTATTATTATTTTATTCCCACTTGAATTTCTTTGGCTTATCCTTTGGTTTGACAGCCAAGAAGATGGCGGAAATGATGGCCATGATGAAGAAAGCAATGATATAGACAACCCAGAACCACTTGAGAATTCTGATGTTACGAACGGCCGATTGGAACATACTGTTGATCGATGTAAGTGTTGCATACTGTGAAAAAGCCATTGTTGTAAATTGAGTTACACTGACACAACAAATCAAAATCAAACCAATATTGAAAAGGAATGCATTCATCATAGTACCTCCAACCCTATTATAATAGTAATAAGTGATAAATTGTTAATATTTGTTTGGAAATACTCTATCATTAAATAATCATAACAACTTACTTCATTGGATGAATTGGGAATAGGAAGAACAAACGAAGTCCAAATTTAAAGTTTCCTTTGACGACGCAGAACAAGAGGTAGAATGCATAGACACCGTATGTAATGGTACCCAAGAATCCCCAGGCGTTATCGAGTGAAATCATCATGTTGTTCAAGAATGGGAAGAATGGCTCGGGCTGTGTCCACATGTAGAGGATGTTCTGGAGTACCCAGGTGATAGAGAGTGCAGCAGCAATGAAACCAAGGAAGAACTGGACGTAGTAGAAGATGACCTTACCACCTTGACGTTGGTAGGAGATCTTCAAGTGCTCGTAGTCCTCCTCGAGCAAGAACACCGCAGCTCTGTAACGGTTGTAGTTACGACGATCCTTACGACCCATGATACCACCGGTCAACTTTGATTGAATCTCCTTACCGATGTCGACCAACTCTGTGGCACGCTCACCAATCTTTGACTTTCTCTCGAGGTACTTGTCGTAGGGAATTCTACGTGGACGATATCTAAAGTCGGAGATCATATCCATTGGGAGCGCGGCAACACCGATACCACCAAACAAAATGAACAACAACCAACCACCGAAAGATACCATCGTAATGATAAACAAGGCAATCGAGACACGGAACATTAGGAACTCTGTTCCCGAACGAACCTCATTGAGAATACGACCGCCAGTGGCGGCATCAGAGTATTCTGCCCATTTGTCGACTGGCAAACTGGGATTGGCTGCCTGAGTTGGCAGTGCTTCCGCTGGAAGACCCGGTGCACCCGACGATGCCAAGTAGAACGACCACCATGCCTGTTGGTATGCAACTGTCGCAGTTGCGTCGGGCTTGGTGGCAAAGAAATTAGGATCCTTGGGGATCAAGGGATTCGATACGACGATCGTTGGAATCTCGGCAATTCCAATCAAAATCCAAAGAATACCTGTGAGTGCTACGAAAACAAATAGAATTACAATGGTTCCCTTGATGGCACTAACAAATTGATTGCCACCATCGGCTTCGTCCGACTCGTAGAAGAACATGGCGAAAGGCACAATAACAATGGCGAACACAGCAATCGCAATATAGACAACGATCCACAGTGTCTCCATTGGGAAACCTCCCTCACCACCTTTGTTTGCTACGTCCAGAGGTAACATTAAAATACTTATAGAAGCTAAACCTATACCTAGAATCTAATAACGATTTGATTATCAAAATTGTAAATATCACATCAAATTTTTTCTTTTGTTTCTTGTTTTTCTTTGTTTTTTTTTACATACAACTATAATCTTTGGGAAATATGCTACATTCTTGTCGTCTGGATGTTGGAAGTAAACAATGAGATAAAGACTTGCCAACATAATAAGTACGGTAATCGCAACACATACTATAATCATAAAAATGTTGACCATCTTTTTATTTTATATTAATTTTTGATTATCAAAATCAAAAATACCGATACTACTACTACTAATTTATATATTAACTTGTTTTTTTTTAAAAAACTAAATAAACTAAATTACAAATAAAATATATAAATATTGACTGTTTTTAGATCTAAAAACAAACAAATAACTAAATAAATAAGAAAAAGATACAAATATATAAATTAACAAATAATTGTTAAAAAAGATTGATTTAAAGATTGTTTTTTTTTGTAAGGAAAAAGGTGTATGAATTTAAACCTGGGAATGAAATAGTGGTGTGTGTGGTAATATTTTTTTGATTTTAATTTTTTTTTTAAAAAGTCGTTCCAACCGTTTTTATAATTGTGACACAAAGTAATAAAAAATATTTTAGTGATAATAATAAAAAAAAAAGAAAAAAAAAGATATATATATAATAGATAAATAAATAAAAAAATTAAAAATCAAATTGCAAAAGACTGTTTCTGTTTAGTTGAATATATATCTAAGGCAAAAATATAAACCAAAAAAGAATTTAAACCAAAAAAAAAAGAACAAACAAACTTTTTAGTGAAAAATTTTCAATGAATTAAAAAGAGAGTTAAAACGTTGCAAAAATTTTGATCAAATTAATTTGTAAATGATAATGAAGACGAACTAATAAGAGAATTACAGAATCACATAAGATTTCATTAGTATTAAGAAAAAAAATATAGTCATTGCTCTAACAGATATTATTAATTAATACTAAAATTTGATAGTACTATCAAATTTTATTAATCAAAGTTATTAGTTTTCAAAATTTTAATTAAAGCATACATAATATTTAAATAATTATGTATGATTGGTTAAAAAAAACAAAATAATGATCAATTATTGTTTACTATTTTTATTATAATTTTTTTATAATAAAATTAATATAGAAAATGGTTTACTTTTGATCATTAAGAGTTGAAAAATATGGTGTATCAACTTGATGGTGTTTTATTTATTTTACTTTGACTACAACCCCAACAGTCAAAAAACACATATTTGCAACAGTGGTTTGGTAAATAATTTCCATTAAACTATTAAAAATAATCGAAATTTATAAATAGATTCAATCAATATTAAATAATCATATATCAAATCAATATTGTTTCCGCATTCTATTGTTGATTACTATTGATTTTATTATATTCTTGATGAAAGAATACAAATCAAGCGTTATGATTGGTTAGGATAGTTTTGGATATATCTAAGAAAATCAATATTTGAATTTAAGCAAATCGTAATATATAAAATATAGAGTTGTATTGTTTGTAAGGTAAAATACAATTGTATTGGTTAGATTTGAAACAACTAAAGAGAGTGAATAATGATGGATGATACTCCAATCCAACTATAAATATGATCAAATTTCTTAATGCTTTATTATAATTTTCATTCTTAAGAATTTAAAAGATATAAATATAAATTTATCTATTCTTATTAGTATTATATTGTATCCAATCTAAAACCTAGTGTTTTTTGACATACAAAACCAATATCCCATTCTTAAAAACGATTCTAAATTTCTAAAAAACAAAAATGTTAATCAATTGTTTATCCAATTTAATTTCTCAATCATCTACTGGTTCCCTCTCTGTCTCTAGAGTCTCGCACTCCAGTGGTAGTATCCTAAGTCAATCTGCCAATCAAACAACAATCTATCCAGAGAAAGATAAATTGGTTGCCAATGGTAATGTCAGTAACGCTAGAATCTTCCCAATTAACTAATAGTTTTACAATTCCAAACTCTACTATTAATTAATACTCACTCTAATTGACTCCGATTCAACAACAACAATCATTGTAATGTAAATAAATAAATCTGCTCTGTCTTTTTTTTTTTTCTATAAAAATAAAATAATATTGATTTAAAATGAAATATATATATTAAAATGATATATCTCTAATATCTTTTATATAAATGATTATAATACAGTCTTTTTGGATTTTAAAAATAAGACTAAGGTTCATATTTTAAAAGGTTAGAGAGGTAACTGGCAAATGGCACAAGAGTCTGAATGAGAATCTGAGAGAAATCATCCACTTCGACAATTGGTGATAGGAAATTATCGACTTGATTAAAGAATGCATCGTATGTCTGATAGTCTTTAGATTTCTTCTTTAGTTCTAAAAGTCCTTCAACCGTGGAATTCAACAATTGTTCATCATCCTTTGATTTCTATATTTCATAATTAATTAGTAAATGTAAATATGTTTTTTTTGCAAAGATATTTAAAATATAACTTACACCTTGTTGTTGAATGATTGATCTAATTAAGAAAATATAACATGCTCTAGATGCCAAATGTGTCTGTGGAATGACAGTCTTGTTCTTTGAGAATAACGATGTAATTGGATTGGTATTTCCAAAGAATGACTGAATCCATGATTTAACAATATTGATCTTTTTTTAAAAAAGAATGTATAATATTAGTATTTAGTAGTAGTTTTCAAATAAATTTAATTGAATTGCTTTTTTCTTACCTTTTGTAAAGTTGCTTTATCTTTTAAGTTAATATCGTTGGTTCTAATCAATTTGATGATTAAAATCCAAATGATCCATAGTTCGTACTCACGATTGTTTTGGAATGAGATGTTGGTGATGAGATCGAGGATATGATGATGATCCAGAGTCTTTTGTTGTAGTTGCTGGAGAATCACAATGTAGAGAGTGACCGGACAATTGTTTTGGATGGATTTGAGAATGACAGAGTCGGCATCGGTGAATACCAAGTACTTGTTGATCAGTGTCGATACTTGGATGGTGTCGTCCGAGAGCAGCGAGTGTAGCACTGCCTCTATCACCAGACAAAAGTGACTGCCTTTCAGTGCGATATGCGTGACCGGCATGATCTGTAGACAAAGATTCAGTGAGAGTGTCGAACAGAAGTTCAATATCAAGTTTTGAACTTTGATGTTGAGATCCTTCGAGAGCGTGTCTTGTTGATAGAGGTCAGTGGCGAACGACAGTGATTTACAGATGATCGGTTTCGATTTCGGATCGTAGTCCAAGCAGGACATGGCAATCTTGAGGATATTCTTCATTCTCTGTTGTGTTCCCGATTGCTCTTGGTCTTTGGCCGCCTTGTTCTCGGCGAGCGAACGGATGAGTGGCAGCATGAGATTCTGCACCAGGTAGAGCTGTTGTTGATGTGGAATGTACCAGTATTTTCCAGCTTGGTTGGTGGCATTGAAGTAGAGCAGTGCACGCATCTCTAGAGCGAATGCCATCGCCAAATTGTAGTTGTCCAGGAAGAGTGTTGTGTCTTTCAGTAAGGTGAGTGCTTCAATGATCTGAGTGGATGGATTGCGTTTCAGTGAACTACAAGTGATGACATTCGTCAGTGCAAGACCGTCAAAGATAACGGTTGCATCTTGGAGATCGCCACACTTGTACCAATCGATCGAATTATCACCGCCGAGTGCCAGTCCCAAGTCTGGCGCGGCAATAGAGGAACCATTCAAAATGGAAATATACATACAGAGCTTCAGGTAGTGCAGTCCGACGTGGTCAGGTATCTTTGCGATCGATCGCAACAATCCCCAATCGAGAATGGAGAACAGTGCAACGACAATCTCACCGTACTCGGTCTGACAGATGACATTACACATCTGCTCGAGAATATCGTTTGGCTGCACGTGGAAAGTGGCAGTCTCAAGATGTCCCTCCGCCACCATATTGCCCATCAACTCAACGAGCTCTTGAATGTGGCGATTCTTCTTGGCTTCGTCAGTCTTTCTGTACTTGTCGAGCAGCGGGATGTAACCGTAGAAGAACACTTCCCAAGCCATGTTAATACTTCTGGGAACGAGCTTGATTAGATCGATAAAGAACTGAGTGGTACGCGCAAACTCAGAGTCACTCAACAAAACGTTGCGATCGTTGGGACGAATCGATTGAATGTAGATCAAACGAATCTTTGTGAGTAGCGACTGAATGAATTGCTTCGAGAGGAACTCATAGAATATCAGGTTCGACAGCAGGAACAGCGAGCTCGGTGACTTTACATCGGAGATCTTCTCGACCAGCGTTTGGATGATTAGATTCTGTTGTTCCGGTTTGATTGACTTTACGAATTCGTAAAACTGTCGGGACTTGCCATAGACACGCTCCATTAGCTCCAACGAAGCAAAGTCTTTCACCAGCGCCAGTGTCACATTGATCAAGTAGCTGGAATCAACGAATAGCAGTGCGTTGATAATAATAGCGGTTGGTTCGATAGCGTTGGTTTCCAACATCGTCGGTAGCAATTGGAAGAGTCGTTCTTTTCCACCGGGCATATGAGTGATCTGTTGAATCTTGGTGTCGATCTTGAACGATTCGAAAATATCACGCTTCTGTTGGTTAGAGATTCTCGGGCTGGTTATACTGAGTTCGAGATAATCGAGGTATTTCGTCATGTCATTGACAAGCGAGGGTGAGAACAGTCTGACAAACAGTGAGTAGTCGGTTTTCGGTGCGTTGTCCGATGCAATTCCTTGTGGGAGGAATGTGTTGAGAAGGAATGTTTGGTTGGAAGGATCCTTATCCAAGATGTCCTTACCGATGCGATAGGCAACCTCACTGAGAGTATTGATCACTGTCTCTGTGATGGAATCAGAGTGATCCGAGGAGATCTGGACGAGAAGTGCAAAGAGATCTTCCTTCTGGAAGTAGAGGTCGTGCAGACGACGATCCTCCAGGACCAGTGTAAGCACAGCCAATTGATAGACACGCTCAAACAAGTTGTAAAAGTGTTCGTTGAACGACTTTCTGTTGTCTTTGATCATCGATGACGATTGGGCATTCGGTTGTGAACTCTTGGTTTCCACACTGACGGTGACACCGAGACAGCTGGGATTCGAGCACTTCAAGATCGCGTTGTTTCTCGTCAGTTTCGTGTTGTGTAGACTCTGACTGAGTTCCGAGAATACCTTGTCGTCGTGCAAGATGTTCTGAGACAATCGCTTGCTATGACCGAGATACAGCTTCAAATCGTTGAACAACTTGATTGATTCAACAACCGTTGATTTCAAAATGGATTGTGCAGCTTCATTGAAGATATCCTCGAAATTCTGATATTTCTTTTCCTCGGCGTTGAAACTCTCGGCATCTCGCTTTGGAATCAAGAGTTGATTGACCAACAGATGTGAATTGATGTCCTGCGACAAGCTGTTAAGCCAATTTCTCTGGTTGGTTTCATAGAATACTTTGTCTTCGTTCTTATTGAATATCCAGAGTGCCGAGTTGCTAAACAGTTTCCAGAGTTCCTGGTTTTCAACGCTGACGATTCGCCCGTTGTTGGGCAGTATGCTCTCTTTGTTCCAAGTGGTGAACGTCTCGTAGACACGACGAATCGGTGGAAGCATCGGTCCTTTGCTGGTGTAGATCGACTGGTAGATGTCATTCTTGATGTCTTGGCTGAGTGGATCCACCTGCAGAGTAATGAGAGAATCGAAATAGATCATCCAGAAGTACTCCCAGAACAACAGTGAGAGCGCATCGTTACGTAGCTCCACAGCCAACTCACGGAAGAACATCAACGTTTCCTTTGGTTTATACTTTTTGAATTTACACCAAGTGATAGCCAGGAAATAGCCGATCCAAGGTCTTCTAAGAATCAACTTCTTAATGGCACCGCTACTGAATCCACCAATAACCGACTCCAACTGCACTGGAATATCAGCACCATAGTTCTTCAAATAAGAGCCATTACATAAATGATTCAAAATTGCCATATTCTCTTCATCTTGAATCTAGCATGTTATAAAGTTTAGTATACTAATCGATTGATTTCTCAAACTAGCTTTTTGAATATATACTTACATTGTGTTTTAATAAATGTATCCAATGTGATAAAAGTTGAGGATGACAATCGAGCGGTTGAGTGAACCACGGTTTGATAAAGCTGAGGAGAATGTTCAAGTTGGTTGAATATTGTTGTCGGTTTTGTGTTACATTTTGATAGAGTATGATTAGTTCACGATCAAACTCGACCATTCGATCACGTAGGATGTATACGAGGTAGCACAAGATCGATGAAAGCATCTCAAAGTTGCTGGGTGGCAACGAGCGAATCTTTGTGAGGTGCTCAAAGACACTCTGTTGCAGATTCGCTGGGTTACTATAGGCCACGTTCAATCCCAACATGATTTGAATGTAGACAAACATGTTGTTGTCACTCCAGTGGTAGATGTTTCTGGGGTTGATCGAGAGCAGTGCATTCATCATCGGTTTATTGAGTTCTTTGCACTGCAGAATTCTCGAGTGATTGATAAAGAATGCAATCCAGTTGTTTCCAAGGTATTTGCGTGCGCCAATCAAGATGAGAATCGTCTTGAGTTTGGCGAGTGGCGTCACTTTCTCCCAGTTGACATTGAGCAGAATCTTAAAGACGATCGACGATGCGTGTTGCATGTGTGACTGCGCAATCTCGTATTGCGGCGGGTCGATTACAAATTGCTGGATAATCATTTGATGTTGGTTACAGAATTCGACGTCGTCGATAATCGGGAGAAGTCGCTGGCACAGAACGAAACCAAGCCATGAGATACCGTCGCCACTCATGTCCCAAAAGTAGAGTGGCGAGTTGGAGTGCGGTTCAATGAACGATGTGAACGACTCCAAATCGATATAGAGCAGGTGCTGTGAGATATTATACATGAAGCGATTGACGAGGTGTGGCATCGTTTGGAGCAGCACAAAGATGTGAGTGTACAGCTCGGAGCGGAACGACTGGAACAGCTGTGGATTCAAATTGGTTGGTGGTTTGAAAATGAATGCAAAAAAGAACATTTCGTCGAGGATCAGTCGCGACAAATGGAAAATGGTGCCACCATCGAGGAGCAGCGCACTGATGTTGGACGACGACGATTGAGCGATACGTCGGAGTGCCAACAGCTGTGGGAATTTCAGTCCGTTTATATTGCTGTTGCTAATGGCTGGATCCAACTCGTAGATACCACCGATGATATACTGATAGGAGAACAGCGTGTGTACGAATTGATAGCGATTGTTATACTTGATATTCTCAGTCTGCTTGCTAAACTCTTGCGGTAGAATAGTGAGTTGATAGATATCCAAAAACAGACTGGTCAAACAGGTCTGACTCATTCCACCCCAATTGAAAAGCTGTAGCAAAGTACATGATATCAGTTGAGATGGCCACAACGTCTTGAATAACAATGTAATACAACGATCTATTTCAGCTGGGAAATAGAAACTAATTAACTATATATATAGTTATAAATGTATATATGCAATTAGAATGGTTTAGATATGTATGAAATGGAAACAACTTACACAAACAATTTTACCGATGGTCAGCGCTAGTTTTGTCATTTTCAATTGGATTGAAAGTTCCAAACCCTTTTGCAGTGGAAACAGTATCTTTTCTTGGATATTGAGATGACGGTAGTTGATAAGATTCGAAAAGTTGAAGAAATCGAGTTGGAGCAATAAGTTTACATAGATGTCCTCCTGGAGGTAGTTGATAGAGTTGGCTTGTCCAGCCATCAGCTCATCGACATGGAACAACTTCAACAGCCATTCACGCTGGAAGATATCCTCAAACGTTGGATGTATCATAGTGTATCCCCAAATCAAGAATTCCTCGTTGAAATTAAAAGTGATCTGTCTATTCAACGTCATCAATATTCTATATCCAACTTCCAGTTCATCCTCACTACTTGGTAACGCAATACTTCCACTCAACAAATTGCTGCTGCTATTGTTATTCAAACCTGGTTTGTTGAATCTTGATGATGCTGAACTATGTTGTTGAGAGTCACGTTCATCATAGAAATCTATATCAACAATTGATTTTTCAAAGCTATTATTATTATGTTGTTGTTGTTGTTGACTGTTATTGCTGTTGTTATTGGTAATATTAATATCGTTGTTGAGATTGGCATACTTGGAAACAAGGGAGGGAGGAACATCTCCCAAGAGAGCTACCAATCGATTGTACAGATGAAGAAGAATGTTTATGACGGCTTGAGGTGGTTTCGAGTTCATGTATGCCATCGCCAGTCGATTCAACTCAATGGCAATGACAGCTGGCGAGTCACTCCCGGACGCGGCAATGTTCGAGTAGATCGAAACAGCGAGTCGCAACTCGTTCAGCGTCTGCTGGAACAGACTACCAATGAATTGTGTCGTGTTGTAAAAGTGATTCTGAGCGAGTAGTGTTTCCAGCTGTTTCGAAGCCTGCGTGTTCAACTTGCTAACCTGGCTTCTAAAGGTCTGAGTACAGAGTTGGCCGTCTGGACAGTGGTCACTGACGGTGGTCGGCTCGTCAACGACCATCCACAACTGACGATACAACGTTCTAATGGAGTTTTCATTGATGAATTTCTCCTCCTGTGTTTCTTGGTGCAACATCGTCGTCATCTTTAGATTATCGATAAAAGAATCCATTGAAACATTATCGTACTTCAACGGAGCAATCAAATCCTTCTTTGACAACTTTGGTACCAAGATAGGTGATTTATCAATTGATAACTGATCATCATCATCATCTCCCATAGCCGATGAAAATGGATCTAAATCATGACTAATATTTATCTTATTATTTTTGTTGGAATTGGTTGAATTGGATGATGATTGTGTTTGTAATACTGGTGATATTGATGATTGTTGTTGTTGTTGTTGTTGTTGTGATGTTGCTGTTGTTGGCGATGTTACTGTTGTTGTTGTTGTTGTTGCTGTTGCTGTTCCACTGCTACTGCTTCTCATTTGTTGTAAATCAGATGGTCTGTTTCCATGTAGGAAGAGTTGTTCGAATTCATCGGGATGGGGTGTCTGGTTGCTAAAGAGATCGATACTGTCAAACATATCCTCAATCGATTGTTGTTGAGTGATCAGTGGTGTGCGTTGATTCTCATCGATCGGCAATCTTTCAATGGCAATCTCCTCTTCCTCATCTTCATCCTTAAGAAATGGATTTGTACTTATTTTGTTTGATTTCGATTTTGTTGTTGGTGATTTAGGTGTTGGTGAAGATGGTGAAGATGATGTTGTTGTAGTAGTTGTAGTAGTGGTTGTTGTTGAATTAGAATTCGATGAAGATGATGTTGCTGATGCACTATTTGTGTTGTTAGTTGCCGGTTTACCATATGGATCAAACTCTACCAATTCGAAATCGAATCTATTGTTTGCATTGCTACCACCACTACCACTTCCACCACCACTCGAGCCAACATCGCCATCACCATTTATACTTAATCTATTAAAACTATTACTTATTCCATTGTTATTGTTATTGTTGTTGTTACTGTTATTATTGCTATTACTACCTATAGTATTCCTTAGGAAATTCATTTATTAACACACCCACCTTCTATATGAACACACGCACACACTAATTTAGTAATATAAAAACAATTCTATATTCTATATATATAATCTATTTAATCTATCTATCGAGTTTCTATTCAAATCTAAAGATTTCTATGAAAAGAAAATATTGAATAAAATATGTTAAATTTTTTTTGAGACTTATATTTTTATTGTTATTTGTATTTTTTTTTTCTTAGTTGTTAGTTGGTTGGTTGTTTGTTAGGTTGTGTGTTGTTCAAAATGTGTGTCAAAATGTAAGTTGTTGCTTGTTAATATTATTTTAATTCTGGGGTTAATATTTGCAAGGAATTGTTGGCACTCAAAAAAATTATTAAATAATTAATAAAATTAAAAATGATTTTTCATATTTTTTTTTGAAAGTTTTTGATTTGTTATGCATTGTAAAAAGTAAGTAAGGACCTACCTAACTCTCAGATCACTAAGAATTCTTTAATTGGAAAATTAATCTTACTTTTGTTTTAATAATTATAATCAGAGATTGATTGATTAGATTGATTTTATAATCGGCAGTCAGTCTTGTCAGTCATCTCATCTGTTGTTGTCAGAAAAGTAAAATCTAAGTTTGTTATTTATATATTTATACTATATTCTATTAGATATGTTAGCTAGTTAGTTAGTTTGTTTGTTAAGCGAAGAGCGAGGTAAATGATTAGGCTTGATTTTGTAGTTTAAACATTTCGAAAAATTCTGTACAGATTTCGAAACAAGTTGGTGCATTTGACAGCCCATATGGCAACATCATTTTAGATAAAATCACGAATATTCCTAGATGGTATCCGGAGTACTTTTTTGGGTGTTTATGACTATCTTATTGAACTCCTCCGATACCAATAGTCAATCTTTATCAACTCGTAGAGTAATAAACAATTTTAATTTATTAATCTTTTATTTTTAGTTTAGAGTATGATTTAGGGATGTATTGATGTTTCAATGTTGTTGTCGTTGTTGTCGATGTTGTTGTTATTTTTGATTGTTTTAAATTTGTTGGAGTTGTGTTGTGAAATTAGATAGAATTGTGTAAACGTTGAGACTAACAAGACCGTCATGAGAATCGGTATGATTACATAGAGTGTGAGATGACCGAATGTAAAGAAGGAGACCGCTGTGCACAGAGATTGGAGGAAACGTGTAACTGAGTACTCTGAGATGTTATCGGTTGGATAGATCGTTGCGATTATGGCAAAGATATAGATGTTCTGAAGTGAATCGAACGCACCGTTCAACGTCGATGCAGCGTAGAAGAGGAATACACGCTGCGAGTAGTTACCGAGTGCACAGAACAGCAACGACGCTGGCAGAATTAACAACATTGCGACAACCAGTATTTTCTTACCGAGACGATCGTGTACCACTCCCCAAATCGAGGAACCAACCACCGAAGCAACACCAAACATCACCATAACAAATCCAGTTTGTTCCAATCCAACTAATTTCGGAATGACACTAAAGAAATATCCTTGACTATATTTATTATTATTGGAATTTTATTCATTAGTTTAGTTTTGTTTAGTTTGAAATATATTATTACTTAGTTGTTACTTACGTTAAACCTTGTAAAATTAAAAGTGGAAATAGAATTTGAATTGGTCTGTCTTTGAAACAAGAGAATACATTGATAAGAGTTACTTTGATACTTAGTACTGGTTCTTTTACTTTTGAGGGTATATTTCGAACCAATCCAACTAAAATTACACCGAGTAATGCAACCGATCCGAAAATAACCAGCACAACGGTAATGGGAACACCACTACTATTTAAGATACCAGACATTCCATTACCTGAAATACCACCACATGTATAAATACTATTAAACTGGAAATATATAAAGAGGAATTTCATTAATAAGTCACAGTTATTATTAATAACAATTAATTATTACATTTCCAAAAAAAAAAAACACTTACAATCGATGAATATTTTCCAAGTTCTTTTTCATTCTTTGCTGCTCTACTAATATAAGCCTTTAAGATTGACAATAATAAAATAATTAGAAAAAGATGTTTGACATTTGTTTGTTTTGTTTTCATTTCTATTCTTTTCTTTTCTTACAGGTTGACTTGTCCATAATATAGAGGCAGCAGTTCCAACTAAAATCGATGCTGGAAAATATAAAAAAGAGATTTTAGGAATACTGCAATAACAAAAAACAGAATAGAAAAATCCAGCTATAAACAATGATTTACTTTTGAAATGATGATGATGATGATATTGAAATAATATTAATAACTAAAAGATCAACCTAAATAACAAGTTTAAATAAATTGATACTCTACACTAATCCAACTTTTTTACAAAAAACAGGTGATATAAAACATCCGATTGCAAAGAAGAAATATACCAGTCCGAGTCCAATCGTTCCATCCTTTGGATGAATTACACTCATTAGATTTTGAGTTGGTGAAACTATAAATCAAATCGAACGAACGAAAAGAAATTAGAATAAATAAGTTATTGTGGAAAATAGATTGATACATACATCCAAAGAAAATAAATAGAAAACCAACTGCAAGATGTACTGTATATTTAACTTCTTTCTCTATAGAGTTGAATATCTTTACAATGAAAAACGAAGAATTTGACGATCGCTGATTAGCACCATCGACATCACCGTTCTCCTTGAGATCCAACTCCTCCATCTCCAAATCATTATTGTTTTGGAATGATTGTGTATGATCTGTACTCTCTGATTGTATAATACGTAGAGTTTCATCATTGTGGTCGTCTTGACTTGATACTAATATAACTTGATCTTGTTTGTGATGTTGATGATGATGAGGATGATCATGATCACTCTCTAACTCTTCATTTCCTTGATCAATACTACTGATATCATCTTCAATAACAATCATATTAAGTTTTTTTAAGATTAGTATTAACCAATTTCTATAAATATAATATTTATAAATAAATGTAATGATATATATATATATAAATAAAATGTAGTGATAAGAAATAATAATTAATGATGATTAATGATGATGATGATGAATGATTATTGCTAGTACTAACTACTACTATGATAAAAAGAGTAAGAGTTGTAATTTAAATCATTGAGTGAAATAGTGGGGAGTAACAATACAATTTAATTGGTGGTATAAAATCCAAAAGACACCTTATTTTTGAAACATTGTGGGGTTGATGGGGGTGATAGAATAAATTTTAATGAATATCATGATATCTTTGGGATATGGCATTTGGAATGACTTTTCAACTGACCCAGGTCAAAGATTATATCATATGACCTCAACTATTTGGTCGAGAAAACTAATTTTCTTTTTTTTATTTATTTTTGATTCATTTTTAGATTGTTTCAAATCTTCTTACTTTCGGTTCGGAAACAACATTTTATAATATCTATATAATATCGAGAAATGATCTTAAAAAAAATATCGAATAAATAAACAATTGTCGAATGTATTATACATTGCAATGAAAAATATTATTCATATTAATTACATTACAACATGTAATTTTTGTTATTTTTTTTTTCTTCTTTTTTTTTTTTTTAATTTTTTTTTTGTGATTAATTTGTTTATTTTGTTTTGTTAGATATATTATATATTATAATAAATTAAATTGTTTTGATTGTTTTGTTTTAGTTTTAATATTATTGTTTTATTATTATTACTGGTTGTTAATTTTTTTTTTTTTTTTTGGTTTTTTTCGGATTGTAAACTAACTAACTTTTAAAAAGGAAAGGTCCTGTGCGCTCAACTCGATGATAAAGTCTGTTGATCTACGTTGGCACTGCTGATGACAACATCTATCTGTGACAATGAATTCAAAGTTGGTTGTTGTGTTGTTGTTGATGTTGTCTCCAATGGTTGTGATTGTTCTTGTGGTGAAGATTCATTTGACTGAGTTTCCTGTTGTTGTTGTTGTTCTTGTTGTGATTGTATTTGTATTGGTGATTGATTCTTTACATCATTATTATAATTATTCTCATCAATGACTTTACAGACTATTGACGTAGATACATTCAATGGAGCAATTGCTTCATTGTGAAAACTATTATTATCTATACAGTTATTTTCTACATAGTTATTTGTTGTTGTTGGTGGTGGTGTTGGTGTTGTTGTGTTTAAAGGTGTAGGTGTTTGTGTAGGTGTTTGTGTAGGTGTTTGATTTACAAAATTTTCTTTTGATTCTATACTATTATTACTATTATTATCCAAAGCATTATTATTACAATTAATATTATTACAATTACTATTATCTACTTTTAAAATTTCATTATTATTAATACTACTATTATTATCTATATTATTGTTATTATTATTATTATTATTATTTGATTGTTCTAAAGATGGTGGTGATATTTGTTGCTGTTGATCTGTAGATGTGGTTGTTGATTGTTGTTGTTGTTGTTGTGTTGTTGTTGTTGTTGATGTTGCTGTTGCTGAAGGTGTTGTTGTAATGACTTTGGTGGCTGTACTTGTTGGACTGGTGGTGGATGCCAGTGGTTTAGATGTTTTCGTTCTGATCAACTCCCATTCGTCGCGATTCTCTTCGTAATGTTTCTTGATGGTGTGAAGTTCGGCAAGGATTTGCGAGGTGTTGGGTCGCACGGTTGGATCCTGGTCCCAGCACTGGCTGATAAGCGATTTGATTGGCTCGGGACAAGACTCGATGAGTTTGGGTCGCACCTTGTTCTTTGAGGTCATGATGATGATCTGAATGTCCATCGATATCGGATAGTCGTGGAACGGACGTTGATAGTTGCCGGTGATGCAACGCTGCGCCAACTCCCACATGATGACACCGAGCGAGTAGACATCGGAGCGTGTGTTGAAGAGCATTCCGTCGTAGATCTCTGGCGCTGTGTATGCCATGGTGCCACGCAGCATTCCGAGAGTGCTGACGTTGGTCATGGTCATGGTTCGCGTCAATCCAAAGTCGCAGAGCTTGGCGTTGTAGTCGGACGACAGCAGGATGTTCAGTGTCTTCAGATCACGATGAACCATTGGCGGATTCATCATGTGCAGGTAGTGTACTCCCTCGACGACCTGAATCATCCAGCGAATCCACTTGTCCCACTCGAAATCAAAGCTGGTATTCAGCACTTTGTGTAGCGTGCCACGACTGCAGTATTCGACGACCATCGAGAGCTGACTGTCTTCAATGCACGATCCATAGAATGAAATGAGATGCGGTGACTTTATTGTGCTGAGAATGTCGCATTCCTTACGGAATCCCTGTATCTGCTCGGGTGTCATGTTGCCACGGAGTGTCTTGATCGCCACGTACTTGTCAAGATAACGACCTTTGTAGACTTTTGAGTAGGTTCCAGAACCGATTCGTTTGATATACTCGAGATCCTGTGTGGGGATGAGATGTGCCCATCCCATTAGTTCGGAGACGTCCAACTCGGAGGAGTCATCGTCGTCGCTGTCGTCGTACTTGTCGTGGTCGCCATTGCTGTAGTCGTTGAACTCTGTGGAGAGTGGCGACGGTCCAACACCGCCACCCTGCTGGTTGGCCAGTTGTGACTTGGAGTGTGGCGAGCTCGGCAACACCTGCAGGAAGATCGGAATGGAGCGACGCTTCCAGCTGTCGTCCGAGGGAGATCGCAAGCTGATAGCGTCGGTACTACGACGCCATTCACTGGGAATAACATTGTGTTGTTGTGAGCTGTCTGCGATCTGCTTGGAGAGACGCTTGTTCAGCGGTTTCTGATAGGTCTCCTTCACCGTGAAGAACGTCTGTGAGGGATCTTCCCATGTGTCTTTGACGTCGATGATCAGCTCGTCCTCACCGAGCATTCTTTCGATTTTACTGCCATTCGACTGCACCGGCAACACCAGGAACACCGAGATCGAGTTGGGTGGCAACTGGAGTTTTTGCTCCACAGAGATTCCGACGTCACGCGCCGTTGTCTCCTTGACGAGCGCCAGCGTGAAGAAACGACCGCCACCATCGATATTATTCGACAGTCCACCAATGGCGTTGAACTCTCCAAAGTAGAATCGCATCAGTCTCATCACATCCTTTGAGTTGTCCTGTTGCATCGACAATCGATTGCTGTTTCTCTTGCTCGAGTCGGCGAGCGATCCTTTCTTGGCAAAGGGGGACGGACTTGCCGGTCTACCCATTCCTCCACTTCCACTTAAACTATTATTACCATTCATTCCATTGTTATTATTATTATTATTATTACTATTGTTAATGACTGCAGCTGACAATAATGAATTACTACTATTACTACTGCTGTTGGTTATACTGATACCAACAATGCTATTGTTGTTGCTTGTTGGTGTGGGTGAGATCGGTGGTAATACCGATCCATTCTTTAACTTATTAGGTGATTGCTGTTGTTGTGAAATTAAATTAGAACTACTATTTCCGTTGGTAGTTGGTGGAGTGGTTGGACTTGATGTCATAAATATTTCTTTGATTGATTTGGGCGCTGGAGTCTTTATGGTCAGCTGCTTTTTGAGCGACGAATGTTTTGTTGACGATTGGAGGTGTAGCTGTTGTTGTAGATGATTGCTCATTTCCTCATCGGGTGTCGTTGTTGAAGAATAAGAAGAGGTCGATGAAGATGACGAAGGTGGATTCAACTCCATCGTACTCTTCAATCCTTGGTGTTGTTGTTGTTGTTGTTGTTGTTCGTGTCCACGTCGTTGTTGTAGTGGCGATGTATTCAAGAATGGAAGTGGAGGTGGTGTTGTATTTGGTGGTGTAGATATCGATATTCTATCCAACCCATTATTATTATTATTACTATTACTATGAATATTACTACTACTGTTTGTAGCTGTAGTAGTTGTTGTAGTTGTTGATGAAGAAGAAATTGAAGAATTGATAGATGTATTTAATATTTCACCAGAGTAACTTAGAGGTGAACCACTTCCGTCGGATTGCTGTTCGTTACTGCTGTTGTTTGAGCTGTGCTGCTGTTGTTGCTGTTGCTGTTGTTTGGCAGCTTTGGCAACCGCCAAATTCAGTGACGATGCTTTTTTCTTCTTTACAACAAAGGTCGGGTCCGACTTGTTGTTCTCACGTCGCTTATCAACAATCTCCCATATCTTGTCTTCATTCGACAGTCTTCGATCTTTAGTTCGTCCAAACTTGCCTTTGGTTCTCTTGTAAAGATAGATATTATGACCCGATGGTACTTTTGATTTTAATCCCTCTGCTATATCTCGAACTATATAATAATATCAATTGTTGATGTTTTGTTGTTGTTAGTACATATTAATTAAGTAAATATATATATATAGCTCAAAGTTATAGCTATTTAGTTACCTGTATTTGTTTGATCTAAAAGTAATGTCCAATACATATGATCATCACTTGCCCAATAGAATCGGAATGGACGCTTTGTATCTGTTGTTGGACATACATCGCTTGCTGAACGTCTTCTCATCAGAGATGGTGCTGCTGCCGATGCCGCTGCTGCTTGTTGTGATTGTTGTGTTGGTGATGACTGTTGTTGTTGTTGCTGCTGTTGTTGTTCAGACTCTACCTTCGTATTCATATCGTTATTATTTATATCCATTTTTTTTTTTTCTTCTTCTTAGGTGATACGATATCAATCGCGAATGTTACACACACTTCCCAAACAAAAAGATGTCAGGGAATATTGTAAAAAAAAAAAAAAAAGAAAGAAGGAAGGAAGGATCTACCTCTACTACTTTTCCAACAAAAAGTGTATTACTACTACTCTCTCTCTCTCTCTCTCTCTCACAGTTTCTTCAACTACACAATTTGTATTCTCTTCTCTTTTCTCTCTATTTTGTATCTATAAATCTAATCTAAGCCTAAGAAGTTCAAATCAACAATCTAATCAAGTAGTACACTTCTTCTTCTATTTCTCTGTTCTCTATTTCTCTGTTATCTATTCTATTCTATCTATTATTCACTATTTTTCACTATTGTTTCTATGATACTTTTAAAAATCGATGACTAGATCTTATTAAAAGTTGTAAAGTAATGGTACAACCGACTGTTGCTGTATTGTGATTATCTGTGTTTTAGTACTAGACAACTTAGCTGGTTTTTAAAATTTGAGTTAGAAATTGTGTGATAATAAAATAATATTCATGAAAAAACAAAAAAAAAAACAAATTTGGTTTGCTTGTGTGTTTTGTTTGGATTTAAAATTTTTTTGATTTTTGCTTCTAAATTATAAAAGGTCCAAAAAAAAGAATGTCATTCATTTGTTATGATAAATAAATCAATCATACAAAGATATATAAAGCAATCAATATTCTTTAAAATTATCTTGTTTTTAATATGAAAAACCAATTCAAAAAAAAAAAACAATAAGTTTGTTATAATGATGATGATGATGTAGATGATCTCTCTCTCTCTGTCTCTCTTACAATCTCGATTGTTTTAATAGTTCAGAACTATTATTTATGTTGGTATACTATGTATATTATTATTTTATATTAAAAATATTTAGTAAATAATTTTATATTATTATTGTTGACTATTTATTTTGTTTATTTTTAATTATTTATTTTATTAAATCTATCTAATTATATTATCATTGCTTTTAAAATATTTTATTTATTTTATTTTATTTTTAAATATTATTATAATAATTGATAAAAATATTCAAATTTGTTTATCATATTTGATTTATTTGTTTTTGTGATTTGCTTTGTTTTGTTTTTAAAACAATTTTGTTTGAATTAATATTATTGATTGTTGATATATTGATTGATATATTGGATTTATCAATGTTGATATTGATGTTGATGTTTGTAGTTGAATAGTTAAGAGATGGTGTAGATTATAATGATGTTGAGTTTAAACTCAACTGGTTGATGTTACTACTACACCATATTATTATTTATTATTATTATTATATATTATTGTTTGTTGTTTTAAAAATTGGTCTCTATTATTAAAACACAAAATAATCAACAAACAACTAACTCTAAACAATAAATTTTACCACCATGGTGTTGGAATATGTATACACCAATACACTTAAATATATATATATATATATATTTATATGTTTAAATATAGATAGATATACAGATCGTTGTTTTATTAATTTGTATGGGTAATATAATATAATTATAATTTAACATATAAAAAATATAATTATGCTATTATACAAATATTTATGTTCTAGTTCTATTGTTCAATTTAGTAAGTATGATCATTAAAGAGTGGTGGTGGTAGTGGTAGTGGTAGTGTGGTGTGTTGCGTTGTTGTTGTTCAATGTGGTGAATATCAAAAACAAGAGTATACTCTACGGGTGTTACTAATAAGTAGTACTTATTATTATTATTATTGTTCTTAATATGCTGCTCTAACCAGTAACAAACAAGTCATTAGTAAAAAACAACAAAGTAATAATAATAATAATAATAATAATAATAATAATAATAATAATAATAATAATAATAACCATATAAAGCTCGGTACCTAAACTTGAATACTTGGTAGTAGTATGTATGAACTTGTGGTTGGCTGTGTGTGTAGTGTGTGGTGATCCGCGCGGAAGAACTAATTAATAACAACTGGTGTTTATTAATGGAAGTTGATGAACTTTTCATTCAAATTGCCCAAATTCAATCCAAAAGTGAATGAAGCGAATTACTTGTTTATGTTTGTTATATATATGGTAATTTCATTTCATTTTTTATAATACTACTTTTTTGTTTTGTTTTTGCTTTTCCTTTTGCTTTTGCCATTACAAATATATCCTCAAACAATTGAATTTAAACAAAAAAATGATAAATTAATTTACCTTTAAATCTAAAAAATGAAATGTCTAATAATGCTACTTCAAATGAACTAGTTTCTAAACTACTTATGATAACTTGGTATTAGGAAAATAATAAATAAATAAATAATAAATTAAGTTTGTTTGTTTGTTTGTTTTTTTTTTTTTAGATTTTAATAATTTATCATATTTTGCTTTACAATATGATTATAAAAATTACTGATAATAATATTCTTTTCTTTTTTTATGGCTGTCAATCATAATAATCAACCTGACTTTTGGATAATCCTGATCAAAAAAAAAACAGCTCACACTTTTGCAATTTTCATTGAAAAGTAGAAAAAAAACCGCGTCAAGAAAAGGATTGTTTTATTGATCAAGAAAATAACCATCAACTTTTTTCAAACCCCCAAAAAACAACAACAATAATTATAGATTTAAATTCCAAATAATCTATAGATTGTTCATATTTATATTTATATATTATTATATATTTTAATTAATTTTATTTTAAAATTTATGTGATTGTTTAAAGATTTAAATATATGCGATTTGATTTGATTCTTTTGTGTGATTGATTTTAATTTAATAATAATTTTTTCAAATAAAATGTTTTTCGTAGGAGTGGAGTGAATGTACGCTTCCTTCTACTTGAGCGGCGGTACTTCTAACCTCGTATCTGACTTTACCGTTATATACATCTTGACGCAAAATATTGATGGATTGACAACCGAGATCTTGGAGACCGTGCTTGATACCCTGAACCAAGTAGGGTACGAACTTCTTGACTGAACCCTTGTCGACGACGCTACCCGAGACACCTTGGGCAACCTTGATCTTCTCGGTCTCGGAGAAGTAACGTTGATCGCCACCCTTGACCATGGCCTCTAGCGAACCCATACCTCTGTATTTCTTGAGACGCATTCCGTCCTTGTAGAAGTAGTCACCGGGTGCCTCTTCGGTACCGGCCAACATCGATCCCATCATAACGGACGATGCACCCAGTGAGAGTGCCTTGATGATGTGTCCGATCGTACGGATTCCACCGTCGGCAATAATGGGCACACCAAACTGCGATGAGTAGAGACCGGTCTTGAAAACGGCGGTAGCCTGTGGACGACCGCAAGCCATCACTTCTTGGGTGGTGCAGATCGATCCGACACCCATTCCGACACGGAGTGCGTCGACACCGGCACCAATCAGTGACTCGGATTGACGACAGGTAACGACGTTACCACCGATGACATCGATTCTTGGGTAGGTACGCTTGATCCAACGAACCATTTCGATTTGGAACGATGAGTCACCCTGTGAAGAGTCGATGACGACGACGTCGACACCGGCGGCATCGAGAGCGGCCAAACGTTGCTTATCGGTATCACGAGTACCCAAAGCGGCACCGACCAAAAGACGCTTGTTCTCATGATCCTTGGTGGCGCATGGGAAGTCACGATTCTTGACGAGGTCGTCACGCGAAGCGAGAGCAACGAGTTCTCCCTTGTCGTTGATGAGTGGAAGCTTACCCTTCTTGCATTTCTTCATGATGTTGTTTGCCTCCTCGAGAGTGGCGTTGGCTGGTGCGGTGATCAAGTCGGTTGTCATGATCTCAGAGAGCAGGGTGGAACGGTCCTTGATAAAGTCAGTGTCACGGCTGGTGACGATACCGACGAGCTTGCTACCGATACGTCCTTCCTCGGTGATGGGAATACCAGAGAATCCGTACTTGGCTTTGATGTTGTCGACGTCGGACAAACGGTGTTTTGGTGAGAGCACGAGTGGATCGGTGATGAAACCGTTCTTGAAACGCTTGACCTTCTTGACCTCGGCGACTTGCTCTTCGATGGAGTTGTTGTAATGGATGATACCGATACCACCGAGCAACGCCATGTTGATGGCCATCAGGTGTTCGGTGACGGTATCCATTGGCGAGGAAACGAGTGGAATCGACAGGTTGATATTCTTGGTGAGACGCGACTTCAAGTCGACCTGGTCCGCAGAGAAATTGATGTGTCCTGGCAACATGATCAAGTCGTCGTAGGTATAACCGTGTTGCTTATTGAACAATGTGAAAATATCGAGACCATCCTCAAACATCGAGTCGTCATAGGCTTTACCACCTGGCATATGAGTCAACTTTTGTTGTTTATTATCCATTTTTAGTGAAGAATCTATTTTAATAAATATTTAAAAATTACAAATATATAATTATTTATATAAAAAAGAAAAAGATCAAATATTGTTTAAACTATAAATAGATATATATAGAGAAAAACGAAAAGGAAAATAACAATTTGTTAATATTTATATTAAATTTAATTTATATCCTATCCCAACAACACATCGGACAAAAAACTAAAAAAAAAAAAAAAAAAAAAAAAAATACTAAAATTTCCAAAGAAATTTTAAAAACGGACTGCGAAAAAAATGCGAACAACAAACACTACATCCAAAATAAACCGAAAGAAGATAACTTCGATGGTTCATTGGGATATATTGTTTGATTGCGAAAATATTATAACATAATATTAATAAATTAATTGAAATGAAATATATAAATAATTTTTGAATATTTGTATAAATATAATATTGTTTTTTCAAAAATATATTTTGGTTAATAAAAGTAGTGTAAACAAAGTAAATAGGATAATAATGAAAAGATAAATTTGTTTGTTTTTGATAAATTACAATAATAGAGTTATTATACTTATTATTTCTTTATTTTATTTGTTTGATGGCTCTTTCTAATGAAGAGCGAATAATAATAATGTGACATCGTCCTTTAAATAGGCATGAGCGACAGTGAGAATCGAGAGTAATTCGAGAAATAATTAAATTTTAAATTAAAAATATTAAATTATAAATATAACAAAAATTGTTGTTGATATCATTATGATTGAATACCCCCAGACTATATATTTGACCATGAATAAAATTAAAAATGTTCATGAAAAAAAACGAATAAAAAATTAGTTTTTTTTTTGTCAGATTCCTTCGGGATTCAGAGTAGAATGAACCAATATCAACACACATTAACTATCAACCGAAAACATCAACAACAATAAACAAACATTTTCAACGGCACTTAATTAAAAACCAAAAAAAAAAAAAAATGATGATGATTATTTAAAGTTGGTCAAATTTTAATGGTGTCTTGTCTGTTACCATTCACTGCCGTATACGGCAAATCGTGCATTTATAATTATTCTTTCTATTATTATCAAAATTATAATTCCGTTTTTTTATGTTTTCTTACCTGATTAGAGCTCTATCTTCTTCTGGATTGTGTTGCAATTCGAAATATTCATACAATTCATAATTTTAAATCTATATAGATCCAACTTATAAAATCAATTGATATTTTTACTATCTATTCTATTCTTTATTTTTTAATCTATTCTACTTCTAGGATAATGTTATGTTCATAAAAATAAAATAAAATAACTTTTGAAAACTTTTTAACTATTTTTTTTTTCATACAACACAACCAACTACTCTTTTGAAGATGAATTCATGATATGTACTAAAAACACAAGTTTTGTTTATGGTTCGCTTAAATATATAAATGATTTGATAGGTGTTTATTTTCCTTCGTACTTTTGTAAATGCTTGTACAATTTGTTTCCATATCCATATTTATCTAATAGTTTTTGATGATCTAATTTATACATTGGCTGAATTACATCTGTATCTGTCCATCTATATTGATATATTGAAATGGTAAAAGATAATAATAGTTGATTGTTAATAATCGTTTTCAGTTTTATTCACAACCAAAAGCAGCACAGTGATAGATAAGATAGATCGATCGATTATAGGTAAGGTAGGTCGATCATCTATCTAACTAACAATATTATGATTCTCGATCGATCTTTCTTAAAGAATTAAGTGCATATAATGATACTGACTGTCTTGGTTTTGGTAAATTCTTTGAGTAACAAGTATTGTGTAATCTGAGGAAATCTTCAACATCCTTTTGCATAGTCTTTCTTTTTTTCTGTCCCATTCTCCATGTGTGTGTCTGCTTGATTGGTTTGTTGACAAGACCACTCAATACTGCTCTGGTAGCTCCAAACATTTCTATCTATCTATGTTTAGTTATTTATATATATATTGTTTTAATTGTTATTAATATGAGATTTATAGTTTAAATCACTACCACTACTGTTTAGTAATATTGATAATGATAATAAACAAACAAACAAATAACTTGTTTTCAAATGTAATTATGATCAGACAATCAAAAATTTTCGTTTTTTTTTGCAAAAAAAAAAACAAATTTTTTTAATCAAAAAAAGCAATTGTTTTAACAAAAAAAAAACTATACTAGATATATATTTGTATTTGTATATGGTAAAGTTATAAAAAAATATTCATACAAGTATTAATTTTGGGTTTCTAAATTAAGATAAATAATTTATTGTTCAAAAATATTTATTTATTTTTTTAATCAAAATTAAATAAATGAAAAAAGGTATCTCACCAAAAAAATTTTTTCTAAGTTTTTTTTTTTTCCATCCTATTTTTGATTACAAAAGGTTGTTATTATTATTTAAACTGTGAAGTTTGTTTTCTTTTCTCTTATTCGATCAAACAAAGAAACTACAATTCAAACATTCTTTCAACAATAACAAAAGTGGAATACCCTTGAAAAGTAAGTAACTCAATTCGTCAAGTTTGAAGTGGTTTTGTGCTATAGATACTAATTATCACGATTAAACTCTAGAAAACATAGATTTGCTATTAAGTTTTATCAAGCGCACAATATGAATTTCAAGATCATATTAACTAAAGTTTCTTTGTTTGGTCGAGTAAGAGAAAAGAAAATACAAATTACCATCGATTATCTAAATTAATAATTTTTTATTAAATTGTGTAAATCATTTTTTTTTTTTTGATCTCTGTGAACTTCACTTGTTTTTATCATCACAAAAAAACAATCAATTTAAAAAAATTAAAAAAAAAAAGGGGTTGTGAACTTAAGGGTTGAATATTAATATTATTTTTTTCATTTATTTAATATAAAAATAAAAAAGAAAAGATAGAATTAATTCGAATAATAATAATATTAAAAGAATATAACATACATTTCGAAATTAATAACAATATATATAAAAAGATAGATAGATTATAGGTTAGATTAACGCGATATAAAATAGTTTGATTGTGTGATTAGTATTATATATTAAAATGAATTGGAAGAAAGAAATTGAACATGTACACTCAAATGAAGCACTAGATTCAGAGAAAGCTTTAAATAAATATAAAGAATTCATTTTATCACGTAAGTTTAATTAATTAATTAATTAATTATTATTATTATTATTGTTTTGATTTTATTTGTGATTTTGTAGAAATAGTAATTGTAGTTGTTTTTGTTGTTGTTGTTGTTGTTTTTGTGATTAATTCACATTCATGAATGAAAGTTGTTGTGAAATATTAATATTTTACTTTTTGTTATTATTATTTTTATATAGCACAAACACCAGATGATATTAAAGAAGATGCAATTCACAAGTTAGCACAACTCTTGGTAAAGCTGGGCAGAGCCAATCAATTGTCGGAACTCTTGAATACGATCAGACCATTCTTTGATAAGATTTCAAAGCCAAAGACCGACAGAATCGTCAGAGCATTCATCGACTACGCTCTGCGTATGCCCGGTAACGAACCAATCTTGATCTCCTTCTGCAAAGAGAACATCGAGTGGTGTAAACAAACCAACAGAGGTTATCTAAGACAACGTTTAGAGACAAGACTATACTCTTTGTAAGTACTCTCATTTTACTTTGTTTTTTGTTTTGAACTTTTTAACTAATAATAATATTATTGTTATTGTTATCATGTTGATGTTATTGTTGTTAATCAGGATGTTTGATGTTAAAGATTATAATAATGCTTTGGTTGGATTGAGTTCATTGTTGTCAGAGATCAAAAAGTTGGATGATAAACCATTGTTGGTCGAGATTCAGTTGATTGAAAGTCGTATTCAACACGCACTGAAGAACATTCCAAAGGCAAGAGCTGCATTGACCTCTGCACGTACCAACGCCAACACCATCTATTGTCCACCCAAACTCCAAGGTGAAATCGATATGCAATCCGGTATACTTCATTCCGAAGAGAAAGATTATAAGACTGCGTAAGTTTTAATCATTACCATTGACAACAATAACAATAACAATTATACTAATAGTCAATCTTAAACTACCAATTATTATTATTACTTTTATAACTACTACAATATAACTAGCTATTCATATTTCTATGAATCGTTTGAAACTTATGATACTTTGGATGATCCAATTGCATTCAAGGCATTGAAGTACATGTTGCTCTGTAAGATTATGACTAATCAGACCGACGATGTGTTTGCACTCATCAACGGAAAGATCGGATTGAAGTACGTCGGTAAGGAAGTCGAGGCAATGAAAGCCGTTGCCAAGTCTCACGCCAATAGATCTCTCTTGGCTTTCGAAGAGACACTCAATCAATATCCACAAGGTAACATTTATATAGGATTTTAATAATGATAATTAAATACTAATATATATATATATCTTAATTAAAATAGAATTAAAGAATGATGCAATCATCCACAATCATTTGAATGAATTGTATAATAAGTTATTGGAGCAGAATCTCTGTCGTATCATCGAGCCATTCTCAAGAGTTGAGATCTCTCACATTGCCGATCTTCTCAAGCTACCAGTGCAAACCGTCGAGAAGAAACTCAGTTTGATGATTTTGGATAAGAAGTATCATGGTATTCTAGATCAAGGTACTGGTACTTTGATTGTTTTCGATGAAGCCAAACAAAATGTTTGTATTACCACTTGATTGATTATTTTATAACAAATATTTGTAATTGTAGTTTAAAAGATAACTAACTTTCTTTTTCTTTTTTTTTTTTTTGTTTATTCTAATTAGAAATTATATAATACATCACTCGATACTATCAGTTCATTGGATCGTGTTGTAGGATCACTTTATGAAAAGACAAACAAGTTATCATAAACCAGATAGTAGATAAGATAATTACATTACTTTTGTGTAGACATATTCAAGCTTTATTATCATCATCGTTATCAGTCAGTGTGTAACAATCAAAACAAACAAACAAATCAAAACAAATCAAACAATTAATTCAAACTCTGAAAACAACATTGTATACAATCATCATCATCACCAACATCTCCTACGAGCATAACACAACTAACCAACCAACCACAATCTATAATAATAACAAACAAATAACAAATAACAAACAATAAATATAAAGATTCTATATATCTTTTTTATTATGAACAAAATCATCTGGTATAATTATTTAATTAATTATATATTAATTTTTAAAATTAAAATTTGAGTTCTATTGATCATGATCTGTCGACTACACTTTCAATGAAAAAATGATTGATAAATTGCATAACAGGTGACACACAATCATTACATTACATGTTTTTAAACAAATAGATACTATTGTAGTTATTTTTTAAAATATTAATTATATTAATATAGTTATAATAGATAATATTAATAATGTCGGAATCAGTAGGTCACCCTTGTCAACAGATAAAAGATGCTATTGTAAAGTGTATTCAACAAAGTGAATGTATGAAGAAAGGTAAAACCTTTCATCAGTGTATGAAGGACGATAATCTTGATCAAGACTGTAAAGATTTACTATATACTTATTTTAAATGTAAAGTTGATATGGTATGTTTAGTTTCATTCTCTTTCTTTGAGAAATTACATGTAATCAGTCTAATTAAACAATTCTCTTTTATAATTAATCTAGTTTGATCCAAGAAATAGATTTAGAGGTAATGTTGCTGCTATGACATGGGAAAAAGAATCAAAAGAATCATCATCATCATCTGACAACAACAATAGTAATAACGATAATAATAACAACAATAACAACAATAGTAATAAACTGTAATAATTATAATTATATATATTGATAAAATATAAATGAAAGTAAATATATTAATTATAATTTTGTACAAATGTTGGGTTGATTTATTGGTTGTTTGATTATTGGAAGAATGAATTCATTGCATCCCACATCATTTGAGAGAGTGATGGCTGTGTCGATGGACTAACATAGTCGATAGTCCAAACACCAACGCCACCAACACCCAATTTCCTTGAGTATTGAACTTTGAGTGCTATCGACTCGGCGTTGTCGTACCACACCTGGTGTACAGAGTTGGTTGTGCTATTGAAGTAGTTGAAGAATGGCGACGACGTCGGATCATTCCAGAGTTCACCGGTGGACTGCAGCGATTGATTCATCATGATCTCGTTGATGTCAAAGAAGTAGCGCTGCAGAGTACCGTCGGGATCGATTATACATTCGGTTTGTTGCAGTGTCATGTTATTGATACACTGGTAGTCGTAGCCGTACCACGGGAATGCCATTACTATTTTCTCGCGGGGAATCAGCAAATCTGTGTAGTTGGTGAGCCCAGACGCTACGTTGGGTAGCGGGGAGTTTGCCTGCGCCAAGTCGGGCGATAGATTCATATCGTAGTCCATCACCAAGAGGATATCGGATGCCTGTGCAATACCAAAGTAATCGTAGCATCGGTCGTAAATACAACTAGGTGAAAACGGTACATCTACCGATATCTGATAGAAAGGATTGACTTTTTTCATCTCAAAAGTGGTCTGAGCAACCACACCCGTATACAATCCAGACAGAATACTTTGATTTTCTGAAATAACATATTCAAAATCTTGATTGATGAACATATTTACTTTAATAAGTAAATTGGAACAAAAATGTTATCATTTCAATTCAATTGAATTGGTTTAAAACTTACCGAAATTAATACCATCATAATAATTGTTCTTTAACACTTGAATATATCCTTGTATCCATTGTTGAGTGAAGTTTCCATCTCCTAGATGATCGAATGGAAATTCTGAACCAATTGATAATCTACATTTCCAAAATTGAATAGATCATTAGATCTTTTGTAAATTCATAAGATATTTACTGTTGTTGATAATAAACTTACCTAACGTTGTTTTTATGAGCTATACATATCATTTGTGGATCTGGTTCTTCGAATAGAACTATAGTTGTAAGATGTTCCCAATCATAGATTGTATAATCAGCTGCAGTCACAGCAAATCCAAGAAATTCCTCTCGAGGAAATGGAATAGATAATGGTTGGCATAATGATACATCTTCACATGGACAAGGTATAGGTTGTTTTGGTATATCTTCAAAACTTTTTGGTACTGGATAATATTTTCTATTCAATCTTTTGTCTTTCTCACCTTTACAACATCCAGCAGCTAATAAAAAAATATAAATAAATATTAAATTAAATTTATTCATATCTAAAATAAATATAAATATATCTCCAAATAAAATAATTGATCAAATTTAAAAATAATTATATATTAAAAAATCAATTTAAAAAAGGTGGTTAATGTTTTTTTTTTGGGTTAGTGTGTATGTGTGTAATGAGTGTTGGGTCTAAAAAAAGATCAAATCAATAATAATAAATAATAAAAGATTTTCTAAAATTTTAAATATTTAATTAAAATAATAATAATATTAAAAAATAAATTAATATATTTTCTAAATTTATTTTTAAAAACAATTTTTTTTAATATTATCTATATTTCAATAAAATTGTTTTATATTAATTATGGTCTATTATCAAACATTTGAGGACAAAATATATCGTCTGGTTTAATATTTAGATTTTTTCTCGGATAATTTCTTTTGTTTTTGTAGAAGTTCACATATTTATCGTGAAGATAACATGGTATGTTGGAATATTTAATGTTGTCGAATTTCTGTCCCCATTTCTTCATACCCTGAAGATCTTCTCGCCACTTAAAGTATTTGAGGTATTCTTCGTCGTTGTTGTTCAGATATGTCAGATAGTCTGCCAGTGACTTTGTGGAATTGAATGCTTTGCCATTGATGAACGATCCCGGTGGTAGTAGATCAAACGTTGAATCATGCCCCATATAAACGGGAACGACTCCGCTAACTAAACATTGAAATACCTTCTCAGAGATATAGCCGAAACAATTGTGATTCTCTAGTGCCATATAGAATTTGTATTTCGAGATCAAGTCCAACTTGATTGCCTGTGCATTGTCCTCCTTTCTGTGTCCACCGGCTGGAAGTTGTTTGTTGTTCAAACAAGTACCGTAGCTGTCGACGTGGATATGCTTCATAAAACGCTCCATAAAATTGCCTCTGTCCGTCGGTGGAAACCCATAGACTGTGAAATTCTCGCATTGGCTACACATCCAGGCAACTACATTCTCTGGATACAATCTCTTCTTTTCCAACAGTTTCTTGGCGTCAAAAGGATTGGCCACCTCCGCCGTGTAAAACTCTTCAAACTGCGATTTCGAAAAGTATTTAATAACGATATCGTTGAATCCATCGATTGCGCCAATCGTCCAGTTGAAATAGCTGTAGCAGGATTCTCTTTTCAAACATCCAGAAAACTCTGACCCCAGTGATTCTAAATTCATGTAGACACGAACCATCGAGTCCGATGCCAGCGGAATTGGGTTGAAATGTCCGGGTTTCGATATGTCCGAACCAAAGTATAATACACCGGAAGCTTCTGCCAGTCTGGACTTGTCGTGTGTCCACTCGGTGGTGACGGAACCATCTTCACGTCCACAACTGTAGGTTGCCTCCAAATCCGATCGCTCTCCCCACTCTGTCGAACCCAATACAAAAAGAGTTCTCTTTTCTTTAACCACGGAATTATACAAATTTATCTCTACTTGCTGAGTTTCTATACTATACATTCTCCATATCTCTCCATATCTAACGAAAACACCAACCGAAATAAATAGAAATACTATTAAAAATAAAACAAGAAACAATATTCTCTTGTTATTCAAAGAGTATGATCTTTTATTTCCACCAACATTTATTAACATTTTATTGTTATGAATAAATATCAATTGTTTATTACAAAATATTAAATAAAATTAATTGTAAAAACTAACCAATAAAAAATTAAATTATAAATTATTATTTTTTATCTTTAATAAATTATCTGATTGATGGATTGATGATACAATTATATAAATTAATTATTTTTGAGTGTTAAAAAATAAATATAAATAAAATATAATATTTTTATTGTTGTTTAATAGTTAGGTTTGTGGGTTTTTTGCGCCATTCATAAAAAAGTGTGTGTTTATGTGATAATACAATATTCACACAGTGAGACATTAATTAATAAAAAAAAATAAAAAGATACTTAAAATAACCTGCAAATCAACGCATGTTTTATTAATCTAAAGAGGCTTTTGGTGCAACATTATAGAATGGTGGATCAACCAGATTCTCACAGATAAAAATATCAAAAAAAAACTAAAAAAAAAAAAAAAAAAAAAAAACCATCTGTGTGGGGGTTACCAAAGAAAATAAATGTGGTGGTTTTTTATGAATTTAAAATGGTGATCCTAAAATCAAAAAAATTAAAAAAGTTTTTTTTTTTGTTAATGTCACATGTTATATTATCACATAATTTCTGACTTTTATCATTGAATTATCAAGCTCTTATTTGAAAAAAAAAAAAAACAATATTATTTGGTTAGGTGATGGACTCTCTTAAAACATACACCACCTTTACCAAATAAATCAATATCGACAACATCTACATTTTAAAGAAGAAACAACAGAAGTAAATAAACCTAAAAAATACATTTGTACTTATTAATTCATCATCAACAAACAAATAGTAGTACTTTTGACCAATTGGTTAATATTTATTTTATTTTATTTTTTAATAAATGATATCTTTCGCTTATTTTGATGTTTTTGTTTTTCAATCTCTATTTGTAGATTGATCAATATCAACTCTAGTCTTTGTGGTTCAACGATCGATCGTTCACTGACGAGTGTATCTCTATATTTAATTAGTTTGTACAATGGGATATCTCGGTTGTTCAACAGCCATTCTATTACGATTGAATTTTTAGTGCGAGCTAGCGCCAAAAATGTTTTGTCTTTGATCTTGAATTGTTGGCATTCCGTTCGATTGAGATGTAGCCACTCAACAGTTCTAATATTGCATGGATCATCCTTCGATGCCGCTGCATTGAAAGTAGATTCCACGGTCCATCGTAGGTGCATAGCTCATTCCACGATCGAGTAGTAGATTTGAACAAGAACTGTTTTATTGCTGTTATAGACAACTTCTTGAGTATTTGATTTTGTCAACTCTACAACATATACTGGGATTATTTTAGGTACCTAAAATAAAAAATATTTCAAAGAGTTGATCTTCGAATGTCATTCTACCTTGTAATCTATATCCAATATTAAGTTATTTGATTAGATGTGTCTTTTAAATAAAAAATGAATAAAAGCTAATAGATATATCTACTCTATGGTATTTCAGGTGCGCCAAATTCATCGGATGCAAGAAGTAGTACCCTTGATATGTTCTTTTCCAACGATACTGTCTCACATAGCTTTATATTTTCTAAGCAATCGATTCCTCATACTGCGTCTCAAATATGGTATACTTGTCTGAATTGGTTGGCTGGTAGCAATACTGGTTGATTCTTTAATTTTAAATTCAATCGAAACAATTGGATTAAAATTTTTTCACCCTAAAAAACTAAAGTACACTTATACAAATATTTCTTTGTTTCATATTTAGCTGTTGTGATAAATAATTAATTCATGATCAACTACCTTTTTTTCACACACATTATTTAACTTTAAACATTTAATTTATTTTAGTAACCATTTTTTTTATTATTATTTATTGTCATTGCCTCATATATTTTGACAATATCTATAAATTTTTATTTGTTTCTTTCCTATCTTAAATACTTGAGTTAATTTTTATATGTTTTTATTCTCTATCCATTAAATATAATTATCAATGACTAAATTAGCAGGTCATACCAAGAAATAGTTTTGCTGCAAATCTCTTTGGCGCTTTTTTTTTTTTTTTTCAATATTGTTTATTATTTGAGGGAACCTTTTTCTTTCTTTTAAAAGGTTTATTTAAATTTTAGTTTTAGATAATCATTAATTTGATATATCTATATTTTATTATTAATTAACTATAATATTAAAAATGAACTATAATGATAACTATCAAAACAAAGAGAACATATTTCAACAACAACAACAACAACAACAACAATCACTTCAATTACCATTTGGATGTTTTAGTAATCTTGCACAAATAGGTGATCCTGTTCATGAATTACCATTGCCTTGCTATAGAAATGAGAGATCCGTATCTATGCAACTACAAGATACTCTTGTTTTAAATAATACATTGGAGTTATTAAATCAACAACAACAACAACAACAACAACAACAACAACAACAACAACAACAACAACAACAACAACAACAACATATAAATAATAATGATATATTTAAAGATATAAATAATAGATTAGCTCAAACAAATGTTAATTATCTATCAATGAAGAATGATTGTTTTAATAATAATATAAATAATAATCAAGATAATGGCTATTATTTTATAAAACCAACACCTATTTTAAATAATATATTACAACAATTACCATCGATAACATTACAACAACATCAATATCAAGAACAGATGTTAATGAAACAATTACAATTTCAACAACAACAACAACAACAACAACAAGATAATTTTAGAACAATAAATATTCATCAACAACAACAACAACAGCAACAACAACATGCACAACAAACAGGTCAACCATTCTATCAATACAATATTGGTAGTGAACCAATGTTGACAATTCCACATAATCCTTCAAATGTATTTGTATTAAACGATAATAAATTCATACAAAATACATATCAACAACAACAACAACAGCAACAACAATATATTCCACAACCAAACTATCAATTTGAATCGTATTTAAATGGAACAAATGGAGTTAATGGTAATAATAATAATACTGCAACAACAACTACAACAACAAAGAAAGTAGCAACTACAACGACAAAGAAACCAAGAGTATCAAAAGCACAAAAGGAAAAGGAAATGGAAAAAGAAAAGGATAAATATATTGAATCTGCTCAGACACCTTTGGATCAACATATTCAAGATCAACTGGATCAAATCATTCACAACAAGGTGGTACAGGTCGTTCCAATCGAGAAGTTTCAACAGTCAGTTCAACAGTTTATCGACGATGCCAAAGTGGTCGGTCATGTGAGCGCTGCCATAAAGTCTGTCGGTAGTATAGACCTGTTGCTCCAGACGGTGTCGACACTGCGCTCCGACCTGGCATCGATGGTCAGTCACTCACTCGGTCAACTGCAAGATCTTGTCGCGCTCGAGCAGTATGCCAATCTCTTCCAACTGCTATTGAAGTATGTCAAAGAGGCAAAGGATGTTCACTCACTGACATTCAGTGAGCAATTGAGTGATAAAGAACTTCTGGAGTTGCGCAAACTCGAACTCTCTCTGGAATCGTCCATTCTAATCCTTCAGATTCTAAACATACCGATGGTTGGTCTTTCGTTGTGTGAGCTTATCGACGATGAACTGATAGAGTTGGTATCATTCTTCAAGACGCAATACACAGAGAATGTACTCGGTCATTTAGATCCATCTTTTAAGACAAGATTCAACACAACAGTGACAGCCATAAATGAGAATGAAGCAAACTCTAAATCAAAGTCAAAAAAGAAACAAACAAAGAAGAAAGATAGTGGTGTCGGCAGTCAGGAGGAAGATAATGATGCCGATGCAGAGGAGGATGATGAAGATGACAGTGAATTTGATTCCGACGATTCAGATGATTCCGACGATGATTCTGATGTTGATAACTCTGAATCAGAGGACAAATCATCATCATCATCAACAAAGAAGAAAAAGAAAAAACAAAAGACGTCATCAACCACCTCAGCCAAAAGATCATCTGTATCCAAATCAAAATCAAAATCCTCATCTTTAAAGTTTAAAAAGTAAGTACCTTCAATCTCAATAATTGGACAATCATATACATTTTATTAACTTAATAAATCTATTCAATAGACGTGGACATAACTATTATCTTTATACTTGTAATAAAGTGACAGAGATATTCAATGGTTTGGCACAGTTGGTATCGATATATACACCACCCGATCCATTCCCAACGATGTTGGTGGATATAGCTATTCCATCGTTGTTTATCGGTGGCATTAGTTTCATTCAGTTGAGTGCAATCGAGTTGCTGCGATCAACCTATAGCCGATATCCAGCGATACAGGAATCGATCTTTGAGCAGACACTCTCGAACCTCTCAAAGACACCGGCTCTCAAGAAGAATTTGAGAACCTACAAACTCAAGGATAGCCGTTCCATCCAGAATGTAACAGCGCTATTCTTACAACTCATTCAAAGTTCACCTTCACTTCCAGAGCTGAACAACAAATCAACAACATTCTCGACAACTTCGACTACACTACCAATGAAGTTGGCTCATGATAATGCTTCGATGGTTGTTCTCTACTTTATCAACAAATGTTCGACAAAGAGTGAGGATTGTGAATATCGTACGTTGCTCGATAACTTCTTGGCTGATTTGTTGGTGCTTGTCAATAATCCAGAGTGGCCAGCTGCCAATATGTTGTTGCACTTACTCTCGGTTTCATTGTGTAGAATCCTTGGTGGAGGTGCTGGTGCTGGTGACAAGGATAAGAACAAGTCTGGCAGTTCCGACATTCTCAAGATGATGGCTATTGATTTACTAGGTCAAATCATTACCAAACTGAAACAAGAGTGTATGGCATCTGCTGAGGAGCTATCGAGTCTACCACTTCACTTTAGCGATCTACTATCGCTCATGACCATCTCACAAGAAACTACAACATCAACAACAGCAGCAGGAACAACAGGAACGTTATCATCATCATCAACATCATCATCGACAGCTCAAACATCATTGTCACCCGAACGTGTTAATCATAAAGATGAGAATATCGAATCGTTGATTACCACCGACTTGGAACTGGCAGAGGAATTCGAAAAGAAATATGGTGATAGACTTAAGAGTAATAATATCAACAATCAACAACAACAACCAACTCTTTCAATCACTTCCACTTCCACCTTGATTGAGAATAGTAATCTACCTGTTTGTCAATGTGGAAAGTTCAAGATTGGATCGTTCACTACCAAGTGCACTCAGTGCAACCAACTCTTCCACGATCTGTGTGCACCTGACTACAGTCTTGACCAACAACATCAGCAATTAGATTGGCAATGTATTTCCTGTAGAATATTGAATCAAGTGAATGATTATCAACCACCAATTTCATCGACACCAACAACAACAACAACAACAAATAGCAGCAGCAACAGCACTTCCACTTCTTCAAAATCAACAAAATCAAAATTACCATTCTCGAAAAGAAAGAAAATGAATACAATTCCAGAGGATGATAATGCTGATAATGAAGATGTACAAGATAGTTTTAATATTCTAAAAACAACTAGCAGTACCAGTAGTAGTAGCAAGGAAGAAAGACCTAAAAAGTTTGTACCCCCTCCAAAGAACAGTGACTACAATGTTCTCATTCACTTGATGTTGAACTACCTCAATTCCAAGTCACAGAGTGAACGTTGGCTGACTTGCTCCAGACAGTTTCTCATTGCCAGTTGGCTGGACAATGATTTTCTGAGTTCAAAGCTGACCGTCCAGAGCAAACAATATATTCTATCGCAATGGGAGCAACCACAGGAAGGTAACATCAACTCGACACTCAAATGCTATACTTTCGGTGGTGAGATGGCAGCCAAGTTGTTTAGAGTGCTCTCCATTCACACCAAAGGATCGTTGTTCAACATTGTCAATGAACTTCTTTACAATCTACTGTCGGTGCTCTACGATAGCTCGAAATTGGCAAGAGCCAAAGCAATGAAGTCGTTCTCTACCATTGTCGAAGTTGATCCTTCTGTTCTAGCCGATGAATTCGTTCACACCTCCATCAAGAATCGTTTCTCTGACGACTCTATTGCTGTGCGTGAACACACCGTCGACCTCATCGGAAAGTACATCCTGCTGAAACCGGATTTGACATGGCGATACGTCGATCTCATCTGTGAGTTGATTGGCGACAAGGGAATCAGTGTGAGGAAGCGTGTCGTCAAGACGCTACACGACGTCTGTCTCTCACAGATTCAACACCCAAAGATACCGCAACTCTGCAAGGTTCTAGTGAGTAGAATCAACGACGACGAATCGATTCGAGAGCTGGTCATAAACACTTTCAAAGACCTCTGGTTTGGCGAACACGAACAAACAATCATGCAAAAATCGAAACAGATTGTCGAAGTTGTTAAGCAACTCAATCAAGACGAATGGTTCGTCGGACTCATTCATAAACTGACAGACAAAGGCAAACCATCGAAACGTGCAACCAAGCAACAAAAGAGTGCAGAATCAATCGGAGAAACTTGCCAGCAAATCTGCTCCTATCTCATCGACATGTTGATCTCATTCGACGAGAAGCGACGAACCAAAGAATTCCCTGAATTCCTTGCAATCTTCAAGTGTCTACGAATCTTTTGTAAGATAGATCCAACTTTTTTGACAACCTACGTCAAGGTTTTACATCCATACATTAAATTATCAACCAAAGTAAGTTAAATAATTCATAACCAAAACAAAACAACGATATTAATCGATTGCTCCAATAGACAATCAACAGTGAAGAATTAAAGATATTTGTAATTGTTACTTATATTTTACAAAAGACAATTCCAATGATTGAGAATATCGATAAACAATTCTTGGCAGTGTTGGAAAAGGATTTGCTTACTTTGATATTGACCCAGGGTTCGGTTTTGGTTCATCAATGTATCAAGTGTTTGAGTATCATCATCGAGAGTACCAGTCATAACTATCGGCTGTTGGAGGAACAGCTCTGTAGACACCTTCTTCTGCTCCAATCATGCAGTAGCCGAACGAAATCCGAAATTCTTCGATCGCTCTATGTCACCGGATTGTTGGTGCGTTACTATCACTTTGAGAAGCGTCCGTTCACCATTGATGTACCGGCATCTCTCAAACTGCAGCAGCCGCAACAACCAAACAAATCAATCATCTCAGACATCACTGCAATCCTCACCAAACTCTTTTTGTACACCAAGGATAAAGATGTTATTTCGACATCGTTGGAATCGATTGGAAACATCATTATATCGTCACCACCGATTTTAAATCAAGATTCTATACGTGGAATCATAGCGAAATCACTGACGTTGGAGACAAAGATAAAAGAGACCATTTTGAAAGTCTATCTCAAGCTGTTGAAGAAAGAAGCGAAAACTCTCCAAAAGAAGAACCCGGTCACCAAAGCAGAAGACAACCAACAAAAGTCAGAGTCTGAAGAGAGTGCAACCGATCACTCTGGTGTAAGTGAGAATGATGACGATGATCAAGATGACGATGACAGCGATAAGAAAAAGAAAAAAAAGAGAGGACCTATTATTTCTATGAATGTTGATATTAATGGAGAGTAAGTATTTTTTATTTTTAACAAACTAATTAGCTAACTAACTAATAACCAAAAATATATAGATCATTAGTATCATCAATTCAGAAATTCTTTTCAACTTTTTGTAAATTATTGGTAGATTCCGAGCAATCAGTCAGATTCTTTACGGTTTCAACTGTAGAGTTAATTGTAAAACAAGGAATAATCAATCCACTTGAAGCAGTTCCTGAGATCATTACATTGATTACCGATACCAGTCCTGAGATTTCAGAGGTAGCCTATAGAGTATTGGAATTCATCAATCAAAAACATTCTTCAACTCTATTCAAACGTGTTATTGAAAGTATTAGATTATGCTACAGATTCCATTTAGGTTTAGGAACCAGTAAGTTTTAAAATTAATAATATTATTAACATTTTCCAAAAAAGAAATATTTAATTAACATTTGAATCTCTATTATTATTTAGAATCACCTTATAATAGTGTATCTAAAGGATTATCGAAATTCTATTTACTCTTTAGAAATCTAAAACAATCGAGAACAACGTTTATCAATCATATAATGTCACAGTTTGAAAATACCAATAAGACCTATAGATATAAGAATTTGGAGTACTGTCGATTCCTCGTGGAGATACTCGCGTCGCTGCCCTATTCCAATATGGATGAGATCTTTGAGATTGTCGTTGCCATAGATAAGATCGTTTCACTCCAGGGCAGTTCGTGTATGGCCGAAATTCAGTCGTCGATGTCCAAACGAAAGAAGACTGGCGACGATGACTCTGCAGAGTTGGATGAAACTATCAAATCGCTGTTCCTGGCATCATTGATTGTCACTCTGCTCGTGGAACTGAAACGCTATCTCATTAAGACCTACGATATCACAAAGGAACGTGCCAAAGCCTACTTGGAGGACGGAAAGAATTCCGATAAACTACAAATCACACTCCCAGAGACACAGACATTCACCAAGAGTAACTATCCATTCACTGTGTTACCAACCGAAGAAGAGCTATCACAAGACGATATTCAAAAGAGAGTGTTCCTCTCATTCAAATTACTATTGAAAGATGACAATGTCGATTACTCAACCATTACAACCAACAATGCTAATGAAAAGAAAAAGGCAGCAGCTACCAAGAAGCGTAAAACAACAAGCACAACAACAACAACAAGAAAGAGAAATACTAAAAGTTCATAAATCTTTTTTTTTTTCAGTCTTTTAAATTTTAATTTTATTTAATTTTCTATTTTATTCAAACTTTGTAAACATTGGAAATACTTCAATTGAAGAAAATTACAAAAAAAACACTTTTTTAATCTTGCAATAAAAGTTTGATAGGAACTCATATGAGTTAATATAGATTGTTTCAATTTTATTCCCCAAAAAAAAACATCAATATTTAATTTTTAAGCGATGATGGTAACCAACTGATATAAAAAAGTCATTGGAATTTAAAAATATCTTGTTGTGGTATTTTAAAATTTACCTTTTCAAAAAATAAAAATTTGATATTTTTGAATGTTCAAAAGCATTTTTTTTTGGCTGACAATCAGAAAATTAAATTAAACAAAGAAATAGGAATGAAAAAGCAACAATTATTTGTAGGATTAGATGGTGGTGGAACAAAAACATTGTCTGTAGTGGTTGACTCTGACGGTAATGAGCTAGGCAAATTCGTTTCTACCTGTAGCAACTATCATAGCGTTGGTGAAGAGGCAGCCAAGCGAGCAATCTACGAGAGTATCTCTGAGGCTGTCAAGAAATCCGGTGGCAGTCTTGAGGATGTAGTAGAGATTTGTTTGGGTATCAGTGGTGTCGATCGGCCAGAGGATATCGAGTTGGTTGGTGGATGGATCCGTTCGCTGCTACCGAATGCTCAATATAAGATTTTCAATGATGCCGTCGTTGCTCTGACCTCTGGTACCATGGGTAAATTGTTTGGTGTCGTAGTGATCAGTGGCACCGGATGTATATCGTTCGGTATCGATCACCACGGAAATAAAACTAGATCCGCTGGTTGGGGACCGGCACTTGGTGACGACGGTAGCGGATATCAAATTGGTTTCGATGTGCTCAAGTACGTTTGCATGGCAAAAGATGAAACCAACGATAAGACACTCCTCACCCAAGCATTACTCGATAAACTCCAGGTCACCAAAGAGGAACAACTTATCACTTGGGCATACGACCCAAAAAACCAAGGTTGGCACAGAGTCGCTGAACTTGCACCGCTTGCAACTGAATGTGCACTCAAAGGTGATAAAGTTGCCATTAGTATTCTCGATCATCATTCATCTGCTTTAGTTGTAAGTTGTTTAATATTAATATTAATTAAAAGTATTTCACAATGATAATCTAATCTAACTTATGTTTCTATCTATTCTTTCACCTTTAGAAATTTATTAAAAGTGTATTTACAAAGTTAAACTTATTGAATGAAAAAGAAGTTCCATTGGTATTGGCCGGTGGAAATATTGAGAGAGACTGTATATTCAGTGACAAACTAAAGGAGAAGCTTGCTAAAGAGCTACCAAATGCAGTACCAGTCTATCCTAAATGTACAGCTGGTATGGGTGCTGCTTTGTTGGCATTAAATACTTTTAAAGAGAATAAGAAGGAATAAATAAAATAAAGAGTTAATATTGTAATAATATCTATAACAAATAGTAGTAGTAGAAGCTGTTTGTTTTTTAAAGATTGTTTATTACAACATGTACATTATTTATATAATATAATATAACAATTATTATTTAATTATTAGTGAAGTTTGGATACTCTATCATATTCCTTCTTTACGAGATCAATAAACACAGGACATGAAGTTACAAAGTGATCTTCGAAAACCATACACTGATTGTTGTTTGCAGCGATGCGGTTGGCACGTTCATTGCAATCAAAGTAGGTGAAGATATCCTCGGTGTCTCTAACGTAGAGTGATACTTTTGAGTTGGTTGACAGACTGTGTTGTGTGTTGGATGTAGAGGTGGTCGTAGAGGTGGTAGAAGTAGATGAGTTACCACCTCCACTACTACTGCTGCTACTACCGGTAGCACCAACATGATGGTCTCTCGGTGATGGCAATGGTGAAGATGGACCGGTAGTTGGTGTCGAAGGTAGTGTTTGTGAATTGATATGTAGATTATTTAAATTGGGTGCACCAGGTACGGTGAGGGTCGACGACTTCATTGGGAAATGAGTAGCCAACTCTCTTCTCGAATGTCTTAGTTGATCTTTCTTTATCAAGAATGATCTTGCATAGCAATATGATGCACATTTAAAGCTGATTAAATATATATTATATGTTAGTTAACCAAGATATGCAACACCAGTACAAATAGTTGTAGCGCTACTTACAAAAATGAACATATAGCATCTAACTTGAAAGTACTACCAGCAAGCTTTGCAATGCCGAAAAAGAAAGCACCTGCCGATGAGAAACAATTTGATGCTTTTACTGCACCTTCAGTATCCTTTGAGTGAATGAATGAATGAATATAATTATTAATTAGTACAATGAAATAGTAATAGTAATTTGAGTGAGATGAGTATGACTTACAATCATTAAATAAGCAGATTGTATATATTTAAGTCCAACTTGAAAAAAGATATCTAAGCAATCGACTTCACCTAATTCCTGTAGAGATAGTGCCGATGTCTTCAAACGTTTACCATCATGTTTTAGCTCTTCAATCTCTGCTCTAATCTGTTTCTCTTCTTCTTTTGTTTTCTTTGGACGATTGGTTGATTCCATTTCGTATGTATCAACACTATCACGTTTACTATTATTATTATTATTATTGTTGTTATTGTTATTATTATTGTTATTGTTGCTTGAAGAAGCACGATCTTTATCTCTATTTCTATCTTTATCTTTATCATTGTTATTTCGATCTCTATCACCTCCGCTACTTCCGCCACTTCGTTCACTTCTATCGCGATCTCGATCTCTTCTGTCACGGTCACCACTGCCGCCACTGCCACTACCGCCACCTCTATCTCTATCTCTATCACGATCTCTGTCTCTATCGCGATCTCTATCCCTATCACGGTCTCTACTGTCACGATCTCTTTCTCTTGAATCTTTGTCGTCTTGACCGCCGCTTCCTCTGGATTTACTACTACTCTTCTCATTACCGCTGCTTCCTCTCTTTGACTGATTGCTACTACTACTAGTAGTCGTGGTAGTAGTGTTGGTTTCCGAATCTATTTGCTTTCTATCGGCATCTGAAACAGAGAATGGATTGAACACTTCCTCTTTCTTCTTTCTGTTGTTGCTGCTGCTGCTGCTATTCTCTCTGCTATCTCTATCTCTATCACCCCCACTTCTATCGCTTCTCTCACCTCTATCGCTTCTATCAGTTCTACTATCTCTATCGCTTCTATCGCCTCTATCACTTCTATCACCACCGCCACCACTTCTTTCACCTCTATCGCTTCTCTCACTTCTATCTCTGTCACCTCTTTCATTTCTATCTCTATCACCCCTTCCACTTCCACCACCGTTGACATCAGTAGCAAGCGCAGTTGAAGAACTGTTTCTCTTATCGTCCTTCTTGATGTTCTTTCCACTCTTTTCTTTATCCTTATCCTTGTTCTTTGAATTATCTATACTATTTCTCCTTGGAGAATCTGAACGTTTATCTTTATCGTTTTTATCTTTATCAGTTGATCTATCTCTTGGAGTTGTTGACTTGTTAGATTGTTTGGAGTTATCTGGTTTCGATTTCTTTGATGATCTCTCCTCTTCTTTCTGTCTGCTATTATTAATACTATTGTTATCTTCCTCCATTTCCTTATCACCAAATAAATCTTCATCCTCATCGGATATATCCATCTTTGTACTTTCATCTTCAGTCATATTCGTATTTGTATTGTTGTTGCTTGTTGATGTTGCTGCTGTTGTTGTTGTTGTTGTCATTGACGAATTTGATTCAACTTGTTTTCTCTTCTTTGAATCTGGTAATGGTGGTGGTGGAACTATTATATTTGATGAATTTGAATTTGTAGTAGTTGCTGTAGTAGTTGCGGCTGTAGTTGATGTTGAAGTTGCTGTTGCTGTTGCCGATGCTGCTGTTGCTGTTGTAGTTGATTGTTGATTCTTTGCTTTCTGTTTATCAGGAAGTTTAATAGTAATCTTTAAATCTTTTTTAGATTCCTCTTTCTTAATATTTGGTTCTGTTGTTCCTGTTTCTTTCTTGACATTACTATTATTATTATTATTACTAGTAGTGGATTGTTTAACATCTTTCTTATTGCTATTATTATTTGATGATGATGTAGTTGTTGTTGTTGTTGTAACCATATCATCATTCTCTTCATCACTATATTTATTTGATTTCCAATTGGTGCTATTGCTTGTTGTTGATTTTGATGATGATGATGATGTTGTTGTTGTGGTAACACCATTTGATTTATGTTGATCATTATTACTATTACTGTTGTCATTTTCACCAAATTCAGATATCGATGTACTCTGTACTATGGTTTCGTTGAAAGGCGACAACATCGGAGTGATTGGATTGGTCATCGTCTTGACAATAGTCGATATCGAAGGTTGCGATGATCCACTCTTTCTTGGCATACGTCCATTGGTTGCACCCTCCTGTTTAGTTGTAATAGGCAATGGTTGTTTATAATCACTGAATGTGCAATGTTTAGTTTATTGTATTATACTATTGATTGAAATTGAACTAGTATTTTACTTACTTTTTAACTTTTGATGATGATGACGATGAGGATGATGATGATGACGATGATTTCGAATGACTACTACTACTACTACCATTTTGACGTTGGTGATGATGATGTTGCTTGTCGGGATTACCGTTGCATGTCGAAGATGAACAGATATGATTGGGACGATGATCACAGTCCATCAGGAAGGAACCGTGGGCACCGGTGATCACCGATTCATGTTGATTCTTCAGTTTCGACATTCTCAAATCGATAGTCGATTTCTCTTCGCCCTCCTCCATCTCTTCATCGTCTTCGTCATATCTATTCAACTTTCCATTGCCATTGCCATTACCATGAGTGTTGCCATTATAAACTAAAGTAGATCCACTACCACCATTTGGTTTTTCAACCATCATATCTGAATTGAAACTTATTGAGATTGTTGTAAACTACTAACTATTAACTATTTACTCTCTTTAACTATTATATATAATATTATTTTCTTTAAATTTCCAAACTTGAATAATTAATTAACTATAAATAAACTAACTAAATATATTCATATTAGTTATTTTTAATTTATTTTGTTCTTTTTCTAATACTATATTACAAAAAATAGTGTTGTTATTGTTTTAACAAAAAAAAAACAGAAACAGAAACAGAGATGTGTTTAATTAATTAATCAATTTACTATATATATTTATATTTATATATTATACTGCTGCTTTAGTTAATATGTGATGAGTTGTTTTGTTTTGTTTTTGAATTGATTTAATATTTAATATTTATGATCAATCATATAATACCAAGTGACAAGTCAGTTCATTTATAAATTAATAGTGATTGATTGATTTCACGAATGTTTTATGATTTGATTTGATTAGGATGGAAAATGAAATGAAAAGGTAACAAAAGGGTAAGAAAACAAAATGAAATTTATAATTTACTATTCTTAATTGGTTGTTTTTTTTTTTTTTGCTTTTTTTTTTTTTGTTTTTGTCTGGTTTTTTGGTTTTTTTTTGTTTTTTTTGTTTTTGCTTTTTTGATGATATTGAATTCTCCAAGTCTTCTTCCTGTTTAGCCAAGTTGGTTTTGGTCTAATTTGCAAAAATGTAATTAATTAATTAATTTATTATCTAACAATAGCTTGTAAATCTATCTGATAAGATATTTTTATGATTATTTTTAATTGCTGCTATAAGATATTATTATATATTTGCAGATGGATGATGAATGGATGTCCTAAAATTTTACCTTAAATATATAATTGTTTTTAAATAGTAGTCGTTATTAGGACTATTATTATTATTATTATTAATAATGAAATAAAGTAATATAAATATTAACAATAACACTAAAAAAAAACAAAAACAAAACAAAACAAATAAATAAAAATACAAAACAATGTTATTTTAAATTAACATAGTTACCACTCCACTCATCTCTTTTTGTTCTACTCATTTCATATTACCACACCCTTATTTATTTAATTGTTTTTTTTTTTTTTTTTTGAAAAACAAACATTGTTTGTAAGTGTTATGTGATATGTGTTGTGTGTTGCTTTTAATTAAAAGATACACATTCGAATCGAATGTTAGTTAGTTATTGATTAAACAATAACAAAAATGCAATGAAAGAAAGAGAAAGAAAGAATGTCATTATTGTGACTTTTGTTAAAGTTATTTTATTTTATTTATTATTTAATGTATTATTATTATTATTATAAACCTTCACCAGGAGTGAATTGTTTTACCATTGCTACTGTTGTTTTGTTGTTGTTGTTGTTGATGTTTCAATTTAGCGATTCTCGATGGACCAAACAATGCTCTAGAGTCGTCACGCTCGACCTGTGTGACCTTTTTGAAATCGATAATCTTTAGTTGTGGCATGATGTTGATGAGGTATAAACGGTAGTTCTTCTTTTTTGTACAGATGTTCTCCATGAGAGACAGATATTTGAGTGACGGCAGCTTTGTGAGTGGTTCGAGATCAGCGAGATCGACCAACCTGTTGTTTGTGAGTATCAGTGTTGTCAGTGCGGGCAGCGACGTGCAAAAATCCTCACTGATCGTCGTTATATGATTGTTGGCGAAAAACAGAGTCTTCAAGCGTTTCAAAGGTGGCATATTCTCAAGTCTAGTAATCTCATTGTCCGAAAAATCGATCGTATCGAATTGATCTTTTGTTGCACCTATATTCTCTATTACAGATATCATATTCTCTACATTATTGTTATTATTATTATCATTGTTTATGTTAAATATATAAATAATAAATAAATATAAATATATAACAATAATAACACACACATTAAAGTGTTGTTTTTAAAAGTTTACTTTATTAGTATTATTCTTTCAGTTTGTTTTTGATATTGTAAGTTTTAGTTGTTGTTGTTGTTGTTGTTTCTTTCATTTTCTCTTCTTCTTCTTTTTCTGTTTTATCTAAAAAAAGAAAGTGTTACTTTCTTTATCTTTGCTTCTTTAGACACTAAACACACTACTAAACACACCCTCCTATACAACACTGTTTATATGCATATATATATATATAAGGAAAGAGAGAGACAGACACACATATAATAATATGAAGATATAGACTCTGACTCTATTCTAAACTAATTAAAATACATTAATTAATTAGAATGATCATTGTTTTCTTTTTGATATTTCTATATATATGATATAGATATAAGCATTATAATGAATTCAACATACCTCTCAAGTTTAATTCACGGTCTTTACATGGGTTTATAGTATCGGGTGATCTCAAAATAAGATCAGCTGTAAGTTTCATTCTTTATATCTTAATATAAATATATATATATATAAAGTTATTCAAATAAAATTAATTAATCGTTTTTCGTTGATTAATTTGAATGATATATATATATTAAATATTATCAAATCAAATAAAAAACAACTAAAAAATATGAATGAACCAGTTTTTTTTTTTATCTTTTTTTTTTTTTTTTTTTTGGTTTGTTCATTTTTCGATTGTATTGATTAATTTTAGTTTTTCTTCCAATCGATAATTCATTTATTAAATAATTAGGAAAAAATATTATATTATTTATTAATAAAGGAACAAAATATATTGCAAAAATAAATTTAAAAATAAATAAATAAAATAGATAATCTTTCGATTTTAATCAGTCAATTAAATCACTAACCCAAAGATTAAAAAAAATACATATCCTTAATATTTTAATTGATAACCCATTAATGTTTATATTATTATTTGATTGAGTGTTTTTTAGTTATTGATTAAATACAAATATTTTGTAGTTAATTTTTTAAAATTAAGCAAAATATTTGTTAAAATAAAATGATAAAATACATATTATTTTTAATTTATTGTCAACAATAACAATTGTTCATTTCTTGATTAGAAATTACACATCATACATATTAATTGATTTAATAAAACTGCCTATCACCTACCTTCTCTACTTACTTACATACAATTTTAATTTTATTTATGTTTATTTTGATATAATTTTTTTTGTTTTTTTTAAATGATATCAAATCATACATCATCAAAAATAAAATTAACAGCAAACAATCAAATCAACAATCAACAATCAATCAATCAATTAAATAAATATTAAAAACACATTATTAATTAGCTAATATTTAGTTTACGTATTGTTTTTGTTTTTTGAATATTATTTATTTATTTATTAAGTCATTCAATACTCACCTTCTATTTATTTAATACAATGAGAATCTAATCTTTATATTTTGAGAAAGACATAATCTAATCATTTATTCATTATATATTTCCAATAACACTTACCAATATTAATTAGTCCACTAAAACAAGTAATAGTAAATTTATATTTATATAATTTCTTTATTTATAATTATTTTTAATAGATCAAAAATACTTCTTCCATACCACTTAGCTCTTTCCACTCTTTCCTTTTCTTTCTTTCTTTTTGATTTCCCTACCACCCATCTTTTTTTAAAGTTTTCCCTTTTTCTTGAAAACATTACACACACACACACGCTCACCTCTAAACTTTTTAAAACACCAACCAAACCACCAACAATCACAATCACAATCCAAAGGTGTTTACTTTATTTTTAATTAATTCTAAAGAAACGCCAATCAATTACTAAGTACATATATAGAGCTGATATCAAAAGTGGTATGACATTGTGATTAATTTATACACATGCAGATTTCATAGGTAGCAAAAAAATCCAAATTCATAATATTTGCACACAATCAATCAATATTAATTCATTGATTGACTAATCAAAATCCACTTCAAATCGCCTAAACTATTTAAATATTCAACACCTTTTCCTATAAACTTTAAATCATTTGTTTCTAAATTAATATTTATTTATTTATTATAGTAATAGTATTTTTATTTATATATTATAATCCTTTTCCATTTCCTTTTTTCTTAAAAGAAAATAAAAAATACTAATAATAATAAATTTAGTATTTATTTTTAATTATATTATTTGTATTTAATTTAAAAAAAATAATAATTTATTTTTGTTTCATATATATATATTTATATATTTGTGTTTTTAAAACTTTTGTTTGTTTGTTTATTTGTTTTTTCAATTTTAGTAATAATAATTAATTCTAATAATAAATAATAAAAAAAGAATAATAATAAAATGAAAGAAATAGATTGGTTTCAACAAATAAAAAAGATGGTAATTCCACCACGTCCATCTAGATGGTCAACCAGAGGATATAAGCGCGAATGGAAGTTGTTTATGGCACAGATGGACCATTGCCTTCAGATTGCTGATCGTATCACTAAATCCTATAGTTCTGCTGCCTCTGCCAATGGCGGACTCAACGGTTTGATGATGGGTGGTGGAAATGCAAGACGTTGGACCAATTTCTTCCATAGTAGAATGCAATCATCTGAAGAGCTGATGTCACCAACACTCTTACTTCACGTTACAGAATGTCTTCGTCACTATCTAGTTGGATGTAAGAAACGTTCATCTAAAGCTCAATCATCAAATGGAAATAATAATGGCATCAATGGTAATAATACAAATGGACAATCATCAAACTATACATCATCTGCTTCTTTTGCTTCAAATTCATCTTTTGTTCGTGAACGTGAAGGTACTGAAGATAGTTTGGAAACAAAAACAACAATCGATTGTCAAGCTGTGGCAGAAGGAATGTTGGAGTATGTCACCACACACTGTTTGGATGTCGATAACTCTTTAATTGGTTTCACTGTTAATCCATCGGTAGCCGGTCAATTAACCTATCGTAGATTGAACTCTATAAATCAGTTAATAAAGGAATTCAGTATTGATAGCAATAGTAGTAACAACAATACTCATAATATTGCTGGTACTCTTTGTTTTTCATCTGGTCATCATGGTCATAATCATGGTCATGGTAACAACTCTCATTCCAATCTATCATCTTCACAACAATCTCAATCATCATCAACATCGTCATCAACATCTTCACCTGGTTTATCAAAGATTGCAAAGTTAAAAGGAGCAATCTCCTATCAATCTCCAAATGCTAAGATCATTCATCATGCTGCACAGAGAAGAGGTTCATCCAATCGTTTGACCAAGTCAAACTCCACCACTGTCAATCACTACAAAAAGACACCTACCTCTACTACCACCAACAATTTGACTAAATCATCTAGTTCTTCATCATTGAAACAATCGAAGGATTTAAACGATCCACTCTATATGATTGATTTGTTATCGCGTTGGTCAAAGATGTCCGATCGGAAGCTTGCCAATGAACTTCGTGAGTTTGTTCAGGCACATCATGGCGGTGACGATGATGACTGTGCCAACTATGAAACCGCCTATTTGAACAAAGGTGATCTCGTAGTATTCAAATACCCAAGTAAAGACTGCGGAAGCCAACCAAAATACATGTTCGGTCGTTTCACCGGACAGATTTGCGATTCGCCCAACACCGAGGTCAGAGAATCGGTCCCCGCCACCGAGTATCTCTCGATCTACACCAACCCAACTGAAACCGAGTGGATTTGGATCAAGCGAGATGACATCTTCAAGTTTACCAACCAGCTTAAGATGATGGAACAACTGACAAACGCTCAGAAGATGGGATCAATGGTGGAGTGTCCAACTCTGAAACTTCAGAAAATAATACAAGTCAAAGAGGAAGAGCTACTTAGAAACTACTTGTCCACTCGTTCTGTCTCACCAAGCCTATTGGATAAGCTTGAGAATTACACAATAACTCTTAAGGATCTTAGAGAATTGCGATCACTCTATGTTATTCTCTCGCAACTCAGTTCGAATCTACCGATTGAGTTGGTTGGCAGTGTCTCGAGAATGGTGGCAGCGGAGGTCGGTAGATTCTTGAGTACCGTTGACATTGGAACTCTCTACACACCGACAAGAAGAACTCTTCTCGATGGATTGGAACGTTATCATGAGATAAGAGGTTCGCAACTCAAGTCAAGAGCAGGAACACTCCGTTCCCTCTGTGAGAATGCAGTCGGTCGTTTGATATCAGCGAAACTCGAGATACTCGACGGAACCAGAAAGCTTCGTGTTGTCAATTGGTGGTTAACGTTGATCAAAGAACAAGTAGAAGATTATCTTAAAGCTCGTGGATTCACACCGGATGCTGTTCCCGCCGACTACACGGTGACTCCACCGGCCAGTCTGAAAGTGGTGGCCGACAATCTCGTTGTGCTCCACAATGCTTTGCCATCGGGATGCTCGATCGATCCTCAGCTAATCGATTTGGTCCGTCGTTTGAAAGATGCAATCTACCCGGTGATCGAAGATTTCAACAGTTGCATCCGCTACATCCTCTGTGAGTGGCTGGACATTGACTTCAAAGAGGACGGTGAATACATCGACTTTGGCGCGGCACTCGCCAAGAACTTGGCAACGCTCTCCAGTGACAACATCGCCAAGATCAAACGTATGATCAAAGACAGTGAGTATCTCACTGAGATGGTGCGTCTTGAGAATTCGATTGTCGACAGCAGCTACGACGACGCCCGTCGCTATGAATCCGACATCATACCGATCTCCGGTTTGATATTCGGTCGTCTCTATCGTATTGAAAACGAACTTAGAACTGTAATTGAATGTTGGCATGACATTGAAACAAAGAGATCACCATTGAAAAGTTCAAATCGTTATAATTCAAACAACAACAACAACAACAACAATAATAATAATAGTAATCATCATAACAGATCCAACTCTTCTTCTTCTTCTTCTTCTTCACCAATTCAATATCATCCAACCAAAGCAATTATTATTCCAACTACAACCATTGTTTCTCCATCGCTAGCATCTAATTCCTCCACTAAACAACCTGTATTAAACAAATCTTCAACAACATCATCTACTACTACTACAACAACAACTACTACTACAACCAACAACAACAACAATAATATTACAGCAACACCAATAAAAACAGTATCATCACCACAACAAGTAAAATTCAATATTCCAGAGATTGTAATTGAATCAATCGAAAGTCCAAATGAAACTATTAAATTTGAAAAACAACACCAACAACAACAAATTTCAGTTTAAATGTTAAATAAATAAAATACATTCTATATTTTTTTTAGTTATAACAATTTAATTTTAATATTAATTTGTCTAAATGTTGAATTGACTACTGACTTACCTCTCTATATAATTATGACTTATATACAATTAAAACTACAAATTTATTTTTATCTCTGTCATTGTCTTAAATGTACTATTAAGAAAAATTAAATACTTGTATTTTAAAATATATTGTTGATATATCATCATCACTTGAAGAGATAGATATCTTAAGACTATGACAACAGTTAAGGATAAATATTTAGTTTAATATATATATTAAAGCCACTCATAACAAGCTCTGATCAAATGTTTTTATTTTTTTGTGATTTGGTAAAAAAGTAAAGGTATAGGTATTGGTCACGTGAATAAATAAATGCCCGATAGCTTCAACTTTTGCAAAATCAAATAAATTTGGTTTAATGATCATTTATTATTTTGTTTTATTTTTATAAATTCTATTTATTTAATTGAATTTACATGTGATAGATTTGAGATTTTAAGTTGAGACAAGCAATTATTTAGATTTTAGAAAAGATTGTTAAACCTAAAGTATTTGGAATGGTACTGTGACGTCTGATCTCATCGATCTTGAATCCCGAATGTTTGGCAAGATACTCCCAATCCTGAGGAGTTCTCTCCTTTCCGTTGCACACCATCAACATGTGGATATCGTTCCAACCAGCTTGATTCTTCTCATTCTTGAGATTCAAGTCGTTGATTAAATCATAGACATAGATTTTTCCACCTGGTCTAATGGATTTGCTGATTGTCTTGAAAATATTGACTGCACACTCATCATTCCAATCGTGAATGATACTCTTTAAAACATAACAATCTGATTCTGGAACAGAGACAAAGAAATCACCAGATTGGTCAGTATATCTCTTATCGAGATTTTCACCATGACTATTGTTTTCAATAACAGATTTTATATCAAAGTTGATTCCTTCTTTAATATTTGGATAGTTTGCCAAAATATTCTTTAATAACCTTGATATTAATAGAATTTTAATAAGATTGGTTTATATATTCTTCAATATTGTATACTTACAATCCTTGACCTCCACCCAAATCAACAACTTTTTCAAATTTAGAGTAATCGCTGAACGATAGTAAGACGGGAACAAACATGTTGGTAACTCCAGTCATTGCTTTACTGAAAAGTACTTCCTCTTCTTTGTGATCTTTCAGATACTCCCAGAGGTCCGGATAGTTTAGTGATTCCTGATGGTTGGTTCTTCCAGTCTTCACAGAGTTGAACAGTCCATTCCACGAGAGAACTTGACCAGGACTTCCCCTCATCAGTACCATATCTCTTACACCTTGATCTCTGAGACAGAGTGACATTGGAGTGTGCTTGAAGATACCATGCGTCTTATTGGTATCGGTGATCTCTTCTTCCTGGAAGAGACTCATCGATGTGAGTGCTCTCATGAATCTGTAGAGAGTGTCTTCGTGGACTTTCAACTCCTTCGATAGATCCCCAACGGATTTCGATGATTCCGGAGCAATGTGCTCAGCGATACGCAACTTTGTGCAAACCTCCAAAGCCTTGCTTCTTTGGACACCCGACATAATGGTGTAAACCTGTTTAACTATTTCAAAACTTGGTTTGCTCATTGTTTATTTAGTAGAAATTATTACTAGATATTTTAAATTAAAAAATATTTGTTTATTTAAGTAATGATTAATATATTCCTTTCATTGGGGTGAACCTTATTTATATTTTTTTCCTTTTTAAAAAAATATAAATTTTTATATTAATTAAAAGGTGGGGGAAATTGGACCTTTTTCTACCCCTTTTTAGAAAGATTTTCACACCTTGGTAAACATCACAATTACTTCAACAACAACAACGTAATCTATATTTATGTTTTTTGTTTAAGTCAATATTTTCATCTTGCAATTCAAACTATTAATATAGATTTATTTTTGGTTTCGACATCGTGATAGATAGCGAGGTGATATGTTATTGCCTTTGCAAAGAAGTGATTAAATCATTAAGCAAAGCATATAAACAAAGATATTTATTAACTAAACTAAAATTATATTGTAATAGTTTATTTCGAGGTATAGATATTTTTATGAATCGGCAATACAACAATAGTTTGTTTGGTGATGGATAATTTACATCATCGATAAAGATAAGTTGTGAATAACATAAGAATATATATTGGTTACATTTTCTGTGTTTGCATATTACTCTTGTTTGTTTTAGATTCTATAGAAAACCAAATTAGATAAACACACACACTTTACTGTTAGGTTACATCGTTTGTTTCTGTAGGTTTGCTTTTGTCTTTTTATTTACATGAAATATATATAGATTCCAAATTAATAATCATGTTTTGGAGAGTTTGTTTGGTGTTTTTTTTTTTGGATTTTTGTTGTTGTTTTTCTGCTAGCTTGGCGATATTTATCCACAACTAAGTATCTGATGTATTCATGGGTGTTGGTGTTGTAGGTGGTGATGATGATGAAGATGTCGTTGAATTATTCGTAGTAATATCAGCAGCAGCAGCATCAGCAGTAGTTGTTGATTCTGTTGTTGTTTCTGTTGATGTACTAGTAGTTGTGGTATTAGTGGTGGCGTTGTTGGTGTCATTTGTATTCGCTTTTGTATTGGTCGAATCCAAAGAAGAAGAAGAAGAAGAAGCTGAAGTAGTAGTTGAGGTTGGAGTCACTACTTCAGTTTCAAGTATCATCTTTGGAATTTCATATTCATCGTAGGTTCCAAGTTCCAAGTTTTTCTTATAAACTCCCAACGATTCCATAAAGTATTTATTCTTAAAGATATCTTCAATTTTCTCACTTTATCAAATAACTTATTAATTAGTTGTTGTAACTATATATTATAGTTAATAATACATACCCAGATGGTAATAACGTTGAAAGTTTAGTTAATTCTTCAATATTTAAAGTATTCAGAACAGATTCAGTTAAAACATTCTATAGGTAGTAGAAAATTATCAAAAGTTTGTTAACAACCATTGCAGCTGCGTTTTTGAAATAGCATTAATAACTCTTACATATATGTCAACAGAAGCAAGTGGTGATCTTTTGTTGGTGACGAAATCGTTGGCGATTGTGTTGGGTGCCTTTGATCTCTTGACTTGCTTTTTCTTCTTTGGCTTTGTTTTAATCTTTGTAGTTCCGCTGTGAAATGATTGTGATTCAGCACTTCGCTTACTTGGTAGAGTAAGTGCTTTTGATTGTGTTGGTGGTGGTGGTAGTATGGTGTTACTTGATTTAAGACTTGATTTCTTATCAGTGGTGGTGGTTGTGGTGGTGTTGTTGTTTGTGATGGTGGTGTAGCTTGTGATTGGTTGTGCAATCATTGGTTGCAAACAATTATTGTTTAAATCAGTCGGTGTTATTATTTCCATTGGTTGGATTTGTTGTTGTAGTTGTTGTTGCTGTTGTTGTAAGTTCATTGGTGATGAAAGTGATGACGATGATGAAGATGAAGATGACGATGATGTATCATAGTTTTGAACTGAACCGATCACCATTGGATCGTCAAAACCACGCATTATAGATGGAGTGTGATTTGGATAATGAGTTAGGAGTGTTGTTTGTACATAGTTGATAAATCTGACGGTTTGTAACGGTGAGAGTTCAGCAATCAAGATATTGAATCTAGTGCATGCTGAATTTACAAAGTTATCATATGACATTTGTACAGGTGGAAATAAGTACATTTCTTGTTGTTGCTGTTGTGGTTGTTGTTGTTGATTTAAAGGTTGTTGTTGTTGTTGATGTTGATGTTGTTGTTGTTGTTGTTGTTGAAGTGTCATTGGTAGTTCGCTGATAGTCGGCATTGGTAAAGATGAAGTTGATTTGGTTGGGTCAATATTTAATGTAACAGATGTCGGTGTAGTTGTTGCGGTTGCTGTTGTTTTGGCTGTGTCGGTGTTCGATTTTAAATTTAGTAAAGATTTTGATGATGATGATCTGGAAAGTGAAGATTTAGAACCACGACCTCCTCTTCCGCCACCACCTCCTCCTCCTGAAGAGGACTTTGATTTCTTTGATTTTTTTGAACTTGGCGAGTCGAAAATAATAAGATTTTCAGATGAAGGTGATGTAGCTCCTATTGGTGAGCCTGCTGTTGATTCCGGGTTAGGAATACTTGATGAAGAGTTCAAAGGTGTCGATGATTGAGAAGAGGAAGAAGATGTTGAAGATGTTGTGGTTGTATTCGTTGTTGTAGTTGCATTGGCTGGAGTGAAGGTTGAAGTTGTCGATGTCGATGATGCTGATGATGATGATTTTGATTTTCCTTTCTTCTTTTTTGGTGTCGATGTTTTACCGGAAGAGGAAGAACTAGAGGCTGTACTGCTCCCTGAGCTAGTTGGATTATCGTCAGAGGAAGTAGGAGTTGGCGAAATGGAAATAGGCGAGAATTCAACCTTTGTATTGAATTCATTTGGCAGAGTGGTGGCGAATGGAAATGAATTTGGTGAACTGTTGGCAGAGTTTGGCTGTATTGAGAGGTCGTTGCTTTGAGTAGTGCCACTGCCATTTGCACCAGGTTGGATATAAACAGTGGAAAAAGTTGGACATGAGCTTTGTCTATCGAATTTGATACTTTGATCTTTTTTATCGGTTCTTGGTGATGAAGGCACCTGACTACATACCGAAGTTGGTGTAATCTGATTATTCAATATTTTCATATTAATATCGACAGTTGAATTACTGGTAACAACAGAGTTTTGTTGTTGTTGTTGTTGTTGAAAATTATTGAAAATATACTGAGGTTGAGAAGTTGTTTGAACAACTGATTGATTATTATTGTTGTTGTTGCTTTGAAAGTTTGTAGTTATATTCATTTCCAACTTTCGTTTGTTAATATTTAAAAATCTATTGTTATTGCTGTTGATATGTCCAATAGGGATGCTGCTATTTATATTGCCATTTGAAACGGGTGTTGAGAATTTTGGAACTTGATGATTTGTTGGGGAGTGTGGTGGAGGTGGTTTAGGGATGAAATAAGATGTCTGTGATAGAAATTGATTTCCGTAGTCTAGAGATGATTGCTGCTGTTGTTGTTGTTGATCGACCAAACTTCCATTGCTATTGAAATATATAGATTGAGACTTTGAGATATCGACACCTCCTGTTAGGTCATAGCTATTGGCGCCACAATCCATCAATGAACTATTATAATTGATTTGTTGAAACATCTAGTGTGTGTTTTGATTGATATTTGAACAATATTTTTATCAACTATAATAATATAATACTAAACTCCACCTAACTGACTAATTTTGTCTTGAATTTTCTATTTTTATTATTTTTATTTTGTCTAATAAAGATTATTTTTCACTGATTGTATTCTAAATAAATATATTTTAAAAAAACAAATTTTAAATGGAAAGTTGAAAATATTTTACCAGATTATGTTTTGGTAAAATTTAGCATATATAAATAAAAATAAATTTGATAAAGTAAAAACAAAGGTGAAGAATAAAGAATAGTAAAAACAACTAAACAATACAGACAAAAGAATTCGAAATTTTTGATTGATTTAATAAACCATAGATTTAAGTGTCCAATTTTGGCTTTAGTAATAACTAGTGCTTATTGGATTGGAAGAAAACCAACAACAACAACATATAAATAAATTGGAATCAGGAATAATATTAAATTTAATTGGGTCAGGAAATAAAAAAATAAAAAACAACTACAAAGTGGTGTTTAAGAATATGTATTCACTAATTAGGTGAGAATAGTGAGGGAAATGAGGAGGAGCTGGCTAATTGGTTGGCTGGCTTACTTGTATACTTTTTTTATTTTCTTTCTTTCTTTATTTCTGATGGACTGACAGGCTGACCAAAAAAAAATGATAAATTAAAAAAAAAACAAACACTTTAACAAAAAAAAAAAAGTAAGTTATGTAAATGACTGTTGTTGTTGTTGTTTGTTGGGTAGTAGTTAATCGGAGATGTTGTTGTTGTTATTATTGTTGTTTTTGATTGACTGAATTGGTAATTTACAATTATTTAAGAAAATTATATAAAAAAGATGTAATTATTATATTATTAATTTAATTTATTTATTATTTATTTAATTTATTTGTTTTTATTTATTTGTATTTTATTTTATTATTATTATTATTAATTTTATTTATTTTTATTTTTATTTTTTGTTCAAGATTGTTTTTGAATTCTATATTTACAAATTTGATGTTGTTGTTGTTGTTTTTTGATTGTTGGATGAGTTTGGGAGTGAGGGTTGAGTGTTTTTGATTATAATTTATTTATAGTGTGCCAGTGTGTGTATTGAGTGTGTGAGTTTATGTGGGAATTTCTGGGTGTGTTTTCAATATGAGTGATCAATCACTCACTAACTCACTCACTTGCGCACACATTCATTCTAATTGATGCGCAAGTGAGTGGAGTGCGAAAGAATATATATTGTATAGATAGGAGGAGGCAACAGTTCGAATGGGGGTATTGTTATATCGAACGGGAGAAATAGTCAAGTGGTTCAATCACCTTTCTCAACTCAATTGAATGTTTGGTTGGTTGGTTTGTTTGGTTGGTTGGTGGGATGGTATTGTGGGTGTGTGGAGTTGTTGTTGGTAGAGGTAGTGTTAATGATGGAGTGGTATAACAAAGATAATTCCTATATGTAGTGGAGCTAAAATGGCGATGCAAAATAAATTCTCACACTCACAAACACACTGAAACTGAAGGGGTCAGTCAGTCGACTTTGAACTCATCCCAAAATCACAAGGTGTGGTTGTAGGCCCAAATTCACCTTTTTTATATATAATAATAATTATTATATTGTGATTAATCATTTAAACACACAACACTTTATATATATATTAGTTATACACACGCGTATAAATAATATTAACACATCAGATTTGATTATACACAAATCTTTAACTTAGAATGAAAAAATTTAATGAGGTGGTGTTTGTGTGTTGTTGAAATCAATAACAATAGTCAAATAACAACAACAACATAATTTATACATATATATATAGTGTAGTGTATATATAATTTTATAATTATTTTATTAATTGTGTGTGTATGTATATGTGAGTTAGTGTTGTGTTTTAGTTGATATTAGAACCAACAACACGATGAGCTAATTGTATGTTGTTTTGAAAATCAAAATAGCAAGTATGGTAACAATCATAGAGTGCCACATTCCGGAATGTGCATTCAACCTATCCAAATATGACACAATTCTCTAAAAGATATAGATATACGAGGTTGTTCCCAAAGTGTGTGTGAGTATGAGATGTAGAACCACCATACTTTTTCTGAAAAATAAGAGTGAGAGAGAGAGAGAGAGACTCTGATGTATTTAGTGTTCTTTAATGTTGTTGTTTACAAGTAAAAGTATTTGAATCAATCACGTAAAGAACAAATAAAAATAAATAAAAAAATATATACTGCATTAAAATTTCCAAATAGGAAAGAAAAAAAACAACATCAACAACAATAATAATAATAATAATAAACACTGACACTAAAAAAGAAAGAACCAACCATAGAAAACCTATTTTAATTAAATTATTTAAAAATTGATTTGATTTTGATTAACTTGTTACCACACACACACACACACACACACACACACACTAGCTTTAACTAAAAATTAACAGTGCCAATGTAATAAAAAGGAAAAATGATTTTAGTGAATGTGTTGTGTTAACACTCTCTCTCTATTTCTTTGCTTTTGTGATGCCTTGTTTTAAATTTAATTTAAATTAAATTATATTAAATAACAACAACACCCATAAACTGTCTGGTTTATTAATAATATTATTTGTTTCTTCTCATAGTGTGTGAGAGAAGCACTTAGTGGTGCCACCCATTGGCATGACCATCTGGATGAAGCGACAATGCAAAAAGTGAAAGAAATAAATAAATAACAATGTTAGTAATTTTAAATTTTATATATATATGATGTTAAGTATATATTCTGATTAGTGTGTGTGTGTGTGTTTAATGCGATATAATAGTGTGGTGTGTGTGGAGTAAAGGTACCTTTACTTCTCTCCATTCAGATGACGAATGTGGGATACAATCAAAAACAAATTATTATATGTGCCACAAAATGATGATTGGTACTCTGCAAATGAGAAAAAAATATTTATAATAAAAATGATAAAATGATTGGTACTGTGTGTGTGAATTTAATGGAAATCATTCTACTCGATACATTTAAATATTTAAATTAAATTTGCTATAAATGTTAATGTAAAGTTGGTGGATTTATTAATTGGATTGAATTGATTTGAGTGTGTGGCTGTGTGTTAAGCGGAAGATAGATCAATCATGGTGTTGTTAAACACAAGAAATAAGTAAATTTATTTATTACAATATTTATATATATGTGTGTGTATATATTCAGAATTAGAGGAAAGCAACACAATTATTAAAATATTGTAAACATGTAGATATATGAAAACTCTCTACCTATAATCTTCATCTTACTCTACCAAGTAGGTGAGCAAGGAGGTGTCTCTTATTGACAATATATAATATTATATTATAAACAACCATTTGTAGTTGGAGCTTTCCAATCTAATGGGTTGGGTCATTCACACGAACACACACTTATTCACACTCCATTTTCATTCCTTTTACGAAAGGGAGTGGTGTGGCTGACTGTAGTTGAGTATGAAAAAAAGAATATAAATGTTTTTTTGGTGTTTTTGTTTTTAGTATAGATATAGATATAGATATCTAAATCCATGGATAGGGTATGGGTGTATTGTTACTGATGGTATGAAGATATTACAAATATAACAACTTTTGTAAAGGAGAAGTTAAATAGATTATGATTGGTTATTTGTTTGTTTGTTATATTATTATTCAAAAGGTTGTTTGTTATTTTTAAAAACCAGCCACAATGGGTTTGTTATTTGTTTGTTTGTTTGTTTTGTTTGATTAATTGACTGATTGGATGGTAAAGAATTGAATTATATTGTAATGTAATGTTACATTATTATTTTAAATGAATAATCGATAGAATGGAATATGTGTGTGGGTGTTTGATTTGTGTAATTTAGAGTTAAATCTAAGATTTACAACCAATTCAAGAACAAACACAAAAAGAAAGTAAGTGGAGTGGATTTTAAGAGATGATGATGATTATCATCATGAATAATAACAAACACAAATATGGTGTTACAATTGCAATAATGATCATAACAACAAGTACTTACTCTCCATCATTGGTTCTAATGTTCCTCTAAAGAAATTTCCATCGCAACCCCATCTCAATCCATAGCTCTCACTACATCGAACCTCCAAAATTATAATATTATGCTAAAAGTATGTATTTTAATCATAAAAGCAAGTAATTAAGTTAACAATCATTATTGCCAATAGATTTGATTTGATTATTAATAACTAAAATAATTAATAATTTGAGAGTGTAATCAATCTACTTACAGGCAATGCATGCATATTGATCCATGTTGAGTCACGAAGAATTCTAATGATTGTCTTCTCTGATCTCTGATTTTTATCCAACTCTGGACCCTTTCCAGATCCCCAGAATGAATTCTCCGATCGGTTGGCATGCTTACAGAAGGCACGAGCCGACACTGAGAGTCTCGAAGCTGATCCCGGTGTATGTGGAAGATTGGCACTGTTCATCAATCTAACAGGTCCATGCGGAATAGCACTACTCGATCCAACTGTCTTTCTCATGCCCAACATATTCAACAAACGATCCAAATTCAACTGACTCGTAATCAACTCTTTAACTTTATCAACCAACAGTTTATTATTATCAATGAACTGATTATTTTTATAATTCTTCTTTTCTTCAACACTATTCTCATTGTTACTCTCTTTATTACTCTCTGTACTATTCTCTTTATTCTCATTACTTTTCTCAATGTTCTCGTTTTTACAACAATTTGTTGTAATTGTTTCTTTTTCAATATTTACATTATTTTCATTACTATTATTAGTTATAATATCTATACTATTATCATCATTATTATCATTACTATCTATTTTACATGTTCTAAGAGAATCATATTGTTTGAACAGAGAATTTATGTTGGTCAAAAATTGTTGTTCCCATGCTTTTTGGGTCTCGACAAAATCACTGACTTCATTCAAACCATGTAGTGAAACCATTCTATTTGGATATCGACCAAGCTTATACCAAGCTACTAATATCATTGATATCTATATTAATCAAGTTATTTTAAGTAAAGTCGTGTTATTAATATAATTAGATTCTAATAATAATTCATACATGTTTATAATATGGCTTAATAGGATAGAAATTCGTTCCATTCTTTAATAATTCGAATCTCTCTGCAATTGACTCTCTATCATAATTGAAATATTTGATATTCTAAAGATTATTAATTGTAAATAATTAAGAAATTAATTTATAAATTCTAATTATAAATATTTACATTTTCATCAATAAATTGAGGAGTATCATCTTCATTTAAAAGATTATCTCTTTGATCATCGGCTAGCCACTCAAACGACAATCTATTCTCAATTAAATACTTTAAAATCTGATCTAATTCCAATAGTTTACTATAGTCTAACTCCATTTCTATATCCATACTTTTGTAATTGCTAAATTATTATAAATAGAATAAATAAATGTTTAAATCATTATCACAGCTATTTAAAATTTATAAATAAACTAAACTAGTTTAAATTACTAAACAAAGAAAATTATAAGAAAATGAAATGAAATAACTTGTTGTGTGTTTTCGTTGATCGATCACACAGCAGTTTTTTTGGATTTTAAAAAAAAAATTTACAAATTTTATTTATATTTTATATTAAGCTATTAAATTTATGAATCATCTCCACCCTGTTGCTGTTGTTGTTGTTGCTGTTGTTTCTTTTGTTCGTTGTACAAAGAGACCATATCATAGTTTGGGAATAGTGTTGAATCGGTCTCAGCAAGTGGCATAACAGTATGATATTGTTCCAAATCTTTAAAGAGTTACAAAATTAGAATTTATAATGATAGTGATAATGATAATAGTAATACATACTGAATTTATCTTTGAAATTCTTTAAACCTGCAACAGTTAATTTACCATCGGGGGTCAGATGGAGATTTAGCTCTGCAATGTCACCCTCTGTAACACTCTGTAATAAATCATGCTTGGCCTCTGCGTTGAATGGCATCATCTGTTCGTTTGAAGTTCCATCTTGCAAGATGGGAATAGTGAATTGCAGAGAGTTTGGTGTCTTTTTCTCGATTCTCTCTATCATCAACATACGATCGATATGTTCACCTCCAGCTTTGCAATTTTGATAGTTTGTATAGAATGTACCTCTTTGTACTCTTTGTATAAAAAAATATTCTGCCATTATTATCTGTGACTATATATCTATTATTATGTTTTAAAAATGTAAAAAAATAAAATAAATGAAACTAACATTAAAAAAAAAAAAAAGTTCAAATATGTTTAGTTTTTGGCGGGTCAGCGAATTCAAAAAAATTTCAAAAATTTCTTCGAAATATATATAATTGTAATATTATTACCTGTAATTATGTTTTGTTATGTTATGTTTTGTTTATGCGATGTTGTTTGTTTATTTTTGATTGCTGTTGTTATCGGATTTTGAGATTGCATCTGATATCTTTGGTAATAATGAATCTGATTTTAATTGATCGAATCCACATATCTCTTTGATGTTCTCTACTGCGTCTTCCTTTGGAATGACAATGTTCTCCAACGCAACCAACTGTGAACGAATCGACTCACTCGAGAATTTTAACATCGAATGATTTGTTTGAACTATATTTGGTATTATAAGCTTTGATTATAATAAACAAAACAATTTATAATTAATACATACATCTACTAACGTTTGTGTGATAATAATAATAATAATAATAATAAAACTTACATTATGTAATGCACACCTATATATATCATTAGCAATTCTAATCGAAACTGCTCTTAAATATATATTTGTCCATTCATCTAATATTAATTTTAGAAAATGTTAATATTACTAAATAAAAAGTTTTAAACCAACTAACTAAGTAACTTACTTGATAATGGTATTAATTTCTTTTGATCTTTGTTGTTTGGTAGGATGTCTTTGAGTACAACTCTAAACTCTTCGTAGGTGATGGATGGTGTCTGCTCTTTGTAGATCTGATGCATAAAGATGCTGGTATCGATGTTGTTTGAGATCTGCTGAGAGTGTTCGTTGATAAAGTATCGTTCTATATAGTTTGCACAGTTGGGTGCCACTCCCATGCTAAAGAAACGATTGACACCCTGTGAGACGATACGTGGTACCTGCTTATACCACTTACTCTTTATGAGTCGTGATACTACCTTTCTATAATTTGCATTCCATCTTTCAAATTCTGTTTGTCTAATATTATTATTACTATTACTACTTGTACTATTATTACTATTACTACTACTACTACTATTACTACTATTACCAGTACCACTTCCTTTCTTTATTGTTGATGATGATAGTATTTCTGTTGTTGATTCTGGCCAGAGTTGATAACTTGATTTCAATCCACTGGTTTGGTGATGTAGATGGTCAAAGAGATGCGACTCGTTTGTGATGCCTGGCGAGCGAATCAATTGCAGCCATTCCTGTCCGTAGTGAGAGTAATCGATTGGATGTACGGCGCTTGCTATCTTTATCGGAACGGGATGTGAAAGGAATCCAGTTAGATCTTCAAAACGCTTGAGATAGTCGGTTTCATTGTATCTCTTTATATGTGATGTTTCTTTATCTTTCATTGCTGTACTACTATTACTATCTTTATCTCTCTCTTTATCTTTAGAATGTTGTTGTTCTGTTGTTGTTGTTGCTGTTGTTTTCACTTTGAATTGCTCTGTCATTGCTTCTTCCAACACCTTGAATATCTCTTGTTCCAGATTCTTCTTTATAAAGATATTCATCGCGATCGACTCTACCGAATTGGGATGTGTCAAAGCTTTAAAGAATAGCGATTGGTTCTGACTGAGTCTATTGATTGAAACACCCGTACTCTCACTACTCAACGCCAAAACATTCAAAGTTCTCTTATGTAACTGTCTAAGACTATTTTGTATCAAACTTAAAATACTATCTCTATTTTTCTTTAAATAAATCTAAATAGAATATTTTCGAAATTGGTTAATTAATAAGTTGTTGTTGTTACTCTATTATCATTACATATATGTAGTACTTACCTTGAATATCTTATTCCACATATCTTTTGGTCCGGATGTAACTGTACAGTTGTAGAGAGTTTGTATCTCTTTCTTCACCTCTTGGTTGAGGGTGTTGAGATCGAGTGGCAAACCCAACTCTGTGGACTTCAAACCACGGAATCCAACCCAACCGTTTGGCAATTGAATCTTCTTGTTGGAGAGAAGCTCCGTTGTATTGGCCGGTGAAAGGTAGAATTTATCGAGTTTGGTTACCACTCCGAATGTCGAGATGCCGTGTGGATCGAGATTGAGTGTGGTGTGGTGATCGATCTCGGATGGCGCGCCAACCGGCTCCATACAGAGTGCTATTATCTGGTGTTCGTAGGGCACCTGCAGTGTCATCGTACTGATGATCGAGTTGCGAATGAGTTGGCCAGACTCGCGGTAGTCGGCGGCTGTGCGGAATGACGGGAAATCGATCAGTCGGATATTGTGCATGTGCGGGCCCGCTACAACAATCTCGAGGGGTGAATCGCTGAGCAACTCCTTTGGCGTGGAGACCGCCAGTTTCTCATCGATTTTCCGGCGTAGCGTGGCGAGCTCGTAGATCCGGCCAGAGTTGCCCCAGCCACCGTCTGCAAACTCGAAATAGGATTCACCGCGCGTGCGCACACACTGGATGGAGATCGAGCGCCACTTTGGTTTGCGACCGAGCAACTCAAAGCCGAGCAGACCATCTATGATAGTGCCTTTGTCCGATCCTTCCAGCCCGATGAACGCAACCGTTCCGAAACTGGGATACTCATTGAAATTCAACAGCTTATAGAGATACTCGATGACGTCGGTCGATCTCGATTCAACCAATTCCGGTTGTTGTGATATTTGTTGTTGTAATAGCATTTGTTGTTGTTCTTGTTTTTGTTGTTGATTAGGTTGTAATTGTAATTCTTGTTTTTGTTGTTGTTGTTGTTGTTGTTGTTGTTGTTGATGTTGATGTGATGATTCTTTTGGATGTTTTTTATTTAAACGTTGTAGAAATTTCTCATGTAATTCATCTTTTGATAGCGTCTGATTGTCTTGTAATCCCATTTGCTCTTTTACACTTCGATTGATATTGAATTGTTTGGATTTCTTGAGTGTATATCTAAACTCTTTATAGTCATGATGTTCCTTCAAAGCTTGATTCAACTCTTTTTCATCGCTTCCAGCAGCAACAACATTCTTTTTATTCTTATTACCACTACTAAAACTCAACTGTTGTTGCTGTTGTTGATGTAACCTTTTATGTTGTTGAAACAATTGCAACTCCTGTTGTAATAATAAACTACATAATATACCACTGTTACAACAACTACTCGAATTGTATCTTGACAACATGTTGTTTTCAACCAAATACCAAACTGCTAACTGACTAACTAACTAAAATAAAAACTAAACTAAACTAAAACTAAACTAAACTAAATATTTTCTTCTTTTAGATTTTATATCATTGCAAATGTTATTAGATAAATAAATATAATATATTTTAAGATGTGTGTGTGTGTGTGTGTTTGTCTGATCTAAATTAAATTCAACGCAATTACGTAAAATGTGTGTTTATTTGGTTGTGAATTTGATTGGTGAGTGTGCGTGTGTCGAAGTTCGTCACAAAATCATATGACAAGCCTCTAAAACCACACACATAAAAATTAAATATTAAAAATAAAACAAAAAAAAAAAAACGAAAAACTCGTAATTATTTTTATATCTTTATTATTTCTAATCATTTTTAAATTAAAATTTTCATTTTTGATTATTTTCGTTTTATTTCAATTTTTATTATTATTATTACAGATATAGATATAAGATATAGATATTATTAAAACATACAGATATAGATATTTTTAAAAGAACAACAAACAACAATGAGCACAGAAATTATTAGTCCAGATATAAATAATAATGATAATGGTCGTGCTGCTGCTGGAAAGTCTTGGCCATCAGTTCAACCTTTGGCACATCCACTCAGTTTCTCATTCGACGAACCACAGGTGAAACCTTTTGAGTATCCATGTTTGATGTGTGAACACGTCGAGTATGAGAGTCGACCGATTTTGGAACATCTGTTTAACTCACACAAGATTGTCATTGGCGAAGTCAATCACATTGCGAATCTCTCGGCGTATCTCGGTCACTGGAGAAAGCTGATGGCCGACAAACCGCTGACCACCTACACCTCGATGATTCAAGCGCAATCCGACGGACCGGATGCCGAGCCAACCAGCTACTACCTGCTTTCTGACATCGTTCCCGAGGACCAAGCACTCCGCAGAAACCTGCAGACCGAGCGTCTGGCGTTTGTCCTGGATCAGCAGCATCACGAGCGTTCCGATCCCAACTTTGAATCGATCTGCCCAATGTGTCCTACGGAGTTCCGTGGCGATAGATCTGCGGTGTCCAGCCATCTCTTTGAACAACACAACTTCAACGTTGGTTTGCCAGACAATTTGGTGAATATCAACGAGATGCTAGAGATTCTCAGAGAGAAGTTCGATGCCAATCAATGTTTGTTTTGTGAGAAGATTTTCAAGAGTTCCATCGTAATGAAGCAACACATGAAAAAGAAGAAACACATGCGTCTCAACCCACAGAACAACATCTACGATCGTTTCTACCTCTTGAACTATTTGGAGGCCGGAAAGAACTGGGAGCAAATCAAAAAGGAAGACGAAGAAGATACCACCGTCGAACCAGTCACCAATAACATTGATATATTAAAACAAGTAGAAACTGAATCAAAAGGACAACATGTTTCGTATGTTAAAACTAACCTTTTTTAATTATAATAGTAATATTCATATCCTTACTAATCAATTTAACTACTTTTTAATAATATTTAGTTCACAATGGGATGATTGGACAGAAAATGATGATGATGAACAAGAAGATACAGTAGTTTGTTTATTTTGTCCATCGCAATTCGACGATTCACAAGTAGCATTCGACCATATGACTACAACACATAAATTTGATTTCCACAATATAAGAAAAGAATGGAGTAAGTTTGTTTATAATACTTTAGAAACAAAAAAAAACAAATAATTATTAATACTAAACTACTAAATCAAATCTATTGATTTTATTTCTTTTTTTTTTAAAAAATGTATAGATATTGATTATTATGAAAGCGTTAAAATGATAAACTTTATTCGTAGACATCAATATGAAAAGACCTGTTGTTGTTGTGGTACAAAGTTTGAAAGTGATAAACTGTTGGAAGAACATCAAAAGGATGAAGGTCATCACAAGGTCGATCGCCAATTGGATGTATGGCGCGATGCCCAATACCTTTTACCAACTTACGAAAATGATAGTCTTTTGCGATCGTTCGAAGACTTTGATGAAAGCGAAGATCTCGACTATGAACAATCGGAACACAAATACAGAGATGAACTGATTGACGAACTTAAACATGAACGAGAGGAGATAATGGAGAAGCTCGCAAGTTGCAATGTGCGTATATAACCATCAATTTAAAAGAAAAAAAGAAGCAAAACAATAAGACAATAAACAACCATAATGTATTGTAATAAGAAAAAAGAGAACAACAACAAACCAAATCAACCCAATCCACACAGATATCTATTTATAAAAAAAGAAAATCTAGATCTAAAACCAATAAATACAAAGTTTTTCTAAACACCGATGAGGAAGGAAATCTGAAATGTGTGTGAGTGTATGTCGCAAATCTGAGTAGTGCAGTGCATCTCTGGTTTTCTTTGAAGAAACAGAAACACACACCCATTAATCTTTAACCCACCATATCACAATGATACACAATTTATAATGTTGTTGTTTGTTTGATTTGAATGAGAATTTCCAAAAATAGTAATCTTTTTCGAAGCATAATAATAATGGACAAAACTAATGATTGATTGATCAAATCATATAGATATTTATTCTTATTTTAAAGCCGTAGTGTACTTCCTGATGGTGAGTTTGAGTTTTGCAAAGCTTGTATTACTAGTAACACAAATTTGTGAATGGTATCAGATTGATTCATTTATCAAGTTTACCCAAAAGTAAGGTTGGCAAACATATCTAAATGATAAGTTACTATCCAAAAAAAATAAACTTGATTGATGTTCATCTTTTTGGACCAGCTTCCACAGAAAGAAACTTTGCTGCTTTATCGTTGTGATAATATTATGATTGCTATCATGTAATCAAAATCCAATGAATTGAACTTTTGGTCGACAATCAAACCCCCCATTAAACTAAATCAAATTGTTTGTAATCTCTTAGATCTATGGTGTTAATAATAAAAAAATTAAAAAAAACACCTTTCAAAAGCCGGCTGGTCAGTAGAAAAATTAATTAAAATAAATTGTGGGTGGTCTTTTTTTCAACCACCACCCAAAAAATGCCCTTTGGTTTGTATAGAGAAAAAAAAATTAGTTTTATTAAATGAATTGTTAATTATATTATCATTAACATGCAGCATAGTTTGGCATTAATTTTGAGGATAGTAAAGTCTCTCTAACCACACCCACCAAATTACAAAAATTTGTTTTTCCTTTCATTATTCACCGAATATTCCATTCGATGAATGATGTCTTAGGGGAAACAAAAAATAAATGACTCACAAGATTTAAACAAACACCAATAGAACCATGATGATCATTTGGTCAAAAGTTTGCAAAAAATAGAAAAAAAAAAAAAAAGACTAATTATAATTATGGATGGTTTTGACAAAAAAAAAAAGTGTTGACGATTATTTTTTTTTTTAGTTTTTAATAAAAAAAGTATGGATTACCATCAAAAAAAAATTGTTTAAGGTCACCAATATTTTGACATGATTGATAAAATAAAAAAAAAAAAAAAAAAATTGCTACTCACACACAGTTTAATATTTTTAGGTCAATAAATTAGTTTGTTTGGTTCATGTCCATATCAAAAAAGAATTTTCCCAGTAACTAAATATCAGACCTCACAAGAAAGGAGGGTAAATAGATGTGATAGCCCTTTGTTTTTAGGTTTCGATTGATTCGAAAGGATCGGACGTAGTGTGTGTTCGATGAATTGGTTTGTGGTCTATTTTTTTGAGAACAACAGAACATAAACAAACCAACAACAAAACAACAACAAACAAAAACCACCCAGTTGCACCAAAAACATTTTTAATATTTACCCCACTGAACCAACAACATCATGCATTCCCCCAACTCTTGCATGTGAAATAGTTTGACAAACTATTGGATTGATCGCCTGACATTTACCAAGTTATCAATAGCGAGTGGGTACGCGTGTTTATGTGTGTGTGAATCCACACTCCTGACAAATTACCCTGACTTTGTGTTTCAAGAGTACATCTTTTCTATTTGATTCCAAAACTGCACACTTCTAAAAACACTAAATATTCATACATGTAAGTACCTATCATCGCATCACCTGTCAGAAATCATATATTTTTTTCACATTTAAAAAAAAGAAAAAAAGAAAGAAAGAAATCAGACTCTCCTCCCTCCTCTATCGTTGTCAACAAATTTGTTCAACCATCAGTTGTTGTACTTTTTTTTCATTACCTTTCAATTAGTTCTATTATATTCGCATATTCTAGATTATTTATATATTATATTTAACTAATCATTTTCACATAGTTGATCAGTTTAGATCGGTATAGTTTAATTTCTAGAACATTGGTCAAACTTTGACCACAATCAAATTTGTTTTGACTTTTTTTTATTTTTATTTTTTTTTGGAAAAAAAAATAGCAACACAGAATAGTACAGATATAGAGAAATAGATTTTCATTTGGATTGGATTCTGATTTGTTTCAGAGAATCAAACAATAATTCAGGTATTATATTAAGAACAGGTTTAAAGTACTCTATCATCTCAAAAACATTTCATATCAATCATATAATTCAAATCATATGAAAGCAATAACACATCAAATTGTAAAGTAAACAAACACTATCAATCATTAGAAATATTAGTTATGACACACAGACAGACAGGAAAAGATTGAAAGTTAAAAAATATTTTCATTTCCTTTTGTTTGTTTTTTTTTTTCTTTTTTTCTTTTTTTGCAAAAGGGCAACAGCCAACCAGCAAATCAAAAAAAAAAAAAAAAAAAAAAAAAAAAATTGGTAAACCAAGAGAGTTTCAGGTTTTTTTTTGGTGATTTATTTTTAAACTGAAACTAAATAGAGAATCATCACTGTGCAAAGATAGAATTTAGTTTGAAAAATTGAAAAAAAAAAAAAAAAAAAAAGTTAATCACCCCACAACTTTCAATCAGATCTTTGCGAATAGAAAAAAAAAACAAACTCAAATTCTTCCGATCGAGAGATGCCTCTCTATATGTCTGAAATTGCGATGCTCAAAATGATCGAAAACAATGGGCAACCACCCAACTATCACCATTCTACCCGTCACGCTACCCTTATAACTATAGTTTAGTTCTTTTTTTTTTTTCATATACTCTTGACTCCATTTATTTTCCCAACCACAAAAATCTATAAATTTCATCGAATATAAAAATTATAGTTTGTTTAAAAGATCGTTCTGGTATTCAAAACGGTCAAATGACATACATTCCAACCAAAACAACAACCAACTAATAATATTAAACAATAATCCATTCATATTTTCCACTTTTTTATTTAAATATATATATTTATAATTTGTATATTAAATTTAATTATCAAGATAGACCGAACATATCAGTTTTTATTTTCAGATTTCAAAACAAATTCAAAGTATGAAAGTGTTTGATGTTAAAACAACATTATATCACAAATGCTCCACCTTTTATTTTTTAAACAAAACAAAGAATCAAACAAATCATCAATCATCTCATCTATTTTATTTTATTCAAGTTTTGGTGTAGAATATTTCACTACCATTTGATCATAATCTCTACATCTGACTCTTTATTCACTCGTTGGAATTTCTTATAACCAATAGGTTACTATGTTGTCTAAAAGTCAAGTAGTTTAGTATATAAATATTCATGTTTTATTATGTGGAGTGTCCATTCATTCCTCTTTCTCTTATTATTTTATTGTTTTATTGTTTTATTTTAATTTGTTTGTTGATAAAAACGTTGTGTGTGGGCTTGTTGGTCAAATTTATTTTGGACCGTCGGTCCCTCAAAACAAAGATCTTTCAAATCAAAAAAAAAAACAAACAAAACTAAACAAAACTCCATTTGTGCTCACAATTTTTGTATCTTTTGGCTGGAGGATAATCATCACCATCAACAAGATAAAATAACTTCTCCGTTTATGTCTTTTGTGTGCACCTGTCTACCAACCTCTTAGTACTACACACTTTTTTATATCACAATCGACATGATGTCAACACACATATTTCGACCGTTGCACAGTCATTGGTGGATCTCTTGTATCTAAAACAACCTTTGTACAAGGGTTACCCATAAGTTTTTTTTGTTTGAATTTGTCCAGCGATTGGGCTTAAAATCGATAAACAAACAATATTTCCATGACATGTGTGTGAGGAGTGTGTTTTATTATTTTATTTTTGTTAAGCTTAACATTCAATTTCTTTTTTATTTCAGTTTGTTTTGTTTTTTTCTTGTGATGTGTTATTGCAAACTAAACTTCCCCCACACTCCATATACACACCTAACATTTACATTTTCCTAATTTAAATTGTGTTTTTGTCAAAAATGGTGGTAGCTCTGCCTATCAAAATCCAACTTTGAAAAATTCAAAGATTGAACAGGTTTTTTTTTTTTTTTTTCATAAATTTACAAAAATTTCAAAAAAAAACCACCAAGCCATCACATTGGCATCCTTTATTTTTTTGGTTCGATGCTTCAATCAATCGACGCGTCGTCAAATGGGGGTTGCACAAGCTACCACTCTATTTTAAAGTGGTGTGTGTGGGTGGCGCAAAATTGCCTTCCACTGCTTATTGCTTGCTTGTTTGGATAGGTATAATTATACCTGCTGTTGCATATTATTATTGTTGTGTTGTTTGATTTCTCTTTTTCTTTGTTTATTTTGTTTGAAAAATACTAGTATTTTGTTTTTTCAAAATTAAAAGAAAAGAATAAAATAGATAGATAGATATGTTAAACAACCTAACAACAACAACCTAACAACACATTTAACATTGATAATTAGAATAGCATCAACCAGCCAACCAACCAACCATCATGTAAGAATAGGAGTTTAGTTTAATCATCAAATTATTATTTGATGATAGATGTTCGTGTTGGTTTTGGTTTTGCGATTGCCAAATAATAGACAGTCGTCGACCAATTCCATTCTTTAGATTACTCCACACACTTCCAATCAATACCACAATCTTTCAAGATCAAGAAAACACACCAAACCATTTCCGATGCATTCATTATCTATTTTATTTTTTTTATACATATCCATACACATTCCCAAAGATACCAATAAATATTTATGTTTGTTTTTCGATTCACACATCCATCACCATCACCACTACGAACACACCCACAAACACCACACACACTCAACGTCACAGCATCTATACTTTTATACCCACAAACACAGATAAAGATAGCAGAACAACAAACACCTTCCTTCTTTATTTTCCAAAGACCCATACATTACATCTTGTTTCTTTTTTTGTTTTTTATTTTTTTACTTTAAACAACAATCATCTTTTAAAAGCACTACTACAATCAGTTGTTTTCATTCCTTTGTGATTCTTTTGATCAATCTTTGAATCAACCAAAACACACAACAGAACAACTAACTCAACCAACCACAACAAAGACGGGTCCCACTTATTATTATCATTATTAAAATTTAACCACCATCATTATTTATCATTTCCACTGGTGAAATTCTGTTACCTAAATTTATTTAAAAGTCCAATCATTGATTCTTTGTAATATGTTTTTATCATATATACAGATAAGCATCATCATAGATATATAGATAGATACATACATACATTTGATAGATAATATTAAATACAACTACTTTAAATTCAAACAAACATAGATTCACACATTTTATATATGTAAAACATCTTCAATTTCCACACACACCCACACACATCTTCACAAGTGTTTAAATTATTAACATTTTCAAAAAAAAAATAATAAACCAACAGCCAATCAATCATGATTTCACACACATAAACATACATCCGCACATACTTTAAGAAAAAAAAAACAAAAAAATTATACTAGCAAATTAGCATTGGAATCCAGATTTCCAACAAACATTAATCGTCTTTCTGACAAACCAAATATTTTGGAAAAAAAAACATTTAACTTTTAAAGATAGAAATAATTATATTTTCTTTTTTGTTTTTTTTCAAAGTCTCTCTCTGATCATCAAATTCAAAACATATTCCAACCAACATCAAAAAACCAACAACTTAAAACTTATTAACCTATTGATTGACCAACGAACACCAAAAACTAACAAAAACCCATTAATCCCTCCAGATAAAAGTTTAAACATCAGGTAGCCTGTCCTGAAATCAATATTTAAATATTCGTTGCTAAATATTTAAATTCAATCAAATCATCAATTACAAAAGAGCAAAACAAACCTAGTCAGTACTTCCTAGATTATTTAATAGTAATTTATTATATATATATATATAATTATATACATACTACTTTCACAACAACAACAACAACAACCAGTTATAATTATTTTTGGAGAGGAATATCAATACTATTCACCTTCAATCCAGTTTCAAATATTTGAAGTATATTTCATAAAGTAAGTGCCAAAATAACAATATATCTATATTTTAATATCTCTCTTTCTTTCCATTTATATTATTGTCGCCCATTAATTCTTTTTTGGGTACCACTTTGAATACATCATCAACTCTCCTATTTGTTTTGATTGAATGTAAATTAATTTACTCTATTTCCATATGGAGTAAATTCACACTTATTGCCAATTAATGTATTTTAATATAATACTGATGATACAAATTCGATTCTAATTTTAACATCATCACCATCATCACAATTTACCTATGGAGTATTAATTAAATACTGTTGTTGGTTGATGTTAAATAACATCGTACACCTCACATCAACACCTTTGATAAACTTAAAATCAAACGGACGTTTAGAAAAACAAAGGTTAGCAATATTTGTTTATTTTTTTTAAATCTTCTTTCAACATCAAATCAACATGACCGCCGGCGGTCGGGTTTCAGCTTGGGTGTTGTTTGAACACTTCGTTGGACATGTTTATCGAATTTTCCAACATCAAATCAACATGATCCATCCCACCAGTTATATCAATAGTAATGTAATAATACTGTTACACAACTTTATAAATCACAAAAGTCTATCACTACCACCACACAACTAAACACTCACCTCACTGTTGGTGGTTTATCATAACAACAACACAATAAAAATGAAAAGAAAAGAAGAATATGTATTATTTCAACCAGTAACACTCACTCCTCCACTTCTATTTGATCAATCTAATAACATAATAATGCTTTCCCTAATTGGAATGTGTTCCAAACGATATTATTATCATCACCATCACCATCATCACCATCCATCACATTGAAAACCATCAATCCTGTGTAGTAACCTATCCGGATAAGTTGGGTTGTGATTTTCATTTGTTTTAATATAATAAATTGAAAGCAACAGTGACAATACCTTAGATATCTTTACCACCATTCAAATTCGGTATTTTTAAATAGGGTAGGATCTATCAAAACGAAACCAATTTAGATATATCACTGATACCATCATACACAAAAATAACAAAACATAAATATTAGTGCCCCATAATCCAACCCACCAACACCATATTTTTGTTTTAAAACAAAAATTGTTGATAACACCACAACAATTCAGTCTATGTGTGTGTTTGTGCCATTATTTCTTTTAATATTTAATTAATAATAAGAACATGCAGAAGAAGTTGAGGAGGAAAAGCAATATATTCATATCATTGTTTTTTTTTTTTTTTTTTTTCAATTTATAAGTGGTTGTATTTTATGTAAAGGTGGTGTGTTGTTTGTGGATGTGCTTGATGATATTCACTCCTATCATCACGAAACATCCCAATACCAAGAGACACATTTAAATGTTATTTTTCATTCCACAATCACTGATGTAACCAACATATGGTATACCCACAACCATCAACGTTTCGCTTCACACATACACACACATACACTTCACACCACACATTAGATATCTCATTTGTCATTTAAATTTAAAATTGTTTTTAATGACTAGTTGGTGTGTGGGATATATTAGTGGTTAGTGTTAATTAAATATGTATCAGTGGGAAATTGTTCATATCATAACTCCATATTATATAAATAATGAAGCATAACATATATATATATATATATGTACTATAACTATATATAGAGAGTGTGTACACATAGTGCTATTGTTATTGTTTGGTTTTGATTTGGATTTATTTGATTATAGAGTTTGGATTGGTTTGGATTAGATTATGATTGTTCTTTTATTTTTTTTTATTTCTATATATCTAATCCTTTTGTTTGCCCACATTATTGGTTGGCATCAACAGCACATTCCTTTAACTCTTTCATCTTAGTGCTTGGTGGTAATGATGGTGTTACTTTTAATCACATCATTAGTGATCATTACCAACCAATATTAATTATCTATTCATTCACCATTATTATCAACATCATCAAACACACACACACACATAAACCAACAGTAATAACAACACCAAAACACCAACTCTTAACAAACCACATACATATACATACACTCATATATTCACACACATAGGCAAGTAGTACTACTTGATAACCTTTGTTTTCAAGCAATGTATTCCAAACAACAACAATAAACATCAGATGAAAGCTGTTGATGGAGAACAAGTTGAAAGGAAGAGGGTGTGATGGTGAATGGTGATGGTGATGGATGGATGTCAGCGAAGGTATTACCACCACCACTGCTTCTTCATATCTTTTCTTTTCATTTCATTTCTATTCTTTCTTTCTCTGTTCAATTCAGCTCAGCTCAGCTCACTTTTCTTTCTCCCTGTTCACATTTTTTGCGTCTGTTAATCTATGAAAGTGCTCTACACCTTCTTCTTTTATACTTAGCAGATGTGTTAAGTGTTTGTTATTGAAATATTGCTGTTGTTGCTGTTGTTGTGGTGTGTTGTTGTTGTTGTTGGTTGTTGCATTTTTTCATTTTAGTTATAAACTTTTTATAAGGTTGACCATCACCATCATCAAAAAGATATATATTAAAAAAAATCCAAATCACAACATCATCATCAAAACAAATTCCAATCCAAACCAACCAAACCAAACCAATCAAATAATATCCTCTAACCAAAAAAAAAAACCTCCTATACATATCTAATCATCTTGCTCTGCTCCCAACCAAATTAATATTAATCCCACAACCACCTACCTCCTCCACCATCCATCAAATTATTGGATTTTCCAACTCTTTCTAACAACGACAAAGCAAACCAAACAAAAACAAATAAACAACAAGCAAATACAATAACAAACTATTTTATAAAATCAATTTCAAATTCACAATAATTCTCTATTACCAAATTAATTATAATTAACAATAACAATAATCAGCAACAAATTTATAAATTTGGTTAAAATAGTTTGTTTGTTTCTTTTTTTGTTTTTTCATATTCATTATTTGTAAACATTTATTTAAATTAATATCTAAATTCATCAGTCAATCAATCATATCCATTCATCCTCACTTTATAATTCATTCACAAAGGTTTTAAAACAAACACCATTCTATTCAATTATAATTCTACTCTACTACTATTTTTCTGATCAATAATCAATCCAATTAACAATAACAGTTTAATATTAATATTCACAAATTAATTATTATCATTAGCCAATAAATCATTATATTGATTTAGTTTGTTTATAAAAATCCGTACTTCTCCTATTTGTTTGTAGAGTTTTAGACCCCCACAAAAGAAAGTTTAGTTTTATAATCATGATGGTAGCGGACCGAATGAAAATTGAATATATGATGAGTGGAGCCGATTCTATACCAAACATTTCTTCTGCAAACAATACACCTACGTTATCACACCAACAATATAAGTTATATCAACAACAGCAACATCAACAACATCAACAACTTTATCAACAACATCATCATCACCATTACCAACAACAAATGACTGGTGGTGGACTCAAACGTGTACATCACTCGGTCGAGGAAGACGACGAGAATGGAGTGTTGATCCTTTCAAAGATTGCCACACCAACTACCTCTTCACCAACAACAAATTCCTCTTCTATTAACGACCTTCATAATAATTACAATAACAATAACAACAACTATAATAGAGGTCATTTAAATACAATCAAAATTCCAACTTTGAATATTTTAAATACTACTACAACAACAACAAATACAAATTCAGCACCATCTTCATCACCTACAACTCCTCATAACTATCATCTTCACCAGATTCAACAACATAGTCTTCAACCTCAACAACATCCAATTAAAAATATTATATCCTATAAGAATTATGATCATAAACAACTGTTAAATAACAACAATAATAACTATAGTTATAATCCATTTAATGAATCACCAAGTTTATTACTTCGTCCAAGTACAAAGAGTGATGATGAGATTCCAATTTTCAGTGGTCATTCAATTGGACTTTCTTCACCCAGTAAATTACAACTTTCGCCAGCTGGCTCACCCAAACAAGATTCACTGAGAACCACACCCTCTGGTTCCTCTGTGAATAGCTCACCATTCTTGTCGCCACGCGGCGACCTCAACGGAATGGATAGCTACGGCGACGACCCCAACTCATTCCCAAGCTCGCCAGGCTCACCAAACTCTGATTCCGAAGACCAATCGAACTCGCCAACCTTTGGTCCACGCTCACTCGCCTGCACCAAACACAGCAAGTGGAAGAAGCGTTGTCCAGACACCTGTGTTGGCCGTGTATCGCCAGTCGAGTTCCCAACCACCACTCGCAAACTCTGGTCTCAGGAGGAGTGCTGTCAACTCTTGGAGATGGTTTTCCAGAAGGATCCACAGTCGGTCACCTCCAAGGAGAGTGAACAGCGCTGGCGTGCTATTGCCAACGCACTGGGGAGAACAGTCACCTCGACCCGTAAGAAATACATGCGTTTGATGAACAAGTGGTCGCCACGTCCAATGACATCGTCGGTGCATCCCATCTCCAAATTGATCGAATCCAACGAGAAGAAACGTAAGGGTGGATTCGAACAGTCCTCATCGTTCCCATCGCCACTCAAAGAGCAAAAGATCATCCATCCAACACCAGTAATGATTGGACATCCAAACTCATCTCCACCTCATGAAAATCAACAACAACAACAACAACATCAACAACCAATCCCAATACATTATCAATCAACACCATATAATCATCAACGTAATAACAACAACAACAATAATAACAATAACAATAATAATCAATATTTAGCATCGATTGATCTTAGCCAATTATCACATCTTCAATCAACCCCACATCAACATATACAACAACATCAACTACAAAATCAACATATTCATCAACAAATTCACCAACAACATCAACAACAACAACATCAACAAATTCAACAACAACAATCAAATAATAATAATAATAAAACCAGTCAATATTACTTTACACCACAACAACAACATAAAATGAACACAGTATTCCAAAGTGACCCAGCCAATAGTTCTTTCCGTGCGATTGGACAAGATGTAAATTCAAACAACAAAACTACCACCACAACAACCACAATCAATCTCACACCAGTTTCACAAATCCAACCCAAATTTAAAAAGCCGATAGGTCGTCCACCCGAAGCATGTGAGCAACATCGTAGTGAACACCAAAAATGTCCAAAGGGATGTCCTTTCCGTCCGAATTTAGCAATTCAGTCAAACCATTAAACATCCCCATAATGACAACAACAAACAACAAATATAACTCAACCCAACAATTTACAAACAAACAAAACAAAGTATAACAAAAAAACAATATAATATTTATTAAAAAAATCAATCTTTATATAAAAAAAAAACAAAAAAAAACAAACCAAAACAAACAAACTCAAAATCAAATCAAAATCATTTCAAATACTTTGGTCCAAAATTCATTCATTCAAGACTAGGCTCAAAATATAATCGAAAAATGGGTCCTACCTTACCTACTACTCATCCATCCTTTTGTTTTATTACTAGACCAATCTACGACTGATATTGCATTCAAAAAACAAATCCATTCCATTCCCCCCAAAATACTCTAATTAATGTTTTCATGTCTATCCTACTGACTGATATGATTGTCTTTAATTTTTAAAAAAAAATTATGTAAATTACAATAAATCTTAGAAAATTGTGTAAAGCTTGGTAAATTTTATAAAGTTATATTGGAAGTTCTAATATTAACTTTATAAATATTATAAAAAATTACCAACATTACAAAAAAATCAAAATATATTTGTTTCAATTAATTAATTATTGAGTTAATTTTTTTTAAAAATCCAACACTTTGTAACGTCAAAGAAAACTAGTTTCTTATATTTTTTGCTGTTTGATTGCAAAGTTTTTTTTCATAATGACTTTATCAATAAAAACACAAAAATTTTCAAAGATCAAATTCACCGATTTCAATTCAAAATCACTGCTATTATTTAAGATCAGAGTCATTTCATTATTTAGCAAAATAAGAGAATATTAATTTAATAGTTTAAAGTTTTGGGAATACTATCAGAGTAAATAATTATATGTATATTCATTACAATATGATGTTGTTAAAGATATAAATAGACATAGTTTAGAATTGGTAAGTTCATCAATCAAAACAATTTAGTAATCTTATCAATCAATTAAATAATAATTAACTTCTTTTCTATTTAAACAACCTTTTAATAATAATGTTTATACAACAATATTTATTAATAGTAGTACTGTCACTAGTATGTGGTACAACTGTATTTGTTTCTGGAGCAGCTAGAAACTTCAGACCTAATCTCTATGGTAGTTACAATCTCTATTCCAATTGGCAAGAGGGATGGGTTCCAACTGAATCGGACACTGCACTGATTGCAGGACCTCATTCCAATGTTGAATCCGACAGCTGGGTCAACTCTATCCAAACACTCGACATAGGTTCGCCAAGTGCCATCAGCAACAATGTATCTCTTAGAATCTCTACCAACGCCCAGATCACTGCCAGTGTCGGTATCTTTATCAACAACAACGCTTCTTTCACTGTAAACGGTTCGACAATCTACGGTCCAATCACTGTCCAACCATACGGAAGATTGATCACTCAAAGCTGGGGAACATGGTATGTCTACAACAATTTCCAAACCATCAGAGTAAATGAACGTGCCAGCTCCAACATCGGTGAATTCAGCAAAATCCAAAAATTCATTAACCGTGGTGATTCCGTCTTTTCCGGTGTAAGACTCTACATCGATACCCTCCAAAACTATCAATCCAATATTGCCGGATATTTATCTTGGATTCTCTTTGACACTGCCACTCCATCTTTTGTTGTAAGTTAACTAATAATACTGGTCATATTTATAATTTGCTAATCAATTATCATTATTATTTTGTTTTTAGAATTTTAATTCTGAAGGTGGATCAATTGATTTCCTAAGTTCAACAAGTGCTATGAATTACACAATGTTTTCATTGACTGAAGTTGGATCATTCAACAGTAGTTTTAACTTTGCTTCTGGAAGTGTCAGTTTGGTTACTGGTTCCACTTTGGATCTCGATTATTCAAATGTCAGTCTGATCAACTCAGCCATCAACAACGTCAACTCAACTTACTATTTGCTCGGTTCCAATCTTGTTAGCAATGGTGGAAGTTTCTACTTGAGCAACTCAAAGATCGTTGGTTTCTCTGGATCCAAACTAACATTCACCAACACTGATCTGCAAATCACCAATTCCAACGTTTCCTTGGTTCAAAGTAAACTCTCCAACAATAACAACCTTGTTGTTAACCAAGTCAATCTCACTCTCGACAATTCCTCCATCCAAATGCCAGGTTTCACATTGACCACCAACTCTGGATCGAACATCGGTGTGTTCGGTGCCTCGGTCATCAACGGTTCACTCAACACCGCCAACACCATCTCATTCAGAGTTAGCAGCCCAACTTCCTACAGCCATTTAAATATCACCCAACTCGCAACTCTAAGTGGATCAATCGATATTGATGTCCAACCAAATGTCTACAACGGTGCAATCCCATTGATTTCATTCGGCCAAACACCAGCCATCTCCAGTTCCCTTCGTGTAAACATTCGTTCAAGCAATAGCACCGACTTCAACACTGCTTTGCAAACCTGTGCATCCTACATGTTCACCGCCAACCAACTTTTGGTCAACTTCACCAATTGTGCACCATCTTCGACCACCACTTCCTCTGCTACCACAACCACTTCCACTGGCCCAATTACCATAACCACTACCACAACATCATGTGGATGTCCAACCACCAGTGGTTCATCGATATCTGGTTCTGGATCTACTTCATCCTCTCCATGCACCACAACTACCACTGGTCCATCTACTGTAACAACCACCACTTCATCTGGAAACAATATTAATTTACAAATTATTTTATAAACAAATAAATAATTAATCAAACGATATACCAAATGCTTTTTAATAAAGATATATATTCATATCATCACATACACTTACTTTCAATTATTTTCATTGTTATCGAATTCGTTGTTGATCTAATAAACAAAAGAAAAATAAGCATTGTATCATCTTTTTCTATTTAGAAAAAGTTAGATAATTAGTTTTACATTTCCAGATTCTTAAATTTAAAAAAAAAGAAATAAATAACCTTAATTATTAAAAAGCATTTGGTATATAATTTGATTATTTGTTTATAAAATTTCTTTTTGAGTGAATAAAAGATCACTCACCACCGTTTTTATTTTCTACAATACACAAGAATGGGATCTCATAGGTGGTTCAATCAGTCTACCAGCACCATTTAATCTTGACCTGAGTAGATTGGTCAATAACCCACCTACACCTGCAGGTGTCTCTCATCCACTTTCGACCGCACCAGAAACCAATCCCACATCAGACTCTCAACTATTGAAATTTGTTCAGATTCCAAACTCTAACAGTTACCAGATTAGATTCCTGAAGTTCAGATACTCTTTGCATCTCTATCACCTACGTTGAGGCATATTATCCATCGCTTGTAACTTGTGATATTACAAATCCTTGACAACAATTTAATAATAGTGAGTACTTAAGTTAAATTCTAATAAAGAAAATATTATTTTAATGGATAAGCATCAGATCTCCTAAATAGATAAAAACATTTAAAAATCTATTATTTAGTTGTTTGAAGTATAAACTAGCACTCAAAGAAATTAACAATAAAAATAAAATGAACTAAACTGTGAATAAATTTCTAAAAGGGGTTGGGTTCTTTTGAAAAAGGAAAAAAGTTAAGTTTAAACAACCCCCAATTATTAAATTTAAATCATTTAATAAATAAAATAGTTATTACAATAATAATAATAAATAAACAATGAGCAGCCCAAGTTTTGAAATTGTCAGACAGTTTTATACCATTATGAACGGTCACCAAAAAAGTAAGGCTGTGGAGGTTTGCACAAAGTTGCGTATCGCTGAACACATTGCTCCGGAATCATCGAAATCCGTTGGTGAGTTATCAAAAGAGTTACAGGTTCATGAAGACACTCTCTACAGATTCATGAGAGCACTCACATCAATAGGTTTCTTCCACGAAGAGGAGATTACTGATACCAATAAGACGCATGGTATCTTCAAACATACTCAATTGTCACTCTGTCTCAGAGATCAAGGTGTTAGAGATATTATACAAATGAGAGTATCACCTTTTCAAGTACTTTCATGGGATGGACTACTCAATTCAGTAAAGACTGGAATATCCAACCATCAAGAGACACTAAACTATCCAAACTTTTGGGAATATTTAAAAGATCACAAAGAAGAGGAAGTAATTTTCAACAGATCAATGACTGGTTTGACAAACCAGTATATTCCCATCTTACTATCGTTCAGCGATTACTCTAAATTTGAAAAAGTTGTTGATTTGGGTGGAGGTCAAGGATTGTAAGTGTAAAAAATATTTTGATTCAAACAATTTTTAATTATTAAAATTTTTTTATCAAGGTTTTTAAAGATTATTTTGACAAACTACCAAAATATTAAGGAAGGAATCAACTTTGACATGAAGATTGTTATTGAAAACAATCATCATGGTGAAGACTTGGATAAGAGATATTCAGACCAATCAGGTGATTTCTTTGTCTCTGTTCCGGAATCAGATTGTTATGTTTTAAAGAATATCATTCACGACTGGAACGATGAATCTGCAATCAGTATTTTTAAGACAATCAACAAATCCATTAGACCAGGTGGAAAGATCTATGTCTATGATTTAATCAACGACTTGAATCTCAAGAATGAGAAGTATCCAACTGGTTGGAACGATTTGAATATGCTGATGGTTTGCAATGGAAAGGAGAGAACTCTTCAAGATTTGGAGTATCTCGCCAAAGAATCAGGATTCAAGATCGATGAGATCAGACGTCACAGTACCATTCCAAATGCTTTAGGTTTAACAATCTTTTCTAAAATCTAAATTAAACTAACACAAAGTAATTTCGTTTTAAACATTAATATTTTTTATGAAAGGAATAGTAGAGAAGTGTTTTTGTTATTATTTTATTTAGATCCTAATTCTTTTTGACTCTTATAGTGATGTTTCATTTAGATTAGGAGATAATATTGATATAAATATATGTAATGTTAATATTATTAAAAAAAAATAATGGTTAGATTATTTTTTGTGATTATTGGGAGGGGGAGGATTTAGTTTGTTTCCCACAAATGAATGGTTCCACTACCTGCACCTGTTAAGAGTGTAACCTTGCCATTTGAATTGAAAGAAACATTTATCGATTGGACAGAATCACTGTTGACAGAAGAAAGATCCTTGATTTCATTGCCACTGGACAACGACCACAGACGCAGTCCATTCTCACAACCAACCACCATTGAGATACCATCCGTATCGAAACAGTTGATTTGGTCATCGATTGAACCATTGAAGATCTCGGAACCTTCGATACCGATCATCTTTATGCTGCCGTCGGTCGACGATGCAATGATTCGCAGTCCGTCGGGCGTAAACTTGACGCACGAGATTGCATCAGAGTAGATTCGCTGTTTCGAGATGAGAGACAACGATCTGAGATCATAGGTGAAAAGGGTGCCGTCTTCCGATCCGGCTATACACATCAGACCGTTGGGACTGATATCGACCGATCTAATTTCAGATTCCGACTCGATGAAATCGGCAATTGGGATGTTACCAATGTTGATTCCCACGGAGGAAGGCATCACCTTCCAAACCTTGATCGTCGAATCCCAACTACCTGAAACCAGCACATCATTGTTTAATTTCAAACAAGAAATAGCATCGTCATGTGCACACAATGTCTCTTGAATACTTCCATTATCAACTGAATAAATATATCTATATAGAAAAAGAATAAATAATATTAGAAATCTTTATGTTTACTAAACTTTCCAACCAATTGATTTATACATACATATTATTGTCCCATGATCCTATAACAATATGTTTTTCATCACCTGAAAGTTGACATGAAGATAATGCAAGTTCACATAGATTTAATGATCTTACTTGTTTCTTTTCTTTTGATGAATAAATTTTTAATGAAGCATCTTGTGAAACTGAATAAATAATATCGGAATTTTCTGATAAATACAATGATGTTACTTTGCTATAAATATAAAGAGATGGAGTTAATATCATTTTAAAGGATGATGATAGTATTGTATAGTGTTCCAAACATACTCTTTGTGATTTTTGAATGAATTTTTAAGTTGTAAATTTGCAATTGATCCCCAACTTCTTAAAGTAGTTGATGAATTGGATTGTGATTTGTTCATGTTGCTGCTGTTATTATTGCTATTGTTAAATGAGAGTCCACTCATTGATCTTTGTAATGCTGGTATATTATTATCGCTATTGTAATTACTGTTGTTACTGGATGTCGAGAAATTACTGTTACTGCTCATTGCTAAACTGTTGGCGGTGCTGCCGCTGCTGTTGAATCCACCGCTGTCGTCTACATTGAAAGAGAGATTCGCTTGGTCGATGATAGCGTTGGTGCTAGAAGCAGATAGATTGTGGTTTCGCAGAGCGAGCGGGAGTCGCTGTGGATGCGGTGTTTTGAAGAGTTGGCGAGGTGTCTGTCCAAACTCGTTGATCTGCGCTTCCAGACCTTGTCGCTCGAATGGATCGGTTATCGATTCGATATCGACACTGCCCTCGTACGTCAGATGATAGAATACATTGTTGGCTTTGACCGATTCGTCGCCGAGCTGTTTGAATCCGAAAATCAAATCGATCCAATTGTGTAGATTCTGTGAGACGTACTCGGATTCGAGTGCCTCTCGCATTGTGATGATGAATTGCTCGGGACTGCTTGCCCACGGCGGCAAGATGATGTCGCCCAACACCTTTCCGTCCTGGCGAACTCCGAGCTCGAGAGACTCGCGATTTAGCAGGAACTCGCCGCGGTCGCCAGGCTCGTAGAACTCTGGTATCAGCTCCTTGACGTCGCTCGTGCTGTTGTAGACGCTGTTCCAAGTCTCCTCGAGTGAATGGAACATACGGTTCGGCGAATCGAATCGTCCGTTCTGAAGTCGCAGCATATACTCTGGCGCCTGACGCACCAGGTAGTAGAGAACGTACGCTGGCGCCGAATAATGAGTTCCATAGAGGAACTTGGGTTGTGGGTCTGGAATCTGGTGGTATCGCTCCTGGAACATCGAGAGTCTTGTCGGATTCAACGCGCCAATCGGCTTGGAGAGATCACGATAGATGGCCGTGTTGGCGAGGTCCAGCGTCTGACTGGTATAATCGCTAATCACCCATGGAAACACTGGATACTGCGTCAAATCATTATAGGTTCTACCGGCCAAATTATTCAGATACAAAAGATACTCATAGTTTGATAGTATTCCATTTTGCCAACGCAACAAATAGTTCTTCTGCTCATTGTTATGCGGTATATTCTTACATTCACTATTCAAAAGATTATAAACTTGATTTCTAGATTGCATACTGGAATGGAATGAAAGTGAAAAAGGATTGACTGTTAACAAATGTTGTGTTGTTGCAACAACTGGATAGTGCTAATTCCACTACTACTTACTTTTTAAATGTAAAGAATAGCGATGATTCATCGTCAAAGAATATTTCCAAACCGATTTCGCGGAGTGAGTGTCTACGTTTGAGTATCTTGATGATTGAATCGAGGTTGAAGTGGTTGATTCGTTGAGCTTCGATGTTGTTCATCGGTTGGAAGTAGATTCGTGAGTTTGTGACGAGGAATCTTCCGGGATTCTCGACGAGTGGCGATATCTTGCAACATTTCATTTCGAGCATGTTCCGCTCGTTCATGTCGACGAGGAGCGAGTAATCGAGTTGCAGCCGATTCTCACGCTCCTCTATCAGCGACTTGATGAGACGGTCGTGATCCTGTCGGTCCTGTTTCGAGTAGGTGAGCAAGTCACGCATGTTCATCAGTATCGCATCGAGGTTGACGTAGTTCAGTGAGAATCTAAAGTTGGCGCGTGTCACCTTGATAAACTTGTACGGTGCATTGACGTTGTTCTCCTTCATCTCGACTACCTGATTCGTTTGTATAAAGAATATCTCTGTGCGTGCAAGTGACGCCAGTGTATTGGTTGGCAGATTGATAGAGCGTGTTGAACGCTGTTGTTGTTGTTGTTGCTGTGAGAATCCACCACTACCACCTAATCCACCGATAACACTTGGAGCACCAACATTCAATTGGTATATCAACTGATCGATATTCGTCACCTCCTTGAATGGAAATTTCAATATAGGTTGTTTCACATCATCGGGTTCAAAGAATATCGAATTTGAACAAACTAGAATTCTACCTTTTACTTTTCTTTATAATCACATTGTTTTGTTTAGTTAGTATCATGATTCCATTCATTCTCCATTCATTGAATCTCCGTCCGTCATCTGTCTGTTTTAAAACACATACTTTTGAAATGACTCTTCATCTGTTTCGGCAGGTGGATAATAGGATGCACTGTAATCATCGAAATAGTATTCACCTTCATCCATAAGGATCAAGTTGAATCTAAACTTTGGTTTATTAACAGTAAACATCTTTAAATCTTTAAGTTTACTACTACTGTTTTAATAATAAATAATAAAGATAATAATAAGTTTACTATTTCAAAAATATATGTATATAATTATTACTACTATTCTTATTATTGTTATTATGATTGTTTGGTATGTTATAAGTAATTAAAGTAAAACAAAGTCAATTAAAGTTTAAGTTTGTTCAAAAAAAACAACATAAATGATATCACCCAAAAAAGTGTTGTTTTTTTTTTTTTTTTATAAAAAACCACCAATTATTTTAAAATCAATTTTCTTTTACTTGACAGAAATCGTTCGATTCATCCACACAGTGTTATTAAAGTAGATTTTAATATTGAAAAAAAAAAAAAAAACTAAAAAAACTAAAAAATATCACCAGAAATTTGTGACTGGTTATTAAAAAACAGTTATTACCTGTCAAACACCATCGTCTAACCAGAATAACTATTTTTTATCTGTTTCACATATTTATCATATTTTTTTGCAAAACACTCACTTTCCTTTTCAACAATTGTTGTTAACTTTTCAATTTCAAAATTTTGTTATGCTTATTAATTAATTCGACAAGAACACACACGAATTAATTAACTAATATAATATAATACTTAAAATGGATTATACAGCAGAGCTTGTAAGTATCTATACATATCATATTATTGTCATAATCATCATATTAATATTATTTGTTATTATTACAATTCAGTCTAGAATAAATAAGGATGAAGAGTTTGAATATTTCAATTTGAGTAGAGTCGGTAAAAAGTAGGATTAACCATACGATAATGATGATATTGATAATGATGATGATTATTATATAGGTGAGAAAAAACAATACTAATGAAATAGTTGAACTATAAATAAACTAGTTTGGGTCCTTTTAAAGCATGGTCAATGGATGAACATACTCTGTTTCATAGTGTACTGGCGAATATGAGTGATCCCAACGATATAGATACGGTTGCCAGTGCAGTGCCAAGTAGAACGAAAGAGCAGGTAGAGGTACATCTTCGAGTCTATAAGAACTATTGTAATAAGCAAACGAGTACAACACTTCAATCGAATCCATTCATGTCGAATCTGACGACCAATCTCTTCAAGGGCGTGCTGGATTCGTTGTCTGGCGATCCTTTGACGTCAACGTCGCCAACAACACTTGGTGCATCTTCACCACTGCCGTCACCCTCACTCTCGTCTTCACCTCCACTTACACCGACAATACCTTCATCACCTTCAAAACAACAAGCATCAACAGGAACAGGAACAACAGGAACAACACCAACAGGAACACCAACAAGTAGTGGAAAGATAAGTTTACATTTGGCATCACATGCAATTCCTACTTCTTTACAACCAAAGATGGCACCTGCTGCTTCTGCGGCGGCGACAACAACTCCACCGGCGGCGGCGACGCCAGTCAGTAGTGCGGTAGATGATTCATCTGGTGGCGCACCAAAGTCAAAGAAAGATTTGAAGATATTGAGTGAACCATGGTCGTTGGACGATCAGAAACGACTGGATGACGCACTCACCAAATATCCATCCACGAGATACAGCAGTGTTTCAAGATGGCAAGCGATATCGAAAGAACTTGGAATATCACCTAAAACAGTTGCATTGCGATACAATCAGATGTTAGAGAGTTTGATACCAAAGAAACCAAATGTTGCAGTTAACAATAACAATAATAACAATATAGATGTTGGAGATGTAGATGACGGCACCGGAAGCGGAGCAAAAGGAAAGAGAAAGTCTACGGCCACTGCCAAGACCGCTGCTAAACAAGCGGCAACAAAGAAAGGAAAGAAAGATACACCCGAGAAATCAGGTGGATTACCACCATTTCCTATTACACCGCCATCCACAGCAGCATCATCAGCATCCTATAATAAATCAAATTCTAATCAACAACAATATCAACAACAACAGCAACAGCAACAACAAAAGAGAGAACCAACTATACATAATTTAAATTTCGATCCAAGCAAAGCAGATCAACTTATACAGAGAAATACATCGCTGATCGATCAGATTCGATCGGATATCATATATACAGGATCGACAAAGATTGATTTACTCGAGCAATACAAAAACAATATATCAGAGGCGTTGAAGAGTACGATGATCTGGGCACCAGAGAGCAACGAGATGCCACCACTACCAGTCAAAGTCAATGACATGATCATCACAATGATGGGTAGTATGCCATCGAAATCGACACTCAAACATTGGAGTCCACTGCCGAAAACCGCTGAAGAATGGAATCTTACAATCCCCGAAGATCAATCCCAACAACAGCAACAACAACAACAGCCAAATACTTTAAAAAAAAAGAAAAAAAAAGAAAATATAATCAAAAAGTAACAACAATAATGATAAATAATACTAAAATTAAATAAACTTTTAGTTGTAATATATAATATATAATCAAGTATTGTTGAACATATTTGTTTTGTTTGTTTTGTTTTGTTTTGTTATATATTTTACTCTTTTTTTTAATTTACTTTCCATTTAATAAAAAACAACCGATCGATTTAATAACGCTAACCATGTAAGCTATAATATATAATGAAACAAATACATATTCCAATTAGACCACCGAGAACCATCATATTTCTACTCTTCATTCTCTTAATCTTTGTTGTAACACCATCGATTGCACCAAATATACCTGTCATATTATTAATCTTATGACTCGCTCCTCTTAATATTTTTCTTTGATTTTCCAATGCTTCATGTGCTTGTCTTGCTTGTCTATATATGTATCCAACAACAAAATATATATATAACATTATTATTAGTTAATAATTCATCATCTTTTTTTTTGGTTTAATTATCATAATATATATATATATATACCCTAAAATTGAATCGGCAACATAATTTGAATTATGTAATGATTGTTGTTCTCTTAATAAATTATTCATTGGTATCTCTGTATCTTTATTTTTATATCTAATATTATTATTAAAGATGTTAGTATAAAACACAACTAGTCAGTAGTTAGTTATAAAGAATGGGTATACATACGTTGAACCAGACAAGAGTTCACTATGTTCCAATGAATAGGTGATATTTTTCTTATATTTCTTATAGTCCTTCAAAAAATCCTCTAATTTATCTCTGTGATGCTGTATCATTGATATACTGATATTTTGTTCTTTTGCAAGTAATTCATTGCAACGTGTTAACTATTGTTGTTTAGTTTATATTGTTTAGTTTATTGTTTGAAAAAATTTTAATAGTTTAGTTTGATTGTTTATTTAGGTTGTTTGTTTTTTGTTTGTTTGATATTTACATTTTTGAATATTGAATCTAATTCAGATGTTAATACATCAAATTCTATATAGCTATCATCAATGTACTCAGAGGCGGTATCACGTTGTACTTTGTCGTTGAGCGATGAGAGTGCACTCAGCTTGGTGTCGACGTCGACTTCATATTTTCTTATCTCCTTTCGAATGCTATCGACTGACACTGTCGTAGGTACACCACCACTACTACTACTACCGCCTCCACCGATACTACTCAATCCATTACCACTCATCGATCGATTCATCGTTGGAGAACTATCCCAAGTTGGTCTAGAACTCATTATTATTATTTATTTTTATTTTTTTAACTTTTTACTACTACAACAATAGCTGTTATCTATCTATCTATCTTCTTCTAACTTATAATTTTATTATTTATTTTATAAATATATTATAATAACAAACAAAACAAACTAATTAATCTGGTCAGAGAACAAAGTCAAACAAAATAAGTGAAAATTTAAAATTTAATATAATTATTGTTTTTTTTTTTTTTTTTTTTTTTTTTGAAAACATTAAAATTAATTTTTTTATTTATTTTTTTGTTTATATCTATTTCTGTTTCGATTACAGATAGATTCTATATTTGATTATCAAATCATATGGTGTCTCTTTCATTATTGTAAATTTTAAAATTGTTTAATAAGAATCTTAGAGACTATATATTTTTATCATCTTTGTATTACACAATAGGAAAAATGTATGTAATTTTGTTTGATCAATCAATCAATACATAAATAAACTATCAAATATTATTAGGTTTATTTTTCTTAAAAAGATTTAGGATCTGATCATAAAATAACAGTTTAGTTAAATAGAATTTTTTTATGCAGAATCAAACTAATTGCTTTTTTATTCAAAGTTTTACTTTCAATGTATGATGTTATGTTATCAGATACTTGAATAAACCCCAACAATAAATTTAAAAATAATCAAACATCATCATTGAATGATTTTGGGGTGCAATGAATCAGATATGCAATTGATTTCATATGAAAATAGGTATAGTGGTAACTTTTTGGTTCAAACATAATTATAATATTGAAATTAATTATAATCACATATATATCACTTATCACATTTATTATCATTAATTTTGATAGTAATAGATAAAAATGTCTAAAAAACTATTTTTTTCTTTATTTTTGTTAGTATTTATTTCAGTTTGCTTTGCTGAAGAACAAGCAGCTTCACCACAATATGGTCCTAGTGTAATTATTTTTAAAGTGAAGGTTAAAATAAATAAAATAATTAATAAATAATTGTTGTTTATTTTTTTTTTAGGATAAAAATGACCAAGAGTTGGCAAATATTCTAAAGATTTTACTAAATCTTCAGAATATAGCTGCACAAAGCCAACAAGGAGAAAGAGAAAAAGTTGATAAACTCCTTGGTGTGTTCGGTGGAGGAGGTTTATTAAGTGGTTTGTTGGGTGGATTCCTAGGTGGAGGTTACGGTGGAAACTATTACTCTGATTACATCGGTGGTCCATGGAATTATTTCAGTGCTGGAAATGGTTTGCCATACAACTCATATGCACCAACTGGATATCCAGGAAACTTCCCATTCCTTCCAAATACTATCCCACCAGGATGGGGATATGGATATTACGGTGGTATTCCAGGATATTCCGGAGGTGGAGTATTCCCTGGCAGACCAACCGGTAATAACAATCCGCAAACATCCAGCGCTGGAGTAAGCTCTGGCCAACTAGACCCCAATAGCGGTACTGGTGTACCAGGATACACTGGTGGTGGAATCTACCTTGGAAAACAAACAACTGGCCAATAATCAAATCCAATTGGTTCATATATAGCTACCAATCTAATTTGAGGTGCTTTTTACATTTTATTTAATATTCAATATTAAATAAAATAATTGAAAGAAATAAAAATATTATTGATATCAATTTTATTATCCAGACATGTCCATATAATCCAAATTTATCAATTAATTATCAAAAATCATTCCCAAATACTTTAATGAGTCACATCAATAGTGGCTATTACCACTAAAATCTAACCCATTGTAACTGATGAAAAAACATATGCAATGAATTCAACCCTAAACTTATATGCACACTTGAACCACCAAATATTTATTACTATATGTATGAAATTAAATTAATTTATTGCTACTAAAAAGATGGATGATGATAATGAGTTGTGAATTTATTATATATTCATTAATTCAAAAAAAATGTTTAAACATATTTTAGTTTTAGCTTTGGTAATCTTTTCTTCCTTTTCGTTTGGAGAAGAAAATGCAAGTATTAATTTTTATTTGTTAATTTTTAAATAATAATTAATTCAATGTATTATTTTTTTAAAGGTTGAAACTCCAAAGAAAACTTTGGTTCTTATTTCCGAATTGCTAAATGGACTTTTAACTTTGAATCCAACTACCTACTACCCAACTTCCTACAATCCAACTTCCTACTACCCAACACTTAGTCCAACAACTTATTATCCAACCACATACTACCCAACTACTTTTAATCCGACTACTTACTACCCAACTACTTTTAATCCAACTACCTACTATCCAACCACTTTCAATCCAACAACTTACTATCCACCAACCACATACTACCCAACTACTTTTAATCCGACTACTTACTACCCAACTACTTTTAATCCAACTACCTACTATCCAACACTTAATCCTACTACCTACTATCCAACATTTAGTCCAACCACCTACAACCCTTATACTGCTCTAAGTACACTTCATCCAGGTCCATCATCGGTCGGCACTAGTTCATCTGCTCAATCATCTGCCCAATCATCGGTTGGTACTGGTTCAGGAACTGGTCCAAGATCTTAAACAAAATTCAAATAAATTGGATTTTAATTAAACATCAATCTGGGATTATAAATTTATTTTATTCAAATATTTTTATGAGAGTGGACTTAAACTTGGAAATTGATGATTCAAAGACTCAAGTTTTCCCTTGAGTTGAAGACAATCGAAGCCATCGATAGCTTGCGACATATATCCACCAAAGATGTACATATTAGAACCAACAATACTTCCAGAACCCATATCTCTTGGGAATGGAGGGCATTGTGTTTCGATCTTGGTCCATTCCATATTGACAGTGTCCAACATGAAAAGATCGTTGGTAAGCAAATCCGACTTTATAGATTGACCACCAAATACAAATAGGAAAGGTCCTGCACTAAAGCATGTACTAAATGTACATACAGGTGCTTCACCTTTGACATTGACTTTTGACCATTTGTTCACTAAAGGATCATAGATATGAACATCATTATATTTCTTTTCCCATTGGAAACCGAATCCACCACCAAACAACAACAATTTGTTTTCAAAAGTAAGTAATCTATGTCCACACTTTGCAGGAGGTATATCACCAGTTGGTTTTAATTTTTTCCATGTATGAGTTTCTTTGTTGTGAAAATAGCGAAAATTAATAAAATTGTTAAACAAAAAAAACAATAAAAACAGAGAAACTACTTACCAGAATTAAAACATGCTAAATCATCCAAGAAAATTAATTCATTATTTGCTTCTTTGTACATTCCACCGTAAATATACATATTCTTTCCAATTACAGAAGCTGCATGATTGGTTCTTGGAATAGGAATCTCTCCTTTTGAATCAATATATTCCCAAGAATCTTCGATTGTGTCATAGACACATAGATTAAAATGTTTGTTGAATCCATTGAATCCACCAAATGTAAAGATTTTTGATTCAATAGCAACAGCACTATGTCTTGCGAATTTTGGTGGTATTCCCATTCTTGGTGATATTCTTTCAAATGTATATGATTCTATATTTTTCATTTAATAATCAATTCATTAATATGCTATTCTTTAGAAATAAAGAAAATAATAGATTTAATAAATACCAGTATCATATCTAAAAATATCATTAAATCGTTTTTCAGGGAATTCTTGTCCTCCTATTAAATAAATATATTTTCCAATTACAGTACTTGTATGCTGATATCTTGGAGATGGTTTTTCACCAGAAGCTTTTATTTCAATCCAACATAATCCATCTAAGATTTTGAAATAATTATTAATAAAACTATTTACGAGAAAATTATTAAATTATTAAATTATTAAAACATACTATTACTATCTAATAAAGATAATTTTCTTGAATAATATTGTCTCCAACTTGTTAGAGGTCTTCTTTTGAAAACAGGTGAACTTGACCATTTTCTTTTACAGATTGCTTTCCAAATTGTATTTTCTTCACAGAAACGATAGAATGTATGGCAAGTGAGTTGAACTGAGCTTAGATCCGATGGTTCCAACTCTGCTAGGATTCTGAGTGTTACTTCATTGGGGAGTTCCAACATTCTGCTTAGGGACTGATGATTCGAATCTACATTGTAGTATGGTGCAATCGCTGTGCAAAGGTCAGGTGAAATAGCAACATGAGCCAATGTGGTGGTGGCTGCGTCGACACTTGCACTACCAAACATGAGTGCACCGCCATCATGATCATTGCCACTGGTGAGACATTCCATTTTTCTCTCTTCGATAGTTATCAATGTAGGGAAATTAAATAGGAAAAAGGTAAAATCTCTAAGATTTTGGAAAAATGAATAAATTGTTTGTTTGGCCACTTATAAAAATTTATATATAAATAAATATATTGAAATATTAAAAAAATAAAAAATGATCCTTCTCTCTAAATCTTAACTGACTGAATTTTGACTTGTTTGATTAAAATTTACAAAAATTGGTGCAAATTATATACAATTTAATTTTTTGGTTCAGAATTATATTATAACCTAACCAAAAAAACACAATTAGAAAGATTTGATACCGAAATAAATATTTTAAAAGAAGAAGAAGCTAGTAAAAAAATATTTAATAAAAGAATTAGAATTTGATCATAAAGTTAGGGGTATGATTTAATATATTTTTATATATGATATAAATGGGTGATAAAAATAAGATTTTGATGAGAGCTGGGGGTAAAGATAAGAAGTTGGATGTATGGTGGTTAAATAGTGTTGCACTTGGGAAGAGATAAAAATATGAAAACAAACTCAGAGTTTTGTGTGTTTTTTTTGGTTTTTTTTTAAGTTTTGATCAGTTTGTGTGGTGGTAGTTGACAAAGAACACAGATGACAATTTTTAAATATGATGAAGATTGGTAGAAAATATATAATATGAATAGATATAATTTTACAATGAGGCACTATCTATTGTGATAGGAAAAACAGACGATGATTTTTAAATTGGAAAAAACAAACTTTCAAAATTAATTTAAAAGTATGTGGAGTATTTATACAGATAGATAAATATAATTTTAGTGAAAATAAAGGAAATTATATTTAAAAAATAATAATAATTTGAAGTATAGATAGGTGTATAGTAGTAGAATGAAAAGAAAATGATTATTGGTGATTGTTTTAAAAAAAAAAAAAAAAAAAAAAAAGTTAAAATAAAATTAAAAAAAAAAGAAAAGAAAAGAAAATAATTTAAATGATGGTTTGTTTTTTCGTTTTAAAAATGATTGACAAGATAAAAGATTGTTTTCAATAAACAATCAATTGAAAATGATATTATGATGTCGGTTTGTATAACTATTATTACAAAAAACACACACTCTCAAATCTTATTTTTGCAAAATTAAAGTTTTATTTTTTTTTGTCAAGTGATAACTGATTTTTTTTGGAACCAACCAACGATAAAATCAAAAAAAACATAAAAGACAATGATATTTTGTGAAAATGAATCAACCTTTTTCAAGGTTTTTATGGTTTTTTTTTGCTGATTTTTCTCATTTCCATTTATTTTTGGGAAGTGGATAATACAAAAGTTTCGAAAGACATTTCTTGTCAAACAACCAAACAACCTCGTGTGAAGCAAACACCCACACCTGGTCACCAAAAAGACTTTATTTTTAAATGAAAGTGCAATTGACTGAAAATCAAATATTATAATATTTGCATGCCGCACACACATGCACACTTAATTGATCAATCAAACCACAATCTTCTTCATTGCAGAACTATTATTCATATGCTAATCATTGATTCTGAATAGAAAATCCAATAGCTTTCGTGAGTAGATTACACAATTGAATGTTCAATATTCATAATATTATTATATTCTTAAAATGAAGAGAGAGAAAAAGAGAGAAGCTAGCTTTTCTTTTTTTTTCTATTTTCAGATTCTTGATTGCGACTGTTGATATCAATTCTTTCTTATTATCATTATTTAATATTATACAGAATTCAATAAATAAAGTTTATTTTCTTTGATTCAAAGAAGGAATATTGATGTTGATGATGATTATGATATAAAATTACACACTACATCCTATATCCACCTCTTCCACGACGATTATAATTATTGAAAGGTCTATTATTGTTATTATTGTAAAATCTACGATTATTTCTGTTGTCTCGGTTGTTGTTGTTGTTGTTGTTGTTTTCTCTTTCATCTCTGTTGTCTTTATCATCTCCTCTGCCTCTGCTATCACGATTGTCACGATAGTCTCTGTTGTCTCTCATGCTCTCTCTGTTGTCACGACTATCTCTTAGATCACGAGAGTCTCTGAGATCACGACCGTCCATATCATCGTAGCTATCTCTCATCATGTCTCTGTCACGACTTCTATCTCGTTCGCGCTCACCACCGCCACGATCTCTACTGTAGAAAGGTCGGTCTCTCTGATGAGAATATAGATGATTATCATTGTTTCGCATACCACCACCACCACCACCTGCATTATTACCACCAGTACCACTATAATGATGAGGTGATTTATAATCTGAAGCAGGTGAAGCAGGTGATATATAAATATTATTATTATTATTAGGTTGTTGTTGCTGTTGATAATTATTAATGTTACCATTCTCTACTACTACTGATGGTGTTAGAGATGAATCATATGAAGATAGTTGTCCAGCAACACTATTCATATTGTTAGTTGGTTGTTGTTGTTGTTGTTGTTGATAAAATTGATTACCATTGTAATTGTTGTTACTATTATTGTTGTTGTTGTTGGCACCAGAATATGAATTGTAATTGTAGTTACTGTTATTACTATTACTCTGACTATATCGATTGTTACCATATGAACTTTCATTACCATTCATATTATTAAAGTTATTATTATTATTATTATTATTAAAATTGTTATTATAGTTATTATTATAGTTTGAATTGCTATTAAAATTATTATTATTACTATACATATTATTAGTATTCATATTTGTATTATTCATATTGTTGTTCATATTATTATTAGTACTCATAGTGTTATTCATATTAGTATTGTTCATGTTTGTATTGTTCATATTACTAATCATCATATTATTGTTATTGTTATTATAGTTATCATAGTTCATATTACTATTATAACCATTATAGTTGTTGTTATTATTGTTACTATTATAATGAGCACTACCTTGCATCATACTATTACTATATTGTTGTTGCTGTTGTTGTTGTTGATTATTATTATTAATTTGCATGAATCTTTGATTCGTATTACTGTTATTATAGTTATTAAAGTTTTGTTGTTGTTGTTGTAGTTGAGTTTGAGGCAGTTGTTGATTATTCATGCTATTACCATTCATTTGTTGTTGTTGTTGTTGTTGCTGTTGTTGCAGTTGAGTTTGAGGGAGTTGTTGAGTATTCATATTGTTATTACCACTCATCATTAGATTATTATTCATGTTGTTGTTACCATGCATCATTTGTTGTTGTTGTTGAGCTTGAAGATATTGTTGTTGAAGCAACTGTTGTTGTTGTTGCTGTTGTTTCAATCTCAATTGTTGTTGTTGTTGCAGTTGTAGTTCTTCTTGTTTTCTCAATTCTTGCAATCTGAGTTGTTCTTGTTGTTTGCGTTTGTCCTCTTCACTGAGAACCGATTTCAAGAGAAGAAACAGCGATTCCTTGCTCGTGCCAAGCTCGGCCAGTCTCAGATCCAGCAGTTTGAGTTTCGCTCGCATCTCACTACGTTTCAATTCAAAATCCATTTGCAAATCGTTTATCTTGGCAATGGTGCTCTGTGAGGGTGATGGCGTCGACGAGGGTGGTGGCGACGACGTCGACGACGACGAAGACGCCTCCACGGCAACAGCAGTCGTCGTTGTATTGCCGGTGGTGGTGGTGGTAGTCGACGATGATGATGCATTCACCACATCATTCGAAGAAGACGAAGCAGCAGCACCGCCACCGCCATTCGCTTGATTGTTCAATTGTTGTTCCAATTGTTTCTCTTGAAACTCCTTGAGCGATGTAGCTTCATTGTCGAGATCATTCTTCACTTTGAGAAACAGATACTTTTTAATCGACTTTTTTCGCGCAGACTCTAATTGAAGAGCTCTCAGATGAAGTGTATTATTTGCATATGACATTGAGAAGAGTTTGTTTTCTACTATCTTAGCTATCTATCTATCTATCTGTCTTATCTATCTGTACACAAAAAAAGGTATTTTACAAAAAAAAAAAAAAAAAAAAATTCAAATTTTTTTAAATAACCAATTTTTGTTTTTTTGTTTTTTTTTTTCAAACGGATTCAGAGAAGAGTGAGATTTTTGATAATTAAACGTTTGCATTTTGGGCATGTTTTTGATTAATAACTTATAATAAATGTTTGGTTTATTATTTTATCACTATTACTATATTATATATTGTTTTTTTATGATTTTTCTTTTTTGTTTTTTTTTTTTTTTTGTTGTTTTTTTTCTTTTTTTTTTTTTCTTTCTTTCTTTTTTGATAATTATAAAAGAGAGAGATGCAAAAAAAAAGTGGTGAATATTACATTACTATCGATTGTTGTTGTTGTTGTAGTTGATGGAATGCCAATGTCTCTGTACGATGGTTTTCGAGATCGTAAGGGCTATATAGAAAAACAAAATAATTCAATAGTGGCACTGTTATTACAAATCCACCAACCATGCAGTAGGTAAACAATTTACCGAATGCCTCGACTGTAGTCTGTTGTGGTATCTTCTTCTTGTTGATACCGCTAATCAATGGCAAAACGAAATTCGAATAGACAAAATAATAAACTTTCTTTGCTAAAATCTTTACTGATAATACAACAACAACACCTAAATATTAAGATAATAATAAGATAACAAGTTAGTTATATTATGTTTGTGTTTGTGTTTAAAACAAGACATTTACCAAATACCAATCTTAAAAATGTGAAAATCAATGGGAAAGAAGTGAAAAAGTTGGTTAGGAAATGTTCATTGTGTCCGTCGACCATGTGATGATAGAATGATGAATGGGTAATGAAGATCCAACTGGAGAGGTAGGCACCGAGTGCAGTACCAAAGACGAGACCGCTCTCGGGATAGGCGGGAGTCGGTGTTTTGGGTTGTGGGTGGATCAAGATGGCGAGACACGCCATTGTGATCATGGCGATCGGCGCAATGCCGGTGACGTCGCTAACCGCCTCCACATAGTAGGGACGCAGTTTGTAAGCGAATGCAAAGCAGCTGAGTGATCCAATGGTGAAGCCACCGATGACGTCCATCGGGGTGTGATGACCGTTGTAGAGACGGCTCATCATGACACTGGCGATGCTAAACAACACAGCGACCAGTGCCACTGGGTAGGGAATGATGGGGTCGACCACCGGGTGAATATGGTAGAGGAAGAGGAAGTAGTAGAACTGAATCGAAACCGACGACGATGTGTGCGTCGATGGCATTCCGTGATCCTTCTGTGGCGCGGTGTGAATCCACACCTGAGCGGGTGGTGGACGTGGCAGCAAAAACGTATTCTTCAACATATTACCGATGCCAATAGAGAGTGCCAGCAGAATGCACAACTCAATGGCAAGAATTCGAGAAACAAACCAATATGTAATCGGTAGTGATAAAATATAAAATTCCTCTTCTCCAAGATAACTAGCAAAGCCAAAAAAACGATCTAAAAATGGATTTCTATAACTCTACAAAGATAACAATATAATAATAATGGTCATTGTGTGTTAGAATATTCACCTTTCTTTATCTAAATCTAAATATAATATTGAGTTGGCAGTTATTCGATAAAACCTACTTGTATCTTTAAAATGATTGGTATTTCTCTCTCGTATTCTTTCAGAAGTACCTCTCTGATTGAAGTGGTTGAAAAGGAAATACCTTTAAAAGCCGACTGATATTCTTTTTTTCGTTGCTTTTTGGCATTTGCGGTGGTTATTGGTTGAATACAATCCATTCTTTTGTCGCTTCTATACTGTTTGACTAACTATCAATTCTGTACTGTCTATTGTTTGTGATTATTTTTATTATTATTATTATTATGATTATGATTTCAAATATTTGCTATTGCTAAAAGAACACTCCTATTCTGAAAATCTGACAATTTCTTATCATAAAAGGGAGAAAAAAAAAAAAAACAGAATTGTTGATTGAACAATTTGTCGTCGTACGTAGTAATAATTTGATTGCCTTTAACTGCTTGTTTTTTTTTTCTTTTTTTAACTATTTCCCCCTATCAAGATATCTAAAAATATAATAATAATAATAATAAATATTAATAAATAAATAAATATTTAAAAAAACGAATTGTATTTTTACCGAGCTAAAAAAAAAAAAAAAAAAAAGTAAATAAATAAATAATGATAGGAAAGGATAGGTTAGACAGGATATTGATCAAATTAATATTAATTTGGTTCAAAGTGGCGGTACAATTAATGAACGAATGATTCAAAATTTTTAAAAAAACAAAAAAAATTAATAAAAATGAAAAAAATGTTTTTTACGAGGTTGGATTGCCAAGTTTGTTTTGTTATGTTTCTTTTGGAGGTTAAAAAGTATCATTATGATTTTTTGATGGATTTAGGGGTTGAATTTAATTAAAGATGACATTTAAATAATTATTGTTATTATTGCTAAACATTTTAAAAGAACAACGATTATTAATATTATTAACAATAACGCTACTTAACACTCACTTTCTTCTTAATTTTTATATTAATGAATTAAAATAATTCTGAAAGTTTAAAATATCAAGCGTCACATGTTTTTGTTATATTATAATCTGATGTCTACTCTATCTACTACTCCATATTCCTATTCCTATTCCAATACCTAATCCTATACTATTTCTATTTCTACTACTTATATATCTATTTGTCAACACATATCATTATTATTTTCTCTTAATTTCCAAATGAAGGTGAAGATGAATTATATTGTTTAAATACTATTATTGTCATTCTTTGATTTTAATTGATATGGTTGATTGGATTTGATTTTGTATAATAACACACCTTCATAAAATAATCCCTAAATATCTTGATAACAAGCAACTTTGAATCCAACTCTTTCGTTTTTTTTTTTTTTTTAATATGATAATCTTTAAATTTATTTATAAGTTAAGTTCTGACAAAAATAAAAATGAATAAAATAAAAATAAAAACAAACAAATCTTGTTATTAATATCAAAAATATTAGTTTGACAGATAACAAGATAGTTAGATGTATAGAGAATTTTAATGAATGCAAAAAATAAAAACAAAATAAAAATAATTACTAGTTTTTCTTAGTTTACTATATTGGTGGGGGTTATTTATTTTTTTTATTTATTCTTTTTGGATTCTCACAATTAAAATGAGTTGTTTGTCAAGTTCACATTTTTGTTTGTGTTATTTCATTCTCACTTCACTCTAATTAATTGTGTGTTGGTTGTGTGTTTGTGTGTTTGTGTGTTTTCTTCGTTTATTTTTATCACTCTCTTGAGAAATGGAGGGAATATATGAATTGAAACTCTTAATTGTGTACAAGATTTTGTTTGTTTACTTTATAGCTATTAACAATTATCCATTTATGTGCACATCTCTATAATAATAAGCTAGTGAGAGAGTAATAGAGAGTAATATAGAGTGATAGAGAGTGATAGAGAGAAATAATTTTCAGTTTTATGTTATATTGTTGTTGTTGTTGTGTTTATTTGTGGTTAATGGAGGTGCGTGGTAATGAAAAACAAAGAAAAGAAATAAAACAATACAAAAACCAAAACCGTGAAAGTAAAGACATGTTATGACAAATAATCCAATGCTTTGTATATATTCACACAACAACAACAACACGCAATGCGAAAACTAAACAAATTCACACTCATTTTTAATATTACACTCACTTTACAATAGTCAAATACACACACACAAAATACTCTAAAATTATATTATATGTTTATATATTAATTGTTTGTATTCTTGTTTGCTTGTTTTATTTATTTATTTTTTATTGTCTCGTCTGTTCTTTGTATTGTTATTAAAATTTTAAAACTATTGTATGTTTGTTTGCTAGTGTATTTAGTTTAGTGTTTTATTTGAAATGGAGACTGTCACTGTGAGGCAGAGAGTCTGAAAAAATAAAATACAAAAAAATAAGAATTCAAAAGTTAGAGAGAGTTAAAGCTACCGACAGCTTCTAAATAACATAGGACATTGATATGAGGGTTGCATAGTGAGTAAGCCCCTCGACTTACAACACACCACACACTCAATTCACACCCCTACTAAGGTCGGGTTTGTTTGTTTTAAAGAGGTGAAGTGGGTGGTGGGGGTTCTAACAATCTATTAAAATAAAAAATAATTTTGCAATATATATTCGTTGTCTCGAAATAGTGCTATTACTTTTGAAATGATCTATTAACAAAGACTCTTCATTCATTTCATATCTTTTTTTGTTTTTATTTCTACTTAAAAGATTTTAAAAAAAAAAACAATCTTACCTAAACTGAGTTGTTATTCTGTTTTTTTATGTTTGCTTTTTTTTTTAAATATCTTAATTTTGATTTTGCAATAGATATATAATTATATTTATTTAATTATCTGTTAAGTATATGTAGATTAGTTTTTACTTTTGCTTAATTGATTGAAAAAAAAAAAAATACAATTGTTTGTTTTAAATTATTAAATTTTATAATAAATTAATCCTGATATGAAATTGTTAATTAAAAAATCATTTTGGTTATAAACATTATGGTGTAACCTTGAGAGTTTTCCAAAATTTTTGTGTGGGTAGGCCTAGCCATTTGAAGAGACACCTTCAACAGTCGAACGATATATGACAACACTTTGGTGCAATCATCAATGAATCTGCAAATGAAAAAACAATTTTTTTAAATTGTTGGCTCTTTTTATCAATTTTCGAATTTTTAGCAAACGGTAAAAATTTTTTTTTGACAAATTAAATATATTTTTTTCCTAAAACAAACCAAGGACCAAGACATCCAAGTTTTTGTGAAACCATATTCTGTACAAAACTAAACAGAGTACTCAAAAAAGAAGAAAAAAAAGTGTTACTAGATTGGAAAACTCTAGGTTTTAACTATTTTTAAATAGTTATTTATAAATATATATATTTATAAATCTTAAAAAAAATTCTATCAGGTCTATATTTTTAAATACATAATTTATTGATTTCCAATTTTGAGAAAAACATAAATTTAAATTTTGATGTTGTTTTGTTCTTTCTTGAGTCCAGCAATGTTTGATTCAAGATAATTACTAACTGGTAAGACGGTTCCTTTCTTTGAGAGTTCTAACCATTCTTCGGTGGTCGAGACTGAAGCGTAGTTACTCTGGAAAACAACAGAGAATACACGGTGTAACTCTTCCGCTGAAGCATAGCCAGCTTTGTTCTCATAGGGAAGCGATCCAGATGCATCGGAAATGAACTCTACATTGTATCCACGGTGATGAGCTTCAAAGATGGTGGTGGCATCACAGTTGTGTGTCATATAACCAACAATGACTAAGGTATTGATATCCTTTGACTTTAGGAAACTCTCTAGATTGGTTCCGGCGAAACAAGAGGGAAGTGTTTTGTCTATCAAGAGATCGTGGTGACGATTAGCTACTTGTGGATGCAATTCGAAACCGTTGGTGCCTTTGGCGAAAATTGGAACACCCTCAGGTGCATAGTGTCTAACTAAGATAATGGGATCTCTTGCTTCCTCTGCACTATCCATAATCTTTACAATGTTTGGCAACGAAATGCTTACCGGTGGATACTGAATTCTGAAACCGCCATCAACATATTCATTTTGAACATCTACAACAAGGAGTGCTCTCTTTGGTGTTACAATATTGTTTGACATTATTAAATATTTTATATTTTAATATTATTTATATTTTGTTTTTAAGATTTTTATCCTTTAATCTTCAAATTTATTAAAATATTTATAGTTTTCAAAAAAGAAAAGCAATCATATTTTTTTTAATGAAAAAAAATTATTATTCTAATGATTCGAATGAAAGGTTTTTACTTGTTGTCAATATTGGACACTCCCCAATATTTAGATTTTTATTTTTTAAAATCGACAACAAATTTCAAGGGTAATCAACACCCTCCGCAAATTTAGATTCGAAGATGATTCGAATGTATCTGGTTGAAGTTTTTTTTTTTTTTTTTTTTTTTTTGGTATTAACAATCAATTATATTTAAGAATATCTTTTCAAAAGTTCTAATATTCGAATGGATATAATCAATATATTTAATGATGCTATGATTAATATTAATAGAAATAAATTTGTTGATTATTATTAAACTTTGTTCGAATTGTTCGAATGTTTTTTTTTGTTATTATTATTTAATTTTTTTTTCAAAACAAATTGATTGTTAGTCTGGGTATCTTTGAAATTGGAAGGTTTTTGATAACCTCTGGGGCATTCCCACTACCATACGAGGTGATAGCTCTGAGATCTTTAGTGGATAGTTTGATCTAATGTCTTTCTCATCCACTGCTTTGTGTTGTTCTCTATTCTCATCATCGTGATGATGATGGTAAAGTCTTAGAAACTCACAAGGATCCTCTCCCATTATACCATTCGACTCATACAATGCTTTCAATATTATATTTTCAACGCTAATTAATAAAGTTAATTAGAATTTATATTATAGTTATTAATCAAGTTATAAATATTTACTTACTCTTCTGTACCATATTCGATTTTATCTAGCTTACTGAAAAGCAGTGAGGTGTTGTTCAGAGGTGATTTAAAAATGAATGAATCGTAGGAATCGTAGAATCTTGTGCATTTCTCCATGTCGAGAATGTTACCGTTGTGATCCTCTAGACGTGTCAGGAAGAACATTCGCTCATTCCAATCGATGGTGGGATCGACCAGTAGCTTTAGAGTTTCGTCAAAGTAGTTATCGGTGTTGGTGATTGCAACGATCTGGCCATTCAAATTCTGTTGAGCATATCGAAACATATCACCATACATCGGTTTATCGTCGATCGGTATTAAATTACACTTTTGTCGATTGAACCTACTCTTAAGGAGATGTGAAGGTTCGTTGCCTGGCTCGACAAACAGCCATATCTTATTAATATAAGGATTCTTCAGATTCTTTTCTATGACAGAATCTATCTCTTTTTGTCTTTCTTTTAAATCCGATTTATTATAATAACTCTAATTATTATAAAGATAAATATTTATATTTTGGGTTATTATTAACAATATCAACCAACTTTATTTATTTATTAATATTACCAATAAATTTATTTTAATGGAAGATTCCTTCTCTTTTATACCTATGATTATAAATGTATAAATTAAATAACAATGAATTACAAAGAATAATAGAATTATAAGTGGTTTCGATTTCAATATTCTTCCTTGAAATATAGTTGTTGTTTTAGAAGTATAGAACTTTGTCATTTTTGTTTTACAAATAAAAAGAGAGATTGATCTTATTCTATTTTATTATATATCTTTTTTTCATTTCCATTGAATGAATAAGTAATTTAATCATTATGATTAGAGTTTAAATGTACATCTAATCATATACACACACACACAAGATAAAAATAACACATATTCAATCTTATGATTTTGAATTTCATTTTGTTTTTTTATTATTACCTTGACTCAAAGTAATAGTGTCAACATTGAGTTATAACATTTAGTGAGTATATGTGTTTGTTAGAATTCTGTACATTCTATGTGGGTAAAAGCTCCAAAAAGATTTTAAATTAGGAGTAATAATAAAAATGATAAAAAAAAAACATCATTGGGTTTGATTGTTAATTCCGACATCCATTCTATTAAAATTGGTAAATTGTTGGATTTAAAAAATGATTCAAAAAAAGGTGTTTGATCAAAAAAAAAAAAAAAAAAAAACTTTTTTATCTTTTTTTTATTAATTTAACAATTTAATTAATCAATTTATTAATCATAGCAAAGTCTAACTAAACAAAGATATTAAAAATAAAATCAATAAATACAATACAATATATATCTTTATCAATTGTTATTTTTCTTGATTGGTTGAAAGATATAATAAAACAAGACCTGTCATTGATTAATTACATTTTAAATACTATATATATATATATATATATAAGTAAACATTCATGAATATATTACAGGTTAATGGTATGATAGATAATCCAGTATGAATTTAAAAAAAAAAAAAAAGTTCTTAACATTAAAAAACAAACAAAAAACTACATATATAGTTATAGAGGCACGTGATCTAGTTGCTGCAGATACAAATGGATTTAGTGACCCGTAATTATCACAATCAATCAATAATACTGTATATTTACAAAAACTAATCATTTTAAAACATAAACAAACAAATAATATCTATAGATATTGTGTATTAAATTTAGGTTTACAAAAGAAAAAGACAAAAACAATCAAACGCACATTGAATCCAAAATGGGGTGAAACATTTTTAATGTAGGTTCAACTTTGATCTCTCTCTTCTATAGATTAAGAATCAGAAATGATAATCAATCATTCATCTCCTATATATATATGTGTGTGTAGCTAATATTATATAAATTTGTGTAGGAGAGTATCACCTATGGACTTGAGATTACATGTTGTACTTTCGGATTGGGATGCGATGTCCTCCGATGATTTCTTGGGCGAATGTTATATCGATTTGAATTCGATGAACGATCAACCCACTTGGTATACATTGCAACCGCGTCCAACTCATCCCGATGATTTCGTGAAGGGTGAAGTACTGATAAAGGCGCGTGTGGTGTCGTCGATGAACTCAGGTGGCGCGCGCGAAGCCAAACTGCCCACCAATATCATCACAGAGGTGAACAACCGTGTCACCGCGTACGAAACGAACGGTGAGCTACTCGACCTGACTGGAATCGGGCTGGAGATGTTCCCCGAGTTCCTCGAGGAGCACGTTCCCGACATTGTCAATCTCGACCTCGGATTCAACCAGTTCAAGATGTTCCCACAGCTCAAGATGTTCAAAAACCTGCAGTCGCTATCGCTCGGTGGAAATATGATAATGACAATTCCTGGCGATATGCTGGATTTGCCGCTTCTCAAAACTCTCACCATCAACGGTAATCAGCTGATTGCGATCCCGCCGGAAATCAAAAAGTTGGTTTGCCTCGAAAAGCTGGATTTGGCAAACAACAAGATCTCGGTGCTCTGCGAGGAGATCGGAATGCTGAGCAAGCTCGAGGAGTTGGTGATCGCCGGTAATCCGTTGCAGTCGCTGCCCCCGACTTTTTGCAATCTTGGCTCGCTCGAGATGCTCGACGCCAACGGCTGTCAGCTCGTCAAACTACCCGAAGAATTCCCACAGATGACCAGACTGCTCGAGTTGAATCTCGGTAACAATAAACTGGTGGAACTGCCTAGCTTAATCGGTAGAATGACACGTTTGGTCGTATTGAATATTATGGACAACAGACTGACCGACTTGCCACTGTCGATCGGATATTGTTTTGGACTCGGAAAGATCGGTGCCGGTATCAACATCGAAGGTAATCCTATCAACTCTGACGAGATCATCAGTAAATACAAGATTGGTAACGATCATCTGATGGATCATTTGGAGAAGAGAATGGCAGTGCAAGGCTATACCCTACCGGATCAGAAAGCGAAACAATCGAATAATAAAGCATTGCAATCGAGTAATCCAACAGCAAAGAATCCAGCTGGCGTCAACAACTCGACAACCTCAACAACAACCTCAACAACAGCATCTTCACAACAGCAACAGCAACAACAACAACCTGTATTTCCAAAGCCAATGGGTTTGGTTAGCAACAAACCAGCACCAACTCAACCGACCGCTGCACCCAACGCACAGCAAGATATCTTGACTAAATCGATCGCTCTCAAGAACTGGTCGATAGCCATTATCCGTGGTGAAATCAGACCAAAGATAAACAAAGTGAAAACTCAAATTCTCAGATGTGTAAATATTCAAGAAGGTATTTCAATTGCCAATATGATGAAATCAATGAAACCTGTATGTTATTTGTTTATTATTAAATTACTATATATGCTTTTCAAATTTATTAACTAATATTTATTTTAATAAATAGGAAATAGAAGCAATTAAAGCATTAATTCCAAATGCTTTTCCAACACCTGGAGTTCCACTCTCAGGAACCTCTGGTAAGATTCACTCGGGTAATGATAAGCTGGAAACTCTAAAGGATTTGGTTGTAGCATCGATCGACGACGCCGATATTGTTTTAGATTCACTGTATCAATTGATACCAAACTCCTCCGATCCTCATCTAATTGTTGGTCTCGTTAGCTCACTCAAGAAGATTAAAGAACTCCTACCATAATAATGATATAATTCTTACATTTCACAAAAACAAAAATAATCAACAACCAAAATCAACCAATAACAAACAACATAATAATCAATCCAAAGACTAGTGACATAGAGACATACAGACAAGTAGATAGACAAGACAAGACTTTAAAGTCAGCGAACAACAATCAACCAACCAATTAATCTTTTTTTTTCTGAAACAAACAAAATCCAGTACATCACCATTAATTTAATTTATTAAAAATACCAAATCTAAAATCCAAACCTTTAGAACTTACCAGTAAATAATTGATTTTACAACATCTCAAGATTTGTTAACTTGAAAAATGATCAGTTAATAAATCAACAATGTTTGTGTGGAACCACCCACATTTTGCTTTTTTTCTTCTTTTTTGTCAATTTTGGTTTGAACCAATAAATTTTTATTGGACCACAAAATTTTTTTTTTCAAGGTTTGACAAAGTTTTTAAACTTCAAATCCATTGGACATCAAACTTTAAATTAAGATATTCTATTTAGACAGTTGAATTACCTGATTTATACAATTAAACTGATTATTGATCAAAGTTGAAATCTTTGTTTACATTTGTTTTTTTGTAACATAAACAAACTTGTAGAATTAAATTATTTGTTTTAAATTTGTTACTTTTGTTTTATTTATTATATCAAAAATGAAATACATAACTTTATTCATTTTGTTTTTACTATCTATTATTATTAAAGTGTATTCCTTTAATATTACTTTTAATTCACCACAATGTAAGTTAATTTATAAACAAAAATTAAAAAATATGTTAATTTAAAAATTATTTTAGATAATGCATTGGTTTCAATATCGAATGGAGCTAGTCCTGAGAATAAATGGGATCAATATAGTATACAAACTTGTAATTTAACTGGGGTAGTATGTAAATCAGATTCCCAGGGTGATTATGTTTATAGCCTGTAAGTTTATTTTCCAATCAGTTTCAAAATAAATAAAAATATTTATAAAAAATGTAGTATTTTAGATCAAACTTATAAAGGAACCTTTTCTGGTGATATAAGGGGTTTATCAAGGTTAGAAATTTTATCTTTGATAGGAAAAAATATCGGAATAGGTACAGTTTGTCCAATAGTTCCTGATTCTGTTAAAAAAATGTAAGGAAAATCAATTCATATTTTTCAATATAAAAACAACAATCTAATTTATTTTTTACATAGATCTTTCATTTCTACTTCATTTATTGGTACCATTAGCTATTCTTTTACTACAAAGAGTTTAGAAGATTTGTAAGTTAGAATTTGCCAAAGATATAAATTCAAATATTAATTTTTTATTAGAGTTATAGTTGATACCAACTTTACTTCATTTTCAAATGTTAATTTTTATAATTCTTTGAACCTTCAAACAATGTAAATATTTTATAAAATAAATATTTAATAAATAGATTACTAACTTAAATTTAGATTTGTAACGAAAAACTATCAGCTTACAGATTATATTCCATTCTTACCTGTTAAAATTTTAACAAAATTGAGATCAATGTAAGTAGAAAAACAAAATATTTTTTTGTTTTAAATAATTAACTTTTTTATTTTAGAAACTTTCAATATAATAGTCTAAGTTCGATTTATCCCACTAATTTAATGGATATTCTTTACAATAATAATGGAACACCACGATGTCATTTAGATATAACTGGAAACAATGATAAAAGTACTCCTTCACAAGATGTTATTTGTCAAAGTTATTTCTTTAACTTCCAGTCAAGTGTCAATAATATCCTATGTGGTAAGTATTATTAATTTATAAAATTAACTAATATAAAACAAAAAACTAATAACCTATATAGAATATAAGTATGAAATTACTAGACCATCCAACTTTACAAGTTCATTATCAACATTCTGTATCAATCAGAGATATCAATCAAATATTGATATTATGAGATTGGACACTGGTGAAATTCTAAAATGTTATCCAAAATACGATACTATAACTAACCAAAACATTGGAACTTGGTAAATATCATGTTTAACCTATTTATTTAAAATTTAAATTTAATTAACAAAATTTATTTTAGTTGTTCGACAAACTTTAAGCAAACTTTAATGGGAAATACTAAATTTATAGTAAATCCATGGGGAATCATATTTAATCTTACTTTGGACAGACCTTATGTATATAATTCATCGAAAATCAACTCTGTCGAAGGTGGAAATATATCTATATCTGGATATAATCTCCCTCAAAATGCCTCTATAGTCACAATTATGGTGAATAACCAAAATAGAAAAATTGTGGACTATAAATATAATGAAGATGGCACAGGTAAACTATTGGCTTACATTCCACCTGCTCAAGTGACAACTCCAATTGGAACTATTGTTATAAATATTTCCGATAATAATTATGCAATTGCTGGAATACCTTCTTCTTTTATTATTTATAATGGTAAGAGTTAATTAAAATATAAATTAAATTTAGAATTGAAGTAATACTTACTTTTTCATAAACATTATAGATATTCAATTAAAATGTCCAGGCACTCCAGAGTGTAGTGGAAATGGTAAATGTGTGGATGGATATTGTGTGTGCAATGGATATACTGAAGCTGATTGTAGTGTTGGTAAGTATTTATTCTTTAAAAAAAATAATCTAAGATTTAATATTAATGATAATTAATCATTCCTCTTATTTTAGAAATTGTAAACAATACCTCTATTGACAAAGGAGAAAACTCTCCAGATATCAATTTTAAACTCGACTTTTCAGACTACAATGTATCGATCACAATGGTTGAAGTTCAGGAATTGACAGATGCTATGGAAGTAGTTCAGAACATTAGTTTATCAACTGTTTGGGATACGGTTTATGAAACCAACAACTCGAAAGTATATTCCGGTCACTATTACTTCACAATATTTAGAGCGTTGGTAGAATCATTTAACATTGCTACCAACTACTCATTTGGAACAGAGACTCTCCTAATGGAACCAAATACTGTGAAATTTACATTTATCATTTCCGATTGGCCGTGGATGAGTCAATTGAATTCTCTGAGAGTGATTTATTCCACTGGATTCGTGCAGTCGAATAACTCGACAAGTAACAATAACTGTAATTCTGGTTCATCTCCATCGAGCAACTCAACATCCTCGCTAAACAATATTCTCAATCCAGGCTCGCTGAAATCCACTACGATACGCTCACCCAACAGCGGCGTGGTGATGAATGCCCGATTCGCAGCAACCGCTATACTCGACGGTCGAATCATCAACATTGAGAATTCAATAATATCAGCCAACAATAGCATTGCAACATTCGGCATCACCATTCCCTACTTCCAAGACCAGGTAACCATAGATCCCGATTTCTCAGTGATCCTAACCAATAGTATTCCAGGCTGTGTTTCAACCAGTGACTTTAACAAAAGAGTAATCATCATTGTAACGTCGGTCGTATTTGGTGTTGCATTCATGGTAACCGTTGGAATCTACATCTATCACCGACACAAACAAAGAATGATGAAAATCAGAATCAACAATATTTCCGATAAAATATTTAACGACTATAATAATAACCATATAAACAAATAGTTATCTCCCACTCTTTCTCTTCTCTTTCTGTAAATAAAAACAACAATTAATTGTATAAATAAATAAATATTTAAATTTTAAATACCAATTTTAACTTATTAAAATCTTTTAAAAATCTTAATCTAAATCTAAATCTGAAAATTATTATTATATAAGATACTTAAAATGTCATCATAATTACTAACATCATCTCATCCTAATTCTTTACACCTATCGTCAAAATAAATGTGATATAACATTTTACCACTCTGACTCACACACGAAAGAAAAATGAAAAAAAGAAAAAAATTGACAAAAAAAAGTTATTAATTTGGGTGATGTGAAGCTATCGAAGATGAATTGTTATGTTCTGTGAGTAAAATTTTTGTCGGTTTAAAAAAAATTCTATCTTTGTTTTTTTTTATTTTATTTTTTTCATTTTCAATATTTTTTTATTTATATTTATTACTATATAACTATTTTTTATATAATTATAATTACAGATAGAAAAAGAAATATAAAATGAATTTCGATTTTATCTTTGTAATGGGAGCATTGTTCTTGGTCCAAAAGATCGATTTCAAGGAGAACCCACAATATGTCAACTACGCTATCATCGCATTCTGCTCGGTTCAGTTCATCTGTGTCTGTGCATACGCTATGATATTCAAGAAGATCACATCCAGACCAAAGACTACCGTTCTCTTTGATATCAAAACACCAGCTTCGTTCGGTCAAGAGTGAGTAATAGTAATCATCAACAACAATCATCATTTAGTTAGTTATGATAGTTGTTGTTGTTGTTGTTGTTGTTGTTGTGAAATAACAATTTGTTATTAATATTTTATTTATATTGTTGTTGTTGTTGTTTAGAGAGAAGACTGAAAGAATGACAGTTGAGGACTATGATTTCCAACAGATTAAAAAGGTTATCGGTAATGTACTCGTCGGTATTTGCATTCCATTGTTTTTGTTGTACAAGTGGAACATTGTACCACCCTTAGCAATCAACTGCGTCATGGCTTTGCAGAATCTCTACAAGAACAAATTGTTCAAGATCTACATCTTGGGTGAAGGTGACAATAAATATCCAAGACCATTCGCTGATGAAAGTCCATTTGCCAGTTTAATGTAAATATTACAAAATAATAATAATCATTATCTATATATGTATATTAATCATCTTTTTTATTTATAATTAATAGGGGAGGATTTCAACCACCAGCCGAACCAGAGGCAACCAGCGACAATAATGGAAATATTAGAATTCCAGCAACACCAAGCAACAATAACAATACCACCGAAAATAAGGCAGCCAAGAAGCAACCAAAGAAAAAGATTGTTACAGTTGACAGTGACGACGAAGATGCTGTATCCGATGATGATACCGAATCTAGAAAATCACCAACATTGCGTAGAAAGAAGGTTGATTAAATAGATAAAATAAAATACAATCATAATTATTTCTTTTTAATTAAAAACAAAACAATAGAATAGTACAACAATCATAGTTCAAGTGTAGATAGATAATGAGTTAAGAAACATGTTATTTAATATAATCAACTAGTTATTCCTATATTATATATTTGAACTTGATTGACATTATTATTTTTTAAAGAGCTAACGAATTTGAAAAAAGGAGGGTAAGCTAATAAATTGCAAATAGAACCGATAAGTATACCGATAGGTAAGCAAGGTGTAAATAAACCATGAATAATCTACAACCAAATATATTCTCTATTTCATGCTTTATTGTTGATCATCACATGTATTAATGTGTCATGTTAGTTGTAGACAATCAAGTTTAAATTGAATATATCTTTATATGATGATAATAATAATAATAATCTATTAATATATTTATTATTGATTAATAATATATATTGAGTGAGTGGTATTAATAGTGTGTGATCAAAAATAAAAAACATGATCATTAATGTTTCTTTTTTTCACTTGATCAATTATTATTATCACACACGAACATACAAACTAACACACACACAAACAATCACAGGCACACAACACAACAATAACTTTAACCTTCATTATACATTTAATAAATATATACTCATTGTTCATATGATATGATATTCACTTTTTGTTTTTTAAATTAAACAATGATCACCCATGTGTGAATAATATCATTTAGATGTGAAGTAGAATAATATTAATGTTTCTCATTATTGTATACTTTTTTTCATTTTAGATCAGTGTATTATTTTTAATACAAATAATAATGAATGAATGGGTGGGTATTGAAAATCATATCACATGGCTACATACAGCAGTGATGTTATTGTTATATAAATGTGAACATATAATAACATTTCATATGTAGTTGCTGTTGTTCAATGATATTTGTGTTTCTGATTTTGGTTTGGTTTTGAAAATCAATCAATGTAAAATTTACAATTACTTTGTTTTTATTATTTACTATTTAATAATATTTATCCATTATTATTTCACTCTCACTCACGCGCCACTCTATTATATTGTATTGCATTATATTGCAACTACAATTAATAATAAGAAAAAGTGCTTTTTCATTCACTCACTCATACTCACTCTTCTTACTCTTTGATTGTTCAATAACAACAACAACAAAAACATTGTATATAAATAATTCATTACAATATTAATATTATTATTATTTATTTCATTTTTTGTTTTTGATTTATTTTTCTCCAACATACTTACTTACCTTGCCTTACCTATTTCATCTGAATATTTTTTTTTTCCAATCATTAAAAATAACATACTAAAATAATAATAATATAATTAATATCCTCGAGAGGAAGAAGAAATAATCATAATAAATAGTTAGTCAAAGTCCTTTGTTTTTCTCTGTTTAGTTTATTTTTTTCTTTTCATTTCAATCCCAACTCCAATCCAAACATTGATATTAGTCCATCAACTTAGGATCTTGGAATAAAATAAAAAAATTTCTAAAATATAATTTATTTAAAGGATTATTATCTATTTAAACTTTACATTTCCACCATCCAATAGTTATTAATCAAAGATAACTAGTGATTATAAAAAACAACAACTACAACACCTAAAAAAAATTATAGATTAGAATTAAACATTATAAAATGAGATTCTATTCTATAACATTACTATTTTGTATAGTAATTTTTTCCAGAGTTTATGGTTTGTATTTTAAAAATAATCTTTATTTAATATCTGGAATTTAATTTATTAAAATGGTTATTAATATATATTTTTTCAAATTAAAAATTAATTAGCTGGAGGAGAAGTTTGTTCAGGTTTAAATGAGGAACAATGTAAAAGAAATTCCGACCACTGTCAAACACTACCTTTTATCTCGTGTTGTGGAGATAGAAAGTTTTTCTGTGTTTCTAAATACAATTGTAGAGAGGAGCTCTCGTGTGGTACCGATCAATCCGGAAATACCTATGAGTTCTGGTCGTCCTGTAAGCCAAGTGGTTTCAAATATACACCACTTCCAAATGCTACCTGTGAATCTTTGGGTTGCGAGAGATATGGACAGACTTGTGAGTGGGTAAACTCGTCGCCATGCTATGGAACTGCCTGTTGTCCAAGAGTACCACGTTGTTCTGGTGGTGCAACATCATCGAGTGGATCGTCATCCGGTTCCTCAGGAACCACTGCCGGTGCTTGTAACAACTATAATTGCCCACAAGGTAAATTCTGTATTCTACAAAATGGTCAACCGGTTTGTATCGACGGATCGTCTGGTCAGAGCAGCGGAACTACTGGCGGTGATCCATGCAGATTCGTACAGTGTCCAGAAGGATATCATTGTATCAATAATAATGGAAACGGTGCATGTGCTCCAAACGGTGGTACTTCCGGAGGTATTGGTCTATGCGCTAATGTTGACTGTCCAAACGGACAACACTGTGTCCTCGAGAATGGACGTCCACAATGTATTTTCACCAACACTGGATCCGCTACTTCAGGTGGTATCGGTCTTTGCGCCAATGTTGATTGTCCAAACGGTCAACACTGTGTCCTCGAGAATGGACGTCCACAATGTATATTCACCAACACTGGTTCCGCTACCTCAGGTGGAAACATCTGCGGTTTGGTCGAATGTTCCCACGGCCAAGTCTGTGTCACTCACGAAGGTAGACCAAAGTGTATCTATCTCCCAGATGCCGCTTGTAAACTCCACAAATGTCCAAGGGGTCATCACTGTGTCGTTGGTAAGGGTGGTTTTCCAAAGTGTGTTGCAAGCACATGCGACTCCAAAAAATGCAAACCTGGTCAAAAGTGTATTCTCAACAACGGTATTCCAACTTGCATTGAGATTTCTCCACCCATTACCTCTGGTGGCGGTCTTTGTGCTCTCATCCACTGTGCCCCAGACAAGATCTGCAAGGAGATCGGTGGTGTTCCAATTTGCGTTCCAAAGCCAGATCCATGCCATGATGTCATATGCTCTGGTGGAAAGATCTGTATCAATGTCAAGGGTCAACCAGCTTGTGTCCAACCAACATGTCACAACTTTGCCTGTCCACCAAACTACCGTTGCTTCATGGATGACGGTCATCCAAATTGTGTTCCATTCGGTGGTGGAACTTCTGGTGGTCCCGTAGATTGTGAGTCGATCTACGACTCAGCCATGTGTATTTCCAACCGTCACTGTGCTCTCCAAGCCATCAAATCGTGTTGTGGAAACATCATGGAGGTCTGTGTCAATCGTCCAGAAGTTGGATGTCAACCAGACTTTAGCAATCAGTGCGCCATCAATCCAAAGGATAACCAGATCTACCATTTGGACAACACTTGCAAGCCAACCAAGGGATTAATTCCATACACTCCACCCGCCAGCAACCAAACTTGTGAATCACTCGATTGCGGTGCTCGTGGAATGGCCTGTATCACCGTCAAGTCCTCGACCTGTGTCAACGAACCATGTTGTCCAGCCGTTGCAATTTGCACACCATATCACATCTCGGCCGGTTCGACCATCGCAACCACCACCGCTTCAACTGCATCGACCACTGCCTCTACCATTGCAATGCTCGTAACCACCACCGCAACTACCACTGCCTCAACCACCTCGATGACCACAGCAAGACCAACCACCCATCAATCGTCCACATTCGGTCCAGTCACCACCAGTACTCATCTTCCAGATGCCTGTTTCGGAGTCCATTGTCCAGAAGACGAAGTTTGTTGCCAACCAGATCCATCACTCGCACCAAGATGCGTAGGAAAATGTGATTTGGTCACTTGTGAACAAGGTTCCAAGTGTATCTTGAACAATGGAATTCCAACATGTGTAGTAATTACTAAGAAATTCGCATGGACTGATCCATCAACTTGGAGTATCTATGGTTAAACGATAGTTTAAAAAAAAATCAAAATACTAAAATTTAAATTTTTTTATTGGGTATTTAAAATAACTTAAACCTATAACTTAACATAATAATAATAATCATAATCAATATTAAATAAATAATAATTTTTCTAAAAAAAAAAAAACAAAAACTTTCCATTCAATTTTGTTTTATTTGTAAACTTAATACTTTCTTTCGAAAGTTCTTGATAATAGTACTATTACTTCGTTTTTTGTAGATTCCAATCGGATTGAATATTTGTGTTAGTAGGTGAGATTGATTACCACTAAACACAAATTATTTTTTTCTTTTTTTGTTTATTGTGTATGTTTTTGGAAATTATCACTATTTTATTAATTCTGTTTTCAAATTATTATTTACTCTTATTACAGTTCATAATAAATTAGTTATTTTATTATTTTATTTTATTTTATTAAAATAAATCTATAAAAATGGTGAATATTTATATGATTATAGTTTGTTTGGTTATAGTATTTTTGATTATGCTTGGAAGTTTATATTTAATAGTATATTATCAACACCCGGATGACAGAAATGTTGCAATATTCCCTAAAATAATAATTATTCTAGGAATTTCACTAGCCACTACAAGCATTCTAATGTTACCATTAGATGTTGCAAATAAAGGTGGTACTGGAGGATTCCCCATGGATACAATGTGGTTAGCGATTTATATAATTATTGCTGTATTTGCAATTGTAATAGTTCCATTTGCAATATTTTTCTACGAATCTGATGAAGCAGATGGGTAAGATTTGTTTTTAAAAATCGTTTTGATCATTTTCATATTAATTTAAAAAACAAAAAAAAAATAGAGATAGCAATCAATTTGTTAGTGCAATTAAGGGAACTGTTGTTATTCTATTTGTTTTTTGCGCACTGACATTTACTCTGTGGTGTTTGATTGGTGTTGCACAAATTCCAACAATAGTAATTAATAATAATTTGATTACAACAAGCCATGCAGTTCTTGAAGCAGGTCCTCCACCCAATTCAACAACCGATCTAAATAATACTCAACTGAAATCTTGGTGGTCATTTTTATTGTGTACCTCTCCAAATTCTTTCAACTTGACATTAACACAACAAAAACTGGTCAATGTACAAATACCTACTTTTGTCGAGGCTTGGGTCCAAAGTGCCTCTCAAAACAAGAACAATACATTGACACCAACTACTCTTTATAGTTACTCAGGATATACAAGTGATGAATATAGGAATGATACTGAATTTATTACTTTTAGAGTATCAATAGCTCTGTTTGTAATTACTATGGTTTCATTTGGAGGTTGGTTTTTGTTTGTTCTTTTTGGTGGAATAGGTGTAGCTGCATTACCAATGGATATGATAACAGATTTCAGATTCCGTCCTCAGAGAATTTCGTATGATGTATATCTGAAACAAAAACAAAAGATAGGAGAAAAGGCAACGGAATTATTGGAGATTGGAAAGACTGTACAAGCAAACCACAGAGGTGGTATCATTACAGGTAGAAAACAAAAACGAAATTACAATAGATTTAAAGCTGCAGTTTTTCTTTTGGAGGATGATTATGAACATCTTAAGATATGCTATCAAAGACAAGGTGGTAAAGTTATATTCTATTACGTCCAACTTTTCCTTGGATTCATAGCTGCTGCTCTCTCCATCACTTGGGTACTTCAGAATATTCTCTATATGTGGACTCAACCTGAACCATTTTTCCCATTCTTGAACAGTTTTTTCATTAAATTGGATGGCGCATGGGGATTCTTAGGTACAATTACATATGGAATTTACTCATTATATCTTTTGCTATGTGTAGTAAAAGGAAACTTTAAATTTGGTTTAAGATTATTCTTTTTATTCCCTATACATCCAATGAGGTAAGATTTCAATTATAAATAATATTAACTCCAAAAATATAAATTGTTCTAATATTTAAATTTTTAACAATAGGGTTGGAGGAACAATGATGAATGCATTCTTATTTAATGTAGGAATGATTTTAGTTTGTTGTGTTAGTATTACCCAATTCTGTACAATGGCATTCTCTCAGTATGCAAGTACAACCGCAATCAATAGTAAGTTCAAAATCTATAATAGATCTTATTTCTTTTATTTACCAAAAATAATTTTAAAATAGGTATGTTCTCTTTAGCAGTTCGAAATATTATGATTATTAAATACTTTTGGGTTGGATACATTATTGCATTCTTTGGAATGGCTTTGTTGAGTGCAATACTATTAACTATATTCCGAAAAGACGGTCCAAAACAAATTACCTTTGATGAGAAAAACAAATAAATAATTGAAACAAAAAAAAAAACAAAGCAAATAATAAATAAGAAAAGTTTTATATAAATGAAATTAACATATGACAAATATGTATGTTTAATTAATTTAAATATTTTGGGAGTTCCTATTATAAATTGGAAAGTATATATTTTGGTAAGTCTATAGTAGTAATAAATATAATAAATTATTGATGTTTCCAAAAAAAAAAAGATTCTTTATCGTGATTAAGAATCTCCACTGAAAATGATGCTGGTGACAATGACCAATGGAATGACGATGACCAGCACAGACAGTGAGGCGAAAGCAATACGCTTACAAATTCTAATTGTAAATATCTTGGCTGCTCTGTATGCCGATTGGTCGTCTTCCATGGCAAGTTGATGTATATTTTCTTCGAAATCAACGGTTTCCACCTTGAGAGTTCTCAAGATTTCCTTTTGCTCTTCGTTCATTCTACGACGATTCTTTCTGAAACGCAGAGCTTTCAGGTAGATCACCAGTGGAATGACAAAGTTTGCTATGGAACTGAAAATGATACTGGACCACTCACTGATGAGATTGAGACCGTTTCCAGTCATGAATGGGATTACTACCAACCACGGCAAAATGACAGAGAAGAACAGTGCAAGTTTCTTTGGCATCAAGTTGTTTTGCATCAAGTTATAACGTACTACAATCGAGAATACTGGAATCGAACTGGCAAGCACAACAAATGGGAAAACATAGACACAAATCTTTGAAAAGATATTGGCCTCTGGTGAATTATTGATTACACTGAGAATATCGGAATTAGAAGCCATATGTCCAAATGATAAACTACCGAAGATACCAATCGCCAAAAACACAAAAGTTGAAAAAGATGAAGCTCCCCAAACTGTTTTACTGATTTTTACAGATGGTTTCTAGAAAATGATATTGAATTTAATATTAGTAATTGGAATTGTTGATAAAATATTTTAATTTACTTACAGCTTCGTTTACCCAACTTGGAACTGTCGTTATATAAGCATAATTAAACATTACATTACTCATTACTTCTGCCATACCTTTGCCCGTGCCAAATGTCGGAAGATTGCTAGAATCCAAACCATGGATGCAAAACATGATAACCCAGGAGGAGGTGATGGTAAACATGAGCATGACGGCACCGATTTGCACGACGATGTTGTCATCGAGATTCAAGAATCCCAGTGGGATGATGAGCACCAGCACAATGAGGTAACCGAGTGTGAAGAACATATAGCGATCGTCGAAAGGCGAACTAGAGTCTACGTTTTGCGCGACACAAGTCCATCCGATGTGTGGATACGCTTCGAGACCACACGTCTTTTTGAAGATGAAAATCAGCATGGAATCCATGACCTGTGCACAAATGATAATCGATGCAATGTTGGTTGCCTGAAGTGCTACATTAATGAAAACCTGCGCTATATAATATCCCCATTTTCCAAAGTAGAATCTGACCAGCATACTAAACTCCACACGCAATTGGAATCTAGGATTTCCTGGAATAATCGCCATAGACTCTGTTAAGAACAATGCAGCGAATGTACTGACCACCATAATTAATATAAAAGAAAATAATGATCTACATATTATTAAAATATTAAATAAAAGGTACAAATTAGTACAACCACCCTTCAATTGTTTTTGTTTGATCTTTAATTAATATAAAACTTACAAAAACCAACCTGCTTGTTGAAATTGTAATGCAATACCGACCATACCTGGACCAGTCATATTACCTATTAATAAACAAAATCCACCTAGTGTTCCACTTTATTTTGTTTTTTTTAAAAGAATAAAATTAAGATAAACTTTGTTTATTTTTGGTGATCTACACAAAAAAATGTAAACCAAAAAAATAATAGAATTTAAAAAACATAGAAATAAATATTCAAACTACAATGAGCTCATTCACTTTTTTATCAATTTACACTGAATTCATTGTAACTCCATATTTATAAAAAAATTCTATTTCTCTATCTCTATATATAGTAACTATACCAAATATGTACATACATTGTTTTATGACCAAATCCTTGCTTTAGTTCTTCTTTATGCTCTGGGGTGATGATTGGTTCATCATCACCATTGATTGTACTTGTAATGTCTGCACCTGCATCGTCAATGAGGAAGCTATCCTCAGACTGCAAGAGTGATTCTTGTTCTGTCATGAATCCTAGTGATACCTCTGGCATACCAATTTACAATAATTATGTCTTTTGTTACTATAAATAACGAAAAGATATAATGTAAAATTAAAATTAGAATTTAAATTTAAATTTTCCAGTTAGAAAGCGGTTGGAAAACCAAAAAAAAATTATTATTGTTTAAAAAAAGGAAAGGAAAAGGAAAGAAAATAAGATATTTAAAAAATATTATTATTCAAAATTTAAGATTATATTATTTTTATTATTATTATTATTACAATTGTTATTTTATTTAAGAATGCTCGTTGTGGAAATAAATGTATATGTGAAATTTGAAATTTTAAAATTTTTATTAGATAGATCCCTAACGATAGAATGAAAAAATGACGATAAAGATTGAGACTGAGAGAATGAATTGAAATGAAGTTGATGTTTGTTCAAATATTTCTAACTAATAATGGTAGTAGTAGTAATATAATTGAATGATGAGAATAATGATTATTCGATTTCTTATTTTTTAGTTTGTGGATCGAGAGACTGAATGATTAATAGAGAGTTGACAATAAAGAAAATGTATATTTTTTTATTTAAAGGAATAATGATTGGAAGGAGATAGATAGAGAGTGTCAATATATTGAATTGAGGTACAAAAGTATGAATTTATTCGGGTATTTATTATTTTTAACATGTAAATCATTCAAATCAAATTCATGATTCTCATACACAATAAAGACAAACAAACAAAACAAAACAAACAATTAATTAAACATGAATATTTATTATACTCATATCCACTATAACCTAATATATATATAATGTATTGTCATATGATGGTGGAGAGTGGGTGTTGTGTGTTTGTGTGTAAATATGTGTGTTTGTGTGTATTGATCGAGGTGATTATGTTTGTTTGCTGTTGCATGCTGTTGAAAATTGTTATTGTAATTGACACTTTGTGTATAATAAATAAGCAAAAGAAAGTGGTTAACTAAAACAAATCTAATAGTATGTGGTATAAAAGTAAATTATTGAATTTAGATAAAGAGAGTAAAATTAACTAATTTTATACTAAATATTTAACTATTAACATAAACAAATCATATTTTCTTGTGACATTGCGTAATTTTATTATACTATCGTTATTGTTATTGCTATTGTTATTGTTATTGCTAATGCTATTATATTTAATTTAAACTTTAATTTAGTTTTTACCTTATAACTCCTATACCCTATGCTTACTGACCACTTGATTTATCAAGATCTGGTAAGTCTAAAAGGTAAGGTGGATGACTTTTTTAAAAAAAAAGAGTCGAATCTGATTGAGTTTTGACACCTATAGGTGCGTGTTTCACAATCGCAAATCCAAATCTTCTTAAAGTCAAGTCTGTCTGTGAGGTGTGTGTCTGTTGTCTATCTGTTGTCTGTCTGTTTGTCTGCTACTTTTATATTTTGTTGTCTAACAACAAAAAATTAAACACCTTTTGCAAAAGTCAAATTATTTATTTGTTTGCTTGTAGGGAGGAAGAAGGACCTTTGACTTTTTTAAATTAAATATAATAAAGATGGAATGAAAAAGGTATGAAAATGATTTAGAGGAGTGACCTTGTTGTTTTTGGGTCAAGTGGAGTGGTGGTATTAAAAATACAAAAAATAAAAATAAAATAAAATAAAAGTAAGTTGTCTCCAAAAAGTGAGGAGAAATTTCTTTCGCTCCAAAAAATTGGGTAAATCAATCTAAAAAGTTGGATATAAAAAATAACAAAAACAAAAAAAAATAATTTTTTTTGACACCCAAATCTAAAGGGTTTCCAAAGTGTCACTCCCTTTAGCCCCCTCCTACACTAATAGATTTTTGTATTTTGAAAAAAAGTTTTTTGCAAAAAAAAACAAAGAAAAAAGAACGCAATACAATAGATATCTATTACACTAAAAGGTGTTCAACCACAAAGAATAACTAATTTAATTATTATTTTTTTTTTTGGTAAACATTGTTTTGTTTGTTGCTTTTTTGAAGATTATGATGTGTTAATGTTGAGCTCGCTAGCCCAATATGTGTGCCACAGAACAAATAAGTTTACCTGGGCATTAGGTCAATATTTTCTGATTGTTTTGATTGATGTTTTGTTGATGCAACAAATTGAAAATATATATATCTATTCAACTCCGAGAAATCTCTGATATTAAAATGAATCATAAAAAACAAGTACAACTTTGTGTGAATTTGTGCAAAACCTATATTTCCTTTTCCTTTTCTTTCTGACATGATTATCTTCATGCACCCAATGAAATTGTTTATTATTATTAATATTTTTATACATACGTTTAATTAAACTAAAAAGACATCAATATACAAAAAATGAAATTTAATTTCTAAAATCTAAAGAAAGGTTTTGTTTCAAGAACAAAATTATATATAAATAGAGTATATTATCTATTTGAAAAATAATAATAATAATATTACAACAATGATGTTTAATTTAATATTTAAACAAACTAAAATTAAATTGAAAATACTGAATGGATTGGTGGTTCGAAAACAAAATAAAGAGAGTAAATTTCAGCAAGGTGACTGAGCTGGTCTTAAAGAAAAATATAACTAAAAAATAAAATAAAATAATATTAAAATTAAATTGATCAATTATGTAGTGTGGTTGTTTTGATCGACCAGAGACAACAACGAGAATCTAAATAATCCTGGTATCGAAAACTCAAGATTAAAAAAAACAGCAAAAAAAAAAACATAATTGGTTTGACCTGTGAGAAAAAAAAGAGGCAGTTGTATTTTCATTGTTTAAAAGGTATGAAAATGGTCGATTATAATGAAAAATGAAACAGGAAATGGATTGATAATTACTGTTTGATTGTTATTGTTTCATTTTTAATTTGTTTTATTTATTTTTTTTTTATTTTAATTTTTTCAAAATTTACACTTCACCTCTTGCCAATCTATCCAAGAGGTCATCTAAATCATCTTCTTTGGAGGCAGCAGTATTGTCTGCACTCATGTCGTAGCTTATATCATTCGACTCTGGGGTGGACATATCAATATTATGTTGTTTGAGAAGATCTTCAAAACTGAATGTATTGTTATTGATGATCGATTCCAGGTCTTCAAATGTGAGATCCTCATTTGAGTCTGGAACGACAGAGTTTAGATTGTCGTTGGCATCTTCCTCTGTAACTGATGAAACTTCTTCGGTAGCAATTGTTTGTTCATTATATTGTTGTTGCTCTTCATAATATTGTTGTTGTTCCTCTTCATTATATTGTTGTTGCTCCTCGTAGTAATCATCTTGAGTAGTTGCTGTTGGTGGTGATGGTGGTGTTTCGATTTCCAATTCTGGAACTGAAACTGGTTCAACTGGAATTGGATCTGGTTCTGATATTGATCTTGGAGGAGGTGGTGGTCGTGGTTGACTGGCGTAGTTTCTGGCGGGTGGTGGAGGTTTTGCGGATCTGGGTGGTGGTGCAACTGAGGGTAAGGGTACAGCTGGTGTTGGTGGTGAAGCGGAAGATGGAGTGGAGACATATTCATCGCCGGCCATTGAGAGTGTTGGTGGCAATGTCGAGGGTAATGGTGGAGGGGGTGGTGGCAATTCGGCAGAGTGCGGCGATGCGTCATACTCATCGATTGGATCCATAGGTGGAGGTGGTGGTGGAAGATTGTCGAGGCTATATGGTGTGGCGGGTGGTGGAGGTGGTAAGTCAGTCGGTGGCGATGATACAGGTGGTGGAGTTAAAATGTCGAGAGGTGGAGGTGGAATTGAGGTTGCGGAAATATGATGTGATGGTGCTGCTGCTTGATGATTTGAAACTGAAACTGGTGGTGGTAATTGGTTGGTATTGTTGTTGTTGTTGTTGTTGTTGTTGTTGTTGTTGTTGTTGTTGTGATTTCTTGGTGGAAGTGATGGCTTGGCACGTGCTTGTATTGGTGGTTGTGTTGAAAGTTGTTGTGGTGGTGTTGGTGATTGTTGTGATTGTGGAGTTGGAAGTTGACGTGGTGCTCTGTTTGGAACTGGAGCTTGTGGAGCATGTCCATTTGATGTTTGTTGTTGTTGTGCAGGTGGTTTAACTGCTGGTCTTTTGGCGACGGGTGGTGCGCTTGGTTTGGCAGTGGTAGTGGGTGGTTGGACAGATGTTGTTGCTGGTTGTGTTGGTAATGGTCCAGCCGAAGCTTTGGCAACGGTTGGAGGTGGTTTAGCAACGAATGCAGATGGTTTGGCAGCTGGTTTGGCTGGGACTTTTCTCAGTCCGGTAGGTGGAGGTGCAGCTGCAGCTGCAGGTGTTGGTTTTTGTTGTTCCTCTGTGCCAACGGCAGACGATGGAGGTGGTGGTGCAGGTGCTGCTTTTCGTACTGGAGGTGGTGGTTTTCTATTTGGTTGTTGTACTTGCTGTTGATGTGTGACCAACATTGAAAGTCTTGCTTTGGTGTTGGAATTTGATTCTGAAAAATGTTTGATAATGATACCGAGGATTCTCATCATTGTTTCAGGACGTGCCTCCCAGAGGTCTTCACCAGAGATATTTACAAGATTGACACCTACAACCTTGAGGAAACGCAATATAATGTTTTGATTCTCGACCATGTGTATTTTGTTTTGTGGATTTCTGTTGAAATCTTTGATTGCCAATCCACTGAGACTCTCGAGAATCACAGCCAAAATAGTTCCATCTTTGAGATCGTTCTCCAAATTCTCGATTCTCTGATCACGTTGGTTTTCCTCCAGCTTCTTGTTGATCCACTGGATGATTGCCAGCTGCGATTGCTCTTTCTTTGGCACGGTACGAAGCAGTCCTTTGTTATTGTCTTGAGCGGCACGCTTCAGTGAGAGTTCTGCCATGATGGAGTTGCCACCAACCATCATAGGTGGAGCAGCTTGGCGTTGAGGAGGAGCGGGTTGTGAGCGCTCTTCGGGTGGAGTCATCATGGTTGGTGGTGCTGCTGCTGTTTTTGATGGAGCTGGTGGTGGACGGGAAGGTGGTTTTGCCATATTGACTGGTGGTGCTGTTGCTGCCGGAGTTGGTGGTGATCCACTTGCTGGAGGTGTGGTCGATCCACTTGTGCTTGCAGCTATGCTAACCAACTCATCTTCTTTCCACTTGAAATTATCTTTTTTCTTTTTGAACACCATCTTATTGTTTCCCATTTGCTTTTCCATCTCCCATTTCTTAAAGATTGAACCTGGATGCTCATTCTCGGCTACTTCATGAAATACTTCGCCTTTACCCATTTTAAATTTATTTTTAATTTTGTTAATTATATATTTAATTGTTATCGTTATTTTGTTATATTATTTATTTATTATTATTATTTATTATATTTTTAATTATTTGGAATTAATTAAATAATAATAATTAATAATAATTTAGATTCAAAAATAAAAAATAAAAAAAAATTTATCTTAAGTTATATTAATTGGATTAGGTTTGATTGATTAATTGAAAATTATATAATGATTTGATTTAATTATTAATTAAAAACTAATATTGAATCAATTTGATTATTGATAATGAATATCATATGGATATTGATATTGTTCTTTTGTTTTAACAATTAAAAATAAATTAAATTGTTGGATTGTGTCAATATTTTATCGAATATCCATAAATCTAAATCAATCTGTAGACATAGATTACCATCATCCTCCTCATGATTTTCATCATCATTATTACTGTTTTCGATTTTTATATTAAAATAAAAATGATAGTTATTGTTGTTGTTGTTGAGGTAATGTGGTAATGATATGTTATGTTATGAAAGTGAAACTAATAATAAAATAATAATATAATAAAAACAAATCTATTATCTAAATATAATGATACATACTACCTGAGGTGTCTCTTGTTGCTACAAACAGAGCTAACCCTTTTGTCTTTGGAAAAGTCACTTTTTCAAGTATGGTTTGGACAACTTTGCTGGTGGCATCATTCTCATTCACCAGCATTGATTTGTAACTACCATCGGCAAAGTATACTTTGAATACCACATCCTAAATAAATTTTAAAACACAATCAGTCAATATATTGTTAACCATAATTATTATCATTATCATTTAATAAATATCCAATCACACTATTATATTGATGAAATGAACTATAAAAGGTATTGGTGTTGATGTTGGTGGTGTGTTTGATGCCCCATTAGTGTGTAATGCCCATTATACTACTATAGTTTCTTTCTCCATATTGAATTGAAATCAATCCAATCTTTCAGTCCCAAATCGATATCCAAAGAAAAAACCCAAAAATATACATTTATGGATGCATTCGAATATTGGTTGATTGAATAAATATTGCTATTTGTGATGATGACGAAAATGATGTTGTTGATGATGTTGATGGTGGTGATTGATAAAGTCTGTATTGTTTTAGTATGATAATACATACAGTTGGTCCCATCTTATAATGAAATCTATAATACCACTAATCAAATTCCTGTCCAATTGTTATTATTAGGTTGTGTCTATAGATAGTGCTGCAGAGTATTGTATCTATGTATAATTCGCAAAAGTAATAGATGCTAAATATCTAAAATAAATAAATGATTTGTATTATTTAGTTAGTACTATATTATTGTTGGATTTTATTTATTGAGATTGGTTTTATCTTGATGATGAGGTGAAATATACAATAATATAACAAGTGTGTGTGTGGTAACGGTAAAATATTCAAGTATAAACTTGGAATTTATTACTATAATCAAAAAATTATTTATATTTTTATTGAATCAATAAAAAGAATAGAATGGATGGAATATATGGAAATTGTTTATTATTGCTAAATATATATAATTATGTATACAATATATTTAAATGTTATTGAAACCAAAACAAAATGGGTGCTTAATCAATCAATCATGTGAGAATAAAGATCAAACCAACAACGCTTATGATCAAAAATTATTATTTATTGACACCTCAAGCTTAATCTGAGAGTTAATGATAACAATAATTTGTTGATTGATTTTAACTGTGTGGTGTGGTAGTGGTTACTTGTTTTTGGTTGTTTTGCTGTATGTGTGAGTGTGATTAAGTGTTTTGGTGTTTATGTGTGAGTGTGATTCTAATATTAATATTTGCAGATGTAGATCACATCAGCCTATTGTTGGTTTTCAGATCGAATATAAATACAAACATTATTTGATATTGTCAGATGTCATAAATAATAATAATAATAAAAACGATTTAAACATTGGACCCAATGAAACCAATCAATTAAAAAAAAAAAAAAAAACAAAAAAATGTAAAAACAAAAAAAGCATCTAAATCAGACAATTTGCACGTGATAGTGTGTGATTGCATGCAATGCAATGGTATTAAAACAAGTGCAAGTAAAAGTAATTACAATGAAATTGAATTGTATAAATATAATAAAAGTAACAAATAATAATTTTACCTTTTAAATAAATATGAGTATCACTATCCTATTTTAATTTGCAAAGCTTGTTCTTACTTTTTATAAATAATAAATAAATAAATAAAATAATAAAATAATCAAAGTAAAAATAAAAAACCTATTATTAATATTGAATAAATAAATTTAGATATGAGAAATGTTGTAGTTTTCCAATGATAATGATATTAAGAAATAAAATAAAAAAAACTGATCAGTTTTTTTATTTTTTGTTTGTTTTTTTTTTTTTCTGGTCCGCCAAAACTATAATACCACACACAGAATGCACCAATTTTTGTCGATTTACATACCGCTAATGGGTCTTTTTCAATGCTCACTATTTTTTTTGAAAATATTTCTTTCGAATTTTTGATTCTTTAATTTTATTTTTTAATGAAAGATCTTGATTACGATCTAACTAAAACTAAAGTCAAGATTGTTAGAGTGAACCGATGGAAAATCGATGGATTATTATGCGAATAAAACAAACTTTGATTAAAGTAACCAGAAATATGACGTGAATGCCTTTTTAATATCATTCGGTATGACTAAACAAACAACTTCATTTCACAAAATATCTTTATTATTTAAAATAATCAAATTAAAAAAAAAAAAAAAAGTAAAAGTATTGATACTTTTTTTTTATCCATTCCAAAAGATATAATTAATTCATTTATTTATAAATTCAGACACAAATTTCAATGATTCCCAAATAAATTATATTTTTTAAAAGCCGAAATAGTATAAAAAAAAAACAAAACTTTTTATAGTTTAAACTCTAATATGGAGGTATTAGATTTGGGAATGCATAAATCAATTCAAATAATCAAATCATTCTAACCTTTTTTAGTTTTTTTTTTTTTTTGGTTCAAAAAATAATTTTATGAGACAACATTTTTTTTTTGTTTGTACAAAGATAATTTTATATATTAATTTTACAACAAATAATATCATAGATTGTCATGATTGGTTTCGATTGTTGTTTGTTGTTTTAGTGATTTGTCAGGGGGAGGGAATAAATGTGAGTTGGTTAATATTATACTAAAGTTTGTTTTTTGGTTGGTTGGGGTGTTTTGATTTGTTTGTTTGTTGATTGATTATTTTCCAGCTTTCTTCTTGGCAGTCTTCAAATCATCCTCTTTAGAAAGTAACAACTTTTGAATGGCTTTGTTTTCGTCTTCCAGTTTGGTAGCCAAATGTTTAACTTGCTCACCGAATGGTAAACCAGAGACTTCCTCGATGATCTGGTCGTCGAAAGTGGAAGAGGAGTTTTCAATCGAGAGTTTCTGCCATTTAATTAAATCTTGTACGTGTTGATCCAAGTGTTTACGCAACAAACCAAGGCTTTGTGCCTCGGCAGCGGAACGAATACGGTCAGCTTCGATCTGGGCCTCGAGACGAGCCTTCTCGTCCTGAGCTTCGGCCAACTTCAACTCCAAGATAGCCTTGTCCTTCTCCATCTTGGATAGACGCGACTCCAACTCCATACGAGCCAAACGCTCCAACTCCAAGTTCTTGAGAATCTCTTCGAGCTTGGCTTCCAACTCACGGAGGAATTTCTCACGCTCGGCGGCTTCACCCTCGAGACTGGCCAACAGACTCTTCAACTCGTCCTTCTGCTTGATGAGTTGCTCACGTGACAACTTTTCGCTTTCCAAAGAGTTTTGGAGACCGGCCAACTTGGAGGCGAGGTCTGACTTTGAGGCTTCCAAACGCTCCTTTTCTTCCTTGGCACGGTAGGCATGGAAGAACAACGAGGTGTACAAAACGAGAGAACGCTCATCGGTGGTTCCACGCATGACCTCTTCGGCTTCGAGCAACTTGGGCACACCGAGACCCTTCTCTGCGTACTCAAAGGCGGCATTCAATCTGGCGATTGGATCCAACTTTTCATAGTCTGCGAAATTGAATTGTGATTGATCAAACTTGTGGGCCAACGCCAAATAGGCAAGACCGTCACGGAATGTCTTGGTGAACGATGTTACATTGACTCCATTATATCCAGTGGTGGTATTCTTGCACCACAACAAAAGACCTTCCTCAGAGCTCTTGTCACCCTCACTAATAACTGCAATACGATATTTACGATACAATGTCCAAAGGAAACCAAGAATCATCTTTTTATTATTGTCAACGAAATCTATAAAGTTACATTGAGGATTAATTAGTAAATGAATATTCATTATTTTCAATAGCAAAAAAAAAAAAAGACATACCTTCAGCACCAATACCTTGGACTTTAATCTTGAGTTCATCTTCGAGGAAATGAAGAGCCAATGCAAGATTCTGAATCATATTGATACGAGCCTTTGGTTCATAGTCAAACTTTTTATTGAACTTTTTACCAGAGATGAGCTCCAAGAAGAATATTAATTTTACACCATCACTGAGGTCCTTTGCGACATCAGAGATCTTCTCACCTCTCTTATCTAAAACAGAGTTTACCCAAGCAGTAAAAGCTTTCTCTTGTACAATTTCCCAATCTTTACCTGCCATTGTTTGTTTGTTTGTTTTATTATTATTATACTACTATATACTAAACTAAATTTTACTTTGTTGTTGTTTGTTTTTGAAAATATAAACCTAGTATAGTAAAAAAAAAAAAAAAGAATATAAATAAATATTAATATATTATATTTGAAGTTGAAGTTTTTTTTTTGATGGTTGTAAAAATAAAATTCAAAAAAAATGAGACCATTATTTTTTTAGCTAAAAAAAAAAAGAAACAACAACTTTTTTGTTGATCATTTTCAGCCATTTGATTTTGGATGGTTTGTTGGTGTTAAGTCCTTTTTCAAAATTAAATATGATAAATGTCACAAGATATTATCATTATTCATTGAGAACTTATTTGTTTTTTTTTTATAATAAAATAACTGATTTGTTTCGTTTATTTATTGATATTGTTGTTGTCTATCTTTATTATTGTTGTTTTATTTGGATATTATTTATTAAAGAAACTTACTATTTAAACTTTTTATATATCTATTTAAATTCTTATTTATTATTTAAGATGATAATAATACAAAAAAAAAGATAAGATAAATAAAAATAAAAAATAAAAATAAAAGAGATGATTGATGTTGGGTATTATTGATTGATTTTGATGATGGATTAACAAGCAAGGTAATTTTCAAAAAAATATTAAAAAATGAATTTTATTTTTTAAAAAAAAGAGTTTCTCTCCAAAATTAAATGAAATCATTCATTTTTTTCACACCCACCCAAAACCACTGAATTCAAATAATTTTTTTTTTCAATTAAAACCAAAAAAATTACTCTTATTATTTTAATACTATTTACCATTTAAAAAAAAAAATGAAAAAACACAAAAAAAAAAAATGTAAAATAATTATTAATAATTAATTGACCCTTGCCTGATTGTAAGCCAATAAAATAAAAGATATGAAAATCAAGTTGCACACACTCCAGTGTTGTTGCTATTAGTTTGAATTCAATCAATCTTCCAATTGTTGTAAAACGAAGCAATATAATTATTAAGTTTATCGTAAAACTTAACTTTCTATCTTTCACTTTTATATGTAACCCAACAATAACACAAAAACATGGTTTATATTTTTAGTTTGTTTTTTTTTTCTTTTTCTGAAAAAACGACAGATAAGATTGTTATAATATTAAGATAAACACTATGAAATGTCAAAAGTGATAGATAGATATATATTTTTTAATTAATTAAATGTAATAGTAAAAACAATTTGAAGGCATTCCAATAATGTTCAATAGGTACTTTTCCTACTTTTTGTTGAAGTTGATTAATGAGGTACTACAATTAATTAGGAATTATAAAAAACAACTTGGTTCGATCGTGAATGAAATTCACCAGATGATATGATATCTAGATAAGGTTTGAGTTTTAAAAAAAAAAACAAAAAAAAAAACAAAAAAAAACTAAAAACCAAGTCATATTTGTTTGATGGCTTAGAAGAATAATAATTTTTTTTTTGTTTCATAAATAAGATCGATTGAATCTTTTTCTTATCTCCATTATATTACAACATCTCTCTTCTCAAGGTTGGAAGATATTATTAATTTTTTTAAAAAAATATATAATTTGGTTTTACATTTTTCTGAAATAATTGGTACCACTCTGATGCAGTTTTAATTTTAAATTTTTTTATTAATTTTTTTGGTGTTTTTCTGTTTTAAACAAGAGTAGTTTTTTTATTGAATTTTTTTTTAAAAAAAGATCATATTGGACCATTTTTGAAGCAATCCCTGATAATCAATCAAATTATCATTGATTCAATAATAATAGCAACAACTTAACTTAACTTACATTAAAAAAAAACTTTTTTTTTTTTTCATATAGATTATTTTTTGTTTAATATTTAGATAGAAATAAATATATAATAAAGATATATAATTATATAATATTTATTAGATATCTTAGTTATTTAACTGTTAAGTTGACATTTAATTATAGATCGTGGCAGTCTATTTATAAAAAAAGTTTAAACTGCTTCTGCTGTTGGTGTGTTGTTATTTCGACTTGACCAATTTATTCAGTGTGTGCTTTTCTTGTTTTTATATTTTTTTTTTTCTAATTTTTATTTGCTTTGTTTTTTTTTTTCAAACCAAACTAATAAATAAATCACTTCTTTGTCTATCTTTAAACTTATCTTCATCACAAACACAATCAATCAAATCAAATCTATATATAAATATTTATAAATCTTAATTTTTTTTTTTAAAAAAATAATTCATTTTTGTATTTTAATTTTATTTATTTATTCACATCAAACTTTAGTTTTCAACTCAGTTCAGCTCAGTTCAACTCATCTTAATATATACTTTTATTTATTTATATAATATAAACACACACAGACATACAAAAGAATGTTTAATTTTAAATTAGTACTTGTTGGTCCAGGTGGTGTTGGTAAATCATGTCTGACCATTCAATTCATTGCACAGCGATTTGTAGATGAATACGATCCAACACTTGAAGATTCTTATAGAAAGCAAACGACAGTCGACAACGAAGAGTGTCTTTTAGATATTTACGACACTGCTGGACAAGAAGACTTTAGTGCTGTCAGAGATCAATATATGAGAACAGGTAAGTCAGTCAATTAGTTATACAATTCCACTCAACTCAGCTCAATGATCTTAAAAAAAACAAAACAAAACAAATTAAGCAACAATTGCACATCACACAACCAACATACACACTCATACCACACTCAACACATTAGCACAGTTATTAATTTTTGATCAATTTTTTTTATAAAATATAAAAATATAGGTGAAGGATTTTTATGTGTATATTCAATTACCTATTTACAGAGTTTTAAGGAAATACCTAGATTACACACTCACCTGTTGAAAGTAAAGGATTTGGATAATGTACCGTTTGTTTTGGTAGGAAATAAGTGCGATCTTCAAGACTTTAGAGAGGTTTCGACTGCAGATGGCGAGGAACTGGCAAGAAAGTTGAATTGCAAATTTTTGGAAACCAGCGCGAAAGAGAGAATCAATGTCTCTGAGGCTTTTCACGAACTGGTAAAAGAAGTAAAGAAAGCAAGATCAAACAGTCAGAATCAAACTGATCACAGTGAAACTCATCACAAAAAGAAGAGATCTTGTGTATTGCTATAATTCTTAAATGGGAATCAAATCAATCAATCAATCAATCATTCAACAACATCCTTTTTTTTCAACAAAAAAAACATACAAACAAACAATATAAACAAAAACAAATAACATATAAACAAACTAATAATAATAATAACAACTACAGCAACAACAACAACAATTATAGTAATCAATCTAATAGCATAATAATGATTATTCATACATTCTTCAATCAGTTAATATAACCTTACACATTACACCTTTTGGTTACAAACCAATCAACATACAAATTCAATACCATTATTTATTCATTTTTCCCCTTCTAAAAATTGTTTGTTTGTTTTTTTTTCTTTTCTTACTTTCATTAGTGTCCATTTTTAATCATTCCACAACACTACAGTAATCAAACACAATAACAATAATATTTATCTAAAAATCCAATGATTATTGTTTCCAACCATTCAAATCCAAATCAATCAATTATAGACACTCCAAATTTATCTTAATAATAATTAAAAAAAATATCATAAAAAAATAATACCTTTTTTCTTTCTTGATATAAGGAGGATTGAAGTATGATAATGTTTAAAAGAGTCTGTCGACAGATTTTGTATAATAAAAAGAATATAATATTTAAATACAATACAATACATCTTTTTCTTGAAATATCTTTGTGATTATTATTATTATTATTGGATTATTAATTGTTGATATGAAATGAATAAAAGTTTGATTTATAAAGATTGAAATTTAAATTTATGTACAGTTTTTTTTATTTCTATAATAAACAATTATTATTATTTATTATATTGTTCTTATTTCTTTGAGACAGTCATATCAACAATCTCTTCAACCTTTTCGAAATCTTGGTATTCGTCTCTTGGATCGACATCTTCGGAAATGTGCATCTTGGCTCTGATTGGGGCGGTCTCTTGGTATTCTCTTTCTCCTTTTTGCAAGAGAGCAACGAATTCTTGCATCAATTGATCCAAACGAGCGTTCTCCTCCTCCATCTTGGCCTTGATATCGCGGTCGTCGAGCTCCTTGAATTGCTGTGAGTACTCCTTCAACTTGGAACGAATGGTCTTGAGTTGTTTGCTTGAGAGAATCATTGGTGGACGTGGACGCCAAATGAATTGCTTGAAACGATCCTTGAGCAACGAGTAGACTGGCTCACCGGCGAATGTCCAGATACGGAAACCGGTATCGGTTTGAACCTTGAAGAATGAAACGGTGGTGGTGACGAAACGACCCGATGGATTCCAGTCGACCGATGTACAATTGATGTGTTCGTTGGTGGACATTGTTTCGAGGTCGGCAGTGTTGTAGAATTCCAATTCACCAGTGTCACCGACTTGTGCGAGAACAACGTAGGTTCCACGTGGCGACCAGAAAACAGAGTTCAACTTTCTACGCTCGAGCTTGCTGAGCAGTGCTACCTTGTTCTTTTGGACTTCAAAGAAGGAGACGGTCATGTCTTGACGGTGTTCTCCGTGGATGATACAGAGCTTCTTTCCACGTGGCTCCCAGGCGAATGCCTTGGTGATCGATGGAACCTCAAAGTTCTCGATTGGGAAGTTGGGTTCGTGCATACGGAACAACTCGAAAGAGGTGGTGACTGGTTGATTCTTCTTGGACTTTGGAACGACCTTGTCGATTCTGACGCAGAGGTAGTCACCTTGGTTCTGCCAATGCATACGAGCGTCGGTGGCGTGCCAGATGCTCTTCTCGGCGACGATCTTCATCGATGGCACCTCGAGGATACAGACACGACCTGGCATGGTGTCAGTGCATGGCACAAAGTAGCAGAGATATGGGTCGGATGGTGACCACGAGTACGACTTTAATCTGGCGATCGGGAAGGTCTTCTCGTTCAACATGTTACAGGTGGAGGCGACAAAGATGTTGATACCCTTGTCTTCGAATTGACGTGAGAAGTACTTGTCTTTGGCACTCCAGTTGTAGGCTGGCCAACTGAATTGATCCTTTGGTGGCGATGGGAACGAACGCAGACGCTTACCGGAACGGACGTCCCAGACGATAATGGAATTGCTGTCCTTTGGATTGTCAGAGACTGGCGATGAGAAAGTAATCAAATATTTATCCTCTGGTGAGAAGTCGACGAGTTGCACGTTTTGGTGCTTGAAGAAACCGGCTTGTTGCCAGTTCTCACCACCGTACAGCTTTACACCCTCCTTGTGGATGGTGACCATGTAGGCACCGGAATTCGACCATTGTACATAGCTTTGAGTCCATTTCGATTGGAGACTCTCTGTGATTGGCTTACCGAGATTCATCTCATTCCAGCAGATCTCAGTGTTGTCACCGTAGCTCAGCGCGAACTGATCGAATCCCTTCAACGAACGCTCAGAGTAGAGCCATTCGTAGTAGTTTGTATTGGTCTGTGCAAAGTCCTCTGCTTTTGGTGGGACGTAGGTCTCACTCAAATTCGAGTATTTCGAGTGTTCCTCGAATGCTGTTGCCTTCAATTTGTGAACCTGATCCAATTGATATACACCATTATTTGTATTGATTGCTTCGACAGCTGAATCTTTCTCTGAATATTCAACAAAACAATATCTATATACAACAAGTAATTAACAATAATAATGAAAATAATTAGTTAGTTAATTTGTATATATTATTATTATTTATCTATATTTATAAATATTATTTCTAATAAAAATAATAATAATATTGTTAATTAATTGATTGTTACCCTTTAGTTGTTTTCTTTGCGTCTAATGGCATTGTGAAACTAACGATTGTACCGAAACGACCGTAGATTTTCTTGAGAACACTCTCTAATTTCTCATGTTTAGCTTCGTTGGCGATGGGAATACCGTCGACAATGATGAACTTGGCGAGTGAAGTGTCGAGTTGTACGGGTGGCTCGAAATCTTCGAGACAAGTGACCAACTCCTCTTCTTCTGTATAATCGTAGTTTGGCATGATTTGATTGCTATCTAATCTATCTATAATCTGTGATAAGGATACTTCTCGATGACAATTATTGATAAACTATATAGATAACGGATACAACTAACAAATTCTATCTTATTTGCAATTCTCACCATATTCTCACACAGCCATCCACAATTTTCATTTTTCATTTTTTTTTGCGAACTTCATCCCCTCATTCTTTCTTTTTTACTCTTTTCTTTTTCTCAATACTGTTTGATAACTTGAATCATAATTAGTATCAATTAGATTGTTAATAATTATTGAATTATCGATATTATTTGTTTTGTTTTGAGTAATTTAATAAAATTAATTGACAATCAAATCATGTTGTATAGTAAATAAAATGTGGTTTTGTTCAATTTACAACATTTCTTTATTAATAAGGTATGAAAGTAGTACTAAGTGAACATACTAATCATTTCTTTTCAAAAAGGTATTATATTAATGAAGTGAAGGAGTGGTAGAAAATTGATTGATTCATTCATATGAATGACAATTGTAATAAGTCAGTGTAACAGATTTACCACCCACATTATTCGCACATTTAACGTAAAACAAAACAAATAAAGTAAATGAAAAAGTATAAAAACACAGCAGTTAGATACAATTCAGTGTTGTGTTGTTTATGTATTTAAAAGAAATGAGTTATAACATTAAAAGAAATCAATTTTATGTTGAATGTGAGTGTAATAACAATGTTAACAAATATATATATATATATATATATATATATTAAATTAATCACAATGTTCATTTATTGTGTGATTGTGATTGATGTTAATATTGGAATATCAATATACATATTAATATAAGAATGGGACGAAACAACAAAAATACTCGTTCTGTGATTTACATAATTACACAATAAAAAATCACAATATATCTCATTTCATTCGAAATCGGTTCAATTCAAATTGTAGAATGGTTTAAACTTAAGATTTGTATTTAATAACAATAGCATTTAATTTCCAAATATGAATGTTGGTGTTTTATTTAATTCCAACTTAAACCAACCAATCAGATTTCACTTTAAAGTTTGTGTTATACACGTTTAAGGTGACAATATTTACAATATTTACAATCAGTTAGGTTTTGTTATTGCATATATGCATACATGTATGCATGATTGCATATGATTGATGTTCAGCAATATGCTATGTCACCCATACCTAAGTTACCCACCCCCACAGATATACAAATTTATATTTACATATATTAAGTTTAATGACAATCTAAATCAGGAGTATGGAAATGGTTTTATATAAATAGTAAGCTTTTTCCAATTCTTTTATTCATCAAAACACTATTAATAAAAAACTATATTCTAAAATACAAAACCAAACTTTTATATATAAAAAGAATGAAAGTATATCTATACCTTTTAACAGTTTTGTCACTGTTAATAAGTTTATCTTTTGCAACGGAACAAGGTGCTCCAACCAAAACCAAGCCACATCCCGTACATGGTAATGATCCATCATTGGTTACCTATGCTGATGGTACTGTTCGTGGTCTTGTTTTCGATAAACATCGTACATTCTATGGAGTATGTTTATAAGTTTATTCTTTTATCTTTAATGAATTCTCAATGTATTAATTAACAAAAACTATATAGTTACCATATGCTAAACCACCAGTTGGTGATTTGAGATGGCAAAATCCATTACCACCAAATGTTTGGGAAGATATCAGAAATGCAACATACGAAAGAGATGGTTGTCCACAGGAATGTAATCTTGCCAGTTTCGCTTGTCCAGTGCAAGGAACCAATGAAGATTGTTTGTTCCTCAATGTTTTCACACCGATTTCCAATACTACCTCGTTGAAACCAGTGTATGTGTTTATTCCAGGTGGTGCTTTCACCGATGGTTCAGCTGATGTTCCTCTGTACGATGGAAAACACTTTGCAGAGGCTGGAATCGTTTTGGTGACAATCAACTATCGTCTTGGAATTCTTGGATTCCTTGGTAACGAAGATATCAATCTCTCTGGAAACTATGGATTCCTCGATCAAATCGCTGCACTTCACTGGGTGAGAAATCATATTTCTGCGTTCGGAGGTGATCCCGACCAGGTTTCTCTCGGTGGTCAATCGGCAGGTGCAATGTCGGTAGTTGGACATCTCATCTCTCCACTCTCGAACGATCTATTCCAATCTGTAATCGTTGAGTCCTCCCCTACCAGTTTGGGATTCAAGACCATTCAAGAAGCAAAAGATAACTATGCCATCTTCTCAAGGAAAGTTAAATGCACAACATTCCAATGTCTTAAAGATCTCTCAGCAGCCGAGATTACCAAAATCCAAAATGAAATGAGACAAACTCTGAATTTAACAAATCCAATTGGAACTATCACCCAATGGACACCTGTAATCGACGGACCAGTAATTCCATCACAGCCACTCGATGCATTCGAACAAGGTAATTTCAACCATGTTCCAGTGATTCTTGGTGAAAATGTTGATGAAGGGGATGTTTTTGTATATCCATTTTTTAAATTGTAAGATTTTAATTTTATTGAAAAATCTTTTATTTCTTATGATTTTAACAACAAAAACTACAACAATTATAATATGTAGGAAATTGGCTAAAATAATTTATAACCAGATTGTAAATACAATTTTCAGAAAGTATTCATCTGAAATCAAGAATCAAGTGTTGGATCTCTATCCAGGAGTATCATTGCCAGGAGACAACAGACCAATTTTGGCTAGACTTTTGAATGATCTTTTGTTTAAATGTCCAAATCGTTATATGGCACGTGCTCTTTCCAAAAATGGTGATATGACTTATCTATATAGATACACACATGTCAACTCATTCAATGGATCGTTACCGTTTTGTCATACTTCTGCTTGTCATGGTGATGAATGTAAGTAATTTAAAAATAGTAGTTCAAATTCTCTTAAGAGAAGAATAACAAGATCGATCTTGATTCTAACCAATCTTTTCTATAGTACCATATGTTTTCAATAGTTATGATTTGATTGGATTCAATGTTAGCGTTGAAGAGAGAGAAATGGCTGCGAATATCTCCAACTATTGGTACAATTTCATTGAGAATGGTGATCCAAATTTAGGAGCCGAAACACCTGTTGGATGGCCAAGATATATTCAAAACGACAAGGCCTTGAATGCTATCAAGTTAAGAGTCAAAATACGTATGACCAATCTTGACAATATCTCTGAAGGTTGTGACCTTTTCGATGAGTTAGGTTATAACTTATAAAACAATTCATTTTTCAAAAAATAAATACATAAAAATAAATGTTACTTTCATTATCATATGCTTATTAAGATGTATGTTATTAATCGATTATTTCCCAACGAACAATTATCAATCTCATTATTCATTGTGGTGAGCTGATCGATGGTTTTTATTGGGAAAATTGAAAAGAAGATCGATTATTCATTGTTAATTTAAAAAATAAATAATTATTATAATAAAATAAGCAGTTCCGATTAAAAACAAAACCCAAAAATGAGGCTTTTGTGCAAACAAAAAAACGAACAAATTCTGACTAAGAATGTTTATCATTTAAATCAAATAAAAATTTTTCATTTTTTTAATTTAATTTTATTCATTACATAACATAACAGTATTCATCATTCATCATTACATAACATAACAGTATTTCTTAAAAATAATTACATCTTTTTTTAGTTTTAGATAAACGATAAAAATATATTTAGCTATTTATTTATTATTTTGTTTTTAAGATAAAGCAACAGAAAATCTTCACTTTTACTATTTTGGCAAAAAAATCGATTTTCATTTCAACGTTCCTTGTTTCGAGTAAAACAACCACACTGATTTTTCTTATCTAGATTTTGCCATCTAGATTAAACTGATTTTATTTTATTTTTTTTAATTTATCATCTTTTGGTTAAATCACTGGTCTTGTTAAATGCATATCAGTACTTTTAATTAATAAAAAATATACTTAAAATATAAACACACAACACATACATAAGAAAAAAAAACAAAAACACACAAGATCAATCAATCAAATTACTTGCTATAATTAAAAAAAAAAAAAAAAACAATCAAACAAACAACACAAAATTTTCATAATAATAAGTTCAAATTAGTAACATTTAATTTCTTTAATTCTTTTTTATACCCTTTTTTTGTTTATTTGTTTTTTTACTTAATTTTTTTTTTTTTACCAATAAAAAAATATGTCTGTTAATTCAATATGGAGTTGTGGATCAGGTGTTGGTAGTGGATTGAGTAAGAACTCTGTGGTTCCAGGTGAATCCGATGTATATAAACAGGCATTGGCAAACTTTGGAGAGAAGCCAATCGTGCAATCGGTAGCATGCGCCACTGAGACAACTTACATGGTGATCGGCGGTGTTGTTAGTGCGTGTGGCGTTGGCATGGTTGGTAGTCAGACTCGCTCCACATACAACACTCCGACTCCGATTGCACCACTGGACAAATCGAAAGCTAAATCGGTGGTATGCAACACTCACCAGAGTAAGAATTTCATTTTCGTGTTGATGGAGGACGGTTCTCTCTTTACCATCGGTAATTCCAATGATTTCCGTACGGGACTCGGAAGTGAAATCGATATAATGACACCGAGATTCGTCGATGGATTCGATTCACCGGTGCACCAAGTTGTGGTGGGAGTCTGCCATTCCGTTGCGATCACAGTGTCAGGTGGAATCTACTTTTGGGGACGTCCTTTCGGCTACCGTGGTGAGCTCTTTACCACACCGACACGTTTTCCAAAGTATGAAAAGATTCTCAATTCTCAAACGAAACTTAAACAGATAGTTGCCGGAGATTCATTCACATTGTTTCTCACCGATGACGGTCAACTCTATGGAGTGGGTGACCAGGAGGTAGCACACTGTTTGGATTCCACACGTGATTTGGAGACTGATCAACCTGTACTTCTTGAATTCAAAGACAATGGTCAAGTATCACAGGTGACTTGTGGTGATTCACACGTAGTCATTCTCACCGACGATGGAAGAGTATTATCATGGGGACTCAACAAGAATGGTGCACTCGGTATCAACATGGTTACCTACGATCACGCTCAATTGAAACCAATGTTTATAGATGCACTGCCAAAATCTATCTATATTCACAGTTCCTACTATTCTAATTTTGTAATCACAGAATCAGGTGATGTTTTTTCATGGGGATACAATGGTAATTATTTGTTATTAAACAACCTTCCGCATAAAGTTGATATTAATGATATTTTATTATTATTTATTTATAGTAAAAGGTAGTTTGGGTACAAATCATACAAGAAATTTAATTACTCCAGAAAAAGTTGTTGGATTGCCAACTGCAGTGGAAGCAGATATTAGAATCAGTGCATTTGCAACATGTGAAAGTTACACATTGTTTTTAATGACAAGCAATCTAAATGGTCAGATTCCAGAGATTGTTGGAAAAGTTGATTTGAAAGAATATCAAGGAAAACAGCTTCCAAGATATCCAGATATTCCAGAGTGGATGGCCAATCCAGATATCACAGATCCAAAAGTCTTGAGTACAGGTTCAATTTTCGGTACTGGAAATGAAGTGGATCACTCAATGGTTATCTTTAGAAACACAAAGAACTTGGACGACAAGGGAAAACCAATTAGTGTTGCAGTTGGAAGTAAATGTTCATATGCCGTCTACGAAGATGGTGCAATGTACGCCTGGGGAAATGGATATGCTCTGGGTCAAGGAACAGAAACAATATGCAAAGAACCATCGAGACTATGGGATTTGGACATGGTCAAGGTTGTTCAGTGTGTCGCTTGTATCGATGACGTAGCTTTTGCAATAACAGATCGTGGTTCTGTCTACGGTTGGGGAAAAGCAATCAATTATATTCAAGGAACCGGACAGGAAGCTGATTCGGTACATCCAAGAATGTTGGAGGGATTCCAGACTGGAATAAAGAAGCTGGCAGTCAGTGGAACACATTGCTTGGCATTGGACAAGAACGGTGCAATCTATGCTTGGGGTATGGGAAAGGCACTTGGCAATAGAAATAGATCTTCCACTGAGAAAGGTCCAAAGAAAATACAAGATCAAACATTTTTGGCGATCGATATTGCAGCCGGTAGAAATTTCTCGATGATGCTGACAGATTCCGGTCATATTCTCTCGTGGGGAGAAGGTCTGCAAGGTCAACTTGGACATGGAAGTAACAAATTTGCAAGTCTTCCAACTTTGATTCGTGACATTCCAGATAAATTCGTATCGATTGCAGCTGGTCCAGACTATGCAGCAGGTGTCACTTTGGAGGGAGATGTCTATATGTGGGGATCGAAGGAGAGTGAGTTATTGGACTTTATCAACCCATCGAATACTGCTGATTTCTATGATAGACCACAGAAAGTTCCAAGATTCGGAACGATATCGACATTGGAGTGCACTTCTTTCAATTGTTTCGCAATAAGTGATAAAGGATCTCTGTTTGCCTGGGGTAATCCACATATTGGAATTGGAACAGGTATGAAGATAAAGTCACCATCACGTATTGAAAGTGTTCAAGGTGCTATTGTTCAGCAGGTAGCAGCCTCCGACTGGCAATGTCTATGTTTGGTCAGTCCAACCAGTACACCAGTAAAGAAAGCACCGGGAATGGAGATTGTATTGAAAGAAGCAGCCACTATTATTTCACCACCATCCACTCCACTTTCGATGTTATCAAGCGAACTTGTTGGAACTAAAATAGCTGGTGCTGAGGAAGGTGATTCCGTTGAAGATATCACTCAACATGAAGATTACATCAAAACTTTGACTGATGAAGTGAAATTCTGGAAACAAATCGATCAAGATATGGATATTTCAGTTTGGTGTGGAAAAATAGCAGAGGTCAAAGAGTTTTTGAATCGTCCAGACTCTTATCACTATCCACCAAATATCACGCAATCGATTACTCACTCTCAGAAGGTTATTCCAGCCGGTGAACGTGTTATCAAGGGTTGGATTATGTATAGCATCAACTTCAAAGACTATGAGAGTGATCGTATTGTCCTCATTACAACAGAAGCAATTCATCGTTTGAAATATGACTGGAAAACCCTCAGTGTCATCCACGACAAGGTCTTCCCACTCAAGGATATCTACAAGGTAAAGGTAGGTAGATTCACCAATTGGAATAGAACGGTTTCGAGTTCACTACGATCCAAAGTCTATGAGAAACAAGTTGGTATTCAAATTTGGTTCCAAAATCCATCCACTTGGAAACCACCTTCATTCATCCAGCCATTCAAAAAGAATACCAAAGTACCGTATATCACTTTGAGACCGGCAGTCAACATTGAAGGTAGCTCAGCAGATGACCAAGAGTTGATTTGTGCAGAGTTTGGAAGTGCTCTTCAATGTGCTATTCATGCCAAACGTAATGGAAACAAACCTATTACTTTGCTACACAAATTCTCAAGAGATAGTCCATCAAAGAATAACGAACTACCACCATTCCCAGTTCGTAAAGTAGAGGCTCTCCAAAGATTTTCAGGCAATGGTTTGCTGTCTTTTGCTCACAACAAATTTATTGCCAAAACACATACCGGCTTCGTTGACCCCTCAACCACCACAACAACAAACAATGCAAAATAATATCCATATTTATAACTAGCTACTGTATATATTGAAAATAACCAAATTTAAATAATAATAAAAAAAAATCTATCAAACATTTACAAATTAATTAATATGGGTAGTCATACCTTTAAACTATGAAAAAAATAAAGTATAAATAGTTTGAATTTAAAGAATTTTATATAATTCAAATCAAATTGATTATTTGAACAAATATTATTCCAAATAATATGACTATTATCAGTAAGTATATTATTTTCTCACAAATAGTTTCTTTATTTTAAAAAATTTTATATTAACAATATTTGCAGAAAACATTACTACCTTAGTTAATCCAGGATTGGTCCAAGACACCTCTTCTTTGATTTCTAGCGGTGAGTCTGACTTTGGTATTGAAGGAGCAGGAATGTTCTCCGCTGACGCGTCACCAACTGGAGCCAATCGTTTCCCAAGTGATTTGGATTGCTTCTATAGCCGTGAATGGAGAAGCTGGGTATGCAGAAAGAGAAGACATTAAAGTGATATAATGTACTTGGAACCAACCAACAAAAATTATTATTCAATAAAAATCAATTAGTTTTTAATTTTAATCTTTTTTCTCTACATTTTACTAAATATTGTTTAGCATTCTCTCTTTATTTAATAAATGATAAATAACAGTTTATGAAATCAATAAATAAGATACAAAAAATTATGAAAGAAAAAAAATTGATATCTGTAAAGTTATATTTAAATTGTTATCAGATTATTAATAAAAAGAATATTATTTTTTATATGATGAAAGGAACATTTTTATTGCGAAATTGGTAAAATTTTATGGTAGATTGGTAATTGTTAGGAACAACAGATGGCTATCAATTTAGATCATCAAAGGAATGACTCTTTCGATTTGAGCTTCTAACTCGTGGGCAGCAATCTTGAGAAGCATTTTTAGACCTTTGACAAGAGATTGGAGTGTGGTTTGGGTGACTTGGGTGACAGATAAACTGTTGACGATGATCAACTGCTGAGGGGTGTCTTCACCTTCCTGGAGGTTGATCACGTCACCCAAAGGCACCATTAGCAACCACCATCTCAAGGTTTCACCGTCCTGCTCGACACTGTCACTTTCGACGTTCAAATGGAGAACCTTCAACTTCAAGTACCATCCGACCATCTTGGTCTCACTCTCGAGCGTAACCATTGGGTATCGCTGTTCATAACGGAGGTAGGTCATCAATTGCTGGAAGAACTTTCCACCGTGACCGGCACCTCTCATACCAGGACGTACACAGAGGTAATCGATATGGTAGGTGTTGTACTCATGATGCTCAACTATGAATGCACATGCAACGACCAGCTTATTGTGATCTTCCATAACGATGATACGGTAAAAGTGTGATCTTACCAATCTGGCAATCTGTCTCTCTGAGGGCTCGTAAGGGGAGAGGAAGCTCAGTGCGTAAAGCTGAAGAGCTTGAATGCATCCCTCATCATCAGGGTCGAATACCTCCCTCAAAACAGTGGCGTTGCTATCGAGAGACATACCAGGTAGTTCCGACTTTGACTGGTGACGTTTACCACCGAGCGACCAGGCGTTTGAATCGGTGGCAGGGGATGACCCCTTTTCTCGGATCAATACAGTGCTGTCGGCCTCATCAGGAATAGGACTTGTGCTTTATGGCAAAGCGTACAGTTTCTGATGAAGTGGGGACGTTGGAGGCAGAGGATCCATGAATGATCGGCTCGTAGGTGGCGGTAGTGGCAGTGGCAACACTTGACAAAAGACCGCTCAACAAGATCGATGATTGGCTTGTCTTGACTCCAGTTAAAGTTGTGGTCTCAACTTTACTAAGACTAATAGGATTATGGTCAAAGTTGGTATTAAGGATAAGGGCCGTCATTAAATGACTATTGGATATCAATTGAATTTTTTGCTGGTGGAAAAAGCTAATAATATTGGTTATAAATTGTAATAAACGAGGATTTATCTATTTTTTATCTAACTAACTAAATAAAAAAAAGTTAAAATAAAAAATAAAATTAATTAATATAATTTGTTTTGATAATTAAATATATATATAGAATATATGGTTTTTGTTTTAAATGAAAAAGAAAGAGATATATTGTAATTATTTATAGAAATGTGATGTGATGATGTTATTTTTTAAATATTTAAATTTAATTATTATTATTATTAAATAAATTGGTTGTTTTTCTTATTAATATAGAATATGATGAAGATGATTGTTATATTTAAAATTGTAAATCCAATCATCACCATTAAAATAAGGATGTTACTGGTGTTTGATTGTTGAAATTATTTTGTGTTTTTAATGATTTTTATTAAGATGAAAGGTGATGTGAGATGAGATGAGAAGGTTTTTATTGGTGTAATATTGGGGTGGAATTGGTTGTTGTTGTATTAAAACAACATTAGAACATAAAAATAGAGTGTAAAGAGTGAGTGGTGCGTAAGAAAGTGAATTAAAAGAAAAGAGAGAATTTGTGTAAAATAAATAAATAAACTAATAATATATTATTACTTACTTCTATGAAAATTAATTATATATAAAAATATATATATTGTTTGTTGTGTATTATTGGGGAAATAATAATTTGATTTTTAGTGTTGAGAAACTACACCTTTTTAAAGTTTTTGGTTTTGTAGGCGATAATTTAAACAGCTTTATTTTATTGGTTTTTTGGTTTTTTGGTTTTTAATTAAAAAAATAATCGAAAAAAAATGGGAACTCTGTCATTGTTGGGGGTAATTTATCAATACAGTTTGGTTTTTTACTTTTTTTCATGAAAAAATCATGATAAAATCTAACCTGGGATTCTCTACACAGAATAAAATTTTAAATCACTGTGTTGGTGTTGCCTGTTTTTTTTGGCAAAGAGACTCAACGTTTCATCTTAAAAATCCAAAAACTAAATAAACGTACTACATAAACATTTAATTTGAATTAAATTCAAAGATTTTATTAATAATTTTTTTTATTTATTTTATTTTTTGAAAGGTCGTGATACCTCTTAACATATTTAAATAAAATAATAATAATAATTTCTATATTTAGAATGAATGTTGTTGTTATTATTCTTTAAAATTCTTAGAATTAAAAATAATTTATTAAGAAAAACTTAATATTATAACTAATTTTTATTTAAATATTTTTTATAGAACAAAAAAAAAAACCTTAAAATTTTCAATAATTTTGATTGATTGGACGAATATTTTTTCATTCAGATCCTGACTTTGTTTGATTATTTATTAGTGTGTCTATGTTGAATTGATTGTTGGCACCTGGAACATAGTCGTCGGCGTGTTGTTCGGCGGTGGTCACCGCCAGCTTGTAGAGTGTAATGAAAACCAAGAGATGCAAAAGTATTGAATAGATAAAGAGGAAGAGACGACTGTATTTGTTGGAGAGGAAGAATCTTGAGGTGTTCAAGATGACACGCTCAGCGGTGTTCATCTCTTTGTATCGCCTGTATTTCTCTTTCTTGTTAAACGATAGGAATGGATTGATACTGTCTTCATAGAGCTTTCCGTACTTCTCCTCGGTTTCACCGCCGGTGTTATTTGATCTTCCACCACCGCTACCACCACCACTTCCGCTGCTACCACCACCAGCTCTCTCCAAGTCATAGGAATTCTCTGCTCTCTTTGGATTGCCAGTGATTATACCACCACCTCTATTCTTATCATAACTCTGAAGGAATCTAATCTTTTCATATAGCTTAATATTATCTTGTTTCAACGAAGATGTTTCTAATTTACATGTTTCCAATTGTTTTTCCAATTGAGATTTTTCCTAAGAGAAGACAAACATAACTAGTTAGTTGGAATATTCTTTTCAATGTCAGCAGAAATAGATAGATAGTATATATATTAACAACTTACACCTTCTAATTCTAAATTCTTTACTTTGAATCTATCTCTTTGTCCGACTACAATGTCTAACATTTTATCATCTTTGGATTGTACGACGATGGTTGATTGTGACGATGTTGAGTCGGGAAGGTTGTTCAAAGATTGGTTAAGACTTGGTGTTGTTGATTGGCTTATCAGTGATTCCAAGTCTTGTGGTTGGTTAGCGTTGACGTTTCCACTGTTGCCAATGAGACCGCCATTGTTAAGCATGCTACTACCGCCACGAGTGGTGATGTCCTCTTCAAGTCGGTGAATGAGTTGACTCTGCTCGATTTGAATCGACTCCAACTGTTGTACTCTTCGTCGAGATTCGTCCAGTTCCGTCTCGTAGGTGCCGGCTGTAAGTCGTAGCTTGGTGAGTTCATTCTCCAACTGTCTATTCTTCTCTTTCATCAGTTTATCTACATTCTGTTGGTTGCTGTTGGTCACTTCGTCCGATCCGACAATCGCCTGAAGCGTTGCAAGCTCACGCTTTACATTCTCATAGTCGGCGGGTGACGGATTGTTCTGAATATGCTTCTCCATCTTTTCGATCTTCTCACGTTCAATATCCAACTGTGTCAGAACCTCTTTGAGCGTCGATTTTTCATCTTTGAGTGACTGTTTCAATTCAATCAATTGATCGTTCAACTTTGAAATCTCTGAATCTTTCTGTAGCAACTCTAATTCCAATTCCGCAATTCTCTTTACCAAAGGTTGAATAGAATTCTTTTCCCTTCAATATTAATAATAATATTAATAAATTATTAGTAAACTAAATAATCTAAGCTAACCTATTCTATTTTCTTTTCAAACATACTTTAATGATTCTTCACGAATAGATGAATTTTCAGCTTGTAAAGTTGATAGCTTTGTTGAAATTCTATCGATCTCACTTGTTAACATATCCACTTCTGATTGTTTTGATGACAGTTCATCATCTATAAATTATAGAATGAATATAAGTAAATTTGAATTTGTAGTAAACTTTGTTTGTTTTTTGACATTACCATGCTTAACTTTAAGATCGAATATTTGAGATTGATTTTGATCGTGTGTTCTTGTTATCTTGTTTAGATCCTCTTGTAGCTGTGAGATCTGACGATTCAACTCTTGATTTCTATCTTTGAGTACGTGTATCTTTGCTTTGTAGTCTTGTTTCAATTCTTGTTCACGCGATGCAATTCGTTCGTTGGTGGAACTCTCCATTCGCGATTCATACTCCTTGACCTTGTCTTCGAGTCGACGAATGGTGACCTCCTGATTCTGTATCTCTTGAAACTCCTTTCTAAAGTCAGCCAGTTCCAACTGCAACTTCTTGTTCTCAATCTCGAGCTTGGCGGTAGAGTCTACCTTGGCGTACTCATCGAGTGCCGCAGTGAGTGCAGGCACCGGATCTACCGTGTCCGAGAGGTCTTTGTAGAGCGTGAAGAAACAGGTCTCTGAGAACTTGCTACGCTTCGTTAGCTTATCGACTTCCTCCTGGTAGAGTTTGAGTAGCGCACCGAAAGTCTTTAGTTTCTCATCGTCGGCAACCTTCTTAAAGTCCTGTGTCTGCTTGGCCAACACCTTTCTCGACTGTACACAATCGTCCTTAAGCGTTGCAATCTGTGAGATAAACGATTCCAACTCCACCTTTTTATTCTCAACATTGAATTGTTTCCATGAATTTAATATATCTAAAAATGAACTATTACCACTATTATTGCTATTATTATTATTATTGGTGGTTGAAGTATTATTATTGTTGCTACTACCGGTCATTCCACCAGGAGTACCAGGTGTTCCAATTCCGTTGTTTGGTGGTGACTGTACACCTGGTGAATTAGGTGTTACAACACTTTGATTACTCATTATAATTGAATAATCGATTTTTATTGAATCTATTAACTATGTTTTATATCACAATCTACTATGTACAAAAATAGAAAACAAACAAATACTAATAAATAAAAATAAACATAAACAACAAACAAAACAATAATAATTAAAAAAAACTGAAAACAACACACAATTAATCAATGTTCAGCAAATATATTTGAAAAAAATTGCAACCTCAGATTAAATTTAATTTATTATTATTTATTTTTTAATATCTAGAAGTTAACTCATTGTTTTTTTGTTATATTTTTTTTAAATAATTTAAAAGTTTATTTAACAAAGAAAAAGATATTATTAAGGAAGGATAGGATATTAGTTGGTTTTGTTTAACTTGGTTATTGGTTTTTTTATATAAAAATATGTATATTGTTGTTGTTGTTGTTGTATGTGAGTGTTGATGATGATATTTATGATAAAATGAATATAAATGATAAAACAAATAAACAAGCAACTAAGCTTGATGTTATTGAGTGATGTGAATGGGAGGATGATGAGCAGTGAGTGTCAGAGTTGGAGTAGATATTGCAACCGTCCTGGCTGCAATCGAACGAGTTTGAATAGGCGATGTTATTGAAGGTGATGTTTGAAAACTGTAGCGATCCACCTTGGTAACAGGTGATTGGCTTCTGACTGTTGTCGGTAGCACTGCTACTAAAGTTGGAGTTGGAGATCGCCAGGTTGGTGACGTTCTTTGAGTAGATCGAAAAGCCAGAGAAACCTGCGTTGTTATCGTGGAAACGACAGTGTGTCATCTCGATGCTCTCGACGTTGTTCGAGTAGATGGCACCACCAAAGTTCGCAGAGTTTCCAATGAATGTGTTGTTATGGATCACCACTTTGTTGATGGAGACGAGCGAGTCGGCTTCGCGAATGGCCAACGCTTGCTCGTGACGTTGCTTTTCGAGCTCAGAGTTGAGCTGGCTCGGCGCCTGTCCAGTGTTCCACTCGATCTCATCGAGATAGGGCTTGATAAAGATTGCCGAACCGTAGGTGGCGTAGTTGTTGTCCTGGAAGTGGTTGTCGGTCAGTGTCAACGAGGTGTTGATCGCTGCGATCTGTGAGAGGTAATTGTTGTTCTTAAAGGAGGAACTGGAGATGGCCGGTGCTACGCAATCGACGAGCTGGAACAGCGACTTTACCAGTACTTGGTTGCTGTCGATGGTCGTTTCGCTAAACGTAGAGTCGACGACGGCAACTGAGCTTCGCGTGAAACTGAGCAACGATTTTTCGATGGCGCGATTTCCTTGGAAGTTTGACGACGAGATCGAGGCGGATCCGTCGCGGTGAACAATTCCAGTTTGGAAGAGATTGGAGCGGACATTGGTCTTGTCGATGTTCAAGTGTAGACCTGACAGTGCGTACACGAGATTACCGGATCCGGTGGTGCCGGAAACCAGTGAGTTGGTGATGGTGAGGTTGTAGGGCGTCAGCATGGCTGCCGAGGTCGACCATGGCATTTCGAAATAAAAGATATCAGAGAATGGCGGTGTCAACTCGATTCTATCCATTTGACAGTTGTTTATGTGGAGTTTGGTGTTGGGTGACTTGACCATAAAGAGAGCGGCACGGTTGCCCATTGGCTTTTTAATAATGTTACAATTTACGATGTTGGCATTTTCAAAGACGATCGATGTCCGTGGCAATCGCTCGTCGTATTGATTGCCATCCACTGTAAACAGCGCTGTCGCCGCTCCTGTCATATCGATGCTATAGCGATTGCCACCGTCTTTGGTGATGAGCACGTTCAGCCCGAAAAAATCGATATTGGTGTTGCCAGTCGCTTGATAGGTGTTGGCAACCATTTTCAAAATTAACAGAGAATTCTCCTTTAGATTTGCCATATCATTGGATGATGATGGCGATGAGTAATCGAAATCTCTGGTGTTGTATACTGGAGGTCGTTGCTGTTGTTGTTTCTGTTGTTGTGCTAAAATAACTTGTAACACTGTTTCGAATGCTTGTTTTGCATTTTCTATATTTTGACATGTGGTGAAATTCGATGTGTTGTTCTTGAAGGAACACTCACTGAAAGTGGTTGTTGGATCGATATTTGCTGTGAATGTATATTCATAATTATCACTGCTACTATTACTACTACTAATACTTTGTACTGGTTCTATATGTAATATTTGGATAACTAGTATTGTCAACAACACTGCCGTAAACAGCCACCTAGTAATAGCTGACATGGCTTAATTGTGTGTTGTAGTGTTATTCACTTTGTTTTTTCTATTTGTGATGATGTGAGGTTTTTTTTGATTTGATTGGCAAAATGTGTGTTTTTTTATTTTTATTTTTTATTTAATTTTTCCAAGCCTCAATTCGAGGCACCTTTTTTTTTTAATTTGATTTTTTTTTGATTTTTATTTAATTTGATTTTTTATATTTTCGAATTGTTTTTTTCTTTGGATTATCTTGTATTATTGATCATCTTTTTTTTTTTCATATTTATTTGAATATCCTAGAATGTTGAGGATTCAATCGAAAAACCATGTTTAGTTTTTAAACGGTGTCTATTTTTTACTATAAAGATCTTTGGAGCTGTTGTTTTTTTTTTTGATCGGTCAACCACATAGGAGATGTGATGTTATATATGTCTTTAGAACTAAAATTAAATTGTAAATCCTTTAGTATATGAAAAAAATTCGTTGAATATCCACACAACTTAAAACCAATTTGAAAATAACAAAAAAAATAGACTAATTATATTAAACTAACAAAATAAATACAATTTATTTATAACAAAATAAAATATAAAAGTTTGTTTGTTTTAGAAACCTCCGCAACTTCCAAATCCACCACAACCACCATTAAAGACATTGACATCACCAAAGATAACAGTGGTAGCTCTTCTTCTTCTGCCCCAACCAAAACATTGCTCTTGGTTTTCGGAATCAATAGAAGAATTTCCAGTGGAAACAGCGATATCTGAAGTGGTGTTCTTGTCCAAACCAGAGAATGTGTTACCTAACAATGAAATAGATTCTTTTTAATATAAAACAAATAATACAATTAAAAATTATATTAATATTAATTTAAATATATAAAATTATATTTATATTTACTGATAAGAGTCATTTTAATATTTTATTTTATTTGATTATTAGATAATAATTTAATTGAATGATTTGAAAATACATAGATGAGAATTATTTATAATAAATAAAATCATAGAAATTTATTTAGATGGATGACATTGATTTTAAATATTGACACTGTTCTCAAATTAAATAAAAGTAAAATGTTGAATTTTTAGTCTTTAAAATATATTCATGATAAGTATTCCATTTTGGTAATACAAATAGGGGGATTCAGAATTAAAAATAAATAAATAATATTTTGTATGTTTGTTGTTCGATTATAGATTAGATTAACAACTATTTGTTGTAAAATACTATCAATAATACAATGTTTCAAAATTTTATTAAAATGTATGCACACATTAAGGAGAGAAGTTCTTTTGAACCATTCTAACATTCCAATTTAGATTGTTTGCCAATTTTTCAAACCATTCATTACTTTCATCTGTTTTACATATTACTTTAATTATTGTTTTTTGACAAATATTAGTGAATTTGATAGTTTAAAACTTTTTATAAATATTATGTAATAGTAATAATAACATACCAGGAACAGCCCATTTAGAAGTTCTTATTATAACGGAGTCACCTTGTTTTATCTCTTGTCTGCTCTTACCATCGAATGATACCCATGCAGTGTTTCTGCTGCCCTCTGACACTCTGATGGCAAGTGTCGATGTCGAAGGCAGTATAATCGGACGAAATGAAAGAGTATGTGGACAGATCGGAGTGATTAGCATGGCAGGTATCGTTGGATGTACAAGGGAACCTCCGGCAGAGAGTGAGTACGCTGTCGAGCCAGTTGAGGTCGCAATAATAACACCATCGGCCTGAACCATCGTTATCAGCTTATCATCACAGAAACATTCTAAATTCGATAGATATGGATTGTTTCCTCTATCGATTGCAACTTCATTCAACACTTGATAAGCTATATAAAATATTAAATTAGTTAGTTTGCGAAATTCCAAACATATAAATAGTTTAAAAACTATTATTTCCATCATACTTTTATATGTAGTACCAGAAATAACTGTACACGATAACCTCAGTCTGTAAGAAACAAAGCATTTTCCTTCGATAACTCTATTTATATGTTCTTTATAATTTGCATAGTCTTGAAATAAAAGTATACAAAAAAATAATAATTAGTAAAGAGGTGAGTGTTATAAGATTGGGTAATAAACTAAACTTACCAAACGATGTAAGAAAACCAAGCGATCCCATATTAAAAGGTAGAATTGGTGGAATATAAGTTTTGAAGAGTGACGATGTATGAAGAACTGTACCGTCACCACCCATCGATATGATAAAATCGATAGAGTATGGATCTTTGACTTCCTCTAGCGATTGGGCAGTTGGTATTTCATTGATATTCTCTGATTCCAAAAATGTGGTGACATCCTTCGATACCAAGTATTTCACCAACGTCTTGGCAGCTTCCAACACTTCGCCATCACAATTCTTGTGAATAACCAATACTTTTTTTGCTGGATTCTTCCATTTTAATTGTAACTACAAACAAACAAACAAACAAAATGTTAATATTCATATATAAACTATTTTAAGGTTTTTTTAATGTGGAGATACTTTACAATTTGAGGTAATATACATGATTTCTTTTTCTTTAATGATTTTCTAGAGTCTGATGAGAGTGTTTCGTCTTCTTCATCGAGATCGTTCATCGATGATGATTCATAGTCGGGTATCTCGCAACTAGAGTAATAGGTACTGACGTAGTAGGACTGGTTCTTCTTGTTGTTATTAAAGTATTTTGGACCGGTGGTAAAGTTGAGTGGTGAGAGGAATGCTTTGGCGAGTTGTGGTGAGTTGCAATCCTCGTCGGAACTTGAGTATCCCGATAGTGTAGGTGATGATTTCGTCGATGAAACATCGTCACTCTGCAGTTGTGAGACGCGTTGGTTCTGTGGTGAATCCGTTATACCACCGAAATTGAAATTACCACTATATAATGAGATATCACTTGGAATGAAACTTGTATTAAATTGTTGTTGTTGCTCTTTCTTACTACAACAGTTACAATGTTGTTGTTGTTGTTGTTGTTGTTTTAATGGTTGAGGTGATTCAGGTGATGATAAAGATGTTAAATCATTATCATTATCATTTGTTTGTTTAATTGGTATATTTTGTTTTTTAAGTTGTTGATTCAGTTGATCTAGTTGCAGTTTATTTTGGTTGTTGTGATCATGTGATTGTTGGTTATTGTTGTTGCTGTTCGTAGACTTTTGCCAATTCCTAAAGAGAATGATTATACTCAGTGTTGAGAGTATAAGAGATATCGTATTGAAAATATCACCTGTCATCTTCTACCTATTTCTATTCCTATTTCTACTTCAATTTCTTTCTTTTCTTTTCAAACAACAATATAAAACTTCTAACAAACTAACTCTCTTGACTTTATGACTTTAAAGTACTATTTGTTAAATTTTTTTTAATGATTGATAAATAATATATTAAGAATATAAAATATAAACGTGGTGTGGTGTGGTGTGTTTTTTGTTATAACAAAATAATAATAATAAACATAGAAGAGAGAATGAGATGAGTGTGTTTGTTGGTATGTGTTGTATATGGAATAATTACATCGATAATTAATCGTATGATGGAACACAAACGATAAAAAGGAATATAATAGGAAGCGATGATGATGATTCAAAAAAAAAAGAAAAAAAGGAGGTATGAATTGATTGAAAAAAAAATCTTTATTGACCTTGAATTTTAATATAAAATAATTCAAAGTTTTTTTTGGGATCACTGTGTTTCGTTGTTTTTAAGTTGATTTTATAAAAATTATTTCTAAATTTATTAATTAATTTGGTTAGGGCATAACCTTTTTTTTTTAAGACAAATTATATTTTACAATTCTAAAATAATATATTATATTTTATATCTATATTATTTTTATTTATGTATATAATATTAATCGATAGATTTTAAATTTATGTGAAATTGTTTGAATTTTGATGTTTTAATATTATTGTATTGTGTTGTGTATTTTAAACTAAACTAAAACCTTCAGATGCTTCATTGATGGCTAAAAGTAAATTCTGTTTAAGTGTATGATAGGAGGTACAGCCTCTGGGGATATCGATACGATTGAAACAGGTATGTGAAACGGGTAGTCTGGAATTGCTGGTGTTTGGTGTGATGTTAATTGTGAAATGTGGATACAGTTGGTAGAATCCACCGAGTGGGACCGACGACGATCCAGTGACAAATTTTAAGAGTTGTTTTTTGTCTCTTTCATTGAAATCTGATAATATATTCCAAAAGTTATCTATGATATCTTGTGACTATAATAATTATAATTATAATAATAAAATTAGTTGGTTGGTTATATTAATAGCAATTAATATATTATTACTATTATCTATACATACAACAAATCCGGTTACATTTGAATGTATCTTCAAATCATCGATGTTTACTTGGGTTTTACCACATACCAAGACATCCAACTCTTTCCAATTAAAGATTGAGATAAGATTCAGTGGTATCAGTTGGAAGAATCCCTCTCTGAATTCATCGATTTGCGTCTTTACAGAACCATAGAGCATGTTGTTCACCAAGAGATCTAGGTATTCATCTTTGTTCTCATCGGTCACTCTTATCAAGTTACCAAATGGTTTTAAATTGATAACACGTTCTTGTTGTTGTTGTTGATGTTGTTGTTGATGATAAGAATTAACATTGCTATTATCATCCTCTTTGTTATTATTACTATTATCAGATATTATCATTATCTTTCTAATGAAATAAAGAGGTTCACCTAATATCTCATTGACTTGTTCTATTGGTGTGTTTTTGATGAACATGATTTGGTTCTTGTAGAGTTGAGGATCGATTAGTTCGAGATCTTGAATGGTGATTGGCTCGTTCAGTAGCAGCTTGTAGAATGCCGGTGTGAATCGTATTGAAAGATGACGATCGGCTTTGATTATCGATTCGTAGATCGACTTGGCAACGAGACGACCAAGTGTGCGGAATATCACGCGATACTCTGGTATGAGGTTGGAGAATGGCGAGACGTGGTAGTAGTGGTTGTGGGGGTAACACTCGAACAATCGATAACCACTCAGTGTCCGATTACCGACTTCCTCAGAGAGCTTGGCAAACCACTCCTTTGAGATACCGCCAATGTCAACGCCTTCCTCATTCATAAACTTTACTATCATTCGCGATACTATCAACTCTTTCGGGTCTATCGATCTTAGAATGCTGAGTGATTCATCCAAGATTCTCTCTCTAGAGGTGATATTCAGCTTCAAAGGTGAAACCTTTCCATTTTGAATTCTACCTAATCTCGATTTAAACCATTTAACTTTTGATTCGAATGTTGGTTCTATGATTAAAAACAACATTTGTTAATATCTATATCTAGAGTATATAAATAATTATCTATATATTAGATTTACTTTTACATACCAGTTTGATCACCAAAGAAATAGTAGATTGTTAAAAGTATTAAGAAACTATTACTGAAATTCTTTAGATATACTTTATCTTTGTTATCTTTAATTAATAATTCATTATCTTTTAATAATGTAACCTATATATATGTAATAATAGAGTAGATTTAGACAGTAAGTATTTAGATTATTTTAATATAATATTATTAATGATTATGTTAATATTTACTTGTACAGTAGGATTAATAATGAATTCATATAATGTAATATTCATAACATAATAATTCTCTTGTATATATATCCTCTTTAGTAGTTGATAATAGTAAATTAGTATATATTAATTATTAAAGCGATTGAATATTAATAAACAACATACATTTGGCATAATTGATAAAGTTACATTGGTTAACTTCTTATTCTTTTTGATTTGGCAATCGAATGTTGCATAACCATCACGATATTTACTAGAGAGGAACGAACAGTCTGATTCCTTGACAGCGATCACCGTGAATGGACAGTTGGTAATGACAGTACCATGTAACTTTATAACGATATAATACCATCCACATTCTGTAATATTGAGTTTAGCAACCAATCCTCTTGGATCATCACTTAAAAGTTCTGGTGTATATTTTTTAAATACTTGTTTTTGTTGTTGTTGTTGTTGATTATTATTTTGATTATTACTATTATTATCATCAATTAATAATGACATTGAAATAGGTGATAAACTTTGAATAACATGTACTTCAAAGTTATCATTCAATTTCTTTGAGATATTACCGAATTGATCTTTTGTTTGAACCAAGAATTTTAATTCTGATTCTTGTTGTTGTAGTTGTTGACTATATATATTATTATTGCTATTATTATTGTTATTATTATTGTTATTATTATTACTATTGTTTGGTAAAATAAATAATTTGTTTTCAGTTATTAACTCTTTACCATCCCATAGAAGATGTGTGTATTTCGAGGATACTGGACCAGCATTGACATGAATGGTTTTCGAGAATACGACGGCACCGAAAATCGAACCTTCAATGATGTATTCTCCACTTCTAATTAGCTTTCCACGTCCATAGAAAGAATCGGGTGTATCGGTCGATGGGAATAAACTGAAATCATTGGTTGTCTTTTTAACTGTGCCATTTTCATTGATATAGGTTTCAATCTCGATCTTGTCGTGAATGGTGTGTCCAGGTGTTCGTACCTGTAGTATTTCAAATCTAAATTCTTCACCTGCTTCAATATCATCTATATCTTGAATCGTTATCGAATATTCAACTGTTTGTTTTCATTGGTGTTAGTTACAATTTTGAGAATAATTGTTGGTAACAATAACAATTATTATTTACACACTTACTTGGTTCAATGTTTACTTTATATGGTGAGCCTTGTATTGCTACATGATTTACAAATACATTGATGAAATAGTGACCGGATTTCGTTACGTGATAGTGTACATTGTGAGTGCCGTTGTTCTTGTCGACGACATTCACCTTTACCTCTTCGATCAGGTTGTGGTAGTCACAGCCCTGGATATGGACCGACACCAAATCGCCACCGGTTGTCTTTCTCACGCCATTTCGATCGACCGTCACCACCTGAAAGCAGAATTTCTCACCAACCGTACCGACATCACCTTCAAAAGCATCGCCTGTTACCATAGAGAATTGTCCAACCGATGTCTTGTCCAATCCATTCAATATATTAATATTTGATTTTGAATTATTGTAATTATTATTGTCTATTGCCATTCCAAAATTGGAATAAAAAATTATATTAATAAAAATGTATATAAATCTTAATTATTTGATAAAATTACAAATTTAATATTACCTTTTTCTAAATAATTTATATTATTACTATTATTATTTATATTGTTATTATTATTATTTATATTATTATTGGAGTTGTTGTTATTTGTTGATACAATGTTTGAAATTGAAAACATTCTTGAAGCAACAGCGGTTGTTGCAGCAAGGGAGAAAGTTGAATTGGACATTGTATTGGCAAATGTAGAGTGAAGAGGTTTACTTAAGCCAACGGGAGATTGAAAATGCTGTAGAACGTTCAGGTAGTATTTAATGATGATGATCAGTAGCATCGCACTAATCAACGTAGAAGGTGTGGTGCATTCATCCAAAATTTCTAAAAGTAAATTCAAAGTTGATTGTTTCCAATCATTTGCCACGAGCCACTCCATCATGAGCATCAACAACACCACCACGATACGAATGATTAACTCTATATTTGGTGAAATTAAAAATTAATAAACAACACACACATTAATAATTTCTTCTAAAGTGAAATGATAAAAAAAAAGAGAAAAGATTTATGGGGGAAAAAGGAAAAGGGAGGGGTTTGATTGATTCCACTATTATATATTATTGATCAAATCTATCTATTTAAATTGATTGAACACCAAACACACCAAACACACAAAAGTCAGTCACTTTAAATATTTTCAATGTATGATTATGATGTGATTCCATTACCGTTACATAATCATCTAATTTCGATGTATCAAAACTACAACCAAATACTTGAATTGTCAACACACAAACACCAAAATAAATTATACATATAATTTCAGGCAAAAATTACCTAAAGAAAACAATCAACAAAGAAAATCAATAGCCAATAATATGTGAAGTTTTGTGCAAAAGTAAAGTTAAAAATAATGACGACGCCGATCTATTATCTTTTTAAGTAATAATTAGTGTGTGTTTCAATTTACATCGCTGTAAGTAGTGGTTATTCTATGAAAATCTGTTTGTATCACATATTTTTAAATTGAAATTGACAATGATGTACCAGTGATGTGTGGTTATGTATAAGCTTTAATCAGGAACTGGAATTCCCATTAAAAATAAATAAATCAATAAAAAAATAAAATAAACTAATGATTTGGTGTGTTGGGTTGATGATGAATAAAAATTATTATTTAAAAGACCACACACACATAAATGTCAATTGAAGTGGTATTACTTTAAAGACTTTTAAAAAAGAAATAGATTACAAAAACAAACCACTTTTAATCTTTTATTTATTTATGATATTATTATCTTATTGGCTTTTTTTTTTTTGATTATATTTTATAAGTGTGTTGTGTTTGTTGGTATTGAAACTATTCAAACTACCTTGAAATTATTTTTTGTTGTTATTGTTGTTGTAATTTTTGATTTGCTTTACTTAATATTTTTTCAACTTGTTGGATTATATAAAATATTAATTGGTTAACTACTATTATATCAAAACAAAGATATTGGGAATATATAACATCATTGTGTGTCAAGTTAACAAATTTTGCTGATAATGATAGAATGAATAGCAATAGAAATATAATTCGTTTGGTCATAAAGTTATTTTTTGAAAATAACCTTGAATGGATAATTCCTTTTTTGGAATTCTCCAATAAAAAAGAATTTCTAAATACGCTATTTTTTTTTTATTTTAATTGGTCGGATACCAGTGCACAATTTTTATTATTTAAATAAATAAAAACAAACAACACGCTATTATGATAGCATTATAAACTTACTAAAGAGTAAGAAAAAGTCCAATGAGACTCCCCATAGAAGTACTAGTAATACAATAGAAAATCCTGCTGCTTGATTATACATTAAAATCAAAAATATGTTTTTTTAAACAATAAAAATATAAAGTTTTATGATACATTAAAATAATTTTTATATATATATAACAATTTATATCTATAGATTGATTTTATCATTATTATTTACATATGCTAAGCAATTACAGGTGCAGTGCAAGTATTGTATCACCAAACAGTAGTGAGTTAAAGATTTAATTTGTTTGGCAATGAGATTTGTGTAGTTATATTAAAAGTGGTGGGTTTGATTATGTGTTGTTGTTTGTTTTTGGTAATCTTAAGTGGAATCAACGCACTGCATTGCAGTGCAATTCATTCATTAGTTGCTATGTGATTGTTTGTAATATTTTTTTATTTCATACACTCTGTCCGTTTGTGTTGGTTGACTGTTGATTTCAAAATTCAATTGAATTTGAATTATCATACAACAACCAATCACAATAGTAGTTAGTAAGTATAGTCATTAATATCCTTTGGTGGTTTAAGAAGTTGAATTTAGTTTTTTCCTAATTAATGCATTTATTGTTGTTGTACATTGAATTCATATTTGTTTTGTTTTGTTTTATTATGGTGTGATATAGATAAGAATCGCTGCTACTGTTTCTGCACGATGTAGTGAGTGTGAATTCAAGTTGAATTGGGTTAGGTAGGTATTTGATGTGTGTGTCACACCAACTCGAAAAATACCACACACATAAATAAATAAATATTTTTAAAACATATATGTTACAACGAGATTTAAATATCGGTTTTATTTTAAAAAATAGGTAATCTATGATATCAACTTGTTATGGAAATCCTAATAATAGTTACAACTTGTGGATTGATTATAATTTGCAAATTAAAATGTCTTACAAATAAATTAATTAATTGTTAAATGAATTTATAATTTTAGATTCCGTTGTAATAATATTATAATATTTTACTAGTAATATATATAAAATATCACAAAGTTTTAGTTTGAATTGATAGGTGTTTTCCAATGTCAGTTGGTTGTTTGAAGTTTTTTTTGAACTATCTTGGTTGTAATATTATTAGAATTTAGATATATGAATAAATGATATTGACATAAAGCTACTAAGTAAAATATTTGACATTGATTATTTATGTTCATTGTAAAAATATAATAAAAGTTGAATGACTATTATAAACTACACACCTAAACTGGAAAAGTATATTTAATAATTTAATATTGTTTCTAAATTTGATTACTACTATTATTATGATATGGTTGTTACTTTTTAATTTTTTTTAACAAAAAAATTAAAGAAAGAAATGAATTTAACAATCATGACTATTAATAGTACCAAAAAAGAAAAAATAGCTATTTACCAAATTTTATTTATCGTTGGTTCGATATTCTATTTTACTGAGGATATTTGTGTATTCGTTTTTGACCATCCGTCTCTTCGCCTATATAACCTGAATCTGAATCGCTATAATTATAAATTTCATTAATATGTGTTGTTCCAACTATCTATAAGTTTATGATTTGGTTGTTCTTTTTAATATTTATTGGATGTTGGATGTTGTTATTGCAAACTGGATTCCACTCTTTGGAAACCAACTAAAATAAATGATAATTTTATCAAATCGATAAATGAGAGTGGATTCTGCAATCAATAAATAAAATAAAAATAAAAAAAGATATAATAAATGAATGGATTAAAAATTAATGCGTAGGTGTCTGATGATTCTATAAATAAAAATGTTGTTATATTGTCATTATTGTTGTTGCTTCTGTTGTAAAATCTTATTCAATCTAGTCTGCATTGCAATCCAAAATTTTAAAAGAGTTTTTATATTATTACCAATATGTTGAGTTTGTTTTACACATACCAAACACAATTAATATGATATTTGTGTCGATTCTATATTGTTATTGGTGATTGATTTGTATGTATTTTGATTGGTGATGAAAAAAACCTGTGTCTGACTGATTATAATTTTATTGTTGTTAAATGTGGATTGGTTTGATGAGTAGAGTTTAGATTTGATGATTTGCAATTAACAATTATTATTGTTATTATTATTAAAGGAGATTGTCAGATGGAGGGATAGTCTACTTAAAAATAGAACGACGTTGTCTTCAAAACAAAAATTAATTACCAAATAAAATAAAATATATAATAATAGTAGTAATAAAACAAATAGTAAGAAATATAAATTTTTGGATATTTCAAATTTGAAATAGATATAGTTGAATTATATAAATGATTTGTAGTTTTTTAATATTATTTATACAACCTAAAATAAAGTAAGCTGAAGTGTGGAGTGTGTTTGTTTGATGATGGTGGTAATGAAAGTGTTTGTTGAATAATGAAATCACAAACACAATTAGAACCACCTGCAATAATGATATGGAGTAGTAATGAGTGTAATTGATTGACTGACCACTCCACTTCACTCATGCCACTCTATCTAAATCCAATACCATATCATACTATTGATCCTAATATATACCATATATGCAAAATGAAACAACTCCCAAATCATTAAAATGTAACAACTGTTTACTACTGCCAATATTTAGAAATGTTTTGTGGTGAAAAATAATAAACAACAACAACAAACAAACAAACCTTCTTTTTGATTATAAATGATTTAGTTGGTTATTTTATTAATTTATATGGAGAAAGAGTAAAAAGTGGAATGATAAAGAGTTGTGTAATTACACTTTTGTTGTTGTTGGCTGTTGTTATAATTCTGGATTATGTTGTTCATTTTATTGTTATATCTGTTTATCTCACATTTTATTAATGTGATATAGTCATGTGTTCGAGAGACAACAATACTGATAATGAAAAAGAGAAGTGTTAGATTTCAAATGTGCTTTTGTGTGTTGTGTGTGTGTGTGTGTGTGTACTTCATATGATCACAATCAGATCCAAAGCAAAACAACAAAAACAACCACTTTGATTGAATCAATCATACAACAATAAACCAACATCAACAACAACTTTTCACTTTAACACACACTTGCAACAACAATACTACAGACAGATCAACATCATCATCTATCAAGTTGACATCTGATTATCAAGAAATGGCTAACCATTTTAAATTAATTTATCCAATGATGACCATCCACTTGCGTTCAGTCAAATTATGATAAATGGGATAAAACATTAAAAGAAGTGAGTGGGGGTAACTTTTGATTGTCATTATTTATTAAATCGGAGGGTGTTGTTGAACAAACTATTTTCGGTTATGGTGGTAGTGATGTTGGTGGTCATTATTTTTCAACATATGACTTTATTTTATTATTGTTGTTCTTAATTACACCTTAATTAAAAAATAATCGAAAAAATATTCAAACTTAATGGAATACCCAATAATTGAACAAGTCAGCAATTTTCTTGTGAAATTGCAATTTAGTGATCATATCACCAAACTAGCATGCTAGTACCACCAATTAATGTCAACTAATGTCTCTGTCTCTTTATAAACACCACAACCAATCACACTAATAAAACACTAACAAAACATTCATTCATTAATTTCATTTGTTACCCTTTTAAATCAATTAATCTTTGTAAATAATTGATTTGTTTTATTGAGTTTGAAATGACGACTAAATATATATAAATCTACTTTCATGTGTATGTTTATATTTGGTGGTGGTATTAATGAATATGAAATTGGTTAAATATGGAAAATAGATAGATTGATAAGCTTATTGAAATGAATTAATTAACTGATTAACCACTAGCACACAATTGCTGTTAACAAGATTGGGATACAATAATTCTTTTGAGTTACAGACAGAAGTATAGTGAAGAATGAGCTAAGGCAAAGAAAGATAAGATAAGATGAGAAGAAAAGACAATTTATGAATTACCAATATTGGTAATAATCTTACAATAATTTAAAAAATGAATAATCAATCATCTTGATCTCCAAAATCATAAATATGTGTGTATGTGTCTTTAATAATAGATGTAAATGGTACATACATACATTACACATTTGATAATTCAAGAGACAACAAGTAGTAATCGATTACTACATTCGAAAGTCTCTCCTCCTACATGTTTGGAGATGTAACCTCCAATAACCATAGATTTAACAATCACTCATCTTCATAAATAAAAATAACAATATATATTTATATACAGATCTAAAAGATCTTAGCAAACTACTGAATTATCTTATTGCATTTATTATTAAACAATTATTTATTAATTCTTATCTTATCTAATCCATTTTTCATTGTGACTTGTTATTAATAATTTCCAAATAATAGTTATAACTATGAGTTCTGATTGATTTTGTAAAAATAAAAAAATATTTTTGATTGTTTTTTTTTTTTTTTTTTTTTTTTTTGGTGCACTGAAAAAAAAGTCACTCGATTAGATATCATCAAATTGATATTAGATATATTTATTGTGTATATAGTTAAATTTAATTTAGAGATGTCACAGTTCATTAAAAAGTCGACAGGTATCACAGGACTTGCAGTTCAACCACATGCTAGAAGAATTCTTGCGGATCTCTACCAAAAGACCTTGAAGGAGTTGCAGAGAATACCACCAACTGCTTTCTATCGTCAGAAGATGGAAGAGATCACCAAGTTCAGATACGATGTCATTCAAAAGGAGACTGATATTTTGAAGATCGAACAAACTATCTTTGCTGGTCAAGTCGAAGAGTTGATCACTCAAGCCGAAAACGAACTTCAAGTCATCGATTTGGTTGCCAAGACCAAAGCTTATGAACTAAGCGATAAGAATAAACCACCAATGATGGTATTCAAGAAATAATCATCCTATAAATAAATAATAATTAATAACATAATAGTACAATCCAAAAAATCACATACAATACACATCAAGAACTTAATCTTTTGCTATTGCAATATAATAATAATGACTATTACAAATATTAGCAAAGCATAGCACAACAAAACTACACAACACTACACATCATAATAACTAAATTAGAGACATCAATCAATCAAAGCAAATCATCATAAACCAAGCAAAAACAATAAAAGTAAATTAAATTGGGTCATCGTTGTAAGATATAGACACCTTATATATTATAAACAAAAGTATTACTACTCTTTTTATAGTTATAATTTTTAGTTTAGTTTTATAAAATCAGATTTTAGATTAGTTTAGATTATTAGTTTTTATAAATATATATTTTTATTTATTTTTTATTTTAATTTAGATGGATAGAAATAAGATAGGTTTGTTTGTTTTTTTTTTTTGTTTTTGTTTTTTTTGTTACAAGATTTACATAATATTATGTGTTTAGTTGTTTTGTTTTGTTTTGTTGGTTGTTCAATTGAGGTTTTGTTACTTTATGCTTCAATAATTTGTTTGAATTGAATGTCATTACGGAAACTTGTTACCTTTTGAAGGATGGTGCTGGCAGAGAGATCATCAAACTCGTCGGCCTCAATCTCACCGTGAACCAATGTCTTTTGTTTGAACATGTTGTAGACTGGCTTGATATGAGTGTTTCTACGTGCTTTCTCCAATGCCTTTGACTTCTTACCCAGCCACTGGATAAAGATGGTCTTGGTGCGCTTCGAGTCGACGGCAACCTCTTTGTTGTCGGAGGAACGTGTGTCGGTGTAGTTGACCTTCAGCACACCGAAAGCTGTGGATTCGTCTTTGAGCAACTCTTTCATCTCGTTGATACCTCTGTTTCCGGTTCCCAAGAGTGTAAGTGACTTGCATCGACTACTGCAATAGCCAATGAGAATCCAGTTGATTTCACCGGCGTTGAAGAGGTCTACTTTGTGAGCGATCTCGTCAAATCCCGCATAGACAACGTCGTCAATTACAGACTTTGGCAGATTGCTGTCCAATGGCGAGTCAATCAAAGCGTCGTTCATAACAATTCTATCGGTGATTGGTGATGGTGTGTTGCTGTTGGTGTTGGCGACGGCGGTGACAACGACAGGCGATGGAGTGTTGGCGCCAACAGTGATGGTTGGTGTTGGTGTCGGTGTCGGTGTGTTTGGAATCAATTGAGACTTGCTTGGCGAGAATTGAATTCTGACTGGCGAATCAAATCTTGGTGTGGATGGCGAGGAACGTGTCTTGGTTTCAGTCTTGATTGGCGAGGTGAAATCACGAATCGGTGTGGATTCGTAGGATTTCAAATGGGTGGTTCTGAGAGTGGCCCATGTTGTTTCCTTACCGAGACGTGGACGGATACTGTTGGAAATGTTTGGACTGAGAGCGAGATACAAATTGTTGTTACGGTTATCAAGCAGTGTTGGTGAAGAGCACTTCAAGATATTGGAGAGCAATTCAAATTCCTCTGCCGATGTATACTTGACGAGTTTCATCTTCTTGTGAATGTCTTTGAAGTTTAAGAAAATAAAAGAAAGAAAAGCTGGGAACTTGGCTTTCTCAATTGGTCTTGTAAGATTACCTTCCCAAACAATAAAAACAAATTCTCTAAAGGATAAGTAAAAAAAATATTATTAATATAATGGAAATTACATTTTGCTCTTTTCAAAACTTACTCATCAGTCTTTTTAAATAGAATGACATTTGAATGATGTTCATTGAATACTTTTTGAAGATTATCTACAGAGTTTCCTTGGTATGATTGTACTTGTCTTTCAGAGTTGTATCCAAAGACGAACCATTGTTGAGACTTTAAAGTTGGAAGTTGGTCAAAATATTCAGCATCGATATATCTGGCAGCGTCAACATTTCTATAAAACTTGGCTTCACTATCATATGAAGTAAAAATATGATGAACATATTCTATTCTAACATATTTCTATTGAAAAAGAATGAAAAAAAAGGTTTAATGTTAAATATAAACAATTAAAAAAAAAATGTATTAATTTTAATATTAATAATAATAATAATAGCTTACAATAGCATTTTGAATAATTGCAGGTAAATTATCTTGTACTTTGGTACTCTTTTCCTTTGGTACTCTATTTCCAACCCAAAAGGCAAGGAAATATGAAGTGTATATTGACTTTTGACCGGACAAAAGCAATGATCCGGCAGTCTTTATAATAACGAAAAAATAATTGTCAGATTGACAATTCTTTGTGAGTTGGTTGATATCATTTCCGTGCTCCAATATTGTAAGATCTTTATCTATTATTGTCCTTTAAAAATGTTTTAATTAAATTAATATCAATAATAAATTTCTTTTTTTTTTTGTTTTTTAAATATGCAATTAATAATCTTACCATTTATGAGCTTCAATCGATGATTTAAAATCCATTTTTCATATGTTTACTTTATTCTTTTTAAAGAAAAAAAGAAGTGAAATTATATATATAAATAAAATTAAAATAAAATAACTATTAGAAACTAATCTTTAGAAATATCTTATATCCAAGATTTAAGAACAATTGTTGAAAGAAAATGAAAAAAAAAGAATAACAATACAAGTGATAATTGAACATAATGAAACAGATAAGACGACGATCTTACTTAACATGCAACACCAACCACATTGGTTTTGTTTTTAAAACTCTAATCCATATTTAGATAAATATACTATTTAAATCTATACTATACTATCAAATACTGTTGCTAAACACTACACATTAAACACATATATATTAAACACACCAGTGATAATCTCAATCTAACAATATTCTAATCTATCAAATTCGAATGTATAAACCCACTTCAAACCAAACATTCACACACACATACCAAACAAAAAAAATCAAAAAATCAAAAAAAAATCAAACAAATTAATTATTTTAGGTTGTTTTTATTTTATAGTAATAAAAATAATTTAAAAAATTGTTGTGAAGAATTTGTGTGAATTTATATTATATATCCAGATTTATCATATTTAATCGTTTTTTTAATTTTATTTTTAATTATTTTATTTATAAACATCAAATAATTCGGGTGTATGTTCGGATGAATATGTGTTTAAAATACCAGCACCATCGGGGGTGCAACTTTCAAATGAAATAATATCAAAACAAAAAGTCGGAAAAAAAGATATTATATAAATTAAATTTCATATGAAAGTTTTGTTTGATGAAAAAACAAGTTAAGATTTTGATTTTTTTATTTTTTGAGTGCCACAAACAAAAAAAAATCTTTTTCAAAATCCGATCACAGTGTTTACCAGTGACAAAAAAAAATCAAAAAAAAAAAGTAGAGTGAATCTTATGGGAAGATTAGATTTCTCTGCTCATAAAACAAACAAGCAAACAAACACATTTTTTGGGTTTAGTTGATATATTTTTTTTTTTTTAAAACTTAACCAAATTAATTTATTCTCTCACTACAAATTTTAAACAAACAAATAATCATTAAGATAGAAATATATTCACACCCACAATACACGCCACACACAAAGACATTTTAATATTAATATTAAAAATCAAATCAACTACACTTTTAATAATAAAACATATAAGATTTAGAGAGCAAAATTTTATATTACACGTTTCACCTCCCCTCAAACTACACTTTCACCATTCATTTTTCAATCATCTTAAATTTGCAAATTTCATCATCTTATTTTTATTTTTTTCACTCTTACATCTTTATTATTTATTATCAGAACAATTTGACATATCATATGATTATCTCTAATATTGATTGATTCAAGCTTTATTTATTTATATTGTAATATTTATTTTTGTTAAGTTTTGAAAACTCCTTGATTTTGATTTTATTATTTTGTCAATATATATTTATTTATATAGTAACGAAATATCCAAATAGAGTAATAGAGAATAATCATGGGATACAATGTTTGTAGTGAAACTACTCTCGACCAAAAGCGAGCATTGGATATTATAAATATAGTGGTATCGATTCTTTCACTCATTGGAAGTAGTTCAACGATTATTGCGTATCTGCATCGACAGTATAAACAGAGACAGGTAGAGCGACTCGAAAGAAGTCTGATAGATGAACGACAACATGCAAATTTGTTGGGACGTGAAGGAAACACCGTCGGTCCAGTCGGAGCCAATCTGAAGGGTTCGTTCAACAGCTACTCTGATCTGGGAATGAAGCCAACTAGCAAACCGCCCAAGTCAAAGCTACCATACCTGGTATTCATGTTGGCAGTCTCCGATCTTCTAACATCTATAGTAATCATTATTTCAACATCTTTTCTTCTTGGTGATCTACGTGACTATCACAAACAGGTGGTCATAGGCAACGTAGTGATGTCACCATGTGTTGCTCTGCGTGCAGCCATCCAATTTTGGTACATGGCAACTTTCTTTTGGACAACTTGTATATCATTTTATCTTTACGACCAACTTTCCAATCCAATTCAAAGGTAATTTAGAAAATTTATCAGTTTTTGTAATTTCAAACATTCTAATTTCTTTTTGTTTGTTAATTAATTAGTTCTCTTTTGACCAAAGTATTCACTGCTATTTCATTTGGAATTCCATTTTTAATTACAATGACAGTTACACTTACAAACTCGATACGTTTGGATCCAACTACTGGTTGGTGTGAATTAAGAAAGCTAGAGGAAATCTTATTATGGTTTACACCACTATTGATTTGCATGATGATTTGTGTATTTTATTATATTAGACTTAGACGTTTGTTTAGAGAGAAATTCCAATGTAGATTAAGTGTTAATGGTAAATTAATAGCTTTAAATATTTATTAGCTCACAACAATTGTGCCAATTATTAACATTTCTTTTATTTTAAAATACAGATCGTCTCAGACAAATAGATTCAACTATTACAACTAGATTAACATTGTACATTTTAGTATTTATAATTGCATGGCTTCCAGATATTATTCAACATTTTATTGGTTTCTTTTCAACATGTTCTCTTTATCCATTGATGGTAATACAGAATCTTTTAGTACCAAGTCAAGTATGTTATTATTATATTTTAAATATTTAAAACGATTTTTGAAATATTAACTAAATAATTATAGGGATTTTGGAACTTCTTTGTTTATTCTTATACAACATTCCAACATCATGAAACACTTCGCACGATATTCAGAATACCAGGTAGCATTTCATCAGAGGAGAGTAAACGACTTTTAGCGTGAAAGAAAGTTGCATGTTTTTATTTATTTATTTTTTTATTACAATCACACGAACCTTTCGTATTCAATACGAAAAAATAAAATCAAATCGGTCGATCGATTTATTTATTTTCAAAAAACATAGAACACGTCATGTACAATTGCCTCAATCATTTCTCGGTTTTCTAAAAATTTTGTTACTATACCAAAAATCTCTGTTTTTAAAACACCAAACAAACAATAATCTTAAGATTTTAATTTCTGGTGTTTTGTTGTTGTTGTTTTTTTAAAAAAAAAAAAAGTGTAATAAACAATGTGTTTGATGTCTTTTTAAAAAATTTATCAACATAATACAGAAGAGAGACAGAGAGAATAATATTTGATTACTAATTATTATTATTATTATTTTAAAAACAAAAAACAAAACAAAATAAAATAAAACATTTTTAAATAACTTTATTTTTATTAATATAATTAGTAATAACAATATTATTCTCTTTAATCTAATAATAATTAAACAATAGTAGTAGTAGTAATTTTAAACATATTTCATTTATAAAATAAAAAAAAAAGTTAAAACTTTAATATAATATGAATAAAGAAGTAGAAGAGTATAACAATAATGATAGTAATAATGGTTTTTATGAAAAAAATAATAATAATATAAATGAAAATTTTTGGAAATGAACAATATTCATGATGGTGGTGATAGTATTGATGTCAATTCAAATCATGTACAAAAATGTGTTGAGTTACAACCGAATGATCGTGGCTACTTCTATGATAACTATCCCGTGGAACTGATGGGATTGATCGATCCACAGGAGTTCAGTGGTATAATCACGCGATTCAATAGTTTGGCGGCGAGCTGGCGAAATCGTCTGCCACTCATTGGTGTGGCATGTGCAATGCTAGCAACGATCGTTCTGCTCGGTGTGTTTGGTAGTAAGCGATCGTTGATCGGTATCGTAGTGACAGCGATCATCATCGTTGCACTCTGTATCATTCTCTACCTACAGCAGTCAATTTACAGAGATCTCAAGAAATCGAAAATGAATAGCGCAATCGAAGAAGCAAACAAATACTTTGAAGATCGTCAGATTACATTCTCGCTACAACACAGACATAGTTCGAATCGTTACGATTGGTACATCAAGCTTCAAACCAATCAAGAGAAATCGACAACATCTTCATCATTAAGATCTTCAAATTTAAAGAATAACAACAATTTCAATAGTAATCATAATGGTAATACAATAATAGATATAAATAATAAGATAAATGATGATTATAATAATAATATAATCATTATATAATTATAATAATAATATGAAACATTCACACCATCATCATCGTAAATGTGCTCACTTCAATTTTATTCATGTGAACAGTGTCAAACAACCACTTATTTTATAGATAATAAAAATAATGTAATTTGTTTGAAAATAATCTAATTCAGTATTGTATTGAATTTTAATCTTTTTTTTCATATTCGAAGATATTAAGATATCTAAAACAATAACTATTATAAACATAATGTTAAATATTTATATTATAGCTTTAATAATTTATATATTAAATGATTTCCTAATGGTATTTTATTTATTCTATAATTATTTCTTTGAAATTAAACATCCCAATACCAATATATTTTTATATCTATCTTGATAATCATAAATTTTTCTCATTGGAATTTTATTTTTTAATTGAATATATAAAGTAATTTCCTTTTTGGGAATCACAAGATTTTAAAAAATTCATTGTAATGTTTTTATAAATTTCTTTATTTTTCGATATAAATACAAAGTCTTATATTTAAATACTTTAATAAATAATATATAATGGAAACTTTATCTTTAGAAAAATGTTTGGGAGAATTAAAAGAAGAGAAAGAGTGGATAAATTTACTATATAGTTCGAGAATAATAGATATTCTAAATAGTAAAAAGGATTTCTTAAAACATCGTAGATTATCATTTGAAAATGGAGAGAACATAAATGATTTTAATAGTAGTAATAATAATAATAAGAATGATAAAGATATAAAAGAGGTAAATCAATCAAAAGAAGTTAATGAAAATCAGCTACTGTCATTCTCTTCGCATCATACCAATGTTGGAGATGCTCTCAGACTGCTGAGTCAATATCATTTGTTTGCATGTCCGGTGTTCAATGAGGATGACAATGGCTGTGAGAATCAAAAGGTGTACAACTACGTTGGAATGCTCGGTATACATGAAATCGTTGAATACCTACTCGGTTGCTACAAAGATAGAAAGAAGATAAACTCTGTCGTTGGTGTAATCCATTTGGATACCTGGATAGACAATAAGCATAAACTAATTGAAAACACCGAATTCTTCAAAATCACACCTGTAATCGACATTTTGAAACTCGTTCGTAACAAAACATCACCAACACAACTCTATCTCAACGATTCACTCGCTGTACTCATCCGAGTGCTTACCAATTCCTCTTCACTTAGATTACCCGTTATTAATAATGATAATGTATGTAAAATGCTTAGATAAAACTTTAATAATATTATTATTATAATTGTATTAACAAAGAAAAAATAAAAAGATTGTTGGATTGGTATCAACTTCAGATGTACTTAGAATTCTTGTTGAAAATCAAACGATGTTGCCAAAGATATTCTTTAAATCGATTGAATCGTTGTCACATCGATACAAGTTGATAGAGGAGTTCCCAAAGATTAGATCTGACCAACCAACAACCGCAGCATTCGATCTTCTCGAACGTGAGAATAAACCATCGCTTCTAGTAATAGACTCCAATACAAATCATGTTCTTGCCAACTTTAGCTTATCAGACTTGAAAGTATTGGTCGAACACAACATAGAAGATCTTATGTTACCGATCAATGAATTCATTAGAAACTATAAACCCATTGTAAGTAGTAGTAGCTCTTCTTTATCCTCTGGCAATCTAGCAACATTTATTTAATTACTAACCTTCAACACATACACACACATTGATCTAGAATAAACTGTCACCTATTTCCATCGACAAGAAAGAACCATTCATTAAAATGTTGAAACTGATGTTGGATTCCAAAATACATTCAATCTATATTCAAAACGATATATTGGAATCTAAAATGATTGGATTCATTACATTTAAAACAATAATACCTTTTATTCATCAAATAGTAAGAACAAGTTGTCAAACTGACTGATTTGCGTGATTCAATTTGAAAAAGATCAGGTCACCAAGAAAGTTCTTGAAAAATAAAAACAACCCCCCATTCAAATCTCAGATTGTAAAAGTTCGTTGCAAACCACCTGGTATTATTAAAACAAAAAAAAATAGTTGAGGGATTTGTAACCAAAAATTTGATACCTCACTGAAAACAATCAATTTGATATTAAAAATCATTTTCCTTTTTATCATTTAATAAAGATATATATTATAATATGTCAGCATATGTATTTATTAAACCAGACAAAAACAGTGGTTCCAATCAATATAGAACTTCGTTTCCAACGCAGTTGTATGGCGTGATCGAACCGACTGAATATGCCGAGACAATCAAACGTTTCAATATGTTGTCGAAATCGCTCAATACGCGAGCACTCCTAGTATTGATGCCGTTGTTTTGTATTGGTGGTGTGCTTGCTGTCATTGGTTTCGCTATTAGTGTTGTGGCGCTCAGTGCCATCGGAGGTGCAATTGCCGTGGCCGGTGGTATTGGAATGGTAGCATTTGCAATCCATCGCATCAGCCGTGTTTCAGTGGCATTGCCCAAAGCACTCGAGGAAGCGAATGAATATTACGGTCTGCGAGGAATCAGATTCTCCATCTACAACAAAGTCTCGAAACACTACAATATCAGTAACAACGGCTTCAAAGAGAGTATCATCCGAAGATACATAAAGATCGACTATCCCATTCCAGAGAATGTCAACGTCAATCCATTGACCACTTCAACTCCATCTTTATCGTCGTCATCGGTTCATCCAGTTTCACCACTACCCTATAGTTTTACACCTGCACCAAATCAATCACAACAACAACAACCAATTTATCAACAACCAAATCAACTTCCACAACCATATCAGCAACAATATCAACCATATCAACAACAACAGCAAGTACCACCACAGCAATATCAGCAACAACAGCAATTCCAACCATTTACACAACAGTATCAACAACAGTTTCCACGACAACAACCACCAACACCAATTTCACTACCGAATCAAGAACAAAGACAGCAACATTATCAACCACCAGTTGTACAACATCAACCAACACAGTCATTCCAAAAGCATCAACCACCAGGTACTCAATTGGTAAGGAATAATAATCTAGCTTCTCAAATGGTTTTATCTATCGATCAAAATATGGATTTTGTTGAAAATAATAATAATAATAATAATAATAATAATAATAATAATAATAATAATAATAATAATAATAATAACAGAAAAGAAGAAGATCAGAATGAAACAAGTTCATTACTTTCCAAAAATAACTATGATGACGACTTTTAAACGTTTTAATATTACCAAATAAAACAAAAGAAATAAATAAAAAAATTTAAAAAAAATCTTGAACTAAATTTCTTGTAAATGTTTGAAAGCAACCAAACAAACATCAATTTGAAAACAATTGTTTCTCATTTTACTGATTACACAAACCGTCATGTATATAAAATATAATATTATATTTTATTATAATTATTATTAAATTCATTCAATGTTTATCTCTATTATAATATGAATATCTTTAATAATAAATTAATAAAACCTATACAACCACAACAGAATCATCAACAACAACAAAATACATTTAATAAACAATCATTTATATCATCAATAAACAAAAGTAATAACAATACTAATAGTCATGTAAATAATAATAATAACAACAACAATAATAGTAATGGTTATACTTTTAATTACAACCATAGCAATAATAATATAAAGAAAATAGATATAGATCCATTTGGAAATGGTACTATTATTTCGAACTCTCTAAAGAGACCGGGTGGTAGATCGTCATCTTCATCTACATCAACATCTGCATCAACACTCAACCAAAGTAAATTACCATTCTTTAAGAAACAACCTGATCAAAAACCACCTCAACAACAACAACAACAACAGCAGCAGCAACAAGTAATAAATAACAATTACAACAATAACAATAACAATAATAGTAATAATTTAGTAGATTTAGTTGATGATTCAGATGGTTTTGAATTTGATTTTAGTGTAGATGATTCATTAACTAATAATAGTACAGCAACCACTACAACAACCACTACATCTTCTTCTTCATCATCGTCATTATCATCTTTTAAAACAACAAGTAAATTGTTGAACCCAAGTATCAATGTTATCAATGTAAATAATAATAATAGTAGTAATAACAATGGTAATGTTGGTAAATCAACTACCGCGAATCATAGCAGTGGTGATGGTACAAGAAGATATTCAGATAGTTTTCCACCGCAATTTCAATTTCCACCGTTGGAAGACGATCGCTTTCAAGAGTCAGACGATGATGCAATGAAAACATTGATCTATCCTGCGAATATGACAATCAGAGACTATCAATATAATATCGTGATCAATGCCATCTACAAGAACACTCTGGTGTGTTTGCCAACCGGTCTCGGAAAGACGTTCATCGCGTCGGTTGTGATGCTGAACTTCTATCGATGGTTCCCAAAGTCAAAGATTATCTTTATGGTTCACTCACGACCGTTGGTGACACAACAGATGTCGGCATTCCACTCGATCACCGGCGTCAAGCTGAGCGACTCCATTCAGTTGACGGGCAACGTCAAGCCCGAAGCCCGCACCAAACTCTGGCAGGATAAACGTGTGTTTTTCATCACACCGCAGATTCTCGATAAGGATATAGAGGCGGGTCGGTGTGATCCGTCGAACATCAGTTTGGTCGTCGTCGACGAAGCGCACAAGGCAACCGGTGACTTTGCCTACTGCACATCGATTCATCTCATTGCAAAGTATACGCGATACTTTAGAATACTGGCGCTGACTGCATCGCCCGGTAGCAAGCGAGATGCCGTCCAAAAGGTATTGAGCAACCTACTCATCTCCAACATGGACATTAGAACAGAGAATTCACTGGACATTGCGCCATACGTCCACAAAAAGTCGATAGAGGTCATCGTTGTTCCAATATCAGAAGAGGTAAACCAGCTATTACAACTCCTAGAGAAAGTACAAAGAATAATATATAATAATATACAAAGTTATATAAAGAAACCATTAAATGAAGTAAGTTGATTAATATATAATTATATTTTACAATGATATATATCTATATATTTATATATTAACATTTTCATTAAATATTTAAAAGTGTATACCATCTTATGCAATTAAACAAATGCAATTGTATCATTCAATGAATAATTTCAATGTTGGATATAATTTTCAGGTTTTATCATATCTTTTGAATGCATCGACAACACTTGTTAAACATGGAATGTCAAGATTCTTGGATGTTTTGAATCAGATAAAGACACCAAAGAAAATGACGAAACCAGTCAAGGAAGTGTTACAATCAATGCAATGGGCAAATCTATTGACTCACGTGACAGCTATGGATGGTAAGATAGCTCATAACAAAATGGCTAAATTAGGTGAAGTAGTTATTGATCATTTTAGTATGTATATAAATATCAATATGATTATTATTGAATCTATAACATATATTTATTAACAAAATTTATAATAATAACAATATAATCAACAGAAAACTCAAAGGAAACATCAACTAGAGTAATGATATTCGTTGATTTTAAATCAGCTGTCAAGGAAATTGTTGATAATCTTGGAAAGTTGAGTTCTTTGATCAAGGTTATGGAGTTTTATGGACAGTCCGACTCAAAGGGTAAAGCAAAGGGTTTGAAACAAAGTGAACAAGCATCGATTCTAACGAGGTTTCGCTCTGGTTCCTACAATACTCTGGTTACCACTTGCATCGGTGAAGAAGGTCTGGACTTTGGAGAGGTCGATCTCATCGTTTGTTTCGATACGCCACAATCCACAGTGAGAAACATTCAGCGTATGGGTAGAACCGGTAGAAAGAGAAATGGAAAGTGTGTAATTCTCTTGTCTGAAGGTACCGAAGAGTCGATCTACAATAGCTCCGTCATGAAACTCGATTCCATCTTGAAGTATGCCAATAGCTATACTTACTATCAATCGGAGAGAATGGTTATTGGTTATCCTCATGCAGAACATACCATTATAGATCCTGTTCTTATGGATGGAAATGATAACAATGATAATAATGATAACAATAATGGTACGGGTCATACAAAGAGTAACAAATCTAGAAAAATATCATCTGCTATTGTCACTGGTGAACAGCTTAGATACCTACAGAATAACTATCAGATTAATGATACTACGATACAAAAGAAACTGAACATTGAACAATGGATTCCAATCAATTCGATGCCGACGCAAACACACATGATCGATCACTCTGATCGCTCACATTTAATGATGGATATATTGGAGATGATACAATCCACAAAGATCGATGAATTGACAGACATGGAACATCAACTACTTCAATATCAACGCAATGGATATATGCAACAACCATCTACAACAACAACACCACCAACTTATAAACAAAAGCAACAAAAACAACAACAACAACAAGATGACATTATGAATCTTGAACACCACTTACAATCACCAACACCACCTCAACCAACAACAACCACAACAACGAGAACTACAAATAATATTTCATCACCATTTTTCAATCAAATGAATCATCATAACTCAGAACTAAATATACAATTGTCAGGAAAAACAAAAACAACAGCAACAACAACAACACCAAACGAAGAGGCAATGGATGTAGACGATCATGTACCCAATCAGAATAGAATTGTCGATGAGTTTGACTTTGACTTTGGTATGGATTTTAGTGATAACGAGAGTAATCCACCAGCACCCCCACCATCAAAGTCAAACAGTAATACCAAGTCAACACTATTATTGAATTGTGAAAGCTTCTTGCCTGCCGATATCGAGCTGACCATCACGCCAAACCTCTCAAATATATTTATTGTTCCACCGCCTCCTCCAATTCCCAAAGTTCCTTCCAAATTTGCGTTTAACCTCCCTAAACCACCATCTTCATCCACCTTAACAAAACTAGCTACTAATAACAATAACAATAACAATAACAATAACAATAACAATAATAACATTAACATTAACATTAACAATGAATCAACAACATCAACATCATCATCACAACCAAACTCATCTCCACTCGATATCTCATTTAATACACCGATCAAGAAAGTATCTAGAATCTTTAAGAAGCCAACTGTTGGTAACTCCACACCAGCAATATCGCCAATTAAAAAGAAAAGAAGTAAAGAAAGTAATAATAATGAGAGTAGTAAAGGAATCAATGGCAAACCAAGTAACAATGGTAATCCAAAGAAAAAACAAAGAAAGCATCGTGACGTCAATGATTTCTTTGTTTTGGAGGCGGAAGATGAGGATGAAAATGGAAGTGACTCTGACTCTGACATTGATGAGTATGACACCGACGACTCTTTTATTTGTGACTCCAGTACAGAGAATTCACAGGAGGACTCATCGACCGACCATAGTACCGTTGGTAACAAGCGAAAGAAACCATCTATGCAATCGATCTATATGCAGTCTCTACTGAGTCAGCATGCCGACCAGTTTGGACCTCGTCGTACCCGTGCTGCCTACAAACTCAAACTCGGAAAAGATAGCTTCTTGAACGCCGCTGCCAACCATCCATCTCTTTTGGATCAATCAATCAACGAAGAAGCAGAAGAAGGTGGACATGATCAAGAACGATCGGTAGATAATCAAACAGCTGCAAGTGAAGACGAAGCAATGGAAGATACAAGACCACTCATGGAAATCGAACAAGATGAACAAGCAGCCACAGATGAAGAGATTGACAATACACAGCCATCAGAACAACAAAAAGATTCAAACTCAAATGAAATGATTATAACAACAACCACTACAACAAATAATACAACTACTTTTGATAACAAAAACAATAATAATAATAATAACAATAACAATAATCAAGACCTATTTAGAGATGATTGTGAAATGCCAGAACTAAAGAGAAGGGGATCATCTACCTTCAACTCTGAATTCAATGTCAACGTATGGACAGGTGATATGGATCAGGATGGTGACACAACTTGGTTTTAAAATCAACAATACCTTTCACAAACAAATAAAATTAATTTAATATTTGAGATATTAAAAAAAACAATAATTTTTACATTAAATTTTGATAAATTATAATCTAATTTTCAACCCATTCACATAAAACCTTGATTAGGTAGTTGTTTGTTCACTCAACTCCCACTACCAATCTGTCAATTTAAATTAAACAAACACTACTCACACACTACCTAAAAAAATATTAAATTATTATTACCCCACTACCCTTATCAACTCATTGTGTGAAAAAAACAAAATATTTTTTATTTTTTTTATTAAAAAATTTAATTTTTTTTTCAACATTTTTTTTTTTTGTTCATCAGAATCTTTTTTGAACATACCCAAAGACAAATTCGAAATTTTCATTCCATTTTAATTTTATCTTATAATAAATTTTTATACATACAAAATGGCCAACCCAAAAGTTTTCTTTGATATCACCATCAACGGTGCTCCATCTGGACGTATCATCTTCGAAGTATGTAGTAAAGAAAGAAAGATAACTATCTAAGTGGAAATAGTAAAGAAAAAGAAAAAAAAAAATTAATATAATGATGATTTTATTATGTTATATTTTATAGTTGTTCAAGGATGTTGTCCCAAAGACTGCTGAGAACTTCAGAGCTCTCTGCACTGGTGAGAAGGGTATTGGTAAATCCGGAAAGCCACTCCACTTCAAGGGTAGCTCTTTCCACAGAATCATTCCAAACTTCATGCTCCAAGGTGGTGACTTCACCCGTGGTAACGGTACCGGTGGTGAGTCCATCTACGGTGAGAAATTCGCTGATGAGAACTTCAAGTTAAAGCACACTGGTCCAGGTATCTTGTCCATGGCCAACGCTGGTCCAAACACCAACGGTAAGTTTATTTTAAACATAACCAATCAATAACATCACACTCTATCAAATTTGATAACAGTCTAGCTAATTAAAATCAAAATTACTTTTTTCTAATTAATTAAAGGTTCCCAATTCTTCGTCTGCACTGTTGAAACTGCCTGGTTGGACGGTAAGCACACCGTTTTCGGAAAGGTCGTCGACGGTTTGCCACTCGTCAAGGAAATCGAAAAGAGAGGATCCCAATCCGGAAAGCCATCCGCTGTTGTCACCATCGCTGATTGTGGTCAACTCGAGTAAACTGCTCCCAACATTCCAATAAAAATTAAATTAAAATAAAAGCTTTAAAAAAAAAAAAAACAAACTTTGTATTCTTTATTCTGCTGAATAATTATTATTATGATCTCATTGAAAAATGAATTTTAAAGACAATTACATGATTATGCAAAGTTTAAATAGTAAGATATTGTTATTATTCAATAAAGTTATAACATTGTTTCTTTTAATTAATGTTTGTTAATTCAAAGATTGTTGTTCATTTCATACAAAAAACATTTTCACAATAAAAAAAAAAAAAGAGTTACAAGGATTTTTTTTATTGTGCAGTTCTCACTGTTGATTGTTTTTTTTTGATAAAATTTTTCAGAGAAATTGTGATCAAAGTCTGCCTTTGGTCACAAATTTTTTGTAAAAAAATCAAAGAATAAAAATTTTTAAAAAACAATAGTGTGACACTCACACCAACCCTAATGAATTGTTTTCCTTTAAACATATTCCATCGATGTGTAAACAATACTTTGAAACAGTGGATTGATCAAATCGTAGTTGTTTGAAATAATAGATCATAGAATTGCATGTTCAATGATTTTAGAAAAGAAATACTATGGTTGCCGTATTGATAGTGAGTAAAAATAACCTAGATCTGTCCGTTCTATGAACCAAGTACCTTGAAACCTATTCCAACCTCTGTGAATTTTATCCTATTTTATTTATTTAATTGTATTTGGTACATTCACCAACATTTGAACACTCTATAGTTTGAACAACGCAATGCACTCAATTTTTCAAACACCAGATTTGATAAAGTAATAATAATTATACAGTTATAACTTCAACAAACAAATAATTAAACAAATAGTAATTAATAACAATATTATTAAAATAAAAAATAATGATAGTCTATTAATAAAAAAAAATGAATCAATATTCAGGTGTAATGAGTAATAGTTATTACAAAAAATATGTTGAAATGTAGCAGAAGTAAACGATCAATTTTTTTTTTACAGTTCAGCAATCATTAATTATCAATTATCATAATGATCATTTTAGATTAATTCGCAATACAAAAAATAATTCATTCGAATTTTAATAGTCATAATCAATAATCAACGAACAATCAGGAAATCCAACGTCTAATCAGTGTTTAAGCAAATCAAATAACTGAACGTTGAAAAAAGCGTTTGGGTTTTCCGCAAATTCAAACAATTAAATAAATTAAACTTTTCAAACAAAAAAACAAAAATAAGGACAAGTTCTCATCAAAATAATTCTTAAATCTAGTGAATCGGAGGAGTTGTTGTGTTTTTCGTGGGAAAGAGTTTTTTTTTTAATTGTTTATGAAAATTTATTTCAAAAAAAGTGTGGGAGTCGATCTTCAAACACACTCACCCTGAAATTTATTTTTTTGAATTTTTTTTTTACCCTTTGTGTCCTTTTCATCAAAAAAAAAAAAACCCAGTCACCAGCAATTTGGCCATCAAATTTACATTTTTTGAATTCGAAAAATTTCAAAGCTGACCTCACAACAACACCATTTTTTGGAAAATAAAAAAAATTCAAAAAAAAATTGGTTTTTACCACGCAGATTTTAAATTTTCAACAACTTTGTGAGACATCCACAAAACTTGCAAAATTGTCAAGGAAGTGATGATGAGCTGATCAGAAAAGGAAAAATAAATGTGCACCTCAGCATGGGGTGACAATGACCACCCTCGATTCCACCAATATACTAGTTGCTGTTAATAGTTCCACTTATTCATTTTCATTAAACATCCTATACAAATAAACCTATACAAATGTAAATATAATATTACAATAATTATTATTAAAATATTTTTATTATTGTTGTGTTGTTGGGTCAACACACCAACCACTAATCACTCATCATTAACTATTTCATTCTTTAACTAACACCTTATATATTGTAATGATAATCAATTAACTTCAAACTTATAACTGCCATTTTCCAAATCGATCGAACATCAATCAATCAATCAAACAAACATAAATTTTTTTTTTTATTTAATATGCAATTGTCATACACTCAATATGAATGTGAATATGAAGACAAATAAAATCAAATCAAATGTTGCAAAAATCTGAAAACTTAAAGTTCCCATTAAAAAAAAAACATCGAAAAAAACAACAAAATTTTGCTTGCTATCAATTTCTCTATTTTTTATTAATTTAATTAAAATTTGATTAATTCAACATTTTTTTTTTATTTTTAATTTTGTATCTTAAAAATTTTGATAAATGATGGTTTTTTGCAGATTCACCCACATTTTATCTTTTCACCAATAGTTTTTATTTTACTTTATTGATTTGTGTGTTGCTTTTTTAAGGTTTTTTCAATCCCACAACAACTTCAGTTGTATTTGTTTATCATGGTACAATATAGTTTTGCTGTTATATCTTAAAATTGAAGGTATTACTCCAATTTTAGCAAGATGCATCTTTCTCAAAAATAATGTGTTGTTGTTTATTTTTTTTTGTTTGTTGTTTATTGTTTATATTCAATTTACCACAAAAGTAAAATGTGTAGTGTTTTGTGGAGTTGTAGAGTGGCAACTCTCGTGACCAACCACTTTTCACAACTTTAAATTCTAAATTACCCTCAAAATGTTGAATGGAAACATTCTGTTATGCCAAATGGTTCAAAATCATTAAATCAGTGTTGTTATGAACAACACACTTGTCAAGTTGTAAAAACAAAAACATACTAACAATTAAATCAAATTTAATAAATGATATAGATTTAATACTGAATATCTGAATAAAAAAAATAATAATAAAAACTATCAACAACAATATAGTATTTTGTAACAATATAATATTTTTTTTCTCTTCTATTTTCTATTTGCTGTAAACAACTTTCATCAGACTCTAGCGCTATCAATCAACTATATCATTCACCAACAACATTTCAAGTTTAATGTTATCATTATCCATCATATTGATCATTTGGACTTAGTTATTTACATTCGATAGGTAGTTGTCAACATTTTTATAGTAAAGGCAAATTAGAATTTATCATTTATTAATCATCTATATTTTCCGTTTCAATTTAATTCTCTTTTTAAAATATTCAAAATAAAATTATAGGCAATATGTCAAATCCTTCAATGCCTACGTCAAACAATAAATCACCAAAACTTCAACCTCAAATACCACCACCACAGTTAGTCCCACCACAACTCATTCCAATTCATCATCCATCACCCATTTTAATACCGACACCAATTCCACAAACCCCTACCACCAACCAAATCATTAGAAACAAATTGCTAAACAAAGGCGGACCAAACTCTCCTGTCCTCTACTCGCAAGCACCACCAATGTCACCAACTCTTATTCCATCGTATTACCAACCACAGCCACAAGCAGGCGGAATGGCACCCAACTTGAATTTGAATTCTCAACATCAAGTCAAGCCACCCCAATACCAATTGGTTAGCTACGATTCCTACAGACGTCCGGACGGCACCTATCCTCAGATTCCATATCAACCGGAAATGTATCCACCCTATGGATATCCAAATATTTATTACCAACCATACCCCGTCTACCATAATTGGAGTCCAAGAATGTATCCAGACCACATTCCATTCCCAAATCCAGCTTTTCGTGACATTACAGATTCACCGGCATCGTTTACCGATGTCAAGCTGAAACCATCCAATTTTTCCGCCACAAAATTGATGATTGGTGAGTGGGAGGTAAGCGGTACTTTCCAAGCCGACATTGTTGCAAAGTTTTATTTTACAAAGAAGCAAATCGTTTGGGAATTATTAAAAGTTAGTGTAAAGAGTAAAATTGTAATTTGTTTTGCAGATGTGACTGCATTAGTGTAAGTAGCCAAATAATATTTTTAAAATATATAAACTAAAAATGGAATTATTAATATTAATATTCAATCTTAATCTTTCTTTATTTAATTTTAGTGTTGAGAATCTTAGTGATGATATAACATCATTGACTGTTGAAATTGCCAAACGTCCAAAGTTCTACAAGGAAATCAATCCACAGCCAAAGAAGAATACAATGTGGGGATCGACTGAAGATTTCTCACCAAACTGCCAAGCCTCAGTATTTAGACGTCATACACTCCACTTTAAAAAGGCATCACTGGCCAAGAATCTAGAGAAACTTCAACAATCCGATCAAAAGTTACGACAACTACTTGTATTTAATCAATTTACTACCGACGATGTTTATTTGCCAGGCGAGAATCCAAGTTCTCCAGACTACTATTTAAATCAAGAGAGAGGAACATCCAAGAGTTCATCATCATCATCATCATCATCGACAACAACAACATCCAATTCTGGCTCCAATTCCAATTCCAACTCTCCTCAGATTTCAAATAGTACCATTGGAGCTCTGGAGAATTCATCCAATTCCAATGCGATTCCACAATCACCAGTCTCCTCCTCACCATATTCCAACCCATCCTCCGATTTCGGTTGCTCTTCCAACAATCCAAACGGTATGCTTGGTATGAGTGAAGACGAGCTAAAGTCAGCCAGCAATCCAAACTATCCCGGCTACTACGGTGGAATGAGTTCATCCATCTACTCACCATCCTATACAAACATACAAGTGAATCCAACCATTGGTCAATCGAGCATATCACCTCCACAGGCACAATCTCATCTCTTGCAGATGGTACAAGTTTCCCAACAACTTCCAGGTAATAGCAGTAACAATACTACACCACTAGCCAGTGCACCAACATCAAGTGATATCGAGAAACAAAAATGTATTAATACAACATCAACAACAACTACGACTACAACAACATCATCATCGAGCACAACATCCACCGACTCATTGATATCCATCATCGACCAATACAACCATCTTTTACCACAAACGACTGCGCAAGGAGCCATTGAAAACAATCCAAACAATTCGACATCCTCATTGAGTACAGCGTTAGCACCAACCAATTTCTACAATTTTTCGACACAGCCATCGCTAATCAATCAAGTACCAATATTTAATTATCATCCATCCATTGCCAATCTATCAAATTCATCACTTAGTCAGCAACAACTCCAAGAACAACAACATCAACAACCAACAATAACTTTTAATCAACAACAACACCCAATCGACACTAAATATCAACTTCCAATCGAACAACTTTCATTTAACAATCAACAAACTAATTCATTTTCCAACAATCAACCATACACTCCTCACACTTTGCTTCCACTCAATGTAACCAATTTTATTAATCAACCGACAACCGCAGAAACCATTCCAAAAACCAACAGTCATTTAAATTTGTCAAACAATAGACACCATCCTTATTCTCCAAATCCTACAACAGGGATCACTGAAGATGATAACTAAATAAATTATAACTTATTATTATTACTTTTTTTAAAATTAAATAGTTGTTTTTATTTATTATTTATTAATTTAAATGTTTATGTTTAATATCATTTATTGTTTCAATTAAACCAACTTTACATTCTTTTGCTGTTTTGAATGGTTTGTCATAGGGAATACGAACATCGAACCACTCTTCCGCCGACTTTCTCTTGGCGATTGCGTTGAGACCTGCAGAGTCTACAAAGTATACGAATGCTTCATCGATTCTGATATCACCATATTGCTCGCAAATCAAACGAATCGCTTCTAGATGATCGTTGTTGAGTGTCTCTATGATATCACGACTGTCAATGGTTACGGCATCGGGTGTTGCCACTTCAAAGTCTGCCAGACTAACACGCGAGGTTCCTTTTCTCTCGTAGTGATAGATATCGGTTATATCCATTCGGTAGAATACATTGTCACTGCTTTCGACCATACGCTTTGCTCCGGGATGTTTCTTGAGGAATGCTTCCTTTGCTGCGGGGCGTTGCGCGGCATCGGTTACCGGCGACATGCGACCACTCAGATTGACACGACTCAGCGCGTAGGCAGCTGGTGGACGATCGACAGGTGTCAGTGGGTACACAACGAGTGATACCTTGCTAAAGTGTTTGAAATGCTTGATATGTTCATCGCTCTTTTTCAACATGATGATCGGTGTCAGTTTGTTGTTGTTGTTGCTGTCGCCGGTATTCATCAGCAGTCCATAGGGAACGATCGAACCATACACTGGTGACGATGCTTCACTCTCCATCTTTGCCAACATATTGACCGATGACAATGTTCCAGATTTACGCATCATCAAGAGTGATTTACAAAATTCCGATCGACTGAGTGGAGTGATAGATGGGCCCTCATTCTTATTTTCGTCTTTTGGAACCTCACCACTATACATATCCATATATTTGTCACCTGTGCTACCTTTTGGTGGTGGTGGTGCAGTAGTTGTGGCTGCAGTGTTATTTACATATTTAGTTTTGATATCGACACCACTCACTTTATCTTTAAGAGTGTTGCTACTATTGTTTGAATCAGATGTTGAAAAACATCTTGTACTTTTACTAAATATATTGATATTACTATATAAAAGAGCTTTATGATTGTAACTCTTTGTAACTAATCTGTTTAAACTACTAATTCTGTGCATGTCGTATTAAGATTGAAACAACCAAAATGAAAAAAAAATGAAAGCCAACGAAAAAAAAGTAAAATAATTATAAGATTACATTATTTTGGTCTTGGATTCAACTTATTTTTGAATTAATATAATGATACATGAAACTTTAAAGAAATGTGAGGAATGACCCAACAAGATATCATCCAAGGAGAGAATCCATCAAGTCATTCATACTATCACAAACGTTGTTAGAAAGACTAGAAATAAGGTTATCCTAGAAAATACTTTGCATAATTCAAAAATTAATGAATAAAACATAGATCCATTAGGTTTTTACAAATTAAAAATTGATTTAAAAGAAAATATTTATTTGAAGGAGTTATAAATAATACAATGGAATGGATTGGATAAAGAAAAAAAAATGAATTATTAATGTTGTTAATGTGGTGGAATGAAACAATTAATTAAAATATGTATGTATGGACTTTAATTAATTGTACATCCTCCACTCGAATTTGTTTTCTTTGGTTGTTGTTTTGGTGTAGTGGTGGTGGTGTTTGACGATGATGATGATGACGATGGTTTTTCATCGTCATCTTTAGTGTTGTCTTCTTTTGCATCTTTATCATTGGCAGATTCCAATTTTGGAGTGTTCTGAATGGCCAATGGTGAGATGTCAGCCATCGACAACTTCTTATTATAATTAAACGATGCATTGATCTTGTCATCCCAGAGAGCATTGGTTGCTGGCATAACAAAATCTCTTGGTTTGGCCAATCTATTGGCATCTGGCAATGCTGAAACTTCCTCTGGTACTGTTTGATATCCAATTACTTTATTCTCTCTTTCAAATCTATATACATATTTAAAAGAAAAAAAAAAAAAACAAATTAACAAAACATATTACATAATAAAATAATAGCAAACAATACTTTACCTTGGTATTTCAGTATCAAGAATATTATATAAATAGTTGGTTGGTTTCTTTACAGCATCTAGAGTGATTGTATTGCTAACGCATGCTTTCAACAATGCCTTTGCGTTCTTGAGGTTGAAAAGCGCTTGTTGACCAGAGACGATGGCATCACCGTATTTATGTGTGGCATTCTGGGTGAATGCATTTAGATAGTAGGAAAGCGATTGGTAGAGTGAGTGTTTGTAGTTGAGGAATACCGAGAGTTTCTCAAGACGCAGCTCGAAAAGACTACCGAGGTTGGTGAGAAGTGTCTGTGCCTCCTGGTAGATGTTGGCAGTGTCAACAGCGATCTTACAGATCAAGTTGGTGGAGGTGTTCTTCTTGCAGGCACGTCCAATTGTGAGTTCCTGTGCTTGTCCGACGGCCTGGAGATAGAGCACACGGAGGAAGCTATCGCTCAGGTCGGTGGCACGAACGTCTTCATCCATCAATGGCGAGAGTTTGGTGCGAATGTACTCGAATCCACCGGCAGCTCTCAAGAGACAGTCGTAGACGACGTTTCTCACCTCGTCATTCAATCCGTCGTCCTGTGCATTCTTACCGACCAAGAATTGCGAATATCCCATATACCACACCGATTGATTGAATATAACATTTCCAATCTCGAGTAGCGCATCGTTAGAGTCTACGACACGTTCACTACCAGCAATGGTTGACCATTGATAATATAGATTATATCTCAAACTCTTTTCTTTTGACGATTTTGACGATTCCACTTTCTTTTGTTTCTTTTCTTTCTTGCTATCCTTTTCCTTTTCTTTTTGTTCAGATGATGATGATTCTACTTCGATATCATCATCTATCTCATTGATTGAATTTGTCTTTCCTACAGATTCGCTATCACTGTCACTGTCAGAATCATCTTTGTCATTGTTATCATCAGATGACTTGTTGTTGTTGTTCTCCAACAATGTATTACCAACGAATCCACCCAACAATGAAAGATAGTTATTTGTTGCATCTACCAATTCTTTTAAATCAACTATAGAGTATTATAAACAAAAGAAAAATTATTATTAGATATTTATTTTTGAATTGAAAATGATTTGTATAAATATTACCTTTATCTAAATCTTTTGCATTTTGTGAAAAGTATTGATTGTTGTAATTATCAGAGGCATCAGACAATTCTTTTGCCAATTGGAAAATATGTGGATTTGAAGCATCACTCGAGAGTTCTGCAAGTTTCACCTTGTAGTTTGGTGCCGAACGCTGTTTCAATCTATGAATGAAAAGACATTGTTGATCAAATACTGGTTGCATATTTTATTGTTTATTGTTGTTGTTATGATTCGACCTATCTATCCTAACTTTATATATCTATTAACTATAATTATATATAAATATCAACAAACTGTAATCTATCTAAAAGCGAACAAAATAAAAATAAAAATAAAAATAATAGAAATAAAAGAAAAAATGTACAATTATATTATTTTTAAAAGAACAATAAAAAAAAGAATTAATAATTAATGTGTGTGGTGTGTAAAAAAAAACAATAGTAATAATAAAAAATAATAAACAAAATGTATTCTTAAGTTTGTGGGAGTTGAGTTGTTTTGGAAACAATTTTTTTTTTTTTTTTTTTCGAAATTTTACAAATTTTTAACACTATGAATAAAACTACAGATATTTTTATTTCTATTGTTTTTTTTACAAATAAATATTAATTGTTATAACTTGGTATGACAAGATATAGTTGTTGATCAACAACCAATCAAAAAATATATCTTATACTAAATTTTTATAAAAAAAAAAGTATTTATTACTTTTTTTATAATTTTTGATTTTTTAAAAATTTTAATTTTTTTTTTTGGGTTGCATTTGATCACTTTAAACATTATTATTGATCATTCAATTTCTTTATTATTAATAAATTATAAATATGGGTGGACAACCAAGGTAATATATAGGATCAGCTCCTAATTAGTTTAGAAATATCTATAATAAGCAGGTCATTAATAATTTACTTTTTTTTTTAATTATCTTTTATAAACCAATGGTATTACTTTGATTTACTTTGATTTACTATGGCCTTTTGTTTCAAAATATGACTCCAACTTTCATTAAATTATCATGTAATTAACGATGTTGTTCATAGATATCCTTATCCAACAGTATGTATATTCAATTAAGATTAATAAAATTTACAAATTTACTGATAATATCGTATTGTTAACAGACTGTATGGACACCAACAGGTAATTATTTAGTTAAATTATTAATAGATATCATCAAGATTGATGGATGAATAGCAACAGTTATACTAATTTTAGGAATACAATACAATTCATTTGTTAAATTATCAAATCAATAATGATGATACAAATTACAATATTATTTTATTATCTCTCATATACATCTGATCACAGGTGGTTGGTGGTGTGAATACCCAATCAACTATCGTCAAAATAGAACCAAGATGGTTGTTGGTCTCGCTGGTCTTTTCACTGCTTTATACTTTACATCTAAAGCTTTTGAGGTAACTATAGTTCAAAACTCTACTCAACTCTTTGACTACTTTTTATTTACAAATCAAATCAAACTAAAACAATAAACAGAGAAGATTCCCACATTATCCTCCACCACAAGTAGAAGACAATCATCACAAACATCATTAGCAGCAATAGACCCACTTTTTAAGAATAGTCATATAAATAAACAAATAAATTATATTGTAGTAACAAAAGAAACAACAACGACTCCAACTGATGATCATCAACAACAATAAGAGAAAAGAGAGTACCGAATTAGTATCACTAATTCAATTGATGATGTCATTTTTGATAAAAATTTAACTTGATTTGCAATATCAATATCAATGTGCTCGTAATCTTATTAATCAAAGTGTTAGTAGTAGGGTCTTTGTTTATGACCAAAGCATTACAAAATTTGTCGTTTTTTTTTTTTCTTGATTTTTTATTTTTTCATTGTACAAGAATCAGTTAAATAGTTGTTGTCTGAATGGTGAATGAATGAATATAGATAGTTTCTACAGTTAGATAATAATGAAGAGAGCAACAACAACATTATTTAATGTAGTACCATCATCTACATCTAGATTGTTTACATCAAATCAATCATTCAATTTTATAAATCATGGAGTGTTATCATCATCATCATCTAGAACATCCATCAGATCATATAGTATGATAAACAACAATAACAATAATAGCAACAATAATAACACTCAGAGTATAACTATAGATTTAAATATAAATAGATCTTCGAGTAGATCAGTTAATAGACTATTGAATAGTAAGAGTTGTAAATCTAGTTCACTGGTTATTCCATGTCGTTTCAATACAACCTCTACACCATCGGCACCCAAAGATCAATCGATCGATGACAACGATAGCAATGCTAATAGTTTACCTATTCACACTGAATCATGGGTTGACAAAGCACCGGCACGTTTACAGCCATATTTAAGATTGTCGAGACTGGATAAACCGATCGGTACTCTACTGCTGTTGTATCCATGTCTTTGGAGTACTGCAATCGCTGCTACACCCGGCCAGCTACCCAACTTTACACTGATGATGATGTTTGGTGCCGGTGCATTCCTCATGAGATCGGCGGGTTGCGTCATCAACGACATGGTAGACTACAAATTCGATCGAAAGGTAGACCGAACCAAACTACGTCCTATAGCATCAAACCAAGTCACACACAAAGAAGCACTGGCATTGCTAGCCGGACAACTTGCAATATCATTTGGTTTACTTTTAAATTTTAATGTATATACGTAAGTTTATTAACCATTCTATTCTATCAAATTTATTATCAACAAACAAAATCGACACTAACAACTACGGCAATAATAATGGCATTGTTTTTTGAAAAACAGTATTTTATTATCATTGGCATCAGTTCCAATTGTTATTATTTATCCATTCATGAAAAGATATACTTATTATCCACAATTTGTTTTGGGATGTGCATTTAATTGGGGTGCTCTGGTTGGTTATTCCGCTGTGCAAGGCTATTGCGATTGGAAGATTTGCCTGCCGTTGTATGTGGCCGGTATCTCTTGGACGATGGTCTACGATACGATCTATGCGCATATGGACAAGAAAGACGATCTGTCCATCGGTGTAAAGTCAACGGCTTTGGCATTTGGTGAGAAGAGTCGTTTGATACTGACTGGTTTCTCGGTGGCGACTATTGCCGCGCTCAACTTGGCCGGTTTGGCAGCGGGATTGCCAACAGTCTACTTCGTTGGAACCACCATCGGTGCTGCCCACCTCGCTTGGCAAATTGGAAGTGTCGACTTTTCCAGTCCGAAATCCTGTATGAAATTCTTTATCTCCAACCGAACATTTGCACTGATCATTCTGGTCACCATCATCTTGGCGCGACTTATCGAGGACGACGAATACACCACCGCAGAATACGAATTCGAACTCGGTCCCATTAAACTTAAATATAGTAATACATTCATACCTGCTATTAAAGGTAATGATAAGTAAAAATATATATTTAAAAAAAGTAATAATAATAATATTGTAAACAACATTTGAGTATTATTTTTTTATATAATTGGATAAAACTTGAATAAGTGACAATGTCAGACCGTGACATTGAAATTTATTATTCAGCTTTTATTTTTATTTGATTTAAAATTGTTGTCTATCTACTATCTTCTGTTTCTTTATTCTTTTTTACTTTTCTTGTTGGTTTAGATTGGTTTGATTTGGTTTGGTTTTATCTGATTTAATTTGTTGATCTGACCTTGTTTGGCTTGATTTCATTTGATTTGATTTGTTGATCTGATTTGATTTGGTTTTATTTGATTTGTTGATCTGATTTGGTTGGTTTGTTTGGTTTGGTTTCATATGATTTGGTTTTGATTGGTTGTATTTGATATGGTTGAACTGTACTGTTTTCAATTTATTTCTATATTTTGATTTGTTTATTTATAATCTTCAATCATCATCATGCATTGGAGGTGATTTCTTTCTCTATTTTTAATGTAAATGAAAAAAAAGATTGTTAATAAAACATAGGTACTAATATATATAAAGAATTGAGAATGTTCAAATTTGTTATTACCTCTTCCATTGACTTTAAATATTCCGAATGATTTGGACCTTTCTCAACAGTGACAATTAATTCTACACTTGAATTCATACCTGTCTGTATTTCTATAATATTATTATGAATGATTTACAATAGTTAATTAATTATAATTTCGAATAGATATAATATATAATGACTTTTATAAGTTTGGTGTAATATTCATACTTTTTACTGTAATGACATTATTTGATTTTAAATATTCAACTGTTAAACAAACTTTTGAAATTGCTATAATGAATTGAAAATGAATTCAATGTTAGGTTAGTTATATTTTTCTCTTTATTATTATTGATGATTGATTGAATTTGAACTAACTAACCTCTTCCTAAACCAGATATATCTACATAATCTTCTGTCTCTAAAAATCTTGTAGCTAAATCGGAATAATAAAAAGATGATTTCACTTTATCTTTGGATATTTTAATTTTTCTCTTATCATGTCCATTGTTTATGGCCATTGTTGAAGGTGATTCATCTTTTATAAATTAAAATAATAAAAAAATTAGTGATTGAAATTCAATATTTATAAATAAATTCGAATGTTGTTGTTGTTATCGTTGTTGTTGTAGTTGTTTTTGTAAAAGATTTACCTGACATTTCAATGTGGATATCGGTTTCAAAATAATTTAATTGATTGATTGATTGATTGATTGATTGATTGATTGATTGATTGATTAATTGATTTGAGTAAATTAAAAAAAAACAACTACTAAATATAATAAAAAAAGATAAAGCCTTATTTTACCAAGTAACAAAACAAAAATCTGAAAATTATTTAAATTATATTAATTAAATATTATATATTCAAATACTAGTTATTATTATTTTTTCTATTTCTTTTTTTTTTTTTTGTTTTCCTCTCAATCTATGGTATGTGGTATGGTCTATCTACAATATTTTATGTATTATTCTATAATCTTGTTGTTTTTTATGATATATATGTTTGTGTGTGTGTGTGTGTTGTGTGTTTGTTTGTCGTGTGTGGTTTTAGTGTTGATTTTTTGTGTAGTTGTGAAGTTATTCTTTTTTTATTTATTTATTTATTTTAATTAAAAAAAAAGTATAATGATGTATATATTAAGTAAGTGTATAAATAGGTATTTTATATGTATCAAGTTTATGATTTTTGTTATTTTATTTTATTTTGTTGTCTGTTTTCGAATTTAATTATTAATTTGTTTGATGATGTTGATGTTTTTTTTTTTTTTTTTGGGTTTTTGCCATAACTGAATCAATTAATTAATGAATTAAAAAAATAATTAAATTTAATTAAATTCTAAATATATAAAAATTCAATTTGAACAAAATGAATATTTAGTTCTCTTTGTGTTGTTAAAATTAACTTTTACGCTAGAGATTTTTATCAAAAATTGTTTTAGCAGAACAATGTAACCCCCACATATGCTCACAACTATGAAATTGATTGAAAAATTTGATTTTCAAAATCCAAAAACAGTTTGGCCAATGGGCAGGAACATAAAAAAGAACTTCACAGTGCTTCTCATTATATTGTAATTGACCAATCAAAATAATAATTATTCTTAGAAAAAAAAAAAATAGTATGATCTTCATATTCATTCAAAGAATATAATATATTTCTCAAAAGAAAAGTGAATCTTAATTATATATCCGAAATATCCTTTTCATATACATCAGTGATTGTTTTCATAATGTGACTTGATTGTTATTACATCCATTTACAATATTCCAACCTTGCATTCTCAATTGTATATTCAAGTAGTTCATCTTTATTCTTGAACTTTGCAATCCCTAATACACCCACCGTAATCGCAAAATCATTCCAACTTTGAAAAACTCCCACGCATCTCAATATTGAAGAAACACCCAAGTATATCAGACAAAGGCAACAATCTGCAAGTCAAAATATAATATAATTATAATTATTTTCGAATCGTTTATATGTTCACCAATAATGAGTAATTGCAATGACAAAAATAATAAATCAAGTTTTTCTAAATTTTTATTATTTTTTTGAATTTTTTTTTTTTTTTTTTTTTTTTTTTGGTTAAGGAAAATGAAACCTTCAGAGATTTAAAAAAAAATCTTAATATTTAAAATAATAGTTTTTTTAAAAACTTAATGAAATGAGTTCCTAATAGGTAATAATATATATATATTTTTTAAAAAAGAATTCTTTGTCCTTACAAAAAAGGTTCCCAAGGTTATTTTTGCTGAGACTAGTATGAAAAAAAAAAAAAAAAAAAAAATCAAAAAAATAATAAAAATTTATGAGTGATTATTTTTTGCTCATTCATTTTTTGAGTGATTAAAACCATCGACCTTTTTTATTTTTTCAACACAACAATATTTAAAGATATAATAGTAAAATGATTCACGGAAACATTAACGATTGGAGAAACTCACCAATCTTCAAACCAAAGTTCAACAATATCTTACCTGGTTTCAAGCCCGCCGTCGGTTTGTTTGCCGTTTACTGTGTTGCAGAGTTCATTTTCGATTCTGTTAAACCAAAGGAAACTCACTAAAATAGATATAAACAAATAAACAAATAAGCAAATAATAATAATAATAGTAATAGAACAACCCAATCACAATCATTGTAAAATCTTTAGCAATCACAATCAAACAACAATTTAAATCAATCGAATTAAAAATGGTTTATTGTTGAAACAAATATACAACAACAACAACATCATCATCTCAAAGCCTTTTAGCTTTATATACCTTATACCTTTGTAAGTATTGAAAATACGTATAAATACATAATCATTTTACTCATTTATTAACATAATCAATTCAATTGATCATTTAAGTAGATTAAAATACATTAATAAATGTCATATATTTATCAAACATAGATATTAAACAATTACTATCATTATATTTGAATAGCAATACTCTTTATTATTTGTGTTTACTAATGTTTTGAAATTAATAATATTATATTATAATTTCATATAATAATATATTTTTGAAGTGAATGTAGTATTGTATTAAAGTTATTAAGGAAGAAGGAATATTAGTTTACAACAACAGCGTTATAGTATAGGAAATGTAAAAATAAGGATGATGAAGAAGAAGAAAATTATTATATTATTATTATTATTATTATTATATTTATATTATTGGAATAAATCATCGGTAAATAGAAAAGTAGGTTGGATATCTTCGTCAGCAAGGAAATCGAGTGGATGATAAATGAGATTACCTCTGACCTCTGAGAGTAATCGGCAGTCTGCGTTGGATACCGGTTTCTTTAGATTCTGATTGAACTCTTCGATTGTTCTAATGGAGTTCTTTGCGATCGCTGGGAACACTGTGTCGTAGATACGAGTGTTTGACGCTGCAGTAGCAATCCAGACACCTAGGTAGAATGTACTGTCGACAGGGTCGGTAAGATCGATACCGCCAATGATACTCTCCTCTATTCCCTCACTGTGAAGACTGCTAACCGATATTGGTTTCAGTTTCGGTGAATCTATTTCTGAAACAACAAATACTTTACTTGAATCACCGCTGTTTATGTTGTTATTGTTGATAGTTGTTGTAGTTGTTGTAGTAGAAGTAGTGTTGTTACTGGATGTAGATAGTGTACTAGTTGTAGTCGGAGTGTTATTTGTAGTTGTTGTAGTATTATTAGTATTTACAATGTTGTTGTTGTTGTTGTTGTTGTTGTTTGATTTGATGTTTGTTGTTGACATATCGAGTGGAGTGTTGTAATCTTCTATTATGAGATGCTCCGGTGTGAGAATGTTGTTGTTCGATGGTGTTGTGGTTGTGGCTGTTGTCGTGTTGGAAGTTGGTGGTAGGCTGGAGGTTGACACCGAGATATTATCGACGGAAATCGACTTTGTGATAGAGTTTATGTCAACAGTAGTACTGGTTGTAATAGTACTGCTACTGCCACGTGGAGAATCTTGAGGAGAGTCGTTGGGTGTTGTTGGTCCTGAAAGTTTTTGTTGGGCAATCGATGTCGATGAAGTCGACGAGGTCAGTGACGATGCGAATGACTTGGTGCCTTGGTACGAAGATGATCTGTGATGTGATTGCTTCGGTATTCTATATTGTGATGATATAGTGAGTGGTGGTTGTCTATTAATATCATTCATAAAGTTGTTTGTTGAGCTATTGTTGCTGTTGCTAGTATTGTTGTTAGATGTATTATTGCTGTTGTTGTTGCCGCTGTTGATTCCATTTCCAGAGAATGAAAGTGATGCCGATAAACTATTGCTATTCTGTACTAATGGAGGATGGTCAATGTCTGGAAGCAGTCCAATATGTTCTTTCCACAGACGCAAACGAAGATTGTAAGCGAATCGCGATGCCCAATACTCTTTGCCGTTCATTCGCGTCTTGATACGGTCGTTCTCATCGCGCACAATGAATGCAAGCTCAGAGTCACGCTCACCAATGAACGACCGATCGTTGATGTTTGCTGAGCCAACGATTACAACGCGATCGTCGATAATCATCAGCTTGGAGTGCACGTAGATCTGCTCGGAAACGTAGACACCCTCGAGACAGGCGTGTGTTCTCAGCGAGTAGAATCCAATGTACTCTGAGAGATCTTCGTTGGGGAACTCACGCTTCAGTTGTCGTACCATTGAATTCTCTGTGCGATTCAACGTCAGGAATTGCCAGTGCATCAGTCCACGAATGTGTGTTTCCTCTTGGAAGCGACCGTCTTGCTGTGCCGGCAACAGTATGACCACACGGAAAACCTCACGCTTTCGAATGGCACGACGAATTCTCTTGACAATCTCAGCGGAGATCTGGTTCCATACGCCTGGCGCATGAGTCGATACAAAGTTTTGATTCTCAATGTAGATGTAGTGGTCGGCGTCTTCGATCGCCTGGATGTAGGCGGTGTGGATCGACCGCTCGTTTCGTCCACCTCCACTCCACTCGTCCATCGAACGCAACAGTTGGCATTGACTGGTTCCAATCGGTGTCATCGGTGTCGTATTAAAGTAGAGCTGTGGATAGTAGTCGTCTTTATGATGATTCCAACGCAATATGAAATTGAGTGCAACGTCACGCGCTGCCAACCCATTGACACCAATCATGACGTCGTGCCACGGCATTCTTGGAACTTTCTTCCTGTCGATCGAGTCGTCGTGTGGAGACAGAATATCACCCATATCACCAAGCACCGGATTGTAATAATCTTTTCCAGGCCACAGTGTGGCATGAACATCAATCAAATTGTGACTCCAAGTATCGTATCTTCCAAAACAAAAATCTACACCACCTACAAATGCAATTTCCTGATCCACTATTAATGTTTTCTGATGATGTGACCAATAGATTGGCTAATATAACATAATATTATGTTATTAAAAATTGGTTAGTTTCATTAAGATTACATTATGTTTTCGTTTTCGTTTTTGTATTTTTAAAACATACTGTAAATGGTGGATGCTTTATAACTTTGATGTTATGATGTAATTCTTCTAGTTTCTCTTTACATCGCTTGCTACCCTTGAACGTTGCAATCTTTGTTTCATCCCAGAGAATGATGAATATCTTTACACCCTGTTTGGCTTTACGACAGAGCAGGTTGTCCATACGGTATTTGGGATCGAGCGAAGGATAACGAATGAGGAATACCTCTGGCGAAAGGAACCATGCAGTGATAAATACTTCACGTGTTGCATTCTCAATTGCTAGTGCACTCGCTGCAAAGTAATCGTCGCAATCCACGTAGATCTTCACGTTGATATTGTCACGCTGTGGGAATCTTGGTTGATTCGGGTCGGGATTGTCAATGGGTGTTCCGGTGGGAATGATGGAGTTGGGCAATGCGTGATGTGCAACACCCAGTGATGAATCGTGATTCAACTGACTGTATTGATTGTAGCTATAGTTATCGGGTGGACTAAGAGATACCTGTTGTCCATGATGATGATTATGATGATGATGACTGTGATGATGACCACCACCGCCAATGTGATGATGATGATGATGATAGTGATTAGCTTGATTCAATGAGTTTGACGATGTTGGACTGATTAGAGAACCCAAGAAATTGGTTATTCCATCCATGGTGGTCGATGACGACGATGTCGATTCGAGGTCGCTCAGCGACTTGGTCGAGAGAACCTCGTCGAGTGAGCGCAGTTCCTGTTCGAGTGATGTCTTTCGCTTGGTTAGCTCCATGCGAATCTTTATGTAACTGATGGGATCATCTTCGGCTTGTGTGGCCAGGTTGAACCGCACCGACTTGAGATGTTCGATCAGTAGTAGTCGACGCTCATCGAGTTCCTTCAGTGTCTTCTGACTGTGCTGATAGAACGCTGGAAATTGATTCTGACTGCTGGTGGGTGAGATTGATTTCGGTGATTTCGGTGACTTTGAACTGGTGGAACTCGATTCAATCTCACGAGATAACAGTTGTTTTTTCAAGTCACTTGAACTTGTCGATTGATTCGATGGTATATTCTTTATTGAAACTGGTTGTTGTTGTTGATTCTGTTGTTGTTGTTGAGTTGTAGGTTGTTGTTGTTGAGCAGGTTGTGATAAATTTTGAAAAGAAGTCGAAAGAGAATCAAAGAAATTTGTTATTTGTTGAAATATCTCTGGTTGCTGTTGCTGTTGTTGTGGTTGTTGCTGAGATGCATTATTAGATTCAGACATATTTTAAAATAAATATAAAACCAAAACTAATTAATGTATCGATATATAAATATAAATATTAAAAAATAACAAAACTAAAGAACAATAAATATCATAACAATGATAATGATGGTGTCTACAATAATAATAATAATAAATAAAGAGAATATGAATGAATAGTTAGCTATTCAATGACTGTTAGCAATAAACTAATTAAAAAAATATATAAAAATATCCAAAAATTTAAAAAACAAAAAAAACACAAAACAACACTTTTCTTTAATTAACAGTTTTCAAAGTTATAAAAAAAACTAATTTTTATTCAATTTTTTTTAAAAAAATCACTGGTGGTATTGTATTTTCGCCACATTCGGAACAATAAACTTTCAGGTCTGAGAAAAAAAAATAGCAAAAAAAAAAAAAAGATTTAACCAAAAAAAAAAAAAAGTAATCAAGTTGTTTCCCAGGTGTCGATTACTTCATAATTATTTTTATTTTGAACATGTTATCTTTACTAATGTTTTTTTCATAGATAATGAAATAGAGAATTCTAAAAAGAAATAGAAACAAATCAACAAAATAAATAGGATGAAATAACAAACCTAAATCAAACAGAATGATGAATTTTAAAATAAATAAATAAAATAAAATAAAAAATTAATTAAGTAGAACTGTGAAGAAGTAAAAGAAAGGAATGTAGATCTGATGTATTGTATTGGAATAAATGAGACATAAATGACGATCACAATTTAGTTCGTACCTCTTCAATTCAATCTTCATCCAAATCATAAGTCCTCAAATTCTGACCACCAATTTTAAAAAATTTAATCATGCAAAGCAAAAATAAATTCGCAAATGGTGGTGAGCTATAACCTGCTGTTGTTTCGTTTTTTGTTTTCCCAACAATCATTACAAACAACAAGCTTTGTTTATTTATATATATCGAATATATATATATATATTATACAACCAGCTAAACATTACACTACTACTGTTTAATAATTATTATTTTAACTTTTTCTATTTTATTTATTTATTCTGAATGGTACCATTTTATATAAATATATATATCTAGCTAGTTAATATTATTAAATATTTAGGTAAATGAATGAATGAATGAATGAATGATTTTCGAAAATCTTTAAATTTATATTTATACTAATTAGTATTAATGATAATGCTGCAGGTTTTATTTGTTATTGTATCATTATAATTGTTAAACATTCGAATGTTTAACTTTAAAGTTCTCTCTTTTCGAGCTAATATTAGTAGTGAAGAAGTAAAAGTTGAATAGCTGTTTAGACAGACATAGATTGATAATCTATGATGAAAAGAAAAGAAAAGATGAAACTAAAGAATCATTTCGTTGAAAGTTCAAAGAAAAAGTTGTTGGGACTGAAATCAAAGGTGGCCACTAGGGAAGCGGTTGTGGTTACAGCATCGGCTGCATTGATGTTTGCCAATAGTTCGTTGGGATTCGACGCCAATTCACTGTTGCTGATACCGGTGTTCTGTATTATTGTTACCTGTACGATCTCTGTGTGGAACGCCATTCTCAATGGTGCCACTATCATCTATGCAACGCTGATCAGTTCACTCTACAACTACCTGGTGTTTCTTATTGTGCCTGCCGATCACTTTTGGATCAGCTTTATCATATTGTTCTTCCTGACGTTCGTCGTTGCCGCTACGGCGATTGGCCGTCGTTGGTTCAACCAGCTCACCGTCAAGAAGATACTGCTCGACGTCATCGTTCTACTGTATTTCTCACCGCGACCATACAAGAACATGCAGATCTGGCACAACTTGGTCGTGGCGATAATGATCGGTGGCAGTATCGTTGTGGTCGGACTGATTGTTCATCCGTACTTGGCGACAAGGCTATTCTCGAGGAAGATCATCAAGACGCTCAATAGCACGCGTATCTACTTTCGTGGAGTCGGCTACCAGATGGAAGCGAGCGCAATCAGTCACAATGAAACAACGCTTCGCGAGAACAGTTCGTTTTGTTTCCCTATTTTCCCTGAGCAATTCGACAGTGACAACGACAATATTTTAGAACAAGAAATAGAATTAGAATCATCAATGGAGGATGGAGATATTAATTTATCTCCACTACCTAAAAGAGCTAACGATAATAATAATAATCAAAGTGATAGGATAACGATTGATAATGAACATGCGCCATCACCTTTGAATCAAACTATCAACATTATTCCACCACCACCACAAAACATGGTAATTGATATACCTACAACAAACGATATTATAATAGATAAAAATATACAACAATCACCTTTAAATCAAACAAGCAATAATATTCCACCACCTCCAACATCACCACTGTCACCTCCAACAACATTATTAATGGAGACGCCAATAACCATACCAACAAACAACAATGAAAATTCAAATATTGAATTGGATCCAATTGGTGAAATGAAAGCAGTAGAGATTAGTATTGCAGAAGAACAAAGACAATCAATTAGTAAAGATAAGAGAAAGAGTTTCAAACGTATAATGAATGTGTTTGGTTTGGTTTCAAGAGAAAAGTTGGAGACTATGGACGATGGTACTATTCTTAAGAAGAGTTTACCTCTGAGTAGATCCACTGCACTGGAGAAGGACCTGTTCACAAAGAAGATGGGAAAGAAACAGATATTGGCAACTGCTATTCCTTTGCCCAGTGAGAAGGAGATCAAACACTGGGAGAATAAACTGACCGATCAAATCAATCGGTTGACTACTCTGCTTGCAGAGTGTCGACAGGAGCGATGGAATGCTCCACTGATCTCGTCATACGAGAAACTTTTATCGCTCCTTGAGATGAACCAAAAGCAGTTGATCTCCATCAAGTTGTCGGTGAATCACGGATTCAGTGTAATGGCGCGTCAAGAGGTGATCTTTCCGGTGTTGCCATTCTTGGATTCCATTATCGAAGAGGTATTCCTTCAGATTGGTCTTATCATTCATATTCTGGTGCATCGTATCAAGAAGGAGAACAATGCGAATCAGGCCGACCAGCTCTACACAACGATATTGCAGCAGTCATTTGAAGAGACCGAAGCATTGGTCGAAGAATGTCGTAATACCTACAAGAAGATCGTCAAAGAATATCAACGAACCAATCTGCCTGCATTGCGAGCAACCGAGATTACCAAAGTTCACTTTTTCATCTTTGGTATTTCGTTGTTTGCACTGAACCAACGACAGATTGCCGACAACATCTATGACATCAACGCGGAATCACACAACTACCACCCATCACTTGAAATCATTCGTTATGGTTTCCCGATTATCCTGTTGGCGCTGCCCAACTACTGTATAAAGCGAGCAAAGCTATTGGTTTCCAATGTAAAGACATTGCAATCAACTGAACCAAAGCTGCGTGTATCCACTCTGATCTCTTGGATTCTTAACTACTTTTACGGTCTGTGGTTTATCAACAAAAAATGGAAGTTCCCACTGCAGCTAGCGGTTGCTCTCACCTCTGCGGTTGCACCGTTCTACTATTACGAGGGTAGAAGTTATCATGAACTGGTGATACATGGTATTTGGGTGTGTGCCACCGTTATCCTGGTGATGTCTCCGACGCTGGGTGCGACAATCACTCGTGGATTCCATCGTATCGTGGGAACAATTATCGGTGCCATTCTCGGATTCTTTATATCGTGGCTTGTACATGTCGTACCTCAGCCAGCGAAGCAGTTTATTCTCATAATAACAACGTTTGTTTTTGTATTTATCGCATCGTTTGTTCAGCAAGACGTTCGTTTCTCATATGCCGGTGCAGTGGCGGCACTCACTTTTATGATTATTTCATTCGGGAGTTACTTGGCTCCCACTTTTACATACACGATGGCGGTGGAGCGTGCATTCAATATTTCACTTGGTATCGTCTGGGTTTTGATTATCTCAGTGGTACTGTTCCCCTATTTTACATATAAAAACTCGCGTCTCAAGTTCTTCGATGCCACTTCCACGATGGCCAATACGTTCATCAAGATCGTCGAGTTGGGATTACCAACCAATAGCGACCAATTAGCGAATCGTGCGAAAATCAAGGGTGAAATCACCGGTTCTCTCCGTCAGATAAGAGTTATCATGGCAACACAAAAGAGTCTGTTGTTTGACATTCGATCGGAGCTGGCGTTGCAGCCAAAGAAATCGTCTTCACATTACTTCAAGCTGATTGGCGATCTCTCGAAACTCTATACGCGACTGGTTGCCTTTGACAATGCATTCGATTATCAATTCAGCGAGGCGATGGTCGAAGCGATGGCACCGATTCAGCAATCGATACACGATCTAAACGAAACTCTGATTCTCTCGATTGATGATTTGCGTGCTTTGATGCACGACCAAGAGCGCACCCTCGAGCGTGGAACCTCAAGGTCACTGACAGACTGTCTAACGGAACTTGACAATTCTTTCCAGGCAGTCAGACGAGATCTCCTTCAGAAGAAGACTCTTTTTAACTTGCATCCAGAGATGATTCAATTTGGTTCTGGAATGTATTCACTCAGAGATTTCATTAAGCATTTCATTGTTGTACTTAAAGATTTCGAGATGATCAAAAGAGATCAATTCCAACAACAACATGGTAGCATCAAAAAACCATTTATAAATAGACTTTGTGATTGTTAATATATATATAATAAATAAACAATCAATAATATAAAAGAAATCATAGATTTTAAAATACTAGTTTTTTGATATAAATGAATACAAATTTATTATTTTATTTTTTTTTATTTTATAGAACTGTCACACTAAAAATTTTTTAAAGATTATTATTAATATGGATTAATTATTTGTTAGTTTATAAAAATTTTGAAAACTTACTCAAAGTTGCTGCTATCAGTTTTAAAGTTTCTCTGCTTTTTAAGCCAAACTAGATTAAAAAGAGACAAAAAGGATTATATTAACTCTAATACTCTAAAACTAATTTAACACTTATAAATATTAATAAATATTGTTTAATTAATAAAATTAATTTAATTTAATTTATACAAACTTGATTTCAATATATCATAAGCTTTCTCATTGATGTCAATAATTTGTATGTGATTGAGGAGTAAAATTCTTGGTTTTTATTCAATTTTAGAATGACAGTTCTTGCAATTATTTTAGATTATCTTTACTCAAAATCTTGTTATTTATTTAATAAATGTGTTTAATAATAGTTTATAGTAGTGATTTTAATGCTCAACAACACCCAACTCATCATTACAAAGGAATGGGAGGTTGAGAAGAAAAAATTGGTTTAAAATGAAAAAATAAGTTAAAATTCAACAACATAGGTGTTCTAAAATACTTGAATCAATTCTTTATCCAATGAAAAAAAGTAGATATAGTTATTACTTTAAAGATAATAAATAATATAGATTTTAATAATAATGAAAAAATAGAGATCCATCATTCTGAATCTATTGAAGTGGCAGGAAAAGATAGCACTAAACATGCGATTTGATAAAGCTCTGTATATTGTCCATATTTGTAGTTTTGATACCAAAAGTATATGTGATCACACGTGACCGATTTATCTTGTTCCACATTGCATTTGTACAAGGCCTCTACTTGTGAGACGATAGATTTGTGTGGTGAAATGTTGAAATAGCGTTGATAGAGCCTGCTGATGTGTTGAACGAAGAAATCGACACCCAAATAGATGAATATATTGTTGCAGAGTCGTCGGTGGTTTAAATTGAAGAACGATGCCAGCAGTGGGTACGGACTGAATTCTAGTGAATTCTGGTTGAGATACTGGTTGATATAAATACTCTCAATGTCTTCGATGATTTTTGAGATGGTGGAGCTATCAGCACTGGATGGAACTGTCGTTGATTTATGCACTAACAATTGTTTTCTAATGAGGAGATACGACGGCAGGATATCGGAAATATTAGAGTTTGGACTCTGGAGTTTGAGTGTTTCATTTCTGAATGGTTGAAGAATATCTATGATATTTTTGATAGCTTTACTCTCGTCATCGGAAATACTCAGTTCACTCAGATCCAACTCTTGTTGTTCGAAATCGGTGTTTATATACAAGGCAGCCGTGTTGTTGATATCCTCAGAGATCTCTATTGTATTCTCGAGCAACTTTAAAATCGACAACCAACGAGATGCTGATTTTAACCTTGGTTTGTACTCGTTCTTCTCATAGATGGATAGGTAACAGTTTTTGAAGGACTGAATTCTTCTTTGACAACGCTCCACAATCTGCTCGTTGTCTGGCTCCTGCAAGAAGCTCTCTACCACCAACTGGAGTGATTGTACAATACAATCCTGAGAGGATAGCAACCTGTTAAAACCACCTTGTTTCTTCAACAGGTCTAGCTCGGTTGATGAGATGATGTCGGAAACTGTGTAGAACATCTTTTCTTTAAAGCCATAGGCATTCACTTCTTGCACCAAAAAATCGAGTATTTCCTTCGGAGCATTAGGGTTGTTGCTATCGAAAGGAATGCAGGAAAGAGTGAATCGATTAATCTCTGGGGGTCCACTCTCGTTGAAACAAAGAGAGTTACCAGAGATTTCCAGGTAGCTCTCATTTCTTGCATTCGACCAAATGAAACAGCTGGTGGATACGGCATTAGATTTCATCAATCTGTTGCTCAGGATTGGATCACCAAACTCCAGAAAACAATTGTCAATAGTCATGAATGGCTCGGTCTTTTCACGCTTATTTGGAAACTCAAACTCTTCAAAGTCATCGGATTGTTCTTCTATAAAATTTGGTCCAGATTGTTGATCCTCCTCTTTGTCATTATTATTGTTGTTGTTGTTGTTGGTGATTGTTGTTGTTGTTGTTGTTGTTGTGATTGTATTGCCATTGGGCCATACGAGACACCGATATATATGCTTATTTAAATTACTTTTGTTTGACCCATTCAACATGCTTTTGCAGTTTTTACATTGATATTGCTTCTGCTTCTCGTTGTAAATGTCGTAGTGCTGAAGAATAATATCAGTGGTTGGAGCTGGTCTCTTGTTGTTTTTTATTTTCTTTGGTGGTGATAAAGGTGGTGGTGGTGGTGGTGAAGATTGAGTCTCAAAATGATTACTATGATTGTTGTTCTCCAAAGATACAAGACCATCATCATCATTATTATTATTATTATTATTCTTTGGAAATGAATTAACATTGGAATTTACAAATATATATTGTTTTAATTGTTTTATTTTTTCATCTCTACTTTTATGACTATTATAGTAATTACTTTCATTATAATTACTATATTGATATTCTTTAAAATTATTATTATTGTTATTATTATTTACAAAACTATTATTATTATGATTATTGTTATGATTATGATTATTATTGTTGATATTGATTTCTATTTTATTTATATAAGTTGGAGTAGTATCTAGTATTTCATTATTATTATTATTATTGATTTCGTGATTGTTTTGAGATTGTGTAAGATAATCTATTAACTTTTGCTTCAAAGCAGGCTTGGAGAGCCTATCGTCAATACCGCACTGGATCGCATATTTCCTAAGTGCATCTATCTTTAATGATTTGATAAGTGATTCTGTAAGTGGTTCAATTTTAAGATACTAATGCACATACAGATATAAACAATAACTGTATCAGAAGATATAAACATAAATAAAATTAAATGAAAGATGATTTCAACATTCAACCATTGAAAAGGGTGGAGGTTACCTTTTTTAAGAAGATATTTTGATGGTTTGTTTTTTTTTGATTTTTTTTTTTCAAAGCAAAAACTTTGATGGGCAATTCTGATCATTCTAAATTTACCAAAATATTATTAAATTCCCTTTGTTTTTTTTATTTTTTTATTTAATTCAGTTGTTGCTTAAAATAAAAATGGAAATTTTAATTAAATCAATTTTTTGTTTATGACCAAAAAAACCTGAGCTTTGATTTTCACTATTTAAAAAGTTAAAAACTTCCCAAACACCGCCACCCTTTGCATCTTGCTTGGGTGCACAGTAATAGTGGCATTCAGTTTAATGTAGCTTTAAATTGTCTTTCTAATAATCATTTGATATTATTTATCTATTAATTAAAGAGTAAAATAATAATTAAACAAATAATATTATTTATTTTTAGGAATGTTACTTTATTTGGATAATTCAATAGAGCAAAGTAGATAAATGTTTTTTTTGAAGTAATTTAAAAAAAATCAATGTTATTTTTTTTTATTAAATTCCTTTTTTTGTTTAGATTTTCATTGCTTTTACAACATCCCAAACACCACCAACACCGTCACCCTTTGCATCTCCTGGCTTAGTATCCGGTGTGTAAAAATATAGTGGCATTCCGTTCCATGTAGCTTGAAGTTGTCCATCTAATCTAATTTGTGATCCTAAATTACCATTTAATTGTTGGTGATTAACTACAGATGGCATTCCCTATATTTTATTTAGAAAGAAAATTAATTAAAGTGATTGAAAAGTTATGAAAATAAGATAGACTTACAAGGAAGGGTGGCCAAAGTGAGCTACATTGTGGGCTGGTACATGTTGATGCTTGGTTTGGTCTGTCGTTTTTAAAGGTGTAGAGTGTCATTCCTCTGGCATCAACAAGAATGCTGGTTGCTTTTCCTCCACTTACAACGTAGTTCCATGGATGACCGTAACCAGTTAACAACGGTGAGTTTGATCGGTCTGGGTAGAAATCAAAGTGGACACCATCCTTGGTGGCGAGACCGTTGATTGACAATAGATTTTGGAAATTGGCAAGTGTTCCGTTCATATGGTATACAGGAATTGGACCATTGTTAACAATGACACAGTTGTACTTGGTGAGTTGCTTTCCGTTTTGAGTGTAGGAAGTACCGTTGTCACAGGTATTGGATAGACTACATGTTTGGGCACCACCGCATGGCAATAGAGTTACTTGAGTATTACCGGTATTGACCATTCTTGTATCGACTTGGACTTGTTTAAGAGCAAAGAATCCATAGACGTTGTTACCGTTGGTCTGTCCTGGGGCAAGATCTCCTTTGTATCTGTAGAGTGGCCATCCATTGTACATAACTTGCAATTGACCATTATCCATTCTTCTGTAACCCATAGTACCAGGGAGAACAACTCCATTAGCACCTTGTGGAATACCCAAGACTGGTGTGAAAAGATCTGAATTGAAGTTACCTCTTGATCCATAATACAATGTCATACCACTATCATCAACCTATTTATGAATTTAATATAGATTCCATTCAGTTAGTATTTTAATTTAATTTTAATATCATAATTTATACAATACATACCAAGACTATACCGAGGTTGGTACTTCTAAAAGTTAAACCAACTTCATGGAATACATATGATGTGTTTTCAAGACCTTCACCTTTGACCTGTCCTGGAATCTTGTCATCAACAAAGTAATACAATGGATAACCTTCATAAGTGGATTGGATTGTACCATCGTTTCTAATACTGTATCCAAGTGTTCCGGCAAGATCTACTCCTTGTGCGACTTCAGGTACACCATAGACAGGTGGCCAAATCTATAAAATAATTTATTTATTAATAAAACATTTAATTAATTAATTAAAAACAATGTTGTTTTTTTATACATACTTGAGCACAAGTGTCATAACAAATAGATGGTTGGAAAGGCTTCTCTTGGGGGAAGTAGTACACGGTACGACGTGAGATGTCAGTAAGGATCTTTCCTAGTGGGGAGTCAGACTGTGTGAAGATTACTCTTGGTGCAGCATACGATTCAAAAAGTTCACCAGAAGATCCTTGAGCTTCACCAGAAGATCCTTGAGCTTCACCAGTGGTCGTTCCAAGAGGCTCACTAGAGGACTGACCACTGACTAGCAATGAGGTTGATAAAATAAATAAAATTCCAAACAAATATAAATATTTGGAAATAATCATGTTTTGTAATATATTTAATAAATAAATAAATAAATAAATAAATAAGAGTAGATAAGATATTAATTAATATACTATATATTGAAAAGTAAATAAATGATTTATATTTATAGCTTAGATTCATTGATTTTCGTAAAATCTGGAAAGTTAAAAAAATAAAAATAAAACTTTTTATCTAAAAAAGGTAAAAAGTAAATTGAGATTTAAAAATAGTAAAATCTGTTAAAAAAAAGTGTGTTTTTTTGTAGAATCACTTAAAAAAGAAACCTAATAAGGTTCATTACATTGAGCACGAGAATTAAATAAAGAAAACTGTAAATATACTTTTTTTTAATTTGGGATTTGTTTCCCAAGGTTGCTTACCCTATTGTTCTCCTTATTTACATCCTAAAAAAATAAATAAAAAAACAATAATCGGTATTTAATTCTCTTCTCACTCCACCATTCTTTCCTCTTTCAGAATATCCTTTCAACCAAAAACTATTGAAATTAACTTAAAAAGTTAAATTATTAAATGACAATTTTGATAATATGAAAAATATATAAAGAATTCTTTTATTTGATTTTTTTTAATTCTATCTTTGTAATTATCATTTTTAAATAATAATTTATTAATAATAGTTAACTTTTTAATATCTTGAAGTCAAAGATTTCATGAAATCTTTTTAAATTATTTAAAAAATATTTTGGCGGCTTTTTTTTAAAAAAAAAAATTTTTAAATTTGAATTGGATAAAAAATGATATGAACAAAGAATAGACAGACTAGTTATTAGATAATATATTATAGTTTTTGTAATGGACATTCAATTGAAAAAGAATATAACAAAAACATTTCAATTGAATGGTTTGATTTTAAAAAAAGATGCTTTCACATATCTCGCTGACTTGAACGAGTCAAAGGAAGATCTACTCGAGATTGTATCCATCATAACAAAGAATATTGATAAATCAACTTGTTAGTATCTGATATACATATATAAACATTATTACCTTACCTACTATAGTTTACTACAGAAAGAAACAATATTGACATTATATTATTATATATATTTTTGATTTTGAAAAGTGACAGGAAATTATGTAGACAAGTTGGCATTAGAAAAATGTATAAAAGATATTAAATCGCAGAATGATATTACATCGATTGAATCGGATGCGTTAAAGGTTATCGATGCATTCAGTGCACCTTTGTTTTCCTTTGACTTGGCAAAGCGACAGTTTCTAAAAGTTGAACAACCAAATCGTTCGTTGCACGGCGACGCCAAGTCAAAAGCGGATCTCTTCCGACGTCGTTACCTATCGGTTCTACAGCGAGTGGAGCGTCATCAATTCTTTTCGAAACCGGTACTCCCAAACGAACAACAGTCACGTGACTACAACTCGATCACGCCACTCAACTCACTTCTTGGAAATCCTGGCAAAAAGTATGTTCTGGGTACAATCTCTCAGATTGAAGAGGGTAGCTATCACATTGAGGATCTCAACAAGAACGTTCCACTCGATATTGAAAATGCCACCTTTAGCGGACTGGTCACTGAGAACACCATCGTACAGGCATACGGTGAGTTGGTCAATGGTGTTTTCGTTGCCGACGAGATTATGTTGCCAATTGTCGAGGAACGCGAGGAATCATTGCGTCACCTCCAAGGAATTGGCGATATGTTTGGTGCGCGTCCCTCTGACAAGCTGGCGGCGCGACTCTTGGAGTACGAGCGTGATCCAGACACCGAAGATAATGCTCTGGTGTTCCTCTCTGACGTCTGGCTGGATTCGCCAATGGTTATGAACAAACTCAACCTTTTGTTCTATGGACACAAAGAACTTCCACCGTTTGCTTTTATATTTATGGGTAACTTTACAGAGAAACCTCTCATTGCCGGAACACAATATAAACTAAAGACCTATTTCGATCAACTGGCATCACTCATTCAAAAATATCCAACCGTTCAATCAAAGAGTAAATTTATTTTTATACCAGGGTAAGAAATAATATTAGTATCAATATGTTTATCAGTAACCTAACATATATTCATCTATATATATTTAGACCAACAGATCCAACAGGTTCATTATTAAATATACTACCAAAATTCCCAATTCCAGATACATTTGTTAGAAACTTTAAAAATAAGATATCAAACGCCATCTTTACAACCAATCCATGTAGGATTCGTTATTGTTCACAAGAAATTGTAATATTTAGAGATGACATTGTAAATAGAATGCGTAGACATTGCATTAAAGAACCTTCAAATCAATTAGATATAACTCAGCATGTAAGTATAGAAAATTTATATCGTATTATAATTGATTAATTAATCAAACTTTATCGATAATTATTATTATATTAGCTTCTTGAAAATATATGTAGCAATTCACATCTTTGCAATCTACCACTAGAAATTAGACCGATCTATTGGAACTTTGATCATGCACTTTCACTTTATCCGCTTCCCAATGTGCTGGTGCTGAGTGACAAATACAACCAGTATCAACACGACTATCAGAATACCAATTGTTTCAATCCAAGTTCATTTTCAACGGATTTCTCGTTCTCCAACTACTATCCAGCCAAGAAAGAATGTTTGTTTTGTCGTGTACCAGACAACATCGAGGAACTTGAAGTGGAGTCTGAAACTATGGACGACCAGGATGTAGACGAACCACAAGTGGCTGAAGACTATAACAATCCACAGAATACCAGTGATATATCTATGGACTCGCAAATCGATGATGAAAACAATCAGAGTCAAGATCAAGATGAACACAGTAGTGGTGGTGAAGAGTTGGAGTCAGGTGATGACCACAACAACGATGACCAAAGCGATAACAGCAATTACAATAATCACAGTGATGAAGAGTTGGAGGATCTTGATGAACAAGAAGAAGTGGTGGTGGATCACCAACAATCACAAAAAATATATCTAGATTCAGAGGTGTCGAAAGAAGCGGATGCCAACAATGAGCAAGAGGTAGACAATTTCAGTTTCGAATTTGATTAATTTTAAACAGGATCAAAAACTATTTTTTCTAATTTTTATTTGATTATTTTTGTTTTGGTTTAAAATCCAATCGACAAAATATCTTGGTTAGTGTGTGCAATCAAATCGAAAAATAAATATTTATATCAAAAAAAATTGCAAAAAAAAAAACTCAAAATCCCATTTAAAATGAAACCTGTTAAGTGACCTGACCATTTTTTGATACTAAACAATACCACACATCTCAAACACCGCAATCCTCAATTCAGTGCCATGAGTTTTTATTTTTTTTTTCTCGTTCTCTGATAAAATCTCAAAACTTTTGTGTGACGATTTTTATTTTTATATTTTTTCTTGTTTTTTGTAAATTTTTGTAATTTTCTTTTTTTCACTCCAATCAGTCAACTTTGCATGGGCGACCCACTTATTATCTGGGTCGTCAAAGTAGGTGATTGTATTGTATTTTAAATTATTGTTTTATATTTCTCATTTTTTTTTTTTTGCAAAAAGAAAAATAACAATAAATAATAATATAGCAATTATTATAATAAAATATATCCGAATATCTCTATTTTTTAGCTTTTCACATCATCAACTTTCTCTTTAAAGAGTATTCTGCAGAGAATAGTAGTTCAACTAACCCTTCCATTGGATTATAATCAACCATCACCACTGTCTGTCACCTACACTGTTTTTTCATTTCTTTCAATTAAAATTTATTTATCAAATATAAATAAAACAAATTTATTTAATAATTTTATTTTTTACCCAACAATTAAAATATCTATCATTACAATTCAATTAAAATTTTTCAACTAAATAGCAATAACAATAATAATAATATATAGTGATAAAGAAAGAAAAAACAAAAAAACAAATAGTTTATTTATTTATTTATTTATTTAAATTCACCAAAGTCACAATCATTTCACACATTTTCATACCAAGTCCATTACACTAAATATAACATTACATTGGTCACAAAACAACACAAAGGATCTTAAAAAGTAGTTCTAAAATAAAAAAAAAAACAACAAAAAAAAAAAAAAAAGCAAATATAAAAAAATAAAAAACAAGAAGAACAGTCTTTCAAGACTTGAAACTCTGATCAGAGTGCATCCAAATTAATATCTCAATAAAAATAGAGTGAAATAGCAAATATAATAACAGTATAATAACATGTTACAAGTTTCGAGTGAAGAGGATTGGGATCGTTTCTATACTCCAAGTGGTATAGAGGAACAACAGGAAGAAGATGAAGTTCTCTATCAACTATTAAAAAGGTATGCATTTCATTAAAAATATTATTTTTTTCTCAAACATTCATTATCGTCTTACTAAAATATGTTTTTTAAATATTTTTTTTTTTTCAGAGGATGTGTTGGAGAATTAGAAAACAAAGATGATCTTGATCAATTAAAGTCAATGCTATTGGATCAGTCGATTGAAGATAGACATCGCGCACAATATAAAGCAAGACATTCAATATTCCCAATGAGTAAGTCAAGAATTTTTATAAGCGAGTAAATTTGGAAAGAAAAAAAACAAAAATATTGACATAAAAATAATTAAAAATTTTTTTTTTAAGATGAAGACGAAAAAGATAAAGATAAATCAGCAAATTTAGTTCAATTTTCAAAATATCATATCGACTTTGGATTAAAAGAAGGTGAGAAATGCAAAGTTGGTGCAGTATTAAAAGATAAGATTCGTGTCAGTAACAGAGGATCGAGCAAAGTCACATTTAATTTCTTGAATTTGCCAAACAATAGCAATACGATTAGACTTAGTTTCACACCATCGACTGGAACCATCAAGAAGAATTCCGCTGCCGATATCTTTGTTGAGATGACTGTGCTGTGCACCACTAGAGTTCGTGAGCTGATCACAGTGGACACTGGCGCTGCTGGACGACATCTTTTTACAATTAAAATAGATTCTAAAATGTCACAAATTCTCGACTACAAGGAAATCGAAATTGGACCTGTCATTGGTGGTGGTGGATACGGTGCCATCTATAAATCACGTTGGAGAGGTCTAGCTGTTGCCGTCAAGGTTATCTCCGAGATGGGTGATGGTTCAGAGTTTGAAAAAGAATTGGAAATGCACAAAGAATTATTACATCACCCAAATATAGTTCATTTCGTTGGTTGTTGTGCATTTCCAAAGTGTTTGGTTTTGGAAGTAATTATCTATAAAAAAAAAAAAAAAAAAAAAATTTCTCGACGAAATTACAATTTATTAACAATTAATAATAATTAAATTAATTAATTTTAGTATGTAGAAGGTGGTAGTTTAGATAAATATCTTGGTGATCAACATACACAATTTAGTCCGGAATTAAGATTAAAAATGGCATATGACATTGCTAAAGGAATGTGTTTTCTTCACAGAAATGAAATTTTACATTTGGATTTAAAGCCACAAAATTTTTTAGTAAGTTGACAAAAAAGATACAACCACATTATTAAACATAAAAGATTTATTAACTTTTTACTCTTTGTTTTTATTTATTCAGGTTGTTTCACTTTCTTTACAGGCACCGGTTTCTATTAAATTGGCAGATTTTGGATTGGCTACATCTTCGACAAGATCGTTCTACGGTGCAACTGTGGAAGGATCGTTCCTCTATATGTCACCAGAGGTATTCACTCAAAAGAAGTTCTCAAGAGCAGCCGATGTCTGGAGTTATGGTGCTTGTCTGATTGAAATTCTGACTGGTAAGCGTCCATACCAAGAGTTTGACCAGCTTGGATATCTAGAATTGGCAAGAGTCCGTGAGGAAGGTCAGTCACCAACCATACCCTCAGAGATTGACCCCGATATGCGAAAGCTGATCGAAGCCTGTTTCCATCGTGATCACACCAAGCGACCATCATTTGAAAATATAGAATCATTTTTAGAACACAAATGCGAAGAAATCATCAAACTGTCACAATCGTCCGAGCCAGTTCATTCCGGATCCGGATTCTTTGGAAGTGGTGCTGGTAGTATGTTTTTCAATCAACTTTCTTCATCACCATCACCCTCATCTGTACAACATCAACCACAACAACCATCTTCATCATCACCACACCAATTTGGATTCACAGCACCACCTTCTGCCACTGGCAGAAAATTACCACCCACTCCCAACAAACCAATTATCCCACCAAGAAATCAAATCAATAAATCAAACGATATGTCAAGCTCGCCAGCCTCACCAGATACCACCGTCATCAACAAGGCTACTCGCGCCATGACCGACGTTGGTATCGAGCAACCACAACGCTCTGAACTGCCACTACAAAGATCAGTCACCATTTCAACTCCGTCATCCTCTAGTTTCATTGTGCATCATCAACAGCTGAAAAATGCAGCCGCCGCCGCAGCAGCCGCAGCAGCAGCATCATCAAACTCTACACCCAATAATTCAACACCAACTACAAATCCAGCATTTATCACAAGACCTTCTACACCAACACCACCTCCAAGACCACGTCCACAAACACCGATTAATAACAAGAGTGCAAACAGCAGCAACATCGAACATCCAACACCCACAACACCAATCACCACCACCACCACAAAATCAGCACCGACTTCACCGACTCAACCGATTCAAATTAATACACCAAGTCACATTGTTCAAAACAATGGTTTTCTCAACAAGCAATCCTCTACTTCACATCTACCAAGTCAATTCACACCAATTCACAAACCGCCAGTTCGTTCTACTTCTGCGATAGATATCAAGCAATCGACAACAACACCAACATCAACACATACACCAGAAATTCAAAGTAATTTCAACAACTTAAACATTAGATCGCAATCACCGATTATTAGCGAGCACGACAGTAACCTCAAGATCTCAGAGCTACGATCACGTTCGCTCAAAGTACTTCGCGATCTCTACATCTCTTTCACCGAAACCATCAAGCAGTTCTCTCAAGTCAAGTCGCTGAAGGAGTGCATTGAACTTGGTCAGCGTGTACGTGACTTTAAGAAGGACATTGAGCAGCTCTGCCAAGAACATCTCAGTCAGAACTGGGATTCCATTCAAGAGAGTGTCAAAGCGACCAATAAACGATCGCAACTAGGTAACCAGGTAGGATCGCCACATCCCTCCCACTTTGACGGTGATACCTATAATAAGGTAATCATCTTCCGTGATGCCGCCATCACCGTTGGTGAGTCAGCACTCGATTCCATCTACTACCTCATGACGCTGCTCTCACCAAACAGCAATCCCACCACTACCGCTTCTTCGTCGACGTCATCCTCTTCAATGTCATTCGTCAGTGGCAGTCCATCGACCTCCGAACTCTCTGGAGCGAGCAACACCAAAGTATTTTCACAGAGTGACAAAGAAATAATTCTTAAAATAGCTAAAATCACAAGAGCTGTAAAAGCAAGATAAAATGACAATAACAACAATTATAGTAATAATAATAATAATATTCTTCTTTTGTCAACAACCTCACTTTTTTTTTCATTAACTAACTAAACAACAACAATAATAACAATTTGTACAAATAGCAAAGGTATACTTAATAAATGAAATGTTGCCATATAGCTATAGGCTAACAATGGTCATAATGCATGCAAAAATCGATTCACACATTAAGATTTAAAAATGTTGTACAATTATTTAAATTAAATTATTAATATTATTATTTTTCTGTTAAAGTCTCGTTGCAACTTTTAACTTTCATTCTCGGTGATCTAAAAAGGTAACCCGAATTCCAAACAAGTTTTATTAAAATAAAATATTATTAAAATTGTGTTTTGAAATTAAAGCTATTACAATTTTGTAAACATGAGAAAAACACCATAGTGTGTGGTGCGGTGTGTGCATTTTTGTGAAAAAACAAAAAAACAATAAAAAAACGTACTCATATCATAAATTCACACTTTATAATTTTTTGATTTTTTTATAAATAAAAACACAATTTTAAAATCATCTTAATAAAAACAACAACAGCAACAAATTTCAAACCAAATTTCTATATTTCTTTTTTATTTAATACTTATAACAAATTAATTTATATATAACAATGGACCCATACGGAAGACCAATTTATCCACCAGGTTACATCCCTGTAGTCGACCCATTAGGAATGCCAATTGCACCTGCCGTTGGTATGTATTGTATATATTATCGTTCATTTAGAGGATCATAGATAATATCTAATTTTAATGTATATCTTTCTTTGATTAATTATATTATAGCCCCAGTAGTACCAATTACTCCAATGGCACCAATCGGAGCACCAGTTGTATACCCAACTGCTTACCCAGGAGCACCAGTTGTCTATCCATCTGCATACCCAGCAGGTTATCCAGCAGGTTACCCCGGTGCATACCCACCAGCCTATGGTTATGGTCATCATCACCACCACAAGGGATTCAAAAGATTTTATAAAGGATTCAAATAATCAACTTAATAATCAATTAATATTGTATATATATAATAATAGTTTTATTACAGCCTAAAAAACAAAAAAACAACAAAAACATCAAAAAACAACAAAACAACCAACTTATCCTATGTACTTCAAACCTAAATGTTAAATATATTTCTTATCTAAAATACAAAAATGTATAATAAACCAAAATTAAAAATGTTTGTTGTTTGTAGTTCTACCAATAACAAACATTACTCTAATTATACAAAACAAAAAAAATATATTTTATAAAAAATGAATGAATTAATTGATTGTTCTTGGAAATTATTATTATGATAACTTGTAGTTATTGATTTTCATCACATTTTAATCAACACAATCACTTATCAATGACATGACACAAATAGATATAAATAATAAAGTTATCAATACATTCCAAGTAAAAGTAGATTACCAACAATTCAAAACAAATACTATCACTAAGCCCATCCCAATTGCACGTGCATCGTATGGTGATTGCTCAGAGTTTATCTTTAGTGTTACAAACAATACATTTATAAATATTTATATAAAGAATAAAGATAGCAGTATCAGGTTATTCAAGGTACAGTTACAATTATTATTATTTATCATTTAGGAATAAATAAGTAACTAAAGTTTACTAAACATACACACTGTGTTTATAATAGATAATAAAATGTTCACGCACCATAGAAGATTATGAAATTGTTGATAATGGCAAGTTGGGAATATACTTATTAGTTCTGTTGAACAATCGTTCTTTTTGGTCGATTGGTTTAAACACATTGGTAAACAAACAAAAACAAAGTTTTCTAACTATGACTGCTGCAGTTAATGCCAGTCAAAAGAGAAAGCAAGAAAATGATACAACTGGTGGTAGTGGTAGTGGTGCACCAAAGGTTCAGCAAACAGGTAGTTTGGTTATCAACTTGGACATGAATGACACTGCCTCCTATTATGTGGATACTCTCGATAACTTGGTGCACATAGTGAAAGACAACACCGAGAACAATATCTACTTGCTATTTATTTACAATGGTGATGATGATAAAGATTTTCTTGAAGACCAATCCTCTAGTATGAGATCTAAGCTCAGTATATTGTTGCCTTCCAAAAAGATTCATTCTGTAATGATTGAAGAAGATTTCTTTAGATTATTCATTTCATTCAAAGCATCGATATATAATAATGATATCAATCAAGTTAAATTTCTACCAGACAACGATTATACTAAAAGCAAAACTTATGTTAACAAAATCAACAACATAATATTATATAATAGTAACATAGTGTTGAAACATCACAATCATCAAATCAACACAATTCTATTCGATAAAGATACACTCATTGTCGATTCTAAAAGATTTAAGTTATCAGGTGAGATATTACAGATATCTATTGTTGATGTATGTATTGAAGTTCAACCTTATTGTATATATATAACATATTATTTACATTTAATAATTATAATTATAATTTAGGATATTATAATATGTTTAGTTGGTGGATTATTAAAGTTTATCAGTTTCTCATCTCTAGATAAGCTTACTTTAGATGATGAGTTAAAGTATATCGATGTTCCAAGTGCATATAGGTTACCAAATAATATATTATATTTCAATGTAACAAAAGTTGTCAACGCTGCTGAACGAGAAGTATTCAATCTTTCATTGATTACATACTCTTCTAAATTGATATTCTACACATTCACTTTAAATAATGATAATAGTAATAATCAACAAACAGATATATCTTCATCTGATATATCATCAACAATAACAGCATCAACAGCATCAATATCAGATGACAAACCAACAACTACAGCTACTTCTATTTCAAAATGGCCAAGATTCACAGAGAAGCTTATTAAAGTGAAAGAACAACACAAAGTGATAATGGATAAGATAAAGTCGGTGGATCGTTCACAGCAATCGATCAATCAACTGATATCCGTATTCTCAAAGAAACCATTCACATCGACGTCACCAAAGTTTGCATTCTCCTCGGTGATCACACCATTGGTTTCACCGTTGGTCGATCTACACAGTGGCTCCACATCTATCATCTTTAGATTTACACTATGTAATCATACCAGCCATTCAATGTCTGAAGGTTGGAATCTACTGATTAGCTTCAACGTCACTGACTACCCTCTGAATACCAATCACTTTATTTCGCATCCAATCAATCTATCGGCAAAGAGTAGTACCAGCTTTGAACTCTCGGTATCGTCACTCCGCCCAACCACTTCCACCATAACATTCCGACAGACTCTATCGTTCAACATACCGCAGCCACCTAAAACATCGATCAACTGTAACTTCTTTGTTAGCGAAAGAACATTCCATTTGTTAGACTTTATTCGATACAAGACCATTGCATCTGCATCGACAGTTACAACACCGAAATATCAAGTTGACTCTAGTGCTGCTGCTGCTCCTGCCTCGTCAAGCTTTAGTCATAGTCCATCTTTGTTAGATACAATATTCAATATAGTCAATAGTAATAGCGGCAGTGTTAGCAATATCAAGTATTTAGAATATGTCAAATCACAATGTAAATCATTGATATTGCCTGTCAATGGTTATCAGATATTTAGTAATCCAGAGATAAATCATCACGCCAAGATATTCAGTTATCTATTGGGTAAAGAGTTTATCATAGACAGCTCAATACATTCAAATGATACTTCACATACACTTGAAATATCATATTCAAACTTTAAATCAACTTTATTATCAAGTAGTATGTATAAATAACTAAACAACATTATTAATAATCATAATAATAACTAATCTATTCAATATATTAATATCATCAATAGGTCATGACCAAGGTAAAAGTTATTCAATTCAATTTGGTTCAAAAGAATCATCAGTTTCAATAGAATTAAGACATCTATTGATACAATCATTGTTACAAAGAGATATTAATAATGAAAGTAAGTAAAAATGATTAGTTGGTAAATATAAAAATATGATGATTAATAAATTATTAATTATAAATATAATTACTTATTAGAATTAAAGATGAATGAAGATAACTATTCAAGAGCATTGAATTTCTTAAAAGATAAAATGAAGGTATGGGTACCAAGAAAAGAATCAATGAAACAATCATTGAGAGCATGGCAATCGAATGTATATGATCTAATAGAATTGGGATCAATAGATTCGTACGACTCACTACAATCAAAGATAGAACAAAATTCATCGAATCTACAGAAAATACAAGATCTAATTGAATCTATTATAATTATTTAATAAATAAAAATTTATAAAGATTGCAATTATTATTACTACTACTATTATTATTATTATTATTATTATTAATGACTACTTTATTTCGATTCTGTTTTATTATCATAGGTTTTTATGTTTATTGAGCAGCGAAAGAGATAACCATTGGTTTCTCTGGTGTAACTTTAAAACCTTGAAGATGTGTCATTGCGACTGCTGATTTCGAATCGTCGTCAAACTCTACAAAAGCAACACCTTTCTTGGCAGTTGTCATACTTATACCTTGGAATCCTGGGAATCTATAAGTAGTGATAAAAATGTTAGTTATTTGTGTGATGAGTGATAATTAGTATTAAATATAGGTAATACATACTGAGAGAATAACATATTTAACATCATCTCTTCACATTGCTCAGGTAAGTTCTCAACAAATAGAATCTTATTGGGTGGAGCTTCTCTTGGTTGTAGAGGAGCAGCCTGTGCATTAGCTGTACTGGCAGCTTTGGGTTTGGCGGTGGTCGATGGTTTCTTGGTTTGTTGTTTCTTTGCTTTCTTCTTATCTTGATCATTTTCTCTTTCTCTCTTCTTCTCAATATATGTACCATCTAATTTAGAAACTGCATCCGATTTAGATTTAGCATATTGTATACTCTGAAAAATAAACAATCTAGTTAGTTAGTTGAACGTTGAAAAGTATGAGATCATCTATCAAATGATCAATTGCTATCATATGATAGGGTAAACAACAAAACAACAACTAAACACTTACCATTGGTCTACCTAAAAATTCGAATCCATTCATCTCTCTGAGTGCATTGGATGCTGATGTGATATCTTTAAATACAATGAAAGCTTGTCCTCTCATCTTCTGTCTCTTTGCTGCAACAATCTCTAAAATCGATCCATATGGTGAAAATAAACTATATAATTGCTCTGTAAGTTCTATTTTTATATATATATATATATAGTTAAAATGAATGATAGTTAGTTAGTTAGTTAGTTAGTTTATTAAAGTTACTCTTTATTCTATCATTTCGAGATAAAGTTTAAGATAGATACTCTTCTTTGATGGTTTTTCATTTAAATTATTGACATATATAGTTTGATTCATTGTATTCTCTGATGATTGTGTCTCTTCCTTTTCACCACCGTTTGGCATATCAGGTTCATTCTCTTTTACATCTGCCATCTTTCTCTTCTAGCTACACTTTATATCAAATAAATATATATATATATATTAACAATACACAATTACCTAGTTCTAACAAAATTTTTTCAAAAATCAATTATTTTCTATTAATGAAAATTTTTCAAGAAACAAATACTTAAAATCAACAAACAAGGATGTTATATATTCATTTAAATAACAAGTTTGACTATTATAAAAGATTAAATCAAATATATAAAAGTTTTAGTTAAAATATTGTTATAACAATCAAAACTCTAAATAAATAAAAAAATAGAAAATTAAAAATAATAATAATGTTGTTATAACAATATATATATATTGAATCTTTAGCTTTGATAAAAATATTTTAATAAAAATAAATATAAATATTAAATTAATTCATTGTTTCAACAAACTAAAAAGACGAAAGTCATAAGTTTACAGATTTTTCGATTGTCAGTCGATTTGATTTCATTTATTGTTATAATTATAATTTTTTTTACAAATTTATAAAAATGGAGAGTAATATAGATAAGTTTGTTTTACCTGGTGATTGTATAGGTACGATATCAGATTTAAAAGTACGTATAGGTCCTGGTTTGATTCAAGTTAAAGATACTGTCATCGCATCAAAGTGTGGTGTTCTACGTTTTAGTAAATATCATAAATTCTATTGGATTGAAAATGAACAGAAAAGAGTATGTTATCGTATTATATATAATATGTGTGCTTATCGATAATAACACATTTGATTTGTTATTATAATACTAATGATCATTTAATAATTTTATATGAAATTATCAATATATATTGATTTAGTTCGTACCACAAGTAGAGGATATGGTGATTGGTATCATTGTCGATAAACACCCAGAATCATTCAAAGTAGATATAGGTAGTAGTTCACTTGCATTGTTATCTGCGTACTCGTTTGAAGGTGCTACAAAGAACAACAAACCACTACTGCAAGTCGGTAATCTAGTGTATTGTAGAGTATTGATAGCCAACAAAGACATGGAACCAGAATTGGTATGCATGTCTGTCAGAAACAAAGCAGAGGGATACGGTCAACTAGTAAATGGTTATATGTTTAATTGCTCACTCGGTTTATCACATTAGTAAGTAGTGTTTGTTAATTAGTAACTTTGTTGCAATCAACCAATCAATCTTTATGTTAACACCCAACGATCGATCTATTTTAGTTTATTATCTGAAGATTGCGAAATATTAAAGATTCTAGGTAAACACATTGCATATGAAATAGCTGTAGGTGTAAATGGAAGAGTCTGGGTAAATTCAATGGATAATCAACAAACAATCATTGTAGCAAACACAATCTTAAACTCACAATATATGCATGATAATCAAATCGAACCATTTATATTAGCAACACTTAAATCTGAAAGCAATACAACACCGAAAACAACAGTAAATTCACCATCAATAAATACTATTTAATATATAATATAGAAAAAGAACAAAACATAATTATGTTTGAACATTTATTAGCTTATCGAAAACAAACAAAACAAATTATAATAATAATCTTTAAATATCTAAATAATTTAAAATGAAAATAACTACCCTATTTATATTTGAATAAAAAAAAAGGTTCTAACTTTGTTCAGTTTTGATTTATTCGAATAAGTTATTATTATTAAGCATAAATAATTAACACATGGAATAGAATTACAAGAACTAAGAAAAAGTTGAGAATCGTTTGGGTTGGGTGTTGGAAGTGGCTTCCTACATTGTTATATGCCAAGGAATTTAACCACACATGGAACGACAAGTTTGGTATGAGGTGGCGTATGGGGTAATGATACGGCAGTTCAAACCGGTGTATGGGCACTCAGCGGCTTTACCTCCTCCAATGTACATGACTACATGGCTTGGACATGGCTGGGCGAAACAGTAGAAGAAAAGATCACCGACAGTGCATGCACCTGGGTTGCTTGGACTGCACTTTGAGTTACAGGCGCCACCTTGACCGATTTGATTGAAAGTGGTTCTTCCGATTCCACTCCATCCGGCATCATTGTAAGATCTATAGACCAGACCACTGCAATCCAATCCACCAGATCCACATCCTAAAGAGAAAATAAAAAAAAAAAAGAAAAACAAAAAACAAAAGAAATATTAATATTTCACAGGCTCTGATATTTCTAATTATCCTAAAAGATGTGCATACCACATGAAGTTCCACCATATACGTATGGACATCCGCAAGTTGAGTAGTGAGATGCTCTAGCAGCTGCCTTTTGGCAGGTGGAAAGTGGAAGCTTTCCAAACTTCTCTAAGTAGTAGTGAATGTTTTCAGTGGTGTTGAAAGCATCGAAATCTTGTTCGATATCTACAACCTCTTCAGTTGCTGATACGAAACAAGATGAAACTAAAGCAATTAATACTAAGATGTATAATGATTTCATTTTTATATTTTTATTTATATATTTATATTTGTTAAAAGAATATTTATTTATTCCTTTTTATTTGTTTATTTAAATATTTGCGATCGTGGTCACTTAGGGATGCCAATTGACATCTATTTATATGTTTCTTCTTTTCGAGTCTGTGGCGATTGATCTGTTTTTGGAAATGGGAAAACTAGAAAGTTCTCTGGGGTATCTTTTAGATTTTTTCAAAGATTGCTGTTTTGCAAACTTTCAGTACCAAAACCATCTATACCAGGATAATCTTTTTAAAAAAAAATCGTGGTGGTACTCAGCCTGCAAGATTTTTAAATTTTATCCAGTAAAAAACAAAAATATCTTGTTAACAGTAAAGAGGAATAATCAAAAGCAGAATTTTTACAAAAAAAAATCAATTGTAAATACCAGGTATCCATTCATTAGGGTTTTGATTTTAAAACTAAAAATCTATTTTATTCTAAACAAATAGATACTTTTGTTGAATTTACAAATTAATTTATTTTTTCAATATTCTGTTAAAAATAAAACTAAAGGAAATTTTAAAATCATTTTTGTAAAACCAAAAAATCAAAAAGAACAAACAGATATCTCTATCATCAAATTTTTGGCGAATAAAGATTTCTTTTTATGGTGATTTATGATACAAGATTAAAAACATTAATTTTTTTAAATTTTTTTCAATATAATTTTTTGAAAATTAATTTAATTTTTTTTTTTTTTTCTAACCAGCAGTAGTTGTTTTTATTCATTTTTATATTTTATATTTTTTTAGTATATTTATTTTTATTTGAATTTAGTAATAAAATGGAGTGTCCCTCATCTGTACAACTTAGAATTAATAATATTTCGGGACATATCGTTCCACAGGGTAAATGTCCAGTCTCTCACCACTTTGGTGCAGAGTCGGCTGGTCGTGCATGGAGTATCGTCAGTACTGCACCGAATGCACCAGCAGCACCGATTCGTGTTTTGGTTACAGGTGCTGCCGGTCAGATTGCATACAGTGTCATCTTTATGATTGCAAGCGGTCAGATGTTCGGACCACATCAACCAGTGATTTTGCATCTCCTCGATATTGCCAAGATGGCAGATGCACTCAAGGGTGTTGTTATGGAGATTGACGACGGTGCATTCCCATTGGTTGCTGGTGTAGTCGCCACCACCGACATCAAAGCAGCATTCATGGGTATTCAAGTTGCACTTTTGATCGGTGCATTCCCAAGAGGACCAGGAATGCAACGTAAAGATCTCTTAAAGATGAATGCATCGATCTTCAAGGAGCAAGGAGAAGCTCTTAAGAACTACGCATCTCGTTCCGTCAAGGTTTTGGTTGTTGGAAATCCAGCCAACACCAACGCACTCACAACAATGACACAAGCATCTGGTTTGCCAGCATCAAACTTCTCTGCACTCACTCGTCTCGATCAGAATCGTGCACTCTCAATGATTGCTGAAAAAGTTGGTGTCAATGTAAACAAAGTAAAGAATGTTATCATTTGGGGTAATCATTCATTAACACAGTAAGTTTGCTATTAATTAATTAGTTATCTTTTTTTTATTTTCATTTTAATAGACTAATCAATCGTTTTCTTTGCTATAACTCTAGAGTACCAGATGTAAATAGTGCATATATTCAAAACTATCCATCACCATCAGTTATTACACCAGTTTCAACAGCAGTCAATGATGAAAAGTGGATTCGTGAACAATTTATTCCATTGGTTCAAAACAGAGGTGCTGCTGTTATTGCCGCAAGAAAGTTGTCATCTGCTGCCTCTGCAGCTACCGCTGTTGTTTGTCACATGAGAGATTGGGTATTGGGTACTAAAGATGGTGAAATTGTATCGATGGCTGTTTGTTCAGATGGTTCATACAACGTACCAAAGGGATTAATCTTTTCATTCCCAGTGACTTGTCGTGGTGGAGAATGGACCATCGTACAAGGACTGAAAATAACCGATTTCATCCAATCAAAGATCGATCTTACAATCAAAGAGTTAAATGAAGAAAAAGAAGCTGCATTATCATTTTTGAATTAAATCAATCATTAATCTGTTTTAATAGCAAATCATTACAAATAAATAGAAAAACAACCATATAATAATAATAATAATAATATATGTTATAATCTAATATGAATTTAATTTATTTGATTTTGATTTGATTTAAATGTGTGAGTGATATGTTGCCGTTCTCCTATTAGTTAAGTTACTAAAGTAATTAACATTTTATTAGAGTTGGATGTTTATTGTTTTGTATTGCTTTTTTTTTTTTTTTTTTTGTTTTTGTTTTTTTTTTTTTTATATAATTAATTAAATATGAATTACTTGTAAGCAAACGGTGTATGGACCCATTGCAATATCGGATTCCCATCCAAGTCCTTGTGGAACTGCAACCGATTGAGGATTTTGTTTGTTGGCATCAATGTTGGAGATCTTACCGGTTGGGTAGTCAGTGGAGGTAGATTTCATTCCGTCCGGTACTTTAATTTGGACGCTGTACTTTCCTAATGGTACGTTATCAAACATCCATCGTCCAACGGAACGAGTTTCGGTGGTATTGATTAACTTGTTATTCTGGTCATAGAGTTCAACGGTGATACCATCGATTCCATTGTCAAGGATTGGTGTCATTTTACCGTCTCCATCTTTGTCAGTGCAAACAACACCCATGATTCCGAGTTTTTGAATCTTGATGGCTCCGTTTAGACCGTTGAGAAGGAAACTATTCTCAGAGAGAGTAATAAGTCCGGCGGTTGTGTTGGTGAGAACAACTGGGTCACTCATGGCAGTCGCTGGATTGAGTATATTTCCATTGGGTCCAGTCTTGACGGTGGACATGACACCTTGGGACATACGTGGACCGAGGATGTAGGTTCCATCTGGAAGTCCTCTGTGAGTGTAGACACCGTTGTTGTTGGTTACTACAGTGATTTGTCTTCCATCGGATGCTCTGGTAGCCATTACTTGCATGTTTGAAATTGGAAGATCCTCTGGATCTTGTCGACCATTTTCGTTTCTATCGTAGTAGAAGGTTCCGTTCAATGCATAACGGTGGAGGGGTGGTGGCGATGGAGTTGGAGTTGGTGATCTAGTTGGCGATGGAGTTGGGGTAGTGGTATCGATACATTTACCCTTGATGAAGGCATACATCATGTTTAGACCCATACAGCTTGGTGGTTGGCAAACAGAGGACAATGTGAAAGTAATTTTAGAGACAGAGATATTAGGCTTCACGATGACGTAGCTCTTGACGTTGGACGATGTTCCGTTGAACATCAGTGAACCTTTTCCTCCGACGGCTTGGTTTGAGAGGAAAGCAGCATTCATTCCACTGGGGTGAAGGAATCCATGGTCAATGGTGTTCCAATTCAACAAATTGATTGGCATTCCGTAGGCATCCCAGGCGTTCATTTGAAGGAGATCACTGTCGGATATACCAAACAACACTAAGAAGGTATCGTTCATTGGTGTCAAGAAATCAAAGGTGACATTCGATGGTGATTGGCTGCACGATTGGTGGAGAAGAACGTTGATATCTTGTCTTCCAGTGAAATCAAAGTACTTGTGGTTGTTGTCGAGTACTGCTTTGTATGGGATTTTGGAACCGACGACCAATGGCAAGTTGGCTCCTGTTACCTTGACAATTACTTTGGTATCGTTCATCTCGAGATAGTATGAACGTGGATCGCTGAGAGCTGGCTTTACATTACTAAAGTCGTAGTAAGACATTGTGGTATTATCACAGAGACATATCACTGCTTTTTCGAATCTTTCATTGAACCTTAAGGACCAGGAACTGGAAACAAACATGAACAACAGTGCCATGAGGCACACTGTTTTTGTATGCATCTTTTTGTTTTTTAGAAATTTAATAAAGATGGATCGAATTATTACTGTTATATAAATAAATATATATGTATGTTTCTAAAAACAATAAAATGATTATTTATGAAAAATAATTAATTTTGTTATCTGTATGAATTTTGGTATATAGTTTATTGTGTTCAATAAATTGCATATGTAATAGCATGTTGATGTTGTTAATCATCACATCTTCTGATCACTAATTCAACAAAGAAAATAAAAATGAAATGAATAAGCCCTACCTATCTTGTATTCACCATACCAAATGTATATATTGAAAGCAATGACACCCACCTGCATTCTTACATTGATAATGAACTGCAAGATTCATATTCAATGTTTAATTTATTTTATAAGTTGCATATGTGTTCATTGTAGTAACAATTTAATGCTACATTAATATTATGATATGCGATGGTCACTTGTCATTTTTCAACAGTTATTACTTATCAGCTGAATGAGTAAGTGTGTTTTGATTAAAAATGAATTTTTTATTATGTAAAAAAACAACAACTTGTGTGTGTGGTTGCAACCATTTTTAATTAAAAAACAAAAAGTAAACAGATTTATATATACTCTCTACTATATATTTATATGATTATCTTTGATTAAATTTCGGAATAGGCTAGTGTGATATCACATACACCACATAATAATGAATCATTTTTGAACAATTTCATTACCTAAAAATAAAAGTAAATATTTTTTAAATTAATTTTTATCTGTATCATTATTATTAATAATTAATAAAAATATTTAATTAATTTCTTTCTTTTCTTTAAGATAATAAAATAGAATAAATTTGAAAACAATTCAAAATGGTTTTAAAAAATTAGTTTGATTCAAATTTACAGAAAATAGAGATAGTGAGAACAATAAATAGTAAGTATTCTGTTTGTGATATATTTTGTTTTTAGCTGGGGTTGCATGCGGATAAGCCGATAACTTTGTTATTTTTTGATTATAATTGGTTTGAATACAGGGAAAGAAGACGATATTTCATGATATTTTTTCGTCTCTATAGTAATATTTTGATTTTTGTTGTTTGACTTTTGGCCAAATGGAGAGAAACTAAATTGTCAACATAACAAAAGCGGTTGGTTGAAGATTTAACATTTCAAATGAAAGAACAATCCTTTCAATTCTTACCACCTGTCGTCTTTGTCCAACACTCTATTCTAAACATTATAAAATAATTAAAATTTATTCTCTACAAAATACATTTAATTTATCAACATAAAATTGTTGATATCAAAGTTAAATTTTATTTATAATACATAAAATAATATTATAAATATTATTGGTTTTTAATTTTATTTTTAAATATATTTATTTATTTATTTTTTTATTTTGTAATAATAAAGGATTATAATTCCCATCTCTAAATCTATCTATAAATTTCAGTATAATATATATAATATGTCTATTAGTTCTTTGGAAAATGGGACAAACTTTTGGATTAGTGTTATAGTCTTGTTTTTTTGTGTAAAAATGGTATCGAGCTCCACTCCCGACTTTAATCGTATAGATAATATGAATGGAAATTCGATGCTTTATAATAATAATAATAATAATAGGGATAATAATATAATAGAATCACAGTCCACCAAAAAGTATAATCAATATCTATGTCCATCACATACATGTGATCCAGGAATATTATGTAGAAATATGTTTGGAATTTATCAATGTGGAAGTCAATGTAAGTAAAAAACGATATTCATTCAAACAAAAAAAAAAAAAAAGATAATCAAGAAATTTGTTAAACAAATATATATTTATTATTTATTATTATCATTATTATTTAAAGACGATGCATATGCGACGATCGATTCATATCCAGTGAAAAGATGGCATGAAGAGGATCATATTTACACAATGTACAAAAGTAGAGTCTACAATCTAAATACAATTCCGCTTACTAGTTTTGTAATAATAGTTGATTTTCTCGATAGAATAGTAAATAAAACGATAGATGGAATGGTTATAGACGAAAACGACGATCCAGAATCACATTTAATTCATTTGCCACCAACAGTGGAGTATGTCCTTCAATCGAACCCCTATGAATTTAGTTATGTCCTAAGGGGGATGAACAACGATGTGGCGACAACCATCCGTTTTAAAATGATATCATTCACTACACATCCACGAAACAAGAAAAACATTAGTAGTATTTCCAGTAGCAATGATAATTCATTGAATGATATCAATAATAGTAATTATGATTCCAGTTTGAATAGATGTTAAAAACAAAACAACAACTACTACAAAATAACATCTATTTATTTTGAACCATACCAATTCAATTACCAACCAAAATTATTTGTTTTATTTTCTTCTATCCATTCTCTTTTATTTTCCTTTTTTTTAAAAACAATTCATCCATTAATAGGATATCCATCCCATCCAAAACTAATTTATTGCCAACAGCAACTAAATTCATAAATAAAAATTTACTGTTTAAAAAGTAAAGTATAAAAATCTATCTCCTATCCAAGATTACATTTCTTCTAGTAATCTATTTACTATTTATTTATTAATATTACATTTTGTTTGATAATAATGACTCAAATGATATCTAAACAAATTGATATCATGTTGATACTTTCTGTACAATTGTATTATATCATCGCCACGTTGAGTGAGCAATCGCATTATAAGCTCATCTCTTGCATCCGTTGAAAGTGGTTCTTGTAAATCCAAATTTGGTTTATAATCACCATTCTTTTTGGTAAATATTGTATCTTTAATAGAATTGGTAAACCATAACAAAATATTATACAATTTAAATCCACCATTACTATTATTATTACTACCAGCTGTTTCTGTATTATCAATAAAGGATTGATCTGACATTGCAAATTGTGAAATTAGACGAATTATCTTATCCAACTCTGAATTATTACTATATTTTATAAATAAATCTCTATCTTTAATCAATGCTTTCAATGCAACTGATGTTCTAGGTATTTCGAAATCAGCTCTAAAATTAGAAAAAGATTTAATTAATTAATGAATTCGCATACAAAAAAAGTTGGAATTCTCTTTTGACTTACTTTGTCCAAACAACATATCCACCATCTTGTAACTTTCTAACATCACGATTGCTCGTGATTGGCTCAGTGAAATTTGGATCTATGAATGCACTTGCTTTGATATCATCGACACCAATCGTAACACCAGGATATAATGGTGGTTGATTTTGTAATATCTAAAACAAACATTTTAAAAACAAATATAAGTATTTTAGTAAATTTCAAACGTTGATCTGAGATCATGATTGATACTTTACAGTTCTTTTTAATGAGGTAACTCTGTTGTTTCTGAGAACAAAAGTAGTAAGGTTACCATCGGGTATCTCAATGGCTCTGATGGTTTTACCAAACAGAAAAGTTCTCAATGCAAACGACACAAGCGATGCACCACCCAACAAGAAAATGACCTCGTTCAAACGTTTTGGTTTGATGTTAAAGAGTGATCCTATTAACTTATCATCTTCATCGACATCATCTATGCCCAGCATAGATTCCACTCTGTCTATTAGTGAACTACCAGTAGGCGAGTCGGTGCTTGTAGTACCACTACTATCGATAGTGGTGGTGTTGGTTGATTTCTTTTTAACATCGTCGTCAGATCCTATAGTGTCCCTGATGAAATGAATGATCGTAGAGATAGGTCCGATGTTATTTGTATCATTTAAATTATTATAATTGCTATTGTCATTCGACGTAAAAGTATCATTATTATCATTGAAATTATTATCTGTCATCTTTGTTTAGCATGATCGAACTAAAACTACATCAAATATGTTGTTTTTTTTTATTTTTTTTTATTTTATTTTACAAGTTTTTCGTTGCCATAAACATTATGTCAATAATTCAAAGATTTAAAAATTGGCTATGTCTAGCATTATATTAATATTTTTACAGGCAGATAACTATATCCATATCCTATATAAATAATTTTTAAAGGCAACAAATATTTGTTGATATTTTGTTTTACATCGTTTTATGAATAATTAATTAAAGTTTATTTTTAAAGTTGAAATGTATTTCTATTTGAAGTAATTAAATTAGTACTTCTGATCATGTATCTGTTTAATTGTAACCTCAATAATGGAGATTATAAAAAAATTTTATTTTTTGAATATTTTTCAAAGTTTTTTTGCTATCAACCAGGTTGTCAGGCATGAAAAAATAATTATTTTTTATTGTTGTAATATTATAATTAAAGATCCTATTTCATTTAAAAATAAATAAATATCAATCATTTATTCGCATATAGATATATACGATCAAATTTAATAACAACAATAACAATAATAACCTTTTAATTAAAGATATATATATTTCAAAAGAAGTTATTAGATAATATTATTTTAGTGATAACTACTAGATAGAAAATGGCATCGATTAATAATCCATTGTCAGTTGCAGCATCTTCAATGAATATTAGATCAGTTCTACAGGAATACATCAATAAGATGCTCTCTGGTATTGATGGAATGAAAGTTTTGGTACTCGATAAAGAAACAGTAAGCTATAGCTAGTCTACAAACAACAACTTTGTTTGTTGTTGTAGTTCAACTCAACACACTCGTAGTAGTAGTAGTAGTAGTAGTGTTGTATTATGACAATGTATGATTGACATTTCATCTTTTTGATTTATTTTAAAAGGCAGGTATGGTTAGTATGGTATATTCACAGTCGGAGATACTTCAGAAAGAGGTATTCCTCTTTGAGAAGATCGATAGTAACTCTAGAGAGAAGATGCCACACATGAAAGCTGTCTACTTTGTCAGACCTACTCAAGCCAACGTGAACATGATCGCTGATGAACTTAGAAATCCAAAATATTCTGATTATCATTTATGTATGTTGTTTTAATTATTAATTAATTAATTAATTAATAATAATAATACAATTGTTAAAGAGTTAGCTTTTAACTAATCATTTTTTATTTAATATATAACTATTTATTTAACTATAGTCTTTACAAATGTAATTGGATCTGCATCTATGGATGAGATGGCAAAGGTAGATGATAAAGAGTTGGTCAAGGAGGTACAAGAGTTTTATGGTGACTTTTATCCAGTTAATCCAGATACATACTCTTTGAATATTACAGGTGCATTGACAAAGAGATCATCGGCATGGCAAACCAATGTCAACCGTATCATCGATGGTGTCATCGCATCATTGTTGGCATTAAAGAAGAAACCTGTCATCAGATACTCTGCAAAATCAGAAGTAACTAAATATCTTGCTGAAGTTGTATTGGTAAGTTAATAGTATTATCATTATCATTATTATATTGGTGGTGTAGATTAGATTAATATAAAAATACTGATAAATATATTTTTATACTTACCTTTTTTTTTTTTTAAAAAAATTTAAATATATATTACTATAGTCAAAGATACAGAAAGAAAAGGAAATATTTGATTTTAGAAAGCAAGACAGTGTATTGTTGATTCTAGATAGAAAGGATGATCCAATCACACCATTGCTTCATCAATGGACCTATCAATCTATGATTCACGAGCTATTGACAATTAGCAACAACAGAGTCAGTTTGAGCAAGACTGCTGAGGTCGATCCAAACAATGAGTTCATTCTCTCGATCGATCAAGATTCCTTTTACAAAGACAATCTCTACAAGAACTACGGTGACTTGGGTGCTAGCATCAAAGATCTAGTAGAAACCTATCAAAAGAAGAGAGATGAATCAAGTGCAAACATTAGAACCATAGGTAAGAGAAAGAACAACAACAACAATAATAAATAATAATAATTTGTAAACTAATCTAACATCTTTATACAATAATATATAATAATAATAATATAAAACAGATGAAATGAAGAAATTCATTGAACAATATCCAAACTTCCAGAAATTCTCTACAACTGTGTCAAAGCACGTTAATTTGATGGATGCAATGTCAAAGAAGATCAGTGACAACTACTTGATGGAGATCTCTGAGATTCAACAGGAGTTGGCATGCAACAGCGACCACAACAGTGCCTACGCTCGTTTGAATGAGATACTCGATAACCCCAAGTATTCAAACACCGACAAATTGGTGTTGGTCTTGTTGTACAGTATCCGTTATGAAGACGGTCGTGTTTGGGAACTCCAAGAGAAACTCTCGAGATGTGGTGTTCCACCGAGTGATATCGCCTTGATTCAGCATCTCAAGGAGTACGCCGGTAATACACAGAGAGAAGGTGACCTCCTCGGTACCAAGAACGTCCTCACCAACTTTATGAACGGTGTTGTCAAGCGTGGTCTACAAGGTGTATCCAACATCTACACACAACACGTTCCACTTCTCCAAGAGATCTTGGACAACATCTCAAAGAACAAACTTAAAGAGCAATCCTATCCATTCCTCACTCCAAATCCACCAAAAGAAAGGTAAGCAAAGCAAAGCAAAGCAAAAAAAATAACAATAATAATGAATGATATTTCTTAACTAACCCAACAAACATTACTATTTTCAATGATATTATAAAATATATAGACCAAACGATATCATTGTTTTTGTAGTTGGTGGTATCACCTTTGAAGAGGCATACAATGTTTTCAAATTCAATTCGATGAACTCCAACAATGGAATCAGAGTTGTTTTGGGTGGAACTACAATTCTTAATTGTACTCAATTTTTGGATGATTTACATAATTTGAAGTTAATGAGTGTTAGATAAAAAAAGAAAAGATATTTCAAATCAACTTTCTTCATTTTTTTTTAAAATTTGCAATTCATGTCTATTATTTTTTTGCTTGCTCCCAAACCAAATCTAGATTAAATTTTTTTTTAAAAAAAATTTGATTTCTTTTTGAATCTGATGTGTTTTTTTTTTTTAATCACAAACATTTTTAACCAAAAATTGATCTTTATTTTTTTCCAAACTATTATAATCAATTTCATTCTACTAATTAAATTAAACAAATTTAATAATAACCATCAAACGCTATATTCTTTTCATATCGCCCGCTTATAAATAATAATAATAATCAACATCATCATCATCATCATCGGCATTTCAATACAAGAAAGAGATACAAATAAAAAAAAGAAAGATAGAAGTGATTGAAATTAAAGAAATAGTAATAAAGTAGGTAGTTATTATATGTTCGATTGATCAGTAACAATTGAATTAAAATAGATATTCTTAGGCTTTTTGTTTATAATAATAACAACATTAATAATAATCATGGTTATAATGAAACTGTGGTCTAAAACTATTATTGTTTTTTTTTTTTTTTTTTTTTTTTTTTTTTTTTTTTTTCGTTTGGGTTTTGTTTGTTGAACAACCAACCTATTATTAATCAAAACATGTTTTATGTCAAAAGGAAAATACAACAGCACTACTTTTAGAATATTAACTTATAATAATAAAAAAGTTAATGATCATTACATTTAAATAAGCAAGTTAAAGTTCCTTCATATGGATATCTTTCATCTTTATCACATATCACATTATAATCATAGGACTACTTTATTAAAATGTGGGGAATTTAAAACAACAACAGCACAAACAACAGTAACTTTGTTATAAACATCTTACTTTAAAAATAAGAAAACATACATATCAAATCCATATTTTTAACAATAAATAATAGTACACAAGAATAAATTAATGAAAAGAGAGAAATAAAAGATAATATAATATTAGAGATTTAATTAGATATATGTTCATTCAAGTATGAAATAGAATGAATCGTGTAATGGTATTAGTTATTTCATCCTAAAATGGTTGATAATATTTCACTCCACTATAATATACACCTGCAATATTAAATACTGCATAACATATCCAATCAATCATTATTTCACTAGTGGTTTTAAGCAATAGAAAATAATCATGCTAAAACCATGGTAAAATTGAAATTTAGGTCAATCATAGGAGAAAGCGTTGAATATTTTAGAAAACTCTATTGAATCAATCACTTTCATTCTATATATCAAAATAGAGAGTTTGCTATTTATCAGATACATTTGTGTTTAGTTTAGTTATTGAATCATGTGTGTTTAATATTACCACCACAAACAAACATTGACCATAACCTTATAATTCCTATGCTTTGAGAGAAAACTGCAAGCACTAACCTAAAATAAATGAATGAAGGAATGAATGAATTACAACTCTCTTCCAATACCATCAAAACACACAGATAACTTGACAAAACAACAGAATTAATTAACATCAGCAAAATACACAACAAACAACAACGCGACGATGACTTTTTATTTTGTGTTAAATGTGGGTGTTGTTTGTGTGCAATTGGTTGTTGGTTTTTTTTTTTTTAATTGTGTGTTGTGTATAAATAAAAAATATTTTCAAACACACACAAACAAACACACATAAAAAAACATTGTGAATTGAGTGACCCTATACACATACAACATACCATTGGTTTCATTTGCTACACAGCACAATCAATATTATAGCAGTCAACAGTAATTACCTTTTTGATAGATAGGTAATTTAATTTCACCATTTTTATTGGTTTGGCTTTGATTTTCTTTTTTATTTTATTTATATTTTATAACATTGGCTGAATATGAACAGCACCATCACATTTTTCACATCACATTCATCAACCATTTTTATAACAACAGCAACAGCCTATAACAATATAATATATATGAATATAAACAAGCTGAATGGTAAAATTTTGATTTTAAATCCCCAATATCAACAAAAAAAAAAAAAAAACATTCTAAATTTAATTAAATATTTTTATACACACTCATCTTATTTCATTTCTCAAACTTGTGCGAATCTCACTAGTGGTGGTATTTATTCATTTTCACACCGCCTTATTTTTTGATTCATTTATTTATGTTTGGTTTTTATCTCCCCATCGATATCTCTCTGGCATCTTGTTTTAACAGCATTCTTTCTAATTCACTTTACTTTGTGATTTGTTGTTGATCAATTTTATATGTGTATATGTATTTTTATTATTTATTTGCATTCTCTCTCTCTCTCTCTTTATGTGTATGTATAAATCTATATTACATTATGATAGGAAATACAAGGCAAGACATGTCACTCACAACCTTCTTTTCTTCCCTACATTACATTGAAAAATAATATAAAATTAAATTAAATCAAATCAAATCAAATTAAATTCAAATCAAATAAATATATTAAATAATAAAATATTAATAAGAAAAGTGTTTTTATTGTTGGATATGGAATTAAGCTAAAACAGACAAAATATAAAATATAAATTAAAAAACCATAATAATTTCAACTGTCTTAGTATTTTGTTTTGGTTGTAGTGCTTTGCTACTTCCTCTCCTCTTTAACAACACAACAGCAAAATATTTCTAATGTTATCCATTCCAATCAATTGCTGATGTATTAATTTAATTGATTTCATAACATTAGTAGTCTTTTTATTTTTTTAAAAGAAAAAACAAAAAGTAAATAACAGTAGAATATTTATAAATATCCAAATAATCAATCAATCAATCATTTTTGTTTTAAATATTGTAGTTTAAGACTTGAAATCTTTTCGTATTGTTGTTGTTGTTGTTGTTTCACCAGAGATTCACATAACTAACTGATTATGTAATGATTAAAATTTTAGGTTAGCAGAGTGGAAAAATTAAATTTATCAACAATCAAAGTCGATTCAAAAAAATCAAAACAGAGACTCTGACAAAGTTTTCGAATTTTTAATTTTGGAACCTGACGACGTTGGATCTTGGACCGATTTTACGATCTAACCCACACACAACTTTATTCAACAACCTTTTTGTTAGAAGAAAAAATTCTGAAAAACTAGAGACAGTCATTCAATTCAGTTTTTTTTGTTTTTTTTATGTTTTAATTTGATTAGTTTTTATTTTTTATTTTTTTAGTTTTTATTTTTAAATTTTTTTCAATCTCACACATTTTTACAACATATAATAATAATAATAATAATAATAAGTTAATTTAGTTATTATATTTATATCTACCAAAACAAACAAACATTCATTCTTTCATTAAATCAAATCAAATCAAATCAACAGTTTGTTTAGTCAAAAAAGTAAAATTTTTTTTTAATTAAAAATATTTTTATATTTATATATATATAGTTTACAATAATAATAGTATTGTAGAGAATGCAAGGAGGATACTATCAAAGCTATCAGAATGGCTTTCTCGGTTCTCCTGCCTCTGTAATTGCAGCGGGTGGTGGTCTTGGAATTGGATATACACCTACCACCAATGTTGTCGGTGGGCCAGGAATCAATGGTGGATCACTCTCACCGAATATCGGTTTTCACCATCATCATCATCACCAACATCAAGCTTCACATCAGAGATCAAATTCATCACCAAACAATCTGTCGCCAGCAGCGTTGTTGGTGCAGCAACAGCAACAGCAGCAACAGACACCTCAACCACCGCCACAGCCAACACACAAAACACCACCCTATCAACAGAAGAACCCACTACACAATCGTATTCACCATCAACGCAATGGCTCTGCTGACACGACAATCACTGCAGCAGCGGCAGTCTCGCCAGTCACTACAGATACACAGATTCAGCTGGGCACCTACGACGATTTGACGTGGGAAGAGATCTACATGATCTATCATCACTTTAATACCATCGATGCCGATGGCAAGGGTGTAATCTCATCGTTTCAGCAGTTGATTGCATACATTTCGTTGCTGTTCCCAAGCACACCACCCACCTCACAATTTCTCTTCTCAATAGGACTGCTCTATCCGGGTTCAGTACCGAATCTTCAGCAACAGAGCATGTCACCACTGACTATTCAGCAACTGATCTTCTCTTACTCACACTGCAAACCAATGATCAATCTTAGCAATGCATCCAACCCGACTACCGGATGCCGTAAATTCACACCAAACCAAGCACTCTACATGATTGACGTTTTTAACTCTGTAAAAGACAAGACTGGTGGTGTACCAACTCAAAAGCTTGCACTATTTGGTGCAGATCGATCAAAATTACCTTCTACTACTTTACCTTTTCACGAATTTGTACAATATATCGGTTTAAATTTTATACCTTTCGAAAATCTTTATGTAAGTAATAACATAAATTGATAGTTTAAATTAAAGTATATTAACAAATTTAAATAATAATTATTTAGAAATTACAACAATCACCAACAATAGAACCACAAACAACATTTGTTCAAGATGTAGACGATTTTGAACATGCCGATTTATTTTTTGATAGCAAACCACCCAATAACTATAATTTCAATCAACAACAAGCACAACAGCAACAACAACAGAACAATCAGAATAACTTTAATTTCCAAAACTATAATAATAACCAAAATAACTTTAATAATCAAAATATAAATCAGAATTTTAATAATAACAATCAAGCACAACAGAATAACCAAAATAACTTTAACAACCAAAATTTTGCTAATAATAATAATAATAATAATAATAATAATAATAATAATAATAATAATAATAATAACAACCCAAGTAACTTTAATGCTGCCAACCAAAATTTCAACAACAACCAAAACAATTTTAATAATAATTTCAACAACTATAATTTTAACTACCAGCAACAATCACCTCAAAACAATAATTTCGCCAACCAAAACAATTTTAACAACCAAAATCAAAACAATAATAATTTTAATAACTATAATAATCAAAATATTTTAATACCAGTAAATAACAACAATAATAATAACAATAACAATGGTGGTAATATACTTAAAACAAGTGGAAATAACATAATTTTAAATCCAAACATGTAAGTTTAATTAATTATTATTATTTTTTTTTTTTTTTTTTTTGAAAATATTTATTAATTTTTCTTTTAATAGTCAACAACAACAACAACAATCAGCATTTTCAGATATTGAAATACAGTTTTCGGAATTAGTTATACAGAATAAACTTGGAGAGGGTACCTTTGGTGTTGTATATAAAGGAACTTGGAGAGGTAGTACGGTGGCGATCAAGCAAATCAAGATAAATGAAGACGTTACAAATCAAGTTTTGGACGAATTCAGAAAAGAATTGACAATTTTAAGTAAATTGAGACATCCAAATATCGTACTGTTGATGGCTGCCTGTACGCACCCACCCAATCTTTGTTTTGTCACCGAGTTTCTCAATGGTGGTTCACTTTACGATATCCTTCATTCCAAAAAGATTAGAATGAACATGCCACTCTACAAGAAACTTGCAATCCAAATCGCCCAGGGAATGAATTATCTGCATCTCTCCAATGTCATTCACAGAGACATCAAGTCACTCAATCTGCTGCTCGATGACAATATGAATGTTAAGATTTGTGATTTCGGTCTGTCTCGATTGAAAACAAAGTCGACGGCAATGACAAAATCTATTGGATCACCTATTTGGATGGCACCTGAACTGTTGATTGGCGAGGACTACACAGAGAAAGTTGATGTCTATGCATTTGGTATCATACTCTGGGAGTTGGGCACCGGCGAGTTGCCATACTCTGGTTTGGACTCTGTACAATTGGCGTTGGCAGTCTCTACCAAAGGTTTGAGACCAACCATCCCAACGTCTTGGCCACCGCAATTACATCAACTCATTCAATCATGTTGGAATCACGAACCATCACTCAGACCATCATTTACCCAAATATTACAACAACTTGAGAAGATGCCTGTTTAGATTTAAAAATAAAAATAAACAAGAAAAAAAAAATGATTTGTTTGTTTTATAAAATCACTTTTAGAACTAAAAAATGGGTAAAAATATTTGTTATTTATTTGTTATTTATTTGTTATTTATTTTTTATTTATTTATTTATTTATGTATACTTGTGGTAAACGATTGATCGGAGAATACCAGCACCCTGATATTCAATTTCCTTAAATCATTTCCATTCAACGTGATCTATCACTATAGGTCCTTAACTATTATTGATAAGCTAAACAAAGTATTCCTCCCCACCAATATGGTATGTCAGATCATATATTGACTTTTTGTACATTTACCCAGTATATCTAATGATATGGTGCACCATTTATTATTTCATTTGCTTAAATTAAATATTCATGGAAAATATTTCTTTTTTTTTACCCAACTAAAAAAATAAGCACACTTTGAGAAAAAAATGGTTTTGCATTTACACAGTCAAATCAAGAAAAATAGGTGTTTAATTTCTTTTTCTTTTCTTACTTTTTTTTTTTATAAGTTTTTTTTAGAAACCACTGCTTTTGATTAGATTTAAATTAAAATCAGATTAAATAAATTAATACATTATTATTTATTTACCTTTATTATTTATTGTATTTTATTATTATCACAAAAAAAAAAAACCTCAATATTTATATAAAATGAACATTAGAACTAGCGCACCAATTTATATAAATCTACCATACCCAGATTCAAGAAGAAAAGTTCATATTACTTTTAAATATAATGATAAAGTATGTTTTATTGAGTGAATGTTATTGATAATTTAAATAATCTGACATCTTTCTATAAATTTGAAGTTTGTCAAGCAATCTATCATTATTCAGAACGAATGGATTTCTTTAAATCAAGTTATTGGTCATTTGAAGCATACCCCAATTATTAAGACTCTCCTCGATACAAACAAAGAAAATAGTCTCTATTTGTATACTACCGATGATAAGTTGATTAAAACCTTGTTGGAGATTGTCAATGACCAAAAACTCTTGTTAAAGTTTGAGCCAAACAATCCCGATATCGACTACTCAAAGAATGTAGAGAAACCCAAACCGGTTCCAGTGGCTATAGCCGTTCACAAGCCAATGGAGGATATGACCAACAAGCAATTTGCACTGTGGGAGAAAGATTATGTTGCCGACTCTGACTTTCTAAATCAAATGTTTGACTTGAAGTCGCGATATCCAGACAGAGTTGAGATTGGAGAATCCTACCCGTATACTGCAAGGATTTATATCTCCAATTCCACCGATCTATGGAGTGATACAAAGAATCTTGGAGCTTGGGTCTATTTAATGGATAAGCCAAACACAAAGCCAGAATTCACTGTATACTCTGATTATAACCAGCTCGCTTCCCACATTAAATACATCATTGAAACAACTCTCACCTCTGTATCACAAATCAATGATGTAATGGAGAAGTGTTTTGAAAAGTATTTCGAGATCTACAAGAATTACTCGTTAGACCTGTCATGTGCACCCTTTCTTGATGACGATATTATCAAGATTTTCCCTCCTGAATTCAAAGTGGTAACAACGATGACCAAATCCAATTTTTACTATCATATCTATCAAAATGAACATACCTTGTCCTGCAAGTCAGGACTGCCAATATCGATTTGCAAACGATCGTTGCTGGTTTTCAAAGGCAAGTTTATTGATGCTTGGACTTCTTTGAAGAAGCAGTTCCCAGACATCTCTAAACAACCCAAGAACGATATCAGATCGTATCGCTTCAACACAACCACCGATATCGAGTGTTCAATTTGTTTGGACGACTGCTCGCCTCAGGATACACTTCAGCTTTCATGTGGCCACTCTTTTTGCATTTCATGTTTCAAGCACCACATAACCTCCAATATTGGTCAGGGTAAAGGAAACATTGCACCAATTTCCTGTCCATCACATTGTTGCCCGAATATCCTGGACTCTGTAACAGTGGCAACATCATTAAGTCCAAACCAGCATCGACGATTTATTGATCAGCTCTTTGATGAGTATGTAATGATCACTGAATCGAAATCATGTGGAGTTGATGCATGCAATAGAGTTATATATTCATACCCTAACATCAACAAAATCATACCATTCATTCCCTGTGGTTGTAACAATGCTATGTGTGCTTTCTGTGGACAACCAGCAAGTCATTGGCCAAACCCATGTACTATTGAATATGTGTCTCGCGATACCCTGAGAGAGTGGATCAGTATATCAACTATTTTGAAAACTACAACACTGTGCTCACGTTGTCATGTTGCTGTTGAAAGAACTACTGGCTGCAATCACATGACTTGTAAAATGTGTGGACATCAGTTTTGTTATGCTTGTGGAGGGGACTACTTTAACCATTTAACCTGCAACGTCGAAGGAAAATCCTATAATGCAGCCAAATATGCTATCCAATCACTCAATCTAAAGATTACTGAAAACAATTTACTAAAGATCGGACAGTTTCAAAAAGTCCCAACTTTTCTCGTAAGTTTTCACTGTTTCAACTTGATGGACCGGTTATTTATTTATTCTCTAACCTTTATATCTTTTTTAGGAGTTCAAACATAAATTCCAAGAATATTTAGATAAACATTCGGCGAATGACGAAGAAATCAACTTGGTACAACCAATAATTAAATTATTTAATGAATTAATGGCAATGCCAATAAAACAAAGAAAGTTGGAGAAATGCAGAGAGGTTGGTGATTTAATTGGTTCCTTTTGGCAAATTACCAAAGGAAAGAGTATCCACAGAACAAGCCGAACATCCATTAAACATTCAAATGAAACCGATGTTTTAATTAAAACATTGATGTGCGACATTTTATTAAATGGTTACAGTCAGGTGGTTACACAGTTGTTTGTCAACTCGAGCATCGAATTGTTCAAGATGGAAATCATTAGAAATCTGAACAAGAAGTTGGTCAACAAAATCGTGTTTACCAATGACAATAGTCCGGATTCTCAAAAGACCTTAAGAAAGATCAGATTATTTAACAAGGAAGGATTTGAGGTCTTTTCAGTCATGGATATCCCTCAAGGCGATCAATTGTATGTCACATTGGAAGGTGAAATGTTTATTAGTCAACCAAAGGACGAGCAGAATCCAAATCTTGTTGATAGAAAAAAACAATTGTTGGAGCAATTAATTCATCTTCAATTGGAAAGCAACAAGGATAGTGCCATCGAAGAGTTACAAGATTTAAGAACGAATCCATTGTACAGAGAGACTTGTTTTTCAGATCAAGAGAGAACAGACGAACAAGCTATCATTGAAGCTCTACAGGATTTCAGTGACGACGATGATGATAATGCTTATTATAACGAAGATTGTGAAGAAATTGGAATTTATGATAAATATCAAGATTATGTTGACAATTATTAAATCATTCATTTTATGTTTATTATACATATCAATCAGGTATTTTTATTTATTTGATTTTATCCATTTCAAACAAGATATTATTGTTTTTATTGTACATGTTTTGATTTTCTTTTTTTTTTTTTTTTTTTATAATCTTGAGATATCTCTTCCAAACAAAATTGTTTTGGACCAATCAAGTGATACCAAAAATTTGTTTTTCAAGCTAAATTGTTTTTCGAGATAAATTGCTCTCCACGCCCACCAGACACCAAAACCTCCACCAGAAAACTTGCCTGGGATATCTGCTACTGCATTGTGATGACCTGTATGTAGGAAGTTAAAATTAATAAATATATAAATATAAAAATAAAAATTACTTACCGATATAAGCAAATGATCCAAGATGTTTATATCTAAATGGTTGAATTTTTTGATCTAGATAGTCTTGACTGGGGTCTTTGGTCATATTGTTCATTGTCTTAGCCAAATAAATACCCATCTGATTGGCAACTTGGGCTGTGGCAGGGAGAGTTGTCAGATTGGAATCGATTTTCTCAATAAGATGCTGGAACTCATCGAATTGGAGGAAATTATCCTTGTTCACATCAAACTCTGCAAACTCTTGTGGTAGACGGTTGACAAATGGTTCAAGTTGTGGGTATCTCTGAATGTTATTCTTGACCAGGTGTAACAGCTCATCGATGCTCAGCTTATCGTCACCATTTTCATCTGCCTCTTTGAACATCTCTTTGAGATGATCTAAAAGCTTCTGTTGGGTGACAGTGGAGCAATCTCCAATGGCATATACATTCTTTTTGGGAACACCAATCGCTCGGAGATAGACATCGGTAGAGATGGCACGATTGTTTGATTGTTCAGGAATGGAATCACAGAACTTTTGTGTGAGTGGACGTGGACCTACACCAGTACACCATAATGCCATACCGAATGGTATTTCGTAGGAACGCTTGTCGATTTTGCTGACGACAACTATTTTTCTTGGCTGGACTTCGGTGACTCTAGAACTGAAGAGAGCATTGATGTTGGATCTCTGGAATTCCTTTTCGGTATAGTCAATGATCTTCTTATCGTAGGTGTTCAAAAGATGTTCAGCCGATTGAATCAACGATATCTGACATTTGGCAATGATTTCCTTTGGGAAGATCTTTGCCAGGTCGTCATAGATGTAGTCATAGATTTCACCAGCAGCTTCAACACCAGTTGGACCAGCACCGACGATCAAAAAGTGTAGTGCGTTTCTTTGTTCAATCTCAGAGATACCTGGATAGTTGGCTCTTTCGAAGCAGTCCATAATCTTGGTTCGAATCTTTCTAGCATCGCCAGCCTCCTTTAGGAACAGACAGTTCTCTGTTACACCCTTGGTACCCATTGTGTTTGGCATACTACCAACGGCAATAACCAATTTGTCATAGGGTATCTCTACGTGAGGAAAGCTTGTCACAGCACCTGGATAGTCTGTACTAGCGTCCTTGATGATAATGTAGTTATCGTTGTAGACAATATCGATGCACTCTGCTTCAATAAACTGAGAGCCACACTTTGACAATCTTTTCAAAATTCTTCTAATTGGTTCTGTAATGCTTCGAACTTCAACTGATCCCACGGTTGCAGCTGTCAACATTGGTGTAAATAAGAAATACTTTTTTTTTAAAGTTTTATTAATATAAAGATATCTTTTTTTTTTTTTTAATTTATTTTAAAGTTTGGTTACATACATTTCTAGGAGATACAACAATGACTTCATATTTATCTAAATCGATATTGTTAATAAAGGCAAGTGATGCCCATCCAGTTCCCAATATTACAATTCTTTCTTTATCACCAGTTTTCTTTATTGATGTTAATGGTTGCTTTGGTATAATGATTTCTTTTTTATCTTCACCCTCCAAGTAAAGTATAGAAAGAGCACCACCTAACAAACAACCAATACCACCAACTAAAAATGGCATTCTACTCGATCTCTGTTGATTAAATTCACCATTCCCATTATAATGATTGTTATTATTGCCACTGGTAAAACATCTTAAATTACTACCAGTAGAGTTAAATGTTGATCTATTGTAAACACCACCAACACTACAATTCTTTAAAAGTTTTGATATATTTCTATTTATAAACATACTTGTAAAATATATATAATGATATCAGTTAAATAAAATATAAATAATAATCAAAACATTTAAATTGGCTTTTGTGTGAAGTTAAAAAGGATATTATTTTTTAAAAATTAAATTCATTGAATTGGTGATAGTGTGGTTAAAAAAAATTGTATCTTCAGACTTTTGGAGCATGTAATTAATAAATTGTCATTTTATTTGATTTACAACCGAATATAATTGCATTAGAGTATTGTAAAAGTCAAATTGGTCAAGTGATTTGGGTGGAGTGTTGTTGTTGTTGATCTGATCTTGATCATTTGTAGTAGTCATCTTTTGATAGTATGGAAGTGTGTTTAGATTGTCAATAATCTTGATGATCTCACCTAGATACTGAAGACTGGAGTACGATGATTTGCATTGTATTGGTAACGAAATGTAGTGTTGATACTGTTCCAACAGTTGTTGTTTAAGTAGCTGTCTGAATTGCTCTAGTTCCACTGTGGTTGTGCACTGCGCGAATGGATAATCATAGAGAGTGTGATCCTGTTGTGACATTTGGTCATAGATTCTAACCAATCGTTGTTTGTCATCGTAGAGCAGTTGCGTAAATGTACTTTCGAATAGCTTGAGTAGCGCTCTTACACTTCCGTACACAACAAGTCCCTCTGGTTGCAATTGACCCATGACAGACGCTAGTTTGCCAACCGACTCGATCGCTTTCTTTGCCTCTGTCATAAGATTACCATTGAAAAACTGGAGCATCTCGTCAAAGCAATGATTGTTTCTAAAATTAATGAGTGGTGGATTGTTTTCGATGGTTTTGTTTCTGATGAACTGGCGATAGTAATCGATGCTTTGACGTTGTTCACGTTGGAACTTCATAAGTTGTTCTTGGAAACGTTGGTCTAAATGTGAAGAGCTAGTGGATGATGGACGGTCACACAAGTCATTGTTGATGGCTTCATCTAATCCTCTAGAGGCAAGGAGTTCTTCAACGGTCAGGTCTAAATGTGCAGGAAATTGAGGTGAATCGATGTTGTATTGTTGGATGACACGGAGCATTACATCGAGCATCGATGTCTTTTGTTCAAAATTGAATTCGTCTTGCCAAATCAAAAGGAAATCATGGAGTGAGTTGACAATGTTGTTGGATCTTTGTTCACATTTGTTGTTGTGCTTTTCGATATCCTCTGGTGAAATAGATAAATCTTGGGAGCACATATTGATATAGTTGGAGAGGTGCAAATAAACGGAACCATATCCTAAAATCATTGCATTCAGAAGTAAGACATTCTCTTTACTCAACCAAAGATCAGCTTCGTTGGATGGAGGAGTAGATAGTAGCCAATTGAAATACAAAACAATTCTATAGACACTCAAAGAGTGTTTTCTAGATTTTAAGATTAATTTATTTCTGATATTATCATTATTATGAAGATTGATATTGATATTGGTGTCGAATGATGATGATTTTAGAATTGGACTGTTGGGTAACTCTGGACATGGTTGAATATCACTAATGTCCATAAGACTATCTAACAATAATTTATTATTGGAACCAGTCATTGAAGAACTGGAACCACTTGATGTTGTTGTACTACTGGAAAATGAATATCCTTCATTTTCAGATTCCACCGATGACATTGAACAGTTGCTATTGTTGGAACTGTTTAAAATATTTAAGAATTTTTCAGTCATCTTTAAATATATTAGTTTTGTAAAGACAATTTCTATAAATTACAATAATTGATATGATTTTCTTTTTTTTTTTTTTATTATTAAAAGTATTATCTAATTATTAAAAATACAAAAATTTACAAACTATTATTTATAAATAAGATTAAAATTTATAATTTAACAAAAAATGTTTAAATAATGATTTCAATATAATAATACAATAAATCTTCTTATTTATTTTAATATTTTTAAAAAATAAATAAAAAAAACAACAAGTATATATAAATAAATTTTTACTATATAATGTAATAATTCTAATCTTGTTAATAGATAATGTTAATTTTGTTTAAGAGTAAATATCTCTTTACTTTACTATTTAAATTAAATACTACAATATTTATTATTCAACCAACAAATAATAAACAAATATATAAATATAACTAAAGAGATATTTAATAAATTACTCCTAGGTTTGATTCTTATTCATGATTGATAGGTGAGCGAGGTCTCTTATATATTTTTCAGTATTAAATAAAAATTGAATAGTCTGGTACTAGTCTGTGTTTGTATTTGTTGGATGGATGAGCACGCTGATCGCCAAAATAGACATTGGCTATTCTCAGAAAAGATATCTGACAGATTAATCTTGCTCTAGATTCTAATATCATTGTATTGTTAGATTAAAAAACACTTTAAGATTCGCATAGATTAAAAATCAAAATGTTCCAATGACAACACCATGCTTTTCTCTTTTTGGAATTGAATATCCAAGATAAAAAAAAATAAAAATTTTTTTTTTTTTTGGTGCACCATACCACATGTGTTATTTTTTGAAACCTTGATAATTTGGAGAGGTATTTCGCCTATTAATGTTTTTTTTTTAATAGGAAAACATGAAAATCGAAATCCATTGGTGGAAAATGGGGTTTCCAAAAAATCATTGTTATTTTTTTAATCTTTTGGGATCTGTGGTACTTTCCAACATAACGATTTGGAATGATAGTATGGTTGAATATCTATTATTGTAACTCACACAGGGTTGCTGCGGGTGACAATTAAATTAGGTTAATGGTTTTTTTTCTTACCTCAAGTGTCTCTTGTTTCTGGAAAGATTTTATATGTATCTGTCTCACTAATTCTAGTGTTACAATTCAGAATCACTGTTTTTTCATCTAGCATAGATAACAACAAGTTTTTTAAACAGATTACATAGATTGGAAAACCATAGATTTTCGATTAATCTGATATTATCTGTAAAAATTATTAATCTGTTATTTAAACATTTTAATCTTATCTTAAAAATTGCAAAATATTGTTCTTTTGGAGAAGAGATGTTTATTTATTGAGAGACTTACAATGAGACGCTTTTTTCATCAAAAATTGTTTAAAAGTCATTTTAAGTTTAGACTATATAACCTTTTTGTCTTTTAAACATAACAATAGAGACTTTGATAAAATAAAAAACTTGGCTTCTTCTTGTAATTTAATAATTTGAATTTAAAAAAAATTTCCCTCCTTTTTTAAAATTTTAAAACATCTGTGATTTTAGAAAATAGCGTTTTAATATATATTGAAGAAATTATAATTAATATTTTATATTTATATTTTTTATAAGATAAGATGAATGAATCAAAGACTGAAGAAATCGATGGTGATTGTTTGTTGGAACAAATCAACTCGATGATTGATGATAGTCAAACAATAAATTACAGATGGCTTTCAAATAAATTCAATATAAATCCAAATATCTCTAAAGAGTATGTTTTCAATATTAGTATCATCATCATCATCTATTAATAGAGAGTTCTATTTCTAACATTTGTGCAAAAGAATACTATTTCATATTTATAAATCAAATTCAGATCTATATATACCATTATTTATGATATCAGGTATACCTAAAGACAGTGCTGTATTATCTTATAATTTAGTACCATTAAAAGATTTAGAAGGTATATTTTAAACATATTTATATATTTATTATAATTATTAGGCTATTAACATTATATATGCTCTACTCTTTATTTAATTTAATAATAGAATCAAAAGAAAAGTTTTTATCGATAAACTCGATTCATGTTTATAGTTTATCAAAGGATACAACACCAACAGACCCTACCAATGCTGTCACATTGTATATTAATGATATAAAGGAAAAGTATCAAAATATGAGACCTTTGGGTGAAGAGTATTTCGATTTGTAAGTTGCTCTAATATATACTTGTTTTTCTACTTTGTTCATCGGTAGAGTATATTAACAATGATTTTGTTTCTTTAGTAAACCACCAATCGTTTCCGATAGTTTTAAAAAGAGAGAGTTGCACAGAGCTTTACCGATTTCAGTTCATCCTACACCATTTAAAGCAGATAAAAAGGTTACTGTTCAATCATCTACAACTAGTACAGCAACTACGACTACAGCGAAACCAGTAGCTCCTACATCAAAACCAGCAACTACAACTCCAGTCAAGTCTGCATTTACAGACTTTTTCACCAAGGCACCAGCTGGTGGTGATAATAACCCATTTGCAAAGTATGATCAAATGAGAAATGAAGAGAAGGCTGCTCAAGCTACAAAGGCTGCTATTCAACCTGTTGTCAACGTTGCTGACTCTATCTCAAAGAAGAGTGCAACCACCAAGTCTACTACCAACAGTACTACAACTACCACTAATACAACCAACACTACAACCTTAGCAGCAAAGAAGAAATCTGATCAATCTGCACCCAAACCGGCACCAAAATCTAAAGCCAAAGCCAAGGCCAAATCGGATTCTTCAGATGATGATGATGACAGTGACGATCCATTTGGAGATGACAGTGAAAGTAGTGAAGAGGAGATGCCATCCTATAGCAGAATCATGAAGAACAGAAAGACTATCGATGACAGTGATGAGGAATCAAATCTGAGTGGAAATAAGAGAACACTCCTGGAAATTGAATCGGGTGGTAGTGAGGATGAGAAGGAAATGAAGAGAAAAGCTGCTATAGAAGCCGCCGAGATTGAAAAGAAGAAGAAAGAAAAGGAGGAGAAAGAAAAAATAGAGAAGGAGAAGAAGCTCAAGGAAGAAAAAGAAAAGAAAGAAAGAGAGGCAAAAGAGAAGAAAGAGAAGGAGAAGAAAGAGAAAGAAAAGAGAGAGAAAGAAGAGAAAGAAAAGAAAGACAAAGAGTTGAAAGAGAAGGAAGCACAGCTACAAAAGGAGAAAGAGGAAAAAGAGAAGGCAAAGAAACTAGAAGAGGAAAAGAAGGAAAAAGAAAAAGAGATAGAGAAAGAGAAAGCAAAGCAAAAGGCAAAGTCAAAATCAAAGAAAGAAGAGAAGGAGGAAGAAGAAGAAGAAGAAGAGGAACAACAGGATGAAGAAGAGGATGAAGAACCAAAGAAGACTTTGAAGAAACAAAAAACAAGTGCTACTTCTAAATCAAACAGTAAGGTGGAGAGTGAGTCAAAAGATAAAAAGACTAAATCAACTAAGAAATCACCAAAGAAGTCTGCAGCAAAAGCAGACGATGATTCTGATGCCGATAAAGATGATGAGAAATCAAAAACAACCAAGAAATCACCAAAGAGCAAAACAACCAAGAAAGCTGCCAAATCAGATTCACCAGATAAGAAACAAACATCCATTACCTCTTTCTTTGCACCAAAGAAGAAATAAAATACTGTCAATCTATTATTTTTTTTTTTGGATATTATAATATTATTAAAAAGCATTTATTTATATTAATTTTTAATCGCTACTTATTAATAATACTTTAATGATATTATTTATAGATTATATATATAAATAATTATTATTATTATAGTAATATTGTAATTGAACAATCTGATTATATTCAGAATCAGATCGATAAGATAATAAAACAAAAAAAGTATTTTACAAAAAATATATGTCGTCGTTCATTCTAAATGTAGATATACATTGGTTTAAAAAGCAACCTGTCTGTGGGAAAGTGGTTGAAATGATTCGATATTGCCATCGATGTTGGTCATCTCCTCATTATCGTTAGAGGTAGTGCTATTCTCGGAGGTGGTGTCGATCATCATTGCAGAATGATCGGCCATTATCATCGGTGAGGTGTTGGTGGAGGCTGCTGAAGTGATGATTCTTATCGGTGAGATCGGTGAGATGCTTGGGTATTCCTCTGGTGATTCACTTCTCAATTTGAAAATACCATTGAATGACATGTCATCGTGGATTCTGAATACGTTTAACGTTAGTTTACCGTGGTCAGCAATCTTTAGACTATATATAAACGACCAACCAGAGTCACCACCCGACAACTTGAATCTCAAGACAGATCCATCGAAATCGACAAACTCTGCAGAGAATTTATTTTTAGTGTAGAATACAGATATTTTGTAACCATCATAACTGATCCTTGTTGAGCTGTTGACATCGACATCACACCATTGTTCACTCCATAGACCTACAAACTTTGAAATACTATCTACTTTTTTAGATTCTAAAATGATCATATTAATATAAAATGAAATGTTGTTAACAATGTATGTATGTTTCCAAGCAAATTACCTTTTATATATATTTGCTTTGCATTTACTCTTGGAAGTGGTTGTGGTGGTGGGATATTAAATGCTTGTTCAAATCTAAATTGATAGGATGGATAGAATCTTCTCCAAAGATAATCACTACAAGACAATGTGTAGCATTCTTTAGAGAGTAAACCAAACTTTACTAAATGCTCTGGCTCTAAGCATACTAAAATATTTAAAATAGCATCATATGATAAAGATTCTAATAATGATACATCATTGAATTCATCTAAAAGGTTGAAGTTTATAACAATTAGTTGCTGATGAACTATATGATTGGAACCTATATATAACAGTGTTAAAACAACTTACTTTCTGATCTTTCAATATCCATTGAAACAATTTCCATTTGAGATAAATATTAATATATATTTTCGAAAACTATAATATTATAATTGGTAAAATACAAAATTAAAGTTGTAATGATACAATTATTTATATATATATGGTTCAATTTTTTTATTATTTAAAACAATATTGATGTTACAATCTATTTTTCTATCTTATCTTAATCTCACTCTCTAATATCTATAAACGACAATGGTTGATAATCGGTTGGATATATGTGTAAGAGTGGTAAAGATATATAATTGTGGTGATACAAAAGTGGTTAAAAAAAAAAAAATATAATATATATTATTGTTACACTAAACAAAAAGCAATCTAAAATCAAATAGAGAGAGAGAGAGAAAGCTATCAATTAAATTACTACCCCCTATTCTCTTTAATTATATATTGCTTTATTTATATAAATATTTATATATAACTAATTATTTGATTATTTAAGCTTAGTTTTCAGTGTTGTCTATTTGTGTGAGGGAAAAAAAAAAAAAAAAAAAGAAATGATGTGATGTGTGTGTGTGAAATAAATTATTATTTTATTTGTATTGATACAATATTAGATAAAAAAAATACTTTGCAGACAGTGAGTTATGATAGGCAAGTGGTTGCAAAAAAATGAGAATTGAATGAAAAATCAAATTTTTTTATTTTATTTTTTCCCATACTATCCAACTGACTTTGGCTATCAATCAATTTTTTTGTGGTTTTTTGATTTTTTTTACTCAACTACCACTGATCTAACTTTATACCAAAACCAGATTTTTTTAAAATTAATAAACTTAAAATAAAAAAGTTAGAAAGTTGAAAGTTGATAGTTTTAAGTTTTTGTTTTTTTTTTTTTAAAACTATTTATTAGAAAACAATTATTAAATCTCTTTAATAATTTTATCGTTATTTGTGTTAAATGAAATAATTAATTAATAATATTTTTTTTGGATGATGGGGAGTGTGTGATACTGAAATATGTAATGATTTTGTTATTCCTTGACCAATCGTTTTGAAAGCTCTTCAATGGATACACCTTTTGTCTCGGGTACAAAGAAAAATACAAAAACGAAACAGAGGAATGACACACCTCCAAACATCCAATAGGTAAATGTCTGTCCAATTGCATTGAGAAGATGGAGGAATGATATATTTACAATGAAATTGGCAAGCCAGTTCAACATTGATGCAATGGAAACGGCTTTACCACGAATTTTCGATGGGTAAATCTCGGAAGCGATAATAAGTGGGATTGGTCCTAGTCCAACAGAGAACATCAGCTTGAAAAAGACCATACCCGCAACAGCAAGCCAACCACGTGATGTCGAGTGAAGTGGATGATCTCCATAGCCCCAGAAGGCACCACCAAGAACACCGAGTCCAACGATCTGACCGATCAGACCAAACAACAAAAGTGGACGACGTCCAAATCTATCGATCAACCAAACACTGATTAGCAACATAATCATCTGAGGAATACCAACCAACGCTGAAATCAATACCGATGTATCCTTATCGAATCCTGCACCCTCCAAAATCGTAGTACTATAGTAAATTACACAATTGATACCAACAAACTGTTGGAACATACTCAATCCAAAACCAATAAAATAAACTTTCAAATATTTCCTTGATGACAAATTTTAGAGAATTAATAAAATCGCTTATTTTAAAAGTATGATATTACTTACTTTTTCAGTAGTTGAGTCCAACCTTCACTACCTTGTTGTTCATATACATTATTCTTGATCTTTTGGATCTGTGCGTTTACGGCCTCTGTAGAAAGTGAGCTATCCAATCGCTTCATTGTAAGGAATGCATCGTTGACTCTATTTTTGGAAACCAACCATCTCGGTGTTTCCAAGAACCAGAAAAAGAATGCCATTTGCAATATCGAGGGTATTGTTGAAATTCCAAAGGTATAACGCCATCCATTATCTTGATGAATCAATCCGTATGCAACCAACGATGAAACCATGATACCTAATGTGATTGTACTTTGACGTAGCTATTGAAATTGGTATATAAGAATGCTATTAGCAAAAATAAATAAGCAAGTAAACAGAATATCTTATTTACCAGACCAAGTGAACCTCTCATGTGTTGTGGTGCGATCTCAGAGATATAGGTTGGCACTACAGTACTGGCTATACCAACAGAGATACCGGTGATGATACGTCCAACCATGAGCATACTAAAATTGGTGGAGAACGCAGTCAGCAATGGACCAGAGATATATAAAAGATTGTTGAGAAGCAGTGTGTTCTTTCTTCCGATTCTGTCGACAAAGATACCACTTCCTATCGATCCTACCATGGCACCAACCAAAATAATCGATACCAATGCACTCTTTTCCGATGTTGTAAATTTGAAGATCGATTGCATCGTTGGCATCGTCGGTGATATTACACCTGTATTATAACCAAATTCCAGTGTCGATAGCACTGCCAGCGAGGTTGTAAAAAACAATAGCCACTGCGATCGAGCAGTGGATTTAGAGGTATTTGATACTATTACCGGACTATTATTGCCATTATTATTATTGTTGTTGTTGTTGTTGTAGTTGTTGTTGTCGCTATTGAGACCACCATAACCTAAAAGATTTGGATCTATGATTTGATTGTGACTGTTTTGGTGTTGTACCCATTGGTAACTGTTACCACTAGTGTTATAATATTCGTTGATAGAACCTACAGTGTTATTATTATTATTGTCGTCCGATAACAAAAGTGACTGCACCTCACCTATTTGTACTTCATTGTCGTCCATAGATTCGAGAATAGGTGTATCTGAGCCTACAATTATTCCCTCTCTAAGCATTTATAATCTAATTTTCAACAAAACACACTATTTTATTTTTATTTTTTGGATCTTGATTATTCAGAAATATAAAACAAACTACAATAAAAATAAAACAATAATTGAATGATTCTTTTTAAAAAAACAACAAAATTTGATTTAATATCCTATGAAAAAATCTCGTGACCAAAAAAAGAATGAAAAAATATTCTATTGATCATTCCAAATACTTTTTTTGTTTTATGTAAAATTATAATCTGCAAAGAGTTTATTTTACTCGATTTATTGGCTAATAATGAAATAAAAAATAACTTTGGTTTCATTGTAAAAGTATGGTTCATATGTTTGCTTAAGTAATAATAATTTTTTTTATATTCTTAAAAATATAAATATATGATGTTTATCAGATATAAGAGAGTTATAGAAATAAAAAAAAACAAAGTTTTTATAAATGATTTAGTTATAATTGTAGACAAGTAAAGTGATCAAGATGAAGCCATAAATAAACCCAACCCATTTTTTATTTGAATTTTTTTTTAAATTTTTTTTGTGTTCATTTTTTTATTACTAAATTTTTTCATTAAAAATAGTAAAATCAATTATTTATTTTTTAAATATATATCTAAATACATAACAAATAATAATGTCTAAATTTGGAGGAGCCCGTACGTATTCTCAACAAACATAAAATGTATTGACAAAAAAAGAAAAACATAAATTAATACTATTTTCATAGCAAAATGTCCACTTTGTGCCAAGAGTGTATACGCTGCTGAAAAAAAACTTGGACCTGGAGGTAAAGATTATCATATGTATGTATAGAATTTGGTGATGCTAGTGGTAATGTGGGGGTGTAGGGTAGAGTGACACAGAGAATGATCAAAGGGTTTGCTATGGTTATTATAAAGTGATTATGTACTTTAAAAAATTAATCAAATTGGTTATTTAATGGTAGTGCATGCCTTGTATGTACAACATGCAAAAAGAGTTTAGATTCAACTAATCTTTGTGAAAATGAGAATAAACCCTATTGTAAAGCTTGTTATGGTAAAAACTTTGGACCAAAAGGATTTGGATTTGCTGCTGGTGGTAGTATGATGCATACCCAATAAAACAACAATAACAGAAGCAAAAAGCATGCTATGGTAAAAACTTTGGACCAAAAAGGATTTGGATTTGCTGCCTAGTGGTAGTATGATGCAACAATAACAGAAAAGCAAAAAGCAAAAAGAATAACCATAGATATTTAAATATTTGTAAAATTAAAACAAACAAAAAGAAGAAAGAAAGATTCTCTCTTTTCTTTTGAAATTATATAAATATTCTTTTGCTTTATTATTTATTATATTAAATTATTTAGTACATTTTCCATTGGAAAATATTTGGGTCCAATAGGGAATACCTTTAGTACTCTCAGCCACTGCCAAACCGATCAGTCTTACATCTGGATCCAACATGTTTTCGACATTGGTAGGCTCTGTCGATAGTGCCTTTAGAAAGTCTTGATCGCAAAAGTAACTGCCACCCATGTTGATGGTAGCGACATTGAAGCTTTTCATACCGAATGCTTGCAACAACGATAGAAGATCACCCTCGGCACTGTCTTGTGTGACTGCATATTTCGATGCCATATACTTGGAATGACTTTGTGCAGCTGCATTTAAACATGGGTTTTCAACTACTCTTGTAAGATTAAGTTTGTCTCGCTCCTGATTGACAACGTCGATCTGATATTTCGCATTGAATTTCACTTGACTGTTATATTTATTTCCAACGAAATTTCGAGGTAATCCCAATATGTTGGCTTGATATGTAATCGATGGAGACTCACAGTTTATTAAATTGAAAAACAATAATAACAAGATAAATAATATATTGATAATACTATAGAAATCTCCAGAGTAGAATTTCATTTGTTTTATTTTATTTTATATTGTTTTAGTTTGGAAGTGTATTATAATAATAATAAATAAAAAAAAGTAAGTTTCTTTCGATTTGATTGATCTAGAAATATTTTAAAAAAAATATAAATAAAGTAATCAAATAATATTTTGTTGTTGGTTTTATTAAATATATATTGCAATTTTTATTGGACGACGATTTATAATTATTAAAACAATAATGGATTAGCGAAAGAACACAAAAGCAAATGAATAATTAAAAGAATTTTAATTAATACTCTTACAACTTGTTATTGTGAGTGGTAGTTTAGTTTGTTGTTTATCACAATAGTCAATTACTATTATCTATACAGCAACAATATATATGATCAGCAGAGTGACAACGATTTTTATCAAGCAGCTATTAAAATTTGATTTTTATTAATTTTAGTAAAAGATTGATTTCAATTTATTCTATTACTTGTAATTGGTTATTTATGTAAAACAAACAGATTGTGATTAATTAATTTACGATACTCTCTGAAAATATAAAATCAAACAATATTGTTGTTTATTATTACTGCCGAATATCTATTTTCGATTGAATGATTGAATATTATGATTGAAAAGAGTGATATCTTTTAATAAATGAAATCAAACAATATATAATCACTGTAGATCAGATTATAAGGGAAATTAAACAATCACTCTTAATAATATCTGATATCATTATTTTGATGTTTAACATCATGACTTGTGTTTGAATTCATTAATTTTGATTATTGAAGTGTGTCTGTTCATGATCGAAACTTTATCAATAACCACAATCATCATCATCATCATCATATTAAGAGAGATTATATACATTCGAAATAATATTAATGAGATAAAGATATCTAATATATCATATTAAATTACTATTATCATCGATTTCTATTGATTCTTTTAAAATTATGTTAATCTTATTATTATGATTATTAATCTTATTAGTATGATTATTAATTGTTTTAATTATACAACATTGTTCAATGTTTAATGTAATTCTATGATTATGACTTTATATTTTAGTAAAGATTTGTGTTGAAATGATGATGATGATGATGATGGTGATGATGGTAATGTCTAAATCTGAATAAATAAAGAATCAAAATTGATTAATAATATTATTTGTTTGTTTGTTTGTTTGTTTGTTTATTTATTTATCAATATTATAATTGATCAATTTTAAATGCTAAAGAATAGGTTCATGACACCTTTGAGATAACTAACGATTTCACCAGAGTCCAAATTTGATACACCATAGATTCTATCAACAAATGTAATTGGTACCTAATAAATAGAGTGAGATTAATGAGTGAATACATATATATATATATATGAAGATAAATCTATAGACAATATTTAACATACTTCGCCAATCTTGTAACTAAATTGATTTGCTCTGACCATCATTTCCATTTGGAATACGTAACCCTTTGACTTGTTTACAGATATCAATTTTTCCAATACCTCTTTTCTATATAATCTGAATGAACCAGTGAGATCGGAAACACCAGGTGTAAGCAATACCGATGCAATGTAGTTTGCAACACGACTGGTTAGCTTTCTATAGAAATTCCAACCATAGACACCACCACCCGATTGATATCTTGTTCCAGTGACAATATCACAGTTTTCTTCTTTTTGTTTACTGTTTTAATGTGATTTTATAAATAAAACTATTAATCATTGATGACGAGTAATAATAATAATAACATACTTGATGAATTGTGGGATGAACTTTGGATGATGAGACAAATCAGCATCCATCAAGATGATCCAATTACCGGTTGCTTTCTTGATACCATCCATGTAAGCAGAACCCAAACCCATCTTTCCTGGTCTTGAAAGAATCTTGATCTTATCTTCACCATATATCTTTTGTAATTGTTGTGCAATTTGCAAGGTACCGTCAGGACTGTTATCTTCTACAATAACGACTTCATAATTTACAAAACTAAATCCGATATATAAAAGTTAAAAAATAAAAACTAAATCCAAAGGATCATAACAATAATAACATACTTTTTCTCCAACTCTGCATTGATCAACCAAATAATGATTGGAAGATTCTCTGATTCGTTATAGGTTGGCAGAAGAATGGTGTACTTGTCCTCACTTGAGGAACCAGATGATTTTGTTGTAGTCTTACGTTGTGACATCTCTACTATCTAATATATATATATATATATCTAAATTAATTAGAAATACACAACTTTAATTAATAAATAAATAAAATAATCTATATATAAACCGATCCTATCACCTGTTAAACTATCTGTTATTAAAAATTTATGACTCATCATTAAAAAAAAAAAAAAAAAATTTAAGCAAAAAAAAAAAAAATTTTTGAACTTCTCGAGCAGATTTGTATCATGATATGATCTCTTCAAGACTTGTGCACAAGTTTCCAAACACTGTAATATACAACATGTTGTTTTTATTTATTAATATATATATATTGTCAATTTATTTATTACCAAGGTAATGAACCATTTTCTGTAAAGTAACCAGCGGTTGGACCATCTTGTTGAGTTGCAAAGTCCGCGATGAATTTAGCTGCTACTTCTGGATCTTTGGTACCACGATGATGATTAAGATCGGTCTTGGTGAATCCTGGATTTAAAGAGTTAACACGGAAAGATTCCGACTTTAATTCCTTTGCGAGTTCGACTGTAAAAGCGTTTAGCGCGGTTTTGCTTGCACGATATGCAAAGAATGTTGCGTTGTAATAGATATACTCTGGATAAGCGTTGAGTGCAAGTGAACCTAGATCACTGGATACATTGACGATACTCTTCTTGGTTCCTACTCGCAGGAGTGGAATCAGCTTTTGTGTGAGAACGACAGTTCCAAAGAAGTTTGTCTCGAATGTTTGTTTCATCTTTGAGAGTTCCGAATCGATTGCACCCTTTGGCTCAATTGCGATACCGGCATTGTTGATGAGAACATCCAGATGGTCGATCTCTTTAATCAGCTGAGCAACGGCAGTCTCTATCGATGTCTCACTGGCAATATCCAATTGAAGAACTCTCAGTTGGTGCTCTTTATTCTCACGACCAACCAGAAGTTCAGATCTGGCTTTATTTCCACGCTCCTCGTCTCTCGAACCCAAATACACTAAATAACCTTTGTCAAGCAGATGCTTAACTGTGTAAAATCCGATACCCTTATTGGCACCAGTTACCAAAGCAATTAATTGTTTATCAGTTGTTGATTCCATTTTAATTTATATATTTAATTAATTAATTTATTTCTTTATTTATTTTAATTATTAGATTTGATTTAGTCGATATTAATATATTAAACTTGGTATTGTTAACCATTCTATTTATATCTTGTAAAAATCTATAAAAATAAGCAAATAATAATAATTACATCTTCCACTATGGAACAACCCTTAAAAGAATCAAATTCCTTTTTTAAAAAAAAAGATTCCAGCATATTTTTTTCGGACTTTAATTTATTAAAATTTATAATTTTGGAAAGTCTGAAATTGATGTTAATTTTTTTTTTTTTTTAATCTTTAGATGATATTAAAAACAATAATCATTTTTAAAATAAATAAATTAGTGATTTATCAATCTTATGATAAAAAATAGTTTGTACTTTAATTAATCTATTTATTGAAATTTATATTATTTTTGTGGTTCATTGCAAGTTATTAGTATAACCCCCCACACTCAAGTTGTATTTTATTTTGTCTTTTTTACCATGTGTGAATGTCAAAAGAATAATTTTATTACCAAACACTATTCACATAGTTTGACAGGTAGATTGTTGTTGGTGTTTCATTGGGAAAATAGATAATTATATCTATTCGATATTACCAATCAATAATGCAAATCATTCGTTTAGTATTTACGATTTAGGTTTTATTCTTTGTATCCTCTATTCCTTTTTATTTAAACCAAAGTTGTCTTGAATACAAAGATAACATTTCAATATCACTTATAAAACTATGACATTAGATCATGATACAGAAAAAATAGATTCCTATAATCAATTACAATCCAGTGGATATTCAGAAAGAATTACAAAAGAATCTCACCTGAGATATATATTTAGATTATATTTCAATGTTTTTGTTGCGGTACTTAGTACATTCTACTATGGTTTTGCCACAGGAGTATTGGCACCGACTTTTATAAAAATTTATGAAGACTATCATTATTCAAAACAAATACAATCTTTATTTGTTTCAGTTTTACTTATAGGTATATATTTTGATAAAAAATAATATCATTGTAAACATATTAAAATTGTTTTTTTTTACAGGTGGAATGGTTGGATCATTTAGTAGTAGTTTTTTTATGGATAAATTGGGAAGAAGAAACACTTTAATATATAATAACATTCTTATTTTTATTGGTGTATTACTTTCTAGTTTTTCTTATAATTTACCATTCTTTTACTTTTCAAGATTTATTAGTGGATTCTCAGCTGGAGTTGGAAGTGCTGTTGTACCTGTTTATATTGCTGAAATAGCACCTCCTGAGAAAAGAGGATCGTTAGGTGTTGTTAGACAAATTTCTGTAACCTCAGGTGTAATTTCTTCATCATTAGCTGGTAATTTATCATTTGAATTAAGCTTTCTTATTGTTTATTAATAGTTTAAAAAGCATTTGGTTTGAATAGAATTCATAATGGCTGGAGATATACTTTTGGTATTAGTGCAGCAACAGGTGTGATTCAATTGATACTCTGTTTTTGGTTTTTTGAATCACCACGTTGGTTACTTTCAAAGAATAAAACCAAGGAAGCAATTCTTGTTATCTCGAAACTAAATGCTGAAAAATCATCCGAAGAAATTCAATCACTCATCCAAAAAATTCAAAATGATCTATCTACCCAAAAAGAAAATGAATCTTGGCAACAGCTTTTTAAATTGTAATACTAATTAGATCACATTTTCCTTTATTATTTATTTAGTTTTTTTTTTTTTTAATTAGGAAATATTGGAGAGTATTTTTAATTGGATTTTCATTATGTTCATTCCAACAATTCGTTGGAATCAATTCTTTAGTATATTATAGTGCTGACATTCTAATGAAATCTGGATTCGACCATTCAATGGCAGTGTTACTATCAGCATTAATAGGTATTCCACAAATCATTATGCTTTTAATATCTCTATGGGCTATTGATAGATTCGGAAGAAAGCCATTGTTATATATAGGCCTATCAGGAATGATCGTTGGTGCAGTTGTATTGGGTTATACTTTTTGGAATGACGGATCTGACAAGTCAAGAACACTTTCAATTGTTGCAGTAGTATCGATGATTCTTTTCAAGATTAGTTTTTCACTTTGTTTAGGATCGATACCGTTTATTATTGCATCCGAGATTTATCCAAATAAGATCAGAGGTAAAGCCATGTCCATCGCCACCCTTGGTACATGGCTTGCCAATATTTTAGCCAATGTGTTATATTTACCACTTGTTGAAGCACTTGGACATTCTGGACTCTATTGGTTCTACAGTGGATCCTGTTTACTCTGTTTGTTATTCGTTGCCATTTTTGTACCAGAGACCAAAGGAATACCAATCGAAGAACTATATAAAATGCTCATCAAAGAAAATGAATCACCAACAAAAATAATAACATCAAGTCCTCAAAAAAATAATGATAAAGTATAATTAAATTAATATACATAAGTTTATTACAATAAAAATCTTAAGATTAATATTAGAGGAATTCAGGCGTGGAGCTACCTAAATAAACTTTAATTGTGTCTGGGGTACTCTCTACAATTCTTGCCTTGATTGTTGGTAAACCTAATCTTTTATGTGCTTCAAATCTATTATAAATTAGATAATTTTTGAGATTACAAACTAAATGATAAAATAGTTACCTGTGACATCCACCAAATGATAAATAATAGTTATTTGAAGGATTATTTTTACCTTTGATATAATGTACATCGATAGGAGGTACCTCTTCCGAACCTGATGATGAATATGTACTCTTTAAAGTTTCCATCAGCGACAAAACTTTTTCCTCATCAAGGTATGATGGTAGAGGTCGGTGTATTACCGAAATTGGCATCATTGTTTCTGTTACTAATCTTGTATAAACACTCATTTTATTTTCTTTATTATTTGTTAAGATATATAAAAGTAATATTATTATTCTGAAGAAATATTTTAATTTATCTTAAATGATTTTAATCACACAACAACATATTTATAAAAAAGGAAAATTAAAAAGAATAAAGTTCTGGAATTCTTTAAAAAAAAAACGAAACAGAACAAATAACAACATCTTGTTTTTTTATTTTTACAAAAATAACTCATCACTATAAGTTTTATAATGTGAAATGTTTTTCAAAAAAGATAATGCATTTTATTTAATCTTATTTTTGAAATAAATAAATTTTTTAAAAAAAAAAACAAAGAAAAAGAAAAAAGAAAAATAAATAAAAAATTTTCAGTAATGATAATAGAGATTTCTCTTTTAATTTTCAACACCATTTTGAGCATTACCAAAATTTTTTAACCTGGGTTAAAAAAAACACTTATTAACATTAATACCTTAGGTACCCCGACATTTTTAATTATATTAATTTTTTTAAATGGAATAAATTAAGATGAACACAATTTTTTTTTTTTTTTTTTTTAAGGATTGTTGTAGTTATAAAATTTAGAGAAATATATCAATATCTTTAATTTCATTATTATTTTAACTAAATAGCATCTATCTATTCCCAAGATATTGTTTGTTTTTACTTTTTTTTTAGATTTTTTTTTTTTTTTAATTTAATTTTCTATTTTAAAACTTATTGGAATCATTTTAAAGTGGGGTGTCTATGTAGCAAAACTGAAGGAGGGATCTACACCGATTGTCCCTCCTCTTTCAAAGAGAAGATAAGATTCAAATTCATAAAGATAAAAACAAAATCAAAGTCTGGTTTCAAGTCAAAGATTGTCACCAGATTCGATTTTAAGAAACCATATAAATTCAAGTTTGAAGACACCAGTGCTAGTAGGTCTGCTGCTCCCGAATGTAGATATCTAATTAATCAACAACAAGTGCAACTCTATCCAATAACATCCAGCACCAACAATAACTCCAACACAACATTCTCCTCACCACACATTCTTGCTAGACCTGTAAATTATCACACTACTGTATATACGACAACCACAACAACAACAACCACCACGACAACAACTAATTTCACACCGACCAACACTATTACACCTACTACACTTCCGCCATCAATAGTATCTAGCGACTTTATTCTTTCCAACTCGACTCATAAACAACCAATACATTCATTTGAGATTGGACAACAAACAACAATGCAATTGTTACCACCGAATCAAAGTACAAGACCAAGAAGCAACACTATTGAGACAATGAGAGCACTCACTGGCAGAGATGATAATGGATATAAAATGGTAAACGATTATGTCATTGTTAGGAGATTGGGTGTTGGATCATATGGAAAAGTAAATTTATGCTTTCATAAAGATACAAATTTGTTTTATGTAAGATTAATATCGTTGTTGATTATTATTATTATTATGATATCATATCTAACTTTTAAGACTCTAGGCAATCAAAGTATTTAGTAAGCTGAAATTAAAGAGTAGACAAAACTTTGGATTAAAGTCTAGTGGTGGAAATGCATATGAAGAGGTGATGAAAGAGATAGCAATCATGAAAAAAATGAATCATCCCAACGTAGTTAGATTGTACGAAGTCATAAACGATCCCGATGAGGATTGTATATATATAGTGATGGAATATATCGAAGGAGGTTCAATCATGTCCACCAATGACCTCGCTAGAAATAACTGTATGTCTGAGAATCTAGCAAGAAAATATTTTAGAGATATCGTCTATGGATTAGAGTATCGTAAGTACTAAACAAACACTATCTTTAAAGTGCTGACAGTATTCTCCTAACAAACAATTTATTACTCTATAAAGTACATGAACAAAAGGTTATTCATAGAGATATTAAACCAGAGAATCTATTAGTAAATAAGGACGGTGTTGTTAAGATTACAGATTTCAGTGTCTCTCATATCTTTGAATACAGTGATATTCTAAAGTGCTCTGCAGGAAGTCCTGCTTTCTTAGCACCAGAGTTATGTAAAGAAGGTAAACATCAATTGTTAATAATAATATGAAACAATTATTAATATTTATTTACTACAACTAAAGACCAATCGAATATATCAGGAAAAGCTGTCGATATTTGGGCATTGGGTGTCAGTTTGTATTGTCTAATATTTGCAACGACACCTTTCAATTGTAATCAAAACAACTTAATGGCTATTTATACAATAATACAAACACAGGAGTATGTATAATCATGGTAATCTTTTTTGATATTCATTGAAATGATCATACTGAAACAATAACGATCGTTTTGTTATAATTAGAGTAACATTTCCAAGAGAAATCTCGGTTGAATTAATTGATCTATTTAAAAGATTGCTAGATAAGAATCCATCAAGTAGAATAACGATTAAAGATATAAAGAATCATACTTGGACAACAATGAATGGTACGTTGCCAATGAAAGAGAGTGATCATTTCATTCTATCAGTTACAGAGCAAGAAGTAAACTGTGCTATCACCTCTGATTTGTTTAACTCAATGGTAAGAATCTATAAAACTTTCGAATATTTCATTATTAAAGTATTAATACAATTTATATATATACATAGGATGATCTTAGTAGTAGTAGTGAGAGTAGTGGTGTACTTGGATCAGAATCATTAAAGAAAAAGCTATATACCCCAATTACTATTACTTCTAATAATAATAATAATAATAATATTAATAATAATCAACAACAAAACAATAATAGTTATAACAATAGCACTTCTAAATTCCAGAATGATGATGATGACGACGAAGAAGAAGAAGAAGATGATGATGATAGTCATAAATTACCATCTCGATCAACTACAAAGTCGTTACCTGATTTTATTTCATCAATTGTTAAACCACTGACAAGAAGCAACTCAACAAGATCGATCAACTAGTGGCAAGAACTTATTTATTAAAAACAAATAAAATATTTAAACGAACTAATATTTTGAAATCATATTTATTTATGATGATGCTATTTTAAATTATTTTGACCAACAACAACAACAAAATTAACAATAATTAATTGACTTTTAAAAAATCAAAAAAGGTAATTGATATTAATTTATTTCTGTTTTTCAAGAGAATAAATCAATTCCTATTGGAAGTATATCATTTTAAATTGATCATCAAAATACATTAAGACATTCTTATTTAATATAACTTAAAACTGTGTGATGGTCCCTATGTCAACTGGTAACAAAGTATAGAACCAATTGTTTTAACTTAAGTAAAAACATAATGGTTGACACTTTGAAATTAAAATATGTTTTATTTTATTTAAATTTTGATCATTATCAATCTCATCTTTTAATTTAAAATATATTTAAATCTTTGAATATTCAAACACTCAATAAAATTTTTAAAAATACAAATTTTAATTATTCATTATTTTTTTTTCTCTCATTCAAAAAAAAAAAAAGTAATAATATACATATTAAAATTAGAATTGTATGCTAAAATGATCAACTACCTATAAATAAATTCAATAGGTAAGTGTAAAATAATACAAATTAACTGAATTTTATGAAAACAACTGACATTATATATAATAAAATTATATCTGTATGTTATATATATTGTTTGATTTGATTCAATTTGTTATCATCGGCTGTTGGAATTGGAATGATTAAGACATGTGGTTATTTAATAATACAACAATAAATAAACACACACACACACAATCACACACTGCAGAGTTTTTGTGATATTGAATTCAATTCACATACAACAATCTATTCTCTTTTACCCCATTTATCTATTTATTATTAATATTATTTTCTTTTTGTTTGTATGTTTGACCGATAGGTATCGGTAACATATCAAAACATTGATCAATTAAACAAAGTAAAATAACCCCCCCTTTTATCTTTATTAGTTATATTCCAATTTAAATTGTTGTATAAAAATTAATATGATGATCAGTGTTTTGTGGATTGAACAATCCAGATTTTGGATGTTTTGTTTTAAATTATAAAAAAATAAACTTGAGAAATAAATCTGATATGTTACATCTGTTGACGAGTGTGTCGATGTATTTATTACGTACCAATCTACTTTCAAATTCTTTAGATGTTTTCCCAAGCTTTCTATCTTGTATCCACATTGTTTTAGCTTAAAACAATAAACAGCTAAGCACATCATCTAACAACTGAACACAATCACCCACACCACCAATACACACATAACCCATATATATATAAAATATAGTTGTCTTTTTATTACGATTTATATTTTAATTGGAACATTATATTTTATACTTTTGGAATGTAGAAAATCAATAGTCAGGTGATTATACATTTGATTATAAACACTCAACAACAAGAGATATTGATGGAGAATTGCTTCGCCATACATCACTTTAATATAGAGGTAGAATGTGAGTGTTTGCAACACAATTAAACAGATCGTCACTTGAAATTCTAAAGATTATGGTTGGATTAGTCAATTCTACTCTCGAATTTAATTCCTGGTTGATTTAAAATCCTGCTAAACTCAAGAACTAACTTGTCCATCAACAAAGTAGAGTAGTATACTGGTTTGTTTTTCTTTTTATTTTATTTTTGTTTTGTTTTGATGTTGTTGAGAATAATACACACAATGAAATAATGAAATTATCCTTATTTTAATTGTATAGTTGTATGATATGCACACCTCCATTAAACACAAACAGAGCAAGTGCACAAAATATTTGTTTTTGATGTTAATCTCTTTTGCTCTGTGCTATCAAGATAATAATTTTTTGTGAAATTAAATGGTGTAATTAAATTTCTGTTATATGTGTAGAGAGAGCTCTTAGTTTTCCCATGCATCGCACTAAAGATTTACAATTCAGAGTGGCGAGAGAGTAGTACAAGTGGGGGTTGTGATTATTTCTGAAAGATTGTAGCTGAATCATTTAGTCATCAAAAATATATCTTTTCTTGGGTAGAACGACACAGTTTGTCTGATTTGTGTAGCATTACAGACGACTATTTAAAGCTACATCAAATGCCATTCTAAATCAATCTCATTAAAAGTATATTATTAACAAATTGGAAAATAATTATAGAGATCATTCCAGTTTAATATATATAGTATCTTTTATATATTTATATCATTAATATTGTAATAACTTATTCTATCATTTGTTGTATCAATACCAAACAAAAAAAACAATCATGTATTTAGGTCGTTTCATTACACTATTCGCAGCTGTACTATTAATTAGTGCTTCTGTCAGTGCTAAAACTGTCACCTTTGATGGCAGTTCCTGTGCACAATCTCCATTGAGTCCATGCAAGATCGATTCGATGCTCGCCACTATTGCAGGTGCACTCCAAGCCACAGATGACGTCATTATCAACGGTGCCAAAAATGCCATCTACACTATTGGAAACCCATTGACCTGTAAGAGTCTTAACATCTCCAACGGTGTTGTAAACCTTGCCTCTGGCTTGAATCTCAATGGACTTCTCTACGTAGCACCAAACGCTCAATTGGTTATCGACACAGTCGCCGGTATTGCCAACTGCAAGAACGTCAAGGTCGATGGTAGTCTCTTACTCAAGGCAGGTATTTGCAATATCGCCGGTTTGGACTTGGCTGGTGGTTTGAAACTCCAGGGTGGTCAACTCAATGTCAACAACTTGGTATGTGCCTCCACTTGTATTCCAAACATTGTCGGTGGTATCATCAAACACACCGGTAACTGTATCTACAATGCTATTCCAACCGTTTCTGGTACCGCTAAATTCTTGGTCGATGGTATCGTCAATTTGAACAAAGGTATCCAATGTATTGACAAGTGTACCGTCAACATGCTCAAGAACTCTGTTGCCAATATCCTCGGTGACTCCAAGATTTTAACTCCACTCGACTTGGACGCCAATGCCAAGTTCATCGTCAACAAGGGTACCTGTGCACTCAATGGTCTTACTGGTGATCTCAACTCTGTATTGTCGGTTGTCGACGGTATCTTGAATCTCAATGCTCCATGTAAAGTTCCAAATCTCTCATTGGACGGTCTCGGTTCTGTCAATGTGAACACCGATGTCCAATGTAACAACCTCAAAGCCAATGCTAATGCCAAATTGAATCTCCTCAACAACGGTCTCCTCAAGGTCGCCACCAAGGCTGACTGTAACGCCGGTATCAACCTCGCCAACACTGCCCAATTCATCGTCGACTCTAACGCCGTTGCCAACTTGCTCGGTGGTATGAAATGCTCTGATAACTCGATCTTCAAGGTTCTCGACAACTGTAAGGTCAACATGAACAAAGACAACATCTTCACTCAACCAATCTCCGTCGGTCCAAAGTCAATCCTCAATCTCGCCAATGGTGTTACCACCTGTAACAAGGGTATCAACACTGATCTCTCAACCATTATCAACCTCGACAAGGCCACATGTCACCTCAACAACAATGCCAATCTCGGTTCTGTTAACCTCAACACTGGTGCCAACTTGAACATCAACGGTGGTAACTCGATCATCAACGGTCCATTCAAGTGCAGCAAGGACTCAACTGCCGCCATCACCAACGCACTCCTCGACTTGAAGAACAAAGTTGATTTGGATAACATTCTCCAATTGAACACCGGTGCCAAATTGAACCTCAATGGTATCACCAACTTGAACAATGGTATCCATTGTGCCGATAAGACTCCAATCATCAATGTCGCCAACCAAGTTAATCTCAACTCTGTCTCTGACTTGAAGGGTCTCACCAATCTCAATGCCAACGCTATCCTCAACTTGAACGGTGCTGGAACTCATTCCTGTAACAACATTAACTCTGATGCTAAAGCTGCTCTCAACGTTAACAAAGGTTGTGCTCTCAAGATTGACGGTCTTGCCAATCTCAATGGTGTCAACCAACTCATTGACAATGCTCACTTGATCGTTAACGGTCAAACCAACCTCCTCTCTGGTCTCAAATGCTCCGGTTCACAACCATCTAACCTTTCAGGTATGTAACTAAATAGCTATTAGCATATTTTAATATTCATAATAACTAATCATTTCTCGAAATCAATATAGTTACCAAGACTGGTAAATGTAACTTTGGAGCCCCAACCAATATCAATGGTGCCGTCTTGGTTGATATGGGTGGTAACTTGATTGTAGATGCCGAAACAGCCATCCACACCTTGACCAACAATGGTAATATGGTCATCAACAAACCATGTAACATCTTATCAGACAAGTTCAGTCAAAACGATGCCAACTCTGTCATCAACTTGAATGCTGGTGGTTGTATCAACGCCGCCAAGACACTTGATTTGGTAAAGGGTACTGTCAATGGTGTCGGTGCACTCAAATGTGGTACCTGTAACTTGGGTAACAACATCAATGCCAACTTGAACATCGATGGTGATATTGTACTCCAACCAACATGTAACCTCGTTGCCAAGGTCAACCAAGCAACTGGAACCGTCGTACCAATGATCGTCGGTACCGGTAAGTGTGTATTGAACGGTGTTGCCGATCTCGGTGCTTTGGCCGCCGGTGCTGGTAAGCAAGCTGCTGCTGAAATCGTTCGTTTGATCTCTGCACCAAATGTATCTGGTAATCTCTCGATCAAGGCACCAGCTGGTGGATGTGCCGGAACCTGTCCAAACTGGCAGATGGTCATCCCAGACTGCAAGTGTGCCTGTGAATTCCACCGTAAATAATAATCTTACAATCAGTAGTATGCAGTAACCCCAACTGAAATACGATCATCACTTATTTCTTTGGTGAAACCGCCATAAATAAATAATATATAATATTCTTCTTTCGTTTTTTCATTAAAAAAATAAAACCATTATTATATTTATTCAATAATTGTCGTTTTAAAATAACCACATTTTTCGTTTACCACCACTGAAAATCTTTATGATTTATTCGTTTTGAACATAACAATAAATCCATAAAAATTGATTATTTTTTTGATCAAACCATCGTTCGTTCTTAAAATACACACAATTCAATCAAAATCATAATGATTCTTGTTTTATTGATCAATAAAATCATACAAAAAAAAAAACAATAATATCTTGTTTATTTGAAATGATCGATTCTTTTTTTTTTTTTAGATTTTTTTTTTGACAAAAACTAGTTTTTTCTATTGTATGTTGCCCCGCAATCTCATTATTTCTTAGTCTGACCTTATTTAGGGATCATTATTCCCAAAAATATTATAATTTTTTTAATTATCTCTTATATTTAATTTAATTTTTTAGAATGAAATAATTATAAAAGAATAAGATTTTGATTGGGTTTTATTTGTTGTCTCCGACAGCGAAAAAAAAAAACTCTAAATTTGGTCACAATTTTGCAAATCTGTATTTTTTTATGGTATTAAAAAATTTTCAATTCAGATCTTTTCAATCCAAATTTGAAAATAAAAATAAAGAATTGGGGGGTAATAATGTGGTGAGTCCTGCTCCATCCCACATACACATGAATTTTAGTGGTGAATGAATCCCCAGTTTAGTCTTTTGTCAAAGTCTACCACATCTCTCGAAAAAATATTAGTCGTGTCTTTTTATCTATCTATTAAATTCAAATTTACCATATTTAAGAACATACCAACACTGCGTCGTGTGCATAAAAAAAAAAAAAATATATTTTTGATATTTAAAAAAAAAAAAAAAAAAAAACCAAACAAAAGTGATTCCTTATTGTTCTGTGCATTTTATTTACTTTAATTACAAAGGGTACAGTACCTCAAACATTATATATATTTATTTGACTTTTTATTTTTATCATAAAAAAAACACAACAACAACACCTCAAACACTCTTATTATTATTCATGTTATCTTTCTTTTAAAAAAAATTGTACATATAAATACAAAAAACAAATAACACCAAGAGCAACACACAAAAATAAATAAAAAATAAAAAACAAAAAGACCACACACCTAGCTCTTTAATACCAACAAAAAAATAAAATAAAAATAAAAGTAATTGTTGTAAAAAAAAAAAAAACAAAAATAAAAGCTTTCGATTAAAAACATACAATATAGCACCATCACAATAATAATCTTTAAACACCATTTAAACTTACATTCACAAAACTTAATACAGATAGAAGCGTTGTAGTCACAAACACACATCCTCGAATACACAATAAGATTGTAGAAATCTTCTTCATCTTAATTTTCATTAGATATTAGAAATTTAATTCAGTTGGTTACTTTTTTTAGACATCAAAATTATTTTTATTTAAATTTTTTAAAAAAATTCATTTCTAGCTTTGTTAAAAACATAAATATAAAAAAAAAGCGCTATTATATTAATACTTTTATCACCATTCTATACATACAACAATTGTTTAATAATACTTGTCTCACCACTACAAACCTTTGACTAATCTTAAATATACAACCAGTACAGTTTAGTGTATTATTTTTTTTTGTTACCATATAATATCAAAATCCATTGGCGATTCGGAATCAAATTTCAACCATAAAGTAGCAGTAATTTATATAATCAAAAGCGAACTTCTTTAATATAAAGGTATGTAAACTAAAACTACAACAAACACATACGACAGGATCAACTTCTCAAAAAATTAAAACTTTTGACTACCAAAACATGTTTTTTTTTGTTTTGTTTTTTGTTTTGTTTTTTTTTTTTCAAATTTTACTTTCTTTATGAACTGTTAAAGAGGAATCTTGTTTTCATTGTAATTTTATTGGTCATCAAAAAGTTTCTACATTAAATCAACACAGTTTTTTTCGTTTAAAATGTATCCGTTTTAATTAATCTGGTTAGTTATCATGTTGTTGAATTCAAGAGTACCTATAACCCATTGATCAAACAAATAACTCAATGAACTTGCTAAACACTCTAACATCCCCAATCATTAATTATATCTCATTTAAACAACACCAAAGCAAAAAAAAAAAAACACCACACAATGTTAATAACCAAATTAATTAAAAAAAAAAAACCAAAAAAATAGCAAAAAAATATAATTGATTTTGGCTGTGATTTAATAAAACATTTTCATTCCTTTCTCTCAATTCTTTTTACCTATTTCTCTCGAATCAACACATCGCTTACAATTACTATCACTATTCTATACCATTACTATTGCTATTACTATTACTATATTAGTGATAAAAACTGTATCATTATTCACTTATATATATATCACTGCCTCTATCTATCACCACTTTATTTTTCTATTCTCAATAATCACTTACTATTACTCTAATTTATATAAATAAATTATAAACCAACCAAATTTCAATATATACATATCTCAAAGATTATCAAGTGTGTGAGTGTGGTGTGTGGATAGTTGTATAAACAGTTGTATCATCCCACGTTATTATTCACAGCATATATATATTTGCAAACCAATCAACACACAGCCAGTATAATGAACACTTTTTCGACATTTACATAAGAGTTTTGACTGACTCCATTACAACTCTAAATTTTCATAATCCCACAGCAACAACAACAACACCACTACCACTCTACCCCATTATTCACTTATCCACAATATATAATTAATAACCACAGTTTTCACATCTCTCTTTTTTCCACCACAACCATTCACATCATTTTATCGTATAGTCAATAATAAATTATTGTTTTGTATCATTGTATTAAATATTACAACACCTGTCAAAGCATTCTTCTCACAGAAACACCAGGTTTTTAACATTACATCAACGACAATTTATATTTTATTTTCATTAATATTATTTTATTACGATTCGATATCAAATATTTTTCATTGTCCTTGCTTGGTTTATATTACATCGTTTTTTGTACACTTATTTCTTGCACTTTAGCATCGCTCTATTTATCATTACATTGAATATATAAATATATAAATCATAATAATATTGCTTCAATAGTTTTCTATATTTATACAAACTATTATTTGCTCAAATCAATAATACCACCTCCAGTACCATTTCAATATCATTACTTTAAGCAACAACACTCCTGTACCAACAATAATAACATTACCATTTAATACAACTTCAGAGTTCAATCAATATTAATTCTTTCTTTTAATCCTACTACAAATGTATTTTGATCAATCTTTTTCAACATTGGATAGTATATTCTTTTCTCGAACAATGACAGATGTTTTAAACTCTGAGGGTTCAATTAATTTGCAGAATATAGATGACTATTCTAGCAACGATGCTGACAAAAAGAAGAAATTGGTTTATACTTCTGGTAAGCTTCTATCTCTGTTGATTTATTCACAGTCTTTTTCTAATCCTATTTCACTCTAGAATATTTAAGGCAATTTGACCAACAAAGCAAGGAGAAACCACCATTACAGCACCACCAAATTCCAGACAGCAGAAACATATTTAATCATGAATTTGATCCAAAGGAAAGACAAATCTCAGATTATATCAGTATCATTCAAAGACTAAAAGGTATAATTATTAGTTCGAATGATGATGGTCTAATCAGTAGTATGAAGCAAACATTTGCTGAGCATCAACATGGTAAAATATTTGGTAAGAGTTAGAATAATAATAATTTAGCATTAATCAATTCATTAATAATTTTTGTTTTTTATATATATATTTTTTTTTTAATTTTTTATTAGAAGACTATGTACATCCTAGAGTGCCACCCATTCAAGGTTTCTCATTCCTTGAGCAACCATTACCGTTCAATTCATACTTTTCTGGTGGTTCATCAAATGTTACACCAGTTGTAAGTGGACAGCTCCCACCATTGCGATCATCACCAAGAAAGATTGAAACTCCGCAACCAATACCAGTAACACCATTGCCTCAACCAACTCCACCAGCATACAAATCACCAAGAAAACAACCATCACAGAGCAATCTCAATCTGTCATCGATTTCTGCATCATCGACACCCTCATCGACACCAACTTCTCTCACACCAACCACCATCTCACCATCAAACTCGTCTTCCAACATTACAGCTGCCATTGGTGGTTCAAAAATGAAAAAGTCACCATCGATGCCAGTCATTGCTAAAAACAAAGATCTTTCATCATCATTTGAATCACTCAAAACCTCTTCCAAACCACCTCTTAAATCTTCTAGTAGCAACACAAATATTACCACTACAGCCATAAAGAAAGACGATGTATCACCAACTAAGAAAGGATTGGTTTCCACAGACAACCAACCAAGAAAGCCAATGACAAAATCTGTTTCCATGAGTTCAATTGGACCAGACTCTCCATTGCCAATGAAGATTACAAGTCTCGAGGAGATCACTGGACAGATCTATCACCTGACCAAATACCAAGCCGGTTGCAGATTCCTTCAAAAGAAGCTTGAGGAGAAGCCCGATGCCGAACATGTAACATTGATTTTCAAAGAGGTCTATGAGCACTTGATAGAATTGATGGTCGATCCCTACGGACAATATCTCATTCCACAACTCATGAAATACTGTGACAACAATCAGAGAAAGATGATAGTCGATCGTATAGCACCCAAGGTTGAAACATTTGCCTGCCATATCTATGGTATCCATGGAATTCAAAAGGTTTTACAGTTCCTCTCACCAGAGCAAGTCGACACCATCATTGCTTCGATCTCCGACAAGGTCATCTCATTGTCAAAGGACGCCAAAGGAAACTATCTCATTCAATCATTCCTCAAGACCTTCTCTCCCGAGACCAACCAATTCATTTGCGATGCTATCATGAAGAATGTAATCGAGATTTGCACTCACAAAGTAGGTTGTACCGTCGTAAATAGAGCTATTGACTGCGCCAACAAGGTACAATTGGAGAAATTGATCGACTCGATCACCAACCACGCACTCCAACTCGTACAAGATCAATTTGGAAACTACGTCGTTCAACACCTCCTCACAAACAATAAGGCATACGCAACCAAGCTCATCAAGAGTGTCATTGGAAATATTGCTGAGCTCTCTGTACAAAAGTTTAGTTCCAACGTAATTGAGAAGTGCTTACAGGTTGCCAACACTGAAACCTATGAGTCCATCGTAAAAGAATTGACCGAGGTCGACATTCTAACGTTGTTGCAAGATAAATATGCAAACTTTGTCATTCAAACCGCTCTTGACGTAGCTGACGAGAACCAACACGCCAGACTTGTCAAGTTAATAGTACCATATATTCACCAAATTAAGACTCCATATGTAATACACATCCAAAAGAAAATCCTTCAGGTCTAATTCAAAATCTAGTAGAATGAAAGATTAATATAAATATCATACTTTTGGAATTTTTAATTCAAAAAAAAAAAAAAAACTTAAATAAAATATTGTATAATTTTAATTAAAAAAAAAAAACAACTAAATTGTTGTTGGAAGTCTTCATCATGATTAATTATTTGTTGTTATTAATGCAATCAAGTATTCTGAAAACTTATTTTTTTTTTCAAACTTTGAAAAAAAAACTAATACGAAAACATTCAGAAAATGAAATCATCAATCAAATTAATTAACAGAAATACAAATATTTGTAAGAGACTTTATTGTAGCAGTAGTAATGTTAATATAAATATCAATAACAACAATAAAGATAACGTTAGAGACAAACTAAATAGTTATTTAAATGAGAATAATGGTCAAAAAATAACGACAAAGCAAAGAGAGCTTATTGAACGTATAGTCAGAGTCGATCATGCTGGTGAGTTTGGTGCATCACGTATCTACGACGGTCAATTGGCAGTTTTGAAAAACACTGCTGTCGGTCCATTGATCAAAGAGATGGCTGATCAGGAGAAGGAGCACCAAGCAAAGTTTGACCAACTTATATACGAAAAGAGAGTTAGACCCACGGTCTTATCACCCATTTGGAATGTTGCTGGTTTCGGTTTGGGTTATGTCTCTGCCATGATGGGAAAAGAAGCTGCAATGGCAGTTACGGTCGCCGTTGAAACTGTTATTGCCGAGCACTACAATGACCAACTTCGTCAGCTGAATGACAATGAAATTAATGACCCAGAGCTAAAAGAGGTATTTAATTAATTAAATTTATCAAACAAATCAAAGTTTACTTTATCTAATCATTCAAAATTACAGGTAATCAAAAAATTTAGAGATGATGAAATGGAACATATGCATATAGGTATTGATCATGATGCAGAGCTAGCACCACTCTATAAACCATTCTCAGAGTTGGTAAAAATTGGTACAAAAACTGCAATATGGTTATCAACAAGAATATAATAATATCACAACTTTCTAATTTCGAACCATTTTAAATCATATAATCAAATTGTATCAACTGATATTTATTTTTTTTTCCAATAAATTTTTTTTTCTTGGTAAAAACAAATTAAAACCAAATTATTCATGAATCAAGTTGATCTATTGTTATTCAACAACATTATTGTTGTTATTTTACTTCATTATATTTTTATTCAAACCTAGAAATGTCGGAAGACTTAAGACAACAAATCGAATATTCAAAGTCAAATAGATCTACTTGTAAAAAGTGCCGTGCACCGATTGCCTTGAATGATTTGAGAATCGGCTTGGAAACCAAGAGCAGAGCGTTCGACGGGTATGACGTAAGTTGGTATCACTTACAATGCTATAAGTTTGACAGAGTCAAATACATCAACCAGCTTAAATATTTCGATATGTTAAGATGGGATGACTTTATCAAAGTTAGAGAGATTCTAAAAGATACAACTCCGATTCAAAATGCACTCGAGAAACAAAATGTAACCACAATAATAAGACTTTATCATAAGTAACATGTATAACTAAAATATATTTATTCATTAGTATAATAATGATATTTGGAAAATTAAAGATGCACTTGGCGATGATTTAAAGCCAGCACAGATCAAGAAGCTCTATTCACACAATTACACTCTGGAGAATTTGTCACCTGCCCAGGTATTACATTTTGTTGCTGATGGAATGGCCTATGGAAGGGTTGGACCTTGTCCAAATTGCAAGAACCTCTCGGTTTTGTATGATGGTAATCACTATTATTGCAGAGGATGGGTAACTTCGTAAGTAATCTGATAAAGAAACCAATATATTGTCTCTTCTAAATAATCATATATAGATACACAAAATGTGATTGGTATGGTCCAAGCATTAAGAGATATAGATTCTCATTCCCATCTGATGTTAAATCCAAGTATTTATCGGAATATACATTCCCTCACGCACATCCATATGAAGAGTTAACAGGTAACGAATGACCAATTACATATGTATAGAGAATATTTAGTTTCGATATTAATTCTTTTTATATTTAGACTATGTAGCACCAAACAACAACAATAAGAGTGGAAATACTGATGATAGCGCTGATTCACCAACAACGCCAATAATAGCCTTCAAAGCATTCCCACCAGTAGAGGGATCAATATTTTTGGCAATTGATTCTGACTATCCACATAGCAAGGGCACTATTCAAGTAGAGCAATCCGACAAATATGGATACACTGCCTATAATGTCACCTTGATCTTTGCTGATATGGTGTCTGGAAAGAACAGTCTTTATAAATTACAACTGATCAAGCTCTCTGCTTCAAAGTATCATGTATTCAGAAAGTGGGCAAGAGTTGGTACCTCAGTTGGTGGAACTGCTGTAGATCCTTTCGCTACACTTGCAGATGCTATCAAGTTCTTTAAGACTCACTTCCAAGATAAGACTGGCTATGAGTGGGACGACCGTGGTAAATATGCAAAGTTACCAGGCAAATACTTTATGGTCGAGTTGGAGGACAGTTCATTTGAATCAAATGACGCAGCCAACAACGAACCAGATGAATCAGCATTCAACAATTATTCAAGCAGCTTGCCAATCGAAACACAGGATTTGCTAAAGATTATCTACAATTTCGATTTGATTAAAGCTCATCTCAAGCACATGAAGCTGAGTGTTGAGAAAATGCCATTGGGTAAAATTAGTCAAAGACAAATTAAATCTGCATACTCTGTACTTACAGAGATTCAAGAGGAGTTGGAAAGCGAAAGTCCAGTGAAATCAAAGATTGTCGATGCTTCGAACAGATTCTACACTTTGATTCCTCACGATTTTGGAAATGGTATACCAATCCTCATCGATAATATCAAGATGTTGACTGAGAAGATTAAAATGGTTGACACGATGGCCGACATTGAAATTGCCAATAATCTAAAAAAGTAAGATTAATAATGAAACCTTTTGATATTTCCATGTTTGCTAATTAAATTTTTAGAATTTCGATAGCGGCAGGTAATTCTCTTGATTCAAATTATTCAACTTTAAATACCGATTTGAAACCTCTTGCAAGTGGTTCATTCAACTATAGCTATTTAGAGCAATTAGCACTCTCAACTGCTGAGCCTGATATGTTGAAATTCTCTGTTTGCAACATATTCGAAGTTGAAAGAACTGGTGAAAGCGAAGCTTATTCGAAATGGGATCACAATCCAAACAAAGTTTTATTGTGGCATGGATCTAGAGCACCGAATTGGATTGGTATCTTGGGTAAGGGATTAAGAATCAGTCCACCGGAAGCTCCAAAAACAGGACTTCGTTTTGGAAAAGGTGTTTATTTTGCAGACTCGATCAGTGTCTCGCTTTCATATTGTGGTACAATGAAAGACTATCCATATGCTATTTTAGCTCTGTCAGAGGTTGCACTTGGCCAGTCAGAACCCCTTTCAAATGATAAATATATGGAGCAAGCATCCTTTGGATACCATAGTTCCAAAGCTTTGGGAATGAGAGCACCTGCAACTTTTGATGATTATCAAGACATCACAGTATTCCGTGGACCAATGGTTGCCAGTAGTTTAAGTACAAGCTGCACCCATAATGAATACATTGTCTATGATGTATCACAAGTAAAAATTAGATATCTTTTTGTTGTAAAAGTTGATTATTAAATAAAATTGTAAACATTTTCAAAGTGAATGGATCTCTGCAGAGCAAACTTTATCTTTATATCATCGCAAACTAATAAAAATATCGTTGCAGTAAAGATTTTACAATTTTAAAAATGGTTGAAATAATTAATTTATTTACATTGTCATATCTTCATCGATATTATTGATATTGAGTATTGGAGGGGTATAGATATGAGATTGTTTTGTTGAATATTGGCTAGCGAAATTCTTTTCAAATTTGTGCTGATCTATCAGATGTTCAACTCTATCATTCTCATTCCAGAAAAAAGTTTCGCAATCTTCTACAAAACATTCAAACTGTGTGATTGATAAAACAGTAAGTTTATTTTCTTGAATGAAATATAAAAATATTATTACCATCTTTTTTTTTTGTTTTAATGTATTGAATAGAGTGTCGTGTGTCTCTAAGAGATGACAATCTAACCATCGGTAGGTAGGGAATGATTGTAAGCATATCTCGCACATATTCTTGTGCACACTGTTGTAATGATTGGAAAACGACGCAATAGAGTCAAATTCTACACCATTGCACAAAACCAAATTCACACTTGATCGTACTTTTGTTATTTTCAAGATCATAATCAATCATCATGATTTCATTGATATCGTTTTGATTTGCATTGACATGATCTATTGTTTGTTTGATAAGATCATCATTCATTATACATCTTTGTTTTCCTCCCAAGTGTCTACCAATATTTATATCATTATAGAATGGATGATCGCTATCATATTTATGTATTTGTTTTCTATATTTGTTTATAGATGACATAAGAACAAAAAAATAACAAATTGTGAAAACAAAATTTTTTTTTTAAGATAGTAAGATACTTTACATCCAATTTAGAAAATTCCAACTCAACTTAACAGTAATAACAGTTCCAACTTATTTCTATGTGAAACAATGAAATTGTTTAACAATTCTACAAAATAAAAGAAGAAAATGAAAAGACATTCCCCACTGTGACGATGGTGCGGTATGGCATAAGGTATCTGGTCAATCCTTATGCCGATAAGCATACATACGTCAGTGGTATATACCTCCGTTCATTACATTTGGCGACACCTTAAGGGCGTGTGTTCGATTCCAGTAGGTGGAATAGCACGTAAAAGGATCTGCGGGAGATATGAGACTAATCTCTTTGAAGGAGGGGCGAGTGTGACGATGGTGCGGTATGGCACCAGGTATCTGGTCAATCCTTATGCCGATAAGCATACATACGTCAGTGGTATATACCTCCTCTCATTACACCCACATCAAAAAAGCTTCTGTGGCTCAGTAGGCAGAGCATTCGGCTGTTAACCGAATGGTCGTTGGTTCGATCCCAACCAGGAGCGAGCATTATATATAAAGTAACCCAATTTGCGCGCATAAAGTATTAAAATAAATATATTCTAACCTAAAACAAACTCAGCACTGAACACAAATACTATTTGTATAAAAAGAGCTTATATTTAAAAGATTACAGTTATATTTAAAATAAAATTTAAAAAAATTTTAAAAAACAATTAAATCATTGAAAAACAAGGATAACAATACATTTTTAAAATGATAAATCAATAACATCACTCCGGGGACTCGTACTTCTAAAAAAATGATTTAAACCCCTATCTCACACATTGTTGGCATGTTTTTTATAAAAATAATTGAAAATAAAGCACCTATATTTGGTAATCGTACGTAGTTAATTTTGAACCCCCAGCAAGATTCTCATCCTCACTGAAAAACAAAAAAAAATTGGCAGTTGCGTGGCCACCCACAATTTTTTTTTTTAATTTTTTTTTTTTTTTTTAATTTTTTTTTTTTTTTTTAAATTGCCATATCTTGAGCAAACATAGCTTCACTCGACATAAAGTCATCTAATGCTTCTATATAATTGATATAATCTTCATTTATATCATCTTTATTAATACCACTAATGATAATCGATATAGTTTGTTAGTTTAATCAGATAGATAGTATTCATTAAAATTCCTATTTATATTTACCTAATAAGATCAGGTGGTATCAATATCTTTTAAAAACTTTTGATATTGAATCTTTGTCTAACATTCTATTTACTATAGTGCTCTTGATAGTTGTTGTGTAGTGATATGAGTTTCTGGCATATCTTTAATCTAATTAGATTCTGTAGTTCGTCATCGAATGATCTTTAAAGACATCTCCAATCTCTGATAAAATCAAATCATTCGATTCAATAACCTTATGTAAATTTACAAGTTCTTCTGCTTGACTAAGATCTATAATATAATATTAGTTAGTATAGCTAAAGAGAATAGAATTGAATAGATAAAACTAAATACATGTATTAATAACACCAGATGGCAATGATTGTAAATCTTGATCGATTGCATTCGGCATCTTCAGTGCATGGTGTGGATGTTGTTCGATGTCAAACATCAAGTCGTTCAGCGAGGTGTATGGTTTACCATCTTTGTTGTGGTGAGCAACGAGAGTGTCGATACATCTATATCCAATACCGATGAATCGTCATCTTGATATTAAGTTGTATAGTCACCTGCAAGTATATGATCAGGTACTAAATCATCATCTTCATCAACACTACCATCATTCTGATTACTAACTAAACCAAAATCAATATTATTATTATTACTATTACTATTGATGTTTAATATATAATCTAATTCATTTAATACATTATTACAACTACTTCTATCATTATCATTCATTTTTGATCATTATTTGATTTCAAAATAGATGTTAATGTGATGAAATTTTTTTTCAAATTTTTTTTCAAATTTTTTTCAAATTTTTTTCAAATTTTTTTCATTTTTTATTTTTCCAAATTTGTAAAAACTGAAATAAGTGGGGTACGACTTTCTGAAGTGTATTAGAAAAATAAAGGATTAAGGAATTACTTTCAGAAATAATACAAAAAAAAACCTTTTAGACTCTTCATCATATTCTAAATGTAAAGGTTTTTAACTAATATTTTTTACTTAAAATGCATTCTTAATTAAATTTGATATATAAACAAAATCACACCGGAGTACTGCCAATCACTATATGAATCAATGCCAAACAAATTGAATCAAGTAATCCTCAAACAAGGTTATTGGACATCCTATTAATTGTTTTCTTTTAAATCAATTTAAATTGATATATATAAAAAATATTTTATCACTTCAGAAATTTTGCACAGTTAATTTTTGTTTTTTATTTTTTTTATTTTTTTTTAAAATGGTAAATGTTTCATTTTTTTTCTAATAATTAATCTTTAACAAAGATCTATCTTAGAATATATTTATTAGTTTCTATAACAAATAAATGTAATACTGTTTGATATTTTGAAACCTATCCCCGTTTTCACAGATTTTTGCTGTATTCAAAAGTCTAAATTTACTGCTGATGATCTGATCTCAAACAATAATGAGATGAGAAATAGTATAGAACACAACCAATAGTTATTAATAGGTTGCCTGTTAATATGCAAAATTCACCAACCAATTTGATCCAAAATGCTCTACACTAATTACAGTATAGACTAATGGTGTGCTGCAATCAATATCCATAAATAAGCCTGTTCCTGTTCTCAAATCTCCCAACGATGGTCTAATGTTTCTTATTTATCTTGGTGACTAAACTTTCTCTCAACTGAAACAACAATTATCTTTCAAAATTAAATCAGGAAATTAAAGAATTAGAATCAAATAATAATATATTCATTTATAAAGATAGATATTACCAAATACTTCTTTGAGCCACGTACGAGAGAACTTATCTGGAAGGAAGGAATGAGAGTCAAGAATAAGCTAGAAAAGTCAAAAGCCAAAAACCCAAAGGTCGAAATGAAGAGCTTCTCTGGTTTGGCTGCAGAACCTAGTCTTGACATTGATCCAACTAAAGTTCCTCCAGACACGTTACACATGATCATATCCATTGTTAAGACTGTTTTTAAACCGATACTACTACTATGTGACACCAATGAAACCTTACGAAAGACATCGAAGATTTCCTCAAGTGCACATGTACGGCTAAACTGACATTGATAACGGTCTCACCAGGTACACTCTTGCATGGACAGCCTTATACATTCTATGACCGATTCAAACAGTCAGCTTTTAACTATAAATATCTTGATCAATCAAGATATTCTTATTAAGACCTTGCCGAATCATTCTGTACATAATAATGATAAGTTAGAATTGGTAAGATGTTTAGTTTATAAAAAAAAATAAAAAAACAATTATAATTTTTTATAAAGCTAATGATATAGATAAAGAAATATTGGAAACAACTTCATTGCTTAATATCTTGCATGATATTTAAAGAGATTGTCAAAGAATATCAATGGAGATATACAGCAAAAAACTGAGAAACAGGACAGATGTATCAATAGTATCAGACAGATATATATTTATTTGTTATGGAAAGTAAGAAATATATTCTAAGATAGATCTTTGTAAATGATTAATAATTAAAAAAAATTGAATTATTTATTATTTAAAAAAAAAAAATAAAAGATAAAATTAATTTGTGCAATATTTATGAAGTATTAAAATATTTTTTATTATAGTACTTTTAAATTTATAGGAATGATACCAAATGTTAACAGAAAGATAAAAGATTTTTGGAATAGTTGATTTGGATTACTGAATAGCATAAGAAGGTTTTGGTATAAAATATAATTTTCAACAGTTGAAGACTAAAGAAAAACTAAGTAAAAACAAACTCAGCACAGAACACAAATATTATTTGTATAAGAAGAGTGTATATTTAAAAGATTACAATTATATTTAAAATAAAATTTTTAAAATTTTTTTAAAAAACAATTTAAATCATTGAAAAAAAAAGGATATGAATACTTTTTTTAAATGATAAATCAATACCATTATTAATAGAATAATAAAGGATTAGGGAATTACTTTCTGAAATAATACAAAAAAAAACTTTTTAGACTCTTCTTCATATTCAAAATGTAAAGGTTTTTAACTGATTTTTCATAAACAAAGATATTGTTTTTTTAGAAAGTAATTTAACAGATGAAACGAAAATAAAACAAGGAGAGTATAAAGAAAGGTTATTCTTGATCAATACTCCTAAAGTTATATCAATAAATTCAAAATTGTATTAATTTACAAATATTTAGTATTTGAATCAAATGTAAAATCAAACTTTAACAAAATTAATTAACATAAATTTAAATATAATGTTATTTAAAAATAGAAATCTCTGAGTAAAAGCAACATAACACAATGAAACTTTAAAAAAAAGTAAATTTATATTTGATAATTTTTCTTTTATTTAAATAGACATTCGTGTCCTATTTTTGTAATTATCCGATATGGATAATCCATATGTATTGAGTCTAATTAAGTAAATACCATGTTGAATGTGAAATAATGCTGTGTGTTGATAGTTTGTTGGTAGTTGAATGACCGACCACACATCTAAATGCATGCAGATTCAGTATAAACTATGTTCAATTCTAATGAATATCGCTTTGTATCTAAACATTGTACCGATCTGTATCATTCTTTTTATCTGCTAATTTTTCAATTTCAAAACTAATAATTAAACCATTAATAGGAGGAGATGAGTGATAGTGAATATGAAGAAGATTCAAACAAAATTTAAATTTGTTTTACCAAACATGGATTGCAGTCGTGCTCATACATTTATAAACTTATTTGGTTTGAATGAATCAACACATTCCACTTGTATATGAGATAATACTATTGAATATCGATTTGTATCATCTAAACATTTGATCTGTATCATACTGTGTTTGATAGTTTGTTGGTAGAGTTGAATGACCGACCACCATCCAAATGCAGATTCAGTATAAACTATGCATCATACTAATGAATATCGCTTTGTATCTGTACCAATCTCTATAATAATGTAGAATGTCTTTCATCTATTAATTAAATTTTGATTCTATACAACTCACTCATGAAGTGTGCACATTCACTGTACTCTATACTCACCTTTTTATTTTATACAAACTAATTGATGTTAATAGGTATTAACACTATCCTCTATCCAAATTTGGAACCATCTTCTTCATATTCACTATCACTCCCCTCCTCATTATTAATGGTTAGTTATTAGTTTGAAAAAGCAAAATTTAATTAATAGATTCTTAGAATCTTGATAGAAGTTCCTTCAGAAATATTGCACAAATAATTTTTGTTTGTTAATTTTTTTATTTTTTTTTAAAAAGTTAAATGTCTCAATTTTTTTTATAAATACTAATCATTTTCAAAGATCTATACTCCAATATATTTGTTACTTTCTAATAATAATATTTTATTGGCTATTTCTCATGTCCTGTGTGAGAATGTATATATAATATAAAACATGAACAAGCAGGTTAATATCAATACCTGTGATTTGTTGAATGATCATGAAAAAAAATGTCGTGACTCCCAAATTCAAATAGTTTCATAAAGATTCATATGACGTGCTGGGTTTTTGGAAATAACCAGTTTTCAAACATATCACATTTTAAGTAAAAAATATTTTGTGTTTTAGTACATGTATACTGTATATAGATGATGTCTTGTACAGTGTGGAATACAAATATTAGTTAAACAAAATTATTTACTAGTTGATCTATATCATAAGTACTCCAAAATTTCCAAAAAATTTTGGATTTTTTGTATTTATCGCCCAAATGACACAAGTTGAGGAATTGAACTTCCATCAATAAAAAGACACCTTAGCCAAGTGGTTACGGCGTTTGACTCGAAATCAAATCCCTTCGGGGGCGCAGGTTCGAATCCTGCAGGTGTCGAATCCTTTTAAAAAGAAATACCCATAAAGCGCGCATTTATATATATTTTTGTAAATGTACATAAGATTTATCTGTAGTTTTCATTTTTTTGAATATCACACCAGGCAAAGATTAGGAGTGGAAGTGTTACCGAGCGGAATGATAATCAAAAAAATGAAAACTACAGATAAATCTTATGTACTTTCCATGCTCTTCTATCACTTCTATCTTGAACCACCCACACCTGATCAAATAAAGCTTGTCAACAGACTTATTGCTTGGTTCTTCACCAGTGCACCTGATGCCAAGCAAAGTTCACTGCTTTGATGTCTTTGGACAGGTCTTGCTTTCCCTGGAATGATGGTGGTCTGAATTTGTGGGATCTATCTCTTCGCTCAGCTGCTTATAAGATATGGTCTTTAATAGATTCCTGTTGTTAAGTAGAAGCAACTCATTTAGTTACTTCAAAACTTGGTCATCCATGCTAGATTGTGCCAAAAAATTTACTAACCCAACATCTTCACCATCCTTCAAACTGTTCCATTCGTATTTGATGGATTTTAGAAACAATCACTTCCCAGAGTCTTACCGGGCAATCCCATCCTTGCTGATGATGGTAGTCTCCTTACTCTGAAGGAAATCTATTCTGTCCTATTCTACCACAAGTACCCCGTGTCCGCCGTACTGAAGGTCAACTAACCATCCAGATTGATCACTCTTTGGTTCTCCAATCTCAGTTCCTGCACCCAAGGTCAAAGCGCCTATGCTACGTAACAGCATATTCCGGCTGTACTCTCACACCTTCCCCATCAACCACAAGCGCACTGGTCATGTCTGTGAGTTCTGTGGTGACACCTTCACTGAACTCTGCAACCCACATGAGCACTTCTTCTTCAAATGCAGGAATGTAGTCTCACAACAGTTCCTTTCCTTTATCAAACATATATACCACAAGTACTGTAACTATAGACTTCCAATTGGAAGCACTCGTGCATCAAGTTCGACGGTCCTATTCGTACTACTGTCCACTTCACCCACCTTACTGCTGCTATCGTACATTCGTTATGGCAGGCGCTGTCCAGTAAAATGTTTGGTGATGGTACCCATTACAAGCTGGAAAATACCGTCAAGAGAGCAGTCGCCCATTACACCAAATTAATCGATCTATTTTATCCGAATACTACTCAACTTATTAATTAATAATAACTATAAACAATAATAATAATAATATTTTATTGGCTATTTCTCATGTCCTGTGTGAGAATGTATATATAATATAAAACACGAACAAGCAGGTTAATATCAATACCTGCGATTTGTTGACTGATCATGAGTTTGCTGATTTCAAAAAAAAATAAATAAATAAATAAATTTTTTTGTATTAAAAACAATGATATATTGTAGGGTTTAGCTATAGCTAAAGTAAAGTTGCTTTTATTTATTTAAATATCTGCCTTTTTATTTTTTTTCTGTTGTCTTCTTGATAAATGCTGTCTGGGAACTAGCTCTTGTGTTGAAACATTGGATTCCAACATTGCTTTTTCCAATTCCAAGAGTGCAACTTCATCATCGCTTGGTATCGTGCTGTCAGGAAAAAGTATTTGTTTTAAATATTTACATGAATGCTTAGATGATCTTTCAATCATATCTTTGGAAAACTAAAAATAAAAATACCTAATGGTATTATAAAACAAGCAACAATACATATCAAGTTCATTTATTGATACATTGATCTAACACTGAATATTTAATTAAAAGAAAAATAGCAGAACAAATGATTTATTCTCTTAAAAAACAAAAAAATTAAACAAATTATAAAACAAACAAATTTAGCAAAAATCAGCAAAATTCCCACCATAATAATACAAAACACCATCACAAAATAAAACATATTTATATTTAATTTAATTAAATTAACATTTATTAAATATTAATCAAACTACACCTCATAGTCATAAAGACAAAGCTATTTTAAGATGGAATAAATAAGAACACTCTTATTTTTTAATAGTATAAAGATATTAATAAAACACATATAACATGTGTGTCTCAAAAAAAATAATTGTTCACTTTTAATCATTTCTTTTTTTTTTTTTTTTTTTTTTTTCATTATATAAATATTCTAATGAATATTGATATTGGTATCGATTCATTATTAGATTCATTCAACAATATATCGTTAAATAGTGATGTTAATGATAGATATAAAAATGAATCAGATTATCAACGAATAGAACAATGCAAACAAATCTATCAATACATAAAGATATCGTTTGAAAATAGAGATTCCGATAGTCTAATAAACAATTGTTTTCAATTAAAACAACTATTGACTACATCATCAAACAACAACAACAACAACAACAACAACAACAACAACAACAACAACAACAACAACAACAACAACAACAACAACAACAGCAGTAAAAATAATCGTACATTGTCATCAATACTTTTTACATTTGAGTATCTATATAGAGTTGCAGATATACTCTATCAATCAGGTTACTATCAACAGAGTTTAGAGAATCTCGCTATAATCATTGAAAATGGTATTGATATCACACCGACAATGGAAATTGGCAACAATCATGATATCTATATTTTGAAATCTTTTACACTAAGTGTAAAGATTATTCAAATTTTGGATCAACCTACTCACCAGTTAGTTTGGAACATGAAACAATATATAGAGAATCAATGTACTGTGGACAACCGATTTGAAATCTTAGTCAACATTCTATTTATTTGTAAACCAATAAACTACAAACAATCAATCATAGAGTACACCAACAAACATCTATCAGTAAACAAACACAACATTAAGGAACAAGAATATGAATATTGGTTAGCATATCTATCATCTATCATCCGATAACAACAATAAATAAATTACCATATATAATTTAGCATGTATATTAATATTCTAACAAAACAACTTGTTTATTGTTTTTGTTTTTTAACTGAAAGTTCAGTGTTTGATTTATGAATGGAGCTGGGGGCATCGGCTTGACTAAATTTACCAGACAAAACCAAGAAAGGTTGTTGTGTCTTTTCTTGGTAGTTTTGTAGCGATTGCATCATTCCAAGTGGGGTATCGGTGGAGCTCATCTTCTTTTGTTTCATCTCTTCGTTGTACTTTCTCTGTATTTTCTCTTGCTTGTTCTTACCGGATGCCTTTCCATGGAATATCTGTGAGTGTGCAACGAATGCCTCCTTACGATTCATGATACGACCAAACTGATCTTTATGTTGGATAATCGGTTCATAGTCATCGAACGACTGTAACTTTCTCTTTGATTTCTCCTGTGGCTTTAACTCACCCTTTTGTATCAGTAGTTTCAATGCTGCAGACATACTCGAAGACACCATTGGCTCATCTTGTAGAATAACAGAACCATCCTCACCAGTTGCTGAATTACTTTTGTTCTTTTCAACACCATTTCCATTATAATCTGCTTTCTTTTCAATATATGAACCTTCTTCTTCTTCTTCTTCTTCCTCCTCTTGGTCATTATCGACTTGCATTTCTACATCTTCTTGATTCTCGATCTTTACAGGTTGATTTTCCTCATTGTAATCATCCTCTTCTTTAACATATGTAGGTTTGAAATTTGCCAATACACCCTCTGTCTTTAATCCTCTTACAAACTCTGAAACAGGACTGATAAATAGATCATTATCATCTTGATTTGTTTCCATTGCATTCTCTTTTTCTTTTACTCTTATTTAAAACTAATTTTAATAAATAAAGATAATTGTTAGTTAATCGATTCGATTGTTTTTTTGTTTGTTTGTTATAGATTACCTTTTTCAGCTATATTTCTTTGTATTAGAGGTGCTTTCTTTGCATTTGACAAACTCTTGTAAAACTCTTCGTCCTCTGCTTCCTCAAAGGTATCGGATGAGTAAGTAAGCTTTGCAATGTTACTTGCTTTGTCGACAGCCTTTTGATAGTTTGCCTCACGTTTTGCACGTTGGTTCTCCTCTTCGATTTCATTCTTTGCTTGAAGAGACTTTCGTGAACCACGATCACTCGAAGTGGTTGCATCCAGTTGTTGTAAAATATCGATATCATCGCTATCCTTATTCTTTGATCTCATTGATTTCTTCTTTTTCTTTTTACTAGTTGGTTTCTTAAACTTTGCCATTTCTTCATTTGTATAGAATGATGATTGTATAGTTGCTATATAAAAAAAAAAAAAAATGTTAAATAATTAGTAAATCATATTGATTATTTGTAATAACATATACATACATTCAGTTGATAAATCAAATGCAGAGTAACTATTCAATCTATTTCTAATTTCTTCTTGCATATCTTCTTTTTTGGTTAGATCTTCTACACCTGTTTTAGATTTATTGGTAATGATAAATCCCTAAAATAAATAAAAAAGAAAGATGTTCATAGGTTAGACAGAGAGAGATATATTAAAGTTTGAAAAAATATAGTTACAGTTTCTTTTATAGCATTATCATCGTCATAATGAGATAGAATATCAAGTTGCTTACCATACTCATCGAATTTGTCGTATTGTGATTTCTTCTTTGATGATTCCAACTTTTGATTGATTTTCTCTTTCTCTGCAAGTCGGACGTCGATCAGCTCTGAATCACCATCATTCAAAACATCGGTATCTTTCAACACCAATACATGTTCACCACCATCATCGAAACTCTGTAGTTGATTTGCAACCTTTATTCCAGCTAAATCATCTGCTGAATATCCCGATGACTTTCTTTTTGATCTACCATCAGATGATTTTCCACCGGTTGTTTGTTTCTGTTGATCTTTTTGTTGTTGTTGTTGTTTTATTCTTGATCTTTGTACCCATGTTGATATGTCATCATCTTGATTATCACCATCTTCCAACAATTGTTCAGCAATTGACTTTCCAACGCTAGAAGTAGCTTCTCTTTTCTGTTTTAATCTAAATTTTATAATATAGATTTAGATTAATAAGTATACTAATAATAAATCAATAGCAACCTAAAGATAATATACTTTTTAATAGTATCAGCAATATCATTTGTATTACTATTTGAAGTATTAGTGGCAGTGGCCGCAGTTTGTTTAGATTCTTTTGGTGTATTATCAACTTTCAAAGGTTTAAGACCAAGCGATGCCCTAATCCTATTTGTTTCTTCAATAGAGATTTCCTCTCTCCATTTACCTGTTGAATCTGACATCAATTATATAAACAATAATATACAAACAATAAAAATATAATTGTTATTAAAAAAAATAAAAAAGAATCACGATGTTGTAAAAATTTTAATCATAATATTTTTATTTTTTGTTCACCATATAGTAGTAATAAGAGAAATTTCGACAATATAAATTTATTTATTCTGAATCTTTAAATTGAAAAGAATTCTTTGTTGCATCTTCTGGTGAATTTTTATATTGTAATAAGAATCCCTAATAATAATAATAATAAGTAATGTTTTTTTTGTTAATAATATAATTAATATTTTAAATATTTAAATACTTACTTGTATTTGTGACATTGAAAGTTGTTTTGAGTGCGGAATGTTTGATGAGAATTGTTTGGCAAGTTCAAACTCTGGTTGGTTTGGTTTGATTGTATAAAAGTGACAGAAGAGATCGAGTGCTTGTTGTCTGGTGGCATTTTCTATGTGGATTTTCATGTCGATACGACCGTCTCTGATGAGTGCTGGGTCGAGTTGCTCTATCTTGTTGGTTGTCATGAATAGAATACGTCCTTCTTGCGATGCTACACCATCGAGTGCATTCAAGACACCAGAGAATGTCAGACTTGACTGTTGGAATGCATTCTCACCAGACTTGTCACGCACAGAAAAAGCAGCATCGACATCCTCTATCAACAAGATCGACTTGGGTGGTGCATTATTAAGTAAATAATTAATCTGCTTATCATCCATATCACGTGTTGAAAGTGATACTATACAAATATCCAAAGACAATTCACCAGCAATAGCATTGACCAACGACGACTTTCCATTACCGGGTGCACCATACAACAAATATCCTCTCCTATATGGAATACCTCTATTTCTAAACCAATCTTCATTATCTATAAACTCTTTAATATCTTTTAATAAATTATTTTTCAATGTACTCTTTTTTTTTTTTTTTTTTTTAAGGTTTAATAACAACACTTTAGATAATCTATATCTTTTTTTTTTTTTTTTTTTTTGCAACACTTACTGGTAATATAACGGATGATAATGATCTAATGGTTCTTGGATTACCGAAACGTTGCCAATTACCATCACTGTTGATGTAAACAACGGTTTTACCTTCATCTTTTTGAAGAGATAGTCTCATTGCTTCATCGATGAGTTGTTGGATGATCGATGTGTCGTTTCCAAAAGTTGAGAGTTCAATCGATTCGAATGGTGCACCGGAAGACATGTCAAAGGTGGAATCACGAATTCTGTTGACAAAGATAGTACGCTCACGATAGCTGATGCGATGTCGTCCTAACGATGGTGCAAAGACAACACGTGGATTCTTTCCAGCGGCATTGTAGATGGTTTCTGCATTGAGTTGCGTGGCAGTCTTTACTGATTCGCAACCGGATAGCCATTGCAAAAGTGCATCGAATGACTTGTCTTTACTATCTATAGTTACCGTAACGAAAAACGATTGATTTACACGTCGAAATGCATCCCTTGATAAACCTGAAATGAAACCAACTGTGCCACTAACAATAAGAAATCCTAAACCCTGTTTGATTCCCAACAATAAATTCTTATTATTTAGAAATCCAACAATTGAACTAATAAGATCTTTAAAAGCAGATGATTTTACAATCATCACATGATCACTATTGATACTCATTATTTTATATTTATTGCAATATTAATTTAATATGATCATTAGTATTAAATACCTTCCTTTTCGCACTTGAGCAAAAAAAAAAAAACAAATTTTAAAACAAATTTTAAAAAAATTAACAAAAAACCAAAAAAAAACGAACGATTAATTTGTTTTGATTAAAAAGTAATAAACAAAGTTACATTACAACCATATTTATTTATATAATAATAATATGTCATCATTAAAAGTAAAGAATCTTCTTCCAAATAGGGAGAAGAGAGAAAGACCACAACCAAGATCAGTTACAAATGGATTTCTAGAGAGAAAGAAAGATTACAAGTTACGTGCAGATGACTTTAATAAAAAGAGAGATCAACTTAAAAAGTTGAAACTTAAAGCTGCTTTAAAGAATCCAGAGGAATTTAGATTTAATATGATAAATTCTAAAGTTATAGTATGTTATATATATTTGTACGAGTTGATAAAATAGACTATGAATCTAATTGATATTTTATCATTATTACTATTATTATTATTATAGAAAGGAGTACATCATACAATAAGTAAAAGTGAATTGGATCAAAGTGATTTAGCAGATATCAAACAACAAGATCAATTGTATTTACAGAGTAAGAGAATATCGGAGGAGAAAAAGATAGCGCGTTTGCAATCTACTTTGCAATATATAGATGCAGGTGTAGCACCATCCGATCAAGTTATATTTTTAGACAACGAGAATGAAGTTAAGAATTTCAATGCTGTAGAATATTTCGAAACGATACCAGAGGCATTCTCTAATAATTCCTCCACCATTCCAAAGCTGTCAAAACTGAAAGAAGGTTCACTCGTGCTCAATCCTCGTACTGCACCATCTGCTGCCGAAATCGAGGCAATGACCACCACCTCTTACAAAGAATTGGAAGCAAGAAAGATTCGTCATGCAGAACTCTATAAAGCTGAAAGACAACTCGAACATCAAAAACAATCAATTGTAAGTATAAAAATGAAACCAAACTCATATTAATTACATAAACAAAATATTAACATATTATATTTCATTACTCATAGAAAAATAAAGGTGAAAAACCAATTAAAGTTAAAGTTGGTGGTAAAAAAGAAACATGGAAACTCAAGAGAAAGAAATAAATTATTTTTATTTAAATAAAATACAATTATTTGGTGATACACACCATTTTATTACGAGATCCTCAGGATTAATTTTAAGTTGGCTCCTTGATTTCTGACCGATCAAACGGTTGTAATAACCAACGCACACAATCAAAGCATGCAGCGGAACCTGGCACACTGTTGTAGGTACCCTCTTTGTAGGTACCTCATGAGTAAAGTGTCACGAAGTAACTTGAACATAAATTAATTAATTTTTTTCAAGTTTTGCGAATCTGATTTGTGACATCATCATCTATATTTTATTATTTGTTTGCCACCTATTTTTTTTTTTTTTTTTTGAAAAAAGTTTTTTGGGACTCTGGGTGACCACGGTTTTTTGTCCAGTGCCAACCTTTTAATAAAAATCAAGATTTTTTTCTTAAACATCTTTACTATAATACCGAAAAGTTTTTGTAAATGGTATAACTTTATTGAACCTTTCGTTTAAATCTTTAATTGGTTTCTTTCCGTTTAATTTCTGAGCTTATGATGTTATACTCTGAAAGAAAAGTCAACCAATTTTTTTATTAATGGTGATTTTGTTGTTTTTACAAAATTTTGCATCTTTCTTGGCAAGAACACCAAAAGTTTTAAAAATCTAGGAACCACAAAACCAACCTTCAAAAAAGGTTGTTATTTTACCATAAAAATCTTTTAAACAATCTTAATTTTTGTAAAATTTTTTTAACCAAGCCATTTAAAAAGAAATCAATGTTCAAAAAAAAAAACTATTATCTCTTTAAATCTTTTAATATTTTTTATATACTTATAATATTTATAAAATGAAATCATTATTTATAATATATATTTTATTTATTACTTTTGGAATTTGTCTATCCACCCAATTATATGTAGATAGTGGAAACAAAGTCAATTCCATGCCATGTGGAGATACAACTCAAAATGCTTGTCTTGATATCTTGACTGCCCTTTCTGTATATAAAAATTCAAACAATTCCGATTCTTTAGTTTTACTTTTGGCCGGTGGAGTATACTCAGGTCCAAACAATACCGATATCTCTTTGTCCAATATTACTTTGACCATCAAGAGTGCCAATCCAAATTCACAGGCTACCATTGACATGAAAAGTGAAGCTGGTTTCATCATTATTGCAGACACTCCAGTTCCAACCACTACCATGTTGACAATTAGTTATATGACTGTTACCAATAGTTTGGGAGCTGCAGTCACAATCAATATCTCAAATGTCTATACCAATGTTGTCATGGACAATGTTATTGCCACCAACAACAACAACAATAATGGAGGTGTTTTCAATGTTCAAACCAGTGGTCATAGTAGCGCTACCACCTCTGTTGTAATTTCCAACTCGGTGCTTAACAATAATACTGCCACCAATTCCGGTGCTGTATACTACACATCGACCCCAGGTAATCTTACCATCGTAAACAGTGTCATCAACAACAATATTGCAGGTAAAACTGGAATCCTCTACATTATCTTCTCTGGCCTTTACCTCAATAATGTGACAATGTCTGGGAATATTGCCAGCAGTACTCTTATGGCCATTGCAAATGTTGCCGACACTGCCACTATCAACGGACTGACCTACGCTAATAACAATCTTAGAAACTCTGGTGGTTCTCACATCAAGAGTATCGAGAGTGATGTTTTAATCACCAGCTCTACCTTTAGTGGAAACAACGGTGGCAGTATCATTCAATATAAACTTTCAAGTCTATTCTATGGACGTTTATTGAATATCAACAATTGTAAATTCAACCAGAATATTGGTTCCAGCGTTGGTGTTCTCTACATGGACTCTGGTGCTGTTCTCAACTTGAACAACTCTGTATTTACCAACAATTTTGCTAATGACTATGGTGGTGCACTCTACCTCTCTGGAAGTTATTCTGCCAAAGTTTCAAACACACTCTTCAACAATACCAATGTGGGAGACGATGGAGTTGGTAGCACCGTCTACTCTAGCGGCGTTTCCTCCGGTTTGATCTTCACCAATGTCACCTTCAATACTACCTCGAATGTCACCACACCCTTCTACTGCAGTATGTCGAAATTAACTTTTAACAACATCAAAACCAATGCCAAGACTTTCCTTTCATGTGCGTCTGAGGATTCATGCACTGTAAGCGGAACCAGTGATGCGTATTCGTGTAAGGATGAACCCGCCGATTCAAATGATCATAAAAAGAAAGGACTTACAAACGGACAAGTTGCTGGTATCGTTATTGGTGTCATTTTGGGTATTGCTTTTGTCATTATAATCGTTTACATTGCATATAAGAGACATCACAATCATCACAAGTACAGAAGCTATCATTAAAACATAAAAAAAATAATAATTTATTGTTACGAATAAAATAAAATAGATACAACAAAATTTATATTACCATGTTTTATTATTTAAAAATTTTTTTGAAACCCTTTCAAAGGGTTATGGCTAAAAAAAAAACTAATAGAGAACGAAGAGATATGTAAAGGATAGATCACAATATGAAAAGTCCAAGGTAGAAGCATATTAATGATCCATCCTGGGATCCGAACAGTCGACAATCCGAATCTAAACTGCGATACACTCGTAAAATGTACTAGGTGAATGGTCAACCGTTCTATATCAATTGTGAGGTAAATGGTAAGTTTATTTTTTTATTATTTTATTCGAAATGAGCCAATCACTTATTTTTTCTCGATAGAACACATTCATTTAAACATTATTTTTAATTTCTTTGTTTTTTTTCTCAAAATTTTTACAGTAAAAATAATCTTCATAAGATTATTCTTTAAGATTAAGGGGCATCAAATTTTTTTTGTAAAAAAGGTCTGGTATCGTAAAAGAAAAATAGTAAAAAACTTTATGTAAAAAATCAAGATTTTTAACAGATATTTAATAAAGAATATCTTTTTATTATACTTTATTTTATTTAAATAAAAATTATCTTAAATATCATTTAAAATATCTTAGTTTACTCTTTTTTTTTTCTATTTAAACAAAAACTTGAAGATCTTTCGTTTAAACGAAATCAAAGTCTCATATATATCTAATATCTATTTATTTATTTATTATTTATAAAATGCAAAAGTTTAATTATTCATTAGTATTTATATCTTTAATTTTTTTATGTAAACTTGTTTCTTCACAACCAGAAACAATTATTTTAAACCCAAACAATGTTCAATATACAATGCCATGTGGTAATACTACAGACAATGCTTGTCCTGATATTGCTAGTGCTCTCAACTCTACAAGTTCCGCCAATGTAATATTGAATTTGGGAAATTACACATACACTGGTCCAAACAACACCTTTATCAATCTGATAAATATAACTGTTACGATCCAAGGAAATCAAAATGGATATGCTACCATCAATATGGCCAACAATAGTTACTTCATTTCAATGTTGGACAATCAACAAAGTAATGGTAATGTTAGTCTAACATTACAATATCTAAATATTGTCAATGGCTCAGGTTTCCATGGAATGATGGGTGGTGTTATCTATATTAGTACCAGTTTCTCCAACTCAATCTTGATACTTGACAATGTCATTGCTACCAACAACAATGCTTATTATGGTGGTGTCGTTTATCTAAAAACATCTCAACCATCTTATATTACCATTTCCAACTCAACATTCAGAAATAACTCTGCAAATTTCGGTGCCGTTTTCTATACAGACAATTATAGTCAAACAAATATTTCAAACACGAATATCATTGGAAATCAGGCTGAATATGGAATTATTTTCGTAACGAACGGAACTATTTCATTCAATAATGTTTTAGTCGATTCGAATGTTGGAGGAAACTCGGTGCTTAGACTCAATAGCAATGGAAATGTCAGCGTCTACAACATGACTCTTACAAACAACTATGTGTCACCATCGACATCTCCATTGACAAGTTCCATCGTGTTGTCACAACAAAACAATCTTCAATTCTATAACTCCCAAATTTCCAATAACACCGGTACTCCCATTACATTCAGTTCAAAGATGACTCTCTTCATTAGTAACACTCACATTAATGGAAACAATGCCCCAGTTTTCGGTGGTGCCATCGTTGTATTCTATGGAACGTTGGCCATCTCTAGCTCTGTTATATCATCCAACTATGCTCTTCTAGCAGGTGGTGGCGTTTATATTTTCGATTCCTTAGGCCTCACCATTGTCAACACCAACTTTTCAAGTAACGCTGTTAGTTTCAACGGTACCGGTAGTGCATTGTACATCAACAACATCGATACAAAAGTACTAATAGTCGATGTAACCTTTTCGGATAATTTAAACAACGACACAGTCAATCCAGTCTACTGTGATAGCTCAAGTGTTACAATGAGTAACATTACCTCGGCTGACGAAAAATTACTCACTTGTGTAAGTGAAAAAGAGAGATGTAAATTCAGTGGTAACTACGATATAGCTGAATCATCTTGTCCTGCAAAGAGTGGACTTGGTTCTGGCGCCATTGCAGGTATCATTATCGGTTCTATTGCTGGTTTACTACTTTTAATTCTCGTTATTTATATTTTAAAGAAGAGACATCACAATCATCACAAATACAAAAGTTATAATTAATTATTGTAACAAATAAAGTATATAAATAAAATATTTTTATTTTTATTTTTATTTTTTCGGATTTATCCCAAATTTGATATCTAGATCTTAATCTTATTAAACTTTTTCTGTTTTTTTTTTTTTTGATTTTTCAAATGTCAAATAATTGTTATTCGAAATGAATAGATATATATTGTTAATAACTTTCTTTTGTTGTTCAATAGTTGTTGAGACAAGTTCAGCACAACCAGTAACATTATTTGTGAATCCATATTTAGTAAATTATACACTACCTTGTGGTGCTAGTGCAGACAATGCTTGTCCAGATATTGTAAATGCACTTGCTTCTACACAATCAGACAATGTTCTTTTAAGTGTCGGCGATGCAACACTCACAGGTAAAAACAATACAAATATCTCACTGCTCAATAGAACTGTGACAATTCAAGGTAATCCAGATAGCTATGCCGACATAGAATTGAACTACAATGGTACATTCTTTATCATTGAAGATTCAGAGCAATACAATGGACCAACCACTCTTACATTACAATACTTAAGGATTGTAAATGGTACAGGTTATTCTAGTGGAAATGTGCATTTGGGTGGAGTGGTTTATATGAATACATCATACTCTAATACAGTGTTGGTAGTGGATCATATATCGGTCATCAATAACCATGCTGACGATGGTGCTGTTGTCTACACTGCTCTGCCTACTACTTCCAACCCTTCTTTCTCATCAACTATTGTAATTTCCAATGCCGAATTTATTGCCAATAAAGCTAGTGGAAATGGTGCCGTTATCTATTCTCAGGTAACCGACACCAAACTACAGATTACAAACTCAAGTTTTGTTAATAACAAAGGAAACACTATCATCACCTCCAACATTACAACAGCCATACTTGCTAATATATTGATCGATTCGAATCAAGGATCATTATATATCATGGATCTCTATGGTGATAGTTCATCGATGATCTCTCTTCAAAATCTGGTTGTTAGTAACAACCAAATCACCACAGGAAATCAACAACCAACTGGTTACATCTTAAATTTATATCAGGTGATTGTGTCTATTAAAGATTCTATTTTTGCTAACAACACTAATGGAACGCCCATCAAGTTTAAAGGTGAAGGTGGAATGGGTATCACAAATACAACTTTCAGTTCGAATACTAGTAAAAAGAATGGAGGTGCTATATATTCCACTCAAGGTACTCTGACAGTCTGGAATTCAACGATGATCAATAACCAAGCAGATCAAGGTGGTGCAATTGCTGTATACCAATCTTCACTAACATTAAGTGATGTAATCATTGTTGGAAATCAAGCTGTTACCTCAGGTGGTGGACTTTTCATATTAAACGATCAACATGGTAGTTCAGTCATTATCAACAGTACTACTTTTGGACAAAACTTTGTCAGTGGACAGAATGGTATTGGAACGGTCATGTACATCAATAACTCTGCCACACCACCAACGAAAATCAAACTTAATGACGTTGTATTATTCAATAACACCTACAATCAATACACAGAGCCAATATATTGTACGGGTAGTGCCGATGTTGTCATGAATGATATTGAAACCGATTTCAAGAGTCTTATCACCTGTTTAAGTGTAGAGCGATGCAGTTACTCTGGAAACTATAATGGTGTCAGTGCATGTCCAAGTGGTGAACCTACAAAGACTCCACTTAGTGGAGGAGAAATTGCTGCTATTGTCACTGGTTCTATAGCAGGTGCTACTCTCTTAATTATCATAATCTATTTTGCTAGGAAAAGATTTATTCGTGCAAAATACAATGTTATTGTAAATAGTTGATAAGAAAAATTGTTTGCAATAAAGAATCCTTTATTTAATTCTTATTCATCTTGTAAATCAAAAATATCTTTTTTGTTAATTTATTAAAGAATTCTTTTATTTTTTTGTTCTTAAATTTGGTTATCAAAAAAAAAGAATAATGATTTTAATAAATATCTGTTTTATAACCACAAAATTTTCAAGTAATCTTTTAGATATATGAATATCCACTAATGATAAAACCAATAAAATTGATGTTTTACAAAATGTAGAGTTATTATTTTAAAAGTTTAGTTTACAAAAATGAATAATTATATTTTGATATTTTTTATATTATTTGTTTCAAAGATTTGTTCTTCACAAACAGTAACTTTGTTTGTCAATTCAAATGTTACCAATTACACTTTACCTTGTGGTGATACTTTAGATAATGCTTGTCCAGATATTGTTAGTGCACTTTCATCATCAAACAGTACTGTACTATTATTAAAATTGGAAAGCGGTATTTACACTGGTGAAAATAATACAAACATAAAATTATTATTCAATTGTACAATAACAATCCAAGGAAATCAAGATAATTATGCAACCATCGATTTAGTTAGCAATGGATCATTTATTATTATCCAAGATACTCAACAACAAAGAGGATTATCCAATTTAACTTTGCAATATCTTAATATTAAAAATGGTTCCGGTAGCTCTTTCAATTCATACGATGGTGGTGTTTTTTATATAAATACACATTATTCAACAAACAATATAGTAATAGATAGTGTAATAGTATCAAATAACAATGCTACTAATGGAGGTGTATTCTATGTTTATTCTCAGGGTGTTACCAATATTACGATTTCAAATTCTGTATTCTCTGATAATACTGCCTCGGAGGAAGGTGCAATTTTAACCACCACTTCATCAACCAAACCTTGTAATCTATGGATTACAAATAGTATTATCAATGGAAACACAGCCTCCTATAGTATTATTTCAACAGATGATAGCTTTGTTAGTTTATCCAATGTGGTTATCAGCTCAAATATTGCCAATACCACTATTTTAAGATTCCTAAACAACGAGAATGTATTGATTCAAAACCTTACATTGGTTAACAATCAAGTGAATGGCATTGGTCCTTCAATATCAGACTATGGTTTTATTACTCTCATCAACAATAATGTTATAGTCGTCAACTCTAAACTATCAAACAATGTTGGTATGGCATCGCCAATAACATTCTACTCGATTGGACAGCTGGGTGTTCACAACACATTATTTGATTCCAACCGTCTTCCAGACTCTGGTGGTGCACTAAATATAGCACAAGGAATTGCATACATTTCGAATTGTACATTCTCTAATAATCAAGCAAACTTTGGTGGTGCCATCTACCTGTCGAATGCACTTGGTTTGGTCATTGGTAACAGCACATTCAGTGGCAACTCTGTAGGTACCAGCGGAGAAGCAAGTATTTTGTATATAAGCAATTCAAAGACTACAGTGGAATTCAATGGAGTAGTCTTCACCAATACCACCGTTAACAAGCAGAGTAACGCTATCTATTGTTCCGGTGCTAATCTCGAATTGAATGACATAGAGTCTGACACCAATGATATTGTTACTTGCAGTGAGCCAGATGTAGACAACAAAGATAAGTGCACATACTCTGGTAATTTTCGAGTGTGTAAATCTAAAGGTTCCAATGATGACAAATCACATGTTAGAATAATCGTCGGCGTTGTCGTTGGAGTTACTGGTGGCATACTTTTGACCGTTTTCATCTATATTATATACAAGAGACATCATAATCATCACAAATATAAAAGTTATTATTAATATTATCATAAAAATCGAAACTAAAAGAAACAAAAATAAAATTTAAAATATCGCACGGTTTGGAAAGATTTTAAATGTTCATCTGTGTTCTGTGTGTTTTCGCAAAATGCAAAAGTCAAAAAATAAAATCACTAAAGTAGATGACATATCATGATTTAGTGTTGATCAAAAAAGATTAATTAATTAATGGGGAAAAAACTAAGTGATGGATGAATTTAAAATATTTAATTCCTGTGAAAAGTTAAAGGCTTTTTAACCTCCTACAAATGTGCCAAATTAATTGACAATCGATTTTGTTTAATTTCTATTTAAAATGAATAAATATATATTATTTATAACAGTTTTTTTAGTTGTTGAGTTGTGTTCTTCACAACCAGTAACTTTATATATAAATTCCAGTGTTACTGATTACGTTCTGCCTTGTGGTGCAACTTTGGAAAATGCTTGTCCTGATATCGTTAATGCACTTGCCTCTACACAGTCGAGCGATGTTCTTCTTAGCTTAGGAAATACCACACTTACCGGTCAAAACAATACAAACATCCAGCTTGTCAATAGAACAGTAACCATCCAAGGAAACAAAGATAGCTATGCCACCATTAACTTGGCTGGCCAAGGTGCATTCTTTATCATCCAAGACTCAGAGCAACTCTATGGAAATACCAGTCTTACCTTGCAATATCTAAATATTGCAAATGGTACCGGTTATGTCCTACCACAACTAAACGGTACTTTCGGTGGGGTTGTATTTCTCAATACTTCATATTATTATGCATTCAACACTATTTTACTAGATAGTGTTGTAGGTTTTAATAATCAAGCTACCACTGGAGGTATACTCTATATTCAGAGCAACGGTTCGCCTACCAATGTCACCGTTACCAACTCTGATTTTAACAACAACAATGCAACCAACGCATCGATCATCTTTGGTCAGTACATTCTTATGACCGTCAGTAACACCAAGATCACTAGAAACAATGCTTTCGATGGTTTGATGAATTTCGTTGCGGCATATGTTCAGCTCGATCGAGTATTGATCGATTCAAACAATGCATCCGTTTCATTATTGAATTTCAACAGCACCAGATATGTCGGTATCCAAGCTCTAACACTCACAAACAATTTACTTGACTTTGTTAACAAAACAATTCAAAGTGGTTTCGTAAAATGCTTCCAATCCGATCTATCATTCGGCGGTAGTTCCAATTTAACCGACAACTTTGGTGCATCTGTAATCTATTACCGATCTATTGGCAAAACCTTGACTATTAATAACTCTGTGATAGAGTCTAATAGTGGATCGCTATTGGGTGGAGCCATCTCTCAGAGATATGGTTCATTGGTAGTTAACAACAGTTCGATCTCAAGGAATACCGCTGGTCAAGCTGGTGGTGCTATCTATTTGATCAGTGCAACCAGTGCCACTATTACCAATAGTACAATGGATGAGAATGCCCTTGGAGTTGTTATCAACGGCACCAGTAGAGTCGCTGGCTTTGGATCTGCTCTCTATTTGAGTGACACAACCAATGTTATTATCAACGGTGTCGTTTTCGATAAGAACACCGACAATGCCTACGGTGGTCCAATCTTTTGTTCAGGTTCAAACGTCACAATGAACGACATCAAGACATCGAGTGACGAGCTTGTTTATTGTAACCAATCAGTACTCGATACCAAATGTACATACCATGGTAATTTCGGAGAGGAAATATGTCCAGAAAAGAAATCAAAATTGAAACCAGGAGTTATCGCTGGTATCGTCATTGGATCAATCATTGGTCTACTAATCATAGTACTTTTTATCTATATTCTTAAAAAGAGACACCATAACAGATCTAAATATTTAAGATACAACTAAGACCCAAATAAAGAATAGTTTGTATAAAATAAACAATAAACAATAAACTAAATAAATTTTTTTATTTTTTTAAAAAGAACAACAAAAAGAGAACGATAATATTAAAATGGTATTAAACTCTTAAAGTTCAAGGAATGACAATAATAAAGTTGAATTTCCGTATAACCATAAGGTTATATATTTTTTCAATAAACTAAATGTAATAAAATAAATTAAAAAAAATAAAAAAATTAGTTAATCGAGGTTGTGTTCACCCACCACCACCACACTACTTTCACAATTTTTAATTAATAGTTTTTAATTATAATAATTCGATTGTTTATTTATTTATTATTATTTATATTTACTTAAACTAACAAAGATAGATATTAACTAATTGTAAATTTATTAATATATTTGTACATTATTTAATATTTAAGATATAACTAGTATTTTATTTTATTTTTCTGTGTAAAAGATGAAAGCAGTAGGTTCTGCAGTTGGATCAAAAGTAGGAAGCTCAGTAGCTTCCTCTTTCTTACCTAAATCCGAATTAATGATCAAAGCTGGAAAGTATGCTGGTATTGCAACTGGTTGCCGTAAGTTTTAGATTGGTAAAGAGAAAAACAAAAAGAATTAAATATTAATTTTTAAATTTTGTTTAAAGTGTTGGTTGCTTTAGGTATTTTAATTATATTCTTTAGTCATTGGATTGTTGGACCAATCTCTATTGCATTGGGTGGATTCATGCTGATATTGGAAATTGGCACATTCATTTTGGTGAGAGTCAAGTTTTTGGCAATGGTTTTCGACTACAAGATTCGTGGTCCCATTTACATATTGTTTTGTATACCACCATTCTTCACAGTGTACACCATTGCACCAGCACTTGGATGTATCATCACCGGTGGTATCTATGCTGTTCTCGGTTGGATAAAGAATGAATCCGCTGCCTATCCAGAGGCTATGCCACAACGTGATGCCGAAGAGGCTCGTGGTGCAAAGAAATCGTCGCTCTCATCTCAAGGTGAAGCTCCAGGTCAAGATACTGGAAGACCAAAATCTGGTTTCTTTGGAAAATAATAATTGATCAATAATTAATACAAATTTACAAATATATATATAAAACAAAACAAAACAAACGAATACTGACATTTATGATATAAATACCATTTCACCATGTTAAATTATTATATATTTCAACTTTATAATAATATAGATAGATAATAATAGATAGTTTAGATAAAGAAAGTATAATCTTCTAAAGATGTAAATAAAAAATTTTATATTAAAACAAAAAAAAAAAAAGGTATTTGTTCTTATTTATATTTTACTTTATTAACTATCATTTAAATTCGATTCATATTAAATGATGATTGTAAGCTTTGTTGTTGCGTTGTTGTGTTGTTATTTTTGAATAGTCATATATGTACATCATTTTTTGAGATTATCTGTATTTGTGATACTATCTATTTAGTTTTGGTTTGTTGTGTTTTTTTGTTTTTTTTTTTTAATTAAACTTTCTAAGATTTGATAGTTCATCTAGAATAGCTTGTAATGTATCGTCTTGAGTGTCTTGGAATCTCTTTAGACTAACTATTAAACTCTTTGCTTCATCAGAGTTTTCAGGACATAGATTGGCAAGACACGCAACTTCAAATTCGTCTAAATCTTGTTTCGACAAAACACCTCTAACTTGTTTAATCGATGCTTTATTCTTATATCTACTGAATCTCTCTGCATATGCTAAAGTTTTATGAAATGTTCTATAATTGCAATAATTTAGGTTAAATATATATATATATATATGATATCAATATTATAATATAAAGAGTATATACTTACTGAGGAAACTCTGTACCTTCAGTTGCGAATTCCTTTCTACACTCAAGCAAAATAGCAACCTCTGAATTTAAAAGAAACTTTGCATTCTTTAGATCTATAAAGTATCAATATTTAATAAGTAATCAATTTCCCACATTGTGTAACTCTAATATATTGAATTTAATTGCATCTACCTTTTGGGAACTTTAAAAGTGAAAGATCTTCTTCTTCTTGAATAACACCTCTTCTAAAACTTTGATCACTATTTCCACTCATATCGATAACTAGACAGTTTAAACTTTATATAATGAATCGATTTTGTTTTAATTAATATTTAAATTTTTAAAAAAAATAAAAATAAATTTTCAAAAAAAAAAAAAAAAAGAATAAAAAAATAAACCTACAAAACGATCCTTTCAAATGTTTACATAAATATCTTTTACAAAAGTTATAACTTGGTCTTAGTTTAAAGGTTTTTTATTATTTTATTTATAATTTTTTTATCTTATTATTTTTTGAAATTGAAATATTAATAATATTAACTATAAACTATACATGCACCACACATTTCTCTTTGACAATGATCTTTCGATTCAATGGATGACCACTTATCTTTTTCAATTGAGTAAATGTGATTACCATAGGTCTTACCACCCAAAACGAATATATTGGATTGTGTCGAACTGAATCGATGGAAAACCGTTTTAATGTTACGAGGTGAATAGACTGTGCTAAGATCCATTGTATCATCATTGTATCGCTTTGTATAGGTTTTCTTGTTGATATCAATCTTAAAGGTATGTTTCTTAATGAAAACGTAGAGTGTATCTTGTTGTTGATCAAAGCATACCAATGGTTGCGCCAGCAATCGGTAGATATTATAAACATTTGAGAATCCCTCTGCTATCTTTATGGACATGTGAAGTGTCTGCTGTTTCTCACCAATGATGGGATTGAATCTCCAAATCTCGTAGCCATCAACCATTCCATAGGGTCCTGCATACGACATCGTTAACATATAAATATATCCATTGGCAGTGGCAAATGTGTAAACTACAAACACTGGCTTTATCAATTCATTCATAGTGGAATATCTCTCGAAGGTCTGTGATTTAATATTGAATCTATCAATTCTATCGAGGTCTTTGAGTTTTTGTTTTTTATAGTTATGACCACCAATCAAATAGATATGATCGAAACCATCGTAGCAAGCCAATATTCCTTCACCTCCATCGATACCATCCATTTTGGCTGTATGACTGACCATCAGAGTCTTTGCTAATATCTTTTGGTAGCCATTGATATCGAAACCACCGAAAACATAAATATGTTCGAGACGGCTGTCGGCAACCACAGAGTGAGATGTATGGATACCTCTCAATGTCTCCACCTGCTTCAAACTGTAGTCAGAGAGTGACAGCAACGAAGATTCATTCTGACCAAGTGTAAGTATAGATATACTCTTGAGATCTATAGATTTCTTTATATTATATTGAATTTCCTCTACTTGTTTGGCGTCTATTCTTATTGCGAAATTACATTTCAAAAGACTGTTGTTATTGATATGAGATTTTCCTTTCTTTAGCGATTGATATTTATCTCCAAATTGCTGAATTGACTTTAAAATCGACTGTTCATCGCCATTGCCGTTGATAGCCGAATAATCATTTCCAATCTTTGGATTCTCTTCACCTAAAATATATCCATTTCCGTAACTGTGTGGTTTCTTAAAAACGTCACTCTTGAAAAATTCACTACTCTGATCACACTGATTGATTATTGTGGCAAGTGTATCCATATCTGATGTATCAATACTTGGTCTTGAAAGATAACTATACATTGATTCCTCTTCTTCTGCTGCTGTTTCTTCCTTGTTTCCATCACCATCCTTTTGAAATTCTTCTTCTTCTGACTTTGTATCTTCTTTTTCTTTCTTGTTTGTTGTAGAACATTGATTATTTAATTTCTCGATTTGCATTATGATTGATCTTAATGATTTCATCTCATTTATTTGAGTTGATATGTCTACACCAATCTTTTCCAGATCCTTTTTGATTGGTATCTTTAGTTTGCTTTCTTCAAGGATGAGGTAGTCGTGCAACTGTCGGAAATGATTCGATATGTCATCGGTGATTCTGGTGAGCGATTCAAATGAGTAGGTTGACAACTTTATAGATTTCCACAGTTGCTCAACTCGTTGGTGGATCTTACTGTTGCCTCCAAGTTTTTGAATCTCAGATACCGATTGATAAGCATGTCCTTTGTGCTCCCACTTATTCAAACAATCGGCACAACCAACTATATTACACTCGAAACAAATTAAATTTTCAAGTCTATTATGTTCTGTACAGTTATTCATTTTATTATTATTTATTATTCTTCTTGGTATTAAACAAACAAATCAATTGAACAACAAAGAAATTTCTTTCAAAACAAATATAAATGAAAAAATAAAATAAAATAATCATGTGATCATTTTAATATCTAAAAATATCACTTTAGTAAAATCGAATAGGACCCTGGGTTAGTTCAATTAATTAATTTATATGAAAATTTTATAAAATTTATAGGGGTTACAAAAAATTAATATTAATTAACTTTTTTTATTTAAAAAAAAAAAAAATTGAAACTCAAAATTGGTTTTTTTTTGCAAAAAAAGGATAGCAGATTTGTGGTGAAGTTTGGCTCTATGGATAGTGGAATTGGTCGTTCCTGGGTTGCACAGCTCACCGATTTTGGAGAATTGACTTTCGATGTAAAAATTTTTTTTTTTTTTTATGTAGTAAAACACCTTATAATCTTTTAATTTATAATTTTCTTAATTATTTATATAAAATTGATGAATATCCTCTCAATTTTCAAATTAGAGATAGATATTATTTAATCATATGAATTCATCAGATCATCCATATCATTATTATAGTAATAATAACAACCATCAAAGGAATAAAAGAAAATCAACAGAAACCTATGACTACTCTTTACTCGCAACAAACGATGGAGAAGAAGAGGTGATCGATGACAATGTTGACCAATACTATGAAGAAATAGATGACAATCACATAGAATATGAAAATGGAACAACGGAAAACAATCTTTCAACTCACAAGTTTCATATCCAACAACAGAAAAAGACATTACCAAACCAACAGCAGCAAAATCAACAATTAAAATCTGAACCACCATGTGCGAATGTATGTAATCAATTCTTATTTACTATTATTGTGGTTATGTCTAACTTTTATTTTTATTTTTATTTTTTAAAAAGTTCAATATTAAATATAAAGATTTATTAAAATTGGAGGGGTACATGGCACAAAAGATTGATTGTCCTGGGAGTGTAGCGGAGGATAGTTATTTAGAGGAATTTATTTTGAGGTTTGGATTGACTCTAAATGTTTGTACCGATATAGAATGTTTCTTTGGCAGACGATTCATTGGTGGTTCAATATACAAAACACGTCAGACTGTATATCTACCGGATGAGTCCAACAACAACAACAACAACACTAATAATAATAATAACAATAATAGTAATAATTTAAATGACCCAACAAAAATTGGATTGAGATGGAAAACAAGTGCTCTAAAGTATTGTGATATGGTTTGTAAATATACTATACTAAGAGAAGAGGACATACATATGTTCCTTAATTACCTACATCTTGTTAAACAACCAAATGGAAAGCTTGATCATAAGTCTAAATCTTCGATGTTAGTAAATACCAAGGCACTTGGTGTTATCTTTCCAAAGTTCACCATTTACATTTCAAATTATAAATGTAATTGTTTCAAAACTCATCCTCAACACAACAACAACAACAATAACAATAATAATAATAATAATAATATCAATAGCAATAATAATAACAGTAATAACAGTAATAATAACAACAATTTAAATACAACAATAACACAGCCACAACCAATACAACAATCAAATATTATTCATTTAACTGGTAGTAATATCAACAATATAGTTGATAATAACATCAATAATAATCAAAATAATAATATTAATTTTAATTCAAGTAATAACTTTAATAATAATATACAACCAAAGAAATCTAGATTATCGGATGGAGGACATAGTATAAATAATAGTAGTATTAATAGTAATAATAGTGGAAGTAATTCGAATAATAATAGTTTACAAGGCATTAATAATAATAGTGAAATACAAAAGGTAGCACAACTGCTTACAAATAGTATTAATAGTAGTAGTCAGTTCAATGACCTTATGGGTAAAGTGAATTGGTTAGAGTCGAAATTCAATGGTTATATTAATACCAACGAAAGTAGATATAATACAACCGTTCAAGATCTAATAAATACAGTACAGCGATTATCTAGTCAAGTCGATTACCTATATGCTACAAAACAACATAATAATTATAATAACAATACACAACCAACATCATCATCATCATCATCATCATCACCGTCCATGATAAGAAATAATAATCAAAAACTTTATAGTTTTCCACCTTCATCACCTCAAATACAACAACCACAACCACACATACAGCAGCAGCAACAACAACAACCACAATCTTTAATATCTTCACCGATTTCAACACCACAAGCACTATCACCAATTCCCACAACAATATCAATACCAACAGTCAAGAAACTTGGATTCATCTATTCGAGTACAGATCCAGTTGCTTTGAACCTGACCGAGCTGAATAGATTCAGAAGCAATATAGGTATTAGTGATCGAATTATGTTTAATTGTATCAATTTCTTTCTGGCGAATCATTTCAAACACGATTGGGATCATGCCAAGCTAGCTATTTTCGACACATTTTCCTTTTCCGACAGACCACTCGATCTCCAATTGATAAGCGAAGACAACTTCAATCGTCCACGCACAATGTTCAGCTTGATTCCATTCAGCGATCGTTCTCAACATTGGAAACTCTATGTGGTTGGTCACAGTAAATCCAATAGTGACTCCATTGTTTCGTACGACTCTCTTGGCAGCGATGTAGCCAAAGGCGGCTATGTAAAGATACCCGACTCCATATCGACCCATTTCCGTTTAATCCCAGAGAATCAGTCGAAACGAGTTATATTTAGACATCATCCAAACACATTGACAGTAAATGACGATGGGGAAACCGACACCGACCCCAATGCAGTTGCTAGTGGAAACGATTGTTCAGTTAATTGTGGCCTCTATGTTTTGGCAATGATTGAACACATCATTAAGAACTACGATCAACTCTCTTTGTCATCACCAGAGAGTTGTCAACTAGAGAAAATAGATGTATCTCTGTTTAACGTTGATCAATATCGAAAGCGAATAATAAGTCAAATCATTGATAAAAAGAAAGAATACGATAGAAGCTATAGTCTTCCAATTAAACAAATAGCTACTACAAATAATAACACCACAACAAACAATATCACAACAGCAACAACAACAACAACAAATAATAATACAACTGGTTTCAAACCATTTGGTGAGAGTGAAATCAATCATATTGTATCGATATCAAGTACACCTGCAATCTCTTCACAAACCCAACCACCTAAATCCAAATTTAAATTATCATTACACGCCACACCAACAAGTCCAGAAATATTATCAACCAATCCAAATCTCCCTAAACCAGAAATTGTCCAAACCAAACCACTCGTTGATCTCGACTCAATAGCACTAACGGCCAACAACTTTTATACTTCAAAGTCACGTGATAGAGTAGAGGTTTTTTCAGAGAGCTACAAAAGTAAGGTGTTCTTTCTGGACAGTGAAATCAAACCGCTTTTTGACTTGGAGTCAATCAGTGATCCCATTGCCAACATGGAAACATTGATGCCTGTCTGTGCTACACTGATGCCAAAGCGCTTAAAGATACTCGACCGTTACACTACACTCGAACAAAAGATCATTACATTCGTTTCGTTCATTCCAACGGTGACATCGCACGCCTACGACAAGATAGTACGTTCCTACTTTAAGAAGGATGGAGAATCTTACAAACTGTTGGTTCGTGCATGCCAGCAGTGTAGAGGATACATTCACAATCACATTCAACAGTACAACTACGATGTTCCGATGCAATACGACGATATAAAGCGTGACTGGATGGGTGGCATCAAAGAGTTGACCGGTGAGGAATTCGATGAGACACTGATCACCGTGTTAAACATCCGTAAGAACGTACAGACCATCGAACTACTACTGAGTTATCCACCTATCAAACCAGAGATGGGACTGCTCTACAATCCTATATGGCTTGGAGTGGCACCGACTACCCACAATTCACACAAGACTGCTGATGCACTCAAACGTTATTTACTTACAAAATATAGGGTACTGAATAACATCCACTCTGATACTGTCATGAAACCAATACCTTGGAAATGAATCAATTGAAATAACATTACGAATAAAAGTTTTAATTCACTCTTTTCGAAATTTAAAACCTTTCAAAAAAAAAAAAATAATAATTCATTTTCAAAAAAAAAAAAAAATCCATCTTGTAAAAATGGGTACCTGATCAGATATTTTTTTCCCCTCCTTTTTTTCATACAAAAGTTATTGCCAATTTTTTTTGATCATTTTTTAGTTTTATTTTGTTGTATTATTATACTATTTATAGAGTATTTAGAGTTAGTATCAAATAAGTATATTTGGTCAATCAAACAATCAATCAAACATTATTTAGTTAACTGATTTTAAAAACAATCCGATCATTTGACAAATAAATTATTAAAATAGAGATTAGTTTAATTTAGTATTAGTAGTGCAGAGACAGAGGTGCTATGACAATCATTCTATCTATTAATCATTCTCTTAAATCTATTAGTCAAAAACAAACATACCTATAGCTATCAGATATTTTTATTAATTATTATTATTTTCGATTGTGTCCACACAAAAAAAAAAAAGAGAGAGTTTAGAGATTACTTATTTGACGACAAAAGATGGAGAAATAGATTATTTTTTAAATCAAATTTATCATAATCCGTAATCAATCAATCAATCAATCAATCAATCAATCAATAAATCAATAAATCAATAATCATATATCATAATCACCACACCTTCAAAAGTAAGTACTTACTTATCATTGTTTTATATTTCAAATGGTAAATACCTAACGAATAGAGACTAAAATCAATTGATTCATATGAATCGATTTATTCGTTTTTCAAGATAACAAATCAACAAATCTTTTGTTATACAATTTATCATGTCATGTCATATCCATAATCAATATAGGTTCACCACCATCGATATAAATCATTAAATATTATAATGTTTTAAAAACAAAAAAAAAATAGATGGGGTTTTTGTGTGATGGATAATTATTCTATACTACACACCCCCACCACTACCACTACCACACCACCTAACAATCTTATTAGTAAATAATCATATGAATTTTTTTGATTGATTGATTATTTTAGTAACAATAGTCTGATTAATTATGATTGTTTTAAAAGTATAATTATTAATAATTAATACCAATAATCATTATTGTTTGATTGACCAAACTCAATAACTCCCACAACCACACTCTCTTACTAATAATAACAAAATTTTAAATATAAATATAAAAAATCTAGGTATTTATTATTTTTAGTCTTTTTACTCTCCATCAAAACAATTTTCAAAAAATAGAAATATAAATATCTATTATTACTTTTTAAAAAAACTATATTTCTAAAATTTATTTATTATAAAATAGTTTTCATTGATATCAATCATGGATAGACAATCTGGAGTGTAAGTAAAGAAAACAATTACACTAATAAATTATAATACTAACTATTATTATTCATATAGTCTTAAACCAATTTCAACGGTTATTCCATTTCCTTTAAATTTCGATAATCAAAAGTTTGGTGAAATGTATAAATCCTATAATAAGATTATGATTTTAGCTAGAGATTTGAATACACAGATCGAAGTACCAGAGTTTGTAGTAATTGGAAAAGACAACGTTGGTAAATTCTCTTTGATTCAAACTTTTATTGGTTATCCATTGGGCGAGATCACCTCAACTCTTCGTCCAATCCTCATAAATCTCGTCAACAATCCAGCATACGATCAACCACACATTCTCTTCAAACGCGATCGTTTCCTCAAGAATTTTGAAGTAGACAAAGAAGTAGCTCTCGACCAGGTAGCTCGTGAAATCGCCACCAGAAATGTCGTGTCAACCGTGCCAATCAAGATTCAATTTGAATATCGCTACTGTTTGAATATGCAATTCATCAACTTGCCAGAGGCATCCGATGAGGAAACCATTCAAACTTTTGCACGTCCCGCTCAGAGAATGTTGTTGTTTGTCGAACAGTCCGGACCCTCTGTTTCTATGGTGGATAGCGCCAAGCGTTACGATCCAAAATTGGACCGTTCCATCTTTGTTTTCACTGGATTCTCAGAGTTCCTCAAGACGTTCACAAATGCCCGTGATTTGAATCGTGCACTCTCCCAGCCAAACGCCGATGCCCTCACTTTCTTCTTGACACTTCCAACCACCGCTGCCAACAAGTCGGCATTGAACGAAGCCATTCTCCAACTTCAAAATCGTGATGCTGAAGTGTTGGAACAGCTCCAATACGACCGTCGTTTCGAACGTTCCATTGGTTTGACATCGTTCCGTCATGCAATCAGCGAGTTGACATGGCGTCGTTATCAAGAGGCAATTCCAGAGGTTTTGAAGCGTTTGCGTGCATTCCGCAAGTCAAGCGAAGAGCAACTCTCCAAGTTGAAGGGACAGCTCGACAATATGAATGCCGGTAAACTCCGTATCATCGCTTCCAACTATGTTATGGAATTCCTCCAATCCATTGAGAAGCTAGTTGTCGGAACACTCGAAGGTAATCCAACTTTGAACGGTCAAACACTTAGTGAAGAGAAAGCACAAGATGAAACTGGTGATTGGCGTGATCAAAATCATCGTCCAATTATTTTGAATTCTTCATCCGTACAATTCGCTGACTCAAAGGTTTATGGAGGTCAACAGTTTGAACGTCTTCTATCGGAATTCAAAGCTATCTCTGATAGCGTTGAGTTGGCACCATTGTCAGCCGACGAAGTTGCTACATCACTCGGATCGAACCGTCCAAACAATGTCTCTGTTCTTGCATGGGCTGCTAGTGATCTCGCTCAAAAGAAGTCAAAGGAAGCATTGAAACCATTGGTCGACCAACTGTTCCGTCGTGCCATTTACATCTTGCGTCGTCTCGTTGATATTGTCGATCGTATGATTGAGAACAAACGTCGTATCCAATTGCGTCGTGCAGCTTCCTCACCAACATTTGACAGTGCTCCAATCACTCTCAATAGCTTGCGTCCAGGTGGTATCTCTGTGAATAGCCACAGCAGCTCTTCCAGTCACCATTCGTCAAGCGCCAACAGCTCGTCGCTTGTCAACATCGACGACCATCCATACTTTACTCACTCCATCAAGGAGATGTACTTTAAGTTTATCGACCAGATCGTTATGACCTGTAAGAGCAAGTGTATCGATGAATTCTACACTACTCGTCTCATCTATTGGGAGTTGGCCAACAACGACGACTTGAAGTCGCTCTCTGAAGACAAACAAACCGACACCCAAGCCATCGTCAACAAGTTGGCAGCCAAGTTGTTCCGTGATATCAAGTCACGTATCACCAAGAACATCATGTTGAAATGCTACAACTACTTCTTGATTCCAATGCAAACCGACCTCTGGGGTGAAGTACAAGGAAAGATCACCATCCTCTCTGACGTTATGTTGGAAGAACTCTTTGAAGTCTCAGTCACCAAAGACAGACTCAAAGAAGACGAAAGACACCTCAACCAAATTACAAATCAATTCATCCAACAAGAGGAAGGTTTCCTTACCGCTGCAAATACATTCAGTCATCCAGTATTCTAAAATTAAAAAAATTAAAAAAAACAAATTTTAAAACAAAAACTAGTACTTTTATTTATATATAATACTTCAAATGTAAATTAAATAGGTATTATTTAATTAATTAATTTATGTTATTAAAATAATAATAACATTGTTTAAACAAGAATTGTTTTGTTTTTTTTTATTTAATTTAATTTATTCTTGTTGTTATTAAGGTTTGAGTAAAATTTAGTACTTTTTATCATTTTTTTTTATTGGTAATAAAGTAAATCTTAATAATAAATTACAAAGTGGAATGATATCACCAACATCATTACGTAGTTTGATCATTCTGAAACCAGGACGGATATTTTCGACTCTGATACTGTAGTGACCGATACGATTATGTCTGTGGAAGGCATCCTTATCGTCTACTCTAATCAACAACATAGCAAGTTGACTGTTAATCAATGGGAAGGTAAATTCCTCTCCCCAATATGGATTGAAACCATTGTTATCTTTAAAGATAATAAGAATTAGCAAAATGATTGAGATAATAATAATTAATAATAAACATACCGATAACTTTAGTCTTGTATTCTGCTTTATCATATTTGCATCCATGAATTGAAACAGTTACGAATGGATCAATTACTTCACCACCAGTGGTTTTGGTATATTTTGGAAGTTGACGACCACTGATAACTTCGACACAAAGCTTGGAGTACTTTGATGCTGGATGTCTGATTTGAATGGTTGGGTCGAATTGCATTGATGGGTTGCTCTCAAACCAGAGTGCAGGTGGTTTCAATACGAAACCAGAGCTACCATTGTCATCAAACATACCCTCATTGACCCAGATTGGTTCGGAGCTGGTCTGATGATTGAGTGCAATCATTTGCATTCCCAAAGACCATCCTGGACATGGATCGAAATTGGAGGAATCGAATCTTGTACCTCTTGGATATCCACGAATAAAGTGAGTTTGTGTGAGATTGACAACCTTACCAGAGTCATAGCTGCCTAGGACATTGTTAATGGCACCCTCTGACAATGAGTGCATGTAAGCTGGTGATTTCATCTTTGATAAATCCGGTGACTTGTATCCTGAACCGATCAAATAGATCAATCTTGAGAGTTCATCTGCAATCTTTACCTTGACAGGCTTCTTCTTTGCACCATCGTCTTTCTTTTTCTTCAATTTCAACGAGGTGGCTAAAGATGATCCTAACTTTAGGATACTGCTGCTGGTTGATGATGTCAACGATGGTGAAGCGGCAGACGATGACGATGAAGCAGAGACTGAACCGGCTGAACTATCCAACTCTTCCTCCTGTTCATCTTCATCCTCATTTAGGATATCTTGGATTTCACCTGGGGTGGTTGCAACTTGAGCAGCACGATGTCCCTTCAAAAGAATCTTGTGCTTCAATTGTTCAAGTGTTGGGAATACCTTGGCATCTTCGGCCAAAGGTGTTGGAAGCATATCTCCAAAGATCTCTACAAGATGGTGAGCCATTCTAATCTGTTGTGGAACAGAGCAATGCACTTCAAGGCTCAGAATAACTGGGAATGGAGAGATTTCAAAAGCACAAGTTTTGATAGTTTGACAAACATGTGAAAACTTGATTTGACTAGTCAAGGTCTTACCATGGAAAATAATTGGTTCACCATCAGCACCATCCCAAACATCAACTATTAATAAGTTTGTTAGTTATTTAAATTATTAAGTTTGTTTTTTTTTTTTTTTACTTACGTTCAACACATCTAACACCAGATTTCAATGTCTTTACATACATTTCACTAGATGATTCACCTTTGAGTTGATGACCAGCCAAATAAGTATTATGAGAAGAGTTGATAAAGTATTCAGTGATTGGTCTGTTTGTATCTTGGTAGATGGTTCTTGTCTTTGGAATGGCAGCAGAGTTGAAATCACTGACGATGTAATCCTCCAACTGTTCAAAGAGAATGTGTGGCAACTCTTCATGGTTGTACTTGGTGATTAAAGCGATACAGTCAGATTCCTTCCAATCCTCTTGTTGCTCCTCTTTGAAGAATCTGATCATCTGTGGGATGGTAAGATGTTGAGCTGAATCTGAAGAGTAACGCTCAAAGATCATCTTGATCTCTGGACGTGAACGTAGGTATTTCAAGAGATCAGAGAACTCTACAAAGTCGAGATTACAGTCATCGTTACGATCGACCATTGCCATCATACGAGCCAACATCTCACTGGAGGTGGTATAGTTCAGTCTCTCCAACAACTTTTTGATTTCATCACGATTGAGTGAATCCTTTCCGAATGAATTGAACTCACGCATGACAAATCCCATTTCATTGTCGAGTGACTTTGCCGAGCAAATGGTGTGATAGAAAGCTGACACCATCAAACGTCTTTCCTGCTCTGTTTCACAGATGAAATCCAATGACTTACTCATGTTTCTCTTTCCAGTGTACATCAATGAGAACGACTTGCAATTGGCAACATCAATCTTGTGATTAACATCTGCCTTCAATTGGTAATTATTGAATACATTTGTCTTTTGACCAACTCTAATCTCATCGATTTGAGATAAAGGAACTATTTATAATTAAAAAATATATATTAATATTAAATATTAACAATAACAATCCATTTAATAAAGATACTTACTTTTCTTCTTTGAACAAAGTAACAAATGTTTTCTCAAGTTGAAAACTATTTTTTGGGTATTAGCTTTTCCCTTGGAATTGATAAGAGTGATTGGAACTCCAAGTTTAAAATTCTCCAAGTCATTAAATATTTTCGAGGTATGCTCTTCATCTATAATAATAGTTTTTGATAAAATTGACTATTAATAAATTTTTTTCTTTAAAAATGATAATAAAGAAATAAATAAAATACAAACTTTCCAATCCTTTTGAATCAACTGCTAATGGCTTTCTTAAACTATCGAAATTGAAATGCTGTTGAAATTCAAGCTGTGAAATAATTATTGAAAGTTGATGTAAATTTGATAAATCCATAAATAAATATAATTATATGAATAGAATGAATGTATAAAAATAGTTTGTTTAGTTTTTAGAGTAAATTAAATTAATAATAATTTAAAACAATAAAATTTAAAGTTTACGTACCATTCCATTTTCATAGATCGTATTATCAGCGGAAGTAGTATCGGCCATCTTGAAATAATGATGATTATTAAAAAATTAACAGTCTAAGGGTCAAAAACAAAAAAAAAATCTTGTGGGGGTGGTCGCAAGTTGATGATATACCTCCTTCAATAAATAAGAGTAGTGTGTGTAAGTATGGTTGTAATATTACATTGAAAATTTAAAGGAATTGAAATTAAGACTTTGCTATTATCAGTGATATTAATAAGATTGAAATTGTGGAATTCGCTGGCGAGCGTTGTTTGTGCGTTCAAAGTCTGGTGTTGTTGTTGTTGTTGTTGTTATTGTAAGCATTGTAACTCACATATACAAGGTTGGTGTCTACGAATGTTTTTGTAATCCAAATGTCTTAATGTCATATTATCTTTTATTTTTTTAAAATTTTATTTTTTTAAGGTTGTGTGTGTGAGTGGTGGGGTGTTATTCTTTTTTCAGCATTGGGCAAAACATAGATTACTATCTTTCTTTTACTTCATTGCAATATCATTATAAGATGATGTATAGTTACAAATAAATATTGATATCTATAGATAAAGATAGTTTGTGTTTGTTTTTACAAGATAATATTTACTTTTTATATTAACAAACTATTACTTCTTTTAGTTATTTTTTAATGTATAAATATATTTTCAAAAAAATAGTCTATTTATATTATTTTAGAACTAAAAAAGCTTTTAACAGTTTCAACTTGTAAAGTAAAGATTTCTCAATGTTATTTCAATAAACACAATTTTGAACATTAAGTAAACCTTTTTTAAAATTTTTTAAATTTTTTAAATTTTTTTTTTTGTTCACCAACACTCTTCGCAGTTAGATTTTTTATTTTTGTTTACAAATTAAGGCGTTTTTAGTAATTTCGTTGAATTAATAGATCTAGATTTTTTTTTGTGTTATTTCTGACTTGACGATATGAAATAAATGGTTCAGTTCGTTTCCGATTTAAGATATGATCAATGTTTTGTGTTACCTTTTGTTAAAAAAAAATAAAAAATAAAAAATTGTTTAACAAAACAAATATATCAATCAATTAATTGTAATATCTTATAATTTATATAAACTATAAATTCTTTTAGAGAAAATATGAAAACAAATCATCATATTATTAATCGTCATGGTTATAGATGTGGTCACACTACGTTTTCATTTTTTTTTATTGGACGAATACATTGAGAGTTGTTTTTTACAAACATGTTGTACAAATAAATAAATTATTTATTAAGCAATTCATAATAATAATATAATAATAATAATAATTCATTTATTTATAAATAGAATTTTTATTTTTAATTTTTTTAATTTTTTTAAAATCTAATCAACAAAAGTAGATTGTTATTTATGATATAAAAAATAAAATAATAATAATAACTATGAAAGATGACGATAGTGATGATACAGTCTTAAGTATTGATATTTTGCAGCCGAATGCTGTATCTAGTAATACTACCAATGAGCTACAACAACAACAATTAATACAACCAATCGATAATAGTAATAGTAAATACTATAATAAAAACAACAATAAACATCTACAACAACAATTTAATTATATAACATCAGCATCGTCATCCCCGATTCTGTCAGCTTCTGCCTATTTCAATAATGGCAAAGTTAACAATGATAACGATGACGATGATAAATATCAAAAGTATCAGAATAATTCGTTTCTAAACAAGATTACAGAGTTCCTACGTAAAAGTCCGATATTACTATCATCATCACCTTTATCATCTCAATCACCATCCAACAATAACAATAACAACAACAACAACAACAATAATAATAATAATGATATAATATCATTGGATCTATCATCATCAGACAACTCTAATAATAATAATAATAATAACTATGATTATATAAAGATATACAAAGTAACATTTTATATGATAGCACTCTATCTTATTTACGGGTTGCTTCAAGAGTTTATATTTAAAAAACAAGAGGTCAACTTCTTTTCACTCTATTCATTCTCACAATTCTTTGTTTCATTCTTATTTTCAATTAAAGGATTGATCGATGAATCAACCATCCAAATTATACCGACTTCTTCATCTTCTTCACCATCTTTAAATTCACAACAACAAATTAACAATAATAATAATAATAACCAACCTCATCCATTTTATAATTTCTTACAAGAGCTATCATTTAGAAAGTTAAGGTAAACTATAGATTATCAACTATACTATTTACAACATATATATTGATAAATACTAATAATACTTTTTTTTTATTTCTAGATTATATATATTTTTATCATTAGTTTTAATATCAACAAAGATACTGGGAAATGAATCACTAAGGTTTATCAATTATAAAACAAAGGTGATGTTTCAATCATCGAAATTGATACCTGTGATGATCATCGGTGGCATTTTATTTAGACGTTCATACAACATGGTTGACTACCTCTCTGTGGTGGCGATGACCTCTGGTTTGGTATTCTTTTCGATTGGTGATTCCATTTCTTCACTTTCGTTCTCGCCGATAGGTTTGTTACTAATCGTTGGCTATGTATTCATTGAATCCGTAAAATCGATACTCTATGAAAAGATATTAAGAGATTTTCAATCTGAATTAGAGTTGGTCAGTATTCAATAATAATAATAATAATAGTAATAGTCATAAAGATAAACAATTTTACTAATATTAATATTGATATTCTTACTTTAAATTATTTAGTCATTATTTACAAATTTCTTTGGAACTATAATGTCTCTACCTATTGTATTTATGTCAGGTGATCTAAAGTCATCTATTATCTTCTTTAAAGACCATATTCTCATTTTGTTGTTGTTGATGGCTTTCATATTGCTTGGTTACTATGCGAATATCACATACCTACATCTGATGAGAATCAGTGATTCGTTCTACGCCAATATGATATCGTCGTTCCGCAAGTTCATTACCATCATTATATCTTTTCTTTTCTTCAAAGATACCTTCTTGCACTACCATGCATTTGGCATAGTTCTATTCTTTTTAGGTTTAGGTTTAGAAATGAAACACAACTATTCAACAAAAGAAAAGATTAAAGTGTAATTTATAAATAAAATTTTGTAATAAAAACTACTTGCACACGCAATACATTACTTTCCTAAATTACTGATTTAATCGTTTAAAAAAAGCTATTTTATTTTATATTATAAATTACAAATAAGAGTTATCCAAGTCGTTCAATTCAAATGAAACGGTCATTGGAGCTATCCTACTATTATTATTATTATTATTAAGGTCTTTGGTAAATGAACTACTAAATTCACATGTTATCTTAAACATCTTTTTGGTTAGATACTATTATAATAGTTTAGTTTGAGTAAAATAGTTATATTAATACATACCTGTGGTAATTTCTCCTCTTGATTTACAGAGAATACAAATGATAACCCTCTATCTGAATATTGTGAGCTATAAAAACTTGCTATATCTTTTAATTGTTTCTTTGTCTTGTTGGTTGTAAAGAAAATAAATTGTTAGTTTAAGAGATTTTTAACCTAGATTCAATATGTAAATAACATACTTTTGAATAAAATATTACACCAATAACTACACCAACAGATCCAAGAGTAGAAAATACAACTACTAAGATAGATTTTATTGTTTTACTATTGATTGTAATCGATACTAAACAACTTAGTGCAAACATAAAGCCAAGAAAGATAAATGAAATTTTAAAAGTAGGCCACCTCAAACATTTATTAAAACTATTTAATATTTTAATGTATTCATCATTTGTCAGTAATAAGTCTAGAGGTGACGGAACTGGTTGATCCAAAACAAAAGCATCACCGTTTTCCCTGTTACCTAATATGACTATCTTTCCCATTGCTATTCTAGTTATTATTATTTTTATTAATGCACAATGTAAATCTTGAAAAATTTTAATTTCTTTTGATTTAAACTCATAAACGATGATCCTCATAACATTCTAGATATTAAGTAAACTTAAGATTCTTAAGAATCATCACTATTTTTTTTTCCAAACAAAGAGTTTCCATTCCAACAGCTGATGTCAGAATTCTGAAATCTTATTGATCCAAGAAAAAATCCAAAAAACAAAAAAAAATACAAAAATCTTGAAAATAAATTTAGATAATCTTTAAAAATAAAATAAATAAATAATATATTTAAAATAAGTTCAAAATAAAATAAAAATTAACTAACTTTAGTTTCAAGTTGAACAATAGTTTAAAGATATAAAATTAAATAGACAAAATTTCAATTTTTTTGAAATTGAAAAATAAAAAAAGATGTTAAACAATATTTTTATCTACACTATCGGTTACCTTAAAAAGTAACTTACCGTTAGATATTAATAAAAAAAAAAATAAAAAAAAATCAAAATAATTCTGAATTGACTTTAAATATAAAATTATATATGAATCGTTGATTATAGTCCAAACAATTTAATTTATTTCTATCTCTAGAATAACAATAATTATATTTATTTATAATTAACTACACGTGATATGTCAATTTCTTATATTCATATTGAATTTATTATTTGTTTCCAGTTTCACCTCTATTGCTACTACCAAACAAAAAGAGAAAGATAATGACAAACAATATCAAGTTCATAGTTGAAGAGGAGGAAGAGAAAAGAGCTGTCGATATTCAAAGTATTTTCATTCCTTGGAAGATAGATCCCTTCAATATGAAAAAATTCATTACAACCAATAAACTATCCTCTATTCCAGGAAATGATACCGACCAAGTCTGCTGTAAGAGAATCAATGTCCCCATTTCCACACCACTAGATATCCAATGTATACTTCCAAGATCCTCTATCTACATGGAGCAAAGTCCGATTGAACAAATCGAAGAATACACTGAACATTTACTCATCGAATGTGAAGATAATGTATTCTGGATCAAAGATAACTCACCAGAGATTCAAAGACAAATCTTTGAAATCAATGCTCAACTATTGGAATGGGTTGAATTAAATCATATTAGTGGAAATATATTTGACGACAAGTCAATGTTTAACTTGGGTACACAAAAAATAACAAAATAGTAAGTATTTTCTATGCGCTATGCACTGTATTAAATGTTAACAAAAAATCATTATTATTCAGTATACCTTCTATATCATTTATGACCGAAGCAAGATGGAATTTAGTATTGGATTCAATGAAGCATCCTAACCAACCACAGACTCAACATCCTGATTTTGTCATCGAACTGAGATCGTATGAGCAAGGTATTACAAATCAAATTCCTACACTTCACAAGAAGATGTGTAATTGGATAAGCTCTGGAGTGGAATCGGCAATACTCATTGATGGCTACGAGAAACAAATCTTCATCTATTGCCACACCTCAAAGATACAAGAGAATAATAACAACGACCATCCCGATACCATCCAACAAATAATACAACTAAATCACTCGAAACAAAAGATAAAACAAGATATCAAGCAGATTGAAGATTACTTGGATAAACAAGAGTCACAAGCTAACAACAACAACAACAAAACATTTGAAATAATTGAAAATATGTTAAGACAAAAGCGTGAGCAACAAATGGTAATGGAGTGTAATCATCAATACTTTCAAAATCTACAACCAGTTCCTGGATATAACGATATTTCAATGAAATGTATTCCAATGTTTAATAACAACGACAACACAAGTAAAATCGATGACAACCAACAACATAATTTCATTACATCATCTATCCAAGATAATAATAATAATAATAATAATAATAATAATAATAATAATAATAATAATAATAATATTAATGATAAAAAACAATTAAGTCAAGAACAAGCCAATTGTCATGACACGAGATCCAATTTAATATTGCATTGTGTAGGCGTCATGAACGGCTTTAAAATAAACCTGTCAAAGATTATTTTTTAAAATCAATAAAAAAAAACAAAATAAACCCCAAAAAAAACAAACCCATCAAAATCACCTTTCACCCTGTTGTGTCTCAATAAAAAAATCAATCAATCAATTAAATCAAAATATCTAATTTTTTTGATTTACATTTTTTTTATTCTCAATTTTGATAAAAATTCAATACCTCTGTTTTAAATTTAGAATGAGGTGGTGCTGAGCCAATGAATGTTTGTTTACCCTATTAGTGAAATAAATAAATATACAATTGTGCTGAAAATACAAAAATAAAAAAGAATGTCAACTACATATACAACATTAGATAAAAGAGCAATCACTATTCCAAAAGCAGAGACACGTGAAAAGAATTCAAAAAAGTTTACTGTAACTATATTTACTTAATAGAAAAAAGAAACAAATCTTTCTAATCATCTATTATCACTACATACCTACCACTACTACCTAAAATAGGAATACATTATTGATATAGTTGTTGAAAATGGTGAGGAATATAGTATTGCAAGAAGATTTTCAGAATTTCTTTCATTATACCAATTGGTATGTTTATTTAGTTGAAGATTATTGTTAAATAGAAGTCTGACTTTACTAAATTGTTATTATAAACAAAACAAGATGGTACATAATTTTCAAATTAAATTTCAATTTCCTCCTAAAAAATTGAATAAACTCAGTAGTCATCTGGTAGAGGCAAGAAAGAAAACACTACAGGAATTCCTCAACTTCCTAATTACCAACCCGATGCAGGCCATCAGGAGATCATCTGATCTGGCAAGATTTTTAGATCCTCTGAATCCAATTTTTACAAACAGTAAGTTATCTTACAAGTTTTGTTTTTGCTTATGTTTAGATATTGATTGATTGATTCCTTTTCTTTTTCTTTCGTTTCATTTAATTTTCAATAGAATTGGTAAATAAAAAAGTTACTTTGGAGGATGTAAGCAAGAAGAAAATAACATTGGAGATGACAGTGGCAGAAGGCAAAGATATAAAGATGGGTACCAAATCAATGTGGGACATCGTTTCATATTGTATATTTGACATTGATAAACAACCAGATAATTCAAACTCTTTTATTGGTCCAGCTTTTAAATCAAACACAATACCAGGTCCTTATCCACAGTGGAATTATAAACAAAGTGTAAGTATTATTTCTTTGTGTTTAATTCTATTACTTTTACGATTATTAATTCATGTATCTCATACAACAAAACAACAGTTTAATATTAAAGATAAGAAGGTTATTTACTTTAAAGTATGTAGTTCCACTGAAGAAGGAGGTGTCATTGGACAAGCAAATATAGACATCACCAAGATTTCACTGAATAACTATACACCATGCACCATCTCATTACCTCTTGAACCAAAAGGCAGTGGTGAACTATTACTTTCACTCATTCTAGTATGAAACCGAGAGAAAAACTCAAAAACAACAAACAAACAAACCAAATCAACAAACTAATATTTATAATATGTAATTTTAAATATTAGAAATAACAACAACAATAACAACAATAATAATAATTAATAACGATTTGTGTGAATGTATAGACTCTTTAATGATAATGAATGAAATGATAAAAATTAATTGGAGACAACCCAAACCAAACTAATCTTTCAAAGAATGCAAAATTAAAATAAACTTTGTTTCTTTTTTTTTCAATGCATTGCTGTTGCAAACAAATATTTGACCATTGCAAACCTTTATAACGTTACACAGGTGGGTGATTTTTGAAAAATCCAAAATTCAAAAAAATTGCAATTTTTTTTTTATTTATTATGGCGCCTTTTGTTTTCAATAAAATTGAAAAAAAAAAATTTTATCTTCATAATTTGTTTGTTAAGTACTTAATTCAACTCATTAATAATAAAAGAGGTAGAACAACACACAAATTTCACAATAAAAAACACAAAATAAAAACTCGACGCCTAAAGTGTTTTTTTTTCTTCAAGTCATAGATAGATAGTCTAACCATTGACCAACAGTCATATAATAGATAAATAATTAAATAAATAGTTAGTTAATTAGATTAGTTATTCGAAAAAAAAAAAACAAACAGGATTAATCAACAACATCAAATCATCATTTTTTAACAAAACAAAAAAAAAAACAATAGAATATAATATAGAGTGTGTATCAATCAATCAATAATACAATCAATACAATCAACCTTTTTTTTTTTTTTTTGTTATTTGTTTTTCTTTTAAATTATTAGATATCTAATAAACTTTATTCATCTCACTTTTCGACAAACATACAAAACAAACTTACTTACTTACTTACCTAAACTTTACTTTTACTTTCTTTAACACTTTTTTTACCTTAAACTTTACATTTGACGAACCATTCAACCACTGACAACTACTACAATCCATATTACCTCTATAATAAATTCAATTGCTATGAATGAATGATGTTCTACTCTACTTTTGACGATACCCTGTTTGTTGTACCGTAACACAGATTTGAACTGCAATGGATTTAGCAACTATTTTAGCCAACGCTCAACAAGCACCAAGTAAGACCAATCACAATCGTCGATCAACCACCAACAACAACAACAACTCAACTTATCTAACCTCTATTATTTTATCTTTTTAGGTGAAGAACTTAGAAGAGGAGCCGAAGAGGCATTGTCTCAAGCCGCCCAAAAAGACTTTGTATGTAAAAATAAAATAATAAAAAACAAACTAAAGATAATTGTTTCTAAAGACTCACTAACATTCATTAATTTTAATAGGGTGGATTCCTCATTGCTCTTTCACAAGAATTATTAAACAACGATCGTCAACCATTTATCCGTCAATTGGCTGGTCTTGTTTTAAAGAATGCCGTCTTTTCAAATGTAAATTTCACTCACACCTTTATAATATAATGCCAGGTAAATAGTATAGTTAATAATTAATTTATTTCTTACTTTTATAAATATAGGATCCAGCTAGATTTGAAATTGCTTCAAAACAATGGCTTGCTGTTGCAGATAACAGAAAGAATGAAATCAAAAATAATGTATGTTCTATCATTCATCATCAATCTATAGATTAACATTTTTGAATTAACATTGATTCAATTTTTATTTAGTTATTGTCCACTCTTACAGCACCAGCATATGAAGCACGTCATACAGCTGCTCAAGCTATCGCTAAAATCGCCTTAATCGAGTTGCCATGCCAACAATGGGAGAACTTGATTCCACATTTGTTTGATAACATTACCAATCCAAATGAGCATATTAAGCAAGCTACTCTCCAAACCATCGGTTACATTTGTGAGGATATTGTATGTATTTCAATTAGTTGTTGTTCAAAGAAAATAGTTATTTACTCTTTCTTTTTTTTCTTATTCTTCTTTTTCTATTTCTTCATTAATAATAAAAGGATCCACAAATTATGACTGCACATGCAAATAGAGTATTGACTGTAATCGTACATGGTATGAGAGATGCATCCGGAATGGTTAAGTTGGCAGCTACAGATGCTCTTTGCAATGCATTGGAGTTTGTCAAAGGCAATTTCGACAAGAAGGAAGAAAGAGATCATATCATGAGAGTCGTATTCGAGAATTGCACATCAGGAGATCACCTTATTAGAAAGTCTGCATTTGAAAACCTTGTAAAGATTGTAAGCTTGTACTATGAATATATTATGGAATACATGAGTGATATTTATAATGTAAGTTTAGCAAATTCTTCATTATACCTTTAATGATTAGCTAATAATAATAATAATAATAATAATAATAATCATTCATCATTTAGTTAACTGTCACTGTTATTCAAAACGATCAAAATGAAAATGTTGTTTTGCAAGCAATCGAGTTTTGGACATCTCTCAATGAAGAGGAAATCAATTTGTCACAAGAATCCGAAGGTCAATCAAAGGAGGTTATGGCCAAAGCTCTATCAATGTTTGTTCCAACCATCTTAACTACTTTAACCAAGCAAGAGGAAGACAACACTGATACCTGGAATGTTTGTATGGCCGGTGCAACCTGTCTCACATATATTGCAAACAATGTCGAGGATCTCGCCATCGACTACGTCGTACCATATATCAAACAAAACATTGTCTCGACAGATTGGAGATTCAGAGAGGCTTCGTGTGTTGCCTTGGGTGCCATTCTCGAGGGACCATCGGAATTCCAAGGTTTCTTGCGTGACGTCATCCCCGTTATCTTGAACCAACTCAAGGATCCAAATGAGATGGTTAAAGACACCGCCTCGTGGACACTCGGTAGAATCTGTGCCCATCAAATCGACAGTGTTTCAGAGTTGCTCCAGAGCATCTTGTCGGGATTGCTCGACGCCACCAAAGATCAATCACCAAAGGTTGCCGCCCACGCCTGTTGGGGTATCCACAATATCGCCACCGCCTTTGACTATGGTCCCGTCGGTCAATTCGACAACATGAGCACAATCTTCCCAATCTTGGCGCAACATTTGTACGTTGCCGCTCTTCGTCCAGACGCCGACCAGGAATCACTCCGTGTTAACGCCTACGAAGCACTAAACTCACTGATCTCCTTCTCGTCTGCCGATCCAAATCATATATTAGAGGTTTTAACATTTATTCTCAAGGATTTCGAAAAGACATTCGTCATGGAAGTTCTCAACACCGAAGATGCCGAGAACAAGACACAGATCCAATCGCTATTATGTAGTACTTTGCAGACGGTTGCATCGACCATCAAGGAAAAGATTGCACCACACGCCGAAAAGATGATGTATTTATTGATGAACGTCTTCAAGACCCAGAACCATATTATTTACGAAGAGGCAATGATGGCTATCGGTGCCATCATCCAGGCACTCGAGGCCGATTTCAAGCCATTCTTGGACCAGTTCCTCCCAATCCTGTTGTTCACTTTGCGTGCCGTCGAACTCGGTGAAGTCGCCAACATCTCAATCGGTATCGTTTCCGATCTCACTCGTGCCCTCAACAAAGACTTTTCAAACTATGCGCGTGAACTAATCCCATTGGTCATCCAAGACTTGACAGACTCTAAGATTTCAATGAACGCCAAGCCAAACGCTCTCACCTGCATCGGTGACATTGCGCTCGCCATCAGCGGTGACTTTACCAACTACCTGCCAATGGTCATGCCAATTCTCGAACAGGCCACCGCTGTACAATTAGACGATAAAGATTATTTGAACTCACTGCGTGAAGCCATCTTCCAGGCCTACACCGGTATCATTCACGGACTCAAATCAGGCGGTGCCGGTGATCAATTTTACAACTACGTCACACCAGTACTCAATTTTATTTCACTCGTTTACCAGGAGCGTGAGCATGGTAATCTTCAAGTATTCAGTGGTGCCATCGGTCTCTTGGGTGATCTCGCACAGACCCTCGGTGATAAGATTAGACCGACCCTCCGTGTATCATTGGTAAAGTCCCTCATAGAGTATGGTCTCCAACAAAGCTCATGTCAAGATGTTGCCAAGTGGGCCAACGAATCTATCTTTACTCAATAATAATAATAATAATAATAATAATCTAGTTGAAATATATTAAATTTAAAATTTTACAATTAATTTAAGTATTAATAAAAATAAAATAAAACAAAATATCAAATCTTGATTGTTTTAGTATAATATATGAATAGTTTATTTTAAGATTAAAGAGTTTTCTGCTCAGTAAATCTTTTATTCGGTTCTGCATCCATGTCAGAGGTAATCAATATTTTATGAGAAGACCCATTTAGAATATAATGAAAGATTGAACAAAAACTAATAGAATAATAACACTACTTTTTAATAAAACAATAACACATTAATTAAAATGTTAAATGTAATAAATAAATCATGAATTTGTGTATGTTCTAACTTTATATTTTCCATCTGGTGAAATTCTGGTTTCTCATTATTTATGCGAATGGGTATCGTTCAGTTGTGTGAATCATAAAATAATGAATATTATTTATCAATGTGGTTTTTATTTTTAAAGGAGATCAAGGCAACACAAACACACTCACTCGCTCACTTCTCACTTTCGTACAAACAAAAATATATAAAGAAAAAAAATAAAACATAACAACTAATCATATGTATTTTCGTACAATGTTTCATTTTGATCTTCATCTTTATTTTTATTATTTTTTTTAAATTTTAAAATAGACAAGACAAAAAAAATTAAATAAATAAAAATCATTGCAAAAATAAAATAATTTTTTTTTAAATTTGTTTGCTCAAAGGGGTAATTGTCGCAAATAAACACAAAAACAAAAAAAACCAACAACAGCAACAAATTACTCAACACAGTATTATCAAAAAAAAAAGTTTGTTTTAATGAGAGAAAAACAAACAACCCAAAAAAAAAACAAACATCAATTAAAAAAAAAAAACCAACATTGAGCATTTATATTACAATAAAAATAACAACAATAATAACAAACAACAACAACTAAATTGTGCAATAGATAATATTATTAGTTTTAAATTATAATCATAAGATAAGATAACAATTGATTTACAGTATAAATTGTAATTGACAACAACAGCAATAAAAAAATAAATAATATAGTATATTTATATGTTTTGATTTTAATTGTTGTTTATCGACTTGCCAACTATTATAATTACAAACAAACATAAAAAAAAACACATTACAATACAGTAGCATCTAACTGTTGTTGTACTACTATTTACCATCAATCATAAGAAATTAAAATTTCAATATATATATATATATAAATATATAATTGTGTTTTTTATTTTGTTTTTGTTTAATTGAATAGCAATAGAAAAGAAAATATCTTTTTTATTTTATATTTAAATTAATTGGCTGTTGTTTGACTCTTCTTCTCTCACTATCTGTTTGATTAAAACAAGTCTACATATCAAATAAAAAATTAAAATAAATAATATTCATAATATATACAAACAAAAAAATATTACAATTGTAACAGTATAGAATAGTATAGTAGTTAGTATAGTAGTAGTAGCAGCAGTAGGTAGTTAGTAAGTGCAACAGTAGGTAGTCTTTTATTTATTTATTTTTTAATTATTTTTATTAAAATTATTTAATTAAAATTAATTTATTTATTTTGAATAAAAAAATAAAATTGAAATTTATTTTTCTTATTTTCTTAATAAAACTTATAGTACCGAGTACAATGGACTATACTAAAGAGATCTATAGTGCTATTGCTCTAAATGGTAATGGGATGGGCAAACGAGGTATGTTTATTTCATATTCATTCGAATCGAATTTCTATCATCATACTAACTAGTGATATTCATTATCTATATATTTGAATAATAAAAAATAATAGAAATCAGTGAAGGATTACACGACTTGAATAAAAGACTAAAGGTTGAATATGGAACCTCTGGTTATATTCCATTGACTACCACCACTACCACCACCACCAATCGCTCTAGCAATTCAGCATCTGTTCAATTTAGCAAAAGATATAGTAACAAAAATAATGGTAGTAGGGATGATGTTTGTTTTTTCGAGAATCTATCAGTTGAGATCATTGTAAAGATATTCAGTTATTGTGACCCTTTCTCAACGCCATTGCTGTTTGTTTGCAGACTATGGTCTCGTATCATACATTCCAATCAACTGTCAATCTGGAGAAACCTCTTGGTTACAATCAGTGAGAATCGTCCACATATATTTAGACCACTGGGTAATCGAATTATATCTTACTTTAAGAATGGATATGGTAGAGCACTTCATTCATTTTCTTTAATAACTTCACTTTCACCAAATAATATTAACAATAATAATAATAATAGCACAAATAGTATTAATAACAGTACGAATAATAACAACAATAAACAAACAAATAATGTAAATAGAAATAGTAGTAGAAATAGCAATAACAATAACAGTATACATTCATTTAATAATAATAATAGTAGTAGTTTAGATAGTAGACAACATTTTGAAAGTAGATCTATTGTTAAATCACCAACGACAGTAATATCCGAGTCATCATCATCACCCATTAATTCATTAACAACTACTAAAGACAATAGTGGAAATATTTGTTATGAAAAGGTTAATTTAGTTGATTTCATTCGTTGTCTTGGTGAAGGTTTGGCACAATGTCACAACCTGAAACAGCTTGACCTTTCGATTCCTCTGGATAGTGAACAGTTGAATTTAATTACTTCCAACTGTCCGCGACTCACCGAATTGAATATCAACAGCTTTCTAATTGGAGACAAAGGCATAGAGTCTGCTTTGAACCCATTGAACAATCTTGAACAACTTTCAGTAGTTTCAAATGTTCATGCCAACCAAGTAAGTTTTGTTTAGAGACTAGATTATTTATTATAATGTTAACAAATATTTTATTTATTAATTTCCTATAGGAATTTGTAAAACAAACTGGAAGACAAATAATAACATTATCACCACTATCACTTTATAGTATTTCAACATTAAAAAGATTGAAATCGTTAAAGTTCTCGCTGCTGCCTCAATTCGGAAACAAAGCACTAATCGAAAGTGGAATCGTATCTGAACAAACTGATTCCAGTGAACATCATCAAGCAGACATCGAAAGGGCTGTTAAATCTTTATCAAAGTAAGTTTAACCCAACTGTTATCTTGTTCAGTTTTTATAAATATTAATAATATATTAACTTTTGATAATATATATTTCAGCTGTAAACTTTTAGAGAATTTAGAATTGATGAGTTGTAATATCAATGAATTCACTCTACAATGGCTATTGGAGCAATATAACCATCTGAATAGATTGGTCATTTATAGAAACAGTTCACTCAGTACGTTTGATTTCAGACCATCCACTATTACACACCTAAGCTTATCATGTTTATCAATGTTACAAACAATACATATCGAATCTAAAACACTTAGAGAATTGTATATCGAAGGGTAAGTTAAAAATAAAAACAAAAAAAAAACAAACAATTTGCTAACATTTTATTAATTAATTTTTATAGTTGTGAATCATTGAAATCAACCGAATTAATTACACCAATGCTTTCTATTCTATCGATGGAGGGATGCAGTGGTTCACTCAAGTTGAGTCATGCCTTTAATATCAAAACCCTATCACTTTTCGAGTGCCCCGATCTGAGCCAGAGAGACTTGGAGAATACGCTGGATTCTCTGATCTCACTAGAAGAGTTGTATATATATTTGCACCAAATTGTAGATCTTAGAATCTGCTCACAGACGCTTAGGAAACTCGATATTGAGGCATGGACTGGTATTCGTTCGTGTATGATGGATTGTCCTGAGCTTGAAGAGTTCAAAGCCAGTGAATCCAGTCTCGAGTCTCTCTATCTGAAGGCTGACCACATGCAGAATATCGAACTCGATTTCTGTGATCAGCTCAGAAGTGCTGTTATCGATATCTTGACGTGCCGTTTGTTCAGTTTCACCCAGAGTCACCCGACTCACTCTGGCGTTGGTAGCGGTAACACAAGCTTTGCTGGACAGCTACTGACCAACAACAATAGCAGCAGCAACGACGACATCAATGACGACGAGGACCAGCCTACTGCCGATGACGATGACAGAAAATACTTGGCTCCAATGGTTCTTTTCTTACAGGCACACCACTTTATCAAAGACTGTATCATATTGAGTGGCAATCTGCTTGGAAAGCTGTCGACCAGAACCGTTGGCCATCTCTCTATCGAACAACGATCGTTCACCTCCTACATTTTCAATGTCGATAAAATATGTAAATTGAATACCTACCACCAGACCGAAGGCGATGAATCTGGAAATAGAACTCCACGTTTCATCCCAATCGAACCAATGGTTCGAGAATCAACCAACTACTTTAGTGGCAACACTATCATTAACAGCAACAATAATAATAACAACGACTACGAGAGCAGCTGCAGTGGATCGGTACCACCACCACCACCACCACCACCAAGAAGGAACAGTCCGACTAGAACAACAACAAGTAGTCGTCCTCACAGCCCAAGCAGCAGATCACCAAGTCCATCATCTCAATTCTCCTTCCCGACAATGTGTGAAACCTATGACGAAACCAATTGGCAACCAACCTATCCATATCTATCACCAGTATCACCTTCACTATCATTTAACAACAGAAACAGTAAAAGATATGGACAAAAATAATATAGTAGTGGTAGTAGTCATTGCACATTATATAATTTTTTTTAAGAAATAACATAATGAATAAAATTTTGTAAAAGTATGATCTAGAATAACTAGATTGTTGTTTTTAGTTTTTATCGATGAACCGAAAAACTTTCAAACATCTTGTCTAATTTGATTTATTAAACTGGAATGAGATGATTGTATTCCGATGTATACGCCTGTCCAAAGTAATAGCCATCTTTTGCTTTCGGTATAGTATTATTCAGACCGGTACTCGTTGTAACATTTAGATTATCTAAATTGAGATAGTCTATGGATATAGGTTGTTGTATTTCATTCTGATTGAAAATAACAATATAGTTATTACTTTGGTAGAAAGGTTGCATCATTCCTAGGAAGTAGGTGTTGGCTCCAGAGTAGATGGTTTCGTGTGACCAACTTGTGGTGTTGAATCTATAGATAAAAGTATTGCCTGTCTCTGTAGACATTTGACATAGGTATAAATATTGATTGTGGTAGAAAAGCGATGACGGTCCATCGTTAAAGGTTATATTTAGTGTGTTTACAAGATCTTTCTGAGTTGCGATCGAGTGCGACAGTATATATTGAATTTGGTGTTTGTCAACGACGAACGAGTAGAATATATTGGAATCGGAATCATAGACACCGATTGGCAGACCTTGAAGTTGAAGAGTGGCTCTCACTTCAAAAATACTAACTTGATGGGTATTAAAGTTGAATTCCATGATCGATAAAATGTCATCATAGGCAACCTGGACTAAAGAAACATAGTATGCTTTATTTGTTTTGGCATCATACGAAACCGGTTGAAATTGGAATTCAAAAGTGATATCATTTGAAACATTACTAAATATTTTAAATTGATTATCCTTAAAAAGAATAAAAAAAAGTTAATTAAAAATAAATAATGAAATCAATCTTTTATCTATCTATTTACCAGAGAGTTAAAACTAGTTAAAGCAAAGATGTTGCCATCCGCTACTATTGAAAGGACACTATCACCATTGTCACTGATATTAAGGATTGAAAATACAATACCAGAGGTATCCAATGAAATAGATTGAGATTTGTTGGTGTTTCCAGTAGACAATTCAATAGTAGTGTACTGCCAATCGTCATTATATGTAAACAATCCAAAATAATTTGGTTGTTGACAATTAAAACACTAAAAAAAAGAGTAATAATATAAAATAAAGTATTAGTATTTATTAATCTAGGATATCGATCTGTAAGTAAAACCTTTCGTTACATTTAGGTAGCAAAATATTAAAAACAATAAATAAATATTGTTAATGTGAGTCATTTTTTATGTTATCTGTTACTTAACAATTCAAATGCAAAAGATGATTTAAATACTTGCAAGATCATCAAACTTTTTTATTTTTGTCTAGATAGGAGCAAACCACCCTTTCAGAGTAATCAATCATGATAAATGTAGGAGTAAAAGTTGTAAAAAACATCAAAGATTCTATTTAAATAAATTAAGACCCACAAAGTAAGACATCACCAACCAAATAGTTAAAATGGATGACAAAGATATTTTAGAATAAAAAAACTTCAAAAATTTAGCTCATCTAAAATCATAAAATTGCCCATTAACTAATGAATAATCGTTATTATTTACCTATTTAGCTTAAATTGTCTTTTTGTTTTACTTATTTTTCAAAATTTGATTAACACGTTGATAGTTCGATTCACGAATGATCTAATCAATCCCATTGTTGATGAAAGCAAAGATCCTATGAAATAAATAAAACTTTTTCAAATATTTAGTTCTAATCCAATATTGGGTGTATGATAAACCTCTCCCGAAAAGAATTTCTGAAATGTCAGTTTATGTTTTAATGAGGGATTGTAAAAAATCTTGAAGAATTTGAAAGAAATTTTCCATCATCCAAAATTGGTCTTTGGAAAATCATAAAAGAACTGAAAAAATACAATTTTATTAATATTAAAAAGACTCTTTTTAATTAATAAAATAATATCAACGCGAACAAACTAAATTAGAAAAAAAAAATTCAAAAATAATAATTGGTTTTGTTTATTGTTTTAGTTTCTCTATTCAAAATTTGGGAAAATTAATAATTTATCATTATTAATTATTGATGATAATTATTTAATGAGGTAAAAAGAAATTATTATTTAAAATAAAAGGTAATACTTTATTGAATAAATAAAAAATATAATTAACTTAAAAAGGTAATTTGTGATTTCTAAAAAAATATCAAAAAAAAAACTATTTTTATTTACATATTTGTAATGGGATGTCTTTTTATCCAGTAATTTTTTGAAAAAGTTTATTAAAGTTAGATTAGTCTTTTTTTTTTTTTGTATTTAATTAATATTTAATATTTATAGTTATATATTTATATATATATGGAAAATAATCATTTAAATTTTGAAAATGAACAGATAAAGATTGTTATAAATAGAATCAAATGTAATGATTGCAATGTCATTAAAGAGTTAATCGATGACTATACAACCAATTCAATATTAGATATATTCAGTTATGTTATGTCATCGGGTGAACTCTGTACTTTTGGTCAACTGCTGGAGTGTCACTCACAGACCAGTCAAAGAAAACGTTGTAACAACGTGTGGAACTCTGATGGTTTCATATACAAGTGTAGAGAGTGTCAGGTCGATGACAACTGCGCAATATGTGTAGATTGCTTCCGTGAGGATCTACACAAAGGACATAGCTACCGATTGGTTCAATCGATACGTGGTTGTTGTGACTGTGGCGACGAATCTGCTTGGCGACCAGAGGGCAACTGTGAACGACACGGTTCAACAAACAATCTTAAAAACACTTCCATTGAACTACCCGCTCATTGTAAATCAATAGTTATATTATTAATCAATGAATTTAGATTATTAAATAATGGTTTAACATTGAGTAATAGTAGTGGAGTAATTACCAATAATAATAGTAATATGACAACAACTGTAACTGCAACTGCAACTGTAACTGCATCTGCAACAACAACAACAACAACTATTGGTCAATCTTCATTTAATAGAGATCAAGAGTTTATCGATTGTTTGGTTGACTTGATAGGAAAGATGATCGATGTCTTTGGAGACAAGATATCGTTGTGTATAGGTGAAGTGTTGATGCGCTTTGACAAACCAATTCGTAGACGAATATACTCGAATTTGTTACAGTTGATGACATTGGGAAGTGAACAGTTGGAACGTGTCATCGTATCGCTCTTTATATGTTTGGAGTTGCGTGATGATCTAGCAATTTATCTAGCAGAGAATTACGAACACATCAGAAAACTAACAATCAAACATCAAAGAAACACTGTATTTAATTTAACGATCCAACTATTCTCTGTTGATTCCGTTGCCTATAAAATTGTATCCACCAACAGTAAGTTAGTTAGTCATGCATTATATATGAACAAACTTGTTTACTAAATCATAATCATAAACATTAACATAAATTATTCAAAATGTTTCTTTTTCTTTCTCTAACTATCTATCTATAGATATGACACCAATTATTAATAACTTATTAAAAACATTTGAATCAGCAATGGTAGATGGTCAAATCGATTTCAAACAAAAGATAATGAAGGATAAACAATATTTTAGACCATTATCTGATATTTGGTAAGTTATTAATATATTAACTAACTAAAATCATGATAAAGGAGTATTAATATAGCAAACTTAAAAGTTGTATTATTAGAAATAAATCTAGTTTTCTTTGGTTGTTGGAGAATCCAAGTCAGATTCTTTTACTTCAGAGAGCGTTGTATTTGACACAGGAGATGGGTGCCATCACGATAAAGTCGACCTCTCAAGAGTACGACGATGAAACATGGCACAACCGATTCTACATTGAATATTACTATAGGAAGTGTATATTCTCACCGCTCGGTAAACATTTCCGTGAGGTTGCTCACGGTCAGCAACACATCCAGATCTACGTAGATAACCTCTATAATATGATCGGTAGATTCTACTCACCGACTGCCGTCTGGAAGAAAGGTACGCGTGACATTGTCATACCGGACTACCGATTGTCCAGACAGCCAGTATCTTTCCATCTACCGATGCATCGATCACTCACTACGATACTCCTACAGATGTCATCGAAATTTGGAGTGCATCCATCGGTTGTACTATCATCTTCCAACGGTATTATCAAACCGTCAATGTTGATCGACCCTCTTATTCGCGTGCGTGTATTGGTAGCACAGATACAGGCTGGTCTATGGGTGAGAAACGGTCAATCCGTCAAACTCCAATCCTACACCTATCTACACACCTATGAGTTATCTCATAACGACTTCTTTCTGCTGCAGTATGTAGCTAGCTGTATGTTGCCAGTGGAATTCTATGCACAGCTGCTGGATCGCAGTGAACTGGCGACTTGGTTTACACTGGACGGAACGATAACCAAACACACATTGGATCGATCTAGCTCTCAAGTTAAACAATCGGACACAGATAAAGCCAATGTCATTGTAGCAGAGGATATGACTTCACTCGTCATTGGAATGGTAACAGACCGTACTCGTTTGGCGTCTATGACCTTTGAGGATGCAGTGCGCGTTGAGATTATTCATCATCTAGCGGTTGCCGGGCGTATGAGACACGGTGACATATTCCAACGACATGTCGAGCTCTTTGAAAAAGTAGGTGGTGCATTCGATAGTATTCTCAGTGGAGTGGCCGACTTTCATCCACCTACTCCTACCGATTCCGGCAAGTATGAACTCAAGCCAAAGTCTTGGGAGGAATGGACACCGTTCTATCCTCACTACACAAGACAGGAAGTACAAATGGCAACGGAACGCTACCAGAATCTCGTGCGTGATGCAACCAAGCGTGGAGAGAAACATCTGTATCCAGAGCATTCGCGATATCTTGAATCGATTCGTCCTACTCTTCCATGTTATAGTAACATAGACCAACTACTCAATTGTGATATACTGCATGCCATTATCTATTCGGTGCTATTCAATAGTTTGTGTGGAAGTGCTAGATCATCGGATCTACTAATAACCAACTGTATATATCTAATCAAGTTGATACTGAGAATCTACACACCAAATGCCAACACAGCTACACTCGTTGCCAGCTCCACTAAATCCAAACCAACAACCGTACAAAAGAACTTTGATTTCGGTTACAACCCCACCGATTTCATGTATAATCTATTCCATCATATCAAACCAAACACCTACACACTCACCAATACTACCAGCCATTCACTGTATACTTTACTTCATCTAATGTTACAAACTAATAACTTTGAAACACATCATCAAAACATTAAAGAATGTTTAAATCATCCTACTATTCAACAATTTATAAACATTGATAATAACAATAATAATAATAATAATAGTATCGATGGAAATATAAATATTAATAATAATAACAACAACAACAACAATAATAATAATAATAATAATAATCATAATCATAGTAATGCTTCTGAACATGCTAAAGAATTGGCAAAGAAAAGACAAATGGAGATTATGTCAAAGTTTGCAAAACAACAAGCAACATTTCTCGAAGATATGGGCGATGATGACTATGAAGAGGAAGAAGAAACTCAAAACTATGGATGTTGTGTACTCTGTAAGGCAGATCTGATACCAAAGAAATCACCATTTGCTCTACTTGCTTATCTTCAAAAGAATTCATTACTTTCACATTTACAATCGATTACAACAACAACAACAACAACAACAACAACAACAGATAACAATAACAATAATATTAATAATAATGATAATAGTACCACTGTTGATTATGAATTATTTAAAGATACACATAGAAATGATAATTTATTTATTACATTTTGTTCACACTCGATGCATTTGGAATGTCTAAAGAAGTTGAAAGATCAAAAATACAATTGTCCAGCATGTAGAAGATTGGTTAATACACAGATTCCATTCGTAGAGCAGCAAACACTAACACCATTGTCAAAGAATAGCTCATCTTCAACGCTTCAAGAATGGTTCGATTCATTCAGTTCTAAACAAGAGGAATTCAATATGAATCAAACACAAGAAGAAATACAACCTCATAAACTATTATCAATGGTATGTTTAATGTTTTTTTAAATATTTTAAATATAATAATAATAATTTTACTAATAACATACCACATTATTCATATCTATCTACCTACCTAGGTTATATCATCTATTACAATATTAGAATTAAGTAAGAGGAATAACAAAGGTCAATCATTAGATTCATTATCACAACAAGAGTTATTTTCTTTGCAATCATTACTAAAGTTTACAGCTCATGAACAATATAATAGTCAACATGTAATCGATAATAGATCATTACACATGATACTAAGCAGTATATTCTCGACCAAAGAAAGAATATCAGAGTTTTTAAACCTAGATATGTTTGGTATGCTGGTAAGAATGTATCTACTTAATGAGAAGATACCACACGATCATCTCAAGTCTCAATTCATAGACATCATTAAACTACACTTTACAGCTTCAATTTTACAATCATTATTAATATTAAATGTAAGTAAAAGTTTATTAAATAATATTATACAGTTTATACTAATAATACAAATAACTCTATATTAATTATAGAGATGTAATAATCTTATTGAATTAAAACAATCTATTGATTCAATAGAAGAAGATGTTATGCTTTTAGTTATGCCATTCCTAAGAAAGCTATATCTATTTGTAACTATAGTTAATTATCAAGGAAGAGATACTAGTGGATTGGTTGATGGCACCAAATTTGATTTGCAATTCAATTTACCAATAGATGTCCAATATCACTCGATCGTCAACTCACTTCAACTCTCAAATGTACTGAACGAACTAAAGAGAGATGACTATAAGCTATTGGAGTACTGTTATAATTTGTGGATTGGTCAAGATATTTCGGAATCGAAACTACCGTTGTCACCTACAATCTGGAGATATTGTGAGTTCCAGCTAGCCAAGTTGGAGCGTGACTATCATCATTTCTACTTGGAGTCTACAAAGAAATCTTGTGATTGCTGTAAGAAGAAACCGATTGGATTGAACTCATCGCTCTGTTTGTTATGTGGCGCCTATCTCTGCGAAGTTGACGAATACGTAGGACATGCTCAAAAGTGTGGAGGTGGCGGTGGATATGGTGTAATCTTTGTTTTCGCCAAAATCGTTGTACTTATCATCAACAAGTCGACTGTTAAACTATGGTGTCACAGTATCTATCTAGATCAACATGGTTCAGAAGACTTTGGATTCCAACGAGGTAATCCACTCTATCTAAACGAAGAACGTCTAACACGACTTAAATCGGAGATACTATCGATGACACTTCAAAATATAACTAGTACATTCCGTCAATAAAATAAAAGAGATATTATTCGATTCGTTTGGTTGATGTAATTATTACATTTTATTAATAGTTTTTGGTTTTGCATAAAAAATTTAAAAAAAAAAAAAAGTTAGATTAATTTTTTTTTTTGAAAATTGATTTAGTCATCTTCTGATCAATTATTTATATTATATCTATCTATCTATTTGTGTGGATTCATAAAAGAATAATAAATTCACAACAAAATCACATCAGATAGAAATGGATTTCGAAAAGTTTTTCAAAAAGTACAAAACAAACTTTACAGAGGGATTCATTCAAGGTATAGCTTATGGTGTTGGTTTGGCATTCACATCGATAATATGGCACAAATATGTTAGAAAGATAGTATTCACCTATTTAAATATACCACTGACGCAATCAGTTGCTTTAGAAGGAATCAAGAAAGTTTCATTTGCATAGAATTACTATATAAAACAAAGAGGAAAACAAATAGATGCACGATCGACAAATATATACACAACAACAATCAATATATATAAACAATCAATTAAACTTTTGTAAAATTTTTTAAAAATATCAAAAACACATTAATCGCAAAGAATATAACTTATCAATTTATTTGAATTCAATCAATTAATCAATAGAAAAACATTTATATAAATGTACAGTAATTTAATTTGTTATTATAGAATCGAGAATATAAATATATAAGATGAATCAACAATACTAAAAGTTGACCAATCTCATATTTCTCTAGATCGTATTTTATTAAATTAACTATTATAATAGTTGATAGTTATAATGTTTTTTTTTCATGTTTAGTATTTGATTTGAATGCATTGGTTATTTTACAACAAAAAAAGGTGAATGATTATTTGCATTGTTTGATTATAGTTTGTATGTTTGTTGATAAAGCTATTGATTAACGGGAAGGGAGTTTGGAGTTGATGATCCTATTAGGGATCATAATCTTTTTAAATATTATTATTATTATTATTATTATTTTTATCTTATTATTATTATCTTGTTATTATTTTAGAAACCACCATATTCTGGTCCATCCATTGGTTTGGGAATTAATCTCTCTACTTCTTTGGTGAGTTGTAATTGTTTTTGTTTCTGACTTTGCTTGACACGCCAGATCGAGAATGATACGATCAATAACACAAGTACTACACCGATGACAATGATATAGAGCCACTTGTTTGGTGAGCAACGCGATGACATTGGACCTGCCTGGAACAATGTTCCACACTGAGATGGGCTGGAGCTACCCGATGGACAATAGTGTCCGTCAGGACAATCCAGAGGGAGTTGAGTGGCTTGACTGGGACAGTATTTACCGGCGGGACAAACCACACAGTTGTTTCTTGATTTCTGACCGATCAATGGGTTGTAATAACCAACGCCACAATCAGAGCATGCAGCGGAACCTGGCACACTGTTGTAGGTACCCTCTTGACATTGAGTACAAAGCGATGCTCCTTTGCCACTGTACTGACCTGCTGGACAATCTTGGCAAATCTCACCGCTTTGCGATGATGTACCGGCTGGACAACTTATACAAATTGTGTTGTCAGCATTGCTTGTCATACCGGGTTCGCATGGATTACAGCTGGTTTGTCCTTCGAGTGCAGAGATCTTACCCGGTGGACAAGCCATACAGTTGGCAGCACCCTCTTCGTTGTTATAGGTTCCCGCTGCACATTGAACACACCAAGCAGCATTGCTACAGTATCCATCGTCACACAATGTACAATTTGAATCGATTGTATTGTTATTGTAGTAGGTTCCTTCTAGACAAGCTTGGCAAGGTGGATTGGGTGTTGGTGTAGGTGTTCTGGTTGGAGGTGGTGTTGGTCCAGTAGTTGTACCTGTTGTTGTACCAGTTGTTGATGTTCCTGATCCAGTGGTTGATGCGGTAGAGGTAGAGTCTGCTGTTCCTGTAGTATCTGCAGTACCTGTTCCTGTTGTTGTCTCAGTGGTTGCTGTTGATGTTGTAGAGTCATCCGAGGTAGATCCACCACCAGTGGTACTGCTAGATACACCGGTTCCAGTGGTAGAATTATCGGTTGTTGCAGTAGTGGTTGTGCTATTTTTTGTTGTTGTAGGGTCATCTGTTGTTACACCACCAGTTGTTGCTGTTGTTGTTATGTTTTTAGTGGTTGTAGCACCATCTGTTTCTCCTGTTCCACTACTGCTACTACTACTACTGCTGCTGGGAGCTGATGATGAACCACCACCTGTTCCACTGCTACTGCTGCTGCTGCTGCTGCTGCTGCTGCTACCACTGCTTGTTGCAGGGTTGTTTGTAGAAGTCGCCGTTGAATCGTCAGCCATGAATTGTTCGTAATAATTGGCATCCTTTATGATTGCAGGTGTAGACAGATGATGTCCATCTCTGTCCTCTATAATTCGGATCTTCTCTGCATTTACAAATGAACTAGTACCATCACCAACTGTCAGAAGAAACAAAACAACAGCAATAAACAAGAGAAGTCCACTACTCTTTCTACAAGCTATAAAATTATTATTTTGCCAAGATGATTTTGTTTTCATCATCTATAAAAAATATCTAAATATTATTATATATATAAATTTATGTTGAGTTTTTTTAGTATCTATCTAAATAATGATTATTATTATTATTATTATTATTAATGATGATTTTTAATAAATAAATATATATCTAGGTAAACTATATTTTATATAAAAATCATAAACAACAATTTATTAGTAAATTTATTTAATAATTAATTACTACTACTATTTATCATCTTTATAAAAATGAATATTAGTGTAAAAGTGAAAATGTTGATGTATCTAAACTATATATAAATGGAAAGTGAAAATGTATCTAAAGAAATATGTTTGCTCTTTTGTTTTGCAGTAATTAATTAACAAAAAAAAAAACAAAAACAAACATTTAAACTTATTTTCAAAAGTTTGCAGGTGATGCTCGGGTTATTATTAATAATGACATTAACACAACACAACAATAGTAAAATAATAACATTATTATACTACAAAAAGTGAATTTTCAATTGACTTTTGCATACACACACAGTAAACTCAAATAATATTTCATTCAACTTTTATTTGGTAGAGTTTGTATAATTGACACAACACACACACAATTGTGCCTGTTGAAAATAAATGATTATTATGAATGAATGTCAAACAATAATATTAAAACTGTCTTTTTCACTTTGACTACTTGAGAGAGAGTGAAAATGATTGTTCATTAAAATGAAGTGCCTACCTTTCTAATTTAGTAACAAACTGTTTGAGTACTCTATTTGATCAACTAATCTAATACTACTAATACTATTATTTTTATTAATGATAACTATAATAATAATAATAATACATCTATCAAGATTTAATTAATTGTTGACTAACTAAAATAAATAATAATAAGTTTATCAGGGATACGATACGACTTTCTTTTTCTCAATTATGCAGGGAGGGGGGCACAGACATTTTTTTTAATCCACAAAAAGTTAAAAATCTTTTTTTTTTTTTTGAAAATAAAAATCAAAATCAACATTGAGAATTTTTTTGTTGCAAACATTGTTATTTCTGGCGAAAATAAGCAACAGCAATGAATGATTCTTTCAAAACTGGTAGAACTGCAAGTTCACTTCACTGTCAAATTTAGATCTAAACATAGAAATATCACAAAATTTATATTTATTTATTTATTTTTTCCTTTTTTCTTGATTTTTTTTGTTTTGTTGTTTTTGTAGTAGTTGCTGTTGTTGTTTTGGTAGCTGATCTTGTACTCTTCGCATCTGATTCATTGATTCTTGATAATGATCAAGATCGAAATAGTGTGCCATCTGTCGCTCTTCACTGGATGTCCAAGCACCCTTTCCAGTTGTGTCGAATCTACCTGTTTTTCTATTGAAAACACCACTAATTTCATAGTTTTGATAACTATTTGAAGTTGGATCTATAGTAGTAGTTGTAAAATTTGTTATTGTTGAAGTCGAATTTGTTGTTGTTGTTTGTTGTTTTGTATAAGGATGATATCTAGTAGATGCACTATAAGGACTCTCGTAACTAAATGTTTGTTGCTGTGTAGTTGTTGTCTCTGATTGTTGTTGGTTATTGTCATTGGCATTTTCTTCAGTGTTTTTCTTATCTTTTTCAGAATGTTGTTGTATAACATAAATAAACAAGGGATGTGAGACTATTGGATGATATTTAAACTGTGATTTATGTCGCAACTGTAGATTATTATTAAACTTTTTGGTTTTCAACCAATAGAGGATCTTATTGTCTGTGTATGGTCCTTCTTCAGTATCTTCTTCATCTAAATAATACCAAACTGTTTCATTTTGGTCATCGTTCTCCAGAAGATATTCAAACGACTCTATTTCTACATTTTCATTGTTTTCCTTTTTATCATTTGGATTATCATCATCATCATCTTCTTCTTCTTTAGAGACAACAACATCATTTTCTTTTATCTTTTTATCATCATTATCTTTGACATAATCATTTTTAGTTTCATCTATAACCTTTTTTTTTTTTTTTTTTTTATATTTTTTTTTTTAAAATGATCACAAATTAAGATTTGTTAATAAATATTGACGAAAAATAATAATAATTAATGATAAAAATAGAATTGCATACATCTTTATTAGTGTCCACCATTTTTTTGTAATTTTTTTAATTTAATTTAATTTTTTATTCACAACAATTATAAAACAAAAAATATCCTTGTGGAATGATAACAAGTTCAACGAATAAAAATTTGGTTTTTTTTTTGGTTCATCATTTCAATAATAATTATTACAAAATAAATAATTTTTTTTTTGCAATATTAATAAAGGCAAAAAAAATTAATCTTTTTCTAAATATTTTTATTTTGTATTACCATTCATTATTTTACTTCCATACACACCCACGAGATTAGATAGTGATGCCAAAATGAGCGATTTAAATCGAACAACTAATAACAATACCAACAACAATAGCAATAGCAATAACAACAGTGCATCTATGAATATACAAAGAAATAATAATAATAGTACTACTAATATTGGTAGTGGTGGTAGTAATATTCAATCTGTTGATGAGCTAAACAATGGTATCAACCAGAATTTACATTTAAATACCAATGGAATGGCTAATAATACTACTAACAACAATAACAACAACTTGATCGCTGGAATGAAAACACACTTTGGATCGCCATTAAGAACATTGATTCGTGCATCGTCTCTACAGAATCTACCATCTCATGGCAGTAACTCGGTGAAAGAGGAACTACCCTCGGTTATCACCATAAAGAATCAAGCGACCACCACCAAAGACAAGATGGATCTGATAAAGTATGATCCACAAGACTCTTCGGTGCATCCCGGTCCAAGTTCAAAGTACGATTTCGTCAAGGTTAAAGTTCGTCTCGAAGATCACTACTATGTGCTGTCTCGTTTTTTGATATCGCGTGTACTCAACGTAACCCAAGTAGATGCAGCCGACTCTGTAAAGATATCACTGGAACTTAAGAAGCGTCTAGTCGACCAAGGCAGACTGACACTCACCCAATCCGAACTGGAAAACGAACTATTCACACTACTACAATCCTATGGATATGGTGCTGAATATATTGAAAGATATAGAATGAACAACTCAGTAAGTAAAAACATAAACAAAAAAAACAAAAACAAACCTACCTTTTCTTAGTTACTAACCGTTGTGATTAATAATATTATTATTATTGTTAATATAAAGATTTCATCATCAAAGAGTACCATTGATTATCTTGATATCCGGACCGAAATGCATTGGAAAGTCGTGGTTGGCTACACAGCTGGCAGAGAGACTCAATCTTTCGACGGTGCTACAGACTACGCTCGTTCAGGATTTGATGGATGCCATCATCAAGGAGTTCCCTAATCCCAGTGGTAAAGGATCGATGTTTGGTATGCCATCGGATCCACCCATCATCTTTAAGAACTACAACTCCAAAGAGGAGCTAGTGGCAGACTTTAAGAAAGAGTGTGCAATGATAAGACATGGTGTCGACACTGACATTGAAAAGTGCTTTGACGAAGGTAAAGCAATCATCATCGAAGGTCCACACATCGATCCATCTCTATTCAAAGAGTTAATAGCGGAAAGAACAATGTCTGTTCCAAATTTAAATAATATTAATAATAATAATAATAGTAGTGATAATAATAGTAATAGTAGTAGTAATAATATAGAAGATAATAATAATACACAAAATAATATACAAAATAATAATAATAATAATAACAACAACAATAGTCATATAACTGTAGATAATAGTAATAATAATAGTAATAATGAAGCATCAACAACTGTACAGAATAATAGTAATAATAGTAATAATACAACATCATCACCAACAACTACAAGTTTGGCAGCAAAGCTGAAACCAAAAACCAAGGGTATTATTATACCTTTTGTGTTGTCATTGAAGGAGAGTGATCATAGTCTACTTGTTGAGAACTGGTTATCGTGTAGCCCTGTCGATGCCGACTATGCACGAAAGGCATTCGGTAATGATCCTAGAACACAGAGTATTAAAATCGTAGAGAATCTCCAGACCATTCAGTCGTATCTCTGTCAAGGTGTGCCACCATTCCAACTGGTAGAGGTCAACGCTCACAATCTTCTAGAGACACTCGACGTCCTACACACTGCCGTACTAAAGAGAATCAATGATGCATACTCTGGACATGTCAAAGGTTTTGAATATGAATCTTAAGAATTGCTACCTCAAAAATAAAAGTTCAAAAATGTTTGATAATAAATCACTTACTAATAACAACAACAACAACAACAACAATAACAATTCGATTAATTACCAAATGTTGCAACATTTATTATCATTTAAAAAGCAAATATATATTTATAAAATATTTAAAATATAACAAACTTTCCAAACTCTTTAATATGTTAATTAGCTTTACTAACAATTGATAATTCAAATAATAATTTATGTTTGTTGTTTTTAAGGAATAGTTACAGATGAAAAGATCGAGAATATACCTAACCTTTTATGGTTATTATATGTTTGGCAATCTAAACAGACACTTGCATGAGACTGTGGTGTTTTGTTGTTTATTATATTGTGTGAATATGTACATCGTAAAATAAAAGTGGTCCTAACAGGTGTTCAATTTTTGATGACATTTTTACAACGCATGATAGAATTAAACCGAGTGGTGATTGTGATAAGGTGGTTAATCAAACCCAAAAAGTGAGTTGTTTGTTCTAGTGACATACATATATATATACAAAGAACATTGACGTCTATTATCTAGGTATTAGTTAAATTTGCAAAATTGAAGAAATTTTGAGATAAAAAGTCAGGTTGTTTTGACCACAAACAAAAAAAAAAACCTCTTGATTTATTATTATTAATTAATTATAATTAATAGTATTATATTCACATAGTTACCGTTCTTTTAATATTGAATAAAAAATATTAAAAGTAAATATTAAAAGAAAAAGGGTTTAATGAGATAACTATTAGTAGTAGTGAGTGGAGTGTGTTGATTGATGATGATGTAGGAATGAACAAAATGTATGGACATTGGAATTAAATTATTATTGGTCGATTTAATTGTATGTGGTCGAGAATAAACAAAAAAAGACATGGTGGACCGTATTGCTATTATTATTAGAGTCACTCTAATAATAGTAACTTCGATTATATATTAAACTAATATGCTAATTATAAACACCACAATTTTACTTGAGGACAAAGTGGAGTGTAAAATTAGAGTATTTTTTTTTGTCTTTTCAATAAGACACACCCGAAGGAACAATAAATTTTACTGCAAATGGTAATTTTTAACAATGAAGTGCTCAGTTACCCACCATTTTTTTCAATAAATTCTAAAAAACCCCGCTAATCATTGGGTGAAGTTAAAAAAAACATTTGGAAAAAATTGAGTGACAAATCTAAAAAAACCTGATTTACCACTAGTTTCATCACTCATACAATCAGGGACCCACAAGTTGTAAAACACCACAGTCTTTGTTTATCTACAACACACTAAAAATTCAATTCAATCAAAAACTAAACCAAATACCTCGGTCATTTGTGTTATTTTGGTGTTTTTTTTTTCACTTTGGGTTGATGACGATTTTGAGGGTGTTTCTTTTATCAATAAAATAAATCATTGATCTTTTAGAGTCAAAGAGTCACCCCCCCCTCTTCTTGTTGTTTTAGTGATTTGTGGTTGCTCCATTCTTGGATTTAAAAATTGAGCACCCAAGGAGATGTATGTTTATTTTATTTTTGAACCACCACCATCGTGTTGAAAAAGTCCAATATGACAATATTTGTATATTGAAGTCGGTGTGGTGGGTGGGTATTGAGCTTATGAACATGAATAGTTTTATATAGAAATAGGGATGTTTTAAGATCAACCACACTTTTAATTATTTAGTATTTTCCTTTTCAAGCTTGTTTCATTATAAATATAAATGCTTTTGGTCACTCTTATTTATCAAACTATCCAATAAAATATATATATTTATATAATAATATTTATTTATACTATTTTTATTATTCTTGTATATCTCTATTTAAAAATTGTTCAACATTTATATAGTAGTTGATCATCTATTTAATATCCAAAAACTCATTAAAAATATCTTTATCTATATATCTCATTGCTCGAGTCTTTGGTTTCTATTCATATATCTCTATATACTTTTGTAAATAATTTATAATTATTTTTTTTTCTAATTTAACGCTTCTATATAAAATTTTATTTATTTATCAACAAACACCATCAATATAGTATACTATTACATTTTTATAACAATACTTAAAGTAAACCACACCATTATTGTAAAAACACCCCAAACAACATCAAATTTCCAAACCTTTTTTTGATTTTTTTTTTCAAACCTTCCAAACCAACATCAAATTTAATAAAAATGGCAATTTGTGATAAAAGATACTCTATCGGATTTTTAGTTAATGACGAAGACCCTATTCCTACACAAAGACATCAAGCTATCCCTAGAAACAAGCCAGCTTCACCAAAGAGATCTACCAAGTCAAAGGACTCCAATAGATTATGGTCTGAGAAAGACATTGAGTACCTTCTGAATAAGATCACTCCTGACATCCTGGAATTTTTGGCTCCCAATGAGAAGGAAACTCTATGGCACAATGTTGCAGACCGTCTAGATCGTACTGTCATCGCCATCCAGAAGAAATACTACAAACTCATACAGAGTGGAATCCTACTTCCAAAGAGCAGCAGAGAGAGTCTCACACATCTCAACAGAAAATTGAAAATAAAGTCAAACAACTACAGAAAGTTGGGAAACAAGCACCAAGCTTCAGTATTCACTGAATATCCATCAGTGTTACTTTCAAATCAAGCCTCTACCTTTAACAATTGTACAAATACTACCAATGCTACTCAAATGAAGCAAATTTCCCAACCAATTTATATCTCTCAAAGTCAGAAGCATTTGAATCAACAATACCAAGACAATTTCTACAATGAATTGACAGCTGACATTGATAACCAAGAGTTACCACATCCACAATCTTCAAGATCATCATCACCTTTTTTTGAACATCTAACTACTTTTCAATAAATTCTAACTCGTTTTTTTTTTTTTTTTAATTATGTAATAAATTGTATAATTTTGAATAAATATATATAAAAATATCAAGAAATAAATAAAAGAATAAATAAAAAAAAAGAATAAGATGATGAATCATTATTGTTTTAATTAAATTCCAACGATGTTCTTTAAGAAAATAGATGATAAGATTTTACCCATCTTCTTCTTGGTATCTGCTTGTTGGATGAAAGGGTGATTCAGCAGTTCCAGTGCTGTTGGACGTTCGGATGGAGTGAATCTCAGACATTTTGAAATGAAATCTTGGAAGTTGTCAGACCAACGGTTTGGATCTTCGAAGGGCTCTTTGATACCCTCTGTTCCCACCATAAACATTGTCTTTATTGGGTCCTTTCTTAGCTTGTGATTACGATTGGCCAGCTCCAAAAGACAAACGGCAAGACTCCATATGTCAGCGGTGTAGCTGTGTGGACGTTGCAATATCATTTCTGGAGGCATCCAAAGTGGTGATCCACACATTCTTGTGCGCTCAGAATGTTTGATCAGCGGTGTACATAAACCGAAATCGATGATCTTAATATCACCTCCGGTTGTCATCATGATGTTCTGTGACTTGAGATCACGGTGAACAAACTGGTTGGTATGTAGATAGTGGATTCCCAAGAGGATCTCTTGTGCCACGTAGGCAATGTTGGATTCTTGGAATGGATATTGATAGGATGCCTCTGAGAGTGTTCCTCCCTCCATAAACTCCATCGATATATATGCTTTGTCGCCGAGTACATACGACTCATGGTAGGTTATAATGTTTGGATGTTTACAGAAATCGAGTACACGAATCTCCTTGAAATTGAACTTCTTGTCTTTGGAGGTGGCATGATCCAGCTTTTTCAGTGCAACTTTGCCCTTGGCACTATTGCTACGAGCAGCGTAAACACTACCAAAACCACCTTTACCAACACGCTCTTTGATACTGTAGTTCTTCTTAAAGTCGGAACTGGATCGCTTCACCAGTTGGTCATGTGATTTCTTGGAGTAGGCGGTGTAGGTGACCGATGCAATACGTTTATCGAGAGGAATGGTCTTGTCTTTCTTTTCCTTCTCTTTTGCAGTTTGTTCTTTGTCCGACGATGACAATGAACTTGCACTGCTCGTAGATGTAGTTGATGTTTGAAGTTGTGAAGATAACTGTGGTGCCGACTGTTGTTGTGGCGAACCAGCCGACATCAGTGGTGGTGACGAAGATGAAGGAATATTGCTACCACTATCTTTTTTGGTGACGGTTTTCAATGACTTTTTGGTGCTCTTTCTCGTTAGAATCTCACGCTGCTGATGCTCCGACGGGAAGAACTTAACTTTAGTCTGGAAGTAGAGAAGTGACAAGGTAACCTCCCAGTGTGCTACTATATCTTCGTGTTTAACATTCCATTTCTTAATAATATCTTTATATTGGTCTGGCAAACTGAGATAGTCTACCGCTACAATATCGGGTTGCGTCTTCTTGTCACGTTCAAACTTGGGTAACTCTGCCTCCTCTGATACCTCTGGTGAATGTTGTTGTTGATTGTTATCGTTATCGTTGTTATCGTTTGGTTTGGTTGATTTGGATGGTGTATTAGAAGTTGAACCACCAGTGTTGGTCTTGGCATTACCAGCAGTATTACCACTACCACCACTGCCACCACTAGAAAATATCTTTTTGAGTAGTGATGTTTTCTTTTTGGTTGGGGTTACTGGTGGTGTTGGTTGTTGTGGTTGTTGTTCTTTCTGTTGTGAAGTGATTCTTCTCTTTGTCATATTTCGATAGTAGTAACTTGTGATATCACCAATCAAAGTACAGGAATCAACTTTTTGATAGTGAGAGTGTTTCTGTGAAGTTCCATACATATCATTGTATCCAATCAAATCGTTTGCCTGTGGTAATGAAAATAATTCATACTTTATCAAATAGATTGAAGCTAATATTAAACCAAAACAACATCTTTAAAAAGAATATTATTAACAAGTTGTAATTTAGATATTAAAAAATAATGTTGTTGTTGTAATAATTACTCATGAATTAGGCACGGTGTATCTCTACCTCTACCGAGAATTAATTGAGAAAGGTCATCAAATTGTTTTGTAATCGATAAAATATCTGTTTCTGATTCAAACTCTATAATTTGATATTGGAAATGCTTTTGAAATGGTTATGTATAATTAGTATATGACTTTTTAGAAATAGAAAATAATATATTTATATTTATATATACTCTTTGTGTTTTTGATTGTGGTTCAATTGAACTATCAAATCCGATACAACGAATTTGTTGAGTATCTTTAAGTTGAAGGTTTGTGAGTGTGAGGATTGCGTTGAGATCACCGACATAGAGGTAGGAGTGTATTTCACGACAATTGGCTTGTAGTAACTCATCCAGTGTCATTGGATTGCCGCTGGATAGATCGGGTGTTGTTGGTATAACTGTTGTTGGTGGTGGTGTTGCAAGTGACGATAGTAAATCACCGATACTGTTATTACTGCCAGTTTCGTTTATGGTGATTGTGCTCTTGGTGTCTTGACCGGCACCATCCTGTTGGCCAACACTTGTGCCTCCTCCTGTGCATTTGCCATTGGAGCAACAACTCACACTGTTTCCAGTGAGAATCGGTGTTGTATTGTTGGTGTTACTTGTGGTGAGGATATCACTGTCAGAGAATGATCCACTCTCCATTGTCAGTGCAGGTGATGTAATTGGTGTCGTCAATCCAGAATCTAGCTCATTGGTTTCAACAACTCCACATGTTGAAGATGACGACGACAACGATGATGTTGTTGTTTCTCCATGCATGATTCAATGTTATTACACTTTATATAATATTGTTTGTACAAAATATATATATATATTATAATTGTTATGATTTTGACTATTATACAAAGAAATCTATTAATAATATAAAAAAACTAAAATAAAAAAACAAGTTAGAAAAAGTTGAGTTGTAATAGTACTAAAAGTAATAATAATAATAATAAATAAAAGTTAGTTTTTTTTTTTTGGTATTATTAACTAGTTAATTGCTAAATAAATAACTCATTGTTATTGTTTTTTTAATTAATTAAAAAAAATAAAACAATTGTTATGATAGGAGTTTGTATGGTATGGAGAGAGAAAGATGTTTAAAAGGATAGAAACTAATTTAGAACACCCATTTTCTACTTTTAAGAAGATCAACATCAAAAATAAAAATCATATTGTTTCATTGAAAGATTTTGATTGAGTGTTTTTTTTTTTTTTTTTTGAAAGTTTCTTACAAAATGTTGAGATTTTCTTATTTATAAAGGTGATTGTTGCCGAGATGTTGGAATGACTTTTGGTTTATCATCATCAAATCTAATTTCAATTGAAAATTAAATTGGTTTACTGTTAAATATATGTGATTACTATCTTTTTGTGTAAACAGAATTTGTATCCGTTAAGCTTCCTAAATTTAAATTGGATTGGATTTGCAAAAAGAAAATCACCATCATTTTTTTATTTTTGGGAGTTTTAATAACTGTTTACTATTGTTCTTGAGGAGTGAATGTGAAATAAGAGAATTATAAACTAATAAACATTTTGTAATGGAAAATGAATGGTCCATGCAGGAAAGGAAGTGGTGTTTTTTTTTTTGTGTTTGTTTGTCGTCCATACAAACTTTTTGAGACGAATAATTGTTGTTTTTTTTTTTTTTTTTTTGGAAAATTATTAAATATAGATATAATTAAGATACACATACAAACTAAACTATTGCTAAATCTAAAATCTTAATCTTAACTTTGTTACTTTTTCTATTCTATTCTATTTTATTAATTAACTTCTATGTATTTAATAGTTTTTCAAACAAAATATCAAAAAACATAAACCACCAACAGAAATCATCGAGATCTCTAATTAAAGCAAAAGCAAAAAAGAATCTTTTTTTAAATTTTTTGATTTTTTTTATTTTGCAAAGATTTTTTTTTTCTTTTTGATACATTCATTTTTGATCAAAAATAAGTTTGTGTTGCATAGCACCAATTCCTTTAAAATTTTCTCTACTTTGAAAAGTAAAATTTTTGTTGCAAATATTAATGTTTATGAACCAGAAAAAACTTATAACCAAAGATATTATTTCAAAAGTTTGAAAGAGTAAAGTGAAAGGAAGTATCTTGGACTGTCGAATTCGGTTTTTAAGATCTTTTTATTAGTTTGTGCCAATTTATTTTTCTTGTTGGTCAAAAAAGACTTAAAATAATGATTAATAATAATAAGAATATTAATATTTAAATAATTTATTTAGTTTTTAGAAATGAACTCATATGTTGAAAGTCTATTGACTAATTTCAAAAGCAAGCCAATTGAAAGAGATTTCTTCTAATTGATTTTCATCCCATGTTCTGATGAGCATTGTGAAACCATCTTCGGTGATATCATGTGGAATAAAGCTATATTTGAAACTTTGACCAGTCTTACTCATATTGATGTTATGGAGAGAACTAGACACAAAAGGAGGTCTGATAAAACCAGTTTGGAATTTAACTTGAATTTCGTATCTCTTATCGCCATTGGAACCATCGTAGAGTTTGGGGAAATTTCCATCACGAGTCGAAAACAATCCATACTCAAAATTGGTAATGGTTTGTCTTGGAATAGGTTTGTAGTTTATCTCCCATCTAAGAGCTCTCGAGCCGTTAAATGTAGATGGATAGAGAGTTACAGATTGGGCTCTGAGTGGTGGAGCAAGGGTGAGGGTTTGTGGAGTGTTTCTATCATTTAGACCAGTTAGAATGGCAGTACCATTGTTATAATCCTTCCAATTAACACCATCAAGAGTATACTTTAAGGTGAAAGAGGTTACCCATTGATCGGCATCTGGACGACCTTGGAGTTGGATTGAACCAATTTCAGCTATTCCTGTAGAGATAGAAGCAGTAACAGAAGGATTGGTATCACTCGCAGCTGGATGCCAACACTTGTTTGCATTAATAGTTGCACCATTGATAGTAAAGTTGGAGGTAATGGCCGAAGAATGGCTAACGTTGAGTTGACCTGTGGAAACACCTGGATTGTAAGACATATTTGTTTATAAAGAATATAAATGATAATAATAGTTCAAAATTTTCTTTTTAAATAGCTTTCCAAGGAAAAGGTTTAGGATTCAGTTGAAATAAACATAAATTAATTAATTAAATAATGTAAATTGAGATTGTAGAGATTTTTAACTATTGGATTTTTGTAAAGTTTAATTAATTAATTTCAACATTTTGGTCTTTAATTCATAAATTGATTGAATTCCTAACTGATTAGTTAGAGAGGTTAGACAAAAATCTTTATCTAATTATTTAAGATTTGTGTTATTTCATTTTATAGGTTGGGTTTTTTTTCGCATAGCTTTTTTTGTAATCTCGCATTATTTTTGTAAAATGCACAAAAGCTGTTCAAAATTCTTTTCATTTTTTTGGGGAGGAATAAAATGAAATTACACATTTTTTAAACTGAATATCGATTTACAAATAAAAAGAAATAAAAATAAAGGTGCGTGTTGCGTAGTATTGGGTGTGATGGGCGTTGATTGAACTGAACCATTTATTTCTATTAACTTTTTGGTGATAATAAAATCAATTTATAATTTATTTAAATGTAGTTTGCCTTTAATTTTATAGGAATCTGGTTTGTCGGAGTGAAGTTTAAGCGAAACAGATTTTCCATTTTTACAAAATGTAAAAAGGAATAAATGATTTATTCTCTTGGAAACAGGTTTCAACACTTAAATTCCTCAAAATAAATTTCACCCTGAGGAAATCAAAAATTTAATCTGTAAAGACAGTTCAATAAAAATTAAAGAGTGAATGAATATCGATTGAGAATGGTATATACAAATTTTTACCTTTTATTCTATACATATATAAATTTCAAAGGCAAGATGGAAAGGGGGTGTGAAAAACCCAACTAGCATGAAGAGTTTGGTTTTCAATTTAATTTAAATTATGATCTGTTATTGTTATTGTTTTTTTGTTGCATATTTGTTGTTGTTTGTTTAAATCTTACTGTGTTTTTGGTTATTTAGAGGTGATTGCTCTCCATTCCATTGAATCATAAAATCATAGTATTGAGATTGGTTCTTTGTTAGTCGAGTCTGTTCGATTTGCGCTATCTCTTTGTACAGTTCTTTTTCTCTGGGTGTCAGATTGCTGAGTGTTGGAAACTCTGGTTTGAAATTGCAAATCATATCGCCCACCTTTTGACCGTCGGGATCCTTGAAGCCGTGTCGATGTACAACCAACCCGTATTTCGATTGCGATTCGTAAGGCGGTACGTTGATCTGAATATTCTTTCCATAGATAGTTGGCACGTCGATCTTACAACCAAACATTGCCTGTGTCGTCGACAGTGGCACTGAAATAACAACGTTGTTTCCTTCTCTCTGAAAGAAAGGGTGTTGTTCCACAGAGAACTTTATTTGTACATCGTGTTCATCAAAAGTCAATGATTTCGCTCTCTTTATTTTAAATGTTGTTGTTTGTCTAGACATAGAAGAAGAAGAAGAAGAAGATTCATCTATAAGTTTAGTAAATGTAAATTGATCGGGTTGTTTTTAAATAACTTACGTTGAACCATTTGAAATTCCAGCGGGTATCAATATAGAATCTTCGTATTGTTGTGATATTAGACCATCGCCATGACAATAGTTGCATGTATTTTTCAAGATTACACCTTGACCGTTGCATACATCACATGCAAATGCCAGTAGGAAGTTGGTGACTCTTCCATTGCCGTTGCATCGCTGACATGTTGTAAATTCGCGTTGTTTCGTGGATGATCCTGTGCCTAGACAATGTCCACATTCAATCTTGATGGGAAAGTGAATCTGTCGTTCAGTGCCATACACTGTCTCTTTGAACGAGAGAAACAACGATAGTTTATGATAGATTCTTGTTGGAAGTCCATTCATTGAGTGATTACCATTGCTGCTGCTGCTGCTGCTGCTACCACCGCCCGGACTTCCAGTGAGATTCTCAATGTCGTCTTCATCGTCAACATGTATGTTATGTCGGCTGTTGTTGAGATTGTTGTTATGAAAATTCTGATGATTGTGATGATGTTGACTGTTGTGATGACTGTTGTGATGCGCAGAGAACGGTGAGCGCGAAGACGGTCCGCCATTAAAGAAACTATCAAAGAATGGCGAAGCGAAAGGATCGACCTGTTGAGGTGGTGGTGGAGGTCCGCCTGCGCCATGGAAAGAGGAGAACGGTGTGTGATGATGATGATGATGCGCAGAGAATGGTTTACTAAAGAATTGATTGAACATACTGAATACTTCATCGGGATTCATTGGGTGTCTGTGGAATCTCATTTCATCGAAACCACCCATACCACCAACACCACCTCCTACACCAACATTAAAACTACCGCCACGAATAGCAGCGTCATACTCTCGCCGCTTGTCGGTATCCGACAGAACAGCATATGCTTCCGATACCAATTTGAATGTTTCCTCTGAATCTTTCTCTTTTGTACCACCTCTATTTCTATCGGGGTGATATTTTAATGCCTATTTTATGAATCATCATCATAATAACAATAATAATAACAATAAGTAGTTGTTTATCTTTAAAAAAAGGTGTGATTAGATGATTGATTGACTGATTGATACTTTACCATTCTTTTATATGCTTTCTTTATAGATTCAGAATCAGCATTTATCTCTATTTCTAATATCTTATAATAATCTGGTAGTTTAGACATTTTATTGAATCAAATAAATAATTATTATTATTATTTTTTCTAAAATAAATATATTTATTAAAACAACTTTATCTCTACACTCTAATTTAATAAATAAATTATTTTTTTGTTTTTTTTTATTTTTTTTATTTTTTTTATTTTTTTTTTGTGAACACCATTATTATCTTTTTTTTTTTTTTTTTTAATTCATTACTTTATGTTTTTGAATCATTCTTTTAAACTATTTGAAGAACAATTATTATTCAATTATATACAATTATGACTAAATATTTTTGAAAGATAATTTTTTTTATTTTTGAATTTTTTTGGTTGTTTGAATTTTAAATTTAAATTTTTTCTAGGAATGGCGCCTTTTTCAAAAATAAAAACTGGTCGTTTTTTCAACAGATGTCATATTATAGACACATATTGTTTGAATTAATAGATACATTTTTTCTTTCGATATAATAATATAATAATAATAAATGACAATTCTAAGTAATACAACAGGACTTTCAATTGGTTCACATATCAAGGTGCGTGTAGAATGTGATTCAAAGGTCTCTGACAAATGTCGTAATCAATACGAGATGCCACATAAGGATACTGTTCTTTTCCGTGCCAATCACTCGGGAAAGATCATTTGTATCCACTGTTCTAGAGCATCTGTCGGCACCAAGCAAGCGGTGGTCAATCCAAATTGCAGCTTTGATGAGAGTCTATTGAGCACCCTTGATTCCGAAGCGAAGGCCTATCTTCTCGGTTGGTTTGCAAGTGTCGGTGTGATTGGAGACGACGGTCAATCGATCACCATTGAAACCAACAGAACAGAGGAAGCTTGTATCCAGCAGTTGAGAGATATCGTTTGTCCAGAGATTCCAGTCATTCATAAATCGAGCAACGACGAACTACTCAGTGTCACTTTCACCTCGAAGCAGATGACTTCCGATGTTTGTGCTCACTTGCAATTGAAAGACGTTGCTTCAAAGTCGTCGAGCATGGTGCTCCCACAATTCAGCACAAAGACAGTGGCGCTCGCTTTCGTTCGTGGATTCTTTGATGGCGAAGGATCGCTCGTTCAGCGTGAATCTTGCTCGCCCATCGTTTCGTTGTCATGCAAATCCAGTCAGATGCTCAAGTCGATGGCGGAACTTGTCGACGTTCCACACACCGTCGGAGAGGACTTGTCAACCATGCAATGGAGTGGAGTGAACGCACTCGATTTCCTTGGAAAGATCTACGATGGCAGTAAGTATCATCACCAATCGAAATACAATAAATATATGGATTTGTGTGTTTGGTGTCCAGCGGCCAACAACAACACATTGGGTGTTCGTGACGATCCAATGTTCACAGTCAGCAGAACCTCACCGGATGCTGTCATCCCTTCAAAGTCGAGAGCAAGTGACAGTGGTTACGATCTGACCGTAATCAAAACGGTGAGAGCATTCAACTCGGTGACCACCCTCTACGATACCTGTATCAAAGTACGTCCACCCCCAGGTTTCTATATGGACGTCGTGCCAAGATCCTCGCTGAGCAAGAGTGGATACATGTTAGCCAACAGTGTTGGTATCATCGATAGAGCCTACGTCGGATCAATCATGATCGCACTCACCAAGGTTGATCCAAACGCACCAGATATCCAACTTCCATTCTGTGGATTCCAAATGATTCCAAGACCAATCATTCACTTCCAAGTTGTCGAAGTCACCGCTGATATGCTCGAAGATACCGGTAGAGGTGCAGGTGGTTTTGGTTCCACCGAGGAAAGAGCCAAGAATAACGGAGTATTCACTCCACCAAATGCTACCAATTAACCACTCTTCAGTAGAGTGGATTGAAATCAAATCAAATCCAAATCAAATCAAATCAAATCAAATCAAATCAAATCAATCAAATCAAATCAATTTTGATTATTAAATTTTAATTAATCTAATAACAATAAATTATTTAAATATATATACATATACAACTTTATTATTATAATAATTTCCAATAATACTTTGTAGTAATTATAAAAACTATAGTTTATCAACGAATTTCTTGAAAGATTTAAGTCCGCTACCGATTGCTTTTGTGGTTTGTTCGCCGATCGATGGATTCTTCTTAACCCAACCGTTGGCAATGCTGTAACCGGTGGGTGGTGCTTTTCCTGCATACGGTCCAGCTTCTTTGACTTTCTTGCCTGATTTCGATTTCTTAGTGTGACTCTTTGATTTTGCCTTTTCCATACCTTTCTTGCTGACCGATGGCAGCGATTGTCTATAGTTGATATACTCTTGTGCGTAGGTTGGTGGAATCATCTCTAGACCGAAATTGATTGCAGTCAGTGCTATTTGAATTTCACCATGTGGAACAAAGCTTAGCTTCTCCCATGTGCAAACCTCTATGCCCTTCGGTAGAAGCGATGGATCGAATGCAACATATCCTATCAAGTCATCCGAACCAACAGCATCCTTATCATACACTTCAATAACTATTGCATCATACATTGAATTGGAGATATCTATTTGGAATGATTCTATAGTTTTTTCAGATAAATTAGTAAATGTATGAGATATCAGATTTATAACATGTAAATTCCATTGAAAACTGAAAGAATAATTGTTTTTCACTGTCGCTGGATGGAATTAGTCACATACCATTCCAAGTAGGATTTAGATTCTTTTGAATAACTTTGGTAGAGTAGGACTTTGATAATGTTGGTACTTTGATACGGCAATAGGGATCGCTCTTACCATTTACATCCGCTGCCATTAGATTCCTAGCCGAAATGATGCGGACATTCAGATGTGACAGTGGTGCGGTAACAAACTTGCTTCCGACTGGAGCCATCAGTTTTGTACCTGGTTTTGCTGTTCCTGGTTGTGGCTGTGCTGGATAGCCTGGCTGTGGTGGATAACCAGGTTGTGGAGGATAGCCGGGTTGCTGGGATGGTGGATAACCTTGTTGTTGTGGAGGTGGGTAACCCGGTTGTTGAGGATAACCTTGCTGTGGTGGATAACCTTGTTGTTGTTGTGGAGGTGGATAACCATGTTGTGGTGGTGGATAGCCTTGTTGTGGTGGATAGCCTTGTTGTGGAGGTGGATAACCGTGTTGTGGTGGTGGATAACCTTGTTGTGGTGGATAACCAGGTTGTGGAGGATAACCTTGTGGAGGATAACCTTGTTGATGTTGAGGTGGTGGATAACCTTGTTGTGGAGGATAACCTTGTTGTTGTTGTGGAGGATAACCTTGTTGCTGTGGAGGTGGGTAGTTTCCAGGTGGCTGATTTGGAGGTGATGTTGCTGTTGCTGTTGGCTTTGGTGGTATTGGAGGAGGAGGATTACTCATTTTTTTGTTAATAATATTTAATTTATGTGTAGAAATACAAAAGATAATAAAAAAAAAAATACAAAAGAACAAGTTCTAAATAATATATTCTTTCTTTGCAAAAAATAGTGTGTCAAAAATAATAAATAAAAATAGTTTATATTCTAGTTAGCTAAATGTGTCAAGAGTGTGAACAGTGGGGGTTTGTCTGAGAAAAAAATTAAAAAATAATAATATTAAATTCAAATAATGAATAAAAATTCTGTGAACTTGTTTTACCCCATTTTGTTTTTGCAGTCGATAACAATTAATATTATGATTGTCTTCAAAAAACAAAATGAATTTGAGGTCTGAAAGTTCATTTTGTAATATTTATAATAATATGATCTGTCTTTTTAAAAAATGTAAATCCAAATATCAATCCAGGTTGATATAATAGGTTCTGCAAATTAGTTTTATTTTTCTTTTAAAAAAACAAGTTTAAACAAAATAGATTATAATTATCATCTATACTTAGAGGGATAAAAAAGTTAGTGCATTATTAATTAATTTTATAGCTCACAAAATGGTGAACAATGTCACGAAATTGTTCTTTATAAATTAGAGATCATAAATGGGGTAAATTGGAAGTTTTACTGACTTTTCAATTATTAAACAGCATGAATATAATAATATAATACTTTAATTATTAATCTTTTCTTTTCAATATTACATCTAGTTCTTCGTTTGAAAGTGGTGGTAACTGACGCTTTTCTCTATCTAAAATGATTTCATTACGCCAAAAAGTCATGTGATCATACTCGAATTCCGATGTTCCAGTGTGAGGACGCTCGATATGTTCGATATCGAAATGCTCATGCATGGTCTTCAGCTTTGCCTTTTCACCTTTAACGAATACTATCTTCTTGGCGGTGTTGGGATTGACAAAAGGCATGATTGCGTTATATAGAATGTTAAAAATCATGGGAGGGTCCACAACGAAAGCGGTACCCAATCGCTCTGGATAATGATCCGAGAGAATCTCTAGAGTTTGTCTGGCAACGGACATCGGTGGTGCATTAAACAATGAATATCCATTGAAATCTATAACGATAGCTAGCTGTTCGACTCCGGTCTCTGTACTTCTATCAATATGCTGAATGGCACGCTCCAAAGTGTAAACAAGCAACTGAATCTGTCTTTCATAGTTCTTTGTATTCTCCCTAACGGGACGCATATAAATAGCTGGTTTTCCATCCTTTGTTTTACCATTACAATATTGTTTGCCTGTTGATGCTTCATAACTTAAATGTTCAGCTGAATAAATATTTTCCACCAGTTAATTAATATTAAAAACAATTGATGACAAAAGAACAAATTATAATTATAATTTAAAAAACATACCAGTTATTTCATCTGGTTTATATTGTTTCCTCCATTCTAATGTTTTCTTTAAAAGATTGAATGAAGCTTGTAAATCGTATTCTCTTGCACGTAAATAACGTAGAATCATCATATCATCTACCCATAATTTCTAGATCAAAGATAAATAAATAATAATAGTTGATTAATATTTTTTAAAGGAATGAATATAATAATGGAAGAACATCCTTCTTTAAACCTACTTCTTTATCAGATAGTTCTAATTCATTTAATTTCTCTTTAAATTGTTTAAATATATCCAATTGTTTATCATCTAAATTCTCAAATGGGTCGAATGGTTTGGGAGTATCTGTATTATTATTATTATTTTCATTTATATTGGTTTCAACTTTATTCTCTGTAGTTGATTTTGAAGTAGACTTCTTTTTCTTTGCCATTTTCTAAACAATATGAGATTACTTAATTATTTGATTATTCTTTTATTTTGATTAATCTAATCAATAAAGTGAAACAGAATACTCAATCTTTACCAAAAAAAAAAAACTAAATCGAAAATAAAATAAAAAATCGAAAATTCCCAGGGTTATTTTTCCAACAAATCGACATCATGATAATGACATGTTCACATCAAAAATATTATGATATTATTAATTTTTTATTTATTCATTCATTTTTGATGGGATGTGTAATAAGTTATATTATAATAGTGTACAACCATAAGAATATGTTAATTTTCATTATTTTGTTGCTGTTGCTGTTGTTGTTTTGCAATGTTTAGGTTTTGAAGTAAATTGATATTGGTGAATGCAACTTCCGATGAAGTTTGTAGTAGTGTTCGGTTGGTGGTTGGTGTCGCTGCTGTGCTTGTGCTAGTAGTAGTAGTACTGTTGGACACTGTCGATGTGCTCATTGTTGAACTTTGTTGTTGCTGTTGAATTATTGGTAGACGCTCGAGTGAGAGTGCATCGAGTGACTTTGAGTCGACCACTTGATTGAACTTACCGGCATCAAACTGTAATTTGATATCTTCAATCTTTTTCTTTTTGTCTTTGTCTTTGGTGTGTGATGTTGATGATGATGATGAAGATGACGACGATGGATTATTACCAGCACTCGATCCAATTGCACCTCCACTAATACCACCACTAGCTATCAGAGTAGATATACTTGGAATGACATTACTACCTGATGGTGTCGATGGATTTAAAGATGATGATTGAACACCTATTGAATTTAATATTGGTGTCTTTGTTGTTGTTGTCGTTGTTTGATTATTATTATTATTACTATTGTTATTATTATTAATTTGTATTGTTAGTTGATTACTATTACTATTCTTCTCGATAGAAGTAGTAGTCGACGTCAGTGTTGACTGCTGGTTCGAATATATATTTGTATTGCTATTTACACCTGTTACAAGTGGAGATATTGTTGTTGTTGATTGTAATGTCTGTTGTGTTTGTAGTGATGAATTGGTTGGACTGTTTATAGCTGGTGAATTACCACCACCGTTGTTTATCAATGCAAATGCACTGCCACCTATCTGTTGTTGTTGTTGATGTTGCTGTTGATGATGATGATGTTGACTATGGTGTTGTTGTTGTTGATGTTGTGTTGGTGACGGACCAATTAAACGTAGTTTAAGTGTTGGATGCTTTGTCATTCTAACACCTTGCCATAGCCACGTGGGAATGGTAAGTGGAATATCGAGTTCAGCCTTGAATGTCTCTACAAACTCTGACTCTGACGAAGATATACAAGTGCCACGGGTGAATCTGGTAAACTCTGATATGATCGCCGACAAGTTCCAATTCTGTACTTTCCTAAGACACATAAATATAGTACCGGTCACATTGGCACCATCTAAACAGTGACAATACAACGGAAGATTAGCTGGATCAATCATAAGCTATCAAAAAAAAAAATAAAATAAAAAAATAAAGTTTTAAATTGTAATTAGTTAATTAATCAATACAGTTGTACAATTTGGAAATCTATATTGATTATCTGAATTGTAATTACCTCAAGTAACTGAACGACTTGAGATGCATCAATGGTAACATCATCTTTGAATTTCGAGACTGGAAAGTGTTTGCTGGTGGTGTTGTATCTTTCACAAAAGTTTAGAAATGGCTTAAGTGGTGGTTTTGGTGTTAGAGAAACTATTGTCTTTAATTTCAATCTATTATGTAATAAAATAATAATATAATTTTATAAATGAAAAAGAAAAAAATGATGATTTATGAATAAAAATGATCAAATATAAATAAATAGCTAGCACATATATAGGAAATATATACCTTTTTAGGAATCTTAGATTCTTTTCTGTCGGATATGATCCTCTATATAGACCTTCTTCAATAATAGCGAATCTGAATGGTGGGATCAATTGTTTATTTTCATTACTCATTTTGTTTTTTTAATAGTGATTTAATATTAATGTTGAAATATTAAATGTAGATGTGATGAAAATGATAATGATAAATTTAAGTTGATTTTATGCAAAAAAATTATTAATAAGTTTTTGTTGATGTTTTTCATTTAATATTAATAAAAACAATTTGTTTTTTATTTTAATTTTTAATTTTTTTTTTAGCGATACACTGAAAAAAGACGAAAAAATATTGGCGAAAAACCTATGGTTTTGTTTAATAATTATTATCATTATTAATATTATTTAAAAGTATTCACTGCTGCGAAACTATCAATTATAATCGTTTTTTTTTTGATAGGTTATTTATTGTTTTTTTCTATTATTATTATTATTTAATATTATTATATATTTTTTTTAGAAGATAAGAAGATGCCACCTAAAGACTCAAAAGAAAAAGAATCAAGTACAGCACCAATTGTTGCTATCGATTTCGGAGCACACAATACATGTGTTGGTGTTATGAAGAATGACAGAGTTGAAATATGTCCAAATCATCAGGGTAACAGAACTACTCCATCAGTGGTGGCATACGTCAACGAAGACAGACTCGTCGGTGAGGAAGCCAAAGGTCAAATCGACAGAAATCCACAAAACACTATTTTCGATATAAAAAAACTTTTAGGTTTATCATATAACGATTCACTTTTACAGGTAAGTGAAACAACAACACAAACAATAGATAGATGGATACATACAAACAAATGTTAACATCATCCTACCCCTAAATTTTCAAAAAAAAAAAAATACAATCTGTATAGAAAGAAATTAAAAAATTACCATTTAAAGTATTGGATGGGGGTGAAGATAAACCGGTTTCAGTGGAAGTACAATTTCGTGGAAAAACAACTTTGGTGACACCGGTCGAAGTAGCTTCGCTGATTCTCTCACAGATAAAGATTACCGCTGAAAACTATGTTGGTTTGCCGGTGAAGCGTGTCGTTATTACGGTGCCGTCAGAGTTCTCAGAGGCACAGCGTCGTGCCATTAAGGAAGCCGCGCAGATGGCCGGTCTGACAGTGGTGCGTTTGATCAGTGATCACTCGGCGGTCGCACTGGCCTATCAACTCGACCAACAGGATCAACCGCTGAAAGTGATGATTTTCGATCTCGGTGGAACGGGTCTGTCGGTGTCGGTACTGTCCGTAGCCAATCGTACTATCTCCACTCTCTCCAATGTCGACGATCACTCGTTGTCGGGCGAGGCATTCGACCAGGTACTGCTGCGTCATTTGTCGTCGGAGTTCTCGCGTAAATACAGAGGTTTGGATTTGACAGAGAGTGCGCGTTCCGTCTCAAAGTTGAAGAGTGCATCCGAGCGCGCCAAAAAGAATCTCTCGAATATGACACAGGCATCGATTGAAATGGACAGTCTGTACGACGGACGTGACTTTTTCACGAGTGTGAGTCGTGCCAGATTCGAGGATTTGGCTGGCGACTTGATTCGTGGATGCAAGCGCACCATCGAGTCGGCACTGCAGCAGTCGCGCGTCGCCAAAGAACAGATCGATCGTATCATTCTGGTGGGTGGAGGATCGTCGATCCCTTCGGTACAATCGGTGGTTACCAGCTACTTTGGCGCAAAGGTCGAGTTGCTGCGTTCGATTTCACCGGAGGAAGTGGTTTGCTATGGTGCTGCGATTCAGGCAGCGCTCTTGCAACAACACGGTTCATCGCTGCCCGACAAGAAGGTGGCCACCGGTTTGCCACTCCCGATCGATGTGATCGAGTCTACCATCGGTATTGAAGATGCCTCTGGCAACATGATCCCTATCATAGCGGAACAGACCAGAGTACCAGCAAAGAGAGTATTTTCATTGGTCAACGATCAAGACCAACAGAAACACATTCATCTCTCTGTTTATCAAGGAAATGCACCAACAACAGCCCAATGTAAATTGATTGCCAGATTTATTTTCGATATTACACCAGCTCCTAAAGGACAATCTAAAATTCAAATTAAATTCGAACTTGAACCTTCAGGTGTTTTAGTAAGTAAACAAAAAAAACATTCAATTCTACAAAAAAATAACTAACCTAACTAACTAAATTACTATTTATTATAGATTGTTACTTCAGGTGAACAGACTTATCAAATAAAATTTGATAATTAAATAAAGAATAATAATAATAATAGTAATTAATTCTATCCTCCAACTATTTTTATATCAAAGACAGCAATCTATTGCTTTTTATAAATCTTTTCAAATAGATGTTCGATTCAACAGCTTCATATTACAAATTGTGATTTTAAAATAATAGTGGATAGTATTATAGGTCTAGTCAGGTCGATATTAAAATTGTCTTTTTGAATTGAATATTATTAACATGAAGCAGGAACAGAATTAAAGAGTTATTGTCGTTATGATTATTTAGATGTGTTTGGATAATCACTTAAAAATTATAAACATATTTGATTTATTGAAAAAAGTAACAATGTTCAATTGAATACTGAATTTTAGAGCAATAATCAATTGTTATTGATATCAATAAACTTGTCTACGGTGTTCTTATTTATTTGCTAGCAAGTTTTACAAAAGATTAATCCAACAAACAACTTTTATGAATTTTGTTTTTTTTTTTTCTTAATCAAAATATATTTATTTTAAAGAAAAGAAAAGTAATAACTACTATAACTTTTAAGTATGATAACACCAGGAGGATCAACTAAATCTACAGAGAATGATTCTAAAAAGTCAAAGAGAAAGTGGGTTCCTTCAAGGAATCAGTTTGTAGATAGTAGCAGTAGCAATTGGAGACAAAACGATCCAAACTACAGAGATCGTGCACAGGAACGTAGAAAGGGAAATGAAGATCAACATAAACCTATCGGTTTAGATTTCAAACAGCTTGCAAAAGATCGTGAAGTTTTAAAACAAAATCAACAACAACAACAACAAGAAGAAGAAACAAATAATGAATCACAAACTAAAAGTAATAATAACAGTGTAAAACAGAGAAATAGTAATGATAGACATGATGACGTCGATTCAACTACAAAGAAACAACTAAAGTTAAACTCACAGCTTGCTCAAAATATATACAAGACTATTCAGTATGTCGAAATGGTAAAGTCGAATCAAGTGAAGAGCAAACAGTCGTTAAAGAAAACAGAGAACTTTCTGCCTGGCAGAATGTCGTACGTCTTTGATCTAGATTCTCATTTCTCACAATATCTACCAAATACATCAATCTTTAGTAAAGATGATTGTCCTCCACAGGGAGTAAGTTGGTTACAATAAACAAATATATCATCATCTTTATACATACTAACAATCTCTTTTATAATTACAGGAATATATATCATGTAAAATAGATACATCTATTACAAAGAAACTTTCAAAGTTATTATCACCAAATGAACATCAAAATGATAATGATAATAATAATAATAATAATAGTAGCAATAATGAGAATAATAATAAAACAACAAAACAGACAGAGAAGTATGAATCAGATGATGAGTAAGTATAATTATAACTTTAAATAGGTAATAATGATTAGTTGAACAAGTTTATTAACAAACTTTTAAAAATAGTATCTTTTCAGATGCAGAAGAGTATATTTGTGAGAAAAGTACTAGTTCAACTACAACCAACACAGCGGAAAGTAAGAGAGAAAACTATTTTAAGAGTGAAAAGAGTGAATCGTTGTATCCAATGTTTAGCAATGAAGAAGAGGATGCTGATAAAAGAGATAGAGATGATGATGATGATAAATCAAATGATGTACAAGGTCCGTCAAGTTACAAAGGTCACTACGATGAAGATGATGAAGAAGCATATCCAGATACTGATAGAAACTATGATAATAATAATAATAATGATGATGACGATGAAGAAGCATACCCTAATACAGACCAGAATTATGATAATAACTATAATGATGATGAAGATGAAGAAACATATCCTGATACCGATCATAACTACCAAGATAATCGTTCACCAGTACATTCATCATCATCGGATTCGGATTCAGAACCAGAGTTTGAATTACCAGAATCATTTAAAAGAAAAATGGATGATGGATATTCTGATGTTTATCAGTATGTATTTGAAAATTTAATATAATATAGATAAACTGTGTACTAATCTATTTATTTGTTAATCAATTTCACACATTACAATAGATCATATGAAGGTTTCCAAAACAAAATCGGTGAGAAATCAAAAGAATTGGATTTACTTAAAGATTCATTAAAAGAAGAAAAGTATGTTTATATTTATACACACACTCAGTTGATTTAACTAGTTATAAACTAATAATTATTATTGTTTTTATTTAGACCTTCAAAGAAACAAAAAACAAAAAATATTGATGGTAAAATCCAGAAACAATTGTTTCAAATCGATAAGGTTATGAAAGAGAATGCAAAGAAAGAAGGTGCAAAATATTTTAATGTTCTGGAAAAAAGAAAACAAAAAAGAAAACAAAAAAGAAAACAATAAAAAATGAAATGATCATCATCGTTTTGTAAATATTTATAAATTTTATTAAATCTAAAGTTTATCTTCGTATTCATGTTTCTCATTCTCTTTCTCATCTTCTTGCTGGTTATCATTGATATCGGTTGATTCCCAGTTTCTGATGTCTCTGGCAGTGATTGAATGTCTTGGATTCTTACTGTGATCGAATACATTGATACCTCCTTTCACCGGGGAGCTGGGGTCTTCCGATGGATCGATAATCTTCACCTCTTGAGTAGTGCTACTGAATGGAACAGGTTCTGGTTCGTTTGGTATAACGTTGGAAGCTCTTGTTTGCATTTCAATTGGTGATGGAATAGATCTTTTCTCTTCAGTATCCTTCTTTCCAATGATTTTAGCTTTCTTCAATCCGAAGATTCCACCTCCAATTATTAAACCAACTGCTGCAGCTCCACCAACTGCAATACCTGCAATGGCACCTGCTGAAAGACCAGAAGCGGCAGCAACAGCTGGAATAACTGCATGACTTGGATTTGGAATATGTCCAGTATATTGTGAAAGGAATTCAGAAGATGGGATATCCGAAAATTGATTTAAAGAAACTAAATTATTAAAAAAAAAATTATTAATAAATATTTTTAATCAAATTATTTATTTGTTTTTTCTTACATTTTAATGTGTCTGCATTTGGATAGGATACAACTGGAGCAGCATCAAGAAGAGTTCTTTGAACTCCACCAGCTCCTTCATCATAAGTTAAAAGCATATCACCTCCTGAAATAGCTTCATTTCTTTTGGCAATATCAATTGCATTTTCCTAAATTTAATTTGTTAATAAAATAATATTTTAAAAAAACTTTATTAAATTTTTAAATATATACCTTCCACGATTGAAATTTACTTTGCATATCACCAGATGTAAAATGAATATCATAGTTTATCATCCAATTATTGAATGCTTCGAATAAGACTTCATCTGAAGGAACTTCTTGAGACAGAGATCCTTTGGAGAAGTTTAATAGTACAATGAATAAAAATATAGATTTTAGAAATAATTTCATTTTATAAAATTGTGTTTTTGTGTTTTGTGTAAAAGTATAATATATATATATTAAAAAAATTAGATTGATTAAATATGTGGTGGACTATTTAAACTAGTTTAACAAATATATTTTTATATTTTTTAAAGTAAACAAAAAATAATATTCAAAATTAAACTTTAACGTTTTATCTTCACGATAACAATGTCGATAGAATTAGTTGGTGAAAAAACCGTTTAAAGGTGGTACAATAATACCATTTATAATAAATTAAAAATTATTTGAACTGGAAGGAACTTTGTTCGAATTTCCTATAATAATATGAATTGGTATTGGAAATTTAATCCAATCAAAATAGGTGATGGATCTCAAAAAAAAAAAAAAAAAAGAAATGGTGTTTCCAAAAATAAGTTGAAAAAAAAAATCAAAACTCCCAAATCGGTTGGAAATTAATTTTTTGGTTTTGTTTTTTTTTTTTGTCATACCCAAATGTTTTGGTTTTATAAGATCTTCATACCCTATCCAAGACCGTTTATTACCAATTTGAATTTCAATCTTTTTTGAATATATTGGTTTTCCAGAAGGTCCAACTAATATAATGAATATAGAAAAAAACAAAGAAAAACAAAAAAGTTGGTCCTTGTTTTTTTTTTGTTAAACTCACAAAAACCACAAGTTCAAGTTATTAAAATCATGTTGTCTAAATCCATGGTTATTATTTGAAGAAAAAGAAATTTTAATTAAAATTAATTTTATAAACTGTCTATTCAGGACATCCAGTTAATTATATAATCGAATATATTTAAGTTAGGTTTTTTTGTTTTTACTACTTATAAATCTTATAAATTATCTTTTTTTTATTTATTATTATAAATTTATTTTTAAAATTATACAATGTATTATAAATTTTTTATTTTTTCTATATTTGTATTATTATACTCTTTACAAGTCAATGCTGGACTTGATAATAATCAAATAAATAGAATTCAACAAATTCACAACCAATGGAGATCCAACCCGAATCCAGCTGCCAAAAGTTCCGTTCCCCAACTTCAATGGAGTCCTACCATCGCTGCCACTCTGCAACAACACGCAGATAAATGCAATGGACAGTTTAGTCCAAACGCATTACACAGTGTTAATTCAGAGTGGTTGGTTTCTTCAATGTATAATTTCAATTTAGAGGATGTAAGAATTAAATCTTTTTTAAAAATTAACAAATTCGAAATAAAATTATATTAATATAAAATAATTCTATAGACAATGAATAATGTATATAATAGTTATCGAGATTATGACTGGAATAGCAAGTCCTGTAAAGCTGGAAAGTCATGTCTCTATGCTGTTTCAATGTGGTCAAAGAGTCAACAATACGGATGTGCTCTGTCAAAGTGTGGAAATACTTATAATTTCTTCTGTGACTATTATCCAGCCGGTGGATACAAAGGTGTTACACCATATGAAATCGCTACTACCACTGCGTCACCACAACCAACTACTGCTCCACCAACACCAAAGCCAACTACTGCTACACCACAGCCAACAACCAGCCCAGGATCTGGAGGTGTTCAGCCTGTTAGAGGACCAGGTGGTACTGTCGATTGGACATCGTGGATGACACCAGTCAGACAACAAGGTTCTTGTGGAAGTTGTTGGTCATTCTCTGCGCTTGGTAACGTCGAAGCGTATGCCGTCATCAACGGCGGTGCCAATAAGGACACAATCAATCTCTCAGAGCAACAGTGTGTAAATTGTCTATCACCAGGCTGTGTCGGTGGTTGGTTCGGTACCGTTTGGCAAAGTTTCCAAGGATCCGGTGTCAACTACGAGAATGATGTTCCATACACTGGATTCGTTGGACAGTGTCGTCAACCAAGTGGAAACACCTTCAAATGGAAAGGTTACAACTTTTTGAGAGATACTCAGACAGCGACTATTGTTGCACAACTCCAGAATGGACCTGTATCCGTTGGAATGATGGCCGATGGACCATTGTATGGCTACAGTGGTGGAATCTATTCTTGCCAATCGCAATACAACTCACAGAACCATGCCGTACTGATCGTCGGTTACAACTCCGCACAAAACTACTGGATCATTAAAAATACCTGGGGATCAGGCTGGGGTGAATCAGGTTATTTCAGACTGACAAACAATAATGATAATTGTTTCGTAAAAGGATTTTTAGGTGGATATGCAATTGTTTAAAATTAATATAATAAAATATAGTCAAAAATAAAAAATAAAAAATACAAATATAAATAAAAAATAATAATTAATTTATTATTTAAATAAAAAAAATGAATGTCAGATCAATAATCATGATCATTAATTTTTTGAGTGAGTTAGTGAAAAAAAACAAAAACACAGTTTTTGTTGAAAATTAATTATCATTTCACCAAAACCATGTTTAAAAAGTATGTTTATAGTTTATCGAAATAGATAGATATAAAGTATTATCGATCATCTCAAATCGATTGTTAGATAACATAGTATTAATAAATGTGGTCATAACAATAGGTTATCTATTAAAGGAAACTCTTCCTCGAGTGCACAGATTAAATCCTCTTTACAGAGAAGTATAAAAAACTCGATTCTTACAGAATACCCATCACTTACAGAGATTCAAGATGAAATATTCCCAAAAAAAGTACCAATTGTTCAAGTTAAATGGTAACTATCATTAGGTTTTTGATCATTTAAAACTTTCTTTTTACTTATTTTATGATATATATTTACTACTACTATTGACTAGTCAAGGAAATATCAATTTAATTTTAATTAATAATGAAGTAATATTTTTTAATGAAAAAGATGGACCATACTATCCAACTTTGCGTTTCTTACACAAATGTAAGTAAAGCTTTACAATTTAAGCAGAACACTATTAGAGCATTTACTTATTTACACTAAACCAACAACAACAACAACAACATCATCTATCTACCTATATAGATCCAAACATTATGCCCCAACTTCAAGTAGATAGAGGTGCAATCAAGTTTGTTTTACAGGGTGCAAATATCATGTGTCGTGGTCTGACATCACCAGGTGCTAGAATGGATGTCGATGTACCAGAGGCATCTATTGTCGTAAGTTTTTATTACTATGAATCAGTCAGTCGATATCGACCAATCAATTAATCTCATTATTACTCATACTCATTAGGCAATTATGGCAGAAGGAAAGAAACATGCATGTGCAATTGGATTAACAAAAATGTCAACACAAGATATGTAAGTTTGATAATGATAATAATGCTATACTACTATACATCTATATACAATACATATATATATTGTATTGTATTATATTGTATTGAAGCAAAACAACAGTCGAATTCGAATCATTTTTACATTTACTAACAATATTGTTATTCATCTTTTACTATACATAGTCGTACCATTAACAATGATATTGGAGTTATCAATATTCATTACTTGGGTGATAGTTTATTCACATCTCCAACACTAGAGTGACGCATTTTTTAAATAAATAAATCTGAAATCACACACACAAACACAGGTTTATATAGACACTCACCCAATCTATCATCTTATTTTCATTTGTATGAAATGAATGAATACATTATACAATATCTATCTTGGACGTAGATAGATTCATAAGACTCCTAATTGTTTGTAACTTTATCATTTAATATATTTTGTTTTTATTTTTATTGTTGTTTTTTTTTTAAACTGACTAATATAGACAGAGTGATACATATGGTGTTGTTGTTGTTGTTATTGTTATTGTTGTTGTCAGCACACACCAAAATAGTTTTTTGTTTGTAGGTGTGTTACTACATACTCCCATACAACACACACACATTTCACAAACAACACAACAACACATACACTCACACAGAACTATTTACTTTTCAAAATCAGAAAAATGTGATGTATTATCATCATATTAATATAGTTTGAAAGAAAACTTTAGAAAAATAGAATAAAAACAATAGTGCACATATAAATAATAAAACATGGTTTATTTTTAACACTTCTTTCTCTCTGGTTGTTACTACTCTCACTATATATAGTGTTAAATAATATCATGTCTATTTCTTTTTTTGTTTTGTTTTGCTTTTGTTTTGTATTGTTTATTAATATTAAAATTATTTTATTACTTTAATATAATAATAGAACAACAACAACAACAATTTTTTGTTATTGTTAATATATTTGTATTTTGTTTATTTTAATTGTTTGAATTGTTTGAAATTGATTTGATTGTCTTGTCAAATCTTATATTACATTTATATTATTTACATTACATTTACATTTACATTTATATCTATATCAAACTATTATTATTATTATTAATAATTTTCAATAGTAATCGTAGTAGTTCTATTTTATGAGATTTATAGATAGAGTATAATCAAATCCTATTTTATATAAATATATATATAGTTTGTTTAATTGTTGTAAATAACAAGAAAACAATAACAATAACAACAATTTTAAGATGAATAATTCAGCAAGTTGGTTACAGGATTTCTTCTTGGGCGAAAAACTGCAGGACGAAAAGATATTTTCTATTTTTAGCGCAACCTATTTCAACCAACAGAGTTATGTTTTTGGTAATTGGAATAATACTATCAATAGTCATAGCAACAGCAGTAATAACAGAGTTGAAAGTAGTATAAATAGTAGTAGCAGTAGCAGTAGTAGTAGTTCTAGTAGTTCTTCATCATCTACATCAGTTGCTGCGACAACAACAACATCGTCGACTACCAACAATTTATCAACAACTTCATTATCATCTTCAACGTCAACACCAACATCCACATCATCAATAGCAGCACCAACAACATCAGCAACCGCAACATCTATAGTAACAACAACAGTACCTTCAACCTCTACAACCTCATCCTCCAGCTCTACAGTGACAACCAATATATTTACAAATCCAATTAAAACACCATTCAAACTAGATCATTCAACAAGTGTAAACATCCATAACTATAATTATAATTATAACTATAACTATAATCATCCTGGTGTTAAATCAAATAACAATAATTTTAATATCAATAGTAATAATAATAATAATAATAATAATAATAATAACAATAGTAGTAGTAGTAGTTCTCTATCTTCAAATACAAATGTATCAAATTCAATCATTTCACCTAGAGATAATATAAAAACAATAACAATTGAAAGTAATGATAATAGCAATACAAACAATAATAATAATAATATAGTAATAGAATCAAATAAAATAAATAATGTAGTAAATATATTATCAACAAGTAGTAATAGTAGTAATAATAGTAGTCCAACTCCAGCGAAACTATCGATTGAATCAATACCAGAGGAAAGAGCATCGAGTGTTGGATCGACTCATTCTAATCACTCATCGAGTTCGTCATTGTCATCGTCATTCTCTTCGATTGGCTCGACGTCATTTGTGCAACCGATTTCACTGTCTTCACCCAACAGTCTACTGAAACCGAATGAAGCATTGTTTTCCAATCAGAAAGTACTCTTGAAGATCATCAACATCAAGTATCCATCGGTCGAGGTGGTATCGCTCTTCCAACGTGAGTATGCAATACTCTCGTATCTCAGCAACATCGACGGTGTCATGCGAGTGATACGCGCACAAACCGAGCTCGGCAACATATTTGCATTCATCCTCGAGGATCAGGGATACAAACCGCTCACCTCGGTGTACTCGACGCTCGGGCCGTCGACACCGACTTCGCTCGCCGCCAACAATCCAAACTTTGTCTCGGCGATCTCCTCCAATTTTTCAACGTCCTCCACCTCCTCCAATTCATCGACTTCGTCATCGTCGTCCTCCTCAACTTCTGTCGCTGCTGCTGCGGCTGCTGCGGCCGCGACACTCAGCAGCCAGATTCCGCAGACTTTCTCACTCTCACCGCACACACCCAACTCCTCGCCGGCAATCAAACAGGCGACACCACAATCGGCAAGTCCATTGTTTTCATCGAATTTGAAGTATCAAGATATCGATTTCAACACATTCATCTCGATTGCCATTCAACTGGCATCGATCCTCGAGGAAATACACCTCAGAGGATGTATCCACAGAGATGTTCGACCATCAAATATCTACATCAACTCCAACAACAGTGTTCGACTGGCAAACTTTCAGTATTCAGTATTGAAAGTACCGAACAGTCAATCGATCGACAGTTCACTACTCTACCTCAAAAACTATCCGGAAATCGGACGATACAACACCACCTCCTATTATTATTCACCACCAGAGGAAACCGGTAGAACTCAACATAATGTTGATTGTAGAGCAGGTAAGCAATTTAATAATCAACAACAACTGTTTAACAAACTAGCTAACTAACAAACTAACTTGATTATAGATCTATATTCTCTGGGAGTTACATTTTACGAATTATTAACAGGTAGATTACCATTTCAAACCAATGATCTCTCTGAATTGATACATGCACATTTCGCAAAGAAAGCACCATTTGTATCTGATATCAATCCAAACGTTCCATTTAGTAAGTTGCAAGTTGTTTTTTTTTTTTGGGTTTATTTCAACCAATTCTAATTTTATTGTTTATTTTATTTAGTTATATCAAATATTGTAGATAAATTATTAAAGAAATCACCAGATGAGAGATATAACAGTGCATATGGTCTAAAGAGAGATTTGGAGATATGTAAATTTCAACTTAGTTCCAATTATAATACTGAGGATTTTGTATTGGGTGTATATGACGTATTGCATCGTCCTCATATTCCAACAGATCTCTATTCAAGAAAGAATGAATTAAATTCAATAGTAAGTTTAAACAATAGCTATTACTTTATGGTTTGATTATATATTTACATTGCTTTTGTTAAAAAACAAAACAGTTTGTATCAATTGGTAGAGTTTGTAAAGGTAATAAAGAGTTGATATTGGTATCGGGTCATTCAGGTGTAGGAAAAACATCGTTAATCAACGCAGCAAAGAAAAAGTCACCACCAGGTCCCAGGTTTATCTCTGGTAAATTTGATCAATACAATAGAGGTGTTCCTTATAGTGCAATCATCGAAGCGTTGAATGAACTGATACATCTAGTGTTGGTATTGAGTCCGATGGAGTTGGCATTCTACAAAGAGAAACTTCACCGAGCACTCGGTCCCAACATCGGTGTTATCGTCGACGTCATGCCAGCACTCGAGCTAATCGTTGGATCCTATCCACCGGTGCCATCACTTCCACCCTCCGAATCACAAAACAGATTCGATCTGGTATTCAAAGATTTTCTACGTGTCTTCTCAGAGGAAGGACATCCTTTAATTCTATTTTTAGATGATTTACAAGTATGTAGAATTATTATAATCAATAACCAATAGCATATCCATAAACACAAATGAAACTAATATTATTATTATCATTTACTTAGCGTGCAGATGAAGCATCTTGTAGATTAATTAGGTTGTTGTTGGATAATAATAATTTGAAATACTTGTTGATCATTGGTGCTTTCAGAGAGAATGAACCGATCAGTGCGAAATCTATTGAATTGTTGATCAACGATGACTCTATTAGAATACCTATAACAAAGATCAATTTGAAAGCACTCGATTTGAGCGATGTCAATCTGATGGTATCGACATCACTACACAAATTACCGAAAGAAACTGTTTCACTGTCAGAGGTGGTACTCTCAAAGACCCATGGTAATCCTTTCTTCACCATTCAGTTCCTAAAGACACTGTTCAATGAAGATCTACTCTATTTCGATGTCAATGTCGATAGTTGGAAATGGGATATCACTAAAATACAAAAAAGACAATTTACTGATAATGTTGTTGAGTTTATGGTTGGGTAAATATCAATAGTTATAACTATATCTATTCATTCATTCATTCATATATATACTAATTATTATTATTATTTAGTAATTTACAACAATTAGGTTTAGAATCACAAAGAGTATTACAATTGGCATCTTGTATTGGTAATATATTTGAATTGGATATGCTATCGATCGTAGCAGAGTGTTCACCCGAAGAGACTTTGAAGCTACTTACACCAATCATAGCACAAGATCTCATTATGAATACCGAGGACAAAAAGTATAGATTTGTTCACGACAGAGTTCAACAGGCTGCCTATTCACTTGTGTTCTTGGGTAAAGACAAGAAAGAGATACACTTGAATATCGGTAGATTACTATATCAATCAGCATTGAAAGATCAACAAACTTCAAACATATTCGATATTGTAAATCAATATAATGTTGGAATAGATTGTATGTATACAATAGATTACTTAAAAACAAAAGCAACATCAATCAATCTAATTCCTTTGTTTCTTATTATCTTTTCTTTTTAGTGGTTGTTGAAAGTAGTGAAAACTATCTTTATCGAAACTAAATTATCAAGCCGGTAAGAAAGCAAAGTTGTCTGCCGCCTATTCTATTGCCAATTGCTATTTGGATTGCGCTGTGAAAACAATGAATCTGGAGAGTTGTTGGACGGAACACTATCGCACGACCTATGAAATTTTCTTTGAGAAATCAGAGTGTGAGTTTATGTGTGGAAATATCGATGAATCAGAGAGAATACTGGAAATGGTCATCGAGAGATCAACCAATTCCGAAGATAAAGGTGAAGCGATAGCACTGAAGATTCAACAATACACCCTGCTATCAAAGTTCAACGACTGCGTTGAGAAAGGATTGGAATACTTGAATTCACAAGACATCCTAATCGAAAGAAAACCCACCGAAGCATCACTACGCAGGGAATACGAAGAGATCAAGCTAAAGTTGGGTGGAAGATCATTCCTCGATTTGTTGAATGTCAAAACTGTACCACCTCCAACAACTTGTGTCTGTGTAAAGGTGATTGGTATCATGATAGCTCCGCTTTTCTTCACTAATATTGCACTTCTCAGTTCAATTCTGCTCAAACTCGCTGATATTTCCATCACTGATGGATGTTCCTCGTGGAGTTCAGTTGGTTTAGTTATGTTTGGCATCATGGTTTGTGTGGGAAGATTCGATGATTTTCAAGTCGGCTATGAAGTTGGCAAACTAGCAATGGAGCTCAAGGAAATCCACAACGAACCGTCGACCAAAGGCAAAGTTACATTGTTGTTTGGTAACTTTATTAATCACTGGAAAGCACACATGTCTACCAATGGTACGCTGATTAAGCAGGCATTCCTCGAAGCAATAGAATCCGGTGATATGGGATACGGTTGCTACAGCAGTGTACACTTGCTGTTCCAAAGCATTCTGGCTGGACATCCACTTGTGGAGATCTATGCACTCTGCAAAAAATACAAAGCTTTCATTGAGCAATACAACTTTGTGCCAATGTTGAGAATCGCACAATCGCTGCAGCAACTGCTGCTGGAATTCGTTGGACAAGAGAGTCTGGAGGATGAATCCGTCAAGGAGTGGGACGAGGCATCGTTCGAAGCCGATCTCGACACCATTGAAATCGAATGTCCAAAGGGATTTCACTATGTTTTCAGACTGCAGGGATTCTATATCCTCGGACAATACGATCGTGCTTGGCGCGCTGCACTAATGACCGAGCGATACATAATGGGTATCTATGCGCACAGTCCAATGGCATCTTACTATTGTTTCAAGTGTTTGACGATAATGGCATTGTTTGAGGGTTACGACGAAGCAGAGAGAATAGAAAAACTCGACATTGTATCGCATTGTCTGGAGCGGCTGGAGATATTCGCTGCACACAGCTTTGAGAACTTTGGTTTGATGGTCTACATTGTCAAGGCAGAGTTGGCAAGAGTTTCCAAGCGATATATCGATGCGATGGAGTTGTTTAATGAAGCGGTATCCGCTGCTCAAACTCACAAGTACGTACAGTTTGAAGCGCTGGCGAATGAGTTGGCCGGCAGAATGTATGTGTCGCTGAAGAAGATGGCGGTGGCGCGTGCCTATCTCCTGGAGGCGCAACACTGCTATTCAATGTGGGGTGCCAACGTCAAGTCGACCCTACTGGAAATCGAATTCCCATCGATTCTTAATCCCATCTCTGGTAGGGCACCAATCTCACAAGGCACCAAACACTTCCTACAGAATGACAGCTGTCCAACCAACATCGAACCACGACTCTCCATTCGAAGAAGATCACAAGATGTCGGTGGAAGTTCAATTCATGGCACCAGCAACAAAAACATCATTAAATATCCACAGGTCGATGCTTTCGATCTATGTTCAGTCATCACTGTTTCTCATTCTCTGGCAGAGGAAATCTATTACGACCGACTACTAAAGCGCTTGATGAAAGTGGTAATAAGAAATGCCGGTGCATCCAGAGGATTTCTGCTGTTGCTGGAGGACAGTAACAAAGAGCTGTTCCCAAACAACAACAATATGTTTGGTGAGCTGAATGTTGCTGCATCGGCCTGTGTCACCGGTGAGAAGGTAGCAGTGGAGGTCTACATCAACAGCAATAGGAGTTCCGACGACAATACACTGGTTCAACAAAACTCGGTGATGGCTGAAAACAGTCCAGCCATTATATCGCCAATCTTGAAGAGTTGCTCACAAAACGAGAGTTTCAACAAAGCGATTCGTGACGATGGAACATGGAACCTCTGTGTTTCAATGATAAACTATGTCAGAAGAACACAGTGTCCGCTGCTCATTGCAAATGCATCCGAGGAAAAGACATTCTGTGACGACAACTATGTGAAACTACAGAACCCGAAATCCATTTTGGTGTTACCGATTGTCCATCAAGGTAAATTGGTATCGATGCTCTATCTGGAGAATAATTTCACCACCGGAGCATTTACAGCGAATCGTCTTGAGGTTCTCAATCTACTGTCCACTCAGATTGCAGTGTCATTCCAGAATGCTCGGCTATTCCTCCAGTCTAACCACTTGGCAAATCAGGCATTCCTCGCCAAAGAAGAAGCGGAAAAGGCAAACAAAGCGAAATCCGACTTCATTTCAAATATGTCGCATGAAATGAGAACTCCACTCAACCATATCATTGGATCATTGGAACTTCTAAAGGAATTCCCGTTGACAACCGACCAAAAGGAACTGTTAAACATCAGTCAACAATCATCAGAGTCGCTCTTGTTTATGGTTAATAACATTCTGGATCTCTCCAAGGTGGAACAAGGTAAAACAGTACTCAATCTATCGATATTCAATTTAGTTTCATTCTTGGAGGATTCAATTGGTGCCATCGCTCCAAATGCACACCAAAAAGGTTTGATGGTTGGTCTCTACAGTACTCCATGCTCGTCGTCTATCCCAGTGATTGGCGACGTCAATCTGCTCCGTCAGATTCTAGTGAATCTACTCTCGAACGCCATCAAGTTTACCAGTAAAGGTGAAGTGTTTATCAAGGTATCAGTTTCACCGAATCTCAACAATACTTCATACTCTACTCAGATCGAAGTGACCGACTCTGGCATTGGCATTAAACCAAAGGATTTCGATAAGCTGTTCCAGCGATTCTCTCAACTCGATACCGGAGTGAATAGAGCATACGATGGAAGTGGACTTGGACTCAGCATTTGCAAGCAGCTCGTCGAACTGATGGGTGGACACATCGGAATAAGAAGTAAGATCGGTGAAGGTTCGATATTCCACTTTACTATCGATCTGTCGAAACCCCCGAGAGAAGAAGTCATACCCAATAAGGAATTGCTTCTCCACCAGGAAGATACCAATGTTATCATTCTCGAAGACAACACTATGATACGTAATCAAATAGAACAAATCATTGAATCGTTCGGTGTCATCTCTGGAAGTAGTACTTTTACAAACACCAATCTCTCACAGTATCTCTCAATGGATGAAATACTTATCAAGAACAACAACATCGTTATCATTGGACTTCCGCTCAACTACAACGAAGATCAGGTGTTGAGTTTGATTGAAAGTATCCAGCAAATCAAAGAGAAGTACCACAAGGTAGTGGAAATAGGTGGAGGAAATAGAAATCGATTCGATTTCATTGTGATCACGCAATTGGCTTTGACCAGCTCACGTTCAATACTCCAGGAATCCGGTATTCTACTGGTGAACAGACCCATCAAGAGAGACAGTCTACTCAATAATATTATCAAGATTATCGAAAGCTATCAAATAACATCACCATCGACACTCAAGTATACTAAGAGATTGATGAAATCACCACAACTCATTCGAAGTATTAACGCCGACGACTATAACGAGATGAAAAGTCTGTGGTTAGACCTCCAACAACAACAGCAACAACAGCAACAACATCAACAACAATCAGCTGTGGTGATGAAACAATATCAAGAGAAAGAGAAATCATTCCCACCAACGCAATCAAAGAATCTATCACCAACGAAAAACGGTGTCATCTCTCCACCCTTTAGGAGATCACCTACTATTTCACCACATCGTCGAGCACCACAGATACTGGTGATAGAGGACAACGAAGTCAATTCCAATATACTCTTTAAGATGCTACAAAAGATGGGTATCACCAGTTTGGATCTGGCATCGAACGGTGCCGAAGGTGTAGAGAAAGCATCAAACATTGACTACGATCTGATACTGATGGACATACAAATGCCAATCATGGATGGCTACGAAGCAACAAGCAGAATACGTAAATCAGAAGGAACATTCAAGCATACCCCAATCGTAGCAATGACCGCCAATGCCATGGGAGGACAGCGAGAGGCATGTCTACAAGCTGGTTGTGATGATTATTTCTGTAAACCACTCAAACAAAAGGATTTAGAAGGAATGGTTAGAAAGTATCTACAAAACCTTTATATCAAATAATACTATTGCACGCAAAAAAAAAAAAAAAAACAAATAAAAATTAAAAAAAAATTACAAACAAAAAAAAAACGACAAAAATAGTCGAATGAAGATTTGATCATTTTTAATTCAAATCATTTAATTTAATTATATGATAATCATATATAATTATATCAATATATATATATAGATGAATCAAATAAATATTATTCAAAAGATATCACCTAGTGAAATATATTTTATTAAACAAGGTGTAGAATGTGGTGTTAGATCAGATGGGAGATCTCGATTGGATTACAGACACTTTGAGTTGGATGTCGGTGAGATTGCACATGCTTGTGGTTCTGCAAGAATACTACTGTCGAATACACATGTACTCGTTGGTATCAAAGCGGATATAGGTGCACCAACTACCGACAAACCAAACAGCGGTGTTTTAAATTACTCGGTGGAATGCTGCCCTTCTGCATCGCCAGAGTTTGAAGGTAAGGGTGCAGAGCAATTGAATATAGAGTTGGCCAAGCAGCTGGAGAGAATGTTGGAAAACTCGCTGGATTTAGAGTCATTGGTTATCGTACCCGGTCGATACTGTTGGAATCTTCATATAGATGCAACGGTTTTGGATAGCGATGGTAATCTGTTTGACGCGCTCTCGATTGTAACTAGAGCGGCACTTTTTAATACAAGACTACCAACCATCAAAGTGGTACAGGGTGAACATGAACAAATTGAATTCGAAGTTTCGGAAGATTCCGATACCTATCAATCTTTATCAATTGAGAATGTACCAATATGTGTAACATTAACAAAGGTATGAATCAATCAATTAATATTAACTATAATATATAAATATATAAGTTTATGTTCAATTTAACTAATCCAAAAACAATACTTTGTTTAAACAACAACATAAAAAAGGTTGGAACACAATTTTTAATAGATAGTACTTTAGAGGAGGAGTTATGTATGGAAGCAAGATTAACTATAGGTATAAACAAGAAGAGTAATATATGTAGTATTCAAAAAGGTGGAATGAATGGTTTAGATGCAAATACAGTTAATCAAATGATAAACGTTGCAAAACAAGTTGGACTTCAGATTATAAAATCAATGGATCAATCATTAAATCAATGAATAAATTATAGAATCTTGTAATAAAATAGTAGAATGCGATTTTCCAAAAGTGAAGTGTATCTATTATTTTGTTTTATTTATTTTATTTTTTTATAGGTTAGCATGAAATAAAATTTGGTAGTTCTCTATTAAGTAATTACTGGTCTAAATGAATGAGAAGATCATAAAAATAGTGTTTGCGGGGACGTTACAACCTAGTCTTCTCGATAGTTTTAGTGTTGGAAGACTACAATTATTTAATAATTTGACTAATCAAAACTTTTCTATTTAAAATTGAAAATAGATAAAAAGAAATATAAATATTAAATTATGAGTGCAAAGATCAAAAAATTACTATCAAATCTTAAAATTCTGGACTTTGTTCCAAATTCTTAACTCTTTCTGAAACCGATCATTGTCACGAATTTTTCAACTAAATCTTTACAATAAGCAAAGTGTACACTTAAGAATTGCTTGATAATTATAATAACAACATTTCTTGTAAAGATATTTTATTTCATTCATTTCAAAATTTAAATCAAATGTAAAAAAAAAAACCAAACAAGATTGTAGATTTTATTTGAAATCCTTTGATATGTTTATAAACAAAAACTATCTTTAGATAGGCAGAAATAGAATATGAATAATAATAATAATAATAATAATAAAAACGATAATGATGCAAATTTATTTGTAAATCTATCTCACCTGTTATTGACAAAGATTACTGATAGATTGCGTGATAACATAGATAGAATTTGTTTAAGTTTAGTTTGTAAAAGATTATACAATGAAAGAAATAAATATCTTACATTTAATACAAGATTTATCAACTCTATCCATAAAGATAATACAAAGGAAATCTATTTAAATTCATACAAATCAATTTTAATCAACTCCTTCAATCAAAAAACAAATTGTACATTATTATATGGTAAATAAAAGAAATAGAATACAATGATCAATTAGTATAATAATTATTATTTTTTTTAGATAAACAAATGAATATTGATAAAATAGATTCAAATGTAATTCAAGTAGACTATGATTCCGACTTTTCAGGAAAACTAGAAGTTAATCAATCGATTTCAGAGAAACTCTATCAATTGATAGCTAATTCCAATGTAGTCAAACTGGTAGCGTGTCAAACACTGAGATATCAACTGCCATCGAATTTAATATCGCTAGAATTCGATCCACAATTTAATGAACCACTGGAGCCAGGTTTTCTTCCTCCAAATCTAAGGAAACTTAGATTTGGATTCAAGTTTAACCAAATAATCAAGCATGGTATCCTACCAAATAAACTGGAGAAACTAACACTTGGACAGGTGTATAATCAACCACTTGAACCAGGTGTATTACCAACGTCATTGAAAGTTCTTAAAATGACTGGTACCTCTTGGTTCGACAAACAGGATCTAAAAGTTGGATCGTTACCTCCAGCTCTTGAAGTGTTCCGTTACACTGGACATTCCTCAGAGTTCATCGAAGGTATACTACCTACTACCGTTCATACATTTATGGGTGTACCATTCTCATGGATTACCTCACCATTGTTCAAATCATATTGCAATCTAAAATCATTGACTGTTCGTCACTCACCAAGTAACCATCAATCTATTTTAGATTTACAAGTCATCCCTGCCTCCGTAACAAAGTTAATTATCTTTGATGACATTCATTTGAAATCAACGATGCCTCCAACAATCAAATATCTCGATATTACCTGTGCACAATATGATATCGATGAGATATTCAATGATCGATCGATCTATCATTTCGAAACTCTCAAAATCGGTGGATTCATACTGGATTCTCTTGAGAATATCAAGGTCGATCACTTACATCTTGCATTTAGAGATGAATACGAAGGTCAAGAGTTATTAAGAGATATACCAAATGCTATTAAAGTTCTAAGCTTTGACTATTGTATGGCCGAGATATTAATTCAAAGTGAGATACCAGCTTCAGTTAAAGTTGTTAAAATCGAAAACAATACAAAGTATAACCGCTTTGACTTTATACCAAATACACTTGAATCGCTAGTAATTAGAGATGACATTGGAACATCCTTTTGCAGTCTTCCAGAGCTAGTAAATCCTCTTACAATTCCAACAACCGATATATTAATTCCCAGAGATCTTTCAAACATCTGTTTCAAACAGATAAATGATCGAATCTTTGTAAGAAAACTTGATAGCTCCAACTATCTAGTCTTTGGTCAATCAAACAATCGATTCATTGGAGCATTCATCAACCAATCACAACTTTTAAATAAGTTTTTAATTAAATTAAAATAAAACTTTAAAAAGAGTCTTTAAAAGACAATTATAAATTTAAGTAAAAAAAGTTGTGGGTAGTCAAAGGATGGCGAAGAAGAAATTGAAATTTGTATTTAAAAATGACAAAAAACAAAAATGACCCATTGAGCTGAGTTAATTAAAAATTCTCAAGAGTTAATATTAGTCTGTGTAAAAATAAATAAACAACTACATTTTATCGTGAAATATAACTTATACATCCAATTTGGTTTTACAATTGTATTTAGTTGTAATCTAAGTTATAGAAACTTTAGTTTTTTATTTAAAAAAAAAAAGAGGAGGTTCCAATTAAAAGGGAACAAAAACTTTACAGTTTTAGTTGAAACTTCCGTCCGCATGCGGTAAGAACAGTGTAAAAATGTTGTGCAAGCTGGGAGATTCGAACTCCCGAACCTTGCGGACTAGAACTTGAGTCTAGCGGATTTAACCACTTTCCTAAGCTTGCTTTACAAGGTGAATTAATTTTTAAAAAAAATTTAATTTCTTTCTTAATAATTTGTTCAAGTACTGGTTATAAAGATAACAATTTTTTATTTTGCTTAACAATATAATAGATTGTTTCCTCTGACTTCCTTAATGTCCTTCTTATTTCTCTAATGATAGTCAGAAAAGAGAAAAGTTTAAATTAACTTGTACACTGTTGTTTGTATGAATCACATTAAAACAGATTGTTCAAAATGAACAATGAAAATATACTTCACAATTTTTCATTTCTATTATTAAAAAAAATAATCAACTATCTTACAGAGAACTTAGACAAGATCTGTTTTAGTTTAGTTTGTAAGAGATGGTTTAATGAGAAGGATAAATATTTATTATTCAACAGCAACAATATTACCAAGAGCAAAAGTATAGCATATAACAAACTTTTTGGTTTAAATTCTTATAATTATCAAATTGATAGCGCTAGAGAATGCAAATCAAACTGTTCTCTCTATATCTCTACTTTGGATGATGATTTAATCAATCAATCCTATGAATATGATTACTATTTAAATCATAGTAGGTCTATATAGATTATTTCAAATACTTTATCTATCAAATACTAATCATTGTTTTATATTTAGAATCTATTGGTAAAGAAATATTAAGATTCCCAGAAACAATTGTACGAATCTACTTTTCAAATGATTTCAATCAATGTATAGCTCATTATAAATCATTGTTTGAAAATTCAAATGTCAAAGAACTTCATTTTGGAAAGCATTTCAATGTGGCGATTCAACCCGGTTCTTTACTCAATGTAGAAACCATTGTATTTGGAAGCGACTTTCGACAGAACCTGGCGAGAAACTCACTACCACAAACCTTGAAAAAGATAAAGTTTGGATATAGTTTTCATCACAAGATAAGAGCAGATGTTCTGCCACCATCACTTGAATATCTATCGTTTGGTGATTGCTTTCATGAAACCCTAGAAGTGCCATTACCACCAGACCTTCGAGTTTTAAAGTTTGGAAAATTCTACGAGGAAACAGTTAGAGACGATGTTCTACCGCAAGGACTGTTGAAAGTAAGGAACTTTCCATATCCCTCAAGAGCGCTTTTACCAAGCTCAACCAAAACCATTAGCTTTTCTCAGCTGAGCGATACACCGTTCGAACCACAACCCGGTGATCTCTCATCAAACTTCACCTCGATTGACATCAAGAATATCTCACGTTATCTAATGCCAGGAGCACTACCACAATCTACTGTCAAACTTAAACTCGGTCAATACTTTAATCAGAATATCACTGTAGATCTCATCCCTAGATCAGTAGAGAAACTCTACTTGGGAGAGAGTTTCAATGTATCGATCAAACCAAATGTACTACCGAAATCACTCAAAGAATTGATATTCTCACCATTTTTCAATCGTACACTTCAACCGAAAAGCATACCGGAATCTGTCGAGTCGATCACTTTTAATGGGTTTTATTCTTGTTCTATTAAAGCAGATATTCTACCTGCAAGCGTTCGTCATCTGACTTTCAAAGCCGACAATTGTCTCTTGCAAAAACCTGGTATCATTCCAACGACCGTCAAATCAATGGAATTAAACAATCAGAGAATCAAAGAAGGTGTTATTCCGTTATCGGTTGAAACTCTTACCATTTCAATAGAGTTTTTCAAGTTTAACAAACTAAAGATAATACCTCTCACCATCAATACCATCATATTGAAATTGGAAGAAGATGTCAGATTCAATCTTAAAAGAATTGGTCAAACATCTTTTATTATCATGAGTGATCATTCATCAAGTGGTGCATTCATAAGTGATTCATTCTTTGAAAACTTTGAAAAAATGAAATCAATTTTAAATCTTTATAAATTAAAATCTATTTAAAAAAGATAATAAAGATTGAGTATTAATTACTAAATAACTAAAGAATAACTAAATTATTATTATTATTGTAAAAGTTATGATATTTATTCCTTTATTTTTAATTAAATATCAAACAAATAAATAAATAAAAAAAAGTAGGAAAAAAATTTAGAAAAAAAAGAAAAAAAAAAAAAAAAAAGTAATAGTATTGTTGTTGGTTGGTTGATGATAAAAACAACATTACTATTTTAAGATAATGTTGCTCTGTATAGTATAGTAGTATTGATATCCTACTCAGCCATTAAGATATGGTCGTTATTGGGTGCATGATGAAATACAGGTGGCGAATTTGTGTGAGCATTGATCGATGGCGACTTTAACTGATAGATCTCTTGCTTGAGCTTTTCAATGATATTCTGTTGTTGCTTGATGAGCACTTCCATCTCAGAGACCGAGAGTACTTGACCAAAGATTTCACTCTTCAAGACGTCGCTGGCTGCAGGTCTCTCATCGGGGTTGGTTCGCATCATCGATAGAATGAGTGCAGACTCCTTTGGGTAGGTCTTGGCAAATTGCTTTGGCAGGATGCCAGCTCTGAGCTCGGAGAGTACTCTTGCCTTTTCCATCTTTGTTGAGAATGGGTAGTAGAGTTCAAACAGGATGATTCCCAGACTGTAGATGTCGGTCTTTTCATTGTACAAGCCCTTCTTTTGCTCGGGACTGCTATAGGTCAGCGTTCCAACGGCGCTAGTATGTTTACAGTGCTCTGAGGAGCGACTCAGAGACGAGGTGAGCGAAGACGATGGTGTTGAGCTGAGTGGTGGTAGCTGTGGCTGTTGTTGAGTAGGTGTAGTGGTAGTAGAGTTGGATGACTGGTCAAGTGGTGCGCTTACAATAGAGTTCAACAGTGAATGTGTATTCACTGGTAGCAGTGAAGGTGTGGAGGTTGGTGTTGGCGATGGAGTGGGCGATGTTGAAGAAGGATTGTGGTGTGTTGCCAATCCGTAATCACCAAGAGAAACCAGCAGATCACCAGAGATGTCGTCATCTAGTGGATGATCTGAGCACCCTCCCGGTGAAGGAGTATCGATTCGTCCAAGGAAGATATTGCCAGGCTTGAGATCGCGATGAATAATACCCTTTGAGTGGATATAACGCAGACCAACACAAATCTGTTTGAAGATACGTAGATTCTCCTCAGAGTTGATTTGGTCGGGTGCACGATTCTCTAGCCACTGTGCCAATGTCTGACTGTACAACTGCATTACAATAAAGAGTGTAGTAATACGAAAAGATGAGGATGAGAGGGACGATAGTGATTTTGGTGGTGATTGTTTGTTGTTGTTGTTCGCGTGGTTGTTGTTGTTGTTTCTTGATGGCATTGAAATAGGCGGAGTGGTTGATTTCTGTGGTGGATTTGGTATGAGTGTAGCTTGATGGTGTTGATAGAGATAGGCATCGGAATCGTCAAAATTCGATGAGTTTGATGATGATGATGAAGATGAACTGTTGAACGACGAAAGGTTGTCATCGTCTTCCTCATCCAAACTAAAGCTTGTAAAGTGCTTCTTTGGTTGACGGAAGAGACTGTGGTGACCACCGGTTGCTGTGCCAGCCGAACTCTCATCGTCGTCATCATAAAACATTGGCTCTGCTTTGGTCTGCTTCTGGAAGAGCTGTAACTCCTCCATCTCTGGAGGGAATTGCAAACGATTCAAACTGTTGTCATGGTCTGATTCCTCATCGAAAATAGCTTGTTGTTGCTGTTCCAATGCTACCGTATTCTGCTGAGCTTTGAATGGTTTCGCTGTGTCGATTTCAATGGTTTGGTCTTCATACTCGTCATCGTCGTCGTCATCAAACGTTTCGGATGTTCCCCAATTGCCATCGATAAAATTTAAAATACCGTTTTGTTTTACATGCTGTTGTTGCTGTTGTTGTTGTTGTTGTTGTATGGATGGTGAAAATTCAAATTTTGATCCAGAATGATTGATTGGAATACTAAGATCGTCGGTCTCCAACCAAGCGGAATGATATCTAACAATATTTACATGATTCAAAGATGCCAGTGTTTTTACCTCACGTAGAACCTTTTCGAGGTAGGTCTGTGAGGTATTCTTAAATGGTATCTTTTTGAGCGCGTAGAACAGTCCATCCAAACGATTTTGTACCTTATATACAGATCCATATCCACCCTTTCCTATTCTCTCAAGTTCAAAGAAATCCTCTTCATATCTTGATCTTCGAATTGATCTTTTAAAAATTAGTAACACTTTCAATCTAATTATACTAAATATATAAATATAGTTGCTACCTACACTGGAGGTGGAGTATATCTTGTTGTTATTTCATCAGAAGAAATATAAATTGGCGATGATGAATCTACAGGTGTAGATACATTGTCATTGATATTCGATTGTTGATTCTGCAAATTTGGTTGGTTATGGATCATTATTCTACAATGAGAAATAAAAACTGTTTGGCATTGAGTTGGTTATTAATCGGTTGTGTTTTTTTGTTTTTTTTTATATTTTTTGTAATATTATAACAAAAAAAATCTTTGAAAAAAAGATATTTAAATATTATTATTATATATTTATTATTACTATTATTATTATTATTATTTATTTTATTTATTATCTATTATATTATTGTTGTGCTTGTTGTTGTTGTTTGTTTGTTTCTATATTTTTTTAAAAGTAGATGTTTTTTGATTTATTAGTTTAAATTAGCATATAAATATGTTTATTTGATGACAAAAACAATAACAATAAAAAACAACAAAATATAATAAACTTGGAGAAATGAATAAATTCAGTTTGCTTTGCTTGTTGATACCATATATCATAAAAGTAGATAAATTGTTCGTGTGAATATATATATGTTATTTATTTTTCAGGCATGAAATTTTGATTTGAGGATTTTTTTGATCATAGAGAATGCTATCAATATATATAATATAGTTTATTTTATTAAATTTGAGTGTGTCTGTAAATTTCAATTATGTATAAATTTAGGATATGTGTGTGTGGGAAGAGAGTGTGAGTGTGGTGGTAAAATAGACTATTATGAAGTTTGAGAAAAATATACATTTGATATGAATAAAAAAAAAAGTGGTGGTAATGGTGATGGTAGAGGTGGTGATGATAGTGGTGATGATGGTGGTTTGTTATAACATATTAAATACTGCTCCTATTGTTGTTGTTGTTTGATGATGATAATTTTGATGATGGTTACCACAACACAACACACAACCATTACAATATTACATCCAACAGGAGAAAGTAGGTAATTTTTAGATATATCCAAATTATGAACTAAAATGATTGGTTTTGATTCGTTTAAAATGCAATTGGTAATCAGATTGGATATTTGTGTGTGTTGCGAAGTAAGATTTGTTTTTTTTTTTTAAAAAAAGATAAAATAAAAAGGGTTTATGATTTATCATCAAATAATACAGAATCTGATATTTGAAGCTCCAATTTCTTGAATAGCGAGTGTAAAGTTTGAAAAATGTTATTTTTTGGATAATATCTTACTGTTTAATTATTATTATTTTTGATGAAAGTTGTTTATCTGTTATCTATTTATCTAAATTTGTTCAATTTTATTGATGTTGCATAGATTTATTATTATTATGATTATTTGATTGATTTTTGATTATTACAATTATTATAATTAGTTAAGATATCAGTTTTTAAAAGATTAAATTAATCTAATTTATTTTATTTGTTTGTTTTGATTTGATTTTATAGTTTCTGATTCTGACTTTGAATATTTCTATTTGATTTGATGTCGATTTTATATTAAAAATTTAATAGTGTGTGTTGTTTTTTTTTGTTTATTCGATTAAAATTTAAGGATTGTTTGTTTTCTAAAAAAAAAAAAAAAAAACAAAACAATTGCAAACAAAAAAATATATTTAATAAAATTTAAATGATTTTTTAATTTGGGAAAAAAGTAGAACCAGTGTGTGTGAGAAAAAAATTAAATGCGATGGAGACATTAAAGTATTTTTCTTGTCGATTTTCGCAATTGATTGATACAAACTTTTTATTTTTTATTTTTTAATTATGTAGTTTTTTTTATTTTAATTGATTTTTTGTTTGAGAAACAAATAATAATACTTCAAATTAGTTTTATTTTTTGGTTTTGTTTTGTTTCTTCTTAATTTTATTTTATTTTGTTTTGCTTTGTTTTGCACTGATTTATTTTATTTTTGTTGTTTGACCATTGTGATGTGTGTGGCAATAAACAAATTTTAATTTACTTGCTCGATTGATTGATTGATTGATTGCTTGTTTACTGTGGTGATTGTTATGTTAAAATATAATATAATATAATTAGGAGTGATGAAGAAAGCAAGAAAGAGATTTAGAATAATTTTACACACACACACACACACAACCACTACTACAATCAACATTGACCATTGTCAAAGTTATGAATTCATATTTGTTTGTTGAAAAATTGTGTTTACCTCCCAAATATCACATTTTTCAACACAATTGTCAAAGAGAGAGAAGAGCGATGAAGATAAGATTAGTTTAGTTTTGCTATTGCTATTAAGTGGTGTGATAGGATAGAGTATTATATCCTTGTTTTTTATTTCTTTTTTTTTTTTTTTTTTTTTTTTCAAATGATGTGGGAAATTCCAGTCAGAACAATTCTGAATATTATATTATAATAAGCACTATGGTGGGTGTAGAAAAGATATTATTAAAAAATAAGTAATTATTACTACGACTACTTTTTATTTGTCGATTCCCAAGAGATGAGACAAAATAAAACAAATTAAAAAAAAAGTAACTCAATTATTATTTACAGAATTTTATATTTGTTTTTTTTGTATTGAACACTGGAGCTGAGCTGAACTGAACACACAATTGTGTAATGAGGTGATAGTATATAACTGGAGGTGTATAAAATTTTAAATAGATAAATAAATAAATAAATAGTTTGCTTGATATGTATGTTCATTCAGCTGAATAAAGTATCACCAAAAAATCATGATGGTTAATTTCGTTGTATGGATGGAACTTTGTGATTTTAAAATTGGCTGTGACAACTTTGAATATTATAAATAAATTTGGATTGACATCACATGTTTGTTTTTTTTAAAATTAAAATTAAAACCAATAAAAAAAAAAAGTAATCACATTTGTTCCATACACATATAAACATAAACATCAAAAAAAAAAAAAAAGAATTTAAGTGAAAAATGAAAAAGTATATATTACATTTATATAAATATTAAATATTAAAAATTATGATATTAATTGTTGATTTTTTAGTTGGAATCTATAATAGATAATTATAAAATAGACTAACTAAATAAAATTTCACAAATAAATAAGAAAATGGTTTGTTTATTGTTTTTGCAAAAGTGTGAAGTTGATTTAAGAATATCAACTTGTTGTTGTTTTAAGTTGTTCAATTTCATTATTTTGTTAGCATGCATTTTGATGAAGGTTTAATCTTTTATTGGGCTAGAAAAATCACAGTTGCATCTCGAACAAATGTGTGTGTTTTGTTGATTACGATAAATATTATTAATAATAAATAAATAGTTCACACCCAGGTTCCCCTTTTTGTTTGAACATTCTCTGTTTTTATTTAATAAATTTACTTACGATTATTATTGACTAAACTATTATCTGATTAAATATTGGTGTTAAAGATTGAACACCTTTTTTTTTTGCTTTATTTAAATAATTTCAAATTATTTCCTTTAATGGATCTCTCAATAATTTTGAAATTGAATGACGTTATTTTGCATAAAGAAAAAAAAAAAAAAAAAAAATTATTATTATTATTTTTTTGAAAATATCAAGGTCCCACACCCAAAACAAATAACGATAAAAATTAAAGCGCAACATACTTTTAAAAGAAATAAGTTATTTTTTTTTGTTCTTTTTTTTTTATATATTTAAAAAATTAAAAATTAAATTAATTGATGTTTATTTATTATTGTTCATTGCTTGTGTGTGTTAGTTAGTGAGCGTGTGTATGAGAGCCAAAAATTATTTTTAAATAAATATAAAAAAATAATTAAGATATATAATATCATTTCCTAGAACTCTTTTTTTTTTTTTTTTTTTTGATTTGTTAACAAAAATCTCTATTTTTTTTTTTTTTTTCAAATAATAATTATTACTATATTATCATTATTGTTAATAATATTTTTATTTTTTTATTATTTGATCAATCAAATAAAAAAATAAAATGAAACCAACAACAACAACTGCTGTTTCATTGTCTGTTGATGATTCAAATTCAATAGATTTAGACGATAATGGCAATAATAGTGTAGATTTATCTACAACAAATAATAACAATAATAATAATAGCATCAACAACAATGATGATTCAAATTCAAAGGTTAAAGTTGAGCAAATGAAAACAACACCCAGGAAATCACTTTCTTCTAGGAGAAAAGTCATTTGTTTAGATCATCAAGAGCCTATTAAGATTGAAAATGATGATATATTACAGCCATCACCAAATTTGGACACACCAATAGCAATAACAACTAAAACAACAGCAGCAGCAAATGACATTTCGCCTAAAACCACAACTCCTTTAAAAAAAGAAAAGCTAAATAATGGCAACAACAACAAAAAAAATAAAGATACAAATGTTTATTCTGTAGATCAAGACGATTGCATTAATGTAGAGAAACAACAACAGCCACAAACAAATGAAATTCATTCAATTCCAGACTCACCGATGTTAATTGGTGAGGATGATGTAATAGAGGATCTTGATAATAATAATAATTGTAATACTCATCATATTAGTAATGGTAGTGGTAATGGTAATAAAAAGGTTAAAGAAGAGATTATAGATGACGATGAAGTGCATGTTAGTAATAGCAAAAATAGTAACAACAACAATAATAATAATAATAATCATAGTGGTGAAATGCATAATAATAATAATAACAATAATAATAAAAATAATAATAATAGCAATGATGTTGAAGAGATTGAAGATAAATATGACGATAGGGAACCTAAATCAGTTTATTGTATATGTAAAAAAGGAGAGAGTGATTTCATGATTGCTTGTGATCATTGTGATGAATGGTTTCATGGTGAATGTGTTGGTATATCAGAGAATGAAGCAGAGAGTATCGAGAGTTATGTTTGTGACAAATGCAAATCAGAGGGTAAAACTATCAAACAGGCAGTCAACTCTCTCAAGCACTTGGAGATTTCATCTGTAAACAAGAGAGTATTCGACGATGATGAAGATGAAGAATCAGCAACTTCTACAACTACAACCACAACCACAACCACAGCATCTACAAACAATGTAAAGAAAGAAAAGGTGAAGAAAGAGAAAGTAGAGAAAGACGATAGAGTAAAAGTAAAGAAGGAGAAGAAAGAGAAAAAGATTAAAAGAGAAATGGACTATGAACAACAACAGCAAACTCAAGAGGAAGAGGAACTAGAGGGAATTGTATCGTCGACTGGTGTCGAGTTGGATTTCAATGAGGTGGAGGAAGTAGATACTCGTTCAGAGATTATGAAAAGAATTGCCGCTAAACAAGCAGCTTTTAGATCATCATATTCAAATTTGAAAATAGAACCAAACAGTGATAATAATAATAATGATAGTAACAACAATAACAATAACAATAATAATAATAATAATAATAATAATAATAATAATAATAATAATAATAATAATAATAATAATAATAATAATAATAATAATAATAATAATAACAATAACATATCAACAGGAAAGATAAAACAAGAAATAAATACAAGTGGTCTATCAAATGAAGAATGGGAGGAATCCTTAAAGAAAGTGGTACCGGATATGCCAACTTGGAAAGTTAAATCGTTGCGTTCCAAATCCAATGGTGATCTTGCAGCTGCCATTAAAATGGGTAAAGAATATATAGAACAAGTGAGATCAACACCTACAAAACCAAAGAGAGAACCAGGTTCCTCTCAGAATATTAATAGTTCACCAACAAGAAATGAAGAGGCAGTTGAAGTCAAACCAGAGGAAACTGCTAATGATAAAGAAGAAAAGACATGGTTCAACGATCCTCAACTCTACAGAAAACATGAACAGGTACACGATGGTGTCATCGAGTCGAAACATTGGCACAAACGACTAGTGGTTTTCAGCAATCAACCAGTGACTCTTGCACATAATAACGTACTAAATGATACACCTGTTTACTTTACTAAATCTGGACTATACGATGATCATCCACCTCATTCTATTTTAATGTTTACTCGTAAAGATAATGTTGTATGTATAATTATATATTACTTATTATCATCCATGGATGATAACTGTTCAATATTAACATTATTATTATTATTATTACAATATTTTTTTTAGTTTCTTGGATATTTAAATATGGGTAATGGTATTGATGAACGTACTGAATTGCGACCAATTGTTTTACCGTTGTTGAGAAATGGATATATTAGAATGATTGGAACGTTGAAGCTGATTGGCTATCAATCGAATACCGTCGCTGCTTTGGCAGAGGTAGAAGCGTATCTCTCCTATCGATCTCAGATCAATCCAACCAAAGACAGAACGATTCCAACGACCGATGAAGATTTCTTGTTTACCGCACGTATTCATGTGCTGTATGATTTCTTCCATGTCTGTGGTTTCAAAGAGAGCAATCTCACTGAGAATCCACTGGCATTGAAAGAACCAGAGACTCTGAATGATTTGGATTTCGTGCGTGACAATCTCCTAACGGCGGATCCACATCGATTCATCGATGCCACGCTGAAGCCGCATCAGCGCGAGGGATTGTGGTGGATGACGCATCGTGAGCGTAATCCAGAGGTGACGTTCAACGCCACGCTCAATACCTATTGGAAGCGATTCATGTTCCTCGATAACACACCGTTCTACTACAACACCTACAGCGATAAGATCAGTCTGTTCGCACCGGTAACAGAGAATAGTATTTCCGGTGGTTTGCTTTGCGATGACATGGGACTTGGAAAGACACTGACTAGCATCTGTCTGATCATGGCGAATCATCCTAAATACAGTTCACATCCACAGCACCAAGAAATCGGTAGAGCTGTCAAGCGACAATACGGTCTGAGAATACTACCGAAAACAACATTGGTCATTTGTCCACCTAATATCATCTCCAACTGGGAGAATGAACTGAATAAGTTTGTCAAGAAAGAATCCAGACTCAAAGTGTACGTCTACAATGGTCCCCACAGAAAGAAACACATTCTTGATTTTGAGAACTATGATATTGTCATTACTTCTCATGTTGTATGTAATCAATCAATCAATCAATCAATTGATCATCAAGAAACATCGCCATCATTTTTGATCAACTTTAACTAACATATTTCATTTACACACAATCAGATTTTCGGTTTGGATTACAAAGCATTTGAAAAAGGAAATGCTAAAACTGCACCGTTGAATCAATCACATTGGTGGAGAGTCATTATCGACGAAGCACAGGTTTGTAAGACGAAAACACTGATATTCAAGGCAACTCAAACACTGAGAGCAATCAATCGTTGGTGTCTCTCGGGTACACCCGTACAGAACTATGTGGAGGAGATGTTCCCACATCTCAATTTCCTGGGTGTTCATCCTGTGGCCACCGATATTAAAGCGTGGCGTAAATACATTGAACGACCAAAAGATGTTCCTCTACTGAGATCCACTCTCAAGCCGATCCTGCTTCGTCGTACCAAAGAGAACGTTGGAATCGATCTGCCACCAAAGACCGTCGAGATTGTTAGACTGAATTTCTCGCCAGAAGAAGAGGAATACTATGAAATCGTTTTCCAAGAGGCATCCGATCTGTTCACACGTCTCCTCAGACAAGGAATTGTACTTAAAAATTATGGTTGGTAAGTATAATATTGTGAAATAATCTTAACAATTCATTCAAAACTAACTTTTTTCGATTTTATAAATTTAGTGTACTTGCACAACTTTTAAGATTACGTCAATGTTGTGATCATCGTTCTTTATTATTTCAAAAAAAAGAGAATCGTAAGTTGATTATATTATTATATTATATTTATAATACATTTATTAACAATTATTATTATTATTATCAAAATGTTTAGTTGATGAAAATTATGAAATGTGTATGATATGTGAAGATATTCCAGCTTATCCAATTAGAAATAAGACATGTGAACATGTATTCTGTTATGATTGTGTCACTAATCTTGTTGAGCAAGAGAGAGGTAAGAATAATAATAATAATATTTTAGATTTGAAATTATATGATCATTAATAGCTTTGTAAAATTAATAGAACTTGGTAATGATCATCCTAAATGTCCAAACTGTGATTTCAATGGTGATATTCAATTGAATAGCCAAGAGCTTATGGAAGTACAAGGAATGAAGGCAGAAGACGCCAGACACACTGGTACCAATCGTGTTGCACGAAATAAGAAATCCGCTGGAAATGTGAAATCAGAACAACCAGACGTTATGGTTCCATCAACTAAATTAACATTACTAATGGAACAGATCAATGAAACATTATCAAAGGTTTGTTTGGTTAATTATAAACAAATTTTAAACATTTTATTTCATATCATATATTAATATCAATATCAATTATTATACAATTATATATTTATAGGAAAAAGGAGCAAAGATTGTAATTTTCTCACAGTGGACAACAATGTTGGATAGAATCGAAGAGATCTTTGTCGAGAATAGATGGAGTGAATCAGGAAAATATGAGAGATTCGATGGTAAAATGTCAGCAAAACAAAAGAAAGCTGCATTAGAGAATTTCCAAATGGAGGGTGGACCTGTTGTAATGTTGATTTCACTTAAAGCCGGTGGTGTAGGTATAAATTTAACGAGGGCAAACAAAGTATTCTTGGTTGATCCTTGGTGGAATGTCGCTGCAGAGAATCAAGCTATCGATCGTCTACATAGAATCGGTCAAACCAAACCTGTTACTGTTAAAAAACTAATTATCACTGTATGTACTCATAACTAACCTGATTCATTCAATCAAATTTTAATTAATTTTTGACTCATTTCCTATTCAAAAACAACAGAGATCAATTGAAGAAAGAATTCTAGAGCTACAAGAAACCAAAGAAGTCATGACTCAAGCTATTTTAGATGATAACTATGACCCAAGCAAAGAGATCAGAAAATACAATCTGAGTGTTGAAGATTTGAAGAAGTTGTTTAAAGGTTTCGATTAAGAATGATATCAATATCATTATTGTATTGCAATTGCTATGTCCAGTTTAGCAATTGACATAACTTGTAAAAAAATATTAATTTAATTTAAGAGTAGTATCAAATAAATTTGTTTTGTTTTTTTTTTTTTCTTTCAGTATAAAATTAATTCTATCTATCTATCTTTGATATATACATAAGTATTATTATTATTATTGTTATTTAAATCGTAAGGGTTTGGTTTGGTTTGGTTTGTAAATGGTTTGGAAATGGAAATGGAATGGGTTGGGGAAAAAAAAAAATAAATGAAGTTATAAAAAATGAAATTTGGAAATATGTTTTTGTTGTTTTCTTCAATGAATGAGGTGATAGCGAAGCTAGAGTTATTACAGTCGACTTTAGTCTCTAGTTCTAGTTATTGCAAATGGCAATTGAATCACCTTCATCGTTGACACCAACCATCGGGTAGAATTTACCACAAAGTTTTACACCAGTAAAAGCAGTTCCAATCAAATTGTCTTCATTCTTAAAAATAATAATATCCATCAATCTTTCATTGGGTACAACTTCACTGTGATAGACATTGACTTGGACCTTTACAATATCTCCACTCTCGAAAGCTTCAGCTCCAAATGGTTGAGTATCGAATCTATCACCTTGGTTGATTAATTTGAAAAATTGTAATTGAAAAATTAGATTACTTTTAATAATAATGATGATTATAATAATAGTTAATTTACCTGGTAAATCTGATTGTAATTCATTTCTTGATGGCTTGATGAAATATGCAATCTTCTCGATTGGATTATAGATACCGACTTCACAGAAACCATTGTTGGTCAGAATCTTTACCTTCCAAGTGAGTGATTGCTCGATTGAATGATTGGCAATGATTCTAATTGGTGGGAAGTCATCACCGTTCAATCTCTCATGTCTGGTCACAACAGTATCTGAATCAGAAAACTCTACTGGTGATTTACCAGAGTTTGAATATCTTGTTCTATCGATGATATTATTTGAATCCCATGACAAGTGAACTAATTAATCATTATATTGTAACTAAATGTTAGTAACATATTACAATATCTATATATATAAACATATATAGTAGTAGTTTATTATTTAATATTTACTTTTTGAAGCCATCATTAAATTTGTAGTTGAAAATATATAAATAATGATTAGTAAAAATGTTGATCTTAAATTCATTTTTTTACTATTTTTGTTTTTTGGTTCTGTAAGATGAGCTGGGAAATAAAAATAAAATAAAATAAATGTAAAAAGTAAAAAAAGGAAACTTTATCTTTTGATAAATCTATTCAATTAAATTTCTACTGTTAGGTTATATATATATCTTCTTATGTTATATATATATATTTATAAAATCGATGTTTATGACCGTTATAGTTTGAAAGTTTAAAATGAGAGTGATAGTGAGAGTGAGAGATAGCAAGAACTAGATATTTAAATAATAATAATAATAGTAATATCAATAGTATTTGTTGTAGAACCTGTTTTATTGAAATCGAAAAACATTTAAAATTGATACAATTAGATATGTTGCTTAAGAAATATGAATTTAAAAATAAAACAATTAAAAAACAAGTTATATTTTATAAATGTTATGCAATTGGTTGTTGTTGTTGTTATTATTGTTTTTATTGATTGTTTGTTTGTTTGTTGTTATTGTTGTTATTGTTTATAAATAATTAAAAATTACTATAATATTTTAAAATATGATGTTGATATTTTGTACTTTTTGACAATTATTTATTATTGATATTTTATTATTCCTTTATTTATTAGTATCGTTTTTTATAAAGTGTTGTATTTATTGTTGTTATAATTGTTATTATTATTTAATGGTTAATTTAAAAAAAGGTTGTTGTTGTTGTTCATTGATGTCTAAATGTCTTAGATTTGGCACCGTGTGCATGTGTTTTAGTTTGGTTTTGGATAAGTATGGGTTTGTTGTTATGTTTGTTTTAATCAGATGGTTCTACTCAAGCTTGCTTTTTGTATTTGGAAGAGTAGTAATGGAAGTAGTGTATGTCTTTGATTGAGCTGTCATGGGGGTACACAATTATTAAGCATCAGACACATCATCAACCATTTTTAAAAAAACAAAACAAAACAAACAAAATAAAACAAAATAAAATATAATTAACTTATTTAGATGTATTATATTATATATATACATATTAATATATACATATATTTTTGTTTATTTTTTTTGATTGTTTGTTTTTTAAATCATATCAATATCAAAATATCAATATCTTATCTGGATATCTCTGATCCACATGCTCTCGTCCCCATAACATATCATCGATTAATAAATGTATAAAGTAAAGTTAAAGTGTCTAATAACAAAACAAAAATAAACACAATTGTGTTTTTTCAATTGTTTATTTTAGATTAGAATGATTCAGTGTCCGGTAAACTTTATAAACTTCTGATCGTATAATAAACATTCTATAGAACAAAAAAACTGTTTGTTTTATTTATTATTCATTCAGTAAGTCAGTCAGTCAAAAACGATTCACTGTTTCTTGTAAAGTATGTCGAATATTACATGACACTTGGACGATGTCGTCTGACTACCACACAACAACAACAACACATAACATTGTTTTTATTTTCTAATCTCACAACAGATCTGTTGTATATTGTGTTTTAAACATGTGGTTTTTGATTTTTTATTTTTAATATATATAAAATCAATTGATTATTATTTGTTACTGGACCGTGCTGACCCAGTCAGTCATTTTCTGATTACTATTATTATTATTGTTGTTATTACTAAGTAATAATATTATAATTATTTGTATTCTCTCTCTATGTTATTTGTGATTAATTTATTGTACAACACAATAAACTTTTAAAGTTTTTTTTTAGTATACCCTATCCTTTCCTTTTCTATAATAAAATTAAATATCACTGGTTTTCTAATCTCCTGGTATTGCATACAGCATTGTATGCATCAGTAATACATCTGATAATCAAAGATCTGGGGACATTTAAATATAAAAGTAATCGATTCTATTGCTGAATGTCCTGCTACATCTCTGCAAAAATCGATTGAAATCCATAGTATTATCATGTGAAATCTAATCAGAGTTTAACAATCTCTCTTTCTCTGTTGCATTTCATTCATCACACTTTACTCCAAATCAAATCCAAACCAAACAATACAAAAAAAAAACAAAAAAAAAAGAATGAATAATATAAATACGTACATACACAACATCATGATTATAACACTTTGGTTGTTTATTTTTAAATTAATAACTTTCTTATAATATAAAGACATACACACATATAATATAATACGAAACTTTAAAGTGAGTTTAAAAGATCAATAAAACTGCTTTTTTTTAAAAAAATCATAAAAGCAAACAACCACCAACTTCAAACAAAAATATTTTATCTATCTTTTTTGAAAAAAAAGAGATTATTAATATATACAGAGATGATAATGTAATGTACACATGTACATTGAATATTGTATCACCAAATCATTAGATAGATAGTTTCGATTCTCTTTGGATATTTTTAAAGCTATGTAAAATCAAAAGTGAAAGTAAAAGTAAGATTCAAACTATTATTTATATTTATTATGTTTTTATCGATCGAGAAGACAATCAATGAAAAACTGTATACATCATGATGATAGAAAATAGTAATCATATTGCAGTTTGGGTTCTATGTCAACATTGGTATGTGTGAATGTATTGTTTGTTTGTTGGCTGTCAAGGTTTGTCAGTTGGACCAAAATCAACAGCTTCTTGGCTGGGGGTGTCAGTACTGCCAAGAAAACGTGCACAAATGAATAGCAAAACAATTGCTATTAGCTTTGGACACTAGTTTTGGCATACCAATACCAGACTTTCTTCAAACAACCACAATCCTTATTATGTCGGCAAAACAAACAAATGATATAACCATATCTCACATGTTCATAACAACCCGATTGTAATGAAGATAAAATTCAAAGGCAAAAATTTATTTTTCTCTGATTAAGTTATAATCAGTTGATAGTTTGATTGTGATGATTCAATTCAATTTCCCTAATACTTTAAATTTAGTACTAATTTATTTTAAAATAATTTTTTGATAATAGTTTGTTTTTACAGGTGAAAAATAAAATGGAAAAGAAGAGAATAGAACTAAGTATGATATCATACTACTACTATCGAAATGATCTTGAATATCTCATTTCTTTATCTATATCTTTGTATTTATATCGATCTTTATATCCATTGTACCAATTGGAATGAATATAAAGATCGTACCGGTGTTGGTGATGATCTTTGTATTTCAGTCGGTCTTTGTAATCCTCTCTATAAGAGACATAGCAACCGCCAGCTGTTGCTTCATCGGAAATAGCTGTTGGACAACCTTGATCATCCACTGGCTTAACTAATTCCACTTCTTCCACTTCTTTTCTGGCATCTGAAACAATCAATTCCTCCGAATTACTTTGTTGACCATTTACAATTTCATGGGCCAATCTCTAAATTAACAACCAATCTCTTAATTAAACCATTTACATAACTAACTAGTTAATTAATAAATGAATTTTATTTACCTTTTTAGTAGCTTTAATTGTATTGTGATTATTTATTTGAGAAATACCACCGCTACTACTTCTACTACTACAACCTTTATCCGCAATATTATTATTATTATTATCTATATCATTTTCTCTTTCAATGCACATACTAGTATCTAAACCTTTATACTCCACAGAGTCAATATATTTTATTCTCTTTACTCCTCTTTTATTCTCTTGATCACCATAGGAATCTAGTTTATTCATAGCTATTTATATATAAATATAAATACGATTTATTCACTGTTGAAAAGTATATATTTGCTTTTGAAAAGCACAATATATTAAATTCGAATAATTATTTATTCTTTTATATATTATATTTTATTTTCAAACCAAATATAGTCAAATGGGTATGACATTTTTTATATCTTTGAAAGATTTACATTTCGAAAATAACGACTACTAACTGTTTTATAAATTGTAATCTGTTAACAAAAAAAAATATCCAACACCACCAACAAATACATATTTCAAAACTAATGGTGATGATGATCAAAAAAATAACAAATACATAATAATCTACATTATTATTCTTATTTTTTCAAAAAAAAAAAAAAAAAAAAGAGATAATTAGTTAAACTGTACTATTTTGTAACTTTTGCTAAAAATATCAAATCTAATAAATAATAATATTATTAAATTTTTTTAGTTTTAATTTTTTTTTTATCCGTTTAAATTTTGAAAAAAAAAAAAAGTTCAATCAAATTTTAGTTTCAAATAATATATATATTTATTTGTAGATAGGTGTAGTACTTGAAGGTATAGTTATATATACAGCTAGAGTAATTAATACAATGAAAAAGAAATATAAGACCAAGTTCCCAAGGGAACGTATTAAGAAAATTATGCAAAAAGATGAAGAGATCGGAAAGATAGCGCTAGCAACACCAATTCTGATTTGTAAGATCAATCACTTTAACTTTTTTTTTAAAAAAAAACGAATAGATTATTAATTGTATCTATTACTTCTATTACTATATTACAATATACATAGCACAATGTTTAGAATTATTTATGTGTGATCTAGTTCAAAAGACTTGTCAAATAACACAGAGTAAGAATGGTAAAACAATGCAAGTTTCTCATTTGTACGTATTTCTTTTAAATATCTTTTAATTCATATATACAATAGAAATCTAATTCTAATTCATTATTCTTCATTCATATTTGTTCAGGAAAGCATGCATTCAACAGGAATCAACATTTGACTTTTTATTGGATATCGTCGAGAAAATACCAATGAACGATGACAAATCAGACAAGAAAGGAAAGAAAGAGGAGGAAGATGAAATGAATATCGATGACGAAGAAGATGAAAGTGAGAGTGAAAGTGATAGCGAGGATGATGACGATGACGACGATGACGATGACGAACCATCTTCAAGCACCAGAGGTAGAGGTAGAGGTCGTGGTTCAAGAGGTGGTCGTGGTTCCAGAGGAGGTGGAAGAGGTAGAGGTCGTGGAAGAGGTGGTGCCAACGCAGCAACTGCCAGCAGTTCGACTACCACAACCACAACAACAACAACAACAACGACAACCACCGCAACAACACCACCATCACCAACAGTTGCACCAAGAAAGAAACGAGCTGCCAATAAAGAGTCACCTGTTAGCAGTCCATTCTTGGATTCTTCGGGTGGTTCACTGCCAATAGCAGCAGCCAACAACAACAATAACAATGGTTCATTATCACTATTACAACCGGTTCCACTTACCGGTAGTTCAGGTGGTACAACAGGAGGATTATATCTAGCTCAACCATCATCATCATCATCAGCATCACCATCATTCAGTGGACTCAATCTGCAACAGCAACAACAACATCAACCATTTTATAATGGTAATTCACTAGCAGCATTAACATCATATAGCAATACAATTTCACCACCACCAATAAATAACAATAATAATAATTTTAATAATGGTAACAGTGAATTTATCAGGAAAGATACATTGGATAGTTCAACCAACCGAATGCTCCTTCATTTGAATCCAATTGAATCATCATCATCATCAACATCATCACAACAACCCTCATTAGTATCACAACCAATGCCAAATACATTTTCATCACTCCAATCAATTCCATCAATTCCTTCTATCCAATCTATTCCATCACTCCAATCAATTCCAACTATCCCTTCTATTCCTTCTATTCCATCTATACCACTACTCAATACAATTTCACCTTCCAATTCATTACCTCTACAATTTGGACTTGCTCCACCAACTTTAAACAATAGTAAATCAAGTATTAATCACTTGCTTAATAATAGTAGTAATGGCACCAATAAAAAACCATCTGTCGAAGAAGATAATTATGATTAAAAATAAAATAATAATAATAATTTAATAATAAAAAAAAATAATAAAAAAAACAAAATTAAAGAAAATATATATGTTATAGATTTATATTTAGATTTTAAAGAATATAGATTACATTTCTTTTTTTTTTTATATATTTTTTTTTATAATATATTTTAATAAAATTATATTAAAAAAATTTGCAATATTATATTAACCAATCTTTCTTGAACCTTTACTAACTTTGTTTGCGTTGGACTGACAAATTGGACAGAAACCAAATTCAAGTTGATCGTATGCTGGTTGTTTGGATTGATTGGATTGATTGGTTTGTTGAGTGTTGGCAGCTTGCTCCGATGTCTTTAGACAACGGTTGTGGTAAGCATGATTACAGAAATAGAGTACAATGGCACAATCCGGTTTGATAGTGACGATCGATTGGTTACAAGTGGCACACTTGGCGTCTTCCTCCAAACTATGACCGGCTTTGAGAGCTTGCAAGTGTGTCTCTGACAGATAGACACAATCGCTCTTTAAAATTTCTTTACAACCCTCTCTGAGTGACATCTGTAGGTTGTAGTCACTGAGAATCTTGACCAAACGATTACGAAGATTGTGAATCTCCATTCGATCGGGAATCAAACGAATCAACTTGATAGGATCGACATTACTACCGATATTCTCTAGTAGCTCCGATACATAACGTGGATTTGTAATGGATTTGTTGATAAAGTAGTCCCAGAGATCGTTATCCTTCTGTTGCTCTACAAACTCGACGGCATCTTTGATTCTACCGAGCTTATCGAGAATGAGATTGAGTGCTTCCTTAGCACTACCCATTCTACCTAAAATATACACCATCTCTTCATATAGATTCTTCTCTTTGCAAACCTGGAATGCCTTGTCGAGATTGTAGGAAATACTGTTCTTGAGGAACGGTAGCAGTAGTTTTGGATCGTACTGAGCGTAGAGTGCCACTTGCATCTCGTGGAAATCCATACCGATTCTCGAGTCTTTGGTAAATAGCGTGTGGAGATAGTGGTGAATGTATTCTGGTTTGTGTCCGAGCTGATTGACCACCGTCTTGATTGGAATCTTGTCAGTGTTGGCAACCAGCAGATTGATGGCTTCGTCTCTATTGAAATCAATGAGTAGAGCAACCTTGTTTTGCATGGAATCAAAGAGCTTCTCGTTCTGCTTGATCAGTTCAAAGACATTACCACGCTTCAACTTTAAAAAGATGTCGAGTGTCTTGTCGAGTTGATTATCCAGTGTGTACAGCTGTGCTTGAGCAATCATGATGGTTTCATTCTTGTTGATAGACAGCCGGTCATTCACAGCCGTAATGATATTCTGTATGTTGTAAAGATTGCTTGGCCACTCGTTGACAATCTTTAGGAATGAATCTGGATCCTTCTGTAGGAAACTATTCAAACAAACCTCGTAGACGTCGGCACTCAACGTTGGATTGCCAATCGGAATGTAAGGACAGAGTGGTTGCAGACCGCCAAGCTTAAAGAAACGTGCGATCCACTTCTCCCAGAGGTCTTTATCACGCTGACAAATCTTGGGGCACAAACTGGCAGCCTTTCGAATATCTTTGGTCTCCAGTAGATGCTCCATATACTTTTCACCGATCTCCTTAATTTTCGCGGGTGGCAACGACTTGATTGTCTTCATGTCTTTCTCGACTTCCTCGAGTGCTTCGTCATAGCGATTCTTGTCCATCAGCCATTTTAAGTGATCCTCAAGATTTCTGGGTTTGGCAGTGACCACATCCTTTGGACAAACTATATAAAATATCGATTCCGCAGTGTTGTAATCCAGTCGGTAGTCTGTTGCCTTGTAGTGTTCGAATCCATTGACATTGAGATGATCGGTTGTGATTGCCTGATTGGTCTTTCTCGAGACGATGTAGATCGATGGTTTCTCTGCCTGGTCGACACGACCCTGGTTCCACGCGCCAGTCGCGTTGTTTGGCGACGACATCTTTGGTGTGGCGGCAGTGGCGGACGGCTCGGAATGTCCCTCGATAGCGCCGTCCTTATATCCCAGAATAACAAGATCCTCGCCAAACGGAGCGATTCCACTGATCCAATATTTCGTTGAGAACTGATTGGTGATCTGAGCAATCTTTGCCGCAGCGCCACTGGCTTCGACACGCTCAATTATCTGAATGACCTCCACCGATTTCGCCCATCCAATAATCAATGTGTCCGGTCGTTCCCAACACAGACAACATCTAAAAAGTTCGCCACGCGGTGATCCTTCCTTACGAGGAATATGCGCAATTCTCATGTTCGTACTGCAATCGTATATCTTTACACCGTGCTCATTCGCCCACGCTATGAAATTGCCACACCACTTGATCGCGTAGATCGGACCTTCACCCTGATGTATCACCGTTTCCTTCGATCTAAACCAACCCTTTGAATTCAAAATGAGCTGACCACCCTTGCCACCAGTAACAAACTGTCTGGTATTCTTATGTGCAAACTCTGGATCCAATGCAATCGCTGTAATAGGTCTAACATATGAAAATGTCATAGTTTCACCTGATCTATCGAATGGATTAATAATAACTTTACCTAAAAGAGTATGAAACAAATTTGTTTGTTAATAACTTATGCGCAGGTGCAAATGATTATTAGGTTAGTTTCCAACTAGTACTTACCATCTTCAGAACAAGAAGCAATATAATCACCGGAAGGATCAATTGCAATCTCTGTAATTGTAGCGGAATGAGAGTCGAATCTCTCTATTTTGTTTCCTTCGAAATCGTGAATCGAAACTGAACCCCAATGAGTACCTAAAACTATGAATTTTGGATGTACAGCCATGCAACTCGCTGCGTCTTTCTTTAGAATCTCGGTGACACCATTTCCGAAACGAGTGTAATTCAGTATCGGTTCGATATCTTCCTCTTGACCACCTTCAATATATTCCTCTGCTTCCTCACCGTCGTCTTCGTCATCGTCCTCAACATCGACTTCCTCTTCGACCTCTTCATACTCTTCACCATCGTCATCCACCTGCTGAGTATGACCATTAGATTTACCATTTACATTGCTATTATTATTGTTGTTATTATTATTACTATGTACTACTGTTTGTGTTATTATTTGATTACCATGTTCATCTACCTCTATTTCCTCTTCAACTTCCTCCTCTACGTATTCAACCTCATATTCTACCTCTTCATATTCATCTTCATCGTCATCAGCAATGTGTTGCTGATAATGATTATTATTTATACTAGCCACTTTTTCAGTTTCTTCTTTTAACTAACTAACTTTTGTTTCAAACAATTATACTATACTATTAATTATATTAATTATATAACAACAAGTATAGTATAGTTATCTAAACAAAAATGATAATGTTAATGATAATTAATATAAAAACAACAACAATTACAAACTAGTTTTTGTGTGTTTTTTTTTTTTTTTAAAAATATATTATTGATATTTTGTTTTTTTTTTCAAGATAATTTTGAATGGAAAATTCTGGCTCTTTAAAAATTTTAAAAAAAATAAACAAAAAAAAAAAGATATTATTATTTATATTTATAATTTACAAAAATTATTTATTCATATGTTGTTGTTGAAATAAAGTAAACTACTAATCTACTATATTGATTGATCGATTTGATTTGAATTGATTATTTCTTTTTCTTTGGATCGTTGGTAACAATTCTAGAGATACCACTTACACCGTCTTTAAAGTTGGTTTGGAACAATACGTTGGCATTGTTAAACATACCCTCTTTGAGACTGACCACTATGAATTGTGAGGTTGAGAATCTGGTCTTTAGAATGGTACCGATGTTGTGGGTGTGTGAGAGATCGAGGGCAGCATCGATTTCATCGAGAATGTAAAACGGTGCCGGTTTGAACTTCAATAGCGCCAGTACCAGTGAGAGTGCCAACAATGATTTCTGTCCACCACTCAACTCACTCAATGTCTCTTTCCAGACGTCACCGAATGCCACCTTCACCTCCAAACCATCTAGCTTACCATCACCTTCGATCGGATGTAACTTTGCTTTGGTACCTGGTAATAGCGTTGAAAAGATCTCACCAAAATCCCTTTTAAAAAAATAAAATAAAATTAATAATTAATGTATTAATAGTCTAAATATATAGATTTATAATTATTATTAAATAAATACATACCTATTAACAGATTTCCAAGTTGTCTTTAAACTTTCATTTTTCTTTTCATCCAATTCGAAAATAACTTTTTCAATCTTTTCTTTATCTTTTTCAACTATATTCTTCTTTGCAACCAAATCAGCATATTCCTGTTGAACCCTTTATTAATAACATAAAAATTAGTAATCAATTGTTTTTTCTTTAGAGGAAACAAGAATAAAAGTTGAGATTTACTTACTTTTCATACATAGAAATAACTTTTTTGTTAACATTCTTTGATAGTTTCTCCAATTCAGATTGTAGCTGATTATATCTATTTTTTGCTGATTTAATACTTGTTGAATTGAAATCATATTCTGTATTTGGTTTACCAAACATACTATAATAATGATGATAAGTTAAATTGTTAATGATTACTTTTTTTAAAATTAAAATTACTTACTGTTTCTCTGATTTAATCCACTTATATCTATTATTCATATCTATTATTCTCTTTTCAGCATCTTTACCATCCTTTTGAGATCTTTCGAGTTTGTGTTCCAGTTTCTTGAGTTCCAAGTCGATTTCACCGGAACGACGTTGATTCTGATCGATTTCGTTGGTGAGTTGATTGTACTTTTCGGATTGACGTTTGATCTCCTCTCTCTTGGTGGCCAGCGACTGTCGGAGATTGTCGAGGTTGTCTTTGAGTTTCTCTGCATCTTGTTCCAACGCTGCCAACTCCTTTTCCATTGCGGCAACTGTTGATTCATTACCAGAGGTCTGCTCGGACAACACTTTCAGTTCCAACTCCAACTCTTCAATCTCGAGAGTTGTCTTCTCAATGACTTGTTGCTCGTTCTTCACGATCTTGTTGGATCGGTTGAATGACTCCTTCGTGTCGGCCAGTGTCTTTTCGATAGCTTTCAATTGCTGGTCACGAATCGATTGGAAGTTGTTCTTTTGTTTCTCGAGTTCCGCTTGTTTCTTGAGTGAATCCGACTCACGTTGTTTCGATTGTTTCAAGAGGAGTGTGTCGTCTTCGATCTTCTTTTCAATCTCTTTGATACTCTCTACCAGTTGATGATGTGGATTCAAATTCAGACGCGAGTTGATCAACGACAGTTCGTGCTCCTTCAACTGCAGTATCTGGCTGAGTGATCGATGCTTGTCGGCACCGGTTTGCAACTTGGCCAGCTCGTAGTTGACCTTTTCCAGTTCGCCACGTAACCCCGAGAGTTGTCCGTTCATTTCATTCAACTTTTGGATGTGTGACAACACCGAACCCGACTGTGACTTGGAACCACCCGTAAGTGTACCGGCAGGATTGTACTCGTCACCGTCCAAACTGATAGTTTTTACACGCACAGCCGGATCGAACGCAACATCATGCGCTTGCTTCTTGTCCTTCGCAATAAAAGTAGTACCAAACACAAAGTTCATTGCATTGGTAAGACTCTTATCGTACTGAATCCAATCGATTGCCGGTTTAACATTGTCTTTTCCAACCAAGCTTTTGGCGCGATTCACTTTCTCTGACTCGATAGTTCGCTTGTCGATCTTGTTCAACGGCAAGAAAGTAACACGACGTTTCAACTCACCCTTGGCAAGCAACGCCTTACCAGTCTGTTCGTCTTCGACAATGATATTGTAGAGTTTGCCACCGGCACAAATCTCGAGTGCCGTCGCAGTGTCGGCGTCACGCAACGTAATCAAATTGGCAACGACACCACGTACTTTCGAGCGGTCAAAGTCACGGCTCGGATCGCTATAGCTAAACTCCATTCCCGACATCTGTGCGGCCATGATCCCCACCTTCTCGCTGAGCTGGAACACCTTTGGTTCGGTGTCACGCTTCCTGGTTTGTAGCTCCTCCAGCTTCTCGGCGTTGAACGCAACCGACTCCAACTCCTTCTTCAGCTTCTCGACGTCCTTGGCAACCGCATTGTATTCCTCTTGCATCTTGGCATGGTCAATGGTATCCTGTTTCATCTTTTTCTTTTGTTGTAGCTCGCCACTGAGATGTTTGATTCTTATCTCTGCCTGTTTGTACTCGGATGCCGCTTCCACCGCCACACGCTTTGCCTCCATCAACTGCTCTGTGAAACTACCATTCTCAGTGTCACCATCCGCTATGATACCGGCATTGAAATCGTTCAACTTCTTCTGACTGGTCTTTAGCTTCTCGGCGAGCTGTTCGTTCTCACCAACGATATCCTTGATCTTGGCACTCAGCGAGTCACGTTCCTTCTTCTTCTTGGCGATCGAAGTGACAATCTCCTGCTTTGATTGCGCCAGACCACTGATAGATGCTCGCTCCTTCTCTATTTCATTGCGCTTGTTCTTCAGATTGGTCTGATGTTTGACCATGTCGTTCGACCACTTTTCATTCTTTGATTCCATCTCTGACATATCGTTGTCCTTATCGGATCGCTCCATCTTTTTCAATTGTTTCTTTAGATTCTCATTGTTCAGTGCGATCTCCTCCTTCTCCTTGACTCTTTGCTCCTTCTGATTCTTTATATCCTCAATGCCATTCGATTGATTCTGCACCATTTCATTCGCCTCTGAGTAATCATAGGCAGTGATGAATCTAAACAACTTTTCCTGTTCATCAACACTCGCTGTATATTGCATATAAGATGATGATTCCTCTTTCAATCTATTTAAATTTGGTGTAATATCTTCATTTAAAACCTAATCATATATATATAAAGTTAATATAACATATATATATCAACATTAATGATATCTAACTTTTACATACTCTAACAATTTCTTCAACTTTTTTTGATTTCTTTTCTAATATACCAAGTGTTTGTATCTTTTTCTTTTCAAACATACTTGTACCGGCAGCTTCTTCAATCATACCAAGAATTTCAGGTGGTTTCATATTGATTACCTTGGTGATTCTACCTTGCATAATAAGAAAATGTGGATTATTTACATTGAGTTGCACCGACAAGAATAGATTTTGTACACGATTGTTCTGAGCGTTGATACCATTGATCAAATATTTACTTCTACCTCCAATAGCAATCTGATTGATTAATTGATTGATTGATTGATTGATTATTAACAAGTGTAAGTGTTAGGTTAAGTTTAGTTATGTTTAGATATCTGCTAAACACTTACTTGTCTGGTAACAGTTATTCTTTTCGATGATTCATATCCGACTGGAGATGTCTCTGGATCTTCATTGTTGAACACTATGGTTACACTCGCTTTGGTGACACCTGCTTGTCCGTGTTTATATACCAACTCCTGTAGATCGTTGACACGCACCTGCTTGAGATTGGTTATACCGAGTACGAAACAGATCGAATCCAACACATTCGATTTACCCGAACCATTTAAACCGGTGATTGCATTAAACGTTGGATCCAACGGTCCTACCGTTGTTCTCTTTGAATAGGATTTAAATCCATCCAATATAATCTCTTCTATAAACATAACTTAACTAACTATCTACTAAATCAACTACTAAACAAAATAAAACAATAAAAAAATAAATACTATCAAAACTAAACAAACTATCTTATTCAATTTAAAAAATCAAAATTTTTATGAAACAAACATTTTGGCGCTTTTTTTTAAAACATTATTTTTATAAGAATTGTTAAAAAAAAGAGGGAAAAAATTTTGATCAATCAATTTCTTGTGGATTAAAGGCAAATTATTTTATTTTTTAGTCAAGACCAATCTTTGATTGTTGGTTGGGTGAAATCAAGACATTATTAAACAAAATAAAGATTTAATGATAAATAAACACTATACGAGTCAATGAACATATTATAATAACACTATCTATGTATTCATAACATTTTAAAATCAAATTAATTTTTATCAGCATTGAGATGATATGTAGAAGACAGAAATTACACACATAGAATATAATAGCTTACAACAACAATATATATGTTTTACATTTTTCAAAATTAATACTTGTCTCAAAAATGTTTTTTAGTATTCTCATATCTTGAAGAATACTCAAATGGATTTTATTGTTATTCGTTTATTGGTTAGTGAGGTGGGATGGCGTTGGGAAGTTCCAGGTTTGGTGGTTCCAGATGAGTTTGAAGTCGTCTAGCTTCTTCAGACATTAAATTTTGGATTGATATGCTTGAATGTTTGAGTTGTTTCCACCTAAGTCTTGTTTTGATTTTCTGATTAGTTTCTGGTATTCAAGTTTTGCTAGTTGTTAATGTTGTTGATTGTTGCAACAGAAGTTGAGCCGATCTTTGACAGCTATGGACGTCTCAAAATATTATAATTGTTTTTTAAAAACACAGAAAGGGGAAGTGGTATACATGGTAGAACGCTAGCTTTGCATGCTTGAAAACCGGGATCGATACCCGGCTTCTCCACATAAAACATTTTAAATATTTTGTTACCGCATGCGGATAAAAAAAAGATAAGTGGGGTACGACTTTCAGAAGTGAGTTCTAAATACCAAACTGCGTAATTTGATATGTTCTGCGATGCCACCTCGTCCCTGGTGAATACAACCAAGTCATTCATTATAAAATTGGTGATCACACAGACGAGAAAACGTACCCACCGATCATTAACAACGGACCTATATCTACATCCGCTGAAAGATACCTGGTATGTACTTCACTTCCGAAGGATTGCATCATTCGCTTGATTTTCTAATCAACTCTATTAAAGGACCTTGTCCGTTGGAAAACAACTGGTGTCACTTTACGTCCAAGATGGCCATAGTCAAAAGCTACACTCTCTCTAAGATCACCTACAATTGTTGTAATAATTAATTTATTAATAGTGCATTTTTTTAAATGCACATAAATGCTTTTGCACTTTAGGAGTATTGCCTACAACATGTGCTTCGATAGATTTACCGATGAGGAAGTCAAGAAACTCTATAAGATACTGTCTTGGTACCTGTGGTCGTCCAACTCCAATTCGTTCATCGACTCCAAGAAGTATAAAAACACAATGAAAAATACCAGAGCTGTACAACCATGGTTACGTGGTGGTGTTGGAAACACCGTTAAACTGTGGTAGTAACGACATAGTGTAGTAGTGAAAGAATGATGTTATAATAAATAAATAGTTATGTGTTCAAAGATGGTTGTAAAATATAATGAATTGTTTATTAAGTTTTTGTTTCGCTTATATAATCTTGTTAATTTGTCGGTTGGCAGTAGTCAGTTGATTGGTATCTTGGAACTACGATTCAAAAAGGTGGCATCTCGCTATGGGACATCCAACTTCGTAATGATGCGCAACACGTGTGGATATTCAACAGATTCCTACTTTCATCCTCTGATCCTTCCAAAGTTTGTTATTATACCAGTTGGCTATCTCAAATCCAATGCAGATCTATCACCTAGCCTTATCTCAATCTATGCTACACTTTGTGGCACCAATTGGCAGTTCATCTCAAACATCTGGACATCAAGATCAGATCTGCTAAACCGATTCTGATTGATGGTCTACCACCCACTCTGAAGCAAATCTACGACCACCTATTGATCATCAACTCACTTTCAACCTCGATATATTAGAAATGTAAATGCAAATGATATTTTAGAGGGTGATGGTATACTACCCACCCTGAAACAAATCTAGAGCCAAATGATGATCATCAGACATAGAAATCCACCTCTTATCGATAGTTAATTCCGACTTTCTATTTCACCAATCAAATTCGACCACATCTCATGATAACATCTTCTCTTAAAAATCCCACATCAAACACCAACCTGGTCAAAATACCGTCATAATGTTTACAACCCGATTTAGCTTACAACAAAAACATATTTTGGGAATTTTTTTTATTCTAAATTAATTTTGATTTGATATTCAAAGAATGATTAATAATAATAATAATGAATCAAATAAAATAGTAAATATATCACATCTTTTATTATCAAATATTGTAAAGAGATTAGATGATAATGTAGATAGAATTTGTTTGTCATTGGTTTGCAAACGATGGTACAATGAAAGAAGTGGATATCTATCATTTAACACCGACAAGATCAATATCTTTAATGAGAATAACAAACACAGTATCTATTTGAATTCGTATAAATCATTACTTTTCAACTCAATCAAACAAAAGAATAATTGTACTCTAATAATTTCTGATACAAAATTGAATTACGATTATCATTTAGCCGATTGTATGTTTTTATTAAATGAAAGTAATAACTTATTCTAATATACTACTTTATCAAATATATTTCTATAGCTGAATTAATGGAAATAGATAGTATCAATACGATGAATGTTAGTAAAATAGAAATGACCACTGATTATCAACCTAGTGTACTGAAGAAACTCTATCAATTGATATCGGATTGCAATTCTATTAGATCATTAAAATATTGTTGTAGTCTAGATTGTGTACTACCTGTGAATCTGACTTGTCTATCATTCTCCGATGACTTTGATGAACCATTGTTACCTGGTTATCTCCCACCAAAGTTAATAAAACTTAAGTTTGGTTTAGCATTCAATCAACCAATAGGAATAGGTTTACTACCTAGTACTTTGGAGACTTTAATTCTTGGTGATGCATATAACCATCCAATTGTTGTCGGTGCATTACCTGCATCGCTTAGAGTCTTGAATATCAATGGAGTTGACTATGAGCATGGTTTCAAAGTTGGATCACTTCCTTTTGGATTGCAAGAACTATGTTACTCTAGTGTCAAAATCCCCATTGGCGAAGATGTATTGCCAACGACGCTCTTAACTTTGAATTATGCGCCTGTCTTATGGATGAAATCGATTCAATCACTCACCAATTTGAAAACATTGTCTTTTAGTGATCTAAACCATAGTATCAATGAATCGTTTGATTTGGATATGTTACCACGTTCACTAACAAATCTGAGTGTATTCTCAGTGACTACTCTCACTTCTTCTTTGTCGACATCGATCAAACATCTCACTATCTCAAGGGCAAAGTATAATGTTGATGAGATATTCAAACATGACCGATCACAATATCAATTTGAATCACTTACGGTCGATGCTCTCAAACAAGAATCACTCGATGGTCTGGCGATAAAGGTATTAACATTAAATTTCACCCATGATATTAAAGCACCAATCAGATCTATTCCAATAGGTGTCAAAGAGTTGTTTATTCGATACAATAAGAATGCGATCATCACTGAGAATGCTATACCATCGTCCGTTCAGAAACTGACTTACTATCCAAAGAATTCGATAGCAGAGAGAATCATCCCAAATACCGTTCAAGAATTGGTTGTTAAAAAAACAATGTTTCAAAAAGAACTATTTCCAAGTAGCCTATTACCAGACTCACTTCAATCACTTTCATTACCAACAGATATGAGAGTTCATATCGATTCGGAATTTCCAAAATCCCTATCAAACATACGTTTCAGTACAAAAAGAAATATCTTTGTACGAAAGCTTGATGACAATTATTATCTAATCTTTGGTCAATCATCTAAACAATTTTATGCTGCAATCATGAGTAAAGAATTGTATATTCATAAAATTGAACAAGATATATTTTAATTAATTAAATAAGGATAGAAGAGAGTTGATATTTATTAAAAAATAAATTTAAAAACTAAAATAAAATAGATTTTATATGTTAAATTTTTTTTCTAAAACTAAATTTTTTACATAAAACTAATACCAGCCCGTTATTGGTTTATTTAAAAAAATACACACTTCAAAGAATGATTAATAATGATGATAATGAATCAAATAAAATAGTTAATCTGTCACATCTTTTATTATCAAATATTATAAAGAGATTAGATGATAATGTAGATAGAATTTGTTTGTCATTGGTTTGCAAACGATGGTACAATGAAAGAGGTCGATATCTATCATTTAACACCGACAAGATCAATATCTTTAAGGAGAATGACAAGCACACTATCTATTTGAATTCGTATAAATCATTACTTTTCAACTCAATCAAACAAAAGAATAATTGTACTCTAATAATTTCTGATACAAAATTGAATAATGATTATCATTTAACAATAGGTATGTTTTTTATAAAAAGTTTACTAATAGCTATTATTCTAATATACTACTTTATCAAATATATTTCTATAGCTGAATTAATGGAAATAGATAGTATCAATACGATGAATGTTAGTAAAATATCAATGACCGCTGATTATCAACCTAGTGTACTGAAGAAACTATATCAATTGATATCGGATTGCAATTCTGTTAGAGCGTTAAAACAATGTTGTAGTCTGGCCTGTGTACTACCTGTGAATCTGACTTGTCTATCATTCTCCGATGATTTTGATGAACCATTGTTACCTGGTTATCTTCCACCAAATTTAACGAAACTCAAGTTTGGTTACTCATTTAATCAACCAATAGGAATAGGTTTACTACCTAGTACTTTGGAGATGTTGATTCTTGGTGATGCATATAACCATCCGATTGTTGCCGGTGTACTACCTGCATCTCTTAGAGTCTTGAAAATCAATGGAGTTGACTATGTATATGGTTTCGAAGTTGGATCACTTCCTTTTGGATTGCAAGAACTATGTTACTCTGGTTTCGACATAACCATTGGTGAAGATGTATTGCCAACTTCACTCTTAACTTTGGATTTTGCACCTGTTTCATGGATGAAATCGATTCAATCACTCACCAATTTGAAAACATTGTCTTTCAGTTATCCAAACTATAATACCTATGAATCGTTTGATTTGGATATGTTACCACGTTCACTCACAAGTCTGAACGTATCCTTAGAAGTTACTCTCACTTCTTCTTTGTCGACATCGATCAAACATCTCAATATCTTTAGAACATCGTACAATATCGATGAGATATTCAAACATGACCGATCACAATATCAATTTGAATCACTTACGGTCGATGCTCTCAAACAAGAATCACTCGATGGTATAAAGATAAGGCGATTAAAATTAGATTTCAACAGAGATATTGAAGCACCAATCAGATCTATTCCATCGGGTGTCGAAGAGTTGTTTATTCGATACAATAAGAGTGCGATCATCAGTGAAAATACTATACCGTCATCCGTTCAGAAACTGACTTACTATCCAAAGAATTCGACAGTGGAGAGAATCATCCCAAACACTGTTAAAGAATTGGTTTTTAAACACTCATCTACTTTTGTTCGATTTCCCAGTAGCCTATTACCGGATTCACTTCAATCACTTTCATTACCAACAGCAATACCACTTTTAATCGATTCCGAATTTCCCAAATCACTTTCCAACTTTTGCTTGGGTTTAGATAAAATACAAAAAACAAGTATTTTAGCTAGAAAGCTTGATGACAATTATTATCTTATCTTTGGCCAATCCTATCAACAATTTTATGCTGCAATCATCAGTAAAGAATGGTATATTCAAAAATTTTTTTGAAATTTTTTGGCACCCCTATCAAAATACACTGAACCAATAAATAATCTCATTTGAAAGGCACTTACTTTTAATTTTCTATATTTATAATTATTATTTTTTAATAATATTTTATTTTTAAGTATTCTATTCTCTATTAATTGTTTGAGTATAAAGTAATTATTAATCAGTTTTGATTCCTTTTAAAATTTCCACATTTAGAGTTCAGGAAAAAACATCTTCACAAACTGAAACAAATATTGATAATATAAATTGTTGATCATGATTTTAATCTTAGATTTATTAAAATATAATAAATTCTATACTATAAAATCTAGTTTATATCTGAAAAAAAAAAGGCGAAAATAATGATTTTGCCTTAATTGCGGTTGGGCAATTGCACGTTTTTAAAAATTTACGAAAAAAGGTGTAACTTTTTAGGATAAAAAGTATACTGTCTCCCGCACTAGTGCCCATTTATTTGAATAAAATTAAATTATGTCAAATTATTACACTTTCTGATTCTTTGAGTAGTAAATACTTGATACTTTTAATTAATATTATAAATTAATACTTTGAATAATAGATAAAAATAATAATAAAAATGGAAAATTCATATTGTAAAAATAATCATGATAATGAATCAAATAAAATAGTTAATCTGTCACATCTTTTATTATCAAATATAGTAAAGAGATTAGATGATAATGTAGATATAATTTGTTTGTCATTGGTTTGCAAAAGGTGGTACAATGAAAGAAGTAAATATCTATCATTTAACATCAACCAAATCAATATCTTTAATGAGAATGACAAAAATAATATCTATTTGAATTCGTATAAATCATTACTTTTAAACACAATTAAACAAAAGAATAATTCTACTCTTAAAATTGGTGAAAAAAAATTAAATGATAATATCGATTATCATTTAACTTTAGGTATGTTTATGAAAAAATTTTTGTTTTAATCAAAATGAAAGTTACATATTCCAATAATAAATTTTAACAAATATCTTTCAGATCAATTAATGGAAATAGATAATTTAAATTCAATCAATATTTGTAAAATAGAAATGACTGAAATAAGAAAATCAAATGCAAGTGCACTGAAGAAACTCTATCAATTGATATCGAATTGCAATTCTGTTAGAGCATTAAAACATTGTTGTAGTCTGGCCTGTGTACTACCTGTGAATCTGACTTGTCTATCATTCTCCGATGACTTTAATCAACCATTGTTACCTGGTTTTCTCCCACCAAAGTTAATAAAACTTAAGTTTGGTTTCTCGTTTAATCAACCAATAGGAATAGGTGTACTACCTACATCGCTTAGAGTCTTGAAATTCAATGGAGTTGACTATGGACTTGGTTTCGAAGTTGGATCACTTCCTTTTGGATTGGAAGAACTATGTTACTCTGGTGTCAACACAGCTATTGGCGAAGGTGTATTGCCAACTACACTTGTTACTTTGAATTATGCACCTGTTTCATGGATGAAATCTATACAATCACTCGCCAATTTGAAAACATTGTCTTTTAGTGAACAAATCTCTCCTAACCAACCTTCGATTGACTTGAACATGTTACCTCGCTCACTCACAAGTCTGAGTGTATTCTCAGAAGTAACTCTCACTTCTTCTTTGTCGACATCGATCAAACATCTCACTATTTCTTGCGCACAGTACAATATCGATGAGATATTCAAACATGACCGATCACAATATCAATTTGAATCACTTTCGGTCGATGCTCTCAAACAAGAATCACTCGATGGTCTGGCTATAAAGCGATTAAAATTAGATTTCAACAGAGATATTGAAGCACCAATCAGATCTATTCCATCGGGTGTCGAAGAGTTGTTTATTGGATACAATAAGAATGCGATCATCACTGAAAATGCTATACCGTCATCCGTTAGAAAACTGACATACTATCCAAAGAATTCGACAGTGGAGAGAATCATCCCAAACACTGTTAAAGAATTGGTAGTTAAAAATTCAATTCTTGAAAAAGATCTTTGTAACTTATTACCGGATTCACTTCAATCACTTTCATTACCAACAGCGATGGCAGTTCAAATCGATTCTGAATTTCCCAAATCCCTGTCAAACATACATTGGAATTCTAATAGAAAACAAAAAACAAATATTTTAGCTAGAAAGATTGATGACAAATATTATTTAATCTTTGGTCGATCAACTAAACAATTTTATTCTGCAATCATCTTTAAAGAATTGATTAAAACAAAATATATTTTAATGAACAAATAAATTTCTTTAAATTTTTCGAAAAACTTTATAAAAATCAAGACAACTTATTCAATTCTCCTTACAATACCTGTACAGGATTAATCCTTTTTTAGAAATTAACATAATTTGTGTTACCATATCTTCACACATTGGTGTGTTTTTTGTATTTAAAATGATAAAAACAAAATATTTTTAATTTGCTATCCCTCATTAAGATTCCCTTGATCTGCAAGAATCAACGATGATTTTAATGAAAATTATGCCCAGGCTTGATTTGTTTTTTCCAAAATAACAAAAATATTCATAGGAATTGAAAATAAATGATTTGATTTGGTTCAATTTTTAAAAACAAAATGGATAGAAATAATAATAAACAAAGAATAGCATTTAAATCAGTATTCTCAAATAAATATATATTCCATATTATTTTAAACAATATAAAGCAATTGAATTATGGATCGAGTAATGTTTTGATGGTGCCACAATACCGATTTATCTTTGTGGCATCGGACGAAGCAAAACTCAAACCGTATCTACCGAATTCAATGTTGAAAGCCATTCGCTTTAGATATAGTGAAAATGAATACCTGAGACGGCCGTTTCCCTTTGAGGAGTTCTCCAACATTCAGATGCCACCGATCTTTTCCCATAGCGTTCCGCTTCACTACAATGAGATAGAGTCTGTCTCTTGGATGCTAAAGAATCGTTACTATCTATTGTTGTTAGAGAAGCATCGTAGAAATGAATATATAATACGTAGTCCAGTAAATGATTTCCAAGAGCTATGTAATTTCAATCCATCTACGACAACTCTTTCAATATATACAGAAATGAATAATAATAATAATAATAATAATAATAATAATAATAATAATAATAATAATAATAATAATAATAATAATAATAATAATAGCAACAGTAAAAATAATAATAATAATCATCATGATAATAATATTAGTATAGATTTATCATTATTTCTAGAACTATATAATTGTATTACATTATCAAACAAATTGACTCCATCGGATCTATCAACCAATCAAAACTATTTGAATTTATTAATTCAAAATTATTATAGTTTGGATATTGTAAAGTGTATGCTTGCAAGAGGTTTGAATGCTAATCTATCACATATTAGATGGGCATTGTTTTCACATCGGCTCGATATTGCCAAGTATCTTGCAAAACTATATATCTATAAGAACGATGCAGCTAATACTCTGGTGCTGAGAAGCATCTTTATAGAAACAATGAGTATTCTACAACAACCAACTATAAGCATTGAAGATCAGCAACAATACGTCACTCTAATCACTCAGGATCTATCGAAACACTACAACAATGTTGTATTGAACAATGATCTTTGTTTAACATCGCTACTAAGAGTTAACAATGCTGGACTGATACAAACATTCGACAATATGTTCAAAATCAAGATTGAAAAGAATCTTTTGTATGAAATGCTCAGGCCGACCAGAGTAGATACAGCGTTGTCAGTGTTGGAATGCTTTTGCTTTTGTATGGAGAGATTTCATAAGATTAAACTTAATCAGTACAAGCCGACACTCACCGATCAAGAAGCTTACGACATCATCGTTGGAATTGCACTAAAGAACGGTATAGTTATCAATGGTAATGTGAGCACGCCATCCAATCTCTCGGGTTTGAATTTAGATGAAGACAATGACCGACAGATGCTCGACAATCTTAAGGCTTCGAAATACGGTGAAGGTGGAGTCGACTTTGATGAGTATATGGATGATGACCAGTTCGATCTGTTCATGCAAAAATACTACCCTTTCGTGATGTTGGGTTACGAACCGTTTATGCCAGAGAAGAGCGAGCAAATCGCAATTGTTAAACGACTGATAAAGATAGCCAAGATCAATGCAGGTTTGGTCGATTCCACCGATTACAAGTTGCCAACGGCTATCAAACCGAATGAAACAGCCCTCCGGCTAGGTTTTAATTTACAACTGACATTCCTAACGGCCTGTGCCAACGGGTTGAACGATATAGTTCGTCTGCTCAACCCTATCGCTCCACCACTCACAGTTGTCTCACCGATCTACTTGAAACCAATTGAATACGCAATCTACTACCGTCGTATCGATACCGTTGAATATCTACGCGTGGAACGACCAGAGACAAGTATCAAGTGGTCGCGCTTCAACAATGCACTTGGAGATCTACAGGTATTCCAACTACTCTTTGAATCGGCACGTGGCAATGCCGCGGCACGGTCGGCGATGGTCAAAGAAGCAACTCTCGTTGCACCGGCATCCGTAATCGAATACATCATCAATATAGGCGATGGAAAATTCATCGATGATCTCAACCCACTCTATTTTGCACGTTCCAACAGCTACTCAAAGATCAAGCTCTACCTGGACACTCACCATCTTAACCTCTCTGACAAGGCAAAGTTTCTCTCCGAAGTATTCGGTCACCTCCTGGTAATCAATGCACCAAACCTAATCAAAACGATAGCAATTTACTATAAACATATGATACCATACATTCAAATAAGCTCTTTGAAAATAATCGAATGTATTGAACTCGGCTATTCCGATTCTCTACTGAGCGTATCGGAAATCATCAAAATCGATCGATCAGCAATTTCAAAATCATCAAACAAACTATCAAGTCAAATGGAAACAGTTTTAAGAAAAATAGAATCAATGAACAACCAAAACTTATATAAATAAAATAAATATTCTTTTTTTTATTAGATCTGTAATTATATTGTTTATTTTTTTTGTTTATGTGTGTTTTAAACTTAACACACATACACAAACAAACAAATAAATAAACATACAAACACACATACTAATGGTACAAAACATATGTTTTATTGTTTTATTTTATTTTGTTTTGTTTTTAAAATATACTTATTTATTTACAATTAAACTAGTTCTTGAATTCATATATTTATTTATAATTTAAATAATAATAATTAATAATGGATATAATTGAATTAAATGTTGGTGGAAAACATTTTATGACAACTTTGCAAACTTTAACCCAATATAGTGATAGTTTTTTGGGTGTGATGTTCAGCAATAGATTTCAGTTGTCGTTTGATAAGAAAGGTCGTGTATTTATAGATAGAGACGGTGATTTGTTTCATCATATATTGTCGTTTCTTAGGTCTGGTTCAGATAACGTTGGATTCACCACGAAAGATAGCCATTTTCATTTGATCATCAATGAATTTCAATACTTTGGTTTGTTGCACCATTTGATATTGTCATCTTCGAGACCGTTCTACCAATCGATTACACCACCTTCGAAATTCTCATTTTCACGCGTTGCTCTGCTCTCTGGACATATCTATATTTTTGGATTGCGCAACAGTGCGCCACTCGTTGAAATCTACAATCCTCTGATGAATAGATGGGATTCCAATCGAACTGATATGTTCCCTATTCGTGGTCCTTACATATCGATGGCACTGGAACTGTATGCTTGTGGTGACACTCTCGCCGAACTCAAACAATACGATACAAAGATGAACAAGTGGATAACCGTACCAATGAAACTGGTAAACTGTCAAGATACAGAGTTGATAGACTTCTCGTGGTGTACCTACAAAGAGTATGATAAGACATATCAACCGATCCAAGTGTATCGACATCAACAACAAATGATATCGCTATCGCCAAATCAACAACAACAACATCAACAACTACCAACCAGCAACAATAATGTTATTTGTAACCGACATATATCTTATCTACTAGGTAACGAACGACAGAAACTATCTATCTATTGTGTCGATACAAAGTATCATACGGTTAGCCTTGTCGATACTCTCCCATTCGCTCACATGTCATTGGAATGTGCTTGTCTCATTGGTAACAAGCTCTATTATCTGTCGTTCAACGAACTCAATGAATATGGCTTGTACGCCTATGACATTGATAAGAGACAATCGATCAGAACGATCCAACAGAATGCCAACAATCGATCGCAATCCAATACCAGGTGCTACAAGATGCTTGGACACACAGAAGAGTTTATCTACTTTCTCAACCAGTGTCAATCTTTCTTTGGTATCCAACGTGAGAGTAAATTCTTTGCCTATAGTCTGTTAGATAACAACTGGGTTTCACTTCCCGAACCAAAGAATATCAAAATTCTTCATTGTGTAGTGTTATCAAACTGTCTCTATGCAATCGGTGAAGATTATTTCATTGAAATGTTTGATATTTCAAGAAATCAATGGTATTAAAAAATATAACAATAATATTTTAATATTAACTGTAATAAACAACAAAAACCAATGTAAATTCTACTTATTTATATTTATATATCTTTTATATCTTGAAATCTCGATCAGCAAAAGTGTATGATCAAATTTTTGCACAACAATCACTAAAAATAAAATAAAAAAATGTTTTGTACTTTAAAGTTGTGTGGTTAATTTACCACTACTTTCTACTTATGTTCACAATAATAATAATGATCAGGTGAAATTGTATATATATACTAAGTTAGTTCGATTCTATTTTGTTCATTGTAAGTTAATTAATTTATGTAATAATATGACATATATTAAAGATTTATAAAGATGTACAAAATAGATAATAATATACAATACTTTAATAATTATTCAGTACCAAAGATTTCCAATGCTCCAACTACAACTACAACTCAAAAATGGAGTGAAGTTCGCATTAAAAAGATTCGGTCAAAGTCAATTTCTCGCATGCTGGTGGAAGCTGCAAATTCAAGATTGAGGAACGAAGAGACAGACATAGGAAACGGTGGTGTAATTCTTGCTAGACACAGGATATATAGAAGTTGCATGGCAGCTATTAATGATTTGAAAACAAAGAAGTTGGATCTTACCACCGATGGAGACGAGTACATCACAACGATTTTAGAAAATTTAAAGCTCAAAAAGATTGATGCTGATGTACAAAACATTTCAAAGAGTATAATGAGGGTATCTACATTGAATAATACTGAGAATAATAATAATAATAATAAAAAAGAAAATAAATACGAAGAACAACAAGAACAACAACAACAACTGCAAAAACCAAAGAGAAATACAGTTAAACTGAAAAAACCTCTTGATAGTATTAGATGGTACCATCCTCTCGATAATATTCAATAATAATAATCCAATTTTTAATATATATTGAATAATAATATCGAGTAAAGATCTTTAATAAACAATTAAATGTAAATATTCTGTACATATACCATATAAATATTGCGATTTCGTCTCTTTATTATTATTTATCAATTGGTTGATCGATACTGCTATTGTCTTGATTATTTATCATTTGATCTGGATCTATTCTCTTCCTTTTATTAGGTACAGGTGCTATATATATATATATATAGTATTATTAATAATGGTAGGAAAAATAAAAGAATACATAACAACATTGTGATTATATAGCTTCATACCTTTCTTATTCTCTTGAAAGTAAAACTTTTGTAATAGATGTATAGCTTGATCTTTCATTACACCAGATACACAATTATATGGATGTCCACGTTCAAAACAACTATGTGTTAACACAAGAGTTAAATAAATATATTAATAATTATAAATTATAGATAGATTTAATTCATATAAAGATAAATATATATATACTCTATACTATGAACAGGTAAAATCGATCCATTTCCACCAAACTTATCATTGTAACAACCGAAATAGACAATGTTTATCTTTGCAAGTTGTAAGACGGCAGCACACATAATACATGGTTCAACTGTTACATATAGTTTGCAATCACTCAATAGCTTATCGCCACCAAACTTTGATGCATTCTCACTTAGATAGATAGAATCTAATGCTTCAATCTCTGCATGTCTCGTTGCCTAAAGAATATGATAATATTTGATAACATAGATTGTTTTTAGTTGTTAAAGATTAAGATATCCTTTTTGTTAACAAAATACTTACATTCTTTTTAATATTTGTTTTATTTGAACCAGCGGCAATTACTATGTCGTTGTGTACGATGACACATCCTACGGGTACTTCACCTTCATCCAATGCTTTCTTTGCTTCATTGAGCGCAAGTTTCATAAATTTCGAATGCTTTTCGATATCACCATATTCCGTACCCACTAACTCTTTTATATCTTTTGAGAAATAGATTTCATTATTATCGTTGTTCATTTCATTGTGTATGTGTGTTGTTTATTTTTATTATTATTTTGTTTATGTGTGTGAGAACAATAATAATAATTAAACAAAGTTTTTTTTTTTTTCATTTTCACGAAAAAACTTCCATTTTAAGAAAATATGAATAATCTAATTTAATTTAAAATTCATTTATTTGTGTTTAATTAATTATTTTTTTTATTTTAATATAATTTATAAAAAGTTCATTGTATCTTTATACAAAATAATATTATTTTAAATCATATCATTCATTCTATTTCTTTTTTATTAATAAATTAAATAGTATTTGTGTTTTTTTTACAAAATCTAAAAAAAAACAAAAATGAAATCTTCCATCATTTTTAGAAATATTAAATATGGTCAACCATCCAATCTTACTCCAAAAGGATCAATTTTAAAACCGATTCTATTAAATCCAAGTACACCAAAAACAAGATTATTTGTAAATATTAGTTAGTTAAAAAACAAAAAATTGAACAGGATTTGGAATAAAAAAAATTTTGCAAATTTGTATTAACTTTTTTTTTTCTTTCATTTATTATCTCTATCTATGTATATAGATAAATGAATCAAATGAAAAATCAATTATTGATAAAAGATATATGATTAATATCTCTAGAAATATAGAGGTATTAAATTTTAAAGAGTTAACTCCAGAGGCAAAGGAGAGACGTCATACAGCTGGTTTCGTTGATACCAAGGTGATGGAGCTACTCTCGAATAAGCCAAGAGGATATCAAAATATTATAAAGGTGAAAGAAGGCGATACAGTATTCAATGCTATTCAAACCATGCAAAAACACAAGGTCGGTGCGTTGGTAGTGGTCGATGCAGAGAACCGCATGACCGGTATCTTCTCGGAGCGTGACTATATGAACAGAATCGTAGTTAAAGATCTCTCTAGCAGAACCACCTATATCAAAGATGTAATGTCACCACATGTAGTCACAGTTAGAACCGACACATCCACAGCCAAATGCATGTCAATCATGATCAAGCGAGGATTCCGTCATTTGCCAGTGGTAGAAGGTGAGAAACTCGTTGGGATTCTCTCGATTGGTGATCTAGTAAAACATATCATCTCTGATCAACGTTCGGAAATCAATCATCTCAAACAAAGATTGGGTGGTTCATATCCCGATGATTTAGATCAAGGTCTATAGAGTTCAATCAATTGAATGAACATCAAACTTATACATTTATGTTTGTAAATAATAATATAAATAGTGTTGTTTTTTTTTTTTTGTTTATTTTTATTATTATGTGTTATGAATATAATAGGAGTACAAATAAAACAAATAATATATTAAAATTAAATTGTATATTCTTTGTCGTTGTTGTTGTTGCTTGGCTATTATCATTGTTTTTATCGATTGGTTCTATTATCAATTTAATATTACCGTTTTCACTTGTCTTTATAGTGATTTTGCCTTCGGGTGGTGGTTTATCATGACCGTTTTCATCGACGAAAATCACCGTTGGATAGCTTTGATTTTGACTCTGCTTTGGTAGGGTGTTGTTACTCTGACACTGTTTCTTATCGTAGGCCACCATAATTTTGTAACTTCCGTCCATCTGAAGATTACATGTCTGAATGGTGAAGAAATACCTATCAGATGCAGGACACTCTGTGAATCCACATGGTGTATTCGCCATTATCGAGTAGCTGTTGTTTTTCTCTGTGGCACGTGTTTGCATGTGATCCCGGTTGTTGTTTGAGTAGTAAATTAAACTCTGATCATAGTTCAGACTTTCACTGCGCATCTCTATGGATAGCTGATATTGATTGGTATCCAATGGTACTCTGTAATAGACATCCTCCCTATTGGGCAGATCTGGCTGAACATATCCCGTGTAATCTTTTGTGAGTCGCATCCAAAAATATCCATACTCTCTATCTTGATATAATCTATAAAGTGGTAAAACCGTTGGTAGTCCATTGCTAACACCAAAATGATTGGTCGATAATAACAACAAAAATAATAATATATTTAAAAAAAGAAAATCATAATTTCTTTTACAACATTCATTTTTAAACATCTTTTCTTTTTTAACTTCCAATTCAAATTTTCTATATTAATTAATTATTTTATTATTTATTTTATTTTTCTTTTAAAAAATACCATAAAAAATTAATTTACTAATAAAAAATAGATATCTATCTATTATATATAAATCTATAATTTAATTTTTATTGTTATTGCATTAAAAAAAACAAAAAAACAATTTTGTAATCTATGAAAGATTGATGATTCTCTTTGACATTGGGATTGAATGATTGATTGATTGATTTGAGATATATAAAATAAATTTTAATTTAATATAAAATAAAAAATAAAAAAAATGAATGGTCTGTTGAATAAAAAATTAAATACAAATAACTGTTTATTAAATCAAAAAATTATTTTTGTAAATTCAATTATTATAACCCTATTTGGACTGTAATAAAAAAAACATATTTTGTTTTTTAATTTTTTATCATGTAGAGTAAAAAGTAATAAATAAACACAAAATTTGATATTTCTGGTTAACTTTGGTGGTGGTAGTGATGATTCTTAAATTGATTCAAAATCATATGATTGATTAGATATATCACTAAAAAAAATTGAATCAATATTTAACAATGGTAATTATTTTATTCCAAGTAAAAAAAAATTAAAATATAATTTGATATACTAATGATTCCCAATTAGGAATAAAGTAGAAACAATTTTTATTTATTTCAATCAATTTTAATTATTTCCATTGTTTTATTGCTAAAAAAAATTTGTCAATATATTTTTGAAATTATTAAAGTTGGAAATTATTAGTTAAAGTAAAACTATACTTATCCCTTAATAAGTCATTCTATAATACAATCGAATGATGTTGATAACCTATAAATAATGATAGAAATCAACTTTTTTAATCTATCTTTAGCGCAGGAACTATTAAATAGATATGACCAAACCAGGGATCTATTTTTATAGCTAGTTTCAAACTAAATCCAAAACACTTTCTAATAGACAATGTTTATTTAAAAGTAATTTTTGTTTTTTTATTTGTTTATCAAAATAGATAAATAAAATAAACATAATTAAAAATAAAGATAAAAAATTTGAATCAAAATGATCATTTTTTTTTTAATAATTTATAATCTTAATTGAATTGTTGATTGAAGTAACTTTATAATCATTCAATTCATATATATATATATATATATATATATTTATGACTAACAATAATGAATCATGAAGTAACATCAGATGGAGATTCAGATGATGAAATCAATGAACAAACAGAAGATTCCAATGTTTCAAACAAGAGTAGATCTACAACTTCGATTGATCAAAAGAAACTACACCCTGCAATGAAATCAATTGCAAAGTTATACAATCAAAAGAGTGTAAATCAAAAAAGGTAATTATTTAGTTGTTATTATATTATATTTGGTGAAACTAAACAACTATTCATTCATTTATTAACATATCAATAATAATAATAATAATAATAATAATAGTGTAAATACAATGGAGAAAGTATTAGTAAGCTTTTTAACGGTTGTATTGGATCATTCTCAACAAAAATCAAACAACAACACTTTACAGATACAAGACATACAGAGTGCGATGATTGAACTTGATCTTGAGTTTCTATTACCTAGTACCGGTATAAATCCATCAAACAAGTTATCTAATCAACAAGAGTATGTTGTTGTTGTTTTGTTATTTAATGTAGAATGTTTAGAAACAATAGTTAACTTTATTTATTTTTATTAATAACACAGAGATAAAGAAATGATAAATGATTATTTATATGAAGATTAATTAATTGATATTTAATATTGTAAATAATAATAACGATAATAACGATATTATTATTGTTGTTGTTTGTTAATCCAAGTTAATAAATCATCTTTACATGATTTATAGTATTCCATATTGTCTAAACCGGTTTCTAAATCTTGTTTGATGGATCTATCACAGTTTGGAATGGGATGATCGTTAAAGAACTTTTGGTATTGATCGTGTTGCTCCTTTGATTTGAATCGGACTTCGAATACCGACGATACAATGAGGTGGTAGAGTGGATTGCTTCCGACGGCACCGTGGATTCTCTCAAAGTTTTGCGAGTAGTACTGCCAGACCACCGAGATACTCTTGACGGGAACACCACGCCATATCATATAGGTATCTTGTTGACGACAATCCTTTGACAACGAGAATTCGAGTGCTACACGGATGAGCGTGGCGTCGTTGATCGAACCCAGTGATCGCATGATGATCTCACGCTCACCCGATACCTTTGATCGCTTGAACACCTCGATCAACTGGCTCTGCACTTCGGCAGTGCCGTTGAACATCACAGTCTTGACAACAAACTTAAAGACGTCGGCATCCAACGATGCAGGATCCACTAGATACTCCTTGAACAACTGTCTTGCCTTCTCAATAGTCTCGGCATCGCCATGACGTCCAAGGTAAGTCAACACCGTATCTCTCAAGTTGGTATCACCAGATGGCTCACCTTCTTTCTTGACAAATCCCAATCTATTTGCAACTGGCTTCACTAGTTTAACAATTACTTTCTTTTAAATATAATATGTATGTTTGTTTGTTAGTTAGTTTGTTAGTTAATAAAAGTTAGATATTTATATATTACAACATACAGATAATTTTTCTTGAGAAACATCATCATCTCCACTCATCAAGTTGTAAAGATAATCAAATCTTTGAATGATGAATGACCATATTGCTTCTTCAGTGTCATTGGTGTAGTTGGTGAGTAACTCCAAGAATACAGAGAGTGGTGCATCACGCGACTTACTAAGACAGAAGCAATCTGTAAGCAAACCAAGTCTATCTGGTGCAGGCAATGCAAGTGATCTAATCAATGGTTCAAGAGATTTAATAATCGATTGATCTAAATTCATGCGATAATAACCTTTTTGTTCGTAGTTTGGCTGTTTGTTTTTTAAAATATAATTAATAAACAACTATTTCCACAAGTGTATAACTTATGTTCTATTATTACAACTACAACTTACTTTTATCCAACCATTTTGATTGAAATTTGGAATGGTTATTGTTGATTCTTTCTTATCGAAAACGATCTCATGTAATCCATTATCGGTTTTAACTTTAATGAAACAACTCCAAATTGGATCGTTTTGATGAGATTTACCTGGTGAACTAAACTTCTTTTGTTCAAGTTTGTAAACTCCTGGTGTAGATGCTAAAAAATACAAACAAAAATATATAAATTAGTTAACTAAAGGTAATTACTATTATTAGTATATATATATATAACTTACTAGATTTAAATGAAATAATTGGATAACCAGATTCTTTTGTGAATGTATCGATCCATTGTTTTACATTGATACCGGTCTCTTCGGAGAGGGATTGCCAGAGATCTTCGGTGTTGGTATTCTGATAGCTGTGTTTCTTGATGTATCTACCGAGACCAAGACGGAATCCATCACCCAAACGATCGTTGATCATATTGATGACACACGAACCTTTGCAGTAGCTGATGTTATCGAATATCTCGTCGATCTGCGAAGACGAACGAACCGGAACCTCAATGGGATGTGAATTGTCGAGAGCATCCAAAGCCATTGCTTCACCTCTGAAATCCTGACTGAATTCCATCCACCTGTTCCACTCTGGATACAAATACTCTGACACCAAGTACTCACACCACGAAGCGAATCCTTCATTCAACCAGAGTTGTGACCACCATTCCATTGTTACCAAATTACCAAACCATTGATGAGCAACTAAAAACAATATTTATAATTAGCAAACTATGTATATATTTAGATATAGTTAAGTTTTAACTTACTTTCATGACCGATGATTGACATAATTTGTTGTTTACAATACGTATTGGTTTTGCTGGAGGTTAACATTAGATTCTCACGATAGACGATTAAACCCCAGTTCTCCATGGCACCGAAACCAAAGTCTGGCACTGCAATTTGGTCGAGTTTCGAGAGTGGATAAGGCACTCCAAAGTAATTGGTGAAGTACTCTAGGACATCGAGTGCTACTTTCTGTGCGAACTGAGCACACTCTTGACTGCCTTTCACTTTGTAAGTACGAACCAATACACCTTGTTTAGAACGACCCTCGATGTACTCTAGATCTCCAACGACCAGAGCAACCAAATAGGTACTCATCAGAGGAGTATCGATGAAATGCACCGTTTTCGTACCATCTTGATTGTTATGAATGGCCTTCTCCGACATATTAGAGAGTGCAGTGTGTTCCGATTGTACAGTGAGAGAAATGTCGAAAACAGCCTGTTGAAAAAAAAAGATAAGAAAAGAGTGAAGTAATAATGTTTTAATTAGTGAATGAATCCTTTAAAGATAAACAGATATTCTGCAGAATATATACATACTTTTAAACTTGGTTCATCAAAACAAGGGAAACAACGTCTGGCATCTGTTGGTTCAAATTGTGTTGTTACAATGTGACGATCTTCACCATTGACACCTTTATAAGATGATTTATAGAAACCAACGAGTTTATCATTGTGAATACTATGATGATGATGATGATGATGATTAGTTGTTTTTGTTTAATAAAATAATTATTATAACTATTTTTCTACGATTATTTTACTTACCCTTCGAATGTAATTGATAGTACTTGATGATCAGATACAACGGTTATTTCATTCTCAAAGTGAAGCACAACGACTTCCTCTGCTTCGGAATATTCAATTTTGTTGGCGTGGTTCGAACCAGCGAAAAGAGCGGAATGAACTTTCACCTCTATGCAGTGCAATACAATGGTTTTCGTTGGTCTGTTCACTTTCAAATGAATATCGGCAGTTCCACTGAATGTGAAATTTTCAAAGTTTGGTGTGAAATGTAGAACATACTTTGATGGCACTACATTATCTGGTAACAATAATCTCTCATTCTTTTCTACTAAAAAATTTGTTTGAATCATATTTGTTTAGTACTAAATAACTAATAAATTTAACAATTTGCAAAATAAAAAAAACAACAATAAAAAATTATTGATTGATGTTCACAGTAATTTAAATTAAACTTATAAGTTTGGCCCACTTTTTTTTTTTGTGGACCAAAATAATTAACAAAGCGGGATTAAGATCCTAATTGAATTTCAATAATTTTTAACTATACAATTATTTTTATTAATAAATAATAATTATTATTATTATTTTTATCCTTGTGGAGGACAAGGTGAAGCATTAATACAACTATCTGGTACTTGGAAAGCATTGGCAGGTGGGGTGGTTGGTTGGAAGTTTTCAAAGTTTTGAATTGTCCATCCAGATGGTGCTGCTGCGAACTGAATTATAATAAAATGAAGATTGATTTCATTAATAATCTTAAATATTTACAAAGAATAGAAAAGAAAAGTTAAGTTAAATTAAGATACTTACGTAGAATGAAGCGGGTGTCCAACCATTGGATGTACCATTGGCGTAGAATCCATATCCAAACGATCCGGAATCCGGTAGATAGATAGTCCAGTAATCAACTTGTTGTCCGTTCAACGAGGAAGTTACATTTTGGACGGCTCCACAGGTTTGAATGAAATTTGGTGCTGGTGGGTACCATGGATCACCAAAGATACAACATGGTGGTACGTCAGCAGGACGATCGTCGTGTGTCACTAAATAAGAGACACCCTTGACATTGATGAAATCACAAGTCCAATCGGAACCATTCGAAAAGATTGGCACACAGAAATCATTGTACACTTCGTGCATCGCTTGATTCGACCAGTCATAATATGTTCTACCACTGCCACCTTTGAATGGTGGTGGAATATTATTGTTACTGAATGGTGGTTCTTGATCTGAACTTGTATAAATAATTGTCCTAAAAAAATATATCAAATTCAATCATAAAATGTTAATATCTTTAACATGAATAGATGTACATTCTTTTTCTTTTTCAAATAATTACCAATCAGTTACCCATTGTGTTGGCCAAAATGGGAAAGCATCACTTGAACTATCATCTAGTGAATAAATGAAAGTTACTGAACAACAAAATACTAATAATAAATATATAGTTGATAATTTCATCTTTTTATTACTAATTCTATTTACAAATAATTAATTATATATAGTTACAATAAAATGATATTTATAAATATTTTTATTTAAAAATTAAAAACAAAAAAATGAAAAATAAAAAAACTAAAGATCTTTATTAATATCACCTTCCAATTTGGACCACCGACTCTGATGAAAGGAACTGTGGAATTGAATTCTCGTATTTTATTTTAAAGTTATCAAAGAAAAATTAAAGATTTTTCAAAGATTGGTTGTTAAAAAAATAAATATCTCGTTGTTTTACGAAAATAAAAAACAAAAAAAGTAGAAAGAGTTTTACTATGATAAATTTTGGTGGCTTGTTGTTTTGTTTAAAGGTTTTTGCAAGCTGATGTCATATGAAATATCTGACAGAACACTTTATTTAGTTTGTTATATGTTTTGGGGGAGTTAATTGATGTTTGGCCATTGATTTTGTTTTATAACAATAGCTGCAGGTCATGACGATTTCAGACTCTTTGATATCACACTGTCTGTCATCCAAGAAGTAGGTACCAGAGCATTTGAATCTATCGCAATAGAATCTAGATATCCAATTATCACTTTCATCTGTTTGATCTTTACACCTTAAACATCTAAAGATTAATTAAACAAAACAAAACAAATAGATATAATAATGATTAGTTTGAATGAATAAATGATTAAGAAAAAGAAAGATTTATAAGTATACACTATACTTACTGGCATGTGAAATAATAAAATGTTTTAAGATAAGATTGTCTTTCGTGAGTTGGTTGATCTAAATCTAAATAGCTGATCGATATGGGTGTGCCTTTACTGATGAAGTGTAGTGCTTTAAAGACTACTACGGTGGTACCTCTGACATCCGCTAGGTTAGGACAACATGAATGATTGAAATACGATGCTGCAGGTGTACATGATACTCCAATACACTTGTCACGTTTCGACCAAATTCCAAATTGATTACATCTAATCTTACATATTAATGATCTTGTTTTTGATGTAACATCATTTATCATATTGATAACACTATTATTATTGCTATTATTATTATTGTTTTCTTCATTATAATTTAAACTAGTTGTATTTAATCCTATTTCTATTGATGATATACAACTATCGGTTGTTGATTTGTTATTATTATTATTGTTATTTTGTTGTTTCTTCTTTTTTTGTGGTGGATTTAATATGTCTGTGAATAGTTGATTGATGAACGCTGTCAGTTGTTCTATTAGATCGCATGCAGCACTGTTGGTGTTACTATCTATGGTATTCTCAACCAATTGAAGTACATCGTCGATTTGACTGTCAATGATTGGATATTGTTTGTTTTCGTGGTTGAAAGTCGGTTGTTCGTCAGGTCTCATCATCTTCTCCTCGCTATGTTTATACTTGATATCTATATAACGACCTAGGATACCAACGATCATCTTTACCTCTGTCATATTATCACCGGTTATCGCTTTGCTATTGCTATTATTGTAACTACGCAGCTTCTTAAAGTACTGACATTCATAGCGTTGATGAATAGCGGAACCAATTGAATAGCAACTTTCACTGCACCAATAGACTTCATTGCAGCCAACACACCGCTGCATCACCGATGATTTTAGTGCACTATCGATATCGGATGCTTTGGTATTCTGATACTCCAAACAGTTGTGACAAGTCTGCTTTCTGAGGAGATCACTCTCGATCGAGAGGAACGATCGCGCAACCAACACAATCTCGCCAATCTCCAAGTCTTTGCTGGCAACCAAGTATCTTCCTTCATTCGGTGAACATCTCCATTCGATTGGATAATCTAAAAATTGAATCGAAGGTATCTCCATACAATAACTAATCTAAGATTGATTGTAAACCGATTGGTTTTGAAAATGGGGTGGGTTAAAAACTTTTTTTGCAAAGAGTCGTGTCGTTTGAATCTAAACAAAATAATTAATTTTAATAATAATACATTTTCTTTTCGAAATTCAAACAAATATAATTAAAAATTATATTTTATTATATATATGATTAAAAATAAAAAGAGTTATCTTTTATTAATTTTATATAATATTGGAGGGTATTCTTGAATTTGTTTTGAAATGTTTTGTTTAAAATATTTTATACATTATCACCACCTTGTTGTTGTTGTTGATTTCTCATGTATTGTTTATCATTACCCAAGTAGATTTGTGAATCAAAGTATGATTGTTGGATGTCATTGATATAATGAGCTGTCTTGTGATCAAGTTTGAATTTTCTAAAAGTAGCGTTATGTTGATGATCGCTTAGGTTATCGTAATTTACATCGTCTTGACTGGTTCCCAATACGAGATTTAAGATTTTATCTGGTACGAAATTGGAATCGTGCATATGCTCCATATCGTTGAGATTTAATGTTGGTGGTTGTTGTTGTTGTTGCTGTTGTTGTTGATAATGTTGTTTGTTTTGAATTTCATTATCCATGAAACTGTTTAGACCCTCGAAAACCTCTTGGTCAGGTGGAGTCCAGTCAGGATTGGCAATCTTAAAGTTAACGACAGACATCTCAAGCTTATCTTGTTTGGCACCGGAACTCTGTGTGAACAATCCATTCTTCTTCTGGCCAGATTGTTTAGTTGATGTATTGAAGTTGTTGTTGTTGTTGTTACCGATGCTGTTGGTGTCACTGAGTGAACCGTATCTACTCATACCTCGGAATGTACCGAAAATACAGATGAATCCGACACCCTCAAAGTTGACGGTGTACGTTCCTATGAATTCGAGGATGGCATACGAAGAGTTGGGCAACGAGAAGAACAAGATGAACGGTGCGAAAACAACCGAGGAGATCTCACGGAGGAAATCGACGATTCTGTACTCAAAGAGCTTGAGGAATTGGTCGCGAATTGGATAGGTGTGGGTCTTGCCACGCCAGCTCTTTGGGATGTAGTGAGTGTGATTGACGACTTTGGTCATCTGCTTGGCTGGATTGTTCACCACGTTCTCATCGGGAATCAACGACTTGCAGACTGCCAGAGCAGTACCCAAGATACCGACATACCAAATAGGTGCTCTTCCAAAAATATCAAAAGAAAACAGGAAATCATCACTGATGATACCGAAAACAATGAATACAGCCAAGATTGCACCCAACAAAAATGAAACAAACTTTGCAAATGTAGATATCAACTCCGATGGGAAACTATCAACATATTTGTTTGCATGTGAATAACTAAGATTTAATCTAAAAAAAATAGGTAATTTAATTACATGTTAGTAAAGTATAAAAAAATAAACTGTTACAATTATCAACATTACCTAATATTAAAGAAATGTGGTAATTCATTGAACTCTCTAAATTTCCATTTGGCCAATGGTGACCATTCACGACTACCCAACGATCCAGGTCTATTCTTTATTTCCTCTGCATACTTGAAGAAGTAGGTAATCAACAGGAATATCAATACAAATGGTGCAGCAAAGAAACCAATGATTCCAATCATTCTAAATCTTCTTGTTAATCTGTTAAATAAAGATTATTTTTAATTAGTTGACCGCTTTTTATTCGTTGTGTTGAATATATGTTCAACAAATAAAAAAAACTGACTTACCCTCTTGATAATCTCTCACGTTTCGATACGTCTAAATATTCATCTTTGACAACACCGTTTGCATCAAAGATATGATTGAATAGAGCATACATAATACTCCATTCCAATGTTTTCGTGATGAACTTGTACTTTCTGAGGAAGGGGAACGGTATCGATAGGTCAAAGATCTTTCTATCGATCATACCAATGATATAGTTTTCTTTTCTCATGATTCTATTGGCTATATCCAATGCATCCATATTCTCTTTTACTCTACAAAGTCTTGGTACTTCTACCAATTTACTTGCAATAGTACTCCAATCAACTGTTTGTAATTCATCCTAAAAAATGTACATAAATAGATAAAAATAATAAATATAATATTAATACATATTCAATTCGACTCTATAACAATATTATTATTACAATACATACTTCATTAATCTTTAATGTATTATGATAGAAACTTCTTATTTCAAGAGTTGAACGAATACTAATTAGGAATCTAAAGAACTTTGCAAACCAATAGAAACTAAAGAGTACCAAGAATAACACCAACCAACCCGGTACTTTTCTTGAGAAATCTACTACGTGGTATTGTACCATCGTCGATGTATTATTCCTAAAGAGTACATCATAGTTGATGAATGAAACTAAAAATGTAAAGAATACAATGACAAATAATGATGTCCTATAATTTTATTATTATTATTTATTAATTAGTTAGTATATATATATATATACATTAATATTATAATTGGTAGTAGTAGTATTTGATTTGATTTTTTTTGATACATTACAATAATTCAAATAGTTGAGTGAAAAAGATGTTCAAGAAACCTTTGCCTGTGAAATAGTTGTATACTTCGGTGAGGAAGTTGTCGAGATTGTGAATGGCAGGCATAGAAGGACTTGAATGCTCTAGAAATGTTTCGTTGTCATCCAAGGTCGGCCTGTAGCTATTGTTGGATGGTGTCGCTCTACTACTATGATCTCCCATATCATGAAGTGGGAAGTAATCGCCACCGCGATCCTCCCCTCTCTTTGAAAAACTTTTAGACATTTACTATACTACTAATTATTCTTATTTTTCTCTTTCTCTTTTTATTATTATTTAATTTATTATTTATATTATATTACAAAAAAAAACAAAAAAAAAAAACAACTAATTACAAAACTAACTAAACAAGTATATCTATCTGTTTCTTTTTATATCTTTATATTATATGCTATTTATTATTATTCTATTATTATTTACAAAATTGATATTTATATATCTTTATCTAGCAACACTATCTATCTCTATGTATCTATAACTAAATGTAGTATTACTAGATGATGATATTGCTGATCATAATTAAAATTTAAAATAAAATTTATAATTTAAATTTAGAACTACTGATGAATGAATGAATTAACTAAATTAATTTTTATTATTTGAATTTAAATTTAAAATACTACAAAATAAATAAATTTTTTCTTTTTTTTTTTGTTTATGTCTTGTTTTGTACAAATGATTTTGAATGAATAAAAACAAAACGATGAAAAAAAGAAATTAAATTTTATTTGTTTTTTTTTTTTGGTGATTTTTATTATTTTAATTTTTTCAAAAATTTGCGAAGACATTGTTTGTTTTCCACTATTTTTTTCATTTTTTTTTTTTTTGAAAATTAAATTTTTAATTTTAAATCTTTTTTGTGCAAGGTTGCAAACATCACCATTTTATTAAGTTTGATTTTCCAATTTTTTTTCAAAAAATGTATTGGAATCGGTTGGATCACATTCTATTAATTTAAGGTATAAATTGTTGTTTTGTCATTGATTGTCCATCATTAAAGTGTGATTGATTCACCTCTTGAAAGTGTCTTAGCAAGGTTATAATATGAAAGGTAATTTGTTGGATCACATTCTATTGATTTCAAGAATAGTTGTTGTTGTGTCATTGATTGACCATTATTAAGTGTGATTGATGAACCACTTGAAAGTGTCTTTGCAAGGTTATTATATGAATTTGAATTGGTTGGATTACATTCTATTGATTTCAAGTATAGTTGTTGTTGTGTCATTGATTGTCCATTATTAAGTGTGATTGATGAACCACTTGAAAGTGTTAATGCAAGGTCATTATATGAATATGAATATGTTGGATTACATTCTATTGATTTCAAGTATAGTTGTTGTTTTGTCATTGATTGACCATTGTTAAGTGTGATTAATGAACCACTTGAAAGTGTTAATGCAAGGTTATTATATGAATTTGAATTGGTTGGATTACATTCTATTGATTTCAAGTATAGTTGTTGTTTTGTCATTGATTGACCATTATTAAGTGTGATTGATGAACCACTTGAAAGTGTCGTAGCAAGGTTATTATATGAATCTGAATTGGTTGGATTACATTCTATTGATTTCAAGTAAAGTTGTTGTTTTGTCATTGATTGTCCATTATTAAGTGTGATTAATGAACCACTTGAAAGTGTATTTGCAAGGTTATGATATGAAATTGAATATGTTGGATTACATTCTATTGATTTCAAGTATAGTTGTTGTTTTGTCATTGATTGACCATTATTAAGTGTGATTGATGAACCACTTGAAAGTGTTAATGCAAGGTCATTATATGAATCTGAATTGGTTGGATCACATTCTATTGCTTTCAAGTAAAGTTGTTGTTTTGTCATTGATTGACCATTATTAAGTGTGATTGATGAACCACTTGAAAGTGTTAATGCAAGGTTATTATATGAATTTGAATTGGTTGGATTACATTCTATTGATTTCAAGTATAGTTGTTGTTGTGTCATTGATTGACCATTATTAAGTGTGATTGATGAACCACTTGAAAGTATCGTAGCAAGGTTATGATATGAATCTGAATATGTTGGATCACATTCTATTGATTTCAAGTATAGTTGTTGTTTTGTCATTGATTGACCATTATTAAGTGTGATTGATGAACCACTTGAAAGTGTCGTAGCAAGGTTATGATATGAATTTGAATATGTTGGATCACATTCTATTGATTTTCAGAATAGTTGTTGTTTTGTCATTGATTGTCCATTATTAAGTGTGATTGATGAACCACTTGAAAGTGTATTTGCAAGGTTATTATATGAATCTGAATTGGTTGGATCACAATCTATTGATTTCAAGAATAGTTGTTGTTGTGTCATTGATTGTCCATTATTAAGTGTGATTGATGAACCACTTGAAAGTGTATTTGCAAGGTTATTATATGAATATGAATATGTTGGATCACATTCTATTGATTTCAAGTATAGTTGTTGTTTTGTCATTGATTGTCCATTATTAAGTGTGATTGATGAACCACTTGAAAGTGTTAATGCAAGGTTATTATATGAATATGAATATGTTGGATCACATTCTATTGATTTCAAGTATAGTTGTTGTTTTGTCATTGATTGTCCATTAAGTGTGATTGATGAACCACTTGAAAGTGTCACTGCAAGGTTATAATATGAATCTGAATATGTTGGATCACATTCTATTGATTTCAAGAATAGTTGTTGTTGTGTCATTGATTGTCCATTATTAAGTGTGATTGATGAACCACTTGAAAGTGTCGTAGCAAGGTTATGATATGAATCTGAATTGGTTGGATCACATTCTATTGATTTCAAGAATAGTTGTTGTTGTGTCATTGATTGTCCATTATTAAGTGTGATTGATGAATCACTTGAAAGTGTATTTGCAAGGTTATGATATGAATATGAATATGTTGGATCACATTCTATTGATTTCAAGTATAGTTGTTGTTTTGTCATTGATTGACCATTATTAAGTGTGATTGATGAACCACTTGAAAGTATATTTGCAAGGTTATTATATGAATATGAATTGGTTGGATCACATTCTATTGATTTCAAGTAAAGTTGTTGTTGTGTCATTGATTGACCATTATTAAGTGTGATTGATTCACCACTCGAAAGTGTATATACAAGGTTATGATATGAATTTGAATATGTTGGATCACATTCTATTGATTTTCAAGAATAGTTGTTGTTGTGTCATTGATTGACCATTATTAAGTGTGATTGATGAACCATTTGAAAGTGTCGTAGCAAGGTTATAATATGAATCTGAATATGTTGGATCACATTCTATTGATTTCAAGTAAAGTTGTTGTTGTGTCATTGATTGTCCATTATTAAGTGTGATTGATGAACCACTTGAAAGTGTTAATGCAAGGTTATTATATGAATATGAATATGTTGGATTACATTCTATTGATTTCAAGTAAAGTTGTTGTTGTGTCATTGATTGTCCATTATTAAGTGTGATTGATTCACCACTCGAAAGTGTATATACAAGGTTATGATATGAATTTGAATATGTTGGATCACATTCTATTGATTTCAAGTATAGTTGTTGTGCAGTCATTGATTGACCATTATTAAGTGTGATTGATGAACCACTTGAAAGTGTCACTGCAAGGTTATAATATGAATCTGAATATGTTGGATCACATTCTATTGATTTCAAGTAAAGTTGTTGTTTTGTCATTGATTGTCCATTATTAAGTGTGACTGATGAATCACTTGAAAGTGTCTTTGCAAGGTTATTATATGAATATGAATTGGTTGGATTACATTCTATTGATTTCAAGAATAGTTGTTGTTTTGTCATTGATTGTCCATTATTAAGTGTGATTGATTCACCACTTGAAAGTGTATTTGCAAGGTAATTATATGAATTTGAATATGTTGGATCACATTCTATTGATTTCAAGAATAGTTGTTGTTGTGTCATTGATTGACCATTATTAAGTGTGATTGATGAACCACTTGAAAGTGTCGTAGCAAGGTTATGATATGAATTTGAATATGTTGGATCACATTCTATTGATTTCAAGAATAATTGTTGTTGTGCAGTCATTGATTGGCTTGATGACATTTAAATATAATAAAAGTATTAATTATATATAAATAAAGGGTATTGTTTTAAATTTATTGGTGATAAAAAATTGTACGTGATTTGAATAAAAAATTCAAATCAAAGTTTACATTTAATGAAATTTTTATTTTTTTTTTTTTGCAATACAGAAAATTTAAAGGGGTAAACAATCAAAAAAAAAAAAAACAAATTAAACCGAAAAAAAAAAAAAATTTAAACAATTGAATATCTATCTATTTACTTTTTTTTTACGTATGTTATAGACAGTGTACACTACCTGTATATCTGGATACCTAGTATTTTAACCTCTTGGTTAATAGCTGCCTTTATGTTATGGTAATTTGGTAACGGCAACACTCAATCGTATGTTCTCAGTTGGAGTGCTACTGCTCACAGTGAGCTTCGAAGTTATCAAAAACCATGAGTGTTTCCATGCATGTCTTTCTTGGCCGATTCAAACAATTGTTGCTTCAACTGATATTAACCAATGAGAGCAGAGGAATTAGTAGGTAAGGTTGTAGCTGGTTTGGCAAAGAGCGATTCTCCGTGTTAATTGCTATTGTAGTTCATTCCGTAAGTAAATTACTATCTATCATCGAAAGATATTTTACACTTTTTAACCACTTGTTTTTACAGAACTGTTAGAACACTCAATGAATAATTACTGTACGGGCATCGATGCCAACTAATAATCTTTTGAATAGAGAAAAACAATGCTTTGCAAGAGCCATGCTGGCTGACATTTCGATCAGAGGTCTAATGTTTATTCCGTCGAACTTGGCTGTTGGTGTTTCAGAGGGTAACGTCCAGTGCAGTGTTTGGTGGTCGTGTCAACAACACATTACTAGACCGGTCTGATAGTAAGTAAAGGTCATATCCAATCCAGAGTTGTGTTCTAACTGTGTTAGTGTGCTTATCACAACCTTCAGTTGTTCATTTACCCATTTTTTTATTTTATTTTATTTTAAAATGTTCATATTTTATTTAAATTTGTGTTTAATTAAAACATAGTTGGTTGCTTTAGTATGTTGACTTCTATTGGAAATTAGTTTGAATTTTACAGTTTTAACCCTTGCCAGTGGCTGATCAGGCTGGCTGTTCCGGTGATTGAGGATCGAATGATCTTATTTAAAGTGTAGGAGTGGTCTCTGATGTCTAGCTGCTTCAGATAGTAGGGTAGGTCGTGGACAGTAGGTTGACCTTCTTTGGTTGTCTCTGTGTTGTATGTACCAAAGGCACCAATGATTATAGGTATTACTGCTACATTGTGGTCTGGGTTACTCTTCTTAAGTGCGGCTGCTAGTGGTTGGTATTTTTCAATCTTATCTCGGCTTCTTTTAACAATGTTGTTATCATATGGTACTGATAATAATTTAAATTTTATATATTAATAAAAAAAATAATATAAAATATAATAAAATTTTCATTTTCTTTTCTTTTTTTTTTTTTTTGTCAAAAATGATCATTTAACAAATCAAAGAAATCGGACTCATAATCGAGGTATTAAAAGTTGTATTTAAAATACTGTATAGAATCATAATAAGATCTATATTTCAAATTGGCACAACTACTACTACAATTTTGATAAAGAAGAGTGTATCCGGATATATACCAATTGCCACCAATGATATTTTCAAATAAAAAAATTTAAAAATAAAATAATACTTTTATTACAAATTTGATTAGAAGATTGTCTTTGCGATTTAATTGGTAGTTGTAAATGTTGTTGTTCAAATTTTATATTTTCTCTTCTTTAGATTCTCTTGTTGTTTGATTGCGATATAATTATCGAGAAACTCTAATGATGTTAAAGAATTCGGTAAACTATTTTCGAGTATCGACTGATATTTGACAATTTTATAGAGAGGAATATCTCTGTTATCCAATATCCATTGTGCTATCGAGAGATCATATTCCAGCAAGTCCAAAAACAAATCATCATTGATCACATAGTCTTTGCACTCTTTTCGATTCATGAGTAACCATCCTACGACATTGAAATGATTGTTTTCCAGGGCATATGTAATCAACCAATGATTACATTCTATTGAACTACAGTTTTCCAATATCCATTTGATAGCGTCTAGATTTCCATATTTAGCTGCTCTCGAAATAATATCTGGATTTGTAAACTTCAATTCAGTTTGATTTTGACGAAGCCATTTCATAACTTTTAAGCTTCCAGCATGGTCTACTGCAAGTTTTGTACATCTTTCAGTGCGATTCTCCTTGAACCACTGTAAAACTTCAATGTGTCCATTCATTGCTGCCTGATCCAATGCAAAATTTTCACAACCTTCAGTTCTATTCTCATGTATCCATCTTATAATATTAAGATGGCCTTTCTTTGCTGCAAATCCCATTGCGTCATTTGAACAACCTTCCGTTCGATTGTGATGCAGATACTCTAGTATATCCATATAATTCTTCTTTGCTGCCATATCCATTGGTGAAGTTGAACATTTGAATGTAGCATTTTCAGTCAACCATTTAACCATCTCCAAATTGTTGTTTTTAACAGCTTGATGTATTATAAGACTACCAAAGTATGTAGTGTACAACATTGGACTATTTTCAACCACCCATTTCAACATTTCAAGATTATTGTTGTTGGCTGCATTCGTGAGTGCTCTAACATCAATTTCTAATTGATACTGATTGTGTAGTAGCTTCATTATTTCAAGACTGTCAGCCCTTGCTGCACAGTTAATTAAATTTGCAGAGTTAGTTGAGTCTAAACTCTTTGGATAGTGTTCCAAAAGATATTGAGCAAACTCGATATTACCACCTAGAACCGATTTACGCAATAGATATGATGCTTTAAAGATATCAAACTTGTTGGCGATCAGCCATTTGAACATATCGATTCTCCCTACAAAAGCAACATTATCTAAGATTAAACTGCAGTTATACATACTAATCCTTTGATGGCCTGGCAAGTGTTGTATATAAATCTTGGTGAGATACTGAACCATTTCCAAATTATGTGATTTCGGTGAGATTTCAAATAGTTGGTAAATCAAATCTTCATCGACTGACTCCAATAGAAATCGTATAAAATCGATTCGATCGTGAATAACTGCTTTCTTTCCAATCTTGCTTAATATATCTTCACTTTCGTCTAAGAAATCATAGGTTCTTTTAAGTATCTTGAACAAATCCCACATATACATGAAAATATCGAATCTGCCAGCAACTACTGTTTTCATAAACGCTAGCGTTTGATCATACATAAGATGATCATCGTGAAACAATATATGATCAAGATTCTGTTGATAATATTGTTTTAATTGATCGAAATATCCATAGGTGATCATCATCTCTGGTGATCTGATGACGCCAAGCCATGAATAAACATCACATTCATATCGATCGTTTATCTCGTTGACTTGATTGAATATATATTTATTTAATACTAAATTATTGAATACTCTTGAAAATATCTCTTTATTCATTATTAATTATCTATTATTCTAGGTAAAGTTAATATTCATTATATAATACTTTATTGAAATAAATTTATTTCAAAAGAAATCGATGTGTTTGTTCAAATTAATTAATTAATTTTCATTTTTTTTTTTTAAAAAAATGTTCATCTCTTCACATAGTTTGTGTAATAGTTTGACTTGAGTAGAGTGATACCATTTTAATCCAATCACTAGACATATACCAGAAATATAAAAAGTTGTATTTCATAGAGAAAATAAAAAAAAAAAAAAGACATCATTTAGTTGGTGGCAATTGTAACTAACTTTCTATCCGCTAATAAGATACAGATATAGAATCTATTCTTGTTAAGAGAACAATTGCATATATCTATAGGTAATACACACAATCATTCCTATTCCATACAGGTCTTCTGGTTGAATTCATGTCAATTTCATTACAGATCTGATGTGTTGTCGATGCTGTAATGGTTATGGTCGATAAAGCACTCACTCAACTTAAGTCAAACGCTTGGAGATACAATGCAGGAACAGAATTCGAAAGTTCTCGATAAACTATACATTAATTCAAACTTTAAGATGGATTAACACCGCAGTATTAATAATAATAATGGTGTAATCATTAAAAGAAATAGATCGAGTTGGCACAACAGTACTACTTTGACCAGACGAAGAAGTCACCCAATGATAACTAACGACCCGGTTCAAACGAGAATAATAATAATTGGTGCAAATTAATTTTAAATAAAATACACTGTTATTAATTTTATTTAATGTATTAAATTGATTGTTGTTGTACTGTTTCAAGCTCTATATTTTCTCTTCTTTAGATTCTCTTGTTGTTTGATTGCAATATATTTATCTAGAACTCTGTTTATTCCTCAGATCTTGGTAAATCATATTCAAGTATCGTTTGATATTTGATAAGTTTGTAGAGAGGAATATCATTGTTTTTCAATATCCATTATGCTATTGAATGGTCATATTCCAGCAAGTTTTTTTATAAACACTTTTAAACCTTTAGGAGGTTTGTTAGATATCATTATAAAAATTTTTTCTCATTCATAAGAATAGAAAAAACAAACTCTTTTACTTGATACAAAATTGTTTTAAATATTTTATTTATTGATTCATGTTATTTTCATAGTTGGTATGTAGTTATGGTTATCGTTTAAATTCCGTATTTTCTTTTCTTAAGACTCTCTTGTTGTTTGATTGCAATATATTTATCGAGAAACTCTAATGATTTTAGAGATTTAGGCAAATCATCTTCGAGTATCGTTTGATATTTGACAATTTTGTATCGAGGAATATCTCTATTTTCCAATATCCATTGTGCTATTGAATGGTCATATTCCAGCAAGTTCACAAACAATTTATCATTGACATCAAAGTCTTTGAATCCTTCTCGATTCATGAGTAACCATCCTACAATATTGAATTGATTTTTTTCCAAAGCATTTGACATCGATGTATCGGGACATCTTTTTGATCCATAATTTTCCAATATCCATTTCATTGCGTCTAGATTTCCATATTTAGCTGCTCTATCAATAGCATTGGATTCTGTAATCTGCAAATCAGTTTGATTTTGGTGAATCCATTTCATAACTTCTAAGCTTCCAGCGATGTCAAAAGCAAGTTGTGTACATCTTTCAGTCCGATTCTCCTTGAACCACTTTAAAATATGAACGTGACCATTCTTTGCAGCAAAATCCATAGCAACATTATTACAACCTTCAGTTCTATTCTCATTTAACCATCTTACAATATTTATATGGCCTTTCTTTGCTGCAAATCCCATTGCGTTGAGCGAACATTTTTCCGATGAATTGCGATGTAAATACTCCAAAATATCCAAGCGATTTAATTTTGCAGCAAGATCCATCGTTTCAGTTGAACATGAGAGTTTAACATGTTCAGTTAACCATTTAACCATTTCGAGATTGTTGTTTTTAACAGTTTGACACTTTAATACAATATCATAGACTCTAGTATTTATCTTTGGACCATTTTCAAACACCCATTTCGAAATTTCAAGATTGTTGTTGTCAACTGCAATCGTGAGTAAGTTAATCGTATCAATCTCCACATGATACTGATTGTGAAGAATCTTCATGAGTTCAAGACTGTCTGCGCTAGCTGCACAGACCATAAACTTTTGAAAGTGGTGTGAATCCAATTTCCTTGGATAGTGTACCATAAGATATTGAAAAAACTCGATATTACCACCTTGAGCGGATTCACGCAATAGACGTTTTACTCGAAATTCATCAAACTCGTTAGCGATCGCCCAATTGAACATGTCTAATCTTCCAACGAATGCAACAGTGTTCAAGACTCTGCAGCTATCCTTATCAATCTTATGATGAGCTGGTAAACGCTGTTTATAAATCTTTGCGATATACTGAACCATTTCCAAATTATGTGATTTCGGTGAAATTTCTAATAGTTTGCCAATCAATTCGTGATTCATTAGCGATGACCGAATGGAATCGACTGACTCCAATACAAATCGTATAAAATCCATTCGATCGTGAATGATAGCTTCCTTTCCAACTTTGCTCAATATTCTTTCAATATCGAATAAGAAACTGTATCTTTGGGTTAATTTGAAGAAATCCCACATATAAATGAAAATGTCGAATCTACCAACTTCTATTGTTGTCATAAATGCATTCTCTTGATCATACATAAAATCATCACTGTGATACAATATATGATTTATATTTTGTTGATAATATTGCTTCAATTCATCGAAATATCCATAGGTGATCATCATTTTAGGTGATCTGATGACACCAAGCCATGAATAAACATCACCTTTATATCGATCGTTTATCTCATTTACATGATTGAATATTATTGTATTTAATTTTGATTTGTTGAAGACTATTGAAAATATCTCTTTATTCATTTTTAATTATTTATTCTTTTAAACTTTGTAAAAAAAATACCAAAAAAAAAAATCGTGTACTGATAAAAAAAAAGATATAAATAAAAAAAAAAAAAAAAAAAAGGATTTTGAACTTCATAGAATTTCATATTTAAAATTGAATTCTATCAATATTTATTTATTATTTTGGTGTAGTTGGATACACTTTGGTGAAAACAAAGAGATTTTCATTCTTTGTCCAAAAGCAAATAATCGATACTGTTAAAATTTGCTAAATCAGCCCAAGTTGTTTTGTTTCCAAAAAGGTGACCATCGTTGTTGTTTTTGGATTCCCATGCCTTGATGATTCTTGGTGCAATCTTGTTTTTGTTCATTACCACCTGTAAATACCTTGATAAAAGCATCCAACATATCTGCGACAGACAAGACATAGTTAAATATTTCAGCATTCTGCTCTTGTTGGCACCAAGAAAATTGTATTTTCTGGCATTATAGCTTTCAATAGCCATCGATTGATTGATACGTAGTGAACCATCTTGGTACCATGGAATGTTAACTTGGCACGAATCTCATCTGTCAGTGTATTTTACACCTGAATAGTTTAATAGAATTCTAATTTCTTCACCACGACCTCTGGCATCAAAATATTTGTTTACAAAAATAAATATTATTTTATATATATTGTTAATCATTAGAAAGATGGCGGTTGTCATTAACAGGAGTGATTTCGTATCTGTCTATCCACATTATGTCGATTCGCTATTTTATATCTCACCGGAATCACACAGTTTGGAAATAGTTCAGTATCTCTCCAACAAATATAGAGGGCACTACACATCCGAAACCACAAAAAATGACTTCGAAGTAATAAACTCTGCTTTTGTGGGTAGAATCGATAATATTGAATGGCTGATTGAGAACAAGTACAATCGATTCGATAAATTGGCACTTTACAATGCGGTACAAGGAAATCAAGTGGAAACAGTTCTCTACTTTTTGAAACACCATATATAGAAAGACCCAAAACTTTATAGTTCACAACTAATTGATGCGGCAGCAGAGAATGATAATCTTGAACTAATGAAAATACTTCACCAACATCGTTTTGACATTAGCGTTGATATGGCATCTACATATGCAGTTCGTAACAACAATCTGGATATGTTGAAATGGATTGCTGAACATGATCGGGTACAAGAGTATAGCGATAGATTAATGACGGAAGCAGTTAAAAAAACAATCTCGAGATGGTTAAATGGTTAACTGAACATACGAATGCCGAATGTGATTACGAAGTAATGTATATTGCAGCAAAATTGATCGCTTGGATATTTTACTTTTTGTTTATAAAAATAAATATATGAAAATTAAATATTGTAGAATCGATTGCTTGGCCATGATAGAATGGAATGCAATAAATATCTTACAGAGTGTTTTATTGCAGAATAAAAAGTAAATTTATCCTAAAAATAAACATGTTGAATGATTGCACTTTGAAATTTCAAAATAGTAAATCATCTTTTCGTTGATCGAGTGTTCCTTTTGCAAACACTGTCTATGGAATTAACATCGATCAACACTATGCATCTTATTTTTTGGGAATTTCGAAAGAATTCGTTCCATTCAGATTTTAAAATTTGAGATATTTTTTACAATTATGCAAAGATTTTTTTTATTTATAATATCAAAAACAGACGACTGTTTGTTTTGTTATTGATAAGATCAATCTAATACTTAAATACATACATACATATACATAAATAAAAAAAATGACTTCAGCATTACTTAAACCTTTAGTAGTAGTCACCGGAGCATCAAGTGGATTTGGGTAAGTAAAAAAAAAAGCATTACTAATTATTGTTATAAACAACTAAAGTCTAACAAACGATGTATATTATTATAGTGTTGAGATTGCAAAGTTATTCAGTGCAGCTGGATATCCATTGTTGTTGGTCGCTCGTCGTTTAAAGTTGATGCAAGCACTAAACCTACCAAACACTCTCTGCAAGGAAGTGGATGTCACCGACTACAAGCAATTTGAATCCGCTGTCAGAGAAGCTGAAGCCGTCTATGGAAAGTGCGATCTTATGATTAACAATGCCGGTGTTATGCTCCTCGAGAAGATCTGGGATCAAGACATCGAAGAGTGGCACCGTATGTTGGAGGTCAACTTGAAGGGTGTCATGAACGGCCACAAGATTGTGATGCGTGACATGATCGACCGTCGTCACGGTACCGTCATCAACGTGTCATCGATCGCCGGTCGTAAATCGTTTGGAAATCACGCTGCCTACTGTGCCACCAAGTTTGGTGTTCACGCACTCAGTGAGACCGTTCGTGAAGAGGCCGCACCCTACAATGTTCGTGTCATGGTGGTTGCACCGGGTGCTGCCGAGACCGAACTCCTCGGACACTCCACCAACGAATCGATCGTTGAAGGCTACAAAAGCTGGAAGGCATCGACACTCGACCAAGGAATCTCATTGGATCCAGTACACATTGCCAGCTCCTGTAAATTCATGTATGAAATGCCACAAGAAGTCAATATCCGTGAACTCGTATTGGCTTCCACCAAGCAAAACGCTTAAACCCCTTTGCAAAAATTCACAAAATCAACACACATTGTTGTTTAACTAATACACACACTAATAATGATAAATAAATAATAAAAACATAAAATAAACTTTTAAAATTAAATCTATCTTATTCACATGAACAACACACCCATGCTTTTATGATCTTTTTTGGTTTTTCTTTTCTTTGAAAGAATGAATCTACATAAACTAATGTTTTAAATTGTGTGGGTTAAAAAAAAAACAAACAACAAACCTTGTGTTTTAAATTAGTTTGGTTTTATTTTGTTGTTATCAAAGAAAGATAGATAGATATATAGATGTTATAGTAGTTGTATAGATTATTTATTGGATATTTGTGTGTTTATTTATATTATTTAAAAATTTAATAAAAGGATGGATTCATTACCTGTTGAAACACTTTTATTAATATTTAAACAATTCAATGTTAGAGATCTTTTGAATCTATCTTGTACTTGTAGATATTATTTGGAGGTAGCAAGTGATGAGAAGCTGTGGAGGAATCTATATGAATTGGATTTTATAATAAAAGATAAAAGTAAAAAGACAAATAGCAATAATAATATTTCATTGGATGAATTATTATTATCACTCGATCATCCATCTCCGATCATATCAACCAATAAGTTTAGTAAACAACAACAACGAAACAACGAAATACATGACATTATACCAACAAACGGTTGGAAAAATGAATATAAAAAGAAATCTATAAAGTTTAAATCTAAAGGTATGTAGAATATATTAATAGATTAAATATAATAACAATCTCTAAAGTATTTACTTATTATTGTTATTTAAAAAGAGTTATTTAAAATGATAAAAGAAGGTGTAAATATAAAATGGTTATTAGATATGCATGTAAAGATGAATATATATATAAAGAATTTGGAGAATTTGATGATCAGAGCGGTTGAGAGTGAAAGACCAGAGTTGTTAAAGTGCTTACTAAAGTACTCGCGAGACTACAGTGCAAACCCACTCGTTGGTAATAAGTGTCTTACCAAGAACTATCTGCGATTGGTATACGATAGTTGTTTAAAGTATAACAGTCAGGCGTGTCTGAAGGTGTTGTTGGATTACAGCAACGATATATCAATCAATAACACTGTCAGTAGTGCAGGTAGCAATGTTTTCACTACTGGATTATTGCTGGTTGGAAAATCACCGAAACTATCGACCACCGATGTAATTCACTCCGAGATATCCTATCACCCGAGAGCATACAAATTGAACCTACAAACAATCAGTTTGCTAATCGATAAGATTGTATCTCAACTCACACTGTTCCTCTGCGCACAAACAGGCAATGTATCGTGTCTACAAGAGCTTATTCAAGTCGATCACGGATCGATACTCTTATCGAAAGTAACCGGGATCTGGGATTACGGTGATGAAATCAATGGTTTATCGATGTTGGCACGCAAAACCATTAAACCATCCTACCATATCACCACTATGTATAGTTATGCTAACAGCAACAACAGTAACAGTAACAGCAATAACAATAATGTAGATGTTGAATCGATTCTAAAGGTGTTGGATGTTGATCTTTCTAGACATGCAATGATTGGTAAATCATTGAAACCGTTTGCACAGCAGTGGGATCCAGAGTGGAGCTCTTTCACGCCGCTTCACTGGGCTGCGTATGGTGGTTATGTAAGCTCGCTCAAAGTGTTGCTAAAGTTTGGTGCTCGATTGTCTGCCTTGACCTCTAGGGGTAGAACAGCACTGGACATTGCACGAGACAATCTACACACGCCCGCAGTCACCTACCTGGAGAAACAACTTGCCAAACAGATAAAGTTGTCGGATTTCGATCAGTTGAAAGAGATGGTAAAACAAGGTGACTCGATCGGTGTCAATCATTTCATGAATAGCTATCTCTTTGAGAAAGATGTCACCGTCATTGGAAATCAGTCAATAGTGATGGATCTGCTAAGATTCACAATCGTCCAAAATCAACCAAACATCTTTGTAATGTTGTACAATACTTTGCTTCCAAATAATAACAGCACGCCTATTGAATCGCTTACCGTCGATCAAGATGAGAATACACTCCTGCATGTTGCCTGCACTCTTGGTAGAGTTGAATGTTGTAAGTTGATACTAGAGAGATGCGCCAATGTCGATGTCTTCAATAGAGTACTGCAGTCACCTCTGATGTTGGCCATCGTTCATAAGCAATATCCTTTGGTTCCGTTGCTTTTGAATTCCTATGCTTCTCCAATATTACGTGGCTGGAAAGGTATGAGCGCATTGATGTTGGCGGCAGACTCTGATCCCGAAACCTTTGAACAGCTATTGAACGACCAGCGACTGAATCTATCCGATAGGAATTACGATGGTCAAACCATAGTGCATATGATTGTACAACGCAAAAAGACACCACTGGAGAATATGCTATTGTTGGCTGACCTAATTGAGGCTAGCGATGATCCAAAAGCTCTCTATCAGATGCCAGACAAATACAATAATCAACCACTTCATTTAGCAACGAAATCCGGTAACCTACCAATACTCAACTATTTACTGTCATCTCCATTCGTAGATGGTAAAACCAAGTCCGATGTCTACAAACAAATCAAATCACGCGCCGATTCCAATCAAGATGTTGTTCAATGTTTTGAGCAATACTATCACCGTTCGAATATTACCATACCTACCGTAGCTACCACCGAAAATGTTAATGAGACTAGATATAAAAACAACGACATATTCACTCGCCTTTCATCGTGTACGATACAAACCGATCAAGTTGCAGATATCTGTAGAAACAACCCAACCACAACAAATCAATTTTCATTTATTTCAACATCTAAAGTAAGTATATACTTTGTTCGTTAGTTTCATTTATTTAGTTGAAAACTAATCGTTTTTTTTTTCTTAAATAATTGTTAGCTTCTAAATACACATTTGGTTCTTGGTAAATATGATGTTGTTGCATCACTTATGACCTATTTAACACATTACCAAATCGGTGGAATCTTAACATTTTTGATTTCAGAGAATGAAAAGAAGTTATCAGAGATAAAGTGGTTCATCGATAGAGTGGAGAATGAAATTCGGACAAGAGAGAATGCTAATTTCTATTCAACTAGCATGTACTCGATTATTGAAAAGGACAATAGGTTACTTCTTGAATCGTTCGAATCCAATATGTCTCAATTCCCAATTTGTTTGGAGACTGCTTTTAAACACTCAAGCTACCGATGTGCTCGGCTTTTGCTCGAGCGATACTCAGGACCAGCTGGCAGCGTAGAAGAGCAACAAGCCACAATCAAGCAGCTTGAACGATGCACACTAAAACATTTCGATCAATTCAAAGAGATGGCCAAACAATTTGCTATTCCGTCGAACGCAATGCAATTTTCAAACAATAGTTTGTACTCTGGCTATGGCTATGGCTATGTGACGACACCGACAGAGACAGAGATGGCGATCGCGAAAGTAGCGGACTTCAAAGAGATCGCTGACAATGGCAAGCAAATAGAGTGTCAAGATTGCCATATCAAAGTCTATGAAACCAATCTTCAAGACCACCAGATTGTTTGTTTGTATCGCTTGGCTACATGTCCGAACGCACAACATGGATGTCAAGCTGGCCCGCTTCCAAGAGAGAAACTATCGGATCATCTTTCCAGAGAGTGTACCTACATGGTTTGCACTGAGTGCGACAAGTCATTGACAAGAGCCGAATTCTTTAGGCATATTCACGAAAAACATGACACTGAAACATGGACACATTGTGTTTTTTGTAACCAAATGTTGTCCGGTTTTAAAATGTCACTCTCTGATAGAATTATTCATATCAATAACAATTATAACAACACATTACCTGTGTTCTCAACATCATCAAGCGAATACTATCATATTAGGAACGAATGCAAATCGATCGTAACTCAGTGCCATTCATGTAATCTGAGTTTCACACCAAGACAATATGATGACCATCAATGTTTTGAAGGTTGTTAACAATATATTTGTAAAAATAAAATTATATATTTATTTATTTATTTATTTATTTTAAATAACAAAATATTATCTTTCTACAGATTTTTCCTTTGTTTGTTTATGCTCAAGAAAGAGGTAACGTGCTTTTATTTTAGTGGTATCTGACTTTCCTACCCAATTGCGACCCTATATCTATCTAATATCTTTGTAGTATGGGACTGATGTTGATATTTATTAATAGAGGTTGATTTGATTCTTTTCCTAAATAAGAAGTGGAGCAGAAACCAAACTTTATTTAAAATAAATAAAACGACAAGAGTATGAAAATAATAAAGTACTCAATACATAAACTTTATTTTAATTGATAGTAGAATTTGCAGACAATGAAAGCTACTAAGCAAATGGTTCAAATATATCACAGAATTAGTCTTCCTTACTTTGATTCCTCATTGAGGAATGCTGTACTTTACATGGCTTCTAACAATAATTCTTGCCAAACAAACACTACTTCCTCCACTGGTTTTCAACATCTACTTCTATCACTTCAGATACTTCAATACTGGAACCAGCGACTCTTCAAACTTGAAATCAAACTCAATTGTAATGAATTCAATTTTTTCACTTTTGACTTAGACTGCAATTATTGTTATCACTATGATGACAACCAAAATAATGTTTTTTTGGCTATCGATATTGAAAGTGGTGATGAAAAAGTGCTGGAATCTATTTTTACAACAGATTCAGGCGTGAATGGTTTCACTCATACAACAAGCATCGAATTACGATTGACTTTTCAAAACTAGATTCCAACCCTATAATATCTTCATTTAAGATTCATACACAAATTCTCTTGTATTATATAAAATAAACTATTACAAATAAACAAATTCTATTGAAAGGTATATTACCACATTTACTAAATATAATTTTCATATATATGAATATGGTCTTGATTCAGATATGGATTATCTATTTATAAATAAAAATAAATCCATTAAAATAAGGAAAAATTTTATTTTGAAAATGTGAGCTCTATCTTTCTAAAAGATTTTTTCACTTGCTTGTTCAAAGTCACTATCTTTTATTTTTATTGTTTTGTATTTTTTAAAAATCTTGAACTTTCAAAATCATCTAGATTTGAAATTTCCAAATGAGGGACAACTTGTGGACCACTCTAGAAAAGTTACAAACACTTTCCTTTTCAAATGATTGTCGATAAATATGTAGAGTTTACATTTTGCTGATAGTTTTATTAAAAAATGATATTTTCATTGATTCTATTATTGTCATTGTTGCTTACAACTATGAATTGTAGTCTAGAGGTACCACCAGTTGGAAGTAGTGGTGTTTATGCATCATATACTAATGTTCTATATGAAGCTCACCTAACTGTAAATGAATTACAAGCAAATGGTAAAAAGAAATAGTTTGTAAGCATTCAAATAAAGTTAATACTAAATTATATATGGGAATCTATTATTAGGTACACTTAACCGAATATTAAAATTGATTGGATTAGATGAACAATATATGGGTCCAATGGTATCAAGTACCATTGATAAAGCAAACAATATACTCTATGTAACTGGATATGCACCTGATAATGCAAAAGATACTGTAAGTAAAATAATGATAATTTAATTTATCTTTATATTTCTAATTTAATATATCTACAACAATAATTATCAAAAAAGAGTGTTTTTCTACATACAATTGATCTTACAACAAACACTCAAACTGCCAAAATATTGTTGTCACCAAAAAATGAACCAGAGGCATTTATGATGAGTCAGATACAATATGATTCAACCTATGGTCTGATTGGTCTATTTACTTGCTGGACATCAGATGGTGATCTCTATTCCTATCTTGGAATCATCAACATCACCAGTGGTAGTGTTAATTTCTATAATAAAACTGTAAGTAATAAAATAGATCTATATATTTAAATAACTTTTAGTATTTAATTTAATAAAACCTACTCTATTTTATTTATTATAGTTTGAAACTACATTATACTCATTTGGCTACAATGAAAAGAATGCAACTCTCTATTTTGTAACTTCCAGTGGCCAAGAAAATACTGTTATACAATTCGATTTGTCATTAGGTGCTATCGTTAGCACCAAATCGATTTCCAAACCATGGTTAATAACTATTGCAAACAATGCTTTATTTGTACCCGGTGTTGATATGTTAGTAGTAAATGATTACAATCATTTTAATGTTTATTTGGCAATCGATATTGTCAGTGGTGATGTAAAACCACTGCAATCGATTTTTCCAATGGATTCGGGTGTGAATGCTGTCACTCATACAACAACGGGACAACCCAACATCGTATTATCAATCATACAACGATCATCCGATCAATTGGTTACAATTGACTTTTCAAAACTGGATTCCAACCCAATAATATCCTCAATCAACATGAACACTGATATATACATAAATTCTCTTGTATCATATTAATTAAACTCTTAACAAAAACAAATATTTAGAGAGAGTAAACCTTCCTACCACTACCACACTCACACACCAAAGTTGAACATAATTATAATCAATTTAAAATTTAAAAGTGTACACTTTTTTTTATTCAATAAAATAAAATTTTCTATTTTATAACTAATTAGTAATGCAAAGAGATCTACCAAGATTTCTACAATTAAAGATCGTTAGATATCTACTTTATGATGATCCAGATCGTAGTAGAGATGATTGTAGTGAATATACATACTTTAGACGGTGGATGTTTAAGATTGCTTTTGTTTGTAAAGAATGGTTTGCCATGGTCAGAGATACAGTCGATGGTTTGCATGCTATCGAGCTTTGGAGATATGATGATGCCGACAGAATCATAGGTGATTGGATCTCTGGAGTTCCATCATCAAAGTATTCTATCATTCAAACGGTACGCGCATTATCAATATCAGAGGATACAAATTCAACATATTCAATGGAAGCAATACTCTTTGGTTATGAGGAAGAAGGAAATGAAGATAAAGATGATAAAGATACTGAACAAAATGAAGAACCTAGAGTTTCCCCGCTTCGACATATTACTCTGTATGCAGATCAAGAGGATGCAGAATACTATACCGATTTGGCTATGGATGCATTGCAACTTCCGAAATACAGGTTGATCAACTCTGTCACACTACGTGGAATGTATACCAGTGAAGATAATGTCAGTAGTATATTCATGAATGGTATTAGAAAGTTGGAAAACATTAAAAAGATAAACGTTCTTGTCAATACTGAGGTGGAAGAAACCTGTAGAAACACATGGAGATTGGCATCGTTATGCACTCATTTGACAAGTATAACAATCGATACTAAATATGGTTTGGAAATAGAATATCTTCCTGGTTTCTTTTCTCAACCGTTGTTGGAGCATTTGGATATCAGCGATCATGAAGTAGATTTGTGGAATAAGATTGAAGATGGTCGTAAATCAATACCAACAGATCTTTACAACTTAATCTCTGGAAACAAGTCGATAAAGAGTCTAAGTTTGGTGTTCCATTCTCCTGAATCACCTCAATATGTGGAGATGCTCTTCGATGCATTGTCTCAAAACAAATGTATCACAGATCTCAGTCTAGACTACTCGTTGTTCTACACATCAACCATTCGTACAAATATCCTAAGTCAGACACTAAAGTCACTTAAATTACAGACAATGTATATATCGAAAAAATGTAAGTATATATCCACCAAATTAAAATCCATCCATCATAAATCATTAGGATTTAGCAATTAATAACAATTGTACAGATGATTATAGCAACACAAATAGTTCATTATTAGAGATAATCGCAACCAATACACATCCTAATTTGGAATACATTAACATTAACTATGATAGTAGCTATCTTGACAAAAAAATGAAACATATTACCTTTGATGACCTGAAGATTGCAAAGTCAACAAACAAAACAATCAAGTATTTTCCATGCAAAATAAACTTTTCTGACAAATTATTATAATCATTTGATTCTTTTATTATTTTGTTTAATCTCTGAATCTGTATCGGACGTATGGAACTTCGGCATCCTCATCATCGTTGTCCATGTCGGAGCAACAAATTTCAAATACTAAATATTTCTTCTCTGGTAATGGTTTCTTGCTGAGAGTCTCATAAAGTACACTCATCTTGGTCTTTAATCTGTCTTCCTTTGTCTTCTTATCAATAAACATGGCATACATGAGTGTGACTTGACAGGAGATCATACTGATATCCAATCTGTATTTCTTTTGGAAGTGATCGAGGAACTCTGCCAAAGTGATATCACCTTCGACATCGAATCTGTCCCACAATGTGAATTGCCATCCCTCACGTACCTTGTTCTTGGCTGGAGCAACTGGCTCAATGAAAGCGAAAAATGGAATGGCAAGATTGAGGAAAGCGTTTTTGTAGGCATCGATTGGTTTGTTTTGGATGACCTTGAGGAGCTCAAGACATACGAGACCAGAGACCAAAGCAGTGGTGGTAACCAAAGCTGGAATGATCTTACCGGCGATACCCTTGGTCTTGTGACGATCGGCGAGTGTGATGTTGTAGTTGGTGGCACGGAGGTTGGAAGCGGCGGTAATGAAATCAATGTGGAAGTTGGTGTCATCGTCCTTCTCAAAGGAGATTGGGTTGATCTTGTAACCTGCCAACTCGGATGGGTGTGGGATCTCGTTGAGTACCTTGTCGGTTTGGTCGTCGTCACCGTCGTTATGTTGTTGTTGTTGTTGCTGTTGTTGTTGTTGCTCGGTCTCGTTGGTGGAGATCTTTACCTTCTTTGGAGTAAAGTCTGGCACAATGACATCGGTAGCCCACTTTTTGATTTGTTCGGCGTTCGAGTCACCCTTGATACCGTAGTTGTAGGCACGCAAGTTGGCGGCAGCAACGACGAAATTGAGGTGGAGTGGGTTGGATGGGTCAAACTTGAGTGGAGTTGGAGCACGCTTTGGACCGGACCAGAATGGACTTCCGGTGGTGGTGATCATGTCTCTTGGGAAATTGTAGAGCAACTGTTCGATGTTGTTGTTGTAGAGCTCTTCGAATTTCAAACGAGCCCAGTTAACGCATTGCTCGAAATTGAGTGGCTTACCGAGGAGCGACGACTTGATTTGTTGGAGGGTTTCAAGACGGACGTGGCTGTTTTGCTTTTGGAGACCATCAATAAAGGTTGGATTGGTGAGGTAGGAGTTGACATTGTCGGCAGAGTTCTTGTAGATACCCTCAAAGAGATCACGAGCCCATTGGATGGTGTGCTCGATGGCATTGGGGAAGTTGTGGAGAGTGCACATTGGGATCGACTTTTCGGGTGGATCACGCGATGAGCTGTAGGACTCTGTAAGCTTTGGAACTACGACTTGGGTGTTGGCTTTGGTTCCGAGAGTACCAGACTCCAAGAGTGGCTTACCGTAGAATACACACTGACTGTCCATGTACATACGAGCGTCGATATTGTCGAGGGCGTTACAAACACCGTCGAGTGAATTGTAGAAATCTTCGTTGTAGGTATTCTCAGTCTCTGGACCGACACGAGTGGCATAGGACTTGATGTTGACCGATGGATTCATGACCTTGACGGCACGAGCGGCACACTCTGACTTGAGATGATTGATATCGGAGGAACGGAAGAGGAATTGACGATTCAAATTTGACTTTTCAATGGTATCCATATCGGTGACGTGAATCATACCATTCTCACCGCAACCGAGACCCATCATCGAGAAGTTCTTCAACATCTCACAACCGATGGCACCGGCACCGACCAAGAAATATTTTAGATTTTCGATACGCTTCTGGAGGGTGGCACCATAGACAGCGATTTGTGCGTCGTAACGGCTGTTTTGTGGTTGGAATTCAGACTCTGGCAATTCTTCGGTTGGGAGTGTTTCGATGGCATCGAAATACATTAATTGGGTGATTGGGTGGAACTTACCAGAGGCAGCCTTCAAGACTTCTTGACCGGTGATACCACCGATGACAGCAGCCAAACCGACAGTGTCACCAGAGGCAACAAACGAGAGTTGTTCAATCAACTTCTCCTTCAACTCGATATCCAACTTGGTGGCGAACTCCTTGGCGGTCTTCAACACCTCTTCGGCGTCTTGCTTGTTGTGTGGACGTGGGAAGTGCTTGTGAGTTTCGTTGAAGGCGTGGATCGCTTGGAAACCAGCCAACAAGGTGTATGGATGATCAAACTTGAAATCGTCAGAGGTGAACAAACCTTCGGCCTTCTCGAGGACGGTCTTCAACGGTTGGAAGTTGACAGTCTTTGGCTGCTTGACCTCGGTGACGTAACCACCGTTGGTGTACAGACCGAAAGCGCTGGTGTCGCCAATCGAGAAGGTGTATGGTGAGATGACCTTGATCTTTTGTGGTGGCAAATCGTTCAACTGAGTCATACCGTTGATCTCCTTGAAGGTGATAAAGTCACCGTCTTGCAACTGGAGCTTCTGTTCGTCGACCAGAGTGACGACACCGGTCTTGTCTTGTGAGACGGCACTGACCATATAGCTTGCTGGGTTCTCACCGTTGGTGTCGACCACTTGGAATCCCTCGCCAAAATCATTGAAAATTGAACCGAAAACACCACGAGTCTCCGAGGCAATGAACTTGATCTTATTTCTATGACAGATTTCGTTGATACGAAGTTGAGTCGACAAACTCTGATTGGCGAGTACGACCACTTGGAATCCACTGAGGAACTCCTCGGTCAACTCACCAGTGTGAGAGTTGATTCTAACGTAATTATTTAATTCTACAACTTTTTGAATGCATGCATCTGATCTTCTTTTGACCAATTTGTGATTCTGATAAATAAAACTAAAGAAGAAAAAGAAAAAGAAAGAAATAACAGTTAGATTTGTTTTGTTTTGTTGTTCGATGAAGATTAAAGAATGTTAAATATTTACTTGTGAAGAAAGATCGGTAATTCTAACGGGTTCGTCATCATAGAGAGTAACAGATTTAACACCAGCAAGGACTACATCCTTTACGATTTCAATACCAAGACCTGTCAAACCAACAACCAATACATTGGTTGAAGTGATCTTTTGCATTGCCTCATGTGATAATACATAAAGTTGTCTACTGTACAAAGCATCATCAATCTTTTGTTCTACTTCCATTTTATCTGTAGTTTTATTATTAGTTTGTTGTTGTTGCTGTTGTTTAAAGAAATAACTATAAATATAATTCATTTTATATGATTATTTATTATTATTGTTTATATCCGATTAAAAATTATTGTTTACAAAAAAGTTGTTGTATTTACAAAAATTTAATATTTAAATATATATATTAAATCTATGATTTGATTATTATTGTTGTTGTTGCTATTTATTATTGCTATTGTTTGTTATTGTTTTTGCGCTTTATATAATGATTCAATGATACATACATTTAAAGGTATTTATAATTCAAGAAATAAGAAAAAACTATTAAAAAAAACTATCTGTTAATGTTGGTATAAGTGATGAAGAGTGTGGGTGTGAGTGTGTGTGTTTGTGAATTGGAATGAGTCAGAAGCTAACTTATATATTAACTAAATAAATCAAATACAAATAATATTATTGAGATATTAAGTTATCTTCGAACTTTCTTAATTTAAAAAAATAAAAATAAATTTTCAATATTGACTGGATATGAGTGTATTGATGTTGTTTGTTGTGTGAACTCAATTAAATTTAATTTAAATCCAAAAAAAAAAAAAAATTTTATTGAAAAAAATGGAGTGGTTTTTATTGTGAGAAAAATAAAAAAACAAAAATTAAAAAGAATAATGTAGAATGTTTATTTCAAATTTAGATTAATAGGTTTTTTTAAGATTTTTTTTTCTAGAATCAATATAATTTAAATTAATTTCAATGAATTTTAATTTAATTTTCTTCGTTTTTCATTATTAATTTGGACATATATATATATATTTTATTTTTGATTTATCTTTTTATTTAATTTTTTATTTAATTTTTAATTTTAATTTATTTGGTGGTAAGTTTTGCAAAACTTTCGATTGTGTTATCAAGTGTTTTGATTTCTTCGTCGAATGCTTTGAGTTTGCTGTCGTTGTCCTCACGAATCTTGAGTGGAACTTTTTCGTAGGATGGGATGTTGATCTTCTTCAAGAGTGTATCCTTTTGAGTTTGGAGTTGAGTCTTCTTGGCCTCCATTCTTTGGATTTCGGCGGCAAAGTCCATTGAATCAGAGAGATCCAAGAGCAGTGAGACGTTCTCGTTGTAGGTGTCGATGACACAACCTGGACGACCCTCGGTGGTGAGTGCGACCTCGACTTGAGTGGCATTAGAGAGAACCTTGATGAGTGAGGCGTGTCTTGAGTACAAGTTGTTGAGCTCGTCGGTCTTGGTATGGATAAAGGTGGCAACCTTCTTATTGCTGGCGACGTTGTATTTGGTACGGAGCGAACGGATCGCACGGATAATATCTTGACACTTGGTCATTTCCTCTTCGATCGATGGATTGTTCCACTCGGCGACGGTCGATGGATACTTGCACAACATGATGGTGGCGATCGAGTCGGATGGACGTCTTGGGATCGATTGGTACAACTCCTCGGAGAGATATGGCATGAATGGATGCAACAACTTCAAACCGATATCGATACAGGTGTAGAGTGTGTCTTTGGTCTTTTGGGTGGCAGGTGAGCTGTCGCCCTCGGCAAAGATTGGCTTGGTGGTCTCCAAGTAAAAGTCGCAGAGGTCGTGCAACCAGAAGTTGTAGATGGCGGTGGTGACCTGAGCAAAGTCGTAGGCGGCGAAACCTTCCTCGCATTGTTGGATGGCGCGGTTGGCGGCGTTGAGAATCCAGAGGTTGACGGCGTTGGTGTCCTTGACGAGCTCCTGTGGGTTGAAATCGATTGGCTTGTAGTCACCGAGCTTCATCATGGCGAAACGAGTAGCATTCCAAATCTTGTTACAGAAATGACGGTATCCGACAACACGCAAGATATCCAAGTTGATGTCACGACCCTGTGAGGTGTACGCGCAAAGTGCGAAACGCATAGCGTCGGTACCGCACTCTGAGATACCCTCTGGGTAGTCTTGCTTCAAACCGAGCGATGCCTTTTCGTATTCGACTGGATCCAAGTTTCCAGCCTTCAAATTGTCTTGGAGTGACTTGAGTGTGATACCACGAATGACGTCGAGTGGATCGATGACGTTTCCAAGACTCTTGGACATCTTACGTCCGTGAGAGTCACGAACCATTGCATGGAGGAAGATTTGATTGAATGGAAGTTTACCGGTGAGTTGTTGTCCCATCATGACCATACGAGCGACCCAGAAGAACAAGATGTCCAAACCGGTCTCCAACAAGCTGGTTGGGAAGAATTGCTCGAAATCCTTGGTTTGCTCTGGCCATCCCAATGTGGAGAATGGGAACAAACCGGAGCTGAACCAGGTGTCGAGAACGTCGTGATCTTGCTCCAATTGGATATCTTCTTTGGGAACCTTGAATTTGGCGGCGGCAGACTCCAATGCTTCCTCTTGGTTGTTACCGACAACCCATTGGGAAGTGGAGTATGGATCTTCAACAACACCTCTGACTCTGACCAAGTAAGCTGGAATACGATGTCCCCACCACAGTTGACGAGAGATACACCAATCCTTGATGTTCTCCAACCAACGGAACCAAGTAACTTCGTGAGTGGATGGGATGATCTTCAACTCACCCGACTTGACAGCTTCGATTGCCTTGGCGGCCATACCGTCGCATTTGACATACCACTGTGGTTTAATGAGTGGTTCAACAATGTCTTTCGATCTCGAACAGAAACCAAGACGCATCTTGTTGTCCTTCATTCCCTTGTACAATCCGAGCTCCTTCAACGACTCGATAACAGCGTTTCTCGCGTCGAATCTTCTCATTCCTTGGAACTTCTCTCCACCGTTCTCATTGATGAGACCCTCGTCGGTGAAGAGATTGATCATTGGCAGCTTGTGACGCAATCCAGTCTCGTAATCGTTGTGATCGTGAGCTGGGGTGACCTTGACAACACCAGTTCCAAAAGCCATATCGACGAGAACGTCGTCGCAAATAATTGGCAAACGACGATTGACCAATGGATGCTTGACAAACTTACCGTGGAGATGCTTGTAACGTGGATCCTGTGAGTGGATGGCAACAGCAGTATCGGCCAACATTGTCTCGATACGAGTGGTGGCAACGACCAACTGCTCATCGCTATCCTCAACCTGGTAGGCAAACTCAAACAAAACACCAAAGTCATAGGTTCCCTTGTGACCTGGAACCGACATCTTGGTGTGCTTCTCAAGGTCCTTGAAATCGACTTCGATATCAGAGATGGCGGTCTTCAATGCACACGACCAGTTGACGAGACGAGTCGATCTGAAGATCAATCCGTCGTCAAACATACGAATGAAAGCAGTGTTGACCGCTTTGCAACGCTTCTCGTCCATGGTGAATGCCTCACGACTCCAATCGAGAGACGAACCAATGATACGCAGCTGTCCTTGAATACGCGAACCATACTCGTTCTTCCAGTTCCAAACCTCGTTGATGAATCCCTCACGACCGAGATCGTGACGACTGACGTTACGCTCACGCTGCAACTTCTTCTCGACGACGACCTGTGTGGCGATACCGGCGTGATCGGTTCCCGGAATCCACAGGCAGACCTCACCCTTCATACGACGATAACGAGTGATCGAGTCTTGAATTGCCATGGTCAGAGCGTGACCAAGATGCAACGATCCAGTGACATTTGGTGGTGGAATGACCATTGTGAACTTCTTGTCCTTCTGACAGTGTGGTTGAATCTCCATCTGTTTCTCCGGTGAGAAGAATTCGTTTTGCAACCACCAATCGTACCATGCAGATTCTACTGCTGGTGGATGATAAGATGGATACAATTCACCAGTTAACTCTGAGAAATAACAAAAGAAGATGATATCAATATTTAATAACCTTTTTTTAAAAGAAACAAACAAAACTTACGTTTCTTTTCACCTTTTGGTGTTTTCGATGCACGTTCAGCATATTCTCTAAGATTCTTTGCTTCCAACTCTGCTTTTTCTCTCTGTTCAGCTTCTTGTGCTTCTTTCTTTTTCTTATTCTCTAATTCCTTTTCTTTTACTAATTTCTGTACAGATAGATAGATAGATTGATTGTTAGTTATAAAAAAAACTAACTTGTAAGAGAATATGTATATGAATAATTGATAATACTAACAAGTTTTGCTTCCTTTTCAGCAAGCTTTGCCTTTTTAGCTTCCTTTTCGGCTTCCTTGGCCTTTTTCTTTTCTTCTTTCTTTCTCTCCTCTTCGGTGAGAATTGGTTGATCTGTAGTATCACTCATTTTCTTATTTTATAGTTTTCAAAAAAATCTATTAATATTAATATATAATAAATTTGATCTTAATATAAATAAAATAGTAATCTTGATAATGCCAATTTAAATGAATGTTTAAATTGTCGGTGAGTTGTAAGAGAACCCTCTGTCAAAAAATAAATCATTTTAAAGAAAAATACCAAAAAAAAAATTAAAATAAAAATAATGTTTTGACCATAGAGTGTGCTAATGATAATAATAACAATGGTATTAAGTTGACTGTCAACAACCCCCCAATGAATTACATAAGAGTTTGCCGTTGCAATAACAATTGTCGAATGGTAAGATACTATTCACTATTCTAAAGAAAATGTTAATCTTGATCTAATTTTGTTAATATTATCATAATTCTAATTCTCAAGTAATGAAAAAAACAGAGGTTATATTTTTGTATTTTTTTTTTATTTCAAAGGTTTTAATTTATATTAACAGGCGAAGGTGAAAGTGAAAGTGAAAGTGATTTGAGGTGAAGATGAAGGCGAAGGTGGAGGTGAGTGTTTAAAATGGTAAAAATAATTGGTTCACTTTTTTGTTGTTGTTGTTTCCATTATTGCAATATGTTGTAAGTTGTTGTTGTTGTTGTTGTTGTTGGATGGACGGATGTATTGATGTTATTTGGAAAGTGTAGATGGAAACAAAAGTTGTTTTGTTTTTTTTTGTTTTTGTTGTTGTTTTTGTTATTTTGTTTGTTGATTTTCTTTTTTTTTTTTCATTTCAACATTGTTGTGTTTGTTTGTTGAGTTGTAGGTAGTGGACTAATCATTGTGTGATTGTCCAAAGAGCGAAAAATTGGGTTGGAAGTCAACAACCTCTGCTGTATAGTTATTTGATTTTTGTGGATCTCCACTGCCGTTGAGTGGTGGAAGTTTGTTGGGTGTGGATGGCAGTGATGATGGTGATTGTGGCGAGCGTAGTGGTGATTGTCCGTCTACGGATTTGTTTTTGGATGGACGACCTCGTTTCTTTGGTGTGTTGTCGCCGCCGTCGGTGTCACCATTGTACTCGCTCGAGTCGTCGTCGTCACCACCTTCGTCCTTGTGCTTCTTGGGACGTCCACGTTTCTTGCCGTTGGAGCCTGGTGTGCTAGGTGGCTGTGAGACGCGCGCTGGATTGCCGTCTTTGTCCAACTTGGGTGGACGTCCACGTTTGCGCTTCGGTGTACTTGGGTCGCGTGGCTCGGGTGGTGGATTCTTTCTGGGACGTCCACGCGTCCTCTTGTCTCCGGACATCGGAGACGATAGCAGTGAGTTTGGTGATATTGTGCCGGCGGTTGAGGTGGTGGTTGTCGTTGTTGTTGTGGAGGTGGCGGTGTTGGAAGTTGCAGAGTTGGGGTTGGAAGCTGGTGCAGAGGCGCCGGTGGTGGGATTGATGGGTCCGCCAACACCACCGACGGTGCCAACAACGGAAATAGGTGGATTTGTATTGAGGAGGCTGTTGGGATTGGCTGCTCCCAGTGGCATTGGTATGCCTAGATTGACATTGATACTATTTAGTTGAGTGGGACCGGTGAGTGGCGGTTGTGACGACGCCACCGTCGATATGGTTGGTAGTGTATATTGTTGGGTGATGGAGGGTGGAACCGGTGGTGAAGTTGCTGTAATCGCTGAAATCGATGATAATGTTGTCGTCACTGATGAGGAGGGTGGTGGTGGTGTAGTGGTCGCACTTGCTGTTGGTGACGTAATACCATTTATATGAGCACTTGTAGGATTTGATGGATTTCCATTAGACATTCCTAAATTTGATATCGGATTTCTATTGTGTGTGTTTAAAATCGATTAGATTAGTATTAATCCTATTAATCCTATTAATCTAGAGAAGAAAAAAAAAACAAAGATTTTTGAAATCGATTGATGATCAAAAAGGATCAATAAACGAAACAAAACAAAACAACATACATATATTGGGGTTTAAACATAACTAACTATAAATCGATCCTATATATAGAGAATTTTGATTATGTTTGAATATTAATATAATGGATATTATCCAAATTGGAAATTAAAAAAAAGCAAAGCTGATTGATGGTTGGTCTGTGATGTTGTGATGAAAATGTAATAAATAAATATATACAATAAAATAGAACCAATCACCAAAAGATAACTAAACTAAAATTATATTATATTATTATTGATGTTGAATAGTTATTGGCGAGTCCAAAGTCTAATTTTGTCCGTTTGAACATTTCAAAAAATATAATTTTGTTGGTTCAACGGTCAGATTTCAAGATTTGAAAAAAAAACTAAAAAAATTTTTTAAAAAAAAAAAAAAAACAAAAAACCATTTTAAGTTCACCTAATTAACACTTACCAAATTAATGACAATATCTTGAAATTAACTCTGACTACTCTTTACTTGTTTTGTTTGTTATAGCTGTGATTGTGATTGAGATTGATTGGTTGGTTGATTGATGTGAAATAAAAAAAAAAAAAGATTTATATAATAATAAATATTCAAAATAAATGGATGGTAATCTCTTTAAATAAATAAATCTTTAATAGTAATAACTTTGTTTTTTTTTTATAATATTATTATTATTTATATATCTTTTTTTTTTTTCTTTTTTTTAAAATTAAAAAAATTAAATAACTACAAAAAATTTTTAAAAAAATTAAAAACAAATATTATTGAAAAAATATCCAAAAAACTCAATTAGTTTTGGTAATTTGTAGTTGTTTTTGAATTCAAAAAAAAAAAACAGAAGAGGAACAAAGGAACAAGATAGATATATAGATAGATAAAACAATATATAGTAGTGAATACCACTGATTTTGTTATTACTTTTGTTTGATATTTGAATATTATAATAATAACAATAATAATAATTAATAAGATAAACTAAACTAAAAAGATAGTAGTAGGAATGTCAAGACAAACAAAAATAACTATACAATGTAATTGTAGGAAAACTAATGAAATGTATAGGTGATGGCTTGCAATTTAGTTTGGAGGTGTTTGTTTAAAGTTGAGATCTACCGTTGAGAATTGCTGACACCTTTAGAGATCAATAGTGAGTGTTTGAGGTGCTCTGAATTTTAGTGATTTTTTCAATATTTTATATTACTATTTTGATGCACATATATAATCTTTTTTTTTTGTTACTGTTAATAAAACTATATTTATTATTTATTATTTATTTATTATTAAATAAAAAAAATAAATATAATTAAGAAAATAAAAAAAATAAAAAAAATAAAAAAAATTGGTGTGTTTTTGAAAGCTCAATTTTTTGGTGTGGGTTCAACAACAATAACAACATCCAAAAACCCCACACTTCATTTATGTTTTTGGTGTCACCAAAAAAGAATCATCTCCCGCTCTCTTATTCAACGTTACTAACGGTTATAATATTGGAAAATTTGAATTTTGAGTGTGTGTTTATTTATATAAAAAAATAAAATAAAATAAAATAAAAAATAAATTGTTATTATTATTTTATATGACAAACAAAATATATGTGTAATAGATAATATTGATCTCTAACAAATATAAATTATATTTTTGGATGAATATCATTATCATTATTATCATTATAATTATATTTGTTTCTAATGGGTAGTATAATATTTGCAGAATCTAAAACAAATAAAAATTTAACGAGTACAATGTTGTATTTGGTTATAATTTGTATTGTTTTCATGAATTCAATAATCTATAGATTATATGTATAATTTTAATATTGTTTTTTTAATTTTCAGTGTTTTCTTTTTTCATTTTCATTTTTTAAATTAAAAAAACAAACAAAATTCATCATTATGATTATCTTTTTTGTTTGTTTGTTTGTCAAGTCAGTTAATTCATTTTATTTTATTTGTAATATTAAAAAGAACAAATGAGTGAATTGGGTGAACAGAAAATAGTTTATGATTTGACAGGACGTCTTGTGAATACCAATAAAATAATAAATATTTTAAAAGTGATTCGAAAGAGAGGGGTGTGAGTGTTTGTTTATATTAATATTTTTCTTAAATGGGTGTGATATTCAGGTATGATGGACCGATCTCTTATGGATAATCAACTATAAATACAGACGAAGTATAATGATCATCATATCATCAATTCATTCAAACCAAAAAAAAACGACTTATCAAACAAACAAATATTAACTGTTCAGTATAACCACACTCTCTCAATCTTCAAAGTACGTATATTGATTATTTATTTGTAAACAACAACAATGATATTAATTTAAATCAAAATCGTATTTTTAAAAGTAGGTATTTTCGAAAATGATAAAATTATTGACTTGTATCATTTTGTTATTATGTATTTCCTTCACCAGTTCTCAAAAGTGTAAGGTCACCATTGAAGGAAATTCATTTGACTTGTCACCATTGATTCATCATCCAGGGTATGTATAAAATATCTTTTTTTTTTCTCTTTGAAAATGTATTAATAAATATCTATCTATATATGTTTTTTATTTAGAGATGAGGATTATACTTATACATCTCAAGAAGGAGCGGTTTTCTACTTGAATATTTGTAACGATACTGTTGGAATGAAGAATCCATGTGGTAATGATTCTCCTGCCTACAAGTATAATCCAACCACTCAGCAGTGCACAATGTTGGGAACTGGAAATGAGTTCTACTCTTTGCACACTAATGAGAATGGTGATATCATTGGTTTGATTGTTGAATATAAAAACGGTGACATGTCTGCACGTGTTGGTCAGAGAAATCACGTCACCTACCTTATGACCTGTGGTACAAGCGTTGGTACTCCAAAAGTTGTAGAGATCTCAGAGTACATCCACACAGTGGTTCACTGGCAATCCGAATACGCATGTTCAACTCGATCAAGAGTTAATATCAATCGTCGTTTTTAACAAAATAATTATTTCAACTTTGTAATAAAATCAAATCAAATAAATTTTATTTCAACAATTTATACAAATATTTTAATCTATTTATTTCTTTTAGTGGTCCGTTTAATTTAATCTTAATATCAATCGGAAACCTAAAATCTAAAATACATGACAACAATATCATTTCTAATTCTTAATATATATAGACATTTAATAGAAAAGTACCAAATAAAATGGATTTGATATTCAAAGATTCAATATCTAATAAAAAGATTAATAGGATTCATATATTTTATTTAAAGTTTTATATGAATAGATTTATGAAGGATATAAAAATATAAAATAAAAAAATATGGAAGAAATTCTAATATTGTCTATTTCCACCATAGTAGTTGCAAATCCATCTATTGTAATAATATGACCAATAGCAATAGTTTGAATCGGTTACTTGAGATCCATTTTGATAGACATTCATTCCAGTACTCGAAGAAATTGATTCATGGATTTTCGATTGGATAGATGAACCAGATCCGCCAAAGTTTGTCAAGTTTTCTAAATTTACAAAAAGAAATAAAAAATAGATTTGGTTAGTTTTTCTCAATATATATATATTTTTAAAAAATAATAAGAAATTACTGATAAGAGTCATATTGTTTTTTTTAGTATTTGAGTATATAATTTAAAGATAGGAGATAATTTTTGATTTGAAATAATAATAATAAACTGATTGATTTGAATACAATTTATACTTTGTTTTTTTATTTATTTTAATTAAATTGAAATATATTATAGATACTATATATAGTTTCCATATATATTTATAGATAGTAAACTAATCAAGAAATATTTAATAAATTGTATTTACACCTATATCCAAAAAAGTATTGGAACACCAAAAGTTAATATTATTAATAATTTTAATAATATAATATAATTGATAAAAATAGAAATATATTTTTAGTCACTATATCAATCATTTTATGTTATAATTTACAAGAAATAAAATAAAATTTTAAACTATTTTAGAAAAAACAAAATTTTTATTTACAATTAGTAAACCAAAAGTTAATATTTTTTAATAATTTTTAATAATAATTTTATTATTTTGATACAGTTTTATTTAAAAAAAAAAATTGGTAAGTTGTTGTTGTTTAGAGTTTGGAGGAGTGTTGTTTGAAATAGTTGATTAAACCATTTGTAGAGGAATCGTGTGCGGTAATCTTTTCTTGATTGTGAAGTTCTGGAAGGATTGACTTGGCAAGTTGCTTACCAAGCTCTACACCCCATTGGTCGAATGAGTTGATGTTCCAAATGATACCTTGTACAAAGATCTTGTGTTCGTACATAGCAATGAGCGAACCGAGTGAGTATGGTGTGAGCTTCTGTAGCATGATCGAGTTGGTTGGACGATTACCCAAGAACACCTTGTGTGGCAAGAGCTTGTCGAGACGCTCCTGACTGAGACCCTCCTTTGTGAGTTCGGCCTTGGCTTCCTCCTCGGATTTACCCTTCATCAACGCTTCAGTCTGAGCAAAGAAGTTGCTCAGCAGAATACGGTGGTGGTCGCCCATTGGATTGTGGCTTTCTACGGACGCGATAAAGTCGCACGGAATCACCTTGGTTCCCTGATGGATCAATTGGTAGAAGGCGTGTTGTCCGTTGGTTCCTGGCTCACCCCAAATAACCGGTCCGGTGGAGACTTGCACTGGCGCGCCGTCACGAGTGACACCCTTACCGTTCGACTCCATATCACCCTGTTGGAAGTAGGCGGCGAAACGCGACAAGTACTGGTCGTATGGCAAGATGGCAAGTGATTGTGCATCAAAGAAGTTGTTATACCACAATCCAATCAGTGCCATCAACACTGGAATATTCTTGTCGAGTGGCGCACTCTGGAAGTGGTGATCCATGGCGAAAGCACCGGCCAACAGCTGCTCGAAATGATCGAATCCAACGTAGAGAGCGATTGGCAATCCAATGGCACTCCAGAGTGAGTAACGTCCACCAACCCAATCCCAAAACTCAAACATATTCTCAACGAGAATACCAAATTTAGTGACCTCCTTCTCGTTGGTTGACAACGCGACAAAGTGTTGTCCAATGGCGTGACCCTGATCGACACCGCTTGGCAAGTGATCCAAGAACCACTTACGTGCGGACAGAGCATTGGTGATGGTCTCTTGAGTTGTGAAAGTCTTGGAGGCAACGATGAACAAGGTGGTTGCCGGGTCGAGTTGACGGACGGTCTCGTGCAGATGAGTTCCATCGATGTTCGAGACAAAGTGTGCGCGCAACTCAGTGTCGTTAGCATATGGCTTGAGAGCGGCACAAACCATGACAGGACCGAGATCGGATCCACCGATTCCAATGTTAACGACGTCGGTAATCTTCTTGCCGCTGTATCCACACCACTTTCCGTTGCGAACACGCTCGACGAACGACTTCATCTTGGCGAGCACCGCACGAACACCTGGCATGACGTCTTCACCGTCGACCTTGATGACCGACTTGGCATCACGATTACGCAAGGCAGTATGTAAGACAGCACGATTCTCAGTGATATTGATCTTCTCACCGGCAAACATACGGTCACGCCATTGCTCTACATTGGCATGCTTAGCTACCTTGAACAACAACTCCATAGTCTCTTCATTGACACGATTCTTTGAGTAGTCAAACAAGATCGGACCGACCTCATTGTTCAATTTCAACTCGACATGGAACTTCTCGAATCTCTTTTGATCCTTACCGAATTCATTTCTCATATTGAATGATTTACCAACTTTTTGATAGTGTTCCTCCAACTTCTTCCATTCTTGACTGTCTTTAATTGATGTCATCCTTCTTTTCTTCTGCTGCTAGCTTTTGTTTAAAATAAAAAAAACAAACTAATAATCTATTTATTTAAATATATAAAATATGTTCTATATTATTATCTATTTATATAAAAATAAATAATAAAAACAAATATCTGTAATAGAAATTTGAAGTGTTTAATGTTTTTTTTGTTAATCAACATATTTTTTATATTATTGTCAAAATCAAAATTTAATTTAATTTAAATTACCACAGAATTATGAAGATCATTTTTCCCACACTCCGGAATAAGCGAAATTTTCGAAAGGTTTATTCTTGAATGACACCCCACTGGTCACTTTATTTTTATTTACAAATGATTTTTTTATCATTATTCGATCGATATTACTTTAGATTATGATCAAACTACTTCTGATTCCAAATTAGAATAATCATTTTTATTAATATCCTTATTCTTTATTTCAATCCATATTTTAAATTTAATTACTCTCATATCATAATATAGTAACCTATTTCTATTCTTAACTAGATATATCAAAACAATTGTTTTTTGAAACCTTAGATCATGATCATATTATGTTTAGTTGTTGTTATGTTTTTTTTTTGTTAATATTATTTTTAAAAAAAGAAAAAAATTTATAAATTTATTTTAAATGTTTGTTTTTCTTATATATTACTTCTCTTTCTTTGCCCATTCTTCTTTGATATTGTCAGTGTTGATTCCAACCATTGCTTCACCGAGATTCTCAGAGAGTTCAGCGATTTTAGCTGGATCGTTGAAGTGAGTGACGGCTTGTACGATTGCCTTGGCACGCTTGATTGGGTCACCACTCTTGAAGATTCCAGATCCTACGAATACACCATCCATACCAAGTTGCATCATCAATGCAGCGTCGGCTGGTGTAGCAACACCACCGGCAGCAAAGTTGACCACTGGCAAACGACCCAATCTCTTGACCTCCTTGACCAACTCCAACGGTGCTTGAATCTCTTTGGCGTAGCTGTAGAGCTCGTCGTCGTCCATTGTAGTCAAACGCTTGATCTCACGGTTCACTGAACGTGCGTGACGAACGGCCTCAACAACGTTACCAGTACCGGCTTCTCCCTTGGTACGAATCATCGCTGCACCCTCGGCAATACGACGCAATGCCTCTCCCAAATTACGACATCCACAAACGAATGGAACGTCAAACTTATTCTTATTGATGTGATTCTCCTCGTCGGCAATAGTTAGAACTTCCGATTCGTCGATGTAGTCTACTCCGATCGCCTGGATAATCTGAGCCTCTACAAAGTGTCCGATACGAACCTTGGCCATAACTGGAATGGTGACGGCCTCCATAATACCCTTGATCATATGTGGATCACTCATACGAGCGACACCACCGAAATGTCTAATATCAGCTGGGATCTTCTCCAATGCCATGACGGCGACGGCACCAGCTTCCTCTGCGATTCTAGCTTGCTCCGGAGTAACTACATCCATAATAACACCACCCTTTAACATTTGAGCGAGTGATGCCTTTGTTTTGAATGTAGAAACTTGAACAACTGGTGCAGTAGTGGTAGTAGTTGAAATATCTTGATTTGATTCCATTTTATATGTATATATGTTTTATCTAATAAAATTGGAAGTACAGTATTTTTATGAATTAATATTCATATTTTCTATTTTCATTTATAATATATTCATTCCGATCCATATAGAATCCAAATCTTTTTAGTTATTAAAATCCAATTCCAAGAAATGTTTAACATATTCATTTCCATGATGATGTTATGTTAATTTAAACTGTAGAAATCCAGTATTTGTTGTCATCATATTGAAATATCCGATTTGGTAATTAAAAGTTTTTTTATTATTGAAAAACTAACCTGTATATGGTAATTAAAAAAAAAATTTTAATTTTGAGTGGCAATATTAAAAAAAAATATTGTGTATAATGTTTGACTATTTAATATATGTATAAATAGAAGTTGGAGTTGTAAAAGAGTCTTTTTTCTAAGTAATTATTTTTAGAAAGAGAAATATGATATGTGTGTGAATTGTATTGAATGGTTCGATGATTGGAATTGAATGCGAAATATTTTAGTCTTATAAGTAAGTGTATGAAAATGAATAAAATTAATTTTTAATTTTATTTTTAATATATTTTTGCTATTAAATTAACAACAAATTTTTAAGTGCCTTCCATGCATGTTGTTTTTGGAGCTCCTATTACATTTTTTTTTTACATTTGCAGACAATAAATAGGTCCGAACTTTTTCACAAGATTTTTTTTTTAATTTTTATTTTTTATAATATGTGGTGTGTTTGTGGGGCAGTTGATCACAAAAAACAAAAAAGAAAAACAAAAAATTCATTATACTTTTATCAAATTAAAAATTCATATTCACTTGTCGCCTCTTCGCACCCTATTTGGAACATGATTCCCAGACAACATTCACACATTTATTAAATCATGCAATATTACCAACAAAGATATCAATCAAATCAGTAGACCACCCGTCTAACCATTGATTCGCCATTATTTTTTAATTATCTAATTTTTGTAAATCAACACACTGAAGAGGCAATTTGAATAGTTAGTTAGTTTATTTATTTTTTGTTTTTTTTTTTGCATTTAATAACTGGCTAATAATACTCCACTATCTCTCAATAAACAAACTCTTAAACAACAAAAACAAACTTACAACATTAACAAACAGAATTTCCCACACACAGAATCATATTCTACCATTCGATAGTAAGAAGGATCATCTACACCTCCCCCCTCTTCTACCTTCAAATTGTAGATTCACATCTATATTTATCACTTTAATTAAATATTCCAAACACCCACTCCTTTTCAAAACCAAACCAATCATTCATTACTATTTTTGATAATCGTTTTTTTTTTTTTTTTGGAATCAACAACATTAACAATTCAATTTCAATTCAACATTACAATCTGATTCTGAGTCATTATCTTTTTTCACCAAAATACACACCATCATACATTTATAGAAAATTATAATTCATTCCATTCTGTTCTATTCCATTCTATTCTATTCCATCACAAATTAATAATATCTAGAAGATTTCTTCTGTTCATCTTAATTTTTGCAACAGCTAATTTTGAAATTTCACACCATCTTAACTTTTACTCAATTTCAAGTTCCCTGGGAAAAAAAACACGTCTTTTCACTTTCACCAAACTACCCACATCATCTTTACTTTAATCTTATTAAAATAAATTGTTTTTTTTGAACTTTGCTGATAAAATAAAATTAAATTAAATTAGTATTAGAAAACATAAAAATATGGAACCAATCATCTTAAGCGATAATGTAATTGATAATAAATCATTGCGAATAGGAGTTCTGGCCTTGCAAGGTGGATTCATTGAACATGTAAATATGATCAGATCACTCGGTGCTCAATGTCAAGAGCTCAGATCATCAGCACAAATCAAACAATATAAACCACATGGATTGATTCTACCTGGTGGCGAGAGTACTGCCATGGCAATCATTGCTTCCAACGACCCAGAGTTATTCCCACTAATCAAAGATCTGGTACATAAAGAAGGTGTATCAGTATATGGTACTTGTGCAGGTTGTATCATGTTAAGTGATAATGTAGAAAAACAAAAACAAGGAGGGTAAATATTAAATAAAACAATGTTTTTTTTTAGAATGAAACTTTAACAAATTAACTAATCTAATTGAAAAATACAATCAATTTAGACAAACATTAATAGGTGGATTAGATTTAACAATCAGTAGAAACTACTTTGGTAGACAGATTAATAGTTTTGAAACAGTTTTGAAATTAAAGATTGGTGGAGAGGATCACGGTGAAGTTGTAGATTTCCCCGGTATTTTTATCAGAGCACCAGCTATACTCTCTGTGAATAACCCAGAAATAAAGATTCTAGGAGAATTCCAACATGTAAAGAAGGATAAAACAACTGAAACCATCATCACAGGTGTCTCTTACAAGAATATGGTAACAACAGTTTTCCATCCAGAGTTGACAAATGACAACCGATTCCATAAATATTTTATTGACATAGTAAAGCGAAATGTTAAATAAACCATTGACAATAAACATAAATAAAAACAAATACTATTCCATTTATTTTCAACTACTAAAAACAAACCAGTCAATCAAGAAGTACAGACTTATAATATTCTATTATTATTATTTTAGTTTTGATTCAATTTAAAAAACCCAATTTTATTTTGAAAGTTGTGTTTTCATTTAGTTCTCTGGGCAAGCCAAAGTACCATCCTTGATTTGTTGTTGGATGTCACGTGGGGACTTTCCGTTGACCTTGCAACCGATGGAGTTGGCGGTACCCAAAATTTCGAGAACGGTGGATTGGAAGTCAATGGCCATGGACTTGAATCTCATGGTCTTGGCAATCTTGATGATCTCCTCGAATGGGACACTACCGTGATGCTTGATGTTCTTCTCCTTCTTTCTGTCTCTGGGTGGCTCCTTCAAAGCCTTGATGATGAGAGCTGAAGCGGATGGGAGGACTTCAACAGTGGCAACTCTGTTTTGGATGGTCAACTTGACTTGGACCTTCAAACCCTTCCAGGCTTGGGTTCCCTTGGCGATATCATCACCAACCTTCTTTGGGGAGACACCAAGTGGACCCATCTTTGGGGCAAGGGTTGACATAGCACCAGTTTCACCACCAGCAACACGGAGGAAAACTTCGACTTTCTCAGATGGATCGATCTTGGGAGGCATTTTAAATTCTAAACAAAAAAAAAAAAAGTAAATATTATTATTCACTAAACTATTAACTTGTTCTTTGAAGTAACATAGAAGAAGCAATAAGCATATTCTAAATCAATCATCATCCATCATCGTCATTCTATAGATTTGTTTTAAACTTGAAACAAACTAACTAAATCATCTTATTCATTGTTGTTGTCATGATAATTATAATAATAATTATTCTTAAAATCTGTATCTTTCTAATCTAATTATTTTGTATTAAATTTATTTTGTTTCTATTTTTAAAACAAAAGAAAGATGTAGATGTATTATTATTTTATCTGACGAATAAGATGATTGATAATTGATAATTGATACTGCTTAAACTTCTTTTACTTTACTTTCAAAAAAATTATTAACTAACTACATACATATCACTAACTATGTGCTTCAAGCTAAAGACAAAAAATAAGTGGGTTTCGCGTTGTATACTCAACGAAAATCAAAAAAATTGAGAAAAATAAAAAAAATTAAAAAAAATGAAAAGTGCCAAAAAAAAAAAGAAAAAAAATGCTCAAAATTCAAAATCTCTTACATAGTTTTGTAAAAATTATGTAAAAAGAGACCTTTGCGGTCAACGTGATCACGTTATCAATACAAATTTTTCTCTGTGCTCTTGTCAATAAATAATTTATCTCTCTTAAGCTTAGTCTAATATATGTTAATTGAATGAATAGTGAGCATTTTAATCAATATTTTTGTGTTTTATTAAATCAAAACTTTGTTCTCTCAAAAAAAAACAAAAAAAAAAAGATAAAAAAAGAAAAAAAAAAAAAATTATCTAATTGTTAGATTAGACAAGGATGATCATGATTGAGAATATTATTTAATAAAAAGATAAAATAGATAGAAAGAAAAAAAGAAAGAAAAGATTTAGTTATTATTATATGACTAGTTATTATATATATTCATTAGGTGGGTAAGTTATTACACACTTCTTAGCTGATGCCGACTTTTATGGCCACAGCCCCACTTTCAAACACAAATATATATTAGTCATAGATTGTTTAAATCTTTTTCTTTATCACTCTTATCTTTCTCTCTAATTATAATTCTATATCTCTCGTAATTTTTTGTTAAAAAAAATATAATGAAAACTAAAAAAAAATTTAGAAAAAATAAAATTGAAAAAAAAAATTGCAAAAATAAAAAAATAATTAAAAACAAATGTTTTCAAATAATTCAAAGAAGTTCAAAATTATAACGGTAACATTCAATGTTAATTAATTTGGTGGACAATTAAAGTTATTATGAATAATATAGGTTATGCTTTTCTGAAATGATAGTATAGTATTGTATTGTTATAATTAATGTATTCTAAAATTTAAAAGCTTTTTTCTTTGTGTAAAGTAAAGTAAAGTCCTTCGAATTCAAGATAAGTCAATGTATCATATCCAACATTGGTGAATGCCAATAACCATTCGAAAATTGAATATTTACTATATGCTGTTATGTTATAATTTTTTAAAAAAAGGATTGTTAAATGATTTGATTTTGATTTGATTGTTTGTATTTTGTTACTGCTACTTACAAAGATAAACACAATAGAATGTATGATCAACGAAATACTTTAATGAACCAACGAATAGAAGGAAATGAGAGATACCGAGTAGACACTTCCACTTGAAGGCGAACAGATCCTTTTGTGTCTTGGAGCTGTAGCTGCCGGTGATGAGTTGAGTGAATGTCCTGTTGCCGTTAGGGTTATGTCTGTACTTGATCTTTGAGTGATACAACACAGCTGCGTGTGTATACATAAAGGCAAACGAGAAGATGACGTAGCTGACGAATCCAACTTGATGAGGGAACAGTGCTTCGCTCGACGAGATGTAGATCCAACCACCCGCAGCAAACACACGGAGAGTATCGAGAACTGTTGACACTGGGATCAAGAAGGCGAGTTTACGCATCGATTCGGCAACGGCGCCAGAGTTGGCGTTGTTCAGGTTGAGGAGAGCGGCACGGTCGTCTAGCGCTACGTGGTGATTCAAGTAGATCGTAGCCAGACGCAAACCACTGGTGAGCGCCATTCCATAACGGTAGATATTCATCTCTGGCGAGAAGTCACCGATTGTCGATGAAATCGATGGGAGGAATTCGTAGAGTTTACAATGTGTCTTGGTGACACGCTCGAAATGCAAGTAGTATGCCAACACCAGTGTCAAGATGAACGATGTCATAGTAATGATACCATAACTAAGTGGTAGTAAACTAGCTGGAAATTTCAATGCCATCTTTAAGTAATAGTACTACTAGCTTGTTAATCTTTACTTTAATATACAGATATATATATATAAATATCGAAATAAAATCTATCTATTTTATGAAAAATGAGTGTAATTTTAACATTAAAAAAAAATAAAATAAAAAAAAAAAGTCGACCTCTATTGAATAAATGTCGTTTCAAAATTATGTTCATTTTTTTTTTTTTGCATTATTGATAATGTCGGTTGTCCTTCACTCCAATATCTATTATATTTGTTTTGATGTTTATTTCAAAGAAATGTAAGTAGTTTGGAATTCCAATCTTTAAAAAAATTGAATAAAATCATTTTTTATATATTATACTTCAGTATAATAATAAGTTGAAGTAAAGAGTATTTTTGGGGATCTATCTCAAGTATGATTATTGGTTGTTTTTTAAGTTAATGTAATGTAATGTGTAAACGGAAAAAGATATAGAAATACTTTTTACTTGGAGATTAATTTTCAGTCTGGGTTCATGAACAGAGTTTCATTTTTGATTAAGTAAATCATTAATTTCCAAAAAAGAATTATTATTTCTTTATGATAGAGCAGATAGATTTGTTATTAACAACAAAAATACAGGCTTGACCTAGTTTTCCTTGGAACACAGTTCCAAAAACAAAAAAACCAAGTTTTTTGCAAAAAGTATTGAGCAATCGATTCGTCATTAATTTATTTTTGATTTTTGTGTTTAGCATTGCATTCTATTCGTTGCAGCTGTTTATAAAATTAATTAATTATTGTACTTGTATTTAGAAAGAGAAGAGCAGATAAGAGATAGAAAATGAATCAACTAAGAAGTAGAGTTATTGGATCATATATGAGATTGTTGAGAACTGAAAAGTTAGTTTTCAATAATGATAAAGCAACTCTTGCAAAAGTTACTCAACAAGCACGTACACAATACAGAGAGAACAAATCAGTTGAAGACCCAGTAAAGATCGACGAAATGGTACAACATGCCGATGCTGTATCCGACTTTTTATTAACAAGTACAATTCAAGCCGTAAAGAAAACTGATACTAAATTTGGTAAGATAAACATACATCCTATCTTGATCTAATCAAATCAAATCTAATATGTTGTTCAATATCAATATATAAACACAATACACGTAGCATTAAATATTAGAAAAGAAAATAAAATAGGAACAGAGAGATTATATGAATTTGTTGGTGATCAACCAAAGAAGAGAGTTAGACAAGCAAAAGGACCAATTACAATTCCAGAGGGTTGTTGTGGTGGTGGTGCATGTGGAAGTACACCAGGTTCAAGTGGATGTAGTTAAACAAAACAAAACAATCATATTTATAAATAATAATAATCCAAATCGAGTAATAAACAAACATAATAATTTATTTAAAAAAAAAAAGAATAATATAATATAATAATAGTTTAATTTAGACCTCTTACAACATTTTGTAATGCATATCTCATGGTTGGACCGATTACTTTTGGACCGTTTGCCTTTAAAACGATATTGTTTATCAAATTATAACGATCTTTAGATAAACTATATATATAGTTGATTAGATTTGTTATTAGATTAGTATATAGATGATTTTGAATTTGATAGATAATTAGTTAACTTACAATAATGGTACACCTCTCTTTAGACTGGAATCTTCTTCACCATGGGCATCTAAATAAGGTGATCCGAGGAAATCTAATCCAGAATCAACGATGATTATCACTGCACAGTGCTCAATGAGTAGGTAGAGACCGGTGTCACCGCTACACTCGTTTAGATGCGAAGAGAGTTCACTGACTTTCTTCTCGTCGACACAGCATGCCGAGCCTGTGCATATCATTCGACCGCACACAAGACAGAGCGATTGCTCCTTGCGGGGTGGTGACTTTCCACATTTCTTGCATACCTTTTGCAGTGTCATCACTTGGTCGTATTTATAGGGTAGTGTCACCAGGTGGAAGTTGGGTGGTTGTCGCTTTGGAATCTCCGAGGAAAGTGCAGCCAGATCCAACGAGCTCTGACAGAGTGGTTGCTGACGACTGTCACGAATCTCCTGTTGATTCAAAAAGTTAATCATGTCGGTGAGAAGACACGTCGAGTTGAGGTCGTACATTGGCAGTGCACGAGTCAGGTAGAGACGTTCGATGATCGATACCTGACGGAGGAATATCAATTCATTGTAGAATCTCTGTGGTGCAGTGTAGTTCACTGTCTTTGGACAATTGTCGGGCGAGTTGTTGACAATCTGTTGGTACAGCTGATTGACCAACGCGATATACTGTTCGGACTTGCTGACTCTCGATGTTGAGAATGACTTTAGCAGACTGTTGAGTACTTGGTTGAGTGGCAAGCTGTTGTCAATGTCCACTGTGTTCTCCTTGTCTTCCTCTTTGATCAGAGTGTTATAGATGTGAATGAAATCAAAGAGATTTCGCAGCGATTGAATCGCTTTCTCGTCCAACACGGACTGTAGACGCCACTGGTTGTTTCGCGAGATGAATTCATAGTACTCCAATGTGGACTGTGCCAGCCGGATTATGGATTTTGGCTGTTGGTCGAACTTCTTGTAGACGACCTTACCGAATGCCACGTAGCACTCGTAGAGTTTTGTCTTTTTAAAGTCTTCGCCAAACTTGAAGGTCGACTGATCCTTATCCTCAAAGATTGAGAATCCATAGGGAATCGGTGGGAGAATAGCGTTGGCATAGTACTGACAGAGTGGACATGATACAAACTGATTGTTGATCTTGTCCATCTTCTCGAAACACTTGATATGAACAGAGTGACCACAGAACTGTGCGATCGTTTCGGAATGATAGGCTGGCGGATTCAACAATACACACTCCTCAATGCTGTCGTTCGGATCTTTGAGAGCGTACGATGAATCAAAGCTCGCTCGCTCCAAGAGGATCTGTTGATGTCTGGTGTTTTGGATGTAACAAAAGTTTCCAATTGGATTGTTGACATCGTTGATGTAGTTCTCCTCACGACAGAGAATGCAGACACCTTTGGTATCGGTTGGACGTGTTGTCTCCACACCGGTGATATCCGCGTCTTCTTCGTCCTCGTCGTCGTAGTCCTCCATAGAGGTGGTAAGGAAGTTCTGTTGTTGCGCATTGAATTGGTCGAGAATCTTTCGCCGTGCGTTCATCATCATCTGTTTCTTCTCATCGTCGTTTTGCTCGCTGGAAATGGTGAGTTTGTTGTCTTTGGAGAGCTGTTCGAGTTGGTCGAGTCGCTCGAGTATCGCCTTGGTGGTGCAATGGAAGAACTTGCGAGAGGCGTCGGAATGGATCATTGCCAACATGTCGACAATCGAGAGGTTGGTGTTTGGTTCGATTTTCGTGCATTGATTCTTGATGTAATCCAAGCGTTGTGGATGCATATCTATAGCCAGCAACAAGAGATGCATGATATGGTCGATGGTGTCGTTGTGGTCGACCTGGCGACGCTGCTTGTCGTAGTCGTCCATGTTGCTCTCGTCCTTCAGGTCGGCAGAGACGACGCATTGCAACAACGAGAATCTGACAATCTCATACATGTATGGCGACACCAAGACATTGTTGAGTTCGTCAAACTCTGGCTTGAGCGGTGAGAGCAACTTGGTCGGTATCGAACGGATGTTGTTACCGCCATTCTTTGAGTTCAGCTTGTTGGCGACTTCCTCAGCTTTCTCACGATACTTTGTGGAGTAGCCAAAGTAGTATTTGTTGTACGACGATTGATACTGTGGACGAAGTGCAAACTTGCCTTGCTCGTTGAGAGTGGTTGGCGGTATGAAGATGGCAACCTCCTCCAGTATCTTTTCGATCTCTTTGTGGGTGGTAGAGAGGAATCGCAACTCCACACCCAGCAACATGATCAACTTGGTGAATGTTCTATTCTTGATGAACAACTGATGGATGATGTCATGCTTGATCGTCTCAATGTGACTTTGAGTACCGACGTAGCAACGTTCTGTCACCAACGTAATGATATATCTGAAAAAGTGTGAGAGAATACCCATCTCATAGTTGTTCAATGCCTTTGAGGAATCAAACAATTCACTGCTTATCATTGGGAAATTACTTAGATAAACTTTTAAGAATTTATCTGATTTCAAAATACAACATATATTCTATAATTATAAAACAAAGTTAGTTAATCAATTCCTCAACCAATTTGACACTTATCAATAATAATAAGTTACTTACTTGTTTAAGGATGAAATCAAATTCGATAAAGAGATAACGAAGATAGGTATGAGAGGTGTAGTTTGAGATTTGGTTACGGATTGGCTCACCGTTCTTTAGCCAGAGACGAGAGTTACTCTCGGCAATGAGGTTGTCAATGTTGGCAGGACCGTAGAGAAGTTGTTGCGCGAGTATTGGATCGTTCCAAAGTGATATTGCGGTGTGAGTGATGTTCGAGGGTAGATAGCGATTGGCAATCAACAAGGTTAGTGCCAACGAACGATGAATCGGTAGATTAAAAGATACTCCGACCGAGCGTTGCTTAATCTGAGTGGCAGCACTACAGAGAATATCGATAGTTCTTTGAATGGCTAATTGATCTTCAGAGTCAGGTTTAACACCTTTATCCGGTATCAAAGAGGATGTAATATCAAAGAAGATCTTTGAAATAAAGAAACTATTTGTGAAATAGATTGCCCATTCACTTTATATTTAAAAGTTAATTAGTAAGAAGATTGAACAAAACATGGCTGTTTGAATTTGACTTACTTTTGTTCACTATAGGCACCTGAAACTCTAATGTTTTCATGAGAAAGATGTAGTAATGCCATTGTCATAAGCAATGGGTTGATCTTTTCTGGTGATTTGATCATCAATTGTTTGAACACTGGTTTAATAGCCAGAATATATTGGAGATCGGTCAATGCATATTTAAATTTATCAAATGCATGGAAGTTATCAATTTTACTCTGGAATCTATAGATTTGATGGAGAGAGAGAGAAAGGGAAGTGTTATATAGTTAGAGAAAGAACAACAATTTGGTAGTTATTGTTACTTACGTTAGAGATTTCTTATCTTTACAGAAATATTCAGGTATCTTCTCTGTGAGGTAGTTAAAGAAGATATCGAGAATGTTGTAGTTGTTGACCAGTGTCTGGGTGATGAATGGAATGGTGAATATCTGCACGGTGAGTGATAACAGCGAGTCGGAATACTCGTAGATATCCTTGATAAAGTTGTCTACAATCACGGGATAGTTCTTGGCAAAGCAAACGGAAAAGTCAATCTTGAACGACCGGTCAAATGTCAATGAGAACAACCAATTCTTCATAACCTTTTGTTTGAGTTTTGGTAGTTTCTGGAAGTTTACCAAAAGTTTACCAAGTCTTGAATTTGAGTAGTTGGAATTTTCATTATTATTATTGCTATTATTGTTGTTGTCTTGTTGATGATGATACTCTCCAACTGGAAGATTCAACAAATTACAAAAGATACGCTTGAAACAATTCAAATGTGTCAAATGCTCAAAGTTCTTGAGTAGTTCGTCGTAGTTGTCGAATGGCAACGCACTGAAATTCTTGGTGATGGTACACGCCAACGTAATGTGTTTGCTCATCGTCTGAATAACATTCTGGCATTGATCGTAGCTTCCAATAAATATAACACATCTATCGTTCATATGAACATAGTGAGCATAGTCTGTGCAATTCTGACTGGTAACGATTGCCGGAACATCGGGAATAGACTTTTTCAACGATGAAATTACACCGTCGAATGAATTGACATCATCATTATATATTAAAACACCATATTGATCTTCACCTAAAAGCTATAATAACAACATTAACAACAACTTTATATTCTTCAAATTCTTCAACTTTACAAACTTACCTTATTATATGGGTATTTAGTATTTTGAGCATAGTAAAAGTAATGATAGGATTCAGAGAGAGTTCGAATGATTATATCTAATAATATTCCAAGGATTCGCTCGCATTTCTTGATGTGTGCGACACCACCGAGTTCGACGAGTGGCGCCAGTGCAATTTCATCGGTGTCAGAGACGTCGCGATGCTTCGAGCAGAATCCAGTGACCTTCCAAGAATCACTGTCTCCACAGTCACAACATCCACCGCTACCCACACGAATACGACGCACGTCATGTCCCTCGTGATTGCTATCACGGAAACAAGGTTCACAAAGAATACTGGTTTCATCCTCCTGGCACTGCTTACACTGGAATCCCCATTCTCCACTCTTGAAAACAGTTCCACAAGTAGTAACCGTTTGTTTCTGTTTAATCGAATCATACATATTCTTTTTCTAATAATATTTACAAGCAAGTCGATGTTAATTAATGTTACTACTATCAAACAAACCGTTGGTGAAATTGATATGATACATACATCATTGCTATGGTCAGTCGTCATAAAGAGAATCGATCTCATTAGGAATTGTGAGAATACTTTACGATCGCTGTTGAATGCTAGAATGTCGAGATGTTCTTTGATGTTTTGCCAGTCTTCGTTTGTCAAGTCAGTGTTGTTGGCGTTGTTGTTGTTGGTGGTGGTAGTTGTAGTTGTTGTGTCTTGTTGATGAACATGTTTGACAAGTAAATCGATGGGAGAACTTGCCATTTTGTTGGCGAGTGTCTTGATTTCCTCGGGAGTTGGTTGCCATCCTTTGAAAGCTTTCATGTCTTCATCGAGTTTGATCTCTACTTTCTTTGCGGACGATCCGCTAAAGTCTTTGAATGGATTCAACGATGATGTCAGAATCGATCTAGTCAACTCACCCAACATCTCCTCGAGAATACCTCTTCCACCTGCACCACCTGCAGCGGCAGCAGCAGCAACAGCATCACCAACAGCATTGTTATTGTTATTATTATTGTTATTATCTTGATCTATTTCAATTTCATCACCTTCATCATCATCGTCATCTTCATTCAAATAGTAATCAACTAAATCTTCATCGTCATCTTCATCATAGTAGTAATGATCAGAATCATCATCCTCTGAATTCATTGATTCATCGATTTCATCTTGATTTGTAACTGGTTGATGTACATCTGACATTGATTCTACTGTATCTACTGTATCTTCTTCTTCTTCTACTTCTACTTCTTCTTCCTCCACTTCTTTCATTTCCTTTTCATTGTTATTGTTGCTATTGTCATTATTGTTATTATTATTATTCTCGTTATTATTGTTATTCTCGTTATTGTTATTATTTCTTAATCTAAACATGATTAGACTATTTATGTTTGTTTAACTATCAATATCTATCTTTGTTTTTTGGTTGAATTAAATAAATATATAATCAATCTTTTTAAATAATAATAATAATATACAAATTAAATCTTTATAAAGATAGACTACAACAAAAAATATATCTAAATCTATATATTAATAGCTATCTGTATATCTAATTTCAATAACACTCTTAACAATACTTTTCTATCGTTGGGGGGAAATGAAATTAAAAATTGTGTCTTTTTGGGAATTTTTTTTATTTTTTTTTTTAGAAAAACAGGTTTCAATGTTTAATCTACTAAAAAAAAAGGTTTTAAAAGAAGATAAAATAAACAATTCACTCTTTTTTAATTTGGTCTAAATAAATAACTTTTTATTTAATTTATTTTTAGAAAAAAAAACAATAGTGCTAATAAAGAAAAGAAATCAAGAAAATCAGAACTACAATCTTAAAAACTTATTGGTTACAAAACAATTGTTGTAGTAAATAAAATAGAATTTTTTTTTTTTTTATCTTTCAAATAAATCTTTTTTTAGAAGAAATGATATTTGGAAATTAAATAATTAAAATATGTTATATTATACATCATTTCTGATAGGATTTCTGTAGAAATAGGAAAACTTTTGGAAAAATATTGATATAATTTCAAAGTCCAATTATTTGTTGTTTTTCCAATTTTTTAAAAATTTTTTACAATATATTTTTGAAAGATGTAAATTATTATTATATTAATCACTTTTCAAGTCATTATATAATGATGTTGATAACATACTTATCCCTTAATAAGTCATTCTATAATACAATCGAATGATGTTGATAACGTATAAATAATGATAGAAATCAACTTTTTTAAAGCATCTTTAGCGCAGGAACTATTAAATAGATATGACCAAACCAGGGATCTATTTTTATAGCTAGTTTCAAACTAAATCCAAAACACTTTCTAAATAAACAATGTTTATTTTAAAAGTAATTTTTGTTTTTTTATTTGTTTATCAAAATAGATAAATAAAATAAACCTATTTTAAAAAATAAAGATAAAAACAATGACATGAATTTGAACTTGTTTGTTAAAAATCTCACTAAATTTTGATGTTCATTAATGAATAACGTCGCTTTGAGTTCTCAAACATAAAAATAATGACAGAGACTAATAAAATAATAAAAGTGTATGTATGTTATTACATATTATAATAATACATATTGTTTATTTTTATTTATATTGATATATGAATTATTCATAGATTGGTAACAGGTGATATTGGTGGATCATTTCAACAGTTATTTAAACGAGTAGAAACAGTCAATAAATCTGCTGGTCCATTCGATTTATTGTTATGTGTAGGTGCTTTCTTCTTACCATATCATCATCATCATCAACAACAACATAGTAATAATAACAATGATAAACAAGATAATAGTAATGATAATAAAGAATCAAATAATATTGAAATACCCAAAGAATTACAACCTTATATTAATAATGAGATGAAAGTACCAATACCAACATACTTTATTATAAATCATCAAGATGAAGTTAGATATTTAAATCTATTGAATATCAATAATGACAATCATAAACTATGTGATAATCTATATTATTTAGGTATGTTATATTTTGACTATTCTTAAATTGAATAAATAATACTTACTTTTTTTGATAACATAAACAACTCAAAGGTAAAAGTGGTGTTAAAACTATAACTGGTTTAAATATTGCATATTTATCAGGTTCTGTTGGTTATCCTGTTAAAGAGAAACTCGATGATCCATCGGATATCTCAATATGTAAAGACGATATAGATAACATTATAGCGCAATCGGCCGACAAGAAGATTGATATATTATTAACAAATCAATGGTCCAGAGGTGTATTATCAAATGTTGAGTAAGTACTTTGAAAGTATAGGAATGAACTGTAACAACAGAGTTAATTATTAACTTTGTTGTTAATATATGATAGTCAATCTACTTTAGTATCATTGAATATAAAGAATGCAATGGTTAAAGGTATGGATGGAATCAAAGATGTTGCTATACCACTGTCACCGGTATATCATTTCTCAAAGGAGATGAACTACTACCAGAGAGTACCCTATATGAACCCGACATCAAAGCTCAACCCAGTTACACGTTTCATTGCATTGGCACCAGTAGACAACGATCGCAAACAGAAGTATCTCTTTGCAATGAACTATCAACCCGATAAAGTAGAATCTAGTCTAACAGATGCAACTGGATTTCCTTTCATTGATAAAGATAGCAATATTAATAAGAAACAAAGAATTGATAGAAATAATAATAGAGACAACAGAGATAATAATAACAATAATAGACAATCAAATTATCAACAGAGAAATGATAATTCAAAGAAGAGAATGAATACACAGGATTGTTGGTTTTGTCTGTCACAACCAAATGTAGAGAGTCATTTGATTGTTACAATTGGATCGGAATCGTATTTGGCTATTCCAAAGGGACCGATAGTTGAACATCACAGTCTGATTGTTTTCATCGAACACAAGCCATCGGTTGTTTCACTGTCGGATTCAGAGTTGGAAGATGTCAACAAGTTTGTAAGTGCACTGACTGACTTCCACAAGGAGACAAGCAATTCAGTGCCAGTGATATTCGAACGACATCAATTGGCACGATTCCAAAACCAGTTGCATGGACATCTGCAGGTGGTTCCTATTCCTCTGGCAATGGCAGACAAAGTAGAGCAAGCGTTCATCGACGAAGCAACCACCAAGAACAGCAATATCAAATTTAACAAGTTGGCAAAGGATGCCAGTCTGAAAGATGCCGTTGGCGACAACCATTATTTTAACGTCAGACTGCCGAGTGGTGAGCAACTCTACGCAATCATCGGTGACGACAGCAATCTGGATCTCCAATTTGGCAGACAGGTACTGGTGAATCTACTGAACCTACCGGATCGTCTCAATTGGAAGAAATGTACAGTCTCCAAAGAAGAGGAAACCGAACAAGCACTTGATTTCCGTACCAAATTCCAACCTTATTTCGACAAACTTGAAAATGATCAAGAAGAATAAATCAAATCAAATCACATGAATGAAAAAAATAACAACAATATTATATTGCTAATAATTCTTAATAAGTTAATAATAATAATGATTGATTATTTATTTATACAAAGGGATGGGGATAAGATAAGATATATGAAGTATAGACAATTTATATCTCTTTTTGTTGTTTAATATGTTATGTTATGTAATTGTTTTTAAATAAATACTTAAGCAAGGAAAGATGCAATTGCAGTTAATAATGAAAAAGCTAATCCACCTACACCTACCCACCAACTATAAAAAAAGTAAAGAATGTTAGTTATTTTGTACAAAGGATAAACAATATATAATTATAAATAACTTACCCAATATATGGCATCCATTTGTATTCGGCATTTAATAGATTATCAGCTGAACCGTAGAATGATTTACAATAGTTATCTTTGGATGGTGCACCAATACATTGATTGTCTTTGTCGAAGGCCTTTGTAATACCAAAGAAGGTGAAGAATGCTACAGCCAACAGTGCAAAAGAGACAAGACCACCGATACCGGCGAGGATTCTAAAGAATCTGCTTCTTGCAATGATACCGATAATCTGGAAGATTGCTACTGCAACAGCAGCGGCAGCCGATGCCGAAAGGAATGAAAGTGAAACAGTGAACACTTGTTTAATATCTTTTGTACTGTCTCCATAATCAGTTTCAACTTCATGATCCTATTTGTTATAGAATTTATAATCATTGTTAATAAAAATTGATTTTGATTGATTGTTTGTTTGTTCATATATGATACATACACTGACAGCATTGGTTATTCTGAATTTCGTCCAGAAATAATCTGCATAGGTATCTAGATCCGATTGATTACCGCTCATTGTTGGGAAGGTAACCTTGATTCTGTACCAACTGAACGAGTAGGAAACTGCAAGACATCCAAGTAAAAGGAAGGTAAGTACCAAAGCTCCTCCTAATTTTCCTCTATGACCCATGATTGATATTGTTGTTGTTTTGTAATTTTGATTTTATTTGAAAAAGAAATGTTGGGTATTTGTTTTGGATTATCTGATTTGATAAATCTAAAGTTTTAGAAAATTAATAAATAATAAATATTAAATAAAATGAAATTATTAATATTTAAAATAAATAAACAGTTATATTATTAATTATATTATATAATTTTAATGAGTGAATGAATGAATGGATTGGCTATTGATATGAATAGATATAAGAGGTTATAATTGGTTTTTCAAAAATCTAAATTTATAACTTTTGAGAAGATTGTGAATTGCAATGACAATATCTAATGTTAACTTTTATAGATAAATAAAATATTTAAAATTATTATTATATATGTATATAAATAAATAATTAAATTAATCGATTGAAAAAAAAAATTATGATTATATCTTTTTTTAATTAGGTTGTCGATGATGATGTTTTTCTTTTGTTTGAAAGATTTTTGGTTATTGTTATTTTTGCTTTGAATTTGTTGATGATGTTTTTAGTTAGATAACAAACACTGTTGTTTATATTTATATTGTTGCTTTTTCTGTTGTTGTTTTTAATTTAATTTTTATTTGTTTTTTGTAAATTATTATAAAAAATTGAAATTTATCTTGAATAACCAAAAAAAAACAACAATAATATACCTTTAAAATTAAAATAGATATAATATGATATGATATTCTGTGTTCAACCACACAGTAACAATAATCAAATTAATTAAAAAAAAAAAAAAAAAGAAAAAGAAAATTTATTTTTGTCACCACATTAACAACACACCCATTAATATATTACAATAAAACCAAAAACATATTTGGTGGTGTGTGGTTGGAAAATCATGAAAAAAAAAAAAAATCTCAAAATTGATTCATTGAAAAAGAAAGAGTGTTTAATATTTATTTTTTTTAAAAGAAAGAATAGTGGTCATTTTTTGAAATAATATTATGAGAAGTGTTTGTTCTTTTTATTTTAATTTTTATTTATACATTGTCCTAATATATATTTATTAGAGATATAAATATTTAATTACTTATACATTATCTAAACATAGATCTGAGTGATTATGATCTTCATTACGCAGGCTCTCCACTTCCAATTCACTACGACTTTACTCTACATTATTAAAGCTTTACTGTTTCTTTATTGAATCGAACCAAATTATATGCTATGATGGATACCACATTTTTGTTTCTGATTGTGTTTGTGCTTGGCTATTATCAGAGTTGAACGTATTGATGCTACTGTTTAAAATCTTCTCAAATACCTCTTCCTCTGACCGGTTGTGACTTTGATTGAATACCACTGTTGACTATTCTGAAACTCGTTTAATGTTTCGTTATTTAACCTTTCTTCATATAAATCAGATATTTGTAGTATCCACAATTGGTTTGATAGTTGAACTGGTGAAGCTGTCCAATGATTTCTCATTTTGTATTGTTTAAAGAAATGTTCGATTATCATTTAGCACTGCCATAATTCTTTGATTTGAGCATTTGTTCAAGTTTAATTCACATAAAGTAACTAACAACAATAATATGTATAAGTAATTACATATTGATATCTAGATAGATATATATAAATCTAGTGATAATGAATGAATGTGTACATTTAAATAAATATAATAAAGCAAAGTTGAAATTAAAAAATTAAAAAAAAGAAAACAGATATTTTTTTTTTGTTTCCTAACTAAAAATTAAAAATGAGTTCTTCAGATAATAATAATTTAGATATCACTGGTGATGATAAACCAAATTGGAGAGATAATGGTGTTAAAGTAATAAAGAGTAATCAATTAGATTCCAATACTGCACAGACACCTGGAATGCATCGTGCTGCCGCCATCAACGCTGCGAGAGTCGGTGCACAAAAGATATGGGCAGGTACCGTTACTATTCATGCCAATGCGAAAACCGGTGCTCATCATCATGGTACATATATATAGGATCAATTATAAATTAAAAATGAATATTTACAATTTTAACATATTAATAGGTGCATTGGAATCTGTTATTTTTGTTATTAGGGGTAAGGCAAGATTGAGATGGGGTGAGAAACTTGAATATGTGGCCGAAGCTGAACCCGGTGATTTTATCTTTGTTCCACCGTATGTACCACATCAAGAGATCAACGCAAGTGACAATGAACCATTGGAATGTGTATTGGTTAGATCGGATAATGAAGCTGTCGTAGTCAATTTGAACATTGAAGCCGTCGAGAAACCAGAGAATGTATATTGGATAGATCCAATTCATAAACAACAACATGAACATGATCATCAACACGATCATCAACACGATCACCACGATCACGATCACGATCATGACCATGAACATTCTCCACATGAAGGACATCATCAAGCTCATCCAAATCAACATGATATGTGTGATAACAGTCACGCACATGATAATCAACAATAACCAAACATAATCAAATATAATAAGATATCATCATCATCATTTTGTATAAAAAGCTCAACAACATATATATATATATAGAGAGTTCCGAGAGATATGAACAATAACATTAATGTATAAATAAACTAAACTAAACTAACCATTTTTGCAAAATTAACAACACGCATTTTGAACTTCAACAATACTTTCATTCTTATCATTTCTATTTTTTTTTTTTGTAATTTTAAATATTCAGATATTTATAAAGTATAAGATAATATATAGATTATATATTATGTCAGGTGTTAAATATAGAGGTGACACCAAGAATGGAGATGGTATTAGTAACACAATCGATGAGTTATATAAACTTAGCTTTAGAAAACTATCTTCAACAACAACAACCAGCAATGATGAATCTGTTGGTAGAATAAAGAGTGGTAGCAGTAGTAGTAGTGGTAGTGGTGGTAACGGTGTAATACCTTCATCATATATATATCATCGTAATATCATTCTAAGGGTTGCACTGATCACAAGAGTATTCCTGTGGATCTACGCATTCGCTGTGTCACAGCTATTGTCACCATTCGATAGTTCAGCACAACTCAATGCAGTCTCACCAAACACACCGAATCAAGTTATCGGTCAACAGGTTCTGCAACTTACCAACCACAACAATACACTAATAGATTCCACTATCAAACGGTTATTCGTCAAATGGGACAGTATCTATTACATAAGAATAGCAGAGTATGGCTATGAATTCGAACAATACCACGCATTCTTTCCTTTATATCCAATGACTCTTCGTTATCTTGCAAATGGTAAAGCAATAATAACATAACAAACTTACTTACTTTTGACCAAGTAAATTACAATTTTATTAATTAATATTTTATCGATGAAGTATTATCATTCATTACAAATAACTATTTAGTAAACTATTTAGATTATATTATACTATCAGGTTTTATTATTAGTAACATTTCTTTTATACTTTCATGTATTCAATTGTTAAAGTATGTGAAAACTCAATATTCATAACATAATATAAACATCAATATATATTCTAACTTATATTATCATTATTTAACATTTAGACTTGGAAATATACTGTTTAATAATCAAAAGATATCATTTGTTGCAACTCTATTATATTGTGTAAATCCAGCGAATATCTTTATGTGCGCATTGTACACAGAGTCTATTTTCAATCTTTTTGTATTCTCTGGTTTGTACTACCTCTATGGTGGACGATACTATTTGAATCCATCACGTATGTTGGGATTGGATGCTATTCCGACGAGACGAAATGTGTTGTGTTCGACTATAGGTGCTCTCCTGTTTGGTTGTGCGACTGCAACTCGTTCCAATGGTATTTTGCTGTGTGGTTTCATCGTTTACTACCACAACGCAACGATGTTCACCAGCTTGTTCCGTCGAATCTTCATCATCCTGAATACACTCACTCAGAAGCGTCGGTCATCTCCAGTACTAACTCATTCCACCTCATTCGGAAAGCTAGCCGATGTCTCATTCGATTTGTCCGACTTTCTTCTCAGACTAACACTCTCCGTTGTTCAATCAATGATTATCATCATTCCCTATATTCTATTTCAATATTATGGATATCAAAGATATTGTAGTAATGAGAATAATATCGGTGATAACTCAACAAAGTTTGGTGAATGGCCAAGACAATGGTGTCAATCCAAGAATCTCTATGGATTCGTACAAAACTACTATTGGAATCAAGGATTCTTTAATTACTACACGCTTCAACAGATTCCAAACTTTGCGCTGGCAACACCGATGGTTGTGCTGTCGGTGTGCTCGGTGGTGTCATTCCTCTGGTTCTTTGTTAGGAATCCCTATGAGATGAGTAACACCATTGCCAAACTGCGACTGAAGAACAAGCTAAACAGCAGCAGTAGTTTAATCGAGCGTTCACCCTATTACAATGCTCAGCTAATGCCGTTCGTAGCTCACTTGGCACTACTCACTGTCTTCTCCGTTACTTTTATGCACGTCCAAGTGATCACCCGATTCTTTACACATTCACCACTGGTATTTTGGTTCGCCGCCAAATACTTTGTCAACGAACATCCCACCAGCAGCAAAAGCGGCAGTATCTACTCAAAACCAATGATTATTTCTTATTTCCTACTCTACAGCTTATTAGGTTGCATTCTATTTCCAAACTTTTATCCATGGACCTAACAAACAAACAAACTAACTAGTAAAGTAAGAAAAGTAAATTGATTAATTAAAAAAATCTGTATCAATCAAACCAAAACAAATCAATCACTTTAACACATTCAAATAAATTATTAATTAATGAAGTTCCCCATTCTGTTCGGAACTGTAAAAGAAGAAAAGAAAACAATCAACCACACAGCTCCAAAAATCTTGTAGAGAGTTTGTGTGCATTGTTGACCCGAGAGGTGAATACCACAACCACCCACATCCCAAGCAAGCAATACCACCGGTTTTTTAACTTTCGAAATTTCTTTGAGATCATTATAGGGGTGGGCACTGAAGAAACCAGATTTTTTACAATTTTTTCTCATTTTCTTTTTTCATTTACAAACCCAAAAAAAAAATGATCGGGGGTGGTTTTACTGATTCCAAAAAAAAAAACAGTAAAACTTTCTGCATGTTGATAGGTATTCTAGATATTTTTGGACAAAAAGAGATCATTTGATTCCATATGATTGTATAATATAATTTTACAAAGAAATTTATGATTCATTTTTAATTTTTTGATTTTTTAATATTTTTTTATTTTAATTTCAAAAAAACATTTTTCAACCTATTTATATTCACCAAGGGGGACATGCCTCTACTTCAATTGTAGTAAAACCTATTTATTTATTTATTTATTATTTATTAGTTAATATAGTTTGTTGTTGTTGCTGTAAAAAATGAAATATACTTTGTTTGCTTTATTGGTGGTATCGGCAATTGTTTGTTGCTCCGGTGCTACCGGACCAATGATGATCGCTCAGGAGAATGGTATTGATTCAATGACCATCCGTTCTCTCGGAGTTCCATCACTCAACTCCAATCCATTGCCAGGAAAGGAGATTATCAAGATTAAGGAAGCCACCAGTTTATTGATCGACGGTCTTGCATATACCGTCTCTGCCACCATCGGAAGCAAATACTACGTCATGCTTGCATACGGTTCCGATATTTTCATGTTTGGTATCAACTTGGATGATGGTTCACTTTTCATTGATACCTATTCACCAGTAAGTAAATTATAATTTAACTTTTATTAATTTATTCTAATATGTTAATTTTTTTTCCACTTTTTAATAAAATTTTTAGAACCAAGAACAAATCTATGTATATGGTTTGTCATATGATTCCAAATCAAATTATTTGATTGGTCTTTCATCTCTTCCATATTCAGTTCCATCCTATTTCGATGTTGTTGAGATTGACCAAAACTCTGGTGCTATCTCCAAGAATTTCTCATTCGGTGAATTCCCAGCCGGTTCCGTCTACTCTGGTATCTATGCTTTCAACCAAGACGCCTCAGAATTGTACGTTGTCTACCGTCAATATACCAACGCTTCTGAATCCACTCAAGAAGGTATGGTCGTTGTAAACACCCTCACCGGTAAGGTCTCAAGAAGCTTCTGGTTCACCGGATTCCAAGCTGCCGATATGTGGTTGTACTCATTGGTCTACGATCCACAATCACAACAATTGATCGGTTCCACCGCCAACTACGTCGGTACCAACCCAGCATTCGTCTCGATCAGTCCAGCCACCGGTCTTGTCACATTGATCTCCAGCTCCGCCGAGTACTCTGGTAACGGTCCAACCATCTTGCCAGGTGGTATCTTTGTCTCACCAGGTCACACCGACATCTCCTCCAACACCCTCTACTATGTTAATATCACCAATGGTGAACTCCTCACCAAACACTCATCCTTCGATGTCTTGGTTGAGTTCCTTGCTCTCTACAATGCTTAAATAAACATTTTCTAAAATTGATCCAAAATATTTATGGCCTATTTATTTAATACTAAAATAATTAAAACACGTATAACTAAACTAAGATCATTAACACCTCAGATACAATCAATTAATTGTTCAATTATAATTGGAAATCCAAAGTTATACGTGAAAAAAAAAAAAAACTAAAACTGTACAACTATTTATTATTTTCTTTTTTTATCATTCTAAAGCCTGTGGAGTATGCAACTGTTGTAACTGTTGTTGAAACTGTTGTTGATGAACTTGAAGTTGTTGACTTAACATTTCTACAAAATCTGGATTGATAATTTCCAGAGTTTCCTTGTTTAGATTGTTGTTTGCATAGTGAAAAAAGTGATTGGAATAATTGACTGATCTACTCTTAAACGTCCTAATCGGTGTATCCGGTAGTTTCTTCAAGAGTTTCTTTCCTTTTATTATTGTTCTCCCACTACCTTTTTCGCTCATTGTCTTCAGCAGTTGAGTAACCTCCTGTAAATCCTTCAATATCATATCTTTCGATTCGAAATTGAATCGCATACAAAGATATTGGAATGTTTCTTCATCTTCTTTCAATAACGTTTCTAAACCCATTCTATAATCATCCAATTGTGAAAACTATAAATATTTTGATATATTATATTAGTTATATATTTTTTATCAAATATCAATTATAATCAATTATGATGATTGATAATATTTACTAATCTTTTTGAATTTCCTCTTGCTCTGTGCCAATAAGATTTTACAATGGAAACAGCTTCTACAGCGTCCACTTTGATTTCAGTAGAGATCTTCTCTGCAAGACGAAGCTCTTGTTTCTTTGTCAAGTTCCAATCTTCTTCGAATACAGGCTCTAAAATATGACCGATCTTGACAAGTATGTCGTGTGAGTAGTTTCTTCTTCTCTTCTTTGGTGGTTCATCTTGATCGGATTCATAATTTTCTTCGACTGCACCAGCACTGCCATCTTCAACATTATTATTATTATTATTATTATTATTATTATTATTATTATTGTTATTAATACTGTTATTATTATAATTGTTATTGTTATTATTACTATTATTACTAATGCTGTTATTATTATTATTATTACTTGTGTTGTTGTTATTTTTATTATTGTTATTATTATTTTGAGTTTCAGTATGTTTTCTTTTTAAATCAGTGTGTTTCAGATTTATGAATGTATTTAAAAGAGTTTCGAGATGAGCTGATTGTGCAAAAAGTTTTTGATTCTGTTGCCAAATCTGTTCGAATTTTTCGTTGATTATTTCCTGTACAGTATTCAGTAGGATTTGACCACAATCACAGTCACAGTCACAACATCGCTTTGTGTGAAGGTGTAAAATATTGTTATTATTATTATGTTGTTGTTGTTGTTGCTGATGAGTTTGTCTATGTCCTTTATGAATTATTTGCTGTTGTCGTTGTCGTTGTTGTTGTTGTTGTTGTTGTTGTTGTTGTTGTTGTTGTTGTTGTTGATGATGATGATGGTGGTGGTGGAGATGGTTTATATCGTTATTTACATTTGGTATTGTATCTTGATGATGTTGATGTTGATGTTCCAATTCATCTTGATTAAGTAATTGTTGCCCAAGTTGGTGCTGTTGCTCACTCAAATCCTCCATTGGTTCGTCAGCTAGTTGATGATGATGCTCAACAACATCATGATGTTGTATATGATTATGAGTGGTGTCTTCGTGTGTGTGATCATGTTGATGATGATGGTCATGGTGCTGTTCATCATTATGATGTAAATCTTCTTGATGTTCTGCTTGTTGGTGATCATGCTGATGTTGGTCGTGTACATGTACTTGATCTTCTAGATGGTGGTGATGATGATGGTGGTGAGTATGATGTTGGTGGTGAGAATGAGAATCTTGGTTGATATGTTCTTGAACTTGTGCTTGAGCTTGCTCTTGTTCTTGTTCTTGTCCCTGTATATGTTCATGTTCGTGTTGTTGGTGATCATGCTCATGTTGATGAGCAAGCTCATGTTGGTGTTGTTGATGTTCGTGAATGTGGTGAGTTAAATCGTGCTCATGTGAAACCTCTAAATGAACGTGCTGTTGCTGTTGTTGTTGTTGTTGTTGCTGCTGTTGTTGTTGTATATCTTGATCAGCATGCTCAGCATGTTCATGAACGATTGTTTCCAAATGATCGGAATGCATATGATGCATACTTTGCTCATTCTCACTCTTTACTTGATGATTATCGTGTGTACTGTACTCCGGTTGGTGAACATGTTCATCGTTGTGGGGAAGGTGTTGCTGCTGTTGTAGCTCTACAATGTCATGCGATGTTGAAATATCTACCATTTGGTGGTGCTGTGGTTCTACATCGATTATATGTTGATGCTGATGTTCGTGAACTATCTGCTGCTGTTGTTGTTGTTGCTGCTGCTGCTGTTGTTGTTGTTGTTGCTGCTGTTGTGCATCTACCTCTTCATTTTCTTGTTCGTGTTGAATATGGTCATGTAGATGTACCTGTTCATGACAATTTATATTATGTTCATGCTCATGTTCATGTTCATGTTCATGAGCATTTTGAAGGTCAAGTTGTTGGTGGTGCTGAATCATATGTTCTTGTTGTTGTTGTTCATGCTGTTGCTGCAGTTGTTGATGATGATGATGCTGTTCGTGATCCTCCAGATGAGAACTATCTAAACCCTCTTGATTTTCATCATCCATATTTCTGTGTAAATCTATATCGTTTTAGATTAGATTTATTAATTGATTTAATAAAATTATTTTATTCATCTCTTTGTTGATCGTTCATTTGTACGTACATTTTTTATTTGTTTTCAAACAAAAACATTGAAAAACCAAGTTATCATAATAATAATAATAATAATAATAATAATAATAATAATAATAATAACCAACACACAGAACAAAAACGACAAATCCTATTCAAAGTTTTGCATAACAAAAAGAGATAGAGATTTTAAACAAAAATTTTTTTTCTCGAAAATCGATTATTGAAAATAAACTAAAAAAATGTTTACAATTATATAAAACAATTTGCTTTGATAATATCTAACGTAAAAATAAACCCAAATAATTATCATGAACAATGTTTGTGAAGATATTTGGTATGGGTTACCAATATTGTTGAAACTAACAATAATTTATTGAGATTGAAAGATATAGGTTGCATATGTCATTGGGTTAGGATAAGTAACATTAGTCAATATTTCAAATGATACAAGATCAATTACTTTAAGATAAAGAGTATATCCCCAATCTTGAGCTGCGTCTTGTTGAAGAATTATCGCATATCCATTAGAATCGAATACAAATGTATAGCAGGCAGATGCAATCTCGGCATTTGGAATGTTGATGACATCTCTAATTGTGTTTGTCTGAAGATTGAGTTGTGTGAGGTATATTGGTGATGTTCCCGTTGGATTGTTTTCTCCCTGGTTCACAATTCCTAGATACAACATCGATTCATAAGCAAAGAAACATAGCTCTGGTTCATCAAGATCAATATTCAAATTGAATTGATACTTATTCTCTAAGAAAGTATTGTTTGATAAATCGAATACTTGAATCACTGCAATATTCTTATTACTTGGTAGGTAAGCTGTATAAATAACATCAGCCATTGCATCATAATAGATTTCATAAGTTGAATATTGAAAAGCTTCTAAAAATTGATATAATTTTGGTCTATTTGAAAAAAAATATATTAAAATCTAGAAATAGATATCAAATAGTGAGGTAATACTAACTGGGAATTATAATTATTGAAATCAACTGCAAAAATAGAAACATTGCCAAAATTCGGATTAAGTCCAACAAAATAAATGGAATTTCTGGTTTGATCCCATGCCACATTGGTTCCAAGAAAAAAACCATAATCTACTATCTCAGTTTTATGAGTTTCCTTTATTACCAAACTATTTTCATTTGGGTTGTATAAACCAACATTGTAATATTCAAAAGATGCGCTTGAATTGCCTGTAAGTATGAAATAATAATCTCCTACACGTCCAAGTGTTCCCATCTTAAATGGATTGTTTGGAATGGTTGATGTCTCCAAAATTGAACCATTATTCAAAGCGAATCTTGTGTAAATATTACTATTACTAAAGCAATTCAAAGATGTTGGTGGTTCTCTCTAAATAATAATATTCATTCAAAATTTTTAAAAAATATTAGTTATTATTCAATCAAACTTGATTAGTGCTTATCTATTTTTTAAAAATCTTACTGAAATAACCAAAACATTAAATAATGACAAAAAAAGTAAAATACTAATGGATATTTGTGTTTTTGAATTGTTCATTTAAATTGGTAAAAAAAAACAAATTCAATTCTATTTTAAGTTATGTGTAGTTTATTTAAAAATAATAAAAATAACCAAATAAATTACACATAACTTACAAAAACTCCTGAAAACCTCTAAGAATAAGCCACGGGGAAAAAAAAAAAAATCAAGACCCAATGAATTTTATAAAAACAATTCCAAATGGGCAAGAAAGTTGTACTTTCTGTTGGCACACCAAGAGCTTAGTATTTCTTCCTTCTTATAAAAAGTCACAATTTTTTCATTTTTAATTTATTGTTTAATTATATTATTTCTATTGATTACAAAAGGTCTGAATTCATTATTAAAACGGTTTGAGATTCAAATGTGTTGAAGTTTAGCTTTAAGTTGTTGTTATGTTATTGTTAATTATCATCAAAAACTTGTTATACACTCATTTGCATTATTTAATTATAAATCGTTATAATACTATATATAATATAATACTACAGTATTATAGTATAATCCTCATCGCAATTTCCACATATTTCCTATCCAAGTGTAATTCATTCATCTAAAAACCAATTTAATAATAGTTCAAGAAAATAACTGATTTGAATAAATAAATATTTTTTATCATGGTCAATCAACTCGACAAACAAAAAAAAAAAAGCTATTAATTTGAAATAAATAAAATAAAAAAACGTTATTCTTGCTTTTCAAAAAAAAACTACAGTCAATTTTCACAACATTTTTAATAATGAATTCCATGATTTGTTAATAAAGTAAAGATAAAGTTGATCGCATTGCAGTCTCAGTCAGGTTTTATAATAAGAATATATTAGCCATGTCATCAGAAAATATAATCAACAGTAATAATAATAGTAATAATAATAACAATCAATATAATAATGAATCATTGCAATATGGAAATGGAAACACTACTGTAACTTCTTCTTCTTCGGATACATCACAGCTGTCTACAGATGAACGTGATAGCAAGAAACAACAGATGTGGTTCCACGAGATATCAGAGAAACTACAGGTTCAAAGTCAGCTAAACGATTCACTAAAAGAAAAGAATTTACATTTACTACAACAATATGATCAATCAGAGGTATTTAAAGTATATATATTCATATCTAAATTCATTATTAATGACTATCATCATCATCATCATCATCATCGTCATCATTATTATTATTATCATTTTAACAGCAAAGAATAGAAGCAATGAGACAAGAATTAGATTTAAAGAACACTCAAATACAATCGATAGATCATAAACTGAAAGAACTGAAAAAAAGCTATGCACAAAAAGAAGAAGAAGTTAAAAAGTTAAGATTTTTAAATGATGAATTAATGGAATGGTAAGATTAAGATTAAGATTTAGAAGATTATAATCGAATATTAGATGAATTTGAATATGAATATTGATTCAATATCATTAATTAATTATACAGGAAAGAAACACATAAAATCAATGAAGATGATTATTTTAGATTAAAAGAAGCACTTAGAGTAAAAGATGTAAATATAGATTCACTTTCAACACAACTAGAGCATTCAGTCAATAGAAATGCGTAAGTCAATGCAATGCAAAGCGATGCAATAAATATCATCTTTCAAACAAGAATCTAATGTATTTATTTTATTTAGAATGTTGTCAGAGAGTTTAAAAGAGATTAGTGAGAGAACAAGTATTTTCGATAGAGATGACAGTTTCAATATAAGCAGCGCCAGTAAGCAATTGTTAGATTATCAAAAGATGTTGGCATACCACAAGATAAAGTCGCTAGAAGAGAAATATTCAACCATTAAAAATATAAATCTGGGGTACCAGGTAAGCAGCTGCTCTGACTATAGAGTATCGATTATTATCATGAACAAACAAACAAACCAACTAATCCTATTCATTGGTTTTTTTTAAAAAATTTTAGAAAACAATTCAGGAATTGGCTTTAGAAAATGAAAAATATAAATATACTTTGGAAGCATTGAGAAAGAATCAAAATCGATAGATATTTATAGATTATAGATTAAAGATTATTATAGTATAAGTTATAGTTATAGAATATGAATGAATCAATCAATCAATAGTAGTACAACTCAATTAATATATAAATATGAATAAACAACTTCTAGACTTTCAATGTAGATAATTTCAAAACAAACAAATAGATAGACCCTCTTTCAGCCAACTTTTTTTTATTTTATTTTTTTGCAGAACCCATTCACACCTCAAAAATTAGGATATTATTTTAAAAAAAAACCACCAAATAGGTTTTATTTTAACAATTTAATTTGATTTTTTTTTAGGGATGATGTCACCTTTTGGAGTGATTTTAATTGGGAACCAACAATGAATATAAAAAAATGTAAAATCAAATCAAATCAAAAATTATAGTTTTGTATTTTTTTTTATTTCAAACAACAACAGATAGATAAAAGAAATAAATATGTCATCAAGTGCAGTAAAGAGAGAATCAATCAATGAAAATGTTGCACTAAGAGAAAATGTACAACAATATACCAATGAGATAGCTAAATTGAAAAATGGTATGAATTTTTAATTACAATTGAATTGATACTTCTATCTCTATAGTTTTGATAATCTAATAATCCAGAAACAAATAGATATAGAGACTTTAAATCAAGATCGACGATTCTATTATGAAGAGACTATAACTTTAAAAGAAGAGAATGCAAGATTACAAGCTACTATTACAAGAGTATGTTATAAACCAATATGAATAATTTAAAATATAAGAATAATGATCATTCTAAACTTATTATTATTATTACTATTTATTTAGCTGGAGATGGCAAATGTAAAATATGAACAAATCATTGATAAATTCCAACAATCAAAGAGCGATCAGATGGCAGCAGTTCAATCGATTCGATCTATGACATCGGCGGAACAAGACAAAGAGTTTATCACTAAATTCTCATTGCCAGAGGGCGAGTTTTCGATTATCGCTTATTCATGTACAAACGATTCGTTCCTCTCGGGAATGCTACACATCACACCGTTCTACATTTGTTTCGAACCGACTGGATTGTTGGCACACAAAGAATCGATATGGTCGATACCCATCAAAGAGATCAAATCACTCAATAAGATTAAAGCAATCAAATTCCTCCCTGGTAAAGGTACATCGGTGGAGATATTAACGTCGGACGGGAAAATGAGATTATTGAAAAACTTTCTACGGAGGTATGTAAACTTGATAATTTTATATAAATTTTCTTCAATTATCTAAACTAATACACACTCGGTTTTTTTATCACTTTATATACATCTCAGAAAAGAGTGTTTGAGAAATATTTACAATCAAGGACAAACCATTGGACACACCGTTGAAATGTTAAGAGAGAATCTTCCAGATACCAATCAACTTCCAAAGTGAAAGTGAGAACAAAAATAAAGGATAATGAATAACATGTATATAATATATAAATTAAAGAATAAAATAAATTGATATTTTATTGAACATTTTGTTGTTGCTTCTTAATTAAGCATGCATAACAGTTTAAGTTATAATATATATTTTTGTTTTTGTTGTACTTTCTTATCAGTATTATTGGAAAAAAAAAAAGCAACCTTTTTTACTCAACCTTTTTCAAAACCAAACAGGTACGTGATGGAATATAAACTTTGAGTGAATATCTTCTGTCGTGCCAAGCGAAATCTTCGGTGAAATGTGGACCCGCTCCAATTCGTGAGAATCCACCGAATTCCTCGCGGTCCGAATCCAATGCGTTGATAAATTTACCGGATTGTCCGCTACCGACTCGGTAGTCAGAGAAACTCTTGTCCCAGTGGAAGTTGAAAATGAAGATCAAGCCGGCACGTTCATAAACGATCACCTTATCATCGTTGTGCTTGCAGCTGATGTACGCATAGTCGGCAGCCAACCACTTGAATTCGTCCTCCAGCTTGTTCATGGCTACGTCAAACTCACGCAAGTGATTGTAACGCAAGAGTTTATCGCGATGCAAATCCCAACGACGACGAGCATGGTGCATACTGTTGTTGTTTCCGGCACGTGGGAAGTCGACCCACTCGGGATGACCAAACTCATTGCCCATAAAGTTGAGATAGCCGTCGCCACCCAGCGATGAGGTGATCAGACGGATCATCTTGTGTAGCGCCATACCACGTGAGATGATTGGGGTGATCGGAGTGGTCGTCGACATGTGGAAGTACATCTCCTTGTCCATCAGCCAGAAGGCAAGAGTCTTGTCACCGACCAACGACTGGTCGTGTGACTCTGCATAGCTGATGTTCTTCTCTTTGTAACGACGATTCGAGAGCATATGAACGATATCATTGACACTCCAATCTTCATCCTTGATCTTTACCAATTCGATCCACTTGTCTGGAATACCCATACCCAATCTATAATTAAAACCATATCCACCCTCTGCAATCGGTCGACAAAGACATGCCATTCCAGTGACTTCCTCTGCAATGGAAACACAATTTGGATTTAATTTATGTAATAATGTATTTGCCTAGAGTTGGATATGTTGGTCGTTAATATTTAGCTATGTTTTAATAGTTGCTTTAATAGACAATCTTACAATTGAAAGATAGTATAAACCATCTTCGTCGACTTGCGAACCGAAATAATCATCGTAGGAACAGGCAGGTGACAATCCGTGGTGATAGTAAATCATAGAGGTGACACCGTCGAATCTGAATCCATCGAATTGATAACGGTCAACGTAGAAACGAAGATTGGAGAGTAGGAAACGCAGCACTTCCCAGCTGCTGTAGTTAAAGAGACGACTGTCCCAGACGTCGTGGTTACCACGTCCACCGGCATGGAAGTAGTGGTGGTCGGATCCGTCCAGTTGATTGAGACCGTCGAGTACGTTCTTCGAGGCATGGCTATGCACGACGTCCAAGAACACCAGCAGTCCCATGCCGTGCGCAGTGTCAATGAGGTGCATCAGCTCCTCGGGTGTACCGAAACGCGAACTAATAGCAAAGAAGTTGGTCACTTGGTAGCCAAACGATGCGTAGTAGGCATGCTCCATGATGGCCATCAGCTGCACACAGTTGTAACCGAGCTCCTTGATCTGTGGCAGTACATACTTTGTAAAGTTGGTGTAGGTCGAGATCTCTGGGTGCTCCGAAGACATACCGACGTGTGCTTCGTAGATTCTGAGATCGGCAGGTACCGATGGCGACTTGTTTCGCCACTGATACTTCTCTGGTGGATTCCAAAAGACACCGTCAAACACCGGATTCTCTTTGGTCTGTTCGACTCTATTGATCCAAGCTGGAATTCTATAATCACAATTTCCATTTTCAAATTGAACATAAATCTAATAATAATGAATAATAACGACGAGGAGAGAGAGAGATAGTTATAGATTAATTTCCATTTTTTCGTACATTATGATCATTCTTCAACTTACCTTGATTTTCGAATGATGTGGAATGGCACATTTTCCATTTACACTTGGTAAGGTAATACTCCATCTTCCATATTCAACTTTATTCAAAGGATGTGATGAGTTATTCCATTGATCTATAAATATAATTGTAAATATTTAGTGTTAGATTAGATGATTATTGAATAAGAATGATTATTGAATGATGAATGACAATGACATACTAAAATCACCAACTAGAAATACAGATTTAGCAGAGGGTAACCATTCACGATAGGTTACATTATTGTCAGAGTCTACGTTGAAACCAAAGTAGTTGTATCCTTCGGCAAACTTCAAAAGACCACCTTCCTTCTCGTCGAATTGCTTTACCATGTGGTTGATATGTGAATGTCTTCTTCTGAGGGCATCTGCATAAGGCTCCAACCAAGGATCATCGGAAATCACCTTTGTACCATCGGTAGCTTTAGCATAATCAACTAAAAATTTTGATAATAATTGAAATTGAAAATTAGCTAAAAACCATGACAAACAGCTAACCTAACTATTATATTTGTTGTAAATCTAATCTATTATAGATCAAAAGATACTATCTTGTATATAAATGAACATTACCTTTATTATCCATATTTAATTAAAAAAGAAAGAAAAGTAAAACACAATGAAATTTAAAATATATACAAAAAGACAAATTAAACACACAACTAAAATATATAAGATAATTATTTAATAAAAATAGTAAAAGAGATAGGTGGGTGTGTTAATGAATTTGAAGGTTTATTGTTTGACAGGTATATATGGTTTAATAATAATTATCAACAACAACAACAACAAAAAACAACATAAATTAATTTTTCATTTTTTAATTGGGCCAGTTTAATTTGATAATAGTGAAGTTATTAAATAAAATCATTTATTTTTGCTTGAAAACCACCACACCACAAATTTAATTAAAAATAAAAATCCCAAACAAGTGGTTAAGGCTATGATCAACAAACAATAAAATAACCTCTGAAAAGATTAATGATGTAAAAACAAAAAGAAAAAAGATATTTATTTCATTGCAACCCCCGAAACTTTTATCTTAAACACTACAACTAATCAAAGTAAATTAAATAAAATGATTAATGAATGAATGATACAATTAACAATCATATTGATATGTTTAAGTGATATGAAAAAAAAAGATATCAAATAAATTAATAAAATTGTAACTTTCAAAAAAAATTTTAAAAATTTTCATAACTTTTAAAATTAATTATTTTGTATCTCTTTTTTTGTTATTCATATTAAATACATACATAATGCAAGGAAAAGGAACTTATTTAGAGAATTATCTAGAGAGTAAATATCATATATTATGATTGAATGATTATTATGAACATATATATTGATTACAATTTGATTTCTATTTGTTTTGTATTTATTTCTCTTGAATATATTATTCATTCTTTTGAACTGTTGTATTTTGTTTGTACCAACAGCTGTGTCGACAGTACCCTCAGAGTTAACACGTAGTCTTGCTCTCATTAGAGAACTCGATTATAGATCCAACGGTATGTATATTTTTATATACAAGTAGTAACATACTTTTTGTTAACTTTACTAATCTGTTCTATTGTTGTTGTTATTGTTGTTCAACATATTAAATAACAAAAGAGGTGGTAGAAAAAGTTGAATCGATAAAAAATCATTTGGTAAACAATACTAGTTCATCTAGAAAGGCAGCACAAGATATCCTTTCAGAGAAAGGCACCAAGCAATTGAAGGCAGATCTCAAAGCTGTCATGGAGTATGCAGATGAAAAAGTTGAACTCTCCAACCAATCCTATGAGTTGGTAAGTAACTACTACTATCTCTGCTTTTCGACATACAACTAGTTGATGTGATACTAACAGTTTGTTTTAAACAACAAGATCGATAGATACATTAGAAAGTTAGATACAGAGTTGAAAAAGTTTGAAGCGGAAATCGAAGAGCAAGAGGAAGAGAAGAAGAAACGAAAAGGAACACAAATGCCGGTCGATGCACCAAAGAAAGGCAAAGCCAACATACCATCGCCTGCCAACAATCTATCACTTCACGGTAGAAAGAAGTAAGTAATTTGATATGATTACGTAATCATTATATCAAGATCGATCGAGTGAGTCAATGCGTTGCTAACAATTGTTTACAAAATAATTATTAAATAAACAGAGCATCAGAGAAACCAGCACCAACCAAATCGGGAACATCCGCCAACAATACATCGAGCGATTTGGAGATCGATCCAAACGAACCAACCTATTGTATTTGTGGACGTGTTTCTTTTGGTGAAATGATTGAATGTGAAAGTGGTGGTGTAAGTTAAATAATAAGTTTAAATATTAACAATAATGTTAATCTATTAATATTAATAATAATAATCATATTCAATATAACTTGTTTTAGTGTAAAATTGAATGGTTCCATTTCGAATGTGTTGGACTATCGGATCCACCCAAAGGAAAATGGATATGTCCTGATTGTATAAAGAGAAAAGGACAAAAAAATAACAACTAAATATAATATATATAGATTTCATTGTACATAATATAATTCAATAATCAACAAAGAAATTCAATGAGATGACAAACAATAGTAATATTACTTTTTGGATCGATCTCAAAAATCATTGTAATAATTCTATCTACAACAAACAAAACACATCATTTCATTTCTTCCTCTTCACCCTTTCTCTTTATATTGACCTTTTAAAAGATGGTTTTTTATTTAAAACAACAACTTTTTAAAATATTCATGTAAAAACAAAACATATATAATAACAATAATATAATAGTATAATCATTTGGTATGGTCTGACAATGTAGGAATTGACCGATTACAAACTCTACAGCTCTTCCAAACGTACCGATCTAGATGATCATTCTTTGGTGTACCGGTTCACAGCTCTGGGGCAGTTAAAAATATTTATATATAGTGGTTGCATGTTAGGTGGCTCATTTCTGATCGGAACTATTCAGTAACAACACAAAAACAACAGCAATAATTGCAACAATCAAAAAAAAAAAACTATTTTATTAAATAAATGAATTGCCAAATATAAACAAGCGTGTGATTGCATTACAACAATGGAAATTTGTTTAGTGCTTTATATGTGTGTTTTTACTTTAATTTAAATGAAACAATTGCTAACAGTTTTATAAAGGTCCAGATTTGTGGTTTGTTTTGTTTATGATATGTTTTGTTTTTTTTTAATTGTGATGCAATCATGTTTGTCGCGCCAAAACCAAACAAAATATATACAATTTATTGTATGGTTAATTTATAAATAAATTTGGGGCTAAGTTTATTTGCTTTCATTAAAAAAAAAGAAGAAGGTGGGTGTTGATTGATTGGATGGTCGATTGAGTTTTGTGTTTCTATTGGTGAGTGTGTTTGTTTTTTATTTTTATGATTGATGATCATACTGTCATTGACTGATCTACCAATCATTTATTAATATGAAATAAATTAAATAGCAATTGAAAAGAAAAAAAAAAAACAAAAAATGTGGTAGAGATATGTATTGTGTTTGTTGTTGCTACTTCTAATCATTTATTAATACTACTTCTATATACATATTAGTAGTCATCTATAATTAGAAGGAATAAAGGTTTTTTTTATTCTTCCACTCACTCACAAAATCTATCAAAAAACACATCCAATATTCTCAATGTTATTTTGTTACACCAATTTGCTTGCATTTTGACCATTACTTTAATTTGCTCAAAAAATATTAAACTTATCACCTATTGTGCTATGGTCATATGTATTTTTATTTATTTATATTTTCTTTTTGGTAAAATAACAGTGAACACTTCACTGTGGTAATTTAAATAAATATGGATTTGAAAATATTGAATTGATCACATAACCCTTCACTCCAAGCAAATTTAAATATAAAAGTGAATGAGATGAATGTGTTTCCTTTGATTGCGGGTGGGTTATTGTAGTACTATTGTAATTGAAATCAATAATAAAAATTAATATGAATTAAATTTTGTAACAATTTCTTATTTACCTAATAAATTTTATTATAACTAAACAATATTAATAAGAAAGTAACAAACATTCATTTTTTTTAATAATTTTTAATAATAGATATAGATTCCTTTTGTTTTTTGATAAACAAAGGTATTGGAATAGTTGTATAACAAATCATGAAGACATCAAGGTTTTATTTATATATGACATGTTGTCTATTATTTTCAACATTGGTATATTCTGATACTGCGAGTATGGAAATATTATTATTTGGAAAAATAATAATTCAGAAATAAAAATATTAATACTTAACCTTTGGAAATATTCTAGTATTTGATTTCGGAGGTAATAAATGGGTCAATAATGATACACATGTTTGGATTTCTGGAAATTTCGATACTCCTCCACTCACTGGATTGCAGTTTTTCAATAACCAGGCAACACCATATACACTAGGAACAGCCGATGGATTTGGATACAAACAACTGACAATTGCACTCGGAACCTTTGTAGATGGTTCCGATTTGAAACCAACTCTGCTGAGTGGTACTCAGACTGATACCTCCACAGTGTGGTCACCAACACCCATCCTACAATCGATTGTCGGTGGAATTCCAGCAACTGGTGGTCAGCTTACCATTAAAGGAAAATTCCTAATGCCAACTACCAATGCTATGGTAATTTTCAAAGCAAATGCTGGACAAACCGTTAAATTTACCAACGTAACTGCTACCGTTGGTAGTGAATGTTATGTCAATGTCGACAATCAATACTGTGGTTCCAATGTAGCTGTACAACTGAGAATGAGAAACCAACCAGCTGATAAATCTGGTACATTTTCTTATCAACGTAAAGTATCAGCGGATATTAAATAATTGCGGTGGTTGAATATCTTTTTATTAACCTATAAATTTTTTAGAACCTACTCTTAGCAATGTTACAGTTTCACCAGGTAGTTTTATATTAACAGGAACTGGATTCTGTCCAGTCTATACATACTTGAAAGCCTATGTAGATGGTATTGATACAGCTGTTCTCCCAGATAGATTCACTCAAACCTATGCTCAATTAAGTTTTAATCCAAACATTACTAGTGGTACTCATACAGTAGCAATCAATGCATTGGGTAACATGATTGCTGTTAACAAAACAATTACAATCAGTAAGTTATTAAACAACCAAAAAAAAGTATAACTATATATCTAATAAATATCTCAATATAGCGCCTGTTCTTAGATCAGTTACTTCGGTAAATACACAAGGTGGATTGGTTACTCTTAGTGGTGTATTCTTTTGTTTGACTGCAAACGATGGAACTAAACTACCAGTAAAAGTTATGGTGGCAGATGTAGAATGTACAGGTGCTGTCAATGCAGATAGCGATCCAAACAAGATCGTTTGTAAGTTGCCAGCTGGAGGTGGTTCAAACAAGCCCGTAAAAGTAACAATTTCAGGTCAAACCACACAAGAATCTATCAACTTTGAATATGGTGTTCCAAGTCTGAATAGATACACCATCGCCAGTGGAGTAGCTCAGTTGTTTGGTTACAGTTTCGGTGATACCAGCATCACCACTGTCACCTTCGGTATGACCACTATCAAACCAACGAAAGTTGAAGTTACAGCCGATGGAACGGAAGCAATCACCTTTGATATTCCCAAGAACATTCGTAACGCTTTCCTCTTTGTAACTGTTAACAATTTGAATTCCAATCGTGTTTGGTTCAACTTGGTGCCTGTGCTAAGTAATATTAGTAGTGCTCACACCCAAGGATCAACTATAACCATCAGCGGTGACTACCTCTTCCTCACCGATTTTAACACCACCAAACTCTCCTCGACTATCACCATTGGAAAGTCGGATTGTAAGAACGCCAAGGAGTTGGTAGCATCCAGCTCGCTCTCCTGCGACATGCCACCAGGAATCGGACAGTCTACCGGCGTAGTTACCATCAACAACCAGACATCCAACTCGGTCAGCTTCAAATACTTCTCGCCAAGCATCAGCCAAATCTACCAATCAAACAACATCGGCCACATCATCGGTACCGACTTTGCACCGACGGAACTTGTCAACTCGACAGCCATCTATCTTGCCAACTACACCGTCTCTGACATAACAAACATCACCGTCGCCAACTACTCTCACATCACCTTTAAGATACCCGATAGCATCTCGCTCGGTATGAACAATCTAAACATCTCTGTCGGTAGTCTTTCAAGTCAACCAAATACCAGCATCACAATTACACCAACCGTTAGCAAAGTAACAAACATCGGTGTCGGCGGTGGCGAGATTCACTTCAACGGTCACTTCCTCAACTTTTTCAACCATACCACTGCAGACATCTCCGTTCTACCCTACAACATCACCGTTGGTCCTTATGCATGCGGTAACATCACCTCGCTCAACAGCACCTTGTTTAGCTGTCAGATGCCAAGTGGTGTCGGTGCGCATCATCTAGTGACCATCACCATCAACAACTATACAACCTCTGCCAACGATACACCAACCTACTTCAACTACACCAGTCCAACTATTAGCAGTGTTTCGGTGGTCACCGAGCAAGGTGGAATGGTAACGATCTTTGGAACCAACTTGAACACTCCAATGACCGTAATGTTCTATAACTCTGTCGAATGTCAATCACCATCGGTCATACCCAAGACCAACTACACTCAAGTACAATGTTTACTTCCAAAATGGACCGATGACTCAGATCCACCCGAATCACCACAGCCATTCGTCATTACAGTTGGTAATCAAAAAGCTGATACCCTATATCAATATAATCGTAAGTTATATCAACCTAATATATATATAAATAATAGAAACTAACCTTTGTCGATAAATCATTTAATAGTCGATGCATATCATGCAGCTAAAGATGAAAAAGCAAGAAAAGCTAGATTAAAATGGTTGATTCCAGCTATTGTTGTACCAGTGGTTGTAGGTAGTGCAGCTATTATTGGTATCACTTTAATTTTGGTAAAGAAACACAGAGAAAACAAAGCATTGAAAAAGATGTTTAGAAAGTAAAGAGTGTTATATAAATTATTAGAGAATGTAAATATTGAAACGAGTAAAAAAAAAAACAATATTATTTTAAAAGAGAGTAGATATAAAAAAGTAATAAAACATTTATAAAAAATGATTAAGATAAATAGTTGTTTTTTTTTTTTGTAAATAAAGTATTTTATTAATGTATATATATGTTAAATCAATTGTAATCATATTTTTGGATAGAGCAAGGTAGCAGCAGAGGAGATCAGATATTTTTAACCATTTGATAAACCTATTTAATTGAAATAAAGGATTAGTATTAAGTTTTTTGAGATAAGAATATATAATTTAAAATAATGAAAGATATATAAATAAAAGGTCAGAAACGAGGAATGTTGTAATCAAAATTTCCCATGCAAATTATTATTACAAAATCGATTATCAAAAACTTGTTTGTCATCAGCAAAAAAAATAATATATAGATAGATAATAGTTTTTAAACTTAACACTTACATTAAGAATGTTTGTTGAATGAAAATTAAAAGTCAGTTTTTCGTCTTTTTAAAGATGCTATCTTTTAAAATTTTACGTCAAAAATGAAATTTTTTTTTAAAAAACAATCAAACTTTTTTTTTTTATTACATAGCTATGTAAATCACTCATATAATAAAATTAATTTACATTATATTTTTATATTTGACTATTAATAAAGTTTCGATTTATATACACATAAAGATCAATATAGTGATCAAATATCAAATTAGGTAGATTAAGAAGAAAATGAATATTTAAATTATTAAACCAACTTGTGCTCTCTTAGAGCTATTTAATACAAATAGATCGTGATGTCTTACAATATTGTAGATAATTATATAATTGTTAAGTTTTAAACTTAAACCTTAAACTTACCTTTTTTTTTTTTTTTCACAAAAAAAATAAAAACAAAATAAATATTTTTAAAATTTATTTAATTTAATTTGGGCTTAATGATGTTCAAAAGAGTTTGATTGATCACAATTTTTTAATATTTGTAAAATTTTTTAATATTTGTTTTTTTTATTAATTTTATTTTTAATATTTATTATATATTTGTTTTTTTATATATTCATTATTTTTTGTATAGATTTAGATTAGTTAGTAAAGATTGGTTGTTAAAAGAGATTGATCAATCAAGATTATTATTATTGGTAGAGAAGAAATAAGTTTTTTTTTTTAAAATTTGTTTTATAATATAATATAATATATATATTTGTATAGATAGGAAATAAAAATAATATAATATAGAGTTTAGAAAAGTATGTCAAAGAGATCAAATGCCAATGCAGCGGCTGCAGTTGCAAGTAAAGAGGAGACAATGCAAGCAGAGAAAGAAGCAGTGATACCAGAGGAGATCTTTCAGCTGAGTGCAGAGGATATTATGAAGCGTGCCAAGCTCTTGGAGAATGAAACCAAGTTGCTCAGAGGTGAACACATCACCAAGCATCTCGAAATAGACTCTCTACAAAAGAAGATTAAAGAGAACAACGAGAAACTGCAGGTCAACAGTCAACTTCCACATCTCGTAGGAAACGTTGTCGAAATCATGGAGATGACACTGGATAACGAAACAAAACCAACCAAATGTGTTGTTGTAAAAGCTTCAACTAGACAAGTAAGTAAAAATTATTATAATCGATTAACAAACCCTTTATTTAACTTGTTATTAATTCATATTTATCTCCTTCTTTTTCTTTTCTTTCTTTATCTTTTTTTTTTAGACTATTTTCTTGGCATTCCCAGGTATTGTTGATGTAGATAAATTGAGACCAGGTGACCTTGTCGGTGTAAATAAGGATAGTTATATTATTTTAGATACATTGCCACCAGAGTATGTCATTATATTTAATCATTAGTTAATCAACTTTATTAACATATATAATCTTTCTTTTTTTATTTTCTTTTTTTTTTTTAACTTTTTTTTTTAATAAACAAAAAAAGATATGATTCACGTGTAAAAGCTATGGAGATTGATGAGAAACCAACTGAAGAGTACAGTGATATTGGTGGTCTCGATAAACAGATTCAAGAGTTGGTGGAGGCAGTCGTTTTGCCTATGACACATAAAGAGAGATTCGAATCGATCGGTATCAAACCACCCAAGGGAGTGCTGATGTACGGTCCACCAGGAACCGGAAAGACTTTGTTGGCCAGAGCTTGTGCCGCTCAAACCAATTCCACCTACTTGAAGTTGGCCGGTCCACAGCTCGTTCAGATGTTCATTGGTGACGGTGCCAAGCTGGTTCGTGACGCGTTTGCTCTCGCCAAAGAGAAGGGTCCCACCATTATCTTTATCGACGAGTTGGACGCCATCGGAACCAAGCGTTTCGACAGTGAGTTGTCGGGTGATCGTGAGGTGCAGCGTACTATGTTGGAGTTGTTGAATCAGCTCGATGGTTTCAGCTCCGATGCCAATATCAAGGTGATTGCCGCCACCAATCGTATCGATATTCTGGATCCAGCGTTGTTGCGTTCCGGTCGTCTAGATCGTAAGATTGAATTCCCATTGCCAAACGAAGAGGCTCGTTCTCACATCCTTCGTATTCACTCGCGTAAGATGAACGTAAGTCCCGACGTTAATTTCGAAGAGTTGGCACGTTCCACCGACGATTTCAACGGTGCTCAACTCAAGGCCGTTTGTGTAGAGGCCGGTATGATCGCACTGAGACGTGGTGGTACCGAGTTGGCTCATAACGATTTCACAGAAGGTATTCAAGAAGTTCAAGCCAAGAAGAAGAAGAGTTTAGAATACTATGCTTAAAAAAAAAAAAAAAAAAAAAAAAATACAAAACAAAATAGTAACATAGAAAAAAATGATAAATAAATAAAACCAACCAATTACAACTAATAATAACCAAAATAAAGATAAATAACTAAAATATTCAAAACACATATTATTAACACCTATTGAATTGTTATTTTATGAAATTATACCAACGTATAATCTGATACAATTGAACTACTAATAATATCAAGAGTTCGATGAAATATTTTTTCTTTGGAGAACCCAAAACCGGTTTTATAAACTGTTGGCACAATAAGAACTAAATGATTGCCATATATTCTTTAAATAATTAATTTATAATATAATACAGGTAAATTTTTATTATTATTATTAATTTAGTCCAGATGTTTTGGTTTTGGATTTCTTGTTAATATCCAGACGGCTTCGATGTTCTTTGGTATACCACATTGATCTCTTACTTCTCTGGTGACTTCAAAGCCAAGACGTTGGAGGAATGGGAAATTGTCTCTGCTAAATACCATTGTTTTACATTTGTACTGAGAATGGTCAGCCCACTCCAACACTCCACTCGTTAGATAGGATCCAATTCCACCGTTTCTATGGTCATCGTCAGTACCTGCGTATGCCAAAAACCAATGCTTCTCGTCGTTCTCCTTCACCATTATGTCGTTTATAGCGTGGATCATGTCAGATCCCTTCTTTGCCTTGCTGATACCGACTTTCGTCATAAATGTCAGCCCTCCAATAAAAATATCACCAAATTTAATTTCCTTTTTCTTGTCTGGATTATACCATAGACATACTGATTTTAATTTATTATCTGTACCAAAGTAACCCTAAGAAATAATATTATATTGTTAATAATTAAATAGTAATTAGATGAGAATTATGAAAAACATACCCAAATGGATGCATTATTCTTTGCCATAACTTTAACAGAGAAATAAAATAGATCCTTTAGATGTTTGTGTGAACTTTCTTGATCGGCTGGGAAAAGCTTGACATATCTTGGATCGTTTTTGAATGCTCTCGCTAAAATAGTTGCTGCCTCTTTAAAATCTGTTTTACTTAGTTGTCTTTTAATACCTTTGAAATTCTCTAGTTGTAATCTGGTAAATGTTTAAAATGATTAATATTGATTCAAAAAGTAAAAAGATTGATCGTAATAGTTACTTTGATTTCGATTGAATACTATGTTCATCATCAACTTCCAAAATCTTATCTAAAATGGTCTCAATCGAAGGTCTGTGCGATGGATTCTTGTCCAACATTCTCAAAACCAGTGGACCAAAATAAGAATATCGTTGTGGGAAATCAGCGAGGAATGACAACTTATCAAAGTTGTCGGCAATTATTTCCTCGGCAAAGTATCGCTTGTTCTTTACCAGCAGCTTTAGTGTGATCAATTCGTAAAAGATACAACCCAGTGAAAAGATGTCTGCCGATCGATTGTATGGCTGATTCTCTAGAACTTCTGGTGCACAATACATATAGGTTCCAACTCTACCTTTTCCAGTGCCATTCTTTGTTGCCAGTCCGAAATCACCAATCTTTAGCCGGTCGTCACCGGTAATAAATACATTCTCACACTTGAGATCTCTGTGAATCAAACGTTCTTTGTGGAGTGCCTGCACACCGAGTGCAATCTGTGTTAGCCATTCGAGGAGAACACTCTTTTGGATGAACACCTGTGATCTGTTGATATGCGAGTTGGGTGACGACAGTGAATCCATCGATACATCAGAGAATGTCGTAGATATATTGCTTTCGGTGTGCAGATTACCACTGCTATTCTCTGTGGGAAGACTCACCGAGCTACGACTGGGACGATGTCTCAGTTGGAAGTGTGAGATATCTCTCTCTATGATCTTCTTGATCAACTCCTTTGCAGAACGAATCAAACATACACTTCCAGTCTCGACGACAATCGCTGGACTGGTATCGCCAGGTGAGCGCGGAGGTGTTCCATGTGTAGTCGAAACATGGCCAGCATCACCAGACAACGAACTGACACTGCTAGTATCAGAGACATTCGAGGTAGTAGTGGAGTGTGTTGGAGAGTGATCGGTTGTAGTCACCAGTTCATGAAGAAAGTCCAAAAGGTCACCCTTTGGACAGTACTCCAACATAATACAAAGATAGATCTGTTTATCGCCTGGAATCGATCTGAGAAATACCTCTTCGAATTTAACTATATTTTCGTCTTTAATACTAGCCAAAGTATATGCCTAAACCAAACCATTATTAATATTGAAATTGTTGTTGTGTAATTACAGAATTATTTGAATTGTTTGATGTCTACCTCTTTTAAACCAGCATTGGCTTCGGCCAACGATTCGAATATTCTTTGTTTACAAATGTATTGAACGCCATCTTTTTCCATCAAAATAGCTTTTCCCTCGCCACCACTTCTAATTTCCTTGATAAAAGTATAACTATCGTAAGGATCTGAAGTATCCATTCTTTCTGCTAATATCTAACAAACTAAATTATATATATGTAAATAATAAAATTGATATAAATATATAAATTTGATTGATAAATAAAATATTTTAAATAAGTAGATCGAATAACGCGCGTGTGTGATATTAATAAATTTTTTAATTAAATATTTATAAATTTTATTAATGAGCACACATCACCTATTTGTGTCATGTTCCTTAAAAATAAAATTAAAATTAAAATAAAATAATATATAAAATTTTTTTGACCAAAAATTAGTTTTGCTAATGGAACGAAGAGAAACCCCCATATTCCACACAATCTTTTTTGCAAGTACATGTTGTCATATTGATGAGAATAAGGTTACATGATCTCAAAAACAATTGTTTTTATTTGTTATGATGGGTGTGTGGACCATCATGACTTCAATTCTAATGGTATTAAAACCTCGTATTCATATTCCACCTGGTTTCTCACTTTTAATAGATTTTCATTAGAAATTTTTTATTAAATCAATCATTTTACAGGTAACTTAAACAAAGTAATAAGAAGTTTATTTTTTTTTGTAAATATTATGACATGTATGACAATTCAATAAGATATCTTTGTAAAGAAATTTTTTTTTTTTTTCGGACCAAAATCACTTTGGTAAAATGATTAAATTATAGTCCAATATCTCCAATTGAGATTCTATCTGCAACACAAATAATTTAGGTTCTTTTCAAATCATCTGGAAAAACATTACAGTTTTTGGTTCAAGCCGCCAATGAGTCTACAACCTATACCATAGATGACGATTACAAAATTGTGATTGTCGATAAGGATTCCTGGCTAGTTGAAGCAGGTGATATTTTTAATCTAACAATCAGAGGATACGATTCCCCAGACACAAAATCTGTTAGATTTGAAAGTTAAGTTATTTTTAAACAAAAAAATAACAGATCCACATTTAATAAAGAAATATTCATTGGTGTAAATAACAAATCATTCATTCAGTTGTCAATCTAAACAATATAAATATCCAAACTTCATATGCTTTTCTATTCTTTTTTAATGTTTCTACATTGAATATAAATATTATTTTCTAACAATTAGTTAATAAATAAATTTGATGTGTCTATATTACTCTATTTATTTGTTTGTTCTAAATTATATTATTTTAGAAAGATGGAATACCAGTGATGGCTCTACCCACTAAAAATAATAAATAATAATAAAATTGTATTAGTAAAAAGAAAGTTATGATTGATATGGAAAAAGTATATAATTATAAAACTTACAAATTAAAGCATGAATATCGTGAGTACCTTCATAGGTATTTACGGTTTCAAGATTGGCAGCATGACGGATGACATGATATTCATCGGCAATACCGTTTCCACCCAACATGTCTCTTGCTTGACGTGCAATATCCAATGATTTTCCACATGAATTTCTCTTGATCAATGAGATACGTTCGGAGTGGCCAATTCCAGCGTCAATGAGTGTACCGACTTGGTGGCAAGCTTGCAAACCAATCGAGATTCAGTAGCCATGTCGGCCAACTCTTTTGGAACAATTGGTTGGCAGCCAATGGCTTTCCGAATTGCTTACGATCCAAACCGTATTGACGTGCGGTGGCATAGCAGTATTCAGCTGCACCCAATGCACCCCAACCAATTCCATAACGTGCCTTGTTGAGACATGAGAATGGTCCACGCAGACCCTTGACCTCTGGGAACATGGCAGACTCTGGCACCTCGACGTCCTCCATAACGATCATACCGGTGATCGATGCACGCAACGAAAGTTTACCCTCGAGCTTTGGTGCGGACAATCCCTTCATTCCCTTCTCCAAGACGAAGCCACGAATGTCACCGTTGTCAACTTTTGCCCAGACAACAAAGACGTCGGCGATTGGCGAATTGGTAATCCAAGTCTTGGTACCATTCAAAATGTATTTACCTTGACCGGCTACCTTACGAGCACGAGTTTGCATTCCGGCTGGATCGGAACCGGCGTTTGGCTCGGTCAAACCGAAGCAACCGACCAACTCACCCTTGGACAAACCCTCCAAGTACTTTGACTTTTGAGCGTCGGTACCGAATGTGTAGATTGGATGCATAACCAACGACGATTGCACAGACATCGCAGAACGGTATCCGGAATCGACCTTTTCGACTTCGTTGGCCATCAAACCGTAACCGACGTGAGAGACACCACCAAACTCTGGAATGGTCGAACCCAACATTCCCATACTTCCAAACTCGTTCATGATGGCACGATCAAAGTGCTCCTCTCTATAGGCCATTTGGACACGTGGCATCAACTTGTCCTGACAGAACTTGTTTACTTCATTACGAATCTGTTTGTCTTGATCGGAGAGACAGTGTTCGATGTTCAATGGATCCTCCCAATTGAATTTATCATTTGAATAGACTGCATATGTTCTAACTGTCAATCCAATTGTATTTGCTAGATTATAAACAATATAAATAATTAATCAACATTGTTTTTTTTATGTTAGTTTTTTTAGTTTTTTAAAATATCTATCTATCATCACCACAATATATATTTTGATAGTTAATTACATTTTAATAATGAAGATGAAGTTTTAAAAACACTTTTTAACATCATTCTTTAATCTTTTATATATATATATTAACTATTATAATACTAAAACTAAAAAATAAACTAAAAATATATAAATGACGAATAAAAATTTTAAAAAGGGTGTGGAAATTTAAATTGAATGAACACAGTTATGTTTTATTAAGGTTGGGATTTGGTCAAAAAACTTTGATTAAAATATGATAAAATTTTTGTGCATAAAAAAATCTGCATAAAAAAAAACACATATTTTTTTGTTTGTTGTAATATTATAGATAATTTTATTTTAAAATATTATTTATTTAAAAAATATTATTTAAAAAAGTTGAAATATCTAGAGATGAAAATTGAATTGAAATATATTTAAGAATAAATTTGACTGTTTTTTATTTTTAGTTTTTATTTTATTGATGTAAGGAGATCAGTTCAAAAGAATTTAAGATAAACTGTAAATTCAACACTCAAACCAAAATCCCATGACTTCTGTGCTCCCTTCGACACATTCCAAAGGTTTAACAATGGAATGCAATTTGACTTGGGAAAATATAGAAAGCACTTTTTACCAAATTGTATGAGTATTGATTATCAATTATATCATTTGTTTATATAGATTTCATAATTATGGTTATCGTTCGTTTTTTTTTTTTACAAAAATCACTGCTTTTTATCTTTGGGACGCACAATTTGCACTCGATAGTCAAAATTTTGATACACAAAAAAAAAAAAAATGAAAAACAAAAAAACTAAATACATAATGGTAAATTTTATTGATAACACTAATTAGTAATAGTATTTAAAATTGCACGATAAGAGACAGATTATTATAGTTGTAACACCTGCTATATATATATATATATATATACGACAACTATCAATAAATATTTAAGTGGTTAATCTTACAAATAACGATCATCTTATATTTTATGACAATACCATATATTTTTGTTTGTTAAAATCTTTAAAATTTTCATTAATATTTTGACTGATTAATTCAATTTCAGTCAGGTTATTGGGTACTTTGTGGGTTAAAGTTGATGGTTTGTTTATAAAAATCTGATAAATTTATAAATTAATATTTTAGGTTGTGTGTTGAAAAACTTATTCATCAAAGTTATTTTCTTCATGATCAACAAAAATTAAAATTTTAATTTTTTTAAACCAAAATAATTCTCAAAAGGTTTAATATTTAAAGGTCACAATTGATGAATGATTAATCATTGAAAATCTTATTTATATTAGATAATTCTTATTACATATTTATATATTTATATTTATATTTATATTTATTTTAATTTATTTATATTTATATATTTATTTTAATTTTTTATAAATATTTATATTTTAGTATTTTTATTTATATATTTTTACAATATTACTATAAAAGTAAAAAAAGTATTAAAACTATTAAAAATTTCCTGTATAAAACAAAAGACTGTAAAAATGATATATTAGAAAAATATAAATTGTACTACTATGCAAATAAAGAAACTAAAATAGCCTGGACTGAAAAAAAAAATAAATACGGATACGTAGTTAAAAAAAGGTTTAAAAAAGCTTGATCTGGAGAAAACAATAGAAAAAAAATATTGTAAAATATAAAAATCTAAAAATCAAATATAAGAAATTCTTAAAAAAAAAAAGAATTTTTTCCAAGACTTGGTAATAAAACTTCCATGTCTTTGGCGAAGATGGCAACCAAAGCATATTGTGGTTCTCCGTCTTTCCCAAATATATGGAAGTTGCATTTTAATTCAAACAAATTTATGCTTTTCATTTTAACCATTCTTGACAGTTTATAATATTAATATATTAATTTTTTTTTCCTTAATTCTTATTTTAGTAAAGCATTGGTCAATGTTCGATATATACCAGGTCTTGTCCAAATCAATAAAAAATAAATATTATAAGTTTATAAATGTAATGGTTTTAAAATAATTATCACTCTCATATGTATCGATTTGAATACACATTAAGGTTTTCATTTTGAATCAATCTTTCATTAAAGTTATTATCATGTCTTCTATATATCTATTACTATGATAGGTAGGGTGGGGTAGATAAACAAACGAATGAATGAACAATGTGATTATTTATTATAGTGTGACAACTAGTAGTCAACTACATTACATTTTTGTATTGTTTTTTTAAAAATTTATTTAATTGTTCTACAGATTTCTACATTTAGAAAGCGGTGATCAATGCAAAACCAGTGTATAACAATCCTACTGGGTAGGCAACCAATATTCTTTGATCGATCATAGTCAGCGTTTTCACAAACATTTTAGACGCTGAATAGGTACTCCAAAATATTGCTACAAAAATCAAGATATATCCAAATAGTCCACTGTTTAATTAAAATAGATTGATTGATTAGTTAGTTCTTGTTGTTTAATCACTATTGGTAATCATATAAATGAACGATGATACATACTTTATATTAATTAAAAGTGAAACGAATGAAAGAAATACAATTGGTAATAAACAATAACCGAGTACACTGATGACACGATACATATCTATTCCATTCTCACTCATTAGATTCAGTACGACGTACATCGAAAGACAACCAATGAGACCAAGTCCATAAATATATCCAAATTGTACTTTACCACTCTATAATAGTTACATTTATATTATTATGTTATTGTTATTATCTACTCTTTGTGTTTATATCTATCTGTGTAATCTACAAAGTGTAGATCAATCAATATAGCAATTCTTACCATCAACGATGAAAAACCTAATACTAGATCAAAAAAGATAGGACCTCCTAAATCGGTATCATCCATAATATGTGAATCGATCTTTTTAAATGGGTTCAGCACTGAGAGTGTCTTCTTTTTGATGTGATCGAAATTGATACCCAATTCTACAACGATTACAATTTGATTGATAGTTTGATTGTTATTGTTAGTAAATCATTATCATTCATGTGCATACTATGTCGTATCACAACATGTAATATCATTAACATACCTTCTAATAATGGCAATTCATCATCAAAAGAATCTACACTTGGTGTTCCTCTGTTCATACTTCCACTGATTTGACCACCGTATGGCTGTGACATATCATTGTTCGATGCACTACCATCATAATATGTATTAGGAAAGAATTCCATTCCTTGACTAGTCATTTTTATATTTGTTATATTATTATATATAATTATAATAATCTTATTTTTAAATTTTTAAAGATTCTTAAACTACACCTAAAAAAAAACTCTGGTGACTCAAATTTAATTGAACAAAGAATAATTAAAAAAAAAAAAAAAAAAAAGTGTGGTTAGCTGTTCATAAAAAAAATTTAAAAAAAATGACTCACACCTTGATTTCATTTTGTAAACAAAGATAATAAAACAAACAAATAAATAAATGGTGTAATATAATGCTATTTTTTTAATGATCGTTGATAAGTTCATTAAACAAAGACTCATAAGTAGTAGATAAAATATTATTATTTCTTTTTTTTTATCTTAATCTAAAATATTTTTAATAATTAACTCAATGATTGTTTTATCTCCAAAAATGATTAAATATAATACAATCTTTCAAAAGTTAAATGTTTTGTTTATTCGATTTTGATCAAAAAATTCATAGAATTAATTAAAAAAAAAAAAATTCAAAAAAAAAAAACAAAAATTTTTTTTTAATTTTGAATTCATGACAACGAATGATTACTCTTTGCATAAAAAAGTACAAATTTGGTAAAATGAATCGAGTCTTATTGACAAGAAAACAACGATATTTTTACCAATCAGTGTAACCACAACAAAGACAAGATTCGCATGTGTAATGAAATTGTTTTTGATAAAAGTAAGAAAACATGATTTTCGATTTGGTAATATCGTTGTTTTTTGTGTGGTTTGACAATAAAAGAGACCCACAAATCAGTTGTTAACAATTCAATCACTTTAAACACTCTCAACCTCGATGTAGATTCACAGTTTTGTGGTTGTGTTGTCCAATCCTCAAACCAACAACAACCAACGAGAATTTCTGTTTTTAGAACTACTCATCGAAAATAGTATTGTAACAAAAAACAACAAACATGAATACTGATAACTTTCGTAACCCCCAATCACCACAAAAATACATCGAGAGACAGGACAAGAGAAGAGGTCTCCACATTTTTTTTAAAAGAAAAACCAAAAAACAAAAAACAAACAACAAGAAAAACCACACTATTTTTATAAAATCAAAGAAAATCAATAACAACAATTGTTTTTTTTCAGAGGTTTGGTTTTGGTTTGAATTCAGAACACATCGAAAATGAATATGGCTTGCTATATCAATCAATGATATGGAATCATGAAAAAACGATAGTTTCAGTGATGTGGTTATCTAAATGTGGTGAGTGGGTCAAGGTACAACCAGAGAGAACTGATCATTTTTAGATGTCAATGTTTGCAGTACCAGAGGTTATACCTCTATTAAAAATTTAATTTAAGAAAAATCGAGACTTTTATTTCCTTTCACTATTGTTCACCACTTGGTTAACAGCTTTCGAAATTTTGTTATCGAAAAGATCTTCCAATGGACTAGATTGCTTCAATCAACAAACCACAAATTATGTGGATTGTCCTATTTTAGTAATAAATAACAATAAAATTCTTTTAAAATAGTTTAGTTCATGAAGAAAGAAAAGTATAAATACTAAATCAGTGGCTGATATAAATCATTCAAAAATCAACTAAATAAATATAATAATATAAAATTACAATAGTTTTATAAAACAACAACAATTCTAACAAATATATAAAATGTCTTTCATGAAGAAACTTTACAACTCCTTGCCAGCCGAGTCTCTCATTCTCATTGGAAATTTCGCAGCTGTATCTGTAGTTGGTGTTGCAGTATTTGCTAAAGGTTTAGATACTATGAAGAAAGAAAAGTAAGTTTTTAGAAAATCAACATAATATTTAATATTTAATTATTTTTTATAATTAATTCTAATCAATTTTTTATTAAAAAAATAATAGGAATTTCGAAGAGGTTGGAGAAAATCATGTTTTCTTGGCAAAATCTAAATCATTCGATCCATTCACCAAAGCTACTCTTCGAGAGAAACCAGCTTACCAACAACTATCATAAAAATATAGAGAAGCAAATAATAATATTTAAACATAAAAAAATCAATCCTTGTATAATATAAACTCAATTTTAAAATAAATAAATATATCATTTTTTATTAAACCATAGCTTTAATGTTTATCTACAACTTTGCTAAAATAAGAGTTTTTAAAATTGTTTTGAATTCGTAATTGTTGGGGTGTATATTTAATTATAATAAACTAAAAAAGATACTTTATCTAATTTTCAAATATAAGATATTCTATTAGGAGTATAAAGAACAAATTGAATAAGTCCAATATGATTCTCTACTAAAATTATATTATAAAAACATAATTATGTTTATCTTTTGAAAATTAAATGTAAAATTAAAATATAAAATTATTATTTATATGTTGACAAGTTCACCACAGTTTACAATTTTCATTGTTTTATTTAAAAACACTAAGATTCGTAATTACACATAAACCAAGATATATAAATTAATTAAAGATAGATTATGTATTTAACATTCGAAATAAGTAAATTTACTGTATTATTAAATCATGTTATTGTTGAATGAATAATATATGATATTTGAGTTTAGTTTAATTTATTCATACAATTAATTAATTATCTATGAATATACAGATATAATAAAAATAATAATATATTAATATAATTAAGAAATAATAAATAAAATAATAGATAAATAGAAAAAAAAAATTAAAATGTCGAGTGATAAACTAGTAAATGGTTTTACATGGGTACAACCATCATACCAGAAAGCAGAGAGCAATGCAGATAATAATAGTAATAATGATGATTTCAAGCCAATCGGATTGTCATCGATCATTGTTGGTCCATTCTTTTTGGTGTTGCTGCTGGCCTGTTTCTTGGTTACGAGAAGATTGAAAAACTTGAACCTGGAAAACAGGGTGGTCAATATATTCACATTCGTTGTAGGTCTCAAATTCATACCGTTCCTTCTCTACTTTATCTACTACCTTGTCAATCTACATCAGGAAACCACCAAGAATCTTCCAATATTTGTGGTTGCCGGCTACTTTGATTTGGTGTCACGTGCCGCCATGATTCTACTGCTGTTGTGTCTCTCACAGGGTTTTCTGATATCAAGACACTATCCACACGCCGGACTGACCGGTAATCCGCTGGCACCGGTCGTTATATTCGCTGGCCTGGTTGTTATGAGTTTGGCGTTCTACTTGGTGCCCAGTTTCACCTATTTCAACATCGAGACGACACCATTCCAGTTTACAACGATCACCGGTATCTTCTTGGTGGTGATGTTTGTCATCGCTCTGGCATGGTTCATCTTCCAATTGAATGCATCGATATTAGCCAATAGAGACGACGCCAACAAAGTCAAGTTCTTCTATGTTTTCGGTGCACTGTTCACCGCTTGGCAATTGGTATTCCCAATCATCGTATTCATCGTTAGTTTCATGAGCGAGTCTAAACGTCAACCGATCTGCTCTATAACAACAATGGTTTCCGACATTCTCTTCTATTCCATCTTCCTAATTCTATTCCGTCCATCCATCAGCAATCCAAATGTTCACAGAGTTATCTACGAACAAAAACAACAAGAAAACAATAACAATAACAACAATAACAATAACAACAACAACAACAACAACAACAACAATAACAATAGCAAATCTAATTCAACTTCAATCGAAGTTAAAGAGTCTAAAGATGTCCAAGATGTCTAAAAGTTCATATATCAATCTTTTTTTTATAAAATTATTTAAAAAATAAAAAAAACAATTTAATTATTTATTTATCATTCTTTATAATTATCTCTTATTCAACAAACAAATGAATGAATAATAAAAAGATAGATTGGAGAGATCTCTCAAATGAAGAAAAAGAGAGAATTAAATTACAAAGTAAAAAACATTTAAAAAAGATACAAGTAAGTATTATACTCTCTGCAGTGTTTGCAAATAAAAAATAGATAGCTAATTAGCTATTATTATTAACACCTATATTCATTCGAAAACATATAAAGAAAGAAGTATGTGATAAACTTGTTTGTAATACATGCCCAGATGAAAAGTTTACATCAATTTCAATGTATAGGCTACATTTAGAGTCAAAGAGACATTTGAGAAGATTTAAACGGTCAGCGGTTGCCGATACTTGGGATTGTAAGATATGCAATCTACCATTACCAAATGAATCAGAATGGGTAATAAAATAAATAATAACAACAGGATTTAATATTTAATGTTATATTTATATTAATTAAATTAAATTTATTAAATTTATAGAATAAACATGCTATAGGTAAAAGACATTACAAGTCATTAAAAAAGTATAATCAAAAACATTATCCTACAACAAGACCCTATCTAGAGTCTGATATTCAACAATTGAAGCAATCGGAATTCAAAGAGGAAATGGAAGAAGATGGAGAAGATTTATATTTACCTTTGGTTGGATGATATGGATATAACTGTGATAATAAATGGTAGTGGTTAATTGATGATCATTTTAAAAGTTGACTATTTAAATCGATTGAATATTGTTCTCTGAGATCCGCTATGTAGTCAGTGATTTGTTGATCGTTATAGTTGGAGTGTTCGAGATTCAATAGTTTCTGTACCAGTTGAAATGCTGTTCTTGCTGGGTGCACCGTTTGTTGTTGATCTTTCGATGTTGCATCTTGGTCTTTCTGTTGGAGATCCAACTGATCGCTTACCGATCGAGCAATCTGAATGACCTGTTCATCGATACCAGCAATCATAGCAATGTCGATTCCATATCGATGTACAGTAGATACACTCTCACTCAAACTGTAACCATATTTCAACTGATCATCCTCTCTAGTTACACTGAGATGATAGTTACGAATCATTGGATATATAAAAGACATACCCAACAACTCTATAGATATATAAATAGATATAAGTACTGTTAATCAAACATTTACAAGCCAAACGAACAAACTAAACAAACCTTGATAATGTGTTACAAACAATGTCATACAACCTATATTAGCAATCTTCTCACTGATTGCCCATGCAATGGATGAACCTTCGATGTTTGATGTTCCTCTGCCAAGTTCATCGACAATAACCAACGATCGATCGGTTGCACATTCTAAAACATAGGAGATCTCTGTCATCTCTGTCATAAAAGTGCTAGCATTTGATTGTAAATTATCGGATGTTCCTATTCTAGTGAATATTTTATCAACTATTTTAAATATTAATCAGTATCTTTTTTGAAGATTACATGGTAGAATGCTGTTATTAGTAACTAATAATAAAATATATATACTTATTGGACAAGACATAAATTTAGCAGGAACATAACTACCAATATGTGCTAAAATAGATAATAAAGCAACTTGTTCAATATATGTTGTCTTTCCACTCTTTATTATTATTAGTTAGTATTATTATAATTATTAAACACCTAATAAAACTATACTATACTATACTTACCATGTTTGGTCCATGTAAAATATGAAAGTTGGCTGTTTGAGTAAGCATTGTATCATTCTTAATATTATTATATTATATTAGTATGTTAGATGAGCATTATAAAATTAACAATAATCATCAGTCATCGCTACTTACTGGTACGAAATAATTATGATTGTCATTATCTAAACGATTTTTACTTGATTTGTATAAGTAGAATGGATGATAACCTTGTTTAATTGCCAATGGTCCTTTCTCATAGAATTGTGGACATACTAAATATAATAATAATAATGATTGATTGTTTTGATTATTAAATTAAACTTATAGATATATTATAAGTTGACTTACCTGTATCATTTAAAGTTACATAGGAACCAAGTGAAAATAAAAGATCAAGCAATGAGATGGATTCAGAGACGTTGAAGAGTGAGGATATTCTCTCACGATAGAAATCAATGAGATTGGAAACAGAGATCGATGTAAGCAATACGATCTCATCGAATACCTCATTGACTCTTCTCGATAGAGATACCAGATCGTCAGTTACGAATTCACACTTATTCTTTTTGAATGTCGCTCTTATGAATATCGATGGTAACTGCATCAAAGATCTATTCTTACAATAGATAGACAAATGAAAACCCTTTCCAGTATTATGGTGTAACTTGATTCCTGGCATTTTATATTGATCTTGATAATGTGTAACTAATTTGTTTATATCTAATAATATTATTAAATGTAATGTAACAATTACAAATTTATTAAATGTTAGTTCGTACAATTGTAACAATTACAAATTTATAACTATATTACCATTTAATATCTCATTATATGTTTTCTTACAAACATCTAATAACCCATTGATACCATCTTTAATAGAGTAAACAATCTATAGATAAACATTAATATTTGTTTGTTAGTAATGTTAATAAAACATACATTGTTTGCTAAGGATGATTTGTTTGAAGGTAATCTCTCATTAAAGTATTTAACTGTTTCATCACTGATTGTCTTTATCTCGAGATTGGAGATGTTTTCATAGATTGCTTTAAGTAGTGGTGTCTTCATATTGGATAATGAATCATGTAGCTTTGGTAACAAATCAATGATATTCTTAAATTCAATCTATATATTTAATAGCAAATTAGTATAATTATATATATAGATATTTCAAGATAATAACTTACGATTGACTTTATGAATTTCTGTATCTTTGTAATACTCATTGAATTGAAATCGGTCTTCAATGTAAAGTTTACTAACATCTGATCGAGATCTTTAAACTTTGAGAGAATTGGACCGATTGTAAAGAATGATCTCTCATTGCTCAGTATCTCTTTGATTGACTCTTGTCTCATTCTAATGGTTGCCATATCGTTGGGTGGTTGTACTAGATTCCTAATCAACAATCTTGCACCCTGTGGTGTCTTTGTATGATTCAACGATGAGAACAACGTAGATTCTCTACTTCCATTCAACGAATTACGTACTAATTCCAAATTCTTTATTGATTCTACAACAAAGTTAGTTGATTAACATTGATAAACTAAACAAACTATACTATTAATTTAACTTAGCATACATACCAGCATCAATTTGCATTATTCTCTCAGAACTTGAATAGAATATCGATAAACAGCTATTAGAGAAAGTAATATCGTTTACACCTTCAAGATATTTGATGAGAGCAGAGAACGATGCTTGTGCCAAGTATTTAGAGGTAACGTTCCTCTCGAGAAGTAACAGTTTGTCTGGCGTTGAGTATTGTTTGATCAGAGAAATACCGTTGTTCTCATTGAATATCTTTCTAGGTATGGTTGTTATCTCAACGTTTGGAAATTTATTCATTATCATCTTTAATAACTCTGAATCATCGTTTAATGGTGGTGTAATAATCTATTTGATATATATATATATATATATATATATATATACAAAGAAATGATAGTTATAAATATATATTTATCAATATAAAACAGTTTGGTAGTTGGTCACTAAACAAACTATGACTTACTAATGATACTTGAAGTATAAATAGTTTGGTATATAAATGAACGTAGGTTTGAGAATCACAGAATTGACCGATTTCAAATTGACCACTGTTGGTATGATACGATGCGAATCCGATCTCCTTCGACTTGTTCTCTGTCAATGCGAAGTAGGTGTAGTCTTTGGCTGTCTGCTTCATTGGTGTTTTAGATTTACTAGTAGCAGAGGCAGATACAGCCACCGGTGGTATCACACTGGATGATGTCAATTCATTCTTGCTAGCACTCATCTTTGGAATACATGTATTGGGTGTCTTGAATTTACTACCACTATTTCTATTGCTGTTGCTGTTATTCAATAGTTTAGGTGTTTCAAGTTGATCATTTGTAGAGCTTGCAATAGTTGTTGTAGGTGTTATTGTATTTGGGTTATTTAAAGTTGGTGTTTTAAATAATGATGATTTAATATTAAGTTTATTTCCACTATTGTCATTGTTATTTAATGTTGAGTTTGCTGCTGCTTTATTTGTAGTAGTAGTCGTAGTCGTAGTTGTAGTTATTGTAGCAGGTGTATTTGATAATCTATTACCTTTAAATTTATAGTTACTAATATTATTTATTATATGTTTATCAAATTTATTATTTTCATTTTGAAAATCAAACTCAAGATCATCTAAATCATCAAACGTTATATCACTCCTATATTTATCTTTATAATTCATATTCATATTATTGTTGATTCTTGTAAAAATGTTCTTTGTTATAAAAAGATTAAAAAATTGAAAAGTGAACTTAAAAAAAGAATCAAGAACGATAATTGTGTTTAGAATATTGCACGGGGAATATTGGAGCTAAAAATTAAAGTAAAAACAAATTAATGTTCTGGACCAAGTATTTAAAAAAAATAGATATTCCCCGTGCAATATTCTAAACACAATTATCGTTCAATCAAAATGAATAATTTAGTGATCAAAGTTATTAAAATTCCCTAAAATAAAATAATCTTTTTTTAAATAAAAATTAAATGAATAACCATTAAAATATTATTATGATTCTTGAAGTTCAAATGATTTATTTATAGAAAAAAGAAATATGAAATTATTTTTTTATAAAATATAAATTAAAGATTTTTCTTAATTTATTTAAAATAAACAAATAAAATCAATCTATCAATATTATATATGAGAATTCAAACATTTTTCAAGTGTTTTGATTCATCTTTTTATCAACACACAACATGGAAAATGAGTAGTGTCATTAAACTCATATAGTGTGGACTATTTATATTATTTAAAACAATTTCTTTTTATGATATCTATTAAAAAGGAGTGATTAGAGAATTAAATAAAAATAAAGACAAATTATTAAAAAACGAAAGAATAAAAATGATATCTTTGGTATGACAACAGAGAGAGTGTGTGAGTTTGGTGAAATAAATGTCTGGTTAATTAAACAAGTGTGTGTGGATTAATGAAAAAGCAGTGAATAATCACTATCATTTTTACACACAATGTTGATTTCCAGAGAAACCCCACACACGAACAGATAATATTTTTTTGATATTTGGTATCTAAAGATAAAAAAATTATTAAATTATCAAAATGCTTATAGATATCATATCCTAAATCAATATTAAAATAAATATAATTTAATAAAATATTAATTTTCCTTACTATAAATAACATTGGAATTTAGAACTGAAATCAAATCAAATCATTTCATAATTTAATTTAATCAATTAAAATTATCTATCTTTTTGTTTATTTTTAGAATTTTAATAAATTATTTTTAGATAGATTTTAAATCAACTATATATATAAATAAAAATGTTTAAATATATTTTCTTAACATTGGCAGTACTTGCCATTACCACTCACTTGGTCGAAGCAAATGCTGGTTTTATCACTCCACTACCAAGAATTAAATGTACCGAGAAGGATCATGCAGGTTGTAATATTAAAACTCCATGTGTAACAAGATCTACACCAATGGTTAAGTATGTATAATATAATAATTTGGAATCCATTTAATTTTCTTTCTTCCAAATGCTAATATTTCTGAAATAATTTTTTTTTTTTTAGTGCCGTTTATTTCAAAGAAGCAATTAGTATTGCTATCTACCAAAAGGATTCTCATGCCACTTCCAACTCAACCAATACCTATACTATCCAATTTTTCCCAGATGGTTCCGATACCGGTTACCAATTGACTACTTTCAACCAGAACAAGAATATGACTGATAAGACCAGCTACAAGTTGACCATCGATCCACTCAGCACCTTTGAAGACATGAGAAACGAAGAGATCGTTCCATTCAAGGATGGTATCTCATTGGGTTATCTCCAAATGACATTCGATACTCGTGTCAATGGTGTCAACGTTTCCTACTATTCATGCGCCGACGTTATGATCTCCAAAGAGAAGATCGCTCCATCCAAGGGTTCAATCTACACTGTCAACGGTGTCATCACTGTTGCCGACCCAGAGAATGGTGATCCAATCGGTAACTCCAACATCGATGCCCGTAATCAAACCATCGATCTCCAAGACTTGGTAAATGTTGAAGATCAAGCCAAGAAAGGAAACTCTGCTGAAGTCAATGCTGACCAACAAAGTGAAGCTTCAAATCACAAAGATAAGAACTCTGCCATTGGAACCTACTCCACCTCCAATGTTTTCATCATTGTTACCACTATTACTTCACTCTTTTTATTCTCCAGAGTTTGGAACTAAACACATTTATTTTTTCTCAATTTGAAACAATAAAAATTATTTTCGCTTTGTTGTATCTTAAAATTATTGATTTCGTCTAGACGATGACTTGTGAGTGATTAAAGTTAAATTAAATAAATATATTTTATTATTTTATAATTATTATTATGTGTGTATGTGTTTTGATATTCTATTAGTAGGTACTTTTTTTGGTTGAATGTATCATCTTTTTCATATCAACGTGGTGATTGTCTTGGTGAGTATCTACCAGCATTATTTTGTTCTTCGATGATTGAAATTAATCTACCTATTCTCTCGATTTTGGCTAATACTGGTGCTATCTGTTCGCTGTCCTGTGATCTCTTGATTTGTTCGCCAATCTCTGCGAGTTTCGAGCTAATCAAAGATGCATCGCGCTTCATAATGATCGACTTGTTGGAGTTTGCTGCATTAAAAGTTGGTGAGTTGTTGTCGGAAAGCAACTCTTTGATAATCATTGAGAGATTCTGCTCCTCGAGTGGAGTGGCGCTACCAGGTGCCGCCAACAATGCCGAGGTCTTGGCGGTGGTGGTAGCAGTGAAATAGACGACGGTATGTAGCAACGCTTCTTTGACTGCGTCGAACGATTCCTCGAGCTTGGCGTCTAGCATCTGAGTGGTGAGTTGCTCCGCGACATCGTTGAGAAGCTCACTGATATCGTTGGCCTGTGAGAACGATGCGATATCCATGAAATCCAAAAACTTGTTCATCTCCTTCTCCACTGAGAGTGTGAGTGCATACAACTCCTGGAAAGTTGGAGCGTAGCTCAGTAGGAGTGTCGGTGTCAAACAATACAATTGGTGATTGCTAAACAGCTGGGTTTGCGGTTTGATCGACATCGACGGCTTCTCCTGCTGCGCCGAGCCAACACTGAAACTACTGGATTTCTGCCATTCTTGGAACGACAGTTGCTTGGTGGTGAGTTTCATCACCGAGAGAATCTCGCTGATCAAATGGATGTCAAGCGTCTCAGAGATTCGCTTCACCACTTGATTCAAAACGGTGACGATCTGCTTGATCGATGCCTGTGAATTGGTGCGGAGAGTGTTGATCAGAGAGAGTGCAGTACTGTCTTTCTTGTTGACCGGTGCCAGACGATTACCATGAGTGAGAGACCGAGACTTTCTCCTCAGGACTTTCTCACGTTCACTCATCTTCTTCTCACTGGCTTCCTTCTCTTCGACATCGTCGAAATCAATGAATTTCGTCTTGTAGGTGATTGGATTCCAACTCTCACCTCTGTAGACACACAAATACGATGGTTTCTCAAGAATATCGATCAACTCTGTTCGTTTTGCAGATGTCAAAAATTGGAACAGCCATTTCAACATTTCACCTCTATTCTTTCCGAAATCAGTTCCAAACTGTGAAAATAATTTTGGTAAACTTATCTAATAATAATAATAATAAGAAAAGTTAATAACTATTCTCATGATTTAAAAAACTAACTAACAAGTTACTTACTTCTTTCTTCTTTGTACAAATATCGATTTTAGAACTACAAAATTCTTCACCAGATTTATGAAGATCTTCGTTGATGGTATCGGGTGAGAATATTCTGAGACAAGGCAGTGTGATGTTGACGTTGCACAGCGCGAAATGATATCTTGGATCGAGAGGGATGACAAATTGACGACGAACGTCACCACCACGAATCTGTCGGGTTCTGGTGAGTGAATTCTTTGGGTTCGATCGGAGTACTCCGTTTTGGATGTCGGCCAATGAGTAGGCGTTGCCCGCGATGTTGTACTTGTGAATCGAATAGGATTTACGTCTGGCCTCAGAGTTGGGTGGACCCAGGAGGAAATGCAAATGTAGAATCATCAGATTGAACACGTTGATAAAGAACGATGCCAGGTAATCGGGTTGCATCGATTCGAATGTCACTGTTTGGAGTTCGTGAATGTCACGAGCAAACTGTGTGAATTCCGGTGTCTGCTGAATCAGCGGCCAATTTAAAGGTTGTCCATTCAGCTTTATACTTTGTTGGTCTGTTAATTTATTATTCTTACAAATCGAGACAATCATTCTCAATAGATGTTGTACGACAACATGTGCTGGTCTTGGATTTTCTTTCCATACGAAATCCAAATTAATTAACTAATCACAAAAAAAAAAATACAACTGGAAATTAGAAAAACTAAACATATTTCGTGCCGAAAAGCATAATCTACGATACTTACAACTTCTTCTTCTTTTGCTGTTGGGAAATTATTTGATATTACATTGAGTGTAGGTGTTATTACATTTTGTTTGGCAATTTTAAGATTCTTTGAAAGTGTAGATTGCCATTTGAAAGAGGGTTCCTTATTGTCAGAGTTGGAACGGTTCTTCTTTACTTCGATCTTTGGTGAGTTGGATGATCCAGCGGAATTGGAACGATTCTTGGAGAGCAGTAAGAGTGGACTCGATTGGAGCATCGCTTTCTTTGAGAGATCGATCACCTCCTGGAGTTTCTCGGGCTTGATCAACTCTGGGAATCCGGCTGCCTCTAGATTCTTAAATACACGCTCCTGGTTCTTATCGAGGAATTGTTGGACGTAGACGATTCCGTCGTGGAATGAATCCTCAGAGACTATCATTCCGTCGATGGTCTGATCTTCGGAGGGACGCGCTGCCAGTCGGACAAAGAAGTCGTCGAGTAGCGGTGCGTTCGATTTGATAAAGTCGTTGAGTGACTCCATGTATGGCTGATTGAAAGTCACTTGATTCGAGAGATTCTGCAGACATTTGGCAACGAGAACGAGTGCACGACGCTCACTGATTCCCACACGACCTGGCGAGATGATTCCGGCGTTCTCTGGCGACACACAGGCCGGGCAGAACAAACGGAGAAATATGAATCCACCGACTGCCGCACGCCAATGGTTGGGGAATTTTCTGGAAACGATTTTCTTGAAATAATAACAGATTTCGATGATGGATTTCGGACATTGATCGATCGACTGGACGATACGGTCAAAGAATTTCTGGGAGACAACCTTGAGTTTCTCGATATTCTCGTTGACGTCTTCGTCTGGCTGCAGGCGATCGGGATCCACTTCCAGAGAGAGTGGCGAACTGCACAGTTCGACAACGAGTGGTGTGAGAGTTTGCGCTACGTAGTGTTGTGCTGTTTTGTGTCCGTAGGCGACCACCATTTTCATGGCAACAGAGTTGGAACGGAATAGAGTTCCTGGATCGTGACATGCTGCCACCTCTTTCTTCATGAACGCCTTCAGGAGATGCAGCAATTTGTGATGGCAATGGAAAATGTCTACCAGCGACTTGGCCATCGCAGCCGCCGCGGTGATGTCGACTGCATCGCACGAAGCATGCACCAGCTGTAACTTTGGAGTTACCACCACGTCCAGTAGATCGCGATGCAACGATTTCAAACGAACCAATCCAGGAAGATTGGTATTCTCATAGGATATCTGTAGCTGTACTTCTACTTCATCGTTGGAGTAGGTTGACTCGCTCTCACTATAACCAGTATTGAAAGAGGAATGTGAAATTGTATGATGTAGATGTGGTTGTTGTCCATTGCTAGAGTTGGACAACGGATTATTATTATTATTACTACTACTGACAATGGAATTGGAATTACCAACGCCAAGTACATAAAGTTTATACCATTTCAAACTGGAATCGATTCTGTATTCTTCATTTTCGTTTGGTGCCGGTGTTGCCAAAGATGGCGACGACACTGAGTTCGATCCACGAATGGGTGTAGGTGATTTCTGGTGAATACTATTTCCATTGTAAGTCATCATCGATGGTGATCCAGACAATCCATATTCATTCGGTGTGTTGGAAGCTGGCGAACCACTAAGTGAGTATTGTGGTGGTGTGTTGATGTTGATTGGCGACGATCCCGACATGCTCAGTGGCGACGGACTGGTGTTGCTGGCGGGTGCGCCACTGCCCTGAATGGAAATTGGCGCGGATGTTGGCGAACCTGCTGGACTGCCTCCCATTGAATTATAAAGGTGTAGAGGTTGCTGTGGGGAGTGGCGTGGCGATGCTGTCGGTGAACCGGTGTTGGGTGACAGTGAGTTATAGCTGGAACGACGTGGTAGCGATGTGAAAGGCATCGATGAATATTGCAGCTGGATATTGGCGCGTGCCACTACCACGGTTGGCTGGACTGACTCGTCCTTGTGATATTTCTTCTTGAAAGCGACTTCAAAGCGTGAAACAATACCTGGCAGTTGGAAAACCAGTGAGTTCTTCTGCAGGCCGTGGTCAGACTTGGGTCTGCGAAGAACCACGTCGATCGGGTGGTAGTCGACACCCTCGACATTAACAACACAAACCAAAGCACCATCCGTGCCATTCAGTGCCTTTGTATTACGTACATTATTAATCTTTATACACAACAAAGGAGATTGACCTCCTTCGTTCATTTCTTGATTATATATATCTAGAAATCAAAAAAAAAAAAAAAAAAAAACAATAAATATCCAAATTCCCTACTTATTAACAAATTATTACTATTGATTGATTGATTGATTGATTGATTTGATCTAATTAATTATAATACACTAAATTTGAATTGATTTGATTAATTTGGTTTGAGTTGATTTGATTTGTGTTGAATTGTATTGAGTTGAGTTAATTAAGTTAAAGACTATTAAAAGAAAAAATAAGGAGTGGTCTATGGTCTAAAAAATAAAAATCTATCTTTAAAAAAAAAATAAGGAGAAGAGAGTTAATAACAATGATTTCCAATTATAAATAAAATGAAATATTTGAATTTTTTGTCATGTAAACAATATATATATATATGAAAGCGTATGATTTAATTTGAATGAGACGAATATGTCGAGATCTCTCTCTTTGACACTCTATATGGAAATAAAACAGCAAAAAAAAACCTGTAGTTGCTGTTTAAATATGATTGATTGTTTGTAATCTTAATTGACATATGTGGAAATGTCAAAGATGATATGGCTAAGCTCCAATCCATCCAATTAAATTTCTGCGAAAGCTCTACTTTACGTCGCACAAACATCACCCCCCACATCTTAACCTAATAATTGTAATTACAATTATTAAATATTTGTTACCTGGTGACTAAAATACAAAATAGGTGGTGCTGACAAGTGATATCACTAAGATTGAACTTTTTGATTGTTGTTTATTTTGAAAGAGCGTTTGTTATAAATAGATCTCTCTCTCTCTACACTCTATAGAATATTTCTTCGTTTAATACTGTTTACTATATAGTTTCTGTTGTTGTTGTTGTTTTTGTTGTTTTCGTTCTAATATGTTTTGTATGTGTATGATAATATGAGCTAAAAAGTGGTATGAATAGGTGTGTGAGGTATTGGTGTGATAGATTGAAAAATATGGACTCATTTTAACTGTTTTTGTTTTTACACACTCAAAGAGATGGTGTTTTCAATGAACTATTTATGTGTGTGTTTTGATTGATTGAATGAATTAACTGAAAATAAGGCAAAATTCGACAAATTAAAGATAGCTACCCATCTATAAGCCAGATGGGTGTATCTTTATATGATAAGGTAATCCGTTTAAAAATACTTACAAAATGGACTGATGACAAACTAAATAAATACTACTGCACTACTATTACTATATATTGAGTTTTTTTTTATTTTTGCTAAAATAAAATAAGATAAATATATATTTATCTATCTGTATATCTGCTTTATCTTTGGTTTTTTTTTTGGTTTTTTTTTACAATTTTAGCGATAAGTTGAGGTGTGTTTTTGTGATTTATTTTTTTTTTTAAACAATACCAAGTTTAATTGAAAAAAAAAAGATTAAGGCAAAAAAATCATCAATCCTCTTTTTGATGGACCGTATCCACAGAGTTTTAGCCAAAACAAACACAAAAAAACAAAAAATCTTTTTTTAATAATTTTTTAAAAATAGGTTTTTTTTTTTTTTTTTTTTTATCGAATTTTTTGACACCATCAAGTTTTAATCGAGCCTTTTTTCACTGTACTGTTCACACAACTACCAATGTCGCTTTGAATTTTTTTTAAAAGAATGAAGTTAAATCGCTTTTTTTTTGTTTTTAACATTTTAAAGATAATGATGGGTTATTTCAAATCAAGTTTCGATGATGGTATAATTCATTTTATAAAGTATACTTTTTTATTATTATTTTTTTATTTTTTTTGTAAACGTTTAATGAAGAGAAAAGCAATAACAATAAAAAAGTTACAAAGATAAAAATTCTTCAATTAAAATTGTTAATACCTTCAAGTTTTATGTGGATTACACAAACTTTGCAAAGTGGGGAGTTATCAATAAGAAATGACAGTTCGAGAACAATTAACATGGCTGTAACATCAAAACAATAAATATTTAAAATTGCAATTCAAAAAATAAAATTTATATAGCAAACTATATAAATTTCTTTGGTTTGTGGTAACCATATCTTTTTTTTTTTTTAAAAAAACAATTTAAATCATAGTTAATTATATGATGAATCAATCTTTACCTAACAAAATCAAAAGAGTTTGCTCAATCTAAAAAATGAAAAATCAGATATTCTATTGAAAAAAACAACATAAGTCTTGTTTTTTTATTGGTAATTAACTTTCCACAGTAACCAAACTGAATACACCTAGTTTTTTAACAATTGTTAAAATTTTTTTTGTGAATCCAGAGGCTAGATTTGATTTATTGGGTTTTATCAAAGAGTATCACCAAAAAATATTTATTTTAATTTATTTTTTGTTTTTTTTCTCATCTAGAACCGATTTAAATAATGAACATCAACCCTTTGAATTCCATTTTTCTTTATTGCCAACAATTAATAATTCATCAATATTTATAAATATAAACTTAAATTGTAAGTTGTTCCACAAATATATATAATTATAATAAAAAAAGACATATTTTGTTTTAGTCAATACTAACTTTTTAATTCCTCTCTAGAAAATCAAAAATGGGTTGCTCAGTGTGTGGTTTAAATGGACACAATGCCACTACATGTCCAAGAAATGGTACTGTTCAATGTAGTAACTGTCAGAACTATGGACATAATCGTTCTACATGTCCATCTATGGTATTTCCAACAAAATAATCAGCGCTCAATTTAGTGACTGTCTTATCTATTGCAAGGAATAATAGATAATTTATTATTCCTTTTAATTCCCTTCTTTCTATTCTTAGTCAACAAATCTTTTAATAAAAAATGATTAATATAATTAATTATTTTCACCATTGATTTTATTAATTGAATTAAACTTAATTTAATTTAGAAAAAATCAAAAAAATTAATTAAATTCTTTGATATTCATCAGTCAATAAAGTTGATTTATTTACTATTTATTTAAGAAGAGCTATACCTTTCTCATGTCGTTCAATATGAGTTTGCAGATCATAATACAGTCTGAAACAAAGGTGATTTCTTTTCAAATTCTTCATATTCGAGCCTCAAAGTATGAATCCCTTGGTGTTAAGTGAAGCACTGAAGTCAAACACGGTGCCTTCTTCGTAATTCCACTTGAAGTTTTCCAACCAAGCCTTTGTCTCACTGATACTCCACTCTTTGGGATCTATTAAAATGATTATTGGTTTGAGCTTATTAAAACTAAAAAACAATAATGTAATAGTTACCTTTATCTTTGAAGTTTGACATATTCACGATCTTTTGTATATTTATTTACTTTTTTTATATTCAAAATATAAATATTTATTTTTTCAATATTTAGATAATTCAAACATATTAATAGTTAATTAAGATAGGAGTCCACAAATAATTTTTGATTTATTCTATATTCGGATATCAATAATGGTTTCAATTTAGTTATTTGAATAGAAATATTTAATATTTTTGAATACAAAGGAGTTATCACTTAAATTTATTAATTTTTAAAGTATACTTTCATTTTAATTAGTCAATAAAGTTGATTTATTTATTTGTTAAAGTTAATAATCAGTTTATTTCATTTAAAAGTCGACGGCCAATGGATAGTCGGCAGTGAAACAGGCGGAACAATAACCGTCTGTGGACTTTTTGATGGTACCATTCAGACATGTTTGCATTGATTGATTAGTGTCGGCGGAAAGTGTTGGTGATGTGATTGGTTGTGAGGGTTCTGATGGTTGTTCGGTTTGGATGGTGATTGGTGCTGATTGTGTCTTTTTCTTTCCGGCTTGGACAGCCTTCATCATACCTTCGTATGTCAAATACTGCAGTGATTCAGCACCTATATAATCACAAACCTCCTTCAATGATTTATTATATCCAATGAGTTGTTCGTGTGTAGCCATATCGATACCCATATAACATGGATGTAAAACTGGTGGTGAAGAAATTCTAACATGAATTTCAACTGCACCTGCACTTCTTATCAATTTAATCAATGCCCTAAGATAAATAAATAATAATGATGATAATTGATATGATTAGTTAACAATTGTTAATGTAACCAAATAATTATTAACTTACTTTATAGTATTTCCACGAACGATTGAATCGTCAATCAATACGATACGCTTTCCTTTGATATTTTCTGTGAGTGGGTTGAATTTAAGTTTGATACCTTGCTGACGAAGATGGTCAGTTGGCTGAATGAATGTACGGTGGATATAACGATTCTTGGTTAGACCCTCGCTGTATGCCAGTCCCGATTGTTTTGCGTAACCAATGGCCGCTGGAAGTGAGGAGTCTGGCACACCGATGACGATGGTTTCAATGTCTTGTGGTGAGTTGGGAGTTGGTGGTGGTGATTCACGTGCCAATTGCTCTCCCATTCTCTGACGAACGGAGTGGATCAATTGATCTTCCAACAGTGAATCTGGACGTGCGAAATACACATATTCGAATACACAGTGTGCTGAGACGTCAGCTGGCTTACGACCCATGAAGGAATCCATACCGTTCTCGTCGATCTTGATGATTTCTCCTGGACGCACCTCACGGATGTATCTACCACCGATGGTGTTGATGGCGCACGACTCTGACGCGATCACATAACGTGGAATGGTGACGTTGGGGTCGTCCTTGCTTGGCACGTCGATGGCACCAATACAAAGTGGACGCAATCCCAAGTAGTCACGAACACCGTAGAGCGCGTTCGGTGTCATCAAACAGAGCGAATAGGCACCCTCTGCCTTGCTCATGAAATAGCTGATTCTACTCTCCCAATTTGCTTTGTTAGCACCGCTGCCATTTCCAGAGTCTGGCTGTTGAACGCCTGGTGGATTGGCGGCGAGCAGCTGTGTGATGATCTCGACGTCGGAATCCTTGAAGAATCCGACACCGGCTTGCAACAACTCGTTACGCAGTGAACGAGCGGTAGTCAAGTTTCCGTTCTGTACGATACCGACCTGTCCGTGCAATGTCTGGACGATGACGGGCTGTGCGTTGTTGATTGTCGATTTTCCGGCGGTCGAGTAACGGGTGTGACCGACGGCCATACGTCCCTTGAGTGGCTTCAAGTTGGTCTCTGTGAACACCTGGTTGACCAAACCCATTCCAGTCTCGACGTGCACTGAGTAGTTAGAGTCATATGTAGCAATACCACAACTCTCTTGACCACGATGTTGCAGAGCAACCATAGCAAAGAATGTTATACGCGAAACGTCCAACTCTGGTGCGAAAATACCAAAAACACCACATTTTTCTTTTGGCTCGTCCATTTCGTCTTCGTCAAAACAAACATTTTCGTTTTCACCATTCAAATATAATTCCATATCATCTTTTGCCATTTTTATAATTCTGTCTGTATAAGTATATATATTAAAAAAAAAAAAACTATAATTATAATATTAATATCTTATTACTAATAATAAATAAACAAATAATATTATAACAATAGATAGATATAAAAGTAAACTAAAAAGTTTGTTAAATAGAAATAGATTGAGTATATATATATAATTTTGGTGTTGACTCGCTTGCGAGTATTATTAGGGGTTAAAAAATGTAGTTGATATCATTTGTGTTCAAAAAAAAAAAACGAAGGGTTATTAAAAAAAAAAAAAAAAAAACCGACAACAGAAAAGAAGATTGAAAACCTATTTATTTACTTACTAATCTATCTATCTATCTGATTGAATAAGATAAAGAAACCGTTATATTATATTGTTATAAAAAATGTATTGTTATATATTTATAGATATTATTTATTTGATCAAAAACAATAATATAGAGAAAAAAAGAAAAAGAAAAAGAAAAAATGAAAACTTACATATGACTGTTTTTTATTTGGGTTGTTGGTTTGTTGTTTTTATTTTTTGTTTGTTGGTTTGTTTGTCTTGTTTCTGGTTTCGACGATTTGATTCGAAATTATATTGTTGTATACAACAGGATGGTTATTATTATTATTTGGGTCCGAAGCCGCGAATTGTTTTGAATTTTTTCATTTTATTTTTTTTTTTTCAATTTAAAAAAAGCCGACTTAAATCGGAAATAGGTCTTGGTGTCATTTTGTTTTTTTTTGTTTTGATTAACCGATTGTTTTTTATGTTTCTCTCTAACACATTAATTAAATTCTTTAAAACGGGATTTCAAAATTCATTACTTATGTAGAGTTGATTTTAAATCTATTCGAATCGGTATGATAACATAATCGAAGAATGAACTCAACATAGTTTTAAAGTCGACTAGTATGTTATATCCAACTCTTCTATTAAAGCATTCGTTTATTTGCTATACTTAAGTTTATAATTTAATGTTAAGAATAACAAAACAAAAAAATTATAATAACTATCAAATTAAAATACAATTATACATATATTACATTAAAATCAACTTTATATAATATGTATTTAAGTCAAACAGAAAGATCTCTTCAGCTTATTATAAATCTGTCAGCTCATTCCATATCAACAAATGTTCAATTCGAATGTTCAATATGAGCGGAGAAGTATGTCATGACCTAGTGATTAAGAATCACTAATTTGAGAATATCGTCATCTAAACATTATTTAAATCTTTAAGTGTAATAGACGAAAGATTGGTATAAAAGAGCATTGTGAAACTTTTGAAAATACTACAACACCTACACTTGATTCAATAGAATCCGAGTCTTTTTAAATTAATTCAAAAGCTACTGATTCTTAAAAGAATAGAGGCTAACTTTGAAAACATTGTCACAAGGTATTTATCTTAACAAATCTTTCAAGCAGCACACCTACACTTGATTCAATAGAATAAACTCCAAATATAAAATTAATAAATACCAATCTTTCTTTTTCTGTTTATTTGTATATTTTTTTTCTTTAGCAAAATTATTATTATTATTTTTAATGTTAGTATTACATAGTTTAATTTGTTTATGTATAACTGCGCAATGTAATCACAAATATAGTAAAAAAAAATGATTCATTTTTGTGGTAATCATTCTATCATATGATCTTCATTGTATCCCACCACGATAAAAACAAATAACACCCACCAACAAATATATTTATTCAGGTTACTAATGCCAATAGTATGTTGTTCATGATAAAGTGTAAAATACCACTGTTTTTTTTTTGATAGCCATTAAAATTTATTATTTTTATTTTAAAAGAAAGTAATAGATTTATTCATAAAATGAAATGATAAAGAGAGATTCATTAATAAAATAAATAAATGAGATCAAGAAACAACTTTAACTAAACTATAAATTACAATTATATAAATATTTACAAGTTTAATATATAGTAATAATATTTATAATAAAAATACAATGAACACATAATTATAGTATTTGTTTAGATAAATAGATAACAAACTTATTATTAGAAACAATTCCCTCCAAATTTAATCGATTCGATGTTTTCAAACGAAATGAAGTCAAAAAGTGAGAGGTATGCTGTGAAAACAATCAAACTAAAAACCTTTCGCTTGGTCTCACCAAAGGGTGTGCATAAAAACCATTAAATTTCTTTTTTTATAATTTTTATTCGTTTTATTTTGATTTTTTTTTTATTTTTTAAATAATTTTTTTTTTTTTCACCTATTCTCGCGAACAAAATCAGTGAAGAATTCATGTTACAATCAATTATTAAAATTGATATTGTATCATTGTGTGCGTTTTATAACCAGGTAAATATCTGTTTTTTTTTCACACTTCTTTGAACCATTTCAATTCAGTTCAATTTAATTCAATTCACAAGAAATAAAAAAAAAAAGGCAGTGACGCCCCAATCATCTCGAATTGGTGAATTGTGGTTAATAATAACTTGCACAAATATAAATATTTAATTAAATAATAACTGAGACCATTCATTTAAGACAAAAGAGATGGTTCTCACAATAATCAAAACTTAATTGGAAATAATAATAGTTTTAGTTTAGTTATTTTTTTATTATTGTTTGTTTATTTTGTATATAGATATAGTTAAGCTAGTTTTTTTTAGAATTAAGACAATAATACTTTAGTAGTAGTTTAATTTTTAAAATCAGAAAAAGAAAAAAGACAGAACAACAGAATTTTATTTAATTGTCGGAATATATATATATATATAACTCAGTACAAAGTATAAAAAGTAAAGAACAATTATCGATATTCTTTTAAAAAGTATATTTATAGCAAAAGATCAAACAACATAACAACAATAAGCAATAGAGTTGTGAGAAGACAGTCATATGAATCAGACAATCAAACAAACAACAAACTATTGTCATTTTAATCACAGTTACAAACATCTCAAAGTCTTATTTTCACTTTGACAAGAAATACATCAATATAAATACAACAACAATAACAATAACAATAACAATCATACCTTACAAAGATTGTATAAGTGTATTTATTAGATCGATAAAATTATAATAAGTAGATTGACAGTAAAAGTGGTGGTGCTGGTGGTAAAAAAGATACATTTACACAAGCAATGTTATTATCTTAATTATTATTTTATTATTTTTTAATTTTTTGTTTTATTATTATTGTATTGTGTGGTGAACAATTGTTAACATCTATCTATTCACCCTCTTCGTCGGAAATGTGTGAATTTTAAACGAAATTGAAAAAAAAATAATAATTTATTTTTATCGTGTTATCTTTTTTTACTTTTAAAGGTAATTGCACCTTGTTGTTATTGTTAGTGGTGGTGAGAGATCTCATTCATTAGCAAAACAAAAAAAAAAAAAACGAAAGTACTACTTTACTCACAAAATCACTTAATATTGCCTCACCTTCTATCGACTCAGCAATACACAGCTATATACAATAACATAGTCTTTATATCTCGAAAACTAAATACCTAAAAACAAAACAAAAAAAACAACAAAACACAAACAACAACAAAATAATAATAATAACAAAAAAAAAAAAAACAAAAAAATTAATATTATCTTAATAGTATTGCATTATTGTTATTTTGTTATTGTTTTTTTTTTTTGTTTTGTTGTTTAAAACAATAACATGAAATATCATCAACATCTATAAGATTCGAGTATCAAAACAACCAAATCCAAACAAACTAAAGTTTCGGAAAATTATTATTATTAAACAGATTAAAGTAGGTCGAAATTACTATTAAAATTTAAAACAAAAAAAAAAAAAATAACAATAACAACAAAACAATAAGAAGAAAAAACAACAAACTAAAAAACTAAAAACTAAATTTGAAATTCCCTATGATTCGTTTATGGAAATAACAACAATATACATTTTTAAATTTTACTATAAACCTATATCAAAATCTTAGATATTCGACTTCATCTTAATTTGTAGTCCACAAAATACAACGTTTCATTTTTGAAAATCCTATGCATCTCATCGAAGTTTTTCGTTTTGTCTGTTCTCCTTCAATTTACAAATTGATTTGACAAGATTCAATAATATTATTCGCACACACCTTGCAAGATTAAGTTTAATATCTATCCTGTCGATTTCATTCGAAATCACATTATCTTCAACAACCAATAGCAATAATCCATCTCTTCTCATCTCATTTTTCATCTCGTTCGTTCTCCAATACCAAAAAGATTTAAATACCACACGCATCACCATCAGCCTAAAAATTATTATATTACAATCATCTCAATAATAATAATAATGCTGTTTAGTACTGAATATTTATTTAATTCAAAGAGTTTTTATCGTTTATTATGCTATTATTGTTGTTATTATTATAGTTGTTTAAACAACCTGATATCTTCCTCTACACTTTAAAATAATAATAAAAAACAATATTCTTTCTTTATTTTCACTTAAAAAATATACAAATTTAATATTAACATGTTATTTAATAATAATCATAATAATAAAAATAGAAGGAAAGTAAACTTTAACTTTCAGTTACACTCTTGTACATTGTTTCATAGTGTCCAGAGTGGTGGATACTTGACTGCTGCAAGATATACCAGCGTTTGCTATAATAGTAGTATTAAAGGAACTAATAGTAGTAATAGTAGAAAACACTTTGAAAAAGATTATCCGATTGGATCATCGAGTGGACTAACCGACAGCCTCCTCCTAAACTTGTTACTTTACATGATGACCACTGTTTTTCATTCTCCTAAACAACCAAATAGTAGCAATCACAGCAACCACAACCCAAACAATCACAACACGAACCATAACAATAACAATAGTAGTAGTAGCAATAATAGTAACATTAATAATCATTCACCACACAACGGTGGAAAGAATCATCACTACCCTCAAATCTCTCAATTCAAAGCTGGTCAACATATTCTCCAGTCCGCACGTCACAAACAACTACATCCAAACTCTTCGACACACTCTGTCTCCTCACACCATCCGAACCAAGTCGAACCTGATGACGACGCTATAAATATTCTCACATTCTCTGGTATCTTTTACAAGTTTCTCATTTTTATCATCTCCTTCCTTCCATTTTTCTTGATTGAAAAACTCTTGACTCTTTTCGCCTGGATTCAACTTGAACTCCTCAAAGCTAAAGGAAGAAGTATCAATCCTGAACAAACCTATTCAAAATTAAAAGTAAGTAAAGAGCAACACTTTTCAACTAACAACAACAATAATAATAATAACTAAATATCTTTATTATTTAATTTTTTTGTAGAAGAAAAGAAAATTAAAAAAGAAGAAACACTCTAAATCTTTAAGTATCAACGGAGTTTCATCCAAAAACAACTCACCATCATTACCATCGATTAAATCATCTTCAACTGAAGATCTAACACAATTACAAAAGAAAGAAGAAAACAAAAACAACAATAATAATGATGGAGCTTCTTCCTCCTCTTCACTCACCCAGCTTGAAGAGGAGTTTGACAAAATCAAAGAAGAAAAAGACGATGGACAAGGAACACTTCCTTCTCCTAGCTCAATGCCAATTCTTCAGCTTACACCTTCTTCTCCTACACCAGACACTTTTGCCTCTGGAGAAGCTCATCTTCATAATACATCAACACCAGATACTGACATGAAGCTTGCCGTGCCAAAGGCTCTCAACCGTGTCCACACTAGCTCTGAGAATCTTGTAGATAATCCTGAACAACTCCTCAAACACCACCATCTCGCTAAATGGGAACAACAGAACCACTCATTGGCTCTCAGTGCCGGCAATCTTCTCACCGTCCCATCATCTGGTCAACTCAACCGTCCTCGCTCCGACTCGGTCTGTGGATTCACATCGGATCCATGTCAGGCACAACGTTCCATCTCTGAGATTCGTCGTGTCAACTCTGAGGCTGCTCTCTACCAAACCTCGGAAGACCAAATGCTCTTTGAAGCCAACCTCCAGAGCCGTCGTGAGTTTGAAGACTTCCTTCGTTCCGTCAAAGACATCAAAGACGTTCGCAACTGGCTACAAAACTTTAGTGGTAGTGCGCCAAGAAAGATTGCTATCGTCAAGATCAGTCGTAGAATCCTGGAAACCCAGTACGGTATCGACCAAGCCGCTGCTTCCCTCTGTTTCATGTACAAGTTTGGTCTGCTCCCCATCGTCATTCACGGTGGACTCAACGACATTGCCCGTCTCCCATGCACTCAGGTCATTGAAGAGCGTAGAGACCGTTCCGCCAAGCTGAAAGAAGCTATCAAGAAGAACGGTGTCGGCAGTTCTGTTCTCACTCCGGATATCTGTGAGATCGAGCCAATCATTGAGCAAACCGACAACGACACCCTCTCTGAAGAGGAACTCGAGTTTGGAAAGACCGGCACCGTTCCAAACGGTGGTCTCACCATGAAGATCGACAGCTTCGACTACGACCTTCTCACCCAGGCACTCGAGAAGGGTAAGATTCCAATCTGGGACTCTGTCGCCGAAACTACTGACGGTCTTGAGATTCCAATCAACTCTGACGTCACCACTTTCGAGCTTGCCAAGCGTATCCAGCCCTACAAGATTATCTTTGCTTGTAACGACGGTGGTATTCTCGACTTTGACCACAAGGCAATCCCAACTGTCTATCTCGACGAAGACTACCATCGTTTGATGGAAGCCGAGCACACTACCGACCGTCGTAGAGTACAACTCAAGCAGATGAAGAGAATCGTAGATAACCTGCCTGCTTCCACCACGCTCGTCGTAACATCGATCGAGAATATCACTCATCAATTGCTGTTCCCACGTCTCGCCAATGGTACCGTCATAAAGAAGTGCCAAGACAACAAGGTGTTGGTGTTTGACGCCAAAACCTTGAACCAAGTCGATATGCCAAGACTGAGAATCCTCATCGAGGACAGCTTTGGTCGTGCACTCTCTGAAGACTACTTTGACTACCTCAACGAGAATCTCTACAAGTTGTATCTCTGTGTCTCGGCTGACGGTCAGTACAACGGTTGTGCCATTGTCACCTTCAAAAAGCCAGACTACATCCCATATCTCTGTAAGTTCTGCGTACAGAAATCGGCACAAGGTTTGGGTTTGGGTGACTTGATCTGGAGAATCCTTCAGAGAGACATCGACAAGTTGTACTGGCGTTCCAGAAACAACAACCCACTTAACCCATGGTACTTCCAACGTTGCCAAGGTTCATTCAGAGCCGACGAGCATTTCACTGTCTTTTGGTATGGTGACGATAAATTCGAAGATGGAAGTATGATGATTGAAGAAGCCTTACGTAAACCCATCACAGTTTTGCCGATTGCATCGAAATCTTGACATCCAACAACTCATCATCATTTAATTAATTAAAACAAATATAATAATAATAACTTAACAATAATATATAGTAAACCTTTTTTAAAACAAAGAGAAGTTCAAAATTTTAAAAATAAATTAAAATTTATAAAGAATATAAAATCAAACACATAATTATCTAAATACAAGTATACAATAATACATAATATAATATTGAGTCAAGCTAAGTAAGAATACCTTTGGAAGATGGGATAAAAAATGATGTTAGATTTAAACATCATCACTATTTAACCGTCAAACAGACGTTTATTTAAGTATAATTACAATAATGATGTATTATTGCGAAGTAATATTTGGTGTTGAAAGATATATTGTTGTTTTTGTTGTATTGGATAGATAAAACAATCATTCATTCACATGATTATATAATGACCTATTACATATTCATCAATTCATTTGACTAATCTCGAAATATCTATTTTGAATTGCGTCCATTCTTGCCAATTTGTTTGATATTTCTATAGATAATGTGACAGCTACAAGTATATGAAGTAAAAAAAAAAAAAAAGTAATCGGAATTAGTAATCAGTAATTATCATAGCATTAACAATTGTGGATATAATCTCGATAATAATGCTTTGCTGGAATGGGATTGGATTGTGTTGATAGTTGGCATATTTTTGTGAAATAGATATTATTATGTTTTTTTTAAAAGTGAGTCATTAAAAAAAATGACACCTGGTAAAAAAAAATCTTTTAGCGGGGTGTGAGCGCGTGTGTGTGTGTTGTGGAAACTTCTTTTTTGATTCTTCGGTTATTTGTTTGTTTGTTTGTTGTTTAATGCATGAATGCATGAGTTACATTATGAATTTAATTCTTCTTCTTCTTCTTACCTTGGTTGAATTGTGATTGTGATTGTTTGAGTGTGGTGGGTGTGAGGAATCCGAACCAGTAGATTGGATTGGCTTTGAGTGATTTCTTCTTTTGTCGCTTGACACGATTGGTGAGTGAAACCATCTTCTGGCTGACTCTGTCCTTGTCGTCGTCGCTGTAGTCGTCACTACTGAAGTCGTCGTACTCGTCGTCCGATGTGGTGTGATCGGCAGTATCGATGTGTTTTCTTCCGTTGTTTCCGTTGCTAGTGAAACTCTCTGTCAGTGTTGCAGAATCCAGTAGTTGTTCGATTCTATTCATCGAGGTTGATTTCATCATTCCACCATTACTCTTATTACCATTGCTGCTATTATTATTATTGTCGGACTTTTCTGTTGTTGCTGTTGCTCTCTTTCTTGTTTGAGAGTCTTCTTCTATTTTTTTGGCGGTGGTGGCAGTCTTTGACGATGCAGTTGTATTCGATGAAGTTCCATTGTACTGACTGAAAGGCGACACATTGTCTTCTTCGTCGTCGTCCTGCAGAACTTGAGGTGTCTGTTGTTGTTGTTGTTTGTGATGTTGGCTATGATTATTATTATTATGATTCTGTTGTATCTCTTCTTTAGTTTGAACTGTATAACAATCTTTGGTTAAATCTATATAACAATCTGAATCTATTGGTCTAAGATTATTGTTTAAAAAACAGTTAGCTAAATGAATGATGTTTGTGTGTTTTGTATCTATATACAGATTGAAATACACTTACTTTTTAATTAATACAGATGATTTCATATTCTCTGGATATTGAAGTTGTCCCAATGATTTCAAACCCATTGACATTCTTGATTTACTCATTAAGAAATATCCCTAAATGAATATCATACATATCCCATTATTAATAAAACAAATGATTAAGAAAATATAAGTAATTGATATACTTACAGTTTTTAATGCTTCATTCAATTGACTTCTTAACAATTGTAATGATTGATATTCATCGAAATATTTAGCCATTAACCTTTCAAGGTCTTGCTTTTTCTTATTTGGATTGATAGACATTATTGGTTGGTTGGTTGGTTGGTTGGCTTTAATATCAATAATATTTAAGATATCTAATAATAAAATAATAGATAATAATATTTATAAATATAAATAATATGTATGTATACAATAATAAAAGAATAATAATAATTGATTTTTGCAAACTATCAAATAGTTTTATTTTTATTCACTTCCTCCTTATTTTTCATTCACCAGGTCAAACCTAAAAAAAAAAAAAAAAAAAAAAGTAATTTTACTAAAAATTTTTAATTGTCGATTATTGATTGTTAACAACTTTATTATTCATTATAAATATCAATATATATTAGTTAGTTAGTTTAATATAAAATGAGTGTAAGCATTATATTGTCATTAAATAAGGAATATATTGTTAATTTTAATGTTAAAACAATCTCTAATCTTATCTTATCTCATCATAAATAAACTTTAGGACTTAAATGCTTTTTGTTCAAAACTTATTAATAGGTAAGCAGCAGTAGTAGTAGTAATAGCAATTCTAAAGATAAAAAAGAATAAACAGTTTGTTAATATATGTATATACCCATTAATTTAATAGATTCCCAGGTACTTCCGTTATAGTTGCAGATAGAGATGGTTTTGTTTTAGCCAAAGGTATTGAAATTCAGTAGATCTATTACAAAAATATGATTGTGATGATCGATCATCACATCAATATAGTTTAGTTTATTGACAACAACAACAATATTTGTTCATAATTTCTATTATTAAATTTAGCAATCGACACAAATACTATGGAAGAAAAAGCAATTGAAAATTCACTTTTATCAACTTTCTCATTGGCAACCGATCAAGTATGTAATATTACTTTTACTATACATTAATTTATTTATCATCTATATCAACTATTATTAGATCAGATCAGATTAGATTGTTTTATTTGTTTATTTGTTTATTTATTTATATATTATTATTATTAAGCTATTTCAAAGAATTTGATTACTAATTAAATAATATTATCGTAATCTTTTATGTTCATTATATATATAGGCAAGCAAATTAAGAGCAGGTAAAAATAAGAGTATTGTTAGTTATTTCGATGATAAAGTAGTATTCCATCTCAATGTTAATAATGTAATCGTTTCGATTTTGGGTGACTCTGACTTGAATGTCGGTGTTTTATTGGGTGCACAAGATGAGATCGTACGTTCTTTGACTGCTCTATCAAATTCAATTCAAGATGTCCACGATATCTAATTGAATAAATATTGTAGACTATTTTTAAACATAACAAAAAAAAATGAAAAATTAAAAATATATATATTCTTAACTTATATTACATACAAGTTTTTTTATGTATTACCATTTAAAATGTACAACTTATGAAATAATTCAAATCAATATATTCAAATAATAATAATAATAATGTCATCCTAAAGGTTCAACAGAATAACAAGATAGATCTTGAAAAAAAATCTTATTTTTTATTTTATCTATTTTTTTTTTCTTTAAAAATTAGTAATTAATCTTTTAAGATAACATTTTTGGTTTTTTTTTTTTGAATAGAATAGGAATGTTATTATTTTAGTTATTAGAAGAACCAAATCGTGAAAAATCAGATTCATTCCCGATAATCATATATATTTAAGGATTGTCTTTTCAATTTTATGTTCATTCTAGAATATTTTTTTTATCATTTAAAGTAATAGGTTTGTTTAAGAACATCTAATCAATGTTGAAAATCATCATCTGTTAAATCAGGTGTTAATAGAAGGAATCTTTTTTATTATTAAAAATAACAAAAAAAACAAAAAAAAAAAAAAATTCTTTAAAATAGGAAATAAAATATTTAAATTAATTTAGATCTATCTTTTATATAAATTAATTAATTATTATTAAAAAATATTATTAAAAAAAAACAACCTAAAAAACTAAGATAAGAATTGTAAACTTTTAAAACTGAAAGGACAAAAGTCCAAAGAAAATCGTTGGGGATCTGTAGATCATCTCCTGATTTGAATTATGATGAAGATGAGTTGGCCAGTAAGCAAACTCTTCAATATTGGAAAACAATGAGGATGTAGATCTGCGTATTTAGGAATGAATGATTTTCTAAAGGTCACTCTATTGAGAATACGATACTTTCAAAGTTTTTGAATTGTTTCCTTTAGAGTGTTGTTATCCTGAGAAATCAATTCGTTGTGACCTTCTATCAATATTCTTATTTAGGAATTTATATCGTTGACGGATCCGTCCCATGGGAAATGCAATGATTTAAAATCTTGGTATGGATATGGGCACTTGAATTCAGATGCTAATAAAAAAATTATTAAACTGTCGATCCCAAATCTGATCTCTCAAACGATAATGAATATGAGAAACATGACATTCTTCAACGTTGATGAAGAGTTTTAAAAAAAATTGTTTACTTTGTAAAAAAACACATAATTTTGTAGGTGGTTACAAATTTAGTTTTCAATTTATCAAGGGTACTCAAAAGCCGATTACCACCCTTTGAATCCTAGGACTTTTTGTTGTGTTAGTCTTGGAAAGTCAAATTTTATTATTATTAATATTTTATTTTTTCGAAAAGGTAACAGTTATTTTCAGACCTTGGAGTCAATCATGCATTCAAACGATTGCTTCAAATAAATGATAGTCGGGTCGTTTTGGTTACCCATCCAATTTTGGCGTGTTTTTGCAAGATTGGGGTTGTTTTTTATTCATTCCCCAGATCGTTTTCCTCAAATGGTATATGGGGTCAAAAAATTCTTGAATTCAGTGTTTTCTACAAAACTCGATATAAAATGTGAAGTCTGTATCCCTGCCATCTTGGAGAATAGGTTGAGATTTTTGAAAAAAAAATAAAAATTGAAAAAACCCATTTTTTCTGTTGTCTGACACTTTGCTGATTGGTGTGGGGAAAAAAGCAACACACACAAATAACTAATTTTATTTTATTATTATTTAATTTTTTAAAACTATTTAATTTTATTTTATTTTTTAGAGATTTGTCACCTGACACTTGTCCAATAAAATTCTTTTTTGAAGCAACACCAATTTAAAAAGTCATTCAATCATAATTTCTATTTCAATCATCAATCGCCTCCTCCGCCACCCTCTTACTTCATTCGACACCCTCTTTTTCTTTCCAATATTCCAACAACATCAATCATACTTTCATTGTTGTTATTTAATAAAAAAAATATATTAACATTAAATATTTGTATAAATAATTAAAACAAAAAAAAAACAAAAACAATTAATAATACAATCAAATCAGTCAATCAATCAATCATTAATCTACAACTCTAATTTCCAATTTTGTTATAATTACATATTGAACTATTACAACAACTCCCTATTCAATTATCTTCAATTAAATCAACTGAATCATTAATTATTATTTTTATATTTGACAAAATCTGTCAAGACCCATTTTATGTTGCAATTCTTTTCATACATTAATTATATCAAATCAACACCTTCACCCTTAAAAGCCTTAATACATATCCCAGATTAAATAAAAAAAGTAAGTAAATACTTATTAAATATTCGAAAGCTCCTTATCTATTCTATCATCTTTATTCTTTATAAATATTTCTTTCTATCATCATTGTTCTGTTATTTTTTTTTTTATTTTTTTTTTGTTAATGGTCAAAAGATAATTCTGCTGATCACCATCATTGTCGACAACAATCAATCTTCAAACATTTTGCATTTGTCAACTACTGAATGCAGGATCATTCCTTTTCAAGTTCTTTTTTTTTCACATAAACAAGAAGTATCTATTTTCGCATTTTTTGATATTTTTTTGCAGTTTTCTGGTCCCACGCCAGATAATATCTTTGCTTTGTTGTCCAACCACGATTTAACAAAATCATTGCAATATGTCATTTTTAATTATTATAATGACATCAAAAAATTATAAATAATGTTTTAATCTTATTTATTTTTATTTTAACTATACCAATCATCATCATTTTTCTCAGTAACTAAAAAGGATACAACAATTATTAGTTTGTTGGTTAGTATCTTATTAATCCCAACACACCATCACACTTTTTTGTGATTATTCTTTATGTTGTCATAACTTCAATATTTTTTTGGTTATTGATAATCCAAAAGTTTTGGATTTCATTATCCCATTTGCCCGGATAACTTTTTTTAAAAAAATATTGCCAATCTTAGTTTGCCAATAATAATCTAAAACCCCACATCGTTTTCTCAATGTTGGGAACAAGATTGAGAGATTTGGCAAGTTCTTGGTACCTCATACTATCAACAATCATGAGTGACCTTTTTGGTATCATGTTTTATCACACCTTTTGTTTTACCATAATAATTCAAATGCTTCACAAAATCAATTTCTCTGGTATTTTATTTTATTTTCAATTTTTTTTTTTTTTCTGACCCCCAACCACCTTGGACTTTGACAAGTCAAAGCAACCACAATTTTTGAAAAAATCAAAAAATCAAAAAATCAAATTTTATTTTTGTAAAAATCACTTTTTTTTTTGTTTATATTTTGTCATGGACCTTTAACTGTCAAAAAAAATGACACTTTAAACAAAAAAATCTTTTTATCATAAAATGGTTGTGCGTTGACGTGCATTGCGAGTTTGGGATTATATATAAAACAACACCCCCATGCCAGATCGCATGAACACTTTCAGTCATGCAGACCATCCCAAAGAATTCTGGTGTTATTTTTGTAACATTCTTTTGTATTTTTTTCTACTATTTTTTTTGTTTTTTTTGTTTTTTTTACTTTTTCTGTTTGTGACTGTTTTATTTTTTGGTTGATTTTAGTTTAGAAGGTTGTGTGGTGTGGTTGTGGGTTGTTTATTTTCATTCCTTCTTTTCATCTATGATTAAGAATCAGCTCATCAAAAAAATGAAAAAGTAGGTGGTTAGAGTTCATACAACTCTTTATGAATAGCCGTTCACAGCCTACCGTCATCAATTAAAATAATTTTGTCAAGTCAAAAAATAAACAAAAAAACTAAACAAGAATGAACCATCACAATACTCCATCTCTGGCTTATAGGATGCATCTCTGTCTTACTCACTCAAAACAGCCTCATTTTTTGTTTTTTTTTTAATAATGTACCAACAAACAGCTATCGAAACATCTTTTGTTCATCATTTTTTAATTATTTTAAATATTATTTTTTTTATTTTTGACTTTTTCTTTTTTTTTTAATTTTTAAAATAAATGTGATGTGTGGTTGTTGAGTGACCTGACACACCCCCACCCCCAGACACTTCTGCACGCACATCCATTTTTATATTTGTCTTTTCACAAAAAACCAGCCAAAAGCGTGAAAAAAATGATCGAATTTAAAAATTTCATCATGAGCTGTGCCATCACTATTCTACTAGCAATTTCTCTGCCACTCATATCTTCACCCCACTTGATTCATTTAATTTAGCAATTTTTCAATAATAGTATTTTTTGTTTTATTTTATTAAATTTGTTATTTTTTTCCTTCCTGGGTTGTTGCTATGGTTACTTGTGTAGTGATCAATTTGGATTGTTTGTTTTTTCTAGTCAAGACATCATTGTACATTTGTTATCCAAACAACAAAACAGTTCGCTTTTCATTTTTAGTAGTTAGTTTAGTTTTATTCCAACAACATCTCCTAATCACCTTCAAACAAAGAAATATTAAGCAAACAAATAATAGTTATACCTATACAAATAAAATAAAATAAATAAATAATAAATAAATAATATATATATAAAAATAGATATCAATAGTTAATCAATCAATCAATCAATCAGTTAAATAATATCATAAATGCATTTACATTTCTAGCATTAATTCACTTCACTCCCAAACTACTATAATTAAATAATAATAATATCTTTTTTTCCAACAACAATTATCAAACATCAATCCTTTTGTTGTACAATAATTAATTACTAAACCAATAATAATTAATAATTTTTGTAAATTTAATAAAATCAATTCATTGCTCATTCTCCAATTTTGTATATAAAATAATAATAATAATAACAATCATAAATCAATCAAATATTAATCGATAGTAATATATTTTTTTTCCAATTTCGATATTTTTTTCACAACGCAATATATATTATATATTTTTTTAAACAATAATATATACAATTTCATTGTTACTTTATTCCAATACCTCTTGTCCATAGTTATAATTTTTTTTTCCTATTTCCATCCTCTTCCATATTTTTTTTCTTTCTTTATCCAAATCGATTTTTTATATATACATTATTCGAGATAAAAATCTAAGTACATTTAGATTCTAATTTTTAAATTACTTCCAATTAAAGATGCCTCTTTCACAAGAAATTGATTTACAATTCCTTTCCAAGTATTTTCACCTTCCAATAAACGATGTCGCCAAAGAAATCGGAGTTTGTGCCACAGTATTAAAGAAAATATGTCGTAAAAATGGTATTCCAAGATGGCCACATAGAAAGGTAAATATTTTATTAATTAATTTTTTAAGTAAGAATATATTTATTAATTTCATAAATAAAATTTTCTATATTATAGATCAAATCCATTGATAAAATGATTTCCAACCTTGAAAATTCAACTCCAAAGAACTCTGATGAGGAGAATAGAATCAAGGAAGAGATTAACAGTTTGAAAAAGAAGAAGGCCTACTTGATCAAGCATCCAAATATTTTGGCGATCAAATCTTCCATCAAACAAAAAGAAGCAGAGTTGCTCAACCAAAAGATCAACGAAAATCAATTCGAACTTGAGAGTATTTCTTCTCCCATGATCACACAACCAATCGTTACACCAAATTTCAGCTTTTTGGCTGCCGCTGCAACCGCTGCTTCTCAACAACATCACCAACAACCAGTACAAATCATCCAACATCATCACCACCAACAACCATCGATTTCAATCTCTACAGTACCATCGACATCTCCGGTATTCGAATCAGTGAGAGTTTCACCATCTCATCATCACCATCATCTTCAACAACAACAAATTCCACAATCATTGTCCGCATCGTCATCTCCGCTCTCTGTATCCAATGAAATAATGGCACCATTCTGTTTCAGTCCAGTTCCATCCCAATCGAATTCATTGAACTCTTCGAATAGCGACCTCTGGAAAAATCATGTCGAATCATCGCCACTGCAAACTCTTCAGAATGCTGCTGCCGACTTGACTCGTCGTTCCTCCTCTCCATCCCCACTGAGCCAATCGAACAACAATGAAGCATCGTTCATCCAACTGCCAAAATTGAATATTCCCGAATTCGAATCGATGGGAAATACATTGAAAACATTGGAACCAGTCGTTTGGAACGCACTCAAAGACTCAAACGGAGCCGACCGTCTCTCGCCACTCCAGACTTCGTCATCATCGCTCTTTAGCAGCGCCGGTGGACAACAAGTTGTTCCACTGCCATCATGGTTCAAGGCCGAACACGATTCAATCTTCAACAATAACAGCAACAACAACACCATCAGTCAATTCAATAATAGTGGAGAATTCACATTCTCCAAATCACTTCCACTGCCCTCCCCAAGTAGTTCTCACTTCAACAGTGGCAAGGGTAGCCACTCTCCACTTGCCAAACGCGGAGAAATCCGCTCCGTTACAAGAGTGGATCAACTGATCACCGAAGAAGACATCCACGTCCCCTATGGATCTCCATCATCTCCCATCAACGAATATGAATATTAATATTTTATCGCCCCAACATTATATTTTTTTTCGTTCTCCATAAAAAAAAAAAAACTAAAAAAAAAACCACAAAAATATTACTCCCCACATCCATCCCCGCATCAATCAAACAAAAAAAGTAGAAATAAACTGCTTATATCGAAATTATTGTTAGAAATATAATTATTAATTTGTAATTATTACAAATATTTATTTTTTTATTTGAATTTTGATCTTAATTCTGTTTTTTTATTAATATTTTCTTCAATACTTGTGATCATGACAATAGATATTTTCAAATGTAACCAGCTTTCATTTTTTTTTGAAATTTCCTTGTCATTTTTTTTTAGTTTAGAGGTCGTCTTTACAAACTAAGACAGAGAAGGAAGGACCAATTACCAGAGTTGATAAAAAAAAAATCAAAATTTTACTTCGTTTTTTTTTTTTTTGATCCTACCCGACCCGACAACAAACAAAAACTTCCACACTAATGTTTTTTTTTGTTTCGATTTCTTTTTTTCGCAACATGGTAATGAGAATGATACCGCCATTTCTCAATTAAAAAATTATTAATGCGAAAGTTGAAAAAAAAATTCCTAACCACCCTCCTACACCCACCCCCACAACAAACACCAATTTTTGTTCATAATCATTTGATATGACAAACTTTTATTAAATATTTTTATTGTCTATCTTTTTTTTTATCTATCTGTTTACTTTTTTTTATTTATTTTTATATGTGTAAAAGTATAATAACAACAAATAAAACAAAAATAAAAAAATAATATAACACTACTATTTATTAATAATAATAATACAAAAATATAATAAACAACATATTAATAATATATATTATTATAATAATATTTTCTTTTTTATCTCACTACCACCACTCTACCAATTGGAAATATTCATTTATAAAATAACAATAATAACAATATTTGCTTTTAAATTTGTTTGATTTCGTGAAGATTTATATAACAAGTCGAGACACAGTTGAACAGAGAACATAGAAACGAGAACATAGAAACAAGAACATACACAAAACAAATCTTGACAAGAAAAGTACCGACAGATCAACAAACAACAAACCAATAACATCACACACCCACCACACAGTTTAACAAGAACAAGAAAGAGAAATAACAATAATATAGTTTTTAATCTACAATATTTATTATATATTTATTTATTTTCTTTTAAATATTTATATAATTTATTTAAATTCACAAACTTGTATCATCAATTATAATCCTCTTCCTTTAGGAATTTAATTTATAAATTGTAAGTTATAAAAATAAACAAAAACCCAACACGAAAAAAACAAAAACAAAATATATATCAATCAGTCAATCAGCAGTATATCGGTGTGTGGGGGGTGCTGTACACCGCCGCATTGTAATTACAACAACTACTTTAATAATAATGAATAATTTAAAAAAACAAATGGCGAACAACAACAACTTTACTTTAGCAAACACATATCTCACAAACTCTGGGGGTTTCACCTTTTTTTTTTTTGTTTTTACTTGCACTTTTGGATATTTAAATCGAAAAGAAAAATCAGGTTAAGTTCCCATGAAATCGATTAGTTATATTTTCATGATTTTATTTTGATTTACTTATTTTTTGTTTTTTTTTTCTTTAACTTTTTACTTTTTGTTTTTTTTATTTTTATTTTTTTATTTTGTTTTATTTTGTTTTATTTTATTTGCCAAAGTCATCATTTATAATTGGGCTTGTGGGTTCCTTCGTCAACAAAACAATAACAACTCAACTCAGTCAATCAATATCAACAAACTCAACTTATCGAAATAATAACCTTATACTATAATAACATTATTTAGTTTTTCACAACTTTTTCTTTTTTTTTTTTATTCTTTATTTTTCTTTTTGTTTTATTTTCAATACCAATAATAATATCAAATATCACAATAATATCAAATATCAATATCACAATAATATCAAATATCAATATTTATATTAATTAATTTATTTATTTTCTAAATAAGCAAGTTTTGATCGCCGATAACAATAAATCAATCAATCAATCAATCAGTTAATCAAATTAAATCAAAACTTTGTTAAATCATTATAGTAGCAGTACAACAACAGCAACACACACACACACACACACACAAGTAGAAACATGACTAGTCAAATCAACGATACCATGGTTCTACCAGAGGAGATTGATCCAGAGATTCAGTCATTCTCTGAGGAGATCATGAATACACTTTCACACACCATTGGATTGTTCCTTTGTATACCCGCCGTTTTCTTTTTGATTTCAGTTGCCAGAATGCGTGGAACTCGTTGGCATGTCATTTCTTGTTCAATATATGGTATCTCTTTGGTATGTATTATTAATAATACTCATACATTATTGACAAAGAGCGCACATACAAAACAGACAGGTGTCAAAAACGCATGTCTTTTTGTATGGTGGCAGTCAGGCAGGTCAAATGTAACCCCAAAAAATTGTGTTTTACTAATCGAAAAAAAAACAAAAATATCTTTTTTTATTTTTTTGTTTTTATTTTTTTTGATCGATCGATCGATCGATTGGTTGATTAATTTCGATATTTTTATAAATTATATAACTATTTTTAGATGACAATGTATTTCTGTTCATCATTATATCACTCTGTTGGAGTATTTATACATTTAGAAAAATATAGATTGTTTTTTAAGGATCTCGACCACTGCGCCATCTACTTGCTCATCGCAGGTACATACACGCCACTGACTCTGATCAATTTGATTCACAATAACACCACCAAAGAGCAACAACATCAAGCACCAACCAAGAAGGTTCCCAAAGTCGTAAAGATCGGATGGATCCTCTTCTCGGTGGTCTGGTTGATGTGTTTCATCGGTGTGATGAGCAAGATGATTCTCGGAGCCAACAGCATTCCCGACTTTTTTTCGAACGGATTCTATCTGCTGATGGGATGGGTTTCACTGGTGGGATTGCGTGACCTGATAACCCACTTGCCAAGAAAAGGACTAAAGTTGTTGGTGTCCGGTGGACTCGCCTACACCAGTGGCGTTGGATTCCTCGTCTGGGAGACCACACCTTTCAACCATGCCATCTGGCATCTCTTTGTTGGTGCAGGATCGATCCTCCACTACTTTTGTATTTTAGAATGTATCATTCCTTCACGCAAAGACGGACCACCCTCTGTTATCATCGACAATATCGAATTCGCTGAGAAACAAATCAGCATGGCTTTCTTTGGAAGTCGTGGACGTCGTCAAAAGTTCATTGTTAAATATATGCATACTTTATATCGTGTTTTAATTGGTTGGGCTTTTAAGACTACAAAAGTACAATAATAATAATATAATATAATAGTAATAATAATAATAAATAGGTTATTTTTTTATAATAATAATAATATGTGTAAAGTTTCTTTATTTTTTTTTAACAAATGTTGTTTTGATTATTTGTTTCCAGCGGTAACAGTGGAAGCAGCAGCAGCAGCAGCAGTCGATAATAAAGGATTAGCATTAATGGTTTGCGTGTAATCATTTTCCAATTGTTCATAGAAATCGATGATCACTTTCTTCTTACCATCTTCCATCTCTTTCTTTCGCTCCGGTGTGTCAGCTGCCTCCTTGTCGGTGTTTCCAGCGGCAGCAGCTTCTTCCTCGGATCCAAAGAATTGTTTGTACAGTCTCTTTTTGATAAAGATTCTGTATCGCTTGTAGAGTGGATCGTTGGCAGGTCTATTCATCAACTTGCTCAGCAAATAGATCTCTAGCACCGTCTTTGATTGTACTGGTGTAATCAACAACTCCTTTCTTATCTTTTCAAACAATGCCTTGTGATTCTGTGATAAATCAAACTCTGCACTAATCTCCTTTAACAATCCAGATTTTACAACATTTTCAAGATCAACTGAATTTCTTAAAAGTCTAGACATTAATTATTATAAGAATTAATTAATTAATATTAATATTCCAAGTTTGTTCTCAGTCAAATAAACTATTTACATGAAGTATTCTCCTGGATCTTCAACAGTAATATCATAAACAGGTCCATATACACTTGAATGTGATTTATAATAATCATATAATGAATTTAATAATCGTTCTATTATTATTTTTTGAAGTTTAACATGTTAATAAAGTTAAAGGATATTTCCAATAATATGAAAAACTTACTTCCAAGTCCCATTCTTTGATATGGCGGTAAAACTAAGAATTGACTGAGAGTTTGCAATTTAGAAATAATAAAAAATGAATCAGTATGAAATTGACTAAATATATACATAGCTAGATGGTCACTGAGTGATTTTGTCATTACCTAATTCTAGATCTATTTGTAGATGGATGATGATAGAAATTATAGATGGTTGTATATCCAACGATTCCATATCGTTTGGTGCTGTCAATCATCTTTTTCTCAAACATCATGAATATATCCCAATTGGAGTCCTCTGTGAAAATGTAGGATCCACCTTCGATGTACCAAAGTACGAACAACTGTAGTTTCTCGTGATATCTGAGAATGTTTGGATCGATAATCTTTCCAAAGTATATCTCAAAGTGTCTTTCCTCTCCGGTCTCTCTATCGACTCTACTAAATTCATAAATAAGTTCACCTGGTGGTTTAAATGAAATCTCTTTCTCTTCGATATACTATTTTAGAAATTGTGGTGATTGTAATGTTAATTAAACATTCAATCGATCGACCAACCATTATTAATAATGAATAGATAGCTAGATAGTTACATCTTTAAATGAATCAAGAGTTGATTTTGGTGGATCTGATTTCGACATGACTTTGAGTAGTTGTCGCTCTACGTTGGTGATATTCTTTGATTGTATGGTGTAGTTGGTATCGATGTAGGTTGTGAGTGAACCTGCACCCATATAGATATTGAGAGTGAGTGGTTCATAACCCATGATCTGTTCTTCCTTGAAGATCTTATGAGAGAACTCTGGATTGAATGTTACAACTCCACCTGAATTCTCATCATTTCCATCATTCTCATTAATATTATTATCACCATTATTATTATTGTTGTTGTTTTTACATTTTTCGATATCCTCTAGTAGATCATTTGATGACCACACTAACTTTATATTTGTTACTTCATTTGCATCGAATCTATATACTCTATTCATATTTATTATTGTATATTATAATTATTATTACTACTATATTGATATTATTATTATTATAACAACTAAACAATTTGATGATCAAATAAAAAGCATAAATTTATAATTAAAACCTTTAAAATAAACTTACTAATACTAATTTATCACAAAAACTTCAAAAAAATTGAAAAAAAGAGGGGTTTTGTTTTTTTTTTTAAATTCAAATTTTAAAATGAAAATCAACAGCTAAAAAAACTTTTTGCAGACTCTGTTCGCTCTACCTTTTTTTTTTTATTAATAAATTCTTTAATACTTAGAAAATAATGAATCATTTCATTACTCTTTGCTAAATAGATATTCTTAATTAAAAGAATATATCTATATAAGTCTGTTGTTATACAATATCTAATTTGATAGACTTTTAAATGTTTAAAATATTATTATTATTATTATATGATAAACATTTAAAAGTTGAAGTTAATGTTACCAACAAGTTAAAAAAAATAAATAAGTGTCTTATCTGGACAAAAAAAGTGGAACGGAAGCATTTAAATTTTAATATCTCATCATGTGAGAAAAATCGAAATTTCATGATAATTGATTACCCTTTTTAGAGTAAGATGATGTGAAAAACGTTTGTTTTTTTTTTTGTGTTGAATTGAAAATTAATGAATGATTTTTTAATTATTTTTCTACAAGTTTGTTTTTGTTTTTATTAGTTAATTTTGTCAGGATCATTGTAATTTATTTAATACTATTATATTATTATTATTTATTAAAACTAAATTTATTATTTATTTCAATATTTTTATTATTAAACTCATATATATAAAATTTAAATATGTCTTATAATTCAAGAATTGAAACATTAAGCCGTCATTTGAGCAACGCTAATGAAACCGACTATGTTTTATCTTCACAACCAACTGGTATGTATAATAAATATAATTATTAATTATTCATTCTCTCTCCCTCTTTCTCAAGAGATAGAGATAATAAATAAAAATAAAAATATAATTCAAAGTTTGAGTGTATTGTATTATTATTATTATTACACTTTTAATTATAATTATAGTTATAGTTTAAGTAAAAGTAGTTAGTTACTGACTCTTTGTTTTTTTTATTATCAAATTGATGAATATGAATGATAATGATAATATAGGAGCATCAGTAAACTCAGGAGATGATGTTGTTATTGTTGCACCATTCCGTACTGCTATTGGTAAGGCAAAGAGAGGTGGATTCAAGGAGACTTCACCAGATGATATGTTGGCACCAGTCATTCAACACATTCTAAAGACAACCGGTATCAACCCAGCTTTGATCGGTGATGTAGTTATGGGTAGCGTTCTTCCAAGATCATCACAGGGTGCCACTGAGATTCGTGTTGCCAGTTTGATCGGTGGTGTTCCAAAGGAAGTTCCATGTATGACCGTCAACAGACAATGTTCATCCGGTTTGCAAGCTATTGCCAACTGTGCTGCCGCCGTCAAGGCCGGTATGTACGAAGTCGGTTTGGCCGGTGGTGTCGAATCGATGAGTTTGAATCCAATGGCCTGGGAAGGTCAATTCAACGAGGTCGCCATGAACGATCCAGTTGCCAGCGGTTGCTACAACACTATGGGACAGACATCGGAGAATGTCGCCGAGCGTTTCAACATCTCGAGAAAGGAACAAGACGAATTCGCTGTTGCCTCTCACAAGAAGGCCGGTGCTGCCCAGAAAGCCGGTAAGTTTGTCGACGAGATCGTCCCAGTCACCGTGAAGACCGAGGACGGAAAGACCGTTGTCATCTCAAAGGACGAAGGTATCCGTGAGCAAACCACCCTTGCCGATCTCACCAAGTTGAAGCCAGCTTTCAAGCCAGAGGGATCTACCACCGCCGGTAATGCCTCGCAACTCAGTGACGGTGCCGCCGCTTGTCTCGTCATGAAGCGTTCAACCGCCCAACGTTTGGGATTGAAGCCCGCCTTGGTTCTCCGTTCATTCGCCGCTGTCGGTGTCGAGCCAGCCATCATGGGTATTGGTCCCGCCGCTGCCATTCCAGCCGCCATCAAGATGGCCGGTCTCCAAATCAGCGACATCGACGTCTTTGAAATCAATGAGGCATTCGCTTCACAAGCATTCTACAGCATCAAGCACTTGAACATCCCAATGGAGAAGGTCAATCCAAACGGTGGTGGTATCGCTCTCGGTCATCCACTCGGTTGCACCGGTGCTCGTATGACTGCTACCCTCTACAATGAACTCAAGCGTCGTAACGCCAAGTACGGTATCGTCTCTATGTGTATCGGTACTGGTATGGGTGCTGCAGCTGTCTATGAACTTGCTTAAGTAAATAATAATAATTTTAATAATAATAATAATAATATCATCATCTTTCTCAAAAGTATAAGGTTGAATTAAATAATAAATAATATTTATGTATAATAAGCTTTTTTTAAAAAAAAACAACAAACAAAAAAACAACAAGATTTTGTTTATCTTTTCTTCTTTTTATCTTTTTATTTAATAACTTTATAACTTATTGATCTAAAGATGTCCTATTCAATGTATTTATACTAAGTTGTAAAAGTCTCATGTTATCTATCAATTTTTTAATTATACAATTCTTTTTATATGCAATCTAAGTAAGATGATTAATGATGAATGTTAGTGTTAATGATTATATATGATCATATATAGGAATGTTCATTGTATTTAATACATACAAGTTTCAATTCTTCTAACTTTTGTTTTGAAGATGCTGTTGATGATGAAGAGGTTGATGATATATCTTTCATTTCTTCATCTTGAGTATTTGTAGTGGTTGTTGCTGTAGATTCTTCTACATTATCATTATCTGATGTTTTTGTAGTTGATGATGATGATGTTGTGGTTTGTTCTAATTTCGATTCAATATTTACAATCTCTACAATGATGTTTTGTAGTTTCTCTATATATTCTAAACATTGTGTGTTCAGAAGTTTCATCTTCTCGTTGTCTTTGTGGAATATCGATGTATCCATGTTCATTACTAGTTGTTGATCGTCTACACCTTGAAGACCACCACTACTGCTATCGAGACCACCATTACCATTGATCATACCACCACCACTGCCACTCAATGATCCATTAGCAGCATTACCAGCAGCACCGCCACCACTGATCATCGATGGTGTAGATGATATAATTGAATGTAAGAAAATAGGATCCCATTGCAATGAGTGTAGATGTTTCGTTATCGAATGTACTGTAATCAACAAGAATTGTATGAGGTTTTCACCTTTTTCCGCCAACGAGCATAATATCTCTTCATCTGACAAAACATTACTATTGCTATTAATATTAGCAGTTGTTGTTGTATTGATATTAGTGGTAGTTGTAGTTGTACTACTAATAGTAGTATTAGTCGTTGAGCTACCACTATTACTTGATTCCATATCTTTATACAAAAAAATATATCTATATTTTTAACTAAAATAGATTACTTAATCAGATTTGATTTATAAAAATTTATTTTTGTATCCATAGTAATTTTTGACTTGAACAAATTTTTTTATGCATTTCTCACACTAATTCCACGTTTGAGTTCATATGATTATTTAATTGTTAATATTTTATTTTTATCTTTGATATTTAGAAAAGAAAGATAGAAAAGTTAAGATAGGTTAAGAAGATAAGATAAGATAAACATGTTTACAGAAATAGAAGCAAAGCAATTCGCTGCAGATTGGGTGGAGTCTTGGAATTTGCATGATTTGGGAAGAGTATTGAATCATTATACAGATGATTTTCAGTTTACTTCGATTTTGATTAGTAGCATTGCTGGTGATCCATCGGGTACACTCAAAGGTAAAGATAAAATAGCAGACTATTGGCAGAAGGCATTGATTAAATACCCACAACTTCACTTCAAACTATTGTACACACTGGTCGGTGTTGACTCTATCACATTGGTGTATACCTCTGTCAACGATAGAATTGCATCAGAGGTATTCTATCCCAACAAAGATGGAAAGATTTATAAATCATTCTCTTCCTACTCTATATAAAACAACAATAACAAGATAATCCTGAATGACATAATAATAATGACAAAAACACAATAAATAAATTAAATAATATAGCTTAAAACAATTATTTATCATGATATATATTTAGATGCACACATATTATTTTTATTTATACCCAATCATTTACATTTATCAACAATAAAGTAATATATAATATCCAATTTTAGAGCAGAATTTTAGCAAAAATTAATTCTTTTCACTAGTCCTTCCTTCCCCTTCACTCTATCTCTTTTTCAATATCAGTCAGATACAAAAATAACAATTTCAAAGACTTTATCTTATATGGGATATTATAATCAATTTGATATTGGAGATGAATAGTTCATGGATCTAGAAATTTACCTACCATACACTTCATTTAACAAACGACTATTCAGTAAATAGTCTAAATTTAGTATGAAACTTCAGACTGTTATAAACCTTTTTAGTTAAATAATATTTTTATTTATTACCACCATTAATTATATAAATATGGTAAAACTCAAATTGATGAGTTGTGAGGTGTGTTTACTTGTTTTGTCTCTATGTTATGAAGTGGCAGGAGGGGTATGATCATGGAATTGATTGTGATGTTAAGAAAATAGAGGTGGGTAAATAAAATAGTGTAGTGAGAGATTATGATTGATTGATCAAATTCAAAACCAACAAACCATATGTCTTTTGTGTTTAATAAACTTCATACTGTGTGTATGTGTTGGACGTGGGTGTTTAGTGGTGTGATGTTTCACAGTAGTGGTTGGTGGTGGTGGTTTTGGTAATTTTGTAAATTTCAAACAAATCTTGTCAATGATATCATTGTGTAGATATAGAGAATATACTGTTGTATTAGTGATTTATTGATTGATTGATTTCTTTATTTTTAATGGTTTCCATTTTCAGTGATATTGTCATCTAGTGATGTGAATTCACTCGACGGAATGAATAGGATTTCCTCCGATACTGTGATATCAAGTTGAATGGGTTTGATTGATGTTTCAAACGACTAGATATTATATTATTATTATTATTATTAATTAGATTGATTTTTAATGTTGTTTAATTACAATTATACAGCTACTACTCAATTAATAAATCATAAATAGATAAAAGTTATAGAGAATAGAAAATTAAAGTGTTTTTTTATGTTTTTAATTTTAATTTATTACAATAATAATAAAGAATCGAATAAATAAAAACAACAATATTTCAATTATAATAAATGATAAAAGAACTAAATAGTGTAGATCCTAATCTTTCTGAAGTTATATCGGAGCTTGGCGGTGATCCAAACATTTCATCATTATTATATATTAAAGAGTCTGACAGTCTATTGAGAAGGAAACAAATGAATAGAAATATTTCCTTAACTAAAATCGTAAGTATTTATTATTCGATTCATTCCATTTCGGATTTTGCAATTTTATTGTTCAGTGTTTTTAGTTTGTTGAAATCTAGATTTAAGTTTCATTTTGTAATCATAATGACCCAAATAAACAAAGATGTAATCAAAGATCAGTCAATGTATTTTTTTTACTTTTTTTTTTTGATTTAAAATAGCATCAATCAAAAAAAAAAAAAAACCCACAACCATATCGTTTTTAATCCACTGACAAGGTGACCTCCCCTTTTAATAATAGGTCACTAGTGTGTTTCTTGCCAATTTTCAAAACCAATGTTGTTTGCAGTTGTGCGATAAAAATAATTTTTAAAAAAACTTTGTGCAAAATTTTGTTTCATCTAAAAATTTTGGAGGACTCTTTCATTTTTGTATTGAAACATTTCGACGATTTACCCAAAAAACACCTTTTTGTACCCATCCAAAAACTGTTTGGAGTATTAAAAATTTTAATCAAAATTTGTTTTTTTTTTTTAAATAACTTGTGATTTTTTTTTTTGATAGAATTATTTGAATTTATAAAGTGTACCAATATTCTATTCTTCCGTAAATCATACAAATCAAAACTTTTCCAACTACTTATTTAGATTTACTATTTCATTGTTGTTATTTTATATTTTTAAATTTATTTTTTTAAAAAAAAAATAATCAACAAAAGTCTTAGTCGATATAAATTACAAAAAAGAAAGAAGGTCAACAATAATAATAGTTTAGTTAATTATTAAAGCCAACTTTTGAATTCAAAAACCAGATAGATCAATGGTGTTTTACAACTTCTGAAAGTCGTTAGTAATAAACACACAATAAACAAAAAGAGTAGTTATCGAATAAAGTTATAAAAACAAGTAAAAAAAAAGAGGGAACAGCAACAACAAGTTTAAATACAATAATATCATCAAACCAAATCCAATTGTTTACTATCATCATCAACCAAATCCAAATTTCAAACCAATAGACCACATATCATTAAATTAAACACAACATACATTACATTTGTGGATCTAATTTGTAGCAAATAATATCCAGCTCATTCCAACATCATTATCATCTTCATCCAAAAGTTATAATAATTTGATTTTATTAAAAATCCAGTTAATAGTTAATATAACTACTTCACACCTTAGCTTTTAAAATTTGATTGGACAAACCAACAACAACAACAATCTACAACATGTTTGAAGTTGAAGAGCAGTATAGAGTCATGGGTATGGATGAAGTGAAATGATTGATTTAGAGATAGTTTAGATAATACATAGATACATATTTCATTTTTCATTCTAAAACCACCATTTTTAATGATATAGTTATAAAGTTTGTTGTGTTTTTTTTGTTTGTTTGTACTTGTATCATGATGTTAATACAACGATCAAAAACAACAGCAACATAAAACAACACTTTTAAAAATATTCTTAAACACACAACTATCGATTGATGTATTAATATTGGTAATAACAAAGTTTATAAATCCAACAACAACAACAACAACCAACAAAGTGGTAACCAATCAATATTTTTGTTCAACTTTTCAAAAAAAAAAAACACAAATAACAATAGCACACACATTTAACAGTATTTTGTCACTGAAAACACTATTATTTGATTTTAATAATAGTAGAAGTGTAACTGGGGCGGGTAACAATAATTGTACCTCTTGATTTTTAAATTTCAATAATATCAAATAATATTGGTAATATTCATACCAATTTTACAATTTTATTTATTTTCTTTCACAATTCTAAAGAAAATTAATTACTCTTTCCTTTCTTCTCAACATCAATTCATATATTATTTTATTTTTATTTTTTATATCTATCTAAAGAAAAATAGAAAACAATCAATTTTTATAAAATTTATGTAAAATCGTTCAATTTTAAATTTAAAAACCAACACATTTATATAATATATTATTTGGGTCAAGACTTTTGAAAAAGATATCGACTGATAACCTCTGTCGTAAATTATTTTTATACTTTTATAGAGTAATATGGAAGAGCATACATACAGTACTGAATATGATCAATAATAAATAGTTAAACAAAAACAAAAAACTACACTGTTTTTCAGATTTATCGATCAAAAACACAACAACTTAAGCTGTAGCAGGTGGTCAACAATATGACTTGCAAATCTCACTCATCGACCACACTACCACACCACACCACACACACACACCAACACTCTAGAGTCTAACTTAGCTTTGCTTTCTTACATTACACTACACACCACAACACACAATTTAATGTACACAAACAAAACAAACAAATAAATAACCACAAACATTCTATATAAATCCAAACTAAATCTAATCAATAGAATGCGCATCATCATACATCAACATCTTCATCATCATCATCAAATTATCAATCAACATTTAGGATTTTTAACGTCCAATTTTAGTTTATATTAAACAGCCAATCCAATCCCAAAAACAAACTTGCAAACAAACAAACAAACAAGCAAACAAACAATTTTATTATAAATACTATTCTATATATGATTGATTGTTATAAAATAATAATAACAATATAATAATAGTTAATAACAACAATAATAATATTTAATTTATCATCATCATCATATCTTCAATCGATTGAGTTTGTCATTTTTCTATAAATATATATAATTGTTTAAGATTAGAAATTAGTTTAAAGTACAACAAAGATAGAGAATATTAATTTTATTTTTGATTAACAGAAAAGGAGAAATATTAGAATTAGTTCACTTTTTAAGACTATTGGTAGTCTTTGTGTAGAAATGAGTGCAACAAGCGATCAGGATATGCATCCTCAAGACTATTTTGAATATGTCTTGGAGATTATAAAACAGGTAATTGTGGAGACAAAAACTTTGTCTGCCATCAATTCAAACGATAAGGATCAAGCTGATAAAATTTTGAATGATGCAGCTTGCTCCGTTGTAAAGAATATCTCAATTTTAATTAAACTTATGGAGCAATTTCCATATCCATATCAACATGTCGAACATCATTTATCACACTTTATGGAATCGATAAAGAATCTATCATCTCTGGTTTTAGAATTGATTGCTGCTGCACGTGTAAGTAAAAAAAAAAATAACAAGTTAAAAATATTCATCATCATCATATTGTTATCAACATCAACATCAACAATAACAAAACAACAACAATTATAATAACAACAAAACACAACAAACTAAATATATGTCAAACATTTCATTTTTACATCAATGTAAAAAAAACAACAACAACAACAAAATTTAACACATTTCAAACTCAAACCAATCTAATTTTCAACTTTTATTATTCAAATGAACTTAACTAATATATATACTAATCTTGTTTCGAACATTTTGTTTAGGCAATCATTTTGAATCCATTTGATTTTCTTACAGGAAATAATTTTAAAACAGCGAAATCATCATCGATTGAATGTGTAAAGGCAGTAGTCATGTCCTATCACAACTTCAAGACAAACTTTTTCCAGTTTGAAGATCAACAACAGAGTCAACAACAACAGCAGGTGCAAGATGAGCATGTCGTCCAGTTCCAGCCAGTCGAAGAGCAGGATGAGGAGGAGCTGATTCAACCCGAGGAGATTCCAGTTGCTCAAGTCAAAGTGTTGCATGAAACATCACCACCACACCGTGGTAGCAACTCTGCTACACCAACCAAAACAGCTGCATCAACAGCATCAAGCAATCATTCCACACCAAACAAACCAGCAACCTCTGGAAATCCAAACATTCCAAGCATCAATACCAACAATAATGAGTCATTCGGTGACCTCTCAAATCTGGCGGCTCCACATTCACCAAAAGCAGTGGACATGGATGAAATTGCCAAAATCGAAAAGGGAGCAGTCAATTTGATTCTCAATGTTAATAGAATTACTGAAGCCAGTATCGAAGGTGACTACGATGCACTACTCGCTGCGGCCAAAGGTATTTCCAACGAGGTGATGCAAATCGCCAAGTTGTTGCCACTGAAGAATCTTGGAAACAGCTTGAGAGAGTCCGCTGTCAATGTTATATCGCTATCAAAGTTGGTGTTGAAGAACAAGAACGATCAATACTATGTGGATCAGTTGGAGTTGGCAGTTGGTAAACTCAACGACATCCTCAAGAATACTATTTTCCATGTTAAGCATTCATCACAGATCAATTTGTCACAGGCATTCGGACTGGATAGCAGTTCCATCGGTGAGTCGCCAAGAGACGAGAGTTCAACTCCACCCATTTCTGCGCGTGCCACCAGAGTTATCAAAGAGGAGCAGTTGATCGAAGTGGAAAGAGAACGTCAGGAGAAAGAAAGACAAGACCGACTTGAGCAGGAGCGTCTCGACAAGGAAAGAGAACGTCAAGAGAAGCTGGAACAGGAACGTCAGGAAAAGGAAAGACTGGAACGATACAATCAGGAGAAGGAGAGAATAGAACGCGAGCGTGCCGAAGAAGAAAGAAAGGAAGCACTACGATTGGAACAAGAGCGAATTGACAATGAGCGATTGGAATTGGAGCTTGCAAGAATGACTCTAGAGAAGAAAGAGTTGGAGCGCAAACAAAAGTTGATCGACGAGGAGAAAGCCAAGTTGGAGTTGGCAGAGAAGGAGCGATTGGCTTCCGAGAAGAAAGAACGCGATAGATTGGCAAAAGAGAAATTCGAAAAGATTGAAAAGGAGAAACTTGATAAATTATATGTGAATGCAGGTGCCGCTGGAACTTCATCGTCGGGAAGCACCTCCTCACAATCGACATCGCAACCAAGTTCCACTTCAAGTTCACCCAATGCAAGTCTACCAGCTACTCCAGTGATACATTCAGTCAACAACCACTCTGGCGAAGACTATCTCAGACCACCAACAGCAACCGGCGGTCACAAAGAAAAAGATCTTTCCAGTGAGGATAAAGATAAATCGAGAGGTGGAAAAGGTGAGAAAGACAAAGATAAAGACAAGGAGGGCAATAAAACCATTGGTAAATTCCTTAGTAAATTCGTCCACAAAGGTGGAAGTAAGAAGAGACAGCCGATTCCATTCGAACAATCGCCATCGAGTGGAAGTGCCAGTCCATCACCAAATTCCATCACACCGCCACTCGGAGATTCGCGAGTATCACCTTTGGCAACCTCTTCAGTTTCGTCACTTGAGACATCGGCAGCAATGTCCAGTTCACCTTTGCGTTTGACAGCGTCCGTTCCATTGAATCCAGCATCAAACATGTTTGATATCAAGGAGGAGTTGACTCCACCTGCTGCCACCAGTCCAGAGCGTATCACCTCATTCTCTGTTTCCATTCCAGTTGTATCGCTTTCGGAATCTCAACAACAACAACATCCGATCAATCCATCTCTCAACACATCGGCTGGTGGTCTGCCACTTGCAGAGTCGCCATCGCGTATCTATCTCCGAAAGAAAACCGAACGTTCACTCAACATTGGTATGGTCAATGGAAAGCATTCCAACCCTTCACTCCACACCAGTGGCGAACATCACCACCACCTCCATTCACACCACAACAACAACTCACCATCCAAACGTCCAATCAATAAGCGATCGGATCCTTCACTGCAATTCGACCACGCCAGCACTTCAAATTTGATTATCAACATGCTGCTCAACGAGTATCCAGAGTTTGCCAAAGAGTGGAAACAAAAGAATGCCGACGACACTGGAAAGAGCACAGAGAAGATCAACTCTATCATAAAACAACACGTTGAGGATTGCATTCAATCGGTAACTCAACAGACTCGTTCTGGTAATTCAACTTCGATCGTCAATCAAATCAACAATAGCATCGTGTTGAATCAATTGATCAATGAAGCACACAACGACAATCAATATCAAACTCTTAGTTTGCGATACAAGATGACCAAGAAGCTGTCGACCATCAAAAAGAAGAGTGCACCAGCCAAAGCATCGATTTTGCCAGGCGCAAACGGTGCCAACAGTGCAGCGAACGATTCCTCCAACTCTGCTCTCACCAACGTTGACGAAGCTTCACAGAAATTGGTTGTCACTGCCAGTGAATTCGTTGAGAAATCAATTGAGCTTGTCAACCAAGCCTACGAATTCTCGGTGAAACAACATCATAGCGATAGTGATACCTCTCACTTGGCGGAGCCAACTGAAGAGGTTTACGATACAGTTTCGAAGCTATTGAATTTGGCAATCACTGTTGGACGTATTGATGACAAACCATTGTTTTCCAGTCAGATCAAGAACACTCAAAAGTTGGTGTCGAACTCCAAGAATTTGGGTCCAGGTAAAGTCGATGCCACTCTTGTCACTTGTGCTTCGATGTATCGCCAATTCGTAGAGCGTTCACTGGAGAAGTCGATCATCTCACAATGCATTGCTGTTCGTGCCATCTCCATTCAGATGACCACAATCATCATCGGTATCTCCTCAAAGCCATGGGACAGCAATGTCCAACTGCAGCTATTTGCCACTGCCAATACTTTCTGTGAGTGTCTAGTGAAGCTGTTGTCGAGTGTCGCCAACAAAGTCTACCTCAAGAGTTTGCCATTGAAGGATGTCGACGAAGAGTTGGACGCTCTCTCCGAACCCGAGGAGGATATCAACATTTGGTTGGAAGGAAACTCGCCAGCCAATGTCAAACTCGATTGGATTTCCGACGAGGGTTCAAAGACTGGAAGATACGTACCGAAAGCCGGTACCCTCAACAAACTCATCGAGTCACTCACCTCTGAGAAACCATACGATATCTCAAAATTCACAAAGACATTCCTTCTCACTTATCTCTCATTTACATCGGCACGCAAACTCCTGGAGAAGTTGATCCAGCGTTACACTGTGCCCGACGACAAGGACCAGAGCTTCAAAATCAAGGTTCAGGTGCGTGTCGCTTCTTTCATGAAGACATGGGTCGAAAGAAACTATGCCGATTTCGACCCGGCATTGCTGGACGATGTCAAACAATTTGCCAACAGCCGTTTGCTCGCCGACGACCATGGTGATTTGGCTAGATTGTTGGTCTCCACTATTATGCAGCGTGAGGCTGACAATACCGAGCGTTTGAAGCAGTTGGCCAATCCATCGTTCCCAGAACTGATGATTCCAGAGGGACAAAAGTCACCGGCAACTCTCTTCAACCTTCTCAACGACAGTGAAATTGCTCGTCAACTCACATTGATCGAGGCATCAATCTTTGGAAGAATTGAAGCCAACGAATTCCAAGAGCAAAGCTGGAGCAAAGAGCATTTGAAACATCGTTCACCCAACATCATGGATCTCATCAACCGTGCCAACAAATTCTCATTCTGGGTGGCATCTCAAATCCTATGGCAAGAGGAAATCGCAGATCGTGTTAAAGTCATTGAGAAATTTATAAATATTGCCAAGGTAATAATTTTTTAATTAACAATTATACAAAATATTTAATCATTTAACTAATCAAAATATTGATATTAATTAACAAACTATATAGCATCTAAGAGATATGAATAACTTTAATTCATTAATGAATATTTATGCTGGTTTGAATCAATCCAGTATCATTCGTTTGAAAAAGACTTTTGCACAATTGTCTCCAGCTGCAACTACCACCTATGCTGCTATCGAGAAGTTAATGAATACAAGTGGATCATATAAAGCATACCGTCAAGCACTTAAAGTTGCAACACCACCTTGTTTACCTTATTTGTATGTATTGGTTTTGTTTTTGTTTAGAAATAATTTAAATATTAATTTATAATTATAATTTTATAGACCTGTAATTTTATCAGATTTAACATTTATGGAAGATGGTAACCCAGATAAGATTGGACACATGATCAATTTCCAAAAACGAGAACTTATCTGTCGTGTCATCACTGAAGTACAGACTTTCCAACAAACCAAATATGACTACCCAATTGTTGAACCTATCCACACACTTCTTTTGGAGCTACCATCTTCATCAGACAACGAACTCTACCAACTTTCACTTCTACGTGAGCCAAGAGAGACAAATGGAACCATTAAAGAAAGCTCTGTAATGTCACCAAAGAAATAAATATTAAAATACAAAAATTTATAAAATCAAATATTTCCAACCTAGATATTGTAAGAACATAATGATAGGCATCTGAAATCTCATTGATTTTTGGACATGTGTGTCCAAATCAAAAACTTAAGTTGTAAATTTTTATTTTTCCATTTACTGGCAATTTAAACACAATATTATAAGGTGATCTGAGTATCCAAGAATATTCAACCAATCAAAGACTATACACTTTATTGAGCAATTTTGTGATTCCAGTAGAAATAACACCATCGAGGACAATATTAATTGTTTAGTATTTATAAAACTATTGGTATATCTGAAGAGTTTTCTTATAAACTATGAAAACCAAAGTCTTATAACCAAATTGTTAGACATCTTTCTATACCAATCTTGATCGATTAAATTCAAGAGATTTATTAAGATAATAGATAGAGTAAATCACAAAATAGTGAATTGAAATAGATTTGTTAAATATTGATTATTATTTGAAAGCAGATAACATAGATCATGATTCAATTTAAAAACGATTTTGAATAATATATCTATAGTTTGATTTATTTTTAGTATTAGTTTTTATAAAAGTTGATATTATTTTGTTAATAAATCCATTCTTTAGCTATGTGATCTCTTTCTTTGATATTATATTAAACATCTATGGTAAACAAATTATAAACTTTTATTGATGTCAAAAATCAAATTATTAATGTAAAATCAAATAAATCTTTTATGTGTGGTATTAATTTAATGATACCACAAAAATACCAACTAAATATAATATTAACAATATGGAAATTCAATCAGAATATAGTTGCATACATACTAATCAAAAGAAACAAGTAATGTCATAACACCATCATATGATTAGTACTAATTAAAAGTGTCTTTACAGATCCTTTGGAGAACTAGACAATAGAGATAAACACATTTGATTGTGTAGTAGCGGTTGCTTTTGATCATTGATCATCCAATTCAATCAACAACAATACACACCCATTCACACATAGAAATTAATCAAACTTAAGTTGATTTATTAATAATAACACACTCACTCGAGTTATTGTTTTTGAAAGTAAAAATAAAATACATACAATTTTTATTTGTTTTATTATTTATTTTTTTTCACATCAACTTCACACTAACACAACCACAAAACACACACTCACACAATCAATCTTAACAACATCATCAAATAGAAAAAAATATAAATAACTTATATATGTTATAATTATATGAATCTCATCATGGGAGGTTGCTATCATATTATTGTTAAATGTAGATATATATATTTATTTTATTTGGTCATTGTGTGTAGTAGCACTATTGTAGTATAATTATTAGTTCTTTATTGCCCCAAGTACATCAAATACCACTGTTTTTGTTGTT